TCGTTCCTGTCCTTGCCCTCACTCTTGCTTGCTAGCACATAAACCTTGTTGTACCTCTCTCTCCGTATCTCTCGCTGGCGTCAACCATGACAAAAACACGCAACTGTAAAAAAAAACAAAGACGACACGCTCACATACCAACCCATGAACCATAAACCAAAGCAACAGCATAACCTTCCAGGCCCTCCCCTCCCTACTCTCGTCTTATTCTCCTTTGTGGTTGTTGTTGTTGTTGTTGTTGTTGTTTTGAATTAGTGCGTATGTTGTTCTCTTCACCTACCCTAACGCCCACCTTCTCGATCACAACAACACTAACTCTACCCTACCCGCCACAAAAACAGAGTTGTAGAGTTATACCCTTGTTTCTAGTACATACACAAGGATAATAAAAAAACACCAAGGACTCGGACGATTGTTCGGCGTCATCGATCGGTGCACGAGCGACATATATCTCCCCTTTTTTTCCTCTCTCCCTCTCTTTCTCTGTCCCTCTCTCTCCTGCTACTCTCCGATAAACAGAGATGGGAGGGAAAAGAGAGTTCGAGAACACCTCTCATTCAACTCGCCCGGCCTTTTTCTCTCGTTTTGTTGATGTCGTGTTTGTGCGCGTGAGAGTAATGCGACAAGGTATGTACACACTGTCGTCACAGAGGATGGAGAAAAGAAAAAGGGTGAGAGGACTAAGCGGACAGCGTGTTTTTGAGGTGTGTTTACACTGATGCCTATCCCTTGTCCCTCCAGAGAAAAAAACAAAACAAAACTTAAGGCAAAAAGGAGAGAGAGAGCAGACGAATATTTTCCGCTCGGGAAAGATCCACGGTTGCGTATGGTTGTAACGCAAAAAAGCGTTGTTGTTGTTTTGCTCTCACGCAACGAGGCTGGAAATGCAATTAGTCTCCTCTTTGCGTGTTCATTCGTCCCTTCATTCATTCTTCTTGCTTTCTCTATATGCGATCGATCATTGTTCCTCTCTCTCTTCGCGTACTAGTGCCATCGATAACCATTTCTTCCATAGACGAAAACGTGGCTCTTACAATAATATAGAATCCTCCATGCAGCTACATTTCTAGCTATATATGAATGGAAAAGGGATTACCCTTCTGTTCCTCTCCGATCGTCACCGATATACAGACAAAAACCCTTGACAAGTACCCATGGCTCAGAAACAATGCCTAAGCATGCATCAAACATATGTCAATATTTAGATAACAGAAACACATTTTTTTTTGTTTGAATGTTTTGTTCGAAATAGATAAACTTGATGACGAGCTTTGTGCATCCAGAGAAGAGCAAGTTAAAATAAGAGAGCGCAATTGAATTGGGAGTCAAGAAAAAAGAAGTAAAAAAAATAATAATAAGGCAATCGCGTAAGCAAAGCATAGCATTCGTAACAGCACAGAATTACAAGAAAGAGAATCGTGTCTTTTTCTAACCTCAGGATCGCCTAATCCTGCGGCACCGAAGCTTTTTGCTCAAGGTAAAAGAAACCATTACGAGTTTCGCGCATTACACTATAGAAAAAACAAAACGTCAGTGGCAATTGGGCAGTTCCAAATGACCATCCATCCTATCACATCGCATCCCATAGTATTCCAAGCACATTCAGGTCCCCTTCCCTGGGAAGTTTTTTCAGTGCCCCTTGCATTCTTTCTTTCTTCTTGCCTGCTTTGCTATGCCCTGCCTTTACCATGTCATACCATGACCGTTAACCTCTATCTATCTTTTTTTTATATGCACATTCCTTCTTGTCATCCTTCTACCTTTGCTGTTGTTCGTCTCTCCTTAACTTCCTCCTCCTCCTCCTCGGCCATATTTAACAGCCTGGACCTGGACAAGGCAGACAGAGAAAGAGAGGGGGACAAAAAGGGGTGAGAGGAAGTGAATGAAGACGATGTCTATTCTCAGCAGACTGAGGAAATGAACAAATCAGACAGACGAGACAAACGGACGTGGCCTGCTTGTCATATTATGAAATGTAAAGTGAAATGGCAAGGTTTTGCATGGAATTCAACCTGCCAGACTGCACACATGTGCATCGTTTGTTTGTTCTTGCGTGTTTGTTCTGTTCTTTCTCATCCCTTCCGTGGTACTTGGACGTTAGAACTACTCGATAATGCCTCACCTTTTGTCTGACCCCTGGGTGTTGCATGGTTACGAATGCATGTTCTTCCTTCTATTCTTAGTGTTCCATTTGTTATGTTTGTGTTCATTCCCTTCCTTCCTTCCTTCCTGCCTGCCTTCTTGCCCTTTTTCCTTTCGTCCATTCGTCCATTCACCCATTCTTCCTTTCTTCCATTCTTCCCAAACACAGATGCAAATTGAAACTCACCCAGGGGCCCATGGGAGTGTGGGTCGAGGAGGAATCCAAACAAGTATTGCCTAAAATCGCATCACGCTTCATCATCGGGCATGAAAGTTTTCTTGAACACAGGGGAAGAGAAAAGGAGCAATGTCTAAAATAGGGGTTCTTTTTTATTCAGGCACAAACAGAATGTAGACGCTGAAGTAATAATGATGAGGAGGATTGTCAAAAAGGTAAAGTAGGGGTTGGAACATTCATTTGAAAACAATGCGAATCAAAGGAATATACCCAAAAAAAAATAAAAAAAAAATAAATAACAAAGCATTCAGAACCATGGGCCAAAACCAAAAAAATAAACATAAACCAAAGACAACCAATGCCCTAGTCACACCATGTCCTCCTATCCTATCACCCCATCCCCCTCCTTCCTCTTTTGTTATTCCAACCAACCATTGGGCATACAAACACACAAACAACATCAACAAACAAATACAAAAGAGCCCTTTTTTTTGTAGCTCTTTTTGGTGTCTTAGCAATAGGCAACCAAAGCGAGAGAGGCATGCTGCAGGGGTGCATTGGAGACCATGGATGATAAAATGGCGTGGCTCTCTCTTTTCCTATCTTGACACAAAATTCATGCGAACCTTCGTCTGCGACCTGTTCTTTATTGTTTGTTGTGTTGTTGGCAGGTTGAAGCATATGATCATCTGGGCTGGTTGGTTGGTTGGCTTGGGGGTGAGATCGAGCGAGAGAGAAAAGAGATTGGCCCACGGTGGAGCAGGCTTGGTATGCATGCACAGTATACATCTTGGGGCGCATAACGAGAGAAGAACAGACAGATGGGGAGAAAAACGGAAGGACTATCCACGTACATGTACCTTGTAAGGTACATCGTAACATCCCATATATCTATCCATCGTTGCACGAGGCGATGATGCGTATCGTGAGAGGATTTTTTAGAGTGTTCCCCTTCCTCAGTTCAATTGTGATATAGGGTTGCAGGCTAGTAATTATGTTCCGAAAGAGTGAGCGAAAATGGTGACAATAGTAAGAGGTGCCTGAAAATCAAGCATGCCCATTCAAGAATGTCACCATCCTTCGTTGACACTAAGCACCCCATTTCTTTGCTCATGACTGTAGGGGGCTAAGGTAGGGGTAGAGTGGCCACAGGGTGGGCGAGTTTATCACAGCTCAGTTATGCAATTAACGTAAAAAAAACAGAGCATCATCAAGAGGGCGTTTTGTTTACAATTCGCACTTTGCCATGTCTACTTTCTCTTCCTTCATTTGTCATTCGTTTAGAGTAGCGGCGATGCCTCCAGTCCATGGTCTAAGGCGTAAGCACACACGCACGCCACACCCCTCCGCGCAGCGACAGTTATCGACTCTCAACAACCATACATGCCACGCATGTACTCACACGAACAACAAAAATTCACCCCCTCTTTTTTTGCATGACAGCAACGGAACACACCCAGGGCTGGTTTGCATAGGCGTCAAGAGTGGGGGGGTTAAGAGCAGAGGGTTAAGATTAAGCGTAGGGGGGGGGGGGGGGGGGGAACCAGCACGCCTCGCATTCATCTCTCATTCATTCTGTATGCCTCTAGCACGTTATTATTTTGCCGTTGCTTGTGTACAATGTATGCGTATGTACATTTTTCGACAATCATTTCAATCCGGCCTGTTGTCTGACCCCTCCCACTTCTTTTGTACCCCATTCCCTCATTTGGACACCAAAGAGCGCCGTTTCTATTGGCCTTGCATGCCTTGCATTGCTTGGCTGCATTCATGCTGGCTTGATGTTCTCGCCAGCTTTCCCACCCCGTCGTCTTACTACGCGCGAAACAAGGCATAAAGGAGATCTTAGGCCTGAGATGTGACTGAAGGTAGATGAAGGGAGTTAGGGAGAACATTAAAGGAGCGTGGAATAACAATCGAAAGCAAATGCCTCCTTCAATAATGTCAGCAAGTCTACATCCCCTAGCACTTGCTTTTTGTATTTCTTTTGCTTTTTGGACCTTTGCTTGACTAAAATCACCCACTGTTACACACATCAGCAAAAGGCAGAAGGAGGATGGGAGGCGGTGGACGGAAGTATGGGACGGATACCAGGAGAGAAGCGCGAGCAGGATAAAAAAATGTGAGGATACCAAACCAAAACTAACTAACCGCACACGACAAGGCACAAAAACACCCACGTTTTTTGACAACTCGACTGAAAAAAAAACTGAAGTGAGGGACAAAGGATGCGAGCCGCTGGGAGTTCGAGAATGGAAGGACACCGGGGTACGCAAACGCCCCATCAAAAAATCGGAGCCGTTGTGATTAAAATAAAAGACAACGAATAAAGTGAAACAAGACGCGTTCCAGGCCACAAAAAGCTAATCAACCCGACGCGTTCATGTTTTCGTCCACTCATTTCACGAACGGGCATATTTTTATTGGTATCACCTTCTTGCCACCCAGGAACAATCAATCTGCAGACCAACACCCAATTCACTTCACGATAGAGGTTTTTTTTTTTTTTTTTTTTTTTTTTTTTTAGTTCCACTCAATACGAAAATGAAGTGGCGTGGTGTCCTGCCATTTCGATATGGACATATACCAGGAAACAGAGTAGAAAGAGGTACAGGAGAATACATTCGAAAAGATGAAAAGAAGCTACAATCTACAGAAGAACAACCAAAGCTCGCTTGTCCTAGTCGTCCTTTAGCTGCGCATCCAAATCATTCTCGAGGTCATTCAGGAAATCGACATCATCGTCGTCGTCGTCATCCTCCTGGCTCTGTTGCATCGTGTGCGTGTGGTCCATCGTCACCTCATCGTCGGCGTCCATACCATCATCGTCATCTTCATCATCATCGCCAACAGTATCTTCAAGACCGCCGTTCTTTCCAATGCTCCGGCGCCTTCTCTTACGTTGTCGCACAGCAGACCCACTCGCATCACTAGTTGCATCACTGTAACCCTGCTGACTGTCGGACCCGTTCTCATCATCAATGTCACTGTCGCTGTCCTGAGTACTCATGCCCTTATCATCGTCATCGTCCTCTCCAAAACCTTCACGTCCGTCTCCTCCTTCCATCATGTCCACGTTCATCCTACCATTGTCAGAGTCCTCATCCTCATCGTCGTCGTCATCGTTTCCGCCACTGGTCACCGCCGTGCTGAGGCCTGACCTTCGAAACACTCTTGTCCGCTTTAGGTTCGTAAGCGGGGACCTGTTCCCTCTGTCCGTGCTCGCGTCGCTCTGTGTATTGCTATGTGTGCTAAGAAATCATAACAAATGACAAGAATCAAGGATGAGAGAGGTTAGCTTGGTTTAAATTAACGTAGTAAAGTAGCGCTTGGAGAAAAAAAAAAGCCCAAGAGAAGAGTAGCTAACCTCGTGTCACTGTCAAAGTCAGTATCGTCCAGATCCCCCAGCTCATCCTCAAGCTCCTTGGCTGCATCTTCCCACACGTTATTATTGATGGTTTGTATGGTGCCCATATCTTCCGACTCGCCACCCTGGTCCTCTTCCCCGTTACCTTCCGCTCCGCCGAAGTTCTTTTCGTCTTCGGGATTGTGCGGTGGCGTTGTGGACCTGGGTGACGATTTGTTGGCGAGTTCGGGCAGGATGTAGTCGGCTTCATTCTGGCGTTGCCACTTTCCGATGGAGTGGTACAACCACTCTGGGCGGACGATCCTGACATTCCTGCGTCTCCTCGCCTCACTGACTTTTTGCGTGCCCGCCTATACCCAGGGATAAAAGGTTTGATGTAGATGTGCACGTTAAATGTCTGTTTCACTAAATCCTTCGGCGCCAGTTTTTCCTTTCTAAATAGCATGTCGTTTTGAATCTTACCTTGGCAGCCACAATGTGGGTCACTCCTGCTGACAACTCGGTCGAGCATATAGCTCCAAAGCTTTCAGCTTGTCTCCAGATGTCTGCCCTCTGGGGTATCTGACCAAGGGGAATCACACTACTGAAGACAATGTTGACTCCTTTCAACACGCTCTTCTTCATATCTCTGATGATCTCCTATATGTTTTGGCATGCAACGATAACAGCGATAAGTTTAGTTGAGATGCGCTCTTTTTTCAGTCCAACCAAAGATAGTGTCCATCATGGTCATGTCCTGTTGAGCTGATCGGTACCTTCACATCTGGTTGCTTCTTTGGTTTTGTAAGCTTGAACACCTCCCTGTCGTCATAAAACTTTTCATGAATCGTCTCCAAGATCTGCACGTATGAATGAAAGTGAATGCGGTTAGAAAGATACTCTTGGCATGAGAGTAAAAGACGTGACCAAGAAAACAATCAAAATTAACAGGGCCTTACCTCGAGGATGTGCTTGAGCTCGTTGTCATTATCATCCATGACAGGAGCTTTGGCCTTGAGGACTTTCCCTGGGGTTCCAGGTGCAGACACCGTGGACGCTGTCACCTCTACCTTCTTTTCCTCGCTTTTCTCCTCTGGCGTCTTTTCTTCAGACGACGCCGCCGTTGCATCTGAAGAAGCTGCCGTCGCATCAGTGGGCGCTGCTGTAGATGTTTCAGTCTCGACTGTGGCTTCTGTTGCCCCTGCTGAGGTGTCGGATAGTTCAGATTTGGCTTCTGTTGATTCCTTAACGAGATCTGCTATTGGAGCTGCTCCTGTGCTGGGTGCTGGTTCTGACTTGACGACGGTGTCCTGTTTCGGGAGATGCCCTGCATTAATGTCCCCAGCCCCAACAAAGTACTCGTCTATAGTGACAGCGTCGAATGATAAATTAGCAATTAGACACACTAGATTCATAACAAAAGACGACATCGATCAACTGACAAGACATGTCCTCGGGACTTACATGGGTGAACTTTGACCAGGTTAGGAGAGTACTGCCACACGTCTGCACGATCGTCAATCACCACGACCATGGAAGTGTCACAGGGAAACAGGCGTTCAATCGACTTTTGCGTCATGTCTATGATTTATAATTCATCAAATTGAGAACAGGTCAATTCAAATTCACTTTATCACCTCGTATCACAGTTGCAATGATCGGCAATGTCCATTCCTGCAGATCCTACTTACTGAGGTTTTCATCTCTGGAGAGGATCCGCTGACTGAAAAACTTGCCATCAGGGTCGATAGCCTTGGCGACCGCTGATGCATAGTTCCTTGTCCCCATTGTGTAAATATGCAGTTCGTAGATGGCCGCGACCTTTTGCAAGAAGCGTTCTAAGTGAGGTCTATCATGGTGAGACAACGTGAGATCAACATTAGCAATTGATTCCTAGTGGCGAATATGCAAGGGAAACCCCGATCAAGAACTGCAAGCCCCGCTGTGCCGTCGTACCGCAACTTGATGTAGTATGGCGTAGAACTGTCTGGTAGAGGAAACATTTTCACGTCCTATTCAGAGGGAAGAGAACCAGCACGTTGTTAGGTCATGCTAATTCACAAAGAATACTGACAAGTCAAGAACAACGTGAGTGATGAAGGATTCGTCGCTTACCTGTGGCATCCCACCCTGAGAGTTGATCCATTCGTCGATAGCTGGTCCGACTGTCGCATGAATAAGTGTCTGGTCCAGATCCACAATCAGAGACAACTTGCCCTCGTTCAAAAGTCGACCCACTGTATCGTGCTCCAGCCTCTTTGCCTCCTATTGTTTTGGAAAATGCAAGCCATGTTGTAATGTTAGAGTTGAATCATGTAGACCCACCATCGATACCTCAAACAGAGAGGTCGAAAGAGCAGCAAGGCGAATTCGTGACTAACAGAACGGCTGACGGCAAGCGACGTTGCATCGTGGGCCATCATGACATGAGACTCTTGGTTCATGGGTACAGTCTTGCAGCACATAACACACATGCCCTCGTACTGCGTGTCGTGGTCGCAGCCTTTGTAGTCGATCACCACCGTACTATTGCAGGTTCCAGTAATTCGATTCGTAATAATAAGAGATCGTTAGTAGGATGTCATAACAATAACGATGGATGCAAGAAGATACACAGGAAGCCTGTCAAAATACCTCTCGTTGTCAATGACCTTTCCCTTGACGACATGAATGGCCTCCACGACTCCGTCCTTGGTGGCGCGGATTTCTCCTCTCTGTGCAATCAGAGCAGTCTTGTCTTCGTCGACATAGCCTTCCCGCTTGACGATATATTCGTATTCGAGCAGCTCGTCGCCGTCGGACATGGACTTGTCCTTGCTTGTCTTGACGGCGATTATTGTGGCTGGTAAGTGCTCTGCGGGGATTGTGTATCTGAAGTCGTTGTCCGCCATTATATATTTCGTGTCCTGGTTGACTTTTAGTTGTGTGGGAGGAGTCGAGTCGATATCCGTTGCGCGATGCGAAGAACGGCGACAGTGGGTGACAGAAAGGAGGGCTTTTGAGACGCGTGGCGATGCCTTTTGGATGTACCGAGTTCAGGTTCAGGTGTATTGAAAGGGTATGTCCTGTGAGCTTGGCTGGTTGGTTGTTGAAATGTGATCCAAGTCGTCCTGATTAGCGTCTTGGGTGATGTTGTGTGTGTGTGTGTGTAGAGTGTAAAAAAGCAAAAAAGGAGAAGGCGCGTTTCGAGCGAGGACGGACAAGGAGAAAGAAGAAAAAAAAAAAAAAGGCAAGGACAAAAGGCACCTGCTTTGCTTTGGAATTATGTTAATTCCCTGCATTACTCCAAATGATATTTAATTTGGCACGGAAATAACTCTAATTGCATACACACATTAGGTGGAGTTCTCTCCACAGCTGATGATGATGATTCGTTCGCTGGTCACAGACCGCTGCATAGTGAGAGGGTCAAGGAGAAAAAGGGGCAGGGTCAGCATCATCTTTTCTTCTTCTCTCTTCTTCTTCTTCATCAACCAATACTCTCACTCTCACTCGCTTCCACACAAACAAACCACTCTTTCCCTCTCCCCCTTTCTTTTCTCTTCACAAGCTAATATAACCAACCATGGTGAGTTATCCCCACACAAGCATATGTCTTTTTCTTCTTTCTTTTCTCACGTTGTGGGGTGCTGTCACGCCGCACACGCGTATTAAGCGTCATCACACTCTCCCCAAAAAAAAACTGATGGACCTACACATGCGACGACACGCACACAAACACTTTTTCTCCTTTACTATGCTGACAACTTGGACAACAGGAAGTACAAACACAGCACAGCAACAACAGCAACAACAGCAACAGTTATTCACACACACGCTCGTCATCGACCTCCTCTATGGACACTCTTTTGTGTGCTATTACTGTTCTTTGAATACTAGGCATACAATATGTCTAACCCATGGTATCTTTGTATTTCTTACCTTGCGATCTTAATAGGATGAGCAATACGACGTCGTTGTTATGGGCACTGGTTTGACCGAGTGCATTCTTTCTGGTCTTTTGTCAATCGAAGGCAAGAAGGTCCTCCACATGGACCGCAACGACTACTACGGAGGCGAGAGTGCCAGTTTGAACTTGACCCAGGTACGGGAACACGGACATCCTCTGCCTTTCTTTTTCTGTTGTTTTTCTCCCATTGCGTTGATTATTTCTCGGGGAGCAATCTGGTCGGACGACTTTTTTTTATCTCTCTACTTCTGCAAGCTGCCACAGCGAAAAAAAGCAAAAACCAAAGAGCTTGAAAGGGGAGGAATGCATGTATCCGTTCAACGGGTCCCAAAAGAGCCGAGAAGGATATATTAAAGAAAGAAAATAGAGTCGGCAATGGTGCTCAAAGCCAAAACGAGCCCACGGAGCATGAGCCTCAGTCTCACTCATCAAATGACGGATAATATTAGCACTCGCCAACAAGGAACACCAGTATCCAACAGCAACTTGAGAGAGAAAGAGTTTTTGTTCATATGCGCTTAAAAAAGGGGATTATGCTCACGCGCGGTAATATTAATATTGGATGTTTGCAAACTCCACTTTTCATGTTGCGTGTTTTAAATATATATTTTAGCTCTTCAAAAAGTTCCGCGATGGTGACGCCCCCGCCGCCGCCCTCGGCAAGGACCGCGACTACAACGTCGACTTGATCCCTAAGTTCATGATGGCCAACGGAGAGCTCGTCAAGATCTTGACCCACACCGACGTCACCCGCTACCTCGAGTTCAAGCAGATCGCCGGCTCGTACGTCTACCGCGATGGTGTCATCGCCAAGGTCCCCGCCACCGAGATGGAGGCCGTCCGCAGTCCCTTGATGGGTCTCTTTGAGAAGCGCAGAGCCAAGAAGTTCTTCGAGTTCGTCCAGAACTACAAGGCCGACGATCCCGCCACTCACAGTGGCATGGATATCAACACTACCCCCATGGACAATATCTACAAGCACTTTGGATTGGAGGCCGGCACCATCGACTTTATCGGCCACGCCTTGGCCTTGCATTTGGAGGACAGGTAACCAACCACCCACCCTTTTTCTCTTTCTTGTCAGGTCAAATGCAGACCATTGAGGTCAACATGCATGTGCATGTAAATGTTCACTCACAAATATCATCGTATTAACCCTGCTAAAAACTATATGCTCTATCGTGCCCGTTTTCTAGCTACTTGAACCGCCCCGCCAAGGAGACCTTTGACCGCATCACCCTCTACATGTCGTCTATGGCTCGTTGGGGCAAGTCTCCTTACCTTTACCCTCTCTACGGTTTGGGTGAGCTCCCCCAGGGTTTCGCTCGGTAAGAACGCTCAAAATAACTTTTATCTTCTATTTCATTCTTCCCGCCTGGTCCAATCATGAATCTGCTCACTCTTAAACTGTTCATACACCAACTGACTAACTAACCATGTCCCTTCTTTTACGACATAGTCTCTCTGCTATCTACGGTGGTACCTACATGCTCGACAAGAAGGTCGACGAGATTGTCTACGAGAACGGCAAGGTCGTCGGTGTCCGCTCGGGTGATGAGATTGCCAAGTGCTCCCAGGTCATTTGCGACCCCTCCTATGCTCCCGAGAAGGTCCACACCACTGACCGCGTCATCCGTGCCATTTGCTTGCTCAAGGGCCCCATCCCCAACACCGATAACGTCGATTCTTTCCAGTTGATCATCCCCCAGAACCAGGTCAAGCGCAAGAACGACATCTACATTGCCGGTGTCTCTGCCTCCCACAACGTCTGCGAAAAGAACCACTACCTCGCCATCGTCTCTACCGTCGTCGAGACCGCTAACCCCCAGGAGGAGATCCAGGCCGGTCTCGCCCTCCTCGGCCCCATCGTCGACAAGTACGATCTCCTCCTCTTTAAGCTGTGTTTGTTTTATTGTGCTGATCAATTGGTCGTTGATAACTAACTACCTTCTACCTCACCTCTTTCTTATCGTTATAACAGGTTCGTGCAGGTTGTTGATATCAGTGAGCCTATTAAGGATGGCAAGGATGACCAGGTCTTTATCTCCAAGTCGTACGATGCCACTTCCCACTTTGAGACTGTCTGCGATGATGTCAAGGATCTTTACAAGCGCATCACCGGCAACGACCTTGTCCTCAAGCAGCGCCTGACCCAGGAGGAGGAGCAGAAGGAGATGGCTGACCACTAAAGCAGGCTATAGTCTTGCCAGTCCAGTCCCAGTTGCAGTCGTTAGAGATTCCCTTTTTTTTAATCGCACCTCGAAATCAATGAGAAAGAAAGAAAGAGAAGCACGAAGAAAGTGTCTGTTTTGACAAACGTTTAATAAAAAAACAGAAAAAAACACAAAAAAAAAACATACCTACTCTCGTTCCGTTCGTTCATTGCCTGCAGATATATGTTTGCATCGAAAGAAGAAGTTCTGTTGTGTTCTTTTCTGCCAAGCCAAGGAGCCAAATGTCGATCCAGTTCCAGTGGACCACTGTTGAACGAACACGTCTTGTCCATCCGTCCGTCCCTTTGTAGTTTCATTGATCAAATGTTCGGATCTGACAGTCACTCTGTCGACTTCAATAAATCCGCACCAACCACATTCATCCAACACACACATACCCCTGGCCTTTTGTTTCTTATTTTTTATGCTTCTTGCATCACACACTTCTCTTTTCCATCTTTCATTCTTCCTTCTTCGCCATCAACAACTAAACACCAACTGATGACAGGACGCAGGACCAAGAAGAACAAGATGCCATCACAACGCCGCCGTCTCCTCTCTCCAACAATACTAGCGCTCGCCACCGCCGCCTGTCTCCTCGCCACAACCACCTCGACCGTCTCTGCGTTCGGAAACAACAACCACAAGAAGGTTCTTCTCAAGGATGTGCAGACATTGACCCTGCACCAGGGTCGTATGACCACCGGCCGGAGGACCAGTCCCGTCCCCCAGATCAAGTGTGTCGGCGGCAACGCCTGTGGCGACTTTGAGCCTGGTATTTTTCATTTCAGTTCTTCTAGACACCGCCAGCCTCGAACTTTCACTTTTTCCATTTCAAGTCTATTAACCGTTTCTTTTCCTACCTTTCCTTATTGCTTCAATGACCTTAAATTAGAGGTGGTGCAATGCACGAATGCAGGATTCGATGGGAGCGACGTGCAATGGAAATGCCAGGCTGATCTACCAGACAACCTGCGGTTCGGACAGCTGGATGTCTTTTGTGAGGGCTACACCCACCCGGATGATCCTTATGTCCTCAAGGGCAGTTGCGGACTCGAGTATAAACTGCAGTATACCAATGTCCGGTATAATACAAATAACAATCACGGGGGGAATACGTGGAAGAATCCTGCCTTTAACGAGTGGACCCGTCGAGGTAAGAACGGAGCATCTTGATTGATAGTGGGCATACTTTCCTTGTTTATGACCTGTTCAATTGCTCATCATCCTTCCTTCTCATTGTTTCTGGATGCGATTGGACGAAAAAATAGCAAAGAGACAGTCATTGGTGGAGCTGCTATACCTCGGGACATGGATCGGTGTCGTCTGTTTAATCTTGTACTCGTTCTTGAAGAACTGTTTCCAGCATTATCGGGAAGATGCCAGGAACGATGACCCGCCACCACCTTACAGATCGTCTGGCGGACATGGCGGCGGTGGCGGTGGATTTGGTGGCGGCGGCGGCGGCGGCGGTGGATGGAACCCGAGCAACCAGTACAAACCTTCAGGTATGGATTCGACTCACGAATAATTACCCTCTGCATTATTGCATTGCACTCGCACCTTATTTAGCAACAAGACTGACAGATTCTTCATCTATTTCTTCCAATTATATTTTAGCATCGTCAACGGCAGAAACAGGAGGATTCAGACCAGGGTTCTGGTCCGGCGTGGGTTTAGGAGGTCTGGGAGCGTATATGGCCACACAGAACCGGAACCGTCAACAGGCACAGGCAAACGCCTACGCCGACCCTTCCTCTGCTTACGCAGGTGCGAATGCCTCACCGTCCTCATCATCATGGGGTTCGTCGTCGTATGGGTCTTACTCCGGAGGAAGTGGGATGGGAGGTGGTTCGTCGTCGTCGGGGTCGAGCTCAAGACCTACACGGACCGCCACTGGTTTTGGAGGCACTCGACGACGATAGTGCGGATACTTTTTTTTTTGTGCCAGGACTACTCTTAAACGAACGACGTAACGTTTTTTTTAATAATAAACTAAATTCTGCATTGAAATAGCCTCGCCATCCTTGTCATTGACTTGTACCAAAATTTTGTTTACCTCACACCTTCAATTGTTCTCTTGACACTCATCTGTGAAGACCAATCGCCTTTGCTCTCCCTGCTTTCACACCATCCCCCCCCATGCTCACTCTCGCAAACATGCGACAAAACAACAAGTGCCAACAATATATTGCGAAACGAAGCAAATTTAATGTTCTCAAATTTGATAAGGTGGATGGAATTTGGTTTGTTTGTTTTTGGTAAGAGATTGGATAACAAGGAGCAAAAAAATAATAATAATTTACTTCTTCTTCTCGGCCTCGGTACCGGTAAAGGCAGCGCGCTTCTCGGCGACACGCTCGTTGCGACGAGTGCGGGCAGCCTTGGTCTTGTTGCGGTGGGCCTCGGCCTGGTCGGAGATCAACTTGGCACGGAGCTTCTCGGCCTTGACCTTGTGGATGTACTCCATCAAGACACGCTTGTTCTTGAAGACGTTACCCTTGGCCTTCATGTACAAGACGTGGTACAAGTGACGGTCGATCTTGCCGGTCTCGCGGTACTTGCGGAGGAGACGACGGAGGACACGCTGGCGGCGCATCCAGATGACGGTGGTGGGCATACGGGCCTCGGCGGTACCCTGACGCTTACCGGTGCCAGAGTGACGACCAGCGCGCTTGGCAGCGAGCTTCTCGCGGTGACGGAAGAGCGAGTGCATGGTCTGGGGCTTCTTGATGATGAGACCATCCTTGACGAGCTTGCGGATGTTCTGGCCTATTGGAACACGGTTGGAAAAAAGTAAAGGGTGTATTGTGAGTTAATACAATGCCTCCAATGTCTTGAAAGTGCGTTGTGATTTGAAGAGGGTGTTGGTGGTTACGCCAGTTGGCGGTTGGTTGATTGGTGATAGTTGGTGGGATTTGAAAAGGTGCTGATATGTGCCCTGTTGATTGCGCCGGCGCTAGGGCCTCTCCCTCTGTCTGTCCCGTGAACACAAAAACTGCGGGCTGCGGGGGAAGCTGCAAAGGGAGATAGGCATCGCGCCAGTGTTTCCCATAATGTCCTGATAACCAAAATCTCGCCAGAGACAAACAAACAAAAGTCCAGGCTTCTCCTTTGGCTGGTTGAAGGAGGGGGGAAGTTGGGCGTATGTCGAACGAGAGGAGCAATAGAATGGCAGCATTCCATTCAAGTATGATGAGTTCAGTATCACACCAAATCTCGACAGGACCCTTGCTGCGGAAATTCAGTCACCCCGTGAACCCAACATTGCGCCTAGTCCGTCCGACTTGCTCTTCCTCCTGTATGCATGGTCTCCTGATAACAAGTAAAATGGTGGGTGTTGACGATGTCTGTCCATGTCGGTGGCGCCAGCAGGGATAAATATATGTGTGGGCGAGCGAGTGCTGCCGGTTTGGACAATTGGTCCCGGCATCCCTGGGCTCGCCCACCAAAGCACTCCTGACACTGACTACAAAACAGAGAAAAGGGGAGGGTCCCGCTAGGAGAGAGAGGGGTGAGGCATCCACAACTTACGAGAGTTGGCGTTGGCAATCTCAGTGACCTCGTTAGGGTCGAGCCAAATCTTGCGCTGTCCGCACTTCAAGACGGCGGCGGCCAAACGTTTCTGACTGTTCAAAGAAACCCTGTTGGTTAAACGAAAGAGAGAGAGAGTGGGTGTGACGGAAGGTCAGTCACGCTATTGTTGAAACTCTTTTCTTTTAGGCTGTTGGTTCCTTGTAGTTCTGTTGTAAATGAGAAGTATACCCAGGCGTCGAAGTGGTCGAAGGTGATTGCTGAAGCGGTGTCGAAGGACTTTTCGAAGGTCAAGAGGTCATGGGTTCTGGATGATGGGGTCCACTGGGAATCGGATGAAGTCGAATTCCCAGAATGTCAAATGTTGAATTCCCTCTATGAAGGGTGATGGATCAAAATAACGCCATGACCCTCACTTCTTTACGCTCCTGTTGATCCGAAAAACTCGAGTTGTTAATCCAAACTAGTTGATCGGCCATAATTCCTGTCTCCCTGTGCTTCCCGTTCAGTAGTGGTAGTTGCCCTCTCTCTCTTCCCGAATCTGGGTATTACATGTTGATTCAATAAAATTTGAGAAAAAGGATGAGCGAAAACTCACACCGGCCAAGAACTTCAAACAAGATTGAACATCACGTGCTCAGAATGACTACGTCACTCCTTGTGGGGGGGAGGGATGGAGAACTTCTCCTTGCCCCACGCGACACTTCACAACTGGGCGAAGGAAACAAAAAGAAAACATATGTCTTTATTGTTATCTCTTTCAATTGAACTGTAGCGGCAATAGCTACCCTTCAATCGTGGGCCATTCTGTGTCCAATTGCAATCATATCGGCCCTAGATGTGTGTGACCTGTCCCCCAAATAGGTCATCACTTATCTGTTGATAGTCAACGGCAAAAGTGTTGCTACCTTCACACCTCCACCTCGTCTACTTTTTGTAAGAGATTTAAATCGATAATCGAGCTGGAATGAAGCATGCCTCCCAAGGTAGGAGGGCAAAGACATGAACACCGAAGCAGAACAGACCGAGCACCTAATTCAAAGTTGCGGTTCGAGGGTAACGAGCTACTTTTGGTGAGAGCAAACTCAGCATCCGAAGGGACATTAAGGCGCTTCGTTCCTCGTTACCCTCATCCTCTTGTAAGGCAAGGCGATCAACCCCAGCAAACATGCAAGTGAACGAGTAATAGCAAGATACAAGCTCAATCACAAAGTGCAAATTGACCAAAGTAGAAGTAGAGAAGTAGAGATGAGCACGATGGAGAGAGCTAAATAAACAGTCACGAACACTGCGTTGCGATAAATTGGCCCAGCGGAGAATCGACACACCCTCTTTCATTTTTTTCATTATGGTAGCGCATCAAAAAATGAGGAGGGAAACCGCTACAGAGCCATGAAACCAACCATCCATCCGGACATCGTCAAACACCGATACTACCCAAATCCATCGATCACCTCAACAACCACTTACACCCCCGGAACACCACCAAACTACTCGCAAAAACACGCAGGATACTTTGGCCATGGAGAATTCATGCCCAAAATATCATTGCCGTCTGTTGCTCCCTCGGAGGGCTTGGGAGGCGTGATGAACTTGAACGGAAATACGCTTTGGCAGGATGGGGTACTCGCCTACGGGATGACAGAGATCAACTTGTCACTTCTACTACAACCCATCAGAACCCCAACACAACATCACTACGGGAAGACCTCTCTTTTTCAGTTCAAAGAAAAGATCAACTTCGCTAACTCTGGATTCCCCTACTCTCCCCATGTACTTCCGACAACCAACAGTCTCTCCTTGTTCCTGAGAAAGGCCAGTTCCAGCACATTCTTCGTGTCCTTAACACGAACGTGGAGGGCAAGACTAAGATCATGTTCGCCATGGTAAGGCAAACCCAACATCTTTTTTTTGGTTGTGGACTTGTGTGTTTTAGTCCTTGAGGCCGTTCTCTAACTTTTTATATTTATTCTTTATTTTTCCGAAACATAATAGACTAACATCAAGGGTGTCGGTCGTCGTTATGCCAACTTGGTCTGCAAGAAGGCTGATATCGACTTGAAGAAGAGGTGCGTGCTACTTTTTAGCATCTACGACTGCAGAGCTGGATACGCATTGAGAGTCAGAACAGTGGCGTGGCAGCGGTTAACAAGTGACGACAAACAACAGTGTCGACACACCAGCAACAGCTACAGCTATTGATCTAGCAGTTGTCGCTTTTCTTTACGAAGGCCGGAAGCATTGATACAGGAACATACTGCCACTTCCACTATCACTCCCACAAGACCTGATCCACTGGTCATCAGGAACCTATCTTCAATTTGTGCCAGAGACTCACAAGGCAACAGCACGAGAGTGCCTTCGACAACTGAACGCGACAGAAGAAAGGACTCTGGGGTCAGTCCGTATCGTTTTATGCCAAGGAGCAAATACTTTCAGACGACTCCTTCGTTCAACACCGCCGTCAACAACTGCTACTGCCAAACACCACATCGATACGACTTTGGAAATCAGTGATATATTTTCAATACGCAATCACACATTGGACCCAGGAATCCCCTTTTTCACGTTATCATGGACCAAGAGGTTGACCATCATTTCATTCCCCCTTTCCACCCCTCAAATAGAGCCGGTGAGCTTACCAACGAAGAGCTCGAGCGCCTCGTCACCATCATGCAGAACCCCACCCAGTACAAGGTTCCCCAGTGGTTCCTTAACAGACAGAAGAACTTCACTGATGGAAAGTACACCCAGCTTTTGGCTAACGGTCTCGACAACCAGATGCGTGAGGATTTGGAGCGTCTCAAGAAGATCCGTGCCCATCGTGGTCTCCGTCACTACTGGGGCGTCCGTGTCCGTGGTCAGCACACCAAGACCACTGGTCGTCGCGGTCGCGTCGTCGGTGTCTCCAAGAAGAAGTAAACTGTAAGTTCTTGTTTTTCATCCGTTGAACAAGTGAACCATTCATCCTTATCTTTTGTGGCGGTTAAGAATTACGTTTTAAAAATGATGCATCAAAACTTATCTACATTGTCCGAACCTACATGTGGACAACCTTCGTTTTCCTGATTTTATATTTCTTTTTCGCCACAAAGTGCCAGAAGTTTGGTTTCTGTTTTTTGTTCACTCTTCTTTTTTCAAGATGAAAAAGGCATTAACATCCAGATCCATTCCTCTCTCTCTCTCTCTCTCTCTCTATTTATCGATGATGATAATAGATCTAGCTCGATACTGTTTTCATCCTTGGGCATTCGTTGTATCGTCTTTTTCGAGAGAAATAAAAAAAATCAACGATTCAATACTACTATGACTATGCCCATTCTGTCCCAATTGCATCTAATCACTAGGTTTTTCGGTACCCCTTCCCCCCCCCTCGTCTCTGACCCTGTCTGGAATCTTCTTTCTCCGGAACTTGCAGACGAGAGATGTAGTACGAGAAACAATAGCTCGTGGTTCCTTCCCGTGGTCATTCTTATTGCGAATGCCCAAGCCCGAGTTCTGCGAACTGGACTTTTGCGTGTGTTGGCCTGGGAGTGAATGCGCGCGCACGCCCCTTGTTCAACGTGCTCGTGACAATGATCCCCCCCTCTTTTGTCCTCCCTTCATGTCCATCGTCGGCATCGATTTCTTTCTTGGTTCATGCCCTATATCCAATGCCTTACTGCCTGTCCTTTTCACTGCTTAGCGCTCCGGTCTTTGCCGGGTGAATAAGATGATGAATTGGTCCGAACCCTGGGGGGAATGGTAGGAGTGGGATTAGCGGTGACGGTGAGATCAGAGGGGTTAAGAAGGAGAAGGAACATCACTAGACTGCGGTGGGACTGGAAGGGGCGGAATGACATGCACAGAGGGAGAAAGGAGAGATGTGAAGGGAGGCGGCCCCTTTTTTTCTCTGTGAGCGCGTGTATGTTGTGGAATAGGCTTGGACATATAAACAAAGCAGGCCTTGGAAGAGATGCATGTATTCTTTCCTCTTTCTTTTCCTCATTCATTCACTCCAGTCTTCATTCTTGCTCGCCTCTCCAGTTCATTTAACCTCCACAGCTCTCCACCTCACTTTTTTTTTGCTCCAAACCCAGACAAGGAGTCTCTTTGCCACCAAACTTGGAACACAATTTTTTTGTAACGCTCTCTCTGGGCACAGCACAGGACGAGACAGCAACCCAGAAACCTACCCAGTCACACACTCAACTTTACTCAAGTGAGCAATGAACAGTGAAAACGGAGAACAAGACATCAAGTCGATGGCAACAAGCGAGGCAGTGGAACAGGGCGAACAGGGCGTGCTCCTGCTATCGTCGTGGTCAACCTTGGTCGATGACACCAGCAACGACAATAAACCCCTTCTTGAGGCAAAGAGCCAAGTCGAGTCTTCTTCTACAACTACACCGGCAATAGACACTTCTTTGTCCCTTTCCTTTGCTCCTTCCTCGACAGCGAGTACGACAACTATGACTCCCTCCTCTACATCTGCACCCATACACCTCCCTTTACCCGGACAGTCACCTTCAACGCCAGCCACGGAAGCACGCTCAGTCGCGAGTCCTTCTGTTTCTTGTCCTTTGCCACTCCCACCCTCACCATCATTGCCACCCTCAACTACAACTGCAACCACGACTGCTTCTCTATTGCTCTCCTCGTCTTTGACTCTTCCTTCTTTTCCTTCTTCTTCTTCCTCTTCCCCCTCTTCCCCCTCTTCTCCCACTTCCCCTCCCCCTCTTCCCCATTCTCATTCTCATTCGCTTCCTTCCCTTTTTCCTTCATTGACATTACCTCTTCTTCCTTCTTCTTCGATATCGTCCTTGTCGCTGTCAACTCATTCGTCCCCACCAGTACCTGCGAGTAGTGTTGCTGCATCACCCAACGACATCGCTCCTACTGCTGCTGCCCCTCCTGCTGCAAAGACTGCGCCAGAACAACAAGACGAATCGACGACGACACACGACAGCAACAACATTAGCTTACTACTAGTTGTACCCTTCGATACCAAAGAGACTCACCCTCGCTCCCGACAACCACTCTCACCAGAACAAGAACAAGTGCAGGAAGAGCTTCATCATCCTACTCCTCTGTCCCTTCTTTCTCCCACTGCTGCAGCCCCTCGTGCGAATACTATCAATAATAAGGGTCCATATCAACAACAAGAACGGCAAGAACGGCAAGAACAAGGACAAAGACAAGGACAAAGACGACTGCTATCACCTGCTGACAATTCCGGTCTGACCCTTTCCCTTGCTTTCAGACGACAGACAGCTCCCTTCCTCTTCGGTCTTGGCCCTCTTTCGCTTTCTTTTCTCTTTCCCTTCCGACTGGTTGTCATCGCCTCCCCGCCAAGTACCACTACAACGGAAAAGGATCACCCTACTAGTCTCCTCAGCCATTATTGTTGCCCCATAGACCTCTTCTTCATCCCCTTCAACCCTACCTGTTGCTGTCACCACTCCTCCTCCACCTACACTACCTGTAGGAGTCGTGGCTCGTTACCGTTCCTTCTCCAGCGAGCACTTCTCTCCCACCTCCAGTCCTGGTCACTTCAGAGTCTCTTTGTGGCTTACTCTCTCCCGCTCCTCGTTTGTCTGACCCCAGGTCTCGTTCTCCCCCTGAGTATCTTTCAGATCCTCAGCCTGATCGCCTCGTCTTCTCCCTCTTCTTCCAATCGTCCACAATCCTCTTCTTTTTCTTCCTCCTCTCCCGAGAAGACATCAAGAATCGCAACCAACAACAACAACCTCATCAAAAACACCACTTCATCAACAATATCAAAACCATCATCACCTTCGTTTCTATTCTCCTTCTTTTCATCCTCTCCTTCCTCTCCTTCTACTCCAGCAAGCACACGTCGTCGACACTTTAGAAGCAACTCTACTTCGACCCATACCCAAACAACAGTAACAACGACAACAAGACAGACGACCATGTCATCATCATCCTCTTCATCATCGTCATCCAATGTGACTGGGGGCTCGTCCTCCAGCTTCAGAGTCGCCTTCCCTCTTCCTCGTCCTCCTCCTCTCCCACTACCACCACAACAACAAGCGCCCTGGAGCCTGGCCTCGTCTTCATCCGCCTCGTCATCCTCCTCAACATCAACTATTACAGCAGCAGCTAGAACACAGACACAGGCATCCCCTCATCGATCCCATTTCAACCAACATGCTGTTGTTCCACCACAACAGACACAGACACAGCAGCAGCAACAGCTCCAATTCCGCCAACCCTTGCCAGGACACATCAACAGCGCCGAGCCAACCATGGACTATGGCAGCGAACAGCAATACCACGAACAACATCACAACCACAAACACAGCCATGAGCACGAGCATGATCACGAATACGACCACGGCAGCGACGACGAATCAGAGGGCGACGCAATGTCGAATGAAATGGAGTACTATCTCCTGCGATGCTCGATCTGCTTTGACTCCCGGCTGGACTTTTGCCTGGAGATGTGCCGAGACCAGTTCTGCAGAGATTGCTTCCAAAAGTAAGTACCAGCCCTTCTTCATGGATGCACAACACTAGTCAACTTTAACCAACAAAAATGGTGAACCATGTTGTATGAATTGCAGGTCATTTGATATCGGGTGTCTGATTGGACCGGGCTTAAATGCTCTTCTCACCCCCTTCCTCATCACATACCAAACAAACCGGGAAAAAAAACCAGTTCGTACGACGCGCAGATATACCTTTTTATTACACAACCACGCAGCAGAGCACCTATCCAAACAACAACACATGGACATATTCCGAAATCTGTTACTGACACAGCATTTGTTATCGTACCTGCGTATCCTGCAAAAATAGATACGTCAAAGAGGTCGTCAGCAACTCCTGGGGACTAGACGTTACAAAGATCAAGTGCCCTGTCTGCCAAGATCCCCTCCCTCTCGCGGAATGGTCCAAGGTATAAAAACTACTCGAATCTCTTCCTTCTCCTCTACAAAAAAAATTAGCCGCATGTCACTTGCCCTCGGGATCAATACCGTCACTCTTGTCGCTTGTGTTAACCTACCCTTTACTCTTCTTCGTTTCAACTCTCATTAGTATGTGGACCAGGCAACGCTCGCTCAATATCAGCAGTACAACCAGCCGTATCGCTCATTCTCACGCTTCTGCAACGGATGCGACAACGAGGTCGCCATTTCCGGTGTCAAGCAATCGATTCTGGGTCTGCCTTCACAAGATTTACTGCCTTTGTTCGAAGCTCTCCTGAAGCAGCTGAAGTCGCTCTTGTTCTTGGGAGGTCTGAATCCCGAGGCATCCTCGACAACGTCGTCCGCGTCTACGATATTTTCGTCAATGGATGGATGCAAGCGACACAAGCTTAGCGGCACTGGACTCTCGAAGCGCGATATCCGAGCACAGGGACTCGTCCAGCAATTCATCAAGGACTATCGATCTATGTGCGGTACTCCTCAAGGCAACGCAGTCACAATTCCTTCAATGGCCCAGTCGTACTTTTCAAGTCTGGCCATGCGCGCTCTGGGAGGAGGATCTGCGCCACTGGTACCGGCACCGCCTCCAGCTAACCCTGGCCAACACTCGAACGATCGGATGATTCAGTCAGGAGGCCACGAAGCGCCAAGAGGAGGTCACTCAGTCGGCTTTCAGCAGCATCTCGGTGCGCGCCCAGCTCACCCTCATCTAGATTTGGCCTACAGATCCGTCCCGAGCTCATTGTTCCAACGGAAACAGCAGCAGCCTGTTACGGCAACTGGCGTTCTGGAGATGTACAAGGATTTGATGGTGTCGTTGATCGAGCTGTTTGACCTGAAATTTCCAGAGCAGAACGACAGGGTCGAGGCGGTGCCTCGAACCGACGCCATGGACGAATCGGAAGCGTATGGCCATCTGGGCACCTCCACTGCAGTTACAAGAATGTCCGAATCTGGCAAAGTCGCCGGCACGGATCTCTGCGGCGGAGTCACGATCGAGACTGTCAGGATACCGAAACGGACGATCGCCGACCGCTCCAAGATTGTTACTCGTGCAGAGAGCAAACGTCAACTGGAGGTGAAGAAGGCTTTGGTACGCTTTAGCAAGGACTTGCTGAGTCTGGAGGTTCGGCCTGAGCAGTGGAAAGAACTCCAGTTCTTGCATGTGCGCTGGTGTCGTTGGGACTGGTGGTAAGTATTGCTCTCGTGCTGTTATTGTCAATGACGTCAGTGGTTGGTCCGTGCACTAATTTAAAAGCATTCGCTTCTTTAATCGATATGGTAGCAACTACTGCGATCTGGAATTGTGTTTGCAGTGTGGAGTATCGAGCCACCACGAGTCAGAGACATGCTTTGAGCACATGAGATCAGTCATTACGACCAACACACCCACGCCCCGACGAAGTCGGACTAGCAAGGTCGAGAGCTGCTCACAGTTCGGCTCGATGGGATACAAGGGCAAGGAGCGATCGGACTTGGATACAGGGACGATGCAATGGAAGCTGGCCAATACGAACCCGTGCCCCAACTGCTGCATTCTGATTCACCGAGACGATGGATGCAACAAGATGGATTGTATGCTGTGTGGACATCGCTTCTGTTGGGTGTGTCGGGAAGCGTGGGATGTTGGGTGCGGCTTTTTTAGATGTCGCCAGGATGCTGAGGAGCCTGCTGGAGAGAAGGAGTCGGATGAACAGTGGGAGAAGCATCCTAACGAATGGGAGGACAATGGTGTCCAGGCTGCGGATCAGGTTGAGACGTTAGCCATTGCTATGGAAGGAGAGCTGCCACATACTGGACAGGGACAGGCTGATGCCGGGACTATGCGCCATGGCCACCGAAGACGTCGATCCGACGACCTCTCCGCTGCCATCTCCGAGAAGGTATGCTTTGTAAGCTGCTGTTGAAGGGAGAGATATTTTCTTTCGGTGCGAAAATTGGTGGCTAACTGGTTATCTACTTTTCTGATGAATACATAGCCCGAGATTGGGGTGCCCAATGTGTTCATGATCCAAGCTAAGCGATCGCGAGCATAAAGGACGGAGGATGCGTCTACGACGGACTTGAGGCTTGAAATGATTTTGATCGATTGCTTGACAACCCTTGAATCCATTGCTATTTTTCATTTGCTGTGTCAACTTAGACCTTTCTTTCCTTTCCTTTCCTTTCCTTTCCTTTCCTTTCCTTTCCTTGTTTTCTATCCTTTGCTTGTTTTGCCTGTTGTATATAAAAAACTTTTTGCATACGCGCTCTTGAAAACACAATACTCCTTTTTTTACACTGACCTTGGCCCAGGCAAAAGACAAGAGACGGCTGGGTAGTTATGAAACTTAAAAAAGGCAACTTTTCTCCTCGCCCTAATAATCAAACATCATCGCGCTTTTCTTGCTCTCATGTCTGTCCACTCGCTTAGTATCCCCTTCTCAATGACAGTCACGTAAACAAGGATCGAGTTGATCTCCACCAGAAACTCGTTCATTCCATTCCATTAACCATTCTTTCTTCCTTCCGACCAGTACATGGCCATATTCCACATGGACGTTGCAGATAATACCGTAGCACTAGTGACGAAGCATTGTGGGTTGCAGTTGGAGATGTACCAAAAGTGCGTGACCCAGAACCCGGCGAACTGGGACATCAAGTGCATCACCCAGAAGCGCGCCCTTGCCAAGTGCTCCGAGGACAAGTACGTTTATCTTTCATTGTATTTTTTGTTGTTTGTTTGAGTTGGAGTGCGCTTGTTGTTTGTTTGAGTTGGAGTGCGCTTGCAGTTTGATTGAGTTAGAGTGCGCTTGCAGTTTGATTGAGTTGGAGAGCGTTTGTTATTTGTTTGTTCTGTGTTTTTGTTATGAGTGTAGTAGTACCGAGGGTATTTATTGCGTCGACAAAGTCATTGAAGGCGATAGGTGATAAGGACGAAGAAAGGAGAAGAAGAACGACACCGTAGAAAACAAACAATTTCCTTATTTGTCATATCATCGATCATCGTTGTCGTTACCGTACACAAACGGCAAATATTCTCCTATTGGCCCTTGATCCCCTCCAAGTGGCCCATCTCCCCCTTCTCTCCCCTTCCTCCTAATCCTCTGCGGAAAAAATTCCAACCCTCACCTTTAATCTTACACCTTTTTAAATAAATAGCGTGCCGATAATCAAGCATGTCAAGGAGATGTGCGACCCATTCATCAAGGACTATGACGCATGTGTGATGAAGAACCAGCAGGACCCCACGATTTGTATGGATTCGCTGAAGAGGCTTTTTCATTGCACGGAGGAGCATGGCAAGTTGCCCCCGAGTGGGCCTCCTAGGGTTGTCAAAGGGGAGGGGGATAAGCCTGCGGCTACTGGGTATGGGTACCGTGGTGGCGTTTGAGCGCGTTGGACAGGAGCGGGAACAGGATATTTTGTATTATTAAAAGACAGCGTCAAGCGTACTTTGAACAGCAGGAAGGAATGTTTTTGAGGGGCTGCATGCGAGATTAGGGTTACACAGTATGTTGTTCGTGGGAGAACAACAACTAGTTGCAGTAGCAAGGTTGTGTGCTTGTCAAAGAAAAAGAGGACTGCAAAAGGATTGCTGGATCGATGATTGATTGTTTTAAATAATTCGTCCACCCTTTTATGTTATTTACTTTTGTTGTATTTTTGTGTCACCTCCGCCCTTCCTCCTTCTTTTCTTCTCTCTTCACCCTCACCCTCACCCTGACCTTCACTCTCACTCTCGCTCGCTCGCTCAACGTCCTTCTCTCCGCTTGCCTTTACACTCAACACCTCTCTCTACTCACTCAGAACACCCATTTACTCCCCACCCACCCTCTCTCAACACACACGCATCTCTCCTCGTCGACAGCAACCCCAACAGGTGCCGTGGACATTCTCATTTGCTTCCCTCACCCACCTCACTCAACACACACACCACACCCGCACCAGCCGCACTCGCGCAGTAGATAAGACCCTGTATGTCACTCTCCATCCCATCCCTTGTTCTCGACACTTAAAACGACGCGCTGTTTTCGGACTCGCGCCACCAAAAACACTGTTTTTCTTTCTTTGTCCCTGACCACAAAATCTGGTTGTCCATGGTTACCCTTGGTTCACTCTGTCGTTGTTGCTCCCTTCACATATCTTTTCCATTCTTTCCTTCTCCGCCAACCCTGCTCGCGCGCGTTTGTATCCCTCCTTCCATCGATCCATCACGAGGTATAGGAGTCAGTCTCCGAGAAGAAAAACCGCTGAGGGGACTGATGGGAATCAAATAATTTTCCAAAAATTATGCTGTTCTGAGCAGAAAGAGGGAGGCATACAAAAAAGAACGGAGGGGCAGGGACAGCTTAACTCAACCCACCCTCTTCTTTCGTTCTCTTTCTCTTTGCCACACCCAACTTTGCTCTCTCTTTTTGTACTTTCTATCCACTTCGACCTTATATTGAATTAAGCACGTATGCCAAGTAAGACGACACAGGAAAGAGGGTTGTTTCTTTTATAAGCTCGAGGAAGGGAAAGGAGAGGGAATCGGATGCCTGGTGTTTGCTTGTTTCACCTTAGAAACCGGCCCTGATAGGTGACTTCATCATAGGCGAGGGGGGGGGAAGACAAGAAAGAGAAGAGCAGTATTGGGCTATGTGGCCAACTCTCCCGCGCTTGCACATGCACGCAAACAGCACAAACTCCATGGATAGGGCGTTGGAAGGAGAAGGGGTTCCCAGGAATCGCGTTTTTTTGCAATGATCTGGGCGTGGGTTGATTGGCTGTCGATTTTGCGCCAGCTTCTTTCGTCGTTCAAGTAGCGTCTTTTTATTCATTCGCTTTGTTTAGTATAGAATCGGTCACAATATCGCCAGTGTAATAGAGAGAGAAGCAGCAAGTTCCCACGACTGCGTCTCCACCTCCCCGATGCCTATAAGCTTATCTCTTCTTTTCTCTTTATTGTCTTTATTGGAAAAGGGATGGCATCATAACGCCAACGCCAAGACTCCTAATAAGCGGAAGAAAAGGAAGAAGGTCACTTCCGAGATAGTCCAGTGGACAAGTGACCAAAAGAAAGAAAAGCAAGGGGGGCGGGCGTTGGTACGGACAAGGGTACACGCAAAGGGGGAGAGAGAATCAGAGTGAGAGAGAAATCCGTTGGCTATTGTTGTTGTCAAGTGACAGTGGTGGCAAAAAAGAAGGGGACAGAGATACAGACAGAGAGAGAGAGACGAATGGTTGTAGCTATCGGGGTCACTTTTGGTTTTTTATGTGTTGGTCTGCCTGTCTTGTCATTCTTCCCCGTCATGGTCTCTCTCTTTTCTCTTACCTTGCAGGCCATTACCAACATTGACGCCTACCCGTTGGTTCATAAACAGGTCCTTCGATTACTATTGTTGTTTGTTGGTGCGCCATTTTAATGAATGGTTGTTGGTTTGCTGGTCACTGAAAAAATGAAAAAAATGAAAAAATATGGACAGGATCATCGAGGCGCGGTAGTGCATTATTAACCTTCTCTCTCCCCTTTCTTTTTTTTTTTTTTGCATTTGACTTTGCATTTGACTTTGCATTTGCATTTTGTTTGGCTTGCCGACTTGCCGAGGGACAGAGAGAGAGAGAGAGAGAGAGATGTCATCATCCTTTTGGCTTGTCCAACGACCTTCTCCCTTTATCCTTCTTCTCCCACACTCACTTACTCTCTCATCCCTGACTTTTATCCACGCCTTTGTATTGGTTCCCATTCTCATTTGTCCGTTGCCTCGGCCTTTGCTTTTGTTTTTTGTTATAATAGATGCCGAGGTGCATCGATAATCCCCCTTCCTTCACTCAAACGACTCTCCATCCTTCCTTTCATCAAATACATAATCACTCCTCCCCTCTCAACAACAAACAACCAAGAAAACACACACGAATGGCTCAACAACATCACCATCAGCCACTACCCCCACACCCTTCTTCACAATCGCAAGACAGCTACTTTGTCTCCTCTCATTCCCCTTCCTCAAACACACGAGTCACCACCATGTCTTCCTCCCGACAAGAATACGTCTACAAGGAAAGGGAGTCAACCTTCCATCTCTTTGACCCTCGCCAAGGTCCCCCAAGGAATATTCGAAGCGATACTCGACCAGAATATCATCCACCAGAGTATGTGCTCAACAATTGATTGATTTTGTTTGATGCAAACAGTTCATTTTTGCAAGGCTTGCTGCCATATGTATCTGACTCTTCCTCCTCTTTTCGTTCTTATCCAAATAGACCATGGTACGGCGGCATGCTTCTGGAGAACCCTACCCCTCCAAAGACCCAGTCAGTCAACATGAGGGAGCCAACAGACTACGAGATCCGGTCAGCGCGGCTCCAGTCGCAGTCGTTCCAAGTCAACAGTTGCGGCCAAACTTCCAGCAAGAGGAAACGAGAGGAGCACTACGTCCCTCCAAAGACCCAGTCAGCCAGCATGATGGAGCCAACGGACTACGAGATCCAGTCAGCGCGGCTCCAGTCGCAGTCGTTCCAAGACAACAGCTGCGGCCAACCTTCCAACAAGAGGAAACGAGAGGAGCACTACGGCCCACCTCCGCCACCACCGTCCTTCAATGGCAATCCACCATCCGATCGTCTCGCACTCTCAGCACCCGTCAGGATCCCTTCGCTCAGAAAGCCGGTCAACAGTATCTCGACTGCTCCTTCTTCTTCAAGCAACAGCATTAATAACGACAAGCCTCCGCCAGCGCTATTGATTTTGGACGCCGACCTGTGGGCCCAGTTCCATGAGCAGCACAATGAAATGATCATTACAAAGTCTGGTCGCTGCCTTTTCCCTTGCCTCCGGTTCAAGATCCTTGACCTCGACCCGGATTCGTACTACTCGATGCGGATCGACTTTGAGACGCTGACGCCAGATCGGTTCCGTTTCTACAACGGAGGATGGAAGCCGGCGGAGCCTCTGCGACATGTCGACGACAACTTTTCTTCAGGAAGCCATGGTTCTCGCGGTTCTACTGGTCATTCTACCGCCACCACGTCGGGTCATTTGCGCAAGTCCTATACCCATCCAGACCGGTGGCAGCTTGGCAGTCATTGGATGGCCGACCCGATCTCGTTCGCCAAAGTCAAGCTCACAAACAAGGTCGAGCCTCCACCTATTGTCTCAAAGAGGTCTTCCAAACAGAGAACCAACTCTACTACCAGCATCAACAACAGCAACAATGGTGACCCATATGCAGAACTGACCGGAATCAACGACATCAACACGAACGTGTTTCATATGACCTCGTTTCACAAGTACTGCCCCAGGATCTATCTCATGCAGCGCGCCAAGGGCTCGCACGACATCATCAACTCGATCGTTTACCGATTCGACAGAACAGAGTTCATGGCGGTCACTCATTACCAGAACTACAAGGTGAACGACTTAAAAAAGTCTCATAACCCGCACGCCAAGGGTTTTCGAGGAACAATCGGCAGGGTCCTACCACCTGTCAAGTTCCAAGCCGGACAACACTATCGAGGAGAGCTGGACAAGCTCTCTTCCTTGGCCAACCCTGCGTCGAGACCCAATAAGCGCGGCCGTTCAAGTTGGCGATCGGATGAGAGTGATTTTGATGATGAGATGGATGGCGATTTTGACCCTGACAGAGAGGAGGCGGATATGATGGAGTCTGAGGTCATGGATTCAGTCGGGGCGAGGACGATTGGAACTCGGTCTGGCTTAAATTCGGCTGCTGTCGCTGTGTCTATGACAAGAGTGCCCGAGGGAAACACCAGCCCGACCTGCCGACTGGACAAGGATAACGACGCGCTTGTCACCATTTCTCTTGGCAACGATAGCCAAGAGGACGCCAAGGTCTCGGAGCGGACGACGCGACAATACTTTGACCAGAATGCGCCCCTGAACAGAGATACCGCGGTCGGTATTCCCGGTTTCCACTCTCGCTCGACCTCCAGTGAGGCTACTTCGATGGGCCAGCAGTTCCTCCCTCTGGAGCAGAACACTCCTGGTGGCAGTCTCGTGCGATCATCGAGGCATTTCAACGTAATCAATCAGCAACAGCAGCATGCGAATCACCATCACCATCAGCACCAGCATCAACAGCAGCCACAACGGCAGTCCTCCTTAATATCTTCACGTGGTGGTGGACATAACAACAAGAAGGGTGAGCAGAGGAGTTCACCTCTTCAACCACTCTTCCTCGATAGAGCCCCTACCGTTAGAATGGACCGAGACCCTACACACCTCAGCGACTCTACCAGAATCGCCCTTTCAATGACCAGACCTCCTCCGCCCCACATCTCCTCGATGCCCAACGGCAACATCATTGATGATGATGACAACAACGCAGACTTGCCCCGAATCGACCAGTGCACCCCTTCGATCTCTCTGGGACCCCTCGAGGACAACCTCATGTCGGACCAAACTCCTCTCCAGGTTCCTTCGGCCGAGCTCGAGTGCTCCGCATTGGTTGTTGCTGAATCTTCGACTGCCCCGGCGTTGAACACGGCCCCGGCTCCTCCGTCACTGTCGTGGTACCAGCAGTTTCTTTGGGATCAGAATACCACGAACCTTACTCAGGACCCTGCGCCTGCCGCAACATCAGCTGCCAGCACCACTCTCGCCGACGATGTTGATGGACCTGGCCTACCACTCGCTTTCCAGCAGCTTGCGGCGATGAACTCGGCAACCGCAGCAGCTAAAAATTCTTCTACAGTCGGTCTGGCACCTTGTTCTACTCCGAACCTGCATGGAGTTTCGTCGGTGCAGTTCCCAACTAGAGCATTTGACTATGACTACGGATACGCCAACGGTGTTGTCCCAACCATGTCTGCCTTTGGATCAGGAACTTCGACACCCTCCTTGGCCATCGCATGTTCTTCTCACTCTAACCTTTCATCCTTCACATCCGGTGGCAGATCAGGGACCGACCCAAGGAACATGTCTGGTCCTTACGGCTACGGTCCTGCTGGCGGTAGCAACAACGGTTCAGGCGGCTCTTCTGGCAGTGGAGGGTTCCATCCTGACCCTCGCATGTCGACCTCATCTGTCATTTCCATCCTGCCTGTCACTGGAAGTACCGCGACGGCTGTTGAGGATCCTCAGAAGGCCAGTATCGACCGTCTTGTCCGCGAGAACCTCCGTCTCAAAGCGTTTATCCGCGAACGCTATGGTTAGTACTTGTTTGACTTTTTTTTTTTGGTCGTGATTGTCTTTTTCTCTGTGTGTGGTTACTGAGATCCCTGTTGTCTTTTTTTCTGCCGTGTCGTATGTAGGTGTTGAGGCTGAGTCTGAGGCGAACGCCGTTGTGGCTATGGAGTACTACCAGTGAGAGGGATACGCACCCGTGGTGACAGCAATCGACAACGCACAAAAAAAAATCAAAAAACCAACAAACAACATGTTTTCGATGAGCAACATCAAAAACTAACAAACACATAAAAAAGATAACACCGCCGTGAACATCACCAAACACTGGGAAAAAAAAGTAATGGCAACAATCGACACTCTTTTGAGACGCGTTGCAACATATCTTTTCTCTACCCTTCATTCGTTTCTTTCTGCATTGTCACCATTTCTTCTTTGCTCCTACCGAACCCGCCGTTTTTTAAGGCAGTTCGTGTTTCATTCCTATTTTTCCAACCTCAGGGATCAGAAGAGAATCGTTGTTCTTTGACGATATGCAACGCAAACGCCTTGTTCGTTTATTTAGTGTAGTCTTTCCCCCTGTCGTCGTTTGCATAAAAATAAACTTAACGGGGTCGACAAAGGGGTCATTGGCTGTGTTATGAATTGTTGGTCTTTGATGAGAATTTTTTTTTCTTGGCCACAGGCACTTTCACCCCTTTTCCCATTTTTTTAGAAGCTGATATATAATATATGGGAGAAGGAATAAAAACAAGAAGGGTCTGTTTATTCAGCGCTATGGAGCAACCAAGGCACTTTAAACACTAGTTGTCGTTTGCTGCGTTTCGCTGGCAATCGAGTCCACCGTCTCTTTTTCTTGAGGCGCTTTGATAGCCAAGCTTGGCTGAGGCGACGGTAGGAAGGTTCCCTTGTCCTCTACGAGAGGCAAAAACGCGACCTGTGGGCGATGGCAGTACTGTCGGGACTCCATTTTCCGCATGAGCCATGCCGGGATTCGCTTGATAATGGCCCGCGTGATCTTTGACGACATCGACTTTTTGCGCATAGAAAAAAAAAATAGGGATGAAAGGAGGAATATTAACATGAATGAAGATGATTTCTAAGAAGTAGCAACCAAAAAAAAAAAAAAAAAAAAAAAGGAGCGAAGATAGCATTCAGTTGGGTACCTGTCCGACAATGTTACGCAACAGCTTGCTGTTCTCAAAAGCTGCATTGACCCATCCAACTCGCTCGTTCTGGTACTCCTTGAAAGCAGCCTCGATTTCATCGGCGATGGGATGGAATGGGAGGCCGTTGATGCGGTTTGCTAATGCAATGGCATCGTGCATAGCATTCGATGCGCCAGCACCGCCGGAAGGACTCATCTAGAAAGGAAGTAGAAAAAAATACAAAAGAAGGAATTGGTAAGTACGTGGGTTACCTATGTGAGTGTGCGTCCTTGTCTCCTTTCTGATTAACAATATATTCCTGTACCTTGTGGCACGCTACACAATGGTAAAAAGAATAGAAATAGGAATAATAAAGCTGATTGTCAGTGACATTGCAGGAATGCAACCCTTGTTCAATGTAGTGTTCAATGTAGCCTTCAATGTAGCGCGATTGCTTCGCTAAAAGTCATGTCACCATACCATCGCCGATGAGTACTGATCGGCAGCTGTACCAAGTCTTGAAGACTTTCTCTTCCAACATGACCTTGGAGATAAGATCCTTGTCAGACCATTCGAACAAGTCTCCCAAAGTGAGCTTCTTGTCACCTCCACTGACTACAGGGAAATCCTTGACCTCCTTACACATTGCCATCGCAGCCTCAGGTCCCCACTCCGAATTACGGAATGAATCATTGTCCTTGCTTGTATTTTCGTCGAGGTATAACACAGCACCCCAACACACGGTATTTTGGGCGGTGGTGAATGTATCCCACTAAGAAAATGATGAAGGTATGAGCAAGTTAGCATGTTGGAGCTCCAAAAGCACCAAGAAAGTCATTCGTATGCCGGCATTCGCGCATTTTCATATACTTACAGAATACATCTTGTCTGCGCCCATAACCCGAGAGAATACAGACTCCTCTCTCCCAAGATCTGGGAACTGTTCGGGGGTGAGAGGACGAGTCTGGCCGACAATGCAGACAGTGCTGAAGGGGAGGGGCAAAGCGTCGGTCGCCGGCAACTTGCTTTCCTTCTTCAGCTTTGCATAGAGGTTCTGACGAACAGCACTGTAGGCGCCGTCAGCTCCGACAAGAATGTCTCCCTCAGCCTCGGTTCCATCGCTAAATCGAACGAGGACCCCGTTGCCGCCTTGTTCCATGGTAAGGACCTTTTTGTTCATGTGGATACGTTCGGTAGGGATCTGGCGCAAAATCAGGTCATACAACTTAGGACGGGCGACAATGTATCCCTTGGCGCCAAATCTAACAAGTAGGCCCAAAGACCTGTTAGTTCTTTCATTCTGTGAAAGGATTTTTTTTGGACAATGCACCATATGCTCAAAAGAGATTAATACACAATCTGTGTTATGCTTACTCTTCCTCATGCCCTGAAAAACTCAATTTGAAGGCGACTTTTCGATCCTCGGTGCACATGTCGATTTTAGAGAGGTATTTCCCGATAGAGAGGAACTCATCGTAGATTCCACATTGCTTGAACAAAGGGGCGGTGGTGCTGTTGAAGAACATTGCCGATCCTAAGCGATTCAAATAAACAGAGAGAGAGAGAGAGAGAGAGAGAGGGAGTTAGTCTCTACGTACTGATACACCCTTCTGCAAAAAGAAAATCAATTAAAGTCATCAGTGACGATTGATCAGCGGTCAGGAACGGATTAAGACTTTGGCCAATGGACACCATACCAAGGGGCTTGACCACAGCGGCACGCTCGTAGATCTCGAAAGGGATATTGGCCTTGTGCAGAAGCATGCCCAAGGTCAGACCTCCGAGACCAGCTCCAACAATGAGAACCTTGGGTCGCTTTGCATACATAATAGAGCGGTCGTGCTTGAAGGTGACGGCGGGGTTGATCTCCATGGTTATGTTCTGTGTAGTGATGTGTGAATGTCGTGATGTCGGAATGAGAGACAAGTAGTGAAGGTCGGGAAGAAAGGAATAGGGGAGATGAGGAAGAAGAAGAAAAGTAGATGAGCAAGCGAGGGATGCAAGAGAAAAGAGATGAGGGCGTAGAGTGGCAATAACATGGCTCACCATTTGTTTACTGTTGTGCAACCATGATACTCTGTGCCTTGCAGGAACAATAGGTGAATACACATGGCCATGAAGAGAGTGATGGTAAGAGGGCGAGATAGACAGGGACAAGCACATGAATCAGCGGGCAGAGAGTGAGAGAAAAAGGCCATAAGGGTGTAGTATAGGCCATTGGGGGTAAGCTGTTATGCATGTATCCATCGGCATCCCGACCAAGAGGTCCGCTCCGTCAAGGTCCTCCACCACCAGGAAGTGCCCATCAAACTTGGTCGCTCCGATCTTCAGTCCAGCGACGATCTGGCGAATTTCGTTTGTGGCAGCAGACATGAGGATCGGAGCAATGGGAGTAGGGGAATGGTTAAAGATAGAGCTGGTGCGCGTGAAAACAATGGATAAACAGAAACAGAGAGGAGGGAAAAAAATGCCAGATCAAAGCAGAAGGGAAGAGGTCGTGGGCGGAGGTGCCTCTCTCGCCCTCTTCGTACTTGTATTGGAACCTGGTGAGAGTCTCTCATCCACCTTCTTGATGTGCGCAAACAGCACCCGTTGTTGCTGGGCGTAAAACGCCAACTGCCGTTGTTGGAAGGGGATCAGCGAAGTCTTAGGGACCGTTGGCCTATCGTTCGAGGTTGGGGCGGGCGACGGGGCCTGTGCCAACGACGAGGCTGGCACAGGCTAGGAGGATTCCAAACCTAGGGACGGGAACTGCGGGGCTTGCGAATAGCAAGTTATCTTGTCGGCGTTGTTCTCAAGACTCTGGTATTTTTCAAAAATACCCAAGCTACGCCCTCTGTAACTTGAAGGCCTTTTCTGCCCACCCACACACACACAGTCTCTGCACAAACATGTACACACACTCTCCCTCTCTCTCTCTCTCTCTCTCTCTCCCTCTCTCTCTCTCTCTCTCCCTCTCTCTCTCTCCTCTCTTAGCACTCGCCCTCCTACCACATTCCAGGCACAGATCGACAACGGCGCTCGTAGCACCTATCTCTTGTGCAATAAACGGGATCTCTTTATCCACGACACCCTGTTTCATATTCCTCTTGTCTTCGCTTGGCTTTTTGTCCCCACTATTTCTATTACGATTTCTCTCGCGACATCAAATGCGGCAGTCGTGAGATAGAGTGTCCTAGCAACGACAATAGTTTATTTGCTGTATATGTGTCTCTTACTTCGGTATCCCTCGACTCTGTTGGCCTTCTTCCCACCGCCTTCTTGTTCTATCTTCTGGTTTTGCTTGATCTTAAGGATCGTAGCCTGAAGACGACTGCAAATGAGCTGTTAGTCCTTAGGCTTCAGAAGCATGATGACATTGACCGCCTTTTTAAGCTCTTCCCTCATACCGTTGACATCCTCCAAAGTGAATATCTTGAGTGCAGGCCTGGCCACTCTTCCAGCTGTCTCCGGTGGAACAAAGCCGGGGTTCTATCCGACGTGCCTCTGTCGGTTGTCGAATTCCAAGTGCTTCAGGTCCATCTTGACCAACGCAAGGTGATGACATTCGATCCCAGGCTGGAAGACAGTAGGACAACTACACTTAGAGATCGTGCCACGCTCATATTCGACGTTCATTCTGTAAAAAACTTTCCTTCAGTTGGCCGTTCTCTTGGACTAGGATCGGATCTTGACGGTCGAATATCCTTCATACTTGATACGCTCTTACTTGTTGTCGGACATCTCCTTTGCGGCATGCTCCTTTGCTACATTGATTAACTCGACCGTCTTCCTACTTCCTGAGAACATACGTCCTGCTCCTGAATCGCTGGTGACGCACTTGAGTTCGTAGGAAGGTAGAACTTGGCGATACAAGGTGTAAATAGCACTGTCTGCATACCGAGCCAGCTGTTAGCATTATAGTACCTCTTGATCTGATTATGGTAGGACTCGATACGATTGTTGGTATTCATACGTCCATATGTGATATCCTTCCTGTAAGCGAACATTCATCTCCGCTTCATGCCAACGGTAAATTGTACACATCTCAAAAATCCTTAAGCTCATCTCAAAACGCAATGTGCCCTTAGAATGACACTTCTTGCACACTAAACGTTGCTTGTGCTCCTGAAAACGCTCTTTCAAGTCTTCATTGGGAGCGAAAAAGGGTTTCGAGGAAGGCATAATGGGGAGTACTTGATTTATAGTGGATGGTGGGAACGAGAGAAAGAATGAAATACCACTTTTGTACGTTTGGTTAATAAAAATCGGGTACAGCAATGGTTGTCGTGGACACAGAGAAATATTGTGAGTAAGAGGAACAAACATTAAAAAAATCTGGGTCAACTCACTATCCAATTTTTTTTTATTTTATATTTTGTGTCTGTTGAGATGATGGCCGCATGGATGCCCAAAACTATAGTAAAAGTGGCAACCTATTCGCAAAAAAGGGTAGTTGGAGATAATAAAAACCCTACCTAAACATGTTTGGATTTGTAGTATGAATCTCAGATCCCGGGTCTTGGGTCCCACTCTATGTTGTAGAAAACATCGCCTTACGACAACTCCACGTCAAGGAATAAATAGAAGGATGTAGTCTTCCACATTTACATGACCTTAAAACTCTGATCTCTGTCTTCACACTGTCACGTCTGATTATTAGTAGCTACAGAGACACAATGATATTCTAGATCGATGCAATTGAAGCAGCAGTGGAAAGCATAGAAGTCATCGGCATTATCTACATCAATTTCATAGGGTAAAGAAATAAGCCTCGATTACACGGCCTGCTTAAGTGCGTGTATTGGGCAATTTTATGTCGAGATAACTGAATGCCGTTCTTTTGCATTCAGGATCTGCTTGTAACAGCGTAAGGTAACCACCATTTTCTTCGGTACCTGGTACTTTAAAAACACTGATTGGTCCCCCAGCAGGAGTATTTTCTTTGTATAAAGTCGAGGGTTTATTTCAGTCAATTCTCAATCAATATGTTTAAAAACTAAACTAGAGATTTCCTAAGATCAAACATACAAATTCTTATTAATACTTGAAAGTCGAGAATGACCTTTTGATAGCGAAAAAAATGGAAGTGTAAATAATAACAATGATGCATGCAAATTATTGTCTCATCAGCATTTCCATGCGTCCATCTCAGTCTTTTGACCATTTCAATCCCAAGACATGATATTTTCGTATACAAATTACATAATCAGATCCGCAAAGGGTCTATAAACAATAACTACTAGTAGGTATACGCGAGAGAGGCCTTTTTACGGTATTTCTATAGCAACAAAGTACTCAAAGGGTATCTTCTAGGAGTTTAGTAGTTTACACAGTCATTAAGTACCCATGTAGTTTGAAAAATGCAGTCTACAAACGATTAACACTTTTAAATTGTAAAAACAACTTACTCTGTATTTAGAAAGGGGGGAAATCAGAGTCAGGTAGACAGAAGTATCTCTGGAATGAATTAACGTTCAATGATGGATCCTGTGCTCGCAGTTGCGGCCACTGCGGGGTTGGGGATGAACGTGCAGTTTGCACTGGTCGTTTTATGCTTATGGCAGAGCGATGAGAGGTCATTGTAGTGTGATATATGGTGTTGAGTGAAGAATGGAAGATGAGAAATGGAGAAGGAGGTTTGCCTTCATCTTCTTTTCTCATTCCCTTTATGTTTCTTTTTCACTTTTCTTGAATGCTAGTTGCTGTAAGGGATTCAGGACGTGGTTCATGATGCTTGGTTATGAGATGCATGCAAGGATGGCGTAGTTGGAGAACAGTCCTGTCACATATGTGCATACATCTTGTGATGTCATAGACATCAGACATCAGCGCTTGCATCATCCAGATCAGCGATGGATGAACTAAAATGAAGCCATGAACCTACCGCGTCTTTGACACATGAATCCGTCATGATCGATACTGTTTTGAGGGTCATTTTGTCGTTGTTGGAACGGTTATTCGCCTTTCGCTAGGATGTTGGTGGGCTTGGAGGTGGGCCTCTTAAAAGTTGGTTTTGGCGCCATTGCGTTGCTCACGAAGAAGGTTGAGAGTGTGCGGATCGTTTCGTCAACCGAATGGCTTTGCTGGGTGCTCAAAAGAGAAAAGGATAACTGTCGTCCTCGGAAGAGAAGGACAGAAATGGGGATGGAAAATGGTTGTTGTTGGATCTGGTGGACTGTATATGAGAATGATGTTGCTGGGTTAAGGGAGTATGCGAGAGGAAGCAAGGAGAGGGAGGATTTCATTCTCAAAGGATGGGTACGTGGAGAGAGAGTAAAGGTATCTGCTCTTTTGCTTCTTTGTCATCCGAGAGGGGAGAAACACCTAAACTACATGCATGCATGGCACCAGCACTAGAAACCATATCAAAAATAAATCCCAGCAATTCATCGAGGAAAAGTCCAACAAGCAATCCACGACCTCTTGTATCAAGTTAACGCTTCCAGCGCATTTCTAAATAACCGCGAGGTAAACCAACGTGGTACCTTTTATTTTGGGAGGATTTTTTACCTGCTCTACATTAGAAGTTCTCGGTTTACAACACCACGCCTTGTATCAATTGATCTGACCCCATATCCATACCTTCGTTACATGGTTCACCCGTTGACAGATGCATCTGTATTCCTCGCCAAGTACATATTTCACACTATCCCTCCCATCCTGTTCGTAGAAATATCCTCCAGTGATACGGAACCCAGTTTGTTCGTAGTCAGTAGGCTCATGGGTCATCCTCCTTGCAACTGGCGGGCTCTATTACCTAGGGGATCCCTTCCCTCTCCTCCCTCTGTCAGCCACAGTCGGTTCCTATCTCCAAGATCGACGCGTTCTTTGCGGACCATTTCAAGAACCAAGGCTTGTCTCAACAGCTTAGCCTCTCACTTCCATTATGCGCGACTTTATCGCCAGGTGGAGTCGTATATCATGAGTATATCCGAGGACTCGTTGGCTGCACAAGCAGATGCGGCGAGGTCTTGCAGGTAACAGAGAGAGTGTTGGAAGGCAATTACGGCGGCGACAGCGACAACGACAGCAATGGCAGCTCCTTGGATTGAGAGGCTTCGAGTCCCCGCTGCAACGAAAAGAACAGGGTTTATCGACAAGAACGACGGCAGCAGTGGTGCCGAGGACGAGGACGACGACGACTGCATAGGGTACGATGAGGACAGACCATACTCAAAGAGTGTCCTTGACCTTCTTGGATCGTCTTACGAGTGAGAGTCTGATGATGAGTGTGACTCGGGCGACGAGTGTGAGTCTGATGAGAGTGAGTTGCATGTAGCATTCTCTTGACTCGGCCATGAAGACATGGACAGTCAATTGCTTCAGTAGTTTTGTTATCATTTTATGTTTGTTTAAAAATACTGAGTGAGTAACATTGGCAAACTGTGTGAGAGGAGAAATGCAAAACAAACTGAGTGAAAGACGAAGGACTGAAAAAAATGTCGAATACTGAAATCGATAGGGTGTGGTACTCATGGACAATGTGTAGAGAGTGGAAGAGAGGAATAGGATCGAACCTACATGTTTGATCGTTGTTTCTGCGCGTAATCCAAGAGGAAAAATGATAGGAAAGGGAAGCGCAAGTGAAGGTGAATCATAACTGGGCGAAACAACCTTTTTGAAAAACAAAGAGACGATAAGAGAAAAGGTACAAACGATCCATATCATATGCTAAACAACTTTATTGTCGCGATATCTCCCTCCTCTTTCTCCTGCACTGTCTGTTTTTTCGCCTGCACTGCTTGCTCTCTTCTCATTCACTTCCACCTGCACGCCCGAATTTTCTCATCCATCAACAAGAGAGAATAGGTATCAAGCGCCATTTCATTTGGGTTAGCGCGATGAAACAACCAATGCACTTTAAACACTAGTTGTCGTTTGCCGCGTTTCGCTGGCAATCGAGTCCGCCGTTTCCTTTTCTTGAGGTGCCTTGGAAGCCAAGCTTGGCTGAGGTCCTGGTCGGAATGTCCCCTTGTCTTCTACGAGAGGCAAGAACGCGACCTGAGGGCGGTGGCAGTATTGCTGTGTCTCCATTTTCCGCATGACCCACGTTGGGAGGCGTTTGATGATGGCCCGTGTGATTTTTGAAGACATCGACTAGCATTTTTGCACACACGGAGGAAACAATAGGAAAGAATGGAGGGCCATCAGCATCGGCGTGAGAACGATATCGAAAACAACAGCGGCAAAAAAAAAGGAGCGAAGATAGCATTCAGATGCGTACCTGTCCGACCATGTTTCGCATCATCTTGCTGTTCTCAAAAGCTGCATTGACCCATCCAACTCGCTCGTTCTGGTACTCTTTAAAGACAGTCTCGATCTCATCGGCAGTAGGATGGAATGGGAGGCCGTTGATGCGGTTTGCTAATGCAATGGCATCGTGCATAGCATTCGATGCGCCAGCACCGCCGGAAGGACTCATCTAGAAAGGAAGTAGAAAAAAATACAAAAGAAGGAATTGGTAAGTACGTGGGTTACCTATGTGAGTGTGCGTCCTTGTCTCCTTTCTGATTAACAATATATTCCTGTACCTTGTGGCACGCTACACAATGGTAAAAAGAATAGAAATAGGAATAATAAAGCTGATTGTCAGTGACATTGCAGGAACGCAACCCTTGTTCAATGTAGTGTTCAATGTAGTGTTCAATGTAGTGTTCAATGTAGCGCCATTGCTTCCCTAAAAGTCATGTCATCATACCATCGCCGATGAGTACTGTCCGGCAGCTATACCAAGTCTTGAAGACTTTCTCTTCCAACATGACCTTGGAGATAAGATCCTTGTCAGACCATTCGAACAAGTCTCCCAGAGTGAGCTTCTTGTCACCTCCACTGACTACAGGGAAATCCTTGACCTCCTTACACATTGCCATCGCAGCCTCAGGTCCCCACTCCGAATTACGGAATGTATCGTTGTCCTTGCTTGTATTTTCGTCGAGGTACAACACAGCATCCCAACACACGGTGTTTTGGGCGGTGGTGAATGTATCCCACTAATTAAAGGATGAAGGTATGGGCAAGTTAGCATGTTGGAGCTCCAAAAGCACCAAGAAAGTCATTCGTATGCCGACATTCGCGCATTTTCATATACTTACAGAATACATCTTGTCTGCGCCTATGACCCGGGAGGATACAGACTCCTCTCTTCCAAGATCTGGGAACTGTTCGGGGGTGAGAGGACGAGTCTGGCCGAGAATGCAGACAGTGCTGAAGGGAAGGGGCAAAGCGTCGGTCGCTGACAACTTGCTTTCCTTCTTCAGCTTGTCATAGAGGTTCTGACGAACAGCACTGTAGGCGCCGTCAGCTCCGACAAGAATGTCTCCCTCAGCCTCGGTTCCATCGCTGAATCGAACGAGGACCCCGTTGCCGCCTTGTTCCATGGTCAGGACCTTTTTGTTCATGTGGATACGTTCGGTAGGGATCTGGCGCAAAATCAGGTCATACAACTGAGGGCGGGCGACAATGTATCCCTTGGCGCCAAATCTAACAAGTAGGCCCAAAGACCTGTTAGTTCTTTCACTCTGTGAAAGATATTTTTTTGGACAATGCACCATATGCTCAAAAGAGAATAATACACAGTCTGCGTTATGCTTACACCTCTTCATGACCTGCAAAACTCAATCTGAAGGCGATTTTTCGATCCTCGGTGCACATGTTGGCTCCAGAGAGGTATTTCCCGATAGAGAGGAACTCGTCGTAGATTCCACATTGCTTGAACAAAGGGGCGGTGGTGCTGTTGAAGAACATTGCCGATCCTAAGCGATTCAAATAAACAGAGAGAGAGAGAGGGGGGGGGGGGGGAGTTAGTCTCTATGTACTGATAAACCCTTCTGCAAAAGGAAAATCAATTAAAGTCATCAGTGACGATTGATCAGCGGTTAGGGATACCATACCAAGGGGCTTGACCACAGCGGCACGTTCATAGATCTCGAAAGGGATATTGGCCTTGTGCAGAAGCATGCCCAAGGTCAGACCTCCGAGACCAGCTCCAACAATGAGAACCTTGGGTCGCTTTGCATACATAATAGAGCGGTCGTGCTTGAAGGTGACGGCGGGGTTGATCTCCATGGTTATGTTCTGTGTAGTGATGTGTGAATGTCGTGATGTCGGAATGAGAGACAAGTAGTGAAGGTCGGGAAGAAAGGAATAGGGGAGATGAGGAAGAAGAAGAAAAGTAGATGAGCAAGCGAGGGATGCAAGAGAAAAGAGATGAGGGCGTAGAGTGGCAATAACATGGCTCACCATTTGTTTACTGTTGTGCAACCATGATACTCTGTGCCTTGCAGGAACAATAGGTGAATACACATGGCCATGAAGAGAGTGATGGTAAGAGGGCGAGATAGACAGGGACAAGCATATGAATCAGCGGGCAGAGAGTGAGAGAACAAGGCCATAAGGATGGTGGAGGATCGGCCATTGGGGGTACACTGTTATGCATGTATCCATGGTTCACCAAAGATACAAGGCCATGCAAACATATAACGATTGACCTCGAGCCAAGGCCCTGTTCCGAATGACAAGGAATTTACATTCAATTGGAAGGGAAACATGCACTGGACACAGACATGCCATGGCGATGGGAGGATAGCAAGGAGGCCGAGCATGATGCTGTACGAGAGGTACGATAATCGATCAAGGAGATTAAAAAACTGAGGGCATGATCGAGATTGTAGGGGTGGAATGGAGAGGGTTGACAAATAAAAAAACGACACGGGCGGAAGCCATCACAAATGGTGTAACCGTATCCTTGACTCCAGTCACCTCGGTGGCCTCTGTACTTGGATGTCTTGTCCGTGCTCTCGCGCGTTTTTTTTCTCCTGGTGCTGGAGGCACAGACCTCACAAATCACGTGAAATTTTCAACCTCAAAATAAAGAAATGCCAAATTCCATGTGGAAACCGTGGCGCCAAAACAGCCGGGAACTTTCTGGGACCTAACCAATCATAATCGATTGTCACTTTGTCCGAGTGGTTAAGGAGTATGGCTGCTAACTGTATGGGATTTCCCGCGCAGGTTCGAACCCTGCAGGTGACGATTTCTTTTTTGTCCGATCCACGTCTTGCAAAAACGTTTCTGTTTTTGGTCCCATGTCCAGTGAAGAGAGAGATGGACCTTGCTGCCGGTATTTGCACTCCGTCAGTCGTTCGTTGACCAGTAGACATGTCTCTCTCTGTCTCCTTGCCCACTTGCTAAGTCTTGATTGCGATCCGGTTCTATCCCTTTTTATTTTCCTTCCTTCAATGTTAGCGAGCTCTGGCATACTATCTTCAGCGGCCAAAGCCCTAAGATGGGCATGTCATCTTAGAGTACCTATGTGTTGTTAATATCTATGATGGTGTTGATGTGGTTGCCATGCTGTTTTTCTTCAATTGACCTCACCCGTTAATTTTTATTTTCATTGTCATTTTCATTTTGGCCTGAGCTATGGGCACAGTTGCAAGGTTTTTAACCGATTTTTTTTTGGTCAAAAATTCAATTGACCGGTTGATCGAGTCGGTTAATCGGTCACAAGGTTAAGTCAATTTTTGGTCAATTGACAGTTAACCGATTTAGGTTAACTGGCTAATCTGTCAAATGGTTAATCGGCCAATGGATCAATCGGTTAATCAGTTAATCGGTTAATCAGCTAATCGGTTAATCGGTCAATCGGTTAATCGGTCAATCGGTTAATCGGTCAATTGATTAATCGGTCAATTGATTAATCGGTTAAAAGACGGTCAAAAAAACGGTCAATTGACTGGCAATATTTTTGGTTAACCATTTAGTCGGTTAACCGGTTAATTCGGTCAAAAAAAAATTGGTTAGAAACACTGCACAGTTGCCATCCTCTTTGTTTTAGATTTCTACGGGATGATGTTGTGCGCCAGCAAGCATGGCAGTGACGATGACGATGACAAGCCGATTACTCTCTTCGCTGCGACACTTCCTAGTTTTGAGCAACTCCCTCTTTCAAGATCGTCTGGCAGCGAACAAAGAAAGAGGAGAGAGAAAGAGAGAAGAGGAAAATTGGAAGAAAGAGACTTGGTGCCATAGTATTAGTCGCCGATGAGAAACATGTCCTTGGTCTATTACAGCCATAAAGTACTTGTCATTTTTTTGGCTACCTTGTATCAAAAAAAGATGCTGGATCAGACCATGCGCGTCAAGGTTTATGAAGGATAATAAGGGAATGAAAAAAAAAAAAAAACAACCCTGCTGAAGTAGAAAAATGAACGTGTAGTTTGGACGTAGGCCGAGGGAGTGTTGCCGAAGGGGTAGGCCATGGTTGAGGTACAAAATGCTTATTTCTTTGACACAGCAGTGATCACGGAAGGCACAGTCAACACTTCACAACGTATCAAATTGGAACCGGATCACAATCAAGACTTAGCAAGTGGGCAAGGAGACAGAGAGAGACATGTCTACTGGTCAACGAACGACTGACGGAGTGCAAATACCGGCAGCAAGGTCCATCTCTCTCTTCACTGGACATGGGACCAAAAACAGAAACGTTTTTGCAAGACGTGGATCGGACAAAAAAGAAATCGTCACCTGCAGGGTTCGAACCTGCGCGGGAAATCCCATACAGTTAGCAGCCATACTCCTTAACCACTCGGACAAAGTGACAATCGATTATGATTGGTTAGGTCCCAGAAAGTTCCCGGCTGTTTTGGCGCCACGGTTTCCACATGGAATTTGGCATTTCTTTATTTTGAGGTTGAAAATTTCACGTGATTTGTGAGGTCTGTGCCTCCAGCACCAGGAGAAAAAAAACGCGCGAGAGCACGGACAAGACATCCAAGTACAGAGGCCACCGAGGTGACTGGAGTCAAGGATACGGTTACACCATTTGTGATGGCTTCCGCCCGTGTCGTTTTTTTATTTGTCAACCCTCTCCATTCCACCCCTACAATCTCGATCATGCCCTCAGTTTTTTAATCTCCTTGATCGATTATCGTACCTCTCGTACAGCATCATGCTCGGCCTCCTTGCTATCCTCCCATCGCCATGGCATGTCTGTGTCCAGTGCATGTTTCCCTTCCAATTGAATGTAAATTCCTTGTCATTCGGAACAGGGCCTTGGCTCGAGGTCAATCGTTATATGTTTGCATGGCCTTGTATCTTTGGTGAACCATGGATACATGCATAACAGTGTACCCCCAATGGCCGATCCTCCACCATCCTTATGGCCTTGTTCTCTCACTCTCTGCCCGCTGATTCATATGCTTGTCCCTGTCTATCTCGCCCTCTTACCATCACTCTCTTCATGGCCATGTGTATTCACCTATTGTTCCTGCAAGGCACAGAGTATCATGGTTGCACAACAGTAAACAAATGGTGAGCCATGTTATTGCCACTCTACGCCCTCATCTCTTTTCTCTTGCATCCCTCGCTTGCTCATCTACTTTTCTTCTTCTTCCTCATCTCCCCTATTCCTTTCTTCCCGACCTTCACTACTTGTCTCTCATTCCGACATCACGACATTCACACATCACTACACAGAACATAACCATGGAGATCAACCCCGCCGTCACCTTCAAGCACGACCGCTCTATTATGTATGCAAAGCGACCCAAGGTTCTCATTGTTGGAGCTGGTCTCGGAGGTCTGACCTTGGGCATGCTTCTGCACAAGGCCAATATCCCTTTCGAGATCTATGAACGTGCCGCTGTGGTCAAGCCCCTTGGTATGGTATCCCTAACCGCTGATCAATCGTCACTGATGACTTTAATTGATTTTCCTTTTGCAGAAGGGTTTATCAGTACATAGAGACTAACTCCCCCCCCCCCCCTCTCTCTCTCTCTGTTTATTTGAATCGCTTAGGATCGGCAATGTTCTTCAACAGCACCACCGCCCCTTTGTTCAAGCAATGTGGAATCTACGACGAGTTCCTCTCTATCGGGAAATACCTCTCTAAAATCGACATGTGCACCGAGGATCGAAAAGTCGCCTTCGAATTGAGCTTTGCAGGACATGAAGAGGTGTAAGCATAACGCAGACTGTGTATTATTCTCTTTTGAGCATATGGTGCATTGTCCAAAAAAAAATATCTTTCACAGAATGAAAGAACTAACAGGCCTTTGGGCCTACTTGTTAGATTTGGCGCCAAGGGATACATTGTCGCCCGCCCTCAGTTGTATGACCTGATTTTGCGCCAGATCCCTACCGAACGTATCCACATGAACAAAAAGGTCCTGACCATGGAACAAGGCGGCAACGGGGTCCTCGTTCGATTCAGCGATGGAACCGAGGCTGAGGGAGACATTCTTGTCGGAGCTGACGGCGCCTACAGTGCTGTTCGTCAGAACCTCTATGCAAAGCTGAAGAAGGAAAGCAAGTTGTCAGCGACCGACGTTCTTCCCCTCCCCTTCAGCACTGTCTGCATTGTCGGCCAGACTCGTCCTCTCACCCCCGAACAGTTCCCAGATCTTGGGAGAGAGGAGTCTGTATTCTCTCGGGTTATGGGCGCAGACAAGATGTATTCTGTAAGTATATGAAAATGCGCGAATGTCGGCATACGAATGACTTTCTTGGTGCTTTTGGAGCTCCAACATGCTAACTTGCTCATACCTTCATCATTTTCTTAGTGGGATACATTCACCACCGCCCAAAACACCGTGTGTTGGGATGCTGTGTTGTACCTCGACGAAAATACAAGCAAGGACAACGATACATTCCGTAATTCGGAGTGGGGACCTGAGGCTGCGATGGCAATGTGTAAGGAGGTCAAGGATTTCCCTGTAGTCAGTGGAGGTGACAAGAAGCTCACTCTGGGAGACTTGTTCGAATGGTCTGACAAGGATCTTATCTCCAAGGTCATGTTGGAAGAGAAAGTCTTCAAGACTTGGTATAGCTGCCGGACAGTACTCATCGGCGATGGTATGATGACATGACTTTTAGGGAAGCAATGGCGCTACATTGAACACTACATTGAACACTACATTGAACACTACATTGAACAAGGGTTGCGTTCCTGCAATGTCACTGACAATCAGCTTTATTATTCCTATTTCTATTCTTTTTACCATTGTGTAGCGTGCCACAAGGTACAGGAATATATTGTTAATCAGAAAGGAGACAAGGACGCACACTCACATAGGTAACCCACGTACTTACCAATTCCTTCTTTTGTATTTTTTTCTACTTCCTTTCTAGATGAGTCCTTCCGGCGGTGCTGGCGCATCGAATGCTATGCACGATGCCATTGCATTAGCAAACCGCATCAACGGCCTCCCATTCCATCCTACTGCCGATGAGATCGAGACTGTCTTTAAAGAGTACCAGAACGAGCGAGTTGGATGGGTCAATGCAGCTTTTGAGAACAGCAAGATGATGCGAAACATGGTCGGACAGGTACGCATCTGAATGCTATCTTCGCTCCTTTTTTTTTGCCGCTGTTGTTTTCGATATCGTTCTCACGCCGATGCTGATGGCCCTCCATTCTTTCCTATTGTTTCCTCCGTGTGTGCAAAAATGCTAGTCGATGTCTTCAAAAATCACACGGGCCATCATCAAACGACTCCCAACATGGCTCTTGCGGAAAATGGGGAGTCAGCAATACTGCCATCGCCCTCAGGTCGCGTTCTTGCCTCTCGTAGAAGACAAGGGGACATTCCGACCAGGACCTCAGCCAAGCTTGGCTATCAAGGCACCTCAAGAAAAAGAGACGGCGGACTCTATTACCAGCGAAACGCGGCAAACGGCAATTAGTATTTAAAATGCCTTGGTTGTTCTATAACGCTAACCCAAATGAAATGAGGTTTGATACCTACTCTCTAGTTAACTTGGATAGACCATGTCAATGTTACCCATTTTTTCACTACCTTTGACTTCACTTGAGTGTTCTTCCTACATCATGATATATATTACATCTCACCTATCTACATTTGTTCTTCCCTCTCGCCGTCGGCATTCCTATGAATGGGACCTTCAGCTCTTGGCACGTTGTTGATATGCAGTTGTTTGCGCTCACCCTTAGCGGAAAATGGACGCTTACGATACTGTATGAGTTGCGCTCCTCTATTCAAACCGGTGCCTGTTGCTCTCCATTCATCCCTTGATCGACCTGCCCTTTGCTTTCTTGGTATCCTGTATCCTCCGCTTCATGCCTTTGTACAAGTTGGAATGAATCGCCTTGGGAGAAAGCGCCACAGAAAACGAATCCTTCTCCTCAACTCTTCCTGCGACTATGGCGGGCCTAATCGCATCGTGATCATTCCAAGCCAATTTTTGATCCATGCCCAGATCTTCTTGATGGGGTTTAGGTCCGGCGACAGTGGTGGCCTGTCCTCCAGCGGCTTGATCCTCTGCTTGGCGAGAAATTTGAGGGCGACCGTCGACTTGTGCCATGGTGCATTGTCCTGCATCAACAAGATGTTGCGAGGCAAAAGGTTGTACTTGTCGCATCCTTTGACACAGTTCTTGCGCAGGACTTTCATGTACATGTCATAGTTTTATCTCCCTTGTGCATACTCACACCTACATATATCTACCATCTCCAATGGCTTTTCTTCGTAACCAAATAACAAACCTGGTCTGTTCTCTCTTACCAGTAAAGATAACATACGTGGAGTGTCTTCTTGTAGCTCGCTCGGTGATTAGGACGTACGATGAGAACCATTGGTGAAAGTCTAGTGGACAAGTTCGTCGTGAGCGATGGGCAAAAAAAAATTAACACGAAAGCCCACATGACGAATGACTGTGCGCCACCAAATTCGACGTCTCCTTGACCAGAATTGAACTGGCCGCTTGACGCTCCACTCCAATCAGTCAACCTCAGTTTTTTGCAGAGTCAAGCACGGCAAAGTTTATACACCTATCCGCTATCGAATAAAAAGAGAGAAGGATGCTAGGATCCTAGATAATGAGCCGAGGATGTATAGGCATCGACACCTACGAACGAAAATGCCACACGGCATACCTTACCTCCCTCATGGACAAATACAAAACAGAGAGAGAACTCTTTGGATACTCTTCTCGGAACAGCATTGGTCTTCGAATCAATACTGGGACTATGACATCATTTGGACCGAGAAGCATATCCCTGCAAGTCGACTCGAGCCCCTCCGAATGACTGGTGATGTCCTTGCCGATAATGCTTTGGAAACGTTACAGGTCAAGACGGGGGAGGATGCAATCATGGCTTGAGGGAGTATACGGCTCGACCGGAGTGCGAGCAGGAGAGTTTGGCGCCGAGCTTGTTGATGAAGCATTTGATGGCTGTTTCTGAGTGGGTTGATTGGGAGTAGGTGAAGCGAGGGCAGGAAGTGTACTGGTATGTTTTCAGAGGTTTTTTACTTGTTCTTGGTTCTTGTCCACTTCTCCACAATTTGTTTCTCCTGTCCTTAACACAGTTTCCTTCTGCCTCTTCTTCTTCCACATCTCCCTCTCCGATACTGCTTCTTCATCTCACACGCGTTGCTCCACTTCCCCCTCGCCGGCGGCTTCGCAAATCCCAAAAATCACAAAAGCCCTCAACTCAACTGGGTACCTCTCCGGCAAACGGACCAAAGAACGTGTCCTCGAAATCGCCCAGTTCGTCCTCGACGTCGTCCTCTCTTTCGAATACCTCCAACCGGGGACCGGCAAGGACTGGGCATCCATCGTCCAAGTTCGCTTCCTTCATGCCGGTGTCTGTGAGCGGCTCTCCAAGATCGGTCGGGCCCATCCCAAGTACTATAATATTGAGGAGCATGGTGTGCCGATTTATCAGGAGGATCTGTGGGCGACGCTGCTTTCGTTCTCGAACACTATGTGGAGGGTCATGGGTGAGCGGATGGGTGCGATATGATGAGCCAGGAACGAGAAGGTTATTTTCATCTATGGAGGTATATCGGGTACATGATGGGCGCCGAAGATATCCTAGGCACCACTAGAACCCCCGAACGAGCCGACGCCTGTCTAGAAAGCACCGTCATGCACCTCGCAGATCCCGACGCCGAATCCGGACGCATGTGTTCCACCCTCCTAACCAACATGTCCCCAAAGCCCGCCATTCCAATCCAAATCATCCGCGCCATCGAACTCCCAGGCCCCGTCAAAGTGCACCTCGCCGTGGCCGAACATCTACTGGGCCCGGAGTTCTGGAAAGTCAACCAACTACCGACAATGACCCGGTCATACAAGACCTTCAAGCATTTATTCCTCTACGTCCTATTTGTAGATCTGTGGTTGGTCAACAAGTTGCCCTGGTGGTTCCGGACCCGTAGCCCTCTGATCCGTGAAGGGCAGTATAGGATGATTGCGAAAGAGATTGCACACAAGAGGACGCAGTTCGAGCTGGTGGAGGAGCCAGAGGATGGGGGGAAGGGGTTTGATGGACAGGAGAAGGGAGTTCCACCTCATGATGCTGTTGGGTACCGGGCTGAGGCTGCTGGTGGTGGAGGAAGTGGGTGTCCCAAGGTGTTGATGGTTGCGTCTGCGGCGTTGGGTGTTGCTATGGTCGTTGCCGACCGTCGTTGGATTGGATCAGTTGAATCTGAAGGCTGAGGTAGAGGCTGAGGTGTCCTTTCTGTTCTGTTCCTGAATTCAGTGATGGGTACGCCACCAAATAAAAAAGGATACGCGATGCGTAAATCGAGCCGCTATTTGCTAGTCAAGTTTACCCGTTATTTCTTCCTCTTCTACACGCCATATTCCCATCGGCTTCTTCATCTCCTTCCTCGTCAAAGATTAACTATTTGCGTTTTCTAGAAAAGAAAAACATGGGGGCGATGGCGACTGTACTGGAAATGGACAAGGGAGAGAGGAGAAAGTAACAAAGGGATAGACACAAGAAAATAACAAGAGAGAGCAGCACATTTCTTTCCCCCCTTAATTTTTATTTGCATTTCTCCTTGCATCTTGTCTCCCTTTGTCTGAAATGAACATGCAAATGAGCTATACTCTGGTGCAATAATGGGAGATGTGACCAACTGTAGAAAAAGTAACGGCGAATTAAGGAAGGAAGGAAGGAAGGACGGTAGGGTACAAGTGTAAAGTTTGATGTAAAGACTTGTCCATTGTTCAACGGTCAACGTTTCAATTTGCATTATCGGTTAAACTGTAAAATGAGAAAGAAGGAAAGATGTGAGGTCACCCAATGCGAAAGGATTATATTTTTTGAGCTAAACAAGAAAGGAGAGTGAGAGAGGAGTAAAAGACAAAAGAGAGAAGGAAAGGGAGATAAAACATTAAATTGCGAGGGGGAGAAGAAGGACCAAAAATAAACAGGATGGAGATAGTGTCGATGACCACTAAAGTAGAGGAGAACAAAGAGGGAAGAAAAGCAAGATTGTTGCCTTGCGACGAGTTGTCGAAAGAAAAAAATGCAAGGAGCCATGCCGCGCTTTATGCTCTCACATTTTTACTCAAATTGAACACACAGACAACCTTCGCCCTTCTCCCTTTCTTTCTTTGGTTTGGTGTCTCATCTTCATAACCCGCTCGCACCAGCTTTTTTTATAGTTTTCTAGACCTTTTTATTTTTTATTGCTCGATCTTGGCCGAGAAACACACATGTGGAAGGGTTGACGGCCCTTTTCTATCTCTTAGGAGGTGTATGTACCACAGCACTCTATTAACCAGGAAACAAACGAACTAAACATAATCAGGGCAAATCCCTACTTTTTTTTAGACATCAAGACCCTATCCTTCCTTCTTGTTCGTCCTCATCCCTTCTGTGTACGATGCTGTAAGGAATAACGATAAAAGGGGTTAAACCTACTTTCACAGGGCCACCACGCCATCTTTCTTCGTCATTCATGTTATTTTTTAAATCTCGCCTCCATGCAGCTCCCGAGGCCACCCACAACCATTCATTATCACCATGGCATACATGCCAGCCGCTTAGATTATTTTTAGGTAGGGAGAATAGCAAACACAAAAGGGGTTAGATTTCACTGAAGGAGAAAGGCGCCGGGAAGGAGACAGAAGGGGGGAGAAAAGAGAGCAAAAGAGAGAGAGAAAGAAAGCAAAGCATGCCAGACGCGCTTTCTCGTTTCTTTTATGGAGAAACAAAAGGAAAAAAAAATAAGGATGGCCTTGTAACAAATGCAGGCCGCATTAGCAAAAAAAAGCAACAAGGCGAATAAAAAAAGCGTTGCCGGCTCACAAACAGGTATGCAAAGGGCTTGTCGTTCTGTTGTTTCCGCCTTCGCGACTCCTGCTGCTGCTGCTGCTGCTGCTTGCTGTTGCTCAGCATCATGATCCCGGCATTTGATCCTTTTCTGTTCTTCTCTCCTTCGACAATGGACATCGAATGAAATGGTTAGAATAGCTACTCTTAACTATCTATCTTTTCTCGCCAATGGGTATAAAGACTAATGTCTAACATTTGGTAAAGTTCTTTTCCGTTTTTTTTTTTTTTTTTCCTTTTCTCGCTTTTTTTCTCTTTTTCACCATCAAGCACCATCTCCCTCTCCCAGTCCCCCCAGAAGACCAATTCATCTGTACATACCCTTCCCCTCTTCTCATTCCACCCCACTCCGCGTCACCTACCACCCGCATATCCAATCTACACCCATCTCCACTCCTGTCCCTCTCTCTTCCTCCTCCCCTTTATACCAAAAATGAAGTCGTTCATTACATTCGCCGCCGCCGCATCTCTGCTGCTCGTTACAGTGGTTTCTGCAGACATGCTCCAGATCAACAACCCGACCGACGGCACGGTCTGGAAGACAGGTGTGCCCAATTTCGTAGGCTGGACCGGAAACTGTGCCTCGATGGGCAACGATTCCAAGGCCGTCAAGGTCGATCTCGTCAATGGCCCCTCAACCGCCGTGAGGTATATTGTCACTCTGGGAACTCTTGACTGTTCGGGATCCGACACCCGGGCCGACATGACCGTCCCCTCCACAGTCGCCTCGGGCGAGTATGCGATCGTTGTCCGGACTGCTCCCCAACAGTCTTACACCAATGCCTTCAACATCGAGAACCCCTCCCAGCCTGCTTCTCCTGCTCCTGGAGCGGCTCCTTCGCAGCCTAGCGCTAACGCTGGAACGGGTACGGGTACGAAACCTGCAGGAACGGCGGCTTCTGGAGCTGCTGGTGGGTTGGCACCGTCGGTTTTGTTGGCTGCTGGTGGAGTTGCTGCGTTGGCATTCCAACTCCTTTAGACTTTCTAGGGTAGTTTTTAGTTTTTTTTTTATTTGTGTCAGTCGTTCTCTTGTCGTAGCATCCTAATCATCATATGGATTACAATCCTCTTTTTTTACTATGGTTGCGTTGCTGCTTTGTGAGTGCGCGTTGTCTACGGGGTTATGATGAGCGCCCTGATATCTCTCCTTCCATTGGCGACTTCGCATCTTGTCATTGACCGTTCTTCTCCACCTGTCGACTAAGCCCCTTGTCAATTGGCAAACACCATACGCCCATGCCCTTGCTTCCTTCTGTTTGGATGAGTGTGAGAATTAATAATTTTTCGGTCGAATAATGCACGGTCAACGGCTTCTTTGCCTTCCCACGACAATTAAGCTCCTTAATGGGATTCTGAGCAATGACGATGGGACAGAGTCTGGAGAAAGAGAACACCCGGACACCTTTTCCTCTCCCACACTTATTCCCCCACCTTCTTTTTCATTCATTCATTCATTCATTCATTCATTCGAATCATCCCCAACAACAACCAACCCAAGCAAGCCCATCGACATCAACCAAGGACCCTCCCTACCTCCGAGACCAACAACCACTCCAACACCACACTATAACATAATAGAAACAATGGCAACAAAGACAACAGTCAGCGCAAAGGATGCCAAGATCCTGGATATGGTCTTCAACCCCGAGGGCACCATGCTCCCCGACAAGGAGACCGAGAATATGCTCAACGCCGAACCCATCGGTAAGCAATCAAGGACTTCTTCAACAACGCACTCTTCTTCGCTGCTCCTTGCACACCCTCACCAGTTGCTGCACCTCTCTCCTCCTTCACTTCATGTTCAACCCTGCAGTGAAGCAATGGACTCTAACATCCACCCTGTCTTTTTTTCTTCTTTCTTCGATAACGAACAAAATAGTGATTGAGCCAGAGTTGCTGAAGAAGTTAAAGGGCCTGGAGTCAGAGGCGATCCTGTTGGCAGAGAAGGACGACATTGGTGGTGCCATTGCCAAATTCTCAGAGGCCATCACCCTCTGCCCGAACTATGCGTCCGCCTACAACAACAGGTATAGTTTCTTTCAACGATTATGTATCTTCTGACGGGGAAAGGATTAGAGGAGGCAATTGAGGCATATCACTACTGCTAGCTTTTTTTTGAAGAAGCCTAATCGTCCTTATTGATTTTTGCTTTGTCGAACGTAGAGCTCAGGCGTACAGAATTCAGAACAATGATGATGCGGCTATTCAGGATCTGGACAAGGCGATCGAGCATGCCGGTGGACAAGTCCCTATCCTCAAGCAGGTAAGAACGACAGGCCGACACTGCCGACCACCATTGCCGTTGTCTCTATTCTCTCTTTCGCGACCTATCCCTGAGCTCTCCTCTCATTCGTCATTACTAACTCAAACCTCTTCCGTCCAACTTAACTTGACTAACAATAGGCATACACACAGAGAGGAATTATCAAGAAGGCCAGGGGGGAGAAGGAGGCAGCACAGGCAGATTTCGAGCGTGGAGCACGGTACGGCAATCCTCTGGCCAAGGCCGTCGCTGTCCAGGATAACCCTATCTCGCAGCTCTGTGGTGCTATGGTCATGGAGATGCTTAACAAGGAGATCAACGGCAACAAGAAGTAAAACGATCGCCTTTTTATTCTACTTTGCCAGTCAAGTCAGGGAAAAGAGGATGTAGAAAGATACTCAACCCATGTAAAATAAACAAATATTACTTTCGTTCTTTCATTTAACAGATGGTTTCAATTGAGAAGGGGCGAAGCCCAAGCGACAAGATCCTATTTTTTTATTTTTTCCATCCCGCCGCGTCAATTGCATGTAATGTGGGACAATTGGCGACAGTGTACTCTTCTCTTTGTGAGGGAATGTCCTTACCCTTACTAGATTCTCACATATTTTTTTTGCTTCCTTTCCAGCTCATAGTTTTCGTGAACTGTCTGCATTGTATGGAGCGGGAAAACAGAAAGCAACTGGAGACGAGGTCCTCTGTCTCTCCCATATGCCAGCCCCAAGTTTTCGAGCTATCGTTCATCCACTTCTTTTCCTTCCTTTAGATTCTAGCCTTTCGTTTCTCTCTTTCTTCTGGTTAGCCCGATGAGGATTTATTTTTATTTTCGATTTGGTGCTCATTTTTTAATATTTTTTGCCCTTTTGGTCACGCACGCCTCAAAGCCTTCATCGATCGTGAACAAAAAACAAATCCTACCAATTGGATATTTGTCCTTCTCCTCGACCCGAGGGAATGCCTTCTTCCTAGTGAAGGAGAACAATAATAGAGAAAAAGAAGCGTTTAGGTTGTACGACCACAAGCGTACCTCCCCCCTTTCATCCTTTCATTCCAATACTCCAAGCCCCACTTCGGTCGGGTCCCCTGGTCGAACTTTTTTTTTTTTCGATGTGAACCAATGAGAATCTTCTTGCTGTCTGCTTAGGGGATCAAAATAGAAAAGGCAGGAAAAAAGTCTCCTTTTTCATTTTGTTGACTCTGTGCGGTGAAAAGGTGTGAGTGCGTGCTGCAGTCCCTGCGTTAATGCGAGCCTTCTCCCCCCTACTCCTTGTCGCCTCGAAACTTGCTACTCTGCCCAATTGGACAGGGGAACAAGAGAGAAGGGAGGACCCTGACTATTCTTCCAGCCCTTGCGCAAAAAAGAAAGGGCGTGCCCTTGTGCTTCAATGAAAAGGAGAAAGCTTGAGTGCGTGAGAGAGAGACATCTGGGAGGGAGATCCTTGGGTCGTGATTGGTTCCTGTATCTTCCTTGGTCCCGATTTTGTGTTTTTTTACTGCTTGATCGCAGGATTCCTGCGTGCTTAGCTCCATCGTGGCGCTGAAGAGAGAAGACCATAAGACGCGAAAGAAGCATGACTATAGGAAAAATAATAATCAAATAAGACAACCTAAAGGCAATAGACCAAGGAAAAAAGGACAGGCCAAATGGTGCTGGAAAACAGGGCAGTAATGAAAAGTTCATATCGAGAGAGAAAGAAACTATTTATTTAGTCCAGCCTAGAAACGTGGAAGGATGTAGGGGTGGGAAAGGTGTTGTCAAGGAAGGTTATCCTTTCTTAGTTTTTCTCTTTGTGAATGAATGAAGGAGGAAGGAAGTGGAGGGACCCCGGCCGAAAGCTGAGATGTGATCACCAACTTTGAAATATGTCCACGGGAGGGGACATCGCTTCTTTTTTGTCTTTTAATCAAAAGGAAAAGGAGAACAATGCAATGCAAGAATAATAAGGGTCCTTTTTTGCCTTCCTTGCATGGTCCATGATCAAAGGGCAACAAGTCCTCGAAATGCACCAGCCTACATACAAAGCAACCCCCCCCCCCCCCACCTTCTTTTTTTTATTGCCTTGTTGCGCATGGTCCACCCTTCCTCTGCTTGTCGCTTTGCAAGGGTCCAATTTTTTTCATTTCCCTTGATCCCTCTCCCTAGATCCCTCTCCCTAGTTAGTCAAGCGCGCCTAGACCATCCTGAGAAGATCCAAGTTTATCAGCGCGTCGATCATATCACTCATTCTCAATCCCGAGCTCTTCTCTATCCCAATCTCTTCCTCGTCCCCATGAAAAACGAAGTATTGCTCTCTGTTTGTTGATTGTTGATAACCGACTGATGATTGTAGTTGTAACGAGGACTTGTGTTCCCATGACATTGGCCCATGTCAGAACCAGCAATCGAACTAAAGAGATACAATTTATACTTGTCTCGCTTGCTCATCTGCCTTTTCCCATCATGTCAACAAATCCAAAAAGCGTTGGGGGTGGCAAGGAAAGAGTAGAGATGCAAAGGAAATGAAAAAAACGGGTCACGGAAGGATATGTGTGCATGGGTCCAACCCTGTGCGCTGTAGTCAAACTGTAGCATCAACAAACGCCATCCATTTTGTTTATTATTCATTCTGCGATCGATACATGTGTGTGCCGAAAGGCTGTCTGTGGTTGCGCCGCCTTTTGTCATTCCTTGTCGTTTAAGTGTTGAATAGGATGGCGCCTTGTTTATTTTTCTTGGCATGTTGACATGTCCTCATGAGTCTGTCTGTCTGTCTGTCTCTCTGTCTGTCTGTCGACCGCTCTTTGTGTCACAAAAAAAAAAAAAACTCAAGGGCGTTTGCCTGTTCGGCAAAGGAATGGGCAGGACTGAACTTGCAGTTAATACATGCACAGGTACACGTCCCTCCGTCCCCTCTTTGTACTTTGTTTTCTGGAGAATGTGTGTGGGGCGTTAAAGAGTTTAGAGGGAGGCCGATTGGAAATTACAAGGACACAAGACAGCAAAGCATACAACAACGAGAAAGCGAAACAAAGAGAAAAAGGGACATGAGAAGGAGGAGGAAGAGGGAGCGGGCGTAACGGAAAGGACACATCCGGGTCGTGGGTCGCGGATGGGCGGATCGTTTTTTACACTTTCATTTCTTTGTCTCTGATCGACGCCCTTTTTCCGTTATGAAGGTGAGATAGGATGATTTATGGTTTTCGACGATGGCGATGATGAGCAAGATATCTAGCAGATTGAAGAAGGAACCAAAAAGTGGGTCACAAAGAAAAGAAAAAAAAAAAAAGAGAGAGAGAGAGAGTAATAGCAGATGCAGATGATGTGCGCAGACAACTAGATTACTACCACTACTACGTCTCTTTCTAGGCAGGTGTTTCTGGAAAATCGATGACGGATGTGGAAGAATCAAAAGAAAGATGACGAAGAATAGGAGCATGTGTGAACTGTGTCTTGGAAGGGTCAAGGAACGAGGGAAAAGAAGATGCTTATTGCTTATTGCTTGCTTGTGTGCTCTAGACACGAGCATATATTTTCCTTGCTTGGCTGTGGATGTGCAAAAATGCGTATGCCTTATGCCTGTTATGCCCATGAATCATCTATGCCTCCATCCCTCTTTCCATCCCGCTAATCCTGATGGGAGGGAGCGAGATATGCGGAATGCGTTAAATGTAGATGGGAGATGGATGCGATGGGGAAGGATGCGACGGTATGGTGGTCTACTGTACACATAGATAGACAGACAGACAGACAGAGAGCCTTCCCTTGTCATCAAAGCGTCGACAGTGTATGAGTGAAAAGAGAGAGCACATCAGGGGCAAGGGTCACAGACAGAGGGATTACGGACATCATCGTGCTTGATCTATCTCCACCCTTGAAGAGATTGAAGGCAAAGAGCAACGGCAGACAAAAGGGTCTGCAGGTTCACATTGGATTACATTAGTCAGTACCACACCACCATACCTACCCGGCAAAGATCATGCCGGACTTGTTCTTTGATCCTTCTCGGATATTAGTCGATCCGTTGTCTGTCCGTCTGTCTGTCTGTATGTTGTCGTCATCTCTGATTGTTGTCGTGTAGGTAGGGCGCTTGAGTCTAAAGGAACAGAAGGGGTGGATATCGTATAAACAAAGTTGAGTGAACAACCACCACCGAGAATGGGACAGATGGTGTAGACTTGATGTTGTTGGTTTATTTTTGAACTGTCAGTGATGATGGGTGATGATGTCGAAGGAAGGAACAACGGTGGCGGAGGGATGATGATCGATCAGGTCCCTTTCCTTCAACAACGCAAGTCCATGGAGTGAAAGGGGAAGAAAAAACACTCTGTATTTATTCACCGAGAACGGCCCCTTGTGTCAAAAATGTCTAGCGAGTAGGAAGTGAACGAGAGAGAAAAATGGCCCTTTTGGCGCAACACCCTCCCCATCCTGTCACACAAGAACTCACAGACAGATAGGCCCATCATAAAAGTGGATAAAAAGAAATGAAAAGCCTGATCCTAGTTGTTGTCGCCTGCATGAAGAGAGAGAGAGAGAGTGCTCTCACGGTGATGTTCATTTTTCGCTTCGTTGTCCGACCCGCCGTCTCTCTCTCTTCTCTCTCTTTGTGTTTTCTACTCTTGCTGCTGCTCACAAAGGGAGAGAGAGAGGAAGAGATGACATGATATAGCAGAACCCACTTGCGCGGTTCGGATGCGATATTATGCAATCAAGCATCAAAGAGCAGGGGAAGAGCATGGGGAGCAGCAAAGAGAGCGGCGTGGGGTGCGATATGGTGGGAACAACGAGGGGTGCATGGAATGAAGAAACGGAATGGAAAGAGGAGACCAATCTGTTCTCTTCCGTTCTGTTCTGTTCTGTCCTGTTCTGTTCTGTTCATATCTGATTAGAACTATCAGAGTTCAAATTCATTTTGTTTTTCAACGAACGATCATTGTCCATCATTGCCCATGCACACTCATATATGTACAGTACTGTACATCAGTATGATCCAGTTCACCCGCTTTGAAATGAAATACATGAAGAATGTGAACAGCCGTCAAGTCAGCTTCGCACCTTGCACTCTGTGTCTATTCCAAGAAATAAGCGTTCATTTCCTTGCTGCAGCATATGCCTCAGTGCCCCACTTCATTCTATCCGTCGGAGTCAAGGGTACCCCTCTCACCCGACCGGTGAGAAGTGTCATACGTGGCATGGGATTAAATGGATTGACAGGTTGATAGGCAGACATGGGACAATTCGCACTCACTTTCACATTCACATTCACGTTCATGTTCATATTCAGGTACACGCACGTACTATCAATAAGTTGGCTGCGGTCTTATTTGTGCAGGGTTTTCTTTCTACTTTGCGGCATTAATAGGAAAAGGAAAGAGTCTGGACACACCCTCATTTTTTTGGCGCCTCACAAACAGCGCCCCACACACAAAAGCGCCTTCAAAAATGAAGGACAGGGCGGTTGTTTTTAGCGGAGGAGAGGAATTTGAGAGACATGGGCTAAAAAGTTAAAAAGTTGGGCACAACAGCTCGGCAGGGCAGGGCGGGTGGAATGAGAGAAGTGAGGGGGAACAAAATAACATATTTTATCCATGTCCCTATACTCAAATGAATCCATTAGCGATAAAGTATCCAAGACAGCCATTTAAGCAAGGGTGCGATAGAAGGACGAAAGAGAGAGACACACAAGCATGCAACTACATGCAGCTGCGAAAGCGCAACTATGGTTAACCCATTTAGCGAGAAGGACTCAACAAGAGAAAAAGAGGGGTTGGTTGAATAGATGCGAAGGAAGGAAAAACACGAGGAGAGGGAGTGAAGCAAGGCAAGGTAAGGGAAAAGGAAAAGCCATTGTTAATCAGAAGAAATAGAGTCGATCCGTTACTGCGTCCAGCTGCGGTGCTGTAGGACAAAGAAAAACAAGAAGCGGTCGAGACTAAAGCAAAGGCAAAAACGGAAGGAAGGACCTGCGAACCAACAGTATTCAGCGACAGGACCTCTCTTTCTTTCGCTCCAATGCTGTCCTCATGCCAAGGACGCAGCGAAGGAACAAAAGGGCAACGGGTCTAGCAATTGTGCTTGTTGTGAACGACCTGTTACTTGAGGGAACGAGGAAGAGAGAAGGAAAGAGAAGAGAGTGGCGGAGAGGACTCCGGGAAAGGAGAACAACAATGCGCGGGCTCAATGGTATGGAGTGTATCCATCCAACCTTTCCATTCGTTCTGCTTGCTTGTTTGCTTGTCTTGTTGACAGGCAGATCCTTTTTGTGGGTCCAGGTGACCTAAACAGCAGACGACCAGCACAGAAAGGAAAGAAAGCATGTCCCATCCCATCCATCAATTCACAGCCGACAACGGATGATGTGCAAGACAAACAGACAGAAGGCGGGAGAATGTGGATACATAGACGCACACAACGACAAACGACGACATTCCGCATTGTCTATCCCATCCCATCCCATCCATCACCACCATTGGAAATCAGAGAACAACACCAGCAGAAAAAGAACGAAAAAAAAGAAGAGTCGGCCGTTAACATAGAACCCAAGGGGAAAATAGTACTCCTTCCCTTCCGTCCTTGGTCCAATTATCACGATAATGCTCATTGACACGACAGGCAGTTGAATTATCTCATTACTGAACGGAGCCTTTTACTCACTCGTCCGGCAAAGTTCACACATGCACACAGGCACACTTTGCTTGCCTCGAAGACAGCCAACCAGCGACAAGGACAATCCCAGTGCAAGGCATACAGACAAGTAGAGAACGGGAGAGTGGATTTGTCATTGTCATTTGTGAAAGAATGCAATGGAAAGAAAAAGGAGTCTGTAGAGTGTTTTGTGTGTGCTTTTTTTTTTGTTCACAAAGGACAAGAGTGACCCGAGTCTGCTTGTCAGTCTGGTTGGAATAAGGGGTGTTGTGTGCAAGTCAGCCAGGCACACACTCACACATGCACTGGTTATTATTGCATGTATTGTCCATCCATCTATTTCTTATTCCATCCCCCCCATAGAAATCAAATCATGTCCCCTAGTCATCCAGGCGTACAAGCTGTCAGGCAGTCAGGCACGCCTTCTGCTGCCAAGACAATAGAGAATCCCCTTTTCTCTACAACAGGACAAGCGCATTGGCATTGGGATTAGCATTGATGACTGGCATATTCATACTGATATTCATATTCATGGCATTGTGGCGAGTGCATGTATATGTGTGAGGTGGATAAGACACACAGAGTAAATAGGCTGAAGATGAGTAGGTGGAAGTGAGAATAAAATACCCATGGATGACACCACTTTTGAAGAAGACAAGGCCAGTCTAGTCATGCCCGCCCTTTTGTTTTACTAATCGGCACAATAAGAGAGAAGGAGTGCCCGTGCTATTCCTGTATGCAGATGGCCTTCTGTCAGCATTACATATGTTGTTATTGTTATTATTATTGTATCCTATTCTATTCGATTCAATCGCCAGTGCCTCGACTTTTATTAAACCCCTCCCCCACCTTTTTTATGTCTTCTTCTTTCAACCATTCACTTCTTTCTTCTCCTCTCATTCATTCATTCTTTCTTTCTTTCTCATTCAACCCTCTTGATTCTCTTTCAACCCCTGCTACTTCTTTCTCTTCCTGCTTCACCCCCTACTCCAACTCCACTTCACTCCTACTACTTTTTTTTTCCTTTCAACTCTGACCACCAGCAACAACAACAACTCCCTACAACTGGCACAAACATCAACAACAACAACCCAAGACCATCCTCACAAAGCAATTGAACACATAACACACTAGACCCCAACAACAGCACTGTCCCTTCTCCCTTCAACACTCTCCTCTCCGTCGGTTTCTCTTTTCTCGTGCATCTTTTCTATCGTCCTTGGACTCAACTTCAACAAACAGCAACACATCAACGACAACAACAAAGAAAAACCTGCATACATATTCATATTTTCATACACGCCCTTGCGCCAATCTCTCTTTCTTCCCCTCTCTCTGTTTCACACATACCATCCAACAAGCCCAACAAGCCCAACAACCATCTTTCAACCAGACCATCCTACAAACGACGAAAGGTTTTTCATCTCTTTTTTTCATATCCGACAACCACCGACGACCCCTGTGCGCCTTCATTCATTTTCAACCCAGGCACCCGAAAGGCAACAACTCCACTCATATACCATATCCTCATATAAAAGGACGATTCAATGGCCGCTGTCCTCTCTTCCTCCTCGTCTTCCTCCAACTCAAGAATACCAGCACCCCGATCCAGCTCAAATAGAAAACACTCTCTCCCTTCCTCTTCCTCCTCTCCTTCCATCTCTTCCTCTCCTTCCTATTCTACTTCACCCAACACTCGCCTCTCTACCCTCAGACCAACCTCCCCTCGCCTCGCTCCGTCTACATCCAACCGATCCATCATCTCCACTACCTCTTCAACGCAGCACAAGCACAAAAAGCCCACGTCGGCACTCACCTCATCCCTCGCCGCCTCTACTTCAACTCGACCCACCTCTCCATCAACGATATCGCCAACAATGCCAATGCCAGTTCTATCAACATCATCACACCAGGGCTCAATCAAGCATGGCCACTCGCTATCGTCCGCAACAACAATCTCATATCCTCACCCGTCGATCCACCCCCCTCTCAGACTCTTGACAACGGCCACCTGCATCGCGGCCTGTACCTCCTTAATCTCGGCACAGTCCCCACCGCACTCGCCCACCTTTGCACCCTTTGCCGTCCCTGAATCAAGCAGCAGTAGCAGCAGGGCCAACTCTATCCTCGACGGCATCCAAAACGCATTAGGAGGTGCCCTGACCGCCTCCTCGCCCCCCAACTCGACTGCCTCTATCCGCACCTCTTCCTCCTATTCTGCCGCCAAAGAGTCCCTCGCCGATTTCTCCATTGCCGCCTCTTCCAAGCGCTCCCAATCCGTCCCTACTTCCAGCCAAAACGACAGGAGTCTGGAGTCGAGTGGCGGTGTGATCCGGTCAAGGAGCAATTATGTCAGTTTCCCCAATTTCGACGAGGTCGACTTTGTCGATGTGGCTATGGTCGAAGACAAGGAGGAGGATGACGAGGACGAGGACGATCACCCTGGCTGGGCTGGGCCCGATTCGCCCCCAGAGGGTCAGCGTGCTTTGGACGAGAAGACGATGCGGTCGGCCTTGTCTGCCATGGACGGACGAACGGATCCCCGGATAGTTCGCGGCATGCCCACGAGCCCAAGCCAGCATTGGCTTTTGCAATTGGAGACCTATCAAGCCCTCCAAGTCAACGGAGTTTAGGCCTTCTTGCAGACTCCTCGTGTGTGAGAAAACACTCCACACTCCAAAAGAGAGGAGATGGAGGAGATGGAGAGGGAAGGAGGATTGTCTCTTCTGACCGCTTCTCTCTCCCTCACTTTACTTTCCTATCCAAACCCCAACCTCCCTTCCTCTTCTCAATTACGTTAACGTTATGCTGACGTTTGACGTTGTAATGAACGCAACCACCCAAGTTACCCCCTACTCCCCTCGCTAGTGTCAACAAGCAAGACGCGCGCGACCGTAGCACTCTTTTTTTTTCTTTGTTTATTTGTTTTCCTTCTTTCTCCCTTCCGAGACCCGGAAGAAAGGGGGCATGGGCCCAGTTGCAGGTCTTGTCCAGCACTGGCCATCCCTTGTCTTCGTTTTCATTTTTCTTTTCATTTTTCTTTTGTTTATGTGCGCTTCATTTGCACATGTTGTAAGATAGTCTTTCCTTTGCCATTGTATGAACAGTTCTTTTTCTTTCCATTCCTTCTTTTTGCACGCACCCACCCTCGCCCAGTTACCCTTCTCATCTTGCGTGCTTTGCACTTTTTTCTCAGTGTTAAAAATAAAAACAAAAGATAACAAAAACCCCGAATCGTTTGTATGTTGTAGAAAAATGTGCCTGCCCACTCACGGGCCAGAACAGACAGACAGTTTGTAAGCGATCATCATACCAACGGGGGGTGGAAAAAGTGGTCCGGGTCCCCCCCTTCTTCTCTCTCTATGAACTTCAACTTGCTAACCTCCCACGTCTTTTGTTGTCATTGTTTTTCTAGCAATCCTGTGTTCAGTACTTTGTTGTTCATGCCAGGCACAGACACACCTGGTCGTGAATCGTTTATTTTTCCTTGTTGTTTATGATCTTCCTATTGCAACATCCCAGAGCACGTTACGATAGTTGTTTCGTTTTGTTTTTGTTTGTCTGTTTTTTTTTGTGGTCCTTGAGCTGTCCCTATATTTCGTTGGCTCTTTGTCGTCAATATGATCCTTTGCAAGACACAATAATAACAAAAGAGAAAAAAACGAGGGTTCTTGACAGAGGATTGGAGCTGGGGTTGGACATTTTTTTTTTTCTTTTCTTCGGGTCGGAGGTATGTAGGTGTTTATTGTTAGTCTCGTGGGTGCGGAGCAAAAGGAACAACAAGCGGCATGGCAAATCGCATGGCGGCGGACTCTTTTGCCAGGGACATGGGATTCGCTGGGTGTGAGCAAATCACAGGAAGACAAGGGAGGCTGTGATGAAAGTTTCATATTGCACAGGTTGGAAGGTTGGAAGGTTGGATGGGAAGGACTGCTCCTTTTTTTTTATATTTTTCTTACAAGGGTGCTTGCTGATCAGTTCTCAAACATACAACTCTGACCAAGATAAAGACAGCAACAGATCACCATGGCCAAGAAGGATGTAAGCGGCGGGACAAGGATCGGTGGATTCACTTTCCGTTGCAGAGGAATCTGATGGAGGAGCTCCTTGAAGGATGTGTCAGTGAGAGCGATGCGAACGAGCACACAGTAATGCAGCACACTCACCCAACCACAAATCCACGCGACAACTCTTTTTTCTTATTTTTATCACCCTCCGCCACCAAATTGACTGAACGATACAATAGAAGAAGAAAAAGACAAAGGAGCACAAGGCCAAGGTCGCCGAGAAGGTAAACTATCCTGCGTCTCAATCATGGTATCATTGAGGACTATCTACTCTTTCTTATGACTGTGCTAACCCCATGATTTCGTGTTTTGATGTTGTGTGTGAAAATAGCAAGACCGCAAGCAGACCAAGAAGCAAAAGAAGGATAAAGCCAAGAACATGGAGGAGCAGGAAGAAGATATCGAGACTATCCTCGCCAACTTCCAGAAGGAGGTAAACACCAATCTTCTTTTCCTTCGTTCGATTGGTTTTGTAGTTGTTGTGAGAAGGAGACATAGATACTCACTCTGCTGTCTTTTTTTTTTTTTTTTTGGTTTATCCTTGGTAGCAAGAGGAGAAGGTCAAGATTGTCGAGGAAGTCTGGAGTGGACCACCTAGGTAAGGACGATAGCCATCGACGGACATGGATTCCAGGAGATGTTTGTTTTGAATTCTTGTGGCGTCATCTAACAGGAAAACTCTTTGTTGACGTAACCTTCAATAGTCGTCGTGCGAACGCCACATTGACGGCCAACCCTCTCAATGTCAACGAGCTGATCTTTTTCGGAGGCGAGTTCTACGACGGAGCCCGCTGGTAAGTCCCTTTCCAGCCCCCTCATTCCAATGGTAGCCTATGCCACACCTCCATCAACTGTGCCAACTCATCATTACTAATAACGCTGCTAATTAATTGGAAAAAATAGTGCGTTCTATAACGACCTGTACCGGTACAACATTGAAAAGGACGAATGGCGCAGGATCACATCCCCAAACTCGCCCGGCCCACGATCCTCTCACCAGATCGCCATCACCCCTGCAGGAACTCTGTTTCTGTTTGGTGGCGAGTTTGCCTCCCCTAACGAGACCCAGTTTTTCCACTACAAGGTGTGCCCCTTCGATTTGCCTTTTTTTTTTTGGATCACTTCTTCTTATTGCTGAGGAGTATCATCTTTTTCCTTGCCCAGCAAAAAAACTAACTATCTTTTTTTTATTCAATGCCAATGCAATAGGACTTTTGGTCGATGGATATGAAGACGAACGCATGGGAGAAACTCGAAGTGAAGCCCAAACCAACAGCTCGCTCCGGCCACCGAATGACGCTTTGGAAGAACTTCCTGGTGATGTTTGGAGGCTTCTACGACAACTATGTCGATACCCGATACTACGACGACCTCTGGGTCTTTGACACCCTCGAGTACAAATGGACAAAGGTCGAGCTTCCCGAACAGATGATCCGCCCTTCTGCCCGGTCTGGATTCTCGTTCATCCCATGTAATGAGGGAGTGATCTTGTATGGAGGGTACTGTAAGGAGTATACCAAGGGACAGAGGCCCAAGGGTGTAGTGCATACGGATACGTGGTTGTTAAAGATGCATCAGGATCCAAAGATGATTCGCTGGGAGAAGAAGAAAAAGTCCGGGTCGGCCCCTTCAGCGAGGTCTGGGTGTGCGATGGCGCCGTATAAGAATCGGGCGGTGTTGTTTGGAGGGGTGTTTGATGATGATGTGAACGAGGAGACGTTGGAGAGTACGTTCTTTAATGAGCTGTGGACTTATCAGCATGATACTGGACGGTGGTTTCCGATGAACTTGAAGAGGCCCAAAACTGCCAAGAAGAAGAAGACCAGGAAGCCTAAGCAAGGTTCTGGAGGAGGAGGACAGGGTGGTGCAGACCAGGATGGGGAGGAGAAGCGGGAGAAGATGAAGTGGGAAGAGAGTACGGATGATGAGTTTGATTATGGCGATTTCGAGGAGTCCGATAACGAAGATGGCGTCAGTACTCCTGTTGTTGCTGGAGAGGCTTCTGCAGCTGGATCGGTTGTTGGTACGGATGAGCAGCCAGGAACTCCCAAGGTGCAGGGACAGGAACAGGAGCAGAAAGAGTCGGCGACTGGAACCCCTGTCGAGGAGGAGGCGATCTTGACCAAGGAGGCTCTTGCTGCTGCCGCCCTCGCCGCCGCCGGTATCCTCCCCAAGGCCGCAGCACCCGCCACACCCGAACCCGAGGCTGAAGCCGAGGCGGACAAGAAGAAGGGTAAGGGCCGCACGCGCGGCTACAACGCCAACAACGCGTTTCCCGACGACGACGATGATGAAGAGGAGCCCTTGATGCCCTGCCCTCGCTACAACACCATGTTGGCCGTCCAGAAGTCGACCTTGTTCATCTTTGGTGGTATTTTGGAGATCAAGGATCGCGAGTACACGCTGGATGATTTCTTTTCGTTGAATCTGGACAAGATGAGTGAGTATATCTGTCTGCGGGCGTCCGAGTTTGAGTCGCAGTTGTGGTTGGGTGAGGAGTCGGATGATGAGGAGGAGGGATCGGATGACGAGGACGACGATGACGATGATGACGACGAAGATGATGAGGACGAGGACGAGGAAGGCGAGGAAGGCGAGGACGTCGAGGACGTCGAGGAGGAGGAAGCTGTGGTCGAGAGTTCTTCGGCCAAGAAGGAGAAGAAATCCAAGAAGGACAAGGAATCTTCCAAGGACGACAAGGACACCGACAAGAAAGAAAAGAAGGACAAGAAGGAGAAGAAGGAAAAGAAGGAAAAGAAGGACAAGAAGGACAAGAAGGACAAGAAGGACAAGGCCACGGCTGAATCGACACCAAGCGCTGGCGCCATCGATCCTGCCTCTGGTGTTTCCACCCCTGTTGCTGCTGGTGCCGAGGGTGGTGCTGGAGGGGGAGAGAAGAAGGAGGGAGAGGGAGAGGGAGAGGGAGAGGGAGAGGAAGCGGTGGTGGAGGTTGTGCCGTCGCAGTTGAGCGGTGTTGATCTTGCGGCGCGTTTGGCCATGACGGAGGAGGAGACTGCCAGTACTCCTACTATTGGCGAGACTCTCAAGGAGTTCTATGGCCGCACCAGTACGTCCCCCCCGTTTTTTTTGTCGCGTTTGTGTGTTTCGTCTTTATTTTCTGCTGTGTTCAGCACCACTAACTTCCTTTTTTTTTTCTCTTCTTCCTTTTCTTTTTTTTCGCTACCCCACCAATAGCGGAGTACTGGGTACTAAAAGCATTTGAGGACAGCACAAAGACCGGAAAGGCGCTCCGCCACGACGGCTTCCTCCTGGCCGAGGCGAAATTCAACGAGTGGCAACCTATCCTGGCCCAGATGGCTCAAATGCGTCTTGACGCTGGACTCGACGAGGATGACGATAATGATGCGGCTGGACGGATGGGTGGTAGGGGTGGGGTGTTGAAGATGGGCGAGGTTTACAATAAGCTTATGTCTAGACATCGTCGATAGAATGGTAGGAGGGTGGATGGTTTTGGAGGTGTAGTTTGGTTGCATAAATAATTTTCGCCTTTTGGTTTCTTTCGTACGTTTTTCGCGCTTCTGTGTCTTTGTGTGGGAAAAGATGTGATGTATTTTTTTTTTTTTTTTTTTTGGGGCCGTAGGCTATTGCTATATGGATATGTTAAAACCTATGAACAAGATGAACAAGGGAGCTAAGAGTACTGGACAGATTTACCCTTGTTAGGGTAATGGTCCTCATCATGCCCAACAGTCGAACCGTGAGACCCAACAAAGCCATGGGTCTTGGCAGCAGCCTCCGCAAGAGACTTGACCGCATCATGGACATGGGGCGCTTCCAACAATGGATGTCCCTTGTCGACACGAACCGCAACCTGTGCATGAACATGCTGTCCCTCGGACGACAGACCGCGCCGCAAGATCACGACTTCTTGATTCAGGTCTCGCTGTCTCTCCTCAAAAGAGCCGATAGTGGAGCGGTCCTCCTCGCCGACACGCGTCCTGTCCGCATCCCTACGTCCTTCAGCACCGGTGTCGATAGTGGGTGGGGAATGGTGTTCAAACGAGATGCGGCCAGTACCGTGCTTCGAGTGTCCACCTCCAGTGCCCAATAACAACGTCGCCAACCCGGGCAAGGGAGAACACAACCCAGCAAGGGCCAAGATCTTGCCGAGGTACTTGGCAGCTTGACGTGCAATCTTGCCACCGGGCACCAGCTTCTTGATCGCGTCGCCCGATTCGGGGTCGGCAAGGTCTCCCTCATGACGCTCAGAGAGGACGGTGGCGAGGATGGCACGGTCGTTGTGGGTGAGGCCGTAGCAGTTGGCGAGAGCGCCTCCGGGGAGGAAGAGCTGCCAGGCGGCGGTGGAGCGGGCTTCCTTAGGGAGTTGGTTGTAGCAGTTCATGACCAATACCAACAAGGGAATCAGACGAGGAAGACTCTCGATAAAGACCGACAGTCCCTCCGCATCCTTGTCCGAGACCTCCGTCGCGTGTGCAGAACCAGCAATGGGAGGGAGGAGACAACAGTTGGCGAAATCTGGAGGCAGGGCCGAAGAGACAAACGACGTCAAAGTGTTCAAATCCGACGCGTGCAAGGCGGGTTGTCCACCTCCAAAGTTGCGGACAAAGTTATGTACAGTCTCGTAGGCTGGGTCCTTGTTCTGGATCGCGGGCGGTAACATTCCAAAGCATCCACCCTGACGCACACCACCCTCCGAAAACAAGACATCCTTGATAGGGACTACTTCCATGACGGCCGCCATGAGAGTCGCGCAGGCAGGGACCAACTTGGCACGACGCTTCGAGACACGGAAGCAGGTCTGGACCTCCTCGGGGGCGAGGTTGCGATACTCGTGGACGACCTTGGACAGTTCCTTTCCTGAAGCCATGTATCCGTTGATGATTGGGATTGGGTAGCGGGATCCATCCTTGGATTTCTTCATCTTGTGCGCCATCAGCAGGTAGCCCAGTGCCCGGAACCCTCCACCAGACAGGTACATCCTGTACCCACCCTCTCGCTCGTTATGCTCACGGACCGCAGGCGCGACATTGATAGTCTCGAGACCATGCTTGAACGCCAACACCATCTCGTCAAAGATCTCCTGTCGCGCGACCTGATCCGACCCACAGGCATTCAACCTCTTCGACAAGGCGGCCGCACCATAAGGCCACGACTGAGCATTTGGAGAACTTGCGCCCTGTCCATCTCCAGGCCCACGAATAATGTAGTTCAACTGCACGGACCCACCACCCAAATCCATAAACAGACCCTGGACGGTATGATACGAGGCCATGACCCCCAATGCACCAATATTAGCCTCCTGGGCCTTGGACAACAACTCGACCGACCAACCCGTCGCAGCCTTGATCCGAGCCTGGAACTCTTCAGAGTTTGGAGCGGTCCTCGTAGCTTCGGTAGCGATCACACGGACAGCCTCAACGTTGGCCTGGTGGCAGAGCGCCTGCCAGCGCTCAAAGGTCCGGACGACCTCGTCAATGACCTTCTCGCTGATCGGTTGACGCTCAGAGGTGGTTTTAGAACCAGTGGCACGGATGGGTTTGAGGGTCGCTCCAGAGATGGTGATATCGTGGTCAAACTCTCCGCTAGCGACGAGGGTCTTTCTCAGATCGGCCTTGCTAAGAGCTCCGGTGTTATTAGCTTCGTCGTCCAAGAGATCCTCCATATCCTCGTCTCGGTGATCCTCCTCTTCGTCTTCACCGTCCGCCTTGCCCATGACAGCAATGGTCGCAGAGTTGGAAATCGAAGGCGTGACAGCCGTCCTATTCGACGACAACCGGTTCAAGTGAGGCGTGGTCCCAGCACCGTTCTTCTTTCCATTCGTGGCGCGTGGTGCGCTAGCCCCTGAGGCAGCAAACGTGACAAGGTCCAGATCATCCGACTCGCCCTCGTTCGACGAAAACTGAGCCTCGAACAACGAAATCGGAGCGCGTTCCTCATACAGAACGGGGAGGTGTCGATCGAGAGAAGCAATGATCCCGAACCGGATCCCGTTACTGCCCATGTCGACGATGGCTAGGGGGGCATGGATACCGGAGGTGATGTTGTTGTTACCGGTGGAGGAGCCATTGGTGGAGGGTGCGCGGTTAGAGGGGTTTTGGGAGGTTGGAGGGGTGATGAAGAGGCCTCTGAAGGAGTCGAAGCAGCCTGGTGCTGGAGGTGGCATCTTGAGTGGGTTGGTCTTGGTTGGTGGGAAGGGTATGTGAGGTAGGATGGGTAGGATGGAGATGGGTGAGGGAAGAATAGAAAAGGAAAAAAAGTAAAAGAAAGAAGGGAAGGGGTATCAAGCGTGTAAGAAAAAAAATGATGCGGTAGAAGAGAAAAGGGGAGAGGGGTATGCTTATCGTCAGAGAGAGAAAAGCTAAAAGGCAAGAAGGAGATTGAATGAGCGAAATGGTCAAGAGAGAGAGTGGTGCTTGTGTTCCCAATGGTGTGCTGGGAAGTGAGGGCGTAAAAGAGGTGAGAATGAGGTGAAGTGAGTGAGAAGAGAAGAGAAGAAAGAAAAAGGAACAATGTATGGAATGAGTTCAGTTGAAAAGAAAAAGGAGTGAGGGCAGTAGAGTGGACGGCATAGCAACGAAGAGGAGATAAAAAAAATAATCGCTCACTCACTCCTGATCCATCCCTGTCTGATCCTCGTGCTTTTTTACCTTTTCCTCACACGATGTGAACGAAAAAGTGAGATCGCATAAGCGGGATGCGGGGGATGGATAAAGGGCCATCCTGCAGATGTGCGTGCATGCATGCGTCATGTCGCACCTGAACACAACAAGGCATAAACCACCTGCTTATCCCATCCATTCTCACGCTACCTCTCTTTCTTTCTTTCTTTCTTTCTTCGTTCGTTCTCTCTGGCTGACATTCCTCCCCATCTTTCCTTATTTTGTTGTTGTTGTTGGATCTTTTGAAGCGAACCTCAATACCCTCGGCAACGGCCATCTTAGATGCTAATCCTTTTTTACAGCTCTGACAAGCAACACAAACGAGGCATTGGAAGTAAAGGCGCTACAGACCAAACTCTTCAGAGCGACGCCAGTTACAGTCCGGTCCGGAACCTGACTCTGTACAACAATTGTCGCTACTCTAAACAGAACACAAAATAAAATTAGACGCGAATAAAGGTCATTCTTCTTCCCATCCTCTCCATAACCTCCTTCCCAACAAACTCTCCAACAGCAGCGCGTGGGTCCTTGGTCACTCCAGGGGCAGGTCTAATCTTCATGTGAGGTCAACAAAGCGCCGCACGGGCAGGAAGCTTTCTTTTTCGTACATAGCATAGAGAAGCCATTTGGAAGTAAGGCATTTTTTTTTCGCATACAATTTTATTTCTCTGACAAACAGTAAAAGGGGGCTTCAGATCCAACTCTTCAATGCCACATCCACCAGCTGTAGTCCGTTCTGGAGCCTGGCTCTGCACAACAATTGTCGCTGTCCTTCACAGGGATATTTTTTTTTTCGTACACAATTTTATTTCTCCAACAAAGACCATAAAGTCATATGGAGTAAAAGGGGAAAAAAATAATATGTGGTGGTACAATTATCCCTAGTCTCACGTGGTCCTGAGTCTAACTATCAAATTGAGCTGTCCATACATATTAGTTGAAGAAATTCAGATTCCATCAGCGACCTTAGCTCAGTTGGGAGAGCGTCAGACTGAAGATCTGAAGGTCGTGTGTTCAATCCACACAGGTCGCATTCCTTTTTGCCCTTTCTTTTTCCCCACACTCGAGAGGGAGACCTGTTCGCGTCCATTTTTTTTTTTTTTTGCATGGGCCCGGCTTTCTTTTTGTGTGCCACTCTATCCGCTTTTAAATTTGCCACTCTTACGAAGGATGGCCCGTGGCAGAGCCACGGATATCGTCCTTGCAAAGTGTATTATGTCTGTTCGCGGGACCGGTTCATGGGCCACAATTCTTCAGTGTAGTTCACAGTAGCGCTTTATTTTTACATCTGTACATTTATTGAAACAACGCAACCTTTTACTTCATCGATCCGCTCGTCTGTAAGATCAAAACGCGTCGACCAACACGAGAAAATACAATCACGACCAAATGGTCGACAGGGGCACATGTGCGGTAACTTGGTAAATCAGGAATGTACAATCATTCTCAGGGGCATCAACACGATCAGTTCAAAGAATAGTAGGATGACTGACATTGTGCAAGAGAAAGGGGAGGGGAGAAAGGAGTGTTAACCGTGGACGACAGACAAGCGACAAAGACGCGATTCCTGCTAGCATTTGTACCATCGATTTTTTTTTCAGGTTCAAAAGAAAGGAATGGGGCAAAGTACAATAAGTAAGGTTGCTGGCACATGAAAAAAGATAACAATGCGCATTGACCAATTTATGTTGGCTGGTATTTATTTGTTAGAGAAATATTACAAGTATTATGGAGGATATCAATGTTGAATACGCATGCGCGGAAAGAGAGACGGGGTGTGAGAGAACAATGGCAGATTCCGTCAAGATGCAAGAAAACGAGAGGTCAAGTGCAAATACCCAAATCAAGAAAATAGTTGTTAGGGAGTAATAGGCGAGAGTGAAGAACAGAAAGAGGATGGAGATGGAGGATGGACAAGGAAAGGTGGTGAGGATAAAAATGAGGACGAGGGGGTTTCTGTCTATCTGAAAAAAATGAACGACGCAGGTGATGATGAATGAAGCAGAAAATAGTAAAGAGTTGAAGTAGGTGTTGTATGTAGCTGTAATAACATGTGAGAAGGGAGGTGGGTTGTTCGTGCGATGTCAAAAAAAAAGGAGGGACCATATGCATGGATGTCGATAGGATGTGGTTTGCAAGTAAAAAAAAGTGGACACGACGTAAAACTGAGCCCGCGGTTCCTGAAGGAACGAGGGAAGGAAGTGTGTATGTGGGGAGAGGGACGAGATGCATAGTATTTGTGAATGCCTGTTCGTCACGTTCCGCTTGGAATTGCATCAAAACAAAAAAGAGGGAAGGAGCGAGAGGAAAGTGAGACGCGTTTGGGCGAAGTTACATTTTTTGTTCTGATTTTCAGGCACGTAGTTTATATCCTTTACGCACTGGATGCATCATAACGAGAGGTCCACAGGTGGAACAATTTTTCTCATTGTACTGTCTCGACTTCGTTTGTGCTGTCTTTCATTGCTCTATCCAATCTGAAAAAAAAGTCGATCCTTGCCAAACTCTCCGTGGTACTCACGCGCCCACCACCATTAAAACAGAGGGAGAAAAAAAATGAAAGCTATAAAACACAACAACGACGTCTCCTCTTTTGTCTCCTCCTTCCTTCAATTCACTCTACTCTATCACACTTCACAAGCTACTGTGCTCCCATCTACACATTTATTCAGCTTCATTCAGCCCTACTTCTTGCCCTTTCCATTTCACCCACTGCTATGCAGAACAACAAAAACTTGTCACTCACTAAACCTCTGGTAATCGAGACCCTCGAGCCTTTATCCATCATCGGGGAATCGTTTATCTCACAGTGAACATGTCCAGTCACAATGGAACGAATAGAAAGAAAGTTTCGACGCTCTCGTCGCGCGCGCGCGAGTCTCTCGCATGTGGAACAATGTCTTCGAGATTAAGCGATAATTTGATCCACCTCTAGGGTTCTGAGCTCCCGCAGTTTGCAGACGGTGTGATAAAAGCCAACAGCAAATATGGCCGTAGACACAGTCGATCTTACTCGTCTTGATTGTACTCGAGTCGTTGAGCTGCATCTGTACAAGTACCCCCAAAGATATAACCTATAACATCGAATTAAACCAACGGTCGCTGAGGTCGAGCCTAACTTGAAGGGGTTGGTATTGTCGGGATTCGAGCAAGGAGAGTTGACGCCGGAGCATTTTGGAGCCTGAAAAAAATTCAAGCGCTGAAGCTGAATCGTTAGAACAATGGAGAGCCCACCCTCGGCATTCTCCGACTCATGACGCGTGCTTTGCGAACTCTGGGGCTTAGTTACGTCAAGGGCATTGGAGTCAACCAGCCCTCGGGTGTCATCAGCAGGCTTAACACTCCCATGGTTATGCCAAAGCTTGAGGAGATCAAAGTCAGCTTTGGCGCCTGACAGGATCTGCAGGAGGGCAAGTGCCCCTATCCAACCAGGGTCCCTCAAGACCTGGTCCGATCACCTCCTGGGCTCATGCAAATCTTGTGGAAAGTTTCTGGGAAGAACAGTTACGGCGACTTTGTGAAGCTTGCGGGTGACTTCCGAAACTCCTGCCCTTTGTTCCAGATGCTCATGATGTACTGCATTTTCGTCAGGCTGCATCACTCGCAGTCGCGCCGCTCATCCGGGAATCCTCTACTGCAGGATTGACTAGGTTGTTTCTCGTTCACGTACGATGAGACCAGGACCTGTTTTCTGCCATCGCCACCCAGTCCAGGACCCTCAAGGCGCTGCAGATCATATGGGGTAACTTGATTCACAAACGTGAGGAAAACACGGCTGGCGCTCGCTTGGTTCTACAGCTCCTTTACCATTGTCGCCGACTCGAGAAGTTCAAGATCATGGATGTTCCTACCAATTGCCAAACGATCCTGGGCGTATGGGGAAGCAAGGATTGGAAATGCTTGGAGCTCGAGACCTTCGAGCTCGACTTTTACAGACGCCAACCCGATGACGGCGAAAGTTCGAGCAACGAGGAGGATGCAGTTAAGGATTTGGATAAGATGGGAATATATATGTTGTGGAGGAATATGACGCGACCGAGATCATTGACCAGCCCCTGTGCTGGCGCTTGCCCTATGGCATAATCGATCTCCTATGCCTCCCACAAGCTTTCTGGAGGATCTCTCAGATGCTGGCGAGACTGGAGCGTGCCATCACGTTGATCTGTAGATACTAGGCATTTGTCCGATCCAACAACACTAATACTTCCTGATCACCCAACCGTCAGATCCATCGACCATCGGTTCTACACACAAGAATAAAAAAATATAATGGAGTAGCACCCCATCGAGCACAAAAGCTGTTTTTATTTTGTTTTCTGAGTGGACAATGTGTGAGGCTAGATTAGCTGCTAGTATTAGTAATATTACGCGAAGCATGACAGTTCAAACTGCTATGACCGACTAAATTGGACTGTTGGCGGTAGACTCAGTGGTGGACTTAGCCGCTGTCTTTTCTTGAGGCGCCTTGACAGCCAAGCTAGGCTGAGGTGACGGTCGGAAGGTGCCCTTGTCCTCTACGAGCGGCAAGAACGCGACCTGAGGGCGATGGCAGTACTGTTGTGACTCCATTTTCCGCATGAGCCATGCCGGGACTCGCTTGATAATGGCCCGCGTGATCATTGACGACATCGACTTTTTGCGCATAGAAAAAAAAAATAGGGATGAAAGGAGGAATATTAACATGCATGAAGATGATTTCTAAGAAGTAGCAACCAAAAAAAAAAAAGGCAAAGCTAACATTCAGAAGGTTACCTTTCCGACCACGTTTCGCATCATCTTGCTGTTCTCAAATGCTGCTTTGACCCATTCAATTCGCTCGTTCTGGTATTCTTTAAAGGCAGCCTCGATCTCGTCGGCGATGGGATGGAATGGGAGGCCGTTGAGGCGGTTTGCTAATGCGATGGCATCGTGCATAGCATTCGATGCGCCAGCACCGCCGGAGGGATTCATCTAGAAAGGAAGTAGAAAAAAATACAAAAGAAGGAATTGGTAAGTACGTTGGTTACCTAAGTGAGTGTACGTCCCTGTCTCCTTTCTGATTAACAATATATTTCTGTACCTTGTGGCACGCTACACAACAGTAAAAAGAATAGAAATATGTGGAATAGAGCTGATTGTCAGTGACATTGTAGGAACGCAACCCTTGTTCAATGTAGTGTTCAATGTAGCGCCATTGCTTCGCTAAAAGTCATGTCACCATACCATCGCCGATGAGTACTGTCCGGCAGCTATACCAAGTCTTGAAGACTTTCTCTTCCAACATGACCTTGGAGATAAGACCCTTGTCAGACCATTCGATCAAGTCTCCCAGAGTGAGTTTCTTGTCACCTCCACTGACTACAGGGAAATCCTTGACCTCCTCACACATTGCCAACGCAGCCTCAGGTCCCCACTCCGAATTACGGAATGTATCGTTGTCCTTGCTTGTATTTTCGTCGAGGTACAACACAGCATCCCAACACACGGTGTTTTGGGCGGTGGTGAATGTATCCCACTAATTAAAGGACGAAGGTATGGGCAAGTTAGCATGTTGGAGCTCCAAAAGCACCAAAAAGGTCATTCGTATGCCGACATTCGTGCATTTTCATATACTTACAGAATACATCTTGTCTGTGCCCATGACCCGAGAGAATACGGAGTCCTCTCTTTCAAGATTTGGGAACTGTTCGGGGGTGAGAGGACGAGTCTGGCCGACAATGCAGACAGTACTGAAGGGGAGGGGAAGAGCGTCGGTCGCTGGCAACTTGTTTTCCTTCTTCAGCTTTTCATAGAGGTTCTGACGAACAGCACTGTAGGCACCGTCAGCTCCGACAAGAATGTCTCCCTCAGCCTCGGTTCCATCGCTGAATCGAACGAGGACCCCGTTGCCGCCTTGTTCCATGGTCAGGACCTTTTTGTTCATGTGGAAGTGTTCGGTAGGGATCTGGCGCAAAATCAGGTCATACAACTGAGGGCGGGCGACAATGTATCCCTTGGCGCCAAACCTAACAAGTAGGTCCAAAGATCTGTTAGTTCTTTCATTCTGTGAATGGATTTGTTTGGACAATGCACCTTCTGCTCAAAAGAAAATTATACACAGTCTGCGTTATGCTCACACTTCCTCATGCCCTCTAGAACCCAAACTGAAGGCGACTTTTTGATCCTCGGTGCACAAGTCGGCTGCATCGAGGAATTTCCCGATAGAGAGGAACTCATCGTAGATGCCACATTGCTTGAACAAAGGGGCGGTGGTGCTGTTGAAGAACATTGCCGATCCTAAGCGATTCAAATAAACAAAGAGAGAGAGAGAGAGAGAGAGAGAGAGAGAGAGAGAGAGAGGGAGTTAGTCTCTACGTACTGATACACCTTTCTGCATAAAGTAAAACGATTAAAGTCATCAGTGACGATTGATCAGCGGTCAGGAACGGATTAAGACTTTGTCCAATGGACACCATACCAAGGGGCTTGACCATAGCGGCACGCTCGTAGATCTCGAAAGGGATATTGGCCTTGTGCAGAAGCATACCCAGGGTCAGACCTCCGAGACCAGCTCCAACAATGAGAACCTTGGGTCGCTTTGCATACATAATAGAGCGGTCGTGCTTGAAGGTGACGGCGGGGTTGATCTCCATGGTTATGTTCTGTGTAGTGATGTGTGAATGTCGTGATGTCGGAATGAGAGAAAAGTGATGAGGGTCGGGAAGAAAGGAATAGGGGAGATGAGGAAGAAGAAGAAAAGTAGATGAGCAAGCGAGGGATGCAAGAGAAAAAGAGAGAAGGGCGTACAGTGGTATTAAGGAAAAAAACATGGCTCACCATTTGTTTGTTGTGCAACCACGATGCAGGAACAATAGGTGAATACACCAGGGGAGAGAGCCGTTGTGAAATTGAAATGCAGGCGTGGGGTAGAAGAAGACGGGAAAGTGGGATAGAAGAAGACGGGAAAGGATAAAAGGGTAGTGATGGTGAAGGTTCGAGTACTGGGAGTGCATCATCTGCATGCGTCCTTAGTTCATCGAAGAGGCAAGGGCGATGCAAGCATAGAACAAGTCTTGCTCAAGCCATACTCTCGAATGACGCTATTGCAGTGCTTGCCCATGCATAGGGACCAGTAGCCGCAGATCTCGCTGGTCCTCGCCCACTTTGAACTGTTTGAAGTAAGCATCAGGTTGAGTTTGTGCTCTCAGGATGCTTCTTGTTCTGCGCAACTCTATTGCTCTCATTTTTCCGGCAAAGACAGACAGAAAAACAGTGAAGTCTAAGAGACACAAGGAATTGGCCTTTTGTGCCACACATGACTTACACCTTTGTTGTTGGTTTTGATTGTTGTCGGTGTTAGATCCCTCTTCAGTTTCCACGCAACCTCAACCTCCATACACTCCATACACATACACCAACAACAACAAAAAAAGCGTACTCTACTCTCCCTTAAACGTGCTCTTTTTTTTCTTGTCCTTTTTCATACAAATACAAGCAGCCAAGCCAAACAACAACAAGCACCATACACAACATGTCATCATCTACTACTGATAGTCAGCACCACAACCTCCACTAGCAACAACACATACCACCTGTATACTTGTGAAGACTTACTTTGGGAAACGACCATGACTCTTCCTTTGACTTTTTTTTATCCAGAGGGGTTATCCTGCATGTTGTTTTGTCGTGCCTCTTCCCATAACATAATATCCAGTAGGATAAGTAGACTACACTGACTATGCCGAGCATTGAAATGGACAAGAGCCATTACATGACAAGTAAGGGCCATATTAGCGTGTGCTTGAAGACTCCCTAGCGAATTATCGACGAGCAAGATATATTTGCATCTGAGCGCCTTGTTCTACATACCGCTTGCTCATGTTTTTCAACTCTGTTTGAACATATTCGATTTTCTAGGAAAGGCGCGACCACGACATCGGTATAGCCCAAATTTTAAACAGAGTCTATTGCAAGAGGATCGAAAAGCCAATGGAATGTTGTGTGAGTAGCCCTGGGCCTATTATCGATGTAGGCGCAAAATGGCGACAACTAAACAGTCAAGATGCAGCTTTCATCAGTCTTAAGTGAGAAAAGTCCTTATGGGCCACATGCGGATAGTATAAACAGTCGATGTTCGGGGATAGGAAGATTTGCAAAGTCGTCTTTCCACGCTTTTCATGTGCGGCTTGTTCAGCCTTTCTGTACTTGGTGCTGTTGTCGATCCCATTAAAAGCTCACTGAAGAGGATATAGGATTGAATATCTTCATGTCGTCGATAAATGAATAGAGAAACGCTGAGAACAGACCATATAATTGTCGAAAGAGTGATAATGTGAAGTACTCTCTAATTGCTGACATTGTCCGATCGTCGAATCCTTTTTGGTCTCTCCATCGAGTTAGAATTGGTGCCCTTGGACTTGAGGAGCTCATTTGTGATGTAGAGTCCAGGTCGTTGGTTGCCTGGCCGAGTAGGTGGAAGAGACCTCGCCGAAGGAGAATCAGTGAAGTGTTGGCGGCTTGGACGTTTTGCTGTGGGTATTGAAAGGAGCAGAAGAAAGAGAAGATGTAAAAGGAGATATACATGTGCAAGAGGCAACCAAAGCATTGGTAAAAGGAGAGCATGACTCACGAATTGACATCGATTTGTGGCGCATGGTATCAAAGACACGAAGAAAAAATACAACTTGTACATCTCGGCAAACAAAGTGGCGGAACGTGTTCCAATCTTCGTTTCGGCTTCGCAAGTCTTTGGTGATCATTTTTTACGCAGTAGGGCCCCTGTTGACTATCTTTCCGTGGTTCAATTGCTCGCTGAACAGACACCTTGTCGCGTGCATTCCCCAGCACTTTTTTATCGCGACATAATGAAGTAGAGGTTAGCCTTTGCCAAGACTGCTCCATTGTAGTGGTCATCGGTTCCTACCATCAAGCTAGTGTTTTTTGTCCATTGATCATCCAGACTTGCCCTCCTGATCATAGTCTCTTTTATTTCCCGTGCCCAGCGTCCTTATTTTATTCTTCTCTCTTTCATCCTCTTCACTCATTCCTTCATTTCTTCACTTGACATTCCCAGACGCAAAGCTACTTCACTCCAGGTGTTTTCAAACCTATCTGTTAGGGCCACCCTGCCAAGATACGGCGTCCTCTACCGTCTCTATCCAGGAACGCGCACGGAGACGCGTTTCAGATCTCTGCGCAGGGCCAAGGTATTATTTTCTACTTTTCAATCGATTGTCTAAATCAATGCCGTTGAGTCATATTGCACGGTCAGGTCACTCAAGCATGAACACCCATCGTTGACACGCTTATATGTTTTCTTTCCTTTCTATAACCACAGCAGAAAAGCAAACCTACATTTGAGATCCCACGAATCATTTCCAACCAAGCGGGCAATCCGGGCTGCACAGGATGGGAAGAGTCGAAACGGTTGTTGGTGTCTCCTCTCTGTAACACTTTTCACACATCGAAAATTAACTTATCCCTTCAACCTACGTACCTTGCTGAACTCGGGCGGTTTGTTTATCGTCTATTTTCAACATTGACTCTTACTCAACCCGCGACAAAAGTCGTTTCGACCTTCGATCCGCCAGGAATTTTTTTTTCCAGATGAAAGAAGGACAGGGGTGGGAATATCATATAGGAGGCTTATCCGTGGTGCTTGAGTTCGAACGGATTGATGGAAGCCATTATTTACAGAATAAATTGTTCAGCTGGTTTTCCTTAGGGAGTTGTCTTTTTTTCTACTGGAAACCTTACCGTTGTCCCCCTCCCTCGCGGCATCAAATCACACCGCCACCAAGCAGCCCACCGAAAACACAAAGAAACGAGGACACAACACGCCCAAAAAACTCAAACCCGCCGTGACATGTTTTAAGCGGCTCAAGGAACACTTTCCTCATTATCGGAAATCTGCGCGACAAAAAAACGACTCTAGAAACCGACACGGTCTAGACGAAGGAGAACGAAAAAAGTGGAAGTTGGGCAAGACAGGCTTAACCGGATCACCGTATCGAGTAACTTTAGGAATTTCGACTGTCGACGGCGTGCCTGGTCGGTGGTGAACATTACAAAAGGATGAATGTCCAGACAACGAGCCATTCTAGCGATCCTCAGACCAACAAACCACGTAGAATGGGCACAAAGGACTTCGACACGGCAAAGCAGCTGCCTGCTACCTTATTTACAACTCTTAACGATAGCGACACGTATCCGGGTATCCTGACGACCTGGGGACGATGGTGAAAAGCAGGTCGCCCGCCCACATTACAGTTACACCTATTCAATCGTCCACCAACTCCGAGACGACCATCAGCCCTCTAGCTCTACTCAAAAACCCATCGTCGACTACGCTCGCAATTTTACGCCAAAAAGAAGGTGTACTGGTATTGCCAATCTCCGGGAAAGCTGCCAAATCGCTGGCCAGAAAACAAAGAGATGTTACCAGGAATCGTCGGAGGTTGTTGGGGAGTTGAAGGTCGGAAAGGACAAGACAGGCGATGTTTGTCAGTTATCGTGGAGCTCGACAGGTGGCTGTCCCAATCGCTGGATCGATTTCGAATGTTTGTATCCGATAACAATTTACAGCCTTGCATTGAAGGGGCGGGTAGTGGTGGTGGTGGTGAAGGTGGGAAAGGATGGACATCAAAGGTATTTTTTTGAATTGAATAGAAAGAATAGGCGCACAGTTTCAGTTAGTTGCATGACTTTTTTTCTTTCTCATGAGATTTGATATAGTTTGTTGTGGATACATTGGTTCTTCTTCTCTGTTGTTCTTCTTTGAGGGCGCAGAGGGGAGGTTGCCACCAAAATTCAATCATTTATACCATGGTTAAGGGGTTTGACGTGCTCGTTTCTTCCCACAGTCATTTTCACTCTCTCAGAAAAGCCCTGGGCAACGAACACTAAACGGCTGAAAGGTGGGGATGTGTGGTGGCCTATGTTTCATATGTAACGCTTTTGCATACAAAACCAGCTACACCCTTGTCTGTTTCCTCTTTCTCTCTCTCTTTCTCCCTTCCTCCACACCTCCTCCACTACACTTCCCCAGAATGTCCTCAAACACCAACGCTCGCCAGTCCTGGAAGGTTCCCGCCTCGATCATCTCCAAGCGCACCTCAAACCCCATCCGCGCCATCGTCGATCACATCAAGGTCAAGCCCAATGCCAACAAGTCGATGATCTCCCTCGCCCTCGGCGACCCCACCCTTTTCGGAAACTTCAAGATCCACCAGACCTGTACCGACGCCGTCTCCAAGCAGTTGCACTCCTACAAGTCGAACGGTTACCCTCCTTCGACCGGTTACATCCATGCCCGTCAGGCAGTGGCCGAGAAGTTTACGCTCCCTGAGGCTCCTTTGGTCGCGCAGGATGTGATTATTACGAGTGGATGCTCGGGTGCGTTGGATATGTGCATTGGAGTCCTCTGTAACGAGGGAGATAACATCCTTTTGCCTCGTCCTGGATTCTCGCTTTACCAGACTTTGGCTGACTCCAAGGGGGTTGAAGTCCGGTACTATGATCTCTTGGTAAGGGGTTTACTTCGTCCGCATTTCGATGATCCGGTTTTTTTTTGCGTTGTACTCCTCTCTTTACCCAAATTGAGTTTTATTCTTTCCTATATACCTTTCTATGCAGCATCTCCTTCTCCTTCGCATTCTCCTCCCTCACTTTCTCACCCCACCAATTTGATCCATCTGCAGCATCGACATCACCATCGACCAGCAATTATTTACGCCCAATTGCCCAATTGAAGAACGACTTCGCATTTCAAGTACCATGGTTGCCTAACACCTCCATTTCTACTCTATGCTATGCTATGCTATGCACCAAAATTAGCCCGAGAACAACTGGGAGATGGACTTGAAGCAACTCGAGACCCTGATCGACGACCGCACCGCCACCGTCGTCATGAACAACCCCTCCAACCCCTGCGGCTCCGTCTTCAGAAAGCAACACCTCCTCGACTTCCTCGCCGTTTGCGAGCGCAACCACCTTCCCGTGATCGCCGATGAGATCTACTGCGACCTTGTCTTCTCCGGCAACGAGTTCTTCCCCCTCGCCTCCCTCACCACCACCGTCCCCGTCCTCGCCGTCGGAGGCCTCGCAAAGAAGTACCTCGTCCCCGGATGGAGAGTCGGCTGGATCTTCATCCACGACCGCAACGACATCTTTAACGCCGAAGTCCGCGAGGGCCTCAACAGCTTGTCCCAGTTGATCCTCGGTTCCAACTCCTTGGTCCAGGCCGCCCTCCCCGATATCCTCCACAAGACCGACCCAGCCTTCTATGACGAGACCCGTGTCCAACTCGAGGCCAACGCCAAATTGTCGACTGATATTCTGTCCAAAGTCCCCGGGCTTAAGGTCATTGTCCCCCAGGGTGCTATGTATGTCATGATCTCGATCAATGTTGCCGAGTTCAAGGATATCGAGAACGATATCGTCTTCACGGAAAAGTTGCTTGGTGAGGAGTCCGTTATGTGCTTGCCTGGTTCGGTCTTCCAGTGCCCCAATTTCATCCGCATCGTCTTCACCTCCCCTCCCGAGGTTCTCCAGGATGCCTACACCCGTATGGCCGAGTTCTGCGCCCGCCACCACGTTTAAAAAAAAGAAAAGAAATGATGGTTACTCCGAGTGTTTTAGACGGACATTCACATGCAAAAAAAGTTTTCTCAACTTTGTAAATATCGATATCATTAAAAAAAGCATTTCTTTATTCATCTTCTACTTTTTCAATATCTATGGTTCTTGGAAAAGTCGACTTACCTTGTCTTGCAAAGGGAAAAAAAAAAGAGAAAAGATCAAAAATGAAAAAAAAAGACAAGCTCCCGAAGAATAAACTAGTCCCAAGGACATGGTTTCCCAAATCATCAAGTCTACATTGGAGTCGACTGTCCATCAAGGAAAAAAAAGTCCAATTTGTGTCAACGATATCAGTGTTTATTCAAACAGGTCGTGTCCATAATGTCAAAAATGGTCCATAGGCAGTCCAATTTGTGCTGAGTCCACGTTCATGTTTTTTGAAGAGAGGACATCTTGTCAACAACCAATGCAGAAAATAAAGAAGGCGTCTAAGAAGAGAATTAAGAAAAAAAACAAACAAAAGAACAAATGCAGAGAGGAAAAAACGAACAAGGTAATGATGAGTGGGGTCGAGGTGGATGCCTAGAGCTCGACGGGTGCCTCAGCAGATCCATCCTCATGCTGTTCTGGGGCAGTGGTAGTAATGGCAGCGTCAGTTGAAGGCTCTTCTGCGCTAGGGGCTGGCTGCTGGGCCTCAGTCAAGTGGGTGGCAGACATGTCAGTCGCAACCTCAGTAGCGGCAGCGTCGGCAGCAGAATCGTTCTCAGCAGCAAAATCGTTCTCAGCAGCAGTAGCAGGGAGAACAGGCGAAGACTCGTCCGACTTCTGGGCCGAACTCTCAGCAGGGGTTGAGGCCTCGGTGGTCGAGTGAGTCTGAGGCTGAGGGGTGGTCTCGGCGGTGCTGTTCTCGGTGGTTCCAGTCGAGCGTGGGGGCTTGATGTCCTTCTTGCCCAGACCAATGTCCCAGTCCAATTTCAAACGTCTGCCTTCTACATCGAATCCATTGTACTTTTCCATGGCTTCTTCGGCATTTTTGCGATCCTCATACTCAACGAATGCAAATCTATTTGGAAGTAATGAAAATGGGTGGTACAGGTTAGAGATCCGTGTGTTGAACTTGCATAATCAGGTCCTCAGAGGCAGATAGAGGAATAATTTGCTCCAAGGATCTGTATGACGTATATGACGTACCCCTTGTTGCGGCCGGTGAATTGATCCAGAACGACAGTGATCTTGACAATGGTTCCAAACTTCTTGAACATCTCCTCGACCTCGGGTTCCCGGAAGCTGTAGGGGATGTTTCCAATGTACAGTGTTCTGGAGTTTAACCGATCCTCCTCACTACCACTAATAATAGGCAACGATATAAGAAAAACAAACAACTCACCGGTTAGACGCAATTGTTTTGAGAGAAAAATAAATGAAAAAGAGGCGATTGGAATCATGATCTCTTGCGACAAACGTACCGGTTGATGGTCCTCCGCCTTGGGGGAGAGCGAGGACGACCATATCCACCACGGTCATATCCTCCACGCTGTCCGCCGCCATAGCCACGATCATAGCTGCGATCGTATCCACGGTCATATCCTCCACGGTCATATCCACGGTCGTAGCCACCACGATCCGATCGATCGTACCCACCACGGTCATATCCACGGTCATAACGACCGCCCTGGTAACCACCGATGTCACGCTCATAGCCTCCCCGAGAGTCTCTGTATCCACGGGGGGAAGGTGTTCTGCGGTGGCGAGGAGGAGGAGAGTAGGATCGCTCACGGTAAGCAGGGCGGTAGGGAGGAGGCGATCTCCTGGCTCCAGGGTTGGGTCCACCACGGGGAGGCTCTTGAGGAGGCACACCATACCCTTGGTGGTGAGCGGGGACGCCGTGGGGAGTTGGGATATGGTGACCGCCCATAGGATGCTGCGGCTGCTGTTGCTGCTGGTGGTCCATCATGCTGGAGTGCTGCTGTTGCTGGTACTGCTGAGGGTATCCTTGGGGTTGCTGGTGCTGGGCACCGGCCATTTGGGGAGCGCCCATCATGTAGGCTCCGGCATGAGGTTGAACGGGCCAGGCGTGCTGTTGCTGGTGCTGGGAATCCATTAGGAGAGTTGTTATTGTCTTGACAGGAACTAGGGGAGGTATGAAGTGTCAAGGAGAAGAAGGTAATGTAAACAGAGAACAAGGGAGCAAACAAAAAAAAAGTGATGGAAGAAAAAAAGAAAAAAAAAATGTCGCACACTAGCAAATCGAAAAATAAACAAAGGCACAGTCACAATTACAACAAGAGGCCCGATCGATTTTTATTATCCTCCTAGCGCACACGCTCTATGGCTTGCATTGCTTCGCCAGGCATAAGTCGCACAGGAACGATCCGCATGCCCTCAATTAGCGGGATCGCTGGCTGTCCACCTCACGCTGGCTTTCACGCAGCTCGCTCTGAGAGTCAGCAAGGTGCGTATCCAACAGATCCTTCTGCTCACGAAGGCCCTGCATCACCTTGTCCAACTGCTTCAACGCATCGCGCTGTCTCTGAATCTCGCGGTCCTGGTCCAGCAGTTGACGTTCAAGGATCGAGGGCTCATCGTTGAGAACCTGCTGCTGCTTATAAGCCAACAACCCCTGAAGTTCCTTCACAGCAACAGCTGTGTCTCCTCCTCTGCTCGCCCGTGTACGTGCCTCTGCGTCAGCAATCTGCCTCTTGATGCTCTCAAGCTCATGCTTTAACCGCTCTTCCTGTGCCATTGTTTCTAAAATAAAAACAATAGGAACACATCAGACACACTGATTAGTCTGAGTTCATATCAGACCAATTTACCCATTTTCAGGTGAGTACCGAACTTGAAGAGTAAACTGTCTTACCATGGGCTGCTGCATCCTTTTGGTTCAGTCTGCTCAAGTAGTCACCCGCCATGACATGACCCTTCTCACTAGAGAACGCAGACTTGGTTGCAAAGGACATGGGAACCGAAGGTCTTCCTGGTTGTTGGCGGATCTCGTTCACAGAGTAGTTGTCCGAAAGGGCATAGTTTGAATCGCCCAAGAATGAAGTGCGAAGAGCTCCAGGAAGAGTCGCAGGAACACGCTTGCCGAGTCTGCGGCTGTTCAAGATATGGAAAAACATGATGCACTGGTCCTTTCCGATCTGAGGCGCTGAGTGAACATTGACTAACGACCTAATACGTAGTGGGAGTGAAGGGGGTATATTAATATGTCAACTGAACGTCCTCGAGAAACGAGTACAGTTCTATGCATCCGCTGCTGCTGGTATATATGTTGTTCCTACCATGCGGCGTTGATATCCTCCCTGGGAATCTGCAATGCCTGGTATAACTCTTCAAACTGTCCCACTAATTTTCAACAGGGGAAATGCGATTAGTCAATATACGGGTTATGATTGTGGTTACAAAAAAACAGCCAATGGTAGGCACATCGCCGATGGGGTCGACTAGAGTAAGGGCTGTGAGACATACTTCTGACTTCTCCTGTGGAGAGCTGGACATTGTTCTGGTAGATGCCTTCGTAGTTGGTGCGGTCGGACGGGGCAATATACCAGTCAAAATCGTCAGAGAGGTTGCTGTTGACGGCGACTGCAGTATCCTATGATGATCAATTGAAAGTGCATATCAAGGGAATGTCCTAGGAAGTGAGTGATCCGTGCACAGAGCTACCCCCAACAACTCCTTGTTTCCAATGACCTATCGATGTCCTTCTCCTTGCTGCAAAGTTGTCACATACAAGATCGGCGATGGAAGAGTAGTTGGCGCTCTGAGCATAAGACTGAGCTGGGGACATGTGTGCCTGGGACATGTAAGACTGGTTGCCGTATCCTTGATTGCCTCCAAAGTAGTGTGCCTTTGACGCTGGGATCATCTGAGGTGGGAGCTGTGCTGGAATCTCTGAAATCTCGCCGTTGATAGAGGCATATACGAAGCGAAGTGCCAGACAAAACTCGTCAAAGTCCATGTTGCCGTCCTTGTCAATATCGCAGATATCCCTATTGGACAGAAGGTGAAAAGAGTTGGTTAGCCCATTGATGTTCTACAGGGGGATCGTAGTAGGCGGCCAAAGGGTTGATAGTGGTGCAATGGCGGGTAAGTGAAGGAAAGGTCAAGTAAGGAGACTACCAACGTACCAAATCTGGCCCAACTTGACGACATGCAGGCCGGAGTTCATGAAAATCTGTCGTGCCTGGACACCTATTGCACCATGGGTATGATGTAAGTCAAGTCGAGGAAGAGTTTTAATGAGAACGCGAGATGAGAGTCAGCGATGAAGAACTGCTTGTCCGTTTATATTTTCTGAACTGAGTACGACCAGAGGTTCGCAAAGAATGCATCTTAAGTCGAAAATGAGGTGGTTACCGGTGATGTAGCCGTTGATGGGGTTGAGACTTGTAAATATCTCTGCGTACTTTTGACGCTCTGCCTGGGGCATGTCCATGGTGTGAGGGATGGTTGTCGGGGTAGTGTGTATGTTTGTCGTGTGAGTATGGGAGTATGGGAGTATGGGTGTGAGTTGAGTGTGAGAGAGAGAGAGAGGAGGGAAGGATGGTGGCGTTGGTGTGGTTGATGATGATGACGAAGGAGTTGAAAGAAGAATAAGAAAGACGAGGAGTTAAAGAGAAGAGAAGAAGAGAAGAGAAGAAGAGAAGAGAAGAAGCGAAGAGAAAAGGTAAAAAGAGGCGATGGCGCACCCACGGACTGGAAGACGAGGCTGTTGGGTTGGCCTTCTACTCCTCGTTTCGACTTCGTTGGAGTCCTTCCTGCTGGGCAAATTGACAATTGCCGTTAGCGTGACGTTGTTTTTGAGGGAAGGACAAACTCGCTTTCCCTTTGGCACCACCGACACTCAAAAACTGATCTCTTTTTTTTCTTCTCTTTCCCGAATCTATAACCTTCAACCAAAACCAGACGGGATCAAGACAAATGAGCAGGATCACCCCAAGGAGCACTCACGCCGTACTCTCGTCCCTCAGAGCACGTCTCGGACTCACTCAACACTCTCATACACACTCACTCTCACTCTCACACTCACACCACGCCAGGAATAGACTCCTCCACTCTTCCTCCTCCTCCTCTTCGTCCTCTTCCTCAACACAGGCAACCATACTTCCAGACATCAAGACCGCCGCTGCTTCTGCTGCACCCAAGAGACAACGAAGAAAACAAGAACAACTCGACTCAACTTCCATCGACAATATCTCCAAAAATCTTATCAAGGACCTATACACCGGACCATCCTCCTCCAAATTAAAATTCACCATCGACGATGTCTTCGCTCTCAAACCAGCCCAGCGGACAGTGACCCCGGACGAATTCAACAAGCTCAAGGACCTCGTCGCTGCTTCCTTCAACCTCACACAACTCAAAGGCGTCCTCCGTTCTCAAGGAATTCCTGCCAATGGCAAGAAATCGGTCCTCGTCAATCAAATCATGGTCCTCATGGATCTGGAGATCGTCAAGCCCGAGTCGAACGACCCTCCATTGGTTGAGGACCCTTATCAGGCCGAGAGGAACTTTGAGTCTGAGGTCTTTTCTTCCAACCGACGCGAACTCTTCTTTATCCTTGGAGCTGAAGGAAACTCGTTGAGGCAATTGGAGAAGGAGAAGAACGTGCGGCTCTCGATCAGCATTGCGGATGAAACGTATACGATCAGGGGTGAGAAGGCGTCAATCCAGGAGGCCAAGGAGCGAATTCAGGATATGATCGCGGTTACGGAAGAGTCTTGGGATGTCTCGGGATACAAGGAGAAGGATCTGGTCATGAAGGATGCGTCGGCTCTGGAGGACATTGCGCGCCGGTCAGAGACCTTTGTGTCGGCGGGTGACGATAACACCCTGGTCATCGCTGGACGGTCGGACAAGAACATGGAGGAGGCCAAACGGTTATTCGACCTCAAAGTGCAGCAGGTACGTTGCCGCTTGCAAATGATGTGGAGATGCTTGCCATAGATGTTATTCACACCGATGACTTACCCAGACTTTTATGTGTTGAATATGGGATGTTTAGCCTTATACCAAGGACGAACAGACGTTTTATTACCAGGAGGATGTGCTGGCTCCGCTCGGTATGCTCCCAGTCTATGACTCGGTGACCATGAGCGCAGACGAAAACAAGAAGTCGTTCTTCAGGATCAGTCAAATCGTACCTGTAAGTTTCATTACTCTTTTTTTTTTTTTTTTTAGTTCAATTGCCAGGACGTTTGTCGTATGCACAAGAAATAGGCCACCTCTCTAATTTCGCTTCTTTATTCATCTCAAACCTTTCAGTACGCACACAAACCAGCTGAGCATTCTGAAAGTGATGTGATTTACCCTGTGCGGTCGTCACCCGAAACCATTGGAACCATGGACGCACTTGGACTGCACTTGAAGGAGGCATTTGGCGAGACTCTTTTGCCTAGTCAATCACTGGACGTCTCGGTTCAGCTTGGACAAGTGCTGTATCCCAATGACAACAAGCTACTGACCCAAGTTCCCATAGGGACATCGTTCGACAGCCTCGAGTTGAAGCGATGGCTTACCACCGCCCAGGACCCCTATTTCTTTCAAAAGTACGAGCGACGAGACTGTGGATGGCATGCTGACAAGACGGAGCAAATCATGAAATACATTTACTAATAGTATCATTGTTCGTCAATTCTAGCATCCCATTCTTTAAAGCAGTGTCAAGACTCCCACTGGACGGACCCAAGATCAGGACGATTGAAGTTGAATACACCCCATCCTCCAGGACTCAAGAGACATCAGCCGAACAAAGGATAACCCGGATAGTTTTTGAGCTCAACAACGAGGGCGAGCTGTGTATTCAGGAAGGACGATCGATCGATAGGCAACTTTTGACCAACATTATGGTGCTCGACCAACCCATGGATCTGCAGATCAGAAGTGAGATATCAACGCTTCTTTCTCCAGACTCGACGGCGATGAAGGCACTCTTGATGCAGACGACGTTACCATTTGCCAGCCGGTTGGACTGCCCAACCTTCTTTTCTTTCGGCGGTGATATGCAGACGGCTTCAGCACCAGCGGTTGCTCAAGTTGGTTTGGGATCGACGGCCGCCCCAACACATACCCTCAAGAGTATCTTGATGAAGACCACGGGTGTTTTCCAGCACTGTGGCTTCCCCTTGGTGGCCACGGATATTAACGACCAGTATGGCCAGGTCCGCCGTCAGGAACTCAAGGTATATCCACGCTTTCTCCCTGCTGATGATTCTCTTTTGTTCGATTTTGTGCTGGTTTGGAGGCGTGTGAAGATGGGACGACTAACAGATTCTGCCGACCTTCACTCTTTTTTTTTTTTTTTTTTTTTTTGCTTAGTTATTGCCCACTCCGTTGCGATACATTACAGGGAAGGACGCCTTGGCACCTAAACCGGATATTGCGGACAGTTGGGGAGCTTTCATGAGGGCCTCTCTGGATTTGCAAAAGCTCTTCTAAGACCCCGGGGGTCTTCTTTCATTCCACTCCTAATAAACGCACTCCGCCAGCATTCTTCTTTTGCATTTTTTTCACCTCATCGCTCATTCTTCAAGGCTACAATTTGATCCGCAAAGATTAGTTTATTAGTGTGTCTTGTCCCTGTTAATGCCTTGTCTTTCTTGGTATCAAAAACTTGGACCCCCTTGCTAGTCTATGACAGCTTTTGATGGAGTTGTCGCATATCTGCAAAGACAATAATAGTAGAAGCAATCAACAGCGCAACATTCCCAATGATCTGGTACGCGCATCCATAGTTAATGGTCGGGCTACTGTTGAGGATGGTGAGGTAGGAGGCGCCATAGTGGGTAATGACGACCCATGCGATCCGGAGCCATGATCGGTTTGTGAATCCTGAGAACGAGATCATCATCCAGGCACAGTGGTGCAGAATCAATATGCTCGTCGTTATCGCTAACCAACATGTATCAGACGTTGGGGGGAAAAAGTATAAAGTCAGTGTAAGGATTTCAATCGGCTGGCTAGCGATTTGTTTGAAGGAAGAGTAGAGAAAAACAGATAGCTTTACCAGAGATAAAGTAGAGGGAGACGGTTTTGCAAGACTCGCACATGATGACTCCAGGACCTAGGGAGTCGACGAGCTGGGTGATGTAGGAGATGATGCCAAACATCAAACCAAAACCCAGTCCTGCGGCAAATGCGTATCCTGACCGGTTGAACCTCGACTTTGGATGCATCGCAACCATATTCAGGCCACTCTCCGCCCGACTTTTCCATTGGTTGTGTATAAAAAAGTAAGAATGGTTCAATTGATTAGGTGCTACCAAAGCAGGAGGATCCATTACCTGCGATAACCGCCAGTCCATGAGGTTCTTGACTTACTTGATGAGTAGGTATAGGAAGTATCGAAAAAGTTCCTGGAGAAGGACTGTGTAAATAATAGTAACTGTAAACGTATTCCGACTATTGCTCGCTATGAACCATATTGCCGACGCCAGTAGTACAGAAATCAGCCAGAAGAAAGCGCTATACAATTGCACAGAAGACAAGAAGCGAAACCAAGTCAGTCCTCGGATTCATTCTTAAGTATCTCCCTCCTGGAAGTTTGTCCTACTGAACCCCACCATAGGGAGAGTGTCCTGAATTCATCGCTGAAGGTGTACCTGGAGACCATGAGAATGACGAGCTGGGCGTTGGGCGCGATGCTCCCGAAGAAGATGGCTAAGGAGGGTCCATAGGCTGTGAATGCGCACCCAAAGAAGGTGGTGAGAGTCATTTGTGCGCCTTGGAGAATGGGTGGGGGTTGAGGGTTGTAGGGCGGCAAGGATGGGCGGAAGGATGAGAGATTTCGTTCGTTGTGTTCAGAAGGAAGAGGAGGCTGCTCCACACAGATAAAATTAGCCACGGAACCTCGCTAATTCGACAGAGGTTTTCAATTGAGTGGGTTCATTCGCCCAACCGCGTTGAAAAAAAGAAGCGATTTCGTGTTGACAGTGTTTTTGAGAAATTGATCTACGAGGTGTTGACTAGAATACAGAGGTGCTGGTGCTTGGTGCTTGGTGCGTAGGGCGAAAGGAGATTGACAGAAGAGAGAGAAACAAAGACACGGGACGACGATTATCATCAATGGATATCTTGATAGCTTCCAGACATTAATCCCGCAGTTGGTTTGGTTGTGATGTTTGTCCGGGTCCGTGAGAAAACGTCTTCCTTGATTTACTTAGAGACGGGTTCGGGGACGGGTGCTGGCGTCTTCTTCTTGATCCACATGGGTTCTGGGTCATTGGCTGCCTTTCTCAAGACGTCCGAGAAAGCCTGGCGGCGCACCTGATCAGCCTTGACTTCATGGTACTTCTTCTTCAGTTCTGGTGACAGTTTCTGTATACCAGAAGGGTTTCATGTGGAGGATAAAGTTGAGAAAAGTTCGTGTTAGCTAATACGTGAGAAGGTTGCTGCTGAATTATGGTTCGCAACACAACGCGTGGCAGGGTAGATCTCAGTCGCCTCCGGTGTGGTCCATGCGTCCAAGAAGCCAAAGGTTCAAAGTACATGCCTCGTAGAGTTCTTCCTCTGTGGGGACGGTTGTGAGCATGAGGGCGTAGCCGACACCGACGATTCCGAATCCGGCTACGAATGCCTTTGAGTAGTTTCCCATGGTTATTCTTGTTGTATGTGTACTGTTTTTGTTGTTGTTGTTGAGTGTTGCTGGTGTTTGAGTCGAGAGGTGGTGCTTCGATGCAATAGTAAGAGAGGAAGAAAGATGCCGAAGGTGCGAGTCCGGAGATCTTTTCGTTGTTGTTCGCGGGAAGGCCGCTGGAAAAGGAAAAAATCAGCGATTCGATTCGAACATGACGTGGGATCACATGATCCTTTCTTTAAATACTCTTAGACTCAGCTTCTTTTCTTTGCACACCCTCTTCTCGCCTTCGTTCTTCTTTCCTTCTCTCACTCCATCCCGACAAACCCCTCCCATTCACACAAACAACAACACAAACAAGCATGACCGACAACCTCCCCAGCATGACAGACGCAGACAGCTGCCTCTCCGACAGCCAGCTTGAGGTAACAACCCCACAGGAAACACAACGAAGCAAAGGAACCCACCCGTTCTCTCGCCAGCCAGGGACAAAGAATCAACGAACGCACAAACCATGGACACGAATGAAATCAAGAGGAAACTAACCCCCCCACCCCCCCCGGTTCCGACTTGGTCAATCAACTTTACAATAGGTTTTGAGGAAGCAATATATTCGCGAGGGCGAGTATGTCACAGAGCAGACCCGCTTCAACTACGCATGGGGTCTCATCAAGAGCAAGAACAGACGGGAACAGACCCAGGGTGTCCTCCTCCTTACTGGTACGTTCTTTTTTTCTATGTTTCTATTCGCATGTGCCAAGACAAAACTCGACGAAAATATTACACCTTTGTCTCTTTTGAATAGCATATGCAACTGGACCAACATTTACTACGCTTGCTTTTGACGACATGAAGACAGCAACGACAGTGAAGACTATTTAACTACCAGTACAGCACAAATACGCTTTCTAACATCCCATCCTTGCATTGCACCATGGTAGATATCTATCGGGAAGTCCCAGACAGGAGACGTGAGTGCTTGTTCTACCTGGCACTTGGACACTTCAAGCTCGGTAACTACAACGACGCCCGCAAGTTCAACGAGTCCCTTCTCGAGTTTGAGCCCAACAACCACCAAGCACACGCCCTTCGTCAGGAGATCGAGGATCGCGTTGCCAAGGGTAAGACACAGCTTCCCCTTTTCTTCCTGAGCAGCCATCATTATTTACCGACTTATGATTTTTGTTGCTGTGGTCGTGCTAACCCGATTCGCCACTTTTTTTTGTTGACTTATAGAGGGATACATCGGTATGGCTATTGTCGGAACTGTCGCAGCAGTGGGAACCATCATCTTGACTTCGCTTTTGAAGAGAAAGTAAAGAAAGAGGGCGTATTGACAAGCATCATTGGACACCGGACAGAAACATTTTCGTTTTTGTGGGATGGACCATTTGTTTTCGTATTTATTCATGGACGGCAATGACTCAGCAAACCCCGCGCACTCCAGTTTTGCTCAACACCCCTCTGTCGCTACTATTGCAGGATGCTCTTACCTCCGACCTACATACCAACAACGACTGACGCCCGTTCTTTTTTCCACTGGCGTCTCACGAACCCCTTGCATACCACCCACCCACAACCACTAAATAAAAGAATTATCATTCACCAGCAAGCATAAGATGTGCATTAAGGATTATGTTTATTAAGGCCATCAAACTGAGAGGAGGTGATTTACAGGTTGTGCTTCCGACGGTGATAGTAATAGTAATTGTAATAGTAATAATAATGTTGATTGTTGTTGAACAAACACGGGGTCATCGCGTGTTTCGAAAAAAAATGAGACGCGTCAAAAGTTCATTCTCCCTCAAGATGGAAAACAACCTAACTACACCCCTTTCTCTTTACAAGAAGTAGACAGCTCCGAAGAGGGTCATGGCAAAGGCCAACATATTAGCGCCCTGATGGGTCTCGCTATGGGCAGACGAGGCATGGGCAGCAGGCTTGGCAACTGCAGGAGGGGACACGGGCTTGGACGAAGCCGCGGGGTCAGCAGGGAATGGGTTAGGAGGCAAAGCGGGCTTGGTGGGCCCCTTGTCCAAGGGCTGAGGCATATTACCCCTTTGAGGCATCTGGAGGGGCTCTCCAACATTCGACTTGTTGGATCGAGAGTCACCAGCCTTGACGACTTCAAAGTAGTGCGAATAAGTGTCGACGTCGCTGCCGTGGGAGATGCGGATGGAGTAGTCTGTGGCGGGAGTGACGGTGGTAGGGACGAGCCATTCATACTTGTGAAGGGACGAGTCGACGCCATTGGAGAGGACGGCGATTTCTTTGAGGTTGTCGGGGGGGCCTTGCATGAGTCGGATGTCGACGAGGGCCTTGGGGGTCAAGGCCTTGGCGTAGATGGGGTCTGGGTTGGGGCCCCAGCTGATGACGTAGGTCTCGCCCTGGGCCCAGACGCTGCTGCCGAAGGGCTGGACGAGCCAGAGGGGGCTGGAGTAGTCGCGGGGAACGCTGGGGTTAGCAGCGTCCCCCTCCTTGCCCTCTCCGCCGCCGACGGCTGGTGTGGCGGCATCACCGCCAGTAGCGGGATCCTTCTCGCCTCCCTTGTCAGAAGTATCCTTGTCGCCGCCCGTCTTGTCAGCAGCACCGTCCTTATTACCAGCTCCTCCCTTCTTGTCACCTTCAGCTCCGTTCTTGTCACCTTCAGCTCCCGTCTTGTCACCTTCAGCTCCATTCTTGTCCCCTTCAGCTACTACCTTCTCCTCACCTTCAGCTCCTTTCTTGTCCCCGCTATCCTTAGCCTCCTTCTCCTCACCCTCCTTCTTCCCACCTCCACCATTCTTCTTGTCCCCCTTACCACCCTTCTTCTCCTTCTTCTCCCCATGCTCTTCATCATTACCACTACCCTTCACCTCCTCCTCCTTGCCATCCTTATCACGGTGCCGACTCCCACCATCACTATGAGCCTCTACCCTATGCTCTTTATGCTTCTTCCCACCCTTCTTCCTTTGGTGCTCGTGACGGTTCACGCCCTTGGGTCCATCCGCAGCGCGCTTGACGACGGAGACGCCATTGACCTCGTGGTGGCGCGCGTCGCGCTTATCGGCGATTGAGGCTGCGGTGTTGAGTGAGGAGACGGTGGATTTCTTGTCGGCCAGGACTGTTGCTGAGGCCAGGAGGAGGACGGCGGAGAGGGTTGTGATCTTCATTGCTTTTTTAGGTTGTTTTGCTTGCGGTTTTTTTTTTGTTGTTGTTGTTTGTTGGTTGTTGTTGTGTTGAGGTGGGTAAAGTGTAAATGCGATTAGTTGGTTGGTTGATTAGTTGTTAGGGGAATAAGCGCGACTGTGTGGGTGTGTGTGTGTTCGGTGAGCTGTAGGGGTGTAGAAAAAAAAAAGAGAGAAAAATAAAACAAAGCAGGTGAAGGAATGGGTCGCGTATTTATGTGCACCATTGATGAGAATTTTTCCTCACCCATAAATTCGGTTAGGCATAACTTTTCACCCTCATAGTCCAACACTTTTTGCTGCAGTGTCGCGCTGTGCGGTATGAGGCATTTGGAGTGGTCAGTTAAGACCGAAATACATTTTCTTGCATATGCGATACACAGTACGTGGGACGAAGAATGAAAACATGGTAGGAACGATGTTCTATTTTGGACATGCATTATCATGAACTAGTTTAGCAACAGTGAATCAAAAAAAGAAGGATGTTAGAAATTGAACTGACAACTGAAGAGACTCACATATCGATATAGGGCAAAATAAGAGATTTGTAAGAAGAAAAAAAAGGATGGTGAGGAACATGGAATGTGATGAAGGATAGGAAATTTATTGTTCTGGTGGGCGTTCGATCGCGTCTTTATCAAATGGCCGCTAGACATATCCCAAAAGTATGCTGAGCATGATGGCCAATAGGCGCATCAAGCCTGTGCACGCCTCATTATCCCCTCCGTGGAATTTTTTGTGGATCCTAGAGGGACGACGCAATACTCACCTCCGATCGAGTCTTTGCACACTTCGTTCTTGTCAGCTTAATGCATCCCTCTCTCGGTCCTGCCCTTACAAACCGTTCGTTACAACAAAAAGTGTCCCCGACCAACCAATATCAAACACAACGGTTCGCTCATCCTCTCGGTATATGGGTGCAACCGCGTTGGAATCGAAGCCACGACCTGTACGGTTGTCGTCGGAGAAAATGATACCGTTCCAGAATGCACTTGAAACTCTTTCGTGATCGATTTTGTCGCAAGCAGCGGAAGATCGGGCTAGTGATTTTTCGACTCAACTGAAGAATGTCGTTCGTAGGCTAGTACGAGGTTTAGGTATGAGGGGCTGATGGCACTATTGAAGCTGCAGCATTTCTTGGTAATGAGCCAGCGCGTCCATGTCATACTTTGTCCTTTGCCCTGTAGCAGTGCGGAGTCCTTACGCCCGATCTTTAGTTCTATTTTCCAGACACATATCCCATGTGTCCACGTATCCATGGAAGCTGAGTGCTTTTTGACTTGTTTTATTTTGTTGTAGGGGTCAGCGATAGCAACTACTCGATCGTATCGCAGAGCTGCATCATCCGACTCATGGCTTCGGCATTCTTGTTGGTCGCTGACGTGCTGCCTCCAATTGCTGTTCCATTTCCTCCTGCGTCTGTGGCTGTTGCTGATGTTGACGCCGCTACCGGTGTTGCTGGTGCCATATCGACATCCTGGTTGTTGTCGCTCGTCGTAGCCCCTGCCGGAGTGACAAGCCGATCCTGTTCCAATGCCCTCAATCCTGCAAGCTGTTTCCGCAAATCCGCGCATGTCCTATAGTAAATTGTCAAGTCAAATAACAAAGGCGAACTGTGAATATCCCAAACTTCCAAAGAACAAACAGGCGCGCGCATGTAGGGTTTGAGCGGATACCCAGAAAATTAAGTGGATGCGTACTTTCTTACGGCGGCCGTCTCTTTTCTTTTCCTGTCCAGTTGGTCGTTCATCATGAGCCGCAGGGTCTCACGGGCCTGATGGGGTCGGTATTCGTTCAATATGTGGTGCATGTTGATGAAGATCACTCGGATATGATCCACTTTCGTCGCAAACTAGGAGGAAAAAAGTTTGCCGTGGATGTGGATGACAATAACCCCAACGAGTCAGTGTTCTGTGTCATCGCTTCGTGAAAATGGTTCTCCTGTGAATGCACATTGTTCGATGTTTCCCGTTGCGCTTTACCTCGCCTGGAGATGTGGATAGGACGTGTACAAGATCCAGAAAGTTGAAGATGGCAGAGTGGTTGAGCTTCTTGAGTTCCTTTACGCGATCTACAACAGTCATGTAATTAATCAGGAGTCAGTTTCTTGTCCCAGGCGTGCCTCCTGGCGTAACATATCATCCTCCTTCCAGTTCCTGTGTGGCAGTTAGGAGATGACATACCGATATCGCCCTTAGGGTAGAGTTGCTCAATCCCTTGTTCCGCCAGTGTCGCCAAAGTGTCTTGAACCTATAAGAACAAGTAACAATACAGGCAACCACCGCAGGCAGGCGTCAGTGTCCTTGTTAATCGCCCAAACAAACTCATCACCTCCGCCACCACCATCAGCGCAATCTCCCCATATTCCAGAGAAACATACCGGCCAGGGTCTGCCAAACATCCAACAGATGCCGCGCTTGATGGGTGGCGGTGGTTCCAGAGCGAAGATGGGGAATGGCAGGGCATCGAGAGCAGTTATGAGGTCTGGATTGGTTGGATCGGATTTCGCCTTTTCGAGGAGGGCCAAGTTGGGTTGGGTGTAGCGTTGGAAGTAGTAGGGTGGTGCTGGGAAGGCTGCTCCTTGTTGCTGTGCGTTTGGGTCTTCCATGTTGTGCTTGGTATGTCTTGTTGATGATTGTGGGTGATGGGGAGTGGTTGTTTGATTCTTGAAGAACCTGTGTGTGTGAGAGAGAGAAAGAACCAATCGTGACTGTGAGCTTTGATTCTAGGGCAGCCAGTCAGAGCGAGGAAAAAAACGCGTCCAGATCACTCGACTGTGCCTCTGAACACACACACCTCCAAGGTCTCGCTCGACAACACAAACAAAAAAGAAAGAAATGCACGACGCGTCTCTTCATACCCTACATCGCCAGTAAATCCCACGCAGACGCATCATGCAACAGGTACCCAGTCTTTCTCAATTCAATATTGTACGTTTGAGGTATGTTGCGATCCACCCAATAGAAAGCTGGTGGCGTTCTAAGATGCTTTTTGAGAACAATTATGTTGCAATTCATTGAGCCGGACGTCCGTCCTGCTGTTTTCGTTTTCGCTTAATTGTGTTGTCCTTTGTCCCATTCAATAACATGCACGTTCAATATCTTTCCACCAAAAAACACCGTCAACAACACACACACACCATTCCTGAAGCTTTTCAATTCGCAACACGTCGTTTAGAGCGATCTTGAGATCTTGAAGAAGGTGCCAATGAATGCCGTTGGTTCAAAGGGAGAGGAAATCACAATAAAACTAGCAACCGCAACACAACACTTGAAGGAAGAGGCCCAGATGAATATTAGCTGACCTCGTCGGGTGGTCGTCATCATCCAGTATCTCCAGTTTTTTTTTTTTTTTTTTTTTTTTTTTTGGCATTCATAGATAGGCTTGATTGTGAGGTTCTCTTGCTGTGGACGGACTTTGGTTTCATTTTTTGTTTATGGTCCACGTTTTGATCTTGATCAACTGCTGGAACCCTTGTGACAAGATCAGTGATCTAACTTTGACCCTGTATCACTGCTTTAAAACTCTCTTTTACTCATTACCTTCCTACCATCAGCTATCACCTTTTATCATCCATATATCACTTCTAGCTCCTAGTAGTACCCTCTCTATCATCATGTATTAACACCACCTACTTGCGCTATAGCCTAAGTTTAAATAAGCTTCTCTTCACTTCAATAAACCTCACTCGTTTCTACCTCTTCTGTTTGACTACTTACTCTGGTGTCACCATGGACTCGGGAATAGAATGAGAGAACATGGATGGGGTAGTGAATGTAGGCATGAGCCATGAACTTTTCATTTTCTCCTCGAGGCCGTCGTTTTTCGAATGGCGATGAAAGAATTGTTTCTTGGACTAAGAATGAGCCTCCCGTTAAGAAGGTTATGAACGTCGATGAGGGCGAAAGAATCCCTGTCTGTCATCAGATGAGCAAAGTTGAATGGCGAGAGATGGGAGGGTTGGAGGTGAGCGAAAGGGCGGAAGAAGATGAGGGGGAAGAAAAGGAACGCGGCGGCCAAATTAAAAAAGCAAGAAATGAAAGAGGCGGGGAGTCCTCCTGAACATTGGTGGCAATAGTGACAGGCAGTAGTACGCAGATCCCACATGGATAATCAGATCCCGGGATAATTTGGCTCTTTTCCATCACCTTCATTGCCAGCATGTTTTTTGTGGATGAGCAACGGACATCCTGCTTTATTTGCTCTAGAAGATACTCGGCTCATAACTCCTGACAATGTGTCCCATCTCTACATTAAAAAACGCTTAAGAACAAGCGCAACCAAAACACCGCCAAATCCGATAATGAGGACATCCAGCCAAATGGGACTGGAGTGGACCCTGTGAATCTGCTGTGTCTGCTGTTGTCCTTGTGTCTGCTGTGGCCGCGTTGGAGGATTGGTAGGTTGGGGCTGTGCTGGATTGTAATGTGCAGATGTGAACGTTGGTGCCGCCGGTGATGGCAACGAAGTTGTAGCTGATACTGATTCCTGTTCCTTGGACGAGTCCGTTGGGAGAGGGATAGTAGAAGGAGCTGTTGTTGCTGAAGAAGAATCCTGGGCCTGGGCGGCAAGAGCTCGTGCTTCAGCTGAGGAAAGTCCTGGCGATACCACCCTAGTCCTTGGACTTGACGCAGCTGTCCTAGTAGGTGAAGAGGGCGCTGTTGTCGAGGAATCCTTTGTTTTTGATCCCTTGTCATCTGCTCCCTGACTGCTTGGTGAGTTGCCTCCTGTTCCATTGCTGCTTCCCTGAGCGTCGTCCTCTGCGGCCTTCTTCTTGTCAGCCTCATATCCGAACGAAAACTCGGGTGGCATCTCGTCAGCTTTGAGGAAGGCTTTGACAACATTCTCTGGTGCGACGTCCGGCAAAATTGTCACCATGTCCGAATGGCACGTCTGGCACACCCACGTTTTCGATCTACACATCCACAAAAAAGTGATGAAAAGAGACGCCTCACTGTTAGTGCTCGTGCAAACTTGTGGAAGGAGCGGGAGTTGGATGGAGGAGGGAGTTCTCATTTTTCTACTTTTCTTTTCGTGTACTTTCAGGGGTGGCCAATAAAATAAGCACTCGACTACACAAACAAAAACGCACAAAGGCCGCCACTCCCTATCCTCTTGCTTCTATCAGTCTGCCCCCCCTATTATTCACGTTATTGAAGGCTTACCTGATAGCGAGCGCTTTTCGGGCATCGACGCTGGTATCCAGTCCACCAATGGCGCCTTTACTCTCAGTAGGCAAGAATCCCATGACGGCGACCAATACTGTGCGGATCCCCCAAGCAGGCTGCCAGTACTCTGGATGGTATCCTGTGATGCTCAGACACACTTTCTTGTTCAGCTCGAACCGTCCATTAGGCTATATGTTAATATAGGGGAGAGAAAATAATTTCATGAGGCCATTGTCCATTTGTTTCCCACCCTCGAAACACATACGCACCCATATCGGATATGACATGTGTGGAGATAGTTTACCGTCAGGAACATCAGACTGGGCGGAGCAAAAGGATAATTGTTGGGCAAGAGGATCCGACCATGATAGAGTCCGCCCTCAAACTCTGTCTCCTCTGGTCCTCTGATCGTGAAATGCCACTCAAAGATATCCGTCTAAGCAAAGGATAAAGTGTGGGATGATTGATGTCTGTCGATTAGAAATCTGTATTTACGGCGGGGGTTCACGTTGTAGTATGTGGGATTAGACACAAACAGAGGTCAGCACCCTGATGTTCTCCTTGACGACGAACCCCATTCCAGTGTACGATGTGTTGGCAGGCCACGATACGTCTGAAAATAAAAATATTTGAGCACACTAATTCGCTGCGAGTGAGGAGGCCAGGCTTACTTCGAGAGGGTTGGCGGCAAAATCGGTTGACGGTTCCCGGACGAGCTCCCTTGCCTCTTGCATAATACGCTTGACAGCTACAGTATATCATAAGAGTTCATTGGCAAGTATAGGGTTGAGAAAAGGACGAAGTAATGAAGGAGGTGGCTGTCAGTCTTCTCTGCATGCAAAAGTTCCATGAAAGTAAGCAGGCAAGTAGGTCGTGGGGTTGATGTCGTGTGGATGTATTGAGTTGAGTGTGTAGAATGAGCTGATGCAGAGGAGTGGGAGGTAAGAGTGCTGTTGTGGTGTATTACCCGAGGACTTTTTGTTGTACTGGGCAGGGATGCCCGCAAGAGAGGCCATGTCGTATTCTGTGTGGGCTGAGAGAGAAGGAGAGGGGTGGGTTGGTTGGGGGAAGAAGGAGAAAAGGGCAGAGATACATCCGCCCAATTCCTTTTTTTTTATTTCTCAGTCTCGCAGTCACTACTCATTTCTCACAGCTCCTGGACATAGTTCCCAGGGAAGACACCTTGCTTCCCGTTCAGCCTACCTGTCCACCAGTCGTTCGCGCTGTTCGACTTTTCAATAATCTCAATATGATCGTCCTTTCGGAAACTTAAGTCTCCAGCCTGCTGAGCATCATAATTATACAGCGCCACCGCCATCTTGGCCCCTCCAGAAACTCCAATTCGCTTGGGGATAGGTGGAGGAGGGCCTTTCTTCTGGTTGAGCGTCGCATTAAAACTGTTTACCGCATGCGACGTCGCTGCTGCTGCCGCAGTCCCTGAAATCGTACCAGAAATCGACGGCGTCAAGTGAATGTTGACATTCGACGGTCCAGTGTATTGTGATCCAGACTTCTCAGTGGCTGCTACTGGTGTGGTTGGAGCTGGCATGGCATTGTAAGCAGGAGGGGGAGCCGAAGATGCTGCTGCTCCAGTCTGCCAAGGCTTGAGTCCAGCAGCTTCCGGTGCTTGTGGTGCTGCAGATCCTCCAGTCTGCCATGGTTTTGCCCCTGCAGAGGCGATACCGGCTTGCCAGGGCTTGACTCCTGCTGTTGGGGCAGTAGGAGAATACCCACGGTGGGTATTGGGTGCCAGCGCCGGGACTCCCTGGTGCTCCTCTGCACCTTCCTCATAAGAGGGTCGTCCATACTTGCTCGCATAGCCTGCAAAGGAGAATCAAAACATACGCAAAGAAGGATTAGTAAATGTTGCGCCAAGGGACGTGCGGTTGTAACATGTGTCTTGTCCAACCTCGAGTCAAGGGAAGCTTACTGGTGGTGACTGACTTGCGGGTGATTTTTTCGACGGATTCGACCGTTGGGGCAGTGTCTTGTTTCCTGGCCTCATAGCCTTGGAGAACGTTCATGGTCAGATTGTAGTAGCCACTGTTGGCAAGTGGGGTGATGCGCTCCAGCATGATGTTGTAGATGCGGAGCTGCAAAAAATAAAACGAGTTGAAGACAGGTTCGATCAACTTTGTGTTGTAGTAGAAGAACCCAGGGAGCTCCTCTCTCAGCAACCCGTTTAGCCCCTCGTAGTCTGCTGTTGCCACCTCCAATTGTGACTCCAGCTATTTAATTGTTAAGTAGAAAAGGAGGATTATAAACGGTCAGTACGTTACAATCTTGAGGGCAAAGAGTTGGGTGGAACGATACAAGAAAAACGTATAATAAAACGTACCTTGTATATCTGCTTTTCGTCGTTAAGGGTTCGCTCCTTCTTGTCCGTCAGCTTTTTGAGCGAGAGGCGGTAGCGGTCATAGTCGATCAGCTTATGTTCCCTCTTGGTTATGGTCCTGCGGATCAGCTTCATGTTGTTCAACATCTCTTGCAGAGGTCGAACCACAGTCAACTCCAGATTGTCCTATTGTGTTGCATGGATCGTCAATTGTCAGAGGCGGCGTTAGCTCATGCCCGTGCGAAAAAAACGACAATTCACATTACTCAAGTCAAACGGATCAGAGCCCAAACCCTCCTTCATTCTTGACATACCACCTCGGGGAGGAGAATGTCCCTTGTTTCTCTCATGACAGCCTGGAAGTTATCAACAGCCTGGATCGACTCTGGCGCGGTCGGGGCTCGACGCGGGGTGACCTCGCCACTGGGCATACTCAGATTAGGGTCATAGATCTCGGCAAGGACGATCCCAAACTCTGCTTGGTGGTTCAGCATGGCTGACACATTTTTATTGGGTAGGATAGGAAGGTGGAAGGAAGAAAAAGCTGGGTCAGGCCAAGTTGTCTTTGTTTCTGCTATCCTCCAGGTTGCCTTCGTGGGCACCCAGGCGGGTTATTTTGTTTGTAAAGGAACACTCTACGCCTTAATTGAATGAAGGGTGTGGAGGAAGCACTTACAGGTGATATTGTCGCGGTACTTCATGACCTCTTGCAACAGATTGGCGGTGACCCTTTCGCAGGTAGTGAACTTGCCGTTCAACTCTGCAAACTCGTCATCTCTCGTTTCTATTTGTGCAGAAGGAAAAGAGAAAAGGATATGAACATGATATCATGTGTGGTGGTGGTTGATCGTCCTGCTCCTTCTGGCTTTGGAGGGCGTATCAAAGTAAAAAAGAGGAAGTTGAGCTGTTGCGTTGTACCATCACGGATGCCAGTCTTGGTGGAGATTGTATGCGGCAGCCTGTAGACGGCCTTGGTGAATCCCTTCCTATGATGTGACAAAGTAGTTTGAAGAGTTCGGCAGTGTTAGGCAAGTGGGTCACTTGCACTTGCCGACCAAGGTTAATCATCATGCGCGGTTGTCGACTTGCCAGCTCATAGTGCGGTCGTTGTCGTTGTTTTTGTAGCGTGTTGCTTGCGAGGCGGCGGAGAGGGAGTAGTTGGAATGCTGAAATTGTAAGTGAGTGTGAGTAAAAAGAAAGAGGCGGTTGAAGTTCGAGCACAGTAAAAAAAAAAAAAAAAAAGTCTCACAACTCGTGGCTGTGGTCGCACATGCGATTCATGCAGGAGACGGAAGAGACAGTCACATATCGCAAGCTTTGTCCAACTTTTCTTGCTGAACAGAGAGGACACCCTTGTTTCTTTCATGCTCATCATCCCCACGACTTACACGCCCCTTATCCTCGACTCATTGCCGCAAAAAAAAAACCACAAAGTAAAGAAAAGAACGTAACCAACCAAGAGCAGGAACTTATTACTATTGCTGACAAGAACACAACCACAACTGGCAACAACCACGCATCCAAATGATGTCTGTCCCGAACGAAGAAACCACCGCGGTGGACGCATCCGCTCCTGAATTTCTCCTGGACCAGCATGTCAAGTACATTCAAGCCCTCGACACCGTATGTCAACCTCAACCCACTAGGATGTTCTGGCAATCTCTGTTGTTTTTTTTTCTTTCTTTCAGAACCTATTAGAAACTGACACGTATCGTGATTTTATATTGACACTCTTAGAAAAAGAACGACCTCGAGTACTGGCTCACGGAGCATCTCAGGGTCAACGGACTCTATTGGGGAGCAACAGCACTTCATATACTCGGTCACCCGGATGCACTGGACCAGGAACAAATTGTCGAGTACCTCGTCAAGTGCCAACACGACAATGGTAAAAAATAGCCTGACCCTTCTCAATAGCAAGGGGGTTGCATTGGGCCATTGTGACGTCATGATACCCGTCTATCGCCTAACGTCGAACCACGGATGAGACTAAGGATGAAAAGAAGAAAAGTACGACCCCCTAACTCCACTATCATATCCATCGTGTGAACGCATTAGGTGGATTCGGAGGCCATATCGACCATGACCCTCACATCCTGTCGACATTGAGCGCCGTTCAGATCTTGATTACATACGACCGTCTGGATGCAATCCAGGTGGACAAGGTTGTTGACTGTAAGTCTGAAATGATCACGAAGCGAAATGCATAGGGCGGTATTCATTTGTTGATTATCTTCCGACCGATTAACCCTCGCCCTACTTTATTAATTGCAAACAGATATCGCGTCGTTGCAAAACGAGGATGGATCATTCAGCGGTGACTCGTGGGGCGAAACGGATACTCGATTCATCTTTTGCGCGATCAACTGCCTGAGCCTGCTGAAGAAACTGGACGACAAGAGGCTGGATCTGCAAAAGACCATCGACTATGTGGTCCGATGCCGTAACTTTGACGGCGGATTCGGATCATCGCCCGGGGGAGAGAGCCATGCTGCTCAGGTGTATGTCTGTGTCGGAACCTTGACCATCTTGGGCGCACTGCATCATGTTGATGCTGACCAGCTAGGGTGGTGGCTCAGCGAGAGACAGCTCAAGAATGGAGGATTGAATGGTCGACCAGAGAAGCTGGAGGATGTCTGTTACTCGTGGTGGGTTCTGAGCAGTCTCAGCATGTTGAATCGGACCCACTGGATCGACGCACCCAAGTTGATCCGCTTTATTCTTGAGGCCCAGGTAAGCACCACCAACGGCTTTACTTTCGTACTGAAAGAGATGGTTTGTGCGGAAACTTTGAAGGTGGCTACAAGAAACTGAGCATTTTCATTTTTTGCTTTGGTCAATGATAACATAGGACACAGAGACGGGTGGAATCGCAGATCGCCCAGGGAACATGCCAGATGTGTTCCACACGGTGTTTGGTATTGCAGGATTATCGCTTCTAGGATACCCTGGACTGGTTGCAGTCGATCCTGTGTACTGCATGCCTCGTCATGTTATCCAGCGCATTGGCTTGATCGAAAAGCATTAGATTTTGCTCTATGTTGTCCTACTGAGGGTCTGAATAAAGCCACGAAATGTATATAGCTTAACCAGCCGTCTCCCAGGTCCTTTGGCCTGCTCACCTGGCCACAAGTGGCGCACAAAAAGATATACTGTAATAGTGAAGAAGGAGAGGCAGTTCATGGTAGTCGGGACACGTAAAACATAATGATGCTTCTCTTTTTCACCCTTCGGAAGATTGACAGTCAAGAGAAGGACCGGTCCATCCACCCAGACACCATCATTGATGACTTTGTTTGTCTCACTGGTTTATCAGGAGTAATGCTTATTATATATACAAAAAACCGACTTTTCTTTCACTTGCGGCTCGAATGGACACATTCCGGCGAAGGGCAATTGCCATATATAAAGAGAAGAGGAATAATAAGGAAAGGCGGAACAAGTGTGACCATAAATCCTGAACGCTGGGAGAATGAAGTCATGGATGGTTGGGAAGAAGAGGAGAGAGAGAGCCATGACGCACCTATTGAGCCAATTCGGCCAAGGGCAAAGTGTCCGTTTTGGGACAGACAAAAAAGTCATAAAAGACGAGGGTAGTTTCTCTCTCGTCTTCTCCCTTTTGTCTTTTTTTTACTTTTCTTCCTTATCATCCATCCTCCTCCCCCTCCACTCCCCCTTTTACAACAACCACGCACGAGCACTCACACATACTCACACTCCCACCCAGTCTACTCTCTCATCAACACTACCCTAAACCCTTTTCTAGCCCCAATCACTTTTTTCTTTCTCACACTTTTTTACATCCCTAACTTGTCAAAACCAAATGACTTCAACTCCCACGCCAGACCAGATCCCTATCGAGGAGCAGCCCATCCTCGAGGCACTCGTCTCTATCAAGCACCGTCTGACAGCTATCAAAAAGGACCGTTCACAGTTCATCAAGACCTCGACCGTCACCGGGCTCTACGACGAACTCTCTGTCCAGCTCCAGCGGCTGGAGGAGATCCGTGGCGCATCGACCATCTGGGGAAACAGGAATAACGTCAACAGTATTCTCGACGACGTCTTTGTTATCCTCTCGCTCTGTTTCATGGCCATCGGAAAGACTAAAGAGAGTCCGGCCACCTATGTCCAACTGCTCACCATCAAGGTATGTCACCCCGCGTGGAAATGACATGGATTCGGGACGTGAGAAGGAAAAAATCTTTTCGTCGTGTTCTTGGTCCCACCAGTACCATCAGTGTCAGACTCTGCGAATCGGATATGAATTACAGGGACAGGCGCACTCACCGAGGGACTATCGCAACCTCTTCTCTGAATCGTTCATTCTGCTAATAGCAATGCCTGACAGGACTCCAGGAATCAGATGGCATGTACGGCGCTGGTAAGTCTAATCTTCTTTACTCCCTCTCCACATTCACGACTTCCTCTTTTGATTGTTCCGGAAGGTTCAACGAAAAAAGAATGCGCGCGCTTATGATATCGGACGGTGAAAATCATTTTGGCTAAACTGTAATCTTTGTCCTTTTACTTGAAAATAGAGGACTTGAAGCAATACGAGGATCGACTTGCAGAGCTGGAGGCCTTCATCAAGGTCGATGAGGCCAAGACTTCCATACCCGATATCCAAACCAAGATTCTCCGTCGTAAACTCGACTTTAATAGTACGTTTGCTTGGTCTCTCTTTTGTCATCCTTCTCTGTTTACCAAAAGTGGCGTGGCATGTTTGCCTTGTGGTCGTGCTACGATCAGATTGGACTAACAGTGTGGTATTTTCGTGCTTTGCTTGTTTGCCTCCCTTACGTACGATAGATAATCTTATGGCCGAATTGATGAATGCTACAAAGTCCATTTCGCAAGAACTGGCGCCCGTGCACAGGCGACTTGTTCAATTGAAGATCGAGCTCGACACACTGGCCTCACGATCGACCTGGACCGCCTCAGAGGTACACCACATCCAGGAAGAGTTGCGTGAGATCGAGGCCAAGAGAGTCGACGGCAAGTTTTGCGACAAGGAGGGTAATGTTGTCAGTGGACAGGCTGCGGTCATTGGATTGCTGGAAGACTGTTATGACGATTGCCACAACTTGTTGGCCACCAAGGAGCAGGTCCCCAAGCCTCTGCAGGATATCTTTAAGCGGCTGCAGGTGATCAAGACAGAACTGGAGAGGCTGGTCTTGACACAGCGCTGGACATTGAGAGAGACAGATCTGTGGCAATATGAGATCCAATTGAGCGAGATAAGCACCCACCGCAAGAACGGCAAATTTGTCGATCGTGAAGGAAACATCCAAGAAGGCCAGGTAACCTACCCCATCCGTATTTCTGCAAATGTGATTGGTTACCCACAATGTGCGATTTGCGAATATTGTTTGCTGACCATGTTGTTGCTCTTTTGTTCTCGTTTTGGTTGATCCGGGGGTGAATCAGGCGCTGCTGAACTTTATGCTGCACAAGTGCTACCGTCTCATCTATGTCTTGCTCTCCGCATCTGAGCCAATTGCCGAGGCATTGATGCCTATCCATAACCAGCTCTTGACTGTGCGCCGATGCTTACTCGAGGTCAAAAAGTGGGGCGGCGACTTTACAGGTATGCATTGCTTTCTTTCTTTCTTTTTTGCTCCCACACCTTGCCTGTTCTGTTCCATTGTGGTTTCACTTTTTCACTTGCAAGTTCTGATACTCCTGTTTGCTTTCTTATAGTTCGTGACTTGTACCCATACCAGATGAAGTTGGCGTCAATGGACAATATGCGCGTGGACGGAAAGTTCTTGGACAAGGACAAGGAGATCCCTGAAGGTCAAGGCATTTGCAACTCGCTACTGAGCGAGTGTTACGATATCCTCTATGAGCTGCAAGACTCTGTTGTCGAGGAGTCATCCGATGCTGACGATGATGACGATGAGCTTCGAGAATCGGGAAACTTAGATGTTGTTGTCTAAGCTATTTTTTTCATTCTTTCATAGGACTACGAGATGCATTAGCAGTTCGCAGTTGTACTTTTAGTTTTTGCTCTAGTCAATAATTACTTTTTTTTTAAATTACTTTTTAGTCTTCAATTGTATCGTTGTAGGTGTGTATGTATGTATGCTGTCAATGGCGTTATCCAGCTTTTGCACTTGCTTCGCCCTTTTGTGTCAATTTGAGCAACTGCCCGCTAGAAGTCGTAATGCTGATCAGGTTTATTAGTATGTTAGTATCCGCTACTTTTTTCATGGCACTGTGGTTCGACGATGATATGTCTTCAGAAGGGGAAACTCACCTCTGGACGCGCCCACTGCCGACCAGATCATGGACATGGAACTCATGTGAGAGAGAAGAGCCCCGTAACGGTTTCGCCGTGATGGCCTAAGAACAAAGACATCCAAATCATGAGTAAATGGCAATTAAGGCATAGAAATAGTATCAATTGTCAAGCACGCAAACAGAAAACTAGAATGCTGCTTACAGAAGTCAACATGTCGCCAAACATCTGACGTTTGATCATCCTCAAGATCTCAAGCCGACCCTTCAGAAAGTGGGTCACAAACAGCCCACCTTGTCGGATCGCAAACCGGTACGCAACATCGTCCGAGGTCCGTCCCCTGTGCGCTGTCGCATCCGTAATCACCGTCGTCGCCGCAACTGAATTTGTGGTGTTACTGCTCCTGGATGTCGGGACCAAGGTTCCAGCAGCCGCCGAGGTTGGAAGCGAGGATGGGGTGTCGGCGCGGATACTTTTGGCGTGTTGTTGGTTGGTGGTTGTGATGAGCTGGTTCAGAGATGAGTGACTCCCTGAAGAGTTGCTTCCATTTAATGAGGCGTTGGCGGTGTTTGTGTGATGGGATGCGGATGCGTCTAGGTTGATAAGATGTGGGTTCGCCGGTACTGAGAGACTCCTGTTGAGCAACGAGTACCGAATCAAAGTTCTAAATAATTACGAGTGAGAATTGGTGTGTCAGCTTCTCGTTAACTCTGTCGATCAAGACAAACTGTATTACAGACAGATATCCTCATTCTTACGTGATATCTTGATCTGTGGCTCCGATTGCGTCCTGGATGTTGGCGTGTTGGATCGAGATCTCCATACACTGGCCACCAGACACCAGCTCCTTGAACCGATCAAAGATCTCCCCTTCACCCGCCGCCTCATCGGTACTTCCTGACCCTGAGGACGTTACCGCTGCCAAAATCAGTGCTGAGCCAGCTCTCGTCCCTGCGACAGCCCCAACAGTGCCTCTCCGCTTATTCGACTCGCCAGCACTCGAGTGCGCAGCTGCTGTTGGCGCAGTGGAGTCCAGTTTCCGCTTCCCAGTCGAAGGCGTAGGTGATACTGCTGTAGCTGTCTTCTTCTGGGCTTCTTTAAGATCCTCGAGGTACTGTTCCTTGGCCTGGTCAATCTGGTGGATATAATCTTCTGTCAGCATGATGGCGAACTCGTCGGATCCTGTTCCCCCAATGTAGAACTTGCGAAGCGTTCCATCCTTGATCAACTGAGCCTATTGTTTACCAAAAAGAATGAGGATTCTTAGCCTTTATAATATCAGAGATATGCGCAAAGGTATTTTCAAGAAAGAAGTGTTACTTACAAGGGTGCGGTCTACAGTGGTATGGTCCTTGAGGATGCTGTAGATCTGATGGATCATACAAACCCTCGGAAACTGCTTCTGCTGGCGGACTTTTTCTGGCTTTAACAGGCTCAAGAGGTAGTTGATTGTACCGAGAGTTTCGGTAGGGTATGGATCTTCATTGGTGCCCGCAGATGCAACACTCGAAGCTGCAGTTGCTTTTGTTGAAGAAGGGGGTCTTGTCGATGGAAATTGGTGGCGTCGCTGCGGAGTTGAACTTTGGCCTCTTTGTCGTCGTCTGGGGTCTGCAGTTGACGACGGGAGAACCATGGACGGTAGGGGGAGACTGAGAGTAAGGAAGGGGAGATTGCGAGGGTGTATGTGGGGGTGAGTTGGATGGCGATGAGATGTCCGGTTGTTGCAATGGAGAAACAATGAAAAGGGAGAAAAGGGAGAAAAGGAGAAAGAAGACACTTGGGCGAAGGATCCAATCAATACAATATCTATATTTGACCACTCCGTCATCACACCTTCCGTCACTTCCCGTGCAGGCGTATGCAAATAGATGGGGTTGGGGTTCGAGAGATAACAAAATTTTTTGTCTTCTGCATTGCACTTTCTCTTTTCTTTACTCTCCTTCACCCTCCATTCCTTCTCGTCTCACTTTTCACGACCCACTCTAATCACACATCATGTCGATCAACCATACTCACACTCAGGAGGACAATGCCGAGGAGAAGAACTCGCTCATCCTCACCGCTGCTGCCAAGGGTGCAGGACTCGCCCTCGTCACCGCTGGACTCGTCGCCTTCACCGGTGCCCGCTATTCTCAGACCTACCAAACCCTCTCCCGCCCCATGAAGACCTTCCTCCTCGGATCCGGTACGCACCTTTGGCATCATAACTACAGGAGCAGAAAAACCCCTATATCATGTATCATGAACACACCATCCATCGTCCTCGTTTCTTATCTCACCTAACCAACTACTCTCTTGCGCATAACAATAAACTAGGTGTGGCGGCAACATCGATCCTGTTCGCTGATCATGCCCGCGTGCACTACGAGGACCGCCAGCTGTTGCGTCACTTGGATCAAGAGGCTGCAGACAAGGCCCGCGCCGATATCCGTGCCCAGCGTGGAGTCTTGGCCGAGCTCAACTACCAGATCCGTGAGAACAGGAACATGGTCGTCGGTGTCTCCTGGTTGACCTGCATGGGCGGTTCTTTGCTGTATACCTTCTCCAAGAAGGGCCTCACTACTACCCAGCGCATTGTTACTGCCCGTACGTCGTTTGTCTACCTATTATTTTGTTTGCTGTTGTTGCGAATACTTGCATGCATGGGTGGTGATTTCGTTACTGCACAGACCTGCTTTGCATGCACATTCTAACGTCTGTTTCACTCCTTTGATATTTCTAATAGGTATGTATGCACAAGGTTTCACAATCTTGACAATGATGGCAGTGGCAGCTTTGGAGTTGACAGACGTCCCCGCGCCCAAGAAGGTGATCTTGACGGATGAGTGGAAGGCCATCTTGGCCAAGGACAAGCAGGGCAACTACATCGTCAAGGATACCGCTCCTCCTCTGGATGCCAAGGCAGCTCATGCCGTCGCTACCTCATTAAACTCTGCCTAAAGAGGTGGTTTGATATGCGGCGTTGATCACCCATCTACCTCTGCAACGGAATCGATCGATATTCTCGTTTCATTTACCTCAACACCAACACCATCGATACACCACACCATCACCATGCATCCTTTCACTACTTCTCTCCACCCGCACTACTCGCATCCCCCTTTCACACTCGATCTGGGCCGATTACTGCCATAGACTCACCGCAACTTGTTCATCATCAAATTCACATTTTCTTCCACTTCACGTTCACATAAAAAAATATACTTTTCATTTTTTATTTCCAATCGGTAATAGTTTTCAGAGATCGAGTGAGATTGATGATAAAAACTAATCGTTTTGGTTGCACAATTGTCCAACCAGTACTATTATTTGAGAGATGACTTTTGCGAAAATAAGCCACGATAAATGGATGGACTTGTGTACACAAACGCGATTTGGCTTCGCCCTTCTTTTTCCTTCCATTCTTTCACACGTCTAGCGCCAACCAAAAAAAAAAAAAAAAAAAAAAAAAAAAGACGTAAGAACGCGTCGCGTCTCAAATTTATTGATTAACGTCCCTGCATCCTCAATTCATCTCACGGCATTTATCCTTGCTTGTCTAACCAACACTGTCTACAACATACTCACCTACTGAGTTCAAATGAGAAGAGCAGTGGTCTAATTCGAGAGCGAGGTCGAGAAGGAATGTGCTGTCTGGGTTGGAGTGAGAGAGGTGATAGGGGGTTACATGAAAGTGGAGAAGAGTGCGCTGAGGGGAAAGAAAAGAAGGAGGGTAAAGAAAAACAGAAAAACAGAGGAAGCGAAAAGTATTCATCGATTCGAAGGAATTAAACAAAAAAAAGGCCACTCAAATGCATAGACTGTAACTCGAGTATAAAGAGCCTTGACTTTTCGTTGCAAAGAGTGCATGTCGAGTGAGGAACTTCATCCTTGGCGTATAAACTTGGGGGGAGGTCGAAGACGAAGTGGAGACTGATCATAGAGGTAAGTATGTTGGTTGACATAGAAATATAAAATGAAAGATAGTAAAAAAACAAGAAAGAAGAAAGAAGAAAGAAGAAAGACAGAGAAAAGCAATCGCACGAAAAAAAAACACATTTCAGTGTTAACCCTCAAGTGTTAAAACACCACGATTCGCGAAAAGTGGTCTAAGCCTCATCATTCCAGTCTTAATTCACCTTTTTGCTCGGACAAGTTGTTCTTTCTCAATGATGAGGACAATCTAGGCGCCATCAATGAAAGAACAGCAACTAGTCAGCCTCGTTGGAAATATGTTTCATTTCAGAAGCCTGGTGCCTGAAAAATACTCCCGCATCCTCCTCCCCAAGCCATTGGCACAACCTTAAGCATATCCCATCCTCCAGAGCAATTCCTCGAAGGTCCACCAGTTCAAGTATTACCAGCATAAGAATCACTAGCAGAACAACCACCAGCCCGAGAACCATCGCCTCAAAATCACCAATCCGCAAGCACAGTCCGGAGATTACTTCCCCTCCTTCACACCTTCTGTTACCTCCACTGCTTTAACATGTCGCCCGCCTAGCCTAAACACCAAGTCCAAGTCCAGATCCATGCGTCGGCGTTATTATGCATACACCCCTGGAGTCGATGTTGATGAAAGAGAGCGATATTGGCCTTCTCAGCATTACGTTTTGCTTATGGTTTATTTTATTCATCTGTACAATCGATATTTTTTTGCGCGCTATATATTATTTGTTTACAACTTGGATCCGTTGTTGAGGATCTGGGCACGACGGGCCTTAATGGCATTATCACGAGCACGGATATCATCTCCACGCATCAACTCAAAGCGAGCCAACTGCATAGTATGGACCTCATCAGGACCATCAGCAATACGAAGGGTACGGGCACCAGCATAGAAGCGGGCAAGGGGGAAATCTTGACTGACACCAGCAGCACCATGGGCCTGAATCGCCAAATCGATGACGCGCTGCAACATCTGGGGGACCATGATCTTGGCCATGGCAATGTCGCGGAGGGCACCCTTGGCGTCGGTCTTGTCGATCTTGTCGGCGGCCGAGAGGACCATCAGACGGGAGGCGTTGATCTCGATGCGCATCTTGGCGACGTCAGCGGCAACGGTTCCGTGGCGGGCGAGGATGCGACCAAAGGTGCGGCGCGAGGGGTCGGTGACTCGGGCGATCATGACGTCCAAAGAGCGCTCGGCCATACCGATAGCGCGCATGCTAATGGTGAAGAGTTTGGAAGAGTGGAATTAGCGAGCGAAATAATTCCCATTCGATCATTTGAAACTTTGCTCAACCCAGAAAACCCTAATCAAGAAGTACTCAAAGTAACATACCAGTGGTGGATACGGCCAGGTCCCAAACGACCCTGGATGACCTCGAAACCACGGCCCTCACCAAGAATAATGTTGGCGACGGGAACACGGACGTTGGTGAACTTGACCTCGCAATGTCCCTCGGGGGCATCATCATACCCAAAGACCTGCATGGGACGAACAACCTCAATTCCAGGGGTATCAGCCGGGACAACAACGATCGACTGCTGTCTGTACTTGTGCTCGTTGTTAGGGTCAGACTTGCCCATGACCAAGTACACCTTGCAACGGGGATCACCAGCGCCCGAAATCCACCACTTGAGTCCATTAATAATATAGTGATCGCCCACACGCTCGATCGAGGTCTCGATGTTGGTAGCATCCGAGGACGAGACTGCCACCTCGGTCATGGCAAAGGCCGAACGGATCTTGCCGTTCATGAGCGGGACGAGCCATTTGGCCTTTTGTTCGGGGGTTCCGTACTTGGCAAAGACCTCCATGTTGCCGGTATCGGGGGCAGAGCAGTTGAGGGCCTCGGGAGCGACACGGGGGCAGCGGCCGGTGATTTCGCAGAGGGTGGCGTATTCAAGGTTGGTCAATCCGGGGCCTTCGGGGTAAGACTTGTTCAGGAATAAGTTCCAGAGACCCAAGGACTTGGCCTTTGCCTTGAGGTCCTCCATGATTGGAGGCACGGTCTAATGGACGTGAAGGAAAAGAAACAAAGCGAGAATGAGATTCCGGTGGGTCATTTGTTGAGTCGATTGATGAAAGCGGTATGTTATGAAAGCACGTTGATATTTACCGTCCAGCGCTTGTCGCCGGTTCCGACCTGGCTCTCGTAGATCTCCTCGGCTGGCAAGCAGTCGTTCTAAAGTATATTCAAACAAAAGAAGATAATATCGTGAGTGGTTTAGCGCATGATGTTCTACGGGTAAATGTGGCTAATAGGTCCGTGTTGACGACGCCGGTTGGTTCGCCATAAAAATGAATGGGTGCATGGTGAGAATGAGTAAAAGAGAGGGAGGCATGTTTTCGTACGTTGACAAAGTCGATGAGCTTCCTCTGGAGCTCCAGGCAGCGGGGCGAGACTTCAAAGATGGAGGTCATTGTTGATTGGGAGTAGTGAATGGGGGGGTATGAAAAAGAAGGAATGTGGGGTTGGATGATTGAAAAGAAAAGGAAGAAAGTAAAAAAAGGAGCGACAAGGACGGTATTTAGTAGGGTGTCAAAATATCAAATCCATACCCACGGCCAAGGGCTTGATCGAAGACAAGAGGGATGGTTTCTCCACAACCTTACTTTTTTGTAGAGCTACGGGCACCACTAGCAGCACAGAAATTATTTGGGCAAATGTCGCCCAATCGATCACCTTGCCGCGCTGAGGGTCCGCCGACCGACCGATTGACTACAGCTGTGGGTTAGGGCCGCAATAGTTATGGCGCTCCGTAGGGGTCTGCTGGATCTGTCCATTCGGCACTCTTGTCTCCGGAGCTTCCCTCTCCTCCCTCTTCCCTTTCTTCACTACATGCAAGGTTTTAAAACCTCATTGAAGACGAATAAAATACAACGAAGCGCCCTCTTTGTACCTGCCGATGGACAAAGCGCCTCCAACCGAACGCCAACAACGGCAATGCGAAAAAAAAATCAATTCCTCATGTTGACCAATCCTCTTTTCTGTAAAGAAGAAATAGTCGTAGAAAACGGCGAGAAACAAAAAAAAAAGTGTAGGGGTGATGTGGGATGTATGTACAAGTGTGAGTGTTCGTGTTGTTGTTCCTGTTCGCTACTTGACTATCGATTTCCTTTGTGTGCAATGCCGAAAATTGCCACCAAAATACTACCAATAAGCGTTCGGCAAAGCCTAAACGTCCAGATCCTCATCACCATCTGCTGTGGAGGACATGCGCATCTTCTTGGGTGGCCTAGTGCTGTCCTTAGGGTGGTTGGAAGATGATGATGACTTTTGCTGCTTCAGGAGTCTCCGACTGGCGGAAGAGGATGATGGTGGTACTGTGCTGGTTGGAGGTGGTGCAGTGTTTGATGTCGAGGACGAGGTCTTGAGGGTTGGCCGTTTGCTGCTAGACGATGAGCGTCTTGATTCATCCTGTGAAGATTCCTGGTCTGGGTTGTCCTTGATCTGCAGTGCCTGTTTATACCCAACGATGGAAGAGAGGGAAACAACAACCTGTTAGTTTCCTGACTGCCACACTCAAATATCCGAATCGAAATAAATGTGAGTGAAGGTGCTTGCCTTGGTGAAGGTGGTCGAAGACATGGAGAAGAGTCGGTCAGATTCGGAGTACTTGACTCTGCTCTTGTCAGCTTTTGTGTTGATGTAGCCGTCGAATCCCCGGATGATGTTTCCTCCATGCTGTGTGTCCTCCAGATACGATCCCTCAAATGCGTAGATACTGTTCTCCAGACCAGCCTACCAAGTCATCGATTCAAAAACAAGGTGTATGTTGGTTAGCACATGCTCCTTGGCCATGACCTCTGACCTCTGCTTATTATCTTTGCTGCAATTATGTCCTTTTGAGGCCACCTCATTTTGTGTCGTCCATACCAAGTTGCGATCAACAAGCTTCTTGCGGGTCATCAGCTCGTTGAGTTCGTTCTTGGCGTCGAGGTACAGCTGGTGAGTGACCTTTTCTTTCTATTGAGAATAGCAAGGCAGTGGTGTTGATGATGTCGTGAGTTAGTTGGTGGCGAAATTCCTTCTACTATGGCTTTGCATCCTTTTTCTCCTGGACTGACTGACTGGAATAATGAAAGACGATTTCCTCCTTACTGGCGCGTCCGGCATGACTGTATGAATTGTGTATATGTGAGTGTGTGTGTGTTGCTTTGGTATTGTACTGGGCTGTCCTAATAAACTGATTGCTGCCTTGCTTGCCTCCTGTCTTGTCCTGTGAGTTTGATGTGTTGTGTGATGTGTGTTTGAATGGAAGGATGAGAAAAATAATAATAAAAGCGTCGACGCTTGAGCAAACAAAAGCAACTGACCCCTTCGACCCCGTTGCCTGTCACACAATACCCTACTGACACTGCGCTTGATTGTTTGCGCCTTTGTCTTATCCTTACCTCCTCCTTCCTCTCCTTCCTCCTTGTCCCTTTCACTCACACATCGCCTTTTTTTCTCTCTCTACCTTAGTGTCCATCGTCACACACCACTCATTCACTTGAACACACACACACACACACACACACACACACACCCCTTACCGACTATTTGCTCACTCAGACAAGGCGAACAATGGCCATCACATCTTCCTCCTCTGCCACCTCAACATCCCACAACAAGGCCCTCGCCGGCGTCCACAACCTCGTCAACAGAACCAAAAAAATGCGCTTCCCCCGTCGTGCAAACCGGTACCTGCAGCAACAGGACGATATTGGCTACACAGACGGCCAGTTCATGGCCCCTGCTCCTAAAAGTACGCTCTCTCCCTCTCTCCCTTTGTTTTACGGACAACCCACAGACCATGCTTTCCTTGCTGAACCTTTTCTTCCTTTATTCACACGTTTTCGCCTTTTGCTTCATTCGTTGCTCCTTCTTAGTTCCTTGGAAGTCGATTGTCCTTGCTGTTGTTCTCTTGGTCCTTGGAATAGTAGGACTCACCATCGGATCACTTCTCAAAGTCGGTATCATGACCAGTCCCGTAAGTTCCTCTCTCTTCTGCCACACACCAACTTCACGTCAAGCTGACACTGTAACTGCCTGCAAGAGTTCTCGTTCGCTGCCTTTTTTTTCTAACTAATGTCTTCATATGTCTCTCAACGAACAGGACTGGCTTGATAAGGGAACACCGCTATTGATCCTTGGCGCTCTTTGCTTCATCCCAGGTAAAAACCACCCTCCTCGACTCTCTTTGAATGAAAGTATCATCATCACTTCTTCCCATTACCTCGCCTTCTCACATCAATTGCCACTTTTACCTTTTATCAATTAGGATCGTACCATGTTGGTCTCGCTTACTACGCATACCAAGAGTACGATGGCTACTCGTTCTCCCACATCCCGGACATAGATGATTAACAAACCTCAAACAAAGCACTCAGCCTGTTTGTTGCCCTATATATACATTTCCCATCCACAGCCCACCCTTGCGACGCCTCGCTGTCCATATCATTTTGTACCATAGCGTTTTCCCTTATTCATAAATCGTATTCATAAACCTGTTTTATTATTTGGTGAGACATGCAAGATGCAAGGGAAGGACGTGGAGACGGTATTCAAAGAAGGGTCCAGCCCTGCTCACCCTAGATCGCAATTGAACGACGGATCTAATGATATCCTATCGTCATCACTGCTGACATCGTGATGCCGGTGTGACACGACCAATGAAGAGCGATAATAACTCCTCCTCCTTCTTGGATCCTCGTTCTGCTCATCCTCCTCGTTCTCCTCTGCAAATGCCCTCATGAAGGAGGTAGCAACCAAAATCGACAAAAAGACAAACGTAACACGAAAGATCTTCCCCGTAGCGCTATCAGATTCTTCATAGGTCTTGCGCCATTTCGCATCCTCACTCTCGCGCTCCCTAGCCTGTCTCCTCTCCTCCTGCCGCAACTCCTGTTCGTAATGCATCTCCTGGTGAGATTTCGAATCGAAATGTGGGACAGGCCCCCCGCCACCTCCTCCACCGCCTCCACTGCCTCCACTAACGCCGCCCATCCCGAACGTTGATCGATAGGATGCATGTTTTCTCGCTGCAGCAGCCGCTGCGGCGGATTGAGCAGAGTGTCGGAAGGGTGTTCTCCTGAGTGATCCGCGTAGTGGTGCACCTGATGTTGAGGATGAAGAATTAGAGTAGAGGGATCCGGTCCTGTCGCGGAGAGTGAGGTCATAGTCACGTCTACGACGGTCGTCGCCTATGGTCGAGTATGCCTCGTTAATGGCGAGGAATTCGAGGCGAGATGACTCTGAGGCGTTCTTGTCAGGGTGATGGAGTTTTGAGAGTTTGTAGAATTGAGTCTTGATCTCTTTCTTGGTCGCGTCCTCCGTAAGGCCTAGCCGTTCATAGTGATTGCTTTTGTTGGAGTGTCGGTGCGAAGAGTGGAAGGTTGATGTGTGGAAGGTTGAAGGAGATGAGGAGGACGCGGACGGAGCTGTAAGGGGTGGGAATGAGCGTTCCTGCCGGTGTAGGGGCCGGTGTCTCCTGAGAGTGGGTTGTATCGTTGTTGTTGCCCGGGTGAACAAAAGTCGGCTCATGGTTGATTCGATTTGTCAGGCAGGAAGAAATGTAGAGTGATTTGTCAACGGGTTCTAGCCGATAGCGAACAAGAAGGTCGTGTTCAACATTCACAGGACATTCAGGCGGGCCTTGAACGTCGATAAAGAACCTGACAGTAACAGTCACGCAAGACACGCATTTAAATATTCAGTTCCCCAACGACGACATCCTCTTGACTCACTCACCCTTTTCTCTTCTCCCAACCCTCCAACAACCAACTCGTTACCCCCAACAAGTCCTCCTTATCCTTCAAACACCTTCCTCGTAACAACAACAAATATGACCGTCGCACACATCATCCTCCTCAAGATCAAGCCCTCAGTCTCCGAGACTCAAGCCCACGACATCCTCAAGGCTGTCGCCCACCTCAAGGAAGAGCTCCCAGGAGTCGTCGAGTCTGTTCACCTCGGCCTCAACTTTTCCGCCCGCTCCAAGGGCTTCACCCACGGCTTCACCATGATCTTCAAGGACAAGGCCGCCCTCGAGACCTACGACAAGTCGCCTGAGCACATTCGTGTTGTCACGGAGGTCATCCGTCCTAACATTGAGGACATCATTGCATTCGACTATGAGGTTGAGGACTATTCTAGCCCTCGTCTTTAAATGTTAGGTGGAATTGCAGGATTGTACATACAGTATGGGTGATTGTAACATAGCATACACATAAAACCATAAAGCCGTTCTCTTTTTTCCGTGTTTTTGTTTTGTTGTTGTTGTTGTGGTATTGTGGGCGACTTGAGGTGTAATTGAATCTTTGTAACGTCACAAGGATCGGCTCGGGAAGCAATTGAAACGCGATTGAACCTCTGTTGTCTCTGAGTCCATGGCGCAATAAGAGGTGCATCAATGGCAATCTATTGGACTATGCAATTAAAGGGCATATGTGGGATAATTCCAATTGCTCCATTACCATGCTTACTAGACCTGCTATGGTTCTAGAATGAAGCAATTGACAACGACCAAAACAAAACGTTGCTGTATACGTTTGACGTTTGAGTGTGGCGCTTGAGTGTGGCGTTGACGCTTATCACCTTTCAATGAAAAAAATATGTCTCTCGCAGTGTGTCAAATGGAAAGATAATAATGGCCCCCGAATAGGATGTGCCGATCGTGTGTTATGTCCCCCAAAGCTCAGAGAATTGTGGACTGGGCGCAAACAATGTGACTGTTCCGACGTCATTGGATCATATTTTTTTTCACTTCAACACGACAGCCGCCTGTGCTTCTCTGCTCCTCCTTTTTCGTTCTCGACACATTCAGCAGACAAAGGACAATGACAATAGAAGACATCACATCAGACATCACCAACCTGGCCGTCAACCCAGGCTCGGTGACTCAGGTCCAGGACACCAACAACACCGCCGACCAGTCTGCCACTTCTGCTTCCAAGAAGAACAAGAAGAAGAAAAAGACCCCTGCCGTAGCAGCCCCTTGTAACAACAAACAACACTCTTGTTCAGCTGTGTTGTGGTATTTGAGCGGTCAATTTTCGAGTCTGCAATTAATTTCGATTGCTTTATCGTCTACTTTCTTTGCGATCACACAACATAGCTGAGGGCGAATCCAAGGAGGACAACGAGGCAGCGGATGGAGATGACGATGATGAGGATGACGACGACGAGGAGGGCGCCATCAACAACGCCTCTGGAACTACTGCAACCAAGAAGAAGAAGAAGAAGAACAACAAGAAGAAGAAAAAGGTCACCCAGACCGAGCCTCCCACCATCCCCATGACCAAGATGTTCCCCAGCAAGATCTACCCCGAGGGCGAGCAATGCGAATACAACGAGGAGTAAGCACCCCTTTCCAGGAACCATCACTGTCCACCATTGGTCAGCTTGACAGCGCAGCAAAAACAACTCACTTATCAGCACCTTCATCTCCCCAACTGCATTCAAATAGGAACCTCTGGAGGACGACAAACGAGGAGAAGCGCGCACTGGAGAGACAGTTGTTTGATCAATACAACGACGTCCGCCGTTCTGCCGAGGTCCATCGTCAGGTCCGCCAGTACGCCCAACGCAATATCAAGCCTGGAATGACGATGATCGAGATTTGCGACATGATCGAGAATGGCACCCGCAACTTAGTCGAGGCAAACGGCATGGAGTCTGGAATCGGCTTCCCTACCGGCTGCTCGCTCAACCACTGCGCCGCCCATTACACCCCCAATGCAGGAGACAAGACTGTCCTCCAGTACAAGGATGTCTGCAAAATTGATTTCGGAGTTCATGTCGGAGGTAAATCCATTAGCATTTTACCGCGGGGAGGATTGGCGTGGGTCGGGCAGTTTGGTTTTCGTTCACACGGTGGAGAAAGCTGACATTTTTTTTTTTTTTTGGCTTTTTTCTTTTTTCTTTTTTCTTTTTTCTTTGCATTGGATTTATAGGAAGAATTATCGACTCGGCATTCACGCTTACTTTCGATCCTGTCTACGACAACTTGCTGGCTGCTGTCAAGGACGCCACCAACACTGGTATCAAGGAGGCAGGAATTGACGTCAGACTGTGCGATATTGGAGCTGCTATTCAGGAAACCATGGAGTCTTATGAGGTCGAGATTGAGGGCAAGACCTACCAAGGTACCATCACCAATACCACTGCAGAGCAACCTCTCTTTCTCGCGTTGGAGGACGGTATTACTTAATTCTGGAATTCAACTAACGCGCCTCCATATCCAATTTCATTCAATCGTGGAATAGTCAAGCCCATTCGTAACCTGAACGGACACTCGATCGACCCCTACAAGATTCACGGAGGCAAAACTGTCCCAATTGTCAAGGGCGGTGATCAGACCAAGATGGAGGAGGGCGAGTACTTTGCCATTGAGACTTTCGGAAGTACTGGGCGCGGATATGTTCACGAGGACATGGAGTGCTCTCACTACATGCGTGTCTACGACGCCCCCCGCGTTCCTCTCCGGTAAGTCGCTTTTTTAGATAACCCTTTGTTAATAGCAAATAGGTTACACGTGGACCGCGATGGTTACTAACTAACGTGTTTATTTCTATCTGAATGTATTCATAACCAACAGTGTCCCCAAGGCTAAGACGCTGCTCAACACGATCAACAAGGAATTCGGCACGCTGCCCTTCTGCAGACGCTACCTGGACAGAGTCGGCGAACAAAAGTATATGCTGGGTCTTCGTAACCTGGTGGAAGTCGGTATTGTGGAGGAGTACCCTCCTCTGGTGGATATCAAGGGATCCTTCACGGCGCAGTATGAACATACTCTTGTCCTTAAGCCTACGCGGAAGGAAGTCTTGAGTCGTGGTGATGATTATTAAAGGATTGTGGAGTAGTAAGGATAAAGGTGGTGCTGATGTTTTCCCCCTTTATGTGATCGCTGTGAAGAAACGCCCCTATTTATTTTCTCACGTTCCCACGTTCCCTTTTCATACTCCGCGCTTGTTTGGTGTATTTTGATTCACTCCCTCGACCGGCGCCATCAAAAGGTTAGAGATGGTGGTGATTCAAGAACTATCAATCGACGCGTTTTTTTTTTTTTGTTGCTGATATTGGTTTCTTGTTCTGCATATGAATAAATATGTATGGTCAAACTAATGACCTTGCAGCAGATGTCGATAATGGTCAATCCCCAATATTTGAAGGTCGATCAATAGTAACCGTCTGTCGCTGCTACGACTTTTCTCTACCATGACATTGTGATGACCAGAGGTTGGGCTGACGAGAGGTTGAAGGTGCGGCCTGGGGGGTCATAGGTCAACACAGCTTCTTTTTTTTTTTTTTTTTTTTTTTTTGGATCTCTCCTACTTTCTTGGTTTTCTTTTCTGCTGTTTGTGCCATGACTGCACCGGTATTATTTTTTTTGTCGTCGCTATGTCCATGTACGTTTCTGCCTGGAATATAGCAAAATATTTGGTGTTTTTTTCAGTCAGCTGAATTACCTTTAGGAGGAGCGGCGGATGGGATAGAGGATGTCAAAAAGATGATATGCACTGGGATGAAATCGGTTGTTTTATCTCTGAAGTAGCTATTGGGGAGCAAGATCCGAGAATAAGGCACATGTTTTGTATTGATCTTACTATGCACAAAAAAAAAAAAAAAAATGAGCGTCCAAAAAAGAGCAGCAACAAGGCGCGCGCGTTATTTGGCGCAATAGCACTTTTTTTTCTTTTTCGTACTGAGTGTCTTCTGCCTCTTTTTTTTTTTTTTTTTTTTTTTTTCCAGCATCAAAATAAAAATCTGATTTGCCTTCGCTGCCGCCCTGTGGCGGCGTGTTGAAGAGAGCCATGGGGCCTAATGGGGACATGGGACATACCAAACAACTCAAAACACGAAGCAATACGGAGGCGGACACGAATTGGAAAACGCTGCTGCTTCTTCTTGATAGGCTTGTCGCTCCTTCTCCCGCTTTTCCTTCTGCTCCTGTCCCCTTTTCGTTAGCCCAAGGAACAATGGCGGAATCAGATGGTGCTGCTGCTGCTGCAGGAGGTGATGGCATCGACAAGGCCTGGTCTGTTGCGTTGACTCTGTTGTTCCTTGTTGTTGTTTTGCTGAGAGGTGGAGCGAAGAAAAGAAGAAAAGCGTAAGGTGGAAAGAAGGGAAAAAATGATGGCAATTAGTGCTCCCAAGCTTGTCGAAAGAACCGAATGCTCTAGCCACTCAGACCGCGCGTCTTTTCGAGGGTCGCTCCTATTCATTCATGTGCAATTTAGACGTTCTTCTGACCTAGTGCTGTGGATTGTCCAGCGACAATGAAACAACCACAGCATCTTGATGCAACCTCGGTGAAAGGGCGAACGATGTACAAAGGAATGAACGAATGATATTCGATAAGTTTTTTATTGTTGACTGTAAACGAAAAAGGTAGGTAAAGGGGGGTTTTTTTTACAAGGTGGAAGGCAAATACAGCAAAACTCCACGTTTTTTTTTATCTCACTCTGTACACAATGAAACATACTCCCAAAGCGACTTAGATCTTGGAAGGACGAGCAGGCAAGCTGTTGTTATCGAGAACACCGATGATGGACTCGGGTGCATACTTATCAACAACATCAGGCTTGTGCAGCATGTTGAACTCCTCGGTAGCATCGCGACCAGCAAAGAGCAAGATGGCCTTCTTTCCACCAGGATGGTCAGGCAAGAACTTGGTCACATCCAGAACCTGGCCGTTGACAATGACCCAGCAGTCCTTCTCAGTGTTGTGCTTGGCGACCTCGGCAGCGGAAATTGAGGGCAACTTTGTTGGCTCGGCAGCAGCAGGAGCGGGTGCAGAGGGGGCGGTCACAACGGGGGCAGTACCGGCAGCAGCACCCCAGCTAATCTCCAAGTTGATCTTCTGGTTGCTTGGGTCGACAGTGATAGAGGTAGTGAATCCACCGGGGAGGGCAATCGACTGAGCCTGAGCAGCTTTGGCACCGGATCCAATGACGGGGTTGCCCTTGGCATAGTTCGAGACAGTGTCACCAGCAGTACGACCGAAGACAACACATCCGAGCAATGACGAACCACCGAGACGGTTAGCACCGTGAACACCTCCGCACATTTCTCCAGCAGCGAACAGACCGGGGATCTTCTGGTCGGTGGTATCTTTGATGTTGGCATCATCAGTAATATCAACTCCTCCCTATTATCGATTGCAAAGATCATAGAAGCAAATGTTAAAATACATATTCGAATGCGATGGGTAACAACTCTTTTCAAAAGACAAAGAGGAACGACTTCTTACCATAGTGTAATGGAGGACGGGGGCCATTTGGGCGACGTGGAAGTCCTGCTCCATCTTGATGGGGCAGTTATGGAAGTACTTCTTGCCCCAAGGATCCTTGGCGTTACCGGCAGCGATCTGGTTGTACTCGTCAAAGGTCTTCTTGAGCTCCGAGGGAGGGATGCCAATCTCCTTGGCCAACTCCTCTCCGTTCTTGAAGTACCTCATCAAGCCACGGCCGACATAGTGCTTGCAGTGCCACTCGATTTCCTTGGAGGCAGCAGTGTTGAGGACCAGGCGGATGGGGAACTTGTTCTCCCACATCTTACCAGTGACGTAGTCACGGTGACCGAGCTCATCGCAGAAGCGCTTGCCGTCGGCCTGCAACAACAGACCACCGACACCGCGGAGGGCCTCGGCGGCCAGGAACTTGACCTTGGCATCAGGTTCGCGGGGATCGACCAAACCGGTAGGGTGAACCTGGACCTTTTCCATGTTGATGGTCTTGCCTCCGATGGCGAGGGACATCTTGATACCGTCTCCAGTAGTGTGGTCGCCGTTGGTGGTAGGCAAATCCAAGAGATCAGGGCGGTACTATCGGTTGTAATGGGAGTAGAGTGGAGTTAGTTTTGTCGGTCAATTGATTGTCGAGAAAAGACCCAAGTGAAGAACACAAAGCAACATGGTAAGTGCAATGAAGAACACAACAACACGAAACGAAATTAAATAGGAGAAGTTATATACCTTCTTGAGGAGGGAATCGCTGGAGAAATCGGCAGCGTATCCACCGGTGGCCAAGACGACGGGACCCCAGGCCTTGATCATGCTGCCGGGTTGGTTGAGGTGCTCGTACTCGACACCGACGACAGCGCCGTTCTCCTTGATGAGGCTGGTGACGCGGGCCTTCTTGATGAGCTTGACGCGGTCGGGCTGGGAGACGGAGAGGTCCTCGATGGTCTCCATGAGGGCGTAGGTGATGGTCATACCAGGCATCTTTTCCTTGCCACGGTGGGTTCTGGGGAAGGAGTGTCCTCCGAGACGGGAGACGAGCGAGAGATCGAGCTTGAACTTATCCTGGAGCCACTCGACGGCAGAGGCAGAGCGACCGGTGAGGACCTTGACGAGGTCGGGGCGGAGCATTTCACGGGCGGATTTGGCGGTGTCATCGTAGAATGCCTCGACTGAGTCCTTGATGCCAAGCTCTGGGTGTTATAAGAGGGTGTGGGGAGGACAAGTGGTGAGTGGTTGGTTATATTCCATTGGATCGTTGATGCATCATGGCATGTAATTTTCTTATGCTCGCTCCCCTTGAGAAAAGGGAGCCAAGGAGCGAGATGGATGCATGTGTCAATGGACGGTCACAGGAGTGAAGAGGGGGGAGGGAACACAAGATGATTTCGGACCTTATGTCCGAAGTACTGTTTGCATGGGATTAGTGCGGACACAACTTCTCCACAAAAAATAACATTCGACTCCGAGAGTGAGAAGCAAAAAAGAGGCGCTGGACGTGTCGCCTCCTACAGCCAAAAGAGAGTTTGTGTGGAGAAGTGAAGGACGGAAGAGTCGCGTATAGTAGCTCAAGTCATCCTTCACTCTATAGTCCATCCACTCGCCCTCTTTACATCTCCTTCATGTTCATTCACATTCTTACTCCAACAAAACTCATTTCCTGTTCACATTCACTCTCGCCTGCTCGGGTAAAAAGAAGAAAATATCACGCGCTAAACAAACGCGCCCCCGGAACTTGATTGTCAACTGAAACCACTCTTGCAGTAACCTTCAAGAAGAGAGAGCAGCCAGAAACCAAAAAGGGCGTATCCCGAACACACACACACTCTTGTATCGTATATTAGACTCGTCCAAGTGATCGGGTGAGGAGGAGAGGTGTATATGAACAAGAGGCCGACAAGAATACGACAATTGAAGAAAAGAGGAGTGTGTCCGTGTGAATCCTGTATGAAAGGCGTGCAAAAGGAAGGGAAGGCAAGAGAACTTACGGATCTGGGTCTTGGTGAGGGCACCGTTGATGCCGGAGGTGGCCTTGGTTGAGTTTCCGCCAAAGAAGGCGTTCTTGTCGATGACGAGGACGTTGAGGCCGTGTTCGAGGATGGTGTGGGCAGCGCTGAGACCGGAGAGACCGCCTCCGACGACGATGATTTGGTTTGCCATGGTTATGTTGTATGTAAGAAAAGGGGGAGAGGAGGGGGGAGTGTGAAAGGGTACTGAAGAAAGAGGAGAAGAAGAAGAAGAAGAAGAAGCAAAGTAGGAGGACGAGGTCGAAGCGTTCCTTTTTTAAAGGGGGGCCATTGTTGACACACGGACACAGACAAAGAGCAAAGAGAGTCAAAGAGTGAAAAGAGACTTACACATTTGAGACAACACATCCCGTACGATCGCTGTTGTTGCTGTCATCCTTCGTCTTCATGTCCCAACCGTGTGTGTGTGTGTGTGTGTGTGTTATGTTTTATCCGATGTGCGCTTGTTCTCTCGCTCACTTACCCACTCGCACTCGCATTCGTAAACAACAGCTGCTATACCTGATCTCTTCTTCCTCTCTCTTTCGTCTTCTTTCTTCTCCTTCCCTTTGTTCTCTTCCGTTTCTCTCTGTTCTCTTCGTTCTCACATACAACAACCTACAACCATACCTGAGCTTGACGCCCTTCTAGTAGTAGCAGCAGTAATAGTAGTCAACGTGGATGGACTACATACTCCAGGCACGAAATAATACCCTCGGACCAGCTGGACAGTTAACTCCGGCACACCTTACGTGAATGAATTCACCTTCGGATTTCCTGTCTCCGAGGTCCCTTTTCCAACTCCGTGGGTTGTATGGATGGCCGAAGCTAGTCTGGGCGTGAGAGATGGGAACCCTTTTCGTCAAGATTCCCTTTCACTCTTCTGTACTGTACAGTACTAGCCCCCTACTACTACTGCACCAGTCCAGGGCCTTTGTACTTTGCATTCACATGCTTCTTGCCATCTCTTCTCTTCTCTTCTCTTCTCTTCTCTTCTCCTCTTTGTTTATTTGTGTGCTGCATTCGTGTGTTTGTATTATTGTTATGTTTGTGTCTCACTTACTGGTCTCCCTCTCATCCTCTTACATCGTTCGTTTGTTCCTCTCTCATTCGGATTTCCCGAGTCCGGACAATCCATCCATCTCCCCCTTCCCCCCCGCACTCCCCATGTGTAACAAACATACGACCGTCGGACACGTCTATCATATGTCCGTCCAGTCCAACTTCTCACCGTCCCTCCTCCGGACCTTTCTGCCATTTTTCTTCTTACTACTCTAGAGGATTGCTCTCATCTTCTTGTCTCCTCCACAAAGTCAAGCCTCTGCCAGCCAGGCTTGGTTTTTGTTTGTCCCTAGTGCAAATTGTTTGCTTTAGTTCGCACACCTATCGTCTTTGTCACAGCCTACAACGAGTACCACTTCCATACACAAACAAAAACAATGGGATAAGGGGGAGCCCCCTTTGGTCAAACAATGCAGATTACTAACGAACAATGCTCTTCTATCCAATTGGAGCTGGACAAGAGGAAAAAGGGTAGGACTGTCGTCAAGATTAGACCACAGAACTAGGTTCTCCCTTTTTTTTTACGTTCATCTTCTTTTCTCCACACTTTTATTTCCCAGTCAACCTTTGCCTTTTTTTCTTTCATGGACGTGTAATTGATCACACGGGAAATAAGAAGGGAAAGATGTCCATGCAAAGGCTTTATAGTAAGTGAATCGTGTTGGTTCTGTAATTACAGGAGACCGCGGTCGCTATCGCGTTCCTCCTCATCGTCTTCTTCGACCGCCTCCTCAGGTGCATCGGCTAAATCAGCATCGCCCGGTTCTATCTCATCATCCTCACCATCCATATCCTCCTCTTCCTCTTCCTCCTCCGCCTCCTCACCGTCTTCCTCCTCCTCCCCTTCTTCACCTTCTTCTTCCTCCTCCTCCTCCTCCTCTTCTTCACCTTCTCCCTCCTCACCTTCCTCACCTTCCTCACCTTCTTCTCCCTCCTCTTCCTCCTCTTCCTCACCAGCGCCAGAACCATCCTCATAATCAACCTCAACTTCAGCAACCTCCTCACCCTCCCCATCATCCTCCGAATCATCGACCGCCAAATCCTCCAACCCCTGATCCACCTGGTCAACTTCCTCATCATCCTCATCCCCTTGAGGGATAGTCGTCTCACCTTCCTCCTCTCCAACAGCACCGCCTTCTTCCTCATCATCACGCGCAGAGGAATCGTTATCTTCCTTGGCAAGCATCTCCCTATACTTTCTATCCTCCTCACTCTCCCCCTCCTCCTCCTCTCCAACCACCTCAGCTTCATCCTCCTCCTCCGGGGCAACATCTACATCCTCATCCATAACCCCATTCCTCTCCTCACTACCAGGAGCAGTCCTTGCCAAGAACCTCGTCGGCGGCACAAACACCGGCAAAGGATGCGCTTCAGTATTAAAGACATACTTGTCCAATGGCAACACATCATCCGATCCAAACAGCAAGTAAAAGTACTTGAGCGTCTCGGCAAGGAAGAAGGTCTCCATCTTGTCTGAAAAATTGATGTTGGACGCTTGGCGGATGTCGTGGATTGAGCTGTAGCCTCCAGTAGGGACCTTGCTGTACTTTTCGATTGCCTCGAAAATGTTCCATCCCCAATGACTAGTCGCAAAAAAAAAAAAAAGGTTGAGGATATGAAAAGAAGGAGCACAAGAACGAACATATGGATACGTGTCAGTTTCAGTGTAACACAAAAACGCGTTTCACGATTAAAGACAATCAAAACGCTCAAAGCAATCATCCCTGAGAAAACGTACCGGTACTTGTCATCGCCAGTAAGGCGCCAGAGATAGAACAAACTTTCGACAGTCTCAGGTCGCAACCAGTTATGCCCATCCCGATCATTGATAATAAAGTCCGACCCAGGAGCATGCTGCTGCACCGTCTTGCCCTTGACCTGGTCCGCATTCTGGACCCAGTGCACAATCTCGGCCGCCAACCCAGTCTCGGTCTGACGATACATCTCATAACACGATTCCGTCAACTCTTCGCCCATCTTGAAATCCGATTCCTGCAAGGGCGAGAATTGAGACCGCGGCTGCGAGGAATCGATAGGGTGTCCGCTAGTGGAGCCGAGGGCGAGGGTTCCTCCAAGGAAACAGACGAGGTGGTCCATCTTGGGGGTGAGGTTCTTGGGGTTATATTTGGAGATCTCACCGACAAAGAGGAGGTGATTGGGGATGGTTCGACCGAGAAGGTGCTTTTTCACACCGCCGATCGCTTCGTCGTACATGTCCTTGTAGACATGCTCCTTCTTTCCCGTCTGCAGATACTGCTTGATCAGGTACTCTAAAAGATTGAAGAAAAACATGAAAAATGTGTTAGTAAATAATTCCGTCCTAATCCTTGGTGTTACAATGTCTTACGCACAAAACACACAACCCAAAAGTATCCAAAGAAACGTACCGTAGTAACTGTCACCGCGGGAACCAAGACGAATTTCTCCTCCCTGGAACTGTCCTGTGTTCGGATTGATGTAAATCGGCACCAGGCCATCTAGACTATCCATTTCTTTGATCTTGAGCATCACATTCTCGGCAGCTTTCCAGTACCTCTCATCGCCCGTCAAGTAAGACAGGTACTTGAACTCCAACTGCAACGATGCCACCTCGGCCGTAGAACTGATTCCACGATCATGGCCTGGAACACCACGTCGGTCACGCAAGTGAACGCTCGCATAGGGGATTCCTGTGGGTGTCTCGAACGCACCCATCAACCTGTCTGCCAGATCGACAGCCTTACGGAGGAAGAGAGGATCTTTTCCAGACTGGTCATAGGCGCTCAGCAGTCCTCCGAGGACGCGGATCGTCGTCTCAAACAGGTTGACTTCTCCATCTTGATCAAAATCGAGTTCGTTCCTAACCCAATCCTTGGCGTCTTGGAACTCTTCCTCCAAACCCATCAACAAGATAGTGTCCAAAGAATCTACAATCGTAAAGCCCTGGCCCTTGCGGATCATGTTGGAACCGTACTTGGTGATCGGGTGGTACTCGTCTTTACCCCAGGCGTCCCGCTTGTAGGCGCTCCATGAATGTAAGAAGGCGGCCTTGACACGGTTCTTGCGCTCCTCCCAGACTGCTGGGTTCACATGGGGTGGTAGTGGTGATACTGGTCCTGTTCGTGCTCCTCCTGGGGTCGTGTCGGAATGTAGCCGGTTGTTGCGTTGTAGGATCGCCTCATCGACCAAATCCTCGCCATCCTCATCATCCATCAGAGTTTGGTCCCCTTCACCATCAGCCTGAGGCTCAGCAACTATTCCTCCAGCACCGGCGCCAATATTATCCTGCTCTTGAGGTATACTCCAGTCTTGCTTTGGTTTGGTGACGACAGGCGGGACAGAGACCACAGGGATGACGGGTTTGGGTACTGGTGGTGGTGGTGGTGGAGCAGGCTTAGGTGTGGAGGGCTTGTTGTTGTTGTTGGGTTTCTTCTTGTCGTTCTTCTTCTTATCCTTCTGCGCCTTTGACTTATTATTATTCTTCTTCTTTGCCGGCTTCTCATCATCTCCCGGGAACTCAAACAACGAGATCGCGGCCTTCTTCTTCTCCTTCTTCTTTTTCTTCTTAGCCGCCGCTGCCGCCGCCGCCTCTGCTGCTGCTACTGGATCTACGACGTTGCCATTATCCTGGACCTGAATTGGTGCTGGGTTGTTGGGGATGACGGGGGCAGGTACGCCTGCACGATTGGGTGGTTTGTTGATCCCTGCCATGACTCCACCGCCTTCCTGACGACTCTGCTGCACAAGTCCTGCCGACGACGACGACGACGAGGAGGAGGAAGAGAAACCAACCGAGACAGAGTGGGACTTTAAGAACATGATCATCGCCGTGCAGAGACACAACACCAGCGCGGCATGGCGTTTACGGATCCTTCTTTTAGGCTGTCCCTATAGTATTGTGGAGAAAAAAAGACGACCCAAAAAAAATAATTCATTAGCTCGCATGACACCCTCCAGCTCACCCTGAGAAAAAAAGTACCACGAAATCACACAAAGAGAGCCCCATTATTCTTTTTTTTTTTTTTTGTAGGATCAGCCCCTGGTAACAGATCATTTTTGCAAGACATTTTTTTTTACCTTGCCATGAAACCCCATGGGGGTTTTTGCGTATTTGTTATCATCATCGATGTCGTGGGTGGGGAGTCCAGAAACGTATGCCGCCGACACTCTCTTCTCAGCCTTGGTGAACATGGTCTCTTGTTTTTGCAGTCGGGTGGGTGGTAGGGTTGTTTGATTGTGTGGTGTCAGGAGAGAGGTGGGTGGGCTTGTTTTCTTTCCTGAGGAATTATCTGTCTCCTGATAAAAATAACTGTCTGGGAAATAAGTCTGTTTCGGTTTCGTTCCTGAAAGAGACACAAGCTATTTGTTCGAGATGGAAAAAAAAAAAACATAATGGGTTCATGGAGGTTAGCAGACGAGAGTAAAAAAAACGTCATTCAGTCAACACTCCTTAGCAATCTACATCTCTCCTTTTTTGGTCCCTGTCAGCGAGGAAAGCCCCCCCTCCCCTCCCCTCCCCCAAAGAAAGCATGTCAAACCTTTTGGTTTTTTTCCGTTCTTTTTTTTTTGTCGCCTCTTTGGGAGTGAAGATGAGTAGTTTGTGTTGTGCGAAACGACTGGCCTGCCTGCTATGCTGTCCTTTTGCTCCTGCAAATAGTCGCCTGTCCGGGGTATTGGGAGTTGTCTGTGACGATGAAAGCGACTGGAGATGAGAGACGTGATGATGTAAAAGTAAAGAAAGAGTGATGATGGTTTCGAACACAAAAAAGATGAGAAAAAAGGGCTTTTTTTTTCACCCCTTCCCCCTTTTCCCGTCGTTACCGGCTGTGAGTCCTTCTATTTCTTTGGTGTCGTTCAGTTAGGGATCGCACTTGAACTTTAATCTCTGGCAACTATTATGGCATTGAACCTTGTCCTGCAATCTTCTATTAGGCTGCCTCGTCGGAGACATCTATTGTTCGAGAAAAAAAGGCTAATAGACTCTCTCGTTCATGAAACAGAGCAACGAAGGTGCCGAAGAAAAGATATGTGCAATGGTTGCAATGATGGTTGCAATGGTGTTTTATGAGTGAAAAGAAAATGCTAGAATGTTGAAAAATGTCTACAAATGATGTGGTATGAGGGGGGACAGAAAAAAAAATTACAGATCGGCAAACATGTTGCCAACTTCCTTGTCAAACTCCTTCGATGACAACTTGCCCTTCTTAACCTTCTTGGCCAATCTCTCCTCCCGTGCAAGCGCCTCCCAGCTATCCTCATCATCCTCACCCTCGTCCCCGCTCAAATCAGTCTTTTTGTCCTTGGTATCCTCCTTCTCATCCTCTTCATCATCATCTTCATCATCATCATCTCCCTCACCATCCTTGCCCTCCCCAGCCTTGATCTCGCCGTTGGCCAACCGCTTGAGATAATCTCTCTTGCGCTGCTTCTTCAGTTGCCGATCCATTTTCCGCTCCTTGGCCTCCAGCTTCTCAGACCAGGCAGAGCCCTTGTTGATAGGTTTCCGTTTCTTGTCGTTCTTGCCTGCGTTCAATGCCGCCTCCTTTGCTTTCTCCTCCTGCTTGGCCTTGTACGCTGTCAACTTTTTCACGCGCACCGCCTCCTTTTGCTTATCCTGGTATTTGTACCTGTCCATCTAAGTAAGGTTGCACAAAAATAAAATCTCTCTCATCAGCCTCATATGCCTTGGCCCAATTAATTTCAAACGAGATACTCCTGAACAAAACAACTCTATGAAGAAAACTTACATCAATGTCGGCGGGGGTGAATCCTTGGATGCCGCCTCCGGACTTTTCGTTCTTGAGCTCAGGCATCTTGGGCAATCTCAACAGGGCATATCCACGCGCCAAAGCTCCCAGATCCAAAATTCTCGACCGGAAGATAAAGCTGGCCTCATGCTTGGAGTAACTCCGGATAAACGACACATAGGCCATAGTTCCCTTGTCGTGCAGATCCCGATCCGTCTTGACGATCTTTTGCAGCCCCTTCAAAAACTCAACATTCTCAGCATCATCCTCAGGCTCCTCGCGGACAACCTTGCCCAACAAATCCTCATCTTCGTTGTCTCCGACCATCTCCTCATCCTCATCCTCCTCCGCCATATCTTCCATGATCTCTGGACCACCCTTCCATCCCCACCGCTGAATGGGGACCTTGCGGACCTTCAAGAAATCGACATAGGTCTCCTCCTTGCCCTTGACCAAAAACACCACAGCCTTGCCCTCACGACCAGCGCGACCAGCACGACCACAACGATGAGTGAACGCCTTGGGATCCTGTGGAGGGTCGACTTGGACCACAAAGTCGACATCAGGGATATCGAGTCCGCGAGAGGCAACATCCGTGCAGAGCAGCACTCCTGGAGATCCTGCGGGGATGTCGGTGAAGGATTTGAAGGTGAGCGAACGCTTCTTGGTCTCCATTTTGCCGTGAAGGGAGTGAATCGCAAAATCGGAGAGGGCGGGGAGACGAGAGAGGAGTTTGTAGAAGTAGTCAACACTGGCACATGTGGCGAAGTATACGATCGTCTTTTTGTTGTTGGCTTCCTGACGGAGCAGATGTGTTAGGAGGAGGAGCTTTTGCGATGTTGTACACAGAATATATCCAATGTGAAGCCTAGTCATGAAAAAAAAAGTAGAGTGTATGATTAGTCATTGTTCAACGTGCACCTCATGCATAGTCGAAAAAAAATCGTCCCGTGGGAGAAAACTTACGAGGCAGGGGTGCGCTGTCCTCCGCCACCGACGAGATCCTCGACCTTGACGACGACACGAACAGGGTTCCTGAGACCAGCACGGACAAGCTCAGACAGGCCATCGGTCATAGTGGCCGAGAACAATCCCGTCCGGCGCTGCTTGGGCAAGAGCGACATGATCTTGTTCAAACTGACCGAGAATCCCATATCCAACAATCGATCAGCCTCATCCAGAACCAGAACCTCCAATTCCTTGACATTCACACCACTTCTCTTCTGCGACAGAATATCCTCTAGCCTTCCAGGGGTACCAATCAAGATATCGGGATGCACCTCCTGAAAAGTTGCAATATCCTCCTCCAGACTAGTCTCACCTCCAATCAACAATTGGTGCGAGATGTTCTTAAAGAACGGCTCAAAGTCCTTCAACACCTTTAAAATCTGAGTTGCAAGCTCGCGAGTGGGCGAGATGACAATGGCGCCGACTTCAGTGGGGCCAAGTTTCCGGGATCGGCGATGGATCTTTTCGAGGATGGGGATGAGGAAGGAGAGGGTTTTTCCTGAGCCTGTGACGGCCTCGACGACGACGTCTTTGTTCTTCATGAATAGAGGGATGGCGCCGGACTGGACGGGGGTCATTTCTGAGAAGCCCATCGTGCTGACAGCTTCGAGGACTTGAGGGGAGAGTTTGGGCTCGAGGCTCTCCCAGGAGCCTGCGGGTGCTACACTGACCATGGTGGTTATGTGTGAATGTGAAGAGGAAATGGGGTTTGAAGAAAAGAAGAGAGATGTCTCTCTTGTTTGTTCGAAGAGGCGAAGAAAAAAAAGAAAAAGAAAAAAAATGAAAACATGGGACTGCTTTGTCACTACTTTAGTTTGCATTCAGGGCAAGGAGAGCGATTGAACAGTCTCCTACAGGAAACAAGAATCCCCCACTCAAATACGCTCACCATAGGAGAATGTTCATTTGAAATTATCTTTAATAGAAAATAATAGTGCGCTATAGACAAACGGGCATAAAATATACAAAAAGGTGTAGAGAAACAAGAAAGCATCCACATCGCCTCCACTATGGTATGCAAAAACAAGAAAAACGTGAAAAGAAACGACTCATTCAAAAAATAAGGGGTATCGGACAACGTTAAAAAAGAACACATAGCTTAGGCATCACAAGCCTTGGGGACGTCAAAGTTCTCGGTACGGGTGCTGCCCCAAGGCGAGTTGGCGCCGACAACCTTGGCCTTGGTTCCCAATCCACGCTTGGAGAAGGCTCTCCAGATATCGCAGTGGTACTTGCCCTTGGTCAAGATCCTCTCGGCTTGGATAATGGCATCACGGGCCTGGATGAACGAGGGCGAGCAGGGCTGCAACTTCAATCCGTCGGTGACCAACTGAAGGACCAAGGTGTTGGCGAAGTGGGTCTTGTCGTTGGTGTACCAGTCCTGAGTGAAGGGCAGGCGCAAGTTGAGGTTGCGGTAGACCTCGTACAACATCTCAGCCCAGACCTCTCCCTTGGCGTGCACTCCCCAGTACTGGGGTCCGTCCATGATCTTGAAGGTCGAGGGGTTGGTGTCAAGCGAGGTTGAGTAGGCATAGCGACGGATACCCTGGCCGTCGTTCGAGTACGATCCCATGTCAAAGACAGAGTCGTAGTCGTGTTTGGGCTTTTGGCGGAACATGGTGGCAAAGAAGTCACCCCATCCCTCACCCATACCACCTGCCTCGCCCCATCCCAGGCAGCCAGAGTTGGCGGGACCTCCGGTCAAACGGGTCGAGATACCGTGGGCGTACTCGTGGATGATAATACCGGCCTCGAGATCACCATCGCGGGCAACCTCGCTGACATCCCAGACGTACATGCGCATCTTTCCGTGTTGACCATCGGGAGGAGTGGCAAAGTTGGCGTTGTTGTAACCAGATCCGTCCTGGGCGTTGGCGATAACAGCATCCTTCTCAAGACCACCCTTGCCAAAGTTGTTCTCCTGGAAGTTACCCGACTCCTCGTCGAAGCCGTAGTGGTGGAAGACATCGTGGACCTGGTTGTTCCAGTAGAACAGGTTGGTCACGGCCGCGTCGACGTAGGTCGAGGGGTCCTTCTTGAGATCGAGCTTAAAGTCAAAGACCAACTCGCCGTCCTCGTCGATAGTACCCTCGGGCTTGGGGTTGTTCTGCCAGTCGTTGCCGTTACGACGGTTATCACCGGCATAGACGTTGTTTCCGATGGTGGTGGTAAAGTTCTTGTTCTGGGCCTGGCGGTTCCATCCGAGAGGAGAGGCAGGGATATGGTGAGGGTCCTTGACCAACTTGCGCTTGCCGTCATGAGGATCATTGGTACCCATGGGGAAGACATTGTAGGTAGCATCGGCGACCCAATCGACGACCTGGACGACCTTGCCAGTCTCAGCGTTGACTTGGACATGGAACCAGTTGTCGGTGTCCTTCATCTCGACCTGGAAGTCGTAGACGAGCTCGAGGGTGCCCTCATCGGTCTGGATGTAGGCCTGGGAGACGGGGACTTTGCCGTCAGCGGTAAGAGGGCAGTTTGTCATGACGACGTCGACCTTGTCGGAGCGAAGGGAGTTGGTTGAAACGATGTCCATGTCCTCTGGGCGGGGGATCTCGACGTTGAGATAGCGGGCGAAGGAGAGGAGGGCGTCCTGAGGCGAGATGGTGTCCTTTGTCTCAGAGTCGAACGACTCTTCATCTTGGTGGCGCTATTGGATGCAAGGGAGAATGAATGGTCACCAGGTTAGCAATTAATATTTTTTTTAGAGTTGAGGGTTGAATGAATTGAAAAGGCACATGTGACCCACAGCGCAGAAAGAGAAAGAGGACATTCAAACTGAGGATGGGCTGTTCAAGAGGAGAACCAAATGACACCATACACAACGGATACGTGTGCAATAGGGAGGGAGGGAGTTTGAAGGGGATGGATGACGAGAACGGACACGACACGACACGACACGACACGACAACACGACACAAGAAAGAACGTAGGAAAAAACAGGGGCACTCTTTCGTCTCTCCTGCAATCAAGTGTCCTTCAAGAAGACAACGACAAGAAAAAAAAGGGCGGTTAAACCTGTCGCCTGCCTCGCCAGGTCACATTGACGATGGAAAAATAAGAAGTTGGGGGTGAAAGAAAATAATAAAAAAGCAGGGCAACGGCACAGAAAGGTCCTCTCAGGAATTCCTTTGCTGTAGTTCATCTTCTTTTGCATGGTCATGGATGTACAACAACATGGGTGGTCGTCCTGAACAAAAGCGCCCTCTTAGAAATTTGTTTTGTTTCTTGCTCTCTTGTATGACATGACTTCATAACAACATGGGTTACGTCAAGATAGAAAGATGTCATACCTGGCTGCGGTGTCTCCATCCACCAAAGGACAACTGGCGTCCTTGCTCCTGCAAATTCTCGGCCTCACGCTGGAGCCACTGCTTGATAGTCAACTTCTTTTGCTGGCGGGTGCCCTTGTAGAACGAGTCGCCAAAGGAGATGACATTGCCGTCCTTGTCAACATTGACGTTGATGTCACCGTTGATGACCTCGAGGCCATCGACACGCTGGCGGAGGTAGACATGGGTGACGCCGTTGTGCTTGGAGGTATAGGCGTTCTTGACGATGTAGTCGGAATCGGTCAACTTTTGCTCAACAAAGTCCAAAGCAACACGCTCAGGGTTGGAGGCAGAGCCAGTGAAGAAGGCATGGTTGTCGTTATAGATACCAAAGTTGTTGCTCTCAGAGAGAGACGAAGGGGTGTGGAATTCCTTCTGAACGAGTTCAGGACCAAAGGGCTGGACGGTGGCACGGTGGGCAGATGCGACAGCGAGCACGGCAGCGAACAGCGAGTACGACTGGGTCTTTGAGAACTTCATAGCTTGGCTTGGCTTGGTTCTTGGTTATTAATGATATGTAAGTGTTTTTGTTTTGTTCTTGAAATAAGAGTAATATAATAGAAAGAAGAAGAAAAAAGAAGACGACGGGAGAAGACGAGAAGGATGAATGAAGAAAAGGAAATGTAATGAGGAGGGAGAGAGAAGGTGTGAATGAGTAATGGTTTGCTGTAAAAGAAAAGAGAAGAATGCAAAAAAAGAAAGTCGGTAAGGTCTTTTAAAGAAGAGGAGCTGAGATTGGAAAAGGACTGCGGTGTGGATCTAGTCCCCGCACAAAAGAGAGAGCAAAGAAGGTGAGGAAGGGAAGAAGTGTTCAACAATGAACGAGCTGGGGTCAAGCGAGTAGTACAAAAAAAGCACCAGAGTACTTATGCATAGGACTTGGAAGTTGTGTTCCGTTCCTGGAGTCACCACCATACCATTTCATTAGTGATTGATTCAAACCATAAATGGACAGGTTGTATCATCGCATCAAAAATGATTCGCTGGAGGGCCTGTCACTCCAATGGGGCACATTGGGCGAAAGACCAAGGGAGAAATGAGGAAGAAAAAGGGACGACGGGACGTCCTCTCTGTCCGTGTGACCTGTGCCCATCCCGGCACAGTCTGACGAATCACTTGCTCTTGTTCTTGTAAAGATAGGCATATTTACCATACACGAGGATATGGCCCATAGCACTATGACAAAAGATAAACGGTGGCGGGTCGGATACCATGCCCCCTTCGCCATCTACACTTCCACGCACGTCAGCTCGCATTGGTCTCTTCTCTTCACCGTCTCTCTCACTCTCTCTCACTCACTCACTCTCTTCATGTCGTTCTCTCTCCTCCTTTTTTGTCCCTCCCATATCCATTAACAGCCCTTTCTCCTGTCCGTTCTCATTTCCATCTCACAGTTCCTGCTCATATAGCTCTCGAACCCTTGCCATGACGAATGATAGCGCAAGAACAAAAGAATTGGTTTGATTGACGTCAATCTCCACACCCTCATTACAACGGTGCAACAGCTGGTTCGTCTGTCTGGTGCATAGCAGTCCTCAATTGCTATCGACATATTATTCTCCAGACACAAATGTATCGACTCAACCCATAATCAACTCCCTTAACACCCTCCCTAGCACATGGCATAGGTCCAAACAATAGGCAAGGTGAGGAAAGTGTAAAAACACGCGAGGGCAAGGGTGCCCCTCCTAGCCTTCTGTCCGTCTATGTTGTCCACGCTACCTACAATGTTCCCTTTCACAGGCGCGTCAATAGTCTCACCTCCCTTGTTCATTGTTGATTCCTGTCAGGTAATTTGCCTCCTTTGTTGTAAACTGTTTTGATATATCAAAGGTCATCAATGCCTTGGTCTGCACGCCGCATGAACCAAACAACAGACATCCGTGGCAAGCAGGAATGGCGGTTAATAAAACGTTATCGAAACCATCATCCACCTCTCCATGTTGCAATATGGAACGGTTTGTTTATGTATTTGTCCTACCTCACACGCTACTATCATTAACGACCAAAGACATTTTTCACATTAACTTTTTTCTACGACGCTTGAACTCTCGACCAAGGCAGATTTTTTTTTGCGATTTTCTATCTTCCATGCAAGATTAAGACAATGCCATCCCTCCTCCTCCTTCTCTTTCTCACTCTCTTACTTCTATGGCTACATGAGCAATTGAAGAATTCTTTTTCTCTTGTTCACTCTCTTTCATTCTTCAGGAACAGTTATTGATCATGGAATGAAGGGAGAATGGGGAGGGGATCAAAATCGAATGATTGCTACCTCCTCCCTTTCCTTTCCTTTCCTTTCCTTTCCTTCTGCCCTCCCTGCTTACCGGCCAAACCAACTAGCTCACGAATTGGCATTGGCGGAAATAAAAATAAGCCGGATGTTGTCAACAAACCCTCATTACCATTCACCTATCCTGCAAACAATAAACCTAGAGTCAGGAAAGAGACGAAAAGAGGGATGGTAACGAGAAAAGAGGGAGAGAAAGGACAACACGAAACAAAGGCCTGCAGGAACTTTAAAAAATAATGGCGAAAGGAGGCGCGACGAGAAGGGAATGGAAGGAAGGAAGAAGGGATTGAGGACGAGTACGAGGGCTACTCTTGTTGTGCCTATCGTTTTTTTGTGTTAGTTTTTGTTTTTTTGTTGTTGTTGCTTGGTGATCCTAGACATGAGACTCTCTCACTATCGAACTGGCCATGGTCTTCGCTTTGTTGCGCTTTTTTGCATGGCATGCGTTTTATGTTTTACTTTTCTTTTTTGCATTGACAGTTGCGTGTCTGTTTGCGTGCAAGAGTGCAAGTATTTGTTGTTTGTCCCACAATGCATTACATTATCATCCCGAATTTGCCCCCTTCCCTTTCCTTTCTTTTCCTTCCCAATGCTCAAGGAGGTGTCTTTTGTCCATCGCTTGCTCGCCAGCCCCTCGCTGGCTTTTTATTGTTTGAACTTTGAACCATCAAGGGCTATTTACCCCATGCCATCCAATTCGCACCAACCCCCTCTTTACCCCTCTTTTCCTCCTTTTCTTTTACATCAAACCACCTCTCGCTCAGATGGAGGAGGGAACAGCTCGGATCTTATATAAGCCCTTGCTCAAGTTCCTTCTCTTTTCTTTCTTCTTTTTCTTCTTCAACGCATTTCATTCTGAACTACGTCTACCCACGACAAGAACAAATCCACCTTCAAGTAAAGCCCTTCATCTATCAGGCCCCCCTACCTTCTTTTTTCTGCGTCACTCTCTCTCTCTCTCCGCCTCTTCCTCCCCACCAACAACAAATACAACAATGGGAATTCCAGTGTTCCTCGATATGGTAGAGGACGATCAGACCCTCCCAATGACCTACACAGCCGAGACCAACAACAGTCTCTGTCAATTCGGCACCTTCTCCTCCTCTACTACTACTGCTGTCAGCGGTGGAAGATCGACAACTCCACCGCCAGCCCTGCCACCTCGCCATCCACACCGCCGTCTCGCTCCCCAAGTTCAGTTGCATACCCAGTCTCCATCGCCAGCGTCGAACCTGCAACAGTACCAACCTTTTTACTACCGACAGCAACAAATTCAACAGCAGCAGCGTGATTCTGAACTCGAGATACTCCACAGGCAACAACAACAACAGCAGCAGCAGCAGCAGCAGATCCACCCGCGAGATCTGAACAATGACAGGAGAACATTGATTACCCAAGACCAACCCACAACAACAGCGGCAGCAGCAGCAGCAAGAACAATGCCAACACATGGCGCAGGAGCACCACCTGCGGCATCTACACGACCCAGCGCACTGTACAGCTACTATTCACAACAACAGCGGCAGCAACGACCTTCTCAGCAGCCATCGACTCCTCAACCACAGATGCCTCAGCCCATGCCACAGTTCCATCCCCAGCCTCAGCAATCCCAACTTCAGCAACAGCAACAGCAACAGCAACAACTGCATCGTCCAAGTCTCCACGAAATGATGTTCGCCAACACCCACCAACTCCGAGGATCCTCCTTCGAGTCCAGTCCCAGTCCGAGCGATGCCAGCTCCACTCCCAGCGACGCAGAATCTTCATCAGACGAATCCAAAGAAGAAACAACCTGGAAACACCAACCCTTACAGGATATGGACGTGAACGAACAAAGGAGGATGGAATTCGAACGTCAAATGATCCTCTATGAACGGTACCAGCGCCGGCGACAGATGCAATTGGCCCAGGAGCGGTGGCAGCAGCATCAGCGAGCCAATGCGGCCGCTTATCGTGGTGGACAAGGATCAGGGTCTGGGTCAGGGTCTTATTGGTGAATGATTATGGACGAACATTTAGGCTTTTATTAGCACATGGGGCTGTCCTCTCCCCACCTCCTTTTTCTTTTTCTTATTCTCCTTTGCATAGCATCTCTCCCCCTTGACATTTGAAATATAAGAAAGGATAGCAGTTTTGAGTGTGTGAGAGAGTTGGCATGGTGTTTGAGGATATGCAAGGTGGATGTTATGCAAAACGAAGAAGAGGACCTTGCGCATCCCAGAAAAAAAAAAAGTACGGTACCAAAGCGTAGGCTAGGCTTTCCCTCTCTTTTCCCGTCTCACGGCGCGCGATGGATTCAAGACATCCAAGGCAGGGGGCAAGGCAAGCAGGCAGATAGGCAGGGAGTCGATCCATAAAAAAAAGGCGTGGGCAAGACCCACTCCTGAGACAGCAACTGCACATCAAAAAAGGAAAAAAAAAAAAAAAAAAAAGGGTACGGGCTCAATGGTCTCGTTTTAATGGCTTTTCACAACGAGACCCAAAGAAAAAATAACCGGCGAGAAAGAAAGAAGAAAAAAAAAAGTCAGTTGTCTGTGCTTACTTTTGTGGAGGACTCTGGCTGTACATTCTGGAATATGACATTAACTCTACGCCGCCGCCGTCGCCAACCCCCCCCCCCCCCCCCCCCCGATACCAACATTTTCTCCACAATTTGAAGGGCTCAGTTGACATTGACATTGGGATGATGAACGTGAGCTTTTTTTTCCATTTTTTTTCGAAGATGAACGAGAGTGCTATCGGAGAGGGAGATCTAACCCACAGCACAAAGTGTGTTGTGTTCGGCTCCAGGTCCTTTGTGGATTAGTCTAGGGAGCAGCAGTAGGAGGATGATGACGACGCACTTAGAAAACTTTGTTTTTAGAAATGAATTGCGGGATAGACAACAAGAACAACAACAACAACGCGGTCTAGGCAACTTAATTGAAAAGAAGGGAAACCTCATAATGGCGTTGACGCGTCTCCTTTTTGTATCTGTGCTTATCTGTACGTTGAGAGTGAAACCGCGGTGTGTTAATAGAAATGCTTGAAGTCCCTAGAATTTCATTTCGAGGCAGTTGTTGACGTAGACGAAAGGAGTAGGCAGAATGGGGGGGGAGGGGGGAAGTGCGAAGTGGGAGTAGGGTACATAGGAAAATTTTATATTGACCATGGCGCCATTTCCGCCCAAACGTTCATCCCACCCATGGGTCAAATAGGGTCGAAGTTTAACTACCTTCACTCCATGGTTCATCCATGCCATAGTTTGACTAAATCCTGCTTACACTACATTGCTCTTCTTTTTCCTTCCTCCATTCTCCGCCACTTTACTCTTGTCCAAAAGATCTCGATCATTTTTTTCCACCTCACTAGGCTCATCGTGGCGCGAACTAGTCCAGTGCGCTAGATGCCGATCTCAGGGGTAGCGAAGAAAGCGGAGAGGAAAAAGTAGATGGATGGATGGATGAATGGAAGGAGCGGTTGGGCTGGTTAGTGTGACCAAACAACACCCTTTTACCCTCTCCTTCTACTCTCGTTCTTTCTGTCCGCCTGCTCTTTTTCGATCGTTACTACCTTTCTCTCCACAAGGGGGCCTTGCATGGGAAAAAAAAATTGGATAAAGAAAACAAAAAAGCGCCTGCTCTTTCTTTTTCTCGCGCACTTTTTTTCTGAGCGAAATATTTGATGGATGAACCGTCCGACCATCGCATACTTTTTTTTTTGTTGCTATGGGGAAAAAGTCGACAATGAGCTGAAGTAAGGGCTCACAATCCTGTCAGGTCATGTCATGCCATGGCAGGTCACAGGAACAAAAAAAACAAGAAAAAGTGGACCTGCATACCATCCCATCCATTACACTAACTTAGTCTAACTAAGAATAACAACATTGGCCAAGAGTTCGAGGTATTCAATATGGTTTTAGGGTATGAGCAATTGGGCAATATCAACGTATGTCAAAAAGAGTCAGAGAGCGGTCAGAGAGACGCCCAAAAAACAAAAAAACAATACCGACCGAAAGTGAAGGGGTGTGTATACAAACGCACTGGTCTTTGTTTTGGTCATCGTTCAATCATACCCTACCGTTTTCACTCTTTGCCTAGTATGATCGAGGCGACTTCGCCTTCTCGTTCGGCGCCATTTTTTTTTCTCGTTCGCAGTATTTTGGTGTGTTTTGTGGAGGAGATTTTTGAAGCGCCTTTGCTCATGAACACAAGAAAGCAAACAAACAACCACTCTCCTTGCACATCTGATACCTTCAGTCCTAGACTTTCAAGATGCTTATTCGGCGCGCAACATCAAGCAAAAAAACCAACAACAGAAGAATGAAGAAGAATGAAAACATGATCGTGCATTTGGATTTCCTAGTTGAGATTGATGATATTTTCTTGCCATGGCGAAGGCCACTTGTCCATTTGTTTATCCTTCCAATTCCGCTATCCCATCCCATCTCTTCCAAAACTACATACCCATGCACTGTACAGTCATCTACTCTATCCTAGCTCAATGCAATGATGCATGGCGATGAATGCTTCGCAAGACCAAAAAGTACTTGCCGTAAACTCAACGACAGATATCAACCAAAAAAAAACAGACAGGAGAAAAGGGCGAAAAGAAAAAGAAGGTTCAGGGATGGGCTCAGTTTCGGACCACGGGGTCCTTGTTTCCTCATTCTTCTCCTTCCTTTGCTTCACTTCCTTTCGACTTCCTGTTTGAACCTACTAGCCATCCTTAGCATTACTCATCGTCCACGTATATTTGGTCGTTTTACTGGACGTCCCCTACTCGTCGATCACCCTCGTTTTTTTTGGAGAAGGCGCGCTAATGATGTAACTAGCGCAAAGCCAAAAAAAAAACCAAAGCCTGCTAATTCAATCGATAGGGCTGGGTGACCTGACTGATCGATACACCTAGGACCCTTTTACTTTGCATTCCACACACGGACACGGCTCCTATCCATTCACGCCGCGTTCCTTCTGTCACTGCGCCTTCTTTCTTGACTTGTCTGGTTTGGTGAAGAAGGGAAGAAGATGGAATGATGCTGCATAGTGTTCAGCAATGGCGTACTCTTCGTGATGCTCCAAAGTCCAAACTCTCCTCTCGCTGCCCTTTTCATCTTTCATCCCCCTTGATCAAACTAGATCAGAGAGAGAGAGAGAGAGAGAGAGAGAGAGAGAGATAGCTGAGTATTAATAAACTTGGCACAGGTGCAGACCCATATGCCACGCCTTCGCTGTGTTTCCTCTGATCGCGCGTGTTTTGGCGTTATTCCTCCGCCTCATCCCTTCCCTCTTCCTTCTCATTTTTCTTTTTTTCAGCAATGTTATTTGTTCTTTGGATGTGATATGACGGCGGGAAGAATTTTCCTTCCTATCCCTTCTTTGCACTCTTTCTCTCTCCGACCCTTGTCTATGCCTATGGCTAGGCCCATGAGGGATGAGGAAGAGGATGAATAGCAAAAAGCAAAAGGCAAAAAAAAAAAAAAAAAAAGCATGGCATGGCATGGATGGCAGGCAAACATTGCGTCGTCGTGCGTGCGCAAACAGGTGAGTAAATTTGTGTGTTCACAGTTTATACTCCGAGGTGTTTCTCGATACGAAATTTGAGTGTTATTCGCAAATCTGGTTTCGAACACTGACCATGTGGTCAAGAACTATCTTTTAATTACTCAGCTGTGGATTTCACTTGGGGGGAGTGAATAGTAAGAGTGAGGAGTCTAGTACGGGGGGGGGGGGTAGCCTATTTCTCGTAAGACCTTGATTGAGCTTGAGAATTCGCCGAATTAGTGATTTGAGTTGAGGGGGACAGAGTGACAGAGTGACAGGGTGACAAGGTGACAGAGTGACAAGGCGACAGAGTAAACAGGGTGACGGGGTGACATGGCGAAGGAGGTCAAAAGGGGCGAGTAAGACTTGCGATAGGGAAGGAGGGACGAGCTAGACAGGAGGATAGATATGAAGAAACAAGGAGAAACAACAAGGGCGGGAGAATTGTGTGGAGATTATCATTAGGTGTTTTGTACCAGCGGATCGAAGGAGGCTTGCGACCCTATTTTTCGACATCCATCGGGATAGACGTAAAAAAACTAACGAGTCTACTTTCGTAGACTTTTCTTCTCATAAATAAAAACTGCTGAGGCGTCGGGTCAGTCGGCTGTTTGGTGTTATTTCTGTTATTATGCGCCCAGTCTCGCACAAAACAAATAGAAACAGCCGTGTCTGTGAGACCCAGAGCTGCGCCCATAGATGAATAAAAAACAGAAGGGTATTAGACCTATTTTGCTTGGTAAATAGCATGGCAAATAGGTAATGGAAAAAGAAAACGGTGAGCCATGGGGGTTGCAATTGAACCAGACCAGGCCTTCCACTCTTCGTTATTTTTGAAAATAGATGCTCAATTTTTTTAATACAGAGAGAGAGTGTGTGTGTGAGAGATAGAGTCTGCAGTCTACTGTACACCATGCCTCGAATCCTGCAGGGGTCGAGTGGGTGGATTGAAGCGAGTGAGCGAGAGGGAGGAAATAGTAAATGACGAGCTTGGGAGGTGGTGACTCAATTACAAAGAGGTCTCGAAGGGAGAAAGAGAGTAAGTAAATCAATCACACAAAAGGAGACGATCCTAGAACACGGTCTTCAGTTCTAATGATGATGCTAATGACACTAACTAACTATCGTTTCTAATTCGCAAAGGAGCATTGACATAGCGAAAAGGAAAGGAAAGAAAAAGGACACGACGGGTGGATGAAATGGATGACCCATTATTTATTTTCCTTGTCTGTTGTTCTTTTTCATTTTCATCCAACCTAGTGTTCTTGTTCTTATTGTTCTTGACGTTCTCGAATGTCGTTTGTATGTGTGTGTGTGTGTCTATTTGCAATATTTTTCCTCCGCCGGGGTATTTCCGTCCACTCTTCGTCACCATCTATTCCTCCACTCTCTGTTCTCTTTCCTTTGATGACATTACCCCACTTCAATCATTCCACCAACCAAGGAGGATAAATGAATCCACATCCACAGCATTACCCCTACTGAGCCAACTCTCTCTCTCTCTCTCTCTCTCTCTCTCTGTCAAAAAATGAGCAAAAACGTGAGCGAAGAGAAGGAAGAAAGAGAAAGAGTGGAGCTTGTCTAGTCCCTCCGTTCTTTCGCAATAACAACCAAGTGAGGATTTTCACCATGTTCTAAGAAACGAACCTTGTTTATTGATTTTCCATCTCTCTTTCTTCGCACATCGCTCATCCATCTACTTTTGGTGTTTTTTTTTAGTCCTATTACCTTAGGGGGCAGAACGAAAAGGTAGGGGTAAAGAGAAGGTGGGGGGTGGGGGAGGAACGTCCTTCTGCTATTCTCGTCTATCGCTTGAAGGGAGAAAGATGAACAGCGCAAGCATTACCTCATTTGTTAATTTCTTAACCCCCACTCTCACTTCTTTTCATTTCTGACAAAGCAATAGGCTAACACCAGAAGAAGAGAGATGGAGAAATGGGCGAGGGTTAAATTTGGGTAATGAGCATGTATGCTAGCGTGCTGTGTTCAGGGGCTAGGGTGGGGGATGAGAAGGGGAAGGGGAGGTAGGTGATAGGTTGGGATGAGGTAGAAAAGGAACGAACGAGGCATGGGCGCATTGGACGGAAGGGGCGAATGAACAGGGGACAAGGGACAGGGGAAAGGGAAGGGGGTAAGGGCGAGAGTAGAGACTGTCGGTTGTCGGTCTCGTTCAGGGCGATTGGAATACGGCGGCCGAGAATCAACGCTGTTTATCTTCCAGGCCGACGAGACGGACAAAAGGGCAAGTCCCGTCGCATTTTTCTCACCGCAGCCAGGCAGCCATGGTAAGCATTAGCATTAGCATTAGCATTAGGATTGTATGAATGAATAAGGGTCATGGGGTCAAAAACGAGACAATGTCCTGCAGCAAGGGAAACAACGCGAAAAAGAAATAAGCCCGTTGTTATTAATCATCTCCCCGCCTCAAAAAGGTCAAAGTGCTTTTTTTTGTAGTTGTTGTTGTTGTTGTTGTCGTCTGAGTACGGCGAAGGGTCGATAGACAGAGAGAGAGAGAGAGAGGGAAGAGAGAGCAAAGCAAACAAAAAAAAGTCTTTATCGACTCAATTCAGTCTTTACTCTTTGTTCCATTCAGTCGCTAATTGAAGGTATTCAATTCGCCATTCACTCATTCATTCGTCGTTAAAACGGGTCCAGGGACCATCCCATCCGCTAATTGCTCAAACATTTTTTCATATAAAAAGAGCGAACCCTTTTTGCTCAAAAAAGAATTCTCCATCTCATCTCACTTTCTTGTTCTCTCAACAACAGCAACAACAACAATAGCAACAGCTTTCTTTCTTTCTTTCTTTCTTTCTCTCTTTCTCTCTTTCTCGCCCTCGTTTCTCTTCTTGCTCTCTTCCCCTCCCCCACACCGCTCTCGACACAAACAAACAGTTATATTACAACTCCACCAACAACAGACGATCTCGAGAGCAGCAGCAATTACAACGACTGAACAGCCCCCAACATCATCATCATCAACAACAATAACAACAACAACACCTTGCAGTTAATTTTACTGTCTTCCTCCTTCTTCGTCGTCCTTCCATCGACCTTCTTCCCTCTCGTTTAAATCTTTGCTCAAATCTCTCCAAATCTACATAAATACTCGCCCTCTCTCCACGTTCCATCCCTTCTTTTTTTCATTTGCTTTCCATCTCACCTCCTCACCAACCCGTTGTTTTTTCATCTACTACAAACTCTTACACACCTCAACAACAACAACAACAACAACAACCTTCACACAGCCTCCAACCAAGCGCCCTCAGCTACCACCTTTCCCACACATCACCAAACACATACATATCAACATGACTGCTCCAATGGGTAACACTGGCCGCGACTCCTCTGCCACCACCGCCTCTTCCCAATCCTCCGAACAGAACGGCTCCCGCGGTCTTGTCAGCACGAATAACGGCGACGGAAACTCGAGCCCCCAGGTCAACGGTCGTCCTGCCAATGCCGTCGATGGCGAGGAGCACCCTGAACTGGACGCCTTTGTCAAGGGATTCTATGATGGTGCGTGGTGGTCTACTATTTTCACGCTTTTTTAGTGCCGCATGACATGACGCATACTATTGCAAGTCGATCGTTTTTTACGTTCACAGCTGGTCATGATGTACTCACATCTCTCCTTTTCTCTTTGGCACGTTTTTTCACCTCTCTTTTAGGCGACAAGTTCACCGATGTCGACAGTCGAGTTTGGGTCTAAAAAAAAAAGCTTACCCCTGACGCTTCTTTGACCGTTATCCAACACGTTCAGGACGTCAATCTAATCAACCCCCCCTCCCTGGTTGTGCAACGCTCGCACCCATGATGTCAATACTCGCCTTCCCAAGCCATACATATACCCTTGTTTTTTCTTCGTTCCGCTTTCTCTTGTCCTTTTTCCTTCCTTGACTTTCCCTTGTTGTAGTAACATAACTTGTCCATACCATAGAATAGAGCACCACCTGTCAAATATATTCCAGCTTGTCTTTTTTTCAACAAAAGTGCATTCCAATGATGATGGTGATTGTTTTGAGCATGTGGTCAACAATAATGCGTTTATTCGTTACACCGGATCATGAAACGTGTTGTTGGGAGAAGGGCGTTTTTCATTCCAGGGCCACCCTTTGTGATTTGCATCAACAGAAGTGGTTGGTGGCAAATCAATTTTCCAATGAAAAGTGAATGTGACTGCCAATGGGCATGGTTCGCCTCCTTTCTGTTCACCACACACCCTCGCTTCGACCTTTTTTTTTCACACGCATCATGTCGGGACAACCAACCCATCCCTCAGGACTAGCTACTCATCCACAAGACGTAACACCACAGCAAAAGTCAACAACGACAAAGGGCAAAGTAAACCCCCTTTCTTCTACTTCTTCCTCTCATTCCTCTCCCTCCAACCCATCACACTATGCCCCATCTCCAGGAACAAACTCACTCAACGCAACGCCTTACAGGACAGCAACATACGGGTGTTCACCCTATCTCGCGTCCCTCCTCGTCTTCTCAGTCGTAATCCTGGCCTGCGTAACCCACTCAAGCTTCAACCACCAATTAGACCCCAAGGGCTGTATTATGACCTACATGCAACCGACTTACTACAGACTCCTGGCCTTCGACGAGAAAATGACGCGATTTGCCGGAAAATACAATCTGTTGTTGTACAGGGACGGCGACTATGACGATGACCGTCTTCGTGGCTCAAATCTGGTCACACAGATCGGGTCGAGTGAATGGGCTGTTGACAAGTCTGTCAAGGTGTGTCTGCTTGTTTCGCTTGAGTGATCGGATGTTGTGAGTCTCGCATATATCCCTCATTTCTTTCTCTCACATGGTTGTTGTTTTTTGTCACCTGAGTGGATATAGGTTCGGCCGACGGGGGTGCCTGCGCTGTTTATTCCAGGAAATGCAGGAAGTGCAAAGCAGGTGCGGTCGATGGCAAAGGAGGCTGCGAGATACTATTACGAGACCCTTCCACGCGAACAGGGCGGTCATGCTGCAGGATCGAAACCCATTGACTTTTTTACAGTCGATCTCAATGAGGAGTTCTCGGCATTTCATGGACAGCTGCTTCAGGACCAGGCACAGTACGCCAATGAGGTCATAGCCTATATCCTCTCATTATACGCCGACAACAACCGGGACCCTACACTGCCAAGGCCCACGTCTGTACTGATCATTGGTCACAGTATGGGCGGGATCGTTGCCCGTTCGATCTTCACGACAGACAACTATATCCAGGGATCAGTCCATGCGATCCTCACCGTGGCGACTCCTCATATGATCCCGCCCATCGCACTCGACGACAAGATCTCGGCCGCATACGACAGGATCGAGGAGTTCTGGACACATGGGTTCTATACTCCTCATTCGCCACTCGCGAATGTGTCGTTGGTTTCGATCATGGGCGGCAATTTGGATATCACTGTCAACAGCGATTCAGGAAACATTCAACATCTGGTCCCGCAGAGTCATGGGTTTTCTGTCTTCACGTCGTCGATCCCTCATGCTTGGGTTGGAACCGACCATCTGTCGATCTTGTGGTGCAATCAGGTCGCGATGGCTATTGGTAAGGCGTTGGTGGATCTTGTAGATGCTAGGAGGGCGGATCAGGTCAAGCCTCTGGGGGAGCGGATGAAAATCTTTCGACGACGGCTCTTGACCGGTGCTGAGGAGCATGGATCTCTTGCTCCAGAAGCAGCAGCACACAGTAAGTCGACTATAGTTTTTGAATGCATCGACGTCAATTGTGACAGCGGTGAAGTTTCGTCCGCTAATATTTAAGCTCTTTGATATGATTAGGCGAACAGACGCTGTCGTTATCCGACTTTGAGCATACATTCATGGAGACAGACACAGCGTGGGCATTCCCTCCAGCAACCTACAACGCACAATCTACCACGCCGCACCTCTTTGTCATGGCACTTCCACAGTCATCGAACTCGCCAGGCACAATCACCTTGCTGACAGATCACGCTCTTGGACAGAACAGCCGTCTAAATGTCTTCCTCTGCAAGGACCTCGCCGCTCCGTCGTCATCGTCACACAAACCTCAGGCTTTGTCCTGCAGGAGTGACAAGTTGGCCTTTATCCCCATCCCTGCCTCGACAGAGTCCTCAACGATGCCATTATTTACAGGAGAATATTACACTGCGCGAGAGTTCCGATTCATCCAGAAGCAGGTGAGAGAGCTTGTTGGGTACCCCTTCCTGGTGGTTCTGGATCGTGGTCGGCGGTATGCCGAATCTGGGTTCTTATTGACCGAGATCAGCAAGGAGGCTGTTCACCAGGAAGTTATAGAGACCACTACCATAGGTAAAGACATCATCTCATTCGACGTATCATTTCCTATAGTTATTTCATTCTTACAATCATGTGCTGACGCGCTCTTCACTACTCATTGGGTATGTAGGATTGTTGCGTGATGGATTGAAGTGGAGCAAATTCCCTGAGAGACCGTCGTTGGTGTCGACGATCAGCCTGCCCAACATGGATAGCAGTCTACTCGCCTACAACCTAAAGGTGAGCAGAGCCGGTTGTCAAGGTAATTCTCAGGAGCTGCAGATTCATATCTGTCGTTACAAATTAGCTTAGGAAATGTCTGAACTGAGATAATGCTCCACATTTAATCAATAATAGGTCAAAGGTTCGCTCCGATGATGAAACAATCAAGTTGGGCGATGCACGAGGACAAGTATTTTGTCAATATTGCCGACAAGGAATCGGGAGTCGACATCAACTTTCATGGAGATCTGCCGTACTTTGACAAGATCCAGCTGAGTGGTAACAATGGAGTCGAACTCCGATTCTGGATGGACCCTACGTGCCCTGAGCCGTTGTCGTTGACACTAGAGGTTGACAAGTATGGAAGTCTTGGAAAAGTGGTCATTCGGTACAGGATGGTCGTCTTGGTGTTCACGTTCCTGGCGATCCTATTGACTCTGAGAGCTCAGATCCAAGGCTGGAGTCGGATGGGTCACTTTATGCCCTTTGGCGAGGCTTTGTCATTGCTGATCCGATCGACATTTTGGCAGTTCGCGGTTCTTTTGGGAGCAATCTCTATGCTTCAGCATTTGATTCCGAGAACAGCGGTCGACATCGGGAATGAAGCCATATCAAGTTCACAGGGGTCCTTGGCAGGCTCGTCAAAACTGACAGAGTCTGGCGGTCGCCCCTGGTGGCAGCATTCGGGTCAGTGGTTTGGAGATGCGCTGCTTGGAGATAATGATGCGTTCTTTTGGTTTCTGGCGCCGCTGTTCTTCCAGGTGGCTGTGGGAATTGTCGCGTTTGTTTGGATCTTGTTGAACTTGATTGTCAGAACTGTCGCGCTTTTAACGAAACGCGGTACCGGTGGTGACTTCATGAACGCCAGAAGGTAAGCGTGTTTGTCTCGTTTGCGGCACGCAACAGAATCAGCCAGTATAAAGTTTAATACTAAAGTCTAATGCTTTGCCCTCATTGTTTACTTAGCACAACACATAGAGCGATCACGCTGACAGCCATGTCTGGGTTGGTAGTCACCGTGGTGCCCTACCAGTTCGCTTTCACTGCCATCCTCCTTTGGCTCATCTGGATCAACGCTTGTGCTCTCAACCGAGCCCATCAGCAACCCGCCTCCACTATTTCCTCGTCTTCCTTGGAGACGACCATGGCGTGGAACCGGTTCCACTTTGTCATGTCGATTCTGGTAATGTTCTTCTTCTTGTTGCCGTTCTGTGTTCCTGCGCTGATGGTCTGGATCCGCAACTTTGCGATTGGCTGGTTCGAGTCCTTTGATAGTGACCATCGTGTGGATTATGTCCTGCCTTTCTTGATTTTTGTTGAGGGCTTGAGTCATGGGTTCTCTGTGGATATTGGATCCTGCAAGAGGTAACCTCTTTCATGTGCAAAGTAATAGCTGCAAAGCATTCAGATATGATGTGGTATTGCCTACCGTCCCTTTATTGACGCCCTATCTTCTGGCTGTTGTGTGCTAGGTTTTCGAGAGTACTGGTGTTGATGCTGGATGCGATGGTGGGGTACCTGATCGTGTTTGGAGTCCGGTACAGCTGGCAAATATACTTCTTGACGCGGTTGTGGATCTCGTGGTTGTTGGTGTTGAGGTTTGTGGAGTCGGGGCCTGGAAGGATGCTGGAGAGGATGGTCATATCGCAGTCTGGTCGACCACCTCACAGAAAACAAGACTAGGTGGTGCCATTAAAAAGTATGCTGTGCTGAGAGGCTATCCAAGTTTCCGGTATGAGCAGTAAGTAGCAATGGCAGTGACACTGTTGCTCCTGGTGAGCCACTATTACGACGACGAGCAAGACCAGACAGCAACATAAAAAGCGGCCATGCATGAATGTATTGGGGATGAGTCACGTGCGACATCATCAGAGGATGGCACACCCTTGTGGGCGTCTTTTGCATGGGAGACCTTTTTTTATTTCACTCACTCAGACGCACTTCCTTACTCCGTACTTATTCCATCACCACACTTCTCCTTCTCTTCTTCTTCATTCTCACAACAACTTGCTCTCCTTTCTTCTCACCACACTTATACCATACGCACTCTCTCTCTCTCTTCGCCCTTTCTTTCTCTTCACCATTCCTCAACCCTACCCTTGTCAATTGCCTGACTGAACTGCAACGCCCATTCAACAAGAGACGCCTTCAAAAAAACGGTCCCAGTGGTTGTGAGCACAAACCCAACAATGGACTTCGCCAGGAGTGAACTAGTCCAACGGCAGCCTGCGCTGAATGCCACCACCACCACTACAGGGTTCCTTGGTGCAACAACCGACCCTGCCCTCGACACTGCATCACCAGAAAGGGTATCAACAGCTGCCTGTGGCAGGTACAAAGACGAGGTGAACGACGACCTTGCGGACGGTATGACTACACCAACCAGACGGTCAAACTCTTCTATCGGGTCACCCTCTTCTTCAGACGACTTTGATGTCTACTTTTCTACCCCACCTCCCATGCCTGCCTTTACATACCCACCCTCCCCCCCTCGACCAGCATACAATGCAGCTCTTGAACACATCGCTCGTCGGCTTCAACCCTCTCGACAACCCGAATCACCTGTCATTCCTGTGGGCTCGCATCAATACGACACCAGGGCGGGTGTTACCTCGGGCTGCGACAACCAATCTATCTACAAGAGATGGTTCTGTGCGCAGCTCCCAGATTCTCCACCTACCGATGGTCCTCTCCCTGACGACTTGATCCCTAGGAGACCGCTGACTTCAATCACCGGTTCGAATCGATGCCTTTGGCCACCGGATAGTACTTTTTTGACCATGTCTACGGGTGCCACGTTCCAAGATTTATCCTTCCAGAATCATGATCGGGGGTTCAATCATCAACAGAGCACCAATAATGGAGCTACTTCATCAACTCTGGGAAGTGGCGCCACTTCGTATATGATCCCCGCAGCAACGATGACCCCACAAAAGAACCACGATCGCTCAGACAGTTTCAAGGACAGCGGGGAATGCCTGTTGGACTTGCAGCCACGCAGAAAGGCCAGACGCACGATGGATGGCCCTTACTTCAAGGAGAGGAACGACCGCATGGTGGCTAGCCATGTGCAGAAACTGATCCAGGAGGCTGTTGAAGACGGTGTTGGAGAACTGGACCTCAGGTATGTCTTGGTATTCAGCCCAATGGAAATCAGGGGGAGGGTAGTTTAGTTTAATAGGGGGCGTGTGAGTTGTGCCAGCCCTGTTTTTGTGGTTTTCTGACCTTGTTGTTGTTGCACAACGCCCTTTCCATTAATAGTAACCTAGAGCTGACTGACTTGCCACCAGATATTCGCGACTTGAACTATGCGATTGTCTACAATGAATGCGGATCGTTCGCGCTGTCAATGAACCGACTGAAGTTGTTCTTGAGCTCCAACCAGTTCATCACCATACCCATGCACGTCTTTGAGCTCCACAATCTTTCTGTCCTGTCCCTGAGTAAGTGTGTCAAAGTCACAAGTGCAATTAGCTTTTTGTTTGACCTGACCCCCTTTTTTGTTAATCATTAAATCCTTATGGCTAACATGGGCGCAATTGTGTGTTTCGTTGTATTCGTGTAGGGAACAACAACATCAAGGCCATCCCCCCAGAGATTGGACTTCTCTACAACTTGGTTGAGCTTTCCATCGGCGGTAACCTCTTGGTAAGTCATTTATGTTTCATCTGATATATTGGCAAACATCAAGCACATGCACATGCATGAAGAAGCATATGTTAATAATATTTTTGATGTATTGCCCAAAACCCCCAACCCGGTTGTTGCTTATTTTTTTTTGTTCGTCATAGGAACATCTGCCCTCTCAAATCACGTTTTTGCCAAAACTTCATATCCTTACCATTCATCCCAACCCGTTCTTGATGTGCCCTATACCAGAAGGCGGGGTTGTCGAGCAGGACCCCGCCGAGCAACAACAGCAGCAGCAGCAGGATCCTACTGGAGATGATGTTGACGACATTGGCGCCCAGCAGGATCTGGAGGAAGACCAACAACAACAAAGTGTACCAGAGACGCCTACGATGAGCAACTCTGAACTCATGGAATCGCAGAGCGATGATATCGAAATGTCGCCGCTCCAGGAGCAGGGCTCGCAGGCCGGACCCAGTTTCCATGGCGCTGACTCGACAGACGAAGCACACCTGGGTCATGATGATATGGATCAGCAGGTAGCAGCACCAGTCCACCCGCAGAGCGCGACGCCAATGACGCGTGTACAGTTGCCGCCTCACAGGGTATTTCGCTCTCGGTTCCCTACACTTGCCCACCTTGCAGGGAATGTGATCCTGAACTACATGGACGCTCAGACGGCCAAGGGAGGAGGAGACGAAGGCGCGGATCGGCCACGAAAGGATAGCAAGATATCGATGGAAGATGACGACGATTTCCTGGAGGATCCCACGGGACTGTGCACCGGTGGGGATGTGACCCTGAACGACGCTTGTATCGGTCGCAGGAAGCAGTCAGCGGTAAGCAAGAAGAAGGCAAGGCAGGTCGAATTTTTCAAGGAAGAAGTCCTCAAGGAGTACATGACGCCGTACCTATTTGATATCTTCAAGCGAGCAATGATCAACAATCGATGTGGCGGGTGTCAAAAACGGTTCTGGAAGCCGTGTCGGATTGTGATTGTCTGGCAGGACGTGCTGGGACAGAAGCGGGTCCCTATCCGGTGGAAGGGGTGTGGGATTGGGACGTGTCCTGGCGTGCCTGACACCCTTTGGCCTCGGCAGACGGATCCAGACCTGGCGGGTCGGTCCTCACGCGCTGATGGGTCACACTCGTCGCCCTCTGGAGCCATCAGGATGGCATCGACTGACTCCTAGGCTGGCGGTCAATCTGGCCAACCTTTTTCGTGGTAACGACGACTCTGCTTATGGGTTTGTCACTCGTATTGACAGCTACCACTCTTCCCTCTACTCCTACTTCGCATCTTTCTCGCTTCATGCTCTTTGCTCCTGTCATATATCTACCCTGTACTTTTTCTTTGTTGTACTTTTATTCGCCCCTCATTGCTATCAATGGTCCTTGCTCTTTTGTTCTCCTCATTCTAATTTTCGCTATAGCTACGTTGGAATAAAAGCTTTTTCCTCCTGCAGCAACCACGACATTGAGTTGGTGTTGTACGTAGTTTCGCAGACCGTGGCCAGGTCTTCCGGCTGCTGATATTGTTGATTCGGTTGGAGGAAGAAGGAGTAGATTTGGATCGTAATGTAAGCGAGGAAGGAGACCGAGAGCGAGAGGGCGAAGCTGACGAGGGCGTGAGAGAATTGTGGAGAAGTAGCGAATGGATTACGAGGAATTCGTGGCCGCCGCTGGCCTTGGTCTTGGTTTTGGAGGGGGAACTGTTGAAAGATATACTGACTTTGCTCAATCTGCTGGTTCATCAATCCCTTGTAGTCTTCTATTTTTTGGTGTACTTGTTGGAGTCGGAGGAGTTTCTCTGGTGACAATTGTGGCTGTGGTGAAGGCGAGGGTTGTTGAGCGTGAGGGAGTTGAAAGGGTGAGGCAAGGGATACTGTCTCCTTAGGCGTGTTTCCTGATGCTGTTGTTGTTGCCGCTGCTGTTGTCGATGTAGTGGCGGCAATCGAAGGGGGCGGAGGTGGCGGCGGCGAGGTCTAGTTGAAGGTGCCAAAAGTTTGAGTAGATAAGGTAGTAGGAAAGAAAAGTCTATCAGGTTCACTGTGAGTTTTGCTTTCCTTGCCATAAAAACGGACGAATACAACATGGACATAGGGGTGGCGATCCTTTTTTTTTAGGATAGGATAGGATAGGATACGTACCGTAAGGAAAAGTGGGGTTGCAGGGTTGAATGTGACAGGAAATAGAGGGGTGCTTGGAGATGAGGGTGTGGATGTGGATGTGGGGGAAGGTTTTCCGTGTGGCGTATCGGCGATGAAATAGATTGTTGGTTGGGCCCGTGGAGACGGAGGAGGAAGAGAGGACGAGGAACTAGAGTTTTCACGATATTGATCCTGGGCCTGGAATGGTTTCTGGGATAGGTCGGAGGAAGGAGGAGGAGGAGGAATGCGTTCCAGGGCGTAAGCGTGTACGGCCTCGTAGCCGTGGATCGTCGATAAGATCCTTTGAATTTCCTGTGCTCTCCTGTCTTCCTCTGCGACTGTGGTGGCAGTACTGTGTCCAGGCGCCTCCTTGTGTTCGCGAACCTCTCTCTTCAGCTATCAAGACAATGGAGCCATATAAAAAAAAATAGCCGCAGTTGTCAGAACTACACGCACAGCAAATGTGTCCCGTAAATTTGTCACACAAAATAAAAAAGGCTTCTTTACCCGCGAGAGTTGGCGGCCTAGTGCTTCGATGCGGAGGGTCATGGCTGCGAGGTCGGCTTCGAGTTTCTCGGCGCGTTGATGGAGGGTTTTTTGGTAGGCTAACAAAGACGCTCGTTCTAGTTTAAGTTGTGCGACGGTTTCTATTTGGATTGTTGAGAGTTGCTTGTTCTTGTCTACCAACATTCGAAGCTATTTACAAAAAGTGATAGACGAGTGAGTTACCACGTGAAGCAAGCAATGAAAATAAGGATGAATGCACCATTTACTCTATTTTCTCTGCACGTACGTCGTCAATATGCTCATCCAGAGTGCGAATATTAGTTCTTAAGAAGGCAACATCGCTCCTCGTAAGCTGAAGATTCGCTTTAACGTTGGCGATGGATTCGAGATTGATTTGGTTGATATCGTGTTGGTGGGCTTCCAGGTTTTCGAGGTCTTGTTTTTGGCGGTCGAACCAGGATTTGGATTGGCTGTAGAGAGCTTCTAGTTTCTGTTTGAAGTCTTGTTGGTGTTCTTGTTGGTGGTGGTGGTGGTGGTGAAGTTGTGGTTGTTGGTCTTGTGGGGCATCGTTTGTCATTTTTGGCGAAGAGGGAATGAGGGGTGACACGTATGATGGAAGAAAGGAAGGAAAGAAGGAAAGGTGAGGATATGGTGTGGGGGGAGGGTTCTATTTTGACCTCGCACAAAGAGTGATTGATGTTCAAGCCTTCAAATGTGCACAACATCAACGCAACGCGAACGATCAGTCTAGAGTCAACTTTGTTGGACCAACTGAGGTCTTCCATATAAGTCATATTCGAAGTCGATGACGTTTCGTCAATGAAGAGGACATGAATAGCTGACGTGGGCCAAGGGTGGCAGATAGACAGACGGTCAGAATAAGGCGCAGGAACGCGTCGCCGGTGAACGAGGTTTATGGTTGCAGCATTCAGGCACGATCAGCCCAGCGGAACGGTGAGATCAACTTCAACAGCCAACTTACTACAGAGTTTCGTTTCGTATCGTTGCGTGTTGGTTGGTAGGTTGGTACTGTCTTGGTTTTTTTTTCTTTACTTTCTCTTGCAACCTGCTTAGTCCTTACCGTACACATTCCCAATGACAACGAACGTACTGTACTCTTACAGTCCAGTCACTTTTTTCTTTTTCCTTTTTTTCTTTCTATCTTACAACAGGGGGGGTGTTTATGTCTCTTCTTCCTGGTGACGAGTGACAATAAATGCTTTGCCGTCATATTATCGAGACTGATAAAAACGCGTTTGTCTTTTAAATTCGCGTCAAAGGGATCAAACGCAGTCCTGCTTGTCTGAATAAAAACGCGTCCTGTCCTGTTTGTCTATCGGTCGCGTATAGTAACCCTTGTGGCCCCCAGTTACGATCATAACCCTATGCCCACTCACATCAGCTTCTTTCACTACTTCCCATTCGTAGCAATCGTCCTTTCTTCCTCCCCAGCAATTTCAGACAGTGCCAATCCATCATCATCAATACTTCTGTGCACATCAGAGTAAACGGAAGGTGTTTAGAGTTGAATGGTGTCCTTACCTTTTTTCTTACAAGCGACAGCAGTGGTCAAAAAGGGGGACGCGGGGAGAGAGACGTCAAGAAAATGACAAAGACAAAAGAACGGCTGATCCACACAACCTTTCTCACTTTTATTGACGATCAATGAGACACGCATTCACAGGATGGAAGGATGGGAGCGAAAGCAAATATGAAAGAAACATCACTGCCGCCGTTTTATCAATGTACAAGGCAGAGAAGAAAGAAAAGAAAGAAACACAACAAAAACAAAAAAAAAGGTCGGGAAACTGAAGGAGAGTGAATACTAAAGGTGGGTCAAGTAACTCCTTTCACAATTAGTATATTTGATTTTCGAGTCACTTTCAACTCATAAACATCACCTATCGCCCTTCTCAGCATGCAGGAATCAGGACCGAGAAAGCAGGGACGCGACGCGACTTTGTTCGACAATCTCCAGGTGTAGAGAATATCTGGACCACGGGACACGAAGCACGGTTCCTTAATGCCTTGGTGCCTTCTCCGTCTGGAACACAGTCACGCCAATATAAAAAAAGAACGTGGCGGACAGGGAGAAGGAAGCGGCTCAACTTTTTATTCGCCTTTACCTTTGTCTGCCCCATCATCAACTCTTACCTTCACCTCACATTCCTTCACTCAACCATGGCGCAAACACCAAGGGACCCTTCCTTGCGGGAGCAGCAAATCGGTAAACACTCTCTTTTTGCTCTACTTCCGACAAGCATAGCATACAACCGCCTTCAGCAGTCTTGGTTCTTGCTCACTCACACACAACTCACACATGCACCCACTCATCATCCCGCGTCCTGTCTCATACAATGTCATCTTGAACCCTTCTAGCTGCCATCGCTGCCATGCTCAACCTCAACCAAAAGCCAGAGCCTGTCTCTGCCGACCAAGTCATTCCCATGGCTTCCAATGCAGAGTGGAAGGTGCTGATCTTTGACACGTTCGGTCGGGATGTCATCTCTTCTGTCCTGCGCGTCAATGACCTTCGTGAAAACGGCGTCACCGTCCACATGTACGTCCCCTCTATCCCAAGCGTTCTCTCTTGTTGGCAATATGACATCCTCGGTTGCGACAAACGAGACATTATACTTTGCCCTGATGATAGTTTACTGTGCGTATGTTACTAGGCTTCTGAAGAACGAGCGACAGCCCATTCCAGACGTACCTGCTATCTACTTTGTGGAGCCAACTTCCGACAACATTCGCAGGATCAGCGAGGTGAGTGCCTGCCCACTCGCTCCAAGCCAATACGACCCTTCAGGAAGTTGATAATTTGCATCTTGAACACCAAGGAGAGCGATGAACCTAACATCTTAACATGCACAACCCACACTGGACTCATCCCTATCATAGGATCTTTCGAACCACTTGTACGACTCTTACTACATCAACTTTTCTTCAGTAATACCACGACCGCTCATGGAGGAACTGGCCGCTTCGACGATCCCCAGCGGAAGCTCGTCACAGATCCAGCAGGTCTACGATCAATACTTGAACTTTACCTGCTCGGAACCCAACATGTTCTCGCTCAACGATCGCCAGTCATACCTGGCTCTTCACGACCCCACCGCCCCTGAGACTGCAATCGAGGCGTCAATCGACAAGGCAGCCAGCTCCCTTTTTTCCGTCCTTGCCACCATGGGTACGCCACATCTGTTTTTTTTACTTCCATGGGACGCGTTCATATGACCCTGAAACAGGGAATTAACTTCGTACACAACCTATTTACAACTTGATCTAGGCGTTATTCCAATTATTCGGTGCCCTCGGAGTGGAGCAGCGGAGATGTTGGCCAAGAAGCTGGATAGCCGCTTGAGGGATCATGTCATGAACAGCAGGAACAATCTCTTTTCGGATTCCAACACCATGAACTTTCAGCGACCTGTTCTTGTCATTATGGACCGCAACATGGATCTGGTCCCTATTCTCAGTCACTCTTGGACCTATCAGGCCCTCGTTCACGATGTCATGGACATGAAGTTGAACGAGATTGTCGTCCAGGTAATTTGTGGGATTTCAAGGAGTTCCTCGTTTTATTAGGACGGGTTGGCGATGTCATAATTATTTGTTGCGCATGGAACTAACACATAATACCCTACTATTTACAAATTTGCACCTAATAGACGGAGGAGAATGGACGTCAGGTCAAGAAGAAATACGATATTGAGGCCAAGGACTTTTTCTGGAACAAGAACGCCTCGGCTCCTTTCCCTCAAGTCGCAGAGGAGATTGACAGCGAGTTGACAAAGTACAAGAAGGACGCCGCACAGATCTCCCAGATGAGCGGCGTCAGTAGTTTAGACGATGTCAGCCAGCTGTAAGTATCTCAGGATCGTTGTCTCCAGATCGAGACAATGTTGTTAAATATGACTTCGTCCTAACGTCGCCCTTTTTCTATCATTAGTGACTTCTCGTCGGGCGCAAAGCATTTGAAGACGGCGATCACAGCTCTACCCGAGCTCACTGCAAGAAAGGCAACATTGGACATGCACATGAACATTGCCACTGGACTGCTGCAGGGAATCAAGGACAGACAACTGGATACCCTCTTCCAGATGGAAGAATCAATCACCAAGCAGACAAAGGCTAACATCCTGGAGGCTATCAATGATCCAGAGAAGAAGGTGGCTGATGACAAGATGCGTCTCTTCTTGATTTACTACCTCTCGGTTCAGGAGGATATCTCTAGCGACGTGATGCAGGAGTATGAGGATGCATTGGTGAAGGCGGGCTGTGATCTTGCCCCTCTCCGATATGTCAAGAGTGTCCGTGCCTACACTCGTATGACCAACATGACCCAGCAGCCTCCCCAGAGCTTTGGTCGCCCCGATTATCTCCTCAACCGCCTCGGTAACATCGGAAACAAGGTACAATTTATACCTGCTTTGTGTGGTGTCAAATTGGCCAGTGGTGTGTCATTGGAGCCGAATCGATCGACTAACAACTTATTCAATTGATGACCTCATAGCTGTCGGATCACTTGGGATCGGGTGGATTGGGAGGAGGGTTTGAGAACTTGTTGGCGGGAGTAAAGAACTTTTTGCCAACAAAGAAGGACTTGCCGATGACGAGGATTATCGAGTCGATTATGGAGCCAGGTGGAGGGGCGAACGAGACGAACGAGGACTTTTTGTATTTTGATCCCAAGGTCAACCGGGCGTCGAATGCCAAGATGCCACGCACGCGGACGCCCTTCCAGGAGGCTATTGTGTTTGTTGTGGGAGGAGGCAACTATGTGGAGTACCAGAACCTGAACGAGTATGCGCAGAGACAGACGATCAAGAAGAAGATTACATATGGATCGACAGAGGTGCTAAACCCCAAGGAGTTCCTCCAGCAGCTCTCTGCACTTGGCAAGGAGCAATAATGACTGCCAGTGCAGTGCAAGGGAATTGGTTTGGAGCGTACTTGTAATAAAACGTATATTTTTCCCTGGAAGTGATGTGTGACCACACGAACGACGGAGATAAATTTCCCTCCAAGACAAACAGACCGCACGCTTCTTTTTTCTTTTCTTCTTTTTCTCATCAACCTTCCTTCAACTCTCACATCACATCAACCAATTACAATGGCCGGAGGAAAATTCAAGAAGCCCCAGCGCGGAGGTGGCAGAACCTTCTCTCGTCGCATCGAAGCCGTCCACACCAACAACGCCGTATGTGTTCTCTTTCTTCTTCTCTCACCTTCCTGCAATTAGCTCACGGAAAAAGAAGAGGACCGAAAACAAAACGTGGCCATGCGGATCTGATGGCAACAACAACCACAAAGCAAAACAAAGGCCAAGCAAACTAATCGCTCATTTCCATCTTTGTTTTCTTGACCTTGTTATTGTGGATAGTACCGTGACAGAAAGGAGTCCGGGGATGAGTCGTCGTCTGCTGAGGAATCGTCTGAGGCCAGCGACTCCGAAGAGGAGTCTTCTGAGGAGGAGGATATCGTCGCCGTAAGTTGGGTTGTCTTCCTTTTTGTTGCTCTTCGTCCCCTTATGACCATGGACACCTTGTTTCTTGCTTGCTATCGTTTGAAGGAACTGGATCGGACAAAGGAGGATCGTGACACAACCGATATACTCACCACTGGTCCTGTTGACGTTTTTTCTCGTACCATAGAAGAGGAAGCCCGCCCCCACTGCTGCTCCCGCCAGCGATATCTCCAACCCCAACCGTGCTTCTGGAAACAGGGTCATGAAGGCTTCGGACCTCACCACCCCTATTGAGATGTCTCGCAAGGAAAGGTAATAGCAACCACTTTTACTTCAAAACCACACGCCATTAGAAACGAAGAAGGAAGGAGGGCGAACAATAGGAAGAAAACCACGCTTCTGCTGAATGTGCTTTCTGTTTGATCACCAGCACTCTTTCTTTTTACTGACCCATTCTCCATCTCCGTGTGGTTTTTACGAAAATGATTGAATATATCACTAGGGAGGCTGCTGAGAAGGAGGCTGCGAAGCAAAAGTACTGGAAGTTGCACCAGGAGGGCAAGACTGATCAGGCCAAGTCCGATATGGCACGTTTGGCCGTTATCCGTCAGAAGCGTGAGGAGGCTGCTGCCCAGCGTTTGGCCGAAGCCCAAGGTGAGCGCTTGTTGTCCTGCTGCTTTTCGACTGAAATCTTAATTTGTTCAATGATTACAAAAAATTACTGCGGGCTGCTGGTTCGGTCATTTTCGTTCTTTGCGCTGACATGACGCTATTGTTTTTCCTTCTCTCTTTGCTTTGCATTCATCGAATATAGCAAGAGATGAGGCTGCTGCGGCCAAGGCTGAGTCCCGCAAGCGCTAAGGGCGACGACGGCGTGCAGGAGACGTATTTTCAATTACTCAGTATACACGCATATGGTGCATCAACGGAGGATGTTACGATACACTCATGGAGTATGGACGATCTCCGTAATAAAAAATCACCTTTTTTTATCCTTCTGTCCCACTCTGATATCTTTGTGTGCATGCATAGTTTTGAATGCGTGTCGCTCGTACACTTGGACACTTGACGAACGGTGCCTTGACCTTACTTTTTTCTACGGTTGCCAAAGGGCAAAGTTTTTTGAAGCGGTTAGACAGAAACAGTCACTTTTGTTGTTGTTTTCGTGGCCTCCCCTTTTTCTTTTTTTTTGAAGCTTCGAAGCAGCTTTACTCTTGCACGGTCCATTACCATCACACTCACACAACTACATCATGGTAACCCATGCCGCACTACTCAAACGACGCTCTCATACAACAACGAAACCATGCCTGACCAGAAAACAACGCCCCCCATTCTAAAACGGTTCAAAAACTCATCTCTTCTTCCCCTCTCACTTTGGCTACTTTTTTTTTTTTTTTTTTTTTGTCCAACAAAATAGAAGGGAGAACACAAGGGCGGCAAGAAGAAGGACAACCTGGGATGGGAGATTATCAAGCTTCAGGCCCAGGTCGGAGAGTCGACTTCGAGGAAGGTCAAAAAGATTGTTGAGGCCGAGCGGAAAAAGGAACATGGTACCGCATCTACATCTACATCTGAGGCAGTAGAAGAAGGACAGGAACAGGAGCAGGAGTCAGCGGCGTTGAGTCAAGCTGCTCAGAAGCTTTTGAAGTTGAAGGAGCAGAAGATTAGCCAGAAGATTGTAAGGTCGCCCCCCCCCCCTCCACCTCCCTTTCTTTTCTTGCTCATGGATGTACTATGGGATATTGCGGTTAACTGAAAAAAGTTGACTAACGAAACACATTTTTTTTTTTGCGTTTTTGTTTGTTTGTTTGTATGAGATAGTATCATGCGAAGAAGGAGATCAGGAAGGCGTTTGTGAAGGCCAAGGCGTTTGAGACTCAGAGGCTTGTTAAGCGACTCCGTGAGGCTCGGAAGGCTGTCGAGTAAGTTCTAAAATATCATTACAGGAAATCGCGGCGCTAGCGTTACATTGTTGCAAAGAAAAAAAATTACGAACGAATGCGAGCCAATGTACTGACTACTCATTTCTCCTACGAATTGATTTTGGTCCTTCTAGAGAGAAGGAGAACAAGGGCGAAGCAAAGGAGGATGATAAGCCAGTACACAAGACGAAGCAGGATTTGACCCAGGAGGATGTCACCAAGTTTGAGAACGAGATGGAGTTGGTCAAGGTACGTTTTCGAGACGTCTCCTGTCTGGCGCGCGCGTCAATGGAATGTGCAAATGATATACATCATTGGAAATGTTATTAACATTGGAAATGATTCTCAAACTCTAGAAAATGGACATGGACTCATTATCGGAGCATGCGTTTGTGACAAAGTTGGCTAAGCACCCTATTCTCGGATCACATACTCTTATGGCACCATACACAACCAAGAAGGAGACTGCAGCTGCTTCTGGATCACAGGAGGATGCCGCAACGATTCAGATCATTGAAGCGCGTTTGACAAACACAAAGACGGTCAAGGAGCACATGTCGAAGCTATGGGATGAGTTGGAGAATATCATTACAGGCAAGAAGGCTAATGAAGAGAAGAACAAGAAGCGGAAGGGAGGCGATGATCAGGATGAGCCCAAGGTAATAATGGGGACCATGGGCTTAATGTATTGGATTCAGCGGATCAAATTCGTGTTTATGCACAGTGCATTTTCTAACGCTAGGTGTTTTTGGTTGTTGATGATGATTAGAACAAGAAGGGGAAGACACAAAACGATACCAAGAAGGCAGAGAGCGATAACGAGGAGAGCGAGGAAAGCGAGGATGACGAGGATGTGGAGATGGACGGCGTGGACCTGTCAGATATCAGCGACTCTGAGCGGGAAGATGACGGATATGACTCGGACGGACTTCCCCTGCCCATGGGTGGCAAGTCATCTGCAGGATCGTCGTCGTCAGTGGCATCGATGTTTATTGGATCGTTGAACGAGGGCGGCAAGAAGGATAAGAAGGATAAGAAGGGCAAGAAGGACAAGAACGATTGGGTCGACGACAAGTTTGATGAGATCTATGGTAAAGTCAAGAAGAACCGTCCTGGCCAGCAAGCCCGCCGCGCGTAAGTTTTGAGATCGTTTCTATCTATGTCCACGATCGATGTGCATTAGTTCTCTATTGGTTTCTAACTCAAAATGTCTATATCCGCTTTTTGGCTTTGTCTCGTGACTCTTACCTGTCATATCCCATGTCCAATATCTCATATCTAATATCCCATGTTTTTTTTCCCCCTCTTTCACAGCAAAGCGGAGCGCAAGTACGGCAAGGAAGCGAACCATGTCAAGAAGGCCGAGGAAGAAGCCAAGATCCGTGCTGAGAAGAAGGCAGCACGCAAGGCCAAGCAAGAGAAATTCAATGCCCATAGGGACGCATCGACGGCCAATGCGCAGAGGCTGCCCAACCGTCGTACCATCGGTGCAGGTGATGGATCGGCAAGCATTGTCCAACAACCTAAGCCTAGAGCGAAGCCTGTGCCCGCTGGACCCGATCTTAACGATCCTACGTTGCATCCTTCGTGGATTGCCAAGCAGACTGAGAAGGCGGCCATGGCTGCTGCTCTCTCGGGTGCCAAGAGCAACAAGATTACGTTTGATGATAGCGACTAGGTTACGAGAACGACAAGATATACTAAATGTTGAACAAACAAATAGAGACAACAACAAAACAAAAACTTCACAACCCCCTTCTTTTGCTATAGCTATTCATGCTCCGTGAATTTTGAGCTATCATGCAAAGGGAGCTGGGATTTGCATGAAGGGTGAACGGGGGCTGAGAAAAATAAGAGACGAGCTGTATTCTTGTTCTTCTCTTTTTTTTTTTTTTTTTTTTTTTTTTTCCTGCTTGCACGAAGGTCACACAAGCACCAAGAAAAAAAATGTCTGGAGGTGCCGTGCGTGAGCCCAAAGAAAAAGTAGGTGGTCTCGGGGTTGTTTTTTTGGTGGTGCCTGACAGCTTGTGTCCTTGGTGAGAGTATCCATCGAGGGAGAGTGGCCAGCGAAGCAGTCGATTGACGGTGGTGGTAGTAGATACATACAGGTTTTAGGCAGTGTTGTGCCAAGGTGTGTTCCCTCTTGGCATAGGAGAATGAGAGAGGGGGGACGGTCGAATTTTTTCCTTTTTGCGCGCCTCCCTTTGTTTGCCCTGTTGTTTTTTCTTCTTATCTTCACCCACTCGCCCTTTTTATTTATTTTCTCTCTTATTCGACAAAAACCAAGAAAACAAGTGCAACCCACACGCCGACAGTCAGTCCAGCCAGTCATTCAGCCAGCCAGGAGACAGCCAGCCTCTGGAGAGTTCTTTTTATCAACCAACAACAACATACAACACTCGGTCAGCGCACTCGTCTCCTCTCCTTTATTGATTGACTCTCGTCCGACTCCAACAAACCAACTGCTCCTTCTACAACACTCGCACCACAGACTCATCAACACCCCCTCACACAGAGTCTCATGGAGGATCTCTCGGTAAGGAACCTGCTGCACACGCGACATCCAACAATCGTCAACAGCTTAACTCATCTCTCCCACCTTCCCAAGGAACAATCCAACAACAGCCCAAATACCAGGAGGAGCAAGGAATTCATCTCGATCGACTGACTTACCTTGGCCTGTCCGCGCATTTTTCCCAGGAGACAGAATGGAAGAAAGGGACGCCTTGTAAAGGAAAAACACATACACCGGAAGTGGATGGGCACCGCAGGGACACAACTATACATACGGGATGTTAGAACACCATGAACAAAGGAGGAGTGAGGAGGGAAGGGCTCATGACAACCAGGAACTGGATCTGCTCTTTCTTCAAAAACCACTCTTCTTTTTGGCTCTTTTCTCGCTTTCTCACCCTTCGTTTTCTTCTTCGAACCCCACTTTTGTGCGTGCCATCAACCTATCTCTCTGGATACAATAGACCATCACTGGGCGTATCATTCCCTCCCTTCTCGTCACTCAGCTGAAGCTGCTTATCAAAAGCCTGAATGACAACGTTCGCCCCAGTCCGCAGCTCAAACTCGGTGGCAATAAGTCGGAACTGATCCAGCGGCTCAATGCATTCGTCACGCACCACCATCAGCTAGGAGACCAAGTCGCCATCCGTCAGATTCGACACTGCATCGCTGCCTTTAACCAAGGGTAAGGACCTTCTTTTTGGTTTAGAAACATGGTTGTTTGTTTTTCCGCTTTTGCTGTTTAGCCTGTCGTTTTTTTCTTTCTTGGTGGGCCCCTTATTTTATTGCTGCATGTGTGGTTCATGCATAGAAGGGTTCTCCAATGTATTGTAAATGCCTTTCCGGGTATCTAACATGCTAATTGTACCACTTCATTCTGTAGGGAAGTGTCAACAATTTCAACACCTTCAGTAGCACTTCAACACCCTCACGGCAACAGCAGCAGTAGCAGTAGCAGCAGTGGATTCAGGATACACTCGGGCAACATGATGACATCCAAACCGGCTGCGGCCCCAGTACAACAGAGCCATATTGGGGTTCGTCCACCAGTGCCACATTACATGACCATGGCACGCTCGGGACTTCCGGAGAACAAGATCGTTTTCAAATCCAGTCCCTTCTACAAGGATGTTCAGGTCTTGTCTCCGGCACGGCTCTGCATAGGTAAAGAATCCTGGAACCATTTCTGCGAAAGAAAAGTAGGAGAGTGGGCGATTCCGAACGTGGAAGAGAGGGGACACCGTTTATGTTGCGGGACACCGCTTATATTGCGGGATAGGAACTTCGGCTATGGCGACTGTATTCACAGTCTTTTGGACGTGGTGCTTTTATTATTTCTGCGAAAGAGAGAGAGGTTGCGTAATTCAAGGGGTGAAGAAGAAAACGTACAATCTAAGGAGAATGAATAACTAACCAGTCGTCCTCCTCACTTTTTTATTTTCTGCTACTTGCGATTTGGATCTGGATGGGACCTTTCTTATTAACAGAGGCCAAGGAGCAGCGGACAATGTCTGTGACCTTGCCGTTTACAGTTGCACCTATGCTTTCGGTCCAGTTGAAGAGGTAAGGAGAACATTGCCAGGATGACATACAAGGACTCGCAGCAGAAATGTCCTCGCTCATGGAAGCCTTGATATGCTAATCCGCTTTGACCTCTGTATCCATGGAAACCATAGGGAGCCCGATTACCAGATTATGGTGTTTTGTACATCGGCGGAAGGAGCAACAAACCCACCAGCATTGATGGAGTTCCCACATGTGTGTGAGATCAAAATCAGTGGGCGCGTTCTGGAGGCAGTAAGTAGTCGGTCAGGGACAACTCTGGAACGATTTTTGGATATGATCATTGTAGAGTGCGGAGACTAATGATCCTTAAACAATGCTCATTGGTGTGAACCTTTTTAGAATCTTCGAGGAATGAAGAACAAACCTGGTACAGTGTCGCCTGCCAACATCACCAGACTCTGTCGATTGGACCCAGCTGAATACAACAAAGTGGAGTTCATATATGCCAACTCGCCAAAGGTACGGGACGGGGGACGGGATGATAATTTTTCTGGGACATGTCGACGGCTTGATATTACATCCGACCTTCATGATCTAACAAATTCTTGGGATTCTTAATCGCGTGTCTTTAATAGCGTTATTATGCGTCAGTGAACTTGGTCAAGAAGTCATCAGTCACCGCTATCGTGGCGGAAATCGAGCGCGGAAAGTTCTTGAGCAAGGAACAGATGCTCCGAATTCGTACGTGACCAATGCCGATTTGTCGCTAGGAATACCAATGGTGTATGTTCAAAGTAACGTGGACCAGGATGTACTAATGGGAACACCCTTTCACAGTCGAGGATAGGAACAAGGACGACGACATTATGGCCACGTCAAGTACAATTTCTTTGAAGTGCCCTGTAAGTTTTATTGACTGGAAATGGGTCAGCCAGCATGCTTTGAACGTTGAAAGGGAAAATAGGAAACTGATAAATGCCCTTTTTTCCCCTTTGTCCTACAATAGCTTGGATTTCAGAGAATTACAATCCCAATCCGCTCTTCCTATTGCCAACATTTGCAGTGCTTTGACGCGTACACCTTTTTCAACCTCAACGAGCAAACACCGACATGGACGTGCCCGGTCTGCAGCAGGATGATGCACTCGTGGGAAGAGATCGTCGTGGATGGGTAAGCATTTTGATATGGAGAGTAGACAACTTTGACATGTCAGGAAATTTGCTCCCTACGGCCCAACACAACCGTCTAACGCTGAACTCGCCTTTATGTGTCACTGTACGTTGCAATTACCAGTTACTTCAAGGATTTGCTTAATTCGACCCCAGAGTCATTGGAGAACATTACAGTCCAGGCAGATGGATCGTGGGAGTTACCGTCGGCGTCGTCAACGTCAGGGCAAGTTATCGCCCCATCGCCGAAAAAGAAGCCGGCGCCTTCGGACAACAGCGTCTTTGTCATCGACGAGGATGACGACGACGATGACGACGACGATGACGATGAGGCGCCAGCAGCAGCAGCACCGCTAACGCCCGTCAAGCCAGCCAAACCAGCGATCGAAGTCATTGATCTCATTTCAGATAGCGAGGATGAGGGCGCCGAGGAAACCACGACAACGGCCGCCACAACCACAACAGCGTCTGCTTCAACAGCTACCGATCCCGATGGCGATTCAAGTATGCAGGAGGCAGCCAACTTGCTTCAGAATATGGCGCATGCAACTCCAGGGCCATCAGCAGCCGTCAAGACGGAGGATCTAGAGCGATCAGCACCGGTGGAAAATGAGACTGTGCCGACTGCACCGGAGGCACCAAGTCTCATTGGATCGGCAAGTCGGTCGCCAGTGGCATCTTCAGAGGGCTCTCCTGTGATTTCCAACAGGATGGTTCAGACGGAACCCATGCCCCCTCATCGCACCGTCTCGCCAGCTGCCTCCAGGACACCCCCGGTGTGGGAAAATAGTGAAGAGATGTTCATGAATGCACTTCTCAACCCGAGGAAAAGGCGGCAGATCGATGGTACGGTTTAAGCCATCAACAACACAATAATCATCATCCGCTGCATTTTTCAACCAGAGTATTGAGAATGGATTGCTGTTTTTACTTTGTTTTCTGGTTCGCTAACCTCTGCGTTCCCCCGTACCAATTCCTCCCTTGATGTCGTTGATGTCGTGGTGTTGTAGATACACTCGATAACCAAAACATCAATAACATGTCGTATGAGAACAGGCAGAGGATGGCCCGACTGGATATTCGTTCGAATGGTAGTTCTGACCGTGGATCATCTTCGGCCATGCCCTCACCCGATGTCATCAGGCGCTCGACATCTTCTCCGACCCCTGTCCCATCCTTTCACGATCTGGACCGGAGAAGTGCTGGAGACCACCACAGCGACTATGATGATGCGACACAGAGGACACGTCGGGATCACATATTGAGTCGTGTTGCCGCCATGCCTTACTACGAGAATGGACATGCTGACAGTAGAGCCTTCATCACGTCTAATCACCAATCCTATGCACCCGCCCACCGGTCACCACAGCACTTCCAGAATCATAGTTCTCAAGGATCCCTTGGTCGCAGTTCACGGAGCGCCACCAAGTCGCCACCGCTGCATCATGGTTACAACAACGTGACGAGCCATCCTCACCACCACCATGCGTCTCATCACACCTCACAACAGCACTACCACCCTCACCATCGGTCGACGAATTCCCCAGGCCCAGACTATTACTCGAGCAGCTCGCGCCCTCCCTCGTGCGGACACAGATCAACAGAGGCGACTTTGGTGTCACGGTCCAGTCCTGTCGGGATGTCCAGGCAGTCGTCAAACTTGACTTCCTTGGCGCCTTATGGAGGCGGCTCTGCGGCATGGTCACCTTCTGAGAGTGGGCACATGAACGGTGGATCGTTCTCCGCAGTAGGGAATGGAGATCGCGGTGGACATGGATGGGGAGGCGACCATGGATCGGCTGTGAACCTGAGTGGCAATGTCCATCTGAGCCACAGCAACAGCCCTCGCAGGATCAGTGGCGAAGAAATTCGGGGGACAGGGGCAGTCTCGCCTTCTTCTGGACACTATCCCCAATCGTACTCGCATCACCTTCCAACAGCGTCGTCTTCGTCGTCCTCACAGCACCATGCATCTTTTCAGTCGCATTCTCAGTCGATGCAGCATCATCAGCGCCACCGATCAACGGATGATCGGCGGGACCCCCAAAACGGAGGATCTGTCAAGAGTGGAGGTGGGGCTCATTATCGCACCGACTATAATACTAATGGCGATGAGGGCGGAGACATAGGTGGATATTCGCATGGAATTCACTCGCACTCGCAACCACCTCCCCATCCACAGCACCAACATCATCAGCAACATCATTATCAACATCAGTCACAGCAGCAGCAGCACCAACACCGCCCATCACACCATGTATATAGTTCCAGTCAAGGAAATGGTGGGCTGTCGTCGTCAGGAGGGGGTGGAGGAGGGTATATGGATGATCGACGTCGTAGTGATGGTGGAGGAGAAGGCTTGCATGCGAGCAGCAGCAGCAGTTCTCGGGACGATGAGGCGCCGATTTTCCCTAATGGTATCCGAGGCGCTAGAGCACGGTGAAAACCCCCCAATTGCCAAATAGAAGTCGTACATCATTTGTTTGTTTATTTTGCATGATCGGTCGATATTGATAATACAGTCTGGTTTTTGGGCGGTCATGCTGTGCTCTTGTCCTTTGTTTGTTCCTTACCTGTTTGCGAATCTTGCATGAATTATTTTTTTTGTTGCTGTCTAATAATAATTAATAACGCGTGTTCGCGCGTCAGCGTGAAAAAAAAGATAGGAGGACATCAACGCGCGTCAAATGAGAGATGGACAGGGAGAAAGGGATGGAGAAAAGGCGCGCTGATGCGACAGCTATTGGTTAGGACACGCGTGTTCTCGTAGTGTATATTTTTGTCGATACCTCGCTAGACTGATAAGAAGGATGGATATTCTCCGAACATCGGGCCCGATGGCTGTAGTCTGATTGATGACGAACCAGAGATAGGTATGTAGGTGTGTATGATATGGAGGCTCTTGGCGTGGAGTATGGACCATTTATTCTTCCTTGAACCCATTTTCTACACATTTGTTTCCGCTGTTTTCCTGTTCTTTCTTTCTCTTTTTTTGTCAAAGCGCTCACCACTTCATACACTCACTCGTTATATCGAACCTTCAACACAACTAGACTACTTACTACACGCATACACAAAAAAGCACTCGTTCCTCATTTCAACCGCATCCTCGTCCTCCTCTCCTCTTGAAAATACCTCTGTTCATAACACGAACCCTGCGATCTCGCTCCAAGATGTGGGCAACCACCACCACCACTCTTCTGCTTCTTCTCCTCTTTCTCGCTACAATGTCCACAATCCTGACGAACGCTAGCTCCGGTTCCAACGTTAACATCGGCCTCGTCCTCCAAGGCGGTCCAGACGGTACCAAAGAGGGCACCGAAAACGCGCTCGCCCTCCAAGGTCTCAAAGACGCCTGCCTCCCCTCCCTCCCCACATCCTCAGGTTACCAATACAAATCCTGTACCTCGCACACCTACACCCCACAATCCGAGACCCTGGGCGCCTACTCGGGCTTGATCCCGTCCAAGACTGGGGAGAATGATTTCATGATGGCGCTTGGGTATTTCCCGTCCAAGGCGATCCAGACAGCTGCGAATGCGAATGGGAACAAGTTGTTTGGGATTGTGGATTTTGAGTTTACACCGCCTGTGGGGAATATTGTGAGTGTGATGTTTTCGGAGGATCAGATTGGGTACCTCGCGGGGTTGGTTGCGGGGGAGGTTGCCAAGTCGCGAGGTGGGAAAGTTGCTGGTAAAATTCTGGGTGCTTTTGGAGGAGCTGTTGAGTTGGATGGATGGAGCTGACATGACTCTGTCTAATTTGCACCTGCACTCACTCGCTTCATTTTTTCCGCTCTTTTTCTTCCTTTACAATGCCCAATATGACTAATAGTGATTGGAGGAGTGGACCAGCCAAGTGTGCGCCGCCAAGTAAACGGGTTCGGTAGCGGCGTCAAGATCGCCTGCTCAACCTGCATCGCCTACGGCCTCTACTCGGGCACCTTCGAATCCGATCCCAAACTCATCAAAACCGTCGCTGACCTCCTCACCGACAAAAAGGTCTCCGTTGTCTTCAACGCCGCCTCGATTTTCGGAACCCTGACCCTCAAGAACCTAACCACCCAACAAGGGATCTACGCGATCGGATCCGGATCCGACGAATGGGTGACAAATTGGGCGTATGGGTCCGTACCCGGGTCCGAGCATGTCCTGACGAGTGTCCAGACGGATTATACGGTGTTGGTGCGATCGGTGGTACAGTCGGTGTTGAGGGCGAATCTGACGGGTGGGGGGACGGTGTTTTTTGGAGTGAATACGGATATGGGGCAGAGTGCGATTAAACTGGCGCCGGCGCATGAGGCTGGAGGGGTGTTTACGAAGGAGGTGGAGGAAAAGATGGGGGGTTATGTGAGGGATATGACGGTGGGCAAGTTGACTACGGGGGTTGATCATAAGAGTGGCGATTCGCGATGTTCTGGTTCTTGTAAGTATCTCTTTGCTTGTTTGCTTCGTATTGTTGCTTGTCTACGCGTCCGTGCGCGCACTAACCGTTCAACCCATACCCTTCTCTCGAATAGCATCGACAAGTGTCCAGCTGCTGCCACTGAACGATAAATCCTCCTCGTCCTCCTCTCCTTCCTCGAACAACAACAACGACAAGTCGACAGACCCCGACGAAAATACGGCCTCGTCTTCCCACAGGAGTCACGCCTCCTCCAACAAGGTCATCCACAATCGCCTAGGTCGATTGTTCTTCACCCCAGTTGGGCTGCTCATGACATGCTTGGTCATGCAGGTCGTTGTTGTCATTGGTCCCTGGATGGTTCTTTGAAGAGGAGGGAGGGAATGAAGAACGAGACGAAGATCGAGAAATTCGTGGCTGGATGGTTGGACGGCCTCGCTGTAGCCGTCGACGTCTGCACTGTACTTTTTTTTCTTTGTTCGTTTCTACTTTGCTCTTCCCCTCCCCCGGATGGCGCCCAGTCCGCCTATTCTTTTTAGTCTTTCATAGTTTCAGTACACTCTTTTTCATAGTCTTTAATCCTCACTCCATACTTCATGCTCATACTCAGATACGCTACGCGTTAACATTCAAATGAAAACAAAAAAAAATAACCAATTTCGCTTAGTTCGCAAGGGGAAGGTAAACGGGAGATTGGGAATAGAACAAAAGGGGAGAGAGGAGAAATAGGAGAATAATATAGAACCAAGACGGGGAGGTACAACTCTTTCTAACGACCCCAAGTACCGTCTCATTTACAGGCGATGCCACTGGCCACCTTTACCCCCCCCCCGCTACACTTCCTTCCCGCCGCTCAATTGAGTTGTGTTCTCCCACTCCTTGTGTTTATTATTTTTCTTTACCCGCCTAGCCCCTTCTTTTTATTCATTGCTTTTTTTTTTTTTCTCCTGAGTTTTCGTTGGATTGTGGAAATTGGGAATCAGGTTTGAAGTTCGTTGGGTTAGTTGATTCTCACATTCTTACTAGAAGAGTAGGAGGCCAGATCTAGCCGGTAGAATTATGTATTTTATTTTTATATTTCTATTTTTTCCTTTCTTTGTGCGCCGTTGTTTGGTAGAGTGGGGTAGTCTCCCCAGTCCAGTTCACTTTTTTTTTTTTTTTTTTTTTCTACGGACTGGATGGGAAAATAATATACATTTTACTCTTCAGGGCGAAGTACAAGAGTTGATTTTTGACTTTTTTTTTTTTTTTTTAGCTATTCATTTTTTGGCCGCTATAGAGTGAAAAGAAAAAGAAAAAGAAAAGACGCGTCTGTTATTTTTTTTATGCGTCTTTACTAATGCAAGGAGGAAGTGATGGGAAAAAACTACTACAGAAAGAAGGGGAAGAAGGCGAATAGAAGGTGTGTGTGTGGGGGGAGTGGGAGTAGGAGCGAGGAAGGAGGGAGATAGAGGCAAGGAAAATTCTAACGTCGACGAAGACGAAGGAGTCGAGCAAAAACGTGCGACTCATTCGACAGGAGGTGTAAGGTGTCAGTTAGTACCAGACTAGCTTAAAGAGAGGGAAAAAAAGGGGAGAGAGCTGGTAGACGGTGGTGGTGCTGGAATTGCGTAGTGGGTGGGATAGACGGGTAAAGCTCACGGCTGTACGACGGACAATTGGGGAAGTCGAAGAAAAAAAAAGGGGAGTGAGGGAATGAGATTGCGCGAGAGCTTGAGCTTGTCAAAGAGAAGGGGTTGTTGGGTTGAGGTTGCACAGTGCACGAGGGAAGGGAAGGGGAAGAGGAAGTGGAAGAGAGGGAGGTTGAAAGTGGAATGAGAGGGGAGGAAAGAGGTTTTCTGTTCCTCTTGGTGGTGGTGTTGGTTGATGACAGCTTGTGGTTACGAGACGAATGTGATGTGACAGATGGTTAGGATGGATGAGGGAACAAGGCTGAAGGAGAAGGAGGAAGGCAAGAGAAGGGGGAAGATGATGCGTCATGGGAAGCGCAGTTGGCTCGATCGACAGTGCAAAAGGAGATCCTTTGTGTTTTGTTGTCAACCCTCAAAGCCCATTATCAACGAGAACTAGCAGAGGGGCCAGATGCATAGGAAATGAGGTCGAAAATCTCAACTGTAGATAGGGGGCTGGGTCATGGTGAAGGTCAGGTTGGAGTAAGGGTGATCAGGGGTGGCCAGCATGGACAGGGCACCGTAGATAGGGGCCAGAGATGGCGTCCATTTGGAAGATGGGTTTCCATTTTCCGGGGGGTGTGGGTGAGGAGAGAAAACAGTAAATCAATGAGAAGAGCCGTGCAATGGAATCTGAGCAAAAACGTCTTTGTAATAATAACGAGTACTCCGATAAAAATTGTCTATGACTTGAGCATTGTGTGCCTGACAATCCTGATCGTCTTCATCGAGGCGATGTGTGTGTATCTGGAGGTACATCCGATGGAAGCGACCCATGCCAATGCACACGCCCTCCCCCTCATTTTTCCTGTGCTTTTTAACTCCCATTACTGCAATGACCCAAAATCCACCTGAATATCAATGTCAACACACATGCAGAGTAGGGAAGAGGAGGTGTGTGTGTTTACTAACTTTACAGCCCACCTTTCCTCCCCTTTTTTGTCTCTGTCTTTCTCACTTTCGATTATGTGCCCTGGTGTTTTTTTTTTTTTTTTTTTTTTTCGAGAAAAGCATTGCGAAAGGAAAAATGTTCGAGTGAGTCGAGCAATATAATTACTGGCTCACAAACAAAGAACACGGGAGGCATTGAGGCATAGAGGCTAAGGCAGACAGGCGGGAAGGCAGGCGAAATTGCAAAATGGCCCTTGTCCAATATTCATTGTTTCTGCTATTTGTGTCCTCCTCATTTTAATCCACAGAAGGTTGGCGATGCCTTGTTTGTTTGTTGAAGTGCTGGTTGTTGAAAGGATGAAAGGTAAAAATAAACAAACCAAACGTGGTCAAAGGTCGAGAACGAGAATGAAGACGAGAGAAGAGGAGAGAGAAGGCTGACCATTACTATCGACCTACTATCCTCGAACCAGAGTCAATTGTCGCTACAGCCTTCAACCTGGTCATTGGTGACTATCAGAACCATCCATAGCCCATAGTCCATCCATCTCGGTTCTTTCATCTGTCGATCTGACAATGAGGAACATACAAACAAGGGTCCATCCCCATCCGAACCACCCATGTCCCCTCCCTTTACTTTCTACTGTTGTTGTTGTCCCGCATGTTCAAGGAGGAAGAAGAACCAGGGAAGTGTGGCGAACCAAAGCAACAGAAGAACCATGTATCCAATTCGGGTATATTCCGTCTGTACTGTATGCACCATTAGTACTCCTCTTGAAAAAAACAAACAACGCAAGCATGTATTATGCATGTGCATATTTTTTGTTCTTCATCTGTTCCTGTGTTTGCTTGTTTGTTTGTCTGCTTCTTGTCAACACTTCATCCCTGGTGTGAGTGCGTTGTGTGACCCTCCATCCATTCACACACAGACACATACCTCCACTCCCTATCCCCTTCTTTTTCCTTCCTCTGCTTGACTTTCCTGCCCCCGTCCGTCGTCTCTTCTTTTACCCCTGACCTCTTCTGTTCTCTATTTGTTTTTAGACACTTTTGGATATTCACTTCCAGCCAAATTGCTTCTTTCCTTCTCTCTCCATTTTTTCTTCTTTTACTTTTTCTTTTCATTCGTTTTTCGTTTTTCATCTCTTCTCTCTTCACCTTTTCTCCTCACATTCCCCTTCCTGTCTCTTTCTCGCTCTCGCTCTTTCTCGCTCTCGCTCTTTCTCCTCTCTCTCTCTCTCTCTCCCTCTCGTTTCCTTCTCGCTTCCTTCCTTCCTTCCTTTTCTCACTTATCCCGGCTTCTCTTCCTTCTCACACAGTCGTTACTTTCCTTCCCTTCCCTTCCCTTCTCTCCCTACCCTCTCCCTCCCGCCGACTTCCATTCTTCGACTCGACTCTACTCCCTCGTCTCTCCACTCTCTCTCTCCTCCTCTCTCCCCTTTATATCTCCCCCTCTCCCCCTCTCTCCTCCCTAACTTCCTTCAGCAGCAAGAATAATACAACCTCAACAATGGGAGCTGCTGTTTCACGCGACCACGCCAAGCTGCCCTTTGGCTACACCCATGCCCGCAAAGACCACTCTTTCAATGCCTCCTCCGTCTCCCGCCGGAAACTCGCAACAAGACTCCTCAGAACATCTGACACCACCTCCATTACCCCCTTCCCCATCCAAGACACTCCTACAGCCACCTTCCCTACCAACGCTCCCTCTACACTCCTCGAGACGACAGCATTCGTCTCCTATTCCAATTCCTCGAGCCTGTCTCCTCTCCTCGTCCTTCCTCCCGCCACACTCAGCGCACTCTCCTCCTCTAGCCCCACCAATTGGACAACTATATCGACAGCAACAGCAACGGCAACAACAAGCAACCCAATTAGTACCAGCAGTAGCGGTACAGGCACGAATACGGACAATACGGCCTCGACCTTTTTCGTTCCAGAATCTGGAACAGGGGCTTCTGCAATCCCAGGGTTAGGCGAATCTGACCACTCGCAGCACTCGACTCGGTCGAACACTACAGCCGCTGGTGCTGGATCCCATTCCTCACACAACCAACACCGGATCGCAGTAACCGCCTCATGCTCAGAGCACAGCAGCAACACCAACAATAACAACAACAACAACAGCAGTGCTACCTTGACCCCTTCTTCGGGCTCATCCGTTGCATGGACAAACACAACCCACACCACGCCTGCTGCAATGACCGATCCAGACCTGGTGGCCCATGCTGCTTCTTCGACCTCAGCTCCCTTGAAGGAAACAGCAGTACCGATTAGGACGTCGAGTCGCTTGGGACAAGCTGCTGCCGAGAGTTGTTCTTCTTCAACAAGTCCGCTTCAGAAGCAAAGGCTTTCTCAGTCAATGCGCACCCAGGAGGAGCAGGATAACGATATGGATATCATTTCAGCTTTGGAAATTGCCGATCTGAAGGCGGCGCCGTATGATTTTTTCAGCTCCAGCTCTGCCAACAATAGCAGCAGCATCAGCAACAATAACAACAATGGCGGCAGTAGCGGCAGCAGTGGCAGCAAGAGTAACGCCGTCGAACTCTCTTTCCGCCACCACATGCACTCTCACCACAACCACAACCACCACGGTCATGGAACTACCTCGTGCCAACACCCTTCGATTTCCACCAATCTGGATGCGGTCGTGGCTGCCCCACCTGTCATAGGAATAGGGTCTAGACTGGAACAGGACGATGAGGGACAACAGACCTCGAGAACACTCTCCGGTCCAGATCATCGGATTCGCCACATGTCTGATACTACTCTCGACGTCCTTGACGAGGAGCAACAGAGGAAACAGCGATACCAACAACAGGCTCAAGAGGAACTAGACATGGAGCTGGATATGGGCGAGGAAGGGATGGTCAAGCTCGAGGGTGGTGCGGACGAAACGGATTCGATCCTAGGAGTTGAGCTGGGCCATCTTAGTCCCATCCCCTTCTCGGAGCTGCCCAGCATGACCAGCATTGGCCTCTGCTCTCGTGGCATTGTACGCCTGTCGTCCAACATCAAGCTCTTGGCGTCCGCCACCTGTGTGCAAATGTACGTCCTTCCCCCTGGCTTGAATACTTTTTTTTTTCTGCCTTGTGTTTTATGGTTTGGGGCTAATGTATATTATCAGATCTCGATGGCAAAATGAGCATGACCCAGGATTGGTTCGCTGTTCTTCTCATATCGATTGTGTTTTGACCATGAGTGTGCACTTCCTGCCTTGGTTGGATTGGGAGTCGGCGCCTTTTTTTCTTTTTCTCTTGTGATTATTGTGTTTGGTCTTTTTCAGCCTCTTTCTCATTGTTACTGGGCGATTCTTTGTGAAGCTGCAGATGAACTTTCTTTCTAACCTTGCCTCTCTCCTTTCTCATCTTAATATGATAAATTAACCCATCAATTGTGTTATTAATTCGCCTGCACCAATCGAAAATCATCTCATCCACCCATGCCCCGTCTCGGGAACTCACTCACACCATGCGCTACTACCATCCATTCAACAACACAGTTGCTGCAACGAGTTGGGTAGCATCCCCATGGAAATCGGATTCTTGCGCAACCTCACCCTCCTCGACCTGTCCAAGAACTGCCTCAGGAGTCTGCCCGAGTCAATCACTCACCTCACCAAGCTCGTCGAACTCAAGCTTTCCTTTAACCAACTGGAAACCATCCCTGCAGGAATCGGAGGACTCACCAAGCTCGCCTCGCTCACCCTCGACAACAACAAGATCACCTCAATCCCACCCCAGATCGGTCTCATTAAGGAACTTGTCAATCTGGATCTGTCCGACAACCCGATCACAGTTCTGCCAGCCGAGGTTGGAAAGCTTCAGTTCCTGCGACGCCTCAAGCTGGAGAGTTGCCCACTCGTCGAGGAGTTTGTTCACTCGCCTGTGCATTCGCCCCCAACTTTGCTGGAATTAGCTGCCCGAGTCATTGTTCGACATGATATCCAGATGCCTCCTTTGATGTTGCCTCACCTGAAGGCCTATGTTGACAGCGCCCAATCGTGCACCTTCTGCGACGGACCTTATTTTGATTCATGGGTCAAGCGGGGAAAGTTGATCGAGAAGAACGAGATGCTTATCCCGCTCGAGTACACGCTCTGCCTGCCGCACTGGAACACGGAGATGGAGCGAGTCAGGCTGCTGTTCTGTCCTCGACCCATCACCTCGCCTCGTCCCAAACTCGCAACCACGCCACCACCTCAAGGAGCTCAACGGAACAACAGCAGCACCGGCAACAAAAACAGTGACAGTGCGATCGTGCAAGTCAGGAAGCAGACCATTCAGTCCAACAGCGCATCCACCACTGCTTCAGGATCTTCAAAGGCCCCTGTTCTCTTCTCTTCGGACTCGTATGTCTCAACGTCCTCTGCGTCGGCCGCCAACTCACCAGCCATGTCGTCGTCGTCCCCCACTATGACGTCTGATAGCGGTAACGAGCAACAGCAAGTGGTGCAGCGTGTCCGGCCAACACTTGGACACCGCCTCTCGATGCTGCTCAGGCCCAAGAGCGAGAGACGGGAACGCCCCCTGTCTGCTTTCATGATCTCGACCCCTTCTTCGGCTTCCAGCTCTTCGGCATCCTCTCCCTCTCTGATATCGTCCCCTCTTATGGGCGGCGGAGAGATGACAGCGACTATCACTAGGCCGTCAACCATGAGCCGTGTTTCAACGGGACTCTTGAGCCGAGCAGGATTCAAGGGTTCGAGAAGACCAGTCTCAATGATTGTGGGCGGATCTGGCTCGTCTCCCTTGGCCAACTCTTCTTCTCCAGCCCTCATGACTCTCTCTACCCTCTCAACCTCTGGTTGATATTCCTCCCCTTTTTACATATACCCCGCTTTTCCTTCTTTTCAACTCGTACCCTGATTGTCTCCCTTCCTTTTTATCTACCTCATCGCCATTGTCCATAGCCTACCTACCATACAACCTTAGAGCATTTCGTTTCTTTCACCTGCGCCAGTCTTTGGCGCAATATCGCTTTTATTCCTTTGCTTTCTTTCTTACACTCTGACTTCTGTTTCGTTTTTGCACATAAAAATCTGCATGCATTGCTACAAATGTAACTATGGCTTGCCATCTGTTATCTGCTTGCAGCGAAGAAAACAAGGAGTGGGTGTGTACCTTTGTGTGGACACCTTGACGCGAATTCCTTCTCGTTTTGCCTTTGGTGGGCGTTCTCGACAAGCAAATCGTCCCATGTGTTTCATTCTCTCAATTTTTGGCCCTTTGTTCGGTATCTCTTTGCTTCGTACGTTATTTCTTCCACCCAACAGCCATTCAAACTCGACACCCTCCTCGTTTCATGAGGTCCGCGACATCCCCTTCTGGTCGCTTCGCTCAAGTCCCATCCAAAGGAGAGAAAAAAAAAGTCGATTCCTTCCCTTATTTCAACTTTGCGTTACCTATCAGAAGCTTGAAAAGAGAAAAAGGAATGGTAACTATTCGCTTGGAGAGAAGGGAGGGGAGGAGGGGGGAAGGGGGGGGTTTCTTCTTTTTGACTGGACAACAACTGGGCGAGAGCAAAGAGTTCGATTGCAACCACTCGCTTGTTTTGTGGTTTTTTTTTTTACCTTTTGGTGGCGCCAACAAAATGAGCAAAAATGCCACGTTTTCCCACACTTCTTGTTTTCCATGCCGATGCCACGCGCAACGTTGATTACGGGTAGACGAACCTCACATGCACTCGAAAAAAAAAAAGAGATTATATACTCTCCATTCCACGCGAACAAAGGACCAAAATCACCATAGCTACCCTGTCTTGTCTGCCTGTCATTTTGCCTCCTTTCCTTCCCTACTTCAGATGTTTCGTATCGAGCGGATAGGGGGACGTGGACTGTGAAATCAGCAGACGCCACACGATGCATTGTCTTTGTTTTTGTTTCTTTTCCTATTCCCCCTTGGACATCCCCTCGCTTGTACCATGCAGATTTTGATGTTGGGCTAAGGAGACGCGCTCGCTCTGTTTTCGGCTTGCGTTGGGCGATTCTTTTGACTCCCTTTGGCCCCTATCCCACTCAACGATGTAGGACACTACACACTTGCAAGTCCATTATCGCCACACCGTAGAACGAACTTGGATTGATGATAATAAAAAAAATCACATCGTACGAAAAACACTTTAATACAAAAGCAAACGGCTCGTTGTTCGTTTTTAGTTTATAAAAAAAAATGCTATTTGTTCTGCGAATGCGTTTCCAACAACTTCTGCAACGAAACCCCTTTAGACACGGATTTAATCGGTCTTGGGGGACTCCTTGTAGGAGATGGCGGCCTCTTCACCCATGGAGGCAATAACGGTGACGAGGAGCTAATGAAAGAAGGGGGAAAAAAAGATGGAACAGACGGTATGAGTATTTGGTGTCATTGAAAAATTAGATTGAGAGCACATGCGGGGAGGGATAAAAAAACTTACGTCCTTGCCCTCCTCGAATTCAGCCTCAAGCTTCTGGCCGAGCTCACCCTCGGGGACCTTGACGTCGTCCTTCTGGTTAGAGTCGCCATCCAAGAGGTTCATGAAACCATCGTCGATGTTGATGAGGGTGTACTCGACACGCTTGATGTTGGGGACATCCATGTTGTGGGTCGAGGGGGAGAGATCCTCGAGCTTCTTGCCGGTGAAGATATCGATGGCGACCAAGTGGACCTTGGCGTGACCGTGCTTGCCGGTCTTGGAGGTCGACATGTCAACAATCTTGCAGGGACGGCCCTTGATGACGACGTGTCCGTTCTTGCGGAGAGCGGAACACTGCATGGGGAAGGTCAAGGAAGCACCCGAGGAGGTACCCTCGAAAGTGATGTTGTGCTGCTCGTCGTCGTTATCGGCCATTGTGTCTAGTTGGTGATTAAATGAGTTGATTGCAGAGGAGAAAGGGAAAGAGTAAAGGTTGCTGTTAGTTGGTTGCTTAAAGCATATATGGTTCGATAGGTAATGATGATGATGACTGGATAGAATGATAATGTCCTTCCGGACAGACCAGCACTGGGAAACTCTTTGCCGAGTTAAGGACGTTTTGGAAGGAGGTCTTCTCTCTTTTGTATGTCTCTGTCCACACTTTTGTTATTTTTTCTTATTTGTTCTTTTCCCTTCTTTTTAGGATGTTCCCAGGCGCGATACCATATCTTCTGCGTGTGTACGTCCCACTCTTCTTCCTCAATCATAAAAAATCTTTTTCTTGTATGTTGTGTGACCACTGAGGACTCATAATCAACCCAACCCAACTCAAGAAGCCAAACCAAAGATCAATCAGATGGCGCCCTCTCCCTGTTGTTGAGGTGTCCCAGGTCGAGTTGACGAGGGTGATCAAGGCAACTGATCAGTCCAAGGGAGAGTGGAGGCAGTTGATAAGTCCACAAAAGGAGGCAGTGGTGGGATGAAGCTCCGTATTTTTTGTCCATCCTGGATGACGCTTGATTTCCAATAGACGAGAGCGAGAGTAGCGAAGGAGGATCCTGCTCCGATAATCAACATATACATCATACGCACAAGTAGAGAGAGAGGAGAGAGGAGGATGAAAGGATAAAGGAAGGAAGGAAAGAGAAAAGAGGAGAGAAGAAAAGAGAAGAGAAAAGAAAGGAGATGGGTGGGTGGGAGATGGATGGGGGTATGGTGGTGTGTGGGTCTTACCTTGAAAAGTGGTGAGGAGAAAAGGGAAGAAGAGAACGGTACTTTTGCGAGGCGAGTGCGGTTTTATCACCTCCAAGAAAAAAAAATTCAAAACAACAACATCGCGGCGGGATTGGGTGGTGATGTGTGATGTTTGTTGGCTTCATTATCTGTGCTAATTCCATGTAAAAACAAAAAGTGCCGTGGGGATGGTGCAGACCAGCCAGCCATCCAGACGATGGCGGAGTCAGAAAAAAAAATAGAAAAAAAAAACATCACAACACAATTCCGACTTACGGGGTGTAAAATACATCACGTGTGACGTATCTTTACGTGTCGCTTCACACACTTTGTACGTGTTCTTTCCTGACAAGAGGAAATCTGTCTCTACAGCATTGCGGTCAGCCCGCCCAGCCAGCCCAGCTAAGGAAAAGAGCAAACCATCTCGCTCGCCCCTGGTCAACGCTCTCCCGCCTGCTCTTGCTTACTTACCCTCTTTCTCTCTCACCTTTCCTCTCTCGTCCTCTTTCTCTCCTTCTCTTCTTCTCTTCGTACCTTGGGGTTATCCTCATTTAAGCCGCCCATCATACTCCCTGCTCCTCATCCGCCCGCTCAACCACACACTCACTAGCCTCATCGACGCTGTCGTACACCAACATACTCCCTTTTTCTAATCGCCTCCAGCAAACATGTATAACGTGGACGCGTACCTCAAGTCACTGACATCCAACGCCGTCAAACTCTCAAAGAAGGTCCAGGATGGCATCGTCGAGAACACGCGCGACCTGCGCTTTGAGAACCAGGCTCACTTTCTCGACACAAACGAAGACAAGATGAGGCAAGTCAACAGGCACTCCCTTACAGAGTGGGCACCAGAAAAATATAACGCTCAGGAACCGAATAACCGATCAATGACCATGATACCCAACCCAGCGAATAACCGTTTTTTCTATCTTGTTGTTCATCGTGGATAAATAGGGAGATCCGCAAGAACTTGGATTCAAAATACGAAAAGGAGAAGCTGGATGGCTTGAAGCGCTTGATCGCTGTAAGTTTGGTCGTCAACCGTGGCGGTGTCTGGCGATTCCCAGTCGTCTATCAACTTTGAATAGGGCTTGGATTCACTCATCTTCCCCTGTGACCCCACATCTCAACCTTTCAATTTGATAGATGATCTCAAAAGGCAGGGATGTCTCCGAGTTTTTCCCGGACGTGGTCAAGAATGTAGCCTCCAACAGCTTGGAGGTGCGCAAGCTGGTCTACATTTACATTTTACGATATGCTGAGCAGGAACAGGATCTGGCGCTTCTCTCTGTCAACACATTTCAAAAGGATCTGAGCGATAAAAACCAACTTATTCGCGCTATGGCCCTCCGTGTCATGTCTGGCATCCGTGTTCCCGTCATCAGCCCTATCGTCATGCTTGGTATCAAGAAGTGTGTCACGGACTTGTCGCCCTATGTCCGCAAAATTGCCGCACATGCCATCCCTAAATGCTACCAGTAAGTGCAACAGGATAAAGCAAAGGACCACAGTGTGCTTTTCAAGGAGTTCACTTTGCAAAAGAGGCGTCAAGGGAAACGAATGCGCGAGCGGAAGGGAAGAAGTTCTCTTTATGATTTTTTTCCTTTGCGGGACTTGAATGTTGTCCAAGAAGGCTGACATTATAATGATCTGGACCACATTTTCTCACTTATGCATTTTTTTTTATCTGCTTACCCCATTGTCTTTGTTTGTAGGTTGGACCCAGCGCAGAAGGATGCATTAGTTGACATTATTTCGACGATGCTCGGTGACAACTCGACATTTACGATTGGAGGCGTGCTCATGGCCTTCGACCAGGTCTGCCCCGATAGGCTGGATCTGATTCACCCCCAGTACAGGAAACTTTGCAAAATGCTCGTGGATATGGACGAGTGGGGTCAGATCACCGCTATGGACCTCTTGTTGCGATACTCAAGGTACATTATCGCCCTTACTAATGTCAATTGTACAAGGTAACTGGACACGCTGGATACGTAGTCAAAAGAATGGACTGTCTGACACTTAGTTCTCTATACAATTTTCATCCATGTCCACTAGAACTCAGTTTTTGAACCCAATTGGAAAGACAACATCACAGCCAACGACGCGGACCAAGAAGGAAAAATCTGTTGTCAAGTCATTTTACTCGGACGACGACTCGGATGTCTCTCACCATTCATCCGACTCTGAGTCCGACTCGTCTGAGGAGGAGAACAACTCTGTCGACCCTGATCTCGCTTACTTGCTCAAGTGTGCCCTTCCTCTCCTGCAGAGCCGAAACAGTCAGGTACGGAGGCGCCAGGAATCAATAGGTTGACATGGATGTGCAAGGACAACATAACTGCCGACACGATAAAAGCGGACTTGGCGCTGACGCTTATTTTTATTCTCACTCTCGCTCGCTAGGTTGTGCTGTCGGTGGCGAAACTGTACATGCATTTAGCACCTGCTGAGGACTCCTACAAGATTGGACGGCCGCTTGTTCGCCTACTCAGGACTCACCGGGAAATCCAATATGTGGTATTGAACAACATCGTGGCGATTGCCAGTCAGAGGCCCTATGTCTTTGACCAGTTCTATCAGCACTTTTTCGTCCGCTCAACCGACCCTGTTTTCATCCGCAATCTCAAGCTGGACATCCTGACATTGATTGCAACCGAGAGCAACATCACATTCATTCTTCGCGAGTTGCAGGAATATGTCAAGAGCTCGAACAAGGGCTTTGTCACCCAGGCCATCGAAGCCATCGGTCATTGTGCCTCCAATATACCTGAAATGGCGGAAAGCTGTCTCGGAGGCCTCCTCAAGTTGTCCTACAGCAAGTCTGGTATGTAATCTGAGCAGTACTGTCGCGTTGTTTTGTCTATGGGTTGATTGAGCGACTGAGCTAACTTGTTTTTCACCTTTGTCGGTTATATTCATGTAGACTCGGTTGCTGCTCAGTCGGTGGTGGCGATCCGCCGTTTGTTGCAGCAAAGACCGGGAGACAGTGTTTTTATGATTACGCAGCTTACCAAGGCATTGGATGAGATTACGGAACCATTAGCTCGCGCCAACATTTTCTGGCTGGTTGGTCAGTACAGCAGCCAACTTCAGACAATTGCACCAGATGTCCTCCGCAAGGCCGCCAAGTCATTTACCACTGAGGTGAGGATACTATCTATTGAATCATTTCTATGAGGTCCTCCGGAATAATGGTTACCAGTGCTAACACGCGTTCATTGTTTATTTTTCTGTTACTAGAGCGAGTCAAGCAAGCTCCAAATTTTGACTCTCGGTGGCAAATTGGTGGCGCTGGAAGGCACAGCGTCCAAGACGGTGAGCCTACTGCTTCAATATGTACTCAATATGGCACGCTATGACCTTGACTACGGTGTGCGTGACCGTGCTCGGTTCTTGCGCGCTCTTGTGTACGGAAAGCAGAAGGTAGCTGAGGCCACTGTAGACCAGGACTCGGACGAGAACGATCACGAGAATGGACAGCAAGAATCTGACAGCACGGAGCAGGACGCTCAGGATGACGAAGGTGGATTTGAGTACAGTGAGAAGGAATTAAACCTTTCGGATCACATCAAGGCCATTCTCTTGAGCGAAAAGGCAGCCCCCGTTCAGGAGAACCCTTCACATGGTAAGTTTCACGGCCAGATCATCAATTCGCCATATGTAAAGTTGACTATGCCACCCCGGTATCAGAGAGCCTTGACTAATCTTTTTCCTCGTGTTGTACTAGGTCGCGAGCAATACAAGGTTGGATCGATGTCATTGGTGCTGAACCGAATTGTGGCTGGCTACGAGGCATTACCAGATTGGCCCAAGGTGCAGCCTGATCCATCGGTGCGTCGATTGGCAGCGACGATGGAGGCACCTGGATACATGAATGACCGGACTGGTTTTGGAAGCGACTCTGCATACGCCAAGAGTCGCCAGGGACAGGACAGTAGTGTTGCTGGAGGCCAAGGACGGTATGACAATCAGGCAGGTCCATACCGTGGTGCTGAGACGTTGGACAAGTTTTTGGAGTCGTCTGATGAGGAGACTAGTTCTGATGAGGAGGATGACAGCGAGGAGGAGACGAGTGACGAAGAGGAGACGAGCGAAGAGGGCGAGGAGGGGACCAGTGAAGAAGAGAGTGGGTCAGGAAAGGAGGAAGATGATGACGAGGACGAAGATGACGAGGAGGATGCATCGTCATCGGAAGAGGAGGCGATTCTTCCACCTAAACGAGCCAATGGTCGTCGCGGATAGACGGAGTTCACCGGTCAGGATGCCAGATCGATCCCGATCGGGTATTGTGCAGCACGACAGTGCTAAAGAGATACCTCAATACGCACAGCATAGCATAGCAGCATCACATTATCTCCGTACGCACGCCCCCTCAAAAGGCAATGCATTGTCGCGGCTGTGTGGACAAAAAGAACAAATAAGATAACCACCAAAGATGATGCTGCTACTACTGGCTCAACCTCGCGTTCTTTTCATTCTTGTTTTGATCGGCATTCCTCTCGCTCCATTATGTAGGGTCCATGTTCTCTCCCTGTTTCCACTCTCGCTCTCTCCTTTCCTTGACTCATAGCCCCAGCACACCTCTTGGTTGCCCTGACCTGCAGCCCATTGCATCTCCGCTCCGTCGCTCCCTTCTCATTTTCCGTTTCAATTGATCAAATCGGTTTTTAAGTTCAACTGTCACGAACATATCGATCCGACACACTCTCCTTTTCCTTTTCCTTTCTTTCCTCTTATCTCTTTTATCTCTCTCGACTCACGTTTTCTCTCTTTCTCTCCTTTCTTTCCCTTCCTTTTTTCTGTTGCAATACCTTCGTACAGCCATGGCATCAACAACAACGACATCAACATCCACCACTACATCAGTCACCGCACCAACCAATACCAGGACCTTCGACGATCCCTCGTCGTCGCCACCACGATCACTCGGTGACGGATCGTCATCATCCTCGGTCTCACATCTCTTTGCCATCACCCCACACGATCACAAGCTTCTCCAGGAATGGGCATGGAGTACGTTTCTTTAATCTTGTCGTTGTGGCTGATGGAACGTCATTATGCATTCCTTGTGCATGACTTTGTATAACTGAACATGACAAGTAAAGCCCCCAAAAAAAACTCACTCCCTTTGTTACTTCTTATCGTTTCCAGAGAATAGGACCGTGTTGGCAGCCTCGAGCGCGGCGGTATGCAGTGTCTTGTCTGGCTTTCCGGTGAGTGGACAATATACACACGCACAATGTTCCCGGACGGCTGTGGTTGCACACTGAGCACTTTTTCGTGTTTCAATCGAGGAATTGTTGGAAACTGGAGTACAAACCGTGCAACCACAGACGAGAAATAAGCAGGATAGGGAACAAAAGCGACGAAAGAACCATGGAAAATAACACAGTGCGCGGACGATACATTGGGATCAATTGACCCTCATGGTTGCAGCTGGAGGATGGACTATTACGGCGCTTTTCATTGCAATCCAGCTTGTCACCTGTTGCTGCCCCCCGCCGTTTCACCATGGCCCTCAACATGATCTTGCTTACCAGCAAGCACCCAGCCCCCATGAATCCAGAAAAAAGATCAAATGGGAAAAGAAATAAGCGGGACAGACAAAAATCATGCCATTTTCCAGATGAACATTCCGTGGGATCTAAATGCTCACTTCTTCTCCTCCCGAACTCTCTCACTCACTTCTATTGTCATGCACAATTGTTTCTATTTGTAGTTCGATTCGGTCAAGACCAGGATGCAGACGCACTCGTACAAATCGATCATGGATTGTGTCCGGAAGACTTATGCAGAGGAGCGGCTAGGTGGTTTCTTCCGAGGTAAGGAAACAGAATGGTAAAAAGGAAGGCTGACTGTCACCTTTCTTGAGATGAGAGGATTGTTTTTTTTCTTTTTCGATCTAAGGAAGACCTATCGGATCAAATAATTCAACTAACCCAACATGATGTCATTTTTTTCTTTCTATGAACTATGAACTATGAACTAGGCATGATCCCACCCTTGATCACAGTGTCAATCATCAAGTCAATCTCATTCTCGGTCTACGAAGGGTCTAAACAACAAATCAGGAGCGTCTCAGAGACATTACAGGGCAACACGATCCCCTCGCTGATCGGCCTGACGTTTATTTCGGGAAGTGTTGCAGGAACCGTGGTGGCCATGATGTCGAGTCCTCTGGAGTTGGTCAAGCTGCAGCGGCAATTGGAGAAGCTGATGGCTATGCATGCAAGGAAGGAGGCTCAGATCACGTCGCTAACGGGAGATGCGCTCCTGAGAGAGGGTTTGGCTATGGAGAAGAAGAAGGGTGCAGCCACTGCTGTTGAAGGAGCAGGAAGATTAGCTTCTTCGGCGGTGGTGGCTGCCAAGGTGGAGAGACACTCGCATGGATCAATTACACAGTATGGAGTGCCTCCCAAGGAGGAGGCAGGGAACTCGAGTTGGAAGACTACCAAAGCGATTGTACAGAAGAAAGGAATTGTTGGACTGTACAAGGGAGCGAGTCTGCAGATTACGCGTGATTTGCTCGGTACTGGAATCTACTTTTCGAGTTACGAGACTATCAAACGGCTCATGTCTGAGACGATTGAGCATGTTAGGCCACACCACCATACAGCTGCCGCACCAGGAACCACGGGTACAACGACAACAACGACACTCAAGGGACCAGGACCGATGGTTCATTTCTTTGCGGGAGGACTCTGTGGCGTGTTCTCGTGGCTGGTAGTCTTCCCGATCGATCTTGTCAAGAGCGTGGTCCAGAAGGAGGTTCTCGCAACACATCCAAAGTACTCGGGGGCACTGGACTGTGCCAAGGATATTGTCCGCCGGGAGGGAATCAGGGGTCTGTACCGTGGTCTAAGCGTGACCTGTTACCGAGCGATGCCGATCCATTCATTGAACTTTTTAGTCTATGAAGCTGTCATGGATTATGTCAAGAATTGGTCTGGACATGCAAACGACCCTTCTCCCATTGGCAATCTTGGCTCTACTGGATCTCGGTGATATTTCTCATTGGAGGACAATGCTTGGACGAGGGACTCCTTTTTTTTCCTTCGATTCGCATTCATGCACAACTCTACACAACTCTACACAAACTCTACCCCACTCAACAACAACACATTGTACAATAGATAAGGAAACAACAACAAAATTAGACCTTCCTTTTTATCATTCTTAGTAAATATCTAATGAATGGGTCGGCGGGAGACAACGCCTGCGCTATCATGTCCGCCATCTCTATGAACGCCAACAACAACACTGCTGCCGCCACTGTTTCGCGACGACTCTGGTTGACCATCATTCTCACCGACACCGTCCACCACCGCGACAGTAGAACTTGAAGAAGGCGATGAAGAAACGATCCGATGGTAATGAAACAAATGCCCCCGCATCCTCAACAAATGCACCGTATACACCACAGCTCCCACAACAACACAGACAAAAGAAATCGTGCAGGGGATGTAGTACACCTGAGGGTCGGACCAGACCATTGTCAGGAAGAATTGGGCGAGTTCAAAGAGGTTCATGAGCGAGTAGTGCCAGCCGTTGATGACTCCTGCATTGTTGCTGTCAATATTATGAGGGTCGGGTTGGATGTATTCTTGCATGATTTGGGTGATGACGAGGTCGAATGACCAGACACCTATTCTGGAAAGCGCCATTCCCGCTATACGAGGAGTGTTGTAGTTTCGAAGATTGTGGATCTGTGTGAGTTAGTTACACAGAAAAAATTGGTGACGAATATCAACCAACTTCATCCGTTCCTCTGATCGACTTACCAAAGATAAAGACCTGGACCGGTAACTGGTTCGAATAAATAGAAAACAGCACCGGCGTTAGAGTAAAAACCTCAAGCCAGATGGACCAGGCGCCTGCACGGGTTAGGCCGACATATCGGGTAAGGATGGGCATGAGGATTGTGCCGAGGAGTTCTGAGGCTGTGCAGATTCCCTTGAGGGCTGCTATGGATGTTGCGCTGAAGTTGCGGTATTGTAGGTAGCCAATCATTGTTCCTGAGACGCTGTTTGGTAGTAGGAGAAAGAAGGGATGGTGGATGTGAGTGTTAGGCAGTTTGATCTGGTGGACGGGAGAGATGAACAATAGCCAAGGTTTAGGTAAGGAAGGCATACTAACCTCATCATGTTGATGTAGATGATGGCGTAGGCGAGTGAGGCTAGGAAGACGATATGATGTGAATACTCGCGGAACGACAAAATGCCTCGCTTCATAAGCGAAGATCCTGTCCCTCCTTGTCCACGTTGTTGCCGCTGATGATGTCCAGCATCCTCCGCTGCGAACAACGACTGTCGTTCTTCATTCGAGAAGACGTCTCGATCAACCAAGGGCGTCCGGCTATCACTATCTTTCTTCTTCTTCCTTGCCGCCGCCGCTACCGCTGACTCTGTACCTACATTCCTGTCATCCACAAATCCAGACCCCCGCCGCCCATAATCACCCTCAGAAGGCGACGATAGATGATGATGGTGTGACCGTGGTTGCCAGAGAACGGGAGAGAGGTCCCAGATCCGACGGACTAGGACCCACTCTGTAAGGAAGGATGCCATGCACCAAATGGCCATGATCAGACTGCAGTATCCGGCGTGGAGGTATGTCAAGAGTCCTGCGAATACGAGTGGCGAGATGAGTTTGCAGACAAGGTCTATCCTCTTCATTGTCACATTCAGGCCTAGCTTGCGTCAAAGAATCGAAGGAGACTGTTAGACGGAGCTGCGTGATGGGTTTGGTGCAGGTGTTGGACTGTATGGAGGTAAGAGGGTGTGCTTACGGGTCAAGGCGTCCGAGTTGGAGTGACAGAGCGCGACGATCCAGTCGCGTTCGATTGAGATGGACCAGCCAAGTGCCGAGAGTTTCAAGAGCCCGCTGGCGACGACCATCAGCGCGAACAGGCTGTATCCCTGTGCCATCGAAAGTTCCAACATGTTGCCTGTCAAACTTCCCGCTGCAGCTGTGGCATATGTTACTGAGGATGGTGGTAGTGGTGAGGACGCTGCTGTTGTAGGATCGAACCACGTCAAAAGAATCCAGAACCCGAGTGCGCCAATGATAGTTGTAAGTTTCTGAGTGAAAAGGAACGACTGCACCGCTATTGGAAGAAAACAAAAGCGCCCGCGAAAATGTGTGCGGAAGATTGGGGTGAAAAAGAAACATGTGTTAAACATTCTCTAGACTCAACAAAGGAGCCCATACTCACGGCACACACACACAGACAAACACTTTGAAGGGAACAAAAAAGGATCAGGAGGATAGGACGAACCTGTGAGTCGAGGGGTGGTATCCACAATCGATCCAACAGCGGTACTGAAGAGAATCCCAGCAACGGTGGTCGAGAACCCGTAGATTGACATGGGCAAAAGTGTTGTCTTGAAGATCTCCATGATGAAAAAGTAGGATGCGAATTCGTACAGTCGTTCGTCGAAGGTGCTAATATATTGCGACAAAAAACAGATAAAGTAGAGAGAAGATGGTATTAGGAATCGAATGGACGTTATGATGTGTGCTCTTGCTGTTTGCTCTGTATCATTGCAGAAATGATCAATGGACGTCGTGAGAGCGTTTTTTTCGCTCTGCGTCAATTTTCTCCGAGAGGATTGCTTTACCAAAGAGCATGGACAACGTAGAGGTGGAGAGATGGTACACTGTGGGGTGGATCCAAACCGTCATCGTCGTCGCCGTCGTTGCTGCTTTGACTTCCAGCGATGTCCTGTGAGTGGGAAGTGTGTGTAGAGTAAAGTCCGGCGGCGGCCGGAGTGGTTGATCCGGAATTATTGCTGAGTAAAGGCTGCAACTGTTGTTGTGTCGGCCGATCATCGTATGGTCCTTGTAAAGTATCCTGTGTCGCCATGTTTCCGTGACGACTTGTCCTGCTGTCGCCGGAAGCTTGATGGTGGAAGTGTGAAGAAAAAAGAAAGAAAAGAAAAAGAAAAAAAAATAAAAAAAAAGTGAATGAACGAATGAACACAAATGAACGAATGAAATAATGAAAAATGAAAGTGATCAGGGAGTCGAGTCAGAAGTGAGAAGGGGGGTGATGATAAGGCGCAAAGAAGAACAAAATAAGGTTCGTGTTCGTGTGTTCGCCGTCCGTCAAGGATTCGGAACCCCACGTTCACATTATTCAACATTGAGGAATCACCTCCTTGTTCAAAAGACCTGACCCTTACAGCCAAGGAGGGAGAGCGAGATGAGGATGGTTGATCGAAGGATGAGTGTCAGGCAGGCAGGTTTTGGGGCGTAGTTCAACGCGTTCATCACTAATCAAGTGGGATTTGCGTCAGCATTCTATCATTGATTGATCGGCAGCCATTACAGTACTTTATTCGTGTTCTTCTTTTCCTCATGTATCACTTTGAAGAAATGCCCGGTCACGCCATCATCAATTGCACATCGATGCACTTCACCTTCCTTCCTTTCCTTTCTTGTTGCCCAACTCACTCCGCTTCCAAGCTGCACACAAACCCTCAACACCTTCCAATTCTCCCTCAAACATCTTGACTAGAGCAACACCCTCACTCCTTCGCTCTGCACATCTTACCTACCTGCTGTCCTTCCTGACAGTTTCCTTCCTCGCCACAGAACTCACCCAGTTCCTACTTCTATCATCACCACCACCACAACAACAACAATGAACAGCCCGCTCGCTGAAAACACCCCACCAACAACAGCCCCACGGTCTCGTCGAGATCACTGGTGCCATCAGGCAAGTGCCTCGTCTTATTCCGCTCGGGACTGGTGTCGAAAACTAATCAGGAACCAACCAAACTTACACAGAAGAAAAAATGCCAAGCTTGCTCAAAAGCTGCTTGTGTAATGTAACAATGAAGCAACAGCGTCGTGTTATTTTAACAAATCCTTCTACTTGTTTTACCTTTGTCATTCATTCCTCTTGGAATCGTTTAGTGCTCTGCCGAGATCACCCCTATGATGGTCCCGCACCCTCTCTGTCCTGAGTGCCAAAGCGAGTTTGTCGAAAAGGTACATCTTTCACCGCAACAGGAAACAGGCGTGGCAAAAGTACAACCAAATAATCGCCCCGATAATATGGCCTCAGACAGGATATGCCCAGCAGGATTGCGAACAAAGTGTTGCACCTAACCCCTTCCTGTCATAATGGCCCGCTATTGCGACGTATTTTAGATTGAGGAGGACAACGACCCTCGGTCCTTTGTGGAAGCTGGACACGAACAAGGCGACGACGACGATGATGGACAGGAAGGACAGGAGACCGTAGGACTGGAGGATCTGCTTCGCGTCATCCACCTCCTCTCCAGTGCGCCCATGACAGTCAACCAGCGGCAACAACAGGCACAGGTACAATCGCCCGGCGGATACCCTACAGGAACCGAAGCAGGAGCCGCAACGAGCCCTTTCAGCCTATTCAATTCTCAGGCGGCTCGATCTGCTTCAGGAAACACCACTACCAATGTCGCTCGCGCCGCTGCCACGGATTCCCATGACGAAGATGTAGAGATGCTAGATGTCGAACAGGATACGGAACCTCGTCAACAACCACAGGGACCACCAACGTCCATTTCAAGGTATGCCATTAACAGATTGCAGAGTGGAATGACACCGAAAAGAATGACACAAGAAAGAAGCAAACAAAGAGGATTGAATTGTTCTACTGGGCGAGGATCAACCGTACACTTCTTTGTTCGTCACGAATATGGGACACATCGACGCACCATAAAACTCTCCTTTTTTCGCCCCTCCCTGTGACAATGTCATGCTGACTTGCTGTTGTTTGTCATTCTTATTTTTTACTCGTTCTAATCATAGCCTGTTGGAACGTATCGGACTCGAGCTACGCTTCATGAACGAAGGCGGTCAGCCGGGTTTGGGAGGATTCGGAGGGCTGTTCAACATGGTCGGAAATCCAGGAGACTATGTCTTTGGCCAAGGAGGACTCGATGATGTGATCACGCAAATGATGGAGATGCAAAGGTATGTACCTCGTCCTTTGCTTCCTTCGACTCTTTTATTCTGTGAGTAATGAGCTGCTCGTTGATTATGGATCAATTGACCGTATCGTTCTAATCCAAGACTTTTTGTGTGTGTGTGTATGTGTGTGAACTCGTAGTCGTCAGAATGGGCCTGTGGCATTGTCAGAGGAGGCGATTAACGAGTTACCCCAACATACACTCACATCTGAGGAACTTGGTAAGTTCTTATTTTTCCTTCACAGTTTTGACCACAGCCTCTCGAATACGCATTTGATTTCAAAAAAAAAAAAAAAAAAAAAAAAAAATGGATACATCATCTAATACTTTTTTGCTTGTTCTCTTACCTTCCATCTCTATCCCAACTGCATAGATGCAAAAACCGAGTGCAGTGTATGCAAAGACGAGTTTGAGAGCCAGGATACATGCACTCAATTGAAGTGCAAACACATTTTCCACGAGGACTGCATCAAGCCTTGGCTCAAGACAAGTGCAACTTGCCCGACATGTCGGTTCTCTTTGGTACCTGAGGAAGACGCACAGCAACAACAGCAGCAGCAACAGCAGCAGCAACAGAGAAGCTCCTCAACTTTTCCAGGGGCATTCCCTCGGTTGGACTAGACTCATGGCGAGTCGTTGGACGTAATAACGGGAAAGACGGGGACGCAGAGAGAGAAGAAATCACAAGATGGAACTCATACCCCTTTGTCTTCTGCTATACTACAAAATAAAAACCACACGTTGTTCATGCAGATATACAACCGATGATGGAGACCATGCGCATTGACGAAGTGAACGATGGTTTTACCACAGACAACAATCATCTCGAGGGCGGGTGGGTGGAAGAACGAGTACGTGCGGGACTGGGGACAGGCACAAAGAAAAGTCGACGGGAAAAAAGTGTACCATACGTTATTGTTATCAATTGAGCTAAAACTGTGCATGGATGCTGTCCCGGATCAAACGACACTGCCCTGCGCCTTTGTCTTTTTTTTTTTTTGCTTGTACTTTTTTTTTTCTCTCTCTTCTTTCCTCCTCCTCCACGCACTTCTTTTCTCACCATCAACATCCACAAGCACACCCATATTCACAATACACACGCGCACTTGTTGGCTTCACGACAGGAAAGATGGCTTTTCTCAATGGAATCGATTTGGCCGATCTTATCAGTCAAATGCATATCTCCCAAACCCCTTTTCACCGACGACCACCTGTCGTCCATAAAGGACCGCCACTATTCAACCTACCCGAACTTAACAGGACTCGAGCGGAACTCCAGAGCGAGTTTGTTCACTTCACGTTCCACAAGAACAAGAGGTTCTACAAGCCCATGGACAAGATAATAGACTATGTCGAGCAGGACCCTCATACCCGAGAATTCAGCGAGATGTGCCCTCCTCCTTTGCCCGCCGGCGTTGATGTCTCCCACTACGACTATGTCAAGCCCTGTTCGCCCATCCAGATGAACCATCTCCGATTGTTCAACCGAAAACCGAGGCCCATGCCCCAAAGGTACGAACGAGCCTTCCGTCGAGCTGTCCGACACGTGTCTGCACTCATGGCCCTGCCCGAGAAACTGCCCATGCCGACCAAGCTCACACTGTCGACAGTTCGTTATGACGGGTCCAAGTTTGCGGGACTGGACTATGCGCGGTTAAAGCTCAAGTCTCGGCACCAGGCCCATCCAATGGCGTTGAGTGATGCAGGGATCGTCTGGGATACCTTGCTCGATGGGAGGATTGTTCAACCTCATGACACTCGATTGGGTGGGAAGGGCAAGTTGATTGAGAGAGGTGCTGGAGGTCAGGCCGGACGAGTTGATGTAGACAAGGATAACATCTCGATGGGCAGATTGATCTTGATGTTGAGTCATCGCGATCTGTTGATCCTGGGGGCGCTGGAACAACCATTGACGGCGGCGTACCTGGACGAACGATGGCCGATTCATATTGGACAGAGTTGGTACCATGGCGGATCTGAGAAGTTTGTGAACAAGATGACCCGCCATGCGGTCTACCATTGCTTTGACGCCAAAAAGTTTGATGCCGCGATCGATGGCTGGTTGGTCAAGGAGGCGCTGTTGATCCTGAGGGAGCAGTTTGTGGGAGGGATGGACCCCAAGTACGACACGCTGTGGTCGTTTGTCTACGAGTCCTTGGTGGAGGTGGTGATTTGTCGCGATGATGGGATCCGGATGCAGAAACATGTCGGCACTACCAGTGGAAATTGCTTCAACACTCTAGTTCAGAGCATCATCACCATGTTCTTGGGATACACTGCTCTGATTGTCAAGGCCGAGGAGCGCAGGGGAGCCATAGGTATCGATATGATCCTTATGGAGTGCGAGATCGACGTCCTAGGAGATGACATGGTCATGGCACTCGAGATGAATTGGGTCTACCTCACCAAGGAGACTCTTGCAGCAGTGGTCCTGGACTGCTTTAACATTGACTGGTCTGGCAAGAAGTCTTTCAGCACTCGACAACTCATGGACGACAGCCTGCCTGGTACGATTCCCTTCCAGGGCGTCCAATTCTTGGGCGCCTACTTTCGACACCAACGCTGGGGTGATGGCCCATACGCGCCCAAGATTGTCGTTCCCTACCGGCCCTTCAAGGAGACGTATCTAAGCCTAATGTTCCCTAAGTATGGCGAGTATGCCCCAGAACATTCATGGCTACGAGCGATTGGACTGTATCTAAACGCGGCGGGCAACCCAGAGACACAACTATGGCTGGAGAAGTATCTGGACTATCTCGAGACGCTGGATTTTGAACGGCCCACTCTTTGGCCCAAGTCGATGGAGAAGATGGTGACGAGGGATTACTGGAACATGGGACGACTCCCTCCTCTGCCTTGCCGTATTACGATCGAGCAATGGTACCGCATAACCGTCCTCGCCCGTGAGAATGAGGAGTAGCCTCTTTTTTTCCTGCCTTGCTTGTCCTTCGTTCGACATCCGTTATCGTCTTTCTTTGACCTTCGACAGCCCACCCTCTCCCACTCTTACCTCATTTCCCTTTGAACACGCTCTCTCTTTAGCGCGCGTTTGCCCCTCGTTCCTTATTTTCTTTATCTACGCGCGCTTGAGACCCGCTATTCCTGCTTCCTTTTCCCTTCTGCAGCAAGATTCTAAAAATAAAAGTAAGAGCTTCCTTTTTGTCCATCCAGGACAGCCATCCTGGACACACATCAAAATAAACTCTTATTTTCTAATTTCTTCTTTCTTTGTCACCTCTTCAGCCACCGTAATCCAGGAACCTTCTCTTCATCCAAGCCACAGGCTCAAGGTTCTTCCCCTCATGCGCTTGCTAATCATCCAGAACAAATTCAAAAGGCGCAACCCATTACATACCCGCCAGCCAATAACATCACGAATTCCACCATGAAAAAGTTGCATCACATTTAGGCAGAATGCCACCACCAGGCCAACAAAGCTGTTGTCCAAGGACTTGGCTTTACGATCTGACTGGTTGAATTCTTATCGTTTTCTTTTGAAACACAAGGGCAAAAAGAGAAGAATTGAGGCATACACAGGGCACAGGACCGGTGGTGGTGGACTGAGTTTCTCCTCTTCTGGATGTGCTGTTGTACTTTTATTTCGCTGAGTAAGGCATGACAACACTAATCAAGAAAAAAACAAATATATAAATACTGACCCACTTCCCACTCCAACCATCAAACCAAACCTATACCCACTTTCACACAACCCTAACTCACAACAACAACAACACAAAGATGTCGACCCGCCCTGCCAACTCCTACGCCCACACCACTCTCGAGGCTCTCCTCAAGACTGACGAGAAGATCGCCCACCTCAAGGACGGTGCCTACTCCAAGGCCGCCTCGCCTGAGCGCTTCGAGTCTGCCCGCGCTGCCCTCGAGTCCAAGGGCTTCAAGGTCACCGTTGCCCAGAACCGTGATGAGGCCTTTGAGACCCTCAAGACCCTCATCCCCGATGTGAGTTTTGCTTCTCTTGTGCTGGTCGTTGAAGTAACTTGTTGTGTGCTTTTGCTTTGCCTCCCGGTGAGAGATTGATCGACTAATACGTTTTCATATATGATAACTTTTGAAATAATAGGGTGCTTCCTTGAACGTTGCCCACAGCACCACTCTTGAGGAGGTAAGCATTATTGATATATCCTTTTTGTCATTGCTTAAGTTCAAAGGAGGAAAAAAAGAAGCAGGAGATGGATCAAAAGAAAGTGGACTGAGTATCCACTCTCTGACGGATGATATTTACCCGACAAAAAAAATCAAGATCACTCCCTCACTCCTCAACTCTATTTGTTCACCATACTAACCTTCATCCCATCACCTCTCTACCAACCCCATCAACAGATTGGATTCATCGACTACATCATCGGAGAGACCCCCTACAACAACGTTCGTTCGACCATTCTCGCCGAGAAGGATCTCGCAAAGCAGGCCGAGCTCCGCCGCACCATCGGCACCACCGTCGACTACTTCCTCACCTCCATGGCCGCCGTCACCGAGACCGGTGCTATGGCCCACGGTGACTTGAGCGGTTCCAAGGTTGGAGGTGTTGCCTATGGTGCCAAGAACGTTATCGTTGTTGTTGGCTCCAACAAGATTGTCAAGGATGTCAACGAGGCTTACCAGCGTACCGTCGAGTGGTGCATTCCCGCCGCTGGTGCCTTCTCGAGAGAGGTCTTCAAGGCCCCCGGCACCTCCATGAGCCATTACGAGTTGTTGCTTCAGCAGAACCCTTTCGCTCCTGGACGTATCCAGGTTCTTTTGGTCAACGAGGCTCTTGGATTCTAAGTGCCTTTTCTTTACCCCATACTGCATTGGCATTGTTTTTTTAACGGCTCCAGGTCGAGCCTTGTAATATCACTCTCAATAAATCAATCATACAACAGCAAAGCAGTCTCAATTGCGCGGTGAAAAGGTAAAACAGTCGAGGAGGAACTGACTGTAAGTTGTTTGTCCTTCTGCTTCTACTTCACGACAATGCATGCGTAAGCAGGAACGAAAAAGAAGGGAAGGCAGCTCTTGTCTTTTTTAGGGTAAAGTGCAATCGATCGCACTTGACACCCGTTTCATTTTATTTTGCGCGATCTCGACTCTATTTTTTTTTGGTGTTCTCCTTCAAACAAACAAACCAATCCCCCATCCAATCGCTCTCATATATCTTCGCCATCGTCCCTAAATATATCGACAGCATGCTGGACAGCCGCAATACCGTCCTTGCCCGAGAACCGCCCCTCGCGCACAATGATACTAGCATGCGCGTTCATCGCCGTTGCACAATGAATCGCGTTCTTCTTCCACTTCAACCGATTCATGTTGCGCGAGATCTCGATCTGGACGGGGAGAAGACGGAGCTGTCGGACGTTCTTGAGATGTGGGAACGAGATTGACGCCACGTGCCCCGCTGCCGCTGCTTTGAAGCTTGAACCGGTTGCAGTAGTAGCTTGGGTGGTGGAAGTCTTGTTGACGTGGTTGCTGTCGTCGCCATCAATGGTTTCGGCGATGGAAGTCTGGGTGGATTTTGGCGTAGCTGTAATAGTAGTAGTGGTATTAGCTCCTCCTTTTGGTCCTTCAGCATCATCCTGAAGTGTGACGGACGAATCCGCCTGGGTATCTTTTGTCGACAAGAGGCGCTGCTCCGGCACCTTTGGAGATCCGGTCGCTGAGGACGAAGCCGACGATGTATCCTCATCTAATAGAGCAGTCATCCGAACCACGACAGCCTCATCCTTCATCTTGTCCAACTCTGGGTTCGATCCAAAAATCTGCTTCGTCCTCCTCCTCGATTTGAAACCTTGCACCGAGATGGTCGAGCACGCAATCACAATCCAGACAGGGATCAGGACAGGGCCGAGGAGCCCAAAGAGAACGTATTTCTTCCATGGGATCGCCTTGAGTCGAATAGAAGTGCGCTCTGTAAACGATGCCATCTTTAAGTATTCCGCTCGCTCCTTTGCAATTCGTTCCAATGCTTCCTGATCCTGGTGCTCGTACGATTCGATCAGCGATGAATACTCATCGTGGTATTGACTATGCACAATTGAGAGTGGTGGCCGTGTTAACTCATGTCAAATATTTGGTCGAGTCCAACATGTAGTAGCGAACAAGACCGTGTTAAAAAACGGCTTCCTTACATTTCCATGGCATCAAGTTTCCGGAATGGGTCCGCATCCGAGAAGCTGGCAGTCCAGAAGGGCACCGACCGATCGTTGCTGACATTGCTGTAGACCACCCTCCTCTTGAACTTTGCCAGGACGTGAATAAAGATGCTGGTCGGTTCCGACATGACCAACAGGATCGGCTTCCCATACACGTAGTCGTCCACAAGCTGCAATTGTTCTCCTACATTACGTGTACACCAACAAAAAGAGCATGGAACTGAATTAATTGGCAATTATTTGCACAAATCCAAATCCTCCAAATGACCAAGTCCACCTTCATGAAAGAGAGAAAAACATACCTGTTCGGCTGAGCATACGGGCACTCAAAAAGTTGTACACCTTGGTGAACCTTGATCGAGAAGGCTGTCGGATACCGAGATGTGGTGTGGCCATGGTCACAAAGTACACCGGCTCCACACCTCGACCTCCTTCCTCCTTCGACGTGAAAAACCCCTCCAGATCGAGCATCGCTATCGCAAACCGACCAATCAACCCTCCCAGCGAGTAACCCAAAAACGAGAACTGGGCCACTTTACGCAGTTTTTTGCCAGATCCTGATGATCCTGCCGTACCAATATCCTTTGAGAGATCCTCGTTCTTGTTACTCGTGTTAGTGGTGCCCTGCTTCGTCTCGTCAGATTTGGCGGTGGTAGTGGGCTTCAGCTTTTGACCCTTCATCTCCTCAACATTGCCACCGTTCTCGATCACTTTGACAACACTGTGGATTTCCTGAACCAGTCGCTGTCCACAGACATCAATTCCGTCGTACGTGTATGCCGACTCGTTCGCCTGTGCCCGGTACTACCCAATTGCATGAAAAAAGGCGTGAAAAAACAAAGGTCAGCATGCATGCTTTCTAAAGGAGACAACGCAGGTACAAGCTCAATTGAGTCAAGTGTTCGCTACGGTATTAATTGGATCGAGTGCGAACAAGGGCATCAATTGAGTCGAAAATATCAATTGAACCGAGGGAGAGGATAGCAAGAGTAAGTACATACGACAAGGAGGCGGTCTCCGAGACGCTGTTTGAACTGTTCGGCAATGAAGCGGACATGGCCGACGTTCCCCCAGAGTCCATGGTGGAGGATGATCAAGTGGACGTTTTCGTAGTCGGTCGTCGTCGTCGTCATGTGCTGAGAGAGGAAGGGAGGCGGAGGAATGGAATAGGATGAGTGTGGGATGTCGATGTCGCTGATTCGGAAAAAAAAGGGAAAAGAAGGATGTCAAAAGTGTGTATGTGAGAGAGAAAGGGGGAGAGTAGAAAAGTTCGGAGAAAAAAAAGAAAAGGTGCAGAAGAAACATCAACCCTTGTTTTTCATGTGACTAGACAAGGCGGAAATATGCACACGCGTTAAAAAAATGATCGAGATCGGGATCTGGGCGTAATTGAACTCGCACGCTGACTGCGCTTGCGTTTGTCGTTCACAGTTATGCTTGCTGCGCTCATACTCAAGCGTACTCACAAGACCCAAACCCTTCGAGGCCCCTCTTCACCTCTTTCACCAAGTCGGTCAACATAGCCGACTGACCTCAATCAAGGAAGGGTTCGTTTATTGTCAAGAAACTAGTCCACATTCAACCGGATCATGTTCCTCAGATCATGTTGAGTGCTTTGGAATACCCGACGCGCTTCGAAGACAAAAACACCTTGAACGAGCTAAAGCAAAGAGCTTCGAGAAAGGTTTATCCAAAGATCCCAAAACCGCTGTTATACTACATTTTTCACTCATTATGGCTACAACCGGTCTCTCCAAAAAGAAAACAATAAAATGCACCCAATTCGTGTTATCGCCGGCAGGTTTCTCAATAAAAGAAAAGGAAAGATTGTCGAGAAAAAGGTCAAGGCAAGTTAAAGAGGGTGAGGAACGAAGGCAAAACGTGGTGCCGACAGGGCTGCACCAAAAAAGGGTCCCTTGGACATCGCCCAGGTGAAAAGTGCAAAAGATAAGCTCCCTGGCGGGGAATTGAACCCCGGTCTTCCGCGTGACAGGCGGAGATACTCACCACTATACTACCAAGGAATGAGCTTCTTGTGAAAACGGTTTTTTTTATATCTTTGTTATCATTTAGAAGATTTGCAATCGCTTGTGCTGCAAACCAACGCCACTAAAAAAAAAAAAAAAAAAAAAAAAAAAACCCGCCTGTATCAGGACCCCCGATCCGTCTTGTCAGCACCACCGGAACAGGACATTGTGGTCAAGCTGGACAATCAGTCAGTGGTGGAACAGTATAGTCGCCTGGTGAAGAATCGTCGGGACACCTTACCGAGGAAGCGATTCAGGAGTACATATGCGGGTATCTGGGCGGTGCTTTGTCAGGTTGTGGAATCTCGGCCAGGCGGGGTTGAGGTGGTGTGGATCAAAGGTCACAGCAACATCCACGGAAACGAACTTGCGGATCAGGCGGCGAAGGTGGCAGCACAGAGTGGTTCAGTGCCCTGGATGGTGGATCTCACTCAACAGACGGATATCACGACCTTTGCACATTGTTACGGCGGGATTGTTGAAATCGATCTACGTCAGCTCCTCAAACAACAATCGACAATCCGTCACCATCAGGCCTGGACGTCACAGAGGCGGGTCAAGAGGGCGATCCCTGACATCGATGACGTGGAATGGAACTCGACCTTGGCTTATGTCCACGACAGGCACGCAGTCTTCACCTTTTACAGCAACAGCAAGGACTCTCACCAACGCACACATCATATCAAAAAGCTGCATGGAATGCTGCCCACTCTGAACTCCATGCAGGCTCGCAAGCCCAACCTGTACCCAACATGCGTGTGCCGACGATGCGAGCTCGAGAAGGAGGATAACGATCACGTCTGGAAATGCCCTTCGGCAGCTGAGACCACCACTGAGATCTGGAAGGAGGCCATGGGCAAGATTAATGAGTGGGGTGTGCAGGCGACAAACAGCTACAACGCAGCCAGGAAGCGAGAATACAAACGCGCGGTGGACAGAGGTCGTCAGGTACCGAGGCCAGTACCCATACACTGGTGGCCCCCTTCGGATGCGGATCATGTGCGAGGATTTTCCTCCATCGGTGGAGCTCGAGCCGTGCACAGCGGTAGTCCAGCTCCCGATCGAGACGAGAAACCGATGTGGAATGTGTCGGATCTCCTCCGCGGCATCACCCCCTTGAGCATGTTGACTGAATGGTCCGCGGTCTTCCGGACCCCAATGTCCATCGCCAAGACAGTCCTTCACAAATTTGTTGGCTACCTGGAGGCGCAGGCCTCGGAGCTGATCTGGAAACCTCGGTGCTCCGCGACGATCGCGTGGGAACAAAGCCAGGGCATCTCTGCCAAGGACAAGACATCCAAGTACACAGGCCCCCGAGGTGACTGGAGTCAAGGATACGGTTACATCACGCACGATGGTTTCTGTCCGTGTGGCGCTTCGCTAGCCACACATGATGAAGGAAGGTGCCCTGGGGCGACCAAGGACCCACGCGCTGCTGACGAGCGGTTGTTGGAGAGTTTGTTAGGAAGGAGGAGGTTGTCAATGATGGAGAGGATGGGAAGAATCCCCTTCATTCGTATCTAGTTTTATTTTCTTCCGTTTAAGCTGTGAAGAGCAGCGACAATTGTTGCGCAGAGCCAGGTTCTGGACCGGACTGCGACTGGTGGATGGTGCACTGAAGAGTTTGGTCTGTAGTCTTCCTCTGTGCTGTTTGTCAGAGAAGTAAAACTGTGTACAGAAAAAATAGCAGCTAGTCGGGAAAAAAGAGCCAACTTTTCTATGAAAACCAGCTGTCTAGCATCGCCAGATGTGTACAAAGAATGTGAGAGTTCAATTGGTACGATGCACGCGAAAAATAACGTCTACAGCAGTGAGAGGGAGAGAGATAAGAGGAATGGAATGCGGAGAGAGATGGTATCAAAAATAAAACGGCATTTTATGGCAATCGGGACACTTCAAAGACGACGGCGCCATTCTTTTTCACCCTTGTAGACGATTATCCAGTTTCCCCATAACTGATCACTATCTGTACCGTTGAAGGATCGCAATTGATTGCCGAGGGAGGAAGGAGGGATGGGTGGATAGCATTTTGGGTGCCAATGCCTTCGAAGGAGAAGCAATTACACTGTGGGCATTAAGCGGAGGAATAGTGAAGAAAAAGTTGTCAACAAATAGTAAGCGAGAGGGCGAAACATTTCTACAGAAGGCGCGAAAAAATTCTCGGTTTCGGTCATGCAAAATGACGATTGTCGCGTTTCATTTTTGTTTGTCGAGGGTCCGCTGCTTGTTTTTTTTTTTTTTTTTTTTTTTGGTTTTCTTGCTTTCTCTTTTCCTTTATTCTCATTCACGCACACACCATCACCACTACCTTTTGCCTACTTTTTCTCACCCAACTCACTCTTCATCTTCACTTGGTTAAAAAAATGAAAACGCTCACACTGTCCATCTCGCTGCTTTTACTGGCACTACCACTGATGCCAGTCGAGGCATCCTTCTTTGGTCGCCACCAGAACCTCCCCAAATCCTTGACCAAACGCGAATCTTCCTTCTGTGGATCCCATCATATGCCATGTCCTATCGCCGAGCCATGTTGCAACAGTATGTCCCACTGCCACCTTGCGGAGAAGATAAAAAAATTTTATCTCGCGTTGTTTGTTATTCACACTTTAGTATCACTTCACTACCATCCCACGTCATCTGTAGACGGAACATGTCACACAACATCAATGGAGGCATGTCCAATATCGCTGGGCTGCGATCCAACGCATTCACACCTCGAGGGTTGTTTCCCTCTCCCAGCCTGTCGAAACATCAAGGACCAGTTCAAACACGCCAACGTCTTGATCCCCAAGCAGGCTTTTACCGGTGACCCCAACCAAGCCCATTGGACCTCTGATTTCCATCACATCGCCCGCTATGCCAAGATTGATCATCACAACCACAAACTGTTGCTTCATACTCGCAGGTAAGCCCCTCTCGCAAGGAAAGCCCTTTTTCATGCAATTAAACATGATCACATTCTGACCTCATTTTATTCTTCTCCCAACGAATCACAACAACCGCGGTCCGTGACACGAAATTAGAGACCTGGTCCAGACACAGAGTGGTGGAGGATTCGGTGCAACCGTGTCATCGACTCGTTGGAACAAATACGGAACTTTCACCGCAAAGTTGAGATCAGGCGCCACAGGACCGGGCATCGTCACCGCCTTCTTACTCTCCAACCCTGTCCTCGGCGAAGAGATCTCGTTCGAATTGACTGGTCGAGACCCGAAACGAGTTATTACCAACTATTACCGTCGTATCCAACCTACCGAAACACTTGAGGAGTCTCAGCACCATATGGGGAGAGACAACGGGGTCCATAGTCACGACCACCATCACCATCATGTTTCGAAATTGGAGTCTCATGAGGAAAGTCATGAACTGAAACGAGATTCGACAAAACACGACCTAGTCTACAAGATCGAATGGACCGACAAGATGATCCGTTGGTCCGTTGACGGAAAGGTCCTCAGAACCGTCCTTGCCAAGGACGTCAACACCCCAGCTCTTGGTGGCCTGCCTGAGAAGCCCATGCAGTTGCAATTGACGGTTTGGGATGCAGGGCACGCGATCGAGACGCGAGAATGGGCCGGCGGGAAGACCGACTACGGAGCTGATAACCTGGACGAGTATATCACTACCGTCGATTCCATCGAGATCAACTGTTTCGATTCCAAGGAAGGCAACAAACCTTGGCCGGGCCCCGATGCAATGAAGAGACTGAAGAAGGCTCAAGCTTTGGAGACGGAGATGGCCAAGAGGTACCGAAAGATGAATAAGGGCAAGAAGGGCGATGATGGCAAGTTTAATGGAGGACAAGAGCATCATGGATATGGACACGAGGAGGGGTTTTTTGGGAGGATGCGGGGGTATATGGAGATGGCTGTCCTGTCGTTGATCAAGTGGACGTTTGTGCTGTTGGCGTTGGTTTGTGGAGCGGCTTATTTCACTGAACCCAATACAACCAAGACCACCACGTCCATCACGTCCACCACGCGTACTTCTTCCTCCAACCAGCAAAACCTCGGTTTCTAAGTTTCTCCTTTTTCCTCCCAGGCATTCCTTTAGTCATAAGCTTTGTACATATCTCGTTATTGCATAACCCAATACAAAAAATAAATAAATGGCTGTTGCGCAAAAGGTATGTACCTTCATTATTAGTGGTTTTGTTTTTCTTCAGCCTGGCCTTCTTTACTTGCCATCCACCCATCTCATGGCGTGCCAGTTCAGACTCGACTCCCGTCGGGGTGCCCATCCGAAAGGAGGCGTACCGCACATAACACACCTCTCCCTCCTTCCTTTCCGCCTTCCCTTCCTCTCCTTCCCGTCTTCCTTTTTCCACACGTCTCTCCTTTGTCGTGATCGGCACAACAAAATAAAGTACTTCAGATCTAGTACAAAAAGCATAAAGGCCAACAGGCCGACAGATGGGAGGAAAGGGAAACAGAAAAAGGAAAAAAAAGGCATACGGCTTTATGTTATGTATCCACGACGAACACATGTATATATACACTACACCGACCGGCATTGCATTCAATCAATAGCCCCATGAGTCAATGGGATAAAACATAAAACAAAGTTGTGCGAGAGGAAAACAATCTGGTGACCCCGGTCGTTTATTTTCGAGATTTCTTGGGAGATTGAGAGAAGAGCAAAAGAAAGATAGAAAGAGAAGCGAACAAGGAGAGCATGTGTGTGTAAGAAAAAAAAATGTATTCAGCTGCATGGAACGAACACAAGAAGGAACAGAAGGAATCAAAACCAATGCATGGGTATGGAATGAGCGAGAACAAGAGTGAGGCAGAGAAAGAAGGAGAGGTATAAAAAAAAATGCATGGTATATGGATGGTGCTCATGCAGATGCAATCTTACGAGAACCCCGAAAATAACTACAGACAAGTGACAAATCAGACGTGCAACGGAAAAGTACAGGAGTCTGTGAAAGAGTGAAAAAAAAACCGGGGCGATGAACAACAATTATTGCCTTTTTATTTCGATCTACTTGTTTTTTTGTGAGACAAAAACATAAGACTCCAAAAAAAAAGGAAACGGTTATTACAAAACCTAGCTCGACCAAGAAAAAAAAGGGTGACAAAGCTATAGAGAATGTGATAGTTTCGACGACAGTCCAAAGAGAACACCAGATATCATTGTCCAAATGGTCAAAAATAAACCAAAAGAAAGTTGAGGGGGAAGAAGGGGAAAGGTACCCATTGATTATGCAGAATGCATAATTGGATTTTTGTCGGCTCCCCGTTTGAGTAATCAAAGCTCTTGAGGTGTTGATGTGCATCCGTCAGCTTGATGGCTATTACCAACTCGACTACCGATTGGTTTGCTGTATTGCTACTTTCCGTTTACTGCTGAATGTGTCTGACCTGTATGACTGGGCCTGCCTTGTGGTTGTGAGTTGTGCGTTATCTGAGAGACGCGTCGGTCAATGCCAATGGTTACCATACAAGGAAGTGAAAAAATGATGTGGCATTGTATGGTGTGGTGCTATCTTTAGCGTCGCCAGATGCTTTATGGAAATAGACAACACTGAGGCGCGAAAGAATTTGATGGGCTAGTGGAAACAATCAAACGCGAGCGGGCGGTTTGACGCGATGGGTCGTGCCAGGTTGTGAACTGTAGGCTTGTTCAGGGATGTGCTCGCTTGTGGAGGCAATAATAGGAAAAAAATAAAGTTGGGGCCAGAACAGGGTCTTTTGGTGAAAGAGACTAAAAGCGTGTCTTTTAGACCGCGTTCCTTGACCCAATGGCCGTCGCGTGTCCCTCTCCATCATACTAGCGCCTATTAACATTGTTCAAGGGGTAACAGCAAGGGAAGATGGACGTGCATCGAGTCTATTATTGTTCTAGATAAAAGATGAGACCACACAACGCTGTTCATTTTTTTGTTTGTTAACAAGCCCGATGGAAAAACAGGCCAGATCGGTGACCCTTGCCTTTCAGCCTTGATAGCAATAACGCAAAATAAAATAGATCCACCGGGACTACCTTGTGGCACAATTCTCTCCAAAGCAACCAAAATACACTGGTCATTACTGTACCTGACCCATCCGCCAGCCCAGCGGTGTACGTTTTTGCGAGAGTGCTCACAACATACCGCCATAACCACCGTGGCCGCCGCAACCACCCTACCCACGATACCTGCAAAGATATCTCTACACTTGATTCAAGATGTTTTGCTCTAATGTCCGCAATAAAAAACATTATTTTTCGACAGGGCCTTTTTGGTCCCATGAAACTATGTTCACTACAGCATCTCTCTCTTTACTTTTCTATCTTGAGAATTGGTGCTCAGAACGGCTAAAAAAGAAGCACTGCCCCGGTCCAAGTTATGCGGCTTATTCGTTGTGCTTGAACGGCGATTCTGTACTGCATCGAGCGATGCTTGGACGGCCGGCAGACAATGAAAAAATAGTTGAAAGTCGAGTAATCTTACTCATGCCTTGTTCTCACATATTCAAGCACATTATCGCGACTAGCAAAGCGCGAAAAAGTAACGACCCGGCGCGACATAAAAAGTGGGTCAGAGTGGTCAACAAGGTTTGGTGGCAAAGAAGTGACTGTTCGTTAAGTCGAAACACGGACGAGTGTTGGGCTCGCCTCCGTTAAATGATTTTGTTTTTTAGGAACGGGCGCCGAAGAAAGATTGATGCGGGGCGTCAAACAATGAGATTATATTTTTGTTCGTAACCTTGGACAGGCTATTCAGGGTCAGGGCCAGAAGAACAGGGAAGTAGAAGAAGAAAATAGGAAGAAAGAGAGGACGAGGGAGAATGGAAAAGTTAGGCGTAATTGTTTAGCTTCCAGGAGTCGACACCATGACATTGACCAATAAACGGTACCAATACGAAAAAAAGAATCCACGCAACACCAAACTAACAAGTCGTGATGTCTATCAAATGTCATTCATTGTTCATGACAGGTCAAACGACGCGACAAGGAAGGATGCCTCATCTCTGTCCCGCTGTTGCAATTCAGCCCTTCTTCCGTTCGCTGGGAGACAAAAAAAAAGATTGCGCGGTATAGAACAATGTCTCGAGATAATGAACCCCCCTGACTCCAAAAGGGTTCAGTTTTGATTATGAGATTGAGTGCGTGTGCGTGTACGAGAAGGAGAAACAAACATGTAAGTTGTAGTCTATGGAATGGAATTGTTGTTGTTCAAAACATCAAGAGTGAGATGCAATTATTGCATTTGAGAAATGTAGTACAATACACGACAAAAAGAGATCTGAGGGAGTGAGTGGAGTGAATGTAGAGAGCATGACAGAAAGAAAACACAGAGAAAGATCTGAGCAATTTCCGTGTATTTTGGTGCTTCAATGACGATGGATGTTGGACCAATGTTTTACTCGTACTTGTCTTTTGCTGACTTTGTCCGTGCCAGTGTATGAGAGGAGAGCACTGACGGTGATGGGCGGATGTGCGGTCGACGAGTGTAAAAGAGAAAGTGACCCGGGTACCTTGACTGTATTACGGGTTCACATGAATCTGGCGCGTCTGAATTGTTTTTTTTGTGAAAGGAGGAAGGACAGCCGGGAGAGCAGTGTGCGGATCGATGACGATGTTCAAAGGAAAAAAAAGGCGATGACAATGAAAGGCTATTATTGTTGCTGTGATAATATAATTTGCCTCCGCCACCCTACCAGGTGGGCGGACTGAGTAGTAGACCCGATCAACACGGAGAAAAAAATAGAGAGAGTTCTTTGTGTATGTGAGAGAGCTGGTGTTATGTAACGTCGATCCATGGGTATGGTTGCTGCCAAGAAAGAAAGCAAGGACGAGAGCCAGCCCAGTCCATCCAGAAGGTCAATTTTTTGTTTGTTATGTTTATTTGTTTGTTTGTATGTTTGTGTGAGGAGTGAGTGTGGGGATGCATCAGTTGTCCTTTTTATTTTTCAAAGATAAAAAGAGATCGATCTCTCTTTTTTTTTCTTCTCTTTTTCTCTTTTTCTCTTTATCTCTCTCTCTCTCCCTTCTCTCTCTCTCTCTCTCTCTCTCTCTCTCTCTCACCCTCTCACATCATTCTCGTGTCTCCTTCTCCTCCTCCCTCTCGTCCTTCCTTCTCTCTTCTCTCATTCACTCCTTCCATACACCTCCTTTCCATTCCTTCCTTCCTTTCTTTGTTGCTTTGCTCCTGCACACCTTTGTCATCCTTCCTGCTTTGGCTCTCTCTCAAGAACCCCCTGTCAATTACACGTCGATTTCCCGCCAAAAAACGTCTCTAGTTGACGACGATTCGTATCAAAAAAAGGGGTAGAGCATATATTTTCATTCAAATCGGAAATCTTCACCCGTGGACCCTTATTTGCTTATTCGTTCGTTCGTTCGTTCCTTCTTTTATTCTGTTTTTCTCCTTTCTTCCTTTTCTTCCTTTTCTTCCTTTTCTTCCTTTTCCTCCTTTTCCTTCTCCCTTTCCTCCTCCTTCTTCTTTCCTCTCTTTCCCATCCTTTTCTCACCTCTGCTTCCTCCTTTCTTCCTTCTTCCTTGTGTTCTTGTCGTCCCTGCTCACTCATACCTCCTCCTCCATTCACCAGCCAGTCAAAGACAACAGCTCAGCTTTCCTACCCTTATCCTTCACTTTAACTCTTTTCCTCCTCCTCGCTTCAAACAAAACAAGCTCGAGTTCGGACCACCACCACCACCACGGCCGCGACAACAACAACCAACTTCAAAACTCGCCATTGCCATTCCACCGACACCTCAACTCCATTACCTCATTCAACTCGGAATCACTCCATTTCAATAACTTCAACCAAAAAAAAAACTCGCTCCATATTCTTTCCTTTCCTTTCCTTTCCTGTACTCGACAGTGGCTCAGTTTAGCTTCTCTTGTACACGGCAACGACACCTTTTTTTTTTGTTGTTGTTTGTCCAACATTCCGAACAGGCTTCTTTAACTCTTGCTCTCTGACTCACCAAAGCGACGCCAACCAACCAAACCAGCAATCCAATCCAATCAATCAACCAACCAGCCAACCAGCCAACCCAAAACCATCTCTTCCAAAGTGGGAAGAAAAAGAAAAAGAAAAGAAAAAGCATATCTACCGACACGCATACTCCGACCATGCCAATCGCACGCTGGGCCTTCAACATTAGACAGCCATTGTTGCTCGAGAATGTCGAGCCCCTGGTCACATCGCTCACGGACGACGACAGACCCAACATCGTCCCTCTCTCAAATCTCCTCAACTTTCTTCCGAAGATCGATTGCGACCGCGTTCTCCAGTTTCGCCTCGAGGACGACATGCGGCGGGCGCTGATCGGCCGTTTGATGATCCACAGCTTCTTTGCGGCCCACCATGGCTGTCGATGGGACCAGCTCGTCTTTTCCCGATCCGATACGAACAAGCCTATCCTGGTAAAGTTTTTCTCGTACAATTCAATTGACTTTACTATTGTTTCTCTTAGTTTGTTTCTGTTACCGTGTTCTTGTGTAATAGAATGAGTTCTGCTGGACCCTTGATTTGTTATGGCCAACTCTCCGTTGTCTAGTTCCATTCATGCCCTATATTGGACTCTATCGTATCGATTCTGCCCGATATCTATTGTGTCCCACTTCTCTTCCCTTTCCCGATGTCCTCCTCGTCATCCTCCTCCACCCCATGTCGCACCAACTTGCATCATCGATCCTCTCTTCTTCTCCCAACTGTGAACTCAATCAGCAAAAGCGACAGAGCACACGGTACATTACCTCACACTCGCGCACTATTCAACAACAAACATCTAGCAATTCAACAATTCAACAGCAACAGCAACAGCAACAACACCGACAGTACATTCTCCATCCCCTCCTCTCTCCCATCCTATCTTCTCCTTCCTCCTCGTCTCGTCTCCTTCCTTTGTCTCGTATTTTTCTCATGTTACACGTTGTCCGATAAACATAAACAGCCCCCTGTTCCTTGTATCCTCACCCTTTCTCCACTTTCACTTTCACTCTCCTTCTCCACCCCGTCAAACACCTTTGCCTTCTTTTTCTTTGTATTTTTCTCCGTTCTGGGAACGTGTTTCTTCTATACCATGCTACCTGTTTATTGGTTCTCTTTTTCTGTTCTTTTCTACTTTCGGTCATCTAACAAATCTTTACCTTCCTTCCTTCCCTACCTCTCTGTCACTTTCCGTCACATTGTCTTCGTCTTCAATTTTTCTTCCCATTCCCTCCCTCCCTCCTTCACATCTTCCCATCCCTCGCCGGATACGAATATCCGTCATTGTCGTTCCTCCTACATCTCAACAACAAACAGTTACAACCCGAGCACTTGAAAAAAGTGAGCTTCAACATCTCCCATCATGGAGATTGGGTCATCCTCGTCGGCGACACGTCCTTGGAGAGCACGGTCCGTCTTGGAGTTGATGTCATGGACTTCCAGGAGCAGGTCCCAGGAGAATCTTTCGAAACATTTTCCGCGTGTTTCTTGGATCAGGTACGTTTCGTTTTTTTTTCCTTTGAGCAAAATGACCACACAGGACATAAAAAATGAGCAAGAACGAAAGAGTAAAAGAAGAGCGTGCTATTGACTATTGACGAATAGAGAAGAGGAGAATAATAGGAGTCGAGAATGAAGGAAAATGAGGATTGGTTCATCATTTATCCTATACCAACAGGTAGCGTCTTCGTGCCCGCTAACCAAAGTACCTTTTTCTTTTTCACCGCTTTGACTTCCCTTCGATGGCACTGTCAATTATGGATTGTTGAAATATGGATACACACCAATATCCGACTTTTATTCTCTCTCACTGGACAACAACCCAAAAATAACAACCGAATATCATTGGCTCAGTTCACGGCAATGGAAGTTGCATTCATGACAGACGCCCCTGCAGACCCATCATCACCCTCGGGAACAGCGCCTCAATTGAAGCGATTCTACCGGATGTGGTGTCTCAAGGAGTCAACAGTCAAGGCTCTTGGCGTAGGCATTGATTTTAACCTCATGTCATTCGAATTTGAAGTCCAGGATGAGGAGGAAACTACCAAGGTAAAAAGAAAAAATAATATCATTTTCGTGATACATCCAATGCATCACGGAGAGTGGTTGGTGCGGGCAGGATACGGCAGGACAGGACACACCGGGATATCAATGAACAGGGAGCTCAGTTCGAGCAGAGCCACAGGGAGATGAGAAGGAATAGCAAATGATGGTGAGCTCTGAATGGTCCGATGAAAAAAACAGGCGAGAGAGAGAGAGGGTGGGGTTTGCTGAGCGAGCAGAATGAGAACGCGAAACGAAGCAAAAAATACAAAAGGAACAGCGGAAAAGCGGGGAGAGAAAAGGGGGTGGATTGAGTTTGTTTAAATGTACTGCACTGCCAGCGCATTTTATGCATCGAAAGAGGGAGAGGAAGGATATGCAAAGGCAAGGCAGGGCCGCGATTTTTCTTTGCTTCGCTTTGTTGTGTTCTGGACCTATCAGGACGCTGGACTAGGCGTTTGAGACCGCATTTGGAGTACTGGGATGCTGAGATGGCACGTCTGTCTGTTTGTTATATCGATATCGTGTCAGCAGGATGTTGGAGATGCAGGACGAGAACGATCCAAGGTCAAAAAAAAAAAAAAAAAAAAAAAAAAACCAGTAAAAAGAAAAATAAAGGGGAGAGGGAGAGCGGGAGGGAAAAGAGATAGGTCGCTTTTTTAGGACAGCAAAGGACTTTATCTAAACTGTAGTTCCCACCAGTCGCGTAATTATATTCTTAGCGGGTTTCGCTAGTGAATATGAGTTGCATGCTACAGGTAGCGTCATCTCCTCGGAGAGAAGGGCCAGCTCTCTCCCACAAAGCAGCATTGTGCTCTCCCATCGGAAGGAAGCCACACGTGGACTGTTTGGGGCACTTGCAATTGAATACCTATCTCTCATCACAAATGCAAATTAACTAATCCTTCTCTTCCTCCACGCTCTCCCTCTTTCCCCATCTATACTGTCGAACAACTGTAGCCAACACTATCAACAAGGATCCAAGTTCACGAGCCTTCGTCCGAGTTCCCAGAGAAGGGCTGGTCGTTTGAGGAAGCTTTGCTCGACGCAGATCATTGTTATGCAATCGCAGCACAGTCCGAGATGAAGGGAAGTGGCCCTATCATGGATGGATCCGAGATCAAGCGTCTTGACTGGAAAGAGCTCCTTAAAGACGCGGTCCCTTACCCGCCGCAATTTTCATAATCAGCTGTCTGTCATTTTTTTTTTTTTTTTTTTTTTTTTTTTCGTTTTTGTTGCCGTTGGTTGTACAGTAACTTTACATTTTGCTTTTTATGCTAGTACGCATCGCTCCTTTTTCTCTTGCTTTTCTTGCTTTTCTTGTCATTTTTTTTCATGCAAAAACCAGTAAAGTTTATATTGCAGTTGCAAACTACGTCAGGGTCGAAGTGATGACTTAGGCGCTAGCGACGCACGCGTTTTCGACTAGCAGGATATGATGGAAGAGATTGATTGCACGTGACGTGATCTTAGAAAAGCTTTTTTTTTTTCTCTGGCGCCTTTGTGCGACCAAAAAAAAGAGCTTCTTTGCGATCGACGAAAAAGAAGGGTCTTTTCTCCATTCCCTTCAGGAACAAACAGTCGTCGTGAATAGTGAACGTTCAAAGAAATGATAGAGGTAGAGCTGTGTTCAGAAGTCGAAACACCGACAAGCAATGAAGGTAAATGCTTCAGTTTTTTTTTTGGGGTAGGGCTCATTTTGCATTAGTAAAGATATCGGGGTGACCCATGGGTTGGGGAAGGGAACAAATATCGACCAGGCATGGCCGTGCGCTTGCTTGTTTTCGATTTTTTTTTGTGGTTCTCATCGATGGCATTTATGGTCAGACGGTGTTGCTGTTGGCTGATGGGGGTTTCAAGTTGAAGATGAAACAGGGAGTGTAGAGAATGGCACCTTTGGAAGACTGATAGATATCTACAAGAGTGAAGTTGAGCAGCAGTAACCGATTCTTTCGTGGGGATATCGAGGCAGGTCAAAGTGAAGCGAGGACCACATGAAAGACGAAAGGCCTCATCAATGACGGAGATGAAACAGCGCTTGCCATAATTGGGTACTTCAAGAACGTGATTGGAAGAAAATCCTTTCCCTTTCTTTTCCTTTTGACAAGCAAATCTCTTTTTCTTCATCATTCATTCACTCAACCATCCTCTCTTTCCATCTCAATTTCTCTCCTTTTCAACTGCCTTCTTATCCCTTGACCTTATCCCCATCTTTTTTCTCTACCTTGCATACTCACACACATACAATATCCTCTCCACAACAACTACAACCCAGACATTCATTTAACCTAACCGACCATGGCTGCACCACCAGGACCCGGGTCGAACGACAACAACAGGTCAAGAAAGACTACCACCACTTCTACAACCAAGAAAAAACGCTCCCAAGGAGCACAACAGGATCAACGCACTAACAATGGCTACTACCACCGCGAGACATCCCCTTCAAGCTCAAGCAACACTTCCTCTTCACGGGCAGCAAGTCCCACCCTCCTCAACCACGATGATCCCATCCCCGAGTTTGACCAGACATTTGTTAATGAGGAACACATGGAGGCATTCCGCCATGCCCTCGACGACAGTGTCCATTCCGAGTCTTCAGCAGAACTCATCTCGGCCGTCACTGACTTTATTCCCATTCAACAGACACCGACCAAACGCACACGCAAGACGCAACGAAGACGGTATAACGGATACAGCTACACCCTACTCCGAGTGCCACTCATGGTACGACAATTCCCCACCCACCCCCACCCACCCCATTTGACTATGTCATTTGTCCGATCGATCATCCCTTTTATTTTTTCTGTTCATTATTTTTAACCCTTCCTTTCCTTGCAACCGTTCGTTCCAAATGGCATAGGCCCTTATCTTTGGCATCATTGCAGTGGAGATGTGGATGTACGTCTGCATTCGCCAAATTGTCAATATTTGGGAGTATTTTGTGACATGGTAAGTTGCCCTTCTCTTTTTTTAAGTTTCGCTTTTGTGCAAGAGCGTACACAGGCATGGAATTAACCTTGCATTTGAGCATGTTCTCTGCTTTGTTTGTGGATTCTAATCGATCGATATCTTACACTCGCAAATAAACAATAGGCGTGGAAGGCGCAATCACCTTCGAAAGGATCTTAGGAGTGCCACTACCTATGGCGCATGGAAGGCTGCAGCTCAACAATTGGACACCTACATGAAGAAGGACGAGTGGAAGAACGATCCCGACTTTGGATACTACGACTACAACCTGCTTTCGAAAGTTAACAGGAACCTGCGTCTGTCGAGAGATGGCAACAGGGTCGAGGAGCTCAAGGACCATTTGCAAGGGGTTGTCAAGTCTAACTTTGGAGGTGTTGAGAATGCTCGTCTCTATTCGCAGACGTACCACGGCACCAAAAAACCTATCGAGGACTACGTTCGTGAAGGTAAAGTCTGTTCACCTTTGCCTTGCAACTTGCCATCATTACTTTGATATTACTGCGACCCTAGTATCTAACTAAAGTCGACATGTGTTGCTTTCTGTGACGACATCCTATAGTGACAACATCATTGCGATATGTTACCGAGTCGGCCAAGTTGACGGATGAGGACAAGCGGAGTTTTTTGAAGAGCATTTACAAGAACTATGGGCGAACAGCTCTTTGTCTTTCTGGAGGAGCAGGATTTGGATACTACCATCTCGGTGTTGTTCGCGCACTTCTCCAGGCAGGCATCCTACCGACCGTTATCACTGGAACCAGTGCAGGAGCCCTGATGGGTAAGGATTTGGGGATAATTTTGTATTTCAAAGTGCTCATTTGTTAAAATCCAGGCTCTGAGGTATCCATTTTTTTGCATTTCTCATGACTAATGGGGCATGCATATGTCTGTTCTATACTGATAGCTGCTTTGACATGCTGTCGCACGGATGAGGAGTTGAACGAGGTTCTTGTTCCAGAGCTCTCCCACAAGTTTACCGCCTGCGCTGATGACATCTTTGTAAGTACTATCGGCCTGGTGTTTTGCTGTAATTTGGCTCTTCTGTGCAATTGGATCGAGTCTCCGCTAATATCACCTTATTAACTGTCATTGTTCATATCTACCCTTAAGACTTGGCTTCCTCGTGTCATGAAGCAGGGTTCGCGTTTCGATGCTGAGGACTGGGCCAGGAAGGCACAATGGATCACCAAGGGCAGTCTGACCTTCTTAGAGGCTTATGAGCGCACAGGACGTATCCTCAACGTCTCAGTCATTCCTTATGACCCTCATTCGCCACCAAAGCTGCTCAACTACTTAACAACACCCGACTGCGTTGTTTGGTCTGCGGTCATTGCTAGTGCTGCTATCCCCGGTATCCTCAACCCTGTCGTTCTCATGCGCAAGCGCCCTGATGGTACCCTTGTGCCTTTTAGCTATGGAGGACGTGGTTACAAAGATGGCTCCCTCCGTGCCGACATTCCTCTCCAGGTGCGCATTGGTATCATTAACTTTGGTTCAATACCCGAACGAATGCGTTGACCTCGTTACGCATGACTCTAACGCGCCACCAATTTACATCTTGGTTATTTAGGCTTTGCATACCCACTTCAACGTGAACTACACCATTGTCTCGCAAGTGAACCCTCATGTCCACTTGTTCTTCTACGCTGCTCGAGGAAGTATTGGTCGTCCTGTCAGTCACTTGTCTGGTGAAGGTTGGCGCGGTGGATTCTTGGCAGCTTCGATCGAACAGTTCTTGAAGCTGGATCTGTCAAAGTGGCTCAAGGTGCTTCGTGATCTGGAATTGCTCCCCAAGTTCATGAACCAGGACTGGTCCTGGATCTGGTTGCAGAAGTTTGATGGCCATGTCACCATCCTTGTAAGTCTCACGTTGATTTATTTTGCACATGCACATTATAGCTTCCTTGCGGATAACTAACGTGAGTTTTTGTAACTTTTGTCTGTGCATAGCCAAAATCAGGACTGTCGGATTGGTTGCAGCTTGTCACGGATCCAAGCGAGGACCGGATGAGACACTGTTTGACAGTGGGTGAGAAGCAGACATTCCCCAAGTTGCACATGATCGCGAACCGTATGAAGATTGAACAGATGATTACTCGTTGCCGCACTGAAGTCAAGGAGAAGTTGGATCGTAAAGCCGACAACGGACGGAGTCTTCGCGGTTCTGGAATTTTTGGCGGCGGATCGTTGCTCTCGGAGGACAGTGAGAATACTGTCAATGCCAGGATGCAGGCGTTTGGGGAAGGGTACAGCCAGCACCAGTACTCTAAGGAGGGTAATAGGGACATGATGGGTGCAGAGGCCAGGGTTGGACGTAAGAAACGGGTTGCTTCTTGGCCGAGCTTGCGGTATGCGCTTGGTCGTGAGTCTGTGGACGAGTATGGACTTGCGCAGGCCAAGTTGCGGCATGAAGATGATGGTAGTTATGATGATGATTATGAGGAGGAGGATGATGAGGAGGATGAGGAGGAGGTTGATGATGAGGAAGACGAGAGGGTGGGGATGGTTGAACGTGAGGATGACGATGTCGGTGTGTATACCAGATAAGCATTACTCGCACATTGTAGGCTCCCTTGATCGGTTGCCCGCCTTTGTTTGGATCGAGTTCGTTCATATCACCAAAAGAATAAAAAAAGAAAAAGAAAAAGATATCAAACTAGAACAATATTGCCGCACTTTTTAATATACACTGACGGCGTGCATCCTATGGTTGTTCCTGGACTACAGATCATCGTTGAGACGGTAGGCGACCAGGGCATCGATCTTGTGGAGGTTAGTACTAAAGGATCTCAGCTTGACCTGCTCTGCATTGTGGACAAGATGCGGGTCGGCGTCGCTCCATGTTGCTGGCACCTCTGCGTCCTTTTCCGTCTGACATAGGATCGTCCATGTGCCTATCATACATTTTCAGGGTCAAGGATGATTAAACCGGTCAGCATGCCATATATAGGGTCTTTCCCACTGTCAACGCGATGATCCTGAGAAGATAGCGGCAGTTCGACCTGAAGGAAGTGTAGACTTACATTTCTCGTCGAGCATGGGGAGGAAGGAGACACTGGCGGTGATCTGTCGTAGGATGGCTTGGATCTCAGTCTGGATCTCCTTCTCTGTCTTTTCCGGTTTTGGTTTTGAGGGCGATGATAATGATGGCGCCGTAGTAGATGTGTCCTGTCCAGCACCCGCCAATGGCCGCGAAAATGAGTCCGTATTCGTTGTTTTAGTAGAGGTGCTGAACGTTGAAGATTGGTCCTTGGTGTTGTGAATGTCAAACTGCCAGCGCTCCAGAACTGTCATTGTTTCCTTTGACTTGATGGCGAGGATCAGTTTCTCGACCTTGCATGCCATCAGCCATGCTAAGTCATAGTAATATAGGCAAAGAAACCATTCAGGGTTAACTATGGTCCGGTGTCGAGAGAAGCAAACGAGTCTCCAATCGGTCGGCTGGTACGTGCAAGAGCTCTTAGAGGACAGTGGTCGGTGTTGATTATTACCTTCAACTTGCTTGAGGATCTCGCGCATGTGGCTCTTGACCTCTGGGTCGTTGGTGACGAGCATGTTGAGGCCGTATTTCTTGGTCATCTTGAAGTACTCTGGCGCGTAAAGTCCTCTCTGGAACAGGAGACTATGGTTTCAGGGAACGAAAATACATTGTTGGTGAGTGGACTCTGACGAAGGGTGATAGTCCTGACGCAAAATCCCAGTCAATTGTAGATAGGTTCTCGTCCTTGTCATGGCGCCTCCCGATTGGTTTGTATTCTCCAGACAGAGTGATGTCTCCCGTATGCCATAGTATTTCCTGGTGTTGGATGTGCAGGGTGGTAGTACCTGTTGATGCAGTATTCTACAAAGAGGCGCAAAGAATGTAACGAAAACGACGTTAGTCATTGTTTTGTTTGTTTCCTGAGTCGTGTGGTCGTGTGAGGATTATTGGTAGTTTTTGCAAAGTAGAGTTTAGATGGAGAAGGAACACAAGACATCGGTCGAGTGTGCCCCTTGGTTGTGCCATTCATTCCTTACCAAAGAACTCGACGATGATCTTTGTTGACCCACGGAGGGTGATCTGATTCCGACTGTTTGTCGGCCGTTGCTGTTGTTGCATCATGTTGATCACTGAAAAAGAGAGTGGATAGTGACGATGGGTGTTGAGTGAGGGAAGAAGTGCTATGCTGTTGATGTTTTTAGGAGGTGTGTTCTTTGGTGATGATCCTCTATGTGTTCCTGTCCTTGTCCTGATGTGTGAGCGGTTGTTTGAGAGAAAGAAAGTAAGAACGCGCCGAGGTCGAATATAGTCACCCAAGCCTCTGGGTGACTGTGTTCTCTGGAACGGACCAACTTTTTTTTTTTTTTTTTGTGAACCGCGTGGTTGCTGCTGGTTCGTCTTCTCCATACTTCTTCACCCACTAACAAGCCAACAAAAAGCCAACAGCCCAACACATTCACAGCAAAGTCAAGCAACACCCTCACTCTCATTACTTAACAACAAGCACAACAATGTCCATCAACTGGGTCATGCTCACAGCAGATGGCAAGGACATCGTCCCTCTGCAGAATGAGACTGTCTTCTTCCGCGAACATGGAGTCCGCTTCGAACTCGATAGTTCCAATGGAGGATACCCTGGTGCAGGGTGGGTTGACCTTGCAGCACAAAGTTCACATACACACACTTTTCACCTCCAGCGACGAAAGTAACTAACACTGCTGAAGTCCTTTCCATTCTACTCCGATAATAGGAACTCGTACTCGGCCAAGAGCGGCACCATACTGTTGACGAACCAGCGCATCGTCTTCATCTCTGCCACACCAACCCCCTACTTCACAACAGCCTCGCTGCCCATCGACAAAGTTCAGGATAGCAAGCTGGCCCAGCCTTGGTTCTCGGCGGCTACCTTCAAGGCTGTGGTCATGCCTGTCCCCGGGGGCGGAATGGCCCAGCCCGCTCGCCTCGCCATTTCTTTTACCAGCGGAAGTAAGCTTCACCAAAGAGGTTCAGCTGTGCATAGTCGTTCGTGAAGGGATGGTATATGGTGTGCAATTGGGCGATGACGCTGACGTATTTTGGCAATATCACATCCTGTGACCTTCACAACTGCACGTAGACATCCATGAATTCGAGTCTCAGTATCGATCGCTCAGGGAGCGATTACAAGGTGCGTGAGGGTATCAATGTCAATGTTGCTTGTCTGTTTCCACCTTTTTCTTTTTACTGTTCGCCCAAAAACGTCATGCATGGAAACAGAGAGAAAGTTCTGCGGATACAATGGATCTAACGAGAATGACAATCTCCTATTTATATTTTTGTGCAACAACAACAGAGTTGGATGGCGCCGCGCCGGATCATCTGGAACAGCTGCCCATGTACAACCCACCCTCGGGACCCGTCCCAACCTCGACCTACACCTGGTCCTCTTCCTCTGCCGATCAAGGAACCTCGGGAACTAGACCTGCACCCACCTCGACCGCCTCTGCGCCCTTGCCTCTGCCTGTTCCTCACGCCCAACCATATATCGTGGCACCAGCACCGATACCTACCGCGACTACAGGGTACCACACGACAAGCGCCCCAGGATACAATGCGCCTCCACCCCCACAGCCCTTGCCTGCCCCAACTCCATCGGACTTGCCACCAAGCTATGATGAGATCCGTTAGAGACTGTCAGTGGTGTAGTATTGCGACAAGGACGACCTTTTGTAGCTAGTAACAAAGCACAGACGAATAAAAATAGTTTACATCACAGATGTGGCAGTGAGGCAACCCGAAATTAGAGAACGACAGTCACCGGGCTGGGACACTAGGAAAATCCAAGCGCGTCTATTGTCAATCAAGCATCGGTTCGCGTCGCGTCGAGCATGTGATCAGTCAGAGAAAGGTCATGCATGTTCAGTCCATCATCTTATCGAACAAACTTCGATCAGACTACTTTACACCATCCACATGTACGAGGCATTCCCACCACAAAGTCGATTGTTTTTCTTTCTTTCGTACTTGATGATCCTACTCCTTCCTGTTGTTCACTAACATCCAAATATCAACAGCACCTTGCCAATAAAGCGCGGCTACTCACGAATCGTAATACTACCCGAGCATCATTTCTATTTTTTTTGTCCTTGTTCGTCAGAGCGACCGACTCCATTGAGTGCTCAAATCCTTCGTCTAGGATTTTGTTCCGATATAGACTTCGACATTTGTGTTCATGTCTGCGAGAAGAGATAAGAAAAGAACAGGCTATAATAACAAAAGCGGCAACGAAAAAAAACATACCCAAAAAAAGTCAGGCGAAAGAAAATGCCATGAATGGGACGCCAACAAAAAAAAAGATGCAGAGTTTTAAAGAGTTCCTTCTGATCCTGGGCCGTCTTTTTTTTTAAAAAAAAATAATAATATATAGTTTTGCTCTTTAGCGCAAAGCAAACAGTTTTGTACGTTTTAAAGAAGGATGCTCTGTTTTGCAAGAGAATGAACAACGAGAAAAAAAAAACGACGGCCTTGCAAAATCCTTCTTCGATATCCGTCCTTCTGTTTTTATTTTGTCTACAGCCGCGAGATGATAGCTTAGCATGAGTCCGCAAATGTCATTTTTTTATGTCATTTGTCATTACAAAGTGTTCCTCCTACATAAATCACCAACCTCCAAACAACACGAGAAAAGTAACTAAGGGAGAGTGAGGGATCCTATCGCCTACCGAAGTCGCTGTTGTCCACTAGATACACGCAATAGAGATTCACGATAGCGTTTCAAACATGTTCATAAAGAGTTATGAATAGGATTCCACATCGGACTCTAGTATGTTCATACCATTCAATGCGTAGTACCCTTGAAGAAAAAAAGAAAGGAATGGGCCAACTGGTTCATTACTGCCAAGCATCGTTAAGAAGGAATGTATCGACTAAGAGACAAGGCGTACACGAATGGAAAACGCCTTTTTTGCAGATAAAGGAATTTCTGGGCCCAGATTAGCGATGTGGATTCGAAACCCGAGATCACCGTGAGAAGAAATTGATAATGTGAAAAGCCGATTAACTCCAAATATTCAAACTGAATTCGATTCGCAAGAAAAAAACCCAATTGACACCAGCCCTTCTCGTTATCGAGGTCACATATTCGATAGCTCAAAGTACCGATGGATAGATACTATCAGCTCAAAGGCAATCCGAATGAGAACGCTTCATCCTCTACGCAACATTTTTCTCTAATGGTGGCGCGTGTAAGATCAAGTATCCCTAAATTATCGTGAATGTCAAGAGGGAACGGGCCATCAACTGTGTGGTGTACAGTGTGGCTTTCCTTTTCGCCTCAATCGTTGGGTGGCACGCTGTCGAAAACAGAGAAGTCGATGAAAAAAGAGCGACGATCCATCTTACTTTTACTCACAATGAAAAACAACAACCCAAAAATTGCCATAAAGTTACGTTTCGCGATTCGTATGCGCTGATACCAGGATCTCTCGAAGAACTTTCGAAGGATATGAATGTCACGCGAAAAATGGCAAATGTCGACATCAAGAATGCGTCTCACGAAGAGTTACTTCATTGTCCAAAAACAATGGAATACAACAGATTGGACTGCATATCTTTGCAAAAAACATCCACGAATAAATTTGGTACCAATCCGTTACGTTTCGGCGTCGTCTTTTGCAAAGAAGATTTTCCTTTCGATTTTATTGCTCTTTCTTTCTTTCTTTCTTTCCAGAGATGGTCGATGAAACGAACCGTCGCGGTAAATTTAATGCAGTCGTAACTGCGGTAAACGTACGATTTCACATCTTTTTATCCTGCGACTGGAAGAAGTCTGCTCCCATATGGAATTCCTACTTGGATGGATAATTTAAAAAATATCAAGGGAAAGAAAGGGATACATGAATTGTTGAGGTGGAACTAATTACATCACCACGAGACAAGACTCCATTACACGGCATTTTTCAGTGCCCCTGAGCAAAGTGGTAATCCATGAATCGACAGCTCGAGTCAAGCAAGTGGACAAGAAGTGGTGTGCCTTTTTTCGATTTATTTTTATTTTTATTTTTGGAGAAAGCCATGCTAAAAAACTTGTCATTGACAAAGGTACGAGAGCACTATCGCGGTAGCCAGTAAAGAAAGATGGTGAAGAGTAAGGGTGTACATGTTCATCAACACTCTCTTGTCCATCATCGAAGATCCTCAACAATTGTGGCGGATCTTGGTGTGACATGTTACAGAACAACAAATCCTTTAAAACGTGATTTCAAAAATGGTTGAATGTGTCCGACAAGAAAATGAGAGAGAGAAGCACACCCTCTTCGTTTATCCGGTGTTTATGTTCACGATAAAGGCCCTCAAAGGATGTCCACTGCTCATCGCTCAGAATCTTATATTTACTTCAAGCGCCAAAGGGTTGTCTTGTGCAGAAATGGCCAGAAAACAAATTATTGTGTATGTCAGTCATCACGAAGGGCCTCATCTCACAATTTTTTTATTTCTTGGCACAATGGACCTAGGAAGTGGAGTAAGATCAGTTAATCGCGACCATGAGGTACATGGACGAGTTGTGATAAAAAAAAGAACATTCAGAGGCGTCTGTGGATTACCCTCCACCGGTCTATTCGAAGTACATTTTGGGCAATCATGATGGCCGGTTCAAAATTTGCGGTCCTGACGTGGATATGGATATGGAAGCGGAGGGAGATCAACGTTGTTTGTTGAAGGAACTACGAATGGTTTAATACCAATAATGAGCGACTTGACTGAAAATAAGATATCCATACTTTCAACGTTCTTTGTATCAAACCCCAAAATGTCCTCGAAGATTACCAAGAAATCCACTTCTTCCAACGTCTTCGCAAAGTCACTCCTGCGAGGAAGAAACGCGTTGAGAGTTCGTCCGAAGAGGAATCGTCCTCGGAGAGCTCGTCAGAGGATGAGACCCCCAAGAAGTCGAGGAAGAAGAAGAAGGCTTCCGCAAAGAAGAGCAAGAAAGACGCCTCATCGTCTGAAGAATCGTCTTCCTCGGACGATGAGGATGTTGTTGAGATCAAGGAGATTGCTCCATCCAACAATGTTGTTAATTTGGCCGATGAGTTGATTGCAATTGCCAACCAATTTGCCGTCTCTAATGCCAACCAAACCAAGATCCTCGATATGTTGGGAAATATTTTTGCCAAAATGGAAGTTCGCGAGCGTAAGAACGAAGTTGACGGAGATATTCTCGAGACCATCGACCGGGTCGTTGATCGCAATGGGACCATTACCATTGGAACTGGCACCGGACAGGCCCACCGCTTCGAATCTATTGATAATCTCAGAGTGGAATTTGGAAAACTTGTAGACCAGTCCGGCTTCTCCAAAATTGTCGACGATTCGCAATATGAGAGAGACAATGGGGAGAACGAAACTCTCGCCGCCGCCATTTAAGTAGTTGGATGAAACGGTTTTTAAAAAATTTAAGCGGGATTGAAGTAATAAGCTAGTAACTTGCACTCGAATACTTTACTACAATGGAGTTAGAAGATTGGCAATTACAACGAGTTCTTAGAGCTCTCGCATTCTTACCAATACAGCGCAACAATCCCGTTGTAGTCGAGGTTAAACCGACGGAAGATGAGTCTAACAAAACATTGTAATTCAAGTAAGTAATACCGTTTTTGGGAGTCGATGAGTAACCCCAACTTTATTACTATAGTATTTATTAACCAATACAATTGCAATAACCTTCTAGATGAACTATTCGATGTCCTTCGCTCTGAACATTACACCAAAGTATTCTTCATCCATGAACTTATCGCTAACCCCATTGCCAATAAAATGGTACCCGTCTATGAGTTTTGCACCGAAGTGATGGTATCTACATTGTTGAAAAAGCATTCCATTACTCGTATTGCTCTACCTAAAATACTTTTACACGACCCGGTAGTCCGATGGTATGGATGGAAAGTTGGAGATGTAATTAAACTAATAAGGCCAAATGGAGAGTTATACTATCGCTTAGTCGTTGAAAAATGTTTTTAAAAACTAGATATTTCTATGCAACTTCTTCCAATGTAAAGCGCTCTATTAATGCGTATTGCAATAATTCCCACGGCGTTGAAAGAAATTTTCTTTACATTCCGCGCGTATTAGTAATATTTTTTTAACGCATCCTGGGCAATGACGTGACATAGTGCGACCGCAATATCTGCAGCCGATCCCCAGTTGCTCAGTGATATATTTACTGAAAAAATGGAGACACGGATCTCACTGAGCTACTCCTTATCGGCCACATTAATCTCTAAGACCTTCAAAGATAAAATACGAATAATGAGATGGACGACGAATTGCCAAAATGTCTAGGTGTTAGGATAAAAAAACATCGAAAAGGATGTTGTAATATGTGAACGGAAACAAGAGCTATCCTGTCACATGTTATCAACATTTGTTTATATTCCCAAGCAAAGTAGACTAAAACAACCAAGTTCTCAGACCCAGCATGAGAAAGAAACAAAATGGAGGTGAACACCGGAAATATTGTACTTGAATGAAAGTAGGCGTGGAGAGTGCAATGATATGTGTTTTGTGACAAGGAGCAAAAAAAGGAGATGATGTAAGGCACTCGAATATTTCCAGATCCACGTACTTGCAGCCTCGCGTCAAATACCAGGGGTGGGCTGCGAAATGAAAAAAAAGACGCGTCCTTGCACCACATCTAGCGATTCGACCTCTCAATAGCAATAGTGATATTTTCAAACGAGGCTACCAAACCTGATGTTCTTGGAGCACGTGACGAGACTCCAACTTCATCGGCTTCTTCGACCTCTACCTGATCCTCTGCTCCGTCTACCGGCTTTTCGTCCTCGACTACCCCAACAACAACCATGGTCCAGTCCTGCCCTGCGTATTACCCCTCTGTGAGCCAGAGGGCCGTTCCCCAACCGGCCTGCAAACATCGTAGGTGGGTGGAGGATCAAAAGGAGATTGTGCCCCAAGGAGCCCAAACAACGATAGAAGACCTAGAGTCGGAACTGCCTCCTCTCCGTGGAAAAGACACCAGTGTTGTCGAGTATCTCAAGGTTCTGGAGCAGCATCATGATCGACCTGGTGACTTCTGCAACGTGGACGATATGCGGTTCAAGCGGCATGGATGAGATGCAAGGCACGTCAATCGCCTGTTGAAATCTGGTTGGAGAGTCTATCGATGCAAAACGTGAGGATGGGAACCACGTGGTAATTGGGATTGGACTGGGCAGTTCTCATGCAAGTCAGGACTCACTCCTCTCCAGGGTCGAATCGTGCAATACCAAGATAACGCAAAAGACATCCCAAGTGAAAAAAAAATCCTCAGTCCTCGAGTCTTACCGTCAAGGAGTGAAAACGATGAAGGCGGTATGTTGTATTAAATCTGAAAAAATTTCTTAAGCAACAGTCGATTCATCAAAAGGAAAGTAGCAGTAGAATGGGAAAGAATCCCGATCCATAAGTAACATCCTTAAAACAAATGATTATAAAGAAAACATCGTCGCGAATCTTGCTCGCTATGATCATCGACAAGGTCTGTTTTTACTTCAACCAAGAGATTTTTTTGTGGTTAAATGCATTCAAGATTTCCTTGACAGATCCCCTGAAATGTCTAGAAGGGAGGAAACAGCGGCTCTAGGCGTGACAAGGGAGCCAGAGAAGCAAATTGACACACACTGCCGTACCGTAACCTGCTCTCTTCTCACCCCCTGAAACTAGTTCTACTACCATCACCTCCGAAAGCAACCGTTGTTCAAAAACGGAAAGAAGCAAGTAGTTCCGTCATATCTGAAACCATTAACCTTTTTTTGTGGGACATCACGAATCACGCTCCTGTTTACCATTTTCTTATTTGACCCTTGTTCCTGGTCGCACTTGAAGTACTACTTTTTTCAACGAACCCCAGTTCAAGTATGCCAGTCGTGTCGCACCGAGTACGAAGACCTCATGCAACCAATGAGCAGAAGAGCACAAATAAAACATAAAACAGGTTTATCCAGTCTCGCTTTTGAACATGAATGGGATATATTAAAGAAATCGAAGGCATAGTATTATCGCTGGTAAATAAGAAGTATATTTGGGTGAGATGTGATTTTTTTGTGGAAGTTTTTTGCTGTTTTGTTGTTGTTGATATATTTTTTGACTCCAAGCGGCGCTTGCTCCTGGCCACGCATTTTTTGTTTGGTGTTTGTTTGTTTTGGTGTGTATGGTTGTGGGTTGATTGTTATCCTGCTCATGGGCGTCGTTTTTGTATTTACGACCAGACCTGTCAACAAAACAAAATCAAAGGATAACAAGTTTTAGTCCCAAAAACCATTACTCAAAAAACAGCCATGAAAGCATTAAGATAACCAGACAAGCGACAAACAAACAAACGAATAGAGTTTCGTAACATACCTTGAGGGTAGTATCCCAACTTCCAGTACACATGGCCATACCATCGCTAGCAACACCCAAGCAACTGACACGGTTCTCGTGGCCCATCAAAACACCACAACGTTCTGCTCTGAGGACATCCCAGACATTACAGTTGTAGTCGTCGTATCCAGCGAACAAAAGACGTCCCGAAATCGAGAAGGCGACCGAGGTGACTCCGCACAATATGCTGTCGTGTGTGTAGATGTTCAATTCCCGGTCTGCACGCAAGTCAAAGAGTCTGCACGATGCGTCGTCAGATCCAGTGGCAAATGCATCACCACTTGGGAAGAACCTATTTCATAGCAAACATAGCAGGGAAAAAAAGAAGATTTAGTGACAAGCACATAGAATGCGCGTATCGCCTTTTTATCCTCCATTTTTTTCGCGTTTCCACGTTTTCCAACGTTTTCGTCTTTTCCTATTTTCGCTGCGCCATCTCGCGCTTGTCCAATGTTTCGAAATATCCTTGCCCTGATCCTGTGAGACCTGTCAACCAAAAGAACAACCCCTGAATGCTCAATTGCAAAGGATACGTACTGGACAGAGTTGATGTCGGACTCGTGGCCAGTGAAGGTCTGGACACAGCGACTGGTTCGGAGATCCCAGACTTTTGTAGTCGAATCGCAAGCTCCCGAGACAAAGAGTCGCTGGTCAGGAGAGAGAGCCAAACTGTGAAATGTTTTCGTAATTGTCCAAAATAAAAGTCGACAACAACGCACGGGGCCAATTGCAATTAATGAAGGAGAGAGAGAGAGAACGAGCGGTGTGAGTAAGGTGATTTGTTTGTCATTTAAAGAGCGCGGGCAATTATGGATAATTGCACAAGCTGAACAGCTGGACAACAACAATGGCAGTGGCACAGACTGGACACGAGCAAACATCTTTCTCAATCTCCTTCGTTACCTCATGACGTCTCCAGTGTGGTCATTGAACTCCTGCAACTTGACGCCGGCATCCAGATCCCAGAGCATGCAGCTCATGTCTCCACTGGAAGTGAGGATTTGGCGGTCGTTGAGGAAGCGACAGCAGGAGAGATATCCAGAATGAGCGCTCAATTCCCTGGCGACCTTGACTGATCCTTCCCTCGTGCGGAGATTGTAGATGGAGCAGATGTTGTCGAGACCACCACAGGCGACGAAATTGCCCGTTGGCGCATAGGCGCAGGTCATAACCCAGGAAGAACGCAGGGGGATGGCATAGACCTTATTGGTCGAATAAGCGTCCCAGACAATCAGCTTGCCGTCCTGCGAGGCTGAGACCAGGTGCCGCTTATCCGAGGCCCAGTGCATGGAGTAGATCTTGGCCAGATGGCCCTTGAGCACGCGACGGATGCGAATGTTGAGACGGTTCAAGGGCGCCAACTCCTGCGACATCAGTTTTACTGTAGAGATGACAGGTCGTTGTTGTCCAGATGATGAAGTATCGCCATTCCACATTTAAGAGATAGATAGATAGTAGAACGCACACAAGTCAAAAAGGTCCAATGGAGTTAGTTCACTTGTGTTGTCTGTGGATTCATTCTTACTCGAGTTTTTTTTTCGTCCTGGTGTCGCTACTTACATTGCGCGTCGTTGAGGACAGCCCTCGACTCTCTGATCTTTTCCTTGAGGAATTCAGCCTCCCTGCGCGCGTTGGCGATGCGTTCTGCAATGTCGGTACTCATAACGGTATATGGGTATGGTGGGGTGGCCGAGCTGGTTGTGTGTTGTATATGATATGGCGAAGGGTGACAGGGAGGAAAAGGAGAAGGCGAGGCTCTGCTTCAAGGCTGTGTGTATTTGTTATTCAAGGCTAAAAAGAGAGTGAAAAATTGAGTGAGAAGGAGAACGAAAGAGGCAAAAAAGTGTGCCCTGTTGTGAGTTGTTTGAAACGAGCACAAAAGGGGAAAATGGGTGAGGGCAATTAGGGAGAACAAGAAGAAAAAAAAAGGGCAAAAGGGTGTTGTGTTGTGTTGGAGCAGGACCAAGCGGAAATAACAATATCGTGCACAACCAGTGGACAAGGAGGAGGAGGAGGACAAGGATGGATAGAGGACCCAAGCGGGAACAACAAGGGGCAGAAACAGGTGCAAGTGCCACACAAACACTAACACTAACACATACACACGCACTGGCTCCATTTATATCCATCCAAGGATTCAACAGGTTGCGTTTTAGGTCCCGGCCAAGTGGATAGAACGAGGTAAGAACAGAAAGTGGGTCTGGATAATGACAGCACGGTTTGTTGTTTTTCGTTCCCCGTGATGTTCAATTGGGGGTGGGGGAGAAGGAGAAGCTCGTTGAGCAGCAAAGGAAAAGGAAGTGAGCATAGAGCAAGCATAAAGAAGGAAAAACACCAACTCGAGGAGCACTCAGAGAAGCAAAAAACAAGATGGATGGTGTTAAAAAATAAAGGTGGAGGGAGGATGGTGAAAGATATGGAGCAATTGAGAGTGGAGGGAACACATGTGGTCGCGAAGTGAGAGGGAAGGTGCAAGTGCATATGAGTTGCGGTGATATGGGTTGTGGTGTATGTGTGAGACGTGTGAGAATGTGTTTGAAAGTGTATGTGTGTATGCCTGTGGGTGTATGCGAGAGTGCGTGGGTGTGAAGAGCGAGTAGGGTGAGGATGGAGGGAGGGTGAGGATGGAGGGCAAGGATGAGATCGAGTACCTCAACAGATGGCAGGAGCAGGAGTGGAGTGGAGGGGACGGAGGTGATGATCCAGAAGGGAAGGGGGAGGAGTGGGTATAAAGTGATGGAAAGAGAGAGGAGGGAGGAGAGTGAGTGATGGTCGATGGTGGGAGAGAGAAAGAAGGGGAAAATGTAGAAGGCGGGAGAGAGTTCAGAAGGAGGGAAAAGGAGAAGAAGAGAGAAGGAGGAGGGGGCGGACAAATAACGAAAGAACGAACAAACGAACAAGGAATAACGACGGGATTGAAATGCTCAACGGGCACACATATCCAGTGCACACAACAAGGCAAAGAGCGAGACAAAAAGGGGGCCGTCCTCAGTCATTAGTGATGATGGCCTGTCAGAATGGGTGAGACTGATAGGGTGCTCGCCGATGACAATGTTTCCATCACAAGCAAAAGAAAAAAAACAACAAAAAACAACGGTCTCTGATCACACATCACAAAATGCCTTCTTCCATGCCATTGCCTGTATGTTTCTCATGGGGTGAAGAAAAAAAGGCAAAAGCCTTCTCTTCCTTGTTGCCTTGTTGTCAACACGGAGAGGCCGAGAACATACCCTGGTTCATCCTTATCCATTAGTCGCATCTAAAAAGCCATGGCTGAAGTTTTTCTTCTTTCTCCATCTTTTCAACGTTCACAAACAAACGAAGATGCATGTCAACACACAACCAAGCCCAGCCGAGAATGTTCCCAACAGTTTATTAACTCTCTCAACGTTATTTTCCTTGTTTTTTTTTAGTGATGAAAAAATATATATTGTGAATCAAGTCAGACTTCATTCCTTCCTTTCTTTCTACTTTTTCTTCACCTTCCCTCCACTTCTTGCTTGTCCGCTCTTGGCAAGTATTCGTACGACAATTGAGTTACGGGCACTTGAATTTTGAACCCATCCGATATGTAATTGTGAGTGGGACAACAAGGCAAAAAAAACAACCTCAATGCTCTTAATATTTTTTTGTGTCCGTCAGCAAGGCAGCCATCTCATCCCAGCCCAACCGATCCTGTTCTGAACAATTGAACCTCCTCCTCCTCCTCTCCTTTTCATTCTTCCCACTGTCCCATCCACCTAAATTGCCAGTCAATTTTTCATTGTTATTAGTTACCAGACGGGGGCAGGCAGATAGTCGCCATTGCATGCCGCATACACACAGTTACTGCTCACTTTGTTATTTTGCTCATCTCTCCCCTCCCTTGTTAATAAAACACACCATCCCCTCCTTCCCTCGCTTTATTTTTTTTTCACGATCCAAACCTATTATGGGGTGGTGAAAAGTGTTCCTCTCTGGCGCAGCTCATTTACATGCGGAAACGAAAACCGACATGGACCACCTCACCTCCATCCCTCCTTTCTTCCCCCACTCTTCAAGTACCGGTACAGGAGCTGCACACTCCAACCCGCTCACTTGGGGTCATGAAAGCCAAACGAGAAACATGCGTATAAAATAATCAACTCCCAAGTTGAATAGACCGCCTTCATCTCCGACTTGACCGTCAACAAAGACAGAGCCAATAAAGCAAAAAGGGAACCGTGCTGATCATGCTATGCATTCTTTTTCTTTTTCTCTTTCTCATTATGCAGATTGTGTGAAAGACAACGAGCGAAAGGCAACAAACAAAAGAAAGTAAACAAAAAGCCATACAGGAGAGCACGGTGTCCAACGGAGATAAAGGCAAAGGGTGTGGTTGCTCGGTCATTTTTAGTGTTCTTGCAACTATAACCAGCTTTTTTTATGTTTCGAAACACCCAGGGGGTGGAGAGGGGGGAGGGGAAAGAGGCAAAATGAGTGTCGGGCATTTTTTTTCTTTTGTAGGGCGAGCGCGAAGAAGCAGGAAGAAAAGAAATGTGAGTTGCATGAATCGCAATTGAGATCGTTTTCTTCTAGTTCAACGGTCCGTTCATTTTTTGATTGGTGTTGCCCCTATCGACTTTTCGCTTGAGATAGCAAAGAAAGGTGAACATTAACTGCACGCGCCCGTCGTTAAAGAGCAAGGCAATACCTTCCTTAATCACTTAGTCATCTATGGAGTAAATGCATATTTCAAGCCAGGTAGCTAATTCAGGAAAGAACAAGGCATGTTTACATGCCTCTCAGGTCTCAACTTCATCATCAACCCTATGGGTTTGGACAGGAATCACTCTCCAAGGCCGTAGATCAGAGCGATGAACAGGACGTGTTCTTTACCACCCTCAACAACCAACAATCGCTAGACGGTTGCAATGCACCTAAATACATAATCGAAACTGAGAAAAGGTCGGTGTCAACTCCGAACAAAGTAATCTCGAAGGTGCATATGTATTCATTTCATCACTCTCTGGGTCTACCATCAATCCATTTCACCCATGTCCGCCTTCCTCTTTTTGAAGTACCTTTCTTTGTATCACATTCTTCAAGTAAGGGTTGTACAGGCGCTGTATGGTTACAAAGACAGGTAGCCCAGAAGCATTCGCCGTTTTCGCCATCAGCAAAGGAAGGGCAATACATACATGCACCATCGGTGGCTTTGGCATATCCATGGTGCAAATACCTCGAAGTGATCTCATTGGTCGAGGATGCGCGGTAATCCCATGGGTAAGCCCAGACCCCTGTTCATTTTCTTTTTTTGCTCCTTCATCATCAGTCGCCGAGTATCGTCATTTCAGGATCGGGACCAGGGGGTCAGGGTTCCGTCTATTTCCAGTCAGGTTCTTTGTTTCGTCGTCATGATCATGGCTCGTCAATCACGATGTCATTTGCATTGATTTGTGTATCTAAGCAAAAATGACGGCGGGGTCGACATCTTTAGAGAGGCAGGAATATGGGTAGTGAGAGTTTAGGTCAGCTCGCTAAACTGAATCTTATTTGGTTCCCAGATACCAACTGGGTTATGGTTGTGAGTGAGTGAGTGAGAAAGAGATAGTGGATCTGATATGTGGGGGAGTTGGGGATGGAATGGATCAGAGGGTATAGTCCATTGTCCTCCCTGAAATCCATTCGCTCGCCCTTGAACCCAAAGGAAAGTCCTCACAACATCACGTTGATGGATGCAAGATTGACAATGGTGCTTCAAAGACACTCAGAAACAAGAAGATCCATCTAGTGGTGCTACTTGGGCAATCGAATGAGAACTCAAGATAGCTTTTTTTTTAATTGTATTTTTTTATTTATTTATTTGAGAGCATGGTCATAACGAAGGAAAGAAAAAAGCACATCGGAAGAAAGGCAAAATTGTGGGACAAAAGGAGAGCAAGGTTGGATAGGGGATGGTATGAATATCTTGTAAATAAAAGAGTCGACAAAAAAGTAAGAGGCGGAGGGAGCCAACCCACAGCACCCTGTCCGTTGCGCGCTTGATTTTTTTTTTCGTGTTCACCTCTCAACCTAAACCCCGTGTCATTATTGTTTCCCGGGGTTCTGGATGAGAAGAGAAGAAATGTGCGCGCGCATCCTCTCTTATTACTTTCTTGGAGCCCTCCTTTTTATCAGATTTCCGTAAGATTTTCCGTAGGTCGCCTCCTTTTTTACGATGTTGGATGTTCAGTGTCGAGTGGGTGATGGTGTAGTGAAAGATGCAGCGCTTTGGGTTGTTGATCCTCTTGGATTTAGAGAACGAACTGGAGGGCAGCGACAGCAAAACCGGCAGCAGCGACCATGGAGCCAGCGGCCAAGGCACCAGCACCGCTAGTATCCTTCTGCTGCTGAGCAGGGGCGGTGGTCTCGGACTGAGGAGCAGAGGTGGGGGCAACAACAGCAGCAGGGTTGATGATATCAAAGATGGGCGAGTATGAGACGGGGCTGGTGCCGATCTCGAGGGAGTACTTTCCGGCAGCCTGGTCGGGAGCGATCGTCATCATGGCGTTGACGGCGTTATCGGACGAGCAATCAATGGTTCCCAACTTGGCGACGAATCCAATGCGATCGGCGGGTCCCTTCATGAGTGAGACGGTGACGTTCTTGGCATTGGGGCCCAAGGCCTTGCAGGATCCGGACCAGCGCAAGTAGTTTTCGGCACCGGCCTTCCAGACGGTACCGACGTTAGGGTCGCTATTATGCAAATAAGCAAAAAAAAAAAGACAATTGTAAGAAAGATGTGAATCGCGAGAGTGTAAGGGAAAGGTGAGAATGAAGTAGAATATGAACGGAGGGTCGATTTTGTTGAAGGACTGAGAGAGAAGATGGATCATGAGAGACATACTTGACGGCAAGGGTCTGGGCAGAGACGGCAGCCACGGCGGTGGCAGCAATGGCAACGGAGGTGATGAACTTCATGGCGATAGTAGTAGTAGTGGTAATGCGTGTGGTGAGGGAGAAGGTAAAAGGCTAGGTGAAAGTGTTGTAAAAACTTGTAGGTGTAATGGGGAAGGGCAGAGTTTCGAGGAAAAAAGAAAAAAGAAAAACAGAAAAGGTGCCGAGGATTGCAACATATAAAGGAATTCCATGTCCTTGGTTTGTTTGTGGTATGTGCCTGGCCTGGCAGCATGGTAGACCTGTATGGTATGCGAACGGACTCGGAAACTTCCTTCATGAAGGAATAATGATACATGTAGAAAGAAGTCGAGAGAGTGATGCTCTGAGGCAAGGAGGCGAGGCTCAGAGAAAGATAGGGGATCCCCTGGGTTTGCATTTAGCTTTGCAAAAATAGATACCCTGAACATCCAAGATCCAAGGAAGTTGGATCCTTCCAAACTCTGGTAAGGCAAACGATAGGATGATTTTCTTTTGGACAAGGTTTGGGCATTCATTTGGCCTTGGTGTTGCGATGGTTAAGAGTGAAGAGAAAGAATAGATGCAATTTATCGCTTGCAGGCAAGGAACCACGGGATAGGTCTACGCCGTTTCTTATTGTTCAATTGTCTTATTAGTCGGCAGTAGTTTCATTAGTGAAAAAGGACGCGCTGCCTTTGTTGATTTCACTGTTTAGGAAAGGGAGAAATGAAGATCCCGACCAGCACTGCAAATTGGCGAAACTTTAATAATTGCTAATGTCACATGACATGTAAATAATTTGATCGTGTGAGTTAAAGCCAATGGCACTTGTGTCTGTCTGCCAATTGACCGTGCTAGACTCGTGCGAAATAGAAAGCAAGACTGCAGAGGGGGATATCAGCACAGGTAGTGTGGGCTAGCCGAGGCTCCTTCTCTTTTAACTATTCAACTTCAATATGGGTACGGCTCGCCACCTGTTGCATACGAGCCAATCATATGTCGTGATTCAGACCATAGGCATCCATGGCTAACCATCCTCGTTACCATTCCATCTATCCATCTATCCCCATATCCGTCTCTCTTACCGTTGCCGTCATCATCATCATCGCCATCGTCATCGCTATCTACGGGAACCTATCTTCAAAAAATACCTGGAAACCGCTTCTACTCCTACTTGGTGCCTTGAACGTTTTGACTGGATCTTGTCTTCTTTTTCTTGGCTGAATCTCGACTCTACCAAAACACAACTAATCGACCAATCAACCACCTTCACGAAACGGAAACTACGGGATCTACTTTTATTCATCAACTACTCGACACCTACTATGACCCTGTACCTTCTGGATCAACCTTTTGACTTGACAAAAATTTGCGTCTGATCGCACAACAAACCTCTGCTTCCACAACACTTAACAAACAGCCGTTGGAAAGAACAAGTAAGAACCGCAAACCAGTTGTCTAAAGGCGTTGTTTTCTACGAAGGAGCAACAGGCGATCGCTCTTTTTCTTTTGTGAGCAAGGAACTGACCTCTTGCTATTTTTTCTTGCTCCTCAATAGGCGTCTCTCGAAGGGAAAGAAGGGTCTTAAGAAGAAGGTGTAAAGTATCGTTTCAGGACTCGTCTTTCGCACCACATACTCTACAGGAAACAAACGACTACAGGAAGTGATGGCAAGAAGAAGGACCGGAAAACAGACCTGTGGGAGTTTAAAGAGGTCTTGCTCGGGAAGACAGGAGTGCGCACCTGATTCACTTCCACGAGTCGTCATGGTATAGCATCAGCCTCAGTAGTGGTGTTACATTCATACTCTCGTCGTTTTGACTGATGTCAACCTGGCTCCCTGTCGCCGTTTCCAGTAGTTTTCCCAGCAAGCAGTCCTTTACAGAACAAAACACGAAACCGTCAATAGTCGCCCCAAAAGTTTTGACAGTGATCGCCCTCAGGACGCGGCAAACTGGCGACTCTTTAATCAACTATCAGTTGAACCCGGATCCACTCTAACCAGTGAACACGACGCAAAGCAGGATTATTGAGACAATGGTCGTTCAGCGGGACGCCAACACTCGCCAGTCATCTTTAAAGAACAGCACAGACAACACCTACATCAGCACTCAAAGAGAAAAACATGTCAATGCCTTTTCACGAGCACTGGATATTGATACTGTCGCCTCTATCAATGATTCCAAATCTAATAGCGTTGACCCCTTCACCCGCAAGGACTGGTATGACATCAAGGCTCCTTCGACCTTTGAGGTTCGCAACGTTGGCAAGACCCTTGTCAACCGCACCCAGGGTATGAAGAACGCCAACGATGCCTTGAAGGGCCGTGTTCTCGAGATCTCCCTCGCTGACTTGAACAAGTCTGAGGAGCACTCCTTCCGCAAGATCAAGCTGCGTGTTGATGAGGTCCAGGGCAAGAACTGCCTCACCAACTTCCACGGTATGGACATGACCTCTGACAAGCTCCGTTCCATGGTCCGCAAGTGGCAGGTAACGTCTACAACTTCAGTCATTCATTCTTTTGGATTTGTTTGGCTACGAATGCCGCTTTTATCAAGGAGACAATGTCGGGAGCGTGCCAGGATATCTCAACAGCAACAACAATTGACTTTAACACGACTGCCTGTTTTTGTTTTGCCATTACGATCAAATAGTCTATCATCGAGGCCCACGTCGATGTCAAGACCACCGACGGCTACTTGCTCCGCCTCTTCGCCGTTGCCTTCACCAAGAAGGGCGTCCACCAGGTCAAGAAGACCACCTACGCTCAGTCTGCTCAGATCCGCCAGATCCGCAAGAAGATGTTCGAGATCATGATCGCCCAGGCCTCGTCCTGCGACTTGAAGGAGCTCGTCCAGAAGTTCGTCCCCGAGGTCATTGGATCCGAGATTGAGAAGTCGTGCAAGTCGATCTACCCCCTCCGTGACGTCTTTGTCCGCAAGGTCAAGATCCTCAAGGCCCCCAAGTTCGATCTCGGCAAGCTCCTCGAGCTCCACTCTGGTGCTGATGTCGAGAACACCACCGGTGCCAAGGTTGAGCGCAAGGACTTCAAGGAGCCCGCTGTCCTCGCTGAGGTTTAAAATACCTTTTCTTCACAAACCCTCCTCGCCATTCCTCACCCATTGTCTTCCCCCAAAGCCTCTTTGAAAATAAAAAGCAACCAATGTTATCTGTCAAAAGATAACGGCCATTCTATCGTTGTTTTACAAAGAGATTTATTTGTTTGGACCCTTTACATTTGTTTTGTGTATGTTCAAGAGCACGCGTGTTCAAGGAAAAAGGCGCATCATTGTCATCCATCGCGTCTTTACTTGCGTTTTTGAGACGATGATCGTAGGGATGAGAAGAAGCAGCAGTATGAAGCTGGACGGGCGATGTTCCGCCATTGTTTTCTTGCCACCAAGTGTGTCTGCAATGTTCATGAATTCACCCCAACTCTCGTTCAGTCCTCACATGCTAGCTGGCTTTGTTTAACGGAACCATATGGTATCATACAACGTTGGGTGAATGCCATTTTCATACTTGTGCTGTGAGTGCGAAGTAGACAACAGACAGATGAATATGACATGCAAGAGGTATCTCGTTCGTGGTACATGGGCACTCCTTTCTTCTCGCAGGCTTGTTCTTGTGCTTGATGCTCTCAAGAAAAAGAACAAGCAAAAGGACTTCAAGTTTGTTGTGATGTTTTACTTCCCCATTACTTCCCTCCACCTTTTAACATGCTCACCGTTCTCTCCACTGGAGTACGAACCCATTCGGCAAAGGAGACCATTGAATGAAGTTTATGAACACAAGGAGAGAAAAAAATAAATGATAGGGCGTGTTTTGATTGCACAATGGCATGTGCAATGAAAGGCTGCAAGAAAAAAAGACCTGACCTTTGTAGTGAGGAAGGTGTCCCTTTTTTGGCGCTAATGTACGGTTGCATACGGTTGCAAGCCGTTGTGTATTATGAGCATCGGAGGTGGGGGATTGATGATCGAGTCCGATAGCAAACATGCAGGCTAACACGCACACATTTAAGAGAAGCATTACTAGAAGTATTGAGGGACAACCATAATGGTGTTTATTCTCCCTCATGCCAGTATAGAAATAATATGCCGAGCGGGTGATATTGCGAGGAGAGACGCACAAGCGCACATATACGCACAAGACACAAAGGCACAAATGAGCGAGAAACGAAGAGGGACAACAACGGATGGATGAGTGGAGGAGAGAGACAGAGGTATGCGAGTGAGAGCCCTCATTATCTCTCGACCACCTCGACCTCTCCCTCTGTACCTTTGCTTTATGTCATATGCTACGGCCACTGCCACTGCGCTCAACCTCCACGGAGCTCGTCGAAGAGAGAAAGAAAGAACCGGGCCTGGCCACTCCACGGACACTCCGTAACACCCTTTCTTCAAGAACAAGGAAACAACATAAAAAGCACCATTTTCCTTTTCTTGGTTTGCTCTCTCATTCGCCATCCTTTCCATTCTTTCCTTCTCTCTCTCCTTCTTTCTCATTACCATCCTCATTCCTACCCCCAACACTCTCACTCTTCCTCCTTTCTCATTCGCCCTTCTCACTTACACATACAGAATGTCAGCAGCACAGAACACCACCACCAAGCCCACGTCTAAAGAGGAGTGGATCAAGGCCGAGGATGGCCACGAGATTTTCACAAAGACCTGGTACGCCGTCGGAACCCCCGTTGCCTCCATCGTCTTTGTCCACGGACTCGGCGAGCACATTGTCCGTAAGTGCACACATGAATAACGACGACAAAGTTGTTTCCTTTCCGGTTAAACCCAACTCCTCTGAAGAAGGACTTTTTACTCACATTTCTATTTTCCTCCGTATAGGTTACGATCACGTCTTCGAGGAGTTCAATAAGGCTGGGTTCCAGGTCTCATCCTTCGACCAGCGCGGATTCGGCCAGACAGGTAACGACAGAGGATCCAACTACATCCACTGTCAGGGTTCCATTTTCTACGTTGGCACGACTAATTGACGCCTTCGTTTTTTTACCTCTTGTCGTTGGCAATAGGCAAAAAGTCCAAGACTCTTGGTCGCACTGGAGGATACATCAAGGCCATCCCCGATATCACAGCAGCACTTGAGCGTGGAACGATTGAGGGCGTCCCATTGTTCCTCATGGGCCACTCCTATGTAAGTCACATTCTTTCATGGACAATTGGAACGTTCGAGGTCTGAGATTGTCTGGTCGTTTTGGTTGTTATGCATGGACCCTGATCACAATTATTATTGTTTCTGACCATGAACAAATAATCATAACGACTTTTACTTTTCCCCCACACAACAAATCAAAACACACAAAGGGTGGAAGCTTGGTCCTGAACTACGATTGTATTGGCCCTCTGCGCACAAAGCTATCTGGTCTCATCGCCTCTGCGCCTCTTGTCCTCCCTACTGCCCCTACTCGCCCCTCCAACCTTACCGTGTCCTTTGCAGGCGCCGTCTCCAAAGTCTTCCCCTCGCTCAAGATCCCCACCAACCTCTCCTCCAAGGCCATTTCGCGTGACCCCAAGGAGGTTGCCAAGTACGATGCTGACCCTCTCGTTCACGGGTTCGGAACTACCAAGGGACTCTTTGACATGTTGACCAACGGAAAGATGTTGTTGTCGGCTGCTCGGTACGGAGAGATCTCAACTGGAGTGCCCCTGTTGATCTGCCACGGAACTGCGGATGCCTTGACGGAACAGAAGGCGAGCAAGGAATTCTTTGATAAAGTCGCTGTCAAGGACAAGGAGTACAAGGTCTACGAGGACCACTACCATGAATTGCACAACGAGCCCGAGGACGATCGCAAGGTTGTGATTGATTATTACATTCAGTGGATTCGTGCTCACTTGCCTGTCCCCGCTGCTGCTGCTCCTGCTATTGTTGCTGCTACCCCCGAGGTCGTTGCTGCTGTCTAATTGCCTTTCTCTAAATCAATGGCCCTTCTCTAATCAATTGCCCTGCGAAGTCGACTGTTTTCCTTACATACTCATACCTTAATAAACCAAACCACGCGTAGTAATCTCTTCGAGTATGTCCTCTGTTTTGTTAAAAGGGAAACAAAAACAACAAGTGGGCAGCAATCGATGTTTCGGCGATATTCTTATGGGCAATCATGGAGGAGCATGGACCCATCGTCTCGTCGCGTTGATGTCAGAGAGCAAAAATTCATTGTGCCCAACGCGCCTTCTCTTTCATGGGATTCCTTGCACGTGAGTCGACCCTCTTGTTTGTTCACTGCCTGCATTCACCTCTTCTCTTCACTTCACACTTCTCAAGAGCCGCCAAGGAATCAGGCCTGGACATCACCGCACCTACCAAGAACACATCACCATCACCATCACCATCACCATCACCAAACAACTACTCTTCTTCTCCCCAACACCCCTTTCTTTCGCTGCACCGCCAAACGCTTTATTCAAGCATTCACAACCAAGACATCACCTCACAATGAGCACGTCGACACACACAAACTCACCCACACCACCAACAACAGCCTCCTCAAGAGCCCAATCCCTTCACTCGTCCGTCTCCCATCAGAGCAACCAGACCTTCTCTGCGTCCGACGCAGCTCGTCACCTGAGTCAGGAGCATGTCTCTAGAGCTAGTCAAGAGATGTTCAGGAAGGTTGCTGATTATATCCGTGCCGAGATGTTGGGTAAGTAGGCGTTGCCTTTTTGTTTTCGCGCGGATTGGTAGTAAGCAGATGAACATAGAAAAAATAACAAGTCTTTGTTGACTTTTGAATATACAGCAACGGGAGAGGATTACAGGCTACTGGAGAATATGAATATCGTGACCAAGGACCGATACAGCGAGCTGGCAGGGGTGGCACAGGAGCTCATGCAGGAAGTCGGGAAACTGCGAACCACATGTAAGGCGGCACCCTTGTCCAACACACTTGGTCTTTTGACCACGCGCTATGCCTTTTTTTCGTTGCTGTACGCCCCTTTGTTGACGATAGCTTATTCTTATGTTATGCGACTAGACTCGGACTTTGAGCCATACCTCGAACGGATTGACGAGATCAGTCAACAGGCAGAGACGATTAGCAATATCGCTACAGAACTGGATGAGTACACAAAGTCATTAGGTATGCAACCTGGCAGAGAGGTCTGGTGTAGGAGCATGTAGTAATGTAAGGTGTTATTCGTTGGTCTAACTCGTCTCTTTTCTCCTGTCTATAGAACTACGATTGAAGCGCATCTCAAAATAAAATAGCAGATATTACAATGACGATTATGCGAGCATGGTGCATGGGCGACGATATAACAGGATCAGGATCAGGATCAGGATCAAATATCTTCTTTGGTCAAGAGGGGCTCGACCCGCTTGCGACACTCTTTTAGGACCTCCCTACGGATCAACTCAATGGTCGGACTGGGCTCGAATTCCTTCACATTCCCGTCTGGCATCACCAACTTTTCGATTGGCAGGACCAGTCTGGATGTACCTATGAACGAGACGATATTGGGCAATTTTCGTCAACATCATGCTTGCGGATCAAATTGACATACGCCACCCGATCAGCAGCAGTATGATTAACGACACCAAAAACTTACTGGAAACGAAGGCGCCCTCCCATTCATGGATTTGCTTGAGGTTCGGGAACTTGAACTCGAACGCGATGTTTTCCACGTTACAGACGTTCATGACGACTTTCAGGATCGTGCCTTGGAGGACACTATCCAGAGGTGCAGTAAGAATTGTTCGACGCTCGCGGTCGAACGCGAAAAAGTTGGACGACAGGCCCTCATAGATGTCCTGGGTCGAGTTTTCAAAGAGGAGGGCTTCATCCGAGTCCTTGTCCATTGATGCCCTAAGGCTACTGCGATCTCGCTTCCTTAGTTTAAAATATTGGACTTTCAATTAACATGGCGTTTCTTGGAGCATTGTCGTAGCCAATGTGCGGATGTGATCGAAGTACTTACAACCCATTGGGAGTCTTTGGCGGTAGCGTGGCGACGGGGGGATCCGCGGACTTCAACCTTGCACATGCGTGTCGTTGGTGTCTTGAGTGGCTCGAAATGGGCAATCAGTGTCGGTTCCTGGTTCTATCGGTTGGAGAGAGACGCACGGTCAGTCATGTCACCTTTTCACGTCTGCCTTCGCATTGACGAAGAATCATACCTTAGGATCCCAGGTACAGAGAACGGTGACTTTGGTCTCATCAGCGGGTCCAAGCGCATCATCCGCGCGGTTCTTGTAATAGAACTTGAGTCCTGCCTTGACCAGGTTCGTCGTCTCTTCCTTCATCACATCCGGTCTCCTTAATGGCGCCAACCCCAGTGTGGCTGCCGCCGCTTCAACATCACTATCGACGACTGAAGTGCTCGTGTCTTGTCCAGGGAACCGGATCTGTTGCAGCGAGTTGGCGAGGCGCGTTGTGTGGCCCGTGAAATCCATGATGCCCAGCTTATCGAAGGTCCGCATGCCCGTGTAGGCGCCCGGCGGGTAGTCGAGTAGTATTGCGGCGGAGGTCTTGTGTGTCGCAGCAGTGATGATCTTTGCGCGGGTTGCGCCTAGGGTTTTACAGAATGCGATTGCATTCCGTGGCAGCATGATTTCGGTCGTGTGGCTAAATGCAATGAGGAGAAGGAAAAAAAAAGTACCCGACTGTTGGTTGTGAGAAGGTTTTGAAGGACACAAAAAAGCAGGGGTTGTCGCAGCCTTTTATTCTTTTTTTCTCATTTCCCCACGACAACCCTCTCACTCCTCCGTCCCCTCATCACAAAACACAAAAGACAGCATGGCGGAACCAACAGAAAAGGAAATCTCTGTCCCATCGCCCGGAAAGGCCGCCATCCCCGTCCTCCTCACCTTCCCTCCCGAAGGCGTCAAGCATTCGGGCTTTGCGCTTCTCCTTGGACCCGGCGCAGGTACTCCATCCTCTCACTCCCTTTCACACACTCACAACAGCCAATCCCAATAGCGTTACTTTTTCACACACTTTTTTTTGGTCGTCCGGATGAACGCCTCTAACCCTTTATGCTGCGTATTCCTTTCGGCGCTGACGTTGGATTAGGCGGCGACGAGAAGACAGCCCTGTTGACGGCTGTCGCGAACGAGGTCGCAAGACAAGGTCATTTCTGCGCGCGATACCGCGCCAAAGTGCCCAACCTTGGTAATAATAAACACTCGCCTTCTAGTTCGTTGCGCATGAACGTCCTTTCTCGAAAAAGGGAACCCGAGAGTAGAATTAAAAAAAGAGGGGAAGAACTAACGTTTTCTTTTAACGTCGATGTACTGCGATGCACGGATAGGGTTCCGAGTGACGGTGTGTACGAGAGTGATGGAGCACTTATTCCATCCCACAAAGGGTATTCATCCTCAGAAGGGGTGTTTCCTTGGCGGACACAGCATGGGCACCCGAGGTTCGTTCACTTCATCTTTTTCTCTCCTCTTCCCACGCTTGCTCACTTTTCTGCATTTCAGTCAATTGAGTTTGGACAGGGTTGCCACCAAAAATTTAATCCGTCTCGCTTATCGCTTTTCTTTTTTTTTGCTTGAGAAACAAATAGTCGCAGGAACAGTTGCCGCCCAGTTGTTGGCAGGAGGGGCTACAGAATCTGAACCAGTATCTGCCAAAAAGGCACCAGCAACAAAGGGAAAGAAAGCAGCAGCAGCAGCACCCGCCAAGAAGGCAGCTTCATCAACAACTACTTCAAACGATAGCGACTTCCCCACAGATTTCATCCCCGGCCTAGTCCTCTTCTCCTACCCACTCCACACCGCCGACAATACTAAGGCTCTCCGTGACCAGATTCTACTCGATATCCCATCCACCACTGCAACGCTCTTTGTCTCTGGACTCAAGGACAATATGTGTCAACCCAGTATCTTTGCGAAGGTCTTCAAGGAGATGAAGTCGACGCCCAGGGAGGTCGTCCAGGTGACTGACGCAGATCATGGGTTGGGTTTTGGGTCCTCGAAACCGGGTCAGGCCAAGAAGGAGGCGCTGGCAGAGACGATTTCTGAATGGACGGTTGCATTTATGGATGAGGCGATTGCTCAAAAGGGCGGCGAGGAGGGTGGTAATGGTAAGAAGAAGGCGGCAACGGGTATGGCGATTAAGAAGAAGGCAGAGTTGAAGAAGGAAGCTGATGAATGGACTGTCGCTGTGTCCACTGTAGCGTAGTCAAGGTGTTGTTCAAGGTACTTTGAGTAAATGTTTTTGTTTTTTTTATGGTTGTTACTTTTTGTTCATTAATTAATGTTACATGAGGCAGAGGAGAGTGCAAAAAGCCATAATGTGTCTATCTTGTATGGTTAAAACAAGGGTCGTGGATATCATGATATGAGATATAGGAAACAATTGAGGAAAACTGCAAAAGGGCAAAAACGAGGAGGGGGGGAGAGGTTGTGATAGTCCGAATGTTGATATCATGCCTCTATATTTACACATAAGCGGCCCTCATCTCCTGGATGGGGATAGAACAGGTGTGGTTCGAATCGTGCCAAAACTCCATCGCCTTCATAACACCCAAGAAATGGGTCAACACTCCAAACAGAACACAGATATGGAAGATCTGGTGGGAGGATCCGAAATGATCAAACTTTCCAGGGAAGTAACGTTCAGGGGTACGAGTGCCATAGAGGATTGCGCCGAAGACGTAGAAGAATCCCATGAGGACCATGTAATCCATTGCGATTGCCTTCCTTGCCAGTGGGATCTATTTTGCACAAAGAAAAAGAGATGATTGATTAACACGTGTTACTGAATGGGGTATCTGAGTGGATCCGTAAAAGTACGAAGTGTGTGAAAAAAAAGATGGCAAACGTACCCCGTAGAGGAAGACGCTGTGGATGATGGGGAAGACGGCAGAGAGACCCATGGCGAGGAAGAGGCAGGAGCGGATCCAACGGTACTGCGGAGTGCGGAAGATAGGCTTGGTGACGGCGATGATTGTGGCGCCACCAAAGATTGAGATCAAGGTAATGTACATGATCTGGAATGTCCTGAAGCAGTAGAACCCTATTAAGTTTTATGGATGTGACAGATCGAGCGTTAGGAATACGTCTTTCATCGGTGGATACAAGATGTGCATTAAGAAAGGAAGAAGAATGTTACCATAGAAGACCGCGGGGTAGAAGGAGCCGGTGATCAAAAAGACAATGCCGACATAGTCGCATCGGTTCCAATGGTGAGAGACGGGCTCAGAGTGGCAAGAGAACAAGTGGAAGAGTGTCGACATGGACAGACACAAGATCGCTCCTGCCATGAAGATGTAAAAGTGCATTATGTCCGTCCAGTGAACCGTCTCGAGGGTGTGGAAGACCTTGAAGTAGACCAAGGGTGCGACAACGATACATGCGATCGCTCCGATCAAGTGCGACCATACATTCACTATTGTGGGAAAACGAGTGGGATGGTTAGTCTTACTGTCAAGAGTAGAAATACGGATCAAAGTAACATGCACGATCGATGTGTGGTTGCTTCCGATCCTTGATTCGTTTTTCGCAGCAACTTACCACTCTCGTTATGAAGGAACCCCAGAGAGGCGGCACACTTCTTGTAGCTGAATGTAGGACGACGGTAACCTGTAAAGATCGCAGGGTTGTCCTGCATCCAGGCAGGGAGCTCATCCCAATGGCAGATCGGGCCCTGTCCTCCTGATCCAATGACGGGTGTTGTCTCGTCTGCTTCGTCTTCTTGTTCGTCATGGTTGCGGTGCGTATCTGTGACAGGCCGGATCGAGTGGACGGTGGTTGTCATGGATGAGGAGGTGCTTGATTCCGACTTTGCCGAGGATCTTGCTCTTATCGTTGACATTGTGCGGTATATATATATTCGAACTAGATCTGGGAGTGGGGGTGGTGGTTGTGGTGGGTGTTTGTCGATTTGTTTGCTTGGATGGTTGTTTGTTTGGCCTGTGGAGATTGCAGGTGGTGTTTGGCGGTGGTAGCTGTGGTTGGTTGTGAAGGAAGGGGAAAAAAGAAAGAGAAAAGGGGGGCAAAGGATTGGTTTTTATTGCTTCTCTTGCTGGTGTTGGGGGGTATTGCGGAGATCCATGTTGACAGCTGATAGTTCGCCCAGCCCAGCAGTCCAGCGCACAAACACAGACATGGTACGAGTAAATAACCCTCAATTGTGCCAAGGCCGCCGATCAAGAGTTATCTGATGCATCATGACCGCATTCATTGGAATTAGTAGGGCATGTGCGTGAGAAGGAGGGTAGCCATGGCGTCTATGGTTATTGTTTGTGATCTCTTCGTCGTCCTCATGAGATGAGCGAGATGTTTGATTCAGGATGACCTTTTGAGATGACAAAGGACAAACCTTAATTTAGCACACTGATCAAGAAGGTCACAATCCACTCAAAATTGATGACCACTGCTGGGCTTCAATACAAGATAACATCCAGGACGGCGATCAGTTATTATCCATGGCCGTCGACAAAAAGAGTGAGATCTTGCCCCTTGGGGCCAACTTCTAATCTCCTGTTGCATTGTAGCACTGTGCACTCAACTCTTTGCAAAACAAAGCAATCGAACAAATAAGGGATATTCATTGCACATGCCAACGAAGCTTCCTTCTAATCTTCTATTGCAGCTGGACAAAATACCTTGGCCAAGGGCTCACTTCGACGTTCTTGCTGACAGATGCCAATTGAGGAAGACTAAAAGTAAGGGAGGAAGGAATGTGGGCCCCACGTCATGGCCTGTGCACATGTGTACTGTTGTATTCCTTGGCTAAACACACATACATATCCCATGGTGGTCCCTACATGGCTGCTCTCACCTCTTCCATCTCATAAACAACAACAGTCCCCTCTCTCCCTTCTTCGAGTCCAACTCTTGGCAGGCTTCCTTAACGAGGTCATTTCGTTTACTAATAAACTTTTACCCCTTTAGTTTACTCGTTTCCACGTTCCACAAGAACCGTGGAGTACATGCATATTATTGTTATTGTCGTTGTTGCCATCTGTCTCCGCGGTGCGGGCTCATTCATTGCAATATTGACCATTTTGTTTGCACGGTTGTATGTCTGGTGGTGCTTCTGGTGTTTGTTACAAAGGGCGCGTCGTGTCTTGGCAATCTCCTCTTCTTCCATTCTCATTTCGATCCCCCTTCATTCTCCTCCTTTGCTCCTTGCTCCACGCTCATTTCTCCCTCTCTTCTGCCGCTCTACACTTGGATAACATGGGCTTCTTGTGCCTGCTGCTGTGTCTAGCATGGGAAGAGCGAAAAATATTAATAATGCCAGGTTGCTATGTTCAAAGAATAGAGAAAGATAGATATCCCCGATTCGCCTTTGTTAGCAATGACCTAGCCTTGCCCTTTGACTTTTGTTTTTCTTCCTTAACATTGACCACTGAAGGATGGGGAGAGGAAAGAAGACACGCAGTGCGCTTGCGCGGAAATTCACTCAAAAATGTGCTATTTCTCGCACGATATGGATCAAGTCCTCACGTACTATGGGCGCGCTGTTGTGGTCTCTCTGTCTTTCTCTTTCTCTACTTCTCATTCCCTCCCTCTCTCTTCCATTCTCTTTCTCTCCTTCTCATTCCTTCCCTCTCTCTTCCTCTCTCTTTCCGTCTTTTTATCGCTGCCTTGCCCCCCGTTTAGACCTTGTGATCAATTGACAGAAAAAAAATGAAAGGGAACAAAAGGAACATGTTAAAGGCGTAAACGGGGGTTATTGGTCTAATTTAACCCCAAAGAGGGATCGCTTACCGCTGCTCGCTTGCCTTTCTTCCTTTTTCAAGGTGAGTGAAAGGCAAAAGCGAAGAAAGAGAGAGAGGGCGATATCAAGCCCTTCTTCTTTTTGTTCATTCCCGTCAAAGAGGACGAGCAAGGAGGACTTGATCACAGTAGCGGATAATAAAATAAACAAAAGGATGATAATGGTTGGCTCCCACTCAGTCAGTGGCAATGTTCAACCTGTTCACACGCAGTGCTCCAAAGGAGGTGTATGTTCATGGTTTTTTTTCTCATGTTGTTTTCGGGGGTGCGCTTGCTTACGAGCGTTACGACGATGGTGGATGAAGTAGTGGGATTGGCGTAGAATCCAAGATGATCTTCTACTCCAGTATGAGAATGGTTTACTTTGACTTTCTAGTCTTCTTTCAACATACCGATGCCCCATGGTCACCATCATCATAATCACCATTGTCCACTTCTACTCGCTCTCACTACTGAAAATGAGGATGATGTGGATTGCAAGATGTGGTGACAAGTAGTGCATAAGCAGACATGGTCCTTTCTTTCTCTCTTTCTCCTTCTTCATGAGTGAAATCTGAAGGACACATTGACTCAGTGCCGCACTTTCCTTTCAATGATCGGTGTCTGCCCTTGTCTTCTCTCTCTCTGTCCATGTCTGTCCATCTGAGTGTGTCCCATGTCCATCCATGCCTCCTTGACTTTGTACCCCCTTCAATTTTTTTCGCCTTTCCCGCCTCCTTAACGAAAACAAGGATACCTTTGTTCTTTCCACTCATCCATCCTTTCTCGCCATGTCTCTGGTTGACTTTGTCCTTCGTTTTTTATGTTTTCTATCCTTTCGAAAATCAATTCACTTCTCAATAAGGTGTCAATTGCTGCGATGAATGGTTCGAATGGCTGCGATTGCAGTTGTTGTCCATGTGTCTGTGGCCTTGTCTGTGTTTGAGTGGATGAATTAGTGCGCCACGACCTCAACCCCTCGCCTTGCCTTGTGTTAAGCTATACTTCTTTCCTTTTCTTCTTTTTAGTGCTATACCATTGATGAGGAGCCACATACCCCACCGACCATGCCATGCCATCCAGCCAAGCCGGCCATTTGAATGAGTTAGCGAGTCCCCTTATTTTCTCCTTCCTGACCGGAATAGCGCGTGCGTTTTGACCCTCTGCCAAGGACCCCATCCATCCATTCATTCCAATGAAGCACTGACAGAGTGGCTTCTGCTCCCTTTCCATCCTTCCTTCATATCCCTTTTGACATTGATCCCCTCTTTGCAACATCGATCTACCCCAATAATAATAAAGAGATGCCTTGTTTGTTATAGAATAAGCTTCTTATTTATTAGTGTTATTGAATTGCCTTCGATTCGCGCCCTCTTTTTTTTTCCACGCGTCAGGATTCGCCTTTGCACACATCTATACATTCGCCCTACATTCATTCGGTTCATTCATTCAGACGGAGACATTCATACACGCCCATAACATTACTGCCCTTTCTTTCTCTGCTTCTTTTTTTGTCCTTTAAAATCTCGAGAAAACTCTTTCTTTTCTCTTTTCTCTTCTCTCTTTTCTTCATCTTATTTTCTTCTCTCATTTCTTCTTTCCTTCTATTCTTTCTTCATTCGTAATCCCTTCTGTACTTCTTATAATCACCCCTTCCCCCCCTTTCTGTAGTGTATTCCTGCATCCTTTTCTTAAGTACTCCTACATCCCTCTACCTAATACCTCCCGTGAGTTCTTTTTTTGAAGCCCTTCCTCCATCCTCTACACCTGCACTGCTGTCTTTTCTACTCTTCTCGAACACTTCTCCTTGAATCACTTCGTAAACACAACGGCCCCATCCCTGTTTCTTTATTCACCATAGCCATCCTCGTCGACACAGCTCTCCTCGAAATATCACCAGCAGCCAGCAGGATCTCTTTTTTTATTTCGTAACGGACGATCGCCAACACATCCTTTCTTTTCTTTCTTTATTCTCTTCATCCCTTGACTTTATTGTTCTCTCGCCAAACACACCAAAAACTACCACCTCCTCTACCACCACCATAACACCATTGGCATCTTTCTCGATACTAATACCAACCAACCCACCGTGAACCACAGCACAGCTCAGAAAGAAACTCACTCCGAAGAACCCCGCCTCTTCTTCTCTCTCCTTCTCTCTTACACATACAACTTTTTGGGTAAGAAACAACACCATCACACACAACTATGTCCACCGCAACATCACCCGTCGAAACCGTGTTCTCTGGATTTTCCAGCACCACTTCCATCTCTTCCTCTACATATGACTCTCGGGGACACCCATGCACAACTCTCTCAGAGTTGATCATTTCAGAGGCCCACTACCTGTCTACATTAAAGGTATGACAACAGGAAAGACCAACTGCCAACTGTCTGTCGGTCGCGATGTTTTTCTTGTACGACACATACACACGCGCTGGAGGTGCTCTCACACCTACTTTGGTATGTTTTCTCTATGTTGACGATTTCACCCCCTTCTCCCAACGCAATACTCTCTCTCTTTCCATCGCACATGCCACCGACTGTGCCATTAGCGTGTCGGTAATGCTCTCAACTTGGCATCGAACCAATCGTTTGCCTCAGGCCGCAAGACCAGCAATGTCATCCGTGCCCTTGTGGAACGATGGACAACCATGATGCAAATCCATATCAAGTTCCACGACGTAAGTGTTATATGTTTTACCCTCTCTCCCTTTCTCTCCCCCTTTTTCATTCCATCTGCCTTGGCTCGCCCATCCTTCGCGCCTCTCTCTCACTCCCTATTATCCTCCTCTCCTTCTTCGCAACCCCCTACCCTGCTATCTTTTGGACCCGCATTGGCCTCTCTCTCTTTCTCTCGCTCCCTCCCTTTTCTCCCGCCATCTCTTGTTTGTCGCAATTTCTGTCACTTGTGCATCCCAACTCCCTGCTACGCCCAACAACGATTCACCTGCTTTATTGCACCTCATACCGACGGCATGCATATGTTGGACGTAGCGTTTGCTCTCTCTCTTTCTCTCGTTCTTTTCTCTGTCTCCTTTTGATCACGTACTGGGTGTTCTTTTGTCCTTGAGAGAGCTAGAGAAAGGAATTGGACTGGTTTAGCCATGGGTTCTCTGTCTCTCGTCCCGTCGTAATATTACTCCAATGATGCACCCCTTGATTTTTTTTCTTTTCTTTCGAAGACGAGATGAGACAGGACAGGACAAACAGAGAGACCGAGAGAGTGAGTGTGAGAGGACACTTTCCCTTCCTTTCTCTTTTGTTCGTATTGCCCTTTCTTTCCTATCGTTCCGTCTTATGAACACGGTTTCCAGCTCTCAATTTATACTTTCCTGCCCTTCTCTTTCTCCCCCCTTGCTTTTCCGTAAACTTTTCGGGGAGCCATCTCGGACGTTGCGATTTTTTTTCACATGAAGCAGTGGACGTTGAGAGCGAGAGAGTGGTTGGGGTCATCTAGTGCGAGCTCATTGTGATACTTGGCGTTTTGTTGGGTACTGTTGACTAACGCGTTTCGTCCTTTTTAATGCCTTTACTCCTTTGCCTGCCTTCCCCCACGCTCGGCATTCCTCTTTGCTCCCTTTGTATCCTGGATCTCAATTACACTTTGATTTGGTTGAGAATAGGATGTTGTGGCAACCAAGGAGGACGTTCGGGGCACAACCCAGCTCCTCAACAACCTGGTAAGAAAGTGACATGTATCCTATCGCTGTTCTTATCGAATTGAGCCCTGGTCAGAGGCGCGTTCCTGTGAAACCCATGTCCTAACGATCTTATCCTGACCACCTTACTTGTTTCTGCAACAGCTCCTCACCCTCGAGCCGGTCCTTGTCGACCACGGTCGCGATCTGTCGAATGCAGTCTACAAGCTAAGCCGTAACGACAAGGTACTGCAACCTCTCTCTCTCTCTCTCTCTCTCATCATAATGAAACCTTGTATGCATGCATGCATGCATGCATGAACACGCCTTATCCATTTCAAGCCTTTTTTTTGCTCACACTACCTTTCCTTGTTCTGTTGATGATAGCGATCGGGCCACACTCCAGCAGAATGGGATGTCGCCCTTCGTCATCCTTTTGACCATTTGACCATCTACAACGAGTGGCTCCAGGTAACATCAAGTCCCATGTGCATTTCTTCTCTACCGCTCGTTACTTGTTGCTCTACTGTGGTTACTTGTAACTATGCATGTGCATGATCTTTTGTGTCTAACCGTTCTTCTTGATGAATGTAACTGCTTTATAGAGGATCGATCCCCACGGCCAGTTCAACGGCCCATGCCTGACGCAGCTCAACAGCCTCGTCCTCAACGTCAAGGCCGTCATCGGTATGTATTCTCACTTGCCCTCTTCACACTTCCACATGGTCTCTTACTATATTATTATTTTCATCCTAACTAACATCACCGGTAATATTCACACCCATCCTCCTTGCAATAACAGAGGCACACCAGAACCCACGTGGGATGTTGAAGCGTTTGAGCACATTCGCGCGCACCGTCATGAAACGCCCCTCGTCCCCTCAGCTCTCGCACAGCTACAGTCAAGACTCGAATGCCACCAGTCCTACCACTCCCACGACTGCCGTCTCCGTCTCTGCCAGGGGTATCACCAACGTTGGTGAGAAGAATGCAGGCTCTACGCACAAAGGAAGCCTCACACGAGGTGCTTCTATGGACCTTCCTCGTGCCACTGCCGCTGCTACTCCTGGTGCGATTGTTACTCCTACAACTGCAGCTACGATGGTTTCGAGTTCGCCCTCGAAGAACCGGATTGAGACTGTTGCCTCTGCAACCACCGTTGTCTTGTCCAACGCCACCTTGACCGAATGCCCAGCGAGCTCGCCCAAGTCGGCCGCTCATGCCAACAGGGCCGCAACTGGACTTCCACCCCGTCACTCAAACCGCACCTCCGTCGCCCGCTCCTTCGCCCGCTCCAACGTCAGCAGTGTCGGATCCCTGACTCTCGCCCCATCCTCCGAATCCCTCTACATGAAAGCCGCCATCGCCGCTTCTACCCACCGCCCCAACGGCTCACCCGAGCGCCAATTCTCCTCCGTCAGCCAACGTCAAAAGTTCCTCGAGGAACGCGAGGCCCGAAAGGCAACGTTGCGTATGGGTGCGCAGGCGTTTATTGTTGCAAAGACAGATAGTTTGCAGCAGAGGAGCCCGACGTTTGTTTCGAGACCTTCGATTGATCGGTTGAGGACTATTACGAAGCGCGAGGTTGAAACCAAGCCGCCGGTAAAGAGTCTGATTAACTTTTGGGAGCAGGCGACCGAGCCTATCGAGTGTTAATGGGAGGACAGAAAAAAAAAGAGGATGAGTGGAGGGGGGGGTGGAGGTAGGGGAGGTTATGAGGAGGAGTCATAATATATACCATCACGACTAACGACACAGTGGAGCCTGAAGGGGTCGATGGCGAGAGAGTCTGTCCACGCCCTATGCGTACGGTCGAGTGCCATCGATGCCATCATTTGTGTAGATGCAGGCAGGCAGGCAGGCAGGCAGGCAGGTGGCGTCCAATATAGAAAACCACCATCCACGAGGGGAAGAAGGTAGTTGTCTCGTACCGAGACGACTGTTTTGTTATCAATCAACATTAAACAAACAACACCACCACCAGCATCAATACCAATACCAATACCAATACTAATACCGAATAACATACATAACCAACGTACAATCCTAATAATAATATCATTATATCTCTTCACGCGTCCATCTCCCTCACAGCACCTATGTGGAGACGGGAAAAAAAAAGCTCTTGTTCACAAAACAAAAGTAACAACAAAAAAAATATATAAGCAGACAAGGTTGGTTTTGAAAAGGGGGAAAGGGGGCTTTATTAATCCTGATAACAGCTTCTGTCAAATCGTTTCTCCTTGTTACCAACTAGGGTCATCATCCTTGCTGCATCTCCCCCCCCTTCATCGTGTCCTGCCAAGTCCAGTTCAAACGTCAATCGTCCAAAAGTGCATCTCCATCCTAAGTCATCACGTCCACGACCTGGTCCATCCAGTTCTTCAAATGTTTCCCATGTGAAGGTGCGACTCGAGCTGTAAATGCTAGATTAGTAGTTTGTAAAGTCCGGAGCTCCACGAAAAGCTCCAGGCACCAGAAGTGTAAGAATAACCTCTAACTCGGTGGGTTTTGTTTGCTGTTGTTGGTGCTGAGGGGACGTCTATATGGCTGAAGCCGGGCAATGGTATTTCCTTATCTTCATCTTGTCTGTGTTGTTTGTTTTATTCAGAATGAGAAGAGTTGTCGTTGATATTGTTAGTGAAAGAGAGAGGGGAAAAGGAAGAGAAGAAAAAAAGAGAAGGAAAGAAAGGAGCGAAGGACCAATCCTCTCAGCCAATCAATCTTGCAGTCCCATTCGCACGGTCTTGCGCATAGCGCTGCGGTGACTTTCTCTTCCTGGTAGAGGATTCCTTTTTTCTGCGCTAAAAAATAAGGAAAAGAGAGAGTAAGGGTAAAGACTGAAGAGGAATACACAAACTACTCTAGGAAACGAAAATGAGGAAGCACAAAGGTGCGAATGAACAATAGGTTGAGAACCATGTTTATAATGTCAAAGTAAAGAGGTTCATGTGAAGCGATGCTTTATTACTAGGTATATGTTAGTAGATGAAAGGAGATGGGTGGATGCTGGGTTGTGAAATGAGTTATGCAAAATGAAAAAAAAAATGAAGAAGTAGGAACGAGAAGAGGGAGAGGGGGGACAATAAACATAAGGAGAAGAGTCCTATCAAACTCGGTTGAGTTCCTTCTCGGCAGCCCTCTTACGCCAAACGGGGGCCCTGACAACAAGGACAACAAGACCAGCGGACCCAACAAAAGTCATGATGGCCCAGAAGGTATACAACCATCCAGAGCCAATAGCAGACTCCATGGGCAGAGCAACAAAACCAGCAATGCCTCCGAAGACACCACGAGCAAAACTGTTGCAGGCAACAGCAGAAGTGGCCATGTTGCCCTCCGAGTTGGCATCGACGATAGTGGTGGTAGTACTGGAATAGACCAACATCATTCCGAATCCGACAAGAAAGATGCCCACGAGCGCGCTCGCTAGGGGGAGTTCATTTGTGACTGACCATCCGTATAGCATCAATCCTAATGGCAACAGGAACACACCCAGCCAGACACTAATATTGTCCAAGGAGGAGAATGGTAGACGTTAGGTAATCATTTTTTACCTACTTTCAACATGACAAAAGCAAGTCGTTTACTCATAAGAACAGTGTATGTGATTCTTACCTTTGGAGTCGAACCTCGGGTGGGGTCTGGACAGCGACGTCAAAGACCTTCTCGCAGGCTGTAATTTCGACCTCATCCTTGCCAAAGGCAGCAGCACGATCCTTTGCGTCTCTCTTCTTCTTGAGCTCCTGCTTGATCAGCCACTTGCGGATAACATAGTCCGAGTAACGTCCTCCCAGAAGCGAACCACAGACCGATCCCAATCCTCCTGCACAGAAGCACAGACCGATATTCGACTCTGTCAAGTTGTAGACATCGTGGAATGAGATGGGCAGGGTGTTGTTCATGCAGAACTGGGCACCCAGCGAGAGGGCGTTGAAGGTGATCAGGAGGGCATTGATGGGCTTGCGCATGCAGACGAATGGGCGAAGAGGGTTGAATGGTTTGCGCTTCAGGGGGTTGTTGTCGTCGATGGGCTCAAGGGTAGTAATGGCTGCCTTGTTGTCAATGTTGGGGAAGGCCACATGTCTTTCCATTGCGGGACTGTCGTGTCCTGAAGTCTTTTCTTGGGAACCGGATGCGATGCTTGAGCTGGCAGTCTCCATTTCCTCACCCTGAATGACACAGGGAGGGACAACATTGGGCACAATAAACTCCATCGCGGTGGTGACGTGAACTTTGCCCTGGGTAGAGTGCTTATCCGAGAGCGACGCCTTCTCATTCACTGAATCGGTATCTGAGTCGGAGTCTCCATGAAGAGATGATTTGCTGGGAACAAGGGTGGGATCGGAATGAGTCGAGTGGATGTGAGAGCGCGAGATTGCCCCCGCTGGTTCGAGTTCGGCTGTGGGCTTGACCTCATCGATCCTGTGGCGGTAGGTCTCGGGGAGGATGAACAAGACCATCAAGAACGCGACCACAGCCGCTACCAGCAGCAACCACATCGTGTACCTATGTTGACACAAAATTCAATTGCATTAATGTCAATTGTTCAGTCAAGGAAAACCGATGTACGTAAAACAAGAATGAGTGGTAGGTACCTCCAGCCGGCACGATCAGAGATGACACCTCCGATAATAGGACCAATCATGGGAGCAATCAATGGTCCGAGATAATAAAGTCCAAAGGCTGAACCGCGTTCGCTGGAGTGAAAGACATCTGACAAGGAACCACCTCCAACAGCCAGGACGGAGGACGAGCCGACGGCCTGGATGAAACGCATAACGAAGAAGACCCAGATGTTGCGGGCAATGGCGGCAAAGACGGAGCCGAGGATGAAGATGAACATTGAGATGAGGTAGATGGGGCGACGACCGAGGTAGTCGCAGAGGGAGGCCCAGAAGACGGGCATGATGCCCATGCCGAGGACATACACCGAGACTATGTTAGGTAAGAGAGAGATAGAGAGAAAGAGATGTAGTGTGAGACATTTGCGAATCTTTAATTGAAAATAGAGTAAAAGGCGCAAACAGTCCGCAGGGAAAGAGCTGGGGCGGAGAAGGAGGAGGAGATGGACAGGAACCCATACGTGATCGATGGACCAAAAAAGTGAGCGTGTGAACATATCGTGGGCATGATCGAGAATGTATGTAGTAGGTTAATAGTAGAGTGGAATGGGGGTAATAGTGTTGATTATTGTTGCTGTTGTTTTGGAGAGGAGGTGGCGTGTGCGTTGTTGAGTTTGTTTGAGATGGTGGCATAGTCTTCAAAAGAGAAGAGAAGAATGGGCCAATCGGGTGGGACACGGTGCGGGATCGAAAATTGCCGGCGAAATAAGAGGAGCAGGAAAAGAGCTCGATCTCTTTTTCTCTTTTCTCTCTTCTGCCCATGTTACCGACAAATGTAAATCCTCTGCTCTTCATCCACCATCCCAACGGGGTTTATCATCTCATTCATACGCACATTGATGCATCGTCATATCAATATCACAAGAAAGAAAGAAACAACTTACGCGTGGCACTGACGAGGGACGAAGTGGTGTTGAGATCCTCTTTCACCTGGAGCACAGCAGGCATGTAGATACTCGATCCAAGAGGGCCCACAAAGGCGCAGTAGGCGATCGTCATGACGACGATGTTCTTTTTCCGCCTGGGCCAGTTCTTTGGATCATCTGTCTTGGGAGTCTCGATAAACAGCTCCTTTATATATGCCGCAACCGTCATGATGTGTGCTGGTACTTTTGTGGGGAATGAAAAATTTAATCGTTGGAGGCAAAGTGGAAGAGTAACGGGTGATATGCAGGAGAACGACAAGTAATTGATGGAGGCTGTGTGGCGCAGAGTGACACTTTTTGAGATGGCAAAAGGATGAATGAGAGAGCCTGTTGAAGTGAATGTGATGGAATGAGAACCCGATGCAAAAGAGAAAAAACAAGCAAAAAGCTAAAGACAAGAAAGGCAGTGAGAACGAGAAGAGAGGATGAGCATGAAAATCCGGCTGGTTCGGTCTTCGGCTCAAAAAAAGAAAGAAGAGGAACGAGTGGTTGTGATAGGGGTATGCTCAAGAGGGTGGATGGTGGCCAAAGGAAAGTAATGAAGATGTGGTTGACCGGGGGTACAAGGAGGAGGAGGAGGAGATGAAGGAAGAGATGAAGGGGAGAGAAGAGAAGGATCCGAGGCTTCTTTTTCTCCCAGTTTATATTAGCAGACCAGGTGGTATATGTGTCAACACAAAAGGATAAACCACCGTGGGTTTTGCCATGGACTGGCATGCTTAATCCGGACAAGGCTGGCTGCAACCATGCAGTGAATAAGAAAAACTTTTCTCTCTCTCTCTCACTCTCTCTCTCCCTTGCGGTCGGGGTTCGCACTCTCATCGATTACTATTTTCTTTTCTTTTTATGGCGGCGTTGGAATTATTATTGCATGGGGACAAGGACAAAAGTGAAAAAGAGAGTTCAGCAACTGACAGACCAAAGGCGTATCATTAATAACCACAACCACAACCACAACAACCACAACCAACAACAGCAACAAAAGCCCACTGAGAACATCAAATGGTAAAAATGGACGAATGCTGATGATGAATCATATCCCGACATCGGCAATAGTTCAACCTTATTCTTTGCTTTTGCTTCTCCTTTCTTCCCTTCCTTCTTGTTCTTCCGCGCCCACTTCTGCAAGAATAAAAGGGTGAGACGAACAAGATGTCTGATCCTGAGTGTATGAAACACGTCTTTCAAACGACATCAAATGAAGAACATGATGACAGCATGCGTAACACCAACAATGGTTAGCAACATTCATATTCATTGAAGGCACAAACGAATGGACGAGTTGGGGAAGACGAGTAGAAAATGTCCAAGTGGTAGGATATTTTTTACCCCAGTTTTGCGGATCAATCCAAAACCTAAATCCGGGGTGCATTGGGCTTGTTGTCCGGCATAGATCGGTCCAATGTCCACAGTTTAAATTCACCCCTACGCACATCTCCTGATTTTTATGTTAGTGGCCTGCGCTTTCGTTTGGGATAAACCCTTCGTGTTATTCCGGACCGAATCGAGTAATCCGCACGCTCTCGTTTTTACCCTTGAACAAAGCGACCCCCGTCGGAGTCATCTTGTAATCATAAAAGGTGGAGAGGGAGGGTGACCAAGACAGGAGAGAAGGTGGTAGTTGCTCAAATCAATTGAAGGCGAAGAGCAAAGCAGAGCTATGCGCAACAAACAACCATCAACGGTCCCGAGTACTAGGCAATTGGAAGAACATGTGTTTGTTTTTGGTGCCTTCGATTCCAAGTAGTCAAAAGGGCAAACAACCATCAACGGTACCGACCACCAGGCAGTTGGAAGAACATGTGTTTGTTTTTGGTGCCTTCGATTCCAAGTAGTCAAAAGGGCAAACAACCATCAACGGTACCGACCACCAGGCAGTTGGAAGAACATGTGTTTGTTTTTGGTGCCTTCGATTCCAAGTAGTCAAAAGGGCAAACAACCATCAACGGTACCGACCACCAGGCAGTTGGAAGAACATGTGTTTGTTTTTGGTGCCTTCGATTCCAAGTAGTCAAAAGGGCAAACAACCATCAACGGTACCGACCACCAGGCAGTTGGAAGAACATGTGTTTGTTTTTGTTGCCCTCCGATTCCAAGTTGTCAAAAAGGGTCCAGACCTTTATATTTGGAGTAGAGTTGATAACTTTGAATCATAATGACAAGGAATAGACACAGTGCAACTGCGCGCAAGGGGTTGCCCATAATGTCTGTAAAACGGATCCTTGTTGACTCTTTGCGGATGGGTTCCAACACTGGCTAGCCCTGCGACACCTATCAATGGCTGCTGCGAAGTACACAAAAGAGGGACTTCCCGGAAGGATGGAAAGAAGAACCTGCCTATGAAGCTTCACGAACGAGTCAGCTCCAATTGTCCCAACCATGCAAGGTATGTGACTGCTTCCATTGGCCCATTGATTGGTTGCTGCACCAAATGAAAATCACAACAAAAGTGCCATAGGGTGCAGAAAGACGCGTCAAAGAGGGTTTCTGCTTGTGTAGTGTTTGTCTGTTTGTCAACAACACCTTTGCTCACTCGCTCATCATCTTCCTTGCTGTCGACCAAATACCATGGAATCGCCTACCTCATCTCGAGCATCCTCGCCCCAACACAGCCTTATCAACTCGCCCAGTCTTCGAAAACATCGTGACAGGGCCGCAACATCAACATACCGTCCAATCCAACAACCTTCATTCGCACCCTCAACAACCCCACTTAAAAGCCCTGGGGTACGGTACCGCCAGCAACAGCAACAGCACCAACGACAGCAACAGCAGGAAGAGGAAGAATCAGAACTTTACAACGCACTCCACAGCACCGAACATGACAACAGCTTGGAACAACCCCGCTCGGCACAAGTCTATGCCACCGCATCTCCTTCATTGTTCAAGGACCCCTCCTACCTCAGCAGCAGCAAGCTCACGGAATCCGAATCGCGACTTGCCAGCGCAAAACATCTGCAGCAGGCCAACGACATGACAAAGAGTATCTACAAACTGCTCGAGGATAATGCTCGCACAAAGGAGGGCGTCTCTCGACAGGCTCAAAACTCTGTCTCTGTTGCCAACCAGTCGCTCGAGGTGTTCCGGCAATCCCAGAGAAGGTCCAGTGGAACACCTACATCTGCATCCAGGACTACATCTGCAGCAACCAAGTTTCAGCAGCAGCAACCTATTTCGAAACCTTTGTTGCGGACGACAGAGACAGAATACGATGTATCGCCCAGCAGGACAGCTCGCCTTCTGACATCTCCCCCCGCGAGTTTGTTTGTTGGGACCCCTTCTAGGAGGAGCCATCTCAGGCACCAAACACCAGGATCAATGCGCACAACCTCACCAACTCACCGACACTCACAGGAGCAGCAAGTCGAGGAGAAGAGTCGTCCGGAGGATGCGGCTACACTGGAGTGGTTGAAGCAGACAGTCGATGCAGAGGAATTCGACCATCAGAGATACACACGTCGAGCCTCGACTGAAGTCGGCGAGTTGCCTGAGCAGCAGGGAGAGCACGAGGATCTGTACCAAACAGAAGACCATCATCAGGAAACCGACCCTTTCGATTCTGCCACACAGCGTGATGACTCGTATCTTCACAAACGACAAAGCTTGAGCTTGCCCCCAAGACGCCGCAGATCGAACGAACACGTCGAGGATACCTACAGCCAGAAAGAAAATATACCCTTTGAAAACGAGGTGACCGCTCCTCTCGACTCCTATCTTTCTCGCTCGGGCCTGTACCCCAAGACACCCGAGATGGATCATTCGGTGACCGAGGCGGAGAGCTCCTTGCTCGAGGTGGCCGAGACCACAACAACTATCACCAACCAGCTCCGAGGCGTCTACACCAACCTTCAGGACTTCTTCTCTCCTGAGACAGAAGCTAAATTGCAGGACGCCATTACGGTGATTGGATCTCAGAAGGCTATCAGGGTGGCCAAGGGCCTGTCGTCGTCTACCACCCGCCCTCGTCCATTGGAGTTCAGGTCTGCCTCTGTTCGCAAGGATTACAGGAAGCCCTCGTCAGCGCCTCAGTCGACCCGACCCCTGACAACACCTCAGCCGTTCAACTTTTCTGAAAGATTGAACTCGATTCAAATCCGGCGACCGAGTCCCAGTCTTTCAAAATCCCTGGGAGCATCCGCCGCTGCCTTGCGGCCGTCTAGAGTTCAGGATATCCAGCGCACAAGGACCAATGTACCCTCGACTCCTATTGCACAGAACCGTACCGTGAACGAGTACCAGGAAATGTCCAAGTCACCCTTCATTCCCTTGGCTCAGAGGAAGAAGCAGTTAGAAAAGAGCTCCCTCAACGACCTTCCTGAGGTAATTACTCGCACAACTCGACCTTTTCACTTTTAACCAGACATGTCGATGATAAGGAATCTAACACCCATGGTTTTTATATCGCTGATGGTTACTGTAGTCTACGAAGCGCTCGCTGACGATACCCAAGGCGCCTGTCTTGCATACCAGCACACGACCAAAGACCACGTAAGGAGTTGATATCATATTGGAACCCTGGTATTCCTGGACGCACTGCAATTCCTTGAGTAACCTAACAACCTCATCTCGCCTTTTGTAGTGCGCTCCCTTTTGAGGAGCGGGTTCTTCAGGACATTGCTCAGCAAGGCGGATACAAGGCCAACACAATAGACAAGCGCGTAAGTGCCGGCATGACTTTCTTAACACCACCCTGTTGTAGCACGATGGGGGGGGGGTTGGACGGCTTTACTGACCTCGCGTCCCTTTTTGCCCTTGTGACACTAGGTTATCGAGAGTTCAGGAGAATATGGGCTGCCAAAGCCCGTCAAGCCCCGACTGACGGTTCCAAAGTCCCCTGTTCTCACTAAGCGACGACCTGCACCTATGAGACCCGCTGTCATGCCTATTCGCTCGGATTCACATCATCAACATTCCCATCAACACCACCACCAGCAGCAGAAGACGCATAGGGCAGGTATTCCGGAGAGAGGATTGGTGACATCTGCAGAGTCTGCAAGGCGTTTGAGCCAAGACAAGAAGAGCAAGCCAACTGCTTACCATCCTCCTCCAAACAAGCCATCGTTGACGATCCCGGAACCATTCTCGTTGGCGACAGATGCACGAGGCCAGCGGTACCAGGAACAATTCCATAACAAGTTGACCAAATGGCGACAGATTGAGAAGGAACACCAGTTCAAGGCCCTTGCGTTGCCGACTTACCCGGAAGTGTTTGTCCCGAAGAAATCAAACAAGCCCCTGACCCATGTCGTGCCCGTTCATTTGCAGACGGATCGACGTGCAGAGGAGAGGGAAGCTTATGAACAAGAACGACTCCGTAAAGAGAAGCTTGCCCAGGTTCTCCTCGCCGAAAAGGCTCGTGAAGACGAGGTAAGATTTTCGCAACACTGTTTCTCTGCATTTTTTTTTTTTTTTTTTTTTTTTTGTTATGCAACATTTCGATTAACGACCTTTTCAATATTTTCCATGTCATGCAATTTTAGTTGCGGGAGATGCGGGAGTTGAGGGCACTTCGTGAGAGACTGGTACCACACCCGACACCGATTAAGGAGTACCCCAGAATCGAGATTCACAAGTCGACACGACCCCTGACGACGCCAAAGTCACCCAACATTGGGCAAAAGCGTAAACGCCAGATGACCTTGGAGCGAGATGTCTCGCATGACCATGAGGAGGAGGAGGAGGTGGAGCGACTGCATCGGTCTCATCATCAGCGCCAGCAGCGTCAGCATCAACAAGAGCACCATAACCATAGCCGTAGCCACGGCCACAATCACCAGGATCATGACGAAAGTCATGGCCAGTACCAGGGCCAGCATATGGAAAAGGAGCAGTATTATGTTGTTGATCCGCAGGAAGAAGAGCAGTTGGAGCGGGAACAGCAGCGGGAGAATGAGCGAGCGCAAGAGCAAGAGTATGAACGTCGTCGTCTTTCTTCCTACTCGAACTCGCGCGGTGAGGGCGGCGGCGGTGGTGGTGCTGTTGACAGGGAGAAACAGAATCAGATCCGGGAAGAGATTGAACAGCAGAGAGAGAAAGATCAGGGATACCTTTTAGAGCGAGAGGAGAGGCAGCTTCAGGCGGAACGACAGGCTTACCGGCGGCGGTCTTCTCAATCTCGTGCTGCTTTAGGAGGAAGGGGGGAGGGATATGAGGATAGGGATGAGTATGGTCAGGATAAACGACAGCGTGTGGGGGTGGCGGTTGCAACCGCGACGATGTTGGGGGATGCAAAGTATGAAAGTCAGTTGTTTGCGAGGAAGATGGGGCGCAAGTCCTGGATAGCTGCCAACGATATTTAGATCCCTGCTTCCCCTTTGTTATTTGCCTATATGTGTAGTAGCGCGACACTATTACTTATTTATGGTGTCGTTATTCCCTTCTAATTCAACGGGGTATTTTAATATTCTATGGTGTCATTTGGGCGTTGTAAAGGTTGAAACCATCCGCATCGGGTCAAAACAAAGAGACACATTCATTGCATTGAGTACACACAACGTTTGTTCGACTACGCCTGGGTGGTATGCCTTGTTTTTTGTCTTGTTAGGCACACTGAACGCAGTTATGCTGTCACAGAGAGCAAGGATCTTGTAACCGACTGGGGTAGGGTTGCTCTTCAGGCGATAGGTGTGTTGGCTGCGACCAGCAAAATTTGGACGGCCATATCTCATCAACGGGCGAGTGATGTCCACGGGAACATAATATCTTTGCGAGCAGGCTTGTACATGGTTTTTCGTCGCGTTTTATATTCCCGTGCCGGTGGCGTTGGAGTCTATATTGTTGAAACTAAACCTAATATCAACCCCGACACCGGCGCCATGATCCTGTGTTTGCGGAGGGATGAACGGGATCTGTGGTATATCTATGCAATCGCTATACGAGGGAGCATATATCTTTGGGTACGAGTATGGAGCATAGGGACGGGCGTTGCGCGCGAAATAGTTGCTGATGTGGTTATCAGATTGGATTGGGTCTTTTGGGAGCAAGGATCTGAGGGTTAGGGATCTCGATTTACGTTTTGGGGTTTGTGCCGCGGGGATTTGGGATGGGGTTGAGGGGCGGGTTTGGAAGTGGAGGAAGGGGGAGGTGAGGAATGTCGGTAGGGAGGTTGATGTTGGGAGGTGGCGTTTTGTTGAAACTGGGGTAGCTACTGCTGCTGGCGTTGATGGGCGGGAGCCGGTGACGCAGTTTTGATTCGTATGGCCAATGATAGCACTTGCCCTCCTGTTTCTATGTGCACCACCGCCACTGCCGCCTGAAGTAGGCGTATCCTCCGCAAATGTGACCCTCGTGATACCAGTATGCATACTCACCGCCCTCGCCCGTCGCGTCATCGAGTCAGTCCTCAAAGCAACAGAAGAAGGAGGGGAAGTGACTCCCTCGGGCGGGAGCCGATACGTCGTATACCCTGGTGCGGCGGTGGGGTACTTTTGTCGGAGTTGGTCCAATTCTGCGCGTTCCCTGGGACTGTATATGATGGGCGGTAGACAGTGGTTGGTTGTTGCAGAAGACGAGGAGAGTGAGGGGCAGGATAGGGCTTGGGTGTAGACGGATGCTGCGGAGGCCATGACAGCTTCTTGGTGCGGGGTTGGGGTTATTGGGATTATTGGTGCGAAGGTAGGGGTTGTGGGTGAGATGAGTACAGCGGCTGAAGTTGAGCGGGATACGGCTACTGATGTTGAAGCTGATGGTGGGATAGTTGTTGTTGTTGTTGCGAGGGAGATGCTGTCGGTGGAGGCGTGGTTCCGGTTGGTTTGGAAGGATTGTAAGATATCCTTCCAGATTGATCGTCGCTTATTGCCATCGTCGATGCCAATAGCTGCCGCTGTTGAAGCGACGACGACGGTGGACTGGCTCGAATCCTGTGAACGCCTATTATCTACATTTCCAGACTCTACCCCTCCTGACTCTTCTCCAGGCCTGGGAGCTGTCCCTATTTCATTAGTAATAAAACCGGAGAGAATCTGATGCTGTTGTCGTAATGGCAGGATTTCATCACTTGGTGCCATAATCCTCCTGGCTTCCTCCATCTGCTTCACACCTCCACCTCCACCTCCACCTCCACCCCATCCGCTTCCACCTCCTCCTAGGCTCTGCTGCCGAGGTCGCGACAAAGTACGCGGTAAAGGCGGCGGGGTCTTGGCACGGTAACGTCCCCTCGAACACTTATTAATCAACGCCCTTCGGAAGGTACAGAGTCCTACCAAAATCGCGAGGAGGAACATCCCGCCCAGGACGAGGCCGGAGATTGTTGCAGTTCTGTTTCCTAGACTTGGTTCTCCTAGTTTTTTTGTAGTGGGTGTTGTTGATGAGTTTGGGGGTGATGTGGAGTCGGGTTGTGGTGAGGACATTTTTTTTCTATGTGAAGATGTGTTTTGAAGTAAGTGAGAAGACAAAATGAAGAAGACGCGAGGAGAATATGAGGTGAAGGAGAAGGCGAAGGTGGATGTGAAAGGTGTCAATAGTATACAAAGAAGATGGGCAAAAGGGTCCTCGCTCGGTGGAAAGGGGAAAGTGGACCTTATATACCCAGATGGTGTAGATGTGGTGATTTGACAAACACCGGAGCAAGGGGACAACGAAGGAGAAAGAAAAAACGAAAGAATCAGAAATGAACAGTTGATATGAATAAAATGGATCGATATGGTAGATCGGGTTTGCGACTGTTGTGAAATGATATAGTAGTGATTGCGGTACAGGGTGCAAAGTGATATTAAAAATGAGAAACGACGCGTCAATTTTACCCGCCTTTGTCGTGAGGAAAGCATGGTGGTCTTTGTTTTGAGGCTGCTCCTTTTCTTTCAGTTCTTTGACAGATAAGCAATAGAAGCTTAGCAGAATTGAAAGATTCGGCAGTTTGAGGGGAAAGGGGAGGGAAGGGGATACCAAAGGCCAAGAAAGTATGAATACCACACTCTCACAAGCCAGTGAGGCACAAGTACTTGGATATTTTCCACAAAGGGAACTTGCAAAGGGAACAAGCACCGGATGCGTAGATCCGGCAACAATATTCTCTCACGAGCTGACGCGAACACATACTATGCGTAACTATGCGAAAACTTTATTAATATGCGATGGTAGATTTTGACAGCGATGAAAAAGAAAAAGGGAACTGATATGCAAAGAGAGATTGGGTAGCTGAGCTTAGGCAGGGCCTTACATATGGAACAGTCGACGGGATCAAGCCATCCGCATCAATGCCTCATCGTCGCGGCTTGATGCCGAGCCATGATGACCTCTCGCTTCTTCTACTGATCCTGAAGATCCTGTTCTCGTTGCTCCTCCATGTTGTGACGGTGTCGTGGTAGAAGTAGGGATAGTAGTAGTATCAGGATGACTGTCAGTAGTGACCGATTCCAATGGTATCGTCACTTCACCAGATCGCCCTGTTGATTGTAAAGATGGCTGTGATGGTAGGTGTTGCTTGGGTGCCGATCCTGGAGACAATGCTGTCGAATACGAGGAGGCGGATGCAGATGATGAAGATGGGTCACTTCCCGTGATCGAAGAAGATGGTTCGCTCGAACAGGTGCTAAAAGGAATGATGATCCTAGAGTCATTTTCCATCCTGGGGGCAGAAGAGCTCAAGAGTGGTGTCCTCTCTGTCGGTGTCTCGACTGGCGTCGCAGGTAATGGTGGCATTGTACAAATATCCCGCTTGCAGATCGGGCACTAAATGCATGCATCACAACACGAAAACAAAATGAGCAACGGTTAGAATCATATAGGGAAAACACGTAACCTCGACCATAAGAGAAAACAAGGAAAACGCACAAACTTCTTGCGGGTGGTGAGCCAGTTATCAACACAAATAGCGTGGTACTCATGACGACAGGGCAAGACTCTCAACTCATCCCCATCCTTGTACTCGTCCAGACAGATTACACATTCGACAGGGTCGTCCTCATTGAGTTTTGACTTGTAGAAAACCTTGATGGGCAGGTTGTTGACTACTTCTAGGGGCGCCAGATCGGCCAGCCGCAGTTGACGCAGTCGCATCCGCCAGAGGAAGAACAGGAACGGGAAAACGACCAGAGGTGCGATGACTAAGACTACGATCGCATCCAGCACTGGCCTATTTTTTGGCCATATATTTGAAGAAAAGATGCCATGTCAGCAACCTGCTTGCCTTCACTACTGTTATTCCAAAAGACAGCGTAAACAAAGCCATTCATGACTAAATTTCTCATCGCAGACTAAGAAAGGTGCACTTACAGGTCCACTTCATCGCTTGTCATCCTGATGAGGAATCCCTGGCCGAGCTCCATGCCGAGATATCTCAGTTCCCGGTAGTGTGTCTGACTGATGAACACCGAGGGGATCGTAATGTCGGACGTGTCCTCTATGTATGGCCGCACAAAAAACAAGGTGTTGGTGTCAGCAGAGGGGGGACGAGGGATTTATGCTTATTCATTGACATCATAGGTTGAGAGAGTGCAGTAAGAGTGCACAGTATCCCACATGTGAGCGTCAGTGCGGCGATGAGAGAATCCTGCATTGTGCATAATGCACTGCCAGAGATTATTATTTTGCTCACACGCTCGCTCTCCACCTTATGGGTCAGACCCCTGCTCACCCAGGGAATGTTTGTTCCTTCGCGACGTCCTTTTTGTACTCGTTGTATGGTTGATGGATAGGGTTCATGTCAATCGACAACTGTGTCCATGCTTTCCCTCTCATCTGGGCGTCCTTGCTTTGATTCTGGGCGTGTGTCAATATGTGTCGCCCCGTCGATATTTGTCCTCCTGCTTCCCATGCCTCCCATGCTTCACTCCTCTCTACTCATCAAATCAAACCAACAAAACCTTACCTCGGTTAGAGTACATCGTCACCAAAGGCCCCCTCAGACAGTCACCCACAACAACCGCAGAGGCCCCGCTGGCCATCATATTCTTGACCTTGTCCACAAACCCACATTTCCCTCCTCGTTCCACCAACGCTGCCCATGGCTTATCCCGGATATTGTTGTGCAAGGAGGAATTGAAGACGACGGGGCGACAGGCGGTTCGAGACTCGGAGGGGTCTAGGGTCTCGACGGCGATGAGGCTGAAAGTGGAGGGGGAGGGGGAGGATGTTTCGTCTAAGCGGGGGCCGAATGCTGCTGCCCTGGCGACGTATGTGTCGTTTGTTTTCTGTTTGAAGGTGAGTTGATTGAAAGAAGGCGGTGAAATATTAGAGCGTAGGGTTCTTGTGGTATGTATGCGTGCGAGGTTGTGTGAAGAAGAAAGAAAGTAGTCCCTTGACTAATTCTTACAAGAACGAGGATGGATTCGTTGGTGGTGTCGAATGAGACGGAGAACAAGACGAGCATGCAGAGCCAGGTCATGAAGAGGAGGAATGTTGACTCTCGAATGGGCATTGTGCTTGTTTGAATGAAACCAGAAGGGTATTTGGTATTAGGAAGGGAAGAAAGGAGAAAAGAAGAGAAAGGAGAAGAGGAGGAGTGGTGTGACCCTCTTTTCGAAATGTAAAGGAGAGACAAGGAGGGAGGAGTTGGCATCGATTCAAAGAAAAACGAGGGCGAAAGCAAAAAAAAAAATATTCTGCCTTTGGTCTGGTCATACTGGTCAAAGAATTAGCTCCCACTGGTTCCAGATGGGACACCCCTCTCCATTGAAAAAGGGAATATCTTGTTGTCAAGACCTCTTTACCATTCACTCATCAAAGACACGATGCAGCCACCCCTTGGTACTCTTCACTACTTTTTACACACTTAGCCAGACACATCTGCATGCATCACTACCACTGCCTATTCAACTTCGTTCAATATACCTCGCCCGGACCCTTACTTGCTATTTACCACGTCTCCCTTGATGTGTTCCCCGGGAATGGAAAGACGAGAGACGACTGGACGAGGGGACGAGGAACGAGTGTGCTTTCCAAGTGTTTTAATGAAGTGAGTTATGAACTGTTGAGCTATCTAGCGAAACTGGACTATCCTGCAAAAAGGAGTGATTGGATCTTTCATGTGCTAATGAAAAACGCCGCTAACTCGTCTTCTTTTAGCCTCCTTTGTCGGTGTTGTCCTTGTCTGCTCAATCATGTCACAGGCAGCTCGCAAGTCTTGGTCGGTCGGCACCAGATGAGTACGTCGAATGGTCTCTTCTTCCAGGTCAAGCGCGAACTTCAAACAGGTCTTGACACAGGTCTCCATCCTCGTTGCAAAGTGCGACTTTCTCAGCGGCACAAGCATCCTCCCAACTTCCCTGAGCCTGTACGTGCCAATAAAATCCATCGCATAAAATTTAGTCTCGTCTTCAAATGATGTGGAGCCAAAAACGGAAAGATCCTTAGAAGGGACAGACTCTCGGGCGATGGATCGGATCTGACAGTTCCACGAGTCCCGCATACAACGCACTACTTTAAACTTGTCCTTGAACTCCTTGTCTTGCTTGGGCTCGTGAATGAGTGACGCCTCTGCTATATAGATCTGATGATCTTCAAAGAGAGCAACGCCATCAGCCATAGATGCCTGCTCCTCAGTCTCTGCCGAAAGATCCCGCCCATAATTCTTCCTCTCCTTCGTCCCTGCTACTGGTATCTCATAGCATCGCGACCGGATACCAACTAACGTCAAAGCACCTCGAATAAAAGGCCATGTGAGGTCGCCAAAGCCTTCCCGCTCATTGAGGTTTCTCGACACCTGATCAGAAAATTTCAAATAATGGGAGCTACGTAAAAACAAGCAAGTTAGAACCTTACTTGTTCATGATCACAAATAACCCCTTAGCAATAAGCGAGCACCTACTAATTATATGTTATATCTCGAAAATAATCAATAATAGGATCATTGACATCTTCTTTTCTCAACGCATTCACCACGTCGTCATATGAACGTGACGGAGCACAAACTCGAGAAAGGATTGACAAGAGAGATGGCCACTTCTGCTCGATGTCTTCGCCTGAGTTGGTATTAGCATTAGCTAGCATCCGCTGCTCGTGGGATAAAACCAGAGAAAATGCTGAACCTGGCGTAACATCAGCAATTCCATCCAGTGCCAACGAAAACCGAGATTGAGGTTGGCGCTTGAAGTCGGTAAACTTGGACAACAGATCAACATCACCGACCGTCCGTATGCTCGTTTGATTCAGTGAAGCTAGCGCTGCCGCTGTAGAAAGAAGGAAAAAATATATTCGTGTCAAACTTCATATAAACAACAAAACGAAATACAAGTCCGCTATCCGTACTTACATTTCTCCTCAACTACAACCTCCTCTGTAGAGGCGTCAAATACATTCGTAAGAGGCACTTGACGCACAGCTGGACTGCCAGGACTCGATGCTAGGTGCTGGCTAAGGAAGGTGGGCGATTTCGGTGCACGCGGAGGAGGCGTTCTCGATCCTACAAAGATAAGCAACATAAATACTGCGCATCAATACACACATTTGAAGCTGTCGCTATTACGTGCCATGTACATCAAGTTTACCTTCAGAGTTCCACGTTAATAATGGGGATTTATTATACAGAGTAGTCTCATCACCTAGTTCGTCTTCAGTATCAAGCCTCTTCCGCCGCCTGACGCCATCTACAGAGGCGATAACACACTACGCATTAATACTCCTGCGATTATCCAGATTACACTTAGCACTCCGATAACAGAACGAGCAATACCTTCAGTAGCTTGACGGTATACATCGCTATCGACATCAACATGAAATATCTTTTTTTCCAGTAGTGCTGTCTGTTCCGACTCCAACAACGCCTTGTGTCGGGCCCACAATATAATAGGTCCAAAGTTTATGGCAAAATGCGCGAATCCGGTTGTCGAATGGCCTGCGAGCAGTCCTAAGCACTTTCAATATTTCAAAGAAAGGATCCAGATTTGGTTCCCCATATTCCAAGTAAAATTCTGGAAGCCACTTTTGAGGCGGATGCTTGTAGAAGAACTGGTAACGCTGATACGTTCCAACAGTAATGGGTATGTCGACCTTGGTGGGCTCTGCCGGAGGATGCAAGTGGGTTGGGGTAGGAGTATAAGACTAGAGATCAAAAACTCAAAAGAGATAATTAATAAAAAATATTCATTATTTTCAACAATTAACACCATTTGTCAGAAAAGGTGGGAGGGTGAAAGAATCACTTCAAAAGGGGCCATCTTGGATTCCCAAGGTGGTGTGGCGTGCTCGGCGATGCTCAACCATTAGTATCACATTGTGCGCCGGACAGCACACCACGATATACTACACCTTTAACTGCCGGAGAAAGCTCCGGTCGCAGTTATTGTGCAAGACCATCTTAGCGAAAAGAGGCCACGAAGATAGCACAGTGTTGAAACCAACATTGCACATTACACCTCCGCACTTGCTTAATGGGAGTTCATAAGAAAAAACTGTGTGTATGTGCGTTTTAAGGGGCCACTTAGCTAATGTTAGACATTAACTAAGCAGTGTGGCATGCTCGGCGATGCTCGACCAAAGGGTGTCACACTATGCGCCGGACAGCACGCCACTATACTATACCTTGAACTGCCGAAGAAAGCTCCGGTCGCAGTCCTTAGATTCAACAGCATCGCTGTGAAAGCTGGTGCTCTATATAATAATGTACCATGGTATGCGATCAACAAATGGAGAGGATGAGAAGAAGGAGAAGGATGGAGTTGAGGATTTGGGCGCGTAAATTACATCACGGACACGAAAGCACGTGTATGATCACGTGACATCACTCGAATCAGAGACTACACTCAACTTTTTTTTATCATACAAAACCAACTTTTTTTTATCCGGACAGTTACTAAGAAAACTGTCCGGACAAGCAATTGAAATGAATGAATTGATTTGTTATCCTATCGAGCTAGCTTGGTCTCTTATCCTTTATGCATGGAATCAACTCAAACCATCGACAGTTCGGAATTGCTTTTTGCCAAAACCCAGGTCCTTTCTGCCCAGAAAGTCCGAACAATTGCGACGGCGTCGAAAACCAGCAGAGGAACAGTGGGAGCACATCAGATACCAGCATCGCGAAGCTTTGCTCCAGGAGATAAGTGCCTATTTTGAGAACTTGATCGCCGAGACGATAAAAGACAACCACGAGCAATGGCACTGGAGGTTCGCCAGGATGGGGTGATGGATGCACAGGACATAGCAGACGATGCGTTGTTAGCTGAGCCTGCAGTGGAAGACGAGGACAAAGCAGCCGAGTCTGTAACAACTCCTCCTCAAGGTCGAGCTGTGTGGTCTGATACGGATGATGGGGTGAGCTCCGCTGTAGCAGAAGCAGACTTTGAAGCAAGCGTCGGATACCTGCGAAGCCTAACAGGGGGACGCGACCCTCTGAGTGCTGATGGTCTCAAGGCGATGAGAGTTGCAGCGAGCAGTGGATCGTCGAAGTGTCAGGAGGTCAGTAAATTGATAAAAGCCCTTGTGCGGGCTACGGCCAAGGTGCAATCATTCGTGGGGCCAGTATTTTCGGACAGTCCGTCGCATTCAGCAGCAAACAACAACTACAGCACTATCATCATAGACAGCGACGGCAGCGACATCAGCGAGGAGCCCCTTATTCGCCGTCGTACCACTACAGTATCAGCTGTGCATGGACTTGCACCCCTCCAAAGCTGTGTTGATTCTGGTAGAGGGCTTTTTGATGGACTTGAAGGAGAGGTTGGTGTTGGATTTGGTGAAGAGGTTGATATTGGACGTGATGGTAGAGGTGATGAGGACCATACTGGCGATTACAGTGTGTATAGCGGCAGCGGTAATGCAGCGGACAAAAGCGGCAGCGACAATGGTAGTGTCAGCGACAACGGTAGCGACGATGATGGTGACGATAATATGTAGCATGCAATAACTCGAGCCTTCTCCTTGTTCACACCTTTATTTTCTGGGACAGTTTTCTTAGTAAACTGTCCGGATAAAAAAAAGTTGAGTGTACCTCGTATTTGCAGGTATGATACCGCGTATTTGCAGGTGTGGATACCTCCTGTTTTGCAGGTAACAACCAGTATCATACACTGGATTACATGTAAACATAGACCCATCCACGATTATTCATATTCAGAAAAAAAAGAAATGACAATGAGCGAAGAAAATGCACGCGTTTTATTCGTATTCATCGCACTCACCACTATCACCCTCACTATCGCCACCACCACCGCCCGCTACGATTGTCAAGCCCAGGTCCCCCTCCTCCGCGTAAGGCCTCATAGACGGCAGCGGGGGGTCTTTGCAGTTCTCCCTTGCCCACAAATTTCAGGAACTGCAAATATTGCGGCATCGTGAACACATCGTCGTTAAAGTCAGCTTTGGCTTGAGGATAGTGCGGTGATGGATCTAAAGTAAACGGGTTTACTAAATCCGTAGGGATGAACTGGGAGGGTGCCAACTGCCAAGGAGAGATTGGAGTGCTGATAGTGACGTAAACCCCCGTTGTGTTGATGGTGCTGCTCAATCCATCGAAAATTGCTGACTATATACCTCGATTAGCCGCTAGACGATATACCGGTCAGGATCAATGATGGTCAATCGGGTCGATGGCTCAGGCCAGAGTGTGATACTGGCGACTTCTTTATACACGTGAAGAGGGTCGTGAGATAAACGAAACAGTTCGAACTATTGCCATTTGGGCATGGAGAAAAGGAAGGCACGCAAAAACGATCAAGGGGGATCAACTGCACTCAATGTATCAGCCAGTTCAATTGCTTTGTTGTTGACAAAAAACTTTTTTTTATTATTCATACACCTCTTATGCTTCAACTGATCCAACTTCCTGATCTCCCGATCACTTCTTGATCTAAAAAAGACAAAAAAACTGGAAGAATAAAAAAGAGTTAGGGGATATGAACCACATACCTATAAACGAGCTCCGTGAACGTCGAGCGCATCCTCAAACGGTGGTTATTCATTTTATCTTGCAAACAGTGTAAGTGCGATCTTCTTAAAAGAAAACCCTCTGCGTCACTCTCGAGAAGGAATGGTAAGAATCCCTCGGTGTGTGCACAGTTTATTTGCGGATTGTGGAAGGGGGAGTGTGTGGGTGGGGGTTGGAGGGGGGTTCGGCCGGTTGAGGGAGAGGAGGAATTGTCATGAAATAACCAGTCGTTTGTTTCTTAAGGATGCGTTCGAGATTCCAAATGGTTGCTGATCAGTTTGGTAGACTTACGTTGTGGAGGGAAGAGTTGATTGCTTTTAGAACACACCTCAAACTCTTTTATACTCCTCTGTAGAAAAAAACATGTGTGAAAAAATTTCTTTGCTATGTAACACGTCACAGGAAATGGTTGCCATGCACAAGGTAAGAGAATCGCCACCAATCTTGAGCTGAAAAACGATGCTTTACTTTGAAAAAGATGCAATGAAAGGAAAAGAAAAGGATACTATGGACAAGTAGGCGAAGAAGTATATATATATAAAAGAAAGTGAACCCAGTTACCAACGGAGCTCGCCAGAGATAAGGCGGAGGATGATATAGACCATCGATCCAATAAACCGGAAGGCAGACAGGAATGCAACGGACCACAACACAAAGCCCAAATAAAACTTGGACCGCCCATCGTACGCATCGTTCTTTTCGTCGCCTCCATACGTAATAATGCTCACAAGCAACGCGTTCGACGCACACCAGATCAACACCAACCGAGTACGGAAGGCCTTGTAGTAATCCTCCTGTTCTGTCTTTGCATCTGGGGGCTTCACTTCCTCAGGGGTCCTCTCCATCATCGAGTCCAATGCAAGCTGATAGTTCGCGTTGATATCCTTCTCCTCCGTCGGCACATCCACAGTCACCTCGGCCGTCTTGGCATCAGACGACGCTTTCGCGACTCCTAGGTCCATATTCTCAATAGTATCTCCCTTGGTTCCCCAACTCACATCGTGTGTGTTACAGAACGCATACACATTCAGCACGTTCACAAAGCTATTTTCATATAGAGAAGAACGTGTCAGTATATGTGAAGAGGAACGCAATTTACAAACAGCATATATACGAGTAAAAAAGAGAAGGTCCTTACCTGGGCATCATGCCAAGGTACTGAATGAAGCTGGTAAACATATGCCAGGGCTCAAAGTAGATGATGGATCCGGCAAGGTAGAGTCCATAGGTCGAAGCCAGCGACAAAATAACGCCTCTGAACGTCTCATCCTGCATCAATGCTCCAAAACTGGTCGCACCTGCTGCCATCGCTGTCTGAATTCCAAGCTTGGTCATCCAAATAGCGGCGAACGTCATGTACACCATCAAGAACGCGAAAAAAACCATCGCCCCCGTGTACAGCACCCTCGATCTATTGCACATTGAGAGCAAAAGCATGCGTGTTAGCAAAAATACATACTCCAGAATGAACAAGTAGGCCAAATAATAATCATAACACCAAGAGACTTACCCAGTAGGTCGGTTACCCAAACTGAGGACAAACATGGTGATGACAAGGAACTGGTAGGCGTAGCGCAGTAAGACAAACAGAACCTTGGCCACAGAGTTGTCTCCAAATGGACTGTTTCCAGGGATCGTGAGCGAGTTGGCCAAGATGTAAAAGGTCAGATAAATGTTGGCCTATTGAGTAAAGAAAACAGAAGCATGTTAGCATAATGTGTATAAACTCTCTAGCAAAAAAAAAAAGAGGGGGGTGGGAGGACTCACCATAGCGAACCAACTGAACAAGAGGGAGACGACGTTGTAGATAAGCTGGATGTGGAAGAGGAACTTTCTCCAGCCAGCATGATCACTCAGGTAGACCTTGCGGAAATGGAAGACAGAGAACAGCGCCACAAAAAAGGTTCCGTTCAACCAACGACGACGCTGACTGATCAGCTCAGGAACCGTGTCGGGTACATCTGTTTCGGCCCAGGCTGACTTGACATATCGGAGCGTCCAGGCATAGCCCCTCTTGGCCACCAGCTCGAAACAAAGAATACGATCCTCTGCGAGGTACATGTTGGCGTCGAAAATGCCCGAGTCTGCCGTAGGCTTCTCTCCCTTGAAATAGCTGACCAAAGGTCCCTCGTTAGGCGTCTCGGGCGAGGTCAACAGCGCCTTGTATCTGTATGCCGAGAACGCACCAGGAAGCACCTGAATATATCCAATGACTGACTCCAAGGGCTTGTCCAGAATATTGTTCTAATAGGCAGCAAAACTAATGGGTTAACAACATTGCGCTGTACCAACAATTCAGATTCAAAAACGAAATAAAAGAAGTGATGCTTACCATCTTGTACTCAAAGTTCTGGGCGGCGACGAGAGGGTTCAGCAGATTCTTGGCACCGGTGCCCTTGACGGGTTTGATCTCACCGCAGGCACCAGCGACATTAGAGTTGAGATCAAAGACCTTCCAGAGCTGGTAGATTGAGGTGGGTCCTGGTCGTGTTCCAACATCCAGCAAGATACAAACGCGGGGATTGATGATGGGTCCGAAGGCGTTGAAGAACCAGCGGTGAGAGTTGAGTTTTTTGGCGTTTTGTTCCTTAAGACAGAACATGATCTGGACTGGCGCATAGTCGCTCGCCTTTGACGGGGTAATCTTCATCGACGGGTCGATCGTCACCTGCGTCGTGTACTATTATAATATGGCGCAATTGTAGTAGTTGTTAGTTTGTTATTTTTAAACTATTGTCGTTTTTTACTTGTTATTTTGCGTTCATTGCCATTGCCATTGTTTTCTTCCAGTTATTTCCATCCAGCGTCGTCCATTCTTTTAAGTGTAAAAAGTTCAATTGCCCACGAAGCAACAATTACCTCGTAGATGTGAGCGGTGACCGGCTTGCCGTTGACTTCACGCTTGGCAATACCCTCCTGATAGACACCCATGGCCGCCAGGTACTGATAGACCTTTTCGTTACATTTCTTGCGTCCATCTGCAACAATACAGACGACGACCTTCTCCCATGCTCCCTCGCCCCAGGTCTTGGAGTTGGTTCTTGAGACGAGGTGGCGAATATTTCTGATAATCCCGTGCATCGTCTCTGCAAAAAGAATTTCATCCTCCTGTTATTCGTCGTTGTCGTTGGTAGTATCGTAGACATAGGGACATGGATAAGGGGCATTAGCAAAAGGGGAGTTGTAGAAAGAAGAAAGGAAAGATATCATTAGTAAACAACTCTTGCCTTTTCCTTCTTTTTCGATCCTTAAAGAGTCGACTCACTTTTTGCCACAGTGAACACAAACAACGGCAAAACAACAATAAACGAAAAATAACAACCAAAAACACTACCCTCTCAAACTTACGTTGTACATTGTAACGACGATAAAAAGTTCCGTCTCTCTGTTCCACATCGTCGGCCTCAACGTGTAATTCTCATTCTTGAAGTCATCCGGATCACACGTAACAGCCGTATATCTCATAAACTCCCATTCTTCCCCCTCCTGTTGCTTCTGGTGTTGCAAGTAATGCGTAGGCACAGGGGACATCAAGACCAAGTTTCCGTCAGTGAGCTGGACATTTTTTTTGGTCTTGTACCGACGTTCTTGACGCTCGGGGACTTCGCCGACGTAACGGGGTTGCAAGAAGGGTGTCTGGACGCCTGACAGGTGAGGGGTTGCGCCTCCAGGGAGAAGAGTGTCGGCGGCACCGGGGTATAATTGGTGGTGTTGGGGCATGGGTGTGTGCTGCTGGTATGGGGTGTGTGGTTGGTAGGCGCCGGCTGCTGAGGAGTGACCAATCCCGGGGGTGGTTCCTCCAAGACGAGGGTTGTAGTCGTCGTCTTCTTCCTGCTTCTGATTGAAGTCGTGGAGCTGCACGTACTGGGCCATGGCTGGTGACCTTTTTGTTGTTATGCAGGTATTGGATTAGAAAAGAGCACAAAAAGAGCAATGAGAGTGAAAAAGTGGGTATTGGGTGTGAGATGAAGATGGACGGCTGTGTGGAATCTACAAGGGTGATGAAGGAGTTGAAGTGGGGTGAAGGAAAGAAAAAAAGGAAAGAAAGAAGAGAGAAAGAAGAGAGAAAGAAGGAGCGAAAAGACAGAAGGAGAGAAGAGGAAGAAGGGTCGACTGACTGGCACAGGGGGAATAACTCGTTCTCGACCCCTTTCTTTCTTCCTCTCCCTTTAAAGTTCCCGTTCGCTTTACTTTTGCTTTTCTGCTGCTGTTATCATCCGCACGAACGCTTTCGAGTGGCGAGTCCGCTCTATTTTTGTTTCTTCTTGTTGTGGACAAGGTTCCTTTGGTGCGACTTTTACTTTTTCAAAACAACAATAACAACACAAACAAACCATCCCTAGTGCTCTGAGCATCGACTCTTCCCTTACACTTTTTTCTGCCCTTCCAGGGGCTATGCTCTCGCTCCCTCATATCTCGCATGGGCATAAACACGAAGTATCTTCATGGCTCGATTCCCCTGCCTCCATTACTTCCCGCTTGGGCCTGGCCCTGCACACATCCCTTCCCATTTTTTTCATGTTGCTTGACCTTTCTTTGTTCCTTCCTCAATGACAACGCGACTTTTCTGGACGCCACACGGCACAGCACGACATAGCACCACCACCAAATCCGTCGTCAAACTTTTTCCTTGGCCAAGCCATGACACAAGTCAAAGAAGAAAAACACTCACACACACACCCTTGTTACCAGCAGGGGAGGCTTGGAAGGCCCAAAAAAAAAAAAAAAAAAAAAAACAAGCAAAAAAGAAAAATGCGGGACGAGCAGATTTTTTTTTCTTCCCGCCGAAGGTCCCAACCTTGTTTGCTTTTTTCTCTCTCACCTCCCAGCACAGCCCTCGTCCTTCAAACTGCGCTTTCGGGGCTAGAGGCTTTCCTAAAAATAGCACAGCCACAGACCATGCCATGATCTCATGTCACCCATACTCCTCTTGTTATACAATGCACGAGACAAGCAACCGTACTCCACGTTAGCAAAAATGATGCAGCATGACATCCTTCTCCTTTTTCATTCGTGTTCATGTTCGTGTTGATATTTGTTATTGAAACAAAAAGAAGGGTCGATAGTTGGCTAGAATACAAAAAAAGGAGGGAGCTGTTGAAGGCTTTGTGGTGTCGGTTCCTGACCTCGTTAAACGACAAATGGAGAACTGGCGAAGACCATCTTCGCTGCCATTATCTCCTGGTCACTGGGTTGAGACCAGAACCAGGGTTGGAATTGATTGCATATTGCAGTTCTATAAGACCAAACAATAAATAGAAGCCTTGGCATTAGCACGTTGCTTCTTTTTGCGAATCCACGATCGAGCCTCATAGGTATATGTATGTGTGCTCTTGAAATAACATAGTCTTGGCATTTTGTGAAAGGGGTTCATGTTTCTTACCATCCTCGACTGTTGTTGCGCGGTTATTATTGCTCTCGGTCGGAGTCGTGTTATAGGGTCTGTTGGGGAGAGGTGGAGTAGGTCCATCCAGAGGAGGGGTTGTCCTGTTGTTCCGGGCTATTGATCGCGAACGGAAATGACAAAGATTTTCAGTTAGAACATGCCGAACAGCATTACATACAGTCGCCCCATGCCAAGAAGAAGTAAATGAGCTACGAGACTTACAAAGAGGCTCGTCCTCGTCTGCGCGCGATCCAAACCGGATGGGTTCATCGGGGCGATCACTAAGAGGTAAAGACAGTGCTCATGTTAATATCAATGTTAACACTCATGAAGAACAACCACCCCTTGAAATGGTGCGAGTAATAGTCACCTGTAATCGTCATAGTAGCCGCCTTGGCTGGAGCCTCCGTTCCTGTAGGCGCCTTGTTGTTGTTGCTGCTGTTGCGCCTGCTGTCTTGCCGTAGCCTCAGCCCTGTTGGCCTTAAACTGGGTGTACCACTCGTTCACCTTCTTCTTGGTGGCTAATTGGAGGTAGGTAAAGTAAAATCGAGGTGAGACGTTTGTTCATAATCCAGCTATCATAATCGCGCTTGACAACATCGATCCTTTCAAGGGATGTTCGCCTTACTATCAGCAGCCACATTGAATCGCTCCTTGATCTTGGGCAATTCCTCTATGTGAATATAAAGAAAAACAACGACGGTTAGAATACACGCTGGAGAGAATGGCCTTTAACAAAATGTACAATTCCCTCCAACAAAGAGGAAGGATGCCGTACCATCCATGAGTTCTTTCATTTCGGCAACAAAGCCAGGTCCCTCCTGCTCCTGCTGCTGCTGCTGGTTCTGTTGTCCACTAACATTCTGTCTATCACGGGCTATTAAGTTACAAATATGCAAGGAGAGCAACGGAATTAACATCCGGTCCACAGAAACACAACAACGATTGAGATTAGTGACGTTCTAGTCAACGGCGAAGGAGAGGAAGAATGGAAGAGAAGGCACAGAAAGAAAACGAAAGCCCGATGGTTACACGTTCCGACACATGACGCAAACACAAACAAAAAATACATTCGAAAAGTCAGGGTCATCCAAAAAAAAAAAAAAAAGTGCTCTCACGGTCCGTAATAAGAACAACAAGGTCAACAAGAAGAAGGAAACGCACCTCTGTATTCATCCATGGCAGCCAAGGTGCGAGCAAAGTCCTCATCAGCGCGCAACTGTTGTTCAGAGGTCGATGTCGATGCCAAGAGAATGGGCTATTTGAGACACAAAGAGATAAAAAAAAGGGTTAGAAAAAAAGTAACGAATCATTTTTAGTTGTTTCCCGCGTTTCTATTTTGCAAGGACGAGTTGACGATATCCTGTTGTTGCCAAGAAAAAACCTCGTCTTCTCTTCGCCGTCTCCTTTTCGTCAATTCACCCAATGACAAGCATATGAAAGGTGTCTTACATCAATATTGCGCTGAGTTTGTTGGTTCTGACCTCCAAGGTTCAAGTTGTCCATTGGACTGACCAAGTCGTTGGACTGACGACGGGGCAGCGCAGGCGCATCCGAAGAAGGAACGCGGGCTGGAGCAGGAGCAGGGGCGCGAATAGGCTGTGGTGCAGGCACAGGATCGGCATGGAATTCGGGGTCAGAGATCTCGAGCAAGGCATTGATACTGGCCTCGACGTCTCCACGATGACTCTCGAGGACAAACTCGCAGACCTCCTTCTCGACCGTGGGAAAGGCCTCAGTCAGGATGGCCAATCTGGCCTCTCTTTCAGACTGAGCAGGGTTGGTGGCAGGCTCAGCAGGAACCTGAGCAGGAGCAAGAGCAGGAGGAGGGGAGGCAGGGGCAGCAGAGGTTACGAGAGGAGCCACAGGGACGACAGTGGCAGCAGCAGCAGCAGTGGAGGAAGAGTGGATGTTGATATCTTCGTCCTCGTCGTCTTCATCCTCGTCGTCTTCATCCTTGATGGTGGTATCCTTGACCTTGGGGCTGTCTTTCTTTGTGGCCTGGGGTGAACCAGGTCTCTTATCGGATGCAGGTGCATCGAGGTGGATAGTGTCGTTGTTGTCGTGGTCGTTCTCATCGATATCGTCGTCGAGGAGAGCGCTGATATCGTCCTCCTTGGGGTTGCTGATGTTGTCTTTGTCAGTGGCGGACATTTTCTTGGTTCTTGGTTTGTTGTGAGATGGGTGGGTGAAGTGATGAGGGGAGGGAATGAAGAAGAAGAATGAAAGGAGAGGGACCCACGTTTTAAAGGGAGTTAGTTCCCTTCCACTCTGTGACTCGTTTAGCAGCACTTTGGACGACGTCAAGGTTAGTTAGTTATTGGTGGCACTCCTCTTGACCTGTGCCAAGAGAGCGAGCAAAGAAACAAAGACAGGGCTGTTGTGGTTCTGGACAGCGATAACGGACACTGCTACTGCTGGCCAAGAATTCAATCGTTATGGAGGAATGGAGGAGATGATGATAACTAGGATGTGTATCTGTCTTCTTTCCTGTGCAGAGAAAGGCAACATTTTCCTGAGGTTCGATGTCATCCTCTGAACAAGTAAGGTTTGTCTATGACGGCAACTGGCACACCAGCACCAAGTGACTCTCGACACTCGATTTTTCCAAGAGCGCCTGCTTTTCGCGCCTCCCTCCCTTTGCTTTCTTCTTTTCTTTTCCCTTCACACTCCTCACTCCACACTCCACACCCACCGCCAACGACACAACAACAAAGAAATGTCGGCCGCTAACGTACCCGAGGCACTCAAGACCATCACCCCCTTCCTCCAACGAGCAGCCCAGCTCCAGGAACGAGAACCCGTCGTCTCCTATTACTGTATGCTGCGACCTCTTTCACATGGACGACTTCAAAAAGCGACACACCTCATACTCTTGGCACACTCTCTGGGCTGTTGCTTCTGTCATGTACCAACACTTGACTCATTCTGCAAACGCGTTCTTCTTTTCCTTCTTTTTCTTTTTTCTCTTCTCTCTTTTCCATTAGCAAACTACTATGCGGCAAAGCTAGCGATTCAAAAGGCGTCCAAGGACAACAGCTGCAGACCATTCATCGTTGAACTCTTGGACGTGCTGGAAAAGGTTAGTCACTTCAGGAAACATCTCGCACCTTCTTGACACTCCTACATTGCAACTGACACCGTCGTGCCTGAATCGACCCCTGTTACACATCTCGTCACCACTCATCGCACACACTGACAACCCTTTGCTCCTTTCTTTTTGTTCAACTAACAAATAATAGCAAAGGAAGGATATGGGAGAGAATGAGGCGATTACCAGCGAACTCGTAGGATATGCCCATGTTGAGAACTTTGCCATCAAGATCTTTGGTAAAGCCGACGACGAGGATCGTGCCGGACAGGGTTCCCAGTAAGTGTTTTTGTTATTTTTGTCTGGACGAGAATGAATATGCCTTTCAGGAAAAAAAAAAAGTAGGAAGAAGGCAGGAAGTGATAAAGAAAAAAAAAACCAGAAAGCCTTATAACCCACTCCAGTTCTCAGCCTTCAAACGAATCTCCCTTGGAAAAGAAGAGGAAACAAAAAAGACACGCAATCCTGTTCCGCTTACTGATAAAACCACACTTCATCCTCTTCTTCCTGTATTCACTTATGCGCCATCTAATAGAAAGACTGCCAAGAACTTTGTAGCCGCAGCGAATTTCTTAGAGTTGCTCAAGGTGTTCGGCGACATTGACTCAGAGGTCGAGGAAAAGATCAAGTACGCCAAATGGAGAGCCGCAGATATCGTCAAGGCCATCCGTGACGGACGTCAGCCTGCACCCCCACCTGGCGCCAATATTAACAATAACAACAACGACCAACCCAATCAGGATTTCATTGACACTTCTTCGTTGTCTGGATTCGATACTTCTGCTTCAGGTGCAGCAGCGACGAATGCGTTTTCGCCACCTTCTGCTGCTGCCACGTTCTCCCCTCCCGTGCAACCACCACAACAGCCTGCTGGAGGACCCGCTTTTCCCACGATCTCCAATTTCCCCTCGCCTCCTTTGGGACACTCCGCCAGCACCTTGAACAACAATGATAACACCAACAACTATAACAACAACACTGGGTTCAATGGCTCAATTGGAGGAGACAGTATCAACAATAACAACAGCTGGAATCAGTCAGGCGTGAGTCCAAACTTGAACCAAGGGCAGGTTCCCTACAACAACAACCCTGCAGGATCACCTCCAGTCCATCATCAACAACAGCCTCAACAACCACAACAACCCCAGTTCCCCCCTTCCAACTACAACAATATCCAGCCTACGTTGCCAGTGTCGCCTATTCCTCCCGCCACACAGTACTCGCCCTACCAGCCTCCGGCACCGGCACCAGCACCGGCACCTGTCTCTAACCCATACACTCCTCAACCTCAGCAACCCTTCGGAGGAGGTTACAACTCGCCCTCTGCACCCTACCAACAACCATCAGTACATTCTCCATATGTTCCTGCGGCGCCAGCAATGGTCCTCGACCCTGCGGTCAGCACCCAGATCCAGAAGCACTGCAAGTGGACTGTCTCTGCATTGACCTACGACGATATCCCGACCGCCATCGACAATCTCGAAAAGGCCCTTGCCCTCCTCCGCGTAAGTCTTTTTTTTTTCGATTGATTGATTGTCAGCTTATCATACGCTGTTTGTAGCTCTCCCTGAAGAAGAGTAGCAATACTAACACATTCGCCTATTACTTTTTCTTTCACTCCATTCTTTCGTGCTTGTTGTTGATATAGCCTTACCAAAACAACAAATAAAGAAAACGTGGCAAACCCCACCTCAAGGTTTTTTTTTGACATCTTTTTCATCTTGTGTTTCGAGCTAGTGTATTTTTTTGTTTTCGACGATCCGACAGTTGTCATAATAGCACTACATAAATGATCCATTGCTCTGGTGTCCGAATCCAGTCTGCTGCTGCTGCTGCTGTTGACCCCAAGGGTTACCGGCTCCTGTTGGGTTACTGTTCACCATTCTTTGGTTCATCCCTCCAGCATTGTTGTTGCCACCGAATGCGCTGTTCATGTTCATAAAATCCGTCCCGTTCCCACTTCCACCCATCCCTGCAACCATCCCAGTCGGTTGAGTCGGAACCTTTCCAAAGTTGGGCGAGAATGGGTTGAGCGGGTTGGCCGAGGGTGCAAAGGGGTTGGTGCTCCCTGTTGGTTGTGACGAGACCATGTTCGAATTGGGCATCGAGTTGTAGTGCTGCATCCCTGTCATCATCGGCATTGCCGGCACCGGCGGCACTTGCTGTTGCTGTAGTGAAGTAGGGCCGCCACCCATCCGGAAGGGGTTTCCAGTATTCTGTGGCATGATCATCCCGCTGTTGTTGTTGTTGTTGTTGTTGTTGTTGGCCTGGTATAAGTTGGACTGACTGCCGCCCATCGCAAAGGGATTGGTGTTGCCATATCCCGTCTGTTGCGGCATGACCATATCCGCTTGTTGGAACATATTATTGTTCCCTGGCATGCCCGTAAACTGACTCTGCAGCATCTGCTGTTGTTGCAACTGCTGCTGCTGTTGTTGCATCTGCAAGAACTGTTGTTGCTGCATCTGGAGTTGAAGTTGGAACTGTTGGAAGGCATCGCCGCCGGTCATGAGTTGGGCCTGGAAGTTGTTGGGGTTCTGTTGGATCGTCGTCTCCTCGTTATCGATGCTTGAAAAGAAATCGATCATGTCCTTCTTGGTGCTCTGGCGCTTGGATGACTCGTCCGCCGTCTTCTTGTTCGCCCACGTATCATTGTCTAGAAATTGACATGTAAAAGTCTAAGTGGAATGCTTTTGATAGAGGAAGAGGCCCGCAGCTGTATCACTAACGTCATATGCCAGAAATGTCACATACCGTCCTTGGCGATATTGCTGTTGCTTTTGCCGTTGGTGTTTGAAGGTGTTGATGACGAGGACTTGGCGGCTGCAGGTTTGGATGCTGGCTTGGCGGCAGAGGTTGCTGTGACCTCTTTCTGCTTCACCGCCGCCTGTTGACCTTCCTCAAAGTCTGGGCTGTTCAAGTAGTCCTCTAGCGTCCTGACCAGCGATAAGGGTGCCTATTTGTTCAGACAAGACGTGCAAAAGTTTCACTGTCAACAACCTAAGTACAGAAAAACACCAACAGCAAAAAGACCATTTCACTGAACGACACTTACGTGTTTGAGCTGGGGAATGGTGATGTGGATGACACTCTCCATGCGCTTGGCAATACTAAAATACTCCATGGATTTTGTAGTCTGCTCCGCGAATGTTTTGTAGATCTGGAGTCCAAGTCGCGCCTGGTCCTTGGTCATCTCGAAATAGTGTTCTATTTTTAAGAACATTCGAAAGAAATGTCCGGTCAGACCATTTTCCCATGTTGTATGAATGTATCAAGGGCAGAACCCCATTCCTGTTTCATCATTTGTCAACTCAACCACATTGCAACGTAACGAGCAAAAAAAACAACAAAAAAGAGAAAGTGCGCCTACTCGAGCTCAACTTACGAAGAATGTTGATAACTCCTTCGTTCATTGCCTGGAAGAGACGCAACAGATCCTGGACGAGCAAGGCGAATGCTCCAATAGTGACTTCATTGCTCAGCTCGTCAACGTAGAACTAGTCGAATGAAAAATATGACGACATGGGACATTGTCGCTGTGTTAGAAGTAGAGACAAACAAGCATAGAAATCTTGCGAATATGTAGAAGAGGTTGTCAATGTAATTATACCTTGCAGCTCAACAATGCAGCGATTTGCTTCTGGAGGGCGGCAACATGATGCAGCAGCCCCTTTGACAGCGACAATGACTTCAAGTATCCATCCCGCCCTTGCACTCCTGTCCTGACTAGATCCCGCTTCAATTCACCGTAGACGTGGATCTTTTCAATGAGATAGGCTGCATATGCTCGGATCGTGCCAGAGTGTCCACCTATTCATGAGAAACAAACAAGTGGTAGTTGTTTCACAAACGTGTTAGAACCTCTCTGTCATCATATCCCATCACGTGCCGTGTTTTTGATTAATATACGACTGATGGATAGATGGACCCACTTACTGTTGGCACCACCTTTGTAGGCAGCAGAAAGGATGCCGCGCTGAGAAGCACAAAAGCTAAGGACATCGTTTCCTGCGTCTGACCTAGTAAGAAGGTGGATAACCAGGAGTGACTTGAACGAGGTCTAGAATTCGAAAGTGTGTACAGTCCCAAAGTTATAAAAAAAACACACGCACACAATGTTGAGAGCAAATGACAGGTGTATGTGTGAGTGCGAGTCGAAAAAACGGCTCTTTGTTTTCCTGTTGCTGTGACCAGGCGCAAGAACGCAATTCTCAGCTGAACACTGCAACAAAACACACACAACGGCATATAAGAAAGAAAAGAGAAAAGACGTACGGTCCAGGTGTTGCTTGAGAGTCTTGGTTGGAGTGCGTTCATAATCAGCATGATGTTGTGCATCGACGTGCTTGCTCCAAACAGCAATGCTACAGGCAGAGATGGTAATGGAGAGAAGAAAAGGAGGCGTGAGTCTCTCGCGTTCGACCTTCAACGACTTTTTTTTGTCGTCCTCCTTCATCCATGTTCGGTAGACAGAGTGTTGTCATTCCTCCTGAGTGTCTCTGTGTCCTTTCTTGTTTCTTTGTCCACTGCGATGTCTTCTAGTGGATGAGAAGAAGAAGAAGTAAAAAAAGGACCTACTATCGATGTATTTTTGCTTGGGGTACATGCACTTGGGCTTAGTTGCCCCGACAACGGCCTTCTCCATCCTGACGTTGACTGTTGATTGTTGTGGGGTGCGGGTGTGTGTGTAATTGTTTGTTTATCGATTCGGTTGTCGGTCAGTTGGTCAGTCAGTCAGTCGATCGGTATGGCGAAGAAAGAGAAAGGAGAGGGCGAACAAAAAAAGACGAGTGAAAAAGAAAGGAAAGAAAAAAGAGAGCGGATGAATCCCCATGGAACAGCAGACAAGACGGCAGACTAAACCACCTTCTCCCGTGTAATTATTTACCTTCGCATCTCGAACATCCTCCCCCAACGGCTGAAAGTGCTTCCACCTTCAATTCATTTTAAGAAGGTGCCTTGCCACCGTGATCACCTCCTTGATGATCGAGAGTGATACAAATACGATCGCGATCATTGGGCCGTTATCAGTAATGATCTCACTCTGCACCAGAAACTAGAGTGGCTGCACACAAACACCTTGTGTACTTCTCCATTCATCCAACCCAAAGGAACGCGAGCATTCGACAACGTAAACTAACTAGAATTTGTTCCGACCCCTAGACGTCCTTTTTCTGCCCAGCCTTCATTCCGAGCAATTGACCATACCCGCGCTATCATTCGGTAATCGTGGAACCGTGGTGACCCATGTCATTTGCCCGAATGTACTCGCTCGTACTCTCTCCGAGACGGGGTTTCGTTATTCCACTAGGCTTGTTGCACTGCTCTCGTAATGCTTCCTTCACCACACACTTTCCATTCTTTTCCTATTGTACATTTTTGATGGGGAACAGAAGAAGAGGAAGAGTAGGAGTTTGGATTTGCCTGCAGAATTCTATTAACGAAAGACCACGCTGCATCGAAAACGCCAATCGATTATCATGCACCATTCTTCTTCCAACGAACGCTACCCTTTTCATGTCGTTGCCATTCCCGCTCTTTTCTCCATCTCTTCCTTCTCCACGTTGTTGCACAAAGAAAACAAGGTCTTTTTGAACATGAATGAACACAAGGCAGATATGGTGGTAGTCTATGCATGTATGCAAAGCCGATATTTGTAGAGGACCTCGTCAGCTCGCAGCGCGATTGGAAGAAGCATGGACCGAAGAAAAGACTAATGAGCAAATAATGAGAACTGATTTTCTGAATGTCAACTCGCCCTTTCGTGAACCAGCTTTTGTACTTGTCGATCTCCTTCCTCAAAGACAATAAAAAAAAAGAAAAGATGGCTGACAGGGACGGCTCCAACGGTGACTTGGCTATATCCTTTCTATCCTCCCTTCCTCCTTCCTCTTCCCTGCCCTTCCTTTCTTGCATCCGTCGTCCGCTCTTTCAATCGCCACGCTTGTCCGACCACCCTCTTTCTTCCCTCGGCCTTTTTTCATTTTTTACATGACCGTCCTTCGAGCAAGGGATCAAAAAATGCAAAAACGTCAAGGCCTTGACTTTGGACGCCCACATGTGAACGCAGCTTGGCCCCTCTTTTTCTACAGTTGAAGCGAAAAGAGGGGCAGAGATGGACAGAGCTCTTGTTGGTTGCTAACATGCCTCATGTTATCATGGCTGGCGAGGACCTAGACCAAGCAAAATTGGAGGGAGGGAGCTCAAAAAATGAAAAATGTAGTGAGAGAGATTCGTGCTCCGAAGGGAGGAGGAGATAGAGAAAAGAAAAAAATAAGCATTGGGGTGTGGGCAAAAGATGGGCGGAGGAGGGGAGAGAGGGAGATGCAAGGGAGTTCACCCGTTGACTCTTCTTTTTGTTTCTGCAAAAACAAACAAACAACAGGATCTCATCCCACAACCATAAATACTCGACGGTGCCCCTTTTCTTTTTTCTTTTTTCCTTTCCCTCCCCTTCGTCCCTATTACACCACCTTTCTCCCCCTCCTCCTCCCCCTCTTATCTATCTCCAACTTGCAATGTCGTTAGCGTCAGTCACCTACGGACTGTCCATCACCACCATCGTCCTCTTCGGCATTGTTGCCCTCTTCCTGGCCCGCCGCCGTCAGCGAGTCAAGAAGGACGATACCGAATTCTTCTTGACCGCTCGCAATTCAGTCCCCCTCAGAACCATTGCCTGGTCCTTCTACGCTCAGGGTGTCGGCGCCTGGTATGTTCATGGATTATCGTTTGAAATATGACTCGTCCATGTCACTTTTTCTTTCACTCACCGAGATCCATATGTGTTATAATGAGATCCGAACGCTAACACCTCGTCTCCTTTCGCTTACTTTTAGGGTCATCTTCTCGATGCCTGCGTACGTCGTCTCGGCTGGAATAGTCGGTCTCGTTGCCTACTCTATCTCCTGTGGTCTCCCTATCCTCATCGTCGCCCAAGTCGGCTCTGTCCTCCACCGCAAGTACCCCGGCGTCCTCTCCCTCGGTGATTTTGTCCAGTGGCGTTTCGGTACCATCCCTACCATCGTGGTCTCCTTGGTCATGCTGCTCAACATGTCGATTGGTCTCTGCGCTGAGTACACCTCAATTGGAAACTTGATGGAGTTTGTCATTGGCGCCCCCCGTCTGCCCATCATCCTCTGCGTCGCCATTGTCACCTCGATCTACACTGCTGCCGGAGGTCTCTACGTCAGTATCTTGACCGATGTCGCTCAAGGTGCCTTTGGAATCGGTCTCCTTGTCATCATGGCCGTCTATGTCGCCGTCACCTTCCGCCCCGAATCGTTGCCCACCCCTTTGCCCGATGGTCTCGGACCCAACTACTGGGGCTGGGCTGCTATTGCTGCCATGCCCATCTCGATGACCTGTGCCACCCTGTTTTCGGAGGGTCCCTGGCAGCGTATTTGGGCTTCTGCCGATGACAGGGCTTTGAAGAAAGGTTCAATCTTGGGTGCTGCTGCCTTGGTTGTTGTCTGCTTCCTGTACGGATTTGGCGGTTTCCTTGCCATTTGGGCTGGGTTCCCTCAGTCTAGCACGGACGGATCGACTGCATTCTTCGATCTCCTTGGTGCCGGTAGCGATACTGCCCCCTCTTGGATCACCATCCTTGCTGCTCTCTCGACCGTCACCATGAACGAGGGATGCGTTGACTCCATCCAGAACGGAATTGTTGACACCCTTGCCTCCCGATTCTTCCGCGGAAAGAGCGTCTGGTACCCTCGTGTCCTTGTCTTCGTGATCAACATCCCTACCGTCTTTGTCTCCCTCCAGGGCTACGACATCATCATCCTCTTCCTCATCGGCAACCTTATCTGCACCATCTGCGCTGTACCCCTGTTGTTGGGCTTGGTCGATCGTTTCGAGGGCTACGTTACCGGCTGGTCGTTCATCACTGGAATTCTCTCGGGCTTCCTTTCGATTGTTGTCTTTGGATACGTCAAGGTCGGTGATTGGTACGAGGGTCTCCGCTACACCTTTGTCACTGCCTACGACTGGCCCTCGTTCGTCCTGCCTTTGATCTTTTCGGCCATTGGAGTCGCTATTGCTGCCTTCATCGAGGGTGCTATCCGCAAGGCTCTTGGTCTTGCTTACCCTGTCCCCCTCTCGTTTGTCCCCCAGGGCCATGGTGACGCCAAGACCCCCGAGGAGCAGAGCATGAGCTCTTGCGATGCCGAGTCTGTTCCCCGTGGATACGATCAGAAGCAGGAGGTATTTCAGGAGACCTCGGCTGTTCGAGCTCAGTAAGTGGAGTCATCGCCGGCGACAAGGAATGATGAAGAGGACAGTGAGGTTCAACTCTGGACATCGACATTGCGAACGACACTCTGATCAACAACCAATTTTCAACACCCACAGCATCATCAACACCAACGGCGACGACAATGATGATGATGGTGGTCAGGGAACGAGCGGAAGTCGGTACGGGACGTTTGGTTGCCAGGTAACCTCGACTTGATTATTATTTTTTTCCTTTTGTTGCTGGGCCTTTTCTTCTCTTTACATTCAAGTCGAGGTAAATACCTACACTTTTTTTTCTCTTTTTCTATTTTTTTTCTTTGAATTTCTTTTTTGTTTTTTTACTTTCGAATTCGTTGCGATATGTCGGATTCATGAATTGCGCAAGGGGTGCCCGTTTGTGGTTTTCTAGCATTGACGATGGGTTTTTATACCGTCCTTGTTGGAAGAGATTCAATCGAGCTGAGATCATACCCTAACGACCAGATAAGGATAATGCCTGCGATGGGAAATACGCGCTCTTCGTTTATATGATTCGACCGCACATCTTTTTCTTTTATTTTTCTCTTTGTTGTTTCTTGTTTCTTCTTGGAGTAATGGGGACATTATTTTCTCTGTTATTTTCTCGTTTATTTGTTATGCAAGAGGTGGTGGTGGTTTTTCCTTTTGATTGTCGCGATGCTCTTCATTTTTTGGTTGCACCAGGACACACTGTGAGGACGTGAGGCCTATTTTCTCTTCTTTTTTTTTCCACCGCTTCTTTCCGTTTTATTTCCTTTTTTCTTTTCTTTTTGGTGGCGTTGATGCGTCCCCTTGTTCCTTTCTGAACGCGACTCACTTTTCATTTGATCCGTCTTCGCCTTTCACTTCTTTTTTCTTTCTCACCATTGACCTGGACAACATGGAATGGAACACCAGTAGCACCATCAAGATCGACATCTACACTTGCCAGCACCCTTTGTTGCTGTCAAGTCGGTCAGCCCTCCAGTCTCCGTCTACTCATTCAGGACAAGGATATTCTATGCTACGTGTTTTCTTTTCTTGTTATCGTTCTTTGTCTGGGTCGATTGTCTTCTCACTTCAAACAACCCCCTCCCCCTACCGGAAATAAAAGGACTTTTTCGGATTGCGGAGCAATCTATCAACAAACAAACAAAATGCATTGTGGTCATGCTGCCCCTTCGTCTTTGTTGTCTTTTGAATGTTACATCCTCAACACTCTCCTCCCTTTCGACTCTAGCGCAGTCGATCAGAGCTTGCGACCTGATACTCTTGATATTTAATTAGCGATGGCAAGCAATCTAGTTCCGTTCCCTTCCATGAGGCATTTGATATGATTTATAGAAAATACAGAGTGTGCGGATGTCGACATTTGCGGATTGACCAGAAAAGGGTAATGAGCAAGGGGGCAATGGGCAGGGACCTCTTCTCGCTGTCGTTCTCTGGAGTGCTGGGGGGTGCTAAGCCCAGAACCGCTTCCTACAAATGTCTTCTGATAACACTGATGAAAATTTCCTTTTTGGTCTGGCATGATCACTTTTTGTACGGTATTACCGCTGCCTGCTAGTGAAAGGCGAGGCGTCACACTGCCAGTGCGACATTCTCCTCCAGTCAAGTTTGCTTGGCTCACCCATGTCGCACCGCACACCTTATTTATTTCAGCCTCATTGTCTCTCCTCTTTCCTTTCTTTCTTTCTTTCTTTCTTCCTTTCCATTAACCTTTCATCCCATCAACACTCTCCACTCACTCATCTTTATCGTTTCGTTTCTTTTGCCAACATGAGCAAAGCCCTCGATCCGCTCCGGCGGCTGATGGTGCAGTTCAACGCTCGATTCGCCCACACCAGGGCCTTCCCGAACGCCAACCTACCCCAACCAGCCCCACCCCACCTTACCGCCCCACCGCCCCAGGCAACTGCCTCGGCCGCCGCACACCTCACTGCTCCACTCCCCAAACCTGCTCTCCCTTACTTTGGTCACTTCCAGGCTAGAGTTCCCGTGCCCGCTTACAAGGATGGACCTGTACTCTTGGCACACCTCAACCGACAGCTCTACACCTTGGCTCGCCAAGTCTTTGTCCCCGAACCTGCCCGTGTTGCTGCAGTCAACTATGCCTGCAAGTCGGCTGGTCGTCCCCAGATGGCCTCGCTGCTTGCACAGTCTTCGCAGAGGATGATGCACCACCAACCCCTTCGATTTGCCTCGGCTGTCCCGCACGGTTTCGCTCGCGGTGTTGGTCTCTCGTCCACCCGTGGATTCTGCTCCTCTGTGGGTCCCGCTGTTAACGGACCCGTCAGGATGATGGCCCAGATGTATGCTAAGCCCCTTGGATCAATGCCCGCGCACGCTCAAAAGATGTCTTCTGAGAAGGACAGCACCCGCCAACCTATTGCCAAGCACCGCAGCCACAAGAAATCTGGTGAGATCAAGAAGCGCACCGCTTCCGCCAACCGTCTGTCGCCCATTACCATCAAGGCCTTCCTGAACCGCGCCGCCCAGGTCGAGCAGCAGCACCAGATTCTCAACCTTTGCAAGACCAACGTCGCCCCCGCCATCTCTACCGCCACCGCTATCTCTCTCGCCAAGGTCGCTGGCAAGACTGAGTCTGAGCTTGAGGCCCTCCCCAGGTTGCAGTTCTCTGAGACCTGCCCTACCCAGGTCGATATGTGCTTCTTGCTCGATGCCTCGCCTCTCTGGCACTTGGACACCATGGTCGCCGCCCTCCATACCGATTCATTGAGAGCGCCCAAGGAACTGAACCGTCGATTCATCGACGACCTGTTGGAAATTACAAATGCCCAGTACCAGCACTTTTTGGAGGTCTCTGCCATCTTGCAAAAGTTGGTCCAATGCCCCGAGTCTCGCGAGATTACGCTGGAAGGATATGAGCTCCGCGTCCACTTTTCGGGAACGACCTTGTTTGATATGATCCAGTTCTTACGACAGCTTGCCATCGACCCCAGGAGCCCTCATTTTGACCTGGAGGAGGTGTACCCGAACCATGTTGATATGGAAGAGCAGTACTTTCCTCAGGCCTCGGTCAACCGGTACTACGAACCTACGCCGTCGGACAATGAGACCTGGGATGACTGCAGCAGCATCCAGAGCTCGTTGATGATGTTTACGGACTCTGAGCGGTGCGAGAGTGCCGCCAGCTTTACTACACTCGAGTCGCTGCCTGAGCAGGAGAGTCCCTGGGATGGTCTCCAGCCCGATACAGTAGAGGATATTATTCAGGACGAAGATGACCTCCAGGAGGAACAGCAGCAAGAACAAGAACATGAATCGGAGCAGGATGTTCATGTCTACGAGAACATCTCTACTACCCCGACTGCCTCCTCTGCCGACATTCTGTTCCCTGGTGAAGAGTCCATCAGCCCCTGGACCAATGCTCCTGTGGCGTCTTCGATCATGATCCAGGAATCGACCGACAACCTCAACAAGCTGTCGAGCCGGATCTTGAACGCCAGCACTGTGGTCAACCAAGAGTACTTTGATGACATCCGTGGATTCTTGGATAACCTGGAGTCAGTCCACCGTCACTCCGAGCGCCTCTTTGGTTCGTCCACCATTACTGCTTAAGACACATTGTTGTTCTTTGGTTATTGGCGACCTTTCCTTCGTTTATGAACACCCTCTCCCTCTCTACTCCACCTTCTCCTTCCCCCGAATGTAACGTCCGCATTTATGGCCCCTTCCCAATATCGAACAAAAAACACTTTGCTGTATTGAAAAATAAATGTCGAAAGAAATGAATCACCCCTCAAAGAAAAAGAAACAAAGAAAAGGCTAGTACGTGAGACCTCTTTAGTTGTTACACAAAGCACAGCCAGACTGGTTATTTGTGCCATAAAGTTGGCGGCGTGGTCAGTTTCTGGACGACCGCAGCCCGTCTTCGCAATGGCAGTAGCATTTGACGGTGTTGGTGCCTTCAGCTTTGCGTTTTTTGACGCCTGTATAGAAGCGACAGACTTTGGTGCAGCCTTGTTTTGGTGACCCTTGGGCTTGGATGGCAGTCGTGACGTTGGCGACAAGGAGTAGGAGGAGGAGGGTCGTTGATAAAGATGAGGAATGATGTTGTGTCTTTTGGCGAATATGTTTTGGTTTCGTTTTTTTCATTAATCAGTTTATTTTATTGAATATCCTTGGCCCATCTACAAAGGTGACGACAGCGACGACGAAGATCCAACGCCAACAGCAGTAAAGTTGTCGGACCGAGGACTTAACAGTGCCATCAAAGCCTCCTCGATACGACCCGCCTGCTCAGAAAGACTATTCATCCGACGGTCCAAACTACGCACTGTCGCCGACAAGACCTCCGGACCCATCATTGCCTCTGTATCATTCACTCTCTCTTCCGTCGCCACCACCAAGGTCGGAACCACTACTGCCGCTGGTCGTGTTGGTTGTGATGAGGAGGATGGTCCTGGGTTGCTGGGCTTGTAAAGTGGAGACGTGATCGATGAGTTCTGCTGTTGATTATAGTCGTAACCTTTCCCCTCATCGCTGCCTCCACTGCTACTGTCATACTGTCGCAGGTGGCCACTAACACCGCTGCCGACGCCGACACCGGCACCGCTATCACTTTCTTGGGTTCCAGAATTGGGCGGCCAGTAGGAAGTGCTAGCACTCGTCCTGCTATCGTAGCTGTTGAGAGGAAGATGTTCGACCTTCGGGCTAGCATCAGGCATCTTTCTCACATCCTTATCCTTCTCTTCATCGCTACCGTCCTGATCACCATGGAGATCTCTCTCGGGCTTGACCCACTCATCAATCAACGACTCAATATCGTCCTGCCGTTGGTCCTTGGGATACTTTTTGATGTAGGCGTTGAAATCCTTGGCGGTGGTAGTGAAGTAGATCAGTTTAGGGAAGCAGTCAAAGGTTTGACGGAATCCTGGGATATGGTACGACAGGTTCTCGGCCGACTCGATATATCGTAGCCGAGCTTCGATCCATGCCAACCGCCAGCTGTCGTCTCCCTTTGCGAATGCCACATTGATCAGTGCTGTATTATTTAACACAAGGAAGAGGAAAGAAGAAGGGGACACGAAGAAAAAAAATTGATTAGAGGAAAGAGCATAACAAAAAAAACGGTGATGCCATAAAAATAAAGTCGACATGGTGGGTCTTACCGATCAAGACATTGAGCATGAGGATAGTAGTCGAGAACAAGAAAATAAACATAGCCAAATGGAAAGGCCAATCCTCTATCGAGTCTAGTTCTCCTGAAACAGGCTCATAGCGACCACCCTTGTTTTTTTAGTTTTTTTTTTTTTGTCAAGCGAAAGAAATAAAATAAAATGAGGTGTGATGGTTAGTTTCCAGCTTGGGGCCACATTGTTCACAGCAATAAAAGCTCATTTGCAAAAGTGTCGAATCATTATTATTATTTTTTTGGCCTTACCAAGAAGAAGTAGGTGGCGGACAAAGCTCCAACGAAATGACGGGGGTATTTTGTTTCTGTACGCGTGCAACCTTCATAGGTGCAACTCATCCTGAGATGGAGAAGTGTGATCGTGAATGCGACAATACATCCTGCAAAGATCATGAAGAAGATCCAGATTTCGACCACGGCCTGTTGGATGATTGTCACGTATTTGCAGACGCCCTTGCTAATCCTCAACTCAATCAGCTAAATCAAGGACGAAAAAGTAGACAAAAAAAGCGCGAATCGTTGTTGGAGTATGAGCAAAATTGATTAGGGTCGACGCGAAACACACGCGGCCTTTTTTTTTTTTTTATGACTGCCCGAAAAGGGGGTTTATCGCGTTTCGTTTCTTACCATGTGGAAAAATACAACCAAAACAGAAAAACTCAGAGCACGGTTGTTGCTTGACTCTTTCTGATCGCAAATCAAGACAAGTTGTTGAATGCTCGCGACCAAGGGGATTCCAAAAGCCGCCACGTCCACAATGTTGTAATGAGATCTATTTTGTGTGCAACACGACAACAGAGACAAAAAAAAAATTAGGTCAAGCGGGCAACAATTCTTGCTGCGAACGAAAGAAAAAAAAATGAACAGGTACACTGGAAGGGAAGGTTCCTGGTTGAAACTCACCTGAGATATCGTTTCCAGTCTTGGATTGCTTGCATGATCTCCAGCGTGATAAAGATGACAGCCATGGCGATGACCGCGATAAAAACCCCGTACAGCCTACTTGGTCGCGGGTTGTATACTTGAGTGAGCGCCGCTGTGACGACCAACACATAGTAGACAAATTGGCAAAAGAACCGCACAAACCAATAAGGGTATCCGATCGTATCCCTAACGTTTCGACAGAAAAAAAAAAGCAGTGTATGAGATAGTTAGTCACAGATGGAAAACAACTCAAAAAAGAAAATATAGAAGTGAGACGCTTACCACTTGTAGGAGACCAGAGCAGCGATGGCGGGATTGTCAAAGAGCTCGAGTTCAAATTTGTAGCACTCCACAACTGGAGGGGCGCGGAATAGGAGCTTGAGTTGAATCATCTGAAGAAGGGCCTTCCACATTGTCGTCTCCTCAGACGTCAATGGCTCGCCAAACATATCAGAGGCGGCCATACTGTTGTGAGGGGTGAGTTGTGCATCACTAACCCCGCCTACGCTCCCGCTTCCGTTTGCACCTTGCTCTCCGCTTCTACCTCGCCGACGGCCTTTGGATGCACATATCCGATCCTTCTCTCTGTCGACATCTCTGCTCTTGTTGTACCAAAGCGCATCGAACGACGCCATAAAGACCGGATCCCCAGACCCGTCCCCGCCCTCGCAGTCCTTCGTCTCCATGTTGTACTTGAACTGCATGATTGACTCCAAACGAGCGCCACGCTTGATCTCCAGCTCTGACATCCCGATGCGACGAATGGACTTGAATAATGAGAACCGAAACGGAGTTAGCTTTTGACTGGGGATGTGGTTCTCCCACAGGTAGGACGGATACTTGACGCGGAAGAAGGCGATGCGGCCCATGTACTTGAGAGCGTCCTCGGGGTAATACTTGATAATCTCACGCATACTTCCAAACAGGGGGTGCAAAAAGGCCATGTTGTTGAATCGGGTCGCTTGTGCAACACAATAGCCTATCACCACTCGAACAACTTTAATGACGGACCGCTCCTTCTTGGCAATTTTCATCAGGATCGCCAAAGGGTCGGTGGTCTCAGTAGCTGTGCTGTCGGGAATCCAGGTCACCATCGTCTCTGGAAGGATCTCTTGCACAATTGCAAGGATGCAGGCTTGATTCTTCAGAGACCATGCCTGGCAGAGCGGAACAAGACAGGAGGTTGGGTTGATGGTCGAGGGTCGTATACACGTCAAGAGATAGCGAATGATGTCCTGCTTGCAGCTTGGGTCTTTGTATCCGTAAATGTCGATGAGGCTGAAGATCCCGTATTCGAGCCGCTGTCCTTCCGAAGTCGTGACTGATTCAACATCCCGGTTGGGGGGGACTGTGAGGATGTCGCGCTTTGTCGATTCAGTGTTGCCCTTGGCGACGTTGTGTTCATACCAAACAGGCTTTCCAAGACGATATTTCATGCTAGCTCCATGTCGACAGGACCAAGCTTTAAGCAACGGACGGTAACAGTAGGACTTTGCATTTTCAGGCTGGTATGGCAGAGATCCCCAGACGTAGTCGAGCTGGCAGACATGTGCAGCGGTCGAGGAGAGGCTCCAGACCTTCATGTACCCTTCCGCAAAGACGACGAGTTTTGAAGGCTTAGGCAGATAATGCCCACGGAAGCCGGCTGTGGTATCGCCGAGAGGGAGGACCATTGACTTGGGAACCGTGGCTGGGGAATCGTTTAAGCTTTCTCTGACGGTAACCTTGAGCATCATGTTCATACATCCGTTAAGATATTCCTGGAAGCATTTTACCTCAAAGACACCTTCAGCGTAGGTGAATATTTTTTTGTCGATAAAATCGTCGATTGGGACTTCCTTCAGCTCGCATGGGGTATTACTGCAAGAATGCGGTAGACTGGGCGACTCTATGGCTGTCATCCTCTTGATGTTCAGCACTGATCCCTAGGTTGACATGATGCGAAATGAAGAGATGGTTAACATTGAAAACGATGATAGTACTATGGAATGGCGCTCGCTTACGTTGAAATATGCCGAATGTTCAGACAAAAAAAATATATCTTTTGGGTACCTGCTTGTAGGCTGCAATGGTGGTCGTGGACGGGAGAGGGTACATCAAGTGATAGTCCGGGTGAAAGGGGAGTTCCGGATAAACGACTTTCATGTCCTGGATCCTGATAATCGACCGGACATCGACGGGTCCACCCGGAAACGCATGGGATTTATCCTTCACCACAAAGTACTCGTTCCCTAGCACTACTTCAGAGTTGTTGTCTGACAAAACGCTCTTGGTATGGGTACCTAGCAGTATCCCGGTCGTGGACTGGTAGATCTGGACGGATCCTTTCAGTGAGATGGCAACCTTACTTCCGTCAGGAGATAGTACCGCGTGGATCGGGCTTGTATCGATATCCACGTAAATGTTTTTGACGAGCTTGGCCTTCTCAATATTCCAGATAGACACTACACCAGGAACTCCAGTCCATGCAAAGTACCGGCCTCTCAAACTCTGAACAAACACATAGAAGTGTGGTCGACTCAAACTGAGATCCAGGGAAAGTGTGATCCTGTGTAACTGATTCCATCCCGAGGATTTAGTGCTGTAGACCTCAAAGACCGATCCATTGAAGGTGATGAATCTCTCGTTCTCGTTGTCGTCGAGGTGGTCGAACTGGTCGGGGTCAATCCGATGAAAGACACAATGTCCCGAAAAAGATACCAGCTCCTTGCATGTCGACCCTTGGGTGAGGGTTCTGGGCCCATGAACTTGGTCCGGATAAGCTGGCGGATTGCAGTCGTACACAACAAAGGGAAGTACGCCGTAGGTGGTTTCGATTCCGCAGAGAGTCACCTTTGTTCCTTTTGTGGAGATGCTGATGCATGCGTGAAACCTTTTCCAGGCCTCAGGTGAAGCGAGCATGTCAGGTAACACATTTTCGGTCTCCGCACACGGCCGTGAATACTGCAGCGGACCCCAATCAGGACAAGCCTTCACGTCGACATCGATGGAGTCGTTTGATGAGCGAATATCCCACACCGAAATGACTGCATGGACTCTTGGACGTCTGTCGTCGATCGTGGGAACAGTACTGGATGGAGGATTATCGAGTGTGGCTGTTGATGTTGCGGTGTCGACAGTAATGATCGTTGCGCCCGTGTTTGATGTAGTAGGCGATCCTGGACTGGTGTCGCTTTCTCTCAAATGAAGCGTGACAGCAAACTCGCCCTTGTCAGAGATGCCAAACGTCCGGATCTTTGTAGCTGTCGGCCTCTCGGGCGAACTGGGGCCACGGTCGACAGTGATGACCTGGTCCGGGTTTCCAAATCCATAGAGGACGTAGTCTACACAACGATGTCGAAAGAAATAAAAGTAAGCCTACATGCATTTTTTGTGGTACATGAATGAACAACTACATGGCCAAGGGGAAAGACGTACCTTCCTCTCCAGCCGCGGATCGAAAGCTACTGGTCCCAAGTTCGACATAGTGAAGCTTGAACAGTGGGATCTCACTGGGCTGAAAAGTTGAACGACATTTGGCGGCAACACAGAGATGCAAGTATTCCTCCTTTCCCGTCACCTCGATCTGTCGATGCATCCTTAATCGGACCATTCCCATACTCGCTACACGCACATACATACATTCAACAAAAGGTTAACATTCATTTGTTCCTGTCTTCATTTCGATTTCAACAGACACAGCCAGGTGCAGGGTTCATCTCTGCTCAGGAGGGCGAGGGCATACCTTTCTCTTTCAAATTGTGCTTTATCTCATGAGTCGTAAGTCGGGTCCTGCAGGAGTTCGTCTGCCATCATAGACAAAAAAAAAAAAAAAAAAGAACAAAGTTAACAACGGTCTTGGAAAACGGAAAAATATCCACGAGACAAAGCAGCCATATTAAGTCTTACAAGTGTTCCCATATTGTTCAAGGCATCGCCCCGCTCGGCATCAAAGAGCATGGTGGTAATCTGGTCCAAGTCAAGACCATCAAAAGAGACACAAAATATTATCCAATACCATCCTGGAGGAACATCTTTCAACGAGGCCTTGTTCGTCCACAGCTTGCCAGGGCTTGCCCGGATGGTAGCTGGCTCTACCGGGCTTTTTATATTACACGGAAAAAGGTAAGAAAAACAGTGAGCATCTTATATATTCCTCGTGTGTTTCGCAATGCAATTGACGAACGGGGGGGGGGGGTTATGTTCACTCACTTGGTTGTCCCTTCATTACTCATGTCCGTGAAGTACCATCGTTGTGCTGCTGCTGTTCACAAAAATAAAATCACATTAGTCCAGGGCGAATAGAATTAAAGGTGTCATATCTTTCTTGCAGGGAAGTGAGGGGCGCAGCCTTACCTGTGGTGATTGACGATTTCATCTGTCTTCGCCACAGCTCTACATCATACACAGAGCCCTCCCTGGCCAGCGGCGGTCGTGACATGGACATGACTGCAAACGCGTGTCGATCGTATTCCTCGTTGTTGGAGAGAGACCTCTTCTTCTTTCAGATCTCTTTTTTTTTTTGCCAACGTGGGTTTTTTTGCTAGTGAAGGTTTCGAAAAAAAAAAAGATGATGGAGGGTTGGGCGACTGAGAGGAGTGGAGGATATAAATGAGATTGTGAAAACGGTCGTGGAAGAAGTGAGGGTGCTGAGGGAAGGAAAGTTCTTGTGAAGGCGATAGTGTTGTGAGGAGAGAATAATGTGAAAGAAAAGAGATTGTGAACTGGAGAGTAAAAGAGACAAATGATAAAAAGAAAGGATGGCATGATATACTCCATCGTCAATTACTCAACACGGCGAAGACGTTAAAAGTGTTTGACCTTTCCGTTCCCTTCCTTCTCTCTGAACCCTCGCTTTGCCAACATAAAAGAATAAACGGAGAGCACATGAGGATGACGGGGTCCATGCTTCGATCAAAGGGTGTGTTGTTGATTGCTACTGTTCTCACTTTTCTAACTGCCGCATACTCATGGCACAAATACAACACGCACACGTACACTCATTGTGCTTTTTTTATTTATTTGCCACTTACCACCTGCAAGAGGATAGCCTTGGTACAAACATGCTTTCGATTTTATTATCGGCCTTGCTCTCTCTGCCTTCCGTCCATCTTACGAAACCACTTCAGTTTCCCTCGTCCCTCACCCCTGCGACCCTGCTGCACCCCGTCATACATCCAGCATCATTCTATGTCATAGCAGCTGCAGCGGTACTCCGAAAACCAAGCTCATCAAGCAGACCCAAAAACCTCTCCTCGTCCTTCGCCTCCTCCTCCTGTCCCTCCCGCCACCTCGCCCTTATCGTCAACACATTCCATATCGCCACATTCACCTTCTTCTCCGGATACAACTGCCCCTTAACAATCTTCAACCCTCTCCACCACCGCCTCATCCACTCCACATCCTCCCTCGCCAACTTCTGCGGCACACCGCCAACCACAGAAAGAATCTCTAGCCTCTTTAGTCCTGCCAACTGGGCCAACCCATACTCCAATTTGAACTGTAGACTTGACTCCGCTTCCGCTTCTGCATTCGGGACCGTCGAGAATAAAGAGTCCATCTGTTGTTGGATGGTGGTTGTGGTCCTGGTTCCAACGTTCAATACGCGCAGGCGGGTGAGTCCTGATAGCTGACGGAAGACGCCTTCTTGTGTCTGGACAAGCTGTTCGTCAGGCAACTCGAACACCACCCTCACATTGAACACCTCCAATCCATGACACGCCCACCTCCCCTCCACCTGGGCCTGCTCACAAATATCCCTACCCGAAACCCGACACGCCCCAATCTCCCTCAACCTCGTGCATGAATGCAACACCTTCAATACCATCCCACTCGTCACAAACCCGCTCGTCGGACCTATATCCAACACCACCAACTGCTCCGTTAGGTGCTGTCGTGCGAGGGCCTCAAACGCCTTCAACCCAAACCCGATGAACCGTGGCCCTTCTTCAAATGGGAATTTCGTCGTTGGAAGAATAATCTCTCTCGCCGGATGTGTCATCCGTGTAAGGAATGTTGCGATATCGTCATCGGGGAGGGCCATCCCTTGGACGTCCAGGGCGTCTAACCGTGGGCAGGATGCGAGGATCTGGTGGAAGCTATAAGGGTCTGGGTCCTGGCCTCGATTGTCGGACCAGCGCAGAGTCCTCAGATTCGGACACTGAAAGATCATCCTCGGATTAGGAACCATAACAAAACCATCAGCACTTAAAATCTCCAGCTCCTGCAAATGCGGCATCGGAATCCCATCCCACTTAGCATCCTCCAACCCGCGACCACGATAAAACACCAGCCTCTTCAGCTTCGTCGCGCACAACCTCCGAAACCCCTCCCAATACTCCTCCTTAAACTCGACATACCTCATCGTCAAATCCACAATCTCTCGACAGCTATCCAACAGCACCAGAACCTCCTCCTTCTCCTTCTCCTGCTCCTGCTGCTCCTGCTGCTGCTGCTCCAGTGTATTGCGCTGTGACCACTGGCTCTTGGACCGCGTACCATTATACTCGACCACCTGCAACCCGGGGTTCTGACGAAAGATCCAGTCTAGATGGGAGGTGTTTGTTGTATTGGAACTGATACTCGGGGAAAGATGGAGTTCCTTCAGAGATGTGAGTGGAGTGCCCCTGAAGAGGTCGAGACGAAAGGTGGGTGTAAGATCAAAGACGACAAGGTTTTGGATGAGGTGGGCGTGTTTCTCGATGGTTGCCCTCTCAGGAAGCTGTGGTTCGTCTGAGCTGCTGGTGGTGCTGGTTTTTCTAGGAGGTCCGAAATGAAAAGTCGCCCATAGGAGCCGGATAAAGAAGTCGTGCCAGACCTTGGACACCAAGACGCAGGCGTGTAGAGAAGCGGGAGAGAGGTAAGGTACGATGAGGGCCCTGATCTCTGGCAGGTCCCAAGCATTGGATTCCATGGGTTGGATGCGGTTGTTGTTGTTAATGGATGAGATGAATGATGAAAGAAGTAACCGGCAAGGGGACTGTCCCTCATTTTTTAATTCTTTTACGCCTCCGCTAACTATGAGAGTCGAAAAATAAAATGTGCCCCTTGCTCAAAATGCATGCACAAGTCCAAGGAAGAAGAGTACTTCTTTTTTCTATCAAACAACCACGAAAACCAACTTTAACGGTATCGATGGTTAACAGTGTAAAAGGCAAACCGTTCAAACGTCTTTTCTGCCTCCTCCCTCCTCTTGCGTCCGCCATCCCTCGGAGCCGTCAATACCTCGCGGATCGCCTCACTCACCTCCCCGTTAGGATGCAAATCCCCCTCCAACACCCTCAGCCCTCGCCAATGCTCCCTAATCCACTCCACATCCTCCCTCCTCATCTTCTGTGGACCCCCGTAAACTGATACACTCTCCAACTTCAACTCTGCCAGCTGTCCCATTCCGGAGTCTAGTCTTAAGACCACACTTTCGTCCTTCCGACCATGGCCTCCAATATGCAGAACTCGCAGCCGAGGCAGGGTGGCAAACCGACGAAACACGGCTACACGAATATGGTCTATCAGGGGTTTGTAGAATCCGTGAATCTTGACCCGGAAGACTTCCAGACCTCGACAAGCCCATACTCCAGGCCCATCCCGGATCTCCTTTGCCAACACCTGATACGCCGTGATCTCCTTCAGCCGCGGACAAGCACTCAACACTCGCAGGATCATAGAACTCGTCACCTCCTTACTCTGCGTCCCCATATCCAGGACCACCAACGTCGCGAAATGTCGTCGCTCCAGCGCCTTGAACGCCCTAGTCTTGAATCCCACTGTATTCGCCTCATTCCCACCATACCAAACCGAGTCCTTCCTCTCAGGAACAATCACCTCCGTCGCGGACGCCTGCATAGTCTCCAACATCGACGCAATCACATTATCTGCCAGAACCATTTGCTGCAACTCAATCGCCTCCAGCCTTGGACATGCCCCAAATATCTGTCGAAAAATCCCCGCCGTCAGGTCAACACTCGTCGTGAACCACCTCAACACTCTCAGATTCGGACACATCAGAATCGTCTCCAGCCCCGGAACATAATAACCAACAGGAACATCTCTGCTACTGTTGCGGATAGACAGCTCCTGAAGATGCGGCATCCTGATCACGTCGCTCATATCAATTCCATACTGGAGCTTGTTGATACAGAACGACAGTCGCTTCAGTCGGGTCTCGCACAGCGTTCGCAACAACTCTCGGTGCTCGTTGTCGTACTCCACATACCGCGTAGTCAGATCCGTCAATGCGGGACACTTGCTCAACAGCACCGTAAAATCCTCCTCCTCCTTCTTCTGTATTTGTCCTTGTACTTGTCCTTGTACTTGCCCTTGCTCCAGTCTTAATATATCGTCGTAGTAGTTGTCGCCACCATCACGAAACTTACTATGCCCACCATCATAATCAACAACCCTCAGTCCAGGGTTCTGCAAAAACAACCATCCTAACCCACTAGTACACGTTGACGACCGCAAAGCCTCACCCAAATATAACTCCCTCAGCTGCGTCAACGGGGTGTTCCTGAACATATGAAGCTGAAAGGTGAAATCGGTGAACCTGCGTACGATGAGGGTTTGGATGTGATGCGCGTAGAGTTGGATGGTGGCCTGTGAAGGCGGGTCGAGGGAGATGTCGCCATTGTGAGGGCCAAAGTAGAAAGTTTTCCAGAGGAATGGTGTGAAGGTTGCGCGCCAGTCATTGGAGACGAGGACGCAGGCATGGAGAGAGGCTAAGGCGAGGTGTGGTCCGATTGAGGCCCTAATCTCGGGTAAGTCCAGTGCATCCCTCTGTTGTTGCATGCTGCTGGCTGTTGCTGGTTGTTGCAGTTGTTGATGAATGACGAAGAAAGAAAATAACAAAGGAAGAGATGTTGCAAAACTTGTGTCGCTTTTTATTCTCTCCTGCAAGACAAGGCTATGCATCCTCCAATTAAGCTCAGGCCATCCTCGATTTACAATCCACGCAGGAAGAAGGCGTAGATGACATACCCGCTCTGGTAATCATTGTCCATCATTTCGCGAGGGATCCGTACCATCCGGAACCCAGCTTGCTCCAACCCCTCCAAAAACGCCAGATGGACATAATCAGTTCTCAGCTCTTGAGCCAACAGAACCACCGTTCTCTCCATTTTCCTCATTCTCTGTCCTGGCCTTGCTAAAGCCTGTTCCTGCAGTTGGTCAAAGTGCTCGCCCTGGCCCTGTCGGATCTCTTCTCGGACACCCTCCCGGATCTCACACAATTCTTGAAGAGTTTGCACCAGTTTGGGGACAATCGACTCGTTGTAGACCACATCAGTCGCCACCACGAAATCAACGCCCAGTCCGCGCTTCAAGTCCTGGTCCAGGTCTTGACCCCAGACGAGCTCCTGGACTTGAATATGACACGGCCGGACATCCGTCGTTCCTGGTGTTGTTGCCGCTGTGGCTGCAGACAAGCGATCCTTTTTCCTCGACGTGGTTGTACCATTGCTGCTGTTGCTCCCATTCAAAACGTCCTGATCAAAATACTTCTTGTCCAGGTTCTTGCGCAGATTCTTGACTAACAGCGGCAGCACAGGCTTTTGATCCGTCAACAGCAGGTCCTGGCACAGTTCCGCCATCACAATCCCGAGCAGTCCGCATCCAGACCCAAGTTCGAGGATTGTCGTCTCTGCAGGATTGAACACAGGCTTGTCCTCCTCCTTCTCCTCCGCATTGCCATCCTCGCCATCCTCATCGTCAAAATCCAAATCGCCATCCTCATCATCACTCATATCTTCATCATCGATATCATGAGGGTCCCCGGCAATAGGCCCATCATCCTCCGAATCAACCAACTCCCCATTCGCAGTAATAGCTAACCGATCCGCCCTCTCCTCCAACATCCTGACCTGCTCCCTCTCTCGCCTCTCTCTCTCCCTCCGTCTCCTGTTCTCCCTCAGCTCTTTCCGCAGCCGCCTCCCTTCCTCAGTCCGATAACAACGCGTCGAAAGACTCTTGATCGACAACAGAAACTTGGACATCAAGATACTCGAATCCCAGACGACGGTTCCTGTCTGTCCTGGCTGGGAGAGTGTCGAAAGGGACTGGTGGATGACGACAGGTTTCTTTGTGGGTTGAGGGGTTGCAGATCTGGGTGACGAGGATCCTCCTGCGCCTCCCCGGCTCGACTTGCGACTGTTGAGGATTGCTCTTGCCGCTGGACTCCTTACTTTTGACAGACTGTTCTCTCTTCCGTTGGTCTGTGCCAGTACGAGACTGCTGCTGTTACCTCCAATCTCCTCGACAGACAACGGACCAGGCGACGACGAGAACGTCTCTCTCGACCCCATCGACGGTGACTCTTCTCCTGTAGATCCTGATCCTGCAAGAGTCCCCGGCTCAACAACGCCTAACGACTGAAAATAAGACCCTGCACCACGCGAACCGGGTCGAGACCCTGGCTGACTGACCGTGGGTGAGGGGGCAGGTGTGAAATCGAGTTCTACTTCAAGTCGAGTGGACTGTTGAGAGACAGACCTGTTGTGTGCCCATGGCGTGTCTGTGGTTTCGGTAGTGAAGAGCGAAAAGACTTCTTCGTAGGGATCCTTGACAAGTGTTGCATCAGGGATCGAGAGGAAGAATCTTACGGACATGGCTGGTTGAGATGGGTGGGTGAGTCGTGTTTGGCATGATCAAAAAGAGAAGAGAGTAGGGGGGATGTGTGAGAGGGAAGTGTGAAAGACTTGGTTTGAAGAGAAAGAAAAAATTCCTGCAAGCCACACACAGACACTCTCATGCAAAAAAACGAATAGGGGATGTGTATTCAACATGAAAATGTCTATGAGTTGTATGAATATGAAATTGTAAACAAAAATGGTATCGTAAAAAAAGAATGGGCGTTATAGTCGGTTGCAGTCGTCGCGACAAGTCGAGCGAGGAAACTATGCCTTGAGGTTATTGCCGTTAATCTCCTCGTCGTCCTCCTCGACATCGAGATCCTGCTGGGTCATGGGGATATACGTGGGTTTGTCCATGTCCTTGGCCCTCATTTCCTTGTCCTTGGCCCACGTATACAGAGCTCCTCCGCCGAGAATCAAAAAGATGCCCAACACGCGCCCAGACGTGATAATGTCGTTGAACGCCCAGTATCCCAACAGGGTTTGAATTCTGTTTGTTGGAATAGTTGTCGTCCATTGTAGATACAGGCGAGGAGTATTGTGGGTATTTGTCAGGAATGGAATGTAGCGCCGGGATAGTATTATAGAAAGTCAAGATGAACGTGAGCAAGAAAGAGTATAATTAGCGGGAAGGTAAATAAAAATATAACCAGGGTCACTTGGCATTCGCTTCCACATCCTTTTCGCCAACAAGTGAAGAACAAAAAGAAGACTTACACTCCACGGACGGCACCGGCAATCATATGAGTGGTTGGAGAAGTCTTGGAAATCTGCAAGAAACTGGCCAAGTTGACCAAGAACCCAAAGATACCCGTAATAAGTCCTGCAAACAAGAAGGTATGGAAGGCCGCAAAGCCTTCGGTCGACAGACGGTACGAGACTTCGGCGCTCTCTCCGCTGAGCACAATCAAGGGCGTAACAGCAACGAGTGAAAGGACATTGTTGTAGTAGACGAGATCAAGGGTCGAGTTGTTGACGGCGCCGAGTGACTTTTTGATGACGATCGCGTGGAGGGAAGTGGTGATAGAGGAGATGACGCCGAAAATGATGCCGAGGTGGGAGACGTTGATCTCGGAGGTGACACCGGTGTAAAAGCCGCAGAAGACGGTAAGGCAGGAGAGGAGGACCAGCTTTGTGGAAGGTTGGCGGAGGAGGATGTAGGCAAAGAGCACTGTGAATGGGAGAACCAACCCGCGTGCAATCTAAACACAATGGAAGAAAAGGTTGAGAGCGTGCAACAACGGGAAGGAGAAAAAAGAATGTGTGAGCGAAAGCAAGGATAATTGGAGGTGTGTGCAACGACGCCACATCTTAATTAGTTTTCAGTTCAAAGAGGATGTCGGAACAGCAAAGGAAGAAAGGAAGTGGAGGGCTAGAAGAAGAACAAGGTCCAAACGGAAACAAATAGATTCCAATAGCTATTTTTGTCGGTTTTTTGTTGTTGTTGTTGTCGTTGTTGTTGTTGTCCCGCTGCATACTTATCAATCGATGGATTGGATTCGAGATGTATGATGAGGGATTGGCGCAAACAATTACAAGATTTACAACCACAACCACAACCACAACCACAAGAGCAAAGTGACAAAAGGGTACCTGGTAAAAAGAAGTGTCGACGTAGACGAGGCAGAGGGTGTTGACGCCGAGGCCGATGACGTTAATGGCGATCAAGGGGATCAACGCCTTGGCAGTCTCACCGATGATCTTGGGCATCTTTAACAGACCCGTGTACTGGGTCACCTTGAGCAGGAATACTGCAATGACCATCTGCATCCACAGCAGCGTCCATGGCAACGCCAATGTGTTCAGTGCCCACTATTTGAATGGCGTTCAATTGCGAGGTCGTTAGATAAAGGGGGAATACATCCAATGGCGCCAAAGGCAAAAAGGCCGAGCAAGGGAAGAAAATAGATTTGTGGCGTGAAAATTACCTTGTTGACTGAAACCATCACCAGAGCAGTGACCTATTAGTTGCAAAAAAAGAAGATCCCAATGGCCGTATTAGCACCTTGCTCCATGGGAGAAGGCAATAAAAGACGTATTCAATACGCACAGTCGAGAACACGAAAGAAAGGACTTTCCATATAAAAGAGGACTGTAAGAGTCACAAGTGATCTTTCACTGAGTCCGAGATTGAAGGACGACATTGTGAGGGTGTTGGAATGATGAAGGTGTTGGAATGAGATGAGGTGTTTGAGGGAGTTGTGATGAGATGTGAGAAGAGAGTAATGGCGAAAAGTGATGATGACACAAAAGGGAGAGTCAATATTTTGAATGGGAGTGAGAGGGCGAGGAAGGGGGGCGAGGAGAAGAGAAAAGAGAAAAAGAGAAGAGATATATGAAGCAAGAGGCAGGGTTTGGGCTGTTGCCTTCCTGCAAGAAATTCAAAACGGACCAACCACGGTTTACGCCCTTGAACTGCTTGAACGGCTTGAACACTAGCTTACTGGAAGGGGTGCACAAGGCACCTCTTTTTCTAAATTAGGGCATGACATCTTCGATCATGGTCTGGATACATTGCTTACTCTCTTCTCACTCTCCTCTTTCCTTCTTCATTGTTCCTCCATTCCCAATTCCTTCGCGGACGAAGCATGGTCCCTCTATCTCGTTCTTCGACAACAGTCAGGTGGACCGCTCTCTGGCTGTGTTTTTTCCTTAATTAGCGTCATGCTAACCAAAATTACTTTTTCTTGTACCTCCTCCTCCTCTCCCAACGACCGCTGTGTGGCTTCAAAACACTACACTACAGTCCAAGGCCGCATTAAGGAGCTTTTAGTGTTGGATCATCGACCTGAAATTAACATGGCTTTTGGCCAGTACCCTTTCAACCATTCTACAACCGCTGCTTTGCTTCTTCTGCCCCAGGCCTAGGCTCCCTCTACATGTGGCTTTCCTGATTCGTTCCCAATAACCTAGATCTCTCTTTCTACATTTTTCATTCTCCTCCTACACCCCTCGGAGAAACACATAACCTGAACTGCCTGGGCACTCAGCAGAAACAAAGAGGGTGGGAATGCATTATGAATCCATTTACAACAAAAAGAGCAAACAAACAAACAAACAAAAGAACTACTACGCGTTGTATTTTCAATACAATCTACTCACCGCCAGCACTCAACACGCCGGCGGATAACATCTCTCGCCTCCGTCAACCCCAAGTGCATGACCCCAATTTCCTCCAACTTGGCCCTGACAACATCCTGCCCCAAATCCTCATCAAACAACACCGCCATAATCTGCGCCAACGTCCTCTTTGCATACACCGGCTGCCGCTGCCTGGAAGGTGCGTCTTGGTCAAACGTAAGAGATGGCGGAGAGTTGGCTTTGGCGCTCTGCAAGGACAACAAGATACAAGCATCCCTCAATTTGCGATGATAATTCTCCGGCTTCTTTATCCATCTCCGCCCGGCACCCCAAAGTCCAATCTGGATATCCCTCGTAAACTGTAGTCCTCCAAGTTCAGAGAACGAGTTCTTCATCACCACCCTCTGCCAGAGATAGTTTTGCATCTCGAGTGAGATTTGACGGTAGAGGTTTGTAAAGTGTTTTGTGGGGAGGGTTGTTGCGAGGAATTCGAAGGAGCGGGTGAGGATGTTGAGAGGTTGGTAGAGTTCTGGTGACACATCATCGCTGCTCTCTTGGAAGGATGATGAGTATTGGTCCTGTTGGGTTGGAGAGTGTGGTTGACGTGAATCGACCATCGAAAACTCGATTTGTGGCCACGATGCCCTAATTGGATTGAAGGATGTACTGTCAGTACAAACAACGTTAACGTACTCCGAGAACATAACAGTACGAAGGACAGAGACTTACAGGGAGATGTAGGGCTTCATGTTGCTAAAGACCTCCTCGGTAGCGTTCCTGGTAATAAGGTCCTGGATTCTCTTGGACAGCTGTGTGAACCCCCGGATAGACTCGTCAAAGATGGTTCCGTTCTCATCCAACTTTTTGTCTGGCTCATCCTCAGCTTCCGAGTCCTCGTTCTCCGAATGCATAGGGTTCACGACCTTTTGTGTCCTCTCCGAAATCTCTTTGTACAGCTCCAAAAAGAACTGCCATTTGGCCAAAATAAAAAATAAAAAATATATATATGCAGGAGTGAGTAATTGAGGCCTTCAACACGCTCTCGAGAACAACCTAAGCAAATGATGGATAGCACTTACGATGTCTTCACCCCAGTCTTTGAGGATAGAACTGACGTATTCGACGCTGAAGAGCCATTGGCAGAGGTTGCGGAGTCCTTCCACGCCCATGCTAGCAAGCTCTTCGGCACTAACAGCGCCAGGCATGACTCTGACAAATGAGTAGGTCATCGACTCGTATTGATCCACAAGTCCCCTGATGTGTCGATGATAAGCGATCAAAATGTCCAACTGGACGTCAAGCAAAAACGTCCTGTGTTCCAGGACCGTGAGTGGTCTATAGCGCTCTATAATCACCGGTGAAGGGTAAGTTAGTTTCGCTGTGGCAGAGTTTCTTTATCGTCTTCACCAGTCAAAAGTAATGACACGTACCAGTAACAATCCCAAGATGATCCATGAGCTTTTCAGCCGATTTTGTGGGTATAATGAGATCCTTCTCGCCCAAACTCTCGTACGCCGGTTGCCAAGCGTCCTCATCATCCATGATTTGAGTGTATCTAGCAACGGAAACTATACCACAATAATATGACCTGGGTCAGCACCTGAGATGTATTCTACCTCCTATGCCACATAATAACACATAATACCACCTACATTCTTTCTCGGCGCGCAACCAGGTCTTGAGCCATGCCCGGTTGTCGAGATACATCTGGACGGTGCCTTGCCACTCTGAGGTCTGACCAGGCGGGATATACAATTCTGAATCGCGCAAAGTCTTGTCGAACCGCAACGTTTCATGGATCGCGTGCGAAAGAATCTCTGGGCTTGACAGCATGTCTGGCACAGAGTTACGGATCTTTCTCTCCACAGCGCCCAGAAGCAGGCGAGTGAAATCATTCTATCCGCCGTCGGTGAGTTATCATGTTAGATATCATAGACCTGGTGACGGTAGGTCAGATGAAAAGGCTTTAAATCGCGTGTTGTGAAGCTCACCTTTGCATCGTACTCTCGGTATTCAGTGTCCTGCACGATCCCTTGGACAAAGTTTTGAAGAAATGGCGAATGGTCCTTGATCAGCTCCAAGATGTGGGTCAGATACCACTCGGGCTAAGAAAAGAGTACGAATATTGCGTTAGTAATGCAATTGGCTAATTAAATGACCAAAAACCACTACAGCATATCCCGCAAATGCCACTCCTGAGCCATGCACGTACCTTGTCTAGGCGATTGGTGGGTCGCTTGCCATCAAAGTGGTACCTGAATCTCAGGATTAAGGGTGCGGCCATCTGCTCAATCGCCAAAAGTGGTGGGTATGGTTTGTTGTTCGATCGATCCAGAGGTCCAAATGTTCTATCACAGCAATATAACAGAGTACTGTCAGTAGCCAACTCTAGTTGACTTGATGGATACTCTTCCTTCATAAGAGCCACAAGTCCACTTACGGTTCCTGGAGGAGCATGAGTTCCTTGAAAGCACCTTCAAAGTCGTCCTGTTGCTGTCCTGAAAGGGCGAACCCGTCCGGGATGGGCTTTGGCCAGCCAATCGCGTCCAGCGATGCTTGAAACTTTCTATGGTAGCAACGACGAAAACAATGTCAGTGAGTGTCAATTGACAAAGTACTCTGTGACGGCTTGCGACTCCAACTTTCTTACTTTGCCAAGGAGGCTTTCAACTCCTGCAAGAGGCTATCCACGCTTGCTGTCAAAAACGCCTCCAGTTTGGTGTTATTTCCTCCTAATGTCGTTTTGACACTTCGCAACAGCTCGGTCAGCGAGCCATATGGCACCAGTGCCTTACTTGTAGAACTCTCCAGCAACCCCCTTGTCTCGGAACTAAAAGAAAAAAAAGTGAGGAATGTGCAATGATCAGCTTAAGTTATCCAGCTTGCATCCTCAATTGGTAAAACATGAAGTAACCTTACATTAACTGTTGTGTGCGCGATATGATGAGGATGTAGCGCTTCGCGTCCTGCAAAGCCTGAACACGGCTCTGAAGGTCACTCAGTTCCTCGATCAACGAGCGCTGATCGTGCTTGTTATTCTTTCCTGACGCGAATGCCTCCGAGTGCTCCATCTGCTCCTCCAAGTCGAGTGCCGATGATTCCAGATTCTGAAGACCGTCCAACGAGGCTTTTGACACGTTCTGGGCCGTCTTCAAGGCCTGTGCCGTCTTCTTCTTACTCTCCTCTAGCTATTTGAAACACAAAACAAATTGATAATTAATACGTGTCATGCGATTATCTATCTCTCGAAGGAAACACGGGAGGCATGTGTGGATAGAAAAGCAAGCACCTTGTGGTTAAGTTCATTTCCAATGGAAGCTTGTTTCTGGAGCACGCTCTTGATATTGGCAAGGTCCTCTCGAGAGTTGAAACGCGCGTTGAAAAAGTCGGTGACATCCTCGTCCACGTCGATGGTCTGTTCAAAGACAACGACATTGCTGTTATGGGTTGGTGGCGGTAGTGTCGCTGTCTCATGGTCCTGGCCGTGGTCGTTGTATGAAGATGCAGCTGTGGGTGGATGTATGGCCAAGGATGCCATTTCTTCTTTTCCTGGAGTTTTGTCGATGAGATGAGAGAGTGAGAGAGTGGGAGTCCATGGGAGACTCGACCTATCAGCGCGACAATTGAAATGGTCGATGTGACTTCATTTCACCTACTTCACACGTCGCTGGCACATGATTTCAATTTCTTATTTCGATGCGAGTGTGCGTGTGTGACATCCATCTTTCCTTCTCCACTTTCCACTTCCCACTTCCCACTTCCTACCTTTCACCCTTCTTTCCCCTTCTTCCCACTCGTCCCTTCTCCTCCCTTTTCATACATACACACCAAAAGAAAAAGCAGGAGAAGCTCAAACCCCACAGACGTTAATACGCAGGTACGAACGTCGTTCTTGTTGCTTCTCTTTTACACTATCCATCATGGACTACTTTCGACAACACCCTTTCTAATCTCTATGTTCCACTAGCAGACACTCACAAGCAACAAACAATGTCATCGGCAGCAGCGTCGTTGGCCCACGACATGCTGCTCGCATTCCGCGACCAGCAGCTCTCAGATATCACAGTCCAAGCATTCAACCAGACCTTCTACCTCCACCGCCTCATCCTCCTCCGCTCTGGATACTTCCGCTCTCTCATCCTCGGCCAAGGTGATTGGATCGAAAAGTCTCGTCAGGCCGTCACGATCCACTTTGACGACCCCTATGTCACCTTGCAGTCCTTCCAGCGCATCATCCATTGGCTTTATGGAATTGATTTCCATTATACCGAGGGGTCTGCTCCACTCACCTTCAAGACCACGCCTGCTAACAGTAGTAGTGGTAGCAACAGTCATGCTGGATTGGGAGTGCCAGGAGGAGGAGGTCAGTCCATGACAAGGAGTGCGTCTGCACAGTATTATGGTCAATCCACTGTTGAGGGAGGACGACATGGATTGGGTCTGCATCAATTTGGCATGGACCACCATCCAACTTACTCGGACAAGACCTCCATTGCAGGAGCAGGAGCAGGAACGGTCTCGGTTCGTTACTACGACAACATCATGATGGACCCCTCCGACAGTATCGACGAACTCCTCATCTCCATGTACGCCGCCGCCTCATATCTTAACATCACCGCGCTCATGGAGGAAATCTGCAGCGACATTGCCCATCGTATCAGAGACAACAGAGGTCTAATCCACTATATGGAGTACGCCTGGAAACTCAACAATGGCAAGGCATGGGACATTATCCTGGCCCAGTGCTTCTACCAGTTCTTCTGGAGCACCTACAAGTCCATCACCTTGCAAGAGATGCTGGTCTCGCCGGAGATGCCCCTCGCTGGTCTCGTCAAAACCCTTGTCTCCGAATCCCTCTATGTCCCCAACGAGTATGAGCGCTACCAGCTTGTTAAGGGCATTATGTTGCGGCGCTTGAGCCTAGAGACCGAGAAATTAATGAGTTGGGTCTACGACTACCATGAGCAGGATTGGTTCGGGATCCTCAAGGAGCTGGACGATAATGGCACTTGGTCGTATGAGCTAACATCAGATGCGTTCTTGAACAATATTCAGGATTGGGAGTCGACTTCGACGGCAGAGTACGAGGATGCGGTGGACACGGATCATGATTGGGCTTCGACCACCAAGGAGCTGCGTCGACGCAGTTCTCAGATAAGCACCTCGCTACACTTTGAGGTGGATGACGATGAAGAGGACAGAGCCGCAACTCCGACTGCAGAGAATGTCATGTCATCCGCATCGCAGCCACTCAAGCAATCACCTTTGCGGAAACGGCAGGAGAACGCAGACTCCGAGGAAGAAGACGCGGTAGAGCAGGAGGAAACCGATATGGAGGGTACCTCGACGGAGCAAGCAGAGACACCAGTGATGAAGGGGATGAAGGAGATGAAGACAATGACACCCCAATCGCCCGTCTTGGAGACCACACCCCAGTCGCCCATTCTGGACACCGCCTTATCCTCACCTGCATTATCTGCATTATCGATTTCCTCAGACACCCTCCCTCGCCACCAAGTTCGGGAACTGCTGATACTTATGTATATCCTGCACCACAGCATTCACTATACCCATATGTCGTTCGATCACCTACACCAGATCTTGACAGACGGGATGGTGCTGCCCTCGCGGATTAAGGATGCATTCTGGCGACAGCACCTATTAAGACGGATCGCCGTCAGTACTTCGGCGACATTGCCTTACCTATCAGCCCCTTCGACCCCACCTCTTGCACGGTATCATGGAGCGGGTCCTGCTCAACGCGAGAGAAGGACTCCTATAGTGTCAGCCAGCTCGCGCGCAAAGATGTCAGGATCCTCGCGACCTTCGCCAACCCCCATCAGCTTGCTACCAACTAACTCTCATGGTCTCTTGCCGATCCGGTTCAGCACCTCGCTCTTCATCAGTCGACGGGATCTGATGACGGACGGAAAGCACTTTACGTCCTCGACATTCTATGGCGGCAGTTGGTGGAGTATTCAAGTCGGCAACAACCTGAACGCGGCTGGACAGGTGGGAGTCTTTTTGAGCTCCGCGCCTGTTCCCCGTGTTGTGCCCAACGCTGGAGGAGGAAGAACGCTTGGTGGATCTGGGTCATCGCATTCGAGTTTTTTCTCGGCGTTGAGAGGCGATCGAGCAGGAACGGCCTCGGCTCCGATGCGGGATCGTCGCGGTGGTGGTGGTAGCACTACAGGAGGTTCGACACAAGCAGACCAGGGCGCGAACGGAGATTGCTCCAGCGTCTACAGTCGTCAACGAGAACTCGACTGCAGTTACCGGATCTATATGACCTCGAATGTAGTCGAGGCGCCCCAGTACTTTGCAGCGACGGCGTCGAATCGACTGGAAGAGATCCGCGGGAGTGAGTATGGCTATTCCCACAACCACCACCACCACCACCACCACCACCATGCACCCACCGGTAGTAGTACAGGAGCCAACAACGATATTTTCCGTCCACGTGCTGTCGGACTCGGCGGCGGACTTGGATCGTCGTCCTTACCCAACTCACCCGAGCTGGGCTCGAGCTCGTTTGTCCGGACGACACAAAAGATTGCCTCGGAGGACGAGATGATCTGCCATGACATGTTCAAACTGAACGAAGGATGGGGGTACAAGAAGTCGAACTACCTCACTAGAGTCGCGCGGTATATACGGGACCAACCACCTAAGGCAACCCAGAACCCGTCTAATGTATATCCTCCCGACAGTACGTCACCTCAACTGACCCGGGCCCCTGCCAACGGCCCTCCCCCTCCGCAGCATCAACAGCAGCAGCAGCAGCAGCAACAAGCGCAGCCATTACAGCAACACGTGCATCAACAACAGCAGCAGCAACCTGGGATTCCTTTGCCTCAAGTACCACTCCATCATGGACAACAACAACACGGTCCACTGCATCATCAGGGCCAAGGCCAAGGACAGCAGCATCAACAACAGCAGGTTCAACAGCCTCACGCACAGGGACTTCAGCATATCCTTCAGCAGCAACAGCAGCAACAGCAGCAACAACAACCACAAATTCCTCACGACCCCCTACAAAATGGCGGTCATGTGACGCAGGCTACAACACAGTCTGCGAATCAGTACACCTTGGGCCCTGACGAGACGGAGGATGACGGGCTTTGGATCCATTTTGTTGTCAAGGTGGGATGGTCTGACCGCAAGAACACCCCCGAGAAGGCCGTCAGCTAGATCGACTTTAATGCCACCCAATGTCGTTGTTTGCATGAATTATTCTTTGGAGAGAGAATAAAGAAAATCTTTTGGATGGATCCTTTTATGCCCAATGCGATGACCGCCTCGCGTCTCACTTCTTTTTTTTTTTAATGCTATGCGTAACCTTGAATAAAAGGACAGCTTACAACCCTCACTTTTCCCTCTTCTTCCTCACTCACATCCTCACCAACTCAACAAACACAAATAAGCAAACACAAGATGAACAACAATACAGGATCGCCCTATGTCCCCTCGACACAAGAGAACAAGCCGGACAGAGTTCACGCCCACTCGACCGCCCACTCCACCCACGCCTTCTGCGAGACCTTTGATCAAGCCACCCGCGACATGCAACAAGAGTCCAAGGCAAACTCTGACGGTGCTGGTACTGGAGAGGTCATGGCTGGAGGACACCGTAAACATTCGAGTGCGGCCAAGGAGGAAAACGAAGAGTCGTTGAGGGAGGCCAATTCTGCGGTGCAGTTGGATCGGGATGTACAGCAGAGTCGGCGTGGTACCGATGATGCCAAGCAGGTAAGCTTTACTTCGCCAAGTTGAATAAAAAAACAAACAACTGTGTCTGTTTGTGTAAAAAAACATATTGTGTTCCATCGCTGACAATGAATATCTGATCTGTGTTTGTGCATGAATAGGGATCGAGCAATCGGGATGGATCGTGGGTGACTAACCCCAACGAGCTTCCTTACATCGAGTAGGCCAGGATATGACTAGCGAAAGCCCAGTAAAGCTTCTCAAGCGCCTGTTCTCTTTTTTTTTTTTTTACTGACACCATACTTTTAACACTGTACATCATACGTCAGACATTAGCTCTGAAATAAAGAAATAAAGAAATAAAGAAATAAAAAAAGGCGCTTGTTAGCAAAGGTTCTAGCTACGCTGAGAACAGTATGTCATTGAGCCTTATGTTCGCAGAGCAGGAAGAAGAAGAACGTTGTTTTTAGAGGGAGAGAGTGGTAACCATACACGTCCTCAATGTTCTGTAGGATTGATCCGTAGGAACACAAAGGCAAAGTGTCAACGAGGCCATATTCTTTTTTTTTTTTTTTGTCTAGCCCAGCATTCAAACAAAGTGAGAGCTGAGAGGGACGTGTAAAGTTTAAATTCAAGGTCGGAAACTCTCACTGCCTGCGAATGAGAGCAATCACATGGATGGGAGGGGGGGCCATGACGAGTACGATGAAGGAGGGTGGCAGCGAACCCAAATGGAGACACGATTCTCGTACTCTTTTGCTGCAAAATATCCATGATCGAAGTTTTCTGTACCCCCCAAGGAGAAAAGTCCTCCTTTTTGAACCCTTTTCTTGACATCCGATCAGAGTTCTGAGAGAGAGGGGTACAGTACACAGACTTCTTCCTGGCTCTTTTTGGTGCCTCAGTTTTTGCCACTTCTCCCTCGCATGTTTTCTAGGAGGAGAGGGAGGTGTGTGTGTAACCTTGGGTCAAGGTAGCACAAAAAAAAACCTGGAAAACCCTCGCGTGATGTCCGAAGGCGCAAAACTAAGCCAACTGCAAGGAAATGGCCTGATCAACATGAAAGCGGGTTAGGTCGAAGTAGGGAACTCTACCAGCGTAGAAGCAAAGAGAGCATCCTCCTTTGCTGTTCGCTTCCTCCTTTATCCGAACTCTGGCTGTGTGAGGTACACCTTAAATGGCATGGATAAACCATCGACAACTCGGAATACAAACAAGATCGTTCGCCATGACCCCTCCTCTTGTACCCTGAAAGTTAAGAAAGGCAAATGCAAAAGATAAGGGAGAAAGTCAAACAATGAATGTAAACAAAGCGATCAGGTCCGTCTGACTTCCTAGCGCCTAACTTCAAGCGTCTTGTCTGTTGCCGTTCAAGCACGCCTCCGTGATCTTTGTTTGTGGAGGAGGAAGAAAGAGATGAGAGGATTTATTACTTCGGTTAGCCATGAGTGTGGGGCGAGATGATGAGGGGAGCAGAGATAAACAAAAAAACGGCCAAGGCATTCTCCTTCAAACGCCGTCGCTGAGAAACCGCGCATGCATCCAATAGCATCGTTATCGTTGAAGGGAAGTAACATCAAAAAGAGATGATTGAGAATCTTTACTCAACCACTACACATCCACGAATGATAAACGTGGGTCGTAAGACGAAACAAACTGGAGGATTACCGATGATGATGGACATCCAAAAAAGATAGCGACAACTGCCCGCTTCATCACTTCGCTTATCTTCGGAGCGAGGATTGTCCAACTCGACAAAAATCAAACTAAATAGCCAACACGTTAATGCCATTTCTTCCCAATCAGAAACAGCTCTCTCTCCCTTTAATCCTTGAACGTGCTGATGGAAAAATAGAGATTGTTCCCAGCAAAGAACTATAGTGGCGGTGACATGAATCTTGCATGGAAGCGGAATGGGTGAACAATACGGTAACGTGGACCCTTTGCAAGACCCTGGTTGGCTAGTTAGTGCGTGTATGTATCTTTTCAAGAATACCAAGGAGAAATAACACCCTTGTTTCTAACAAAGCAACCAGCAGACAGGCATCCTTGTCTTTGTCTGAGAAAGAAGTAGAAGTAAAAGGGCTTAGAGGGGTTATTTTATTTGTTCGGTCAATATACCCTATGCGTGTACCGCACACAAACTACATTACAAAAAATAACGCCTGACCTCTTTTTCTGTCGAAATTAGGACCTTTTCCTCGTCCACCTCCAGCTTCTGACATGAACATGTGGGCACCAGAAGGCTGTACCATTTCCTGTTCCTCTTCCTCTTTTGGGATCCAGGACATTGCGGGGGAAGAGTGAGGTGAGCTGAAAATCGAGGAGAAGGAAGGAGAAGGAGAGGACGGAGCGGGGATGGGATCCCATTGACGAATAGTTTTCATACTCCATTCCGATGGAGATGAACCTGCAAACCATCCAGCCGGCATCCTGGGACTCGCCTGGACAGTTCCATCCGTTTCATTGGACAGCGGCATGCTTAAACAACCTCTTTCAAGTAAAATAAAACGGCGATTGACAGTTGAAGGCGAGTCCTGACTTCTCATGGCTCTCTCCCTTCTTCACGAGCGTTCTGTCTCCTCACTTGCCTATGCGCATCTGGCTTCTTTCCCCGCATGAAAAGGAGAGCAGGTCCTCTCTCTCTTTCTGTCGTTCGTGAAAACTGGAAAAAAAAAAAAAAAAACGAGTGGAGCTGAGTTCATAGCCACTTGCTCACCTCCTGTGGGAAACTTGCTGAGTTTTGATGTCCTCAATTTCACATTGGTCTAGTTCACCTCCATTTCTTACTGGACAACTTCAAAAAATGGCGCGCACTCTAATTTTTTATCGATTCTTCATAGTGTAACTTGACAAGCATGTGGGAGGCACGAAGAGAAGAAAGAACAACGTGAAGGCGGAATAAAAAAAAAAAGAAAGGCGCCAGACTGGAGATCTGTGATCTACTATTATGAAGGAATAATCCCTTCTCCTTCCCTTCAATGGTTTTTTTTTCTTCGACGGGTGAATCGAATGGACCTGACGAAAAGGTTTAGACCCAGCAAACAAGAAGAGTACTGTACTGTAGCAAGGATAGAGTTGATATTATTTTGTTTTGAAATGACGACGATGAACGACAAACACAAATAATAACAACAAACAATAACAATTGGCATAAACAATCACTAAGCAAAGGCTGGTGGTGTAGACAAGGCTCACTTTTGGTTGTCGATTGAAGGAGTGGAGAAAAGGAAAGCCAAAAAAGGGCGCCGGCATATGAGAACAACATTATTGAAGACCTAATCGAACTCTAGGTTCGGGTTCCTCGCTGACATGCTCTACACTTCGTTGTTTTTTGGTCCGACAACTCTTCTTTATTTTTTTCAGAATATTGAGTGTCTACAGTGAACATGAACAGCAAAGGATTGAAGTAAATTGAAGATGAAGACGAAGAGACTAGAAAAGGACCTGTACTTGCAAAAAGGAGTTCAATTATGTGAAAAGTAAAGTAAAGATGGGCCGTGTCCATTGGACTATTGAACAACTGAAAAGAAGAAGAAAACGATATTTTAGCGCCCTTTTTGGATACACTCGTCTCCCCTTTGGGTTCTCTCACAGGTACTTCTGGCTGCTCCTGGCCGTACCTGTCCATTCGCCAACTTCTCAACCTCGTTTTCCTCCTCCTCCTCACTTTTCACTTTCACACCCGATACATATAAATACGCCCAAGTACCCCCGCCCCTCCATTTTGATCCCTTGTCCTTCGTTATCACTCTAACCCTCGACCTCTTCCCCCCTCCTCTCACCGCCTTTGCTCCTCTTCTCCATCCCACTTCACTTCACTTTCCATACCCTCCCTTTCTTCGTCCATCTCTCGTAATTCAACAACAAGACACAATGGATACCAAGACCGAGCAGCCCATCCAGGCTGTTGTCCTCCCCGAGGAACCCGTTTACCTCACCGAGCTCCAGAAGAAATCCCGCGTCTCTGCCATCTTCACCGTCATCTTCTCTGGTAAGCCTTCTTTCTTTCATCTGGTCGACAACGTTCCAATTGGATGCATTATGTTTGGTCAGGGGCAGAAAGATGGAAGACATGGCATCCAGTTGAATTGTTGCACCCACATTTTTTGTTTCCTTTTGTCTCAGAGTGGAATGGGATGTGAGTGTCCGGGTGGACAGCTCGACAACAAATATGGACAACTCTCACACACCCTCCAACCACACAAGCACTTACCTGTTTCCCATGAAACATCCAAACTAACCCTCTCACTTTTATTGCCTCCCAACGATTAGGATTCGCATTGTTGTCGGATGGTTACCAGGTCGGAGTCCTCTCACTCATCAACGTCTGCTTCACAAAGATCTACGGTGACTCCTTCACCTCCGAGATGTCGACCCGCATCGGAAACTCGCTCTTTGTCGGCTGTATCATCGGCCAAATCTCCTTCGGCTTCATCTGTGACCGTCTCGGTCGTAAGGTCGGACTCATGATCACCACACTCCTCGTCATCCTCGGTGCCGCCTTGTGCGCCGGTGCCTATGGCGCCCATGGATCAGTCGAGGGACTCTTCTGGGCATTGACCATTTATCGTGGTATCTTGGGTGTTGGTGTCGGAGGAGAGTACCCTTGTTCGTCGGCTTCGGCCTCTGAGGCCGCAGATGAGGTTATGCCCGGACGGAGAGGCATGTTGTTTGTCTTTGTCACCAACTTTGTCATTGATTCCGGATTCGTCATCTCGGCGTTGTTTCCTTTGATCTTGGGAGTCGCTGGATGCTCGTATGAGGTTATCTGGAGAACTTCGTTTGCCTTTGGTGTCCTCCCCCCTCTTTCCGTCCTTTACTTCCGTCTCAAGATGAGCAACTCGGAGATCTACAAGAAGAACGCCATCAAGAAGCAGGTCCCTTACCTGCTCATCGTCCGCAGATACTGGAAGTACCTCGTCGGTACCGGTGGTTCCTGGTTCTTTTACAACTTTATCTCCTACCCTCTCGGTATCTTTGCCGGTACCATCCTCGACCAGGCTCTTGGATCGGATGCCACCTTCGTCGAGATTGCGGAATGGTCGTTGTTGTTGAACTGCTTCTACCTCCCCGGTTCGATCTCGGGAGCTTTGGTTTCTGACAGGTTGGGCCGTAAGAAGACCATGGCTACTGGTTTCCTTGTCCAGGGTATCCTCGGAATCTTTATGGGCATCTTCTACAAGAGACTCCTTGACATCTTCCCCTTGTTCGTCGTCCTCTATGGAATCTTTATGGCCATGGGAGAGTTTGGCCCCGGTGACATGCTCGGACTCGTCTCTGCCGAGATCTACCCTACCGCCATCCGCGGAACCGCCTACGGTTGGTCTGCTGCCATCGGAAAGCTCGGTGCCTTTGTCGGAACGAGCGTCTTCAAGCCTGCGATCGCCTCCTTTGGCCATGGCGATGTCAAGTTGGGTCAGGGACGTGTTTTCATCCTCGGTTCGTGTTTGGCATTGTTGGGAGCTGTGTTTACATGGTTCCTGATCCCTGACTATTCCAAGAAGGCTCTTGGTGAGGAGGATGAGGACTTTAAGAAGTACTTGTTGGAGAATGGGTTCGATTTGAGCAACTTTGGCGGTGAGGACGTTCCTGTGATCGATGAGGAAAAGGCACCTGCCTACGTCGCCGAGAAGGAGGAGCTCAAGGCTTAAAGCCAGCCCCCCTTTTCTTTTTCTTACGCTTTTCATTCACAACCCATCCCATGTACAAATATAATTTATCGCATATTCCCCCCACCTTCTACTTTTCTCAGTCTTCACTCTTGTTACTCGTTTTTCTTGAGGAATAAACAAGGCATGCAAAAAAAACAACAAACGCAACATCAAAGTAAAAAGAATGACAAAACGGCAAAAGAAAAAATAATAGGCGTAAGCTGTCCATGTGGGACAAGACAATAGACCAAGGGAGGACCGACTCCTGCAGGCATGAGTGCATGCCCTTGCATCGTATTATTTTGCATAAGCGTCCAATTGTTTGAGATTGAACCTCAATCCACCTTGGAGCTTGGACCGCTCTCCCCACCCCTCTTTTTTTTTCAATGACACGCCTCGCCCCGTCCTACAACAAGGAGCAGTAATATGCCATGAGGATTGTTTATTGTTTATTAGAACAATTGGGAAGGAAGACCCCGCCCCATTACGTTTTTTTTTTTTTTTTTTTTTTTTTTGGTTCGTTTGTATTGTAATGTAAATAGGAGCTACTAATAGTGCCCGACAGAGACGTACTGCTGGTGCTGCTGGTTATGATGGTGCTGGCCATGATGTTGCTGGCCATAATGCTGCTGCTGCTGTTGCTGCTGACTCTGCTGGCTCTGTTGCTGGCTATGGTGTTGCTGGTGATGATGGTGATGCGGATGATGGTGCTGTCTATACGAAGGACTCACAACCTCGACCGTCCCCGCCGCAGAAACAGCCGCATCCTCGGCAGCATGCATATCCACCTGGGTCCTCAACTCACGGATCTCCATCTCCAACACATGGCGTTGGAAAATCATCTCCTTGATCTTCTTGTAGGCGATGGCGGAGAGCATCTCGAACTTGTCGCGGGTGTCTTGCATCGCGACGGCGGTGCGGGTGCGGGCGCGCATTTCTGAGGCTAGGTCGCGTTGGAGGGTGATTACTTGGGCTTGGAGAGAGGAATTCTTTTGGCGGAGGAGGAGGAGTTCTTCGTGCTCTTGGGCGGTCAAGGGTGCTGAGGGGACCAAAGTTTCGGTGGAGGTGGTCGACATGGCGGTGGTGGCTGTGCCCTTGGGGAAGGTGCCGTTAGTGGGGGCGGTGGGATGGGAGAGAGAGGCGACAAGACTTGCGACTTTGGATGTCGCCCGTGCGGCAGTCATGATATGCGCAGACACCATCGTGGTGCCAGTCGACGTAGAAGTCGCGACCGACGCCGTCTCTGCAGCATCCAGCTCCGTAGAAGTACCCATCTCACATGAGCCCTCACTCGTCTGTGTACTAAACTCCCTAGGTTCGGAATCTCGGACAAGAGACTCCATGGGCTCGGTCTGAGTGTACATGGGCCGCATGATACAGTGCTGTGTCTGAATCTGGACATGACGGACTTTCTTCCTCGAGATGGGCTTAGGCAACGTCACTTCGGGCGGTTTGGTCGAGGACTCATGTCCAGACTCGTTTGCAGAATCGGCGCCATCGTCGCCAAGGAAGCCCTGGTTCTTGAGGAGTTGGGCCTTGTGGTTGGCGATCCGCTGTGAAAGTGCCTTCGAGACCGGGTCCTCATCTCCCGCACCTTGTTGTTGCCCTGCAATGTTGAAGGTGACCTTGTTGGTTCCCCGTCGTGACATTCCACCGTCTGCCGTCTGACTGAACCCGGACCGTTGCGACTGTGTCCTACGGTGTTGCTGTCCTGCATCTGTCATTGTCGACGTCCCTGTCGTCGTAACTCCCGAAACCTTGGAACCTTGAGCACTCAAGGACGAGGACATGATAAAGTCGGTATCCAACGCAAAGTTGTCAAGCAAGAACGGCGAGTTGTCCAGAATAAACGACGACCCCTCACCTCCACCAGCCTGGATGATAATCGACCTCCGCGTATCTCCCGTTCCTCCAGTACTCAAACCAGAGTGAAGATGACTACTGTCAAAGGTTGTCTGCATGTTGCTGCCCAACAACGTTGATCCCGTCACCGGTTTTCCATCATCACTGCCGCTCGAATAGACCCTGCTCTGTCGCATACTGCTGGTGGGCGAGTTCCTCTTTGGACTAGTAGCGGCCAAAGCGTTTGTGATTCCTGTCACAGGTGAGATATGTGACATGTTGGGTGTTGTCGTCGTCGCGGCTGTCGAGGTAGAAGCAGGAGAATCCTTGTAGTCAACAGCAATCATCACATACTTCTTCCCATTCGGCAACGTCGCCGTCGCACCACTCGCCGTACTAATCGTACTCCCAACTCCCCCAGCAACCACCGACCCGGGCATCCCCGACAAGCTAGCCCGATTACTCCCACCATTCAACATCGACCCAGACTTGCGATTCCTCAACCTCTGCAGCAACGACCGTTTCTTCTTATCGTCTACAGTAACAGGCGGCAGACTTGGAGCCGGCGGTGGAGGAGGAGCATTCTTGAAGAAATCGACCAGGTCCATGGTAGTCTTGCGTTGGGCCTTGTAATCGGCCGAGAGGAAATCGTTATCAGAATCATCGCTGTCGTCGTTAAAGTCGAGGGCGGCGGCGGCTCGAGGTTGGAGGAGGGGGCGGAAGGCCGGCTTCCGGGCTGTGAGTGGGGAGGTGGTGGTCCCTGGTGTTACGCTTAGTGTGTCCATTATTATTGTGTTGTAGATATGTGTATATGTGGGTCCCCGGTTGTGTGGAGGGGGGGTTGGCGAGAGGAAGAAGGAGGCAAGGAGGAGGGGATTATAAAGTAAGGGTTTATGTGTCGTAGAGAGGCAGGTGGTTGCCACGAATGTATCTGTGATGATGTGGTTTGAACCTGCGCAAAGCGCACTTTTTGTCAGTACGAGAAAGAAAAGAGAGGAGGGAAAGGAGAGAGATGGCGAAGAGAAAAGAAAAGAGAAGGAAAGAAAAACGACAAACGAAAAGATGGACAAAGGAGAAGCAAGCAGAAAAACAAGGATAGAGAAACAGAGAGAATGGGAGCAACGGCGACGGAAAAAGGATAAAGGAAAGAAAAAAGGCCGATGTTGTTGTGCCTTATTGTTTCGCGATGGAACGTTGTGGGCCGAACTGTTCTTATTGTTTTTTTTTCTTGTTAACAGGAACGACGCGTTGAGTGTTGCGCTGTGTGAGTGCACGATTGAACAAGAAGCGAGAGGCAAGGAAGGATCGATGGTTGGCTGGCTGGGATATGGCAAATATATATCTATTGGCATAGAAAAAGTTAGTAGGAAGAGTAGGTTAAATGGATGAAGGGTGAAAAAATAATTGCCATATAAATGCGGAAGAGCCAGTCAACGGATGCCTGGTGTCCCCTTTCCTTTTCTCCGTCTTCTTTTCCGTATCGCACATGCACACAAGCATGTACAACCACACAGTGTCACAAAGACAACATTGTCAGGATAACAACAAATGGAGGGAGAAAAGGGCGGGTTCGATCAAGTAGGCCGAGCAATCACACACACACAAAAGTATTAAAGGGATAAAGTAAGGAGAAGGCAAAGGGAGGAGAAAAGACAAGGAACAAATGAACGAATCGCCAATGAAGAGGAGACGCACAAAAAAGGGCGCGGGAAAGTTGTTCAGTTGTATCCAGTTTAGTTCTTCGTTCGCAGAAAGAAGACAAGACAAAAACCAAGGAAAACAGTTGTTCGGGTTGATAGACAGTAATTCAGAGCAAGGGAGGTAAAGGAGTAAAAAGGTGGAAACACAAAAAGAAAAGAAAGGGTACCAAACAATGCTCTACTACGGCTATTACTCGACGCCTCTTGGTGCAAAAGAAGTAGGACAAGAATGAACGCTGTCAACAAAAATGAGGGAAAAGGACGAATTGAGAGCGCGCGGGCGCGCCAGGCCTGGCCTGGTCATAATGGAAGCGTCCACCCCTTCTTCTCCCTTTCAATTACTCGCAGCTCTCTTTCACTCTCGTTTTATTCCACCCTTTCGTCGGTATTGCTCCAAACCAGGAATGAGCGCAGAAGAGAAATGGGAACGTCAAAAGGCAAAGAGCGAGCTAGGATAACGAAGCAAAGAATGACCAAAAAGGGCGTGAAAAGAAGGATTCCCTTGAATAAAAGTAATCATTGACATGGGTAACTGGTATCCGAACGGCCAATGCCCAAAAGTATTGAGGAAACGTGAGACAAGGCCCAGAGAGATACTCTACACAAAGTAGTAGTCCATGTTCTGACCAAATGGCAAAAGGAGTGGTATTTGTTTGGTGGACATACATACAAGTCAAGGTGTATCGACGTTGCTGTGTGTCTGTGGTTGTTCGATTGCTGTCGGTGTAAAGATATCGTAGTGTTTGGAGCTTGTCGAACAAGAGGGTGGATGGCGACCAGGAAATTAGGGAGGAACGTACAGGTGCGTGGTGAGAAAATAAGTAAAATGAGGGATTGAGAGGCAGGAGTGGAGAGAAAAAGAGAAAGAAGTAGGAAAAGAGAAAACAAGAGAAAACAGAATAAGAAAGGGGAGGCGGAGTGCAGGATTGGATTATGAACTTGACGAAGGGGGATGAAAAGTAAAGGGTTCGATAGGTGCTGCAAGAAAAAGGGATGAAGGAGAGGGACTCAAGCATCCAATGCAGAAAAGAAAACAAGGGGGTAGCAATACGCGGCTGACTGGCAATGGGCGTGTGCATTGTGTGTTGTCACAAAAGCACTCTTTACCCCTTTCTTTCTTATTTCTAACGACAACTCACTTGCATGGGCGGGAAAGAGCTTCTGCCAATGCATAAATAAATAAAAAAAAGTACTGTACATAAATGCATCTAATCGATCATCGCCGCCCTTTCTGTCTGCTCTGCTTCTATGTCTCTGTTTGTTTGTTCGTTGACCGTTCGGTTCAAAAAAAAATAGAAAGAAAAAGGCAAAGGCAAAGGCAAAGGCAAGGTATCATTGTCGTTCCTTCAATGTCTCTCCGCAATGCATGCAATCGAATACAGTATGTGCTCACTCCTTTTCTGCTTTTTTTTCTCGTTTGTCTTTGCCTTTTGGCTCCACCAGTTCCAAAAAATCTACTAAGGTTTGCTTTGCTTTGCTTTTTTGTCTTGGGTTGTTGTTGATTGCTGTTTGTTACTGTTGTTGCTCAAAACAGCGTTGCAAAGTTATGCAATAATAGCATGTCGTTCTATCGCTCGTTCTCTACTCTATGGCTCTGGTGACAGAGCGAGAGGAGGAAAAAGGAGGGAAATGCATAATTCAAACCCTAACAAACATTTTGCTTTACCCACGAGCCCAATCTGTTCCGTCTTCCTTGCTTGCCAAAAGCTGGAGGGAAGTGTTCTAGTTTCTGTTCTTGTCGATGGGTTTTTTTCTCTTTCTCTCATGGTCTGTGTCACTCTTTCACATTTCCCTTTTTGTACCTTGTGCCTCTCTTTGTTCAAACCAAGCCGAGCAAACACGCAAACATGCCATCGTGTCTGAGTTGTCGTTGGAAACAAAAGAAACGTCTTCAAAGAGGAAGAGGAAAGAGGAGACCATGGACGCCATTGGAAAGACAGTGAGAGTGAGAGAAGGAGATAGGGTTCACCCCCTGCGGGAACACTCCACTAAAGAGATGAGGGGTTGTTCTGGACAAGGAGCGACAGTAGGGTTGATTGAACAAAACAAGGGGTGAGTTGATGTGTCAGAAGAAGGTTTTTGTCTTTGTCCTGCAAAATCAGGGAGAGAGAGGAGGTGAGAGAGGGCCCCTGCAGGATGAAGATAATTGATCTATGGCGATATGTTACAGGTATATGTATAAGAGGCATCGAGCAGGCGTCGAGGGGTTGGTTTGGAGTACGAAGGCGGTGAGCGGAGACAATAATGCTTATGTTTGCTGGCAATGGATGCAGTGCAAGAGATAGATAGAGATGAAGAGTGAAGGTGCATACCCTTAACTGATCGAGATTCAGGAACCATCCGTGCAAAAAATAAGCATTTGGTGGCGCATCAGCTCTTGCTTTGCCGCGTACACCAAGGCCTTGAAGTGACGTTGCGTTGAGGGACTGAGGACCAACAGGCGCAAGCTGTGTCGATTGGCACCATACGCGCTTCATACAAAAGTTGTTGTCTCGTCGTGTCCGCCTTTGCACCCTGGTCGTAGAATACCTCTATGCCTAGATTATTGTTCCACTAAGATAACAATACTGAAGAAGGAGCGCGAGAAGGGCTGGCCCTGTTTTGTATAGGCAGCACCAATGAGTTGGGCGTGGGTAAACCCCTTTCCTTGGAGCATCCGAAGATGACTCTTCTTTGTTGTTTATGTCTGTAGTCGTGCGGCGAGAATGTACAAAACAGTACAGTAATAGAAGCTGAGACCTGAAAGAGATTGCGCCGTTGTGCCTGGGGCAATGGGCACAGGGAGGGGGATGGTTCTTGATTTTCTGTCTGGAAGCAGCGTGCGTGAGTGCGTGTAAAAGTATGGAGGGTGTTCTTTTGTTAAGAGAATCGCTCACAAGGAAGGGATCGTTCTACTCACAGGGCTTATTCGAGGGTCGATGTGTGTTATGATACTGTGTGTGTGCAACAGAAATAAAAAAATTGGCAACTTACGGAGCTTAGTTTACTGGACGCCTGTGCTCTGATTGGCTGGAATCAAACAGTCAGCCCTTTTCATTGTGCTCTCCTTCGCAGCACACTGCGTGGTCAATTACCACCATGGACGATTCGTGTTTTGTGGGGGGGATCAAAAGGATCAAAAGAGAGGGTATTTCTCACGCACTTCTTCGTCTCTTTATTTCTTCCTCAACTCCTCCTCTTCCTCTTAAATTCCTCACTCTCCTCTCTTCACCCCTCCTTTCACACACATCCACACATCCACACATTCACATCCACACAATGGCCAAGGAATTCAAGAACGACTACAAGTACCAACCCGGCTTCGGCAACCACTTCTCCACCGAGGCCCTTCCCGACGCACTCCCCAAGGGTAACTCTCCTGTCTTAATAAAACGCGTGTCTTCTTGCGCAAAGGCAGAATGGAATGAACATGACACACTCACCCTTCCATTCCAACTTGAATGAACTTCCTCTAGGTCAGAACACCCCTCAGCTCTGCCCCTACGGTCTCTATGCCGAGCAGCTTTCTGGAACTGCCTTCACCGTTGACCGCAAGCACAACGAGAGAAGGTGCGTGTTTCTTTTTGGGCGAAATAAGCGGCCTCTGGTCGCAATGAAGAAATGGAAGCGATGAATGAACTTCTCATGGACACTTTCATTAACCTCCATACTCCTTTCTATGTAATAGCTGGATCTACCGTATCCGCCCTTCGGTATGCCACACTCCCTTCGAGCCCTTTCACAGAAAGACCCAACTTGTTGGCAACTACACCGATGAGGCCAATGTCGATATCACCCCTAACCAGCTCCGTTGGTCGCCCTTTGACATCCCCACCGAGCCCACCGACTTTGTCGAGGGTCTCCACTCCATTGCCGGTGCCGGCGATGTCGGTGTCAAGCACGGAATGGCCGTCCTCGTCTATGCTGCCAACAAGTCCATGGACGACACTGCCTTCTACAACTCTGACGGCGACTTCTTGATCGGTAAGTCACCCTTTCTTACTCCCCTTTCGTCAGACAAGAAAGGCTTCGCAGTTGGTGTTACGCAAGGATGGATCACATTCTCACGCCGCGTTTTTGTATGTATGCGTGTTCAATTGAACTAACATTCCCATGGTCACTTTCAACATTATTACTATAATGGTTCATAGTTCCTCAACAGGGTCGCTTGGACATCACCACCGAGTTTGGAAAGATCTTGGTGCACCCCAACGAGATCTGTGTTATCCAGCGCGGCATCCGCTACTCTGTCGCCCTGCCCGACGGCCCAAGGTATTTTTACATAGGACATGGGGACAATTGGACCGCATTGATATTGTTTTCACCTCGACAACAAACAGCATTGCAGTTTCTGACCCCACGCTTGTTTGTTTCATGAAAATAGCCGCGGTTACATTTGCGAGGTCTTCAACGGAACTTGGTCCCTTCCCGACCTTGGTCCCATTGGTGCCAACGGTCTTGCCAACGGCCGTGACTTCCAGACCCCTATCGCTGCCTTTGTTCACGAGGATGTCAGGCCCTTCCGCATTGTCAACAAGTACGGTGGCCGTCTCTTTACTGCCAAGCAGGACCACACCCCCTTCGATGTTGTCGCATGGCACGGAAACTATGCTCCCTTCAAGTACAATCTCGCCCACTTTAACACCATCAACTCTGTCTCCTACGACCACATCGTAAGTCGGCTCTTTAGTTATTTGTATCGTGCCCGAATTGATGGATTGGTATTTTTCTATGTCAAGTACAAGTACCAAGAGGACTAAACCTTTTATATGTCTTTACATGATACAATAGGACCCCTCGATCTTCACGGTTCTTACCTGCAAGTCCGAGAAGCCTGGTACCGCCGTTGCTGACTTTGTCATCTTCCCTCCTCGCTGGTCTGTGCAAGAAAACACTGTAAGTGCTCCTCTTTGTTGTGTTATTCTTTGGACTCGTGTCGGAAGTTTCCCACGATCACGCTCTCCGTTGGATATTATTCCATTTCCACTCATACTCCTTTTTTCTTTGCTCAAAATAGTTCCGTCCTCCTTACTTCCACCGCAACTGTATGTCCGAGTTCATGGGCTTGATCCACGGCACATACGAGGCCAAGCAGGGGGGATTCGTTCCCGGTGGCGCCTCTCTCCACTCAATGATGACCCCTCACGGTCCCGACGCCCCCACCTTTGACAAGGCTTCCGTTGAGGAGCTTAAGCCCATGTACATTGCCAAGGGCACCCAGGCGTTTATGTTTGAGTCGTCGATGCAGCTCCAGCCCACCCACTGGGCTATTGCCGAGTCTGGCAAGGTCCAGCACGACTACTTCAAGGCATGGCAGGGACTCAAGTCCAACTTTGACCCAAACTGGAAGCCCGCCAGCCAGTAAATTCGCCTAGTCATCGTTGGCCTGACTCTGTAGACTTGACTTTTTCGAGTTCTAATTGACACATTTATAATCCACCTTATCATTCGCATCCATCCACTTTGTTCATATCCCCACTTCACAAAAAATAAAACAGCGTTATCGCCTATTTTCATGGAACGTTGTTGAATCTGTATCCCCCGGGAATAGTCAATTGCATCTGCATGCGTGTACGAGTGTGTGGCGTGTTCTTTGTCTCGCAAGCCGTTGTCGTTTTGAAGCCGTGGACGAGACCTATGAAGGGGCTTAACAAAGGGAATATCGTTCGGGAAGCCATGTCCGATATGATATGATTACCGTGCATCTCTACCTAGACAGGCAAGCAAGTAAGTAAGTAGGCAAACGGTTACATAGTTAGCACAATACCTTCCCTGTGCAGTACTCGCGAATCCTGCGAAAAAAAAACGACAAATGTAAAAATTCCGGTTTTTGAGAGGGAAAGACATCGTACGATTTTCGTCTAGCGACCCGCCTCAAAGTCCAGCTCTAAATTATCTCTTGCAAGAGGGAGGGACAAACACCCAACAGCAAACAGGTTGATGTTTCCCGGACCATAGTTGTCTTTTTTGGGACACTTTGACCACCACCCCGGAGGATAAGGACCGAGAACGATGAAAAGAACGATGGGATCGGTGGTTCATTTTGTCGATTGTACACCGTGGACAGTAACGGTGAGCGTCGTACATGCCGGTTGGTTGGTGTTGGGCGTTTGATGCTGAACTGTACGTTTTTTATGTTTTTGTGTCAGATCTGGGATATCCGAAAAGAGGTTTTGTTTGTCAATTGGCCATGCAGGCGTTTGTATCATGCCACTTTTTTTATTCTTTGTTCCTTCTGGGAGGAAGACAATGGCCTGCAATAGGCGTGTTGTTTTTTTTTGCTTTGATTGTAGTCTACTGGTTATTTGCGTATCGTGTCGAGGGCGTTTGAGGTGGAGTGAGGAGAGAGGCTGTCTAGTTCGGTTACAGCCCCGAAGGAACGAGCGAGCGTGCGGAATATAATGAGAGGGGAAGCGAGGCGAGAGAAGTAATGCGTGCTTCTGACGGGTGCTTGCCTGAGCCACTATCACATAGTGCGGGTAACAAAGAGAAAGGAGAAAAGGGAGCAAAGGGAGCACAAAAAGAAGGTGATCTTTGGTACAGCCAATCAGATGGCTCGAAATGATAAATCAAGATTTTTTTTTCTTTTTTTTTTCAGGCACCATCAGTCCGTCGAAGAGAAGGAAGTGAGTTTGATCCCCTCCACGGGAATCGTACAGGAAATATTTCCCATTCCTCTTCATAACAACAGCGGCAACAACAACATTGGCCTGGGGTCTATCTCGCCACAAGCTGGCTTTGCTTTCTTCTTTTTGTCTTTGCTCTTGCACGAAAAGGGCTGGGACCAACCAAGTACCCGCCGCTCCCGCTATATATATAAAAAGTCCGAGAGGACCGCTCATTCCCATCTTCTTTTTTCTCTTTTCATTCCTCTCATCACCTCTCACCTCTTCCCTCCGATCCCCCGACGACGACATCATGGCCATCATCGTCCAGCTGGTCCAGGGTCTCCAGTCCCTGGCCGCACACCTCACCAACCCCGCCAACTTCACCCAGATCCTCTCCACCTTCGTTATCGGTATCGCCCTTATCCTCATCTTGACCCAAATCGGCCAAAGGATCAACGTCGACAAGAACGCACCCCCAGAGGTCCCCTACTGGATCCCTTACCTCGGCTCCGCCATCTCCTTCAGTGTCAACCCCCTCAAGTTCTATGCCGACAACCGCAAGAAGTACGGCGATGTTTTCACCTATACCATGGTCGGTCGCAAGTTCACCGTCTGTTTGGGCGTCGAGGGCAACAACTTTGTTTTTAACGCCAAGCTTGCCGATGTCTCTGCTGAGGAGTCCTACAAACCTCTTACCACTCCCGTGTTCGGAAAGGGAGTTGTGTACGATTGCCCCAACCATATGTTGATGGAGCAGAAGAAGTTTGTCAAGTGGGGCATGTCCAACGATGCCTTCAGGGCCTATGTCCCCGAGATCGAGGAGGAGACCAGGGACTACTTTCAGAGATGGAACAACAAGACTGGCGGACGTGGCGATCTTTTCAAGGCTATGGGCGAGTTGATCATCAACACTGCTTCCCGCACTCTTATGGGCCCTGAGATCCGCGCTCTCATGGATGACTCTGGTACGTTCTCATCTTCCATTTCTCATTCTGCCTGTGTCGTTGTTCTCGCGTTCATAATTGTTTCTATGCAGTGGAACAGGAGCTTTCGTCGCACAAAGGAACGGAACGCAGAAGATTAAAATGAGATCAGCAGGAGACAGCAATTATGCTCTCACACACACCAGGACAAAGCACAGTCCATGCTCTGACAAGAAACAGACAAAAAAGTAGTGCCAATACTAATTTTGCCTATTTCCACATTGAAAAACAATTATAATAGTCGCCCAGGTGTACCACGACTTAGATGACGGTTTCCAGCCCATCAACATGTTCTTCGAATGGCTTCCCCTCCCCTCGTACTTCCGCCGTGACAAAGCCCACATCAAGATGCGCAACATCTTCAGCCAAGTCATCAACGACCGTCGTGCCAACAACATCACCGACAAGACCGACATGCTCCAATCGCTCCTCAACCAGACCTACAAGGACGGCACTCCCTTCACAGACGTTGACGCCTGCCACTTGATGATTGCCCTCCTCATGGCCGGCCAGCACACCTCTTCGACCACCGCCACCTGGGCCCTCCTCCATCTCGCCGAGCACCCCCACCTTATCAAGGAACTCCTCGCTGAGCAGAAGGATGTCCTCGGCTCGCTCGATACCCCCCTCTCCTTTGACGCCATGAAGAACATGACCCTCCTCGAGAACGTCATCCGCGAAACCCTCCGTCTCCGCCCCCCAATCATCATGATCCTCCGCAAGGTCATCCGTCCCATTACTTACCCCGGAACCGACTATGTCATCCCCAAGGGCAACTACATTGCCGCTTCTCCCATTGCCACCCAAGTCGACGAGCAGTTCTACAAGAACGCCCTGACTTTCGACCCTCACCGCTGGGAGAGCATCAATGAGGAGGAGGCCGGCGAGTCGGTCGATTACGGATTCGGAAAGATTGCCGGTGGTGGAGCCAGGAACCCCAACTTGCCCTTTGGCGCCGGCCGTCATCGTTGCATTGGTGAGACCTTTGCCTATGTCCAGTTGAAGACGGTCATCGCGACGTTCGTAAGGATGTATGATATGTCGTTGACTGAGAAGGGTATGCCTGGTCAGGATTTTACAAAGATGTTTGTCCAGCCAGTATTGCCCGTCGAGATCAACTACACTCCTCGCAAATAAGCTTTCTTTTCCTAGTGTCCTGGGGAGGAATTGTCCAATTCTTTTCTTTTGTCTTTTTTTGTTCCATACACATTCATCATAGTTTTCGCTTTTCCTTTTGTTTATTACATCTGCTACATTATTAAAAAACAAAAAGATCACATTAATACCAAAACAAATATTTGAATGATTTTCTACAAGACGCGAAAGTGTCCATACCACACACGGGGCACGGAAGGCAATAGGACGGCATAATGAAGTACAGGTGAGGGAGATTATGAGCGCCAATAAAGGTGGAGGGAAGAGGAGTCAACCGGAGGTTGGATATTCCAACAGCGGGATTTTTTGCAATGCAACCAATGGTTCCGTTCGATGTATGATAATGACAGTGTTTTGACGGGTGGAAAGTGAAAGAGGAAGCAATTGCTTGCTGAATGTGCATACCGTACTATGAGATGTGTCCCGCATTTGGATCGGAGTGAACACGTACAAAATCAAAGCTTCGGGTTGCCTTGATTTGAGGATGAGACAAGCAACAAAGCCACAAAAGGATAGAGGTTGCACAGACACACCCAGACATTGTTTTGACACAGCCAGGAACCTCTCATTGGAGAACATCGGGCCCTTTGTCAGACATACTGGGGAGACAATTATGCCGCTGGAGAAATTGACGCAGGATTGCCTTTGTGTATGTGCGTTTACATCATTGTGTCCATACTTCCCACTAACACTGCCATTACCGCTGGTTAGCTAGTCCGGTGACATGTCATAACCCCCCAATCCCCTCAAAGGAACAAGCCGAACTAGGATGTGTTCAAAGACATCTCTAGTCCCGGTTGGTTGTCATCGACACTCACAGTTGTATATAAAGGCAGTATTGCATCCATTTTATTCACATCATCATCAACATCTTTCACAACGACACACCTTCCTTTTTTTCTTTTGTCTACCTCATCCAGCCAAACGAATCACACATACTTCCTATTCCCACACAACATCCCCTTTTCCCTTTCCCCCAACGCAAAACAACAAACACTCAACAATGACCAAGATTCCTGCCCTTCCTCACCAGGTTGTCAAGGCGGACAAGATCGAAGAGACCTTCAAGGACTGTATTGGTAATTTTCCATCCTTCCTTCCTCGCATTCAATTTTTTGCTCTTGCCCACTGACCACATTCCTCCAACTCATTTTCCCACATTTGTCCCACCAACTCTAAATGCTGACATTCTCCTCCCTCCTTTCCTTCACTCCACCTTTGAATTAGACCTGGCTGTCTCCAAGCGCGGAGGCAAGGTCCTAACCGTCACCGACGAATGGTTTGCCGAGGCCCAGAACCTTCTCTCCGCCCAAGCACCCGTCTCCCGCCCTCACCACTTCGTCCCCTCGGGCGCCTGGTTTGACGGTTGGCAGACCCGTCGTCATAACGCCCATTACGACTGGTGTGTCATCGAACTCGCTCACCCTGGAACCATTGAGGGCTTCGAAGTCGATACTGCCTTTTTGACCGGTAATCATGCCCCCTTTGTCTCTATTGAGGGCTTCAAGGATACGTCGAATGCTTGTAAGACCAAGCCGCGTTCGCATGAGCAGTGGGCGGGGGTTGAGTGGGTCCCGCTTTTGGCGAAGTCGGCGCTAGAGGCGAATGTCCGTCATGGGTACAAGTTTGACAAGCCAAGTGAGGACGCCTTTACGCATGTAAGGGTTTGTATGTACCCCGACGGTGGGCTTTCGAGAGTCCGGGTCTATGGACAGTTGCAGACTATCTACCCCGAGAACAAGCATGAGATGTACGACCTTGCCGCCGTCTCCTCCGGTTCGACGGTGACAGAGTTCTCGGACGCCCATTACGGCCACCCCTCCAACATGCTCCTCCCTGGACGAGGACACGATATGTCGGACGGCTGGGAGACCCGTCGCTCCCGCACCCCTGGTCACGTCGATTTCGCAGTCATCAAACTCGGTCGCCCCGGACATGTGGCCGCGATCGAAGTCGACACTGCCCACTACAAGGGTAACGCCCCCAAGGCCGTGTCGATCGCCGGGTTCGAGATCGGATCCGATGAACCCATTATGCTCCTCGACCAAAAGCCCCTCCTCCCCCATCGTCAGAATTTCTTTGAGATTGCAAGTGACCTGACGGAACGCCGGGTTGCGACTATTAGGGTGATCATGATCCCTGACGGTGGTATTAAGCGGGTCCGTATCTGGGGCTCTGCACAGTTGCCTGCAGTCCAGCCTGAGGACTCGTTGATTGGAGTGCGTCAGGAGTTGGAGGATGAGAATACCTGGAACATTCGTAAGCATGAGCCTGTCGCTCGTGCTTAATTTTTTTGTCTTCTTTTTGTGCAGATCTGTCCCCCCCGCCTTGTAAAAAAAAACATACTACGTACACTCTCTTTTCTCATGCCTTGCACTTTCATTCTTTCTTCTTTCTTTACCTTTCTTTACCTTTCTTCCGTTCTTTCTTTCTTTGTAACATTGTACAGAAACACACCAATTAAAAAAAAGCCATGCTTTTTGTTTGAACATTACCTCTCGGCCCTCTCTCCAATGCGATATCAACAGCAAAAAAAAAAAAAAAAACTCCACTGTGCCACCGAATATATTTTTCCTTCATTGATGGGAGCTAAAGTTACGCGTCTCGAACGCGTTACATCCAAAAAAAAAAAAAAAAAAAAAAAAAAGGTGATGAGAACGACAAGGTCTGCTACACCTCCAAACCCTTCCATCACTCCCATCACGGGATCCATTTTTTCGACTCGACCCTGTGGTCTTTATTTTTCCCACCTTCATCACTTCCAGTCTCTCACTCACCTCGACTTTACAAAAAAGACGCCTTACCTCGCTTTTCCCACAATATAATCCTTCTCGACTTCTCGTAAAGAAATTGTACAACGTTGACAATACCAATCACTGCTACCTATCTATGTTTATGACGAAGAAAAAATAGTAGGAAAGGAAAAGAATAGATGCTGCTAATGGGGTAGAGTACTCTCCAATTACGAATATGCATACCACATCTATAAGATACTTGTTTCTACTCGACTGAAAGTCTAATCTACACACGACCTCACAACACGAATCAGAAATCCCGACTTTTAGTGTGCAAACTTGGACAAGCACACCTGTTAGTAGTAGCAAAGAGAAAAACGTGCTCGCTTTCCCTTGAACTCAATGCATTGGTCGACCAGTTTGGCGAAGGCCTCATTGGGCCTGTAATCCATTTTGACCTTCTCTATCTTCTTGGCAACGAAAAAAAGAGGTACCGCTATTTGTATTTTAAATAATTGTACAGTGGCAAAAGCACCTAACAGCAACATGATCGCTTGAGCATGAACTTGCTGCCACGTCGTATAAATAATTTGTTGTTTCATTTTCATTGTTCAAGGGCAGATCTAAACGAAAAGAGCAAAGTTGTCAGGTTCAAAAAAATATTAAGGGGTGATGATGTCGGACAAGACAGAACTGCGATCGTAGGTGTTTGTTCATGCATTTAAAACCGAAAACAAGAAAACACTGAGCTAACGAAAAGTGAAACATAAAAAGGATGACAGGCTCATCGCAGGATCCCAATATCCATGTTTCCTAATTCCTACGCCATCGCCTTGGTGAGAAAAGAATTAAGACTTGGAGAGCTCTATCGCCATGGTGTTTGAATAATCGCGCTGGTCCGTTTGTTGCATTGTTTGTATTGTTTTTATTAATATGATCACGGCCAAAGTCAATGAGAATCTAAACCGCCATCATCGATCATTTCAGAAAAATTGAAATCAAGAGAGGAAGACATCGCTGATAGTGGCAGTTATGACTAATACGAGTAACATACTGATTTGAGGGACCACCATCCAAGGTCTCGACTTGGATATGAACTACGAAGCGAAAGAGAAAGTTGCATACGGTGAAAGAAAACATATCTACCAGGAGCTTCAGAGACAAAAAGTGAGAATACCATGCCGTACAGCAATTGAGGCGCGACAGGCGTGAAATGACAGGATATCGATCATACGTCATCGCCTTTTCAGATATCATCATCGTGGCCACAGTGAAGGCAAGTTATTTTTATTCCCTATCCCTTGGCATGAAAAAACGACCGACGCTGTAAGGAATAGGTCTAACAATACTAATTTATGCACAGCATGCAATGTACAAAAGTGAAATGAAAGCCTTAACTAACGATTGATGTATTGACTTCATAGAGATCATATCTTCCCCAACCAGTTGGAGAACGTCCTACTCGAGAACGAGTCCAGCAAGGATCCGAACAGGAGGCTCACCCCAGATGCACAGGCCTTGCCCAGGACATTGTTGAGCCTTGACCCTACTGCACGGCCAAAGTCCAGTCGTATGAACCGCCAGACCTTCTTCGCGATGGGCCATTACCCAACCAAGTTGGACGAGAGTGTTTTCTACACGCTCTACACACCCGTAGGCGAGAACAAGAGGAAGGACGCCCCCGTCGAGGAAGAAGAAGAGACCAAAGCGGTCCAGAAAGCCAAGTACGAGTACGATGACTCAGAAGATCCCAACGTCGACTTTGACCTCTGAGCTCCACTCTTCCAGCAATAAACTTTTGTACTTCAGTAAAAAATGTCTCTTCCTTGATGTGGTCCGATAAGTGAGAATTAAGCACTTCTCTGGTGTTAATCGGGGTGGGATATGAGTAGTGCATGAAGGGTGAGTTTCGAGAGACTTCTAGAGGTTGGCATTGAAAAAACGCACATAAAAGTTGAGGCACCATTAAAGTTTGGCGTCGTGGAATGACGCCACCAATTATTTTAGCCTTCTATTTCTCTAGCCGCCGAGTGTTAGACACGCATAGAAAAGTCGAACAACGTACATGTACGCATATGTACTATTGTGAGCGCTTTGTGACCACGATGGTCCGTTCTCCACAGTCTTTATTATTTACACAAAAAAAATGACGCTGGGTCGTCAAACACAATAATAAAAAAGCCCTCTTCTCATCCTCTGCAAGCACATCGCGTTCTCTGTTGATGCGATTTTGTCCTTCTCGAATGAAAGCCCTATCGACCACATGTCACCTCTCCAATTCATTGAAGAACAGAATCAAGCCATTTTGAAGATAAATCTGCTTCCAATGAAATCCAGGTACCTTTGCTGGGGTCAGTGGACATTGGCTCCACGGAGACAATCTACAGCCGCATGGATATGCAATACAAACCCACTTCCTGTCGCGCTGTTGCTTTGACCCCATTGTATTGACCGTCAACACCCAATTCCAATATCCTTATTTGTTGGTTGGTCGCTCTAGCAAGGGAGGGAAAATAAAAAATGAGAAAAAGTGGTCAGTGGTCCGAGAAGCGTCACCACAGTCATTCGTATCCACATCCATTGGAGGCAATATCATATCAAATCCAGCCATCCGCAACAATACAAAGGAGGGGGATAGATGTGAAATCCTAGTCTATTGTATCCTAAGCCTGTCAAGGGATTGCAGCTGCTTTGTTTATCGGTAGTGCTCCGATGAGCCCATAGAACCCCGGAGCGATTAAGCATGCAACGCGGATACCTGTTGAGCAGTGGTCAACGCGTTGCATAGACCTCGCTTTTGCCAACCGGGAATAAAATGGTTTGGGATACTCATAAGAACAAACGGGTTCTTAGAGGCCCGCCGACCATATGGCCAAGTTCCATTCCAAAAAGAAAGCACTAACGAAGAATGTTCTTTCTGGAGGATCCCATATGGTTTACCCCGACACACCTACTAGAGAAGGATACCACCCCATTCCTCCACGTTTGTATTGTTCAGAGAGATAGATGTATGACAACGAGAACATAGTTACGATTAAGAGCGGTGTACGTTCCTTCTGCGTGCTATTGTTTGCTTGTTGTCTTCCAATAGAGGCGAAAGAAATGGAATGCGGAGAACTTGTAGAGATAAAGGAAGGAATGCTAGGAGGTATGAGAGGACTCAAGGTAGTGGAGGAAAGACGAAATGGGGGACGAAAAGGGAGACTGAGGGCGGGAGGAAGGAAGGAAGGAAGAGTGAATGGAAGGTGTTGAGAAGTGAAGAGAAAGGAAAAGACAATGTTAATGAGTGGCGTGGGAGCGGGAACGGTGGGGGCCAAGCATAACCTCTGTTAATTGAAAGGAAGGACACGGAAAAGAACTCGAGCATGTGTCTATGGGTGGAAGGGACGGAAAAGGAAAAAGAAAAAGAAACAATTCAGGGGTTTGATGATGACGACAAGGCGAACGGACGGTTATCAATTGTCCTCGGTGGATTGATTGGCCCTCTCTGGCCTGTGCATTTGAGTGTATTTGAATAATGAAGAAAAAGACTTGTGGGAACGGAAGCAAAGATAATGAATGGCATGAAGAGGGAGGGGAGAAAAGACTATGGGTGAAGCAGAAAAGTAGCATTAATGGAAGTAGACCTATCAATCCAAGAGAGGGACAGAGAAGAAGAAGAGCCTTGCCCTTCGGAAAATTCGAAAAACCAAATGAAAGAAAAAAAAATAAGAGACGCGCTGCCGCAGAGGAAAATCAAATGGACCTTGAGAACAAGGACAGGCATAAACTTCACGTACAACACGCAACTTTTGTCAACAATCCCTACCCCTCCCTCCATCGCCACACGTCCACAGATCTGTCATCCCCCATAAATAAAGGAGGACGCTGTTTCTTTCTCCTTATCCAGTTTGCGTTTTATTTTCTTCGAGATACCTGCCATGTCCAATTGTCGCAGCAGCAACAACGAAACCCGACCCTCAAACGACAGTCCCAAGAACGATATGAACGGAAACATGCGCCCAACCACCACCCCTGTCCTCACCATCCATATTCTCAACAGCAAAACCTCTCCATCCACGAACAGCGACGACAGCCTTGCTATCTCCAATGGCAATAATACTCCTGGCCTCAACAGCAACGCCTCTCCTGATTTCAACGGCTTCGGCTCTCCTATTCTCAACAGCGACGGCCCACTCGTCTTCGACAGCGACAGTACTGTCATCGTCGGCAGCGGCAATCCTGTCATCGTCAGCATCGACAGCCTTCCTGTCGGCAGCAACGAGAGCCACGTTTTCCCCGGCAACAGCTCAGAGAACCCTCCCATCATCATCACCCCTCCCACCGACAGCCTGCTCCTACCTGAACTTTCCGACCACATCCAGTCACTCGCCAGGTCTGTCACTCCAACCAGGAGATTGTTGTCGAACAGTCCAGTGCCAATTGTTCGCACGCCTGGTGGGTCTGGCTGGAAACTCAATGAACCGTCGAGGCACTCTAACAAAGGCAAGGCGAAAGAGACCAAGGAGGTTAGTATCAAACGTCAATGTTGCCATTCAACACGAATCCTTGGCCTATAACCTTTTGAATAGAGCACTAACCAATTCAACTTTCTACCCCACCCTTACACTTTTCAACTTGTAGTCCGAAGAACCACATTCCTACTTTGTTGATCAAGTCACTGGCGAAAGATACAAGAAGGATGATACTCTCGGAGAGGTAACCATTGTCAAGAGAAAATGAACAGTACAAGTCAGACCATTAGTTTTTCTTCAGGCTGAGGCACTAACCGTCAATTGAAATAATAGGGCGGATTCGGTGTGGTATACAAGGTTGTTGGTAACGATGGGAAAGCGTACGCGCTGAAGACATTCAAGAACGATGGCTCCGGAAGAAACGTAAGTTGGCATGGCTGATGTTTGTTGAAGATATATCCGTGAACAGCACCTCTACTCATCATGGCGCGTCCCTACCCTTATCCCACTAATAGTTCCAGTACGAGATCAACATGTTGGACGCAGCAGGAAAACATGACAATCTCATCGAGTATTTCGGGGTTGTCAACGACCCGAGCGGAAAGTATCCACTCTTTGAGCTCTGTCGGCCGCTGGTAAGCTAATAGTTGTGTAACCATGCAAAACTGAAATGAGAGCGAGCTACATAGGTTTTAACTACAATTAATGAAAGTTTTGCGCCGTCCAATCCGGGCTAACAGAGCAATCATCCTCTCCTACTGATCGCATATAGGACCTTTTCGATCTTATTCGCAACCGAGGCCGCCTCACGTACCCAGAGGTCCGCTATTTTGGATTGGGGATCGCCGCAGGAATCGCGCACCTGCACGAGAAAAAAGTTATCCACTGCGATCTCAAACCTGAGAACGTTTTTATTACCTTGGACATGCAGGTCCGAGTTGGCGACTTGGGATTGGCGGAGCGGTACGACCCGAGGGGCAGGGTCAAGGGGCGCGTTGGGACCAATAATTTTATTGCTCCAGAGGTGGTAAACGGGAAACCCCATACATACGAGATGGATACGTTCAGTTTCGGATGCATCATGTACATGATGCTCTTGGGGTCCCGGCCGTACATCACGACGCTGTAAGAAATAGATTTAACAATGCTGCTTTATGCACAGCATGCAATGTGCAAAGCTGAAATGGTAGTCCTAACTAACGATTTATGTATTGACTTCATAGGTCTCATGTCTTCCCCAACCAGTTGGAGAACGTCCTACTCGAGAACGAGGCCAGCAAGGATCCTAACAGGAAGCTCACCCCAGATGCACAGGCCTTGCTCAGGACATTGTTGAGCTTCGACCCTACTGCACGACCAAAGCCCAGTCGTATGGACCGCCAGACCTTCTTCGCGATGGGCCATTGCCCAACCAAGTTGGACGAGAGTGTATTCTACACGCCCTACATACCCGTAGGCGAGACCAAGAGGAAGGACGCCCCAGTCGAGGAAGAAGAAGAGACCAGAGCGGTCAAGAAAGCCAAGTACGAGTACGACGACTTGGAAGATCCCTACGTCGACTTTGACCTCTGAGCTCCACTCTTCCAGCAATAAACTTTTGTACGTTAGTAAAAATGTCTCTTCCTTGATGTGGTCCGATAAGTGAGAACTAGGCACTTTTCAGGTGATAATCGGGATGGGATATGAGTAGTGGATGAAGGATGAGTTTCACGAGTCTTCTAAAGGTTGGAATTGAAAAAACTCGATGGACCATTAAAGTTTGGCGTCTTCACCAATTATTTTTTAGCTTTCTATTTCTCGAGCAGCCGAGTGTGGGAAGTACACAGACATGCATTGAAAAGTCAAACAATGTAGATATAATAAAAAAGAACTGGTGTTTTTATTTGCATGGTCAAAAAGAGTTGTTGTTGTTGTTGCTTGCAGCAAGTGGTATCTTAAGAAAAATAATAAGTCGTAGGGGAAGGTCCTGTTTTTCATTTTTTTTTAGATATTTTGGGTGTAAAGGGATCTTGTGTATGTGAAAAATAGAAAATAGCATGCATCCAGCCACTCCTATCGCAAACCGCCAATGGTAAAGGAAGAACGGTAGTTGGGATGAATCCTATAACCAGCCGAGATCGGTGCAGGGCCAGGTACAGGGGTTGCTTCTCCAAATCCTCTGTCGTTAGCTCCAAGGGGCCCACAATCGACGCCTTCAACCCTTGTTGTTGCTCCTCGTTGCGCTCCAGTTCCGCCTCCAATGCTGAGGGCTCCAATGAATACTTCTCTGCTGCTACTGGTGCTGAAGCCGCGACGGCGACAGGGGTAGACTTTTCGACAGGGGGAGGTCCAAAGATGTTGTGGCTAGTCTTCTTGTAGGGTCTGCTGAGGGCTGGGCTGGGTGGAGGAGGGGTTTACGAAAACATGGTCGAAGTCAAGGCGGGGTGTCCCTTGGGGTTGAAATAGTCGGATCTACATCCATCAGGACGTTCCTAATCAACCTCCTGTTGTTGCTGTTGCTCCTGTCTAGTGATGCAAGGCGCAGGTTGCTGCTGCTGGGGGTCATTGAGGTGGATAAGTAGTGTCGAAATCAGAGCTGGATGCCCCTTTTTGTCTGTAGGGGCTAGGGCGCTGGTCATGGCGTGGACGTGCTGAGTCATATTATCGTTTCCTTCGCTAAGGAAACGGTCTCGGTTTCTGTCGCTGTTGTTTCTCTCCCGATCGCCGTACTGATCAAACTCTGCATCCTTCAATGGTTGAACAGAGTCGAAGTCGGGGTTGGGTGACCTTTCTTTCCAGCAGGGATGTTGTTATTGTTCTGGGAAGAAGCAGAGGAAGAAGCCTTGTTCGTCAAAGATTCCTCATAGGCGGAGGGGTTCAAGGGACGACGGCTGTTGTTCTTAAGTTGGAACTGGCTCTCTTGAGGGAGATTCTTCAAATGATCAAAGAGACTCGAAGTCAAGGCTGGGTGGCTCTTCTTTCCTGACTATCCTGCTGATATTAGAGGTGAGGCCGCTTGGGGTTGCTGCTGCTACGGAAAGTACAAGAACGTTCCTCTTCCTGGAGGCATTGCACCCATCGAAGACAATATTCAGGAGGTCGCCAACTTTGCCAACAATGTCCTGACCAGGATGAACGCCACGCAGCTCGGCTACATTGGCCACTCCTAGAGCAGAATTAAGAACTACAGGTCGTTGTTGTTTCCAATGGTGTAGAGATGGTAAAGAGGCAGCACTCGAATCTATACGAGATATCCTTTGAAATTCGCTAATGAACGAAGTTTCAGAATAATAACAATGACCGAAAAAGGGGGAAAAGAAATGTATATAGTAGCACACATCCAAACGACCGATTACGACTATCCTTCATCTTCATTTTCACTCTCAATCAAGTTTAGATGAAGGTTATCGTGCTGCCCATGGCCATTTCCGCGAAAAGTAAGTAGCAGACAAGGGTGACCTAGAGCAGCTGTATACTATCGGAACATGTCTCCTTCAAAAATCCCAAATGAAGTCGACAAAGGGCAAAGACGTTACCCATGATCTCGCGCCATCGTCCCAAGTTCACTATTTCCAAAGCATGTACAAAAAAAAACAAAAGAGAGAAAGAAACGGATGAAGAGGGCCCTGGTAGGCAATTTTCATGCTCACGCTCTCTCTCTCACGTCTCTCTGAAAACGAGCTGATCAAAGGTCACTCCATCGCTTCTTGGCATGAGCACAACTAAAAAATGAGGCCCATAGGCCGGTGTAACACCCACAGACTCATCTACTTCAACAGTGCCATGCCTGACAAACGCCACAATGAAAACAAAAAACTCTATGCCACGTCTGCGAATGAGTCAGAGAAAACAAAGGTGACCAGAAAGCCATGGCTTCGACGCAACGATCGCACAAGAAGATGTAGTTGTCGTACCAAGGGCAAAATCGAAAGCTACGAGAGAAATGATAATAGGCGAATACTACCGCACCACCGAAATCCTTCTCATCCTCCAATCCGATGCAGCAAAGAAAACACGTAGCTGAGAAAATGATAAAGGAGAATCAACATTGCCCGAAAGCAGATCCGTCACATCTAGGAAAGGGGGGGTTCAGCAAGCACACAATTGAGCCGCAGTACGCGTGCGCACGAGCTAAGAGGCTGTCCGCTGGTTACCGGACATCGGCAACAAACATTACGCTCGTGAATACACGACAGTTCAACACAATATTCGATCCTACTATCGGCACTAGTTCAACATGTACCCAAAGCAAAACCACGATTTCGAAATACCATATCCAAGAATAAGCAGAAAGGCAGGAGACAAAAAAAAAGATGAAAAATGTAAGTATACTACTCTACTCTCAATGTGTTCAACGCGTACCCAAAGTCAAAAACATCACCATGAAGCACACATCCACGAAGAACCGAAAGTAAACAAACAAACGCGTTGACGACCTTCCATATAAAAAACGCGAAAGTCGTCTATTGCACCTGCCATATACTCGATTGTGTTCAACACACATCCTAAATCTTAGACCCTTTTATAACCAATGCATGAAAAACAAAAACGCGACGAGGAGCTCCTGGTATCCAAAAGGAAAATGTAGTGCTCTCATCCTAAAGTACAGACACCACTCTGCGCCTCTCATCCGAGAAGAACTAAAAGCACACAAAAACAAAAGACCACGATGTCGCCTTTCCTGGCGAACGTACTAAAAGGCTTACTTACTACATCCTAGAGAACAAACATCCATAAACAAGCAGAGCAAAAACAAAAACGATGATAATGAGTTTGGTATCAAAAAATGAATGATCGTCTATTATGATTTGTTTTTGTCTACAAGAAAGAAAGGGAGAAGGAGGAATGCTTTGTACAAAATGGAGGTGAAAGATATAAAAAAAAGTGTCTAAAGTAATGGACTTAGAGACGGGCCTGGATGGACTTGCCCTTGAGGCCCTTGGGGTTGGTGAAGGGCTTGATGTACTGCTCATAGCCCTCAACGACCTCAGTCTGGTTGATAGGCTCACGGGTAGCCATCTCGGTGTAAGCCTCATAGACCTTTCCGTCGAAGCGACCCAAAGCAGAGTTGAGGTAGTAATCGGGGAAGGCGAAAGCATCGACGAAGCCAACAGCGTTGGGACGGATCTTCTTGTCCATAACATCCATGATGGCTTTGCTCATCATCGAGACGTGCTTGGCATCAATGTAACCAGAGGTCAAGAACTCGCCGGGCTGCTTGTGGATTTGGTGGAGGGCAAAGAGGTCCGAGAGGTCGGTCAAGGCCTCCTTGGCAGCGGGGGTGAGGGGTGTGGCGGCGATACCCTCGGGCTGGGGCATGTCGCCGCGGATGCCGAGGATAAAGTTTTGGACGAGGATCAATTGGCAATGAGCGACCGAGGCATTGTAGATCTCGACGAGCATCGAGTTCCAGGAGCGCTTCTCGACATCGAGGCCGTGGACAATCTCGGCGATCATATGGGCGGCGCGATGGCCGTAGGCGGCCAGCTGGATCTCGGGGTTGTGGAACTGGGAGGGGGTGGTGGCGGGGCACTTGAGGTCGGGGTTGTCGAGGTAGGTGTTCAAGTAGGCCAGGGTGGGGTTGGTGATCTGGGTGGCGGAGAACTTGCCCGCGGCACGCTTGGCGACCAAATCGCGGAAAGACTTGAACAAGTAGCGGCCAGTCTGCTGGGTGATCATGTAGTTGTCTCCCTCCCAGGTGACGTTGGGTGCATAGTCCTGAAGCAAGAGGGGAAGGCCCGAGAAGGACGAGAAGCCGTGTCCGCCGCAGGCACGACGGCACTCCTCGATCGAGGCGGCAGCCATGGTAGTGGTGAGCGACTTCAATCCCGATGACGAGGCGTGGACGTCAGCGAGGAGAGAAAAGTTTCCAGAGGCCATGTTCTTGATGTTGAGGTAGTAGAGACGCATCATCTCCTTGGAGGTGAAGTGGCAGGCATAGGCGGCAGCAATGATGGGGAAGAGGCGGTACTGCTGCATGGAGTAGTCCAGAACGGGGGTTTCAATTACTTGCTTGCCCATCATCTTGGGCTGGTCCTTGTCAACAAACTGGCGACGGATGGCCGAGTAGCGGGTGGCGATGGTGGCGGCCTTAGCGAGTGAGATGCGGGCATATCCGACGAGGGAGGCGCGGATGAGGACCATGGTGCCGTAGGAGAGCTTGGAGTTAGGGGGCTTGATGTACTCTCCGGAACCGGGCTTGACGCTCGAGTACTTTGAGAGGAGAGAGACGTGAGGGACACGGTAGTGATCGAACCACATGCATCCGTTGTCCGTGGTGTTAAAGCTATTGCCGACAAGCAAAAAATATTGACGTCAGAAAATAAATACATCGTAAAATAGAATTTTTTCGGCTTGCGGGCCAAAATAATGTTTGTCGAGAACGAGAGAGGGTGATGGGAGCCCACACCCTGATCGTACGTTGACCACGAGGAAGTCAATGATAATAAACTTACCCGAACTTGGGGCCGATATCTCCGGCCATGACACCAGGCAAAAGAGTGTGATCCTCCATGGAGCGGATGGGGACGCAAAGGGCATGAGGACCATAGTCCTTTCCGTTGGAGATCAAGCGAGCCATGACAACGGCGTGATTGGCAGCCTTGCCGAGTCCTCCAATCCACCACTTGCAGGCAGTGAGGTAAGGGGTGTGGAGCTCAAACTCGTTGGTCTCGGGGATGTAGGTGGCGGTGGTCTCGATACCCTGGACGTTGGATCCGTGTCCGATCTCAGTCTGGGCATAACATCCAATGACCTCGTAGCGAAGGGCAGGCTTGAGGAAGAGCTCGTGCTGCTCCTCAGTTCCTTGGGAGACCAAAGTTGGCATGAACATACTGCGGTGGAGACCGAAGGGGCCAGACTCGTCGATCAAGATATCAGCCTGCTGGAACTCCTCGGGGGTCCACTTTTCTTGCTCAGCGAGCTTGACGAGGGCATGGTCCTTTCTAAGGGCACCGGCGAAGCGCTCGGTGCGGCCCAGGAAGTAGCGGTCTGACTTGTCGAATGCGGGCTCGTTCTCGATGAGACCGAGGAACTTTTCCTGGCGCTCGAGGTACTCTTCGCCGTAGATGAAGTTGGACAGGTCGTGAACGGAGAAGGTGGTCCTGGAACGTTCCTGGGCGAGCAAGTCGGAGCCCTGGGGCTCGGATGGGGGGAGATCAGGGAAGCGGAGGGCAGACATATTATGTTATGGTTGTTGTGGGTATGAGGGTGAGTGTTGATTCAGGGGAAGGTAAGGGTGGTACAGATCAAAAAGGAACAGGGGTGATGATGTAGTGAGATATGATATATGCACTGATAGATTCACTTTAACGCAAATAAAGTGATCAGGGGTAGAGAAGGAGGGAAGAGAGAAAGAGATAGAGAGAGAGCGGAGAGAGGGAGAGAATGAAGAAAGAAAGGAAGATGAAAGAGTGAGCGTGGGATGTAAAAAAGAGGAATGAGAAAAAAAAGAAAAGATCATCTTGTAAAAGTCCGTTTCTTTTTATACAGCAAACAACTTGTCCTGTCTACTCCGGACGAACAACGTTGCCACCACAGCTGTTTGAAGAGTGTGTGTGCAAGATCATCAAATGAAAATCGTTTCCGACTCCCCTCAACAAAAAACATATCTGGATTCAGGGGATCCAAGCCCATTTGCTCTGTCCTTCGATCTGAATCCCACATGAATATACGCCCAATAGGACCACCCCACTGCTTCTCCTCCTGACAGTCTGACATCAGTCCGTCTCTGTGTTCCTTCTCTTCCACGCTACTCACTCTCCTTGCACCTTGTGTATTGTATATCCACTCCATTTCCGGACATAATTTATCCTTTTCGTCCGTCCATACCGATCCATTCGTTCACCATCGCCACTCTACACACCTTCTCGCTTCACATATCCCTTCATCTTTTCTCTCCCATTCATCGCTCCATCTACCATTCCTTCCACACCTGACAGGTACCATTGTAATGGTTCCTCTTTCCTTCCCCCAACCCAGTCTGATCAGTAATAGTGGCTATGCTCCTTCTATGCCGGAGCACGCATAGTGCTCGGGGTTCTAACCCTCCCTCCTTGATTCCTTTCCATAAGCTACATCCGGGATCCTCTTCTCCATTCCACTTTAGTCGAGGTCCCCTTCTTATTCTTCTTTACAAGAGCACTGCAAGAAGAGTATGTCAAGTCCTTCCTCTTCATCCGCTTCTCTTCCTCCCCCAGGGATAAAAACTCTCCGGTTTCAACAATCAACCAATCACAGTCCGCAAAACCAAAGCCTATTCTCGATCACCAATTTCCCCCTCCTTCTCTGCCCGTCTTTATACCCTTTCCTTCCTCATTTTCCTAATTGACCGAGTTGGCTGATTGACCGACAGACTCCGGTGTAGTGGACGAGAGGTGGAGAAGGGGAGGAACAAGCAGCCTGGTCGGACATACATACACTCTTTTCGGATCTCCTCTTTTTCTCCAACCTCTCTCCACTGTGCTCCGTCTATATATGCCACGGATACCGCCCAAACTCTCTCTCTCTCTCTCTCGCAATTGCAACTTTGTTTGTTTCTCCAGGTTTTAGTTGATCTATCATATTTCTTTTGCTCGATCGGATCAGCCGTTTTCTGTCTCCCTTTAGAAGACACGTTTGCTAGGTCATAGTCGACAGCAGAATGTAAAAAAGGAACCTTGCTATGGCTCGCTTTGCACTTGTGCTTTGCAATTGCTTAACAGAGACAAGCAATGCGCACACGCAATTGAAAAAAACTTCATCCGTCCTTTAACCCCCCACAAAAAATAAAATAAAAAAAAAGATCCTGAGTGTCGCTGACACATCCCAAATGCTGAATGCAGAATGCAGGGCACAAGCGTCGAAATGTGTCGGTCTAGATGCGATTTGGCCGAGAGAGAGTGAAAGAATGTAAACAAAAACAACGGCGACATTCGGTATCCATTTTATGACGTGGGTTTAATGGTAAAGGAATTAAGTAATAGGTGGTTTTTGAATGTAGTGTCGGGTGGTGGTGGTAGTGTATGTACATGTAAATAGAAATCGTCTCAAAATAATAATAAAAAAAGTGTAACTTAGTACCCCTCGTGGGTCATCATGGTCATAGACTTCTTCTTGACCTCGCTCGCCATCAACGAGTCTCTCAGATCAACAGGCAATGCCTCAACTAGTATCCGGATTTGATCTCGGAGTTGCTCCTTCTGCTTCACAGATGCCTTGATCACACTCGCCTCAGGCGCATACCGTTTCCGCTGTCTCTCTGGGCTGGTCTCCCTTGATGTGTTGCCATTACCGCCATTGCGACCCCTTGAACTGCCTCCTTGCTCTGGGATTCCACTGTTCAACGATGACGATGATGACGATCGAGTGGGCGTGCCTGCCCTTGACGAGTTGGCGCTGTTGTATGAGGAGGCATTCGAGTAAAGATCGCCGTTTCCAGATACCCGTTGACGAGAGGGAATTGCCTTGGGTCCAGTCGATATTTGAGTGCCAGCGCTCGCCGATGAAAGATACGAAGAGTCGCCATTAGATGGCGTGGGTGTCGCAGGAGAAGGCTTGGTCAGGCCACCCAGCGTCGGGTCGAGTGGTGGTGGAGTAATCGTCCGTGTATCAGTCTCGCTTCCACTTCCACTCGCACTTCCCCTCCTGCTAAAACCAGAGGACAGGTCACCAGTCCACATTCCTCCAGCATCCGTCAAAGTTGGATCTGATCCATAGCTCGAGTTGTATGATCCTTCCCTTGACAATCCTGGCCGTGTCTTCAGCTTGGGCTTGAAGCTGAACAGATCGCCCTTGTTTCCTGAACTGCCGAGTTCCTCCCTCATGCGGACTAGAAGATCGACCACCTCCACCTCGTTACGGCCCTTGACCCATCCTGCTACATCTCCTAAACTGAGAATCTCGAGATAGCGCCTTCGGAGCTCGTTCTGTGCTGCAATGGTCCTCAGACGGAGCCATGTCGCAAAATTGCCGCACTTCAAAAAGTCCTTGTAAAAACTCTGACATGCCTCCGAGCTCGATTTAAATGCTGGCGTCTTGAATGTGATGGCCGGAGGGTTCTTTGCCAAGTACTTGAGGAACGTCTGCTGTTTGAATGGCGCAATATGTGGGAACTGCAACGTTGATGAAAGGGAGCTACAAAAAAAAGACAACATTGTAATGGTTGTTAGGCATTGTATCGAATAGGAGCGCATACTCCGAAATGCTACATGAATCAGAAAAGCTCCTGGTCTTACATGTCGTTGGGCACCAATGTGGCAAAGTAGCGGTTAAGTGGAACCAAAAACTTTTCCGTGAGGGTAACAAAGTGCTTGCGCAGAATATTATCCAGCAGGTAATCTAGTGTAGGGCACAATGCAAGGTTAAGGGTTAGATTGAGCGCATTCGGTGAATCGCGACTGCAAATAATACACGAATATCTATTTTTACCTGGTGAGGATCGGTTGGCAGTGGCCTCTGCCAGCATGCAGAGCAAGTTGGTATCTTTTGCAATTGCGCCCTTCCTCTTAGTGACAAGACCCTATGCATACGATGTTGACAAAGTAACCGGTTAGCATCACAGAGAACCAATGTTGCAAACCAACTCAATGGCACACAACAATAACGCAAGGTTGTTACCTGAACAAAGTCCAGGGAGCTTGGCTTGTTGATTTTAGGACTGCCTGTGGCGACTTTTCCAACGGTGCCATCCATGGCCAGCCTGTTATTGGGTCTCCTGTTCATAGGCTTGCCAATCTTGATGATGTGAGGCCAATGCTCCAGTGTCTTGACAAAGAAGGGGTTGGTGACACCCAAGACAATGCTGCTGGGTGGCGACTGTTTGTTGCAGAATGACTTGAAGTCGGTATCCTGAATTGTGAAATATGGCCGATAGTCGCCACAGTATGGAATCTATTTGATGTAAGAGAAATAATGTCAATTGTTGCTTTCTTGAGGTAATTGTTTCTGGGAGAGAGAGAGACGTGACTTACGGGGTTGATGAGGTCCACCAAGGATGCGACGGATTCGCTGCACACCTCAGGAGAGGTACCAATGAGCATGATGGGCTCAGCGAGGGTCATCAACTCCCAGCATAGCCACAGGTCTGGCACAAGATCTTGAAAGTGTTTGTAGAGTCCGCCATTGATGGGGACTGACGACAGGATATGGGTGTCTGGTTGGTATGTTGCAATCTCAAAAGGTGATGTCTCCAAAAGTTGAGGTTGCTGTGGTTTGGCGAGTTGGACCTGCAAGAGTTGTCCCATAAAGGGTAATTCCATCATACTGTCCGTGATGGGTGCCCTCCATCGTGCGATATCGTGAAAGGCGGTCTCCAACATGGGCTTGCCGATCTCAAAGTAGGCAGGGCCCAAGACTGAGACAATCTTGGAAAAGAGACCGATGAACGGGTGCTGAGTCAAGACGACGACCGACTTTTGAAAGTATCCTCTCCTGATGGACGGGTCCTGCTTCTGTCTAAAAAAGACGTATCCATACAAAAATCCTGCATCCGTGGTTGGGCCTAGAATTATTGCAATGGGAATGACAAAGGGTGTAATTTCCGGTTATTCAACAAAAACAAAAAAATGATGTCAAGAGGCAGATGCAATTGAGCCCACCCTTTCGCCCCTTGGACTAACAGGAAAACCATAAAAAATAAGCATGCCCCTGTCCTGTCTTTCTCTTACCTGTTGCAGCTCGTCCTGCTGTAGTCGATCGAATGCGAAAGTTGAACACTGTGTCGCCCACATCAAAAGTATTGGAGTCTGGGAAAGAAGAGAAACAACTACGAGAGTTTGAGAGATAGTTGTTGGAGTCAGGAAGTGAGGTTGGGATTGAAAGATATCGATATCATTCAAGCGTGCACAAAATGCGTATGATTTCCTGACGTACATGTTTTTGCTCTCCTCGGGTGTGAATTCTGACGGTGGGTAAACCGACTCGATGGCTAGATAGGATAGAATGACAATGGGAAGAGAGAAAAACGGCGAGCGCGTATTAGAATCGACCATGATGGCGATGATTTCCCGTGTAGTATATTAATAGTTGTACTGATGTGAAAATAGGGAGGAGCTGCATCTCTCTCTGTCCTTCTGCCCGTATGTGTTTGTCCTGTGTGTCGACTGTCTGTCTTTCTTTCTGTCTTTTTCATTTTCTGGTGATGTGTAGGTCAGCAGTGCCAAAGAAAGCCAAGAAGGTCATCCCATGATGGGGAGAGAGTGTTTGTAGATGGGGAGATAAAGTGAGGGGCTAATCGAGGTCGAGTATTGCATCGTATGAAGGGAAGTGGCCTGACAATAGAAATGAGGGTGTGGCTGGCAGACAGAAACCGAAAAATATTTTTGGTTCAACCATCGTCTCGTTCTCGTCATGGACTAATGTTCCTTGTCTTTCCCGGTCAGAGAGGAGAGTGGCTGCTTCTGTTGTTCCTGTTGCCATTTCCGCTGCCGTGCCTGTCTGTCTGCACGCCCCTCTCCTTTTGTTTTACTTTTTCTCCAGCGACCAAAGCAGAAACACATCCCCCCTTTGTCTCCCCCTCAACTGCCTGTCGAATGTCCACATGTCCCAGGCCTCTGGTCATCCTGCCGGAGCATAACCTTAATCGTTATTCGTTCGCTCGTCCTTGTGGGTCATCATCCTTTCCATCACTTCTCTTCCATCTGTTGATGCGTGTATGTTGCCTTTCCCTCTCGTCATGCCTTCGCTTGTTTGTTTTCTGGGTCGCTTCTTTTAATCATTCCTGGCAGGCTTCGTCATATTCCTGCTTGCTCTCTTGCTCCTTTGCTCAGCGTCGCCTCTTGTATCATCCCTGGCCATTGTCCCTGATTGTTTATATTTGCTGATAGATCCTGCTGACAACAAAACAAAGCAACCCCAAAAGTGCCTCCAGTCCAACCCTTCATGGGTATGCTGTCTGGTTGTTCCTGCTGTGTTGCAAAAAAAAACAAAAAAACAATATTCCAGGATATGGGCCGCATTGGTTCGAATAGTTTGGTGTGGTCGGAAAATGAATATGATATGACCCTTGTCCTGTCTTGTCCTGCGTCTGTCCTGTGTATGATATATTAAATAAGCACGAAACAGATGGACAAAAAAAGTGGAACCACTTTTAACATCGCAACTTTCAAGGGAACTTGCCTTGGCCTTTTTCAAGATCAAAGTTGACCACACAGAAGCAGACCAACCACTGTCGGAGCTGGTCAATCGCCATCATGTCCATGATATCCCAGCTGCTCGGCCTTCGGTCGTGGCTCCCCTCGAGCTCAAACTGGTCAGAGATCATGTCGATCGGGAGCCGTCTCGTAGACGCTGTCGTCAATGGTGTCGTTGTTGTTGCTGTTGCTTGGGATGTTCCTGATTGATGCTTTGGCGACGAAGACCGCCCAGAGGAAGAAGAGGTTCCTGACGCCCCGTTGCTCTTAGAACCGTTGGTGCTGGAAGCAGACGCCGCTGTCTTGGAGGAGGCCAATGGGTGAGCTGGTGAGGAAGGAGTAGAGTAGCTGGTGTTGGTCGAGGAAGGGACGGGCGAGGAGGTGTTGTTTCTGCTTGTTCTGGAGACATTCGAGTTTGAGCGACGGAGCGATGCAGAGCCAAAGAGGGCGGGCAGACTCTCTGTGCTGATGGACTGCATGTTGTAGGGTTGTGAGAGGTGCTTTGAACGGAGGTCTGAGTCTGGTTCTGAGGGGCGGTTGAGTGTCGTCGCAATGGCAAATGACGACCCGTTCGTAGCCATGGTGAGCAGGTGAAAGAGAGTGCGTGTGAGTGTGTCAGTTCAGTCAGCTGTTGTGTCCTGCGAAGGTTATTTGATGGGACGTTGCTTGTGTTTTTTTCGTGAATGTAATGGTAAGAGAAATAGCTAAGTGAGGGAGCGAGTGAGGTATGAGTAGGTGTCGATGGAGGTTGATGGGAAGAGAAAGTGAAGAAGGAAGGGAAAGAGTAAGAAGAGAAGGGGAGAAGACGAAGGAAGAGAGAGTGACGAAGAAAGTGAAGAAATTCGAAAGGGGAATATGTCACAACGTGCGACAAAAAGGCAAAAGAAAAACTAGAGTCAATCAGTCAGGATGAAAGGTGACCAGTCAGGGAACTGCAAATCGAGACAACCTCAAATGCACCACTCATTGCCCCTACACCCCCCACTACCACTACTTCAACACGTTCACCTTCTCTTCACACACCATGTTCAAACTCCACCATCGCTTCTCCCTCTCTTGCATTCCCTTGTCTTTCATCCTTCGACTCCCATCACTCATGTCAACCCCATTGCTGCCATAAATGTAACTCACTGGTCAAAGTCAACAAAAAGAGAAGGGATTCCCGCTTTTGTCATTTGGAACAAGAACCGGAAAAGAAAGGTTTTTCTTTTCTCTTCGCACGAAACCAGCAGCAGAACGAAAAGGCGGGGTAGAAACAAGCAACGTGAACTAGTCTTTTTTTTTCTGAATCGATAGAATACCCCATCTGATGTGGATAGATGTGGTTATAGTGAAGCAGTAGAGATGAAGAAGGAGAGGAGTCAAAAGACCATTGAGGGACATGACAACAAGCATAAAAATATAGAGTGCTTGGCAATGCACTTGATCCCATCGATCCGTTGAGAAAGAGGAGTTGACAAAAGATCAAAAGGGCGGACAGGGAGGAGAAAGGAGAAAGAAGGGAAGGGGAAGGAGAACGTAGGGAGCCAATGGATATTGATAACGAACGATGACCACGACTCTCATGCTATCCTTCCTTCTGATTATTGTTCTTTTACAAGCCTTCTGTGTAAAAGATCGACCCTTCTTTTCTCCTGGTTCCCTTCCCCTGGGAATATGTTGCTGCTGCCCATCCAAACGCTCATCTGGAGTCGGGACCATTCAAGGTTCGCTAGCATAGGAAGCTGCCATTGCCGTAAACGCCAATTGACCCAGTTCATTCAAAATGAACGGACATCATCCAATTTTATCAAAGTGACCCACAAGGCTCGGATCCAGTCCGATCCCAACTGAACAAAATGAACCAGTAATTACATTCTCATGCAAGGATCTATTAGGATTTTTATTTCTCCTACTTGGAATGGAACATGCGAAGCAGCAACGGATGATTTATTTCGGTGTCGAATTGAACAAGGTTGGATGTCTTTCTCTTGTACTCTCCTGGCTGTTGTCGACAATGCTCATCGTACATTGTCAGAGACGCGAGAAAAACAGAAATCGACGCGTCCAGATTCAATGACATCACATACGACAGTGAACATCACCAAGCAAAGCGCGTGAGCAATTGGGTAGGAAGGAAGAAAAATGAGGGTTGGGCCAAGCAAGGAACGCGATGCATTGTAAATATCAAGCAGATCAGGCACTAATACAATGACAACGAATTATGATGGAAGGGACAATGGCAATGCAAAGGGGAGAGACGGGGACGGGCGGAAGGGGCACACAAGTATGCAAGGGCGCATGGAGTGACATGAAAAATGAACAACAACTAATGCATACCTTGTTCAACCAAGAATATATTACGAGAGGTGTATAGAATTAATGATAAGGCGATATGCGAAAAGATGACAATAGGAAGTAGAGGCTATGGGGAATCTATTCAAGTTGACAATGTCAAGTCGTCCAACAGATCGCGTTTGCACAACGGACACTGCGTCGACCTGATCGTCAGCCAAACGTCTACGAGACAAAAAGGCAAAAGCAGTGTTAGTTGGAAACACGAGTAACATTGGAAGCAGAAGCAACTAAAGACATGCTTCAAGGCTTACCTATGCACTCGGCATGGTACTCATGGGCACATGGCAAGACCCTGACACGGTCATCAGCGACGTACTCGCACAAACAGATCGAGCAACACACGTCCTCTGCCATCGACTCTGTATAGCTACCCCGCCTTCCATTGCTGTTGCTGCTGCACTGCGTCGGGACAGGACCCGAAACTGCGGCTATCGTCATCATCTGAATCCCTCCATTTGAGTCCTGAACCTCCGCAGTTCCTGAAGACGGCGATCCAGAGCCCGAGTCTGATCCACGATGACACAACCTCTCAACAAACCCAATCGCCTTACTTAGAGTCCTTGTCACCGTCCTCGAATGACCTGGCTCTGAACCTTCACTCCTAACCGACGCCTCTCCTCCCTTATGGTTACTAGCAACCTTCTTAGGAGCCTGCTGCATAATCGCAACAACATGATTCTCACTATTCATAATATACTGCTGTTGGGAAGGCCAGATCCGGACGGGAAGCGAGCGATGGATGGCGTTCTGGTCGAGGATACACTCCTTGATGAATTCTATCCGTTGTACTTCGAGGTGTTGTTGTCTTTTAAACCTTAGCAGTACCGCTCCGATGCAGCCTGTACAGGAGAAGTTATGAGAAGGATGTATGTAGGAAATGATGTCAGTGAGTGGCGCGACAAGGGAAAAAAAGGGATAAAAGAAAGCAACTGGTGGCCATACACAAACCGAGGACGAAGAGTATCACTCCTCCGACTGTCAAGATCCGTGCCGAAAGATACGCCGCCGCTGCCACCTAACAACATGCACGACCAAAACAAGTTTGTTAGATAACTCCTTCATACTTCATCCGCAACTTGATGTAAACAAAGTGTTTGTTACATTGTCATAGTTAGGCTGGTCGTCGACTCCTGTCATAAAGAAGCTAGGCACAGTCGAGCTGTTCTGCAGCAGCCATGGCGACAAGGCAAACGGTGCCATCTCTTCGTTTCAATTGTTGGTATGGGCGTGTAATGTAACAAGCGGTGTGAAATATGGGAAGAAGGGCAGCGAGTGGGATGGGAATGAAAAGGTTGGAGTGGGGGATGAAGAAACAAGAGATCGAAAAGGGCTCCAAAGGTCAACACGGCACCATTTTATGCTCCGAGTAACCATCCTCACAGGCAAACCAAAAACCTGGTGATTTAAAAAAAAAATGCCCGAGAGTTGGTAGAAGAAAAATGTCCAATAACACGAAACCTCCTTGCAAAGATAGAAAGAAGCGCACGTTCCTCTTCAGTGCCCTGCGGGTTCTCTTTCTGACTCTTGGGGGGCTGCTGACCTGGACTTAGGATCTTACGTGGTTTCTGAAGGGAAAAAAAGGTCGATCCCCGCGGCCATGGTGTGAAAGGGCTAGATCCTATTATTTTTGTCTCGGACATTGAAAAAATATAATTCTCCACGCATGAGTATCCTGCGATTTTTTTTGGCGCTTTCTTCACTTGCAAAGAAATGTGAACCCCTGTTCCACTCACTCAGTTGGCATCTACGTTCTCTCATAGACATCATGCTCTCTCGAACAAACAGTTCATTCACCAGCAAAGACAAGAATGTGTGTGAGAGAGAAGGGTCGTTTTTTATTACGGGAACAAATCAACAACTCACAGCTGTCAAAACAAAAAAAAAAGGTGTGTGCGAGCAAACGAGTCGTGATGACTTAAGCAGCCCACGAGTCGGTGGCGGGGGCAGCAGACCAGTCAACGGTAGCATCCTCAGCGGTCCAGTCACCAGCAGCAGCGGGGGCAGCCTCACCAGGGGCCCAGGTACCGGTCTCGGCCTCGGCCTCGACGGGCTTCTCGGCAGCGAGGGCAGCAGCCTCCTCCTCAGCCTTCTCTTCGGGGTCGCGGTAGAAGAACATGTCGACCATGATGTCCCAAGGGGCAGAGCGGGAGATGGTGCCACGGAGACGGAGGACCTCACGGGCCAACATCCAGTAGGCGAGACCAATGGCGTGCTTGGAGCGGTTGTTGGTGGGGATGGCAACATCGACGTAACGGAGGGGGGACTCGGTATCGGCGAAAGCAATAACGGGGATGTTGACGTACGAGGCCTCCTTGATGGCCTGGTGGTCAGTCAAGGGGTCGGTGACAATGATCAAACGGGGCTCCTTGAAGGCGCGGGTGATGTAGTTGGTGAAGGTACCGGGGGTGAAGCGACCAGCAATGGCCTGGGCTCCGGTGTGCGAAGCGAACTTCAAGGCAGCACGCTGACCGTAGGGGCGGGCAGAGATAACGCAAATGTCGGCGGGGTTCTCAATGGCGACAATGATACGGGCAGCGAGAACAATCTTCTCCCAGGTCTTGCCGATGTTGATGATGTGGAGACCTATTCACAATGAGCCAAAGTTTGAAGAGACAAGAGAGGAGGTCTTGTGTTAACGCCTGAATTTCACTGCTTCAGTTGCTTGACCGTGCCTCCAGGGTCTGGCATTTGAAAAGCCTTGCGCGTTCCTATTCTTGCGCATTTTGTCGGACATTACGCGTCCATGCTAATAACCAGAAGCGAGCTGCTGTGCCTCCAGACACTTCTAATCCCGCCTCAACGTCGTTTTTTTCTATAACACCTTCGATTTGTCGATGTGATATCGCAAGATGATGTGTTGTCGCCCGATCGTCCTGGTGTCCACAATGACACAACTACATCCTCCACAACCACTTCCAAACGCCATATCGTAGCGCTTGATCCTGCTTCCTGTGTCTCCAACTTCCATTTGTTCCTGCGCAAGAATGCTTTGATAGAGGCATTACCATCAGCACGACGCTTGTAGACGTAGGGCTCCATGTGAACATCGCAGTTCTTGGTTCCCAAGTGGGACTGGGCCGAAAGAAGGAGCTTGATGTCCTCCTCGGTGGCTTTGAGAATAGTAGGCAATCCAGACATGGCTATCGTAGTTTAGGGTGATAGCTATTTGGGGGTTGAAGCAAAACAGGTTCAAAGAAAAAACAGGCACTGGGGTCAATTTTCATTCTTTTGTAAAGTAGAGCTTGTTTCCTGAGTAGGTGGTAGTTCTTGGGTTCCTAGAGTAGTTCAAAGGGAACTGAAGTGCAGGGAGTGGATGGAGTCGATTTGATGTTGGATTCCTCCTGTGATGACCATAAATTTGTTTACTGAAAGAGCGCCAGCCTGCGATATCGAGCTATCCAAAGTGGTATCCATCCGTCCGAGCTCGTATCGACCGGAAAGCATCCCTCACATCATCAGGATCCTGTTGCCATATACTATTGGACCCTCCGATGGCTCCTGTCCAGACATCCGTCTGTATCCATCACTTCGTCTTCAAGGCGCCAAAACACATACGAAAAAAGATCCGATATTTGCAAGAGAAAGAACACCAACTCCAGCTATGGATCTAATATTTAACTGTTTCTGATAGTCACGTGTAATGAAAATGATATATGCTTTTTGTGCGCTTCAAGGCGCCTCCGCCCAAGGGGCCAATGCTCTATGGAAACGACCACACTACTGGCCACTCTTACAACATCTCACGTCTCCCAAGATCCTCCTACGCCCTCGCCTTTCGTTCCTCAACTTTGACGCTCCCTATCGCTCCTACTGGTATCGACAACACTATGTTGGCCATTGTCGACTGTGGTCCTCCTTGGACCGTCGCAATAGCTGGTATTTTTGGTCTTGTTCTTGAAGGAACCTGTGAGAACGTCCTGCATCGGGAAAGGAGGGAATTGGCCCTCGTCCCGACTGTCATCTCAATCTACTTCTTGGGGACACTCCACGCGGCTGAGGCTGGTGCCTTGCCGTGATGAGATCCGTTGGTGGTTGGTTTTGAAGAGCCGGTGGTGTTGGGTGTGGGGAACTCGGTCATGGTTGCGCCCTTCTGGTCCGAACGGATGTAGAAGAGAACATAGGCGACACCATCGCCGGATTTGCTGGCAGCGATCGAGGATGCCGACAGGGCTGCGGCAAGGGCAGCGGACTCTGAAATGGCACCGTTGATAAGCGTGCCGTTCATCGCAGGTTTGAAAGTGCCGTCGTTGCTGGACTGATTGTCCACAGTCACATCAGCCTCAGAGATAACAGTGATGTTGGTATCGTCGATGTGGAGCCACTCGGCATTCTGACGGAGGACATCGCATGTGTAATGGCCTCCAGCTGCAGTCCTACCATGATGGTAAACGACACCAAACAACTTGTAAGGGATCGGGTTGGCGGGGCGACGCGCAGGCGAAATGATTTCTGAAGAAAGATATGATCAAAGATCATCGTTAGATTTCTCTGTTCAACAGATCCAAGGCGTGACATCAGTAATGAACGCAACTAAAAGTGAGATGGAATGAGAACATACCAGGCTGGAGGTTCAGGACGGTCTTGTAGCCGACCTGCTTGTGCAACTTCTGAGTGCTGCCATCCTTGTAGATGAAGCGCTTGAGGTGAAGAACCAGGACTGGAGGGACCTCCTCAATGAAAATCTTCTTGGTCGCCTCAACAGGGTCACCCTTGTCAGAGCTAGTGAACCCATCCAAGACTTCGGGAATGGTCGAGTTCAAAAGCGCATCCTCAATGGTATGGACGTTATCGGGCGTCAAGTCCAGCTGCATAGACTGGAAGGGCTCTAATGTGACAGAGTCCTTGCGCGAAGGGATACGGAGGATCGATCGCAAATGTCCAGAAAAGATCGTCGAGATGGGAGTCTCTGAGAACTGGGTCGATCGGGTGAAAGAGGCTTTGTTCTTGGGTCCGGTAACCTCCATCCATTCATCATCGCTCACTCCGCTTTCGCTCTCCTCGTGTTCAGCCTCTCCGTTGGGCAATGCCTCCAGAGGCCTCTCCTTCATGGCAGCAAAGAACTCCTCGTGCAGACCATCAAGTAAGAACCCGAGGAACTCCTGGCAATCCTCCTGGCGTCCTCTCATCGAGTCAAATCGCTTGAGGCCACGCAGCGCGTCATAAACATACTCGGGCACAAAGGGTGGACCATAGTCGGGTTGGTTCTTCTTGGCAACGTGGAACTCGTTCAAAAACATGATCCTATGTACCGTTAATTGATGGTAGTTGGCGTTAATGTGACACGTCTTTTGTGCGCAACAGGATCACAAAAGTACAACATCAATGTTGTTGATGGCTTACAGAGAATCGACCAAGGGGGTCTTGCTCTTGAAGCTGTGCACGACATGCCTTCCGATCTGCATCAGCAAGTTGTAGAATGGAGGGCAGTGCAACAGAGGTTGCAAAATCTGCGGGTTATGTAGCGTGACAAATAACACAAACAAGGTCAGTGCACCATTTCTTATTTTTCTTGTAATTAGCGCACATAGAGTTCGGGCACATGGCGTTTTCAAGGAAAATAATAACTTACAGCGTTCATGAAGCACATGTTGCCATTGTTGACAAGTCCTCTGGGTTGAATAAGGACAGACGAATAGGTCGTTTGGTACTTGTGAAGGACATCAGCGATGCCGTCAAACTTGGCTCCGTTGACGGTGGCGGTCTTGTTCGCTTCGACTGGTTTCTGAGTAGCAGTTCCATTGGCGACAACTGCAGGTGACGTAGCAGTTGGGTTCTTTGCTCGGAGAAGTTCTGCCCAGCTCATGGGTTTGGCGGGTGCTGCGGGTGTGGCGGGTGCATTGGATGATTCATCTTGTGTGTTGTCGGTTGCTGGGGTGCTGGCGATTGTTCCTGTGATCGTTGCATCGGTCGGGGGTTGGACTGCGCCATCCTGGTCTGGGCCGAGTTCTTGCTGAGCTGGTACGGTGAAGATGACGGCTGGCTTTGGCTTTGCAGGGAATCCATCTATTCCCAGATTGAAAGAGTAAAAAAAAAATTGACTATGAGCTTGCGAGTGTCTTCTTGACGCATGGTCCCTTCTTTCACTGTAGTATTTTGCTTCGTAAGTGTCAAGTTGATACAAGCATATGGGTCCATGAATGGTTTAACACATACCTTTCGGGCGCTTTCCTATGGACCAGACCACCTAAAAAATCAAAGAGGAACACCGCAGTTACAAAAAAAAGAAGGTAGAGGTTTTAGTCACAGCTGCTGTCTGTATTTTAGGGTTTGTTCCATTAGAATCGATCCAGGCGCGTCACTGATCCAGCTCCATCGAGTCCATCGAGTATGTGCGCCTCGTCTTCTCCTAATTCCGAGTCCGTTGGATCTGATGTTATGTTGTTGTTATTGTTCTTGTTGATGCACGTACCACATTGGCATCCTCCTTCTTGACAACTTTACTGATGTCCTCGCGTGTGAGCTGTCCGAACGCAGGTCCTTGCTGCGGGTTGTAGGACTACCAAGTTGAATAAGAATGTGTTTGGGATTAGCATTCATACTTTCGCTCTAAACATTTTTTTTTCAGCTATGCTTCATGGTCACTTGATTGCGTGCGTGTGGGTTGAGTTGAATGGGCTTATTCGTATTTTATTACCTTTGCCAGGCTTTTCATCGAAGGGTAAGTTACGGATGAAGTTGACTGATCGAGATGGTTGAGTTGTGGGCTGAGTGAAACTTGTTTGATAGAAAATGAGGGGGTTTGCCAACAAGTTCCCTGGAGTTTGGTTCGAGTTGTGAAGGAAAAGGGTTGTTTAGGGCGGTTTACTGGTAAATTGGCTAGTTGGAGTGGGGAGGGGAAAGGGTCAAGTAGTAAAGTGTTGCGTACACAAAGGTAAGAAAAAAAGAAGCTTTTAGAGGAAGGAAAGTAAGGTAAAAGAGAGCAAAAACACTATGTACAAAGAAAGACGACAACGAAAAGACAACGGTACGATGAATGAAGGAAAACACAATAAAAAAATAGTAACGACAACGGTAACGACAAAGGAGAAAAAGAAGGAGTAGCTGGAGACAAAGAAACAGGAAGGAAAGGAAGGGAGGGGTTCGTTTCGGTGGATCAACTTTTTTTTCTTAGAAATACAAAAAGTGAGTCAGGGGTGTATATGTGTATGTATGAGTAGAAGAGAATGATGAAAGGGAAAGGAGTGAGAATAGCCCCAATAGATGATGCTCGATGAGATGAAAGGAGGAAGGAGATGAGGTTGGTGGCAAAATAAGTAGATGGGATGATATTAGTGTACAGAACTGATGAAGAAGAGAAAAGAAAAACGAGGCAAAACCACAAAATCTGGATCTAGTGACGTCACCCGATTTTTTTTCGCAACGGAGCCAATAAACCCGACAACCATTGGATCATTCCACTCACCAACAACATCCTCACAAACACATAACCGATTATGATCCGCGCTCTCGCCCGCCCCGCCGTCCGCATCACCCAGCGCCGCAGCGCCTCCACCTCGGCCACCCCCGTTGTCCCACTCCAGAACATTGAGACCCGTTGGGCCACCCTCTCTGCCCAGGAGCAGTCCTCCGTCGCCAAGCACCTTGAGCAGATCCAGGCCGGCGAATGGACCAAGATGACCGCTGAACAGAAGAAGGCTGGTACGGAATCATTCAAGTTCTCTTTGTTTATCTCTTTCTTTTTATACCATTCAGGAAAACTGATAGAAAACAAAGGCTGTGGATAAACAAATATGGCAAAGGAGATACAAACTGGAACAATGCATATTCAGGAACTGCATGTTTGTGCACCATATTCGGGACCGCCGGAATCATACGAGGATAACAAACGGCTCTCCATGGATCAACCTGCACATAAGAAGACAGTGCATGTATGTGAAGTGAGACCATGCATGTTGTTGACAACACTATTATCTGATCATTCTTGAACAAATAAAAAAAAAACAATAGCCTACTGGGTTGCTTTCGGACCCCACGGTGCCCGCACTCCCCTCACCGGACCCGGACACAGCCTCAAGGTCGCTGCCGGTACCACCGCCGTCGTCGGTGCCGCTGGTGCTCTCTTCCTCTGGATCCGCTCCAAGGGTACTTACTCTTTGCTCCTGTCACCGACTACTTGTTCTCTGTCGCGCGTTCTTTTAAGATTTTTTTTCTTTGCATACTCATCATGCATATTTTGTTTCACACCTTTGTAATAGGCGGCGAGAAGCCCTCTACCATGACCAAGGAGTGGCAGGAGGCCTCCAACGAGTACGCTCGTGCCAACAAGATCAACCCCATCTCCGGTGTTGCCTCCGAGGACTACAAGGGCACCGGTTTCGTCTCCAGCTCCAAGAACTAAATTTTTTCTTCCTGTTGCTTGTTTCCGAAATCTTCCACATCACAAACCCTTTTTGCTTTCTTTTTGTTCTTTTTGTTTTTTTCTCATCACAAACGCGTCGCACCTCCCCCCACGATGATCTCTCCCCTCCTCTTTATGAATAATATCCACCCACACCTTTAGAAGTACCCTGTGTCTGCTCGCCGGTGGATTAAAGTACCCCTCTTGAGTGGGACGTACTTTGTTTTTTTTTGCTTTTTTTCTGTGGCTTCAAACAGCAAGAAGGTCGATATGAAAGTTGTAAAGTGCTACACCTGAAAGACTTTTTGAAAATAAACCACACAGCAATTAGTCGCGGAAACATCCCTCCTCCGATGCACCTCATCTCTTTTATTTTTCGCCAATTAATGCTCTAACAAGCAAAGAAGTATGGCTCCAAGCCTATACCTATCCCTTACCTCCAAAACTGTGGCAAAACAGTCGGAAGGTCCACCAAAGACTCAATCTGATATTGCCCAAAAGCCGACGGCAAATCCTTGAACTTATCCATCACATGAACAGCCGTCCACCCCATCTTTACCGCCATATCGACATTGGGCGCAGAGTCGTCAGCAAAGAAACACAAACTCGAATCTTGGTCTCGTACTCCAGCTTCCCGCATGGCCTTTGTGAACGATTTCCTGTCGGGTTTGCAGACGAATTGGGGTTCAAGGTAGTTGCAAAATGTCATTCCGTGGAAGAGACCTTCCAGTCCCAGAATCCGCACCACCTTGCGTGCGTGCTGTGATCGTTGAGAGGATTTAGATGAAGTAACACGATGTCAGTGATTGTATAGAAATACACCAAACTAACGCCCAAGTTAAGAAGGCACAAAGATGGAGAGTGTACATTTTCACCCGCGTTGGTAAAGAGCCATTTTTTGCCAACTTTCATGGACTCGATCATGGCGCGCAGTTCGAGGTTTGGGGTAAGGAGCTTTTCCAGCGGAAGTCCACCATCCACCTTGTTATCTACACGATGGCAGAAAGAAGGAAAGAGAACTTTGAATAAGATACTTATTGTCCGATGAGAGACAATGGTGGTCATTGTCCGTGTTTGACTGCACGCCAGCTCACCATAGTCCCGGATGTCAATCTATCAGAATGTCAACACCGAGAGTGCGATGAGGGTTAGCATTTTCATTAAGAACAGCAGCACGCGAAGTGAAAATATTTGAAAGGTACGATGTTCACTTAGCTTACCTCTGTTGACGCGTGAAATGAGTAGGCAGAAAACCAAAAGAATGTCACCGTGGTTAGTGCATGGTGTCTTTACTTCAGTGCCTCATTCACGAAAACCTTTATCAAGTAGAAAGAGCATGTCATGTACCTGGATGCTTCTCGATGAGTCCGCGAATCGCCAACCCATAGTCAACATAATACCGGTGCGCAAGTCTCTCAACTAACAAAGAAATCGTTCTTCATGGTCAGTATTCATTTCGAGGTTGCGGCGCCTTCAACAGCGAAAACAAACATAGAGCTTACCGTCACTGTGAGGAATCCCAGAATCCCGAAAGTACTGCTCAATCCTATTCGACACAAGTACGCAAGGTCAGCATGGAAGTTAAAATTGAGCAAAGCAATTAATTGAATTCCTGTCCCCGAAACAATGCTTCTTGACGGTGTGACATACCTAGCCTTCATGAGATGAGGAATGCCGGATGTCTTTGGGTAGAGACAGTTGTCGATGTCAAAAAAAAAGACCCGTTTGTCGTCTGAGTAGAGAGAGGATGTTGCAAAGAATGGTGGTTTCATGTCATTGTTGGTGGCAGGGTTCGAAATAGAGAAGCGTTGACGGCTGGTGATGTGGACTGGTGTTAGTAACGGTCGACTGTTGTTCAAGACGCGCTCTGAGCGAGGTGATGATGTAGGTGTTGCTGCTGCTACAGCTGGGGTTGAGGATGGGTCAGCAAGAGTTCGTCGGAGGTTAGGTGCGCCTGTGTGAAGTCCTTGGTGAGTGCTCAATGCGAATGCTGCCTTGCTGTGGTTAATATATGCCGGTGCATATCGCACAGGCAAAGTCGCTATCCTGTTCGGGCGCGCTGCAAGAAGGCGTGGCACGGACATTTGTTTGCAGCAGTCCGTCAGGTATTTGACGCGAAGTGGAGAGTCCAGTGGTGCAGGAACAAAGAGAAGTTGGGAAAAGACTTGCTCGAGAGTCTGTTGATGCTACTTTTATTCGTGTTGTAGGCTGGGCAAGGAGTGTAAGGTCAAGTAGTGTGGAAAAGGAATGCGTTGTAAAGAAGACTGTGTGCGCTCGGAATGAATGTGAATGGAGAAGCGTGAGAGATGGACAAAGAGACAGAGAGACAAAAGGAAGACAACTGATAAAGGGGTATTCATGCGTGCAAATTTGTCTCATTCGCGTCATTCATCGGCGTTGATATCAGTCTTTCCAATACACGTCAGGGACCAGCGCCACCAATCTCCTAATCCAGATTGTTTTCATCGAAAGAGAGCAAATGGTTTATTGAATGATGCTTTTTTTCAAAAATGAAGAACTGCATGTTGAATGCAGGGATGTGCTGGTAGAAGCATGTTGAGATACTATATAGATACAAGATTAAGGCGAAATTACAAAATGATGAAGTGGGTTGGGGAATAAATAATGATGAGATAAAAAACAAAAGTTAAAACCAAGCGTGGGTTTACTTGACCTCCTCAACGACCTCCTGCTTCTCGTCGGGGCGAGTAACAGGGACAACGCCGTCGAGCTCCTGGAGGGCAATCTCAGAGACGGGGCCCTTGAACCAGTGACGGGCAGACAAGAACCACGACGAGGTGGTAAAGATCAACAAGAAACCGACAGCAGCGGGGGTGTAGTTGAAGAACTCCATGTCAATAACGGGCCAGGTTTGGGGCAAGTTGAAGATGACAAAGATGAAGGCAGTCCAGATGCAGGCAACCCAACCGATAGGCTTGGACCACGAACCGAGGTTGAACTCCTTCTGAACGAATCCCTCAGCACCAACGGTGATACGGAGCAAGATGGGGATGGCGTACGAGGTGGTGAATCCGATAATGGAGATACCGGAGATGGCGCTGAGGACGGCAGCCGATCCGATGGCAGGCAAGGCCAAAATGATAATGACGACAACGGACAACCAGACGAGGCGAAGAGGCATCTGGGTGCGCTTGTTGAGGACAGTCCAGTAAGGGGAGTAGGGGAGACCACCATCACGGGCAAAGGCGTAGAGCATGCGGGAGTTAGCAGCGACGGTGGCAATACCGCAGAGGAAACCAGCAAAGACGATGAGGAAGATGAGGATGCTTCCTCCGGTCTTTCCGGCACAGTCGACAAAGATCTGGGGGGCAGCTCCCAAGGGTGAGAGACGGGTGGTTTCGTAGTCCTGAATACCAAAGGTCAAGGCAAGGGCCAAGCAGAGTCCAATGCAGACAGAGGCAAAGATCGACAAGAGAATACCGCGGGGTCCGTTGACATAGGACTTCTCGGTCTCCTCGGACATGTGGGCTGAGGCATCATAACCGAGCATGGACCACTGGGACTGCAAGAGACCGAGCAAGAAAACGAAGACAGGGCTAGCGTCAGAAGTCTCGGTGTAGCCGGTGTGGTCCTGGAACTCGGTGAAGACAAACTCGGCAGACTGAAGCTTGGGGGCACCGACTAGGACAACAATGACAATGGCGATGGTGCCAAAGATGTGGACGACGACCGAGACCAAAGAGGCCACCTTCAAGGCACGACCACCGGCAGTGTTAATGAGACCACCGAGGACCATCATGATGGCCATGATGTAGAAGTTCTTTGTGCCGGTGACTTCGTACTCGGGATGCCAGACCTTCACCATAGTGTTCAAGAAAGTAGCAGCAGCGAGGACAGATCCAGAGCATCCAGCGACTATTTGGGAGAAGTGACGGTAGATTGCGAACAGTGCGTGAGTATTTCCGTTCTCACGAAAATTAGAGTAGTTGGATGTGGGCATTTATATAAAATGGTGTCATTGAGGCACGAAAGCGAGAAGAACAATGATAAGAGGGAGTAACTTACATTGGCCGAGCATGTTAAACCAGGCCTCGTACCAAGAGAACATAGGACCCCACTTGGGACCACCACTATGATATCGTCATCACAAAGAAGATGGGAAAGAGGGAAGACAACAAACACAAGGGTTAAAAACGGCGAAAAAAAATATAAATCAATCGTAAGCAAGCATGCTAGCGCAATACGCCGAAACAAACAAACAAACAAACAAACAAAACAACCAGAAGTTGCAATAGCCCGATCGAAGCCATCGAATGACACTTACAGCTTGGCGGTCCAGAAGTACAATCCTCCGGCGGTGGGGAAGGTACTGCAAATCTCAGCCATGCCCAAACCGATAAACATGACAAAGAAGGCGACCATGACCCATCCCCAGATGGCAGCAACGGGTCCTCCGGTGTTCATTCCGAACGTGAACAGAGGCACAATTCCGATCAAGACAGACGAGTTTGTCAGAGTGAAGCCGAAGTTCTGAAGACCCGAGAACTGGCGCCTGTTGGGTCAAAGGTAGAATCAATGAAAGAAATAAGATTGAGAGGGCTTGTTAGTATCTGATCGCGTAGAAAATGAAGGAGTCTGACTGTTGAATGGGAGGCATCGATGTTGCCAGGGTCGATCTATGGCTGCCGCCTCTCTGTTCGTTGTTGTCTGCCTCCTTGACTCTTAGATTGTTGCCTCCCCCGTGTAGTTTCAAAGGCAAGAGGTGATCGGGCATTGGTTGGAATGGTCCTGGTGCCTGCGTGCGAGAGATTCAGGAACCACGTTCAAGGCTTAGAGAAAAGGAAACTTACTTCATGTTTTGCTTGTAACCAAGCTATTCACACACAGGAAACATGGACATGAGAGAAGAAGGAAGGAGAATGGTGAGTACCACTTCTATTTCTTGTCGTCGTTCTTGCCTTTGCTCATGCGGTGATGAGTGAGTGTCGAGCAATGAGAGTAATGTGTTCCTGATGTCGAGATCTCTTGATGGCAAATGTGAAGAGAAGAAAAATTATTTACATCGGCAAGACGAGCTTCGTCCTCGTTATAGTCGGCGGGGTGACCCTTTTCGTTGTTATCCATTGTAAGTGTAAGGAAAGGAGGAAGAGTGAAGGAGAAAGGTAGGGTGGAAGGTGAAGGTCGTTGGAGCGAACAAAGGAAAAAGGAAAAAAAGGACGGGAGGCCTACTTTTATACAGTTAAGTTGAAGGGGACGCACATGTTATTGCCGTTGTCCGGTTACCCTTTCTTCATTCATGGGCAAGCTCTTCTTTTCTTTTGGATCCAATCCAACAGTGCTTTATTATGGCATGGAGAAGGGAGAGAATGACCTGGACCCGACTCATCCAGTGTGTACAAAATGGCGAGGAGGAAACTAATTGACAAGGTTAACAGGCCGTCTTTCTATGTCCGACAGTCAATAAGCCAGCATTCAAGGAGAGATGGGCGAGTTTTCTTATTTACTTCTCGTGCGGGTGTCCATTCATTATTTTCCTCTTCCTCTTTTCCTTTGATGTTGTTGTTTCTGGTCGTATTTTTTTTTCTGTGATTTGTTTGCACTTGTACGACGCTACATGGACGACAAATGGTCCAGTGGAAAGCAAGGAATGAGTGTATGGACGACCTCCACCAGACACATGTCAACGAAGCACAAACAAAATAAACAAACAATCCAAACAAACGCCCTGTCTCTCTTTCAGCATCAAGAGAAGGAACCCGAACCCACCCTCATATACACATGTCCGAACAGAAGAGGAAGAAAGATGCGATAGGAGGATGACAACTCTAACCTTGTTATTCAAGATCCTATTGTCTTTTGTTCTCCTCTCGCACTTCTTCATTGTCTATGTTCCTCTTCCTCTTGTGTCTCCGTCTTTCTTTGTGTATGTGTCCATGGCCACGCGAGGGAGTGTGCACACACACTCTCCCTCCCTTGCCTGTTTGTGTTCATCTTCCGAGGAAGAATCACTTTCTATTGTTCCGTTCTTCATCGCCTTTCTTCGTTATATTCTTTTCTTGTCCTTACTCTATCCTCCGTCCTTCATTGCAATTGGATTAACCAAAATATGATTGTTGCTATCCCGCGTTCGTCTGCGGGGTCCAATCGACAAGCCAAACCAACCTACCGAGATCGATCTGGCTGTTCACCTTTATCGTTTTCATTCTCCTTCGCCCTTATTCCCCGCCATGTCTTTCATTCTTTCCTTCTCTCATCCATTGCAAAAATTCCTTCACCTATCTCAACATCTTCGGTGCAAACGCCACCTGTGCTGACTTTAACTGGATCCTTTGGTACTTCACTCCTACTACTACAGTACCGGCACCTGCTTTGCCCTTCACTCAAAGGGCGCGTGCGACTATGATCAAAGTGGTACTGTATGGAATGGGGACTGTGAGCGGGATCTCAAACACTCTCTCCTCAGAACCTTACATGGCAAACCCATAAGGGTATCCAGCAAGAGGAAACCGTAAAAAAAACGTTGGGGTTGTTCTGTTGGTGCTCTCAACTTTCTTACCTTTCTTTTCCTTCATACGATGATATCTGTCTGCGTTTTTTACCCCATCATTAAAAAAAATATGCATATTGTCCAACACATGAAATGGTGGAATTTTTGCTTCTTGTGAACATTCCACAGGCAAGGACACCCACTCTCGATTTTTTCCCTTCTTCCTCCTCTCCACAGATCATCCCCCCTGCCCTTCTTCACCTCTCCTGTTTTTCCCAAAATCGATCGGGTCATGACGATAACGCAGATCTCCCTCCATCTCATGTGTCAGCCCTGCTTCGGAAAATGCTTATTTTGTTTGTTTACATTAGGGTATGAATCGATTACGAGTCTGAAAAAAACAATAAAAGGAAGAGAAAGGAACTAAAAAAAATAGGGAATCCTAAACAACTGGCGTGGCAACTTGGAGTGCGGTGGGCGCACTGGCAGCACCTGGCCGAGCAGCCGCAATAGCTGCAACTGCAGCGGCGGCAGCGGTAGATGATGATGAAGACGAGGTACCATTAGAAGTTTCGATACGTTCGGGCTCGGACAAGGATTGAATCTTGATGAGGTGAATCAGATCCCGCTCCTGCTCAGTCAGCGGCTCCTCCTTTGGATTCAGAACTGGGCGCTTTCTATATTTTTTCAAGTGAAGAAAAGGCACCGTGGGTTAATTGATTTGAGATATTCATTCATACATGGCGTGAGGAAGAGGAGCAATCATTCGTAAGCAAATAACCATGCTAACCATCCATATCCTCTTCACCAATTCCATTGTCAGTTTTCTTCAGTTCCAAGTTTTCAACTTACCCATTCCTAATGGCAACGGCGACACGATTTGGATCAGACTCATGGGTAACAAAATGAGAATCGTCAGCAAAGGGATCGAAAGAGGGCTCGGATGATGCTGAAGCTGCAGCAATTGACGATCCAGGAGGGGAAGAATATAAGACGGCGGTCTTTCCTTTAGATGCTGCTGATCCTGGTGCTGATGTTGACGAGCCCCTGTAGTCCGAGGTGGCGTTCCTGTATCCAGAGCCAACACCGGCACCATCAGTGTCGATCAAGTCCTTGAAATGAGCCTCGTCAGAGGAGGTACGGGTGGGTTGTTGTGGTGATGCTGGTGGAGAGGCCGAAGAGTCCTGAGAAATGGGTACCTGAGTGGTGGTGGTCGTAGGAGCGAGGGTAGTGGTAGTGGCGGTAATGGTGGAGGTAGAACGTTGGAGTGCGCGCTTGAGGTGGATCTTCTCCGTAAAGCCGTTGTGGCACTTGATTGCGTTGACCAGATCCTCATTGGCGTACAACAGTTGACCTATTGAATGAATGAAAGGTATGAATATGTCAAAACAGTGTAGTAGAGTAGATGGCTCACAAGGACATGGCAGTCTCAGGGTTTTCTGCTCACCAAGGGAGATCTCGTCGAATGCGGGCCTCGAGGTGATATCGCTTAGGTACATTTGAGTGTCGCGCTGCAATTCCATGCACTTCTTGAAAAACTCCTATTAATTACAACATTAAGTACTGAAGAACATCAGATAACAGAGCGCGACTTGACCTATTCCAGGTAGCTATCGCGTCCAATTGTGGTACCTTGATTAGGCTGAGTTCGTCCTTGGTGGCGGCATCAGGGTCTGTAAACGAGACCGTCTCGGTGAGCATTTGGGAGTTGTTCTTGGCCATCTCGACGTGACGAAGGATTTCATCAGTGGTCTATGGAAACGGAAGCAGCATAAGGACGGTTGATTAGATATGTCAAACTAAAATCTCACACGCAAATAAACCACTGCACTAATGCAATGTGACTATCGAGGAAGAGACGGTACCAGCACTGCATTGAACGATCCAGCCCTGGAAGGAGGGGCTGAGGAAGTAGGCGAGGTAAGTGGGCTGACAATGACGTTGGGCCCAATGGCGGGGTACTGACTAGGAGCATTTGGGTCGTACTATTGATATGATGAAATATACCATGGAATATCAAAGTTAGTAAACAAGCGCGTCCGGTATCCTTAGGGTCTCGATGATTTGGGGGATAAAGACTGAGTAGGAGTAACTTACGAATGGAACGACTTGCTCGTAAACAAGGCCGTTGTAGAGGTTGGGGATGAGGATAAGACTGGGATCGGAGGAGCATGCACGCGCCCAGGAAGCGAGTCTCTCCATAAGGCATAGTTTGACTTGAGGGTTGGTGGTCTACAGAGCGTATTTTGGGGTGAATACGGCGAGGAAGTTAGTTATTAGAACGCGATAGACGCATGGATGACCGTCAAATTATTGCGACAGGGTTGAGGTATTACTTTAGAGCTGGCGACGTAGTTGATGTCAACAGCGAACTTTGTAGTGGCCAATTGAGCTGCGAGAGACAGTCAAGTGAGAAAAGTAGGAATGGCAGGTTAGGCTACTGTTGTCCACGTATAACACCAATCATCGAGCAGTAAGCAGTGCACAAAACGAAGAGTAAAGAACAATGTTGACTGCGGCAGGGTGTGTTTTGTCTGTTGATGTTGTACCTAGGAACCTTGAGCGGCTTCCATCGACCAAACCCTGGATGATCTGTAGAGACGAACAAAGGAAGAACGAATGATGTGGATGTGAGCACAATGTCAAACATGAGTCAGAAAATAATAAGGTGTTGGTGTTTCGACTTCGCCTCCAGGGTGAAGGGGGGTTCTGTGCAGCGAAAAGCAAACCAAAAGAATAAACAACTCAACCCTATCATCTGGAACTTTCCCACCACTTACAATGATGGCATTCATCTGGTGGCGAGGGAGATCTCCACGCAGAACCTTTCGTAGTGCCTTGGCAGCCTCCTTTGCTCTGGAGAAAAAAAGACGAGGGAAGGGTGGAGAATGGAGTTGGAAAAAAATTCAGTATAGCTGCCACGCCACTAATTCGCACATTCATCACGTGCAGTGTTCCTTCGTTTTAGAACTGGAATCCCCGAAATGCCACGGTGGTTCCTGGGAAACTTACCCATCGTCGACAGAGTTCACTGAGGCACACAGGAGACGCAGGGAGGACCAGGTCGAGAACGTGGGCTGGGCGCAGAGGACCTCTGTTGAAAAGGAATAAACAAGAGATAGCGGAAAGGAATGAGAAACTGAATTGGTTTCCTAGAATCAAGTCCAGATGAGCACCCTGTCAGTAAGTCGAGAAGATGGAGTAGGTACCAATTTGAGGGGTGATGTTGGTCTCTTTGGGGAAGATACGCATTGTGAGGGTGTGTTGTTTGAGAGGAGGTTGAGTGTCGATTGGTCGTGGCAATGAAAGAGGGAAGTGTGCTCGCCTCCTCCTTTTAAGCGGTTTTTTTGAGAGCGTCAGTCTATCTTGATGACTGAGACCCACTGGGAACATGCGATTAAAAACCCAATTCCTGTGTTTAAAGTTATTTTTCACTCTTGCTTGCTTTTTCTTCTGTTCTCCCCTTTGAGTGGTGGCAAAAGCTAAAGACTGTGTTTATCTGATCACTCGTTTGACAACCTGGCAGGCATAACGAGTGCCAATAAGGCGCGGTGTGTCGAACGAGTGTTGACTGTGAACATTTCTTCTTCTTCGAGGTGTTCTGTATGGTGCAAGGATTTTTTTGGGTTTTTTTCATGCTCACAAATGCTCTTGTCTGCTTTTGCTCATAAGTTTTCTGATTCTTTTTATGAAGGAAGTCCTTCTCGGTTCACGAAAAGACTTGATTACCCGACAGAAAGGTACTTTGTGCCTCCGGGTTGTATATATCACGCACAGCAGCAAGAGTCAACATGACTACGTTGACTGCGACACCTGCCTATGGTGGATCGCTCACCTTCGAATGGCCAAGCCTCCAGCACATAAAGTTAAGCTGAGACAACACGCACGCGTTAGGCTAGTAAGGACGCGTCGAGTGATCAAACGAACAAAAAAGAAGCGACGATCCTCCAGTCAACGTGTCGCTAGTGGTTTTTTTCTCGTCAGTCGTAGAACTACAAACACAAGCTAAGACAGAGCCCCAGATTAGTGTAGTGCGCAGGTGTAGATATAAAGCGATAGTGGCTTCGATGATGTTGAAGAGTATGGGACCTTTTGTTTGTCGCTTCTTCTTCTTGTTCTTATTCTTATTCTTATTCTCGTTCTTCTCCATCATACACATTGAGCCTTGATCCGTCCATCCATGGACCTATGCTCTTCTTTCATTGATATATGACAGCCCATCTATCTATTATCCCATGGTACTGCTTGCTCATTCGCCTCATCACTTACACACATACACATTTACTCCTTTTCCCGCCTACTCTCTTCTCGTCCCGCCAGTGCTTTGGGACAGTTCACCCTTTTTTTTATTCCGTCTGGATTCTCCTGAATTCAGTCCCTCCTTCCCGTGTTTACATCGACTTCGTTGTGTTTTTGCTATCATAGGTTGTATGTTCTGTCGACATGGCCACCTTTTTTCCTTTCTTTTCTTCTCGTCCCCATTCCTGATTCACCCCTCCCCACTCTTGAACTAGCATTCGAATCACCTTCAACACTTTTCTTCTTCCTCTCTCACACTGAAACACCATGTCGGTCACAACTCATACTCCAAAACGCATTGCGGACTATTTCTTCATGGTTGGTCTCAGGGACGAGGACAGTCTCATCCCTTCTGACGACGAAGAAGAGTTTGAAGACGAAGTCTTTGAGGACGACAATAGCAACAACCAGAGACCACCACATCCATCTCTGACAATACAGCCCGTCAGTCCTCCCTCTACCCGTGTCTCTCTTCGTTCTCCCCGCTCTCCTACAACACCCTCATCCCCCACTGGTATCACCGCCGCGACCTCGACAGTGTTTGGACCTTCATCTCCAATCCAACAACAGGGTCGTGACCACCCCGCTCGAGCCTTGATATCGACCTCGAGCACTGGACATGGCCCGAGTAAAGGCCAGCAACAAAATCAACAACAGAAACAACAGGGACGTGGACAGGGACAACAACAATTCGGTCGCACAGCACCGTCACCGTCCAAAACTGCCAAAGGTCGTGAAGACGTGATACTCGCAACGAGGCCGTTGAACGAACCAGATGCGGACACTCCTGCAGCAACAGCAACAGCAACAGCAACAGCACCGACAGCAGCAATAGGGATGCAAGTCGGGGTAGCGGGAACAGCAGCAACAACAAAGACAACAGCGGGCCTATCTTCGGCAGCTTCCCCTATGCGGGCTCGATCATACTCCATGGCACACATTCGTCCCATTATCGCAGGCTTGGAAAAATCGGAAAATGAACCTACTAGCCCTGGTAGAAGCACCGCCCAGCAACGAGGTAAAACACAACCAGAACTCTTGGACTCCCGCTCCCTCACATTGTTTAGGTCCAATGCTTTTTTTTTTTGACAAAGCAAAAAGGCTGACCTACTTGCCTTTTTTTTAATCTTGACCTACCCCCCTCTAAAATAGGTGTTCCTGTCCTACCCATGCGTTCTCGACAGCAACGACGATCCAGTGCAGCTGCACAGATTGGACCGCCACAACGTGTTCTGACGCCCAGCAATGTGAACCACCAGTCAGGAGTGGTTGGAGGAGTTGCAGGAGTAGGAGGAGTTGGAGTTGGAGTTGGGCTTGGAGGAAGCAGTGGAACCATGCTTCAACACAAACCCAATTACCGCCATGTTTCCGCGGGAACTCTGTTCAAATGCGTGCAGGAAGGTCTGGATTTCGACAAGACGATCGAGGGAATCCAAGAGGAAGCTGAGGCTGAGGCCGCTGCTGTTGCCTCTGGTTCTGGTAGTAGAGGCGACATTCATTCGCACAGGAGGGAACAACACCCTGGGGCTGGTACGTTCACCTTTCTGCCCACACGGGCGTGTTCTATTCTGGTTGATTGGAGATATATGAGGAGAGGGGGTACACCCTTTTCTTTCCCAACCACCCTTCTCTGAGAATGGGAGTGTCATAATTACGGTCATCGCCATCCATCCATCCTTCCACCCATCCTTGTCCTTTCCTTCGCTTGTCCCTCGACCTGCCCCCCTCTCCTTTTTGTACCTTGGGTCGCCCCTTGCGTGTCACTTCCCCGTTTTCTTTTTGTATTCTTTTTTTTTGTGTGTGTGTATGTGTTTATGTGTGCAGACATGCGTGTGCGTGCTTATCTCCCGTTTGTACCTCCCTCTCCTCTCTCTCCTTTTCAATGACATCCCTTTGAGAACTAACAAACCAACTATTATATTTCCCTCTCTCTTCTTCTCTCTCTCGCACACACGCACACGGTCGTTTCCTTTCTGCCCTCCCCTGGGATGCGTTCGGGATCATTTTCTCCCAAAATGAACGATGCCTCCTCAAACACATAGATCTCACCCCAGGCGGAACTGGACAACATAATACCAACACCAAACAGGCACAGTCTCTTCAGGATTTCAAAAGTCAGGCCTTTGGAAAGCCGGCGGCGCCTCCACTCAGGAATCGGACCAAATCCCCAGCACCACCCTCGACCACCTCAGACACCACTATTACACGAACGAGCACGCCTACGAGCTCTATCAGAACCACGAGGAAGAGACTGTCGATTATACCCAAACCGGACCAACATGACATTCATCCAGGCGACCGAACGTTTCCGCCCCTGGTCACTTGTCGGTATCCAGAGACCAACTGGCCTGATTCAGACGTTTTCCCGAATTTCCTGCCCATGGTAAGTGTCGCTGTTTTTCCTTGTGTCACTTTGCCATTTCTTCCCGTACTGATATGTAATCCTTGATTGTCCTCTTGATAGTTTTGCTTCCCTGGAGAGTTGTCGTTTAAAATGTCGGACGAAAAGCCGCCAATGACCTATCACTCGTTTGTGCTGACGCAGGAGACAGGAAGTCGATCGTATGCCATGTGTGTCACTATGTATGAGCGACTGCCCCAACGAATGCACGATCAATTGGACATTCTCTGTCAACGATGGACCCGAAGCCATATGGTAACCATACTCAACATTATGTTCGTAACATGTATTTACTACAGGAAATCCCTCTAATCATCAACCCCTTTCATCGTCTATGTCAACAGTCTGAGAGCGAGATGGAGTACGCCAAATCGATCAAGACAAAGATCTCACGAGAACGACGACTACTAAGGAGTCTCCAGATGCAACTTCGGGAGGAAAAGACACTAGGAAGGAGGGCCCGACAGAACCAAATCGAACGGGAGATTACCGACACCGAGGAGAAGCTTAGTCTTTTGGACGACCAAATGAAGCCCTGGCGAGGACTGTTTGTCGAAATCGAGGACGCCTGGATGCCACGGTGTATTGGTCTTGTTAGCGCGATCCCTTATCATTACCTTCTGCGGGACTGGCTGCTGGCGATCGTTGTTGCGTGCTCTGGAGGGATTGAGCATCCTGGAATGAACCTCAGCTCTATGCGGCTTGAAAGGTACAACGCTTGTTTTTGGATGTTTGGTTCTGTTGCAGCTTTGGATTCAACATGGGTGGTAAGAGATGGTTCTAATGCGACCTGTGCTTTGTTTTGTCTGGCTGTTAGCTATGTAAAGAACTTGATTCACGAGGTCAACCTACCGCCGTTCGGGAAGCTGGAAATCGGTATTACCATCAACAATCGAGTCATTTACGCTTCAAGACCAGCTCTCAACAGTGTCCCCATCGTGAAGAATGTAAGGTGTTGATAATATGCACATGCTGCCATTGACATGGATCGTTTGAATTGCGGTAGTAGGCTCACCTCACCTTTGGTTTGTTTTGTGTCGCCGATAGTTTTCCCTGTTCCCACTTTTTCGTTGCCTGACTGCGGAGGATATCGTCACGGTCATCGAGGTAATACCCAGCATGTACAAGCATACGTATTCAGCAGTTGAAGCTTATTTATTATGCGAGTGCATTACTTTACTCACTCTCGTTGTCGCTTTTGCACAGATTATCTTGTCGGAAGGAAAGATCATCTTCTTGTCGTCGTACTTGGGAATGCTGACCCTTGCCAGTGAGAGTTTCCTCTATTTGCTGTTCCCGCTCTACTGGCAGGGCGTCTACATCCCAATCTTGCCCTCGGCCCTCATGACCTGTCTGCAGGCACCTGTGCCATATATCATCGGAATCGAGCGCAAAAGTCGGGACTCCGACTTCCCACCAGAAGACGTAAGTTAACCATGACTGGAAATGTCTTGACATTCTGGTCCACTGCAGCATAACATGCAGTACTAATAATATACCCCCATCCACATGTAGGCATGCGTCGTGGATCTGGACAAGGGAACAATCAACGTACAACTAGCACCAACTCCACTCCCCCCACGCCAACGTCGAAAACTGATTCAGTCACTGGAACAATACGCTCCCACATCAGCCATCAAACGCTCAGCCGCGGTCCAAAACCCAGCACTAGGGCCCCCAGTCTACGTCCAGGAAGCATTCCCCCACTCACGATTGACACTCTTCTGTGGAGTCTCGAGAGCGCCTCGCTCGAACAAACGACCTCTCCCTGCAGTTCCTGGTGGACCAGGAGACCGATCGACTGTTCATGGCGATCCTCGGATTGCGTCTGCAGCTAACTCTTCTTCCATCTCTATGGCGTCGACATCTCGTGACCATGGTCCTTTGCCGAATCTGCCGTCTTATGCTGGTCAGGTCAAGAAGAGTTCGACTTTGGAGAGTTTGCCGTGGGTTCTGTCAGAGCAGCAACAGCAGCAGCAGCGTCTGATGATGCAGAACCAAGATTCAAGGACATCTTTGACAACTGTTGGAGGTATGGTTCGGTCTTCCTCTGAGGATACGCTGGATCAAAAGAGTGATGCTGCATCCCGAATGTCCAAGGTAACATATGATGCTCATATCCTCAACATTGTGCCTGAGTGAGAATATCACTTGACAAGAAGACTGACACTACTCACCGTCTACTCCATTCCAGCACTCGATGGCGCCGTCAGACTCAATGCAGGATATGTCTCCTCTGTCTCACCATGTAAGAACCCCGCGATGCCTCAGGATCTCTTGTATTTATGGTTGTCAACTAACTACGTTTAAAACGTTTCGATTAATAGAGTACATCAGACTCGTTCAAGACAAACTCGAGAAAAGTCCTCTCGCCTGCCAGAGCACGCGCCAGCCTACTGGAAACACCCAAAAGACAGGAGGGCAGCAACACCAGCAACACCACCACCAGCAATAACCAGATTGCCAACTCTGCAACTATGCCACCCAGTCATCCCAACAGCGGCGTTTCGCGAAACAACAGTCGCCATAGCACGCATATGACCTCGGTGACGATCAACAGCAACTATGACGGACCTGGATTGACCCACCGTGCCTCGTTCACGTCGATCGATTCGACTACCTCGAGTATCCTGTCGAAATCGCCCATCTCGACTATGACCAGCATCAATGGAGCCCCTTCGTCCAACGCTATGAGTCACGGCCTTCATCTTAATGGTTATTCTGACGATGATGGGCTTTTAGTTGGTAGTCATGGAGGCGGATCGACGGATCAGGAGAAGGTGGCGCCGATCACAATCGAGGGACATGTGCTCTTGCCCATCCATATGCCAGTACCGCTGTCACTCTTGAACGGTCGATGCGGTATCTGCTCCCGAGGTCTGGCGCCACACAATGAGGTTCATCGTTGCGAAGGATGCTCGCTCTATGTCCATGCAGGATGTTTGGACGAGCTGCTATACCCATGTGTTCCTCGTGGGTTTGATGAGTCGGGTGTCTGTTGGAGTGTTCTCCAGATGTGGGCGGGGCTATTGAAGAGCTACCGATCTGGCATCCTGGCAGGAGCTGCATTGCAGCAACAGCTTCAACAGCAGTCCTTCCACCATCATCATCAACAACAACAACAACAACAACAACAACAACAACAACAACAACACCAGTACCAACAGCACCAACAGCACCGCCAACAGCCACAACACACTCCTCCCCCCCATGCCAGCCCACGCAGTCTGGGTCACAGGAAGCAACCATCGAACAGCGGCAGTGAAAACGAAAGAGAGGGCAGCACCAACGGCGGCCGGGACCGGCTTTCCTGGGCGAGTTTCCAGAGATGGGCGGGCAAGAGTTACGCGCAAGTTGCGAGTAGTAATGTAAACGGTGCAGGAGGCAATGGAGGAGGAGGTAGTACGAAGGGATCTGCGGTCCTGTCACTTTCCAGCAACAGGAATTCAACCAACCTGGACCAGATAAACCAGTCGACCTACTACAACCAGCAACAACAAACGTCTCCTGTTGCCCAACGACCACCCCAGCCTAATTCGCAGCCATTAACGCGTACTCGCAATGGAACTGAGGGTAGCACTCATAGCGACACTGTCACCTTCCATCGGGATGTGTTTATGAAAGGCGTCGACAAAGAAGCCAGGGTAAGCTGTCCTCTCTTTGTTTTTCAAAAAGGCTACTTGCATGTGATTGGTATTACGGCTCATGTACCTTTTCTGTTATTGTTGCTGCATCTGCGCCAACAAATTTCTTCAAGTAGCTATTATTTTCTAACACATTTGTACTGCATGCATGTCCTGTTTCTCTCAACAATATGTTTTTATCATATTCATATGCATAATAGCCATTCATGTCGGTATTCACAGAGACGCAGGCGTTTGTTCAGTTTGTCCAGGACAGAGTTGATCGTTCACCTGGAGACCCAGAGATCATGTTCTTCGACGAGGTTATCAAGGCCAAGATCAATCGGTCTCGGTTCCGACTCGGCAAAGAGGAAACCAAGTTCCTGGATGTAAGTGTTCGCCTCGGGAAAAAAATAATAATTCAAGAAGCTATTCAATGGCTAGTATTCGTTTTCTAATCATTTTCTGACCTTCTTTCTTCGCACGTGGAATGTATATTCGATTCGATAAACAGGACCCAAGCTATGGTGTGCAAGGAACCGTGAAGGCTATCCCTCCCTCAGGAGATACTCAAGTCTATGGTAAATATCTCTTTACTTTCACTGAGACACATACCTTTCGCTTGATACTGTCTCAACTTACTCTGTCTCGACCCACTACTAACCGCATCCTTTATTACTTTTTCTTCTACTGCACGTACTTGGAACCCCTTTCACCACTCCACAATGATAGATAGCGACACGCGACGATTCCCAACAAATCTGGATCCTTCGTACCTATAGACTTGTACCGATATTCCTTTTCTCTCATTCTCTCATATTCATCCCTTATTTTTGAACTCTGGTAAAACAAAGGGTAAAAGGGTTTGTTACCCACATACCTACTCATATAGTCATATATCCAACAATACAAGCATTCACTTCTTCAACCATACCTGATGTACTATAGTTTTTTGTTGTGTTTTCTACGGGATCGCGCGGATATTTGTTTCCGCGATGGCATAGGAATGTACTGTACATTGAATTGAATAATGTATGTTTGAGTGAATGCTTTATTTGGAGGGCATGCAAGATAGCCCATGAACATGGTGTCGTTATTATTATTCTGTAGAAATAAACCCCCCCTCCTTATTCTCCCATCCCCGACCATCATCTAAAAAAGAGAGATCCAGGGAAAGTCGAAAAAAAAGTAGCTCCAGCTCTACACAACAAAAAAAAAGTGTATACGACAACCCCAACCCACAAGGCACTTTCAGTACCAGTCAAACACCGACAAACAGTTGGCAGATTTCGCGTTCGGGGGATCCAACTGGTTCAGAATCCACCTCATCACCACCTTGGACCCAACCATCAACAAATGCTCAGGCACAGAAACTGCACACAGATCTTGAACCAACGTGTTCGTCACTCCGGAAGCCAACGTAAAAGTCGACTGGTAAGGGGTAATCACCTCATCGTACCGTGTAGCGATATAGGAATGAATGACCCCCGGGGTGGTATCGCCACCGGCATTGAGTTTCTTCATGAAATCGGAATCGCGGATCATGTCGTAGCAGCCGGCACAGAAGGAGTCGACGAGGGGTTCTGCGGGCTTGAGGAGGCCGGTGATTTCGCCAAGGAGGACGATGCCGCTGAGGAGGGTGCCGTGGGTGATTGCGCTAACGCCGACCATTCTGTGAGGATAAGGTAATGAATAAGTCAAAGAACGTGAAAATTGAAGGAAAGGGGTGAATGGAGAGCAAGGAAATTGGAGATGAGAGCAAGGCACAAGATGATGGTTAGTTTTCAGGGGCAACGAGAGCTCCGGGGAGTCACACAAGCGGAAATAAACTCTCTTACAAAGACAAAAAAAAAGAGGTACATACCGATAGACCTTTCCAGCACCATCCATATATTTCATCCAATACCGGCCCAAGACACCGCCTTGGGAATGACCGACCATATCAACCTGGGTGGTATTGGTGGCTGCCAGGACCTTGTTGACAAAGTCGCCGACTTCTCGGGCGCTGGATTCCAAATGGTTAACGGCTCCAAAGAAGGGGACGCCAGCTTGACGACCGTAGGTGAGTGCATAGACGCAGTATCCGGTCTTGACCAGCGCGGGTGCGACGAGGGGGTGCCAGGACTCTTCGGTCAGAAGGGTTGCATGGACCTTTTTACAATATAGACGTAAGCATTAAGAGGTGGAGAGAGAGTTAGAATTGATGAACGACGAGGAAAAGCGAAAATATATCTTCAAAAAAAATTGAATTACCAGAACGATGGCACGAGGGTGGGCGGCAGAGGGTTTACAGTTCCAGTTATTCAAACCAGCAACCACAGTGGTACGACCGGCATCGCGCTTGGGGTTGGGCGCATCGTAGGGAAGAACGGGGATGGCTGGCAGGGCAGTAGTAGGGGTGATGAGGGAAAGAAGCCATACTGCCAGGATGGCGAGGTAGACTGTAACATTGAGTGAACGGGTCATCGTTATAAATATGACAAAGTCGTTAATGAAAAAAGGGGAGGGAAGGTATGTGATATGTACAAAAGGTATGTGCAGGAGTGTGATGAAAAAAGAATGGATCGAAAGTAGGTTGGAGGTTTTTGAGTATGTACAACGTAAGGGAGATGGGATGGGATGAAGGTAGAAGGGGGTCAGGAAATCAGGCACCAGAAATCGACAAAGAAGCAAAAAATGGAGGAATGAGGGTTCTATTTATGTGAAAACATAGTCGAATGAAGTTGTTTGATTGATTGTATTATGAGAGCGAAGGTGCTTTCTAGATGAATGGATGGAGGAATGGATGGTGAAGGAAAACAATAACAGGAAGAGAAGAGGAGGTGCGAGGTACACTTTTGCGGATAAAGGGTGGTTGTGGAGAGACTAGCGCAAGAGTGGAGGAGTGAAGGACGGAGGATGGAGTTGGGGTGTAAATTGTGGGAGGATGAGATGGAGGCATATGGATGTGATGTGGAGGGGGAATTTATTGTGTGGGTGAGGAGAATGAGACTTGGAAAGGAAGAGATATCCGAGTGGGCTGAGAAGGACAAACTGCAGACAGGTACCTATTGCTACCAGTCAGGAGAATGCCCGCGATCGTGTGTTGACAAAAAAAGGCGAATAAATAAACAAGACAGTAAAGACGCCCAATGGATGGCGATCGGAGTCCATGGCGACGATGGGATAGGATGGAAGGAGAATGCTCGACAAAGGCGAAAAGGAAGCAATAATGAAAAGGTAATTCAATAATTCAGGCACAAAATGGTTTTATGTGTACAAAGGCAGGGGTTCAAGGGCTGGATGCAGGGTAAGGCAGTATCTTCACTCCTAACACAAATCATTCGATCAATTAGCATTGCATACCTTCCTGTTCAAGCAATCGATTGAATAGCAGCTGCATGTCCAACTCTTTCTTTGTTCTCTCTTCATCGTCATCTTCGCCATACAGCCTTCTTCTAGACAGTCAGACAAGGTGCAGAAGGGGCAAAAGAGGGGGCAAACCCCACCTTTACATTCGAGAAACACATGTCTGCAAACCTCGACTCTTTGCTTATCATCAGAGAACAACAGTGAAAAATAATTGTGAGCAGAGAAGTGGGATGAGTTATGGGATCCAACAGACGAAAGAGAAAAAAAAATGGTGAGCATGAGAGAAAGAGAGAGAGAAGACAGACCATTTGGTTGTACAATCCTCTACAAAGATTAAGGTACCTTGGGGGGTGAAAAGGGAGAAGGTGATGGGCAAGGGGAAGGGGAGCAATGACGCCTGTTTGTCATTTGTTTTGTTGGCAAAGGGGGACAGATGTGGAGTACCTCTGTTGTTGGCGAAGGTCCGGCCTGGATGAGGCTTACATTGTCTCGACAATCATAGAAGGATAAAGGGGCAGTCGTGCATGCCTCCTTGTATTTAATTCCTTTCACCATTGTCGACTACATGAACGAGGTCCGTGGTTTCCTTTGTTCTAAGGGATGGATGAAATGATACACGCACGCTCGATCGATGCACTCTTTGACTCCTTTCTTTCTCGTTGCTGACATGAGATCGCTGTTCGAGTTGGTCGTTGGGCAATTTATCCCCCCTTACTTCAGTTTTGCATTTTGCCGCGTGCACCAAGTTTCTTGATTGTCAGAGTTGGGCATATAGTGCGCAGGCCTTTTCTCCCTCCAATCCAGTGCCTGTGCCTGTACTTCGCCGTCCACCGATCATAGTTCAAACTTTTATTTGTCGTAGTTAGCTTTAGCGCATAATTTTAAAGGCAATTGGTATTTTGCGCGCTTGATCCCTCTTCATGTGCAAGTAGGCCAAATGAGTCTCGTGGATCTTTCTCTCATTTTGCGCAAAGGCGACGAAAAGAGATCGAGGGAGGGAAAGAGTGTAGAGCGGCCCCAATCGTGATAATTATGGGCACTGACACCAAAGCAGCCAGCTTGTTAGTTATTTTTTGTTTGTCCAAAAGCTCTTGCGCCATACCTCATGGGCTTTGTTTTGTTTTTTGTTCTGTCTCGGGCATAGTTTCAGCTTTGACAGGTGCAAATGATTGAGAAACCTTGCGATGGGATGGAAGGAATGTCTAGCGTTGAAAGTGTGGTAAACAGAGAAAAACTATGTAGAATTGCGCCCACGTCAGACCTAGGCGTAAACACGAACTGCTTTTTCTATTCAGCAACAACATTAATAAAAACAGGGTCGCTCCTTTTGCATAAAATGACGGCTGATGGCACGCTGGTGCAATGCGAGTGTGGAGGATGGCTGTCTGTCGAGTACCTTTAACCCTGTACACTGTAGAGTACATGCGTGTCTAGTTTGTTGTTTTTCGACTTTTTGGATTGAGTTCATGGACGAAAAATAACCAACAGAAACAAAAAAGCGAATGGGAGGGCAGGACGAGTAAAGAAGTGGAGGTACAGGGACCAAGGTACCTTATTCACTTTCTCCTGTTTCCTCCATTCATTCAATTCACGATGCTCAATTTCTTTGTATTTTCTCTCCCTGTTGCCTCTCTGCCTGCATGTCATGCGCCTTTTAACTCTCTACAAATTGTTTATTTGGTTGCTCGCCGCAGCCCAACCATGCGACCATTTTATCCTTCTCTGTCTACTCTCCCTAGGGCTCTTGTCTGCCTTCCCACACGTTAAACCTCAGAGCCAAATGGCGTTGTTTTGTCGGGTCGGCTGGACAGAGAAATAGCAACGCAACCCTGGAGTCTCTTTGCTGGTTTGCTGGAATGGGCGTGTGCATGGCGACCGTCTCCAATCTGTTTCTCCTTCCTTCATCTTCTTTCCTCCTTTCGTCCTTCAGCGTGTTAATGACCTTGGAGAAGCAGTTAAAGTGTTCTGCTGGTATACTTTCCGGGGTAACAATTAGATTACTCATTAACGCGAAAAATCGAGTAAGTAGTAAGGCACAGCATCACATTCTTCACACACGCGCACACACACATGCCAGGTGCAATATTGGAACTACCCAACTTAAGCCCCCCCTATCACCCTTTTTCAACACTTCGTGTTTCTCTATCACGGTGTTTTGTTGGTATGAAAGGTATCTATCACAACTCATAGTCAAGACAACGGCACTAGTGCCTTGGATGCTAAATTGGATGGTTCACAATAATGGAGTGTGAGAGCAAGGAGTGCGCACGAGCATGAGCCCCCAGGTCGTGAAACTGGTATTTTTTTTAGATGCATTGCGCCAACGAGGAGATTGTGCATGAAGGAAGTTGCCAACTTGGAGCACAAGTCTAATTGTTACAAAGGGAGAACGAAGAAGAAGAGTACAGGACGTAAACTTGCGGATCCGTCGACTCTTGATATCACAGGCCAAGATAAAGACCGGTTCTGTGTGAAGAATGAGGTCGACAAGCAGGGTTTGTAAGGTGATATGTACGTACAAGGAAAGTTTAGAGGCCTCCCCATTCACCGACATCGTGAAAAGTAAGGGGGAGGTCAATGCAAGTACATCTCAAAATTGGAGGATGCATACTATCGGCATCTCGAAAGCGAACACAGCATAAATGTGCGAGAGAGGGAGAGACAATGATTAAATGGCAGCCCCAGGATCCAGCGTGTTCTTTCATGTGAGTAGCAGACGGCTTGGTTCCAAGGTATAGAAGGTCTTTCACCGTTTTTTCTGTCGCCATTTTAACATGCGCATTGTAACAGAGTTCAACTGGTTGTTTGTGCCGGGCACATTGATCAAAGGTGGACCAGCCACTTGTTCAAAGGAATGAAACAGCAAATACAAAGAAGGATAGCGTAAAAGCGATGAAACGAACGCGACGAACTAGGCCGAAGTATTGCACTCGGTTGCTTATATTTTTCCTATCCCATTCTCTACTCATTTACAGTTCGCCCTTCGAGCCCAGCCCTCTTGCCGATCAAAACGCCACTAATTCTTTTCGTCCAATTGTTTTGCGGCCATATTTTCTTGCAAAAATCAAACATGCTGGCGGCTTAATGTAACAACCATAATCTCACGGTTTTCGTCCTGTGCACCGTGAGTGACAAGGAAGATTTCCATGGCCCTGCCTCGACTTTTTTTTCTCGCCGCACAGGATTGTATTTTTTTCGTGGTCACTGCAAGTTAAGCCTGTCACCTCATCAATGCTGCCAACCTGAGTAGACGACACAAATATTCAGAACACAACATGAACGCGTTTGTTCTTGTTGCTGTCACAAAAAGTTTGTTAATGACATGCTGAAAGTGAAGAGACGTTTTGGTGTCTGGATATGCCGTATCGAATGATCGATGTTACCTCCTTTTTTTCTGTCCCTCTTTTGACATCACAGTTCGACTACTGGGACCCGAATGTCGAGGTGGAGAATTGGCTTGAATAAATAGAAAAATAATGGGCATTTGAGCTACATCGTCCAGTCCATTGAGAACGATGCAGTCTCTTGTGATTTCTGGCGCCATGTATGGGGGCGTGCCCATATATCCCCTATAGCCATCCGAAACAAAAGTCTGGTTAGGTCGTGCATGCGATTGACAACTCTACACAACCCAAAGTTCCTTAAACACATGTCAGAGTGGGGTTATATTGGGTACTTACTTCAATTACCGCCTCTTGTTAACCCAGCAAGCCACTCTGAGATACAACAGGGTCATTTTCACAGCCATATTCTTCCTACATGCTGCGGGTTTGTTGAAGACTTGTTCATTTTTCTGGATATTGGTTACGATGGCTGGGCGATATCGAATTCCTGACATAGCTGAACTCCTTCTCCGAGGTTGCATATCATTCTTTTTCGATGTGGGATCGACCGAATCTGCGCGTAGCTGAATTGAACTACCAAGCAGACCGGACACGGATTCATTGCGTACTAATAGTCATGTATATTTTTTGTTTCCGCACACATTGCATTCACCAATGTAGGACACAGTTTGTATGTCATATTGAGACCGGGGTTTGTGTTGCTTTTCTATTAGACAATGGCAGTGCGCTGGAGTCGAGTTGTAGTAAACTCTCAGATATAGTTGTGATTGTCGAGGATATTTTTGTTTGGAGATTGAGCTACGGCGACCGATTTGACTTGTGAAAATCGAGATGGATGTTCCCATTAAACATCTCGACACTTTCAATTCGAGGCGATCCCAAAGCCCGATAAGCAACAACCTACCGTTCAATCAACTCGAACGTCATCCTCGCGGATTCATCCGGCTGGAACGCCCTTGGTGTCGTTGGGGTTTCAGGCCAGATAAGTCGATATTTGTGATGTTCATTTGAGTAGAGGTCTGAGGTGCGATCTTTTCAAGCTTAAACTTTTCTGTCGAAGAAGATCGATTTTGTTTGTCCAGCTTTGAGCGCGATGGATGGAGAAGAGCCGATGGGTTTTGCTTACGAATTAATTGGAGCGTGGAGGTGTTGCATTTCGATAGTCGATAGCTATTGTCTTTGTTTTGTTAAGCGCCAATGATTAAGTCTCGGCCACAGGACGAATGGTGGAAGCTGAAATGGTGATGATGGCCCTTGAAACGAACGACAAACAAATAATAAAGGCAGGCGGTTATGAAATTATGAATGCTGGCGATGACCATGACATCGATTATATAAGATAGAAGACGCGATATGATTAGATGTACAAGTCGAGGGAGGATTGGGATGCTTGATGCAAAGGCAGACTGCCAGACAATTGCAGAATAGACATCTTGACCGGTCGACGAGCTTTAGACAGTAAATGTAGATGCATGCGGTATTAATTTTTGTTCCAAGGATCCTCACGACTATGTGCTATTACGGCAACCTTTCCATATCTTTACAGAGAACCGTCTCAGTCGCAACTCGCATCATTGGCCTCGCATGAACTTTTTTTTTTGCGCTCGACGACCATCACTGCGCGTCGAGGTCAGTCTTGTAGTGCTCATTATTGAGTTCAGAGAATGCATCCGTTGGGACCGAAACAGTTATTCTGAAGCGTTGACGCCTTTTGTTCTTCGGGTTGTGAGGGCGATGCGAATGGGCAATGGATGCAGTTGGTAGTAACAGAAAGCGAAAACGGATAAAAAAACACAGGTGGGAAAAGGAGCTCCAGGTCGGATGGTTGATGGATTAAAAAACAACAACCACAGACCGAATGACCGATGGGTACCGTTAGCCATCACTTAGTTGGCAGCATCAATTTCGCCTTGTTGACTTCTTGTTTCCTGTAGAGGAAGAATACAGAGAGACGCGCACAAGAAGACGCGAAGAGACACAGTCAAACAGTCGCCTACGTATTTGGTTATTGCCCGAGGCGTCCGAGACGAAACCAAACTGACTTGCAAAAAACAAACAATCAAATGGGCATTGGCCGTGTGATTTTTTTCCGCATGCATGCACGCCACTAACCAATGGCATCCGACCAGTCACGCAACCAACCCTTGCGCATTATTTTTTTTTCTTGATGGTGACCCCTCTCCGTCCGTCCACTCACGTAGCCTCTTTTACTCTTCTCTCCCTTTTTTTGTTACACGCATCTCTTACCACACACACCGGAACAAGCAAGTAAGCATGTCACCAACACTTTACAGATTCATCGCCGCAGAAGGACTCATCCACCTTCTAGACCGCACAACCATCAACGTCACCTCCCACATTGCAACATCAGCAGCCCCCCAGCACCTAGAAGTCCACACAGTCCACGGGACAAACCTAACCCTCAACGGCACCGCTCCAGTTGTCTCCGACTATGCCACCAAAGAGATCACGTCCTTTGACCATATGATCGTCGACTTTGACGAGACGATCACGGATCATGATACGACGTCTTCGTTGGATACGTTGGCGTGTAGTGTTCGGCCGGGGACGAATTATCAGGAACCGCAGATGAGCTGGGATGAGATCCTGCAGGCTTATTTAGACGATTTAGAGAAGGTTGATATTAGTGATTTGTGTCACTTGAACCGACCTCTGGACTTTTCTTCTGCCCAAGGGAGTTCTTGTCAAGCACCGACTGTGGAGGTCTTGTCACCACATGGACAGGAGCAGGAAGGCGGTGGTCAACTCCACCACCCACAACCCAAATCCAACTCCCCACCACTTCAATCCACCACCACTATCACAACCAAACCAAAACACACAATCCAACCACCCAGCAAACAACACCATCTCCTCGACCCCAAAGTCCGCGAGCTTCAATGCCACATCGACGGACGAACCTTCACTCCAGAACCGGAGCTCCCTATCCCCAAGATCCCCTCCTTACAACCCTGGGTCCATTCTCAAGTCCGCAAACGAGCTGTCGAGAAGATCTCCTTAGACAGAGTCTACGAGAGCGGGAACCTTGTGGGGTTAACACGGAGCCAGATTCGACAGTTTGGGCGGGAGCATATCAAGTTGCGGCCGGGGATGGTTGCTTTTCTGAGAGCGTTTGTTCAAGAGCAGGATCGACTGGAGAAGGAGGCACAGGATAAGGAGTTGCAAGCTGGAGCGATAGGAGGAAACGAGGGATCGGGGTCTGGAAAGGCGGCACCATCAAAATATGCAAGAGGACAGCTATGGATCCTGTCGGTCAATTGGAGTCAGGATTTGATCCGTGGAGCCATGGACCAGGTCTTTGGTAGCGAGGAGGCTACTTCAAGGTATCTCCCCGACTCGAATCTGATTTGTTCGAACCTCGAGTACGCGGAAGAGGGACACGAGACCCTCACCCGGCGACGGAAATCCGACGCCACCACGACTGGAACTATGGTGAACGGTAGAAACAACAGCAGCAACAATGACAGTGGGAACAAACAAGGCGGCGAGAATCCATGCGTCCACCACTCAAGCGGCAAAGTCGATGCCAGCATCCTGACTGGGACAGACAAGTTGCATGAATTCAGGGATATCCAACGACGCTATGCGATGCACCATGACCTTGCACCCTCAGAGACCAAATGGGCGTACTTTGGTGATTCGACTACTGACCTTGGATGCCTGGGTAAGTTTTCTCTCTTTCCTTGTACTTCTTCACCCTCACGTTTGGACATATGTGACCTGCATGCACATTTTTTCTTGCGTTTGTGACTCTTTTGTCTCGTAAAGTTTTCTCACGCTCGCCTGCCCAATTTTGCTTTTGTGGTGGGTCTCCTCTTTTTACTCCTTTTTTCTATGCGCTGCTAACCATGATATCACACCATCCCGTTTGCTTTGTTTGTTTGCTCTTTAAACAAAATAGTCGAGGCGGATATAGGCATCATCATTGGAAAGAGCAAGTCCCTCTTGAGTGAGTGCGAGCGATCTGGTATCCAGGTTGTAGATCTCATCGAGCGCAAGCAGTCAGCCTAAGGACTGGTGTGCCTCATCCCAACGATAAAATAACCACCATCAACACACTGGTACTGTTTGTTTTGTCTATCAGGTTTATTCGTAGCAACTACAAATCTTTAAAAAAATTCTCCAAACGGAAGACGCTTCCTTCAGTGGAGATGAGGGGTAGGGAGGGGTGGGGGTCGAGTAATGAATAAGGTTATTTACAGCTTCTTGGTCAACTCAGGGACGGCGGTGAAGAGATCGGCAACGAGGCCATAGTCGGCGACCTGGAAGATGGGAGCCTCAGGATCCTTGTTGATGGCGACAATGGTCTTGGAGTCCTTCATACCGGCCAAATGCTGAATGGCTCCGGAGATACCCACGGCGACATAGCTGATTGGGGCGAAGGAGGAAAATAATAAATTTTGTGTTAACGGGCCGTTACTTTTTTCAGAGCGTATGAGAGAGAAACAGTATGCACAGAACAAGGAAAAGATCAATAACGAAACAGTTGGAGGTGATGGAGGAGTGAAAGCGTCGTTGTTGACTTACAGCTCGGGGGCAACGATCTTTCCGGTCTGACCGATCTGGAGCGAGTTGTCGACGTATCCAGCATCGACGGCAGCACGGGAAGCACCAACTAGTTCAAGTAAGTACAAGAAACCGTGATCACAGATGAGTTAGTGCACTGGGTCGTGGGTACCTGAAAGTAACAAGCGAATAAATAATGCTCACGAAGAGTAGCATTAGCGTCCTGATGCTTACCGGCGGCGCCAATCTTGTCGGCCATCTCGTACAAGAGACCAAAGTTCTCGCCGTTCTTCATGCCACGGCCTCCAGCAATGACACGGGTGGCAGAGTCGAGCTCAGGGCGATCCGACTTTTGCATGTGCTCACTGACAAACTCGCTCTGGTCCTTCTGGCCAACAGCGGGGGCATCCTCGTGAGGGGCAGCAGCATCCTGGTGACCGGCGGCAGGGAAGGCAGTTCCACGGACAGTAATGACCTTGATGCTGTCGTTCGACTTGACGGTGGCAATTGCGTTACCTAGAGAAAAGTATTTGTCGAGAAAGCCATTTAGTGAATTGTTCAGGTACAGACTGGGTGGGGTTAACATTTTCACGCCACTAGTACCTTGCGCCTACAAAAAAAGATTAGTCACTCCACAAAATCATCATCTTTCTGGTTAGCCAGCTAAAGTTATGCCTACTCTCTATCCTAACTCCTTACCAGCGTAGATGGGGCGAACAAAGGTGTCGGCACCCTCGATGCCAGTGATGTCAGAGATCTGGGCAACGTCCAAGAGGGCCGCAGCACGGGGGAGGATGTTCTTGCCAAAGGCAGAGTGGGCAGCAATCAAGTGGGTGAATCCATGCTTCTTCTGGGTCTCGACGAGGAGCGAGGCGTGGGACTCGGGGAGGGTGTGGGCAAAGACAGCATCCTTGGCAACGAGGACCTTGCTGACACCAGCGAGCTTGGAGACCTCAGCAACAACAGAGTCGGGGGCACTACCGGCAACGAGGGCAGTGACGGAACCACCCAAGCCAGAGGCGGCAGTGAGGGCGTTCAAGGTGGACGCAGCGATCTTGTTGTCCTTGTGCTCGACCAACAACAAAGCCGAGACGTTTCCGCTGGAGGCGTAACCGCGGGCCTGATTTGTTGTATTGGTTGAGGTAGAGAGAAAGAGAGGAGGGGTCGGTTATAATCAGGTTCAGGTACCAAATTGTGTCCATTGATCGTTTTTTTGTTCCTGTTTCACGGGTTGATTTAGCGCGTCGAGAGTGTGAGAAGGTGTGAAAAAGTAGGAAGTACTGTATCGGGGGTGTGGTTGATGTTGAGTGTGTGTTATGTTGTCTTTACCAGGGACATGGTGGGAAGAGCAGCGCGACGGAGGGCGAACATGTTTGGAATGTGAGTGATTGGAGGTGAAGAGTGGGGAGCGGGTGATGAAGTAAAAGGATGAAAAAAGAGTAGAGATTCGATGTCAAAAGGAGGATCCGTGGGTGCGGGGTCAAAAGAAGAGGGTAGGGAATTGAAGGGACGAAGTTAGCTAGCCGCACGTGATTCTTTGCATGGAAATATCGGCGGATCGCGAAATGACGCACTAGAGAATGCAAGGAAGTAAAGCATTTAAGGTACTAAGAGAACGAAACTCTTTTTTACTGCCCCTCTTTGGCACCAAGACATCTCTTTTCGTTCATCACTTACATACACACTCATACGCGGTTCTCATCAGCCGCCTCAACTCGCCTTTACACCTTCACACCAACGTTTATATACACACACAAACAAATAAATTGCGTCAAACACAACAACACCATGATAGTCCCCTCCAGTTACCCTGGTAAAGAATAAGAAAAAGAAGAACACAAGGAACCTTAAGTCACTTTTACGGTGTTTCGCCATCAGAGAACGAATGACCAAAGAGCAACAAAACACATACACACACAATAACAACACCAACAAGCAGGCAACATACTCATCGCTACTTCTCCCCTTCTACTCAACCTGCACCCCTGCACACTTTCTTCATAATTCCATTCCCTTGTCAATTCAACTGCACATAGCCCAAGGCGTCCTGTACTTTCTCGGACATCCGTCGCTGATAACCAGTCTAATATGCCCCATCATCCTGACGATGATATGGGCCCTTGCCGCCACTATCTTTGGATTCGCCTTCCTCCTCAAGACGCAAGCACATGCGCTTATCAGGGCCAATTGTCCAGCCGGACTCGCTTGGTAAGAATGCCAACACATCCAAACGCATCTCAAATGTCCATGCTTGATGGACGTTCTGTCATTATCCTGCTCCTCATGTTATTCCGTTAATTGAATGCGCCTTGCCAATGAGACCTGCCAACCGACCAATCAAAACACAACGCTTCCTTTGCTCCACCTTTGGAAGGGAACGGTGTGTACCCTGTCAGTACCTGTCAATTGTTGCAACCCCTATCTGGAAAAGATACGCGACCTGGGGCCCCCATATTTATTTTACTTTTTTTTATGCTCTTTTGGTGGCCAAATGGAGCAGTCCCGGTGTCTGTGCGCCCCCCTTCCCTCACTCTCTGTTTGATTCTCATTTCTTACTCAGTCTCGATTCTTGCACCACGCTAGCGGGGATAAAAATACTGTGTCATACACAATGCTTCGTCGCTTGTCACACCACACCCATCCACCCGCCTCTTCTCTTATTTCTTGCTCTCTTTACCTCGCTCTTCTCCACTCTTTTTTTGATTATTCATATACGAATCAATGGATGCTCACCAGCTCAATTCTCTTCTATTCCCTGTTTCTGTCCAATTGTACTTCTTGTGTGATATCACTCATGGCATTGTCAATGCTACCTTGCCTTGGCGGGAGAAAGGTTCGTCAGCGTCATTTTCGTACTCCTGGAAATCGCCGTTATGATCGTGCTCTTCTACTTGATCATCCTCCCCATCTATCAGGACGGACTCTTTGACCGGGTCCTCAAACTCCGGGGCTTGAGACATGTCCTCGAAGCCAGTCGAGGCAACGATGTCGCCAAATGTATGCGCGGTGTCAACGGTGGTCTCTTCATCCTCTTCTGTCAAGTACGCTCCTCTTCTTGGCATTTACGTTTTGCGTCCTTGCGCTTTTTTTGTTTGCGTGTTTGTTGTTTATCTGTTTTTATCCTTCATTTCATAAATCACTCCACATGATGATCCAATATGGTGCTAATGGATGCTTGTCCTCTTTGAAATAATAGATCATTGTATTGATATTGACGCTGCCGCTTAACCTGATCCCTATCCTCGGGCAGATCCTGTATGCGACCATTAACGGATGGATCTTGACCTTCGGCATCCGCTTCCATTACGACGCCGAGATCCGCAATATGCCCGTCTCCCAATCAAGACGTGAAGCCTGGGCACGTAAATCCGAGTATACAAGGTAATAATACCATTCATACAAAGATAATGAATGGCAATTGAAGCCGTGGATGATCTTTGTGATTCGGCTCACTTTTGTCTCTTTCCTTTTTTTTTAACTCTCTCTTGCCTTCAATTTCGCTGAAACTATGCATATACTGTTTGCTGACTTTCTCTATCCATTTTCCCATTCTATCTCCACTTTTATTCTCTCTTACTCACGTCCACCCTCGTTTCTCTCTCTTCCTCTCTCCATTGTGCATTTTATCTGCCTGTCTGTCGAATGTCTTTCCTACCCATTTGTGTCGTTCCCGAAAAAAAATCTAACTACCCGCTCACTACTCTCCCTTTCACATTATTAATAATTCATATATGTTGGCTGTGTGCGGCGTTGTTTTACGTTTGTGTGGTGTTACTCTGATTATGTGAACATCCGAAACAACGAAAAAACAACAGTTTTGGCGCAGTGGCGGTTGGACTTGAGATGATCCCGTTCGCCAACTTGTTGTTTATGTGGACCAACATTGTGGGATGTGCGTTGTGGGTCGCGGATGAGATTGAAAAGGAGGAACGACGTCAACAACAGATCGCGCTACAACTAGAGCAACAGCAGCAACAACAACAGCAAGAGCAGCAACAACTACTAAAACAACAACAACAACAACAACAACAACAACAACAACAACAACAACAACAACAATTACAGGGAGGTGGGGGAGCTCGTAGTCTTAGCGTTGTGTCGATGCCAGAATCCGAGGGGAGCTTTTCTCCGCCCACGACGACGGCTCTGCTGGGATCGAATCACCACCACCAGCAAGTGCAATACCAGCACCAGGCGCAAAAGGGCTTGTCGATGATGCCTGCTCACCGAAAGTAGAATGTTAACAAATAGAATGGATGTCAGGATGCATAAGGAGAAAAAGAAAGAAAGGGTTCTTTCCTTGTACCTGTTCCTGACAACAATAAAAGACAACACATAAAATGGACAATTAAAACAAAAAATATGGTATCTTAAGATCCTCCCATCCTATGCTTTCTCCAATTGAACGTAAAAACCCTGTTGTGTTGCGTCGCCTCCCATTCTCATGTACAAATGATTTCATAGAACTCTCTTCCTCCTCCCATTCCTTTTTTTTCTCCCTCTTGCAGCGTTTGTTCTCCGTCCCTGTTTGTTTTGTGGAAAAGAGGAACAAAAGAAAGGAAAAGAGATCAACCTTCACACTATTTATTTTTAGGGCTCCCTTTTGATGTTGCCGTTCCTTTCTGTCCATTATTTTCCTTTGGGCGGAGCCAAACAAACAACGACAGAAATTGAAATTTTTGAAGCCGTTGTCCCCGACAATGGGACAAAGGGAAGGACGAACGTCACATTGGAGGTGCTGCTGTTATTGTTTGTAAAGGAATATGGATGAATGTATCTACTAAGACAGAAAAAAAAAAAAAAAAAAAAAGGAGAACAAAGGATTGGATTGGATTGGATTGGATTGGATTGGATGTTCTTTGAAAAGATGGTTGGGAGGATGATGATGGGCGGAGAAAAACGTTCAGGCGAAGAGAGAGGGAGGGTTGATGAGGGAAGGATGCTGGTTTGTTGATTGTTGTTGGTCATGGTTTGTATTTCTCCTCCTCCTCCTCGGGAAACGAACGCAATCAAAGGAGGAGGGGTAGAAGAGGAGGGACAAGGAGGGAGGAAATCAGCGGAGCATGAGCAATTTTTGTAGGTCCATGTGTTGCCATGCCCAACGGATCACCCCTCTCTTATTTTCTTGGGGCGGGAGGCTAGAAAACAATGACATCCAACAAAAGACAAAGAAGCAGGTGTGTGGTTGTTGCACATGGACACATCTCACACTTACCCTTTCACTTGATAACCAGGAAATGGGCGGATGAATGACGAGCAATAATGAAGAGAGCAAGGGCACATGTGCAACCATGAACAAAAGGGAGGCGACAATAGCAACGATGGAAGAAGGAAGGAAGCCTCTCTTGTTCATTTTTTGTCCCAATGCTTGCGGTTGCCTTTGTTATTTCACTTTAGTGCGTTCAGCAAACATCAAACAACAAACAACACACAACAGAATAACAACGGAGGTGACAGCAAGGCAGTACCATTGACATTTTTGATAATTATTGTTGTTGTTATTTGTTGTTGTGTTGTTTCTCAATTCTTTCAAGGGAAACAAACAACATAGAATGCAGCAAAAAAAGAAGGTAGATTTTGGCATGCGATGCGCGATACGAAATGCGATGCGATTATTTTGGCAGAGTGGCGAATCCAACAGTCAGGCAACGGGTGGTGGTGTTAGTTCAAGCAAACCCCTTTTGTTGTTTAGCTTCCTTTGATTCCCTTTGTTTCCCTTTTGTTGATTCTTATCCTCTGTTGTTTCCTATCTTTCCTTTGTCCCCACCTACACACCCACCTTCGCGTCTTTTTTTTTTTTTTTTTTTTTTTTTCTTTCTTTCTGTGTGCGAAATAATAATAAAATGACACGAGTCCCTTATCCTTTGCACCCATCAAAAGGCAAGCCGAGGGAAAGAATGGAAAAAATAGAAAATAGAAAAGGGATGATTGAAATTGAATTAGAATATCAATGATGAGTGATGTTGAAGATGATGATGACGACGAAATGGAAATTGGATTTTTTTCTTTCTCTCTTTCCTTTTCCTTCCTTTTCCTCTTTGTGTTTCCTGTTGTCTCTTTGTTGTTTCTTGTTATTATCCCTTTGTTATTGTTGTTATTGTTGTTGTTGATTGATTAACTGATTTTTGATTATCCTTTCCCTTTCTCTTTCTCTTTCCCTTTCCTGTTCCCTTTCTCCCTTTCTCCCTTCCCTTCCCTTCCCTTCTTCCTTTGACTTCTTTCTTTCCTCCCTTTCCGTCATCCGCTCCTCTTCATCCTCCCTTTCTTTCCTTCTTTCCTTCTTTCCTTTTCCTTCTCTTCCTATTTCAAATTTATTCCTTCTATTCTCCCTTCCTTCCTTCAAATCTTTATTCCCACCTCCACCCCCCCATCTCGTCCTTATCCCCCAACCACCTCCCTTCCCTCACCTTCACTGCACTCACTCACCTACCCCTCTTCCTTCCATCGTCCCCTCGTGGAATCGCTCTTCCCCTTCCTTCCTTCCTCCCCTCTGCTCTATTTTTTCCCCCCTCTCTCCCTTCTCTTTCCTTCCTTCCTTCCTTCCTTCCTTCCCTGGCCCTTGCCCTCGACCGTTATTGTTATTATCTTCTCTTCACTCCCTTCCCTCCTTGCCCTTTCCACCCATTACATTCACCACACCTCACTCGCATTCGCTTCTTGCCTCAACTACTATTGTTGCTATCCCCTCTGTCCACTCTCACTCACGCACTCCTCACTCCTCACTCACACACCGCCACCGCACCTATTACACCCACTGCGCCAAACCACCTGCACTCCACCCTTTAACTCCAAAAGGGTCATTTCATTCGCTCGCCATGTCAACGGCCACCAACTCGCCCAAGGTACAACCCTGCAACCCCCCTCTTTTTCTCTTCTCCTTTCCCTTATCAACAAACAACAGCTCCCCAACGCTTCTCTTGCTCCCTTGCTCACATTGCACCCACCCCATTCACTCTCTCAGCCAGATCCTGCATTCGTTTCATTCCTCTCGTCAGCATATGCAAAAAGAAACCTGATGTTATTACTATGCCTATCCCACTACATTTATCAGAACTTGTTTTTTGTTTTCGTAATTGCATATCGCGATGAGGATATGCATTGACAAACTATTTTCTGTCTATCCTTTTGTGTCCTCCTTCCTCAAATCCACATATCCCATTACGCTGATTTCAATTGACATAGGGCAAAAACTCCACCGCCCCCTCTGCAACCACCACCACAAACAACAACACCCCATCTACAGGAAATGGCTCTAATGCAGCCGACACCACTTCCGGCAAAGCCAACACCCAGGCCGCCACGGCCGATGGTAACCGACCCTCACCCGATTTTGCGTATCCGTGCAATTGACGCCACACCGTTTCCCTTGCTCCAAGAGACGCGTCGTTTGATTTATTAACCCTTTGATTTTTGTTCACTTTGAATGACTATTTTTTCTTATTAGACATCAAATACAAGCGCAAGTACAAGGACTTGAAGAAACGGATAAGAGACATTGAAGATGTAAGTATCATACCCCTTTGCTATTATTATTATCATTTGAAATGTCATTTCCCTTTTTTTTTCTTTTTTTTCTTTTTTCTTTTTTCTTTTTTCTTTTTCTTTTTTCTTTTTTCTTTTTCCTTTTTTTGGTTACGTCTCATCCACATCTTTTTTTTGTTGCCCACAATCGATTTGTTCAACAACTCGTCAGAGTGCGGAGAGGCAATTGTTCAAAAAGGAAAAAGGAAAGGAAAGAACAAAGAAAAGAAAGGAAAGAAATATTTCAATGAACAAAATGGGGAGCAATTACAAAAGGGAATCAAAGGAAGGAGAAGAACGAAAGGAAGGAAACGTGGTGCTAAGGCGAATGACATGATACATCCGAAAACTCAAAAGCAGACAATGGGAAGACTTACAAATAAGAGAGCTGCTGCGTTGCCTTTTTTCATACCCTGTGCACAATGTGCATGAACCAGGCAGGTATCACACATGTTTGTATGATGGACAGTGTGGGTGTGGCCATGGATGTGTAAGTGGATGTGGATGTGGGTGTGGGTAAGGATGGCGCTTTGGTCTTGCTTGATGCAGGAGAAGAGAGAGTTGTTCCCTTTGGATTATTCGAATAGCAGGTCAGGCGAAAAAAAGGGTAGAGTCGACCATGCGTGTTCACTTTTTCAGTTGTTTACTGCCGTCCTTTTCTTTCCTTTCCTTTCCTTTATCGTTTGTCATGTCATCAATGAAAAAAAGGACGCACAACAAGAAAATAAAAAAGGAGAGCAGAAAACAAGGAAAAGAGACAGTAGACAAACACAAGGAACTGTTTTCGATTTTCAGTTCATGCGCTCATTTTCGCCTCGTTTTTCATCTTTTGAGCCGGGATGAGGGGATGGGGTCAGGCCATCCGTTTTCTATGCCCCCATCATTCATAACGGAGCATGGTTTTTATACATAAATCCCCTGCATGTGCCAGTTGCAAACAAACAACCCGACTGACTATTTTATATATTTTTCATTCATTCATTTTTGATGATGATATGGTAGGACAATGATGTACTCAACATTAAATTGAGCCGTGCCCGAAAGAACATTCACCGCCTGAGAGTTGAGCGAAGGTAAACAGCTGAAGGAAATGAAAAACGCCAACAATGGACAAGCCATTGCTCTCCTCTGCTTTGCCTTGCCTTGCGTTCTTGTCTCTCTCTCTATTCATTTGAACCTCCGGTCAAAGGGAACACTCATTCACCCTTACTAACTCACTTTGTATCTTTGAACTGTGCATGTCTCTTTCCAAACCTGACCCTTAAAATTTTTCATTGTTATCCTTCTTTCCGCACACACGTATCTCACACAGCTTTTTGTTCGACCGCCTGGATCAGACTGATCAGACTGGACACCCTTCACCTTCGTCCTCCTCCACCTCCGACTCGGACACGGATAACGACAGAAACGGCGGAGGTTCCCGTCCTCACCGTCACCTCAACCGCCACAAACACCACCGTCACCCTTACTCCTCATCAACCTCTCACCACCACAGCCGCCAGACATCATCCCACTCCCTCGCTCCGCCCTCCTCGTCTCATACCACTTCCAGGAACGCCGTTCGATCCAGAACACCACCCTCGCGTGGATCATCCGTCGCCGGATCAATCCACCACAGCGCTTCGTCCTCCCTCGGAGGCAATCTAGACCCATCCCAGTCTGTGCATCTCTCGCCTCCGGGAAAGAAGGCGGTCAAGAAAAGACGTAAGGATCCCCTTGCTCCCAAGCGTCCCTCCAATGCCTTCTTCATCTTTTCACAGCAGCATCGGCAGCAGGCGAGGGAGGAGAAAAAGGAAGGAAACCAGAGCGAACTCACCAAATTCTTGGGACTGCAATGGAAGTCAATGCCCACAACCGAGAAAAAGGTATATTCTACGCTCAAAAACGGAGTCTTGGCATTACTATTACAATTCGTTTCCATTAATTGAATTGTGTAACGCCGAAATCAACGACTTTCTTTTGTATATCGATACCGCTATGGGCGAAGCACGACCAACTGGATATGGACTCGACATACTTTGGCAGGCGACTTCTGGATCGCTTTGGATATGTTCGATTGTAGGACACAGTGCAGCAACCGTGGACACCGATGTGGATTCGACGCACCTTGGACTTTACCACACTTCCACTCTCATTCAGCTTTTCTACAGTGGAATCAAAGGCACTCATATTTCTCTTTACACCGTGTCAATTATTAGATTTACTCTGAGTTGGCAATTCAGGATAGACAGCGTTACCTGGATGAAATGTCGCAATACCAACACGAGAACAAACCTGCACAAGTGAGTTAGCAACACCGTGCGTCCTTCGCATTTGGAGGTTATTATACCATATTGATTGACATGAGCCTAATTTGCCACCAATTTTTCTTTAACTTGATAGAATGGACCGGATGACAGTACACCGACCAAGAAGAAGCCTGGCAAGCCAGGACGACCACCTAAGGCGGCCAAGGCAATGACGACTTTAGCATCTGCAACGACCAAAGCAACGTCAGGAACGAATGGCCCTTCGGCCAAGAGCAAGATGGGTATTCAGGCGATGGTGAATGATGACCAGGAAGGCGACGACTTGACTTCGCCCGATGAGGAAGACGATGTCCGCATGGATGGCTCCGAGGAGGATCACGAGGATGAGGATGATGATGACGATGAGGACGAAGAGCTCGAGCATGATAACGAGCCTGAGCATGAACAAGAAGAGGATGAAGAAGAAGAGGAGGAAGGTGAATCTCATGATGAGTTAGAGAATAGACATGAAGGCAAGACCAATGGCCATCATGTCGCCACCAATGGAGCAGGCCACGCGCATGTGGATGGAGGATATGGCGATGATGTGGATATGGTTGATGCTCATCGAGCCCACCCTGGTGCTTCACACAGCCTCGTCGTCAGCGCCTAATCTTTTCCTTGCGTTCTCGTTCTCTCTTTGTCTTTTTTTACACTTTGCTTTTTCTTTAATATCTCTTTACTTGTACAATTCGCTTTCCATTTCATTTCATTTCATTCACTCCACACATTTCACTTTCACTTCTGTTCTCTTTTGCCACCTTTCCCTCTTATTACTACTATTTGCTCACCCTTTCTCGAATAATAATAAAAACTCCTCAATTCCATAACGAAACCACCCCCCATCCAACCAAAGCAAAAGGAGAGGCCATCGTTTCGTTGTTCTGGGAATCTAGATTCCGGTTCCTCAAATTGTCGATCCAGTTGGAAACGAACGACCGGAGTGCGAGTTAGCTATGTAGAGAGTGGCGTTGAATAATAGAAACGAGATGGAAGAGTGGTGACGGGAGGAACAGGGAACAAGGGAGAAGGGCACAGACCAAGCAGACTCCGTCGTTCTCCGATCAGTTGGCGGCTTCTGGTTCGTCCAACTATCAAGTGTAACGGATATTCACGATCATGATAAGCTCTTTTTCTCCTTTTGGGTCAGATGGATGACTCGGTTGTGAGAGAAGAGAGTAGAAAAGGGAAAGAGAGATGGGGAAGGTCATCTGTTAGAAAGACGTGCTGTCCGAGAGCAATGGATGGTTGAGCGGTAAGGAGGAAGAGACGGCGAGGAGGAGATGAAAGTAAAGGTGGAGGTAGGATTGGTTGACTGAAGAAAAAGATGCAGGAAAGAGAGAAGAGAAGAATGAGCTAACGGGATTGAAAAGCAGAGAAGGAAGAAGAAAAATATGCAATGGATAAGCAACAATGACTGAGTATCAAAAAATGGGAAGAAAAAAGAAACAACTGAAAATGAAAAACGGCCGATTTGTTTTTTTTTCTTCATGAGTGGGGGACCGAAGAAGAACAAAAAGAAAAAAGAAGGATGACATCGATTGAAGTTTTTTTTTTTTGCAGTGCGATCGAACAGCAGCATCAGTACCCAAGGAAGGTTGTTGTCGTAATTAGCTAGCTTTGTGTCCCTCTCTCTCCCTCTGTCCTCTCTCCCTTCCCCTCAGAAGGTATGAACGAGTGTAATTTTGGATTTGAATAATTTCAAGTCCAGCGGGTAACCTTTTTTTCTTTGCTTCCTTTCGTTGGAAGAAGTGCTGTAGGACTCAGCCTGACATACAAAGACACATTACGACAAACCAGCCTCACTCTCTCCGTTCTGATCAGAAAGTAAAAAAAAGAACAAAAATAATCCGATCCCAGCTCAGGGCACATTTCTTGTCTCTGACTGGTATAAAAATGTGCGTTTTCGTTCATTTCCTCTCTTGTTTTTCTTTTTTCTTTTTTCTTTTTTCTTTTTTTCCTTTTTTTTCCTTTTCTCTCTCTTTTTTTCCTAACCCTTTCACACTCTTGCACTCTCGGCCATCCTACCTACTTTCCTTACCACACTCTTCATTCCATTCCACTCTCCCTCCACCACCTTTGCCAATCAAAAAGAGGCCCATTACCCTCCCTCTCCTCCTTCGCCCTTTTGCTCAAACGCAATTGACTGATTCGCCCACTTCGTTTTTCTTGTACTCCTCAGTCGAGCTGATCCGAATCAGATCATGTCCTCCTTCCCTAAGCACTCCTTCGAGCAGGCTTACGACCATGCCTTCCCTCCAAGCCCACCCAACGGCAACAACAATACCTCTGCTACCGGCTCAGAAGTACCATCAAGGGCAACCTCTCCATCACAGGCTTACAGCAATAGCAACTATAACACCAACTCCTTGGCGGCGAGTGGTCCAGGACTGTCGACTATCTCCGAACGGTCTCCTTTGATCACTAAGGCTCCCATCCAGAACCACCCTGGTTCCTATACCTCTATTAACAACAACAATGACGACGAAGGTGAATATCACCCTAGCAACAACCACCACAGCCACGGCACATCGGTCTCGTCGACCGACACCCTTCTCGAGCAAGGAAACAGCAGCTGTTCAGGCCAGTACATGTCGATTCATGACCTGACCGTACGAGAGTTTAAGATCTTGCTGCGGTACTCGGGGCCAGTCGTGCTCACTTACGTCCTCCAAAACTCGCTCCAGCTCGCCAGTTTGGTCTCTCTTGGTCATCTTGGATCCATTGGTAAGTCTCCTTGTTTTTCGTCGTATTTTCATTTCCGCCCTCCACTCCCATTTCGCTCTCATTGTAACAGCATGAAGAGGCAAAAGACGAGAACTCCGCTCCTTTGTCGTCCCATTCATACTTTTCTTACTCACAGGAAAGACACAGGACTCCAGTGTCTTTATTGGTCTACCATGCACACAAACCAAACCTTCTTCCCCAATGCATATCATTCAAGAGGTTCATCCTTTATTTTTATTGTGGTTGCATTCTTTGTACGTGTTGACTAAAAAGTGTGCGAACTAGGCAGTTGTTCTTCTTGCTTATTCTTTTTGCCTTTCCTCCTTGGCGCTTTTAATTCTCTTCATGTTTTTTTGCATGTGGACTGGCTCTTATCAATATGATAAGGCGGAGAGAGAAAACATATGGGAGGATAATGAATAGACGATGAAGGGGGGTTTAACACAGGGCAAGGAGGGAAAAAGGGGAAAGAAAGGGGATGGGTGGCACAAGCAACGAAACCAGATCCTCCTTTTTTGCGCTCTTTATTTTTTCTTGTTTGGTTGGACAGAGTTGTGTTGCATTCAGAAACAGCAATAAGGGTGAAGGGATCCATGCACGTTCAGGAGCAGGGAGGCGCATTCGTCATATTCGTCATCTAACAACAGAACACACATACTATATTTTATGTTAATATTATCCGGCAAACAGCCACAAACTGTCCTGTCATCACACTACGACACTACCACAATTGTTCAGGAAGTGCAAATAACAAGTCTACATGAAAGAGAGAGAGACGGAGAGACAAAAAAAGCAAAAAGAGAGAACGAGAAGGGGTTGAGTTGTGGGGGAAGGGAGGAAAAAAGATCGATTTGTCTCTCGTTCACGCGCGGAGAGTGAGGGATGGTAGGAAGGATGTGAAGAGAACAGGGAACACGGGCTGGGAAAGCAGGCTGGGCAGTAAAAAAGAAGTCGGCGTTGATTTTGATTACGATCGCACCAATCATGCCACAAACATGAACGGGGTTGAAAGACCCAGGTCGAAGGTCTGAACGGAGAAACAAAAAATACAAGAAAGAGTATGTGCATGGGCCATGCAGCTAAAAGATAGAGTCAAGGAAAAGAAGGAAAAAGCGCATCAAGGAAAAAAGAAGAAAGGAAAAGGTTGCGCTCATGCTCACATGCAATGGCCAACAAGATCTGTTCTGGGACAATACAAGATGGTATTCAAAAAGGGAACAGGGAAGGAAGGCCTGTGCTACTAACGTCATGTCATCTCAAACGGAGTGAAAGGCGATAAGGATTTCTTCAAAAGGGGAACAGCAATAGTGGATCCAATGGTCGAGTTGTGTCTGGACGCCCTTCTCATGCGATTGGCTTGAATCGATCGATCTGGACTGCCTACCAACTCCTTCCGTTTGCGCACTTTCTCACACTCTTGATTGTTGCACAAAATAGAATTGGCTGCCTCCTCTTTGGCCTCGATGTTCGCCGCTGTAACATGCTGGTCCGTCTCGCTCGGTACAGCTACGGCCCTGGATACCCTCTGTTCCCAGTCCTATACCAGCCATCATCCCCACACCCTCGGACTCCACCTCCAGCGTGCCATCCTTGTGCTGATGGTCCTCTTTGTCCCAATTGCCGGTGTCTGGCTTTCGTCCGAGTACATCTTTATGCTCTTGGGCCAGGAGCGAGCTCTTGCTCAGCATGCGGCGCTCTTCCTGCGCGGGCTCTTGCCTGGCGCACCCGCGTTTTTGATCTTTGAGTGTGTCAAGAAATACCTTCAGGCTCAAGGAAACATGCACGCCAGCACATATGTCCTCCTCATTGCCTCGCCCATCAATGTTTTCCTTAACTACACCCTCGTCTGGAACAAGTACATCGGTATGGGATACATCGGAGCACCACTTGCCACGTCGATCTCGTACTGGAACATGTTGATCCTTTTGTTGCTCTATATTCGCTTCATCGATGGATACCAGGGCTGGGGCGGCTGGAGCCGGGACTGCTTGACTGGATGGCCTGCATTCTTGAAGCTGGCGCTCCCCGGTGTGATGATGGTCTGCACCGAGTGGTGGGCTTTTGAGGTCGTCTCGTTGGCCGCCTCGTACCTCGGAACGGTTGCCCTGGCAGCACAGTCGATTGTTGTCCAAACATCCGGATTGTTGTACACTGTCCCCTTTGGTATCTCGATCGCTGCCTCGAATCGCGTTGGCAATCTGATTGGATTGGGCGATGCTCGTTCTGCCAAGGTCGCTGCCCGTGTCTCGATTGCGCTGTCGATCATCTTTGGCATGGTCAACTCGACCATGTTGATTGTCTTCAAGGACCGCTGGGGTCGTCTCTTCAGCGAGGATGCAGATGTTGTCAGCACTGTCGCCATGGTTTTGCCTTTGGTTGCGCTCTTCCAGATCAGCGATGGTCTTGCTGGTGTTGGCGGTGGAGTTCTCCGTGGTGTAGGATTACAACATCTCGGCGCTTACCTGAACGTGATTGCCTACTACCTGGTGGCTTTCCCTGTCGGATACCTCTTGGCGTTCAAGTTGCAGTGGGGTCTCAAGGGGTTGTGGTCGGCACTGTGTGTGGCCCTCTGGATGGTTGGATTGGGAGAGTTGTATGTGATCTTCAAAACAAACTGGAGGGCCGAGGTCGTCAAGTGCAAGGAGCGCAACGATATCCTTGCCAAGCGGGCCAGCGAAGAAGATGAGGAGTAAACCTTCCTTGTTCCTCTTTATTTTCACACACACCATGTACCATTCTCTTGCATTTTTTACTCATCCAACAACACCCAACACCATTTGCATCTTTTGTTCTTGTCCATATTTTTTTCACGCCAAAAGCACTCAAATAAAAACAAACAAATACCCACTCATTCATTGAATTGCACCCCCTATTGGATAACATATGTTCTTTTATGATTGTTCCCACACTCAAGCGGCGCGGTGTTCAATGCTGTACCTATGAAGGGGTAGTTTTCTCACATTGCTCACTGCCTTTTCTATTCCACGTTTGTTTTCTATGTTTGTTTATTATGCTTGTCTGCTTGTTTGTTTGTAATTTGATGGTGAGTGGGTTTTCTTGCTTTCCTTTTTTTTTTTTTTTTTTTTTTTTTGCATGATTCTAGTCGAAAATATGTTGTACACATGCTTGGCGCAAAAGAAGAGCGAAAAGATGAGCATCTTTTATCCACAGTGCAAAGAAAAAAAAAAAAGGAAAGATGTTTAATGCAGCGGCTGCCATTGGAAGGAAAAAGGTATATGCGGGGAGGTTTTTTTCTTTGTCATGGTCCTTTGCCCGATTCTCCCTTTGATAGGATTGAGGAGTCTATACGGTGGTCGCGTGTAAAGTATGGTGCATGATACATGGTTGAAGAAGGAGTGGGAGTAGGCGGGCAAAAATATACTTCCCTTGTGTTTTTTTTTTTCGTCCATGGTGTGGAATACGGGATGTATCTACGAGGAAGTGAAGAACCTTAATGGTAGGTCAACCCTCCGTGAAACTGGTTAGGATACTGTGAACTATAAGAAAGCTAATTAGCCGGTGCCTTCTATCTCTCTCGCGTCTATTTCTATTTCTCTTTCTCTCCTTTCTTCACTTTTTTGTCTTGTTCAAGGGATAAGAAAACACAGCAAGGATGTCCATTAAATGAAGGTCCCAATGGCAAGAAAGGGGCGTCCATGTTGGAGGAGATCAAACAAGAAATTTGGTGACCGTATCAAAACTGGACGCCTACCAGCCTGGTGACGTCTTCTGGTAGTCTTTCTTTTTCCACTTTGCAGTCTTTCTTTTTAAAAATATCATCTCACTTCCTTCCCCTCCTTCCATCTTCCCTTCCTTCAAGGCGTCCCTGTCCCGTCCACCCTTTAGCACCTTTTCTTTGGCCTTCTATCTTGAAGTCATAGCAACACCCATACCAGACAGGAGAACAAGGACGGCAGGGATTGGATAGAGCAACAATAGTCAAAGATTTATCATGAGCAAGGGACACTCGACAGAAAACTTGGTCCCTTCGACGGATGACAACGCTGCATCTGCACGTACAAATGCAAGTGCTGCCTGCAGCTGCAGCTGCTGGCGCAAGCAGCGAGAAGGATGTATCATCACGGGTGGGAACAATCAAAAGTCATTCCAACTCTCATCCCTCTCCCAAACTTTTGACCACCCCCCACACACACATTTTCAACATTCGCACCAAAAACAAGCCCGATACTTCTCTAGCAAAAAATCATAGCAACGACGATAACGACGATAATGACAGCAACGATGATGATCCCATCACCAAAAGGAAGGAGCCCACAAATACTCAAAACCTGCATCCATTGCCGGAAAGGCTTCTGGTGCTAATGGTGTTGCTGCACATTCTTAGCCCTCCTACTCGTCCTCCTCGCTATCATATACTTCATCCTCCTCCCTAAACTTGTTCAATCCATCGTCAACGACTCCCAGATGGCGATGGATCAATTGCATATCACGGAACCGACAGAGACAGGGATGTGGGTGAGTTTGGAAGGTGGGGTGAGGCATGGCGGATTATTCCCGGCGACGATTGAGTTCCAGGAGGCGGTTGTTGTTAGTTGGGTGGTGGGATCGAAGGAGGACCAGAAGGGAAAGGGGAATGAGGGAGAAGGGGTGAAGGTGTTGGGGAGGATGGAGGGATTGGAGAGTGTAGACATTTATGGGGGGCAGGGGGAGGTTGTGGATGGGGCGGACGAGGTTTGTGATTTCAGATAGGAAGGCTTTTTCGGATTTTGCGAAGGAGTTGGTAAGTTCTTTGTATCCATGGATATTGGTTGACAATGAGAGACAAGGGTGCGAAGTGAGAGTTTGGCGATTAATGCATTATTATGTTCCTTATATCCCCTTGTAGCTAACGAAGGAGAAGTTTGTGTGGAGGTTGACGAGTGTGGTGACGGTGAAAGCGTTTGGGATCATCCCCTTGGCAGGGATCGACCTCGTCAAGGATGTTACTCTCCTCGGTATGTAAGGTTTGATCGATGAAAAGGACCACGTGCGCCACCAACTTCATCTAAAAATTATTATATTATTTATCGATCGCATTATCGTGATAATAATAGGAATGAATTGGTTCGGGAAGATCACGATTAACAAATTCGATCTGCCAAGGGACGCACCCTACAACCAAGGCGCAGTCGTCAAAATGGTCACGGCGATGAATAACCCTTCACCCAACACTGGGCTCGATAGTCCTGGATCTGTTTTATGAGGGCACTTATTTGGGACAGGTCACTGCCCAGAATGCGACCCTTGTCGGGGGAGGGTCTGGATCGCCGTTGGAGCTGGAGCGCGTGTTGTATCGACAGACCGGGACTGAGGATCTGAAGCATCTGTCGGTGTTGTTTCAAATTATCTGGCGGGGAGGGTGATGATGACAGTGGCCAAGAGCGTATCGGTGAAGCCGGATGGGGTCAATCCAGTGTCGTGGCTCAATGATGGGATTATGGCATTGACCTTGACGGTGCCTTTGCGGTCGCCAAAGCCGTTGCAGATCATCAACGGAATTCAGACCATGGATATGGGGATCACGTTCAACCCTGCAACGCCCTATGTGCCTACGGTCCTATCGAAGAGCATAACTGCCGGGGTCAAGTTCCCTTTCAACATCACCATCCATGTCCAGACTAACCAACTCGATTACGTTGGGGTAAGGAAGCAAGGTATTGGGGGACATCCAGGCATCTGTTCCTAGTCAAGTGAATTCAAATCTCCAAGACTTGATCGCATTCTGTTTACCGTCGTCACCGCTGGTTGTCATGGGCGATGCGCACGAGGATTTCAACACGTTTTTGGCGGATTTGACGATACAGGCAGAGGATACCTTTACAGTGGTTGGGAAATCGAATGCGACGGCTGAGACGCCTGTGGGACTTGTGTCGCTGACGGATGTGCCCTTCAACTCGCCCGCCAGAATGAAGGCGCTCAACATTAACGCTCAACATACGACTGTTTCTGACGTTGTTGTCCCGGGCGGGACGAGCGAGCATATCATTATCCAGCTCGTCGTCACATTGATCAACCCTTCGACATTGACGATGGTGATCGGAAATGTGACGCTGATGGTTTTTGATGGGCCGACTAACCAGTTCTTGGGCGACCTTGTGATCCAGAACCTCAACATCGTCCCGGGGAGGCCCACACACGTGCCGGCGCAGTTTCTGTTCCATCCAATGAACCCACTCCGGAACCAGTTCTTGAGCCGGTTTGTTGTTGGCGACATTTTCCGCTTCATGTCACGGGGCCTCCGACATGTTCGACACCATTGCCAGAACTCCAAAAAACTTTGTCACTAGTCTCATTGGGTTGCTCAGTCGCGGGCCTAATCCCACCACCCGTCCTGTTCCTCTCTGGACGTGACATCTCAACCCTCAACACCGTCCTCGGGTCCCACACAACATCCGTATGGGTCGACATCCAGAATCCACCCCCAGCATCCATGTACTGCACCTCAATCGTCGCAACCATCATTTGGCGCGGCGGCGCCTTCGGAACCATCAACCAGCCCGTCGGATTCATCATCCCAGGAAGTGGCAAGACCAACACCCTCGAACTCACCCTCCAACACCCACAAGACCTAGGTTTTTCCGTCTTTCTCACAGCCCAATTCCTCACCGCCTACCCTGGCATCGCCATCGATGGTGGGGCGCTTTTTCCGTTCGAGATGGACCTACAGTTTGGAGTAAAGGTTAGTGGAGAAGGCGAATATGTGGCTACGATCAGGAGTTTTGAATGGGGTTGTTGGGCCCTTTGTTAATAATGGGGGTGTGAAGGATGTAGTGGGTAACGTTGTTGGTGGTATGGCAGGAGGAAGAGGAGGAGGAGGAGGAGGAGGAGGAGGAGGAGGTGGTGGTGGTGGTGGTGGTAGTGGTGGGGTTGCAAAGGGTGTTGGGGGGACGGTTGGAAGAGTTGTTGGTGGATTGACCCAAGGGTTTCTATAAAAGTTCTCAGTCTTTGCATTGTCTGGATTGTCCCCCGCGGAAAGAAAAAGTGAACTAAAAAAAATACCAACTAGAAGATAGAAAGTAGAGAAGAGCATAAAAGGAAGCCATGGCACTAGCCTGAAATGATATGCGCCAGCGGCAGTGTGCATGCATTTGAGAGGAAGGTTTCGTCCATGGGGTTTGATTTGTTGTGAAGCTCTGCCTCCTCCGCTCAATTTTTCACTATTGAGGGCTGGACTAAATCTTTCACTTTCTTATGGGGTCACCCTTTCGCTGCCATTTTGCCCAAAAAAGGGAAGCGGTCCAAGGCCACTGAGGATCACGTGGACAGGAAGCCACTAGAGCGCTTCCCTTTTTTGGGCAAAATGGCAGCGAAAGGGTGACCCCATAAGAAAGTGAAAGATTTAGTCCAGCCCTCAATAGTGAAAAATTGAGCGGAGGGGGATGGGTTCAGAGCTTCACTTGTTGTTGGTTGCTTATGGTGGCAACGACGGTGGCAATGGGTGGAGAGGCAGTGGGTCGAAGAACGAAGAACGGCGCCAAAGTGGTAAGTGCTCTATTTTCCCGGACTTGGAAATATCCTTCTGGACAAGTGCAATAGTGGGTAAGAGTAAGACATTATTGAGAGCAGTGGGAAGGAAGTAGAGCACCGCCACATGGAGTCGGTAAACAGAGTGGGCTGGGGTGAATATAGAGACATAAAGGAACAAGGGGTCGAACCTCTTTTGCTTTTGGCGAACCAAATGCTCTTGTTACTTCGATGGAGGGACAAGCTGGGCGGATGGTGGACATGGGCTCGCTGGACTGGGGAAGGAATCAGCGAGTGGTCTTGTCGATTTGATTTGGAGTGTGAGATGACCAGATGGTCCAGTTTTCCGGAACGAGTGTGCTGAAAAACGAAATAAAAAGGCGAACTGGGATGATTTGCTTCCCTTCCAATAATGCTAGAACCAAGTCCAACCAACATCCAAAGAAGGAGTGGGCATGGACATGGACATTAGATATCGAGGAGAGCTGCCACGAGCAAAACAGGGCAGAGAGGCAAGAAAGAGTGCACATTTGGACACTTGGCAAAGGAAAGGAGAGAGAAGAGGCAGGAGATGATATGAACCACTGGGACACACGCGCATAGGGGTAATTGCATGCGACGAAGCAAGGGGTGAGCGTATTTTCATCCGCGGCGGTTTTTTATTGTTTGAGATGGATGAAAATTGTGTTGTGTGTTCAGGTGTCGTTTGCGTCTGGGCTGAGGCCTGAATGAACCCAATTGAAACGGGAAATGAGATTCAACAACGAATTGAGCCAAACCGTAGTTCGCTTTGTTGGTGTCGTTTGCCTTTTCCGAAGGTGGAGGATGGAAAAACGAACTAGCAAGCTGTCTGTTTCTGTGTCGAACATCATGCAGGTGCAATAGTCTCCTTTTTTATGCGTTCTTCGTGTCGTTCAAGGGATTGGCCATGCGTTGGGGGACATGGTGGGAGGGAAGTGAGTAAAAAAGAATTACCATCTCGGCGCCATGGTGGTCACCCTTTTCTTATTCCTCTTCTTCTTCTTCTTTTTCTTTTTCTTTTTCTTTTTGTTCTTTATCCTCTTCCCTTTCCTTCTCTTCCTTTTCCCAATTGGTCGGAGCCTGCCTTTTCTATTACCGTCGTTTCCGTTGACTGCCAACTTGTCCACTTTCTCTCTTCCACAACAACGCTGGGCATCTCATCTCATCTTTTTTCTTCTTTCATCCCATTGCTCTCTTCACCCCATCCTTTTTTTTTCTTCTCATCACTCTTCTCTTCCCTTTCACTCCTCTTCCTTCATTCCTCCCCCTCTGAAGGAGAAAAAGAGACACTGCCGCTGCTACTTTCCAACCTCCGACACCTTGGACACCCGATACATTCGCATACCCTTCACCGACAAACACGCCCTTTTTCCACTCACACCTATCCGAAACACAAGCCCATCGAACTAACAGATCACGATGCCTCGCAAATACGGCACAACAGTGTATGTGAGGAGCAAGTGGCCACTGATGCTCCGCATCAAGGGAACCGTCATCCTCTCCATTTGGTGGCAAATCTTAGCAATCGGTGTCTACTCGACTGCTGTCTTCTTTATCGACAAATACTCTGCCTGGAAGATGAACTACTCCCTCGTAAGTATCCTCTTGTTGCTGCCACATACACACGCTGTCTCGCTCATCCTGTCTGTCCCTTCTTGTGTTCATGTTGATTTGATTGGGGGGTGGGGTGGGTGATTGGTTTGGTTGGAGGCCTTACAATATTTTTAATTGCTCTCGTTAATTGTCCGTTCTTCCATTGTTTCCACTTGAGACGTCTATTTTTCCCTTCTTCCCTTTTTCTTCCCTTTTTTTTTCTCTCTGACCGTGCATGAACCGAGAGAGCACACTAGCCTTTCCGTTAAAAAGAGCGAGTACAACGGGTAGCTCATATCTTCCATTCTCAACAGTACCAAAGTACCAAAGCAATCAGCTACTAACCAAACAAGGCCCTCCTCACCCCTGTACCTGATATATCTTAATGGTTTCACCACTTGTCCCTCGCCATTGGATGTCACTTATTTCACAGTCGCTGGTCTCAGTGATGGGTATGGTTGTCTCCCTTCTCTTGGTCTTCCGTACGAACACCGGTAAGTCATCTCTTCTTACTTGTTCCCCTGATCTGGCCACAACAACGGCAAGGCGCATAAATAAAAATAAAAAAAGATCTCCCATCTTTTTTTTTCTATGCACTGTCCCCCTTCCATGTCTGCAGTTTGTCCTCCCCTATCTTCAGGGAGCGCAAAAATATGTCAGTTGGACACCCAAGCGTCGCACAAGCAACAATTGAAAGAACACAAGCGAGTCGCAACCATATTCGCAAAACATGTTTACCCGCCTCTAACCCTCGTTGTTTTATTCTCCTCTCTCCAACAGCTTATGATCGCTACTGGGAGGGTCGTCGTCTGTGGTCACAGATGACACTCTGCATCCGTAACCTGACTCGTTGTATCTGGGTCAACGTTTCCGAGACCGAGACCCGCGACGTGCTCGAGAAGAAATCTGCCATCAACCTCCTTGTCGCCTTTGCCTTTGCCACCAAGCACTACCTTCGTGAGGAGTACGGTTACGAATACGAGGACATGGTCGACCTGTTGGCCCACATCCCCAAGTATTCTCTTCCCACCTCGACTCAGCCCATGGATTGGAGAACTGATATCCCTACCCCTCTTGGAACCCTCCAAACCCAGGGTAATCAGCAACAACATCAACAATCATTGCAATTGTCTGAGAAGCAGGGCGTCAAGGTCTCTGGTGTCAGCACCACCACTGGCCAAGGCGAGACCCGTCATCGCCGTCAGCAGAGCAAGCGTCGCGCTTTGGCATTTGATTTCTTGACCCCCACCAACATCCCCGTCGAGTTGTCGTACTACATTGGAAGCTACATCAAGTCCTGCGGCGCCAAGCAGAAGGTTGACGCTTCGACCATGACCGTGATGAACAACTCCCTCGTCTCCATGATCGACTGCCTCACCGGATTCGAGCGTATCCTCCGTACCCCGATCCCCCTCGCCTACTCCATCCATCTCCACCACGCCACCTGGATCTACCTCCTCGCCCTGCCCTTCCAACTCGTTCAGAACCAGGACGAGCTCATGATTCCCTCAGTCATGCTCGCTGCTTTCACACTCCTCGGAATCTTGGGTATCGGTTACGAGATCGAGAACCCGTTCAACGACGACTATAACGATCTGCCTCTGGATGATTTCTGCAAGGTGATCCAGGCCGAGGTCGACTCGATGGTCATGAACCGCGCCCCCGTCCCCGCTGACTGGGTCTTTTCCGAGAACAACTACCCCCTGGCCAACTCACGTCTTTCGGCAAAGGAGCTTTCAGAGTTGTCGTTGGAACAGGTGCACAGGATCTTGGAGGCCGAGGGACGTCCTACGGTGCAATATACTAGGAACGAGCCTGGAAATGTTCATGAGGAGGCGATTCAGAATTTGAATGTTCAGAATGCTGCTTCTGGGGCCACGAGTGTGCCTTCAATTGTTGTTGAGGTTCCCCCTACCGCCCCCGTCAACAACAACACTCTTCCCAAGTAAATAGGGAGGAGTGCCCCCCCCCCCCTCCTTGCAGGCCCCCTCTCCTGCATTTGTCTGTTTCTTCATGTCAACAATATTTAATATCATCCCCCACACAGATTTGGAAAAAAAATCGTGACCAATATACTCTACCATCCATATTACTTGAGAGTTAAGAATTCTCTTTTTGTCGAGTGCATCATTTTTAGAAGGCTCTCCATGTTTTTGTCCCAAGTTTTACTGGTTCTCACTGTTGCATCGAACTTGACGGCCAAAAAATTGCAAAATTGCAAAAATGTATGATTTATTATGTGATTATTGTCCTCGCTGAGATTGTTGTGTAAGGTTGGGTGTTGAAGAGTAGGAAATGGACGATAAAAACGAAGAGGACGGACGACTCCGTGGTGCCAAGAAACGGCTACCCTTCCGAGTCTGTTGCTGTTCCCGTGGCTGAGCCTGAGGCAGTGTACCACTTCCACCACCGCCACTATTCCAAGACTTTGCGCCCTGACGCGCCAACAACTCCTCGACCGTAAATTCATCCTCAGGTTCACTATCCTCCTCTTCTTCCTCTCCCCCGCTCATCCCTCCACCACCACCACCACCACCACCAGGCTCGTGTGAGGCAATCGCGACAGCGGCGGCGGTGAGCGATCCGGTAGATGTGGTCTGATGAACCATGGGCTGCTGTGAACCATACGGCGCAATAAAACTCTGATCGCCCTCAAAGAGTGGGATCCTACGAACCACAGGCGGTGGATGATCTCGATTCGTGTCGTCCTTTGTAAAGAGTCCAGACGGAGACTTGCTGTTGTTCTTGAAGTACGCCGCCGAGAGCCGGATGCTCTTTGTCAGACTGGCCTTAACCTTCTGTGTCCGACTGGATTGCTGCTGTTGTCCAAGAGCCAACGGCGTGAGGGTGGGACTGATCTCTTCCAAGTTGCTCGACGAACCAATGTAGTCCAAGTTCAGTGACAAACGGTTTTTGGCTGTGTTGATACCATTAGATTGCGAATACCCAGCGCGTGGGGTAACAATGGTGATCGGAGAGAGGAGGGAAAAGTCTCCGGACTTCCGTGCTTGAGCCTTAGCGGCTACTCGTTCCTTGTCCCTGCTAGAGTTTGCCTTCATGGTCGAAAAGAATCCCGATCCAAGTCCATTGTCACTATCGCGACGCTTCTGGAACAGGGCCGAGATATCCTGGTGGTTGTGGGGGTTGTTGGCACTGCTGCTGGAGCTGAGTGGTGGGTATTGTGAGGACTCGATGGTCCGAGGATGGGTCTGATCCGATGAGTTGACGACGGAGGAGTTAGAAGAAGCTGTTGGGCGGAGGCGGGGTGAGAGGGTAAGGGTGTTGATCAGGCCTGCCGTCATGGAAGAAAGAAGATTTCCTCTTTCCGTCAGACTCTGGGGTGGCGCCCGGGACGGATCTGTGGGTCCTGCGAGGTTGCTTTCCAGACTGGGTGCTGGTAGAGCAGGTGAAGGCGATGGTGAGGGAATGTCTCCGCGGGCGACGCTCTTGGCTCGAAGGTACTCCATCGCCGTGATGCCATCTTCACCACGGAGCTCAATGATCTGTCCGACACTCCTTCGATTGGCGGCCTTTCTCTCAGCATCTGTTGCAGCGCTGATTTCTCCACTTGCTGGGACCAATTTAGATCCAACAGCTGCAGTAGAGACTGGGACGACGACTCCACCTACGGTAGCTGTGGTTATCGACGAAGGTGTTGTCGACAACGGCTTAGGCACAATCGAAGTTCCAGCAGAGAGTCGAGCTCCAATGGAGATGGAGGGGTGAAGTGGCACATCTCGCTCAATAATACTCTGACCCGCTGAAGCTGCAAGTTCCTCTGCGGCCTGCTGCACAGCCACGGGAGGGCCCTTGACCGTAGCGGTTATCATACCTTGACGCCTGACAGGGAGCTGAGACTCTGGGGGCGTAGGCAGATCCTTGGTAACAGAAGAGGTAGATGACGAAGCTGTAAAAGCTCCTTCGACAGCACCAGTGCTCAAAACCTTGACCTCCATGCTCATATTGCTCGCGGCTCCATTTTGCATCAGGAACTCGGCAAGGGGATAGACCTCGTAGTGGGGGTCAAAGCTAAATGGCACACCGTTGCGGAGGGCGATCAAGAGAGGCGACGTCTGCATCACCATCACCGACGAGATACATCGTCCTCCTGTCGCTACCGGTCGAGGTCGGATCTCCAAGGTTGTGGCGCCAGCTGCTCCAGCAGACGAGGCAGATGTCGAAGTTGGGTCTTGAGACGCAGAAGGCTGAGGGATATCAGGATCACGATCGGTTGTCGAGACTGGATACGAAGAGCCAACAGTCGACCTCGAGAACTGAGACGAAGTCTCTGAAAGCGCCGTCGATTCATCTGCGCCTTGTCCATCTCCGTACCCTTTCAGCATAAAGTGGCTTATCAGGGGCGATTCTGCTATGCTAGGGATCAATCCCAATCCATACATATCATTGTTGGTTCGTGGCGGGAGCGGAGGAGATGTTGTTGTCGGCATGGGATCCTCCTCAGCCGTGTACTGTGGTCCCTGAGCCTCGACAAAAGGTCCAGAATCACTCGTGTGATCAGCCCTCTGCACCGTGTTGAGGTTCCCACCTGCCGCGTACGCAGCAATAGCAGCCGGAATGTTGTTGGCAGAGACCGCCTCAAACAACGCATCCGTCGCAGCTGTCGCTCTTGAAGTTGACTCTGGGAACCGCTCAACAAACGCTCGCTCAACATACTTTTTGCGTATGAACGACACCTTGTACTCGCGTGCATCATTCACAACCGGCTTCCTAAAAGCGATCTTTGTCGACCCCGGGTTGGTCTCAGCAAGGAGATTCGCCTCCCAGATCTGGTTCGAGATGCTATTGCCGACTGAACGAATGAACTCGACTAGGTCCTTTGTGTACGAGTTGGTGTCCAATGTGAACGATCGGACCTTGGAGATGTGTGTGCCCAAACTCCTATGAATACCCGAGCACTCTGTGCAAACAAAAAAAAAGATACAGATGTCAGTCGAAAAGCTCAATTTTCTGGTATTTGTAAAGTCACTCTTTAAAAGCCAATCTAGAATCATCTTACCAATGCAAATAATGATACCGAGGTTGATGACACACCAGTCCGGGTTCTTGGCTCCGCACTCTGCACAAAAGGCATTGGCCATGTCAGAGTCCCGCATAGTCTGCAGCAGCCGAGTGCCCAAATGCTGCTCACCAGAACTGCTCTCATCCACACTGTTGCGTCGATCGGGTGTCGCCGTCGCGGTTGCTGAAGAATTGGCCGCCTGGGCTGCCAAGGGGAGGATAATCTGTCCCATCTCGTTCAGTCCATCCGCTGCACTTCCACCACGCTTCCTGCCAACGGCCTGTCCGGGCTGAACTCTGTCCTGAAGCGAGTTCGGTAGCGAGGTCGACTGAAGGAACTGCTCCATACTCGCTCGCGCCATGCCTCCAAGTCCTGCCATCAGACCCTTCCCGTCCGGAGCCGGCATCGTCCTGTTGTAATCACCTCCTCCAATCCTTCGTCCAGCACCGCCACCGCCACCACTGAACTCTTCTCCATCTCGGGTATACTGGAGATTGAGGTTTCGACAGCTGCTGGTACCGTTTAATAGACTTTGGATCGCGTTCGATATGACATTGATCCACGAGTTCATGTCTTCGATACTGGTTGCCTGGTACACGCGTCTAAATTTTGGCGTGATGACCTCAAAACAGAACCGCCGATCTTGGTTTCGACACGACCGGACAGTGGCGATACGAAGATTGATGGGCTCGTTGTGGGGCTGGGTGATTCCGCGTTTCCAATGAGAGTACTCGTGCAGCTGGCCTTCAGAGAGTACACACCAGTACTTGCGCCAGGTATTTAGGTTGTTGGGCTTCTCCAGTACCACGGCATTGCTATGTTGGCTTGGGCGGTTGGTGGCAAACAGGAATCCTTCCTTGCGTCGTCCTAGTGCGAGACCGGCGTCAATATCCTGATGCTCGAGATCGCGAATTCCTGTAATATTGCGGTTGCTGCTTGCTACGTCCTTTTGACTTTCGATGGGGGCGCCGTCACTGGCAAGGAGGGGTGATGTTGATGGCTGGATGGGTGATTGCTGTAGAGGCGGACGACTTTGTGGAGAGTCGATAGAACTCTGGTCAGAATCGATCGATCGCGCAGAATCATGTCGGATGTTGGGAGGTGGGTTCAAGCTCATCGGCAGAGCTGCGATTACTACTGAGTTAGACAAGGATGACTCAGGCCTGGCAGATGATTGAAACTGGAATTGTTCCTGCCGCTGTCTGGTGCTCTCCAACACAGTCTCCAAATCTGGACGAAGCTCCTCCGCAACAATTCCCAGATCTCCTAGCAGCTGACGATGCTTATCCGAAAATTCAGCCAAGCACGAGTACAGCTCCTCTCCCTTGCGCCCACCAGCCTTCATCTCCAGCAAGAAATTCCAGTACTCTAGTCGCTTCAATTCGAAATGCCGTCGTTTCCGTTCGTGCTTCAGATCTGCCTCAGCCTTCCTCTGTGGGTTATCCTGCTTCATACCCATATACCGCGACAGGAAGCTGTAGTACTCCTTGCTCTCCTCCTCGAACGATTTCCGCTGCAGCTCGGCGGCCTTGATGTCGACTCCATAAAACTGCGAAAAGGGCTGGATCATGAGGTCTCGCATCCGCTGGGCAAGCATCTCTGAATGCTCTGTGAGGTGTTGTGAGAGCGGTCGCCAGTAGCTTTCGACTAGGGATTCGGCGATCTTCATGCCCTCAAGCTCCCTCACGAAGACCTCCTCGGCGGCCACCCAAGCCCTCCGTGTCTCCATGGCCGCCTGTGCAGCTTTGAGGATCCGTTTCGAGGTCGCCTTCATCGTCCTGACATGGTTCTCACACTCGACGACTGTTGCCCGGAAGAGTGGTCCGTCCTCTGTATTATTGGCCAGGGGTATAATGACTGGTACACTGGCGACTGTGGTATTAGAGGTAGGACCGGGAATAATGGCAGTAATGGTTATAGTGGTGTCGACAGTGTCAGTAGGTGTGAGAGTATCGGGAGCTTCATTGGACTCGTCAGGCAACGCTGGCAACGGTGGCTCATCATCCAAGCGCGTAGACCTTTCTGGAAGGCTGGGCAGGGAGTTATTGCTCGCAGGGGGCGCAGAAAACTTATTCCAGAACGACGGTAACCGGCTCACATTCGAGCTCTTCTCAGGCGTTGAGCTTCTCCTCCAATGACGTGCATTCCAAGCGGACGTTATTGTTGGTGTAGTCGTTGTCGTCGTTGAAGTTGCTGTAGATGGTTGGGTTAGGGTCGACGGGAATCGCACTCCAGCTGTCGCTGGTGCTGCAGCCGATGTAGCCGCTGCTGTGCTGTTGTCGTCTATTTCTTTTCAATTGGAGGAATGTTATATGAAAGTTAGCGCCGTTTTGAACATCATTAAGAGTTGAAAGGGTTCTTTGACATGACAGGAAACTTGACTTACGTTCGATCCAAGTGGAGACCATTGCAAGAATTTCGAAGCCTCCTGTGGTTCGGTTTCGAGTCAGAAACTAGTTTGAGAGGATGAATCAAAGGAGAATCGAGATAAGGAGTGTGAACCGAGGGGGAAAATGTGTTGTTTGATCTTCCTTGTTGTCAACAAACTACCAAATGTCAGCGCCAAGGACTTACGGCAAACACTGCTTTGTGGCTTTGCAGTGGATCATTATCATCATCACCTTCAGCAGCAGTAGAAACAGAGGCGTCATCAATGAGGGAATGGGTCCAGACCTGCTTTCCTCCAGGAAGGGATTGATTCAGGACGACCGTTGTGATGGCTCCTGGGTTCAGGGCCAGCTGAGGTAATTTCGAAAAGAATCACTTTTTTGATCAGCAATCACATCCATCACATCCATCACATCCATATCATCATTTCATTTTTTACAATGATTGCATTCACACGGTTATCGGAGCTTGTCTCGGAGAAATAAGAAAGAAAAAAACGTTTGCAAGGTGTCAATCTTACTTGTTGTTGAAAAGCAACTTCGCTCCTGCACATTTCATGCATATGACGCTCCGTGCGTGTCTCTGCAAAGTAGATAGTGGGCTTGTATACACTGCTCTCACTACTATTAGTCAGGGTCCTTCTGTCAGGGGTAGGCGTGCTCGTGACCCTCGGCCGGACAGACACAAACACATAGTCCTCTGTGCCTGTCGAGGGCGATGTTATCGATCCAGTAGATTTGAAAGCCGACCTCAGGGGGGCGTTGCTGCTTCTGCTGCTGCGTAACTCCATTTTAGTCAGACCCACATGCTCCGTCGTTACTGGTACCCTTGTTGTATCCTGCAGGAGGTGATTGTGGCGGTAGTGGGGGTTAGGAACATCCTTGTCTGGATTAAGATTTGATCCTGTCTGTGCTCCTCCTTCAGGTCTTGGTCGCACAGAATCCAGCAACTTGCCCTCGAGTTCAAATTCCAGGCCCACTCTTGTTGTTGAACTTGTGCGAATCTTGAGCAAAAGATTGGGCTCATCGTTGGTTGGTGTAGTGACTGGGTTAGATGCTGAGATTGGTTGGGTATCCGGTTGATGTTGTTGCTGTTCCTGTTGCTGTTGCTGTGTTGGATGTTGCTGGTGATGCTCCGGATCTGGGACATACTCGACCTGGTGGTCTTGGAATAGAGGTTGGATCGGGATGGAGGAAGAAGGAGAGGAGGAGGAACTTAATTCGACTACCATGCATGGTCCGTTTCCTGCTGTTGTCGTTGTAGCTGTTGTTGGTTCCGTTACTGCAGCAACTGTTGGTGTCGGAGTGGCAATTGTGTCCAGGACAGTTATCCTGGTGATGGTGACTACAAAGCGATTGACAAGGGTATCAAGTTAGACCGTGGAGTATTTGTAGTGAATGCCACAAAAAAAAGGTCCGGACACGGACACCTTTCGCGAAAGGCAGAACAGAGACAGAGCCAGTAAGAGGCGTCGGTTTCTGGGACACATACAGTTTTGGGGGTTTGAAACAACCACGGACGAGGTTGCCCTGAGGGCGGCGGGCTCAGCTGCGTCCATGAGGAGGAAGGGAGGGCGAGGTTGATGAGTTAAACTTTTTTTTTCTTTGTTGAACGTGAATGAAAGACACTGTGAATGAGAAGGTGGTTTTCAGGTAGTCTCCTTTCGAAAGAGAAGATAAAAAAAGTGCCGTGGGAGAGAAGGGGAAAAAAGAATAGAAGGGGCGTGTCAAAAGCACGAGCGGTGAGAAAGTAAACGTTAAGAGAAACGGAGAGTGAGAGAGTAGGAAAGAAAGTGGAGAGGAAAGAAGTAGAGGGGTGCAGATGGACGACGGGAGAGAATGATAGACTGGGACAGGCAGAGTGACAGAAGGGAGAGAGAGAGAGAGAGAGAGAGAGAGAGAGAGAGAGAGAGAGAGAGAGAGAGAGAGAGAGAGAGTACGATAGACAGGCAACCAACAGGACTCGTGAACGAGAAAGAGAGCTACGACGTGCAGAAAGAAAAAAAAGAACGACGAGAGAGTGAGAGCAAAAGGAGAGCAAAAAGAAAAAAAAGAGTGGCGGTGGGGAAGGGATGGCAAAGGTGGCAAGGACAAGGTGGATGGGGTGCAGACAGGGGTGAGGAGAGGGAGAGGATGGAAAGGATGAATCAGCAAAAGCGCTGGAGGGCAAAAAAGTCGATCCAGTCTTGGCCCCATGACACACCTCATTCAACAACACACTCACACTCACACTCACACGCCAACAGGGGAGGGAGTGCTTCTACAAGCCAAGGCTCATGATCGATACCTTTTTATCCTTATTTTTGTACTTTTGCCGCCATTCCTTCCTCAAAAAATGCCCCTTTTTTCACGCTCTTCGAAGGTCACGATGCGGCCCTTTTTGTTTGTTTATTTCTATTCTTTGCCAAAAGGAGTACACTACGACGACATCCCACATTGACCCACTCTTGCGTGCCGCCACGTCTCCACCTACTCTTTCATAGTAGTGGCGAACTGTCAATGTAACTAGAGCTCATGTGTATTGGTTGAATGTCGTTCAACCTATGAGTATGAGTAGAAAAGATGGTTGATAAAAATACAATAATGGTCCCTTCTCGAGCGATTTTGGTAGTTGCATGCTAGCAATTATTTTAATGCTGTCCACGACCAAAGCCTCCCCGGAATCCGCCTCGACCTCCTCTCCGGTCTTGGTTAAACCCCCCACGACCCCGTCCACGTCCTCCACCTCCATCAAAGTGATGTCCTGGGCCATTGTTATCACGGTCGCCCCAGTTGCCCTGTCGACGATCGTGTCCTCCTGGAGCTCCGCCACCCTGCCATTGCCCAGGTCCACCACCGCCATGCTGCCCAAAGGGTGGGCCTCCTGGTCCGCCCTGTCTCTGCATGCCTCCAAAGCCATTAGGAGGTCCCTGATGCATGCCGTTCGACCGTGGAGGGCCACCCATGCCCAATCCTGGTAATGCTCCCGAGTGACTGTCAGGAAGTGATCCCATGGGGGGACCACCTCCAAGGCCAGGGGGTCCACCACCAAGTCCTGGGATAGACATGGGAGACATGTCGAAGCCGCCGCCAACGCCAAGGTTGTGGTTGCCAAGCCCTGGAACATACTCCATGTTATCATCCTCTGCTGCTCCAGTATCTGTGAGACCCATCTCTGCTGCCATCTGGATTCCGACGTTGAACTTGTCCTGCATCGATTCTCCTGGGCGATTCCTTGTCCAGAACCGCGTGGTGTGGTCATTTGATCCGGAGACGAGGATGTGACCCACTGGGTGCCAGTCCAGTGACCAAACGTTCGAGTCGTGAGCGTTTTCCATACCTCCGGTAGGCTCTGACTGCCCCATGGTCCAAAACATGATGGATCCTTCTGATCCTCCAGTCGCCAGAAGAGATTCGTGCTGTGGGTGCCATGCCACTGAGCAAACTTCCTTCTTGTGGCCGCGGAAAGTCTGCAAGTCCTTCATCATCCTGATGTCGTAAATTTTGACCAGCTGATCGCGCGCTGCTGTTGCCAGCCAATTCCCGTTCTTGTTCCACTGTAATCCCAGAATCGTGTTTTTGTGTCCGTGCCTATTGAACCGTTCATCATGGAGTTAGTTAAAGTGTTATCCGGCAAGACATCAATACGCTGTCATGGATCAAGTAAATGGCGGCTACTTACAGAGTGGTCAGGTTGCGTCCTGACTTTGGGTCCCAAAGCTTAACAAGGTTGTCTTTACTTCCTGAGGCGAGAAGGGATTTCTGAGGGTGCCAGTCAACACACTTCACATCCCATCCGTGTCCTGTCAGAGTCCTCTCTTCAATGCCCTCGTGAAAGTTCCAGATCTTGATTGTACCGTCGTCTGAGCAAGTCGCAAATCTAGCGTCACTCGGCGAGAAACTACATGAAAATGAAGATAAAAATGACACATATGAGTCTTCGACAAATAGCGATATCCAAGTCCACGCTGCCCTTGCACACGTCAAAATAGAAAGCAAGTTACCTGAGGTCGCGAATGGCTTCCTTGTGTCCTTGAAAGACTTTCAGTGGGTTCATGTTGGATTGCCAGTACTTGATAAATCCATTGTGATCTGCGGTGACCATCCAGTCGTCGTTGTGACTCCACTTCATAGCGCGTACTGCAGTATCGTGTGCCTACAACGAGTCAATTGGAAATGAGAGGTTATTCCTGTCAGCATCCCTGCGCGCAGAAGCGTTGGTTATGGTGAAAGGTTGTAGATTGTTTAGCCTACCTGCAAAATGGTCTCAAAGTTGAAAGTGAGTCCGTTCCAGAGGGTGAATTCTCCACTAGAGGATCCTGTCACTAGACGTCTTCCTTCGGGTGTCCACTGCAAGGAAATAAAAGTAATAAGAAATGACAGAGTTAATCCACTGCGCTCTAATACTCCAACATAGGTCTTCATGAAGTGGCAACATTGAAGCTGACGGCATCTTACGCGGATCACATTGACGGGACATCGGTTCTTGTTGGTGGAAGTGTGTACGAATTTGGTGGTGACGGCGTTCATGGGGTTGTTGGTGTATGATGATGGTGGCAACAACTATGATGTTTCCAATATCAATAAGGGGTTGGGATCGGTAAGAAGGGTCGTTATCATTTTCATGCTGCATCGCGCTCACAAGCAGCCTAGATCGCATGCGTGAACTTACGTCTACAATGAAGTTTGGGTCTGGTCGGAGAAACGGTAAGTCTCGCTTGTTCTTGATATACGGAGCAGTCTATTAGCACGCAAAAAAGACGACGAGTTCCCAGTCAGACATCACCTCCTATAACGTATCCGTATGCCCGTGTTGTATCCTGTGATCCTGTCGAGAGGTATCAAGCATCTTACTTGGAGCCACCTTGTTATGCTGTGATTATAATCGACGGTTCTTCGCTGGATGGACTTTCGCATACGCTTTCCGTCTATATACAACCAATTGGTCAATGGAAAAACGTGGTCAGGCCCAATGGTATGTACTCTTCAAACCGTAGTGGATATCTTCCACAACCGGTTTATTTTTATTTGGCAGCAGCTGCTGATGACTGCAAGGAATAGATCTGTGCTGCTGTTGTTGAATGGGCGGTACTCTACCAAAGACTGTCCTGGAGCTGTATCCTCCTGCGTTTCCATCTCGCGGCGTGAACTCTCTCTTGGTATACGTCGACATCCTTCCTGTTGATTTGGCGAGTGGTTGAAAGAGAAAAAGTCGAATGCAGAGAAAGTGTGGATTATTGCTCCACTTTTATTTCGCGAATCGCCTCCCTGATGGCGGTTTTTGTGTGACGTCATTCGAACTTTTTCGGTCCTTTAACTCTTTAACTTCACCTGGACAACTCTCCTACAAACACATCAACTTACAAGGAAGGGACCCAGCGAAATCATGTCGGTGCCGCGCTACCTGCAGGCAGGGTTCGATCCCATGACAATAAAGATGGACAGCATCCGAGACATTCTCATCCATCACAAGGTCAAACCGCCAACAGGAGAAGTCAGAAAACAGGACTTGGTCAACCTTTTTGAACTCCATATCCGACCGCGTACAGCCGACTTGAGGAAGCGATATGAGCACGCCAATCCCGAACAGGATGCTGCTACAACCAAGGCCACCAAGACACCGGCACCGCGATCACAACCACAACCAAACCAACAACAATCGCCACAGGCATCGTCACAGCCACTTTCACAACAATCATCTTCAATATCCAACACAGCAACAACAACGACTGTCGCACAGCCGACGCGCCAGGAGAGATCGGCGGTGCTATCGTCTTCCACATCATCCATGTCATCGTCGTCTTCCTCCAAAAGACGCGAGCCTACGAGCAGTGTTATCACCAAGCCGATCTACACAGACGAGGAGAACGAGGTAACGAACAAGGAAGTAAGACGTTACAAATGTTTGTCAATGTCAATTGCGCAATTTGAGTGTAGGATCTTAACCTGTCTTCATTATACGTTTATCCAACACAGACCAAGCCCAGGCTAAGGAGGAGGATTGTTGACGAGGGTACCGACATGGACTTGAGTTCAACATCAAGTTCTATTCGGGGCAGGAAATCAGGAAAGTCCTCCGTCAGGAAGGAAGAAGAATCTGCACCCTCGCTGGAACGAAGGTCGCCTCGGAAAAAGGTAACACCTACTCTCGCTGTCGAAAATTACCTAGTACTGCGTTATATTGAGTAAGCTGACACCAAGTTTACATATCAATTGCACTTGGAACAGAAATCTGATGGATCCAAGAAGCAGCGGGAAGTAGTCAGCGCGAACTTTTCTGATGAGAACCCGTTCCAGAGTGGTAGTGAATCAGAGCGTCGGAGACGGTCAAAGTCAAGAGAGTCTTTGACCTCAGCAGGATCTTCCCGCAACTCATCGACTGTCCGTAAAACAAGGAGGAAATCACGCGACGACGATTCACGCCTGGATCGGGACCATGTCTTCAAGGTACCCGCTCAACCAGCATTTTCAAAGTACATGGCTACTCCCAAATACACGGCAGGCTCGGCATTCGACAGGACAGACTTTGATACAGGACCCTTTCATAACTCACCCTTGTTCGCCAAGACCAAGCGGATGACCATCGCAACTCTCCCCCCACCACCGCCTCGGATCATTCAGTTTGAATCAGCAGCGAATACTTATGGAACTCGTTCCAAGAGAAGTCGTGGCGAAGAAGGACCCAACCTGGGACCTCTGAAGTTTGTATTTTTCCTGGCGCTGTTGTCTTTTGGACTTTGGTATCGACAAACCCGCATCGACATTGGCTACTGCACACTTTCGAGATTTATCCCAACACCCACCGGCAACAAACACCTCACCACCAGTAAGTACCTCCTTCCGCTTCACAAGTGGCGCTTCAGAACAAACTGTGCCCAATGAGCACATGGTATCACTGGCGTCTGACCTATGAATCTCTAATCTTGTTTGCAGAGCAAGTTCTTGTTAAGTGGCTATACCCAACATGCATCGCATGCCCAGACCATGCCAGATGCACTTCCCCTGGCGGTGATCCATTGTGTCCACCCGAGTACATTCTTCGTCCACACCCCCTCAGCTTTGGCAACATACTCCCATTGACACCCACCTGTGTACTCAACAAGGCACAGGAATACCAAAGCCTTCAGGTTGCTGATGTAGCCGAAAGCATACTCCATAAGCGCGCTGGACGAGAAGAGTGCAGGGCCTCGATCCGCCCACAGCCCTCTGCTGAGCTGTTTGCCCGCCAGAGATTTTCTGTCAATGATCTAAGAAAAAAGATTGAATCTCTTAAGGATGTATGTTTGAAAACACTGCCTCACTCTTTGGTTGTTTTTTTGTATATATTTGATTTATCCCATGGCAAGCCAATTGACGAGTTTACTCTTTTCAACAATGTAGTCCAGCGTTTCTCAGGAAGAGTTCAGCCAGTATTGGAGGCTTGCATTGAATGAGCTCTACCGTCGATCGTCAACCATCACTATCGAACAAGGAATATGGTAATTGTTGACTGTACCAACTTCTTTGTATTTTTAGTGAATGGTTTTTGTTTTTTTGATTGCCGAAACTTACCATCATACCTTTCACCTGCGTAGGGAAAAATATCTGCGATCGGTGAAGCCTGATAGGCCCATTTTCTGCCGTGTGCGCCAAGGAGTTCTTGGATGGATCGACCAACTCAAAGAGATCCTCCTTGGTGAGTCTTGTCTCATTAGCTACACTGTCGCTGAACAATGCAGCCTCATCGTATTTTTTATGTTCAATAACTCATCATTCATTTCTCATCATATGGAAATAGCGCTATTGACATTGGGAATGGGTGGACTACTGACCAGGAATTACATCTTGAAACGACGCGAAGAAGCGAGGATTGTTCAGGGTCTAGTGGAGGATGTTTTGAGCAAGTTGTCGGAGCAGGCGGACGCTAGTGCCGTTGATCCCATCTATTACGCCCACTCCTTTGTACCACAGATCCACCTCCGGGACGCTCTATTGGCTCATATACACTCGCCCGTGCGGCGGCAAGAGATTTGGGAAAAGGTCTCTGTGATTGTTGACAAGAATGCGAACGTACGGGTGAGCGCTCAGGAGCTTCATGGGGAGATCTACCGAGCTTGGGAGTGGATTGGTGCGTCGGGTGTGCTGAGTCAGAAGAAGGGTAGCCTTGGAGCGAGCAACCGCAGTGCTAGCAGCGCCGGCGGCATCGGTGGCAACAGTGGTAGTGGTGTCCAAACAACGGCGACGACGATGTATGATAACTTTCACGATAGAATCCTGCATGAAGATGAGCAGAGTCTGCACGCGTCAACAGGCTCGCTCTACCCTTCGTTGTCTTGATCCACTCGGATCTTCGCCCAAAAGTTGCAAGGAAATAAAAAAAAATTGCAAAGCCACACCTTTTTTCCATACGCAGCGAGTCAAACCTTGGTCTCTCTTTTCAGCACTCACGAATCCCCTACACTCTTTCACTTACACACAGACATACATCAAACATGGAAGAATACGCACCGCTGGAAAGCACAGGCATCGAGGAGCCTCTGGATCTTGTTCGCCTCTCCCTCGACGAGCGCATCTACGTCAAGCTCCGTGGCGACCGTGAGCTACGCGGAAAGCTTCATGTAAACGCCCCCTTTTCCTCCTTTCATCAGCAGCACAATCAGCAAATGCAAGCAGGCTTAGGGCACAAACGCGATCGCATACTTACTGATGAGGAACCTCTTATTGGTCTTTTTTGTTTGTGATAGGCTTATGACGGTCATTTGAACATGGTGCTTGGGGATGTGGAGGAGACTATCACTGTTGTTGATGTGAACGATGAGACTATGGAGGAGGTTATCAGAGTAAGCAAAGTTCACTTTCACGCCTTCCAGGAGTAGTCTTTTTCTTCACTGGAGGAAATGAAGCGACGTTTTTCAGATCCTGACAGCAGGAGGACTATTGTTCGAGGCTGCGTTATTATAGAGAATGAACGTGTGGATCGGAGGCGTCGTTTTGAGCAGGATCTGGACGCTTCTCTTGAAAAATTATGCGGGACCTGGAACAAAGTGCCAATAACCATCAAAGCAACCGTTCGAATCTGTTCAATTGTTCTCGTATAACCGTCGGGCGACACACTTTTGGCAGCATACTGGACCCAACGTACTTTTCTCGGACAGGACCACAAGTAATGCTTTTCTGAACAACTAGCTACTCCAAGGAACTCGCGCTCACACAACGTAATTTGTCGTTTGTTCGTACCGTGGAACATAATAGATCGTCAAGAGGAACTGCGAGATGTTGTTTGTCCGTGGCGACGGTGTCATTTTGGTAAGTTTAATAACGTCATCCTCTCTCACGACCTCGTTTGTTGTTATTGGACCATAATGACTAACCTTTTGTTCTCACTATTCGTGAATAGGTGTCGCCCCCATCCAGAGCATAAACAAGGAACGGAGTACACTGGAATCGATAGCAAACAACACGAGAAATAAAAACAAACAGAAGACAAACACAACATCAAAAACCCGAAGGAGATCGTCCACATGATCTTGTCGACGTGTTCAAAGGGCGGATCAATTGGCAGCAATATTTGGTGATGCTGGACATTGTTGTCATACCAGAGAACAACGTATGCCAGAGAACAACGTGGTTACTTTCGCTCACACATCATTACCCTGGACTTGCAATTCCATTGCCCCTTAGTGTGCTGTTCGCGTGGCAATGTTTTTTTTTATTTAGGGAGAGGTGTAGAAGAGGGGCGTGCTCAAGAGGGGCATGGTGATAATGATAGTGATAGTGGTCAAAAACACAAACAACACAAACGATACAGAACCACATTCATATCGTCCAATCAATTGTTAACATAACTCTAACCCATTGAGCAGAATGACCCTAGGCCACCCCTTGTCATCTATCCACACGCTCGTTTGTGGCATTGGTGGTATTGGGCACTTTCATTTTTCTTTCTTGAGAGCAAATGTTGGATTTTAGTGCTTTTTGTGCTTACAGTTGGCTGTCCATGTAAATTGAGATGAAGGAAGGGAGGGAGGACGACAACAACAGACGCGCCTATTGACTCGTCGGGCGGGCAGGGCAGGGCAGGATAACAGAGTGGAAGGTTAGGGTCACGAAGTGCGTGTTGTTCATAGGTCCTCTCCACTGGCAAGCAGGCAGACAGGCTAGCACACGGTTTTATTCTTTCTTTGTTTTCGTTGCTCGCCGCTCCTCTTTCTTCTTTCTCTCTCTCTCTCTCTTCTCATTTTCTCCTTGCCTTCTTACACTCTTTAACCACCTAATACCACCCTTTTCCTCACGTCCTCCGTTTTTCTCATTCCTCCAGCCCTTCCATCAGTCAACGGTCCTCCTCCGACAGTTCATTCAATCCTCCAACTCTGCAGTCTCACCTTCATAACCTTAAGTCCGCTCCCTTTTTGTTATTACACCCTCTGAATACCTCAGGAAAGAACACCCCTCACCTCTCATCCCCTACAAAAGTCTCTACTTTCAACCAACAACAACCCTCCAAAAAAAAAAATGACACTCCCAGACGCCACTTCCTCCCCTCAAGCCCTACTGTGGAACGCCTTCCGCACAAACGGAGCCTCAGACGAAGACCTCTACCTCCCCGACACTCACATCGTCTTCCTCCCCACGGGTGCAGGAGCCGCAGGCGAAGCTCAAGTTCGCGAATTCTACAAGGCGGGTGGGTTCTCTCACCCAAAGAAACTTGCTGTGGAGGAGACGGTTATCCACAGAACTGTGGGAGAATCCTCGGCGGTGGATGAGGTTGAGGTGACAGTCAAGTTTGTCTCGGGTTCTGGGGGGTGGTTGTTGCCCAGTGTTGAGCCGCATCATTTGGAGGATCTTACGATTACTTTTCCTATGGTAAGCACAAGCAAGCAGAGGGAGAAAAATGAGGAGAGAAAATGGCGTTTTATGTTCATGGCGTCTGGAGTAAAAAGGAAAGGGGTCGTGGGTCTTTTTGTTTTGTAACGACTAAAAAACGCAGGGGAAGAGGAAAGGAGAAGTGGCGGTCGTGAGTGATTTTTTCTTTTGGTCCTTTTACCGCCTATTTTTTTAATCTGCAAAAGAAGATTAGACGAGAGAGAAATGAAGTGGTGTGCATGTCAATATGCAAGCAAACATGGACCATGGGAAAAACTCCTTTTGCACACACGAGGGATAGAAGGAAGAAGTTTTGGGCGGGTTGCTATGGACGGAGCGGAGTAAAGTAAAGAGTGAAGGGAAATAATCCGTCATGTCAGCAAGAATCCCATGAGCCGCCAGCTTGAGCAAACAAAGAAACAAATTGTGGGAGTGAAGGGGAAGAGGTGTGAGTTTAATATGAGGATTAATGGCAATGAACGAGAGCCCTCTCACGTCTGGGTTCCTGTTCGCTTTGCCGTTTCTGTCGGTTTGTTGGGCTGAACTGTAAAAAGTATAGTGGACGAAGAGCGAAGAAGAGTATTCCGCCCTCCCAGGGTCCCTCCTTGCTCATGATTCGATTCAACTTCGTTTTAATTGCTCAATTGGTTTTAATTTTCTAATCGATCGAGCAAGTCAACACACCCTCGCAGTCCACTCCTTCCAGACCTTTCAACTAAACCGACCCTTGTGCACTTTGCTTAGGTGATTTGCGGGTCTATCGTCGACAACCGTATTGCCAGTGTCCGCTACATCTGGGACAATGCCAGCGTCCTCAAGATGGTCCGTCTCATCGGTTCCCGCCACTCATGGCCAATTGTTGCTGAGACCCAGGTGGACGCCCTCAGGAACCCAACTCGCTTCCGCCTCAACCCTTTTGGCAATCCTACTACGGCTGCTGGAAACCGCGCCCAGATTAACAACGTAAGAAAAGCTCATCAATTGCGCTTGTTGCTGTTATATCGAGTTGGCGACTATTTGCAAGATCAAACAAACCCATCCCAATACTGGAACCATTTTTGCACTGATTAGATCTCGAACATCTTCAGCCCTCCAGTGTCGCCTCATCAGATCTCGGCTGCTCAACAGCAAAAGAAGGGCCATCCCGCCTTGACCTCGCAGATCTTCAGTCAACAACAGCAACAACCACAGGCGGCCTCCCCTCCAGCATCAGCAGGACAGTCAGAAAAGAAGGGCCACCCAGCCTTGACATCGAGTCTCTTTGACCATTGGAAGAATGCCCCTCAGGAGGACCAGTCCCAACTTAAGAACAACAGCCGTCCTCCCTTGAGCCCCTCCGTCTCTGACGAATCTTTGGCGAACAAGGCTTCTTCCCCCACCTCTTTCCAGAACAACAGCAACATCCCTGCTGGAAAGAAAGGTCACCCTGCCTTGACTTCAACTCTGTTCAGCCACTTGAAGGATGCAGCATTTGACCAGTACGGCGATCGGGAGAGAAACAACAGCAACAGAAACCGCGATCGTTCTCTCAGCGGAGGAAACGATGACACGACTCAGCAAGTTCACGCCCTGACCAGCGCCCCAGCCCCTGCAGGCAAGAAGGGACATCCATCTCAAACTTCGACACTGTTTAACCACCTCAAGGACCCACAGCAGCAGCAACCTGCTCCTCGCGCCACTAGACAGGAGCAACAGCAGCAACAGGAAGTTGACCAAGAACGTCCTGCAGGATGGAGATCCGACTATGTCAAGCCCAAGGGACACCCCGCCTTGACTTCGACCATCTTTTCGCAAGCCCCTCCTCCACCCAATCCAGCCCTCAGCAGGCCCTACAAGAAGACTAGCCACAACATCTTTGGACCTCCCCCTGTCGAAAAGTCTACCCCTGTTGCCGTCGCGGCTGCAGCACCAGTAGCAGCAGAGAAGTATTCATTGGAGCCCTCAGCATTGGAGGCAGAACTGGGGCGCAACGAAGAGCAGCAACAAGAGTTGAAGGAGTTGATTGTAAACCCCTCGGACTTGACGGCAGAGGACTTGGAGAAGCAGGTTCTGGAGCTTGAGAAATTGAAGATCCAGGAGGAGCAGTACCAGGCTCAGCAGGCTTTGGAGGCTGCTGCTGCTGCTGCTGCTGCACAGAAGTCTGAGCCTGCTGTTGTTGAGCCCACCCCTGCACCTGCACCTGCACCCGTCTCGGCTGGTCGTAAGATTCATCCCAACTACCGTTCATCCTTCACCATTGGTGGTCCGCGATAGGAGTGACTGGACGCGTACTATTTTCATCTATTTTTCACTCACACATGAACCCTTTACACCCAAACAACTAAAATATGACAAACGGGACCATCCCCTACGACTTTCTTTTTTCTCTTAAGATACCACTTGCTGCTAGCAACAACAACAACTCTTTTTAACTATCCGAATAAAAACAGCCTTTTTTCGACAATTCTTTGTTCGACTTTCTTATGCATGACTGTGTACTTCCCATACTTGGCTGCTCAGGAAAAAAAGCTTTGAACCCAGCCTCTCGTTAGCAAAATTGTATTTTAGCGGACGAGGTAGCTGGGTTCAGAGCTTCCTCGGGAAATAAAAAAGTTAAAAAAAATTGGTGGCGCCATTCCACCACTCCAAATTTTAGTAGTGCAGCAAACTTTTTTTGTACGTTTTTTCTATGCCAGCCTCAAGACGATCTTCACAACTTACCCTCCACCCATTACTCATATCCCAGTCCGAGTAACACCCTGAAGAAGTATCTGATTCTCACTTATCGAACCGCATCAAGGAAGAGATATTTTTACCAAAGTACAAAAGTTTATTGCTGGAAGCGTGGGGCTCAAAGGTCAAAGTCGACGTAAGGATCTTCCAAGTCGTCGTACTCATACTTGGCGCTCTGGACCTCTCTGATTTCTTCCTCTTCCTGAGCGGGGGCGTCCTTCCTCTTGTTCTCGCTGACGGGTGGGTGTGTAGGGTGTGTAGAAAACACCCTCGTCCAACTTGGTTGGGCAATGGCCAATCACGACGAAGCACTCGAGGGCTATACGATTAGACGTCGGCCGTTCACGAGGATCAAGACGCAATAGTTTCCTGAGCAAGGCCTGTGAATCAGGGATAAGCCTCTTGGTAGGATCCTTACTGGCCCCATTCTCAAGCAGGACGTTCTCCAACTGGTTGGGGAAGACATGAGATCTATGAAGTCAATACATAAATCGTTAGTTAGGACTACCATTTCAGCTTTGCACATTGCATGCTGAGCATAAAGCAGCATTGTTAAACCTATTCCTTACAGTGTCGTGATGAACGGCCGGAACCCCAAGAGCATCATGTACACGATGCATCCGAAGCTGAAAACATCCATCTTGTATGTATGGGGCATCCCGTTCACCACCTCTGGAGCAATGAAATTGTTGGTTCTGACGCACCCCTTGACCCTGCGGCTCAGGTCGTGCCGCTCCGCCAATCCCAAGTCGCCAACTCGGACCTGCATATCAGAGGTAATAAGAACGTTCTCAGGTTTGAGATCGCAGTGGATAACCGTTTTCTCGTGCAAGTGCGCGATTCCTGCGGCGATCCCCAATCCAAAGTAACTGACCTCCGGATAGGTGAGGTGGCCTCGGTTGCGGATAAGATCGAAAAGATCCTATATGTGATCAATAGGAGAGGATGATGGCTCTGTTAGGTCTGGTTGGACGGCGCAAAACTTTCATTAATTGTAGTCAAAACCTATGCAACTCGCTCTCATTTCGGTTTTGCATGTTTATACAGCTATTAGCTTACCAGCGGGCGACAGAGTTCAAAAAGTGGAAACTTTCCGCTTGGGTCGTTGACAAGCCCGAAATACTTGACGATGTTGTCATGTTTTCCTGCGGCGTCAAACATGTTGATCTCGCGCTGGAACTATTAGCGGAGATAAGGGTAGGGACGCGCCATAATGAGTATAGGTATTGTTCACGGATATGCCTTCAACAAACATCAGACATGTCAACTTACGTTTCTTCCAGAGACACCGTTCTTGAATGTCCTCAGCGCGTACGCCTTCCCATCATTATTAACAACCCTGTATACCACACCGAATCCACCCTATTATTTCAATTGAATATCACATCGGTTAATGCCTCAGTCTGAAGAAAAACCAAAGGTCTGACTTGTACTGTTCATTTTCTCTTGACAATGGTTACCTTTCCGAGAGTATCATTCTTCTTGTATCTTTCGCCAGTGACTTGGTCAACGAAGTACGAACGCGGTTCCACAGACTACAAGCTGGAAAGTGCAAGTAGAAAGATCATTTAGTCAGTGCTATGTCCAAAAGGTTGTAAGCCGAGGATTCGTGCTCGTCCTCGTCCTCGTCAGCATCTGGGATTGAGATGCGCCAAAGGGTGAGTTTGTTTGCATCAACGTGCTCGAAATCCACGGGCAAAGCTGACATAATCCTTCAGTTATTTCCTATCTAGCAAGGAAATAAATATATTGATTTGATGTCGTTTCTTTCTAATATTTGACCTTTTTAATATTTGATAGCCTTTTTAACCTTCCTACCCACTCCTCCTTTTTCATCACCATTTCTCGCTTTTTTCTTCATCACTTACCATCCTTACTCTGTAATCTTCTCTCCCTCTTTCTCTTCGACAAATCAAATCAGCCGGGTATACAACAGGTAAATGATATCATTTCATAGTCTTCAATGACTCAATGCCTTGCTGAACAACACCTTGCCAATGCGTTGCCTTCTCGACGTGGGGGATTTACAAGCAAGTTGGGTCGCCCGTGCGGAAGGAATGTGGTCTGGTGGTCGGCCGTCGTTACGCCCAGATCGCTTCGTAGGCCCTGGGACTTTCATCGCCTGATAAAGCGAGGCTTTGCGCCTGTAGTTTAGATGGCTATGTATCGTAACCATTGATAATTAATTCTCGATTGACAACTTGCTGTTAGAGCGGATTACATCTAGGAAACATGTCACTCAACGTGGAGAATTCGGACCATCTCGCATGGGCTATCAAGAAAGGGACATCGAGCACGTGTCTATGGCGGGCTTTGCGACAAAGTTTGAATACCATGACCGAGAGACAGCAGAACGCGACTATCGCGCTCTTATCAAGATCCCCAATCTGTCACAAAAGCGTCGCCAACGGTTGTTCGCCAACATGACAACATTCAACGCGAACAGAGCCGACGGATTTTGGGCCAAGCGTGCAACCATTGCCCAGGCGGGCGTGTTGGCAATGAAGGCTGCCGCTGTGAGCATGGAGGTTGGTCACCACCAATCCAAAGCCATCTATCAGGAGTACCTTCCGCCGCAAGGAGTTGTTGAGCCTAATGATGATGACGCTGAGGATGGGGATGAGGATGGGGTTGAGGATGAAGCTGAGGCTGGGGATGAAGATGAAGATGAGGCTGAGGATGAAGATGAAGATGAGGCTGAGGATGAAGAGGAGGAGGAGGCTGAGGCTGAGGCTGAGGCTGAGGCTGAGGATGTGGATGAAGATGAGGATGGAGGCAGTGCCGACGAGGCCGAGGAAGATTTCTTCAACGCCGAATAAATGTCTAGACTATTGGCCAATATTGCCAAGGCCCAACATCCCACATGCATGGTATGTCATGTGATATGCAATGATCAACTTTGGCGAGCTGAAGGAATGCGTCTGAGATCTAATATTTTTGAGAATAGGAGAGCCAAAGCCGTTGAAAACAGGAAAGATATTGCTGTTGAAGCCAGGAGAACTATTGCCATTGGAGATATTAGGGCTGTCGTCGCTGTTCGTGGAAAGAGCGTTTGCTGTTGAGAACATGGGTGGTGAGGACAGGAGTGGTTGTTGAGGGCATGTTCCCGTTGATTTCATTCTTGGAACTGTCGTTTGAGGGTCGGGTTTCGTTGTTGCTGTGGCAGTTGGACATGACAGGTATCTCGAAGAAAATAAAAACGCAAACAGGGTAAGGAGAAAGAAACAGCGCCTTCCTTTATTTATGGGGGATGATGGATGAGAGTGGCTTGAGCTTCTTGCCCTCCTGTTCTCTCTAATATGGATGAACAGGAATGAAGTAGGGTTCTGTGGACGTGGTGGCGATGGGAAAATGAATTGTTGATAGAGGTCGTATCTTGTACGTGACGTTTATGCATATCCTTGTTCCCAAGGCTATTGATTTTCAGCGGGGTTGGAGGCTCTTCCTCTCTTCTGTCTCTTACAAGTTCATGGGTTGACAGGTCTACTTCCATTGGTGCTACTTTTCTGCTTCACCCATAGTCATTTCTTCCCTCCCTCTTCATGACATTCATTCTCTTTGCTTCCGTTCCCACAGAATCATCTTCGTCATTTCCTTCCTTATTCTTATTACCACAAAGAAAAACAAAACATACACGTATACTCCTTCCTTCTTTCTCCCTTTCACTCGTTGCCAACACAGAACGCATTTTGTTTTCCTTTACCGCCTGTCCGTCCAACCACCCGCCACAATCAAGTATGTCGCTGCAAGATGCGAATGAACGTGCAAGTCGATGCAGGACGTCCATATATGGATCCTAACCATCGTTTTCTTTGATAATTTCCTTTAGTCTATTGTCCTGTACCGCCTGTAGACAACAACACACATTCTTCTCCACTTTTCCCGGGTCTCCGAGCCCGGGTTGGTATGTTCATTTGGAAAAGAGACGCGTAGCTGCTTCTGTCGTTGTTCAATATCGAGTACATGCCAGTTGCCGCCAAAACATAGTCCAACTACAAACTAACCGCTCCCCTTTATTTATTATTTTCTCGCCAGGCGTCTTCGTCCTTTTTCCTCCCTCTCTCGCACCGCGCCATACTCTCTCTCGCCATCATCCCTAGTTGGTATGTACCAAGGTCTCAGGATGTAGGCTGACTTTGTTGGTGTAGGGAAGTGCATGCGTAAACTCTTTTTTTGCTTGGGAAAAGCCAGCAATCCGTGTGGTCCAAACTAACAGTGATCTCTCTTTTTTGCTTCCTTCCCTTTGCTGCTTCAAGTGCTCCTGCTCTAAGAAAGTCAAGTGAAGCGTCTCCTTGGTACGTGTATGCGTTGTTAGAATCAAGACACAGATGATACTGCATGCACGAAGAGTGTGAGACACGACCTTTTGCCACCAAAGCATGCAATGCAGCAAGGGCATCAAGACACAGTTGTTACCGGGTGCATGCCATGCATGGACAGTGTGGGAAACAAGCATAGTGCACATGCCATTGTTGCCTATTGTTGTAGGGTAGCAAAGTACAGAAAAAACCATACTCAAAGTATCAAGTTATTGTCATCTGACTTATTCAAAAGACCCTCTTGGTGTACTAGACGATACACCAGCAAAGCTCAAATAGCTATCTTGACTAGCGGTAGGGCTGACTTAACCAGATAGGCGGGGGTGACTTCTTTGGAATGAAGGAGTCAGGGCCTTATTGTTATTGAATGAGTATGGAGACGCTTGCCGATGCTGCCTTTGCTCATGAATATCATAGCCCTCTCCGTCCATTCTGAATTCCTGAACATATCATCGCGCAGCCCTCAACCGTTTCCTCCAAACGACGAATCATATTGACACATTTCCAAATGACTTATCATAGATAAAATAGACTGCATCTGATCCTGCGTAGGTTGATTCTCTAAACCTATTAGTAGATGAACAATCCAACGCTTACTGAATTCTGCGTCAGTATGATAGGAAGAGTAGACATCGAAGGATCAAAAAGCAACGTCGCTTTGAACGCTTGGCTGCCAGTTATTGTATCCTTAGTTAAATTTTCTGGTACCTTTTCCAAACCTTATTTCTCCAACTGAACGTCCGCAAGACATCCTCTTTATCGTTTGATGGACGTCCCCTTTATCATTTGACGGATGTCCGCAAGACGTCTTCTCATTACCAAATTCTGAGGAGATTAAGAACTTAACTGATCTTGGTGACGTCCTCAAAGATACAAATAAAATTTTCTGCGCGGCGGTTGTTGACATGGCAGAAATGTCCATCACTTTTCCTTTTCACTTTTACCACCATGCTGATTAAAGTCACCATTCTGACAGACAGGGCGGCATTGCCTGAGGCCGATGACGGCGTGCTCAAGATTGAAGATGAAGAATCGTTCCACGCCAACCCATTCTACACCTGCGAGACGACTGATCTGGGAAAGACGATTGAGCAGTTTGCGATTAACGAGCAGTGGCAGCCAGTACAGGATGACAACGATCCCCGGTTTCGCGTGTTTGACGAACCTCCAGGCACCCCACGTCCGCCATGGTTGCCAGAATTCATGGTCTATGCGCGTAAGCGGCGGTCTAACTACAAGAAGGCGGTCAGCGAAGGCAGATGGGTGAGAGCTCAAAGGCAGTGCCTCAAGACACTTGTTCTTCGCTTTTTCGATGTATCGAACGCAGCACAGTCGAAACAAGCACTCCTGAGAGCGTCTGTCGTGTTTGGTTGTTTCCTTCTCTGTTACAGAAGGTCCTTGGGTGCGATGACCAATATGGTCCACCATCTGTCGTCGTCATGTCCTCTTAGTGCATCGGCTAGAACCTCCGCTGCGAGATCTAGCATTCAAGCTGCGGATACTGCTGTACCTTTGAACTCCAACAGACCAGATAGAGCCATAACCGAAGGAGATTTGGCAATAGTCGTCCGGAACCAACAGACACTTATGACGGCTATAAACAGGATCAGCAAGGCAGTCATTCGGAATGAGCTCGGGCTTTTTTCCGAAGACAAAGAAGGTTTTGCAAGCACTCTGTTCAATGACACAACGAGCTCTCCCTCTGCCAGCAGGAATGAGAATGAAGCACTTTTTGATGACAATGACAAGATTGGCGAACACAGTCGATCAGGAAAGAGAAGACGACAGCACCCCTTGTAGTGCTTTGTAGTGCTGCAGCAGTCTTATATAAAAAGCAAAAAGCTTCTCACCTTCTTCCTCCCCCATCAGTCTCCTTTCTCGTCCCCCCTTTCGCCTTTTGTTCACCACCTCGAGTCCACTCATACCTTCTAGCATTCATCCCTTTATCTCCACAACTTCTACTCCGCATTCCATTTCTTTCGCCTCTATTCGAAAACAACAGGCAAGCAATGGCATGCAGAAGGAACGTACACCGCTCTTATTCGTAATTATGTTCTCGTTGTCATACATCTATCTCTCTGAACAATACAAACGTGGAGGAAAGGGGTGGTATCCTTCTCTAATAGATGTGTCGGGGTAAACCATATGGGATCCTCCAGAAAGATCATTCTTCGTTAGTGTTTCTTTTTAGAGTGGAACTCGGCCATATGGTTGGCGTGCCTCTAAAAACGCCGTTTGTTCTTATGCGTACCCCAAACCATTTATTCCCGCTTCAAAAAAGTGGTGGCTATGTAATGCGTTGACCACTGCTCAACAAGTATCTGCATTATATTGTGAGTTCCTCCGGGGTTCTATGGGCTCATCGGAGCACTACCGATGAACAAAGCCGCTGCAATCCCTTGACAGGCTTAGGATACAATAGACTAGGATCTTGCATCTATCCCCCTCCTTTGTATTGTTGCGGGTGGTTGGATTTGATATGACGCTTCTCGGACCACTGACCAGTTTTTCTCTTGTTTTTATTTTTCCTCCCTTGTTAATGCGATCAACCACAACATACATGGATATTAGAATTGGGTGTTGACTGTCAGGACAATTGGGTCAAGGCAATAGGCTGAGAGGAAGCGGGGTTGTATTTGCATATACATGCGGCTGTTGCTTGTCTTCGTGGAGCCAATGTCCAATGACCCCAACAAAGGCACCAGGATCATAGGAGGCAGATTTATTTTTTCAATAAGGCTTGGTTGTGTTCTTTAATGAATTGGAGAGGTGGCATGTGGCCAACAAGGATTTCATTCGAGAAGGACAAAGTCGGTCGCACCAACAGAGAATGCGATGTACTTTCAGAGGATGACAAGAGGACTTTTTTATTGTTGTGTTTGACGATCCAGCGTCATTTTTTGTGTAAATAATAAAGAGTGTGAAGAACGAACCGTCGTGGTGGCAAAGTGCTCATAATAGTTCACATGCGTAGGAGGGGTGACGGTCGAGGCGGATAGGCATGGGAGTGTATATAGATAGTTGCTTGTCATTCAACCGCGCCATTTTCTCAGCGACTTAGAAGACAGAGAGGCAGTTAGCGGTCTTGGCGGTAGAGGGGTCAAGCTGGTTCAATGCCCATCGCAGAGCGATCTTGGAGTTGATAATGGTGACTAAGTTGTGCGCGAAAACAAAAATATGGAAAAACACCGAAGTTAGTCGTGTGCGAATCAAGTACTTTTGCTGTTGTTGCATCGCACTAAACCAGATAAGAAACTTACTGTGCTCGTTAAGGGCAAGCAGGCAAAGGTCTTGGAGGAGGGTGTTGGTGACTCCGGGGGCGTCTTGGTAGCAAGTCTCCCAGGGGGTCACGACCTCATCGTAGCGGGTTGCAATGTTGGATTGAATCACGCCAGGGGAAGTGTCTCCGCCAGCGTTCAGCTTCTGCATAAAGGGCGATCCGACAACTAATGTAACGTTCATGAACGGAGAGGAGGAAAAAAGGAAAATATGTAAGAAACAAGTTCATCTTGGACGACCAACGTGTGAGAGGTCAAGAATAGAATATCGGCGTACTCATCTGGTAGAGGGCGGGGGCGACGGCGTCAAAGAGTGGCTGGGCGGGGTTTAAGAGATGAAGGGCGCTGGCGAAGGTGGTGATTCCGTCCAAGGTGGTTCCATGCTGGATGGGCGAGATACCGATCATTCTACGAGACGGCGAAACAAAAATAAACACCAGGCACCAGTAAGTAAAAACTGACGCGTGAACTACAATCAATCAAAATGTTACATGTCACTTACCGGTTGATCTTTCCAGCTCCATCGAGGTACTTGATCCAATAGCGACCCAGAATTCCACCCTGAGAGTGACCAATGTAGTCGAGCTGGGTGGCGTTCATCCTGGTCAGGACATCGTTGGCAAAGTTGGCGACCTCCTGAGCATTGTCCTCAATGGGTGCAATGCCTCCGAAAAGAGGGATATTCTTGTACTTTCCGTAAGTCTGTCCAAAGACGCAGTAGCCTTCCTTGATGAGGAGAGGTGCCCAGGTTGACCAAGAGTCCACGGTCAAAGTCGTACCGTGGACTAGCAACAGAGGCCTAGGTTAATGTCAATCGAAGGAAGATCGGTCAGTCATCTCAACACATTGTGGACGAATGCCAGGAGCGGTCAGTTCACTTTCTCCGACTGGTACCTAGGATGGGCAGGTGTCAGCTTGCAGGCATAGTTGTTAAGGCCTTCGATGTCACGCTTCTGGATCTCGACGGGTGTAGGGATGGCGGCAGCCTGAACGGAGGAAAAGATGGTGAGGGCAGCAGAGGCAGTGCTGAGAACGGAGGCGATGGAGAACTTCATCTTGAGATTAGAGGCGCGTTTTTTTTTTGGGTTGGAGAGAGGGAAGGAGACTGTTCGAAGAAGTGGGTGGCTATGGTGTGTTTGTCTGGTGGATTGAGGAGGAAGTGGAAAGTCTGTGCAATGAAGAAAACCCTTTGAAAACTGAAGGAATGCCTTGTCTATTTGTACTGTTTTACTAGTTCATACCCTTTGGCGGAAAGCATTGAAAACAACGAAGAAGGCCACAAATTTGCTTTTGGTGAAGCCTGTTCGTACCGTACCTGATTTTGGCGCTTAGATAGCCATCTGCGCGGAGAGTGAAAAGAAAAAAATATTAATTGTGTATGTAGCTATCTTGCTCATGGGTGACGGATAAAGTGACAATTGGAGGGTACCTAGGTTGAGGTTGGTGGCGAAGACTGGAGGGCTAATAGAACAAGTTTTGTTGATGTCACGAGTAATAGAAAGTCAAGGGACGCATAACCTACTGAAATGAGTTGAAGATGGTTGGAAGAACGTCTCATGGAGAAGAGGGAAGTTAACGTTGAACCCCCTTTCTCTCTCGTAGGTGCAATGAAAGACATGAAATGGCGATGACAAATAAAAAAAAAAAGGTTTTCAATGGGTGGTGAACGATGATTGAACCCGCACGGACGCTACAGCAAGACAACGGGTACAATGCTCTTTTTTGATGATGGAGATTCGAGTAAAGTGACAGAATTAGAGATGTGACATTGCGTGGCTTCTTTCCTGCTGGAAGAGAGCGTTCAGACATGTAGGAATGGACTTTTGCCGTTTGGACCTACATCTGCAATTGATAAAGAGGGTGCATTTTGCGCCTCGTCTTGACCTGCATGACAGGGCATCATGCACAATGTGCAAAGGGTTAGATCTAAGGATTTCAGCTAGAGAAAATACGATGACAAACAAAAAAAAAACAAGCTGAGCAATAAAGAAACCAAAGCAACGACAACAACAAAACGGTTTAAAAAGTTGAGGTTGAGATTAATTAGGCATCACATGGAGACATCAGCTATCCGAAAATGCATGCCTATGTTCGCGGTCTCTTTCCCTCGTCCGGCTCCCTCTGCCAACAAAGCTGGATTTTTTTTCTCAAGGGTCATTTGATACATCCATGTCACCAAAAAATACTCATTGTTTTTTTCTCCACATCAAATCTTTCTTTCTCCACAAACTATTGCCTGACCACCCATAGTTAGAATGTGTGTACGTGAAAAACATGACTGAAAAAACAAACATTGCTTTTCAAGCGTTACCACTCCCTTGTTGCTCTTGACGAGAAGAAGAGGACCACGCGATCCGCTTCTCGATCCCTCTTTTCTTCATCAAGATACGGTCTTTTACATCGGCCTCATCCTGACTTTAACTCTCTTTTTTCTCGAGATTCCACACACACTTTTTTTTCACTGCCACTGAGGTGATATTCAAGAAGGCTTCCTTTAGGCAACTAGCTTGTTCTTTTTGCTCTGTCGCACCTCCTTGTCATGGGCGTGGAGTTTCGTTTTGCATGAATTAGCCATCATCGCTTTTTTGCCACCAGGGTGTTATTCAGCGACCTGTTTCTGTTTTTGCCATTCCCGGTCATTAACATGAAAAGTGGATGATGGAGAGGGCAAGGAGAGCTACACGGAAAAGAAAGGGGGGGGGGGCAGTACAACTCCCCCACATCCTAACTATGGGTGGTCGGGCAATAGTTCGAATAGAGGAGATGTGAAGTTTTGCGGGTAGGTGCTGTCAGAATACAGCTACCTTTGAACTCACATCTGTGTGATCTCGACAGACTAATAAAACAACATCTTTCAAAAGAGTACCGAGAAGGAAGAAAGCACGAGAAAAATAAAGATGAAAAGAAAGGGAAATGGTCTTGTGGGAATGGAAGCAAAGAAAATGAATGGCATGAAGAAGGAGGGGAGAAAAGACTATGGGTGAAGCAGAAAAGTAGCATAAATGGAGGTAAACCTGTCAACCCATGAACTCGTAAGAGACAGAAGAGAGGAAGAGCCTCCAACTCCGCTGAAAATCAATAGCCTTGAGAACAAGGACATGCATAAACGTCATGTACAAGATCCAACCTTTGTCAACAGTTCATTTTCCCATCGCCACCACGTCCACAGAACCCTACTTCATTCCTGTTCATCCATATTAGAGAGAACAGGAGGGCAAGAAGCTCAAGCCACTCTCATCCATCATCCCCCATAAATAAAGGAAGGCGCTGTTTCTTTCTCCTAACCCCGTCTGCGTTTTTATTTTCTTCGAGATACCTGTCATGTCCAACTGCCACAGCAACAACGAAACCCGACCCTCAAACGACAGGTCCAAAAACGAAATCAACGAGAACATGCCCTCAACAACCACCCCTCAACAACCACCCCTCAACAACCACCCCTCAACAACCACCCCTCAACAACCACCCCTGTCCTCACCACCCATGTTCTCAACAGCAAACGCTCTTTCCACGAACAGCGACGACAGCCCTAATATCTCCAATGGCAATAGTTCCCCTGGCTTCAACAGGAATGCCTTTCCTGTTTTCAACGGCTTTGGCTCTCCTATTCTCAAAAATATTAGATCTCAGACGCATTCCTTCAGCTCGCCAAAGTTGATCATTGCATATCACATGACATACCATGCATGTGGGATGTTGGGCCTTGGCAATATTGGCCAATAGTCTAGACATTTATTCGGCGTTGAAGAAATCTTCCTTGGCCTCGTCGGCACTGCCTCCATCTTCATCCACATCCTCAGCCTCATCCTCATCTTCATCTTCATCAGGCTCAACAACTCCTTGCGGCGGAAGGTACCCCTGATAGATGGCTTCGGATTGGTGGTGACCAACCTCCATGCTCACAGTGGCAGCCTTCATTGCCAACACGCCCGCCTGGGCAATGGTTGCACGCTTGGCCCAAAATCCGTCAGCTCTGTTCATGTTGAATGTTGTCAGGTTCCTTACTGGCCTCGTTCTCGAGCAGGACGCTCTCCAACTGGTTGAGAAAGACATGATTCCTATGAAGTCAATATATAAAACGTTAGTTAACTTTCCATTTCACCTTTGTACACTGCATGCTCTGCATAAGGCAGCATTATTATACATATTCCTTACAGAGTCGTGATGTTGGGCTAAGACCCAAGAACATCATGTACACGATGCATCCGAAACTGAATGTGTCCATCGCGTGTGTGTGAGGCATCCCGTTCACCACCTCTGGAGCAATGAAATTGTTGGTCCCAACGCACCTTGAACCCGCGGCTCAGGTCGTGCCGCTCCGCCAATCCCAGGTCGCCAACTCGGACCTGCATGTCCGAGGTAATAAAATCGTTCTCAGGTTTGAGACCGTAATGGATAACTTTTTTTCTTGAGCAAGTGTGCGAGACCTGCGGCGATCCCTAATCCAAAACAACGGACCTCAGTTTGGTTGCGGATAAGATCGAAAAGGTCCTATATGTGATCAATAGGAGAGGATGACAGTTCTGTCAAGTCGGGTTGGTCGGCGCAAGACTTCCATTAATTGTAGTCAAAAGCAGCTCACTCTCATTTCGTTATTGCATGGTTATGCAACTGCTAGCTTACTAGCGGGCGACAGAGTTCAAAGGGTGGAAACTTTCCGCTTGGGTCGTTGACAAGCCCGAAATACTTGACGATGTTGTCATGTTTTCCTGCGGCGTCCAACATGTTGATCTCGCGCTGGAACTATTAGCGGAGATAAGAGCAGGGACGCGCCATAATGAGTACAGGTATTGTTCACGGATATGCCTTCAACAAACATCAGACATGCCAACTTACGTTTCTTCCAGAGCCATCGTTCTTGAATGACTTCAGCGCGTACGCCTTCCCATCATTATTAACAACCCTGTATACCACACCGAATCCACCCTATTATTTCAATTGAATATCACATCGGTTAATGCCTCAGTCTGAAGAAAAACCAAAGGTCTGACTTGTACTGTTCATTTTCTCATCACAGTGGTTACCTCTCCGAGAGTATCATCCTTCTTGTATCTTTCACCAGTGACTTGGTCAACAAAGTACGAACTTGATTCCCCGGACTACAAGGTTGGGAAGTGCAAGGATGGAGTAGAAAGTTGAATCTGTCAGTGCTACATTCAAAAGGTTGTAAGCCGAGGATTCGTGTTTAATGGCAACATGGACGTTTGATACTAACCTCCTCGGTCACTTTCGCCTTGACCTTGTTAGAGTGCCTCATTGGTTCATTGAGTTTCCAGCCAGATCCACCAGGCGTGCGAACAATTGGCACTGGACTGTTCGACAACAATCTTCTGGTTGGAGTGACAGATCTGGGGAGTGACTGGATGTGGTCGGAAAGTTCAGGTAGGAGCAGGCTGCCGGTGGGAGGAGTGATGATGATGAGGGTACTCTGAGCTGTTGCCGGGGACAACGTGGCTCTCGTTGCTGCCGTCAGGAAGGCTGTCGATGCTGGCGACGATAGGACTGCCGCTGCCGAAGACGAGTGGACCGTCGCTGTTGAGAATAGGAGAGCCGAAGCCGTTGAAAACAGGAGAGGCATTGCTGTTGAGGCCAGAAGAATAGATGCCATTGGAGATAGCAAGGCTGTTGTAGCTGTTCGTGGATGGAGAGGTTTTGCTGTTGAGAATATGGATGGTGAGGACAGGGATGGTGGTTGGGCGTATGTTTCCGTTCATATCGTTCTTGGGACTGTCGTTTGAGGGTCGGGTTTCGTTGTTGCTGCTGTGACAATTGGACATGGCAGGTATCTCGAAGAAAATAGAAACGCAAACGGGGTAAGGAGAAAGAAACAGCGCCCTCCTTTATTTATGGGGGATGGCAGATCTGTGGACGTGTGGTGATGGGAGGGGGAGGGGATTGTTGACAAAAGTTGCATGTTGTACGTGAAGTTTATGCCTGTCCTTGATTACAGGGCATTTGATTTTCTTCTGCAGCAGCGCGTCTTTTATTTTTTTTTCTTTCGTCTTTTTTTACTACATTTTGGTTTCTCAAATTGTCTGTAGGGCAACGCACAATGAGGGGTTGGGAGGCTCTTCTTCTTCACTGTCCCTCTCTTTCGAGTTCATGGATTGACAGGTCTACTTCCATTGATGCTACTATTCTGCTTCACCCATAGTCTTTTCTCCCCTCCCTCTTCATGCCATTCATTCTCTTTGCTTCCGTTCCCACAGGATCATTTTCGTCTTTTTCTTCCTTATCCAAACACACTTAAATGCACAGGCCAGAGAGGGCCAATCAAACCACCAAGGACAATCGATAACCGTCCGTTCTCCATGTCATCATCATCAACCCCCTGAATTATTACTTTCCTTTCCGACTTCTTTTCCGTGTCCTTCCTTTCAATTAACAGAGGTTACGCTTGGACATATTTATTTTTCAATAAGGCGAATTGGAGAGGTGATATGGCCAACAAGGATTTCATTTGAGAAGGACAAGGTTGCACCAACAGGGAGCGCAGACCGAAATTCGTGGCGATATACTTTCAGAGGATGACAAGAGGGCTTTTTTATTGTTGTGCTTGACGATCCAGCGTCATTTTTTTGTGTAAATAATAAAGAGTGTGAAGAACGAACCGTCGTGGTGGCAAAGTGCTCATAATAGTTCACATGCGTAGGAGGGGTGACGGTCGAGGCGGATAGGCATGGGAGTGTATATAGATAGTTGCTTGTCATTCAACCGCGCCATTTTCTCAGCGACTTAGAAGACAGAGAGGCAGTTAGCGGTCTTGGCGGTAGAGGGGTCAAGCTGGTTCAATGCCCATCGCAGAGCGATCTTGGAGTAGATAATGGCCACTAAGTTGTGCGTGAAAACAAAAGATGGAGAAACACGGAAGTTAGTCGTGTGCGAATCGAGTACTTTTGCTGTTGTTGTATCGCACTAAACCAGATAAAGAACTTACAGTGCTCGTTGAGGGCAATCGGGCAAAGGTCTTGGAGGAGGGTGTTGGTGACGCCGGGGGCGTCCTGGTAGCAAGTCTTCCAGGGGGTCACGACTTCATCGTAACGGGTTGCAATGTTGGATTGAATCACGCCAGGGGAAGTGTCTCCGCCAGCGTTCAGCTTCTGCATAAAAGGCGATCCGACAACTAATGTAGCGTTCATGAACGGAGAGGAGGAAAAAAGGAAAATATGTAAGAAACAAGTTCATCTTGGACGACCAACGTGTGAGAGGTCAAGAATAGAATATCGGCGTACTCATCTGGTAGAGGGCGGGGGCGACGGAGTCAAGGAGTGGTTGACCGGATTTCAGGATATGAAGGGCACTGGCGAGGGTGGTGACTCCATCCAAGGTGGTTCCATGCTGGATGGGCGAGACACCGATCATTCTACGAGACGGCGAAACAAAAACAAACGCCAGTAAGTAAAACTGACGCGTGAACTACGATCAATCAAATGCTATATGTCACTTACCGGTTGATCTTTCCAGCTCCATCGAGGTACTTGATCCAATAGCGACCCAGGATTCCACCCTGAGAGTGACCAATGTAGTCGAGCTGGGTGGCGTTCATCCTGGTCAGGACATCGTTGGCAAAGTTGGCGACTTCCTGAGCACTGTCCTCAATGGGTGCAATGGCTGCGAGAAGAGGGATATTCTTGTACTTTCCGTAAGTCTGTCCAAAGACGCAGTAGCCTTCCTTGATGAGGAGAGGTGCCCAGGTTGACCAAGCGCTCACGTCCAAGGCCGTACCGTGGACTAGCAACAGAGGCCTAGGTTAATGTCAATCGAGGGAAGATCAGTCAGCCATCTCAACACATTGTGGACGAATGCCAGGAGCGGTCAGTTCACTTTTTCCGACTGGTACCTAGGATGGGCAGGTGTCAGCTTGCAGGCATAGTTGTTCAGGCCTTCGATGTCACGCTTCTGGATCTCGACGGGTGTAGGGATGGCGGCAGCCTGAACGGAGGAAAAGATGGTGAGGGCAGCGGCGGCAGTGCTGAGAACGAAGGCGATGGAGAACTTCATCTTGAGATCAGAGACGCGTTTTTTTTTTTGGGTTGGAGAGAGGGAAGGAGACTGTTCGAAGAAGTGGGTGGCTATGGTGTGTTTGTCTGGTGGATTGAGGAGGAAGTGGAAAGTCTGTGCAATGAAGAAAAACCTTTGAAAACTGAAGGAATGCCTTGTCTATTTGTACTGTTTTACTAGTTCATACCCTTTGGCGGAAAGCATTGAAAACAACGAAGAAGGCCACAAAGTTGTTTTTGGTGGGGCCTGTTTGTGCCGTACCTGATGTTGACGCTTAGATAGCCATCTGCGCGGAGAGTGAAAAGAAAAAATTAATAATTGTGTATGTAGCTATCTTGCCCATGGCCACGTTGAGGTTGGTGGCGAGGACTGGAGGGCTAATAGAACAGGTTTTGTTGATGTCACGAGTAATAGAAAGTCAAGGGACGCATAACCTACTGAAATGAGTTGAAGATGGTTGAAAGAACGTCTCATGGAGAACAAGGAAGTTAACGTTTTGCCTTCCTTTCTCTTTCGTGGGTGCAATTAAAGACATGAATGGCGATGACAAATGAAATAAAAGGTCTTTAATGGGTGATGAACGATGACTGAACCTGGACGGACGCTACAACAAGACGAAGGGTTGCTTCTTCCTGTTGGAAGAGAGCGTTCCGACATGTAGGAATGGACTTTTGCCGTTTGGACCTACACCTGCAATTGATAAAGAAGGTGGCCGTGGTGTGCATTTTGCGCCTCGTGTGCACAATGTCCAAAGGGCTAGATTTCAGGATTTCAGCTAGAGAAAATACGATGACAAACAAAAAAAAAAGCCTAGCAACATAGAAAACCAAAGCAACGACAACAACAAAACGATTTAAAGTTGAGGTTGAGATTGATTGGGAATCACATAGAGACATAGGCTATTCGAAAATGCATGCCAATGTTCGCGGTCGTCCGGCCCCCTCTGCCAACGAAGCTAGATTTATTTTTCAAGGGTCATCTGATCCGTCCATGTCACCAAAAAAGAAATGCTCATTGTTTTTATCCACATCAAGTCTTACTTTCTCCACAAACTAATCAAACAAAACGAAAATTAATGACGACAGTGCCAGCAATCAAAAAATAAGCGCAAAAACGTGTCTGCAGGTTTGCGGTTGAGTTCTTTTCTAATTGAGTGAAGGCGACGCCACATTTGCCTATTCGCAATTCTAATGACAACACGCGTTCATGTGCCAGAGCTTATTCCTGTCCTTGATGCAAATTGGATAAGAAGTGCTTGGGCGGTAACCTATTGCGAAAGGCTCAAGGGTCAGTGACCAACTGCAGCCAAGCGATTGAAGTAACAAGGAGCAGCCAGTGGCATAGGAGTTCATACTCCACTCTGACTCGTACTATATTGGGATAAGTAATGGCGCTGGCGTTGACACGCTCAGACTCGAGTGGGCGTGTTTTTGTCAGGTATGGAGGCAGATCAGGTAAGAGAGATTCGAGCATCAAGTCAAACTCCAAGTGAGTGTGTTTATGAGTTCACCCTAGGACCCTTTCATGACTAAAATTGTGTATGCGTGTTTTCCACAAGCCTCAAGGATCGCAGCGGTCGTCATCGTTGGGACAGAACAATTCTTTCTTTTCTTTTTCTTACACGCCACCAAAATGTTGCCAAGGGTGAGTGAAAGACGCCATATAAAAGGCCCTTAAGACTGCTCACTCTTCCAATCTTCAACAAACGCCCTATTTCACAACAGCCTACTCCCCTACTTTCGGCATCAACGACACCGCTCATCCATCAGCTCGGCATCTTCATCAACCTGGAGGGAAAAGTTCACTTTAATATACACACAAACTTGTGAACAAGCTGCTCAACAAGACCAAGACTACCAGCCTTGTTCTTCTTTACAGTTGCCGCCCGCCACTATTCCTTCGACATAGTCTGTCACAACGGTTGAATGGGACTTGTGAACCTCTTGGTGCCGTTCCTCGCCACCTGGTTCGGTATCCATGTCTTCTTCTTTCTCCTACAACGATTCTTGAACCGCCCTAACTTGCCCGTCGGTCCTGGAAGTGGTTCTGTAAGTTCTCTTTCGAAAAGCCGGCTGTTTCTCATTTCGGACGTACATTCGCAATAGAACTCACACAAGGAAATAATTACTCCCCCTTCCCGCTCGATAGGAATATGAGTTACTGCCGACTGTATCAGGACTAAGCGGAGGACAATCGGGATCAGGGACAACATCAAAACCAGGATCCTCTTCTAGTGGACTACTGGTCAAGCCGTTCCATGTCCGTTTCTCGACAACTGGGCTCAATGCGTTCTTTTTTCGTCTCGGCAATTCGCCCAAACTAGTCCGGTTCTGGCGCGTGTGGTATGACCTTGGAGTGTTGTTCGGACTGCTGGCTATGATCGTCGGCTGGTCTTTGTTGGCGTACGCAGCCTTCCAATTGGTATCAGTGGCAGTGGTGTCGTTGATGAACCTATGGCCACTCGGGCCAAGCGAAAGCAAGAACAACCAGGATCCTCCTCCGCTCAACAGATTTAGGAAACGGGACGTTGTTATCGACACAGCACCTGCAAAAAGTTCAACGGGGGGCTCGGGGGACAGTGATATGGTGCTCATCCCAATGGTATGCCACTTGCCGCTGATGGATTTGCATGAATGTATTGTGTGGCAGCAATTCTAATCGACTTCCTGGACATCGCCCATATAGATTCCCGGTGTGACACTTCCGTTGTCCCATCTCCCTTACTATCTGATCGCCCTACTTGTCTCAGGTGTTATTCACGAAGCTGGACATGCCATTGCTGCTGCGAGGTAACACATCTAGGTTTGTTGACCTAAATTTTGCACAAGTGTGGCCGAACACTCAATTAACAAATCCATTTACTCTTTCCTTTCGATAGAGAAAAAACACAAGTGTCATCAGCGGGTATCTTTCTGTACATATTATACCCTGGAGCCTTTGTCGAACTTTCTCCGAGAGCCCTGGCAATCATGTCTCCTATCCAACAATTGCGCGTCGTCTGTGCGGGCGTCTGGCACAACTTTGTTCTCTTTGCGGCGGCTGGGATCTTTCTATCAAGCGGCGCTTTTCAGCTCTCACTCCAAATGGTCGGCTGGAAGCAGATGAACAACGGAGTCAGTGTTGTCAGTGTAGCTCAGGTACGGCACGATCTGTATCCAAATCCACAACCTCGCATGTTCTTACTGGAAAGAGGCGGCATCTAACTTGCAATAGTACCACTCTTTGCTGGTAGTCGTCTCCCCTGTATTCCCATCTGAGAGTGGGTAGCGTGGTGAAAAAAGTGAACGACATTCCACTTCTGGGCAAACCTCTGGACGTCTGGGAGTCATTGCTGTTACCTCCAATCCCATTACTGGAATCTTCAACACAGGAGAAGGAGTCTGGATTTTGTATACCCCAAAATCTCCTTTTCAGTAAGTCGACAACAATAATATTCACCATTATGAAGGGTCGAAAGCTCCGTTACTGGAAGCTGATTTACTAACGCACCATTGTTATGTTGGAAACTAGACAAGCCATCTGACTGCTGCTTGTTCACTCCCAAGGAGCCATTTGGACACTCTTCCGACCCTTCAATCTCATGTTTTACTCCGTACGATCCTTCAGGAACAGAGTCAACGCCACGAGAGGATGGTGGCGAGAGGGTTTTGGCCCAAAACGGGCAATGCTTACCATCAATCGACGTCCTTGGGGACCCTGCGCCTGTGCGATGTACTTCCAGTGCTCCTTCATGCCCCGGAGAAAGCGCCTGCTACAGAACTTTTAGTGCATACAGGACAGGATCCATGGTCAGGATTTACTACCAACTGCCGTCATGGGAGACACCTGACAGCAATGGGATCCCCAAGGGTGCTTCATCGACAATGGGGGATCAAGTAGTGCTGTATCAGGGCGATCCAAAGGATATTTGGGAGACTGTCGAGGTGACGAGTATGGCAGCTAGGTGGTCATTCCTGCCTCTCTGGCTCCCAGAGGCTGCCCTTCACACTATCCGCTATACAATATCGTTCTCGCTGGCCCTTTCTATCCTGAACATTGTACCGGCGCGTCATTTGGACGGCCACCACACGCTCAAGGCCTTTGCCGCGCTGGTATTCTCAATCATTCAGAGTTACAAGTCGACGCAGTCGCTGCAGGAGAGTCTTTCGGAATGTCTACTGGATAATGGATCAGTGCTGACTGTGGCATCCTTGGGTCTTGCGACGACGACGTTCCCCAAGGGATCCAAGGCAGTGAAGGGGATAGTGGTCAGTACGACGGTGCTGCTGGGCGGAGTGATGGTTGGCAGTCTTCTCCAAATGGTCGCTGTGACATTTTTCAGAAAACATTAAATCTCCGCCAAATATTGTCAATTCAAGTCTCCCCTGTCATTTTACATCTTTCTCACTTTTGCACCCCTTTCTTCCAATCTCAACAAACAACACCAAATGCCGCTGGGGATGCTCAATGGCGACGATGACGACGACTTCGACTCGTTGACGCCACGCAGTATCAGGCTCAGGAGCCCAACCCCTCCGCCAAAACGACCCGCCCCCGTCTCGTCCTCGCAGCAACAGCGACAACGTCCACGACAACAACAACAACAACAATCGCAATCACAACAACAATCACAACAAAAGCAACAACAAAAGCAACAACAAAAGCAAGACCGATCCCAGTCAACTCACACTCTCAAGAGACCTCAATCAGATCGCTCCCAGGCGATGAGCAGGCCGACATCGTCCCAGACCCCAATCACGGCTGCTCCATCCACCTCGAAACCGCGCGCTGGACTCCCCCTCTCGCTTAAGAAACCAGCCCCGAAATCGAACCCAAACAGCCAGGTCACCTCTCCACAAACGATTGAAGTTGCCACCCAGTCCACCACGACTTATTCGACAACGATTGTTACAACACCCAGACGCCTTACCAACAACTCTCCGAAGCCTAGAGAGGCAGCCGACAAGGAAACAGTTATGATTGTGCTCGATTCGGAATCAGAGGGAAACTCGGACGTAGACTGGGATCGTCTTGCTGTCCCTTCGAACTTCTTCCCTGATATAGCCCTCGGGTCGACCCAAATTGGTGGCGTTTTGTCAACTCAACCGGGTTCTGCGCAGAATCATAAACGGACGTCCCCCGTCGTGATACCCAACACCAAAGCCCAGAATACTCAGGAATACACCCCCAGCTCTCAGGGCAGTGTCGATCATTGCCAGGAACCCGACCAGCTCGACATCAGTTTTCCAGTCGACAAGGACCAGAACCCTCGCTCGCCCTCACCTGTACATTACCAACTCGACACCAGAATGGATTGCGCTCAGTATTCTAAAGCCCAGTGGTCGTTATCGCCAAAGATCGAGAATCCGCGCCTTTCGGACCTTGTAGCAGCAACATCAACCTCATCCAACACGTCTGCCGAGTCTGCAACTACCGCAACTGCACCAACATCACCAGAGCCTGTTGTTGTCGACGACGATGATGACGGCGACACCTATACCCGCACCACAACATCCAGCATCGACATCAGCATTATCAGCATGATTCGGACGGACGACTGCCTTCCAAGCACACTTGGAGCAGATGACATTGTCGAATGCGTAGTTTGCGGGAAACCTTTGACCCATCTCGATTTAGCACGCGTGGAATATCATATAAACAACTGTATCGACGAGCAGCAACAACAGCAGAAACAGGAACAACAGGGCGATCGTCCTCGAACACCCACGAGTCAAGGCGAATTTGCAGGAGCACAAGTCGACTATTTGGCCAAGGTCAAAAAGTGCCCGATCTGCAAGCTGGACTGGCCCACGAAGGGTAAAGCCAAAGCCGGCACAGTCACCCCCACACGGAAGGCGCGACAGAAGGTGGAGCATATGAAGCGGTGTGCCAAGGCCAACAAACAGACGATCCAGAGCGTGCTTTACCAGGTTCGACTGTTGAAGGAGCGTTTCGAGCGGTCACTTGTGCTGGGCACGCCTATGGAGTCGGCAAGCCAGGATGTAGGAAGAGAGCTCAGATCAGACGAGGAGGGTCAATCCTCAGACGAGGCCAACCCTGAGGAATCGCAGCCAAAGGTCTGTCGGAAACCTAGAGTCAATACCATGGTCAAGAAGCAGGTTGTGTCGCTGGCCGACAATGCGGACGCGGATTTTGCCTCAGATGCCATCATTACTACGGTACACGCACCAACCACGGCCCAGCCCAGGCTCACCAAACTCGAGCGGATTCATCAGGACCAACAAGACGATGGCCTCCAAATGGCGCTGGCCATTTCCATGTCAATGTGCGACAACGACTTTGGACCTCATTCAACCACCTCAGGCCCATCAACAACCTGGACGATGGCGCCAACTGTTGTCAGGAAGGGATTGAAACGGCGGAAACAGACCGATCGGGACAGGAATGAGACCACCGTCCTGCCTTTCGCAGAGGTGCAGCACTTGATCCAGAACAACGTCCACTCCTTACTGTTCCCTGAGATCGATGATCCAGCTGCAGAGGTTTCAGGCGACGATGGGAATAGTACAGGGGTTTTGATGAAGACGCCACCTTGGGGACCTTCTCGCTTTACAGGAGATACTGAGGATGCTGATGTTGAGATAAATCTGTCACAGGCTTCAGAGCCAGATGCGACTTCGCCCACGGAATCACTTTGGAATCTCTCTCACCTCAAGGATACGCATGGCGGTGATAGCCTCGAGGATGCAACTATGCGAGGCGTAAGAGAGGCAAGCGAGGCACTGGTCCAGGCTGGATCGGGATTAGCGTTCGACAAGGAGAAATATGTCACGCGGTTCATGAGACGCTACATTCGTCAAGATCAAGATACGAGGGTGGGGTCCAAATCGGCGGAACCGGCTTCGCCTGAACAAGGGAGCAGCAAGGTAATATAGACTTGACATAAAGACAATAAACACATAGACAGCCATCTGAAATCAGGACGACAAGACACTGATATCTTTTGCAACCCTTTGTCGCCGCTCTACTTTTAGTTCACGTCTCCGCTTTGGTCGGTTTCCAGGTCTCGCAGGATGTCATTCATGGAACAGCGTAAAGGACTGGAGGCAGAGTCTGTCAAGACCTTGAAGTCTGAAATTGTCGGACACTTGGATGAGATGCAGCGCTCGATAGAGCAGGCCAAACAGGTTGCCTATGCAAAGGTAACGTCAGATAATTGTTGCAGTTATAAAGATGCTGTGTACTTGCATGACCTGACTTTTCTTTATGTTTCTATCTTAGATCCTCGAATCTATCGAGAGAAATCCTGCTGCTGCTGCTCGTTTAACGCCGCCCAGATCTCGTGAACCTATTATTGTTCAAGATTCAGGAGAAGCAGACGATGGCGTCGTTGATGAAGACGCGGTCGTTCTGAGTCAGGACATCCAAGAAGGACCCTTATCACCATTGTTACGTTTTTCCAAGATGCCTGAGCAGGAAGAGTCGGTGTCCCCCAAGCCCCTCGATTCCCCGCCGTCAGCAACGTCCCCCAAGAACCCTGTAGTAGAAGGCGTCAGTAGTCCTGTACGCGAGGCTCTGTCACAGGATCTGAATAGGAGCTGTACTATGGACGACGCCGTGAACGACCTTGCCATGGATGACTATGATGCCTACCAGAATGACAACATCGCCTATTCTTCAGGTGTTATGGCCTATTCGCCATCACCATCGCCAAGACCGCAGTCGCCTCCGCGACCATCTCCGCGACCTCAGACGAGAACTATGACTCCATACGATTTTCTGGAGCTGAGCCCACCGCCTGAGGCTGAACCACCAAAGACTCCAGTCAGACGTCCTCGACCCAAGAAGAAGACTCGAGCTCCCTCTCCATCATCGCCAGACATATTGCTGGGAGAATTACCTCCGCGCCTGGACTTTGCCAAGATGGGATACCACAAGGCTGACGAACTCGCTGGTTTGGAAACCTCGGATAATGAGGCATCGAGTGGATGGGCCAACGTGACAACACCCAAGAAGTCGCGACGCTCTAACAAGGCAACGGGTCGTAGTACGTACAAGTTCGGGAAACTGCTACCTAGGCAATTACAGTCGCAACAGGAGACCCCAAAGCGGAAAGCACCAACAGCAGCGACGATCTCGGTTCGACTTGAACCGCTCCCTGCAACATCTGCGGTGGGAGGAGAGGGCGGACTGGAGGAGCTAGGCAACTGGCCAACGGCGTCTCAGCTTATTGCGGCTCGGCGCGCTGCCGCTCCTCGAAGTGGTGAACAGGAACTACAAACGTCTTCTTCACAGGTCTTGATGTCTCCTCGTCGCTCTGCGGTTTCTTCACAGCCTGCAGCGTCCCCTCGTCGCCCTTCAGTTTCTTCTCAGTCTGCAGTGTCTCCACGACGTCCAGCTGTAGGGAGGCCAGGTAATAGTCTGGTGGAATCGTATCGGAAGGCAGCGACACGGGCTCGGAATGCGGCCAATGGAACGTTACAGGCATTGACAGGATCGCAACCCCAGAAAAGTTCCCAGACTCAGACCCAGAATCAGAGTCAGTCCCAATCACTTTCGCAGACTACGCCTCATACACCGACCAACAAGGCAGCCAGGGCTCGAGCGATGGAGTTTGCGGCGGCGGCAGCGAGGGCCGTGGAGACCATGAAGGCGCAGGAGTCAGTACCGAGATATGACTTGATGTCGGTTCCGACCCTGCGTATGCTGGCTGTTGGTTTTGGGCTCAAGGCGACGTCCAAGAAGCTGTTGTCGGAGCAATTGACGGCGATTTGGGAGAGGGTGCATGAGAATACGCCGAAGGCGGATCAGCAAGGAGAGGGAGCGGGCGTGCAGGCTGAAGCTTCGAATATTGGCGAGTCGAGCAGTCGAAGTAGTCAGTTGCAGCAGGATCGCTGGCGTGATATGGATCAGGGTGGGCCTGCTGCTCGATCGAGTCAGCTCCTCGGCCAAGACGACCGCGCTTCATCGCCACCACCCTTCCAGTCTGTGGATGACACTGCGCCAGGATACATGAGCCCTATTCTGTCTGACAGCGACCACACCTACGACCATTTGTTCGACAACGACAACCACTATGATACCAACTACGACATGGATTACGACAACAACTATCGCAACTTTGACAACGACGTGCAGATCGACAACCATTCGCGTGAATACAAGTATGGCCTTGACAATGACGCCGGTAGTGACCGAGGCGAGACGCTCGTCAATACCAAGCGTGGGAGAGGAGGAAGAGTCGGCGCGGTCAAGGGTGGTACATTCAAAGAGAGTTATTGCAAGGATGGAGACGACGCTGGTGGCGGAGTCGACGGTGACCAAGAGTCAGTGGGAAGTGACGAAGAGGACGACTTTTCTCAGCTTACTCAGGATGATGAAGGCGAAGATGGCGATGGCGGTGACGAAGATATGGAAGAGCCTTCGGACCAAGAAGAACCTGTGATCACCCCGCCGACATTGGAACGGCAGTTGTTCGACTTCTTGAGCAAGGCATCCCACCTTCGGAAGCAGTACTTGACATACAAGGTATTCAGTTTTTGTTTCTCCGTCTTTCTCCTTTGGATTTTGTTGTGGTACAACCGAAGTCCTAACTGTCACTAATACCTCTCCTCTATTTGATCAGCCGCTAGACCTCGAATTAGTTTGGGAGGAATGCAGCGCGGCCCAAATCCGCTGCTCACGCCAACAACTCTGTCAGTTCCTGGATAGGCAGAGTATCATCTGTTTCGTCCCTGCCCACTCCACCCTGCAGAGCTGGCGCAAGACTCGAGCCAAGAAGCAGAAACGGGCGCACCCATAGACAGTCAGTCCTGACCCATCGACTTTGTAAGGAAATTGAATATATTACTGTCCTTGCTAGACTTTGCATGTGGCGTGCGTGTGTTAAAAGCTCATTAGGCAGGGACAATGTGACATCCCAAGAGTCCTCGGCCACCCCAGCCTTGCTTTGGCACCAGGACCAGGGACACCAGTTCTGTTGATTCGCCCCTCTGAACCTTGACCACAGTGGGTCTCTAATGATATGTACATTGTGAAGAATACAGACGATGTCAGTTCAACCGAGAAAGATGCAAGAATGTACGCCAATACAGTAATGAGCAGGAACTTACGTTCTCTCGTGATTGGACGAGTTCGGTCAGAGTTCGGAGTGTGCTGGGAGTGTTGGTGTTGATTGTTCCAAAGACCACAATCCTGTCACCTTGCATAAGGCCCTAAATAAATAACAAAGCATATGCGCATGAACGTATTAGTAAATTAATATTATCATAGTCCTTCAAGTAGCGGTTTTGGTAATCCAAGAATTAGTAACATACTGCTTCACAGGCAGGAGAGCCAGGAGCCACGGCATTAACAATCGCAAATGGTGCCAAGGACCGTTCCACTGCTGCCTCATCCGTGACGGTGGCTGAACTAGCAGACGGTAATTCAACTGACGCTGCTCCGGCGAGTTCCTGTTCCTTCTTCTTTTCAGCTTCCTGTCTTTGTTTTTCCTCCAGTGCTTCGGCATGGACTGCATGAAGTGCTTCCTCGATCTGTCGCATCAACGCCTTCAGGTCGTTCTTGAGACCTGCGAGCAACGAAAAGAGGTGTCAAAGGGGGGTGTGAGTTTAGCATTTGGCATGGTCATCGTTGTAGCGGCGAGTGAAGATGTATAAAATTTGCTCCGCAAGAGGGAGGAAAACTTACGAATGATGTTGGACCGCGCGGTTCTGACGACGACGATATCGACATCTGAACGCGGGAAGCCGTTGCTGTCAACCAGTTTATCATGCATCCCGACCTTTTGCTGAAGGAAAAAAAGATAGGACCATAGTCGAATATACACATGTGTGATGTAAGTTGTCAGACCGCTAAGTATTGATGTATACTGCCAAAAAAAAAAAAAAAAAAAAAAAACCATGTCGCACGAGGGCACAACTAGTTGTGTATGGCATGAGAAGGTTGCTGTACCGATTGAAGGTCGTCCTGCTGTGACTTGATCTCTGCTTCCAGGTCGTCCTTCTGCTTCATGAGTGCTTGTGCTTTGAGCATCAGTTCTGATTGTACGTTGACCATAGCGATGTTCTTGTTCTGTGTCTGAGTGTTAGGTAGATGAGAAAAGAAAAGGCAAACTCACTTCAAGACTTACGCAACCGAACAGACCTGAGTGACTGTGCAAGACTGAAATTAGTGGCAAAAAAACATGCTCATGATCAAAAAATAAAAAATGGTTTCAGAAAAATGCCTCCATTCGATTCTTTATCGTTTGTCTAGGTGAAGCATGGAAAATGACTAATTTTTTGACAGTGGTCGTGGTAGTGAAAGAAGCGATGTTGTCATAGGAGGGTGGTGCATGATGAAATGAGAAGGGAGAAGAGTGAAGAGTCGGGCAGAGAAAGAAAAAAATGTGAATAAAAAGTGACAAGATAATAAAGAGAAATACTATTTATGCGAGGGTCAAACTAACAAGGTTGGCATGGGTATTGATGACCTAGAATCATAGACAGAGAGGGAAATATGTTCGTTAACATTGAGTTTCAAAGGGTGAAAATCGCAATTGAGCGGCCAGAGAAACAAAGCCCAAAAAAAAAAGGATGTACTTACATCAATGGCTTGTCCAACCTCGACTCTCCTGCGAGCGGCGACAATCCAGTCCTTGGCAAGGCGCTTGCCCCATCCCTTGAGCTGGTTCAACTCACGGACAGCCTGCTCCAAGTCATTCTCCACCAAGTAGTGCTCTGTGCGGGCTAAGATGGCCTCGACGTCGTTTCCGGGGACCAATCCGTGCTTCTTGAACATCAACTTGGACAAGACAACACTCATACCGTGAGCCAAGACACCACCGTTCTCAGGGACCAAACTGGCCTGGCGAACCTTATCAGCGACATATTCGAAGCGGTCCATCAACTCGGGAACAGAGTCAACACCCTGGGCGGCAACGGACTCTGGGACGGCAGCCAAAACGACCTTCAAGACCTCAGCATCCTTCTCGGTCTCTGCCAATCTCTTCAAGCGGGCCAACTCGCGGTCAAAGGGGAGGCGCTCGCCAGCCTCATAAGCCTTCTCCAAGGCCTTGACACCGCACCAGAGCTGGTGAGTGCGAGACGACTGATCCAAAAAGTCTGCATTGTCAACTCCTTGGCGCTCCAAAGTCTTGAGGCGCAAGTTGATCTGATCCAAACGTGCCAAGCGACCGCCACGCTCGTTCTCAACTCTGACCTTGACCTCACGAACCCAGCGACGCTGCATGTCCATGGCGTACTTGATCAACTCCTGCTTCTGCTCCTCGCGCAAAATCTCCTGCTGAATCTTGAGCTCGCGCTCAATGGCATCCTTCTTCTCCTGCTCGAAGGCATCAGCAAGCTCACGCTTCAACTGCGAAATGTGTCCCTCGTGATGGGTCTCCTTCTCGTCCACGATGCGCTTGTACTTCTCGGTCAACTCGGCCATGACGGTGGCAGCCTGGGCCTCACCCTCGACCTTCAAAGCCTCGACGCGCTCGTTCAAGTGCTTCAACTCCTCGTTGGCCTTCTCAAAGACCTCGTGGCCCTGCTCGGGAATGCCGTTCTCGTTCAAAATATGAACCAACTGAGCCAAGGTGGCGTTGAGGCTCGACATGACAGGCTCCTCCGACTCAATAGGGGCGATCTTGATCAACTTCTTGGGAGGAGCGGAGGCTTCCTCCTTCATCTCAGCAATCTTCTCCTGAATGTTCTCCTTGATCTCAACAGCCTTCTCCTTAACCTCCTCAACCTTCTTGGCAGCCTTCTCGACAATCTTGGGCTTCTCGACGTGAGAAGCATTCTTGCCGGGGCCAGCACCAGGGAGGAAAGCGGGGGCAGGGGTCACAGAAGGAATGTATTCAGCGCGAGCAGCGGCAACAGCAGGCTTGGGCTGCTCCAACTGAGAGGCCGATGATGAGACCGAGGCAGTGGGCTTCTCGGGTGCTGGGGTGGTGGTTCCGTTGATCAAATCCGAAGCAGTGCGGTAGCCGGTCTTGCTAAGATCGACAATCTTTCCGCCGACCAAAGTTGCGCCAGCGATGACCTTTTCCACGTCCTCGTTGTCCCTGAGCTGCTCCAGCTTATCCAATGAGTGGGCGTAGTGTGGGATGTTATCTTCGAGAAGGGCGCGGAACTGCTCGTCGTCGAAAGAGTGCTTGACAACACCGGCAGCACCAGCACCGATCAAGGTGAGGGTGATGAAGGCCTTGGTGCGGAAGCGAAGTCCTGACTTGACAACGGGGCGAGCAGCAGCCTCAGCAGCGGTCAATTTTTGTGCGTTGGTCGAGTTGAATCTCTACAGATATATTCCAATTTGAAAGTGCATGATAGTATGAGTTGGTGTGTCCTTCTTCGGGGTGTTGGATCGATTGGTTAACATGTGCAAAATGTTGATATCCCTGTGGTAGGCAAGACGTACCTGAGCCATGACGCGGTATTGGCTGGGACGCAAGTGCTTGGAGCCGGCAAGAGCCAGTCTGTTGACGTTCATCATTCTTGGATAAATCGTTCTTCTCTATTGCAGATAAAGACAAGCACGCCGGAGTGTGAGTTTTTTTTTCTTGTCTGTCGTGTTCTGTATCTTTTCTGCATGCTTCATTTGATCTATCGAAGAGAGGTTGAATAGGTCGGGTGAGGTGGAAAAGGGTTGGTCGATTCCGATCCGTCCGTCCGTGCGTGTACCTGAGGGATAGGCGGTATATGATGATCGGTCTCCGAGAAGAAGGTGCCCTGGCGAGTCGAGTTAATGAATCAAAAGGGGGAGGGGGGAGAGGGGAGAGGGGGAGGGCGGAGGAAGGGGAGAATGATGCGGGAATAGAGTGTGAGGCTTGATCCGATGCCACAGCGATCGCGACTAAGACGACCGTTGGCCTCGGGCATGTAGGAAATAATGGATCCTGCGAAGAAACAATTTTACGTCACTGATTTAATATTGAGCGGAAATAACGATCAAACAATTGTTCTATTATCAGCACGGCGAAGCAGCTCGTCCACTCGGAATCGCGCTTCTTCAGGAGAGGCGGTTTTTGACATTCTATCGGTCAACACACCTTCGAGTTTAGGATGTTTTCAATGTAATTACGTTTTTCTCCTTATTTTTCTCTTTGTTAACGTGGCTCATATGCCGGATGAAGCGTCGGTTAGGGCTGACTGCGACATGAGCGACCTAGCTCAAGAAGGTTTTACTATCTGTGAGTAACGTCGTCTTCACTGATCAAAAAAACGACATGAGAAAAGGCAGAATGGCCGTTTGCGCTCTCCGCGGCAGTTCCTGTTCCTTGTAACTCCCTAGGACAGACTCAAAGAAAGAAAAGGGACGACCGGACAATTGATGACAATCTGAGGGTCGAGATGGCTTCCTTGACGCGCAAAGCGGATCAATTGTAATTGGGCGTAAGAAAGAAAGAAAGACCATGCACGTCTCAATCCCACCCCCCCCCCCTCTCCTTTTTTTTTACTTTGTAGGTAATTCAATGATGGAGAAGGAGAAGTAGAGGACTAACAGAAATTTTTTATTTCGTTTGCAACTTGTAGGGCGGAAGGTATGACCATGTGCCCCCGTTCTTTGATACCGAAGACTGTTGGCTCCATACCATGATGATCGTCTTTTCTTCTTCACCGTCATCGTCATGCTCAACGTACTCATCGGTAGGCCCTCTCCCTTTGTTCAGTTCATTACTGAGTACTGAGATCGCTGTATGCATGACCAAATCGTTACACAAAGCCAACCAATATCATACTCACACAACTCTTACCTTCTGTACCCCCCTTTGCCTTATCGAGCGTTGATCAACATGGCGTTTACAAAGGGTGACGACTGCTGGCGCTTAGCCTGGATCGAGTCCCGACATCGAATCCGCCGAGAACATGTCCTACCTCATCCCGGGCTCCCGTAAAACCACAACGTCTTTCCGAAACAGATCCATCTCACTGCGACCAAGGAGGTGGTCAAAGAGTACAGGAAGAAGTACTTTCCTAAGCAGAAGAAGGTTGCGGACGATGCGTTGGCAAAGAAGATGGGGTGGAGGTGCTATGATGATGAGGGAGATGTGGGAGGTGGGGATGAGTTCTTGAATACTCCTCTTCTTAAAGTCGAGGAAGAGTAGGAGCGAAAGCAGCAGCAAAAGCAGCAGCAAACGGTGAGAAGTGGGAATGCTAGTGCGAACGCCTCGTCTAAGATTCTTCCAGAGTCGGTGCCGGATAATGGCGCCGATGAGAATGGCGCAGAGGTGACTCCATCGAGTGCGGAAGAACTGGCAACCCCAGGAGAGTCCGTGATCCTGCAAGAGCTGAGGATACAAGTTACCGACCTCCAAAAGCAGCTAACCACCCTTAACCAGCAGATCGCTCTACGGCAGCAAGCCAGCAACAGTTCCAGGAGCTCCTTAAGCTCCTTCTCCTTTGGGCCTCGTCATCATCCACATCGTCACAATTAGTAGTAGTCATTAAAGCATTTGTACTTGTATACCTTTGACGCCTATTCCTGACCCATTTGCTCTGTTACTGCTATTGAAACACGGATCCAAGACACAAAGTTCCATGCCCTGCTGGTTTGTCACTAAAGAATATAGTCATCAAAGTCAACTTTAATACCCTGAATGGGTGGTGTTACAGTGCGGGTAAAATCAAAAAAACACAAGAAACATGAAATAACAAAGGTGAAGTGAGATGCTCTGCAATTGGAGCGATGAATGTTATTTTTACAGGTAGAGTTGTTGCAAAGAAGTGTTCTTGATCTTGCGTTGGCATCCGGGGCAGCTTCCCATAACCCTCTTGGTCACCTTGATGTTGGAGTCTGTCGTTTCTGCTGCTGCTGTTGCGGTTGTTGTCAATGTCGGTGAGGTAGGTGCGTGTCCGTCCGAGGTGGCAAGACTCTCGTCCCCTGTTTCCATGTCGGTTGGTCCCGGTGACCACTTCGCCTTTCCTTTGCCCTTGGGTTTCCGCGATAAAGACTGTCTCCGTCCCTTGGTGACATTTCCTCGGATGATCTTCCTCGAGATGAAGATTTCCTTCGCACAGGTCCCGCAAACGACATGTCCACATCCGACAATCACCCAAAGCGTCGGCCTCTGGTCTCCGTCGTGGCCAAACTCCTTGGTGCACAAGGGACACGTAATCATCGTCTCGAGGTTGATGACCTTGGTGAATCCGGGACGCGTCACCACCGGCTTGGTCTCGATCTCGTTCCGCTCCCATTCAACTTCAGCCTCAGTAGCCGCTAATGGAGCACCGTCAAGAGTACCAAGATGTTCCAGCAGTTCCCCAAATACCGACGGCGACCGCTCTCTGTACGGAATGTCCCAACCAGCATCGTCTCCCCAGTAATGGTGGTGTCTGTGAATGAAGGTGCGGATTTCTTGCGCTTCTCGCCTGAACACTCCTTCACGAGCCTGTAGAGAATTCTCTCTCTGGAAAAATCTAGTGAAGGCGTGCATCAGCGCACGCTCGCCCGGTGCAAGAGTGGCGGCCATGTTCGAACGACGTCTTGGAGGAGGAGTAGGAGTTCTCATGGCCGACACAAATGCTCTCAGCGAAGTTGACTCTTGCGAGTGAGGAGCTCCTGATCCTGGTCCTGATGCTGACGCTGTGGCCGTCGAAGACGAAGGGTGGGTCGTCCGTACGTGTGCTGGAGCATACGGATGAAGCATGATAGGAGGCGAGCGACGTCGTCTGGACCGGTCGTCGTAGCCTGGGGGGCGCTGCTCACTGCTCCGTGTCGGTACTGGAATTTCCTGAGAGAGACGGAATAAAGGGTGTCGTCCCTGATGGTATGCATGAAGGAGTGTCTCTGGATAACTTGATGATGACGATGACGACGCTTCCGTTTGCCTCCTGTCGAATCCACTTCCACCAATGCCAGCACTGGCGTGACGGCTACTACTGCTCCCTGTTGTTGCTGCAGGCACTGGCGTCGCCGTTGTTCCTGGGGTCTCCCTCACAAACATGACCTCGTCATCGCTACCGTAGCTGTTGTGGTAATGGGTGTAGTTGCTGCTAGTATACCGACTGCTGTTGAAGCTGCCTAGGTCGTCATCGTCACTACTGAGGTCGATGATCTCTATGCTCTGGCTGGGGAGTGTTGGTGGATGGACAATGCGCGACGGCCGTGGCAGAGTGAGGTCGATGAGATTTGAGCTGCTTCCTTGTCCTCCTGTGTTCCTGCTGGTCGAGGCGGAGCCTTCGCTTGACAGGTTATGCGGCTAGAGGTGGATCCAAGTGGAGGTTACTCAGTTAGTCATCGCAGGTTGTTTTTTTTGTAGGTCCGTTTCCTTAAGGTTATCTTTATGGCAAAAAGGACATTTACAAGTGAAGTAGATGAGCTGCCTTGGTCAGTGGCTCTGGGCATTGGATGGTATGTGAGTTGCTGTGTCTGTTGTTGTAGTTGTCGTTGTTGGATTGCTGAGTCAGGAGTAGAGGAGAGAGTTGTCAGACTCAAGTGTGGTTGCTTGGAAAGAGGGGTTAAGAAGTGAGGAAGGGAGAGATGTCCTTTGCCAAGCGAAGGGGAATGAAAAGAAGGAAAGGCAGAGCGTCGTGCCTTGCTTGACGTTCAAGACGATAAAGCCGAAGGTGACTGCTTAGTCAGTTGGCAAACTGAAACGTGATCTATGATTTGATTTGGTGGCGTCAACTGCTAAATAGCACACTCTGTCAAGGATCGAACCGGCTACCTTCCAGTGGGAGGAAGTGGCTTGACAACTGTAGCCTGCGGTTCACTGATAAAGGACATTCAACTTCTCCAGGCATTAAACGTGAGTTCTTCCTGAACAGAGCAGAGAACTGTCTCTGTATGGTAAAATCTTTGCGCTTTATAGCATACGCTGCGAATCAGCCACGTATACAGTTTGCTCTGCTCTTCTGATTTCCTCCAACCGCCCTTTGTATTTCCCTTACCTTTCCCTTTTCTTCTTTCTTTTCAGACCCACATTCAACGCCCACCCTCAAACGACCACCATGTCGTGCTCCAAGAGGTCCTCCCTCCGCTCATCGCAACCCACATGGCCTTTCACCTTCTTTGCTATACTCATCTTCACCCTCACCCTTCTCGCCTCTTCAACCCTCGCCAACATCATTGAGCAAACCGAAAAACAAGACCTCTCAACCGTCACGCCCGAGGTCACCGGTCTTGTCCTGGCAGACCCCACACGAAAAGTCGTCGACCATCCCGTCGACCGTCCCTTCTACCTCCCTTCATTCAACAGCCCCCCTTTTGGAGGCATTCTCGCCATTGGTACAACATGAAACAGCAGAAGCTCATGGTAAATTGGCAGTGATTGAGAAACGTTGACTCAGGAGACTGAAGCTCTAACCGATGAAAACTCTATTTTTTTTTTTTTGGACGTAGACCTTGGAATATCATACACATCAGCGGCCTACTTCAAGGACGACAAGCTCCACTACGTCTTCGACAACAACGGACTCCCCCTCATCCCCTCTTATGTCGCCATCTTCAACAATCCCTCCACTTCGTCCAACAACAATACCAACACCACACAAATCCTATTCGGTCAAGAAGCAAAAGATCAACTCACCACCAACCCCCAAAACACGATCTTCAACTGGCAACGTCTAATCCGCCTCCCCTACGGCAACCCAATCGTCCAATCCGAAATCAAACGTGTCCCCTACAATATCGTCTCTTCCGTCCTTACCCCACCACCACCACTAACCGCAAACTCCTGTCCCAACCTAAACCATTCACCAGCACTCAAACGCGCGTCTTGCACCCAAGAAGAAGACGACAACAGACACTTCCTAGGCCACGCCATGATCCAAATCCCGGCACACGTACCCACACTCCACCACCTCTACAGACCAGAAGAACTCACCGCTCTCCTCGTCTCCCACCTCAAGCACCTCGCCGAGACCCAAGCCGGCATAAACTTCACATACACCGTCGTCACCATCCCGAGCGATGACACCCCGGACCAAAGATATGCCCTCGATGAGGCTATTGAGGCTGCAGGATTGTATCGCCTGAGACTGACCAGACGACACCTCGCGCCATATTTGGCCTATCAATTGGATGCGGACCAGCTGGGTGTTGCTAATGTTATGATGGTGAATTTGGATCCGGAGTATTTGGAGGTTGCGTTGGTGGAGATGGATGAAGGAGTATATGAGACTTTGGCGATTCTTGAGCGAACGGAAGTGAGGTATGATGGTGAGGCGGCGAATCGACTGGTGCTGGAGTACCTTGTCGATAAGCATTTCAGCCGGGCGAGAGGCGTCACTGCTACTGGATTGTTGGACAAAACTCTGCAACAACACACCTTTGAGCGACAGCAAGGTAACCACGACAACAAGCAGCTTCGCCGAGACAAGCTATTTAACGACACCACAGCAATGAAACGACTGCACAACGAGATTCTCAAAGCCACCGCCATTTTCCTGGAACCATCTCCATCACACTCAAAAAAATTGGTCCGCATCGAGATCCAATCCTTCTTCGAGTCACACGACCTTTCAGAAGACCTGACCTTCTCTCAATGGCAAGACCTACGCCAGTCAACCTTGACAGCCCTCCTACCGACCGTACAAAAAGTCCTTGAAAGTCTCCCTGAATACGATACCAGTATCAACACCGTTATCGTTGTTGGTGCTTCGCCCTTGGTTCCTGACGCGACCCGGTTGCTGAAGTCGTATTTCCGAGGCAGAGGGAAGGATGGAAAGGAGGTGAGATTCCCAACAGGAATTGATCCTGCTCTGGCGATGGTCCAAGGTATGGCTGTTGTTGTGGAACGACTTACTCCGCGCTACGACCCGTTGGAACGGTCATGTGTGCTATATGGGTAAATAAAGCAATCGCTATGAACAATCCATGCTTCCTTGAATCGCGGTACTTTACTGGTGTAGCATATCCTTCTATCCCAAGAAAAAACAGAGACTAAAATATTGGTATCGTATTTCATGTGCAGGAAGAGTGAGAAGACCGCTTGGTAAGGTACTCTGCAAGTCGCGCGGCACCATAAGAATCAGCATGTTCAGGCGCAATCGCCGGATCATACAACTCCCTCACCCCACCACCAAGAGCCTCCATCATGGCACCAGATGAGATATTTTTGAACTGCGATTGATCCACGACCAAAAACAAATCCAACTTTACCCGCCTCTCTTCCTCCTTAACTCCGCTCTTCTCATACGCTCGCTCCAACATATTCCTATAATGCGTCTTCAAGAACTCCTTCTCGAAATCCCACCACTCCTGATGCGAGAACAAGACGTAGTTGTGAGCCGAGACCCAGTACTGTTCCTGGACATCCCCCGTCTCGGGACTCCACATTTCAGCCCATCTTACGGCGATATAAATCATGTTCATGGCCCATTCGGAAGCGTCAGGGTGAGGAAGTTGTTCGGCATGAACACCAGTGGCGTTAGAAGAGTTCTCGTTCGTGTGGTATTCCCCTGCGGTGTACTTCTCGAATATCTTCTTGGCCATGGCATACAGCATCCGCGTCTTAACCGACTGGTAGAAATGATACTTGGCCACCTCCTTCAACCCCAAGAACCCACCCTCATCCTTGTCCTCGGACGACTGGGCACGGGAGGCTTCGAACACCGTAATCCCCTCGGTGAGGTTGTTCAAGTAGTACACCACAATCCTCTGTGGTCGTCCTGCAATGGCCTCTTCCCTGGAAATCACCGACTCGTACGCAAGAACAGCAGCCTCCGAGTTGTCCAGGACCCGAACAGTCTCCAATCCAGCCCGGGCAGCGGCGTCAATCGTCGATTCAGGCTGCGGACTCTTTGATGGGTTGGTTGACAAAGAAGGGATCACCACCACCGCAAACTTGACATTTCCCTTTAGCAACCGCGTCTCGGCCAATTCCTTGGCTCGTCCCATCAAAAAAGACTGGATCTTTTGCCGCCGCTCATACCCGTTCCTCGCCACCTGATCCTTCCAATCTCTCTCCGCATCCGACTTCGCATGCAACTCACACTCACCCGCGTTGGAATTATACGCATACGGCCCTATCGACGGCATCCCCGCGATGCCCTTCCATTCATCCCCAACAAGCTTGTACTTCCCATCCACGCACGTACTCCTTGGCACCGCAGAATTCAACCACCGCCCCAGGTGCTGGCCCAAGAAGACGATGGGCATCGCCTCGGGTAATCCTAGACCATAGGCAACATCGGGTTGAAAGTCATATATGTGTTTGGGAACGGGGTTACTATAGTTGGTGGTTCGGATTTGGGTGAAGTATTGTTCCTGTTGGAGCCTGATGGACCCTCCGACGGCATTTTCGTGTGCGCCAAGGGGTCGGAGAACGGCGTCTTTTCCAACGAGGACGTCTTGGGTGCCGTCGGGGTGGTCAGTGATGCGGACAAGGGAGGCAATCCAAGTCTCGCCTTCATTGTCGGGGAAGAGTTCGTGTTCGTTGGTCGCGGGGTTGATGTATCCGACCGAGAATCTGTCCACGCCGTAATCTGTTATCAGATGAAATAAAATAGAAAATTAACTATGTGCGGTTAGCAAATACAAAAAAAATGAGAGGAGAGAGGGAAAAAAAAAAAAAAAAAAAAAAAAAAAAAAACAGAGGGAGTGTGTATGAAACTTACCGATGGCGATGACAGTGCCACATATGGTTTGTTTGTTAGTCGGAGTATTGACCGAGCTCTGTTGCTGAGAGTTCAAGATACCGATAGGGCTGGCCATGGTGGTGGAAGGACCAAGGCCAGTCAGGGACAAGGCAACAACCGTGGCAATTGCTACCATGGCTGACTTTGTTGACTGTCGCATGGGATAGAGAGTTGTGAAATGGGTGGTGGGGAATTGGCTGTGGATGGGGAAGAAGGCAAAGAAGAAAAAGAAGCACAGGAGAAAGACGCTTATTTATACTTCTGCTAAAGGTGGGCGTAAGAATTGAAATTGGGCTCTATGCACAAAACAAAAGTGGGCAGGCCAAGCAGCAACATTGACAGAAAAACGTCAAACCATATCTTCTACATGAAAAGAAGTACTTAAACACTGTCCCGCACTTTATCAGGCGATGGAAGCATAGAACGATTGCAACAAGCTTATCCGATGAATGATTTATTCTGCGTAGAGTGGTTGCGAAAAATGACAGATGCGCCATTTCCAAGAAAAAGTCCTACTCTCCAAAAAAAAAAATATGCTTAATTGTAGTCGTGGAATTGCCTCAACAACAACCCTCACAATCGAATGATCAACTGTCTATGTCTTCGCCTTGCAGTCGATCCACCTCCTTTTTTTTACCTGCGCCTCCTCGCGCTTGCTTCAACAGGTTGTCCACCGCCGACACGAGTCGTCCTCTTAAAAAATTCCCTCTCGAACGCCTTCCATTCTTGATATGTGAACACTACATACTTTTTCGCGCTGCTTAGGCGAGGATGGGCTTGGAAATGGGAGGAAAAGTAAAGGGACGACGATGAAGGTACATGACTCCCTTTCAATGGACTTTCAGATGGGTTTGAAGAAAATTTTATTGGTTTCAGTGTCATTAGGAAGATAAAGAAAATGCTGTGTGTTGTTATTTTTATGTACTGTGCAGTACATGTACACATTGCTCATTTTTTAGACTGCTCATTTTTTTTTTGTCCCAGGGATTGAGCAAAATAAGGATACGAGTGAAAAGGTGAGGACGGCTATTGGTAAAGAAAGAAGAAGGGACATGAACGTCATGAGAAAAAAGAGACAGCAACCTGTTGGTTGAGCATAAGAACAATACGCAGCACAGGCAATGTCAATGGGCCCAAGCAAAGAACCAAACGACAAAAGACGATCGTCGATCCTTCGTTTTGTTTTTATTCATTCACATCCTTCACATCCTTCACGACGATCACAATGAAGAAGAAAAAAAAATAAAAAATAAAAAACAAAAAAAGAGGGCCACCTTTACGCGGACAACAAGTTCAAGAAAAACGATAAGAAAAACTAAGGCTGGAGGTCAGGGCAATACCAGGGAACTTGCAAGGGGGACTCCTTCGTGAGCAATCCAGCAATCGTAGCAATGCCCTCCGCAACCGCTCTCTGGGGATCAACTGCCTTCACAATCTTCTTCTCCCCTTCCTCTCCAAACACAGTTCCCATAGCAGCAGTTGACTGACCCTTGAACGAGGTCATATCCGCAACTACCAAATGGTCCACCATATCCTTGCTCTCCAACCCGGAAGAAGCAAGAATCCTGTTGACGGCCTTGGACAGACGCTCCTTCAAGAACTCGAATCGGATTTCCTTCCACATCGAGAGCGTTACCATCATCAACACACGGGGGTCATTCGTCCCCTGGGGTCCGAACTTGAGTTCCGTATAGATACGCCAGTCCGCATCAGTATCGCTATTCGAGGCTTTTGAATGGTGATCCATCAACTCAACAGCACTGCGGAACTCGGTCTTGTTCACGTACTGGATCTCGTTATCTTCTAAGAATGCCACGAAGTCGTGAGGTCCTGGAGCTTTTTCCCAAGCCTGGTTGAATCGATGCACCAGATTCTTGAGGAGGTAACGCTCAAACTCGTCCTGGATGAGACCGTCCTCGTGGCGGAGGTACCCGTCCAGGGCCTGGAGGTGGAAGGGGCGCAGTCCAAACGTACCCTTGTGGTACCGCATCAATGTCATGTCCTCGGTCGTGTCTCGCAAGTTGTAAAACAACACCGTCTGGGGAAGATACGCGTCCTCGCCGCCCAAGGGATCGCGCTGGACTCTCGACTCAAAGAACTCGATATGGGCCGCCGCCAACGACAACGTCTCGGTGTATGAATCAATGGTTTCCGCTAAAAGAGTCACCTCCCACAACCGGTTAGTGAAATACCTTCTATGTACGAACGACGCACCCTCATCGTTTGAGGGATGCTGGGCCGTCACCACCACTCCGTGCACCTTCTCGCCCGACCTCGACGAGAACGACTCGTGGCCCTCGGCCATATCCATCGCTCGCTTCAACACCACCGCCAAAAGATCCCCTTGGGGTACTTTGTGCTCAGACCACATCTCTCGATCGCCGTAGTCAGTGACATCACGTTCCAGATTGAGAAGAACGTTCTGGGGGAATGTATTGCTTGAGTTCAAGGAGACCATGTCAACAGCCGAAGCCTCAAGCTGTTTTGTGGTCAACCCTTGGTCCACGTCCGAGTGAAGGGCAGCAAGTCCGACCAGCGCCTGACGACCACCATCAATGAAGCGGACGGACGTGGGGCTGTACACCTCCCCCTTCTCGTTGGGGATCAACACGATCTTGCCGGCCGAGTTGACATACCCAACCGCAAAACTGTCCTCTCTCAAGTCTATTTTAGATGGAGGGGGTTCGACAAAGAGAAACAAAGAAGTGTGAGCAACTACGTCGGATTCGAAAGCCGAGAAAAAAGCACGCTGTAAATTTGCAAAAAAAGAGTTTGAAAGAAAAAAAAACCTTACCGACGCCGATGTAGCGTTTCACCAGCCCTGAAGGGCGACAGTAACCATCGTCCACCTCGAAATCGTCAAATGGAGGAGGAGATATGGGAGTGGGACGAGGGAAAAAAAAAGTGGCAGTGGGAGGGATAATAGAAGCATACTCGTCGTAGTCGTACTCTACCGAGATGACATCGTCGTCGTTGTCGTTGTAGGTACTATTCTCGCTCTCAAACTGAGTCGAATTCTGTTGGTCAACTCCAAAAGGACGCTGTTGCGCACCACCGTCGTTCCCACCATTGTAACGGTAGGGCGTACGTGTGGGTATGGAGCCACCTGCCGACATGGTCCGCGAATAAACGGCACCACCTCCGCGTCCATACCAGTTGATACTCGTCACCTTGGGAGGATGAGTGAATCTCGGAGCACGAGCAGCCCACGTAGGCAAGGCCTGGCCTCCACCACCACCACTGCTGGCGGTTGGGTAATAAAACCCCGTAGCGATGCCGTCCCAAACAGACGTAATAGGCTTGGCCGGGGCCGAGGGCTCGAAATACACTTCCGGCGGATAGGAGGGTCCGATGTCATCGTCGCCATAGTAGTCAGGGTAGGGGGGAGGAGAAGGGGAGGAGGGTCCGTAGTCGTCGTCGCCATAGTAGTAAGGGTAGGGGGAAGGAGAAGGCGGGAGGGGGATGGGGAGGTTGAAGTGAGGGACTCGGGGTGGTCTGGTCGTGGTTCTGGTGGGAGGAACGAAGGAAGCGTAATCGCTGCAATTGTCGTCGCAGTCGTTGTTATTGTTGTCGTTATCGCAATTGTTGTTGTTGTCAGCGATAGGAAGGGCTGTGGCGGGGGTGGGGCCAAGACTGGCGGTTAGCAAAGCCAGCGCTACGGTCAATGCCACCAGGTTGGTTTTCGCCAGCATTTTTTTTTTTTTTTTGGCAAGGTAGGGTTGACAAAAAAATGGGGAGGTGAAAAATAGGGAAGTGAAGGAGGGGTTTCGTGAACTGTTGGTGAAAAGAGGGTTTTGTATATGTGCGCGCAGAGGAAAAGACGTAAGGGCGTGCAGGAAGTGAAGAGGTATGGCGCAGACAAAGAGGAATGAAGAGAGAACAATTCAAGGGGGCGCGGTACACTCGGGTCTCGGGTGTGAGAATTGGGCTGCAGCAAACACAAAAAAAAAAAGGGATGTGAGCCATCATCATCGATCCGTTCCCTCTGGTTTTTCTGTTCAATGACCGACTGTCACCACCATTTGATGATTGAAACTCAATGCTCACATCATCTCATGCATTTGTTGGTGTTTACCCCATACGACAACGCCCTATCGATAAAGCAAACACGTCATTCAAAATGGCAGCACGTTCAACACACACGGTAGACCATGCACACTGCCAATTATTTGCGCCACGATAGGAAATTCTGGAACTGATGACTTCTCTACGTGGCAAAGTCGATATTTTCAGGCGTCCCGCGTGATGCTTTTTTAAGTGCTGCTCAACAACTCTTCGTGTACAGGCAACGCTGTGCAATATGTAACGCAGTCTGTTTTCTGTATTGTTGTTGTTTTTTATTTGTTTTTGTTTTTCTTTGACTGAATAGCATGGACCAGTGAACAAAACAAGTGACAGGGGCAAACTTTCGAAAGAGAAAGATCCTCTACACAGAAGTCTCAGCGGCCTGCTGCAAAGAGTATGGGGAATGCTGGGATTGAGATTGTTGTTGTCGTGACTGAGAAGGACGCTGTTCATTCTCATCGGCGCCTTGAGAGTGTTGGGAATACTCCTGGCCCTCGGGCTCCTGGGATCCTGCTTGCTGAGAAGAGGAGTGATATTCGTGGTGATCTTGACTCGAATGTCCTTCCTCCAAGCCATTCTGCTGGCCTTGGCTTGAGCTCTCGCCGGTTGGGTACTCTAGCTCCATTTCCGAGACTGCTCCGAGCTCAGAGGCACCACTACCGAACGAGGTATGAGCCCGGTAACCGCCGCTGTGTCCCTCCACAGAAACAAGGTTGAGAGAGTTCATTGGTGGGGGTGTCACCACCAACGTCTTTCCAAAAACGTCCGTGTTGCCATCTCCAGGGCGAAGTGTCTGCTGTTGCTGCGTCTGGGTGTGGAGAGGTTCTTGTGCGCTCAAAGGCACGTTTCCAGATGAACTCGATCCGGGTTGCTGTTGCTGCTGCTGTTGTTGAATCATTGGATTGAGTGGTGAGTTCGAGTTGGTGCGGGTGCGGTTCCGCGTGGGGATCGAAATATTACGGACAAAGTTCTGAATCATGTTCCCGGCCGCGGAAATATGGTTGGAGGGACTGACAGAGGTATTATGTTGACCCGTTTGTGGTCTTGAAGGAGATCCAAAGGAAATGGGAGCAGATCCCATATTAGATGATGATCCAAATGCGGGTGGGGAGGGTGCCATAAAAAAAGCAGATGAGGGCGACTGCATAGCTGAAGAGTTGACCGACGAGACTGACGTTTGTCCTCCAGAAACTGGGACCGAAGGAGTAGCAATATCCATGGCCGAGGAGGCGGCTTCTGTCTGTTGAGCAGGGGTGGTAGGAGCCTGGTCGTCTCCGAATTGACGGGGCTCATTGATTTCTTCCAGGTCGTTGGCGGGGTTGCCTCGTTGCTGAAAGTCGACATCCATATCGTCATGGCTCAGAGGACTAGGCGCCAATCGCTCCTGGAGTTGGGCTCCTTCAGAGGGGTATGTATCATGCCCGGGCGGCTGAAAGGTATGTGCTTGGACAGAGGGAGGGGTGGGTGCGTGGGCCTCCTCGGCCAATACCTCGGCCAGAGGCCTCCCTGCTTGCGCGACTGGCTCCTCGACGACAGGTGATTCGGTGACTTGTTCCACAGCCGCTTCTTGTTGTCTTGTCGCGTTCTCGATGGCAGCAGCAACATCTGTGAAGAACAAAGGCAAACGACAAACACTTCATGCTGTCAGAAATTCGTTCCAATTCTCTCTCTCTCTCTACATCGCACTTGCTCTCACAGATCTTTTCCCTCTGAAACGAAAGAGGGCCTATATTACACTGCATTTGCAAAAAAAAAAAAAAAAAAAGATTTGCAAACTAGCAATCACCTTCTGCAGGTATCTCTTCCTCGACTGGGTCATCAATCTCGACACTGTCCTCCAGATCGGCAAACGTCCTGCAGAGCGGGCAAAGAAATCCTGGGTGATTGGCCATCAGCAATGGTCGAATGCACTTGTAGTGGTACACATGTGAACAGGGGGCGACAAAGAGCGATTGGAAGGATGCGATCCTGAATAAACAGATACAGCAGTCGGTTGCGCTGTTGGCGTTGGCAGTTGTCAGGTTGCGGATGACCTTTAGCGTGTTAGCCCTATTGAATTGATAGAGACAAATACAAGTCGACGGTCAGAGAAACGAAGGGTCTTTTCCGCTACTGGCAGAAAATGCTGCGAACAATGCTATGAATTATCCACTCACCTGAAGGCGTTGGGTTGTTGTTGCCATGATCTGTTCAGCTCCAATCGCATCTTGACGCAGCGGTAGATTTCTAAAAAGAACAACAAAGTAACGTCTTTGTGTGAGCAATTGCAGAAGACGATTCGGTATTGCGAACGTTGAATGTTGTGCTGTGTATACAGCATGTCTTGTTGGTTTGAATGTCGTGCTGGTCGTTGGTGAAAATCCTGATGTAGTCGTTGTCAACTCTTTGTTTACATCGCCTTGCCCCTATTTTCATTTGCGTTCTACTTCCTTCACCGCTTTGTTCACTCTTCTCTTTTTGCAGTCTCAAGTGGAGTTGTGAAACTTTCAATTTGTTGCCCCTTGTTCTAGTGGATTCGGTCGATCCTGCATGCCGTCCAGACTGTTACCGTCCATGACGAATATCCTAGCCCCGGAGATTAACCCGCTTCAAAGAAAAAAGAGTCAGTCGAAAGGTCGGGTCGACTCACCTTGAGTGCCTCCTTGATAATCCACTCCGAGTTGGACAACATCACCATCCTTCAGCAGCGTGGGCTTGGATTCGACTCCTGGGGGCGAGAGTCGAGCGTGGTTGAGAAACGTTCCTGATGAAGACTTTGTGTCCCTGATAAAGAACTAATTATGATACGGGCAACAATCCTGGGTTAGAAGTACGTCCTTTCTTTCTACTTGCGCATAGCATAGCCAGTGCTGGTCTTCTTGATCTGCGTTGTTGTTGTTTAGAGTAACAGTCCTGAGTTGGAAAAGCGCAAGCTCTTCGTCTGGGTTGTCCTTGTAAACGAAGAAAAGCACAGTAACGCGAGAATGAACCGACAATCCTATTGCTTTTGCAGTCTAAAATCATTCATTCCTCTTCGACCCCAAAAGGGTAACCCTGTCAACTGCCCGATGACGTCCTTTGGATGGTCAGTCGGTAGAATCCAGATTATGTTATCCATCGGTCTGCTCCCTTTGACTCCTTTGTCTCTTCTATCTCTATCCAGATGATTTCTGACAATTTTGTCTCAGGAGCACGCTCATTTTGATCGCTGAGGATGAAAATATTGATTGATGTGAAAACGAAGCTGAGCCTATGCTCAAACAACAAGACAAAAGCCTTTTTGGCGCCCCCCCCCCCCCCCCCTTCCTTTTCACCCACTTCACCCCCAGACTCCTTGTTTTATCCTGACCTTCCAGAACCGTTTTAAACGTCCCAGTTTGCCTCAGTCTCTGTCGGCAATTCACATCAATTCGGAGCTTCCATCCGAGGTAGTGCCTGTCATTCCACAAAGAAACGAAAAAAAAAGTCGACTTCCAAGGTGCTGCTGATGGTCGGTATCCATTCCACAAGTAAAAGCTTCCATCCACAATGTCGTGTCGTAGCCCGTCTGTATCCGCCCATTCGCATCTTATCTTTTCCTTGGTGAAAAAAGAGTCCATACTGAGAAAGGGGGTGGAAAGAAGAAAAAAAAAAAAGAGGGAGCAAGGGAAGGCGAGGATGTTCTCCTGCAGTAGCAAGAAGACCAGCTCTAGTTTGCTCAGCACACGAGAGAGTGAGTAAGCCAGCTCATCAGCAGTAACCGAATAAAAAGGGTGAGGGTCCTCTTGTTGTGGTTGCTGCTTATCCTGAATTCCAGTGAATCGTCTTTCATCCAAATGACTTTTCGTTGTTGTTGTCATCGTCGTACTTCCAATAAAAAAAAAGCCAGAGTGCGTCACCCATAACAACGGCAGAATCCATAAACAATAAAAAAGAGAAATGAATTACCCTGCCCCGCTCTGTGTAGATCTCGGCGTGTCCACGGGAGACGACTTTGGATTTGAAGGTGACTCTGTTGGGGAGTGCCTGCTTGTCGGTGAAACGGCCGATTTTGAGGACAAAGCCCTCGGGGACATCCTTGTCGACGACTTCGAAATGGAGCGAGCGTGGGGCGTCGAGGTGGGGGACGATGCGGATGTGAGGAACGGGAGCAGCGGTTGTTGTTGGGGGAGCTGCGGATGAACCTGGTGCTCCTGGTTGTTGTCCTTGTGGTCCTGGTGGGGTGGTGAACGCGTGGCCACCGTTTGTGTGGGGGTGTGCGCTCATCGTTTGTCTATCGGCCGGTCAGCTAGGGCAGTCAGGAGAGGGTTGGTTGGGTGTGTGTGCTCGTGCTTGGCTTGACTCGGTCTGTCTGATTGCGAGTGAGTGAGTGAGTGAGAGTCGGATGCGAAGAGTGCTTGTGGATGACGGCAAGTAGGGTGCAAATAAAAGGGAAGAGGAGAGAGGGAAAGGAAAGGATGAAAAGGCAAGGGAGGGGAAAGGAAAAGGAAAAGGAAAAGGAAATATGGGAGAGGAGAGAGGAGACGAAGGGAGAAAGAAAAGGGAAGAAATGGGAAGAAATAGAGTGAGTGTGTAGAGAGAGGCAAGAAAAGAGGGAGAAGAGAAATATATTGTGGGAGACAGAGGGTCAAGTCAAGTTATTGTGAAGAGAAAGAAAAAGGGACGCAGAGGCATGGTCCTCAAGGCAACAACAACAACAACAAAGCCAACAAGACAATGATGGCCATCGATCCAGGGACCAATGAGTTCGTTCACCATTCACAAGGGAAGGAATAAGAAGGACACCCTTAGTGAAGTACCAAACAACAACACCTCCTTTGGTCTTCTCTGCTCTTCTCTGTCTTGCAGTGACTGTACTGTGGAAGGATGCATAAGGCACATCTGATGTAACCATTATTACCCCTTCTTGTTCCATCGAACGAGCAAGAGACAGATCGATGGAAGGAAGAAGCGCCAGGCACAACAACTCTCTCTCTCTCTCTCTCTCTCTCTCTCTCTCTCTCTCCTCATGTCGCATGTCCTCCCTTCCTTCTCTCCTTAGTTCTTAGCTCTTAGTTCTTGTGCGACAACAAATTTTTTTTCCCCTTCTCTTTTGCATTTTTCAATGTCCACTCCCTCTGTGGCCCCGACGCTGGGGCTACTGACGAAAGATATCTATCTATTCCTCAATCAAAACATTTCATCTACCGCACACGCGATTCTTCAACAGAGGCGCCCAATGAGAACCTGAACAACAAGATTTCCGTGTGGAGACTGGGCTACTAAAGCCTTCGCTCTCCGCCCAATCGCATCTCGTACCCAGGCAACATGGCCTACAACCATTACTAGGGCGGATCATGACTGGACCCCCTCCCCCCCCCCCTCCACCACCGTCTTTCCTTCCTTCGTTCTTTTTTCTGCTTGTGTGAACAATCAATCGGGGATCCGCGAAGAAAGAGGGCTCTGGTATCTCTGAACACAACAAAAAAAAAAAAAACCTGTTACCTAATTTGTCCTTATTGCTTGAAGCTTTTTTTTTTTTTTTTTTTTTTTTGGCTGACAATAGGAACCCGATGCTCGGCACCGTACTCTTTTGCTTCTCTCCCACTACACCATATCTCATTTCCCTGGCAATAACGAAACAAGTCCAAGATGTCAAGGAGGTGAAGAAAGGGGAGGGTGAAGAAACAACTATAAAATGGCGAGCAAATGCACACACCAAAACCGCCTCCTTTCACTCTCAAAGCTCGCAACTTTTTTTTTTTTTTCTTTGCGTTGTTGTTTGTTTGTACTTTGAAAGTATTTCACAGAACATACGTTTTTTTTTTTACTTCAAGGGCTGTGTGTTTGGGGCAAGTTTGCGATGTTGTTCACGACTGACTCTTTTTTTTTTTATTGGATTGAAAAGGTGCAGATTAAGTAAGTAAGCACGCGAGAGAAGAGATGTGAAGAGGTGAGAGAACTAATTACAGGCAAGGAAAAAAAGATATGTACAGAATGGCGGGAAGAAAAGTATATGACAACAAAAGAAAAGAGTAAAACTAATCAAAACGCGAAATAAATGGAGTGAAGTGAGGATGCTAAGGACGAACTACTAATAAAAACAAAAGCAGACGTATCTACTATAGCAGGCAGTTGGCTTGAGAGGAGCGGCGCTTGGTGGTCTCGCCAATGAGGGCGCGATGGACATAGGGAGCTTGGTCCTTCTCACCGTCGGTGGAGCCCTTGAGGTTGTTGCCTCGGTTGACGACATTCTGGAAGGCAATGAGGACCTCTGTCGAGTGGTTCTCCTTGAGCTGGTAGTTGGACTCACAGTTCATCTTGATCTCCACATCCACGAAGAGTGGGTACTATCATTGGCCATAGATTAATATTAGTCACACGTGTCAGCTCGGGGCGAAGCAATCACGTCGATGAGCAAAGACACGAAAAAACGATTGAGCAAAATATGAGCAAAGCACACTTACGTCTTGGTAGAACTCATCGGCGCCGAGGTGGACAATGGTCTCGTCGTCACAGCAGGTGTTGAGCATAAAGACATGGCCACAGCGGATGTGGATGTAGCTCTTGGAGATGCCGGACCAGACCTTGGGGTCCTGGCGGAGATGTTGTTCGATCGACTCGACCGAGGACTGGATGTTATCCTCGAGGACGGGGATCGAGTCCGAGATGGTAGGCTCAACCAGCTTCTTGGTTAACCAGGCCTCGAGCAGTCTACAGATGACGTTTGTCTTGGCGTTGCCATGCGATGCCAAGTGAGGGATCTATTGTGTACGTGTAGATGGTTTGCATGTGTACGAAGAACGCAGGAGTGATCAGTGGCTGTGATTAGGAAAAGTGAAACGTGTGCACATGCACACATGTGTTTAAGTGAACACAACTTACGGCAAGGAAGCCACCACCACGGCCGATGCCGTCAAAAAAGTAGGTCGTGCGGATGGTAGAGACACTCTTCCAGTAGTCATCCTCCATCGTGCTCAAAAAGTGCTCGTAGCTCTCACGGGCCTCCTTGGCCTGCGTGTTGCTCGTGAAAGTAAACCCAGTCGTGGTCATGGGAACATTGGACGAGGCACGCATCTGGAGTGGAGACATCGCTGAGGGCGCCGAGGAGCTGGAGGAGCGCAACTTTAGTTTTTGTTCGTCGCGCTGGAGACGATGTTGTTTCTGGAAGCGAGACGAAAAGATACCGTCGCTGTCATCGTCGGGATCGACGGCTGTGGATGAATGGTCTTGTTGGAAGGTCTGGTCATCGTCGAAGATGGGGTGGGGTGTGAGTGGTGGGGATGGGATATTGATGGCGGCCGAGGAAGAGGGTCTTGCCGAGAGGGAGACTTCGATGTCCTTGAGTCTTGGAACGGAGGATTGGGAGGTAGACCTGACTGATTGTGGACGGACTGAAGGACGGGCTGTACCAGGGGTCTTGCATGCTAGAGGCGCATGAAGTGTGGTTGTCCAAGGTAGAGGGGAGGAGTGCACAAGTACCATGATTGAAGACAAGGAGTAGTCAAGAGAGTGGAGAATGTGGAGTGAGGAGGAAGAAGAAGGAAAGAGGTGCACAGAAAGAAAAGAAAAAGGAAAGAAAAGGGGTGCGAGATGTATCACCAGAAGAGTGGGAGAGAACAGAGGAGAAGTGTTAGTGATAGTAGAATAAAGCAGATTGGTGCACCAATGAATCGTTGTCTACGGATGGGAAACATCTCTCCACACGGACGGAAAAGGAATCGATGATCCATTGGCAATGACATTGCATCTCCATTCTTGGTCCGAGAAATCGATTATCGTTTGGGGGTGGGTAACGACTAGAGTGGAGTGGGGGAAGGAAACCGATGATGGGTCTGGGCAGGGCTAGGCAGGACTGGACTGTGGGAAAAACTACAGAAAAACTAAATGAACTTCCCACGCTGTGCTACTGTCCAACCCACCAGGTTACCCTACTTGTCATCCTGCAGTCATCCTTTTTTTTTCCCTTGTTGCTTGCCCACCCCATTTCCATTGATGTGTGTCCCACTCTGCAATACCCCGCACAGAATTGAACCCCCAGAATGATATCATTATTACCCAGCCCCTGGTAATACATCCTGCATTAAATGTTCCGCCTGAGTGTCCACTCCTGTCGCTTGGTCGTAAAAGGTTAGATATGGATGGCATGGGTCCTTGAGTCGAACGAGAGATGGTGGTGCTCATCCCACTCCAATACCATGGTCATTCCCCTCTATCCCTCACTCAACCCCTAGACCTTTTTTTTTATAGTAGCAAAAGTAATTCATTATTGAGGAACTGCATGGTGTCAGGCACACGATGGATCATGTTTTATCTTCATGTCTCTGTGCACCATGATGATGGTGTATCAAGATATGATAAAAACAAATGAGCCCTTGTCCAACCATTGCACGCCAAGGAATTAACGAGAATCAAAATTGCATTCAAAACTCTCGCCATGTGAGTTATTCCCTTCTCTCCGTATCCTTTTTTCTCCTCTTCACTTTTTCTTCTCGTCCTCTATCGCTCTCCCGGTTCAGTCTGCCGCAACTCCTCAGTCGTTTTTCCAGATTACTACGTTCTACGCCAGGAAGACTTTTCTTACCTGGCAGGGACAGTGGCGGGTTGCTTGTGGAGATTAAGGAGAGAAGCATGGTTGTTGTGTGTCGGTGAAAAGGTAAGTTTAGCGTGTGGGTGTGGCGCAATGGGTGCTGTTGGAGAGAGAAGAGATATGAAAAGAGAGAGAGAGGGAGAAGAATGGGAATGAAAGAGTTTGCGAAGAGGTGTTCAGGAACAAGAATTGAAAGAGGCGGTTACAAAATAAGATAGGAGTAATGGTTTGTGAATGAAGGTGGCGATTGAGAGAGTGGTGAGAATGAAAGAAGGAGGCGAGTGAAAGCTGGAGGAGTGTGAGACGAAAGAGGGGTTTTAGGAGAAGAAAAAGAAAAAAAAAACGGCGCAAATAAAGAACGCTAAGAAAAACAACGAATCGTGTCTGGGTCCCTGACCACAAAGAAAGACATTGACATCAAAGCATTAAAAAGGTGTGATTGTATGCCCAAGCCATGGCCTTGGGTGGGACTATCTGAGGAACGGGCTGAACGAGCAATTTAACTCATTGGATAATACTTGTTCATTTACGTCTTGCCTGATCGCCAGGGATGCTATCCTTTATTTCGTTGGGGGTGGGTAGAGCGTAGGCTATGAAAGCAAGCCCATGACAGACATTGAACAATGATGAATGAAATGAAGCATTGGGCAGGTCTCTGTTAAAATAACGTTTATCGCCGACGGCGGAGGATGACTTTCTCGACTTCTTGCCACACTAGTGGGGATAGAACTCTCTAGACACCTCAAGAACAGGCCCTTCTTCTTTTCCTTTCTTCCCCCACACTCATCCACCCACACGGCTGTGTAAGGAATACATACTTTATTACAGACAACGCAGAAAAAGAAAGTAGAAAAGCTGCCAAGAAATCCTTGTCGCTTCCTTCTCCGTCATGTGCACATTCAGGTTAAGGCATCCACTCTCTCTTCGTCCCGGATACAATAGATAGGTCATTGAAAGGGAACACATGTGCATGAAGGACTCGAAGACGAGCCAATCCGCAGGGAATAAATGACCCCGCCCAAAAGGCCTTTCAAATCTTTCAAAAGCCTGGGTGGGTTCACATGAGGTCTGATAACAGAAGATGACCTTCTCTCTACAAATCCATACACTCGAAGGCTGCACGGTACCACTTCGCTTACAAAGAAGAATAAAGAAAACAAATGGAGACACAGAGGTCCCATCTTCTTACGGTCCCAGAAGGTCCTTCTTTCTCCTCTCCCGAAACGCGATCATACCATTTTTTGTCTTCCAGGAGAAGGAGAGAGAGAGAGAGAGAGAGAGAGAGAAAGGGAGGATGGGCGCAATGCAATGATGTCCAAGCGAAAAAGAAACAGCCGAGTGCAGAACAAAAAGGTCAAGCAATTGGGATCATGCCATCGTGCAGGGGTGGACATGCAAACCGCAGTCCTATTGTTGTACATGTACATGCTTGCGTTCTTTTCAGACAACCTCTCCTATCCCCTCATGCCCTTGTTTCTACACTCCACTGCTCATGACAAAGAACAATACCATTTCACATCCCCATTCTCACTCACACTTTTGCAAAGCGATGTTCACTGCTGTTGCAAGGGAGGGCAAAAAAAGAGGCGTCAAGATAGATAACCTAGTTTCGCCTTTTCGACTCATCGACCTTGGATGTCACGTTCTTTCACACAAAGGAAAAGATAACGAAATGGATACCACTAACGTATCCCACCATCCACTAGCATGAAATGCAAAACAGTGAGCAATGAAAATAATGAGGGTCGAAGGGTGGTTGGCTACCTTTCAGAACATTAGGGTCACCAACAAAGACCATTGGCCTTCTCTCTCTCGTTCCACTTAGCACGCTTGGTTATCTTTTCTATTCCCTCTGAAGCAGAAACCAATTTGGCACTAGCATCCCTCCACTTGTCGACTCCTTGGGCGGGTCAATTCGGGTCACACGGGCCTATCCTTTGTTGCACCACCGTTATGCAATACGAAAATAATGTCCGACTGGTACATGATGCCAGAGACTGGATATGAATGTGACGGTTAGATTGGTGGGCTACAGACATTTTTTTTCTCCCTCTTTTTTTTTTTTTTTTTTTTTTTCCCACAGACCATCATTTGATACTGCGCACGGGGCACATGTTGAAGCGAGCACTTGTTCTCAACGCGACACTGCGAACAACACATTTTCTTTTTCTAGTGAGAGAAACAAAAACAATATATTGTGTACGAAAAAAAAAAAAAAAAAACTTTCAGCGCATAGAAGACGCGCGTTGTCTTCGTATCAGATCGTCTCAGTCTTATTTTTTTTTTTTTTTTTTATTATTGGGAAAGCTATGCCCATCAAAGGCGTGCATCTCGCTCGTTTTTGTACCCGTCTTTTTTTCTTTCAAGCCGCACATACCATCGATTGACCTACCTTTGGTTGTCGCATTTCCTCTCCTCTGTACTTTTCTTCTCTTCAATTTACATTAATCCACACCCTCAGTCCGTTCATTATCGGTCCCTTCTTTTTTTTTTTTTTTTTTGCGTCCAACTTTAATAGAAGAAAAGCAACGCGTCTTGGGGGGAGATGATATGACACCTTCCACCGATCGCTGTAACATGCACACTTTTCACTCGAGAGATTTTATTGTCTATCTGTTCATTTGTGTCCGCCGTGCCTGGGCAATTGCACCTCGCCTTCGTCCTGATCCTCGGGCTCATCATCCGTCCCGGTACCATCCAAGTACCCGCCATGGTCAAACAACACATTCTCATGCTCATCATCGCCCTCAACCTCCGTGAGCTCAATCCGGTCCCTGAAAGATCCTATCGAGCTGGCCATCGTCATCCCTCCAACACTCGGACTCCGTCCAGCGCGCGGGATCGACGACCTTGGCGTGTACTGGCCGGCTCCATTCTGTCCATATCCAGACGACGAAACGGGTGGTGATCCATGGTTCGCCCTACTGCTCGAGAATCCATTTCCGTTGCCGTGATGGACGCCGTTGGATCCACCTTGTTGGTGTGACTGTTGAGAAGGTCTTCGCTGACTGGGTGATGTCCACCACTGACGGATAGAGGAATCCGATCCTCGACGGATGTGACTAAAGGGACCTCCAGGAACCTCCTCCTCATCCTCTTCTTCGTCGAGTGCCTCCGTCCTGCTGATGTACTTGAGCAAGTCCTTGATCGTAATCAACCCAACCAGCTTGCCCTGGTGCTCAATCAAGATGACTCGAGGCCCCATCTTCTTGAAAAACTCCATGACGGTCTCCAAAGGCAGTTTAGGGTGCACTGCAATCGGGGTCTGGTCAATGAACGGTCCAAAGTCGACATAATTGGTTTCATTATCGCCCCTGCCTGCGCCACTCAGAGATGCCGTGGATGTCGCGCCTGCCCCAAAGTCGCCTCCCATCGAGCCGCGTCGCATACCCTGATCCAGTCCTCCCATGGTACTAACGCCACTCTGATCCATGTGCTGCCGAGACTCCATGCTTCCGGGCCTGAAGAAGCAGTGGGCCATCGGTGAAACATTGCGCGCCCGCTTGGCCTTGTCGATCACGTAGCGCAACTCGGACCGTCCAATGTACCCGATCAGAGTCCTTGAAGTAGAGTCCTCGACGACTGGGAATCCTTGATAGTTGGTGTCCGCCAAAAGTCGCTCGACGCGATCCAGACGGGTGCCTGAAGCTGGCAGAATAGTGACATCTTTCTTCATCACCTGAGAGACGGCGATTCCAAAGCTGTGCTCTTCCTTGTCAAGGAATGGGTATCCGTTCAGGCGAATGTATCGATCCGCAATTCCGCCACGTCCAAAGTAGTCGCCGACAGTTTTGGTCACCATCAACGTGATCATAGTGGGCAGAATGTAGTTCAGCGCGCCAGTCAACTCAAACATGATGACCACGACACACACTGTCAGCCTCATAACGCCGCCAAGAGCCGCCGCCGCGCCCAAGAAGGCATAGGTTCCTGGGGTAATACAAGGGACATCAGGTTTGCAGCTCGAAAACAAGACGAATCCTGGATAAGCAACCTGGGCCGCTCTTACAATCAGTCCGAGCATGCGCCCAAAGAGAGCTCCGATAGCCATAGAAGGCACAAAGATTCCTGCTGGGACTTTGGCACCGTAGGTGATGGCGCAAGTTGCAAACCGCATTATCAGGGCAAAGAACAAGAGGGCGACCATTTTCCAGGTATTCTCCGGTTTGCAAAGTCCCATGTAATCCTCTGATCCCTCGCACTCGCGGAAAAGAATACTCATCGACTCGGCCATGTCGATCTTCATAAAGATATTCCAGTACGCGAATGTGGCGGTGAGGAAGGCGAGGGTGGCAGCCTCAATCACTCCATAGTCTGCCAGGTATTTTTTCCTGGCATGCTGCACTTTGAGGTTGTACTTGATAATCAACGTCCCGTACAATCCCTATTTTTCGAACGTAGATGGAAGCATGTATTAGCAAACCTCTTTGACAACCATGCACCGTCACCACTTACGAATTGAAGTTTCAACTTACTCCGAAAACGCCGAGCAGGACGAAAAATATCATTTCGAAAAAGTGCCAGTCGCGATCGTACGAGACCTGGAACATGACCAACTTTCCTGTCCGATAAGGGTTCATAGTCTGCAAGGTCACTGTCGCCACCAGCGCACAAAAGAAACTTCTCCACATTGTCTTGGCTGGGAAGTGGTTGCTCATTTCCTAAGAGGGTTTGCAATTGAAGGTACACACAACATGTCAGTGTCCATGTAAATGCTCGTTCATGCTAATGCTTTCCTGGAAATAATTGGAGGGAGGACATACCTCAAAGGAGAACAAGACACCTCCAATTGGTGCTCCGAAAGCGACAGCAACACCTGCGGCTGCAGAAGCTGAAATGATCTCCCTGGACTTTGCACGACTCCTTTGGTACTTTGGAAACAATCTCGAGACAACATGTCCAGCGCAGCATGCAATATGGATTGAAGGTCCTTCTTTTCCGACACTCAAATTGGCCGCGACTGACATGGCGAGTCCCAAACTCTTGATGACCAATGTCCAGCCTCCCAAGTAGCCCTTCATGATGAACCCAGCTAAAATTGAACATGCGGAGCAAATTAAAGTCCTGTCAGCCCAGCTTTTTCATCAATGGTTGGGAATCTCCATGGGACTGCATAGATCGGACAATGAGCTCAGTGTTACCTAAAATGCACTTGATTTCTGAAATTCCTGATCCTGCTGCGTAGCGTGCGTACCGTTTGACCAAGAATGCTGCTGAAGCTGCGAATGATGTCTAGTATTGACATATTGGAAGATAACGGTCAGACAATGAAAGTCTTTCGCTTTTGCACTGCAAATCCACGATTAGAAAGCAGGTTGGATATTTTGACTTACAGCAAGGACGAGATAAAAAATGTAATCGATGAGGGCGAACCCACTCCACTCGCTCCAATGCTCGCAGTATCCATCTGCAATGAGGGCAACACCGGCAAAGTGTCAGTAGAGCTGTTCAAACATTAGGGGCGAGTGCATGTTATCTCATTGGTATTATTACCTTCTGATTCAACGCCCCAGCAGCAAAACTTTTGGTTCAACCACCAAGCGTCTGAACAATGCCCCAACTTGATATCCGAGAGCCATTCGGTGCAGATGGCAATAAACGCGGCGTTGATTCCAATGACGACTCCTAATATACATGGTAGAGAGTATCATGATGTGTGAGCGGTTTGGTGCCAGCGATCTCAGGTAAGGAACATACACGCCATCGTACAAGAGATTGCCATAGGTCATGTTCCCGTACCGACAAGTGAAACGACGAGCCATGCTTGTCCAGCCTCATATGATTCCCAAAGGTATGCTGTCCATGAATGTCCAGCTTCTGAGGTTCGGGAGTTTTGCCGGTATCGTTCCCTGACTGCATCCTGCACCCAATCTATAATGTTTCCAGCGGAAATATGTAAACAATGTGTCAGGGTTTGGAATTTCGAGATAGGACTGTGCGTCAATGAGAACGGAAAGTTCGCAAGCAAGGATTTAATTGCTCTTGTAGGATGTTACCGATTGTTGTAAAATCCTCGTATTGCTTGACTTCTTGGAGCGCCTTTTCGTATCCTGTCGGCTCGTTGAACAAATCAGGATTTAGCGGTGCGGGGAACCTGTCGAGAAAACTCTGGAAGCTTTGCAGCGTTTAAATGAAAAATGCCAAGCCGATCGAGAATGATGTCAGTATCTAGCCTCGTGGGGCACGAGCGAGCACTTTCAAGTGAAGTGTCGCTGCGGACGTGAGCTGTTGATATTCTGGTGGTGTAAAGCAAGTAAGTCCCAGCATACCTGTTCAGACCAAGAAGGCCGTCCTGTGGTCTTTGCTGTTGCATGGGGCTCTTTGACGTTTTGTGTTGTGGGAATGTGTCGAATGGCTTAGTCGCAAGCAGATGTTATAAGTGGAGGGGGGTGTTTATGGTGAGGTATGAATCGATGACGATTGGCAAGTAGAAATACAGGCACCGAGGGTCATGAAGGAGCCTTGAATAGGAAGAAATAAGTACAAGGAAGAGTGAAGAGTATGAGAGCGATGGACCTCTGGAACGATGACCGCGAGAAAAAAAAAGGGCAAGAAAAGGAACGCGAGTCTGACTGGGTTGGGTTGGGCGTTTGTTGGTGCCCAAGGGTGATTGGATGTCAATCTTTTATTTTAAGGGGCATGCCCTACTCCATCCGGACAGAGGTTTGTACAACCCATGCAAATGCAGGGCTCAGATGAAGGCAGGATGTTCGCCGAGGATGCCGAGCTCGATAGCAATCCGCTCCAGGATGATTGAGTTTGCTGCATCGCTCTCTTCTGACCACAGCGACAGACTGGTCTCCTGCATGTCATCAGAGATATGGCTCACACGTCCCTGAATCTCCTTGTCAGACTGACGTTTGAGTTTAGGGCCAGAAGGAACGAGAAAGAAGATAAACAATTAATTAGATCGTCGCTTTCAAAGAGGCTCCTTCCATTGGTAAAAGCAAACCAACAACTTCTTTGATATCGCCCTACCTTGAACGGAAAGAGTGCGAATCGCATCCCTACGCTCACACCCTCTGTCACAGGCACCTTCAGGATCTGTCGAAGTGGACCTGTCATCATCTTGGATTCTTGGCTCAACTCCTCTGCTGGTGCCTCCCGTCCATCTGCAGACAGCCATTTGATTGAACACTGGAACATAAGAAAGCCAAATGCGTTAGATACGAACTCTGCCCCTTCATCAATAAGACATCTCCTGAAAATGGATCGTTACCTGGTCGATGAGGTAGACGCAGCATTCATGTCTCTTGGACAGCACTTCGCCCGAGCCGGGACTCTTGAATCGCGCCTCCACAAGGATCACCCACTCATCAAATCGCTCCAGGCTTAGCTCAAAGACCTCAACGCACCTCATCCCTGGCAAGAGAACATCCAACGATGGTTGTGGTTCCTCTGTTCCGGTCGTTCCAGGTTGCTCGTAAATAGAATGTTTCATCTCCTGCGGCTCTGCCTGCCTTCCTCTCTTGGCCATTGTGTATGTCTTTGAGATGACGGTTGTCAGAGAGGCTGTTGAGCGCTTGAATTTTCTCTCTTCGTTACTGTCATTGCCTATCCGCAACGAGCCTGAAAGTCCTGGAATGGGGAATTGGCTCTTGTTTTCCGTGATAAGAACGAGGATCGGCTTATCAGTGCTATCAACACGCTCCAACCTGGAAGCTAATAGCGTCGCAAAATGCAAAGCCGATAGTGAGTTCCTGGTCCACCACTACAGGTTGTTGCCGCCAATCCCTTGAATCGTTGCTCCTTACATATGCTGAGACTGCTGACGAGAAACATCTCCATCATCTTGCTCATCGTTTGGGTCATCTCCATGCTCTGCTTGACCTGGTTCGCCATCGACTAATATATAGGTAAAAGTCACTGATAAATTAATGTCGCGGTCGGAGGTAGCTTAATAGTGGTGACAAGAAAAAGGAACATGTTGATTGCTGGTACCTGATAGGCGTGTCCGAGAGATCCCTGCATTCCATTGACGCTGCTGGCCAAAAGTGACACCATGCTCGACCTAGCGTTGATAGTTCGAGAGAAAAAGAGTGTGAGGGGTAGCTTCAACTCCCTGTCAACCGCGACACGTTATTTTAATATGCGCACCCAAGGGCAAACGAGAAGACAGATGTAAAATTACATTTCACTTGGGATTCCTGGTGACTGAGCATTATCCTGTGTGTTTTCTTGAGGTTGGCTCTGCTGGTGTTCCTTTGATATGTCCATGGTGGCAGTGTTTTCGAATGGGTAAAAAGTTGAAAGAAAAGGAGTGAACATGTGATGGCGTTTTGCAGCGGTGAAGAGGTGAAAACATAAAAAAATCGACCGTCACACGACCCTTTTCTTTGATGGAATCAGTTCTCCTTGCTTTCTCTTCTCTTTCATTCACTGTCAACGAAACACCAACAACCATGAGCACGTTTCCGTCATCAACCATCAAGGCACGCACTCACACACAAACTCACGCGCAGGATTAGCAAGCAACATGCAGGAAGATATCAACAACCGTGAAAACCCCAATTAACACGATGGTTATTTTTTCTTTGTTTTGTATGAATGGATGAACAACAGGACATTGCCGAGTCCGTCGGCATTCCTAATCTCAAGGACGACGTCGCAACATCGTTGGCCCAGGATGTCGAGTACCGTATCCACGAGATTGTGCAGGAAGCCATGAAGTTTATGCGCCACGGCAAGCGGACAAAACTCACCGTAGACGATATCAACAACGCCCTCCGAGTCCGCAACGTCGAGGTACAAGCCTTTCTTACTTTGTTTGCGTCAGAGACGCTTCTGAACGGGGCATAGACATGCCAGAGCCACTTGCACGGAGTACTCACTCATTTCACACTCGTTTATTGTGATGGCATTTAGCCACTTTATGGATTCAGCTCAGCAGACCCTACACGATTCAGGAGGACGACTGTCGGATCCAGCGCCACCGGAACATCCGAAATCTTCTTTGTTGAGGACGAGGAACTCGACTTTGAAACCATCCTCAGTGCACCTCTCCCCAAAGTCCCCTTGGACGTCACCTATACCGGTAAGTGGCCCTGTACATGGTGTCATGTATCTGTACCTATGTTTTCCTTTTCCTTATACTGACCGTACAGCTTTCAAACATTCAATTATTTAGCCCATTGGCTTGCTATTGAGGGAGTTCAGCCTGCAATCCCCCAGAACCCAACACCCATCGACGCCAAAGCAGATTTGTTCAGCAAGCGCATCAAACTCGACCCATCAGCTACAGCAACACAGCCTGTCATCCCAGGAATCAAGCCAGGATCTAATAGCGCCCCCAACAACACTGCCAATACCGCAAACAACCAACAAGCAAACAACGCCAATAACAGTAACGGAGCAGAGATCAAGCCATTGGTCAAGCATGTACTCTCGAAGGAGTTGCAGATGTACTATGAGCGCATTGTCAGTGCTGTTCTGAGCCAGGATGAAGTTCTTCGGGCGACCGGTATTAGCAGTTTACAGAACGATCCGGGATTGCATCAGCTGCTCCCCTACTTTGTGCAACTTGTTGCTGAGAAGGTAAGCAAACGGACTGCAGGAATGTTCGGGACGCTTATAATTGCGCCCACAAGGTCATTGTTTCTGGAAACTAACGAACGGTGGACTTTTGGTTGCATTTTCAGGTCACACAAAACACAAGGAACTTGCCAGTGCTCGAGTCAATGATGGCCATGGTCCGCGCCATTCTCGATAACGACAACCTCTTTGTTGAACCATACGTAAGAGTCATTTGGATATTGACGCTTCGTAATCCAACCGTTGTAAAACTGTGGCGTCGCAAGAATTAACGTTCGTTCGCGAAATCCTTGTCCAAATGTAGCTCCACCAACTTATGCCTACCATCTTGACATGTGTGGTCGGCAAACGATTAGGCGAATCACCACAGGAGGATCATTGGGCTTTACGATCGACTGCCACAGACATCTTGCTCTTGATCTGCAACAAATACGGCGCCTCTTACCACACACTCCAACCCCGCGTCACCAGGACGTTGCTTCGCGCCTTCTTAGATCCCGAGAAGCCTCTGACAACTCACTACGGTGCGATCCTTGGTCTGACCCGTATGGGTAACGAAGTCTTCAAGACCCTTGTTGTCCCCAACTTGAAGACATATTCGAGCATCCTTGAATTGGAACTGCTGGTGGATGGTGAAGATCGGGAAGGCAGCTATATGGAGATTGAGGGTGATGTTGCATCTACTATCAGGAAGAATGAGGCCACTCACTGCTTGGAAGCACTCTTAGTAAGTGACACCGTTCACTATATCGCAATGTCATTAATTCATAGACTTCAAGCACTTATTCATTTGCTAACATACTATTTGACCCTCCGTTGTATTATGTAGATTGGTTTGCGGTCATTGATCAGGAGCGAGACAGAGAAGCAAAAGTATGTAGCCAAGGATGTGCCGACAGCAGAAGGCCTTCAAGAGCCTCTCACGGTCGCCGTCGGCCCACTGCTGGCTAGGAGCCTCCTGCGCGAGGAAGCTACTCAGCAGAACCTCGCCGGCGTCGTCGCAGTGATTGAGACCTGCTAAATGACTAGACACGACAAATAATAAACAAGCTTACTCCTCGATGTGTAGTTACATCCAGCTTGTGGATGTATGTTTTACCCGACAGTGATGGTGCTTCTATCAGGGTCTGGGAAAAAGAAAGCAATGAGAAAACTAGGATTACAATCGAAAGGGATGTCTGCAAACTCTTTTTATGCGCCCCGTGTGTGCGCACACTACTTGAGATTAGGGTCCGATTTCAGAGTAGCGAATCGCTGTGAGCGACGACGCACGCCTTGCGGTTTCAACGAAAGTTCAAGCAGTTTAATCGATACCATCTCTCACCAGCCTCGGCTCTTTCCGTCTCTTCTCAGCCCGATCTGTCGGCTATCTTGATAAAAAAAAAATACACCGCATCATTTTTTCGTATGGTTCGTTTAGTTAGAAAGCGCGTTGCGCCTCCACCGTCCAAGACTTCACTCGCAGTCCTTCGACGACCCCCCCCCCCCCCCCCCCCCCCCCCCAGGACGATGTATAAAACGATCGATAATACTTGTCATTTCTCTTCCTTCAACCACTCTCCAACAAACGACAACCTTCACTCCAAGTCAATTCAAGGTACATTCAACCCATCTTCTCATTATGCACTTCACAATGTTCCTCGTTCGTATCCATTTTCAATGGCCAATGATTAACTTCTCAAATTTGTTGTGTTCACAATAGATGTCCTTCAAGATCACCCACCTCACCGCTTTGGCCTTCGCCATGCTCCTCGTCGCCATGACCTCCCACCAGGCCGAGGCCCAACAGATCCCCATCTGGTGTGTCTGCGACAATGTCGACTACACCCGCGTCCTCTGCCAGGGAGCGCTTGCCGCTGGCAAATTTGATGGTGGCTCTTGTGGGTTGGACAAGTACAACTCTTACATCCGCTTTGTTGACCTCTGCAAGAACGCCAAGGATTCCAAGCATCAATTGCACTGCTGGAACTAAGTGTTTCTTCCTCCCCCCTTTTTCATTTCTACTCCCCAAGATTATGAAAAACAATAAACAGGCTACTTCTTACTTGACATATCTCATCTCAATGCACGACGGCAAGCTTCCTAATAAGTTTCATCTGAGTCAAAGGATGGTCGCCCAAGTTCAAGTTGGCTGCTGTGTTGAAGATATGGCAAGAGAAGAAGTACTCGAGCAAGGATGCATGAATGAACTGGTATTGGACTCCAGCAGCGCGTGTCAGAGAAATAGACTCGCGCAACAACAAGGTGAATTCTGACTGAGGGCCGAAAAACTTGGCCTTCCCATGTCGTGTTGTCCTTCCTCTGTGTGAACTGGACAATAGGTCTCTGTCCTGTTCGTGAAATATGGCGATCGCCACATCACATCCTTCAGAAAGTCAACGACAGCGTTCGAGAATCCGTCGTCGAGAAGCTCTTCCAACACGTCCATCGATCCAGCATCCATCTTTATTGACAGGAGCCGGAGTTTTCCGAGAAGAATCCAGTGACCAACAAAAGACTGGTACAGGAAAAAGTCGAGTCATCTTGATCTTGGAGGTATCAGTGATGTCTTCGATGACAGCTGGCATGGCCCGGAGTGCGACAGACAGCATGAAAGGTTTCTTCACCAGCTCCATCAAGTCCTTGATCGTCTTCAGCTTCTCCAGATACTCCTTCGCGTTCCAGATCGCCTGACCATCGAACAGTTCCTGTACCTCTGTTTCTTGCACAAACTGCTCGACGTAGGCTTCGACTTGGGTATGCGAGAAGGAAATAATTGCTGCTTCCTGAAAGAGGTGCGGTGTAGCTGGCCGGTATCGGTCGCATGACTGTGGTTGAAATCGCTCTCGGTAATCCTGACCGAGGTATATGCTTCTGCAGTCCGATGACAATCTTTGTATCCCACTGTCCTGGAAGGTTGAAAGACTTTGTCGAGTGGAGGTTTATGGTGAGTTGGCTCTCATCGTAGCTATCGCAGATGACGACGAATTTTCGGTTCTCCTTAAGATACTGGATGTCATCCCCGGAAAAGTTGTTGGTGCTGAGGTATTCCGAAATATGAATGACATTTTTTTCCCTTGCGATTAAAACATGATGATATGTATAATCCAATTAGCCGAAGACAGCCCATACCTTATCCTGCAGCTCAAGACTCCCACGGTCATACAGGCGCTTCATTTCCGTGGCTAGCTGTCCAGTAACAGAGTGGATCAAATAACCAGGTGTAAACGGCATGGTGACCCCCATGTCCGTGCGACTCCGAACTGAATCGTAGACCTCGCGCTTCACCAACCAATCGATAAGGTCGTTGGCGACAGCGCCGCCTTTCGAGGCCGTCTTGGGATAGTTTCCTGAATAAAGGTACGTCAAGAAGTAGAGCAAAAGATGAGACTGCTTATTGCTCGTGTCTCCGAGATCAGAGTTGTCGTCCTCCTCCTTGTTGCCGCCAGCATCGCCTTTGTCCTCTTCGGCATTCTTGGGCTTGGCTTGCTCGCAAAACAACAATAGGATATCGAGCTCCACTTCCGAAACAGCATCCTTCCGAGCTTGAAGACGGCACTTCTCCGACATGGTCTGTGGGGGGTTCATCGATTCCAGATCAAATCTTAGGTCCTCCTCTGCCTTGTCCATACGATTATGCGGTGTTTCGATGAGGTGATCAATGAGTCTCTGCGCCTTGCGCTTCACATCTGCAGCCAGCCGAGGAGCCTCCTGCATATATTCGATGACCTCCCGTTGCACATCGGTGAGGGCGGCGGTGTCGGCCAGGTTCTTCGGGATCTCTCCGTTTACCACCACCACACGATTGGCGTTTGCACTCACAGTACCGATTTCCAAGGATACTGTTGGGTGATACCAACTCAGTGACCTCATGAGTCTATTTCATGTCTGACAACGATTTCTTCTGGCTGCCTGACAAATTCTTGTCGCTCTTTGACTTGGATTTCTTGGATTTCTTGGCCGAAACGCTGTTCGTTTGCGTGGTTTGCGCCGGCTCCTGGTAAAACTTCAGCTTGAATTGCTTGGCCTTGGGAGGTGGGGAATGAACAACCTTGCGGGTTCACTCCTTGAACGAGAATCGTCCTCACTTCCGCGGGATCCGTGTCCTTGATAAGGTGGATGGCAATCAGCATCTGGGGCAGACATCACAGAAGTTCAACCTGTACTCACATCAGCCCAGATCTTTGCGTGACATTATATGATTTTGTTTTAACCAGTTTGAAATCGGATATTCTAAACTATATTCTTGAAAAGATTCTCCTTGACTTCCTCGAAGGAGACATGTCGAACATCTTGGAACTTCTTGACCCATTTGGAGTGAGAAGGTTGGCCGGGAGAGCCACGAATGTAGACTACGCGAAATCCAGGCACATCCACACCGTTCTTGGTGACAACAAACTTGCCGTTATCTATCTTCGCGGAGTGACCGGGACCATACAGATCGTTTAGGTAACGCTCAATCTGATTTGTTCTATTGTTATCCTTCTCGTCGAAAGCCTTGCCGAGTTCTGCCGTTTTCTTATTGTGGCTTGCAAAGTCGCTGATGGATACTTGAATAAACATTGGTCCAAGCATAAAGTCAAAGCGAGGGTGACTGTCGTAGCCGCGGGTCAGAACCATTTCGTGGTCGGATCCAAGGGAGGTCATGCCGGCTCGAAGGGTCTCAAAAAGGGAGAAATCTAGTGAAATAGTATCAGGGTTCTTGCCGTTGAGATCTGTTGTGCCGAGCACAATTGGTTTGGTGGCGCATATGAGCTGATGATACAGTGCCTCCTCAAATTCGTTCCCGTCGAGGCTGCCGTCACAAATTCGCTTCTTGATAGCGTCAGGTAGCGGAAGATTCTTGAACAGCTCTAGAAGAGCTCTCTGGGCGGGACGGCATAAAATGTGGCGTTGCGTTCCGATCTCGCCGACGACCTTGCACCGATAGATGAGACCTAGATCCAGGAAGTCCCATTCGAAATCGACTATGCTAGTGCTGCCAAGGAACGTTTTCACGAGGGCCTTGTAGAATCGTTCCTTCCTGAGTGGATCGCGATTGTAGTAGTACTTCTCTGCGATCGATAGGAATTCCGCGGTTCGGTCTTCGGTCCATTTTTGAAGGTTGTCGATAGTGATGGGACCCCGGAGACTCTTGACGGCGACGGACAGATGCACAAGCTCTCGCGGAACACAGTTCGTGATTGCTATGACCTCCTCCCTAATGGCTGGTGCTACCAAGGGAAGGTACGTGTCCAGCAGCTTGGAGAATACATGCCTTGATAGCGGGCCGACAAAAACCACCGACGTGAACCTATAGCTCGCCTCCAGGATCTCCATCTCGTACTTGGCGTGCGCGGTGCCTGTGAAAACCACCCGAGACCCCTTGGCGTCCTCACCCCACCAGTTGTATAACAAGAGAGGAACCAGCGACTTGAACCTGTCCGGAACGTAAGGCTCATTTCTGAACAACTTTCCATGCTCGTCAACAAGCAACAGCGTCTTCCGATCCCGCGACTTGAGTAGATTCCTGAAGATTACCGAGGTAGCGTTCCTTGATATGTCGCGTGTGCCGCTGTAGTCGTTCACGAGCATCTCCATCTCGGCGCCGGTCAAAATATCCTTGTTGAGTGCCAGGAATCGCTTGACCACCTCCAGTTTTGACTCTTCTTCGCGTTCGGTGTCCAACACTCCGGCATCTGACATGTAGAGGACAAGCCATCCTTCAGCATACGCCCTTGCTGCGAGGAAATAGGAGAGATACGACTTGCCAACACCCATCGGACCGGACAGGACTCGTCTGTACGTACGCTCTTGGTCCCAATGCATTTCATCCCAAAGTTCCAGCATTTGCTCGGTGACGAAAAGTTTGTGACCTTGGCCGTGAAGTCCGAACTCCTTGGGGGTTTGACCCATGCTCGGCACAATGATTGCGTCGCCAGCTTGGAGGTTGCCTTTGAGGTGATCGAAGGCTGCTCGCGGTTCGGGTGCAACTTCGGTGCTCGTGAGAATGTCGATCCAAGAAGAAGGCAAATCTACGACCTTCCCATCACAGGCCGTATATTGTATCCAGCGTTCGGTAACAAGGATTTTTTTGTTGGCCGCCAAATCCAGATCTATATTGTAATAAAACAAAAGTTAGACATAATGCAAAATCAAGGAATCGCTTAAACGACACACATCAAGAAGAATCCTTGCCATCAGTCGTCGGTCTCTTTTGGGAAATGTAATCGCTGACAGGAGGGGATCGGGCTGAACAAAAGGGAGCACAGGACCATGGAGTAAATACGTTTACATTAGTTGTCATGTAATGCACACACCATGAACAAGGCTAGATTAGAAAGCAAAGCAGCATTACCTGGCTGGGGTCGCTGGACAAGGATGTACGTGTTGTCATCGGGACCCTTGGGAAACACCTCGGAGAGGCGTTTCCTCGGATTGTCTAGTTCAGTCTTGTCGTCGTCAAGAGCATCAGCTGTGACGGCAGAGTGCAGATTGCCAGCGGGGATGACAACACGCCAGAGAGTGAGCTCGTCTGCATCAACATCGCGGAAATCGTTGGGTTTCTTGAGCTTGATTGCGTCTTTAAGGTGACCGATTGTCTTGGACGACCAAATATCGACAGGGAGCTCGGGGGTAGCCTCTCCATCAACGCGACAAAACAGGGTCAGAAGGTAGTCGGTCATGCTGCTACGAAGTATCAGTAAAAATGAGGTGAAGAGGGCTGGAAGGTACGGGATGTAGAGAAGTCGAGGGGTGAAAGAAAAAAAGGCGAAAAGAAAGAAGGCGTGAGCTTAAAAGGGAAAGAAGGAAGGGATTAAAGGGCGTGGGAACGGCGGCAAAGGCGGTGGTGAGAAATAAATGGAAAGTAAAGTCGGACGTGTGAGTTGTGAGAAACAATCTACGAAGGAGTGTTGGTTCGCAAATAGGAGGGCGTTGGTGCTCAGATGTGTCTTCGGTGACGTAATTTGTGCGCCCATTACGCTTGCCAACGTTCGACTTTACTTTCACAAATCACACGTCCGACTTTACTTTCCATTTATTTCTCACCACCGCCTTTGCCGCCGTTCCCACGCCCTTTAATCCCTTCCTTCTTTCCCTTTTAAGCTCACGCCTTCTTTCTTTTCGCCTTTTTTTCTTTCACCCCTCGACTTCTCTACATCCCGTACCTTCCAGCCCTCTTCACCTCATTTTTACTGATACTTCGTAGCAGCATGACCGACTACCTTCTGACCCTGTTTTGTCGCGTTGATGGAGAGGCTACCCCCGAGCTCCCTGTCGATATTTGGTCGTCCAAGACAATCGGTCACCTTAAAGACGCAATCAAGCTCAAGAAACCCAACGATTTCCGCGATGTTGATGCAGACGAGCTCACTCTCTGGCGTGTTGTCATCCCCGCTGGCAATCTGCACTCTGCCGTCACAGCTGATGCTCTTGACGACGACAAGACTGAACTAGACAATCCGAGGAAACGCCTCTCCGAGGTGTTTCCCAAGGGTCCCGATGACAACACGTACATCCTTGTCCAGCGACCCCAGCCAGGTAATGCTGCTTTGCTTTCTAATCTAGCCTTGTTCATGGTGTGTGCATTACATGACAACTAATGTAAACGTATTTACTCCATGGTCCTGTGCTCCCTTTTGTTCAGCCCGATCCCCTCCTGTCAGCGATTACATTTCCCAAAAGAGACCGACGACTGATGGCAAGGATTCTTCTTGATGTGTGTCGTTTAAGCGATTCCTTGATTTTGCATTATGTCTAACTTTTGTTTTATTACAATATAGATCTGGATTTGGCGGCCAACAAAAAAATCCTTGTTACCGAACGCTGGATACAATATACGGCCTGTGATGGGAAGGTCGTAGATTTGCCTTCTTCTTGGATCGACATTCTCACGAGCACCGAAGTTGCACCCGAACCGCGAGCAGCCTTCGATCACCTCAAAGGCAACCTCCAAGCTGGCGACGCAATCATTGTGCCGAGCATGGGTCAAACCCCCAAGGAGTTCGGACTTCACGGCCAAGGTCACAAACTTTTCGTCACCGAGCAAATGCTGGAACTTTGGGATGAAATGCATTGGGACCAAGAGCGTACGTACAGACGAGTCCTGTCCGGTCCGATGGGTGTTGGCAAGTCGTATCTCTCCTATTTCCTCGCAGCAAGGGCGTATGCTGAAGGATGGCTTGTCCTCTACATGTCAGATGCCGGAGTGTTGGACACCGAACGCGAAGAAGAGTCAAAACTGGAGGTGGTCAAGCGATTCCTGGCACTCAACAAGGATATTTTGACCGGCGCCGAGATGGAGATGCTCGTGAACGACTACAGCGGCACACGCGACATATCAAGGAACGCTACCTCGGTAATCTTCAGGAATCTACTCAAGTCGCGGGATCGGAAGACGCTGTTGCTTGTTGACGAGCATGGAAAGTTGTTCAGAAATGAGCCTTACGTTCCGGACAGGTTCAAGTCGCTGGTTCCTCTCTTGTTATACAACTGGTGGGGTGAGGACGCCAAGGGGTCTCGGGTGGTTTTCACAGGCACCGCGCACGCCAAGTACGAGATGGAGATCCTGGAGGCGAGCTATAGGTTCACGTCGGTGGTTTTTGTCGGCCCGCTATCAAGGCATGTATTCTCCAAGCTGCTGGACACGTACCTTCCCTTGGTAGCACCAGCCATTAGGGAGGAGGTCATAGCAATCACGAACTGTGTTCCGCGAGAGCTTGTGCATCTGTCCGTCGCCGTCAAGAGTCTCCGGGGTCCCATCACTATCGACAACCTTCAAAAATGGACCGAAGACCGAACCGCGGAATTCCTATCGATCGCAGAGAAGTACTACTACAATCGCGATCCACTCAGGAAGGAACGATTCTACAAGGCCCTCGTGAAAACGTTCCTTGGCAGCACTAGCATAGTCGATTTCGAATGGGACTTCCTGGATCTAGGTCTCATCTATCGGTGCAAGGTCGTCGGCGAGATCGGAACGCAACGCCACATTTTATGCCGTCCCGCCCAGAGAGCTCTTCTAGAGCTGTTCAAGAATCTTCCGCTACCTGACGCTATCAAGAAGCGAATTTGTGACGGCAGCCTCGACGGGAACGAATTTGAGGAGGCACTGTATCATCAGCTCATATGCGCCACCAAACCAATTGTGCTCGGCACAACAGATCTCAACGGCAAGAACCCTGATACTATTTCACTAGATTTCTCCCTTTTTGAGACCCTTCGAGCCGGCATGACCTCCCTTGGATCCGACCACGAAATGGTTCTGACCCGCGGCTACGACAGTCACCCTCGCTTTGACTTTATGCTTGGACCAATGTTTATTCAAGTATCCATCAGCGACTTTGCAAGCCACAATAAGAAAACGGCAGAACTCGGCAAGGCTTTCGACGAGAAGGATAACAATAGAACAAATCAGATTGAGCGTTACCTAAACGATCTGTATGGTCCCGGTCACTCCGCGAAGATAGATAACGGCAAGTTTGTTGTCACCAAGAACGGTGTGGATGTGCCTGGATTTCGCGTAGTCTACATTCGTGGCTCTCCCGGCCAACCTTCTCACTCCAAATGGGTCAAGAAGTTCCAAGATGTTCGACATGTCTCCTTCGAGGAAGTCAAGGAGAATCTTTTCAAGAATATAGTTTAGAATATCCGATTTCAAACTGGTTAAAACAAAATCATATAATGTCACGCAAAGATCTGGGCTGATGTGAGTACAGGTTGAACTTCTGTGATGTCTGCCCCAGATGCTGATTGCCATCCACCTTATCAAGGACACGGATCCCGCGGAAGTGAGGACGATTCTCGTTCAAGGAGTGAACCCGCAAGGTTGTTCATTCCCCACCTCCCAAGGCCAAGCAATTCAAGCTGAAGTTTTACCAGGAGCCGGCGCAAACCACGCAAACGAACAGCGTTTCGGCCAAGAAATCCAAGAAATCCAAGTCAAAGAGCGACAAGAATTTGTCAGGCAGCCAGAAGAAATCGTTGTCAGACATGAAATAGACTCATGAGGTCACTGAGTTGGTATCACCCAACAGTATCCTTGGAAATCGGTACTGTGAGTGCAAACGCCAATCGTGTGGTGGTGGTAAACGGAGAGATCCCGAAGAACCTGGCCGACACCGCCGCCCTCACCGATGTGCAACGGGAGGTCATCGAATATATGCAGGAGGCTCCTCGGCTGGCTGCAGATGTGAAGCGCAAGGCGCAGAGACTCATTGATCACCTCATCGAAACACCGCATAATCGTATGGACAAGGCAGAGGAGGACCTAAGATTTGATCTGGAATCGATGAACCCCCCACAGACCATGTCGGAGAAGTGCCGTCTTCAAGCTCGGAAGGATGCTGTTTCGGAAGTGGAGCTCGATATCCTATTGTTGTTTTGCGAGCAAGCCAAGCCCAAGAATGCCGAAGAGGACAAAGGCGATGCTGGCGGCAACAAGGAGGAGGACGACAACTCTGATCTCGGAGACACGAGCAATAAGCAGTCTCATCTTTTGCTCTACTTCTTGACGTACCTTTATTCAGGAAACTATCCCAAGACGGCCTCGAAAGGCGGCGCTGTCGCCAACGACCTTATCGATTGGTTGGTGAAGCGCGAGGTCTACGATTCAGTTCGGAGTCGCACGGACATGGGGGTCACCATGCCGTTTACACCTGGTTATTTGATCCACTCTGTTACTGGACAGCTAGCCACGGAAATGAAGCGCCTGTATGACCGTGGGAGTCTTGAGCTGCAGGATAAGGTATGGGCTGTCTTCGGCTAATTGGATTATACATATCATCATGTTTTAATCGCAAGGGAAAAAAATGTCATTCATATTTCGGAATACCTCAGCACCAACAACTTTTCCGGGGATGACATCCAGTATCTTAAGGAGAACCGAAAATTCGTCGTCATCTGCGATAGCTACGATGAGAGCCAACTCACCATAAACCTCCACTCGACAAAGTCTTTCAACCTTCCAGGACAGTGGGATACAAAGATTGTCATCGGACTGCAGAAGCATATACCTCGGTCAGGATTACCGAGAGCGATTTCAACCACAGTCATGCGACCGATACCGGCCAGCTACACCGCACCTCTTTCAGGAAGCAGCAATTATTTCCTTCTCGCATACCCAAGTCGAAGCCTACGTCGAGCAGTTTGTGCAAGAAACAGAGGTACAGGAACTGTTCGATGGTCAGGCGATCTGGAACGCGAAGGAGTATCTGGAGAAGCTGAAGACGATCAAGGACTTGATGGAGCTGGTGAAGAAACCTTTCATGCTGTCTGTCGCACTCCGGGCCATGCCAGCTGTCATCGAAGACATCACTGATACCTCCAAGATCAAGATGACTCGACTTTTTCCTGTACCAGTCTTTTGTTGGTCACTGGATTCTTCTCGGAAAACTCCGGCTCCTGTCAATAAAGATGGATGCTGGATCGATGGACGTGTTGGAAGAGCTTCTCGACGACGGATTCTCGAACGCTGTCGTTGACTTTCTGAAGGATGTGATGTGGCGATCGCCATATTTCACGAACAGGACAGAGACCTATTGTCCAGTTCACACAGAGGAAGGACAACACGACATGGGAAGGCCAAGTTTTTCGGCCCTCAGTCAGAATTCACCTTGTTGTTGCGCGAGTCTATTTCTCTGACACGCGCTGCTGGAGTCCAATACCAGTTCATTCATGCATCCTTGCTCGAGTACTTCTTCTCTTGCCATATCTTCAACACAGCAGCCAACTTGAACTTGGGCGACCATCCTTTGACTCAGATGAAACTTATTAGGAAGCTTGCCGTCTGCTGTTCCTGGCTGAGCTCGCACAGGCGAACCTTGATTTCAAGGAACGCCTCTTCCAGTTTATCGAGCAATCAAAAGTGGACGAGAAAGCCAGTCAGGCCGCCGCCAATGCGATCACCATACTCGCCAAGGCTGGTGTTAGCTTCTACCGGAAGGATCTTCGCGGTATCCGTATTCCTGGAGCAGATTTGTCCAGGGGAAAGTTGGACTTGACGCAATTGCAAGGAGTGGACTTCACTGGGTGCAATCTTTCCTACATTTGGCTTCGGCACGCAGATCTGAACGGAGCTCATCTGGCTGAGGTACATCTGGGTGCGCTATCAGTTCTTAGATTTGGTACTCCTTCTATGCGGAAGAACGATCCGAATGTCCAGCCTTCAATCGCAATGACATCTTGGGTACTTGAACGCTGTCGGCTGACACGCACTATTTTTGATAATGTGGTCGATTACCATCCCTTCAACAAAATGCTACTAGAGCATCAGCCAGATCGTTAAGAGTGGGACGGGAAAACAAATCAGTCTCAGTCCTTTTTCGACCTATGGTTCTCTTTCAAGTCGTCGAAGGGCACAGCTACCCACATTAGCAAAGAAAAGCGTTTTATATGACCATCTTGGAGTGATTTCATCAGGTTGTGTGATCTGCTATTGTTTCTGAAGCTTCAAAAATAAAAACGATGCAATGCGTCTCATTTCTCACTTCTACGATCCCCTAACACCGATCGCCAAGTCCCAGTCAGCGTCTTTTCTTGGCTGAACGATGTACTAACCTATTATTTTATTTTATCTCTCTCATCCTCTTGAAGACGCAATGCTCAACTTTCTTTATGTATGGGAAATGTTTTCTTGTCTTAATTTGATCAATTACTGATCGCCATCACCGAGACTGATAAGGTTGCATGGTTTCGAACGATCACCGCCCCGGATCGCTATCACCACCACGCAAGGAAGCATGCGCCCTGACCTTGCTTCATTTTTTTCCGTCACTTTTGTCCAGCACCCAAAAGCAAAACAACAGACCAAGATCCGTAGGGAATGGTTCGGGTTCAAATGCAAAAATAGCAACCAGGGACGCATTGACCGTCCACATTTTAGTCGTTCTGTCATCGCGTGGTTTGTAGACTGATGACCTAGATCGCAGCTCTTTGACTCTTGGACTAAATTGTCGTTTTACTTGGACGAGGGAACGAATCTCTCTGACATTCATTCAGCCCTGCCTTCATTTCAGTTCCAATGCGCTCTGGATGATGCAAAGACCACAAGGAAATGACAAAAGCAAGAGCAAAGAAACAAGAGATCTTTTTATCAGGACGGAGGGGAGGTTTTTTTTGTTGAAGGGCCGTTGTTTGCAACATGCATGAATCAAATTGAGTTTTAGCAAAGAGAACGAGGGCCGCGACTAAGAGCCAGCCCGGTAAAATAACCATTCGTCCAGTCCATACAACAAAAAACATGGCAGACTCTTCTCTTCACATACGAAGCACTGCCCTGGCATCCAACCCGCATCCCTAACTCCTTCAAAAATATCTAACCCCCTCTCCTCTGTCTTCGCGGGTGCCGAACGATATCTGACGCCAAAAGGTAATCTAGACCTCTCTTTAACACGCTGTGCTTGGTTGCCGTAGATCCATGAAAACGAGTACTAGCAAAGCTCTTTCGCATTCTTTTCCTCATCACCAAAAAAAGAAAAAAAGTAAAATAACAACCTCTTCAAGTACTCACATAGTAGACATCTCGCCCATCTTCATAACCCGCTCTCCTTCTCATTCCAGATTTATACTAGCGCCTTCCATTCATTCCCCTTCCTAACACCACAGAAAAAAACAATGGCCTTCAAGGTCTCATTCCTCATTCTCCTCTCCATTACATCCGCCATGCCAACAGCGAGCAGCACAGCCGACGCCGTGACCCTGGCGCATCTATGGAAACGACATACCAAAGACCCAAAGACTCTGCCAGGGCATCCACGGAGACTGGGACGACGGCTCCTATGGACTTGATGCTGATACCCAGACCAGGGCCTGGCCTTTAAGCTTTCTTTGCTTGTCCTTGAGCTCTTCCTCTCGCTGTTGGAACAGACAGGTTGGCTTGTTCACCCCCTTTGATAGGTTAGAATATGGTACCCAAGAGATATAAATGATGATTGAAAAAAATCAGCACGCGGTAAACGCGACTGGCCCCTGAACAAACAGCACAGATCGTTTGCATTGAACAGAGGTTGATGAAATGTATTTTCTTGTCAGGCGCAGTCTAATCCTCCTTCCTTTTACAACTGAACTAGCCGAGGATGGCGAGAAGGGACAAAATTGCAGGCTGCATTAAGGGAAGATGGTAGAACAACAGAGTCAATGACAATAGCTTAACAGATAGAGCGCTTTTTTCAGAGATTCTTGATAACATATGCCGCCTCGACCACACTCGGCACACGTTTCTGATTCGCAGGGTGGGGGGGAAAGGCATGATGCACATGGTGAACAAATTGGTTAGCTGACCTTGGTGGAATGCACGAGTGTTTGACCGATTTGCAAAAGATTCGATCCAAGCTTTTTGCCACGTCCGTCCGGGTGGCGATGAGAGTTTCTTCCCTGACAGACAGAGGAAGGCAAGAAGATCGATTGTGAAGCGTCACGAAAAAAACCCCCCCTGAAAACCGACGCGTGACTCTCTCAGCCCGGTCCTGCATAGAAAGTCGGTTTAAAGTTTCGACGACCAAGGAAATGGCTGTCAGCCCTCACCTTTCTTTTTGCTCTGGCTTGCATAGCTTTTCCTTTCGTGACAAAAAAACGCCTTATCCATCCTACGCCCAACAGTTCCAATCCTTTTACCGAGTACTCACACGCCTTTACAAAACCTTCCTCAAGAAGTACTTTACCCTCCCATCAATCTCAGCTCAAACACCCTTCCACCACAAGAACCCATACAAGGTACGAAGCATCCCCCCCCCTCCTCCTCCACCTATGCTTCTCGCACTCCTCCCTATTAATCGCTCATCACCCCACAGAACGTCTACTCACTCCAAACTCTCCCATAACCGTTCTCTTCCATGTTACAAACGGCTCAGATGACATTCAAGCTGACAACCCTCATCCTTTTCACACTGACCGTCTTCCCGATCGTCATTAGCTCCTCGCCAACCGTCGACGCCCCTGCCCTACTGGTGCGTCTGCGGTGAGAGCAACAAGTGCTTTTGCAAGGCCGCAGGCGGTACCTGGGACGGCGGCTCTTGTGGATGCGACCGAACCTCTATCCGCAACAGTTTTATTTATCACTGTAGCCGGTTGATCAATGGCAAAGTTCGTTTGCTGGGAGTAAACAAACCTCGCCCCACAGACAGTCCATAAAACAAAGAGATGGTCAAAAACACATTCTCCTCGCCCTTTGTTGTTCCAACTGTAATCATAAACAAAAAAGTTTTTTAAAAATTGACGATTGGAAAAAGTGAATTCCTCTACGAATACTGTTTACAACTTGGCATAGCGAAGCAAATCAACAACAGGGTAAGGCGCACGGCTGAGCTCAAGCCCAGCCTTGAAGCCCACCAAATCATCAATCATCACAGTACCGTCCCTCAACGTGGCCGGCTCCTGCTTCTCCACTGGTGCCTTGCCCTCCTTAGGCGCTGGGGGCGTAGCCACCGTGGGCACCTTCTGTGATTGAATATGGACCGAGAGCTTCTTGGACTTGCGAGCCGAGGGCAAAATCGACGTCTGGAAGAACTCGCGCATCATCTCGAGCGTTGTCCGTCTCATCTCCTCAACTTCATCCTGGAGCTCCTCAAAGTCATAGTATCCCGACACGATCTGACCCCAGTACCGGTAGGTCTCTGTTCGGAGGTTCTTGTCCTTCTCGAGTTTCCTCTGAATCAACGAGTTGACCTGCTTCTCGTACTCCTCAGGCTTCATCTCGTCCAGGTACGTCTTCATCCTGGTCTCCAAAAAGCTCTCGACACGGCTCTCCAAGTGCACGGGATCACGCTCCGACTGCAAGATGAAACGGAGACCAGTCGCGCCAGTCTGCTTGCGGACACCGCTGAAGACAAGGTATCCGAGCTGCTCCTTGGTACGGAGCTGGTTGAAGCAAGGCTCGTTGATGATCTGAGCCATGATCTGGATCCGGGCACGGCTGACCTTGGACGCCGCATTCTCGATCTGCAGGTAGTACTCCAGTCCAGAGTTGACATTATCGGGGTCGGGCACATCACGCTTGTAGACCGCCTTACAGCTATCGGGCAAGAGGTGCGACCGCTGCGAAAGAAGCTCCGAGGGCACAAGCGTCTTGGGTGCCAATCCTTCCTCAATGATCGTTCCTGCCTTAAGAGCATCCGCCGCCGCCATGTTTCCATGGACAAGACCCTCGATGTGAAGACGCGCGAGCAATGCAGGGTAGAACGCCTGAATGTCAGCAGGGGTCAGATCCTTGAGCTCAGCAAGCTTCTCCTCCTGAGTCCAGAGCTTCTCCTGGGTCAAGTATGACATATAGTACATGGCGTGCTGGTGGGGTGCCTCGAGTTTGAAGTTTTTGTACATCCTGTCCATCTGGTCCTGGATCAAGTGGAAACGCTCGGGGTCGATCTCGAGGGTCTTCATCTTCTCAACGACCTTCTGGAGCAGCACATGGGCCTTATCATTGTAACCCTCTACGCTCAGGATCATTCCCTCGACGGTGGTATCAAGCGAGTATGAGAGTCCAGCAAGGTCGGCGTCATAAGAGTACTCGGTCAGGGCATCCTTGAGCAAGCTGACATAGAGCTGGGTCTTGACGTTGTTACTGGGGGACGAGTAGGAGAGAGGAGACTTGAGTTGGAAATACAGGTTGACCTTGGGGACCCAGAAGACATCATCCTTCTTGTGCCAGATCCTGGTCTGAGGAGTGTGCTTGATCAAGACGGGGGTCGTCAAAGGAGTCTCTGTTGGGACCTTGTTTGTCTCGAAGTTCTCGGGAATAAATGCGTTGGGCCCAGGCAAGTGCAGTGCAGGGTCCAACTCCAAGTTGCTCAATTTCTATCATCATCAAGATCGAGATGCCTGTTAATGTTTTCCTTTCGTAGAAAGTCGTCGTCATGAAGCATACGCACATTGGAGAATGACAGACATACCTCAAGAAGAGCTGGTGACACGTTTTCGACGTGGTATTCGGTCCCGTACCACTTTTCGGTCTGTTCGAACGCTCCTCCGGGAACAACAGAGGTGTCCTGTGCGACGAGATGGCTCTTCCAGGTATCGATTCTCAGGGCATTCAATCCTTCCATGACTGTCTTGGGATCTGAACCGCGAATCAGGTACGATCCAGAGAGAACCCACTCAGGTGCGTATCCACGCTGCATCACTCCTGCCAAGCGCGACGCGTATCCAGAAGCGGGAGACTTCTCCTTGAATCTAAACGATGTTGCTGCCAACGATGTGATCTAGAAATGCATACGCAATATTGCCGGTCAGATTAAGCAGGTATTGCGATTGCGCAGTGTGCAAATTCGGATCTGATCATTTGTCAAATATCCCATGGACATACCTCGTCCCAGATGTAGGGTCGGACACCCTCACGACGGAGCATCTCAATGTACTGGAAGATGATCAAAGTGACGTCCTCGTAACGGGCAAGACCCTCCTTGGTCAGGTCGACGGTGATCTTGTAAAACTCGAATCCGATGCCTCCGTGTGATGTTCCAGCAGCCAAGTTGTTGGCCCAACCCTTCTTCTTCAACAGCGAAAGAATAGATCCGCTTCCTTCGTGCCCAATGGCGTGGGTGATGTAGCGTGCAGGGTGGATGGTGTAGTAAGGATATTGGTCGGGGAAAGGGAACTTGATCTCCAACGATCTAACGTCCTTGACGGGCTTGACATATGTCGTTTTCTACGTTCAGGAGTCGGAAATATATTTAGCCGTCCGTTAGAATAAACACTCATTGATGCACGCTCCGTATGGATTGTCAGCACAGCATCCTTACCAGGAGCTCCTTTGCAGTCCATGGGGGGTTCGTGTTGGCTGGGGGTTGGATTCCAAGGTTTCTAATATCCGAGAACATTTCAATTGCCCATTGCGTAAGCTGGTCCAAAGGCTCTGCGTAACGTACACAAAAAATAAAAAAGGGTAAAATCAATATGCTGCAGCCCCACGGACACAACATTCACCAATATGCTCGGCCAGAATGCAGAAAAAAACATACCTCGTCCAAGGATGACCAGCTTCATGATGTTGGCAGAGTAGTACTTTGAGTGGAACTTGATCAGTTCATCACGAACGTCAATGCCCTCACGGCCAGGTGCCTCCTCCAGTGTCTCCAAGTTGCCTGTTCCAAACTGGTGGTAAGGGTGATCGGGGCTGGAGAGGTTCTTCTCAAGCTGGAAAAGTCGCCAGCTATCGCTCTGCAAGTTTTTCTTGTGCTCCGAGTCGACTGCACGCAGCTCACGATCCTTGCAGTTTTCGCTGAAGGCGGGTGAGATGAAGAACTGGGAGAAGCGATCCAATGCACCCTGGAGGTGAGTATGGCCGACCTCAAAGTAGTAGTTGGTATTGTCGAGTCCTGTGAAAGCGTTCGACATGCCCGAGTGCTGCGCCAAAAACTCGCTGTACTCGTTTTCCTTGGGGTACTTGGCTGTGCCCATGAACAACAAGTGTTCCAAAAAGTGGGCCAATCCTTGCAAATTTTTCTACAGGTGCAACATCAACATATAATGCATTGTGAATGCATGAAAACAAGGGAGGATACAGTATCCCTAAAAAGCATGCAAAGCAAAAAGGACAGAGCAGATCGGCTCATAATTTGTGGCAACTTACAGGATCGCTGAGGTGGCCGACGTGAACATCCAGTGCGGCAGCTGACTTGTCGACGTTGGGGTCCTGGATAAGCATAACCTCGAGGTCGTTCTTGAGGCGGATCAGACGGTAGTGGCGGTCATCGTTGAGGGATTGTTCGATGGGCTTGGTAAAGTCGGCGTGGGTGCCCTTTTCGTTGAGGACATAGCCGTCGGGGAGGACCTGGGTTGCTGCAGCCATTGAAGGAGAGGAAGGGAGGCGGGGAAACTGGGCAAAGGGTGTTGTTGAGAAGGAGCGAAGGCTTGACTGCTGGAGATTAGACGTTGAACTAAGGAGAAGAGAGAGAAAAGACAAAGTGTGGTTCCATCGCATCGTTCACAGAACGAACGAAAAAAACGAGAGAGAGGGAGAGAGAGAGGGAGAGAGAGAAAGTGTGAGAGAGAGAATCCGTTAACAAATGGCGCAGAGTCTTGAAATGACCAAATGAAGTGAATGAGAGCATAACAAAAGTTTTTATTAGAGGTTATTTACCGAAACAGACGGGGACGCAAGAAGGCAGTAGAAGTGGTGGTTGTGGTTTTGGCGAGGAAGAAGGAAAAAGTAGCGGTTGCTGTTGTTGAAGAGGAAGAGGGAGAGTGGAAAAGAAGGGACCGATGCGACGCTAGTTTGAATGTGGCAAAGGAAGGCGACATGCAAGCACTGCAAACAGAATGGAGGGAAGGAATGAAGTGAAAGGGAGTAGGAGGGGAAGGGGAAAAGAAGGAAGAGAAGTGATAAAGAGAGGAAGGAAGAAGAAAGACACACGCGCGTTCTTTGTTCTTGGGCACTTGTCGGTCTTGAACGTGACGTGCGCGAAGAAAAAAAGAGGGGAGGGCGAAACTCACACGACTTTAGTTGGAGAGGCCAGACGCAGAAGGGGACGAAAGAAGGCTGAGTTATTGTCATTCTTGCAAGAATACCATGCATCTCCAACACACAGACCCAAAGAGCAACAACCCCCTCTTTTGTACAATTGATACACCAACACATACACTAACTCTACAATGCAAACATGAAGTGCCTCTATTACATGAAATAACTACTGGAATGTGACGGTGCGCTTGCTGGCATTGACCTTGGCCTTGGCCTCTTCCTCAGCAGCACGGTGCTTGGACTCCTTGCGCTTGTCCGTCTTTTTCCTCTTGATCTCCTCAATCTTTTGGTTGATCAGCGCCTTCTTTGCCTTCTCCTTCTCTGCCTGCTTCTGCTCCTTTGCATTCACCTTTGACTTGATCTTGCCCTATTTATTATTATATTCCGTGATAATAATAACAAGACGTTAGTTGCTATACCCACACTTTTTTTTTCCAATGCGGTCAGTTCATACGTCGATTTGACAAATGGATAGCGGCAAATTACCATTTGAGCGTTCTTCTTTTGTGCTCGCTCCTCTTCCTTTCCTGCTACTTGGTCAATAATGCTAAGCATGGCGTTCTATCAAGAACAACACAAAGGTAAACCAATTGTCAATTGCACTGTCAAAAAAACAACCTTATCGCTCCTTATTGACAACAACCATCCAGTGGATCCAACTTGCTCCAGGATGAGAGATCGCATTCAATTGCGCCTGAACTTACGGTATCTGCAAAAACTTTGCCCTTCTTTCCACTGGGCTTCTTGGTCTTTTTCCTGTACCCCTTCTTTCCCTTTCCAACAGCCTCCTCCTCACTATCCTCATCCTCCTCCTCATCCTGACCCTCGTCATCCGAGTCCTGCTGGCCTCTGGTATGTGAGCTCGACGACGATGTCCGTACTTCCTCCTCTTCTTCATCATCCTCCTCCTGATCCTCATCATCCTGCTCCTGCTCTTCATCACTATCAGATGTATATGTCCGGACAGGTTTAGGAGGTCGAGCGGCCTGTCGTTGGGCCTTCTTGGAGGGAGTATTGGCGTTTATCTCTGCCTGGGCGGCGGCGACTCTGACCTTCTTGGCCTTTCTCCTTGTTGAGACGGGTTGTCCTGTTTGGAATGCCTTGCGCTTTTCGACCATGGTGAGATGTGCCTTGGTTGGTTGGTTGGTTGGTTGGTGTGAATGAGAGAGGTTAAGGTGGCAAAGCAAGCGAGTCCGTTTCTTTTTTCTTTTTTTTAAAATGGAGAGAGAGTAAACATGGTTAGAGATTGCAAGTCACTTCGATTAGGAAATGATGAAGGGCATGCGATCGCAGGAATCGAAGGCCCAATTTGTTGGCTGCCAGAGTTCAGCTCCACAGTCTTCAAAGCTTAGCATCAGCACATCAACAACACAGCAGGAAAACAACTCGCCATGGTACGAACAGAACGTGCCCCAAGGATATGCACTGGGGAACTGCTGTGACTACTCAACTGAAACAGGACATATATGCAACTCTGTCAACGCAGGATGGCATTGCTTGGCTCTGTCAAAGAGAATGAGACCAGCATTCAACAAATAACACTCTCCATCCTCATTTACTTCACTTTTGGTAGAGCCATACTATTCTCCTCGTCCAAAAGACACAGGCCGCCTCCAGCAAAACCTACATCGAATGCTCCTCTGTCGCAACAGCCATGGATGGTAATTCACATATAACTCGGACAAGGAAAGGCGAACACGAAAACCAAAGGAAGTTCGGTTCACTAACAACATTTTCTTTCATGTTCTGCGACAAACAAATAGAGGTGATCAAGATGTACGAGGAGTACTTGAAGGTAAGGAAGGAAAGAAGAGCACCAAGGAACATGGATCGGGACACATACGTCTAGGCTTTCTCTGCCGAGGACCGTATATAGCTCAGTATGAAAGGACAGGTAGTCATGGAAAGAACCAAGACCAACGCGTTAATGTCTTCGTTACTACCCTATTATGTGTACTAGAACAAATACCCAAACAAGGAGCGGATCGAGTTTGATGTCAATGAGGTCCTGGATATGGTCTTCAACCTCCCCGACTGTGCAGCACTCGTGTAAGTATAACAGGAAGACTCGTCACCTCCGACGTTTAGGCGTGCGAACTCTGTGTGTAACGAACCAGACAATGACACGCGATCTGGCGCTTGAATTCCTTATACTAACGCATACCACATTTGTTCTTTTCGCAAAACAACCTACAGTCTTGACACGAGGTCAGGCACTTACATCCCACACGACAAATCCTGGATCCAGAAGCAAGTTGTAGTACGAGCACAGTCCAGGGCACGGTAGTTCAATTGCCGCATCACGACAATTACAGCCACAAACAACAAAATACATAATACAACAACAAAACACCATTGTTCTTTCACGTTCTGTCTAATTTGCAGAAGGAAATCGAACGATGTTGTTTCATTTGAGAACATTTCCTTCACACCCCTGCATTGGGCGTTCCACGTCAACTCAACAGCGAAGGGTCATTGTCATTCTTCCCTTGGAACTCTCTCGCACTTTCATGCCCTCCATTTGGCCGGATTGCCACGTATCAAGTGTCTCCCTCATCCACCACTCTCGTTCAAACGACACCTACATACTCTTCTTACCGTCATTGGACGAAGAAGGAGGATTGATGAAGCAATGCATTGACTCTGGAGAAGGGTGGACAAAAGGGGTGAGGATAAAAAGGCAAACCTATCCCTTTTTTTTCGTCTACTTTTTTTTTCTCACTCCTTCATCCCTGAGCAAAGTACCGCGAACATTTTCGATTTTTCACGGCGCTCCCCTTTTTTTCTTCTCACTTTCTCCTTCCTTTCCTTTCAATTCACCACTCGCACCAACGCAACATCCACCAGTCTGACGAGCAAAACACCAAGCCGACACTTCAACACTTCGACTCTCGGGATACTCAAGAGACTTCAACTCCAACACCCAATTTGAACCCTTCAAACACCCAGGATAAAACAACAACAACAACAATGACCCGCGCTTCAAAGTCCTATCGCTCCACAACTCCCAAGGAGACTAGGGAGACCAAGGTAAAAAAAAAAAAAACACGCAACCCCCACCTCAAAGAAATCGCCGACCGGGCCCTACTCGGTTGGATCTCGGCGATTTCCAGCATGGCTATTGTCTCGCTTGCATATATCATAATTTTCTCAACTCCCAATTAACAAAACGCCCTTTGTGTGTGCCCTTTTGTAGGCGGAGAAGGCAAAGAGATTGGAGAACTATCGCGTCGCCAAAGCTCAAGCCAAGAAGGTAAAACAACTCGCCTTTTTCCTTGAACCCACCTCTTTCTCTCTCTCCACCGTAACCACCTACTAACCTCTCTCTCTCTCTACCAACAATAGTTTGTGATCCCCGGAATAATTGCAATCATCGCCTCACTCTTCTTTCTCTTCGTCTCCATGTACGGTTTCAAGGGCACAAAAATGGACAACATCGTCGCCCGTGGCCGTTCAGGATCCGATCAGCTCTTTGAACAAGCGATAAAGAATCTCGAGAATAGTTTTGGTGGGATGAAGGACCCCCAGGAGGCGACTAGGGAGGAATTGAAGGCCCAGATCTTTAAAGCCTTGAAGCAAGGGGATGACAAGTGGGACCAGGAGCATCCGGAGAGTGCTGAGAAGGATTATGAATCTGCTGTTGTTGGTGGTGCGAAGGAGGAGGTTGTTTTGGAGTAGAGGGTGGGGGGCGATTAGCAAGGAGAGCACGGAGAGAGAATGACAACAAACCAGTAGAGATGTTTTGAAGTAAATTCGTATATGTATTGGACTATTTTACAAGGGTTACTGACGAGGAATGGACTATGGACAAGTATCGTCGTCGCTCTAGTTCTATGATATGTTGTGTTTTTGGTGTAGTTAAAAAAATTTGCTGGCAAAAAAAGAGAATGAAAGAAAAGTTTACTCCTCATCCTCCTCATCGTCCTCGAGGGGCTCATCATCCTCGATATCACGACGGAGGAGGGACTGGATCAAGGGGAGGTAAGGGTGCTCGCCGCCGACAGGGTTCTGTCTCTTGACCTGGTCAAAGTACTTCTCGTAGACGTTTCCGTCATAGACACCGAGGGGCGAGTTGATCATGTAATCCGAGTAGTTGAAGGCATCGATCAAAGGAATGTACTCCTGACGGACCTCACGGCAGAAAACGTTGACCTGAGAACGAACAAAGTCCATCTGCGAGGGAGTGAAGTAACGGTACTGGAGGAAGAATCCAGCGTTCTGCTCGATCGAGTACAAACCGTACAAGAAGCAGACCTTGGTCAAGATGGCGCGAAGTCCCTCGGGGGCAGCCTTGACAGCCTGGGCGAAACGACGGAAGATGTATCCGAAAGAGTGGATCTTGGCGGCAGCAAGACGGGCCTGGGAGCACTCCTCGTAGGCGGCCTCAGGGCTCATGCCGGCCTTGAGCGAGGCGTCAAAGTCGTCGCCGGCCTTCTTGACAACGTTGGCAGTGACGACTCCCCAGGCCTCCTGGATGATGTCAAAGTTGAGGATGTCGTCGTTGGTCTTGGCACCGCAGCCGAGGTTGAGGAGGGTGTCGAGGTGGTTGAGGTACGAGACTCCCTCGGGCTGGGTCTTGCCAGCGAGGGCCTCACGGTAACAGGAGACGAGGTAACGGCCCGACTGGAGGGTCAAGATGGTGTTGTCTCCCTCCCAGGTGCAGTGGACAGCGAAATCGTTGTAGGTGGTGGCGAGGCCGGTGTAGGCAGAGTAACCGTGACCGCCCAAGGTCTGGCGACAGGCCTCGATGGCGTTCAAGGTCGACCAGGTGCAGAAGGCCTTCAAACCGGCCGAGGTTGCGTGGGTCTCCTTGAGGGTATCGAGGGTGTCCTGCATTGAGGCATCGCCGGGCTTGGTCGACTCGAGTTTGTCCATGAGGTTGTCGTAGAGCTTCTGCGTCTCAACTCCAGTGAAGTGGAAGGCGTAGGCCTGGGCCAAGAGGGGCATGAGGCGGTACTGGTGGATAGCATAGTCGATCAGCTTGGTCTCCTGGACATCATGGGGGCTGGACTGGAACTGACGACGGACGGCAGCATAACGACCGGCAATGGTGACAGCCTTCTTGGCAATGTTACCCGAGTCAACAACCATGGCAACACGACCCTGGATCAAAGCACCGTAAGTCAACTGAGCCATGGGAGGTTCCTTGACCTCACCAGCACGGGAAACCTTGGTATGCTTCATAAGCATGTTGGTACGGGGAATACGGACATTGGTGAACTGAATCCAGCCGTTATCAATACCGTCACGACCCATCTTCTTTCCAATGTCTCCAATGTTGATACCGGGCATGAGGACGTAGGTGCGGGTGTCACGGAGCTGGACGATGAAGGACTTTGTTCCGTAACGCTTGCCACGGACGATGAGCTGGGCAAAGACGACGGTGTGGGTGGCGGTGTGGGCGGCACCTCCGATCCACCACTTGGTAGCGGTGATGGTGGGGGTGTGGATGATGAATTGATCGGAGGCCTCGTCAAAGGTGGCGGTGGTCTCGAGTCCGGCGACGTTGGAACCGTGACCCAACTCGGTCATGGCGAAGCATCCGACCATGCCGTTGAGGGCAAGGGCACCCTTGGAGACCCAGTGAGAGAACTGGGACGAGGTGGCGGAACCGCGAAGGGCGCCAAAGAAGAGACCGTAGTGGACACCGAAGCGGGTCCAGAAGCCGGGGTCGATGAGGGAGATGGTCTGCATGCGCATGGTGAAGATTGGGAGGGGCTCTGCAGAGACGTAGTGGACGATTGTGCGGAACTAATTGGATGTATTCGATGAGATGTATCGGGAGAAAATAATCGTTAGATGTCAGCACATGATCACCCCTCGCAGTCATCTCCTCTCTTCCTTTGCACGCCTTTCTCTGTTCGAGAAGCAATTGAAAGTAAAGCCATGTAAAAAGTACCTTCTCCATGGTGCGCTCACGGATCTGGTCCTTGGTGACATCGTACATGTCGTACATGCGGAAGGTAGGATCGCGCTCGAGCTCCATCATGAACTTTTCTCTGATCTTGGTGAACTTCTCACCGCCGTCGAGGAAGTAGGTCAATTCTCTGACATCGAACGTCGCCTTTTCTCTCTCCTCCGACATTGACTCCTGAGGGCTATTTCGTCAAGTTCATTGTTGTGAGAAGGAGGATGTTAGTTATGTGTTGAAATATTTTCGAAGGGAGAAGAAAAGTAAGGAGAAGGGGTAACATATGATGCCGATCGATCGATGCGCAATTGTTCAACAAGGGAAGCATTCGTAAACAGGAACAATGCAAGGAAAAACAAAGAGAAAAGCATAGGAGTAATTACGTCTTCTTCTTGGGCTCCTCCTTGTTGGCACAGGCAGCGACCTGCAAGTGGGACTGGACAAAGGCCAGGCGTTGAGCGGCGTCAGACGACATTGTTATATTTATGTATGTAGGTGGATAACGTAAAGGATAATTGAAGACTGTTATGGGTAAAGCGTCTTTGTTGAAGGAAAGTGGTTAAGGAAGGAGGTGGAGTGGCTGTGAACGAGAAAAGGGAGCAAGAGAGAGTGAGAGTGAGAGTGAGAGTGAGAGTGAGAGTGAAGAAAAGTGACTTTTGGCTGGTGGAGAAACAAAAGAAGAGAAAAAAGAAGAGAGAAATGTGATCAGGAGAGAAAATAGCCCCCGCATTTATATGGAGGAGGGAACGGGAAATGACTAGATTGCATCCACACACTGCACACATACACACTCAAGAAGATCAGGGACCAGCAAAATGGCTCCAATTGGATCAGACTTGAATTGGGATCGATGACATCTGTCCTTGTCTCTGTACCTCCCTCCAAGGTGTCCATGGAAACAAACAAATATACAAACAAAAACAGGGTTTTAGGGCGTGAGGTGAGGGGAAAGTAAAAAAAGAGTAAGAAGGTTGCATTTGCATATGAAGTTTTCCGGCTAGGCCGTGGAACAACTGAAAGCAAGAGAAGAAACAAAAAATGCGGCATGACAAAGCCGACTTGTTGCTCGATTGCTCACTACTTTTAGGCTGATCGAGATGTCGCTTTGTACAGTCGTGTCACTTGTTGCTTGTTGCTGTTGACGATGATGTTGTTGTTTACTCGTGGCACCACTTTTTCAAAGAGAGAGATGCTTCGATGGACAGACAAACAAAGCAGCAAGGGCAGAAGGAAAGGGCATAAATAAAATAAGAGAGATGTACCGGTACGACGACATCAACATGCCATGGCGTGGACCCACGGACAGCAGATCAGATTCCTGTCTTGCTTTCTATGCACACTAAGAACAACAGCAACATCTTTTTGCTGTCTGTGTGCTAGGAGAATAAATGTCCTGTGGGTTGCAGTTGATTGATCAACACTATTGTACATACACACAGATCTGATCAATATGTATAGCTTGTCTGTTCTAGTGATCATCACACGCCAAGGACCCAGGTTGCTGGTTGTTGAAGGGAGGGAGTAATCCCTTTGTAATTGACAACAATTTTGCAAGGCGAGAGATTCAACCTTCTTTTTTTTCACATCGTTCGAATACATGCTCGTTCCTCGTCCTTGCACGTGAAAATCCGGTTGCCTTTTTGTTCTATTCCCAGTTGTAGTCAATATTTGATCACACTGCACTGCACCACACAAGAAAGAAGATTTCATTCATTCGTTCATTCGTTCTTTTTTCATCCGTGGACAACTGAAGCCACTGCACCCACACTCTCCCCGCATCCCACACTCTCGTACACAGAGCACATCTGTCTTGTGCTCACCTGTTCAACTTTGCTTCGTCAATTCCATTGGCTACCTTCAATCATGTCCCTGCCCTCAGTGCCCTGTCCCTTCGTCAGACCATGAACACTCAGCTCTTTTTGTTGCAGGCAAAGGGAACCGCCCATCATCGCCACGTGCAAGCGCTCATCTCCCCTCTCAGTTACACCCTCTTTTCTTTCCCTATTGATCAGTCTCTGCCGCACGGGAGAGAAATCAACGTTGCTGTCTGTCCCTGGATTCCTAGTCGGACCGATCCTTTGATTCATACTCAACCTCATCCACCTCCACTCCCACACTAACATCTCCACGGAGTATCCTTCAATATTTCCGAGCCAAGGGTTGTCTCCGATCAAAAGCCACATACATTTTCATCTCATTCTTACCCCGGACCCTCTTTTTTAGCATTCTTTACCCTCCGATCCAGCCTGGATTCCCTTTTCTTCACCATTTGTCACTTTGGTAAAATAACGAGGGATCGTGTCGACTAAGTGGGATGATGGTGATCCCGTCCAACAGCCAGATCGACCGACACGTCCTCAATTGCCTCTGAGACATTTTATTTGCTCTCTCTCTCTCACACATTCTTTTCTAACGGCTGAATGCCATTACCCACTCTTGAGCATGTGCAGCAGTTCCGCCTCCTCTTTGCTTTACTCTTTTCCCTCCTTTTCTCTCTTGTCCACACCTCGTCTAACACAAAACATCCAAAAAAAAAAAAAAAAAAAAAAAAGTACCCGCCATTTTGGAAAATGTCTCACCTGCAAGGAGGGGCACCATCGTGTTTAGACGGCAAACCCCTTTTTGAGGCATCCGCATCGGTCTGTCAACGCCGTATATTGGCAACGATGGTTATCCTTATAGTAATGATCATGGTGATCGCGATCATGATAGTTCGAGATATAGAGTGAAGGTTGCCGGCGGGCAACCGCGTATGTGACGACATGGTAGTCTGTTGCAGAGTGTGAGGATTATTTCTCAAAATCACGTTTCGGAAGTTGAATATGGTGAGTGTGCTGCGCTCAAGACATTTTTCTTTCTTTGGTCTCGCACTGGCTCTCTTGCGCGCAGCCCTTGTAATTATCGTATCGTATCCGCCGTTACCACCATCGTCACTTGACCTCTCTGTTTCTGGGCATTATTCATCCGCGGATGATGATTGCCCCGGGAAAAGGACATCTTTTGTTCATCCGGACAATCAAATCGAACGAACAGCGACTACAAACAGGCAGTATGTGCTCTTTCAATTGATCGATTGGAGTTGGTATTTTGGGCATAGCGTTAACCTGTTTCTTTTGTATGTGCACAGGGCGTGAAGAAAGGGAACAGGAGCGATGTATGCTTGCCTACCCATGTTCATGGTGGGCAGATTTGATTGGACAGGCAAGGTGATGGGCATTAGTGCGTGTGTTTGATGCCAATTGGTATGTTATTTTTTACCTGGACAGGAAAGAACTGGTAACTGGATATGTGTTATTGGTGCTTCCATTTGGTTTGCATTAATCCGTGTGGCGAGGTAAGCGATTTACCATTTCAAGTTGAATATGAATGGCAGCAAGCACCAAGAGATGCCCACCCCAAGAAAAAAAGGCAATGATTTTTTATGTTTTTGATGGGAGTAGATTTGCAGGTGCAAATAAACTTTTTGTGAGTGGCCCACAGTCTTGGCACCCTTGGCAGCAGCAACGTTTAAGAATAATGCGTGTGTCGCATTGATGACATGCTCCAATTGCTAGTCAATGCGGCTATGTGTCAGGATAATAAACAACGTCCGATTGATATGATGATAATGATGATAATGATGATGATGGTGATGATGATGATGATGACCATAGCGCAAAATGAAAAGCGAAAAGGAGAAGACGTCAAACCACAACAACAGCAAGAATAGCTGCCGTCATCATCGCAGCACGGCAACTGCGAGGATGCGCAGTATCCTGCACCAAGTAAAGTTTCTTTTTCTTCGACTTGCGTTCATTTTGCCACTGTGCAAGACTTTAAGCAGAGAGAGACAGTCTCGTTTTCTTTTTTCCTTTTCTATTTTGCCCTTTCCTCTTTTCACTCTCTTGTTTCTTTCTTTCTTCTTTTTCCCCCATCAACTCCTCACTCTCACCCCCACCCTTACTCTCATTCCGCCACCACCTTTTCCAAAGCTAATCATCCTCACCCCTCTTACACTCTTGTAACCAACAACAACAACAAAGAGCTTGTTCATTGCTGACTCACAGACACACTCTCTCCTTCCCTCAAAAGGTAAACAACCCCCTGCCTACCACATTCACTCACACCAACTTATGCACCTTTTTTTTTTTTTCCCTTGGTCACCCTCCAACCGAAACTGTATGCTAACATTGTCTCCGTCGTTTGTCTTTCAAACTATTCTAGCGGCCCGTCTCTCCCGGCCCCCTATAACTCCCTCCGTCGCTTTCTTTATTCGAACCAAAAAAGAAGCGCACACACTTTCCTCCTTCCCACAACAAACAACAAACAACAAAAGCATATATACACACAAATGGCCCCTCTACTCGAGCAACTCAAGAACTTTATCCGCCACGGCAAGAGCGGCAAGGACATGAAGCCACGGGAGTCTTCCTCCTCCACAGGACTTACTTCCTCATCACGATCCTCCAAATCCAGAAACGCCTCCAGAAACAACTCACCCTCAAGGAATACAACTGCATCAGTAGGATCCACAGCAATAGCAACAGAAGGTACTTCAGCGGCTGATATCCAGGACAATGGAGCAGCTACGGCCGCCGCAGTCAATGCGACTAACTTTAACAACAACAATACCGAGGCGGCCTCGAGGATCGTCGCTGAGGAGAAACATCAAAAGAGCAAGATGCCCGTTTACCCTGGACTGGAGCGATACCGACTTGTCGAGAAAATGGGCGAGTAAGTGGCACTTTTTGTTTATTTTGTATTCGCTTTCTCTTCAAGAGCACAACCGATTACAGGATCGTGGGTTCGGAGGGAGGGGTGACAGGAGGTGGCAGGAAGGACGGGTTCAGAAGGGACGTAGAGAAGTGCCACCTGCACTGGACGCAGACAAGAGGGGGTCTGGGTTGTTTTTTTGAGCATGAAGAAACTGAGAGGGGTGTTTATCCTCCTCCGAGGAGGACAAACGGCGCCAAGGCTGTTTGTTGGTGCTTTTGCAGGTCAGCGGAGGATGCGGGCATGGCTCTCAAAAAAATAGGAGGGGGGGCAAGGCGGATTCGTTCTTTTTTCGGTTTTCTTTTTGTCTGACTGTTTGTTTCTAAAGTCGATGACGAGATGATATCATCGACATTAATCTTGTCTTCTTCGGACACACCAGCATTCAGAGAGAAGTTTTATATTCCACGTCAGTCAGAGGAAGAAGAAGAGGGAGGAAGGAAGAAACTACGCCCGAGAAGGCAACAAGGTTCCCCCTCTCTCTCTCTCTCTTCAAACAGCATCGTCGCCGTCATCTTCCCTGGACTGAACCTTGGGAATCAATTGACAAGTTTATCCCTTTCCCCGTCCATCCTTCTTGTTTTTTTTCTCTCCCCCGCACGTTCATTCTCACACAAAAAAAGGACAAGTCGGGGTTTTAAATGCACCAGAGCAACAAACAACAGAAAAAAGGATTTGGGATTTGTCAATCTTCATGCTCCTCTCGGAGTGAAGATAGCAGTTTTCACCCGAAGTGTGTGTCATTTGAATGGGGGATTGTGTCTAAGACCGCAGGGAAGGGGGATGATTGTTCTCGAGGCTTGATCTGAAGAGTGTTCTTCTTGCTCGCTTTTTATTTTGTCCTCTTTTTTCCTTTCTGTTTCTGCATATCTATTGACTGAACGATCCCAGGGAGAGTGAGAAATGAAAAAAAAAAAAAAAAAAAAACTTTGGATTCCGCCCACATCTGAAACAGCCAAGCTCGGTTTACTGACGACTATTCTGAACTTTGCTCTTCTCTAGTGGTGCATTCAGCAACGTCTACAAGGCATACGACACAAAGATGGATCGCCTTGTTGCCGTCAAGGTTGTGCGCAAGTTTGAGCTCAACGCCCACCAGGTAACCATCTTTTACCTCCCTTCACGCTTACCATCACCACCACCCCTGCACTCTCTCTTGCTTCCTTTCTTGCATCTCTATTTTCCTACTTTTTATCCCTACTGCACCTTGTTGCCAGTTTGGGGTCATTGGAAAAGAGCATAACACAAAAAGACAAAGGAAATGAGAAGCAGAGTGTGTCTCCCTCTCAAAAGCAGACCCGATTGGGCATCGTGGAAAAGAGCAACGTGTGATAGCACATGGAAACGAGGAAGCATCTTGTCGCTTGATATACCTTCAGACTTTAAAGACATTCAGGATTGGTGAGCTATATCAGGAGCAGGATGCGTATCATGAAAAAATACCATCGGGACCCGGGAAAGGCGTGAATGGAAATCGTTAACAGGATGAAGGAATATAAATCGAAAGAACCGTTCATACTCACATTCTACTACCGATGCCTGGCTTTCTGCCGTCTCGTTCCACCGAATCCACTTGCGTCTCCAGAATAAGCATCTCCATCGCGACATGAAAAAGAAGCCTCGCGTCACTGAGGTCAGCATCAATCCCCCTATCTCCTACCTTCGTCACACGGTTTTTTGCTTTTTTTTTGTATCCTTTCCTTCCCTGGTTTTCCACTTTACTTTCATTTCTTATGGTGGGGGAGAAGCGGTAAATGTTGACAGCGATCCCTTTCTTTTCACTTTCAATCAATAGCGTGCCAACATTCTCAAGGAGGTCCAGATTATGCGCCAACTCAAGCACGAAGGGATTGTCGAGCTGTACGAGTTCTCAGAATCGAACGAGCACTATTTCTTGGTATTGGAATTGGCACCCGGAGGAGAGCTCTTCCATCGCATTGTCAAACTGACGTACTTTTCCGAGGACCTCACCCGTCATGTCATTGTCCAGGTCGCCCAGGCCATTCGCTATCTTCACGAGGAAAAGGGCGTTATTCACCGTGATATCAAGCCCGAAAATATTTTGTTTGAGCCCATCCCCATTATTCCTTCACCACCCGGAGCCAAGCCCGACGAAGACGACAAGGAGGACGAGGGAGTCTTCCAGCCCGGTATCGGAGGCGGTGGAATTGGCCGCGTCAAGATTGCTGATTTTGGACTGTCCAAAGTTGTGTGGAACGAGCAGACGATGACTCCCTGCGGAACTGTTGGATACACTGCTCCCGAGATTGTCAAGGATGAGCGGTATTCAAAGTCTGTCGACATGTGGGCCATGGGATGCGTTCTTTACACCCTTCTCTGCGGTTTCCCTCCATTCTACGATGAGAGCATCCAAGCTTTGACTGAGAAGGTCGCCCGTGGACAATACTCCTTCCTTAGCCCTTGGTGGGACGAGATCTCCTCATCAGGTAAATGTCTTCCTCTTCACAGTTGCTCCTGCCTTTCGAAAATCGCCTTGTTACCCCACAGATGCTAACCATCTGCACCTTTCTTCTCATTTTAGCCAAGGATTTGATTACCCACCTGCTGTGTGTCAACCCCAACGAGCGCTACACTATTGACCAGTTCTTGGCTCACCCATGGATCAAGGCTGGAGAGACTGCCGCCAAAGCTGCTGAGGAGGCTATTCCAGCCATTGCTGTTGATTCGCCTGCACCCGAGAACAAGGTCTTGTCGAGCGTGGCTGCCATGACACCCGAGTATGGCGTGAAGGCAGCCTACAAGCGTAGAGCCGAGAACCCCCTGTCGCCCGGTATTGGACTCAAGGAAGTCTTTGATGTCTCGAACGCTGTGCATCGTATGGAGGAAGAGTCTCGTCGCCGCAACACCCCTCAGGCGTCTGGTCTTCACCCCGTTGATGCCTTGAACACCTCGACCCGTCAGCGCCAGGCTTTCATGTCTCAATTGAACGAGGAGGACGAGATGGATGAGGACTCGGAGGACATGGGAACAATGTCGAGCGATGACGAGGCGATTCTAAGCAGCCTGAACCATGTGCAGATCAACATCAACGGTGCCCAGGACGAGACACATGTGATGGAGACGGACGAGGATCAGAAGGCGCAGGAGCTCCGGTTATTGTTGCAGCAGCAGCAACAGGAGTACCAGAAAGCACAGGGCGAGATTGCCGCTGAACATCACCAAAAGTACCTGAAGCAGTCGCAGATAGCTGGACAGGCTATACCCGTGCAACATAGCGTGCCAGCCGGTGCCAACAACGGCGGTGTTCGCAGCAACCAGGTTGCTCCCTCGCAATCGGGCCACACGATCAGCACCTCGACATCAACATCGACGGTTGGATCAACCTCGACAACGTCTACAACCCGTCGCCGCCGCGGATTTGAGCTGAACATGAACCATGCTACGCTTTTGAATCGCCGTGCTAAGCAGCATGTGGGCCAGTCCGTTGAAGAGCAGGATCAGACCGGATCCACTGCCCTGGCTGTTTAAAAGGCGTCTCCATGGTCCTATGTTTGTCTTTCTCTTTTTCCCTATCTTCCTTATTCAGATAGTTGCTGTACCAGTAGTTTTTTTTATCGCACCCATAAGAAACCCAAACAACCCTTTCCCCTTGTACTTACTAGTCATTCCTTACAAAAGATAATTGCTGCAGGATTGAATGAAGCTAATATGCATGCGCAATTGCCTATCTGTTTTTCGTGGGTGTGTCATATTGTGTGAAAAAGGAGGATTCAGGAACGGGATCAATTGAAGTGCGAGGTATGATGCGAGGAGTAAGGGGCGAGAGTTAAGGCGCTTGGGAGTAGGTAGAAGGCTGGCAGGATCTAGAAAGTGGAAGGCGACAAAACGGCCGAGGGTGTTGCAAAGAAGGGAGATGAAAACGGGACATCCGAAGGGCTCTGGTTTATTTTTCGCCAATAATCCATGACACAGAGATATATGTTGGTCGTTGGCTTAGTGTCCGTTGGAAAGGAAGCAGGAGGGCAGGCATCCATGATGACAGACAGCAAAGGAGCGAGGAAGAAAAGCGTGAGAGTTGTGAAGTGTTCCTAAATAGAGATTTGTTTTCGCGGATGTGATTGGTTGGTGAGTGAGGAGAGGTACCATTGAGGGGCTTGGGCGAGTGTGGAGAAGAAGAATAAGAAAAGATGACAGGGAAATTCTTTGTGCTCGTGGGCCATTTGTGTCTTCAGTAGTAGATGATGAGCCCTGGACTGTGACCGAATGCAAGAAGGCGGATGGGTTATATAAACAACAGGGCACGCCCTTTTCCTTTTCCTCTTTTCTTCTTACCTTTCAAAACAACAACACCCTCCCCCTCTCCACTCTCCACTCTCTCTCCCCCCCACCCCCTCTTCTTTCTCCCTTCCCTTTCCCCCCACCTTTCACTCTTTTCTTTCATCCTTACCCCCTTCCATACACATACATATCTCGTGTCAATGACCCTCACCATCGTTCTCCAGCAAGCTAGACGTGGCGCCGCCAAGGTACTTATCTTCAACGAAAAAGAAAACTAAAGATGAACACAAGCGCAGCCCCTTCCCATTGTTTTTTTCGGTTACCCTACTTCATTTTACTTTTTCGCCACCTTTCCCACGGACCTGTCGTGCGTGATGTTTACGATCTTTCAGTGCAACCAAGAGACTCTTCGGAGAAGCTCATTTTGGATAACAGGCACGCATCCATTTGGCCGTGCGTGGTGCGTGTTGACTAAACACGGAATCCGGGGTCCTAAAAACTAAGAGCTGGCTGGGTTTCTTTTTTGCTTTCCTCGTGAAAATTTGAGGCTGGCAAGTTCGTTTTAGTTTTCTCACGGGTGTGAGAAGGATTCGTACTGGAGCAGGGCCCGAATTATCGTCGGAGCAAAAAAAAACTGGAGGAAGCGAGGGAAGGATACAAGAAAGGAGAGTCCTATGCTACCTAAGAGTGGGAGCGGCAAACAGGGTGTGATACACACACACTCAATTAGACACCAGAAAACTAACACACGTCCTTCTCTAACAATTTTATCATCAATTCGAGTAGAAGGTGACGATCGCCACGTTCACAACCACGTTCGGCCGCCAGTTCTCCTCCTTCCGCCCCCAGTACAAGCAGGAGGAACTCGAGAACTTGAGCAAGGTCTACAACTCTGCCGAGGAGGCCGTCAAGGATATCCCCTCTGGATCGACATTGATGGTCGGTGGATTCGGCTTGTGCGGTATTCCCGAGAACTTGATCGGAGCCCTCAAGAACCGCGCTGCGGACTGCAAGGACCTGACGGTTGTTTCTAACAATGCTGGTGTCGATGATTTTGGATTGGGACAGTTGTTGCGTACCAAGCAGGTTCGTTCTCTTTCCTTGTCTCTTTTTGTTGTTGTTTTGTTTGGGGTATATGAGCACAAAAATGAACATCAACACGCAGCATGCTAAAGTAGACATGGACTCCCGTTCTCTCCCTGCTCCTTCCCTCCTCGTTCTCTCACCCTCCTTCCCCTCATAATAGATCAAGCGCATGATCAGCAGTTATGTGGGCGAGAACAAGGAGTTTGAGCGTCAGTACCTGTCGGGCGAGCTGGAGGTCGAGTTGACCCCCCAGGGCACCTTGGCCGAGCGTGTCCGTGCAGGTGGTGCAGGCATCCCCGCCTTCTTCACCCCCACCGCCTACGGCACTGAAGGTAATTCGTCCTTCCATTTTGTGTTATTAATTTCGGGATTGTGGTGTTTGCCCCGTGTTACATTGTCTATTGTTCTTTTCCCCCACACCCTTGTTCCATTACTCTGTATTTTTGCCCCATGGAAAAGCGGACACGCCACTTTTTAAGAGAGAGACACGATCCTCTCTGATGCGAGACCGAACAACACAATTAAAACGTGCTCCCTTCCGTTTTTTCTCTCTCTCTATACCAGTCCAGACTGGAGAGCTCGCGATCAAGTACGACTCGGAGGGCAAGGTGTTGATCCGCAGCAAGCCCCGCGAGGTGCGCGAGTTCAACGGACGCAAGTACATCATGGAGGAGGCCATCACAGGAGACTACTCGCTCGTCAAGGCCTGGAAGGGTGATGCCTACGGAAACCTGGTCTTCAAGGGCTCCGCCATGAACTTTAACCCCGTCATGGCCAAGGGATCCAAGAACACCATTGCTGAAGTCGAGGAGATTGTCCCCGTCGGTTCCCTTCGTCCTGAGGATATTCACTTGCCTGGAATCTTTGTCAAGAGGATCATCCAGGGTAAGGGCTACGAGAAGCGCATTGAGCGTTTGACTCTTACCGAGGAGAAGCCTGCGGCTGTTGAGACTTCTGATGCCGTCGATGCTAAGGATGAGGCAGCTCGTCGTCGTGAGAAGATTGTTCGTCGGGCGGCCAAGGAGTTCAAGAATGGAATGTATGTCAACTTGGGTATTGGTATGCCCATGTTGGCCTCCAACTACCTCAAGAAGGGCGTCAACGTCCACTTGCAGTCCGAGAACGGTATCTTGGGATTCGGACCCTTCCCCAAGCCCGGTGAGCAGGACCCCGATCTGATCAACGCCGGCAAGGAGACCATTACCTTGTTGCCTGGAGCTTCCCTTTTCTCGAGCGACGACTCGTTCGCCATGATCCGTGGTTCCCACGTTGACTTGACTATCCTCGGAGCCCTCCAGGTCTCGGCCAAGGGTGACCTCGCCAACTGGATCATCCCCCGCAAGATGGTCAAGGGTATGGGAGGAGCTATGGACTTGGTTGCCAGCCCCGGTACCCGAGTTGTTGTGACGATGGAGCATCTCGCCAAGGGAGGCAAGCACAAGATTCTTCAGGACTGCTCTTTGCCCTTGACGGGTGTTGGATGTGTGGACAGGATCATTACAGACCTGTGTGTGTTTGATGTCAAGGATGGAGGCCTTGTGTTGACAGAGTTGATGGAGGATGTTTCTCTGGACGATGTCAAGCGCGGTACCGGAGCTGTCTTCAAGGTCTCCCCTGACCTCATCCAAAACTAAATTGGTAGTCTTTTTTCGGTTAGAATACCTTTTTCTTTTTCTTTTTCATTTCAGCATCCATTCTCTTCACTCCCTCACCCAACAACACCCCATGTAGATATCATTTTTCCAAAAGATAATTATTTTTTGCCCACTTCATCGATCTGTCTAGGGGGTTGTTCTCGCTCTGCCGGACTCAGACTGCCCTTTGGATAGCCTGGTGGCTTGTCGCTGCTTCAGCAATCGAAACGACCGTCAGTAACGGCGAGCTGTTCCAGGGCTTGTCGCATATCAACTTAAAAATCGTCTGCGAGAGAGCTGTGGACCAAAGTGCGGACTAAGCGCAGTGCCCCTGATTTAAAAGATCGTGTCTGCCAGTGCCAGACCGCCTATGATGAAGTTGAGCTTTAGATTTGACGAGGGTCTAGCTTGCTAGTTTAGAAAGACAAGACATGACTTGCTGCTTCACAGAGATCCCGGGTCTCAGGACGGACGGGTGATGTTTTAAAAGATGTACCACACGAGTGGTTCTCTGGAATCCAGACTGTGCAAGCGTTTCTGGGCTGCCCTTTAGATCTGGAACGACCCCCTTACTTCGGAATGGTTTGGTGCCTCAGGAACATGAATTCTGTCAAGGGCTAAAAGTCACGTGCGGCATTCCTGAGCATTACCCATGGTTGGCGATTGAAAATACCACACACTTAAAGAGTGTCTGTTTCGCTTCTCTTTGAGAACAACAAGCTTTGCTTTAGAGCTCCATAGCCACCACTGAAAGTTGGAGTCTTCTCTTGACTTTGGAGATGAAGGCTAGCGTTGCTTCTGCTAAGAACTAAAGGAAAAGAACTGGACCTGAATTCTCACCCACACCCACCCACACCCTCCCCCTCCCCTACTTTCCCTGTCCACCCTGTCCGTCCCCCCTCGTTAATCTCCGCGTCCTCTCTACTCTTGTCTATATCTCCACTTGTGAAAATTACAAGTACCAAAGTCGCCCCTTCTGGTCACAGGTGACCCTACCAGCCTCGACGGGTCTAGATCTAATAAATTAAACCGCGACGGAGGGGAAATCGTTGCGGTATTGAGTCGTGGGAGGAGGAGGGGTCAATGCATTGGAGGACACAAATCTAGGTCGGTGAGCGTCGTGCAGGCTGCTTGGGAGGTACTTATTATTACGATGAGAGTAAGTTAGTGTGAGTTTGTGTTGTACTTTACCCTTCTTTTTATGGAAGTTTTAACAAATGCTTCCTACTTTTGTTTGGTGTGCCTGTGTATTCTTTTGTTCCATTGCTCTTTCTTGCTGTGAGGTTAAAAAAAAAAAAAAAAAAAAAAAAAAACATCGAGGGAGATCTCTGTCGGATCAAACTTTTTTCGCAGAATGGAAGGACCAATCACTCAAAACAAAAATGAGGAGGTTAGATGCCACGAAGTAAGAAAAATATAGAAAAGAAAAACGCAGGAAGAGAAAAGAAGAATACGTTCAAATCCGGTGTTTACTGTAGGTGACGTCTAATTGAGAGGGGGGGGGGAAGAGGAAGAAGGACGCACGAGGTGATGGGAGGACGGAAAGCGCCAGATGAAGATGGAGACGTGAACTAAAACTGCCACCTGCAAACAAAAAAAAGAATGGTGAGAGCAACTACGATGCCTTTTAAACTTTCTTTCCTCCTAGGAGGGTATGGTTGGTAGGTTGCCTCAGCCCAAGTCATTTTACTTTCTTCCCTCTTGGGAGGGCTCGGTTTTTTGGTTGGTTGGTCGATTGACTCAGCCCTGGGGGGGTGGGTGTGATTACAGTGATCGGACCAGTAATGGAAAGTACTGTACGTCCATTTGTAGGCCAAATGATTGCCAAAGATTGCGGCCTTGGTACAGGAGATGGAAGTTGCTCCGACTGCCTTGCAGGAAGTTCTCCCAGAGGAAAGCGAGCCCAGGAACTGGCAGCGGTGAGCGATTGCCGGTTTTTCTACACTGGGGGTGTGTACTGGTAGTTGCAGACGCCTGGAGGCCTTTTCAAGCTACGCAAAAAGAAAAAAATAATCAAGGGGGGTGATAACAAAAATGAAAAACGGCAGGCAGTCAATGATGACGAGGGAAACTGGAAGAGAGTGAGAGCAACAAAGAGAAAAGGACGGAGGTATGAAATAACGACTGTTGTCTCTTTTCCTTCTCTTTGCAAAGTCTGGGATTCACAGGAAAGAATTGACGCGATCTCGTACCCAGAGTTGTCAGAGCTATTGCTCGACACATTGCTGTCTGTAAAGAAACGTGCGTTCTTGTAGATAGTATCAAGGCGCTGTAGCAGTAATGGCCTTGCAACTTTGTGTGAGATGGAGAAAAAGGGGAGAGAGAGAGACCGATAGGTTTGAGAATAAGGGCAAAACGGATAAAATAAAGGCAAGGCATGAAGGCGTATTGTACAATGTACAACACCCTGCAGTTTTTTTCTGTAGATATTCAGGGTGTTTGACGATGACTGAGGTCGTAGAATTGTGGAATTGAGGCGTAGTCAGTTTCACTCATCAACGCGTGCCACTTTCCAGGAACCCTTTGCCTTGATCAAATTTCATCACTTTCCTCACAAAATCAAGGAACACTTTATCTGTCTCGCCTCACCGCTGTGATGTGCAATGTGCCGGCGCAGCATGCCACCGTCAAATGCGCGATACCCATCGGCGAAGAGTGGCAATGCTATACACATCTACCACAGTGACACAAAATAGGAAAGACTGCAACAACTGCAGTGCATCACATATTTGTCCTTGAGGAAGAAAACTAAGACCAATCGACCTTGATTCTAGTCTCTATGCAATCGTGGCAAAATTGACTTGTAGGTTGGTGACATGCATGTCCATTTCTTTTTGCGAGGGATGGGGCTTGGCCCATCATGACCTCTGCTCAGACTTTTTTTTCTCCTCTGTCGGAGACACAAATACAAACGGCAAGTGGCAGTGTCAAGGAGAATAAGAATGGATGAAGAGAGAGAGGGGAACCAAGCCAAAAAAAAGAGACAGGTTTACATGCGTGCTCACAAATCACCATTTTCAAAAAAATAAATTGTCTGTTTGTCGCTTGCGCCTAAAAACCTGCATCATATCTCTTTATGAGTATGGTGTATGCAGCCCGAAGAGGGTCTCGAACATCGACCTACTATAGTTTTTAAGCTGTTACCACTGAAAATATTTGATGCAAGCCGCCAATTCTTCTTTTCTGCTTGGCCTCCTCCATCTCCCTTCTTTCATCAGTGACAACCCTTGGGCATGTACCAGAACCGTTCCTTGCTTGCGAATTGAACGCCCGACGACCTTCTTTCCTTTTCCTCGTTTTTCTTCCCCCTCCCTTTTTGGCTTTGACTTTGCTCACGGAGCGTTTGCTAGGGATGAACGGAAAAAGAACACCCAGGCACCAACCACACATTACGAACAACAGCATAAAACACATACCTGGACCCCTGGTCATCTTCCATCTGAGAGCCGCTATTTTATTGCTTTTATACCTCTGACAGTTTAGATTTCGCCATCTCTCCCTCTTCTTTCTCCTCGCTCTCTTCAACTCTCGACATCCATCCTCTTCTCTCTCTCCTTTCTCCTCCGCCCCTCAGCCCAACTGTCTTTTCCAACCACCACCCAACTCCTTTCTTTTCAACTCCCCCTCCGCCTGTATATATCCCCCTCACATAATCCTCAGAGAGTAGGATTGTGAACAACCCCTCCATATAGAAGAGGATGTCGACGTACAACAACAACGACGACACAGTCCAGGAGGACGACGCTCAATGGACAGATATGGAAGTCGAAGAAGAAGTCTCAGCAGAAGCAGAAAAATCGTCTCCAGATTTGACACTCCCAGTAGAACAAGTCGCCCGCACAAAACGAACCAGCATGGAACTGTCTCAATGGCGTGCTGATATGACCAGGCCGGAACACACTACTAATGGTACAAAAGAAACAAAAACAGGTTTTCTTCTCTCCCTCCTTCCTTTCTTTCTTCCTTCCTTTATCTGTCCTTCCATCCTTCCACTCTTTTGTTTGTTTGTGTCCAGAGCTTGTTTGTGTTTGAAGTTATAAGTTTTAATGTTTGTGGGATATTTACCCAACAGGGCGAGAGGCGACGAGGGGAGTCAAAAGATCGAGGTGACCGAGTAACACTAACTCTTCCATTTTTTTGTCTTGCTTTGCTCTTCACTTTCTAGTGGCGAGACGATGGTACATCAGGCCGAAAGAGGACAATGCTTTCGAAACCGATGGCGTCAACATGTAAGTGATACCTACCTTGACAACCAAGTAGAGATATTTTTTATGTTCAGCGCAAAAACAACTTACAAAGAAATTCATCTTGAACGACGTTGTTGCACCTAGACCAGAGGGGCCATCACTCGTGGAAGCGGGCACCATATGGGGTTCAGCATTGACATTCGAGGGAGTAGAGCTCGGATGGTACTGGATCGTGGTTTGTGTATCGCTCAAGAACCTGGACTATTCCAAGGTGTTCACGATGAACATTACTATCCAGAGGAGAAGTGCTGGTCAGGATGAGTGGTTCTTGACGGTAAGAGGGGTCTTTTTCATTTCTCTTTGTGTGCATGAGCGGCATATGTCTCATGGTAACGTTAATACTGATATCTGGAACTGTTTTTCTTTGACGTTCAATTAAATAGAACAATTCGTGTGAAACGACTCTCCGGACAGAGGAACTCGACTCAATTTGTAGGTGCAACCAATCCTCCCTTGACACCCCTTATATTGTGTTTGTCTTTATTCGACGATGGATGCTTGACATTGACACGTTCTTTTCTCTTCTCTTGCTTGTGTAATGCTTACAATTTTCCAGCAAAGGACGACTATGTGCGACTCAGGATACATCGTCAGCTCTACATCGATGACATCGAAGACTCCTGTCTACTCGGGATAAACTTGAGCAGTACGGACGATGACGACAACGCAGGTTCGGTCGAGATTCACTACATCGAACTTGGAACCAGCACATTCGACTCACCCTCTGGCGTCAAAGGTAAGATACTGTGCACTGTGCTTGTTACACTGTCAACACACATGAACGGCGCGCACAAGTCTAACACGCTCCATGCACTGACTGTAATGCATAGACCACGTTATTTATGGAGATGGCATCCCAGACTACTTCATCAGTGTCGGCGCCGACGAGCCTTCGCGAACAAAAGCAATTACTATATCCAGATTCGAAATATCGGATACGAAAAACCATGCCGCGACACTCCATTTCACTCCGGGCGAGGGCCATATCAACCTCTGGGACCTGCGCGCTCCCGACAACTACGTGGCAGGCAACAAAAAGTCGCGACCTATTACTCGACCTATCGGCCGAGTCTCCTTCGGCGTCTCGCCCTTCCTGACCACCCCAGAAGTTTTGAAGGAGTACTCGCCCATGATCGCCATCTCCAGTGCCGGATCTCAGATTGTCGTAGGGTCCGAAAGGGAGATGGCGCACGGGATCCCTTTCCAGGTGTTTCAAATGACCCCTTCCAAGGTCCTTCTGGACAAGAACAACGCTTTCCCGCCAGCCACCCTCGCCCGAGTCCCTTCTATTTGTCCCGACTTAGCAAGCTACTTTGGTCTGGGCGTGTTTCACAGGGTTGACCCCGCCAACACGGACGAGCGGTTTATTATCTTCAATGGCATTACTCTGGAGGTGTACGACACAGAGTCCTGGTGCAGGATCTACCGCCTTGAGCTAGGCCATCAACGAGGCGATGATTATACGTCCTGCATCACTCAGAGTATTCGTGGTCGGTACTTTTGCTGGAACGGATTCAAGGGCGTCATAAGTATCTGGGATATCGAAACTGGCAGGATCGCGTCCAACATCTATGTCGAGGAGGATCGGGCGGCAACATTTGCTGTTTTGTCGCCTGATGGGAGCAAAGTTGCGGTTTCTGTCAAGGGCACTGTTCAAGTGTTCGACACTGTCACAGGCATCAAGATGGGTAGCTACTATGAAGGACTCGACAGCGACAATATTTTCAACGTCATCTTTGAACAGGATCACTTTCTGACGACCAACAGGTCCCTGTCGAACACCAACGATGTGTTTATGCCCAACATGAGGAGTGTTGTGAGGGTGCGCGATATGGTGGTCGTCGAGGACCATTATGTGCACGAGGATTATGTTGTCCAGGTCCCTCATACTGGACATGTCCCGTTCTTCTTAAACGCTCAGGTATGTCGAGTAACCGAATTGTTTGCACAATACGTTTTCTGTGCCAGAATATTAATTGTGAGCTGACCTTATGTTCTTGATTCTAATGACGATAGGGATCTGTGGCCAACTTTTTGAGTCTTGGCAACATCTTGTACCCACCCTCGGAAGAATACTCCTGTGGAACCACCAACGATTGCCCGATGCTGGACCGTTCCTTTGACATCTTTTACGTCGACTCTGTCCGCACGTTTGTCAACTCGGAAGATATCGCCTTTACGGCCTACTCAGCTCAAAAATATGTCGCGGGCGAGGCAGCCCATACACTCCAGGTCGGGATCGGTGGCAGTTACGAGGAGATGACCGACACAATGACCCTAATCCTTGGCAAAGCTGTAGAACACCGGATCTTTTGGGTGCGCGAGACGTCGCAGTTGTTTGTTGTCAACGAGGGGTACCTCTTCACTTGGACGTTGTCAAACGACACTACAAATGTTGCGACACTTGATCGAATCGTCAAGTTCCTTGACCATAACCCTGATCATGCCAAAGACCAGTGCATCACGGACATCCTCAACGTCAAAATGTGCGAGCATGCCTGCCAGTACACCATCGAGATCAAGCCCACCTACTGGCTGACCAACAACGGATCTTCAACTGTTCGACCCCCAGCAGGGACTCCCAACAACATCCTGACGTTCCCCAAGTTTGCCGCAGATACTTTCAAGACTACTCAGGATTACCGGGATGAGATGGGCGTCCTGGGGCTGATTCAGCTGTACCGGTTTGGAGACCAGGACTTTAAGGACGAGATTATCCGATTCCTCAAGAACCGTATCCGGCCAACGCGAGAGAATCCTCTCTCTTGCCTCGTCACACTTTGTCGAGCATGGAGTTCGGATGACCGGTTCGCGCTAGAACAGATTGTGGCCGAGCTGCTCCCACCAAGGTACATCACCTGGATCCCGGACCCTCACGAGGACAAGTCAACTGAACCCCTAGCGATCCTTCTCGAGATAGCACAGACACGGCCAAGGGTCTTTGGAGTCGCCAAGGTGGTCATGAAATACTGTGTCAGTCACGCCAACCGATCCAAGAACCTGGCCTTCCTCTCACCCCTGTTCGGCAGCATGCATGAGGTCATGGAGCTCTACCCCGAAGAGGCCCTGGAATGCATGGGCAGAATCGCGTTTATCCCCGTTAAGAACCGAGCTTACATCATCGACAACCATACCCTTGCCCTCCCTCCTCGCCCCCGCTTACGGTTCTGGGAACCCCGCACCAAGCCGCTGGTCAAGACTAAGGAGCCCATTATGCAGTTCAACTTCACGGGCGAAAAGGCCGACAGCAGCAACGACGGTTTCACACGCCCAGTGTTCATGGCCTCGTTTGATGCGCTGTGGTACTATAAGGATCAACACCAGACTGAGCTGAAGAAGGATGGCTTCCAGGCAGCCTCTAACACTGCGACGACTACGTGGTGGAAGACTCTATACCACATGTTCCGACTCAAGTGCCATATCAGGATGCCTGCTGTTGTTGAATGCTACGAGTTCAACTTGGAGTTCTTTGATAACCCCGCTATTGCCGCTCTCGTCGACTACAAATGGTAAAGTTTGTTCTTTGGTCTTATCGATATCTTGCTTGCCTAAGTCTTGGCCGAGGTGTAAAAAATACTTATTCTTTTCTCTCCCCCTCCCTCTCTCTTTGCACTCTCACTAATCTGATAGGAACACGATTGGATATTCCTACTGGCTGTTCAGATTCGTATTCCAGAGCGTCTTTTACGCACTGGTCGTGGTTGCGGCGTTAATGCAGGTGTACTCTAACCCAAGTCACTTGACCGATCTCTTTATTGCCATTATTGTCTTGGCCTCTATCTTCCTCTGGCTCGAGCTCCTCCAGGCCGTGCACAGCTGGTCCCGTTATTCTGGGTATGCTTTTTTCTTCTCGTCTGTCTTGCTCCTCTTTTACCTGTCCTTGATTTTGATTATTCAAAAGAGTAGCCAGCTCATATATCGATCTCCCTTCTTGTATCTGATGATAGGTCGACGTACAATGGTCTGGATATGATTGCGTTTGGACTACCCTTGGTCGCAAGTGCCATTCAGTTGAATTCGATCTCGAATGGAAACACGAATGGAAATACGCGTGTCATGAGTGCCTCTGTCCTTGCCGTCTTCTTGCACATGGTACGAAATGGATGCGGGTCAAGCAAAAAATGACGCGAAAGATTTTAGTTGCTCCCTTTTCAATGACCAGACGCGAACTAAGTCTAATCTTCTTTGTTCTCCACTCTCTACTTCTAGCTGTTCGAGCTTCGGATCTATAAGCAGGTGTGCAAGTACGTGATGATTATTCAACAGACCGTGATCGAGATCCGAGGATTTTTCATCATCTTTGCCGGTGGGCTGCTCGCTTTTACGATCGCGACACAGCATTTGCTTAGGGCTTGTCCTGTCGAGGGGTGTAAGAGGGACGAGACTGATTTCTCGTACAACTTTTTCTATGCCATGTCTGCCACCTACTTCTTTATGGTAAGTTTCCTTTTTTTTTGTTTGTTGTTTGTTGTTTGTCAGGTGGAGAATGAGTAAAAATCTAACGGCTGCTTTTCCATATCCCTTGTTTTTTTTCTTTCGTTGATCGTCGGGTCTATTGTGAATAGGGTGGAAGATATGATCCTGTGTCGCCGCTTTTTGACCAAGAAGATGCGGGTTTCCATCTCATGATGATCGTGTACTTTTTCTTCACCGTCATTGTCATGCTCAACGTGCTCATCGGTAAGTTCTCTATTTCTTTCATTTCAGAAGCTTGCCTGTATTATGCACACCGTTACACAACCTGCACACCAAAATCATACCAACTCACATCATCTCATCCCCTTTTTCTCCAACCCATCCTCTTACGTTTCTAGCGTTGATCAACGTGGCGTTCACAAAGGGAGACGACGGCTGGCGCTTAGCCTGGATTGAGTCCCGCCTGCGGTACATCGAGTCGGCCGAGAACATGTCCCACCGCATCCCGGGGTTCCGTCAAACCCATGATTGGTTCCCGAAACAGATTTATTTCTCGGCGACACCGCAACAGGTCCGGGATTACCAGGAGAAGTATCATCCTGGTGGCAATGGTGGGTATGGTGGTGGATATGAGTGGGGTAGGGGTGATGGTGAGGATGAGGATGGTGGGGATGAGGTTGATCCTATTTTCGATAATGTTCCTAGACCTAAGGTGGAGGAGGAGACTGGAGAGCAGACTGAGGAGCAGACAGGAGAGGGTGAGACTGCTGAAGGCGAAGGTGGCGAAACCAAGGCAGAAGGAGAAGGGGAAGGAGAGGCTAAAGCCGAAGGTGAAGGTGAAGGTGAAGGTGAAGGTGAAGGTCAGAAAGACCAGGAGCAAACCACGACGACGACGACGGACGAGAGTGCCACCAAGGATTCAAAAGAGAAGGCGATTGAGCACAATAGCAGCCTGGACTTGAGGACACAGGTGAGTGAGTTGCAGAGGCAATTGACTTTGCAGCAGGAGCAGTCGCAGAAGCAGTTTGATGAACTCAAGGAGCTCCTCCTCCGTGCCACCGCCACCAAACCCAAGAAGTAAGATAAATAATAGTAATATATATAAAAAAACTAATACAAGGACGCGAACGTTAATCAAACGGCTTGTATGTTTATGTTGTGAATGATGAGGCATTGATTGATGCGCTCTATTCATATCCATTGCTATTGGGCGAATGAAACCTTGGTGTATTTAATTGTCTCCGCCTCTTGTCCATGTTCCCTGCTTCTCATGAATGGGAAACAAACCTACAAAGTTGGTTTGCTGACTGTTTTCTTTTTCACGAGGAAATAAGAGGGGTGGGAGACACAACCTCCCTTGGCCGAGCAAAAGCAAGCAATTGAAAAAGTGCTCACGTCTTTATTTGCGTTTGGTGTTTCCCTTCCCCACAATTGTGTGCCTTCTTTGCCCTCTTGTCTATGTCTGTGTCAAGACACGTTCGTGTCCACTCCTTTCATTTAGTTCATTGTGTTTATTTTGCAGCCTCATTCCAAGACTTTGTTTGCATGTATGCGTTGGCACCTTCTGGAAGGCCAAGGCTGGATTTGAACATGATTGTAAACATGACAAAATGGCTTCTTGTATCGTCGACGATCAGGAAGGTGCCACATCGCGATATTCCGATGAAGTTCTCGAAAAGGAGCGCTACACAAGAAGGGGGCAAGGGAAAGAGGATAATAAAAGAAGAGAGGGAAGCTTTGTTTAATCGATAATAATAATTGCGTACAGGGGGGGGAATGGTAGTTCATTGGATTGCGGGAGAGGGAGAGGAGGAGCGGGAAACAGTGAGAAAAAGGGAACCATGTCTGCTGTGAGTCCATGATTGGTGGAACTTTATTGTAGTAATAAGAACAGCAGCAGAAGCAGACACGTACAAACATATATTCGAATGAAATAGAATACTCGAGCTGATTCAAATAGGACGTTGACACGTCGATTTGCATCGAGGCCTGCAGCCAATCAACGACTGCCATATCAACGCCACCTTTCTTCATGTTTCCATCATGATCCACGGCCATGTAAATTTGTTTGACGAGCTCTTTCTGATGCAATCCCAGATTACACGTATCCAGACCCATGCAACGCACACAGCAAGAGACATAAGGTTGCCTTCCCTCTCTCACACAGTCTCAGGGGGACCAGATCGAATCCCATATATAACTCAAGGCCCGCTCCTTCATCTGATCTCTTTCTTTTTTCATCATCATCCCTCCCTCTCATCCCCTCCCTCCCTCCTCACTCTCTCCCTTCCTCACATACCAACATGTCAAAGTTCATCAAGAGCACCCTTGCTCTGGTCACTCTGGCTCTGGTCTGCTTGGTCGCCCTGACTACCGTCAAGGCCGCCGACGCTGACGAGACCAGAGAGTCCTACGGCACCGTCATCGGTATCGGTAAGTCTCCTCCACTCCTTTTCGTGCTTGCTTGCTTGGCTTTTCTTTTCGTGTTGTTTTTTTTTACTTGCTCTCTTGCTTGCCTGCTTGTCTCGCCTGCGTCCTTTTCATCGACAACACGCCCTCAGGATCAGAAACACGGCCAAGAAGGGATCCTATCGACAATCAACAGCAAAAAGAACAGCCAAGAAACGACTCCTCACCCTTACACCCACCCTCAAAACAAGCAAAGACAAAGTCAGAGCAACAGTGCGGATCATTGAATGTTCTTAGCAGTCGGGATCAAGACACTCGAGTACTTGAGGATCAAATAACGCGAGGATTGGATCGCGCCTTCTTTTCTGTTCATTACCTTCGATGAGCAGAGTTGGACGCGGGACGAGGACAAGGAGAGCAAGCAGGAGCGCGTCCTTTTCATTGGATCGGTTCAAATCAAAAAGCCTGCTTTCAAAGCAAACAAGACAACTAACGCTCCACTTCCCTTTTCCCTCTCTTCCGAACAGATCTTGGAACCACCTACTCTTGCGTCGGTGTCTTCAAGAACGGCCGTGTCGAGATCATCGCCAACGACCAGGGTCACCGTATCACCCCTTCCTATGTCGCCTTTACCGAGGATGAGCGTCTCGTCGGAGATGCCGCCAAGAACCAGTACGCCGCCAACCCCACCAACACCATTTTCGATGCCAAGCGTCTCATCGGTCGCCGTTTTGACGACAAGGATGTCCAGGCCGATATCAAGCACTTCCCCTTCAAGGTCAAGTCCAAGTCCGGTGCCCCCGTCATCACTGTCGAGGTCAAGGGTGAGGAGAAGACCTTCACCCCTGAGGAGATCTCCGCCATGATTCTCGGAAAGATGAAGGAGATCGCTGAGGCCTACCTCTCCAAGAAGGTTACCCACGCCGTCGTCACCGTCCCCGCTTACTTCAACGATGCCCAGCGCCAAGCCACCAAGGATGCCGGTGCCATCGCCGGTTTGACCGTCCTCCGTATCGTCAACGAGCCCACCGCCGCCGCCATCGCCTACGGTTTGGACAAGAAGGAAGGTGGCGGTGAGCGCACCATCCTCGTCTACGATCTCGGTGGTGGTACCTTCGATGTCTCCCTCCTCTCCATCGATGACGGTGTCTTTGAGGTCCTTGCCACTTCCGGTGACACCCACTTGGGAGGTGAGGATTTCGACCAGCGTATTATCGAGCACTTTGTTAAGCTCTACAAGAAGAAGTACACCGGCAAGGACGTCACCCAGGACCTCAAGGCCATGGGCAAGCTCAAGCGTGAGGCTGAGAAGGCCAAGCGTACCCTCTCTTCCCAGATGTCTGTCCGCATTGAGATCGATTCCTTCCACAACGGCAACGACTTCTCCGAGACCTTGACCCGCGCCAAGTTCGAGGAGCTCAACGTGGATTTGTTCAAGAAGACCATCAAGCCCGTTGAGCAGGTTCTCAAGGATGCCGGCCTCTCCAAGGGAGAAATTCACGACATTGTCCTCGTCGGTGGTTCCACCCGTATCCCCAAGGTCATCTCTTTGATCGAGGACTACTTTGGCGGCAAGAAGGCCTCTAAGGGTATCAACCCCGATGAGGCTGTTGCCTACGGTGCTGCTGTCCAGGGTGGTGTCCTCTCTGGCGAGACCAACACCGAGTCGATTGTTCTTTTGGATGTCAACCCCTTGACTCTCGGAATTGAGACCACCGGAGGTGTCATGACCAAGCTCATTGGCCGTAACACTGGTATCCCCACCAAGAAGTCCCAGATCTTCTCGACCGCCGCCGACAACCAGCAGACCGTCTTGATCCAGGTCTTCGAGGGAGAGCGTGCCATGACCAAGGACAACAACCAGCTCGGCAAGTTCGAGTTGACCAACATCCCCCCCGCACCCCGTGGTGTCCCCCAGATCGAGGTCACCTTCGAGATCGACGCCAACGGTATCTTGCGTGTCTCTGCCTCGGACAAGGGCACCGGCAAGACCGAGACCATCACCATCACCAACGACAAGGGCCGTCTCTCGGATGAGGAGATCGATCGTATGATCAAGGAGGCTGAGCAGTTCGCCAACGAGGATCAGGTCGTCAAGGAGCGCATTGAGTCCAAGAACGTCCTCGAGAACTACCTCTACTCTGTCAAGAACCAGGTCAACGACGACTCCCAGTTGGGTTCCAAGATTGATGCCGAGGACAAGAAGACCATCTTGGACGCCATTGCCCAGAAGGTCTCTTGGCTCGAGTCCGAGGGTGCCACTGCCTCCAAGGAGGAGTTGGACGAGAAGAAGGAGGAGATTGAGGCCATTGTCAACCCTATCACCTCCAAGCTCTACGGCGCCGCCGGTGGCTCTGGCCCTGCCCCCACCGAGGACATGCCCGAGCACGACGAGCTGTAAATTCTGCTTTTTTCATTTTTACAACAACATATACAAGAATCGTTTTTTTTTTCTGCTCTTCGCTTTGTACAATAAAACTATTACAAACACCAAATACTTCTGCCTTTGCTTTGCTTTTTGTTTATGCTCCCCTTTGCTGTGATATTTGATGAATTGGTGGCGCCCCTAGCTCTTATTACCGCCCACTCGCTGTTTGTCATGCAAGGAGCAAACTGAACAAAGGGGGACTCTTGTTCACACGGACCTGACGCCTGCATGTACGTTTGTCTGGATATGAGTGTTGTTGTTATCCCTTTTATTTTTCATGTCAAATGATGAGCCATGGCTGAACAGAAAAATAGGGGGCAGCACATTGCGGATGTGATCAGGTCACTCTCTTCTTTCCTTCCTCCTTTTTCGAACCAGCATTCATCCTTTTTGTGTTTGGTTTGGTTCTTTGTCTTTCTGCTTCTGCTTCTTCACTTTCACTTTCGCTTTCGACCTCACGACACACTTACTCAAGAACAAACACCACTCAATCTTCATTATTCAGCTTCAAGGAAATACAAGGCACCGATCAACATACTTCAGCACATCATCGTCTATCCTTCTGTCGCAACAAGCGCTGACCTCAGGAGCATTCATTTCACACAAAACTAGGCAACCAACCAGCAGACATAAGCAAACAAACAACAAATCACAACGACAAGAACGAAGATGGGATTCTGGTCAAGGGCACCTCCGGCGTTGACGCATGAGTACCAAGAATCGGTCGCGCACCGAGTACGAGATATCCTCACAGGCGAGAATCATACCTCACACAAGCATGCGATCCGAGACAAACAGGCGTTGAAGGCATTGCAGCGCCCTGAGGCACTGGCGGGAGTTATTGAGATCTTGAAGAGTATGCCGGATCCGGATCAAGAATGCGCCGAGGGGTGGGAGGTTGATGAGGGTGTGGAGGTTGAATCTGAGGATGAGGAGGGAGATATTAAGGTCGCTGCTGCTGAGAAGGGGGGGAAGGAGAGGAAGGAGAAGAATGTGAAGCATGCTGCCGCTGTCACGACTGCTGCCGCTGTTGCTGTGACAGCAGCAGTCGTCGCTGCTAAGGCATCATCCAGTCCAAGTTCAGGATCTGCATCTGCATCAGGAGCAGGGGCGAGCACGACCGCATTGTCGTCAGCAGCACCGAAGGGGACGACGATCATCGCTGCAACGACGATTGCAGCGGCAGCAGCGACATCTGCAGTGGCTGCTACATTGGCCGTGACACTGAGAGGACCCCGTAAGGGCAAAAAGGGCGGTGATGGGAGGAGTAAGGTTGTGGAGAACGGGGATAGTTCGGTGACGACGACGACGACCAACACCGTGGTGCGGTTCCATCCTTCGAAGGATACCGTTTCTAGCCAAGCGTAAGTTTTCTCTTTTTTTCAAAATCGTTCTATCTTTTCTATCTTCTCTCACTCTCTCACACACAAAACACATACAAACACTGACCCGTTTGCATCTGTCTATCTAATAGGTACTGGTGGGGATACGAAGTCTTTATCCCACAAGAAGCCCTCTCCCGAATCTCATCCGCCCAAGACGTCTCCTCCGCATTTCTGGGGTTCTTGGGCTCTGTCGGTCTTGTCGTCCCTGCGATTGTCCCGTTCTTGGGTTACATTGCTGCGTATGTGGGACTTGAGTTTGCGGTGATCAAGGCACAGAATGAGGGGAAGGGGGTTATCTTGGCGAGCACCTGGTTGGTCCCAGTTGCGCTTGTTCCTAGAGCGTGGGATGTCCCTGAAGAGGAGGGTGTTGATGGTGCCAGTGGGAGTGCCTAGGGTGCCAAGCTGTTTAAATGCCTAGACGACGAAAGAGTCATCGCTGCGGGGAAGAGGCTGAGGATGAGGCTGAGGATGATGGATGAATAAACGGGCGAACCATTTGCTTTTTACTATGCCGATCGCTTCTCCTTCTTTGTTCCTGTTTATCCGACGCGCCCCGTTACTCCTTTGTCCTTTTTCGTCTGAAATTGCGGAAAATGCAAAAGTGTGTGACGAGCAAATAAGTCTTGGTTTCGGATCCATCAAAGAAGAGGGAAGAGCATAAAACTGCGGATTCACACGGCTCTCACACGGACGTGCGTTTGTTGCAGTTGATGGGTGGACGTGAAGGGAAGAACGGAAAATAGACAAAAAGGACCCTCTTTTCTTCTTTTTTCTTTTCCGTTTCCTTCCATTAGTATCTTCAACTCCCTTCATCTTTTCCTAGAATGAACCTGAATACGCCATCCATCGATGCTGCTACCGGGTCATGGGGATCATCATTGTCGTCCTCTGGTCAAGACATCGTTGATCCATCTGTATGTGTTCTCTGTGCTTGTTGCAGTGTCGCCGTGCTTCGCCCAGTCAAATAAAATAAATCTTGATCACTGATCAATCACTTACCTTTTCTATTTCCTCTTACTGGGGCCCAATCTACCTTCCACGACGATCACTATGATGGTCACCAAGAACGACAATACCATCTTCCGCTCCACCGCATTGTATGTTCTACACACCGTTTGGCCTTTTCTTCTACTCCAACTACCCTCTGAGCTATCCGCTATATAGTAAACTAATTCGCTACATACCTCCTACGCGTGTGTAATCACATCGACTCTAGCTTCTTCTTGACACTCCCTGCATCCATCGCAGGCGCACTCTTTCTCGGCCGACTCGTCTGGCTCCACAAGCATGGTCGCGAACACGGTCTTGGTCGAACTGACCTCATCTACTGGTCCTCATTCTGTCTCATGCTGAGCGGATGCATCTCCCTCATCGCGACTCTGTGCATGGAGATTCGGAATCACCAACAGTCACTTGATTGGGACGTGCTTCTTGCTTCTGCGACTATGCTGCTCGCGTGGGTAAGCCTCTCTTCTTAGAGAATTAATACCTTGACTTCTCGCCTTCCGCCTTTCTTTACTCACCAAAGCGCCTTTTTTTTTTTTGTCTGTCTCAATATTTGCTATGGATAGATCTTGGCGATAGTACTGAACAAGGAAGAGCACAAGTACTCGATCCGATCGTCCGATTTTATTCTGGGCTACTACCTCGTCGCCAATCTCGGTATGGGAGCCGCCCTCTGGTTGGCACGCCAGCCACCTTCAAACCCTTCTCCATCACCCACATACCCCCTACCTATCCTCCACTGGTTCCTGGGCTCACTTTTCATTGGCTTGGTCGTAGAGGCATGGCCGAGAGGATGGACAAAAGTCCAAAACTCATCCACCGCGAGCGTCTTTGAAAAGGCCAACCTTGTCTCACGACTTTCCTTCCACTACATCCAGCCCATCATGAGTATCGGATACAGTCGCCCGCTTCTTCTGGACGACCTCGCACATTTGATGCCAGAGCGGATTCGGTCCGAGAATGCGTACAAGGATCTTGCGGCGACTTGGAAGAAACAGGAGGCACGGTTCTTTGCGTTGCTGCCGAAGACTCGTCAGGAGAAGGCGAGACCGTGGTTGCTGTTCAGGACGATTGCCTTAACGTTTGGATGGGTGGGCTGGGCGCCTATTGTGTTGACGAGGGTTGTGTCGACGACTTTGGTTTACCTCCAGCCAGTGCTCTTGGGTCGGATTTTGGACTTTATGATGGCCTCGTCCTCGTCGACGGATGCGCCTGCGCCTGCGCCTGCGCCTGCGCCACAACCGTTGTCATATGGAATCTACCTGGCAGTGCTGATGTTCATGGTATCGCTTGTGAGTTCTGTCACGGGCGCGCAGCTGCTTCAACTCAACGCCGAGCGTGGGATGGAGATCCGTTCTGGTCTTATTGGTTTGATTTACCGCAAGTCTTTGAGATTATCGCCCGAAGCCCGGCAGACCCAGACTGCAGGAGCCATCTCGAACCACATGTCGGTTGATGTCGAGAAGTGGTCAACGGCACTCAACACTTTACCACAGTGGGTCTCGGCGCCGATTGAGTTGTTGGTGGCGTTGTGGATGTTGTATCACCAGTTGGGGTGGTGCTCCCTTGTTGGGCTGGTTACTGTGGTGGGGCTGATCCCGGTCCAGAAAAAGGTGTCGAATATCTTTTCGGAGGTCAAGCATACCAAGCTGACGGCCATGGATCATCGTATTCGGTTGGTCACTGAGATGTTGACCTCCATCAAGACCGTCAAGTTGTACGCCTGGGGTAAGAGCGCACTTTTTTGCCTTTGCATTGTTTATTATGTTTCGCTCATACGCAGATAACTAACCTCCTTTTTTTCTCGATTTATAGAGAACGCGTTCAAGGCAAGGATTGCAGGATACCGTGAGATTGAAATGGCGGTCCTGCGTCGTTTCGGAGTCGTCTATGCCGGGATGACCTTGATATTCTCCACCACCATGTTCATGAGTCTCCTCTCATTCGGGATCTACGCTGTGGTTGGCGGACCTGGTGGCACTCCTGGAGAGATTACACCCCATGTCATCTTTGTCAGCTTGTCGCTGTTTGGGCTGTTAAGTAGGCCCATTTCGAGCATGGATACGTTGTTGAGCAGTACGACCTCTATTCTGGTTGCTACTCGGCGGATACAGGCGTTTTTGTTGTCTGAGGAGTTGTCCGTTGATTTGACGACTGTGTTGAGCGGGAACGGCGAAGATGATGTTGTTGTGAGGGATGCGGTTCTGTCGTGGCATAAGCAAGCGGCCGATGATCAGGGTGACTGTGACAATGACAACGCGACAGAGGACGAGAACACACCATTGCTGTCGTCATCATCATCATCACCATCCTCCGAAATCGTGGCGACACCTCGCGCACCTACACTCACCAACATCAACTTCCGTCTCCGAGCCGGATCTCTAACCGCCGTCGTAGGTCGAATCGGTTCAGGAAAATCATCCCTCCTCGGCGCCCTCATCGGAGACATGTACAAGTACCAAGGATCCGTTCAAGTTCGAGGCAGCGTCGCCTATGTCAGCCAGCAGGCCTGGATCTTGCACAGCTCCGTCAAGGACAACATCCTCTTTGGGAAACCATTGGACCAGGACCGATACGAGGCTGTGATCCGGGCGTGTTGCCTGCAGCAGGATCTGGATATGCTCCCTACCGGCGATCAAACCGAGATTGGCGAGCGCGGGATTAACTTATCCGGAGGCCAGAAGCAGCGTGTCGCTCTTGCCCGTGCAGCATACCAGGATGCGGATGTTTATCTGTTGGATGATCCTTTGAGTGCTGTCGATGCGCATGTTGACCACCACCTTTGGAAGAACTTGATTGGGCCCGAGGGGTTGTTGAAGGACAAGACGAGGCTTTTGGTCACACATGGACTCCACCATTTGAGTGAGGTGGATCAGGTGTTGGTGATGAAGGATGGGTCCATTAGTGAGAAAGGGCACTTTGATGAGCTGTTAGCAGCTAAGAGGGGCTTTTATCAGCTCAACCTTGAGTTCTCGGTCACCGCCAAAAAGCAACGTAGGCAAACCGCCAATAAGCCCGCAACTTCATCAGCAGATACGATGTCGGAGACAGGAAGTGAGGCTGCTGAAGACACTGACGCTACTACTGTTGTCGCGCCTGCCAGCAGTACTGCTTTCTCAGCTCAGGATACCAAACCCACCGACGACGACGAGCCCAAACCCGCCGCAGGACTGGTCGCCGCAGAGAAGATGGTTAATGGGGGCGTGGGCTGGCACATGTTCATGGTCTACGCAAAAGCAGCCTCCTACACCAACATTGTACTCGTCATCATCTTCTACATCCTCGTCGAGGTTGCCCAAGTCGGGACCAGCTTCTGGTTACGGTACTGGTCAGATGCTGCGGGTCAGGACAAGTACTCTGTGATCGAGTTCTTGGTTATCTATGCTGGATTTACGTTGGCGTATATGGCGTTCAATATGGTGCTGTTCTATGTGGCAAATGTTTTGGCGGCTGTGAAGGGGGCAAGGCATATGCATGATCGGTTGTTGGACAATCTGGTTAGGCAACCTATGGCGTTCTTCGATGTCACTCCGTAAGCCAATTTTTTTCTGCGATTTTGGTATTGGACATTGCTATGCATGTGTATGGTATGCTCTTTCTTTATTTTTCAAACTTTTGATCTGACAACTCTTTTCTTTTCTTTTCTTATTATTGTTACCACCTTTACGTAGTGTCGGTCGGATCATCAACAGGTTCTCGACAGACGTGGATGCAATCGACGACAACATCATCTGGAACCTCATCGACGTCGTCTACTGCCTCGTTGCCATCGCTGGCACTCTCGTCGTCATCTCCATCTCCAGCCCACAATTCCTCTACGCCATCCCTCCTCTCACACTCTGCTACCTCTACATCCAATCCTACTTCCTCGCCTCCTCCCAAGCTCTCAAACGGTTCATGTCCGTTTCAAAGTCGCCACTTTATCAGCACTTCTCGGAAACTCTTGCGGGCGTCTCGACCATCCGTGCCATGTCTGCCGCGCCGAGGTTTGTGAAGGTGAATGGGGAGAAGGCAGATCTGTCGGCCGAGACGCAGTTGGCATTTGGGATTGCCAATCGGTGGTTGAAGGTGCGGTTGGAGTTTTTGGGGGCGCTGATAGTCTTTGATGCGGCGCTGTTGGCGGTCTTGAATAGGAGTAGTGTGGGAGGAGCTAGTTTGGTGGGCCTGTCGTTGACGTATGCGATGAACATTACGGGCGATATCACGTACCTGGTCCGGTCTTGGGCCGAGATGTCCAACCAGTTGATTAGTGTTGAACGGATAGAAGAGTATGCTGAGCTACCGCAGGAGGCTCCTCTCGAGACTGGTGTTCGGCTACCGGAAGGTTGGCCGGCGGAGGGGAAGGTTGTATTTAGAGACTTTTCGGCGAGGTATCGGGAAGGTCTGGAGCCGGTGTTGAAGAATGTGTCGTTTGAGGTGGCGCCTGGGGAGAAGGTTGGAATTGTTGGGAGGACAGGAGCTGGGAAATCGTCTTTGACGTTGGCGTTGTTCCGTATGATTGAGGCCAAGGACAGCTATTGGGCTCGGGCTACTGCTGCGAGCGTACACGGCACTCCTGCTGTTGATATGGGCGGTTGTAATACCCCTGGAGGAGGAGGAGGATCGATTGAGATTGATGGTGTGGACATTTCGACACTAGGCCTACACACCCTCCGCAGCCACCTCTCCATCATCCCCCAGGACCCCATCCTCTTTGCAGGCACCATCCGCGAGAACCTAGATCCCTTCCACCAATCGACTGACGCCGAACTCTGGACAGCCCTCGAACGAGCCCACCTCAAATCGCTCATCTCTTCCTTCCCTGAAGGGTTGTCTTATGAGGTTGTGTCGAACGGGGATAATTTCTCGGCTGGCCAGCGGTCGTTGATCTGTTTGGCCCGTGCGTTGCTTCGCAAGACCAAGATCTTGGTGTTGGATGAGGCGACAGCAGCTGTGGATGTTGAAACGGATGAGTTGATCCAGAGGACGATTCGGGAGGAGTTCAAGGACAGGACGGTGTTGACGATCGCGCACCGGATCAAGACCGTCATGGACTCGGACAAGATCTTGGTGCTGGAGAGAGGCGAGGTGGAGGAGTATGAGAGTCCGGAGGTGTTGTTGAAGAGGAGGGAGGGTTCGTTATTTTTCCGGTTGGCCGAGCAAGCTGGTGAGGTGCATTAATGAGAGGATTAGGTATTTTTTATTGTGATGCCTGAATGGATACCCCTTTTGATGGATGTGATGGCTGTGAGGCATGGTTAGACATATATAGGTACGAACCATGCTTAATTTTTCTTGATTGAATGAAACACTTGGCATTCATCGAGGGGCAGTTTTGTACAAGACCTTTTAAAAAAAGTAAAAGTAAAGAAGTAAGGATGGTAGTGATGCCTTTGTTGTATCGTGAACATATATGTTTAAGAACAACGAATGCCCTTTTTTTTTGTTTTTGTTTCTCGAGATCAACTGAACGTCCAGGCACACTCCGCTGCCCTGATAAAATACAAAAATAAAACCAGCAACGAGGATAGGCGACCAACGTATGGCGTTTACCGAGAGATGGACGTCTTTTCATGTCTTTATCATCAACAACAAAAGAAATAATAACCTTAGCTGCCCAATTGTTCACATGAGCAACAGGGAAAAAGAAGGAAAGCATTGCTTCGATTGTTTTGATACCCCCAGTATTTGGTAAAGTGGAGGGAGGATCAATGACACCAGAAATGGATTCGATATGTCTGAGATTGATTTTATGAGGGATCTTGACCAAACATGGTCACGATTCTGGGTACAATGAAAGGGTCCAAGCTAGGAAGCATCGCGGTAATATGGTTAGAGGCTTAAATTTTTTAATTTTTCTAACCTCGGATCTGAATTGAGTTGAGTATGGTTTCTGTCGTTTGCTGCGGATGATGGGGGATGACGTTGAGAGGGGATGCAGGAGATGATGAGGGAGCAGGATGTGGAAAAGAGGAGGGCGCTCTTGTCAATCACAACGTCCACCTACTTTTCACGCGCAGCAAAAGTACAACGACGGCGGAGCTGAGTGTACCTCACTGGTTTCGTATGGACTCACATCATTTTTTTTGCGTTAATGGGTGGAATGGAGCAGAGTAAGCCCGTTCATCTCTCGAACAATTCGCACTCCCCTCCCCTCATGGAATTACATCCTTTCGATTGCTTCAGCCTCATTGATGGTTTACGAATTGATTAAGAGAGAACTTTTGTTGCTCAATTCCTCGCAGTCCGAAGAGCAAGAAAATGATATGACAACTTTATTTTTGCGAGCATATCATTATATCGCCACCTAAAGGGTAGCGAATCGATGTTGTCCCTGAGTTGACGTTCATGTCCTCAAGAGGAGATTTTCCTTCTTCGGAATGCAAAGACAGAAAGTGTCACAGTCGATTTGCAACCCCGCAGGCCAAAATGCTCTCAAGGCATTGTCTTCTATACCTTTTTTCTCGTTTCTATTGAGAATGAGGTTGGATGACACAAAGGTCCAAGAAATCTCTGTTGTCATGGCTGTTGTGCTTCTTTTCGGAAGTAAGAAGGAGAAATGCAGGGTAGCCTGCTTGGATGCGGTTGTTATCGGGCATTACCATTTACGTGAGTCCCTGGGCGATAGTATAAAAGCTTCGTCCACGATCAAAGAAGCATCCTAATTTTTTATTTTTTTTTCTCATCATCTTAGTCTCACCCCATACACACCATCTACATTGTGCATTCCTTCTCAGACTTCTTTTTTATCTTACACATCCCCATCGGCTCTTTTTTTTTTTTTTTTTTTTTTTTTTTTTTTTTAGTATATAAACCTTCCGCATCCCCCATTTAGTCCACCTCTATCTCTCCGACCCTCCCCCTTTCACTCCCTTTTTTTCCCTTTTAATCCCCACCTGGACACATCGATATGAGTTCCGGGTACTGCGGAGGCCAAGAAGGATGGGTAAGGGACCTCGTCGCACTTCAGGGACAGATATGCATTGAGAACTGAGATGTCCCTCTTCCCACAGTGTTTTTTACAATCTCGAATCTCACCCTTTTACTTTTTCCTTACTGTTTAAATTCAAAATAGGGTCCCACATCACCCAACAGAGTCGACCTCACCCCTTGCTTTGAATCCACCATCCTTTTAACCCTTCCCGCTTGCTTGGCCGTCACTGCCTTCTTATACCGTACATGGAAGCTCCACAGAAACGGACAGGCCCATGGACTTGGGAGGACAAACTTGATCTACTGGCTTGGACAATCCTTCATGTTGGTGTCTATGGTCGCCCTTATTGTCAGAGCTGCATTGTCGGGAAGTGAGGATATTTATTCGCCTGCCACTGTGCTTGGTAGCGCATCCATGGCTGCTGCTTGGGTACGTTCCATTACTTTGCTAGCTCTTTTTGTACGTCTACAGAAGAATGTTGTTTAAAATCTAACCTATTGACTTCTTTTTTCTGTATTGCCTTGTAGCTGTTTGCCATGGTCTTGAACAGATTTGAACACCTCTACGAGATTCGCTCGTCGACTGCCATATACTCTTACTACCTCGTCTCAATCGTTGCAGGAGCCATCACCATCCGCACCCTCAGCGCCCTTCCCTCAGGATCATCAACCACCCTCTATTACGTCTACTATGGATCCATCATTCTCGGATTTGCAGTCGAGGCATGGCCACGTGGAAACACTCGTGTTCAGCAGGACAGCAACGCCAGCTCCTACGAGAAGGCCAACATCTTTTCGCGATACTGGTTCCACTACATCCAGCATCTCATCTCGGACGGATACAAGCGACCTCTGCACGCACCCGATGTCCAAGGAATGATGCCTCTCAGGATCAAGACAAAGTTCTCGTACTCGTACCTTTCTGACAAATGGGATGCACATCTTGCCAAGCGCGCTGCCAAGGGTAAAGATCCCCAGCTGATCAGGTTGGTTCTTGTAGCCTATGGACCTCAGTGGATTCCTGTCATTATTTACAGGTTCATGGCATCTGTGCTGTTGTTTATCTCCCCCGAGTTAATGAATCAGTTGTTGTCGTTCACAAAGTCCTACTCCACCGATGCGCCTCAACCAGTGGCGCTCGGAATCGTCTTGTCGTTCGGCATGTTCTTTGCGACGATCCTAAGTGCGGTGATGGAGGGCCAATACAATCAGCTGATCATGAACATGGGTATCGAGGCCCGTACTGCCTTAATTTCTATGATCTACCGTAAGGCCCTCAAGCTTTCGCCTGCTGCCAGACAGACTCAAACACCCGGAGAGATCAACAACCACATGTCGGTCGATGCAGAGAGATGGTCTCAGGCGTTGCCCTTGACTCCCTTCTGGTTCTCGGTTCCCTTGGAGATCTGTATTGCGCTTTGGTTGTTGTACCGTCAGTTGGGCTGGGCTTCTCTTGCTGGTTTGGCTACTATCATTGCTGTCACCCCTCTCCAGGGCTGGATTGCTGCCTTCTTCTCTAAGGCGAAGGACACCAAGCTCACCGCCATGGTATGTCTCTCTCTTTTTTTTTTGTATGTTCACTTGATGTTCAATGGGTGAACAACACAAGCTAACCTTCTGTGTTTGTATTCTCATAATTTAGGACAACCGCATCCGTCTGGTCAACGAGGTCCTGTCAGGAATCAAGATCGTCAAGCTTTATGGATGGTATGCCAGTTCGCGTGTTCATTGTGACCATGCATCATTTTTAATTGACATCGACCCTGAACGTTAACATTGTTCTCTCCTTTTCGTCGTTAATAGGGAGTCGTCGTTCCGCAATAAGATTGCTGTGTATCGTAACCGCGAGCTCTCGATCTTGCGCAAGATGGGAGTTGCCTTCTCGTTCATGACCATCATGTTCAGTTCGATGACCTTGTTGATTGCGCTCGTCTCGTTCAGTATCTACGCCACCGTTGGAGGCCCTGGATTCACACCCGGAGACATCAATTCACAGACCATCTTCGTCTCGATCACCCTCTTTGGAATGCTCAACAGACCCATTGGTATGCTCTCGTACATCTTGGGAGAGACCATCGGACTCATTGTCGCCACCCGTCGTATCCAGACCTATTTGTTGTCTGAAGAGCTTTCCGATGACCAGATTGATCGCTCTGACGACTTGCCCAAGGACCCTGCGCAGCCAGTCATCGAGATCAAGGAAGGCGTCTTTGCTTGGGATAAGGATGGGCCCGAGGAGGAGACTGAGAAGCAGACTAAGGTTAGGGAGAAGAAGGAGGTTAAGAAGCGTAAGCTGGAGGACAAGGAGGCCAAGGAAGCTGGTTTGCCAGTCCCATTCCGTGCCGAATCCGTCGAGCGCAACTATGAGCCCACTCTCAAGAACATCACCCTTTCGGTTGACCGCGGTAACCTTACAGCCATCGTCGGCCGTGTCGGTCAGGGGAAGACATCGCTTTTCAACGCTATGATTGGAGATATGTACAAGCGCCATGGAACGGTCAGGATGTCGGGTCGTGTGGCCTACGCCCCCCAGCAAACTTGGATCATCAACGCCACCGTCAAGGATAACATTGTGTTTGGCCTCCCCTTCGATCAGGACAAGTACGATCGCATCGTTTACGCCGCCGGACTTGGACCTGATATTGAGATGCTCCCAGCCGGCGACCAGACCGAGATCGGAGAGCGTGGAATCAATTTGTCGGGAGGACAGAAGCAACGAGTCTCTCTCGCCCGTGCTGCCTATCAGGATGCCGACATCTACCTTCTGGACGACCCTCTCAGTGCAGTCGATGCGCATGTTGACCAGCATTTATGGCAGAACTTGATCGGGCCTAGAGGGTTGCTGAAGGATAAGACGCGTCTTTTGGTCACCCACGGCATTCATCATCTGAGCGAGGTTGACCAAATCGTGGTTATCAAGGATGGTGAGATCAGCGAGACCGGCCGGTACCAGGAGTTGATCGACGCCAGGAACGCCTTCAACCAGCTTATTCAGGATTACTCTGTCGCCCACAAGGAGAAGGACGACTCTGACTGTGAGGCTGAAACCATCAACGAGGTCGAGATTAGCGATGGCCCCACCACAACTGAGCCCAAAATCGAGAAGGTTGATGACAAGCTGGACGAAAATGCCGGCCTGACTGAGGAGGAGACGATGAAGGTTGGCGGTATTCAGTGGAACGTTTTCAAGATCTACGCCAACTCTGCGTAAGTTTTCTCTTCCATTCCTGCTTGCTTCTTCGATCGACTGTATGACTTCAAGCATGTCGTATCCTGACAGATCTCTTTGTATACGTTTTTCCCTATAACAGTGGTTTGTTCAATGTCATCCAGGTTCTCATTTTGTTCTGCATCATCCAGGGCTGCCAGATCGGAACCAACACTTGGCTCGAGCACTGGGTTAGCGCCGCCAAAACTTCGACCCACACAATTGGCTACTATATGGGTGTCTATGCGTCCTTGGTCGGCATCTTCATGACGTTGATCGCCTGGACCTCATACACCACCATGGTCTCTGCCGGTGTCCGCGCCTCAGAGCAGCTCCACAACATGCTCCTGAACAATATTCTCCGTCTGCCCATGTCCTTCTTCGACACCACACCCACAGGTCGTATCATTAACCGTTTCTCGTCCGACATCTTCAGTATCGACGAGAAACTCCCCTGGGCTTTCCACGACTTGTTTTTCTGTGGTGTCTCCGTCACGGGAAGTTTGATTGTCATTTCTGTCACGACCCCCATATTCTTGGCCATTGTGCCACCCATCTTTGTGATTTACGGCTTTGTGATGACCTACTACATTGCCTCCTCCCGTGCCTTCAAGCGTATCGAATCTGTGGCAAAATCGCCAATGTACCAGCACTTCTCCGAGACCCTGTCTGGTGTGTCGACGATTCGTGCCCTCCGTTGCAACGAGCGCTTTATTGCCGACAACGCCTCCCGTTCGGACCTGGCCTCGAATGCTCACTTTGTTTGGGCTGTCGGTAACCGTTGGTTGAACGTTCGTCTTGAGTCCCTCGGATCCGTCATTGTCCTTGCTGCCTCGCTGTTTGCTGTCTTGGCCCGCAACAGCGTCAACCCCAGCATGGTCGGCATGTCGCTCGCCTATGCCCTGAACATCACGGTAGATATCACTTGGCTTGTTCGCTGCCTGTGCGAGGTCCAATTCGAGATGGTTGCTGTCGAGAGAACGGAGGAGTATTCCAACAAGAACCAGGAGGCTCCCAACGTCACCGATGTTGCCGTTCCTGAGAACTGGCCCGGTGAGGGAAATCTCTCGTTCAAGTCTTACTCGACTCGCTACCGTCAGGGTATGGATCTGGTGCTCAAGAAGGTGTCGTTCGATGTTCTGCCTGGAGAGAAGGTTGGCATTGTTGGAAGAACTGGTGCCGGAAAGTCTTCTTTGACCTTGGCCCTGTTCCGTATCATTGAAGCCGCCAACAGCCACTGGGCCAAGGCTAGCCATAATGGCGCCGACATGGACGAGGATCCCGCCAAGGCCGCCGAGGTCACCGATCTGGAGAAGGTCGAAGTTGAGGAGGATGGCGGATCAATCTGGATCGACGGTATCGATATCTCTACTGTCGGTTTGGAGCAACTCCGTCAGCACCTTGCTATCATCCCGCAAGACCCCACGCTGTTTGTCGGCACTGTCCGCGATAACCTGGATCCCTTTGACGATGCCACTGACGCCGAGATCTGGGAGGCTCTTGATCGCGCCCATTTGAAGACATATCTCTCCACGATGCCTGGCGGCCTTTCGTATGAGGTGACGCAAAACGGCGATAACTTCTCGGTTGGTCAGCGGTCCTTGATTTGCTTGGCCCGTGCACTTCTCCGTAAGACCAAGATTTTGGTCCTTGACGAGGCGACCGCCGCAGTAGATGTTGAAACAGATGAATTGATTCAGAGGACTATCCGCACCGAGTTCAAAGACCGAACGATTTTGACGATTGCGCATCGCATCAAGACTGTCATGGACTCTGACAAGATCCTGGTGCTGGAGAAAGGACGTGTGGAAGAGTACGAGTCCCCAAGCGAGTTACTGAAGAGAAAAGAATCGTTATTCTATAGACTGGCGGAGCAGGCCGGTGAGGTTGCCTCGGCCTAAGTTACTTTTCTTGAGATCCCCTTTGTTTATCTTCTTTTCCTTACCACCCCCTACTATCTTCTTCCTTACCCACTGGTGTTGTTAATTGTACGATAGAGAACGCGATTTAGAATATTTTTTTCACTTAATTACATTTTGATATTTCAGACAACATCAAACTCAATGCTGGCTAGCAGAAAAAGGAGTATGGATTATGGAAATGAGATAGTAGGATGGACGCCAGAAAAAGTAGCCATAATGGTTGCCATTGTTTTCCCTCATTAATGCAACGATGGTGTGACCACTGGAAACCATCCCCGGCTACAACAATGCAGACTAATTTCTTGTTGTGAACATTAGACGAAAAAAAACAAACCTCAGTGCTCCATTGGATACAACAGAAACAAACGGCCCAAGCGATGGTTTCGTGCATGTACGAGTGAAAAATGGACACCTAAACGAGTAACGTACATGTGTCCGTTTTGACATGAGAACCTTTCTTTATCAGTAAAAGGGAATCGGAAAGAGGCAAACGCCCAATCAGCGTTTGGGCTGTCCGTAGCAAAGTCAGCTTTTTCCTCTTTTGTCGAGGGCACACAAACCTTGTTTTTCTTTTCAATGAAGCTGAAGAACGTTCACAGAAAAGATATAACAAAGGCGGTTGTCCCCCCCTTTTTTTTGTTGGCCATACCACTTTCTCTCCCCTTATATCCACGTCCTTCGTTCTTTTTGTGCTTTTTGCTCTCCTTTTTTTTCATTGGACAATGAGTTCTGGATACTGTCGTGATCTGGAAGGATGGGTATGGGCCCTTGCCCTATGCCGCTCAATTTAAAAAACTACGTCGCTTTTTGAAAGGGTGGACGGACATACAAGAAGCACTTTCTTACCCTCCTTGTTTATTCATTCCAATAAACATGAACATAGGGACCCACATCACCCAGCAGGATCGACCTTACACCATGCTTCGAATACACCATCCTCTCAACACTCCTAGCTCTCATGGCAGTCGCCGGATTCTCTATCCGCACATGGTCTCTCTTGAGCAATGGAACGCCGCATAGACTTGGTCGAACAACCTGGATCTTTTGGCCTGGCCAGGTTGTCATGCTAGCCACTGCAGCTGTGCTACTGGTCAGGGCTGGACTAACAGGAAGTGAGGACGGGTATTCACCTGCCAGTTTGCTGTCTAGTGTATCAATGGCTATCGCGTGGGTACGTTCTATCTTGTCGTCTTCGCCCACGACACGAATTTGATCAGCAGCCAAGCAGGGTACAGCGACCGTTGACTGATCAGTTGATCAATCGATCCTCGTCTACATATCATATCACTGAGTAGACCTTTGCCATGTTCCTGAATGTATTCGAACACCGCTACGAGATAAGATCATCGACTGCCATTTTCTGCTACTATCTCCTCTCACTCATCGCTGGATCCATCACCACCCGCACCCTCAGCGAAGTGTCTTCAGGGTCAACCACGACAACGACAACACTTTACTACGTCTATCTCGGACTCATCATCATCGGATTTATCATTGAAGCATGGCCACGCGGGAAGACACAAGTCCAGCAGAAGAGCAATGCCAGCTCGTACGAGAAAGCCAACATCTTTTCGCGGTTTCTATTTCACTACCTCCAACATCTCATTACCGACGGCTACAAGCGTCCATTGCAGGCCACGGATGTCCAGGGGATGATGCCTCCACATGTCAAGACCCAGTTCTCGTATACCCATCTCTCGCAGAAGTGGGACAGGCATGTTGCTAAGCGAGTAGCCAAGGGTAAGAGGCCATTTCTGTTCGGACTGATCTTGAAGTCGTTTGGCGTTCGGCAGTGGGCCTACGTCGTGTTCCTCAGAATCTTGGCATCTGGCCTGGCATTTGTGGCTCCCCAGCTGATGAGCACACTGCTGGATTTTGTCTCTTCATACGATACTGAAACTCCTCAGTCGGCGGCTCTCGGGATCATTTTGGCGTTTGGGATGTTCTTTTCGACAATTGGTAGCTCGATCATCGACGGACAGTTCAACCAGCGAATCGTGGTTATGGGCATCGAGGTCCGCACGGCACTCGTATCGATGATCTACCGCAAGGCCCTGAAGCTATCACCAGTCGCCAAGCAAACAGAAACACCTGGAGAGATCAACAACTATATGTCAGTGGACTGTGAGCGTTGGAACCATGCCTTCCCAGAGTTGCCGTTCTGGTTCTCGATTCCTCTGGAGATCTGTATCGCGACGTGGCTGTTGTACCGTCAGTTGGGGTGGTCAAGTTTTGGAGGCGTGGGCGCAGTTGTTTTGGTGATGCCTATTCAGCTGTGGATTGCGAAGCGTCTGTCCAGGGCCAGGGATGAGAAACTCACTGCGATGGTACGTTGTTTTTTGTTACTGTGTTTGGGTGCTTCTTGCCTTGTTGTATCACAGATGTCTAATCATAGCCCCTTGTGAATTCGCATTTTAGGATAACCGCATTCGTCTGATTAACGAGGTGTTGTCTGGTGTCAAGATCGTCAAGTTGTACGGCTGGTAAGTAACTATACACCCTTCTCCTGCCAGAGCATTCCCCCTTTCTTTACCATTCAAGAGTACTTACCACATATATAATTCTCGACACTCTTTCCTACATAGGGAATCGTCCTTCCGTGATAAGATCGCCGTATTCCGTCAACTGGAGTTGGCGATTCTTCACACGATTGGAGTCATCTTCTCCTACATGAACATCCTGTTCAGTTCGATGACACTCCTCATGGCCCTGGTGTCTTTCGGTCTTTATGCTACCGTTGGCGGACCAGGCTTCACGCCAGGGGAGATCAACTCTCAGACCATCTTTGTCTCGATCACATTGTTTGGACTTGTCAACCGACCGATTGGGATGATCTCGTACATTATGGGTGACACCATAGGACTCTATGTGTCGTCTCGTCGTATTCAGGGCTACCTGTTGGCTGAGGAGTTGTTGGATGATCAGATCGACAGGTCGGGCGAGTTGCCGCAGGATCATACTGTGGCTCCTATTGAGATTCAGGGTGCCACTTTTGGTTGGAACAAGGAGCAACAACAACAACGGCAGCAAATTGACACTACCGAGGATGCAACCAAAGGTTCAGCATTGTCCTGTGCGGATGCTACGCTTAGGAACATCACAATATCTGTCGACCGTGGTAACCTCACAGCCATTGTCGGTCGTGTTGGTCAGGGCAAGACCTCTCTATTCGGTGCCATGATCGGAGATATGTACAAGTGGAAGGGTACCATCAGGATGTCTGGCCGGATCGCCTATGTCCCTCAGCAAGCATGGATTGTCAACGCGACTTTGCAGGACAATGTCACTTTTGGAGCACCCTTCGACAAGATCAAGTATGAGCGGATCATCTATGCGTCGGGACTGAAGCCCGACATTGAGATGCTCCCAGCCGGCGACCAGACCGAGATCGGAGAGCGTGGAATCAATTTGTCGGGAGGACAGAAGCAACGAGTCTCTCTCGCCCGTGCTGCCTATCAGGATGCCGACATCTACCTTCTGGATGACCCTCTCAGTGCAGTCGATGCGCATGTTGACCAGCACTTATGGCAGAACTTGATCGGGCCTAGAGGGTTGTTGAAGGATAAGACGCGTCTTTTGGTCACCCACGGCATTCATCATCTGAGCGAGGTTGACCAAATCGTGGTTATCAAGGACGGTGAGATCAGCGAGACCGGCCGGTACCAGGAGTTGATCGACGCCAGGAACGCCTTCTACCAGCTTATCCAGGATTATTCTGTCGCCCGCAAGGAAATGGATGAGGCCAACGGTGAGGCGGAGACTATTTATGAAGTCGAGATTAGCACCTCGTCTGCTGCTCACGAGGTCAAGGCTGAGAAAGTAGAGAAGGCGGACGAAAATGCTGACCTTACGGATGAGGAAGCTATGGTGGTTGGAAGCATCCAGTGGCCCATTTACAAAATCTTTACCAAAGCCGCGTGAGTGCATTCGCATTGTGTCTTTTTTTTTTTTTTGCTGTTTTTTTTGTCTGTGCTTGCCTTGAACAACTCGCATATGTATGTGTTTTTGAGCTGATTTCTGACATGCAATTCATTTCTTCTATTGTCAATTAGTGGATACCGGAATATGCTCCAGGCAGTGGCGTTGTTTGTTGTGATCCAAGGGTGCCAAATCGGAACCAATATCTGGCTCCAGAGCTGGATCAAGGTGGCAGCGACATCGACTCACGGGATCGGATACTACATGGGAATCTACAGCATCCTGGTCATCATCTTCATGGTCCTCATCTTTTGCGCCTCCTACAAGATCATCGTCATGGCTTGTGTCCAAGCCGCCGACCGTCTCCACTCCAAGCTCCTCACTAGTATCCTCCGCATGCCCATGAACTTTTTTGATACCACCCCGATCGGTCGTGTCCTCAACCGGTTCTCCTCGGATATATTCAGTATCGATGAGATGATCTGCTGGACATTTTTTGACATGTTCATGTTTGGCTTCTCAGTCCTTGGAAGTCTGGTCGTCATTGCGACGACTACGCCGGTGTTCTTGGCGATTGTGCCACCCGTATTTGTGACATATGTCTTTGTCATGTCGTATTATATCGCCGCTTCCCGTGCATTCAAACGCATCGAGTCTGTTGCAAGGTCACCCATGTACCAGCACTTCTCCGAGACCCTGTCTGGTGTGTCGACGATTCGGGTTGTTGGTTGCAGCCAGCGGTTCATTGACGAGAATGCGTCTAGGTCTGATGACTCTTCAAACGCCCACTTCGTCTGGGCGATGGGAAACCGGTGGCTGAACGTTCGACTGGAGTGTCTGGGCTCTGTCATTGTTCTCGGCGCGTCGGTGTTTGCAGTCTTGGCCAGGAAGACTCTCAGCCCCAGTATGGTAGGAATGTCGCTGTCGTACGCATTGACAGTCACTCAGGACATCTCGTGGTTGGTCCGTGGCATGTGCGAGTCTCAGTTCCATTTGGTCGCTGTTGAGAGGATTGACGAATATACCAAGAAGAACCAAGAAGCTCCCAACGTCACTGACGTCGCCCTCCCTAAGAACTGGCCTGCAGAGGGACACCTCTCGTTTAAGTCTTACTCGACTCGCTACCGTCAGGGTATGGATCTGGTGCTCAAGAAGGTGTCGTTCGATGTTCTGCCTGGAGAGAAGGTTGGCATTGTTGGAAGAACTGGTGCCGGAAAGTCTTCTTTGACCTTGGCCCTGTTCCGTATCATTGAAGCCGCCAACAGCCACTGGGCCAAGGCTAGCCATAATGGCGCCGACATGGACGAGGATCCCGCCAAAGCCGCCGAGGTCACCGATCTGGAGAAGGTCGAAGTCGAGGAGGATGGCGGATCAATCTGGATCGACGGTATCGATATCTCTACTGTCGGTCTGGAGACTCTCCGTCAACACCTTGCTATCATCCCGCAAGACCCCACGCTGTTTGTCGGCACTGTCCGCGAGAACCTAGATCCCTTCGATCAGACACCCGACTCAGAGCTGTGGGAGGCCCTCGAGCGCGCTCACTTGAAGGAATATATTTCGTCAATGGCTGGTGGACTGTCGTACGAAGTGACTCAGAACGGCGACAACTTTTCGGTTGGTCAGCGATCATTGATCTGTCTGGCCCGTGCACTTCTCCGTAAGGCCAAGATCCTGGTCCTTGATGAGGCGACTGCTGCTGTTGATGTTGAGACAGACGAGCTGATCCAGAGGACGATTCGGGAGGAGTTCAAGGACCGGACGATTTTGACGATTGCCCATCGGATTAAGACTGTCATGGATTCCGACAAGATCCTAGTGCTGGAGAAGGGGCGCGTTGAGGAGTACGAGTCCCCAAGCGAGTTGTTGAAACGCAAAGAATCGTTGTTCTATAGACTGGCGGAGCAGGCTGGGGAGGTCGCATCAGTTTAGGTGACATTGCCATGGCAAATATATACCAAAGTACCAAAGTACCCCACAAAGCCAGCAAACAATTTTTGGTTGTCAATGGGACGGACACTCGTTTATTTTTCCTCTTGCAGGATAAAGGTATTGAGGAGTACAACCGATGCTGATTTTTTTTCCCTTTGTCCTAGATTATTCCCTCCATACTCGTTGTTACATTGCTTTCGGGAACTTTGTGAGCTATTTCTAACCAGCTACATGGACGACCCAATGCCGTTGCCCTTGTCTTTCATGTCTCTTTGTGTCACTGCTCTCGTGTTTTTGTCTATCTTCGTTCCTCTTTCCATGCATGATTTATCATTCCTATTAGTCTCATCCAAAGTGATCAATGCTTATCCATCTCCCTCATCGTTGTAGATCATATTTTCTGATAACAAAACAAAGAGGGAGGTGCATAGCATAGAAGTAACAAGAGGGGCTGGAGCTATGCCATTCACTACTACACTGGGGGACCGCCAAACGGGTCGGCTTGGGCTCTTTCATATGAATGTTATTATTTTCATTGCGTGTTTTTACGGAGGATCTTGATCCTGTGTTCCAGTCGATCCTGAGCCCGAAAATTTCAATTGTCCGTCTGCATCTTTTTTTTGCAGATGTAACAAAATATCCGCCAAATGTAAAAAAAAAAAAGAGGTGTCCGTTGTAAACTCGCCCGCCTAATAGAGCGAGAATCATGCAGGTCAGAGGGAATGAGAATAATATAAGACCGTTTCTAGCTGTTTTTGAACCTTCTGTATTCTACTATAAAAAGTGAAGAACGATAACGAGGATTCGGAACTGTTTGTCTTTTTCTTTTTCACCCTTCGCCTTCCTTTCCCCTCCCCACCTCCCATTGCTCTGCTTCTTTTTCTCGCACAAATACACCCTCTCCTTTTACTATCACAATTTCACGCAGAGAGTCAACATTTCCTTTTCATTACACACAGTCTCTCGTACATCCAACTAAACACAACGCGCGACGCATACATCACCAGAAACAACAATGGTTAACACTGGATCTTTGGACGTTCTCCCCTTGAGCCCCTGCACCAATGGAAGTTTGGGTTTCGGAAGTCAACTCTTGGGAGGCACTCTCTTGAGACACGTCGAGACTTCGTCGACGGCCGAATTGGTCGAGCATACCTCGACTGAGGTCGCCGAAGTTGCGGAAGAGGTCAATTCTGAGACTATTGAGCAAAAAGTCCAAGCCGACAACGATAGACATCATGAGAGTGAACATGAGGACGAGATGGTTGATATCGAGACTGTTGATGAGGAGGTTGAGGCTTTGACGGAGAAGGTTGCCGCGGTGACAGCTCTCGACGATGAAATTGAGGACCACCAGGAGACTACCCAGGAGGAAGAGGAGGAGGAGGAGGAGGGACACAGTGAAGACTTGGACGAGAAGGAAGAGATAAAGCCTGAGGTCGTCGAGGCTTCACCCACACCCGCTCCCAGACCCTTATCCTCGCCTATGACTTCCACTGCCACCGAAAAGATGGAAACCGGAGTCCCTCAACGCGCCGTCCTCTCCGGCGTCCCCACCGCTGCCCAATCCCGCGGTCTCTCCGCCGCAAGTCTGGCCCTCAAGAAGAAGCAAGCCGCCGAGAGCGCCGCCGCAGCACTCAAAGCCGTCTCCGTCGACATTCCCGAGACAGACTCAATCTCAAACCGGATCCGGATGTTTGGCGGTGCGGCCGCGACACGCACAGGCGGCCTCAAGAAGTGTAATGTCCGCGATATGGTTCAAAAGTTCAAGGATGTCGACGAGAAGTCTCACGAGGATATCGCCCACGTCGTCAAGGGCCACAACAATGCCGAACCCCGCGGCGTCTGCAGCGCCTACTCCCTTTCGACTGCCTCCCGTCCCCTCCGCCCAACGCCTCGCCGGAAGATGAGCCACGAGTTGACCGACAACGAGACTCGTGGGATCACCAAGATGGTTGGGGGTATGGTCAACAGTGCCTCGAACGTGTCGTCCTCGGGTTATAGCAGGAACAGCGATGAGAACGACCGGTTGGGTGTCAGCCAGGAGAGCGTTCAGAGTGTCAGGAACGCCAAGAGTCTCTTTGAGAACTTGGCCCGTAATGAGACCTCCGGCGCTCAGATGTAGAGTCATTGCAAGGTGCCAGCAGAAGCTGTTGAAGTTTTTACCATTGAAATCTCGTAGAGTTGCCCTCCTTCGAAAATGAGCGTGAAGTGGTTTTCATGCCCTTTTGTCCCTCAAAACATAATACACGTACGCGTCGCAGTATAATGTATCCTTTCCTCTCCTTTGTGCTTTGTAGCTGTTCATATGGTCGCGGGATTGAGTCTATGATGTATGTATTTTTGCTGATGAAAGGTGTCCTGGGCTAGTTGTATGTCCTTTTTTACTTGCCCTTGTAGACGGGCTTTCTCTTCTCACGGAAGGAAGCAAGACCTATTGAGCGAGAAATAAAGAGTTGTTGTCGTTAGCTATCTGCAATAATCCTGTTATAAACATTCCACATATCAAAGAAAGATGGCGCTATACCTTCCAAACGATCCTCAGAGGGCATGATCTGGGCGTAACAGGCCTGCTCGTACTCCAATCCAGAATCACTATGACCACGAAGAAAAAGCAATTGTTAGATTTTTGTTTTCCGATTCTTTGCTTTCATCCTTCTGGATCTTTAAGTCCGGCGCAATCCATATGGTAAAGAACTTACATCTCGAACTGAGTACCCTTATCGATAGCTTGCTTGGCCATGCGGATAGCAAGGGGACCCATGGGCAAGATCTCGCGAGCGACCTCCAAGGCCTTGTTGTATCCCGATTCCTCAGTGACAGCGTGGTTCAAAATGCCTATTTGGAAAGGGCAACCGAGTTAATGAATACATCGGCCTCGCAAGATGCCTTCTTCTACCTTCTGCAACAAAGTCCAGTCATCGTCCAATGAATAACATACCAATATCCTTGGCAGCAGCAGAGTTCAAAATCTTGGAAGAGTAGATAAGTTCCTTGGCCTTGGGGATTCCGATCAGGCGAGGCAAACGCTGAGTACCACCAGCACTAAAATCAATTATGATAAAATATATGCCTTATTAATGCGTTGTAACACAAATTGACAATAGCAAGACGTAAGCAAAGAACAACAACCAAATAAGAGACATACCCAGGGATGATGGCAAGCTTGGTCTCGACAAGACCAATCTTGACCTTCTTGTTACCACCTCCGACACGCATATCGCAGCACAAGGCCATCTCCAAACCACCACCGAGGGCAGCTCCATCAATGACGGCAATGGTGGGGATGGGCAAAGTCTCGAGCTCGCGGAAGCTGTCTCTTAAGCTGGTCAAAAACTGTCTGACCTCAGTCGCGTTCATGGTGGAACGCTCCTAGATACGTTTAGGAATAGAGGGGGTCAATACTGCTTGCCTTCTGTGCGATAACACTCATGAAAAAGAAGTCCACAGGGTGTTGCGTACTCTCAAATCGGCACCAGCGCAGAAAGCGCCCTCAACCAAACTCCTGACGATGACAACGCGAGCATCGCTAATGGACAAAACCATCAAAGTAAAGTACGAAAAATGGTTAGTAGGCTTGTTTATCAACAGTTGCATGTGTCAGGGAAGTGAACATTAATCCGGCTGCACTTTAAAGTAAACGCGAGGTGGGGTCCCGAGTCGTATTGATAATTCTGTCCGTAGTCCATGTTTTCTTGTCTTTCTTGGTATCGACAATTCGAAAAGGACACATACTTGTCGTAACGGAGCTCCTGAAGGGCATCACGGAACTCGCCAACAAACTTGCGGGAGAGGGCGTTGAAGGCCTTGGGTCTGTTGAAGTTCAAGACAGCGATGCCTACAGAGGTTCATTGTGTTAAATGAGAATCATTCAGACAAAAAGGAGACAAACAAGAATGTTAGATCACTCAATTCAAATGATGGGTGGTAGATGCTTGTGTTCGTGATTACAACCCCTTGTCCCTCTGGAAACAAACGTTGCTGTTGACAGGATCGTAGTGGATGTTGCTTGATCAGTCAGCTCCAGGTCAAGCCGTTTCCCACCGTGGGAAAAATAAAATAGCGGAGATTTGGGGTGTGTGGGTTGTGTGGGGTGTGAGGTGTGTTGTGAGAGTCCTGTTCGTACCTTGATCCTCGCCAGAGAGGCGCTCGAGGAAGCATTCCTTGCCTTCAGGATGAGCAGCGGGCTGGCTGGTGGTGGCGATGAAGCGGATGCCGGAAGGGGCCGAGGGGACGATGGCTCTGGTGAGGATGCGCTGGGGCTGGCAGCTGCGTGCGAGGAATGTGCGGAGCATGGTTGACCTGTGTGTGGGTAGGGGTGAGAGGGGAGAGGGTGCGTGAGAAGAAAGAGAAAAGAAAAGTAAAAAAGTGAGAGGGGAGGGGGCGCTAAAACTAAAGAGAAATAAAAAATTCAAGGCATCCCATTGGCCAGTTGGTAACCTGGAGTCCTTTTCATAGAAGAGTGCGGTTGCCTACGAAAAGGGACATTCGCACAGAAGCCTCCTTTTCCCTTCGTCACCATTCCTTCTGTCGCGTCCTGCACCATCATGCAACCCTTGAATTCACTTGTGTGCTGTTACTCAAGGTATCACCTTCTTTTTGGATCAGTTAATGGACTCTGCCGCAATATGTCGAAACACAAGTCAATTCTTGCTTATTTTGTTCTAGTCTGTTCAACTGTTCAACTGTTCAACTTGTGTCGACAAACACCACTTCCTCCTTCTTCTCCAGAGGCACTCTGCTGCTACTGCTACTGCTGCTGTCGCCGCTCCAATGCTCTCTGCACCCGCCGATTGTCAATCTCGATCCACCTCACAAAGGTCCTCAGAACATGCTCCCGCTCCGCCCTTAGTTTGGCAGAATTATGATCGCTTGACTCGTACAGGATATCCTGACAATGGCTGGCGTCAGAAATGATCCGAATCACCGTCCGATCGCCGTACTCGTCCTCTCCAATTCTGTTGTTGTCGTTGCCTTCGATTGTCCTTCCCTCGTCTTCCTCTTTTTCCTCATCATCTTTTCTCTCATGCTCGTCAACTTCGACTATGATGACTGTCGAGCCATCGGATCCATAACCATCGTTCTCGCCGGCAACATCCTCGTCCTGGTCCGGCAATTCTGGCTGTGACAGGGCGGTGCCGATATCTCTTCGTCCTCCTGACATCAGCGCAGGAGGAGGGCCTCTTTGACACGGGTCGACTGGGGATCGGGTGCAAACTGGACGCTTGGGATGGTGTTTATGTTTGTGATGATGATGATGATGATGATGCTTGCGTGAATGGTGACGGTGATGGCGGTGACGGTGGCGATGATGACGACGATGGTGTTTCGCTTTGTAACGGTCGCGAGAGTCGCGCTGCTGGGTCGAGGTAGATGTTGTTTCGGCCGTTGGAGCTGGAGCGAGAGATGACTCCTCCACCACCACGAGATCCTCGTCCTCGATATATTTAACCGTATCCTGAGGTACCACGGGTCCACCAATTGACCCTCCTCCGTGCCCAATCTCAAATGACGCCAGTGGCGCTGACTCCATTGAGTCCGCAGACTCAAGAGGGGGCGCCTGAGCAGCAGAATCCTGTTTTGAGCTCGCCCTCTTCCTGCCCCGCTTCTTGCCGCCAGTTCCAACATCGCCTCCCTTGCTGTTATTGCCGGTCTCGCTCTCAACCTTCGGACGACTCAAGAACTCGAGGGCCTTCGAGCTGGCTAGGGTAAGCTCCTTCCATGGATCCTTCTCGCCATTAGTAAAGTAATACCGCCCACCGGGATGATCAATCAACCAGTCGTCCAATTCCGATGCTATCCGAGGAGATCCATCCCCTGTTTCCTTCCCACATTTCTGTTCGACAATTCCTTTCTCAGCGATCTTTGGCCGACGAAGGGTTGAGGCAGCAGCATCAGCAGCTACAGGATCTTGAGCGGACGTGACTGTCCTTCCTGATGCTGGTGTCGAGGTGGTGGTTGAAGACGAGCCAGAGTGGATTTCGTTCGACAGTGGATTATTGTTGTTGCTGTCGGTGTATTCGCCGCCAGTCTCGATGCCGTGACCAGAACTCCCAGAAGGGTAACATGGGTCCTGTGCAATCTCCCAACCGTGAAATTTGGTGTTGACGTTGGTCTCGACGTCCGGGTAGCCCATTAACAAGACGTCGTCGCGTTTCTCGTTCAGCTGGGTTGCTCCTGTCCTTGGATTAGCGCCGGCGCACCGTTGCGTGTCGTCTGAAGGTCCACGTCCTCTTGGCGACTGCTCTCTCTGGCGATTGGTAGTAATAGTAGTGGCGGAGACATCGACCTCCTCCAATGCGCCTGCGGGGTTCAAATTGGGTGCTTCCACGACTGTGGTCTCTTTGAATGATGATGATAAGGAGGAAGGAGAAGAGGAAGTAGTAGGAGGAGAGGAGGAGGTTTTGGTGATGGGATTACGGGCGAGTGGATGAGTAGAGCCGAAATAGAACTGACATTCCTGCCAGGCGCCTTCGAGTGTCAGTAATCGGGAGAAGACACTCTCGCTCCTCTGTGCCTCGTTAGCGTAGCATCTGCAGGGAAGACATGTTGATCCTGCTGGCATTGATCCTCCTGGCGTTGATCCTGCTGAGAATGATGGCAGTGACGACTCGTTAGTCGCGGCCGTTAGTTGATATGAAGATGATCCTTCAGGAGGAGGAAAAAAGGTCGATGAATAAAAAGTGCTGTCCACGCTGTCTGGGATCAAGGGGCATGTCGCGTTGGAACCCTGCTCAATGACTGTTGTTGGGCTATTGCCGATTTTGATATCTTCAAAGTTATCGAGGAACTGGAAAGGCGAAGAAGATCCGGCGAGAGAAGGGCAGCAACACGTCGAAGGATGCGCAGTCTGGAGGTAACCCAACTCACTACACGTCTGCCACAGCCACGCCATCCCCGCCAAATTCTGAACAGACGTCGAGTCCAGATCCGAGGGTTGAAGGTCCTCCTGTTTAGTTGGTGTGAAATACTGCTGATCCTTGAACCATGACGCAAGGGCCTTGGTGTATTGCAAAGACCTCAATTGACCCAGCGTACTGCTATTACTGCTGTTGTTGTTGGTTGAAGAACCGGATCCTGCGGGGTCATCATCTTCGGCAAGACCCATGGCGCCACAAAGAATGTCGACAGCTGTCTGTGCGGGCTGAACGGTGATCGGGGTCACGACAGCGTTGTATTGGACTGCACTGGCGACCGTCCACCAAACCCATCCGGCAGCATGGAACTCCTCACCTTCTGCTGCATACTCGCGTGCGAAATCGGGACTGAACCACGACAGGACGCGCAACTTGGCTGCCTGGCGACGCGCTTTGTCATCGTCGCCAACGACTGGCATCGGATCCGTTGCCGTTACTGTTGGTGGTGAAAAGTTGTCAAAGTCGCCCGTCGCTGCCACCGTCCGTCCTTGCTCCTGCCTTGTCGAGTCTGTTGGGCTGACGATTCCTGCTGCGGTTTGCTGTTTGATCTCCAAATCCACAGCAGCCATCTGTTGCATGAACCCGTCAGTCATCTGAAGCGCGCCATCCAAAAAGTCCCGCGCAAGTCCCAACTGTGTCGAGCACTTGTCTCCCAGAATATCAATCTGCGAAGTACTGTACTCGAAAAAGTCCAATGCCGACCGAACAGGCGCCGAGGACGCAAAAGCAGCAAAGACCTTGGACGGGTACCGTTGTCGAGTCCATGCTGCCAGGTTGCCGCCATAAGAACACCCTGCCAGGATCCAGCGAAGATTAGGGGGAGGAGCGGACGCCGTGACAGGATCGCCTTCACCAGTCGGGAAAAGTTTAGGCTGCAAGGTCGGAAAGAGGTCCATAAAGCGGGCGATATCCTCGATGGACTGGTCGACATTGAGGAATTTGAGCAGGTCTAGTGGTAGACCTTCCTTCTCTCCTTCACTTGTAGAGTTGTTGTTTGCGCTGTTGCCGTCGTGGACGTTGTCGGTCTGATTGTGAGGAGGAGGAGGAGGAGGGTTGTGTTGTTGTTGTTTCTCGCCCTTGAATTGTCTGTGCTTGCTACCCTTGATCCTCGCCCTCGACGCCTTGTCGACTCCGATCTGATGATTGAGCTTTGTAGGGCCAGAATTGGGTGATGTAGAGGATACCAAAGGTCTTGCTTCCATACAGACTCCACCAGCACGCTCAACTTCTCCATCTTCTTCATCCTCCGTAGGTGGTGCTGGTGCTGTCATGTGTCGGGGAGGATACTCTGGATCCGACATCAAATCTGCAGGAGTCGATAATGGTGATTGCTCCTGTTTTTCCCTAACAGCATCGAAAATAAGGGGGCCATCCATTTGAGAGGCGGGCGAGTCCTGGAATCTGGGTATAGAGTTGCCATAGAACCGATGTTCCAGTGCCACCAAGAGCCCTGTTGTTGCATTGGCCAACTCATAGGCAAGCCCTCGTCGGAGGAACAAGGAGTGAAGCGGGCTTTCTCCTGGTAACCAAAGGATGATGGGACCGCCTATGCACATGTTTATTGTACGGAAAAAAGTATGACGGGAACATTGGTCAATGGCTACTTGTCATGTATCTTGTACGCAATTAAGGGAGGATAGAGAACGGGTACCTGGTTTGTAGAACTCCCAGTTAATCTGATAGTATTGCCGAAATGTTGCGGTTGTGTTATGGGTGGTAGTGTTATGGTCTGTGCGAGTCGATGAGAAGTAGGTGGATGGATCATGTGAAGGAGGCGATTTTTGGTAGTGGTTGAGGAGCTGTGAAAAGAATAAGGATCCAGGTCCATCGTTGTCGCCGGGAAGCGGGACGATCATGTCGGGTGATAATGACAGCTCTGTCTCCGCCCTAGCAAGGCCATTATCCTTCGTTGCTGCTGCTGTTGGATAAGATTTGTCTGTGCTATTGGAGCGGCTATCGGCATCCAGATTTGAATTTTGTGTGCAGTTGAGAGAGGACGATGATGTTCCGTTGGTATATGATTTCGTATGAGGAGATGAGGAAATTGTTGTCTCCTCCCCTGGCGCTTTACTATTATCGCCTCCTGGCCCTCCTGATCCTCCTGCGCCTACATCTGTGCTTACGCCAGCGCTAATTCCTGCGCCTGTGCCGGAGTTTCCGGTCTCGTAGAGATTATCAAAGCCATATTTCTCTCCTGTTTCGACTTGGTGCCAGTACTTGTCCCAATGCCTCCGCGTCCGTGCCCTAGACCGCATTCCCCAATCCATCGTAGCCTTGTGTCTCAGCCCAAACGATTTGACAAACGGATTCCGAAGAGATCGACTGTTGATGGTGCCTGCTGTCCAGAGAGGTAGACCTCCCTCGGCAAAGGCAGTTCCTGAAGGCGGGTTCCATTGTTGCGAGATTTGTTCCTGTTGCTGTTGCTCCAGTGGACTGGCCATTCTTGTTTCTTGATTGGATTCTGGCTGTGAGCGCCGGCGGATGTGATGGTGTTCATAGCCATGGTTGTGTTTGTTGTGGAGAAGAACTTGAGGGTGGAGATGAGTTCGTTTTGATTGTGATACGGTGGAACCGACCCTTTGGTGAAATTGCCCATGATCGCTGCTTCTGAAAGTGATAGGATTGTTCAAAGGCAGGGGAAGAACTGAGTCTGTGCTTGGACGGTGTGCAGGAGATTGGCGTAGAGGACGAGGAAAAGGAGGGATTGGATGGTCGCATGTGTATGACGTCGAGGAGGATCTGGGAGGACATGATGCAAGAACTGCGTATGTGCCAGGGATGACGGTGGCAGAGAAGTGAACAAAGAAAAAGAAGAGGAAGAAGAAAGGGTACACAAAAAGAGAGAAGCGAGTCTTGTACGAGGTGCGAAGCGGCGACATGGGGGCCAGACTCTTTTGCGTTTTTATACCTTTTTTTATGTGTTGTGTTCCTTCAGGAGTGTGCTGTTTGTGATAACGTATGAGAAGGGGAAGAAGGACAGGCGAGTTGAGCGTAAGGAAGTGATGACTGAGGACTGAAAGCTATGCTGATGTATATGGAATGGATGGTCCAAGTAAATGACATTCTTGGAGAAGGAAGAGGAGCTAAAGGGAAAAAGAAGGCAAAGTAAGGAAGAGGGAAGAAGGAAAGAGGAAAAGAGAGAGTGTGTCTGTGTGAGAAAGAGGGATTGACGAATTTAGACTGAGCAAGACCGGTCGCACAGGGAAATCTGCCGGACGATTATACTTGTTTGTTAGAAGTGGAGGGAGGGAGGGAGAGAGTGGAGAATCAGGAGAGGAGTAGAAGCGGTAGTAGAGTAGCAAGAAGGTTTTGCTGCTACCCATATGGAGTCATTCATTTAAGGTACAAGATGAGCACATATAGGAATAATTGGGAGAGGGAAGGAGACAAGGAAGGAGACAGGGAAGGAAAGAAGAAGAAAAGGATAGAAGGAGAGAAGTAAGGCAGGAAGGTAAATAACGTGAGGAAAGAAGAGAAGGCAAGAGAAGAGAAAGTGTTGTCGTTCGGAAACAGCCTGGAGGGAAGGGGAAGAAGCTGCTGCTGTTGTTGGACCAGAAGCCACGAGACAAGTGGTCCTCGACTGTCCACCTGTTCAGGCATGGCGCTTGTTTTGTTTATCATACAAATGCGAATTGGATTGGGCGTTCTATTTCTTTCTCTCTCTCACCCCTTCGCCTGTCCCCCTGGAAACAGAGACATGCCTGGGCAAAGCAAGTGCGGAGTTAGTGATGGGCGGACTGTCATTTTTATCATCATGGGGGATTTGGAGTAAAAAGACACGGAGGAAAGATCTGTGCGTTTTCTTGTTGCGAACAATGCAAAGGAACAAGGGTGGATAACGATGAATGACGATGATGATGAGAAGATGAGAAGATGAGAAGATGAGAAGAGAGGTAAAACCGTGGAAGATGGACAAGGGACTATCGTGGCCAAGGGAGAATAGGGGACTGTGCTGCATTGCGTGGAGAAGGAAAAGAGTGTACGTGTTTCTTCGAAAAGCGCTAATAATGCAACGCGCGACAACAGTCCCAAGGAGAGCGGCTTGATCAAATGTTCGCCCAAATTGCCACGCCTCGAAAAAAGAAAAAAGAAAAAAGCTAGAAGACAAAGGGTCATGTGTCCACCTGACATAGAGTGAGTAAGTAAGGCTGAGGCAAAGGCAAAGGCAAAGGACATGGGTTAGGGCTTATTGCTTATTGTCTTTCGCTTGTCTTTTCTGCTTCTATCCTTCTCTCTCTTCCATTCCCCCTCTCCTTCCCTTGCTCCTTCCCTGCTCCGAACTCTTGCTTGCCTGTCCCCTCTCATAGACATTATTATTAACCAGTCCGGCACACTGTTCTTATCGTCTCTTCTGCTTGCCTCGACCCGACTCCCTTTCCTTCCCTTTACTCTTCACCATACAGCAACACCAACACCAACAACAACCAGCAACTCCATTCCTCCTCCTCTCTATTACACACTCACGACATTCCCTTCCTTTACTCTCTACTCTCCTTCTCATTCACACTCGCTCACTCGAAAGCAACAACAGCTTCATTGCAACCACGACGCATTCACACCCACCACCACCACCAGACAAAAGACACCACTTCTCCTTCACCCTCTCCCTCTTCGCTCATTCCCATTTTCTTTCCTAACCCGCAAACCCGCAAACCCCAGAAACAAAGAAAAGAAATAGGGGTGAACGAGTAGTTCAAAACGAACGAACGAACGAGTGAGCGAGCGAGTCTCTCCCTCCACCCACTACTACCACCCCCAATACTCGTCCTCTTCCTCCTTATCCAACCACCAACCCACTAGCCCAACCCAACGTACAAGAACCCAAGCCTAACGTAAAACACAGTCCTCCCTTGCGTGTCCTTGTCTGTCCTTGTTCTCACAGCACTGTCGTTACTTTATTGCATCCTTTCATTCTGGCCCATTCCTCTACAAGACTGACTGCGCTGCGCCAAGTGCACATATCACCCTTCTTTCTTCCTCTTTCTTATTTTTGTTCTCCATCCTTCTCGAGCACTCTCTTTCTTGTCAGTACTATTACTCAGCACTAAGGTTGACGGTCTATCTATCAACCCGTCTTGACCTCAACTTTCTTTTCTTCTTCGCCTCGTCATTGCCTACACTCCGTTTATTCCTTTCCGATACACAGTATGACCACTAGACTGCCCTCCGAGACTGTTCGGTCCTCCATCAGACGACCTCAACGATTCCCCCCACAGCTCCAACAACCACAGCAACCCCAGCCTCATCAACAACAACAACAACATCATCATCTTCACCACCAATATCAGCAGCAGCAACAGCAGCAACAGCAGCCTCAATCGACGGTCCATCTGCAACAACCCTACCAACACCAGTCATTCTTGTTCGATGCCGAGTTTGACTTGGTCGGGCGTCTTGGCGCAGGATTCACGCCAGGCTCAAGTGCGGGCAACAACAGCACCAACAGCAATGACCACGACACTATCAGCAACAACAACAACAATGGTGGCAGGGGCCATAGTGGTGGTACAAACGCCAAATCATCCGTGGTCAAGTCCACCCCCTTGACGCCTGCCAAGCCCGACAGAGCAGAGTCCAAATTTGATCCAATAGCGTCAATACCTGGTCACAACATGTCCAGCTTCTTTGGCGCCAGCGACGATCCATTGATGGCAAGCGACGCCGACTCCCAACCCTTCTTTGTCGACTTTGGAAACACTGACCGTCTCAAGAAGAGTGCTCCCTCTACCATCGGACGAGAACCCAAGAAGGCCGTCGTTACACCATTGCAGACACCTCAACCACAAGAGTCGCCGTCACTTGGAATGCTGGACGACATCTTTCAACCCACCATGGGGTTTTCAGCAACCCCCTCGCGACCAATTGCCAAAGCGGCTCTGGTTCGGGAAAGGCAGCTACCTCAGCATAAGCAGCAACAACAGCAACAGCAGCAGCAACAACAACCTCCACCACCGCCTCTGCAGAGACAAACGCAGACACACCAGCAGCTCTTGCAACAGCAGCAGCATCACGACAGCTCTCTCGATTTTTTTAGCTCTCTGGACAGTATTTCTCCAACACGCTCTACCTCAAGCTCTTCTCGCACATCCCCTTCGGCATCATTTGCTCATCTAGGATCGATCGCTCCTCTTCCTTCCTTTCCCTCTATTCCGGCGGACTACTCGGCATTTGGGCGAAATGGCACCGCCAGAAAGACAACTCCAGCCAGGAAGCTTTCTCAGAGCAGCAACACCCCGTCCTCCACCATCAAGGACACAGGATCGTCTCTGGAGACTGTGTCGTCGTTATCGTCACCATTGTCGGCATTAGCGGATGTGTTTGTATCGAACAATGGCTCGGAGCCCAGGCCGTCCTCGTCCACTGGTTCTCGCAAGAAGGGCGATGCAGCCGTGTCCATGTCTGCCTCGGTCACCTCGTCGAAATCATCCACATCAACACTGGCGTCATCAACTGTATCATCCGCAGGACAGGCGGTATCGAAGACGCCTTCCCGGTCTACTTCGTCCAGCAACATGTCTTCGACAGCATCCTCGCCAAGTGAATCTCCGTCTCTTGCGCCTTCAGCTGCTCCCTCAAAGCCAGCCCCCAAAATGCCAGCGAGAATCTTGAATCTACCCCGGCACCCCACCCCTACCCCACTGCCAACGCAAAATACCAGCGCGAGGATTGACTCTATCTTGGCGCCTCAACGACCTCCCCAGCAGCCACCGCAGCCGTCGCAGCCGCAACAGCTGTCCCTGCCTCCGCCACCGTCACCACCATTGCAACAACAACAAAACTTGCAGCAACAGTTACAGCAGGCTCAAGCCCTGCAGGATCAGCAGCAGTCGACTTACCATTCTCTGCCGCGCGAGTTTCAACCTCAAGAGCAGCAGCCTACTTCTCGCTCGTCAGTATCATTATCGGTACCACAACCCCCACCACCGCCAACAGGAGGATCACAGCATGTGTCACGACAGGACACCAACCTTCCTCCGACACCACCTCCATATATCCCCCCACCTGTGCAGACACCGCCTCAGTTTCCTTCATCACCCTGGGACGACGACGACGATGACGACTTTTACCAGGCACCAATCTCTCCACCTCCTGTAGTCGTCCCAACTGTGAAAGCAGCTTCACGGAAGGTGGTCGAGCCTGGCGTCCAGGCGCCACCAAAACAGGTTGCTCCCCTTAAGCAGACTATCACGGAGCCTCAACAGCAGCAGCAGCCAAAGCAGTCGAAGCAGGACTATCAAAAGCAGGATCACCCCAAGCCGAAGCAACCTACACATCAACCGCCGCAACCACAACCACAGCTGCAATCACAGCCAAAGCAGGAACAGCAACATTCACCAGTCCAAACTCGAAAACAGGCCCCGAAACCTCTTGCGCCTGAACACAACAAGGCCATGGATGCGAAACACGCGGATGGCACAAGTTCGGCGCCATCCCTCTCACCTTCTGCACTCTCGCCCGACTCTTTATTGATGGCGAGATATCCTCCTCCGCCTCCATCGATCCTCTACAGTGACGACCAGATCACTGTAAGCTCGCTTCACTTGACGATCCACTCGTTCTATTTTCCGCTGAACACTCCGGTGACTATCCCGCTGTTGACCATTACCGAGTTAGAAACGTTACCTACGGAAGGCCAAAACGGCGGCGGAAACGGTGGCAGCAGTGGCGGTGGTGGCGTTGCCAGTTGGCTCAAGTACAAGAACTGGGGGGTCAGCACAGCACTGACGGACATTTGGTGGGCGCGGGATTACAAGCCATCGGGAACTGCGGTCACCGGAGCAGGAGCATCATCTCGATCGGCGGACAAGGAAAACACCCCACCTTTGGTGTATGTGGTGGTCCGAGTCGAAGGCGAATGGTTGAGAAAAGGATTTGGGGTTCAGCAGGAACAGGGAGTCAAGGTGTTGAAGGATGCCTGGAAGAACGTCAAGGAGAACGAGCGCGGATTGCGACCGCTTCGACCGGCGACTATGGGTATGGAGGAGGACGATGACGGTTTGATGATTGAGAAGCCAGCCGGCGGTCAGTCGCTTTCGAACCAATCCGGTGGCCGTATTGCTGCAGGAGACAATGGTGCGGAGAAGCGGCGATGGTTGAGCTACCAGAACACATGGACGGCATACCCCTTTGCAGACGACTCACCTCAGTTCCTTGCCCAGCAGCATCGTCGAGGAGCGACCTCAAAGGCACCACGATATCATCAACAGCAGTCATCATTGCGGCCGAAACCGACAGGAGCAAGTGGAGGACATGTGTATCTGGGACCTGAGGAGAGCTGCGGGGACGAGCCGCTATTTATCGATAATGATTTGAACATTCATGAGGAGATCTGAGCCTTGTTTCGAATCTCCAGCACCACCTTCTTTCTGCCTCCTCGACGTCTATTTTTGCGCTCACCTGCATTGAGGTTTTGCGGGAAGCTAATCCAGGTAGTTAATTAAATGACGGATAATGTGAATTAAAAATGCATCGCTATGCGAGCATGGTTTTTTTAGATTTTATTTTTTGAGTGTGTGGGAACTAGTTTTACGATGCGTACAAAGAAGGAGAAGAGTATATGATGAAGAGTCTAGCCAGAGACAAAGGTGTATGGTTTTTAATAAGGAGAGCACTCGGCGGCAATGTTAGTGCGGACATAGCTACATAGCTCTCAATAAGGCCAAGGAGGTCTTCAATGATATTTTGGCTACAAGCCATCAGATGTCAAGGTTTGAAACCAGGCAATAAGCAACAATGAGTTCTCCCTGGCTTTTTTTTTTTTTTTTTTTTTTTTTTTTTTTTTTTTTGGGTAGATTGGTCAGCCAGGGAGGAAAGTGTCTGCGTGTTAGCAAATTAGCAGTGACTGAGGAGAGTGTGGGAGTGCGATTTTGCAAGATGGCGTAGAGGTGTGATTCCAAAAAATAGGCCTCAAGAACCCCCCCTCCCCTCACTCACCTACAACGACAGAAGGAGGGCTGATAACGAGGGTCTAGTTCATGCATGTCGAACCATGCATGTATGACCCTGTGTGTACTCAACTGTGGAGAAATATATATACTCGTCTTACCTTTCTTCTTTTGGAGAACAAGGAAAAAAAAAACCACGATCGAAAGGGGAAAGTAAAAAGAAGCAAAGGCAATGTAAACACGATCGAGGGAACCCTCCACGGTGGCGTTTGAATAAAACAAAGTCTAACTCGACTAATACGTTTATTCTACTGCAACTACTTGGCTTCACCAGCCTGTTTAGCCAACTGATAAAACAACGACCCCTCCTTCCTCTTCAATAGCTCGCTCGGAGACCCATACTCCTCAACGCGTCCCTTCTCCAGCACCAAAATCTTGTCCGAATCCATCACAGTCTTGATCCGATGGGCAATTGTCAAAATCGTTCGATCCTTAAATTCCTCCCGGATCGTCCGTTGGATCAGCTCATCTGTCTCTACATCCACAGCAGCTGTGGCTTCATCCAGGACCAAGATCTTGGATTTCTGCAACAGTGCCCGGGCGAGACAAATTAGAGACCGTTGACCAATCGAGAAGTTTGTCCCACTCGAGTTCACCTCGTACGAGAGTCCACCAGAGAGGGAAGAGATGTGGGTCTTGAGGTGGGCGCGCTCGAGGGCTGTCCAGAGCTCGGTGTCGGTTGAGCGGGAGAAGGGGTCGAGGTTCTCGCGGAGGGTACCTTCGAAGAGGGTTGGGTCCTGAGGGATGATGGCCAAATGTTGGCGAAGGTGTTCGAGACCCATGGTAGAGATGTCCATGCCGTCGATCCAGATCGATCCCCCGTCTTCTTCAACGTCAACAGTCAGAAGTTGGCTACCAATGACAGACTGGGATGTGTCGTTGTCCATGTTGGTAGCACTGGTGTTATAGCTGGCCCTGGCCCACTGACTGTTGGCAGCCTCGACGATCCGGAACAAAGCAAGGGTAAGAGACGACTTGCCAGCACCAGTGCGTCCGACGATCCCGACTTTCTCACCCGGTAGTACCTCAAACGACACCTTCTTCAGAACCAAATCCATCCCCTGCCGGTAACGAGTCGAATAGTTCCTAAACTCAACGCCACCTTCTCTTGGCCACTCTCGATCCTCCAGATCCTTGTCTACGCCTTCAATCTTCAACGGCGCCTCGGTCGGAATTTCACAGTACTCCCGTACACGCTCAACACTGACCAACCGGTTCTGAAGATCGGTCACAGAAGTGACCAAGAACGTGATTCCATAGGTCGCAGTGAGGGCGTAATTCAACGCCAATCCCGCCTTTCCATCCAACGCGGCTCCGGACACGGCACCTTTACTCCTCACAGTCTCCAGCACTACCAACAACGAGGTGGCCAAAACTACCGTAGCACCTAAACACTCGAGCCTAAAATGTAACCACCGACTCGCGACCGTGGTGACAAAATACGCATTCGCCGCCCGATCCGTCCTTCGCGCATTCTCCTGCACAAACCTCGTTTCCTGCCGCATAGCCCTGATTGTCGAAACCCCCGCGAGGGTCTCATTAAAATGCTGGAAGAGCGGGGACCGGGCTATGGCATAAACGTGAGTCATGGCGCGCGAGGTGCGGACATAGTAGACTTGGATGAGGACGTAGAACCCAAACAGGAAGGGGAGTGTTGCGATGAAGATGGGGAGGGTGAAGGAGATGATGACGAGTGTACCCAAAACTGTGAATGTGTAGTAGTAGAAATCTGAGAGTGCTTGAGGGAGGAGGACGTCTACTGTGTCCTGATCTGTCGAGAACCGATTCACGATCCTTCCCACACTGTGTCGTTACCAAGAAAACAAAATAGAAGCTGTGGTTAGACATGAAAAAAAAGATATGTTCTTCCATCTCTCCTTTGGTATTTTCCATCGTCGTTCAGGATGACTTACGGAGTAGAGTCAAAAAAATGCATGGGGAGACGAATGATTCTCGTCAATAGGTTATTATGCAATAACGTCGCAGCCCTCAACCCGGAAGTGACATAAACAATATAGTGGACCAAGACATCCGATGAGGCATAGGCGACGACCATGGCGGCATAGACACCCAGGAACAAACCCAAGTTGGCTAGCTGGTTGTCGAACTTGCGCTCAGTCCAACGTTGGAGCCAGATACTGATTCCGAGTTGCATCGCTTGCGAGAGGATGAATAGGCCGATGCTTGAGAACGAGAGGAAGTACGATCTATTTGTCAGTTAGTTACAAAAGAACACATTGAGGGTTAGGCGTGATTCCAAGCATTCGCGTTTCAATGAACAACGAAATATAACGTTCAAAAATAACAAGGTTAGCAAAACTTACGCTGCTTTGGCATAAGTCAAGAATTCCTTCCATCCAGCACCGCCATGGGTATACTCCTCCTTCTGGATCAACCGACCCTCTGCATCTTGACCATCCTTGCTCTCAGCGCCATCAACAACATCATCGCTCTTCTTGTCCGCATCAACGGCAAGCTCAGTGCCAGCAGCAACCACAGCAACATCATCGCCACTCTCAGCGACACCCTCAGTCTCGATCGAAAGCGAAAGCTCCTGGCTAGTCAAGGATCCAGCAGAGAGGAGCTGTTCATAAGTACCAGTGGCAAAGATGCGTCCCTCCTTGATAATAACAATCTGGTCAACTCTGCCGAGATGGTGAACGCCATGGGTGACCAAAAGACGTGTCTTGTCCTTGAGCAATCCACTGGGTCCGATTAGGTTCTGCCAAAGGTATTGGTCGACGTGAGCATCGACTGCGCTCAAAGGGTCGTCGAGGAGGTATATATCGGCATCCTGGTATGCGGCACGGGCAAGGGCGACACGCTGTTTCTGGCCTCCTGACAGGTTGATCCCCCGCTCGCCGATCTCGGTCTGGTCGCCGGCAGCGAGCATCTCCAGATCTTGCTGCAAGCAAGACGCCTGAATCACAAAGGCATAGCGTTCCTGGTCCAAAGGTAGGCCAAAGAGGATGTTGTCCATGATGGTACCGTTCTGGATCCATGCCTGCTGACTGACAAACGCGACGGAGCCGACCACATGGACCGATCCTTGCCGTTTGTACATCTCTCCGATCAAGGCACTGAGAAGGGACGACTTTCCTTGACCGACGCGACCGACCACAGCCGTCAGACTACCCTTGGGGATCGTCAGGTTGACATCCTGAAGTGTTGAAATTAAATCCTTCTTGTTATCGACTGGCTCAGGTGCGTCGTTGCCGGTGGTAGCGGCAATAAAGTTGGTGCCTGCAGGGGTCCATGAAAACACTCCGTCCCGAATAACAATAGCACCAACCTCATGATCACGATCCTCACCTGACTCTGGCAAAGAACCGACAACGGCCCAATCCAACTCCTCTAACAACAAGAACCTCTGGATCCTCCCAGCAGCCACACGAAGAGAAATTACCATGCTAATCACCCTCGATGCACGACCAATAGGCACCGCCAACCGCCCAAACAAACTCAAACTGACAAACACAACCTGCGGGCTCAAATACCCTCGTCCATGACCTTCCCCACCAGCAAGGGCATACACCATAAACGACAAGAGACCCATCAACGTCGGGATAGAAGTAGCCATGATCGACATCCAAGCCATCACGGCCCCAACTCTCTTCAACGCCTTGACTTCATTTGCGCGAAGAGCCTCGATCTTGCGGTAAAAGAATAGTCCCCAATGGTAGAGTTTGATGACTTGCATGGATGACAACATCTCGGTGAGAACCCGGATTCGCTCATCCATGACCTCCATCTTGACACCCTTGGCTACGCTCAACATCCGAGCCAGCCAGCCCTGGACAGGGGTCATTAATAGCACAACACCCAGACCTGCCAACGAGCTAAGACCGAGTTGTGCGTAGAGCAGGTACAAACCAAGGACAATCTCGAAGGGTGTAGAGATCATAAGGGGAAGGTAGATGATACCGTACTGGATCGCGACTACATCGACTGACATCAAGTTCTGGATCTCGCCTACACTCGTTCCTGTATTCGCGGCGACTTTGTCAGACTTCACTGCCGCTTCGGGACCAACCTCCGCCTCTTCTGGAGAAGCACGACCACTACTTCCACTTCCACTTCCACTTCCATGTCGAGCACCCGACGAGAGCCGAAGCGATTTTTGATAAACCATCGAAACAAGCGCCGACTGCAGCGATATCCCAAGATTAGTCGCCAACTGAATAAACTGTGCTGACCCCACCGACGCGCCAATCGACGCCACCGTTAGACCCAGCGAAAGCACAACACCTACCCAGACCTGCTCCGGCGCCTCCTGCTCTCCCGAACCCGAAGAAGCCGAATAAGTCGCAATGAACTTCAACAACCGATCCAGTAACAAAGGCTGCGCATACTCAAGCGTCGACTCCATCAACATAAAGAAAATAATCGGGATCCACATCCACCCGCCCATCTTCACCACCACCCACAACAGCGACACCTCCTTCTCCTCCTCCTCCTCCTCTCCACCACCTCCTCCTCCTCCGGCCCCTGCGCCCTTTCTCTTCGCCTTCGCTCGAGTCTTCTCAAGATGCCGCCTCCACAACTTCTCAAACCGCAGGTAGGAGGATGCAACCCTGACAGAATGGGGCATCATGTTGGCGGTATCGGTGTCGGTCACGGCGCGGCGGTATCCGGTCGAGATGACGGATTGGATATAGTGGAAGGTGATGCGAGAGAAGACGTTTGCGTGGTCGTAAGCTGATGGTGGGTCATTGTTGTTGGTGTCCTTGAGTATAGTGTTGATATTGGTGTTTGGTGGAAGGGGTTGTGGGTCTCCAGGTAAAGTAACGGGCCTATGGTAAAAAAAGACAATGGGAGGGAAGGGAGGGAAATTACGTTCGATCGCGTGAGCCAAATTGAAAGTGGTCGGGGTCCACAAAGAAAGGAAAACAAAAGGTTGAACAAAAACGACAGAAAGTCTTTACTCTGTATAGTCAATAGGAGTCGCGATGGGTTTTTTGCCGCTCGATTGCTTGTCGAATGGGTTGCAGGAGACAAAGCAACAGTGTGTCAGTCATGTTCAGCAAAACAACAAAAATAATTCAAACTAAACAGCTTTGAATGTCAACATGAGAATATTGTTTACCTGTAGCATGTTGGCGGACGAAGAATTGCTGTCCATGGAATGATGTACAAGAGGGGTATATATAAAGAACGAGGGTATGCAAAACGTGTTAAAAGTGTAAAGGAAGCAGATTGCAGGAGAGTCGTGGGAAGAAAAAGGGAGTGGACTTTGTGGAGTGAATGGACTGGAAGGGAGCTGGTGGCTGATTGAGAGAAAAGAGAATAACTGGAAAGATCCTCGCTATTTGTACGATTTCGAACCGCGATAAGAAGCGCCGTTCGTTTTTAACTTTCCGGCCGCAGCGGGGAGAAACAAACAATGTCGATTTCTCGGTGAAGACCATACCATGCATGCCGCACATCTCTTTCCCCGCAGTAAACCTCCCCCCCCCCCCCCGGTCCAATTCAGGGGAAAGAATACGCAGCTTTAACAGACAATGCTTATTCTCTGTTTGATTTCTATTGTTTTCTGCTGTTTAATAAGAACAACCTTAAAACGCCTACAAAAACTTATCCTCGCGTTCCTGGAACAACTTCAAAACCTCGGGTATCGTCATTTCGCCTAGCCTCTCCCCCTCCCTCGTCCGCACATTGACCGTACCCCGCTCCTTCTCCTTCTCGCCAATCACAAGAATGAAATTATACTGGGCCACTTGCGCATCCCGCACCATCTTGTTCAGCGTCCCTGATGATTGATCAATGTCCACAAAGTAGTGCTTGTCGTCCATCCTCACAACTGGATCCACCTCGTCAGGGTCCCGCTTGTCGATAGGGCTACGACCTGCCTTCGACAACGTTTCACGCACATGGCTTGCGTACTCTGTCAACGACCCCCTACTATCGCCACCCTCATCCTCCAACCCAGCCTTTCCACCAAACACGGGGACAACCATCGCCTGCCGGGGGGAGATCCAAAACGGCCACCGCCCACCCGTATGCTCAATCAAAATCGCCATCATCCGCTCCACACTCCCCAACACAGCACGGTGGACAATCACCGGACTCTGCTTCTCGCCTTGCTGATCATAGAATTGGAGCCCAAACCGCTGTGGCAACTGGAAATCCAACTGAATTGTCGCCGTCTGGTGTCTCCGGCCCAGGGCGTCCCTAACCAGGATATCAATCTTGGGTCCATAGAATGCACCGTCGCCCTCGTTAATACTCCAATCCATCCCTGACTGATCCAAGGCCTTGCGCAAGGAATCCTCAGCTGCGTCCCATTCCTGTACGGATCCGAGAAAGTTTGAAAGGGGGCGGGTTGAAAGGGCGAGTTCGTAGGAGGGGAACTTAAAAGTTCTGTAGACAGTGTCGACAAAGGACAGAGTAGAACGAATCTCTTGGAAGATCTGGTCCCGTGTGCAAAAGATGTGAGCGTCATCCTGGTGGAAACGGCGAACACGCGTCAATCCCGTCAATGATCCCGTTGACTCGTTTCTGAATATGTAATGTAATGGTACCAATGTGAGTAAAATGATTCGCGTCGTACATCAATTAGAATACTTGCCAAGCGAAACTTGAAAACAGAAAGAGCTGTCAACTTACCGGTGAAGGGCACTAAAGTCGGCATAGCGGGTGGGTAGGTCCTTGTACGATCGCGTCGACATGTCAAAGATCAGACAGTGTCCTGGGCAGTTCATAGGCTTGAGTCCAAACACCTCATCATGTCCCTCCGCCAAGGGCGCCTTTTCCTTGCTGCTTTCGCCTTCCTGTCCATGAGAATGTTCGTGGCCATGATGATGCTGATGGTCACATCCCCTCTGCACCTGGAACATGTCATCCTTGTAATTTTGCCAATGTCCAGACGTCTCCCAAAGCTCCTTCTTGTACATCAACGGCGTCATGACCTCCTCGAATCCGTATTTACGGTACTGTTGTCTCATGAATCTCATTAATCGCTCAACAATCCTGGTTCCGTGGGGGAGCATAAAGGCGGATCCGGGACTGGCTTGATGGACAGCAAAGAGCCCTTGGTTCTTGCCAATGATACGGTGGTCACGCTTCTCAGCCTCTGCCTTCTGGTGGTGCCACTGCTTCAGCTCCTTGGGGGACGGGAAGGCGATACCGTACATCCTTGTCAACGCCTGAGGCGACTTTGGATCCCGATCCAGCTCTGGCATAAAGTAGGCGCTCGAAGTCCTCAAGATCTCCATGGCCTGCAGCTGTCCTGTGTGCTGAACATGGGGTCCGCGGCAGAGATCGACAAAGGGTCCACACTTGTAGAGCGTAATCTCGCTGTCCTTAGGGATGTTGCCAATAAAGTGCTGCTTGAACTTATTCTCGGGGAAGAGGTCGTAGGCGAACTGCTGAGAGACCGAGAGTCGTTCAAAGGGCAGTCGTTGAGCAATAAACTGTTGCATGATACGTTGAATGTCGGCAATCTCGTCCTTGGAGAACTGGTGCGATGGATAGTTTTGTTGCAAGAGTTCCCCTACAGAGACAGAGGGGTCCTGGTCCTGCTTTGCCAACAGGAACTCGTAAAAGAATCCTCCTTGCTTGATCGCAGGTCCGTCGCAGAGAAGTAGCCGCGAGCCGTATTTGGCCTCGAGAGACATGCCGAGAACGTGGGCAGACGAGTGCCAGAACAGGTTGGTGAGACGATCATTGTTCTCCTGGAAAGGGATCAATTCCAACTGACATGACTGTTCAAGTGGCCGAGTCATATCCCAGTATGTGTTCCCGTTCAGCTGAGCAATCAATGTGGTTTTCGCCAACTTTCCCGAAATGCCTATAGATCACTTGGACAAAGTTAATAGTTGATTGATATAAACCAGAGTCATCCATGGATAATTTGAAAATATAACCACTGATCACTGTACATCCTACGGATGATTACCTTGGGCGATCGACAGGGGGGTTGTGGTTCCTGCAGATCCAATCTTTTTAGACCCGTCCGGGAACAGGATCTCAATTGAGGGTTGCTGGATACCACTGCTCAGCTTCAGTTGTTGCTCTGCCTGTCTCGTCCTCTCCTGAGTGAATGCTTGTGCACGCTTCTCAAATGCCGTTGATGCTGTAGACAGGAATGGTCATGGAAAAGAGATTAGCATGCCAATTCCAATGCGACCAGCTGCCTTTTGCAAATGTGGCCGAAGTGATCAGGAAGCAAGAGCAATGAGCTTACAGAGACGGAGCTGTCCGAATGAGCGTCCGACACGGAGGGCGGTGGCTGTCTGTGTTGGTTTGACATGCCTCCAGTGAGCCGACAGCATGGTAAAAAAAGTAAGGCAGGTCGTTGGAGAGAAGTGCAACTAAGGGAGACAAGGTTTCGACTCGTCGCGTTCCTTTTGTTCTCGGAAATCTTCCCCCCTGTTTACTCACATTGCTCCGTTTTGAACAGTCACTTCTTCATTTGGTGTTTTTGTCCTACAGGCTATCTGACTACGGCTTGGACCTACCTTGCCCTTGGCAGGAGTTCGCATGCATAGATAGCCTTGTCTTGCCTTACCAAAAAGCATTGAGACGCGCCCTCGCAGACTGGTTCAATCCCGACCACATGCATAAAGAGATCATACATACCCGTCAACTTGATACTTAACCAGGTCACATCATAACGTAGAAACGCATATTCATTTGTCAAATACTATCCCTTTTTACTAATTACCATTGGTTCCTCGAGAGAGAGAGAGTTCCAGGGGCGATCGAATGACACACATCTGAAAGGTGCCAAAGGAACTTTTTTTACCCGAAGAAAGTGTGAGGATGGGGAGAAGAAAGGACTGATATGTTGCTTTTTTCAGAAAGGAAGATGGAGATAAGGCTTTTGGTGGAGTGGAGTGGGGATAATGAAAGGAAGAGAAAGAGGGTTCAATAGTTTTCATTCGGAGCACTTTTTTTCGGCGATGGGTGAACTGAGGACGTAAGGAAAAGGAAGATGAAAAAAAAAGTTCGGCAAGGGCTGCCCACCTTGATATAGTAGGGAAGCTTGACGGGGAGAATGGTAATAGCAAGGGTCTTGTCCGTTCGTCCGTTATGCGTTCGCTAGAGTGGTAGCAAAAACGAGAGATCAGTCCCTGCTATCGCGACGACCACGAGAATCACCATGCCCTCTGCTGGAGGATGGTGCTGGGCTTCTGCTTCGGCTCCTGCTCTTTCGCCTCTTGCTGTCGCGCTCATAAGGCCGGTCGCTGTATCCGCCCCGGTTGCGATCGCCGTGGCTGTCATGGCGACGACCGCCACGGTCCCGGTCGCTGCGTCCGTCTCTGTCGCCGCCGTAGCGTCCTCCACTACCACCACCGCTGTAACTGTCCCTGCCGCTATAGCCACGGTCGCTGCCTCCATGAGATGAGCGGTCATTGCGTTGGCCGTTGTCTCTTCCTGATGACGTCTGGTTCTCGTGTGGGGCTCCGATACGGGTACCACCCAATCCTCCACCTATGTGACATTGATAACATATACGAAGCAATGAAAATGTTAGATAGTTCACTTTCAATCATGTCTCAGTAATAAAGATAGAGAGCAAATGTATCATCTTACCAAGACGCTTTGGTTTCCATCCCTTGACGGTCCTTCCACGTTCAACATCCACGACAATGCGACGGCCCATAATCTTCAGGCCATCGGCGTCCTTGTATGCTGCCTTCATGTCCTTTTCGCGCTCAAACTCGATAAATGCGTATCCAGTGTGCTTGCCCTCGGCATCTTTTACGACTCGGATCTAAAAAATGATGAGATGACAATAAGACCGGTAAGCGATTTCGTTCAAGGCGAGGTTTACGTTCTCCGAACGGTCAACGTGTCTTTGACAAACATTTAGCGATAAAGCGCTGGCCTTACGTTTTCTATGGGGCCATACATCGTGAATTCACGTCTCAGATCCTTTTCTGTGGATTCATAGCTCTAGTAATGTGTGATGAAACAACAGTTAATGTCGGGTTTGGGCCACCTGTTCAACAAACATAGAATGCAGCACGTCATGATCTCTGAGCAGTTCATAGCCTTACCAGGCGAGAAACGTGTAACGTCTTATATGGGTCACCGACGACCTTCTCGTCCTTGTTGGGATCCCCTATATATCAAAACGGTCAACGGAAATGACAACAAATTGCGTTAAGAATCGATATTTTCATGAGATCTATCATCATTGACAGTTGACGACGCATGCGCATACTTACATTCCTCCAATCCACTTTTGAGGGCTTCGTCCGACTTTTTCTTCCTCTCCTCCAACTACCAAATAATAAAGAACAAAAATGTATAGGTATTAGGTTAGTAAACACGTTCTCAATGCTGTTTGCAGCTTAGCAAGTGAAGAAACGCCGTCCACTCAAAGACGCCGCACAGACTTCCGTAAGAAACATATACCTTTCGCTTCTTCCGTTCGGCAATGCTGAGTGTGGGGACATAGTCCGTGTCGTGACCCTTCATCATATCCAGGAAATGTGATACAGGCGTCAAGTGATTGCCCTTTGCATGGCCCGGTGCCAGATCCAGGGGTTCTGCATGGGGAAGAGGGGGACGTGGCGCAAAGAGACGGAGAAGGTGGGGAGGCAAGGCCGCTGTACCGACTGGTCCTCCTTTGTCCTCGTTGGGTTGACGACGGTTCATTTGCTTTTGTTTTGTGCTTTGTTGTTAGACCAGTAAAGAGGAGGAGTAGGAGGGGCGGAGCTGAAGTTTCAGAATAACAAGTGCTGATCCGGATCGAGTTGCTTGTTGGTTGAGAGGGAGATGGGTGGGTATTAAGTGTAAGGACCGAGCTGATTGAGGTGGCGTGAGAGTGTCCTGCAACCTGGTCTGAAAGGTTACTCCGGTGTCGACTTGTAGGAAGATGGTGAGTGCAGCAAAGAAAAATGAGAGAGGGAGAGTTGATCAGCGATGGAAAGGCCACATTATGGTTTACAAAAGCATATCTGAGCGATTAAAATCAATACTGTGACGTTTACGGCGCGCGAAAAAAAAAAAAAAAAAGTACTGCCTTCTGCCTCCCTGAAATATATGCCGCCGACAAGGTCCTCGCCGTCCAAACGACCACACCATCCCCCTATTTCCCATGCGTGTTTTTCACGTCTCCTTCTGTTTTGTATAGTTCCTCGTTCTTTTTTTTAAACCTTCACTATTCTGCTTTTCACTTCATCATATCACTTCTTACACACACGCGCGTCTCTCTCTCTCGCGTCTCTCTCTCGCGTCTCTCTCTCGCGTCTCTCACTCTCTCTTCCTGTCTCTTTTTTTTCGTTTATTCTCTCGGTGCACACACAAAGGTCATCGGCTTTCATCTAAATCTAATCAAAGTGAAGTGATTAATCCGTTCGGTAAAGTCTGGATTGCAGGACAGCAGCAAATAGTGGATTGACGGGGTGCTCATTTCTCCTAGCCAGTCATTTGAGACAAACTTTGAGATTGGATATGCGCATGCGTGAAGCGGATTGCAGTGTGTGAAGTTAACCCTCGCTCAGCTTTGAAGAATTCATTCTTCAATCGTCAACAGCTCGTCCTTCATGGCAAGATGAGTTGTTGGCCATGTCCGGAGGCCCGATAGTGCATCTTTCGGGTTAAAAAGGCGTTCCATCTTTTTCCCTGTTGCTGCTCTCATGATTTGATTGAACAGGATTCCCATGTCTCTTGGTCAGTCACATGGGAACAATCTTGTGAACGGTTATGTACATCAATGGGCATTGTGATTATTCCTGCTTGGGGATGTGTGAAGTTGGTCCACGCTTCGCAAGCCTCAAGGCTATATATCCGATACCCCCTTCCAATGACAAGGGAGAGCGCGGTAAAGATCCGTGGGTGCTGATAGTGCTACTTTCAGCGTAATATGGGTGTGCCTTCACTTGATCAAATTGTCCAGACTGGTTTATTGTTTCTGCTTGGGACTTTTACAAGGGAGGGAGGCTATTGCAGAGTGCATTGCCTGCCAAGAAACCGAGCTAATGCTCCCGTTTCTATTTGAGATAGTGCAATGGATGGGATGCTGACTTGCCAAATGGGGATACTGCCGTCGACTGCAGTCAGAACAGGCGTAGCCTTCATTGGCTGCTCTGCATCACCTGAAAAGGGCTAAGGAAGTATCGTCGTTGCCGCATTTTAACAAAGAACGGTGCCTTGACTACAAGGACGCGTTGTGAGTATCGCTCCCTAATGATTTTAGCGTAGCCCTTTCTGGCATGTAATACGTTTTGCGTCGCAGCGAACAAGGCATTCACACCGCGCTCGATTTTCCAGTCGATTGAAAATACAATAATTCGGCTCCGGGCCAGAGTATGCACTATCCTCGAGGGCGACAAAACAGGCGAGGTAGCTCGAATGGTCTTGACCTATCGTCTCTCAGATACCAAAAATTCGTTCTCGAGCCAACAGCACTCAGACTTTGTGGATAAGGCCTTGTGTTATGGATAGGTGTGAAAACCTTTAGCTCTTCCTGCACCGCCTCAAGCACCATTGGCTCGTCCATGATCACATAGTGTCTGAACAGGGCCAAGCAGGTGGCTTATCCACTTCGTCAAGTAAAAGAATCCTCTAGTAGGAAATAAAAATCCGAAAACGTCGAGCGTTGGCCCAACCACCAATGCATATCTTCACAATCAAACAATGCCTTCACGTTCCTGGGAAACATACTTTTAAGCGAATAACACTCAAACAGATCTCAAATGTCGTGTGAAAAGATGCTATGTTCATGCTGTATTGTAAATGATTGGTAACTTGGTGAAATGCTTTAAAGCTCAACGGTCTCGTGCTAGAGAAGAAGACGAGAAGGTCAAAATAAAAGGAAAGATATGTCAGGGCAAAGTCATTTCAAAGGACAATAAGCACACACAAGGGCCAAAGATTATGACATCCAAGCATCATTTAGACTCAGTCATCTTACCTCGTACTCCTTCTCAAACATGTCCTCCATGTCCTCCTCGTCCTCGCTCTGGTCAGACACGTATTCGCGCTCCTCCTCTTCTTCTTCCTCCTCCTCTTCTGACTGAGAATCATCCTCGTCCGTCTGATCACTGTCGACCTCAAGAGCGCCCTTCTCGCCATCCAAGATCTCCTTCCAGACATCCTCGTGTACGTTGAGGGGTGCGTCACCATAGGCGTGTGACTTGAGACGATCCAACAGCTCCTTCTCAATAGCCTTGTCCAAACGTGCTGCTGCCTCTGCCTTGACCTCCCTCCGGGCTTCCCTGCGATCGATCTTCTTCTTGATTCCAACCAGCTTGGGGCGCTCGTCCGCCTTGAGCTTCAGCTTTCTCATCTTGATAAGGTATTGTGTAATCTTGGTGAGACGCTGCTTGCACTTGTGAACCGAAAAGTTGGGCCAGTAGATCAATTCCTTGTCAATCTGTTCCAGTGCCTGGGCGTAGTTCTTTGACAGCTTAATCTTCTCCCACATCTTGGCAGGCATATGGGCACGTTCGGGTGTCTTGACGAACAGGTAGATCACACCGTTTTGCTCACGGACGGTAGCATAGCGAGAGTTGGCGAGTGGGCATGATTGGCGGTTGCAGAGACCTGTGGCGTTGTATTCGTTCCTGCAGAAGTTTCCTGTAGCCGTCCTGTTTTTGTCGAAAGAGTAGTTATTGCCCAAAGAAGGATAAGATGGTGTTTTGGTCAGTGATTGAACAGCATATACAGAAACTGCGAGTGGTCTCCGACCATTGACTTGTAGTTGGCGAGTTGTCCAACGAGGGTGGCTCGACTTACTTGACTTTGTAAGAGCAGAACTGCTGGTTGATAACCTGCCAGATAACTATAAAGAAAGGAAAAAAAAGCCGAGGAGTGCAAGTGACAACAAAGGGCGGAGAATAGTGTGAGTTGACAGAACTTTGGCCAGAGAGTGAGTTGGTGAGATATAGGGTAAAGAGTGTTGTTGCAATGCAAGTTGTTGTTGTCGTTGAGACTGACCCTCGTCGGTGTTCATTATAAGTGCGGGGTGATGGAAAGAGAGAGGAGATGATGGTAAAGACCGAGATTAGCAGAGAAAGAAACAAGGCAAAGTTTACTCTTCGTCTTCTGTGCTCAAAAGAGAGGCTAGCACTTGTTTATTTTTTTTCTTTTTTTCAGCTGGAATGCAGTCACTTTCATCGTTAAGGGGAGTTTTATTATACAATTTTTGTGCCTGGCGTTTGTTCTTTTTTTTTCAGGCACAGCAACTTCCTTCGCGGCCTTTCACATCGTTTTCCTGAAGGCCACTCATACCACTCTCCTCTGCAGGTCGTGATCACCTGCAGATACACTGGCCTCGAAAGCCGTCGCCGTAGCAGTGCTTGACGATGAAATTAGCGACACCGTTGACTGTGATTGGCTATGTTGGCTCATCGCCAAACTTTCCGCGATAGCCCTCCTCAAGTCCTCGTCGTCTTCATCGTCAGAGAACTCGTCCCCGGCGCGATGCGATTGTGATGAATATGTTGACCGCCTGCCGGAACTTTGTGATGAAGAGGTTTGGGGTGCTTGTTGCTGTGACCGACGAGTTGGTATCCTGCTCTCGTCTTCATCCTGCGCTTGATCCACAACTTCAACAGTAATCTTCGGAAAGCCGAGCCGACTCAGCCACGGCTGTTGTTCCGAATTGAATGCAAAGAGCTGATGACCAGTGCTCGAGCGGTTACTGCCTGTTCCAGTAGCTGTGTGATGACTACTATTGCTGCCGCCATTGTTGGACGCAAGAGTATTGGGGGTTGAGTGACCGCTGAGGTTCGAAGAATGGTTCGCCATTGGTGTTGATGTTGATGACATGGCTGTTGACTGTGACGGAGTTGCGGTCGATGAGCCACGTCGGCTAGCGACAAGACTGTCATCGAATGATGTGGGGAAGCTGCTTTCCGGGGCAATTGCGACTCTTGGAAATCCTCTTGCCTCATCAGTATCCTGATTATCTGTGTCCACCTTTGAAACCAGAGACCTCCTGCACGTTGGGCAAGAGCTGTGGTGTTCCAACCATGAACGAATACAAAACCTATCACGTTGACACATGCACTGAATTAGAAACCGGATCGTACCTGACCGAGAATGATAACAGAGTATCAGGTATATCACTTACAAGTGAAAGATGTGGCCACAGGGGAGGATCTTAGCGGATGTCATGCTATCCCTGCAGATCGCGCAATCGTCGCTGTAGTCGGCGAGTTCCTTTTCCGTTGCAGACGGGTATCTACAAAAGGTATGAAGAAGACCATGGTGAGTTCCAGGTGCTGGGACTAAGGTTATAGTCTGTTGCTGTCAAAAATGCAGCCGAAATGATCCACTTACAACGCCTGCATATTCTTGAGTGCCTGTCGGTAGGCTTGATGTCCGGCGAGTTTCTTCCGCAAGGTGTTGAATACACTTCTCATGTTCAAAAACAGCACAGCATCAATAAGGGTGAATGAGATCCCGTGGAGGTACTATTCAGAAACATGAAAAATGACAAAATGTTGGTGAGGTGATTGTTCGAGTCCACTGTGCCTTGTGCATTCTACTCATGGACGCAAGGTGTATTAAGACTCACCATGATGTGCAAGTAGTGGCCAAGAGTGGTGACCAAGATCATGGTGTCCGTTGAAAACTCGGTGTAATACTGAACCATCCTCCTCGATTCGCACGGTCCCTGTCGCGACAAATCTCCGAGATGAATGGTATATTTGACGAGGGTTTGAACCGTGTCCAGAAAGAGTGTGAAGCACTATATATATCCGACAAGATGCCACGAAATAGATAGATGATCAGTTCCTTGGTATCCTTGAGGCTCAATATCAGCCAGGTCTTTTTTCCTAGTAGTTATTACGATCACGTACCTCAAATGACAGAAGCAGGAGCATTGAGCGAAAGACAGAAATGCAAAAGACGAACCACGCAATGGTGGAGACTAGGATCATGGTTAACATAGTCAAGATCTTGACATGGACCTTGATCGGAATATTGGGTGACACAGTCAACTAGAAAAAAGGCAGAGGGATTGGCAGGGGTGAAGAGATGGAGAGAGAAAGTAGGGGGGTAGATATCATCAGTTAGTACCACCATGATCGGATTGGATTCATTTGTTCATTTTCCATTTGCGCTTCTGTCCCACTTGACGTTGCTGACGAAAGTCGAAAATAAAATAAAATAAAATAAAAACAACAAAAGCACAGATAAAAAAAAATACAGCGATCGACTGGACGTACGTATTCGAAGCGGTCTCGGCAAAGCATGCTAAAGACCCGGAGGAACCCCAGGATAGTGAACCATGCAGTCCAGATGAGTAACTCCTCCCACCGTGGCTCAAGGATGGCGCCTACAAAGACGACCTTGAAGAGCAGGAAATTGAGTGCCCTGTCATACATATGCTAAACGGATTGATATACCCAGACGTGATGTCAAAGAAGGATAGAGTTAATGGTTGGTCAGTCACACGACACTTCCTATCTCAAGTCCATCGTCTAACGCAGAGCGGCCCTTCGGCATTATTAACGCCTCCTTGAGTGTGTCTCCTTGGGTGTGTCTTCTTTAGTCGCTTTGGTATCTTGTTCACCCTTGTTTGTCCCGACTGCTTTTGTATTCAAATGATTGTCCTATCTCTGGTGGAAAAGTATGAGTGTGCTTCCTTTCTTCCTCTTTTACCTGACGCTCGATCAAACGGAGATCTCCAAAAAATGTCCTGAGAAAGAGCCGACCCGCAAGGAAGGCCAGACAGAACGCCATGTTAGTGAAGATCTAGCAACATACGAAAAATGGGCAAAGTAAGTATGGTCAGTAAAACAACAGGGATAATAAAAAAGGTTGTTGTCTATTTCCCCAACAAAAAGTCGACAACTTTCACGCCCTTGTGAGGAGACAAAGGTGGAAAAATGGACGAACAACAAATAAGAACGAGAGGGTGTTAGTTGTTGTTCTCTCACCAAGACACAGAGTTTTTCGTTCTGCAAGTACGAAAGGATGACCTGCAACTGCAGTAGCACAGCGGGAGACGGCGTGCGGAACTTGAGGTACCGCTCCGCAAGCATCGCTTGAAAGACTGACGGTCGAAAGCCGTTTCCGACACCAGCTGCCCCTCCTAACAATTGACTGTGCTCGTTGTTGTTGTCGACCAATCCTAGTCGCTTGGACGACAGTTTGGCTTGATCGAAGGTCACGGTATCTTTGGCCAAGGTCATTTGTTGCTGCTGCTGCTGCTGTTGCGATTGACTGCCGTCGAGAATAAGGTCATCAAGGACAGTGTCGAAGGAGGACGAGGCTGAAAACGAGGAGAAGGGCAGGTCTGCACTAAAAGGAATCACATCTTTGAGGAAGGGCTCGAGGGATTTGAGAAGTGCAAGGTTGAGGAATGAGGATGGGGTATGGAAGAGGGACTTGTGGGAGGAATAGGCGATGGCAACGAGGGTTGCAGTGAAGGAGAGGAGCGAGTATCGGTTGAGGTCGAGGAAACGCATCCCTAACAAGGTCTGGCTGTAGTAATAGTGTGTAAGGGCGTCGTTGTCGTTGTTGTTGTGAAGTGCGTGCTGGAATGGAAGTTGGTTGATGGGGTGGGTTATGAATAGTTGAAGAAGAGAAAAGACAGGACTAATGGGTAGGTCTTCGGTGGCGGGTAGGGGTAGTGATGATGTCGATGAACCAAGCGGGTTGTAGGAAGAAGGTTGGATGCGAAGGAAAGTAGCGCACAAAGTATGCAATGTCAGTAAAAAAAGATGATAAAGGCAGGAATCGTGTGAACGGGCTGTGCCCTGTTGTGGGGAAGAAGGAAGATAAAAGAGAGGAGAGAGAAAAAAAGATGTACAGAAGACAACGCAAAGAAGAGTGTCAAAGGGGTGATGGCAAAGGAAGGGAAGTAATGGAAAGAAAGAGACAAGGAATGGATGGGGTTTAGAAATAAAAGAGTGAGATCACCTTGTCGTGTACCGAACCAGAGTCAGCGAGCTTCATCTCTCGTGGGATAGGATTGGGCTGTTGGCCGCCTTGGCTTCTTTACTTCTCGGCACTTCCACTTCACCCTCTCTCTTTCCCCTGCCATGTCCTACCCCCTTGGCACCTTCAACAGTAAACGACGAGGGACTTTTTATTTTATTTGGTGGGATTCTCAATCCGCCACTCTGGACTAAGGTGCTTCGGCTTTGCCCGCTTCAAGAACTCGCTCCGCCACGACCGAATGAACTGGTGCACATCCCGCCACCCCTCAGGCGCATCCTTCAATGGCCTCGCTTCTCGCCACGACTGCAGCGTGTCCTCGCTCTCATTCGCATCTTCATGGTACTCTTCCGAAGAAGCCATCACCAGCGCCATCACCAGCTGACCATGTTCCTTATAGTCTGGCGCCTTGTACGTCGCCTGCGCATCCAATGCCTCCTTCAACATCTCGCTTGTCACCTCGGTAGTGTGCCAAGGTGGTGGCGATGGAATGTCAACCTCATCGGATGGTAACTTTGGCCGCAGTGTCACAACAGTCTCTTTTCTGGCAGTCTCCAGCTCGCCAGTTGATCCAATAGGATTAGCAAGCGTCGCATCCATGGTGCCAGTTGCATCATTTTCTGGCTTCAACTTCTTCCTGGGTTCATCCCCCTCCTGTCCTGGTGATCCTAAGTCGGGTTCGCTGTCGAGTTCGCGTTTCTGCTGTGGAAACTCGCTGGTGCCGACATCTTTGCGCGCCTTGAAGTAGTTGTTCCACCAGTCGACAACACTCGTCTCCAGTACCTTCATCCTCTCACGTGGGATCACATTCACTTTCTTGACCTTGGTTTTCTTCTTCTTGGATCCCAACTCTGTCGAAGCGTCCTTTGCTGACTGTTCTTCCCTTGGCACAGCAGGTTTGACACGCTCTGGTTCACTACCTGTAGTTGATGTTTGTTGCTGGTCCCTGTACTCCTGCCAAAGTCGATTCCAATCCGAAATGACAGCCCCAGCAGCACTCTTTGCCAACCCTGCCTCGTGGTCCTTGATCCAGCCAACACCCTCCAGCGGAATTTTGTATAACCCGACAATCGTTTTCCTGACAACAGCTGCCTCACGATCCCACTGCGCATTACACTCGGGACAAGCGACCACGATATCATGGCTCGAGTGACTCTTCAGCTTGATCGGAAACCACTTCCGGTACTGCTCAGGAACAACATGCAGCATCGTCGCGCCAACCTCAGCCGTCTCCTGACCACAGATCACGCACTTGTTCTCGCGCTCCTCGAGATAGTATGGGTCGTTTACATGCCCCTGTCCTGCTGGTGCGAAATTCAGATGGATCGAATTCGGGGAAAGAGAACGGGCCAGGTTGCGGGAGAGGTACCAACTGGCACGTTTTTGGGAGCAGCGAAAGATCAGGTTCGAGTCGGGTGGCGCGTACACAGAAATGTTGTCGTAGACTTTGGCGTTGCTCTTGCGGAAGTGCTTGGGGACCTTGGGAACAGGCTTCTTTGGTGGCGCTGTGGAGAGGTCAATCTCGACGTCGGATTCGGAGTCCTCAAAGGCAATGTAGTCGGCCTCGTTGAGTTGTGCTGGTGCTGTAGGATCCATTGTTTTTGATAAGACAGCTGAGGTTGTAGACAGGGTGCGAGTTTGGAATAGTGCCGATGTAGAAGTTGGCGTGACGGACGCGGTTGAATTCGCGGTTGGTGGTGTAATAATAGGAGTAGCTGTCCTTGCTGTTGCTGTTGTTGTTGCTGGTGTTGCTGTAGTGGTGGTTGTGGTGTTTACAGTTGCGGTCCGTTTGGTCATTCGTGTCCAAGTAGAAATGAGTGAAGGGAACAGAAACCTTGTCCTTGTTAGCATCAAGATCCGCTCCGACAACCTTGCTGGCTATGGAATCAACGAGACGAGGACGAGGACGAGGACAAATGAAGGTCGTGTCTTCCTGATTGGACGTGGCTGGGTCGAGTTGGAATCGGCTGTCAGTGATAAGTCTTGCTAGTTGATGCTATTTGTTGTCGATTCCCTTGGCTTGGGGTTTGTCTGGAGAAGAGAGCGTGTTGAGATTGGAATCAGCACCCAGCACAGAGTGGGAGGAGGGGCTGAGTGGGTGGCTTGTCTGATTGAATGGTCTCTACAACAGGACAGGATCAGCTCTCAGTGTTCAGTGATTGATTAGATATGATTGTTCAGGGACAAGCAGGGACACCGAAACGCGACTTTTTTTGGTGGCTCATCAGCACGCGTTCAATGCAATAGGCACGCATCACTTTTTACTCCCCCAATCACAGCCTACCCTGACAGCATTCGAGGGCGGTTAAGTACACCCTTGGGCAAGTTCAAGCAGCTACTTTGGGTAGAGCATAGAAAGGGAGAATGAAGCAAACAAAGAAGCAGAAGGAAGAGAAACCATGTATTGTTTGTTCTTGAAATACATTGCAGTGGTTTTCCTTCCATTAGCACCCAGCATCTCTCCTTTGTTGTTTGTCTGTTTTTAACAAACACGAGTCTGATGCGCCCCAGAAGAACAATAGGAATCCTTGTCTAATGTGTATTTTGCTCTCTTCATTCGTTTCTACAATGAATTGGAATATAGACATAGGGAACAACAAGCCCGTTGTTTGTTACTGCACACAAGGGTTGTTGTGGGGTCGAACATCACATCGCAATATCCACACTCCTTTCAACCAACGCAGAAACACAGGCGAGGGAGAAGAGGCAACCACAGCGGAATAATCACAATTGCAAGGGTGTCAAATTGACTTCAATGACGACTAAGGGAAGAGAGGAGAAGAGAAGAAAACATGATGATGCCATCCTGCCCCATGTCGTGCCCATGAAATGCCATGCTACGCTGTTCCATAATTGACCCTTTCTTCTTATTGATTGCAGGTAAAGGCCAATATAACCTACCACACTGGCTTGTCTCGTCTTGTCTTGACTTTGACCTTTTTCTTTTTGTCCGTTTTTGTCGTCGTTACTTGTTGCCGTCGTCTTTTCGTTCCTAACCATCTTGCTTACCTTCACCTTTCTCCGCTCTCTTCTCTTTGCCCGTGCACCTTTTGTTGATCACGACAATCTATCCCGTTCTGCAACCATCTCTTTCTTTTCCTTTGTGCAGTGCCAGCTGGTATCATTTCTCTCCATTTCTTGTCCAAACGGAGGTCTAGTTTTTCTCATCTCTTTCGTGTCTTAGCTTCACTCCACTTCTCTCCTTTTCCTTCCTTTCTCTTTCGCGACTCCCCCCATTGAACATCCATCCCTTTTCTTCTTCGCGCATAGACTTACATTACTTCTTATACATAGCTTTTTCATCTCTCAATTACCATCCCTGTCCTCTCATCAGTCTTGCGCACTTTTTCTCCCTCATCCCTGCTTTAATTTAAAAAAGCGTGGCAAAGTCATCATATCCTATTCTTATCCCCTTCTTTCTCTCTTCCCTTCCCGACTTGAACTTGGCAACTCACTTCTTGTCTCCTGTAACACTATCTTCATTTCCTGTATACCCCTCTTTCCACCTTCTTTACCCCTTCCTCCGTCTTACTTTGCATCATGCTCAAGACACCAGATGCGTCTGTGGCATCGCGTCAATTGCCCCTGTCTGCATCATCACAAAATCAGGCACCATCATCCACTTCAGCATCACACGCTAAATATGCAAAGAATAGTAGTCAAACCAAGAATTCGGGAAATACTATCAACCTCCTCAAAGCTACCTCCAAAGGCAAGTCTTCCATGCATACAGTCAGACATTTGCTCTTTTTTACAGCCTCACCTTGTCTCTACCAAATGGCAAACTAATTTTGAACTCTTACCTCCAACAAACATAATAAATACAAAAACAGTGCTCGCGTTCCTGAACCCAACAGGGCGCAAGACACAGTCTTCAAACAGTGGTGCTGCACAGGATGAAGCACGACAGGCCATCCCACCACTAGAGGAACAACACCTCATTTATACGCAACAGACAAATGCCGCCACCCGACGAGGAGGACGAGGACACATGCATGACACCCTTGGAGACGCCGATACTGTTGACCAGTTTAAACACATTTTCCAGAATCGACCCATCAACAACCAGATTCAAAATAACAATAACAAGCAGACTCCAACTCGCAACGATACCGATAACGACCACCGCCACGTTACCAACACTAACACAGCCTACAACGCCAAGTATACCCAACAAAAAAGCCAACAGCAGCAACAACAGCCGGCGTCATCTCAGCAACAGAACGTGTGTCCAACAGAGTACTCGGAGCGCGACCAACAGCTGGCGAAAGAGCAACTCAGGATGGTTCGTCGAAACTTGAGGAACTGTTCGCCCAACTCGTCATACTTTAGACAGTATGCCGCCTTGGTCGACGACTGGCGCAATTTTTTGCCAACAGCCATCGTCCGAGATAACAACAACGTCCAGCATCAACTTCAACAACAATCGCAGCAACAACGGTACCAAAACGATAAGGATGAGTTCTCGGAGGATTCGGGAGGGATCTATTCCGCTCACGATATGTATGACGGGTCTGAGGATGAAGGGGACGATGAATTTGGATCGCGCCGCCATGTTGTCGGTAGCAAGCCACCGCCAGTTAAGAAGGATATGTACACGCGCACCATGCCCTCGACCTCGACGTCCATGCCCTCGTTTGTCAAAGAGCTTCTGCGCGGGGAAGAGCTGGCCATGTTGGCCTCGTCCGCACAGTTCAACAGTCACCACAACCTTGCTGCTGCATCCGATGGTCAGTCCACTACCTGGACCGGCGGCGAAGAGACAGAAGAACTGCTCTTCAGAAACGGATCCACGTCGTCGACCCTAAGCAGCGTCATGTCCTCTGACGACACGGAGGCGAATGACGCCGATGCTGATGAGAGTTACGGACCTACTGGAGGACGTGCTGGAGTGACGACACGACGCAACAGGGTTACCAAGACCAATGGTCCTCGCACCAGATATGCACGTCATCAACAGCGTTCCAACAACAACAACAGCAAGGCAAGCTCTCCAGCTGGTAATGTTGACGTGGTCAATTCAGGGCGTCAGCAACGTCAGGGCCGTTGGCACCATGAACTCAAGAAGATTGGGCCTGCGGACAAGAGCCCCGCTGGTCGTCGTCGTCGTTCTCCAAAACTCACCACCAACCAACGCCACCATCATCAACAGAACATTCAGCAGCAATCGGCTCATTTCGGGCGCATCCACTTGGAGGATATTGTCCGCAGCATTGAGTCAGAGTTCACTCTTTCTCTGGACCATGACGAGGGCAGCGATGAAGAGTCAGAAGATTCGTTGACATACTTGGTGTCAGGGTATGAGAACAGTGGCGTTGAAGACGATGAGGAGGATTTGATTTCGTCCGTCCACCAGCTGCATCAGGCCAACACCGCCGCCACCCAGCGTGAGAGCTCCATCTCTGGTTCTGTCTCTGCCGCTTCGTCGAATGCCGAGTCGACATCCCCACAGTCTACATTGCTGAACTCGAGCGACGCACTATCCGAGGTCAGTATTGAGGCACCATCACCTTCAAGCGTACTCCTTGCCTCCGAGTCCACCACCACTACTTTTCCACTCGATCAGCCACCCAAGTACATCTACCACAAGGAATATCAACCCATCATTGCCGCCACCTCTACCCTCGTCGAAGCCGCCGCTCACTCCGCCGCCGCCGCCGCCGTGGCACTAGCCAAGACGCGCGAGGCGATCAAGGATCAGGATGAGAAGGCTACCAACAACAATAACAACAACAACAACAGCGCCAGACCATCCTTGAAGCTCGAGACCCATACCATGACAGGCATTGCTCCGGGCGCTCTAAGCGCGTTCGTGAGCCGTCCACTGGGGTCACAGTACTCCTTGACCAAATGTAACTCAACCTCGAGTCTTTACATCGACAGCACTATGCTCAAGAGCGACGTCGACGAGACCCTCCGCGCGTAAGTTCGTTCCCCTTTACTGCGGGCTTTTTTTTTGGATTTTTCCATCTTGCATTATTCTAACCTCTTGGCTCACTTTTTATTTGTGTGGAGGTAGTGTGGCCACGGTGCTGTATGATAAAGTGCTCTTGTCGCACAAGCTGAACGACTGCAGGACCGAGCGGATCGTCAACTCGTCATCGTACCAGTCCTCCGAGCGCGTGCTCATGTCTCAGGCCGACATCTTTGACTTTATGCGCTTCATCTTTGACTGCGGCCAGGTATTGTCTCTCCTTCACACGCACACACCTTTTTTTTTTACGTTTTTCTTGTCTTGCATTATCTCCTTGGTGACTCCAAACTAACTCTTTTTTTTCTTTCTACACCTCTTCCAAAAACAGAACCTGGGTGCAGAGAACGCGATCATAACCCTAATCTACGTCGAACGCATGACAGAACTCGGGAACCTCTCCTTCCACGCCATCAACTGGCGCCGCCTCCTCCTCGGAGCCCTCATCCTCTCCATCAAAGTCTGGGAAGATCTTGCCGTCTTCAACTCTGACGTCTGTGCTATTTTCGAAGGCCTTTCTGTCAAGGATGTGAATGCGTTGGAGAGGTTCTCGATGGCGAAACTGCAGTATAATGTATCGGTCAAGCGATCGGTCTATGCGGTGTATTATTTTCGGTTGAGGGATGTGAGTGAGCAACAGTATAATTCGCATTATGGAAAGTTGACGCTGAGTTTGAGTCAGAGGGATTTCCAGGGAAGTCAGGGCATGATGGCGATGGCGATCCCCAGGAACGACTCTTGCGCCAGCACCTCCAGTCGTGGAGGCAGCAGCACCAACAACCGCGCCGGCAGCAACGCCGGTCTTATGGGCATGGGCATGTCAGCCAGCAACGGAAGCAGCACCCTCAGTTCTGGCAACACCAGTCTCGCTAGCATGACCCACCACTCAAAAGTCCCTGTCGGCCCCGGTTACCGCAAATGGACCCTCAAACCCCTCTCCGTCCGAGAAGCCGACCGTCTTGAGGCCCGATCGGCAGTCTATTGTTCCAACATGATGATGGAGGAGCAGGAGCGGACGGATGCCGGGTGTTGCCTGGATAAGTATTCGTCTGCTTCTCCGGAGGAGTTGCATAACTTATCGGCGACTTTGTTGGCGGCCGCATCTATGCATGCCATCTCCTCGGCGGCGGCAGCAATGGCGACGGTGGCGGGGTCGCGGCAGGATATGTCGGCTTCTTCGTCTGCGTCTTCGAGCGTTGCCACTATGGCTTCGTCATCGGCCTCGGATCTGGCCACCACCAAGCGCCAGCAGGATAGCAATGGAACTACTGCTGCGGTTCCGGCTGAGGGAGTCGCGGAGCCAGTGCGTAGAACTCTGAGGTTGAGAAAGAGTCGCAGCGATTTCTTCTTCCAAAACACCACCCCTGCCTCCATCATGTAATTCAGCTAGAAGTCTAGCAACAACATTCAACACAAAAACTTCAACGCCTATCTATCAAAAAAAAAATAACCAATAAACTCAAGCAAGATCTTTCCAACCGACTTTTTATCAGCAACGCACACTTCATCTATAAGCATAAACACTAGATATCATCTTCAACCTTCCGCACAGTAATCCCTGCTCCACGATCACTCGCCAACGCTGGATCCATCGTCTCGGGGATCTCCACCTTTCTCTCGAAATGACCCTCAACCAACGGCACCAACTCTGGGATCTGACTCGATGACCCCTATCACACGCACATGGTCGATTTGGCTCTCGTCGAGTCGCGTCATCTCCCGGATATACTCGATATCAACCTCTATGTTCTCCGAGATCTCGTCTATCGTGTTGACAATAGTCTGGCATGTCACCTTTCGCCACCAACTATTATCAACCGCTAGTTTATTCCGCAACGCGTCTTTTGCTTACAAGAGAAGACACTCAACCTGACTTTCAAAGTCCCGCGCATGCTTCGCCGCCCCCCGCACACCCAGAAATACCGGTTCGATCGTCAGGGGTACACTCAACCGCCCTCGAAAGTGCCGTTCGATCAACTGGATTGCCTCGGGGATCCGCGTGGAAGAGCCCATTACTAGCACATGGTCGACTTCGCTCTTGTCGAGTGGTTTCATCGTCCCCTTGGCATAGTCGTCGATGACCTCGGACTTTTCCAGGACTTCGTCTATGGTGTCGAGTATTGATGTGAGCGAGCGAGAGCGCAGGTCTTGCCATTGGGGGAGGTTCAATGATAAGGAAAGGTCGCGGTCGTCAAAGAAGGAGTCGATTTCGATGCGTACTGTGTGGTGACTCGAAATATCAAGAGTCGTGTCGGTAACCGGTTGGATGTGGAACGATGACGCCGAGAACACATTGTTCACCTTGGTCACCTCCCTCCTGAGTCGTCCCATCGAAATCTCATCGCCCAAGATCGCCTTTTGCGGCTGCCGGATCTCAACCTCTTCCTCCGCACTGAAAGACCCTTTCGGTCCCCTCAAAAACATATCCACAATCCCCTCCATCACCGCTCGATCAGCAGCCACCTCACCAAACCCACCACCACCTCGTCTCTCAATTAGTCCCATATTATCGTAAACCCCACTATCAAGCTCCCACAGTCCCACATCAAACCCCGTCTCCTCCAGATTCACAGCCACCAGTTCCCGCACATCAGGCTGTCTGATACCATTCTCTCCATAAATAAACTCATTATCGAACCCGTACGCCATCGACCCAGCAATATGACGACCCAGCACCCTCAAGACCTTCAATCTTGTCTTCTCCTCCGCAACCTCAACAGCTTGCTGGACCACCCGCTTCTGAAAATAATCAAATCCTCCTGGAACCACAAGCACGATATTTGTGATCTTGGTGTCGTTCCCGATCTGCGCCTCTGTCAGTTCTCGCATATGCCGGACCATAGTGGTGATGACGGTGGTGTTGTCGTTGGTAGGGAGGGAGGCGATGACGTTTGGGGTTTTGGTATCTCCATGTTCATTCCTGACCAATGTGAACTCCCCATCCTTGGCATTGTACCCTGCAGTCGTATATAATGCTCCGACATCTACACCGTTTTTGTAAAGAAAATATAAGGGTCAATTAAATGACATTTGTCGACACGATGCATGTTCCGTGCCATTAGCTGTATATGCCCCTCGTACCAATTGCTAACACGGTTCCGTATTCTTGTCCTGTTGGATAGCAGTTATTGGGCATCTCGACATAGTGGCTCTTGACGTTGGGGTCCGAGATGGTCAATTCAGTGGTGGCAGGCGTCACGGCGCGCAGCTCATGATCGTAGTGGCAATTATCTGCAGTGACGGTGCAGAGGGTGGAGAACAGGAGTACAACGAGACAGACTAATGCCCAGCATGATCTGCGAGGTATCATCTTTCCGAGGATTAAGAAGTGTGAAGATAGAGGGAGGGATGGGGTGGGGAATGAAGGGAAGAAAGGAAAGGAAGTAATGAAAAAAAGGTGCAAAAGGTTTTTTTTGTCATGCGTTTTGTGCGGGGTGGATTTCATGCGTAACAAAGTTAGAGCCTGATACGTGGTAAAGTGATGACCAATCAGAGAGCGGACGCCACCAATAAGCCATTGGCTTCTTTTGTCTCCAAAATCCAAGAGTATTATTTGTGCACAAAAATATGTATATTTTTAACTCGTCTAAGCTAGGATGGAATGCTAGAATGCCTGTTTTTGTTTATGTTCATGTTATAAATGGTGATATGGTATTTTCTAACGAACAACTTGAGGTTTTAAAGGCTGCCGACCAGGAGGGAGGCAGCGCCCTTGAGCGCCATAAACATATCAATCTTCTCGCGGACCTGTTCCGAGTAAGGTGGGGGAGGAGGCAGCTTAGAGGTATCCCTGTGTCTATAGCCACCTCGTGAGATGGATGAGGGCCGCAAGGTCTCGTGGTTCAACTCGACGGTCTCGTTGTCCGAATCCGAATCCGAGTCGTTCTCAGCCCCAGAGCCAGCTGTGGACGAACAAGAGGATGATCCAGATGAGAAGGCAGACGAAGACGACGAGGCAGAAGACGAAGCAAGCTTGTTCTTATAGGTCTTGTTCGTTTTCTGCTGTTCGACTTCAGAGTCCGAGTCCGAATCCGAATCACTGTCGTCCGAATCCTGCTCGGAGTCCGAGCTGGCCTCGCTCTCGACCACCACGCTCTGGGGACGACGGGTCCATCGAGAAGTGATCGACGACCTGGAGGCAGCAGCAGCGGCGGCGGCAGCAGCAGCCTTCTCTTTCTCCTTCAGTGCAGCGGCAGCCTTCTTGGACTTGGAGGACCTCTTGGAAGACAGCTGAGCGCCCTGGGGGTGAAGTGACCTCGACGAAGTAGCAGACTCCAAGACCTGCACTGGCGGAGCGGCCTCAATCTTACTGTTCTCAGATGCAGCGGCACGGACGGCAGTATAGCTGGGCGACTCCTTATAAGCGATCCCGGCCTTGACCAAACCCGTGAGGGTGGCAAAGACAGTCTCGGTGACGACCTCGTGGATCGCATATTGCTCATCGAGCTCCATGGCCTTCTCGATCGAGTTCTTGGACAGCTCCCAGGCCTTGTCTTGCAGATGGAATCGCTCGTCAACTTTGTTGAAGATGGTCTTGGAGGTGCGGAGGCACGACTTGACGACATCGGGGATAGGCGACTGCTTAAGGCGGATGGCCGAATGGACAGCGGTCGAAATAATCGTATCTCCCAAGCCGCCTCCATTGTTGTTGTTCTGGTCATCATAACCCTCATGAGGATGCTGAGCATACTGTGCAGCCTGACGACGACGAGAGTGCGACGAGCGCTTACTGCTCTTCTTAGCGGCAGAGCGGTCCTGTTGGGCGGGCGCAGACGCTTTGCCAGGCTGCTGCTTCTGAGAGGCAGCGGCGGCAGCCATGGCAGCGGCAATCTTCTTGTCCTGTCGCCTCTTCTCCTTCTGCTCATGCTGCTGTTGTTTCTCCAAGGCTTGCTGCTGCACCATCAGCTGCTGTTGCTTGATGTGCTGTTCCCGCTGCAAGTTCTTTTGGCGGATCTGCTGACGGCGCTGGTGGCCCTGGGAGGTCGTGGGCTCAGCGGTAGTCTCTTGAGTGTGCTGATGGATCAAGGATGTGGCTTGGTCATGGTGCTGACGATGTCTTCTCCTGCGACGACGACGCAGCCTTTTGGGAGTGCTTCCAGTCTCAATGAGGTCGTCCTTTTGACAGAGCTGGTCAAGGAAGGAGCGGAGCTGGGTCTCAAGGGCTTCCCGGCGAAGTGGATCACATGTTTCGACTATCGAAGAAAAATAAGGGTTCAGAGGTTAGTTGAAAATTGGGCACAGTCAAAAATATTCATACAAAACAAAAGGCGCAAAAATAAACAAGGTTCTTACAAGGCAGAGAGTGCATCAGAGTATTAACAGCAGCCAAGTAGAGCTCAAAGGCATCATCACCATCCTCATCATCCATAGCCTTGGACAACTCCTCCTTCTGGACAGCAAGGACAGAAAGAGTCATGGCCTGGTGGATCATGGTCTTGTTCAGTTTGCGGTAAGGAACATCCTCAGGTCGGATCAACTTCTTGGGGTCGATACCGCCCGTCAAGGCGTGGAAGTCGATGCCTCGCTCTGAAGCCTTCTCCGCAATGTAGGACAAGGTCGAGTCCATCACTGGGTGGCTCAGAATACGACCCGCAACAGGGATCGAGTTCAGCTGCTCCTTGGTGGGCAAGAGGCCAGTACCTGCTGTCGTCACAGAGCTGACGACCTTGCGTGCGGCACGGAAGGGCATCATGGGCGATGGGCGGGGTATCGTGGGCATCATGGCGCGGGACCGGCCCTGCCATGCTGAGAGGAATGAAGAGGCTGTCGATGGGGAGGAAGCAGGAGGTGTGGCCGCTGCAGCTGTGGTGACAGGAGTGGGTGCTGAAGGAGGGGTCGAGAGAGTCGAAGGGATCGAAGGAGTTACTATTGAGACGGGCGATGGAACTGATGCAGCCGAAGGAGGGGATGCAGTTGCTGTTGAAGTGGTAGTAGTTGTAGTGGTGGTTTTCGAGGTGGTGGTGGTCGAGGAAGTGGTAGGGGAAACGTAGGTGACAGAGTGGATGGGAGATGATGGTGGTATGCTTGGAGAGTTTTGGTGAGAGACAGCCATAATCGGTGCAGGGGTGGAGGATGTGAAAGTTGTCTTTCTGGGAGATGGGGAGGGAGGAGAAGAAGTAGGAGGTGAAGGAAGAGCAGGGGCAACAACAATGGGGGCAGGGGCACGGGCAGGAACAGTGGTCGGTGCCTTGGCAGCGGTGGCAGCAGCGTTGAGGGAGGGCGAGGCTGGAGGGGTGATAATGACGGCTTCCTTGCCAAGAGTTGCGGCAGCCAATGCTGGGGCAGCAACAGCACCAGCAAGATCGCTGACAGATCCGAATTGAGACCGGGGCTGGTTCGATTGGTCTTGATCCCCCGGGTGTTCTTCAGCTCCGTCTTCCTCAGAGTCTTCTTCAGAGTCCTCAACAGTGTCCTCAGAATCCTCCTCGCTATCGTCCTCGCTCTCCACCATTGAGGAATCTACAGCGGGTATATTAGACAGCAACGAAGCTGGCGCATGGGGAGTGGGTACTGTGGCTGGCGAACGAGGGGATTGGGCAGAAGCGACAAGTGAAAGAGGGAGAGACGAAGATCGGTTGTGCCTAAGGTGGGAACGTCTGGGTTGGCTAATCATGGTCGTAGCCTGGACAGCATCGGAGGGTGAGGACTTCAGGACCTTGGCACGGTCATAACCATCGAGCGAGGCTGCCCTTTCAGGCAGACCATTGCTGTCGTTGGCGGGAGAGCTTTGGACGGTGTTGGGGGTAGGGAACGAGGTGTGTCGACGAAGGGCAATGCGCTGCAGGTTCTTCTCCTCCGCAACAACAGGAGGGGTGGAGACCGGCATGATGTGGATGCTATGTCGGTTCAAGTTCTTGGAGCCCAGGTCTGTGCTGAAATTCACCATCGCGGGTTCGATTTTAGCCTCCATTTCAGCCTCGGTTGCACCATCAAAGTTACCGATGATGGCCTGCGGGTTGTTTCTGGGTTTGTTGGGGACGGAAGCGACAATTGCAGCTGGTGCCTGTTCAGTCAGCTCCTGCTCTTCGTTCTGCTCTTCGACGATGGTTGTGGTTGTGGTTGAGGTGGGACCATGGGGAGAGAGAGGGTGTGTGCGAGTGGTGGTGGTGGTGGTGGTGGTAGTAGTGGTTGAAGGCGCAGTCTTGGTAAGAGGACTAGATTGGACGACAACGTTGACGACGGCGGACTTCCTTCGCTGGAGGAGGGCGGTTGAGAGCGAAGGGAGGTTGGATTGGATGTGTGACACGACCGAGAAGGGGTTCATGTCTGTTGCGGTGGTTGTGTAGAAGGATGAAAAAGGGGTAGTGAGTGTGTACGAGTATGTGTGAATGCCCTGTTTGTGGATATGTTAAAGAGAAGAATATATTAATCAGTGGTTAGAGACAGACAGAGAGTGAGACAGATGTGAGTGAGTGAGTGAGTGAGGATAAGGATCGGTTGCAAAAGAAGAAAAAGCCTGGCAATTGATAAAATGGGGTGAGGACGGACTGTAGTAACAGAAGTGATAGATATTAAAGTGGGAAGTGTCAAGAAGGAAAGCAATCACATCAGCCAATCGAAATTTAAACAAGGGCGAGTAAAGGAACAGCTCCTCTCTTATGTCTGCTAGACTGCAATGGGATGGGGCGGTGTAGTTGTTTGTTGCTCTGTTTGTTATTATTTTCTGCACAGACTAGATTAAAAGTGGAACCGAGGCGAGGACGCACAAAAAGGGGGTTGTTGGTAGAAGGAAATGCAAGGGTTGAGAAAGGGGAAGAAGGGAAGAGAATGTGGAAAATGGGAATGGGTTGTCGAATCGAGGGATTAGGGATTGTGGAGTTGACTGCAGTCGCAATGATCGCTCTCTCGCGGTTGTAAATGGCACAAAAGGAGTGAGAAAAGAAAGAGGGTGATGTCGGTCAATGACGGGTGTGAGAGGGAAGAAAGGTGGTGGGGTGGAAGACAACGAGGAACGGAAGTGAGTGATGAGAGGGAAGGAGGAGGGAAGAAAGGAAATAACACACACCAGGAAGAGAGCGAGGCTCGCTTTGTGGACGGGGCTACGGCTTTGGCAATAAAGGTGGTGAAGGGGGAAAGGAGGGGGTTTGGGGGGACAAAAGAGGAGGACGGCGAGGTCTTATAAGAGAAGAGAAAGAGGAGAAAGGAAGGGAGAATTGAAGGAGAGAGGGAGAAAAGGGAATAGTGTGAAGAAGAAGCCAGCACGAAACACGATGGGAGAATTGAAGCGATAAGTGAGAAACACATTCAGACACACAGACACATGAAAGTGCAACCAAAAAAAATTTGAATGTCGGACTCGCATCTGTTGCAAGAGTAGAACTGACGTGTTGTCATCCTTGCAGACTGACCTTGACACTTGCTTTTCTTATGCCTGCCTCACCTGTGGTAGCGCCCCATTCGTCAATCCTCCCCACCCCATCCATGCCATGCTGCGTAACGTGGTGTCTTACCAGATACCTTGCTTATTGGCACACATACTCACAACCCCATGGTTGATCGATAGGCATGCTGTTTTTCTACGCGGCAAGTGTCAATTGCTCATGAAAATTGCAAAAAAAAAAAAAAGGTTACTGCTTTGCTCTTTATTTTGTAGAGACAAGGTCTCCAGCTTGGCAAGAGAAATGAGCATTAATCCTCATGCTCATCATCCCCATTCCCCCAACTCTGATATTTTTGTCACCCTTATTCATTTTAACACGACCCTCCTTCCAACCTGGATGTTGCCTTGCTAAGCGGCCCTCTTTGCTATCATCCGACTAAGCTAGAAGGAACGACTCTTGGCTTGGGAAGCTTGCCAACGCATAGAGTACGAACATAAAAAAAATCTAGCCAATGAATACGCATGAAGTGGCCATTGTTCAGATACACGCTTTACCCCAATGCTTTTTTATTTACGTTTCTGTGCTTGTTTGTTTACGCAGGGAAGACTGGCCGAAAAAAACGTTTTGTCCTTCTTCCAACCCATTTCGTTTCGTTATGCTGCGTCTATCTGTGAGTGTCCCGACGAGATACGAACGAACAAAGCTTCTCTCCTCTAGAGCGGACTAGTTTTCTTTTTTAGCAAAAACCCTTGGCAAGCACTTTGTGGACTGGCGAAGCACGTTTTCTTTTCCTGCCAAAACCAAAGCGGTAAAAAAAAGTAGGAATAGAATGAGAGAAAAGGACCGAGTTCAGAGTCCCAACGGGATATTTTTTGTGGTTGCGCTTCATTGCACCATGACGACAAAGAGGAAGGAAAGAGGAAAAGTCGTCTGTGTGCCGCAATCGCCTCCATCCCGCGCGGTCCAACCTCTTCCTCCGCTTCCCCAATCCAACAATGCAGCTTATTTGGTTGCTTCGTGCATGCTGCAACTAGCAAAAATACGCTGATCAAATGGTCCTTGGTCCATTATCAATGGTACATGGTCATGGTCACGTCTAGTTACGACATTGGCCGTTTTTGTGCCGTGATAGGGAAAGACGATGGGGATGTTGAGGATATAAGGATGCAAGGATGTACAGTAGCATGGCCCATCATGCGCAAACCCGCCTGCCTATTCTATTCTGCTCATAAGGCGAGACAGATATCTGCCTCGATATCGTCTTTTTACTCTCCTTTTTGCATTTTCTATCTATTTTCCGCATGTCGTTATTGTTTTCCTCGCTCGCTACTCGGCATAATCGCCATTATGGCAGAGAAGAGTGTTTCGAATATGATAAAAAAAGAATAGCGCGTGTTTCCGACTTCTCCAGCCCCCCTCTCCTCTTCCCGGCCTTTGAATTGGATATCTGACCCCTTTGGCTGGCTGACATGGCGTGAGTTTCATAAGAACAGTAACAACAACCTTCCATAGAAAAATGGACGACGGACTTTTCTGTTCGTCATTTATAGCATTTGCATTTGAAAATGAGCCGTGGAGAAAGGGGACGAAGATCTCGCCAGACTCTGAACTTGAAAGAAAAAAATATCTCCTCTCCATTTTCTCACAGCGACACAACTTGTGGAGAAGAAGGAAGGAAGAAAGATATTCTTGTTGTTGTTGTCAACGCTTTTGGACTAGCGGAAGAGCAACTTCGTGGAGGAGAGGGAGAAGCGGGAAGAACTGAAAAAGAGCGTGCGGGACGGAAGAAAACAATTCGACATTTTCTCCACTGGTGTGGAGGTGCAAACAAGGCAAAAAAAAGAGGGGCGATTTGTTTGCTCTGTTCGTTGGTCTGGACATGACGATTCCTATCTGTTTGTTTTCCCCTCACCGCGGAGAATACAAAAGGGGGAACGGAAGGGAAGGAGGGAGTGATCGCCTTGTGCAACTCATTCGCTCGTTACTGCCTTGCATGCTCGCTACCATGCCAGAAGGTTGCGCACAAACATAAGGGTCAGAGAATAGAAAGGAAAGACGCAATGGGAAGAGGGGACAAGGGTGATGCGGCACAAAGGCACAAGATACAAGTTACACATCACCTCATTCCCCCAAACACACCATATTACAACCAGTCTCTTGCAGAAGTGCTGACCAATGTGAAATGCTCAAAGGAAAAAAAATATCGCTAGGAGTGGAGAAATCTGACGATGTAGGTTGAGTAGTGAGGAAAAGAGAGAAATGATTCAGGAACGAAGATAGGTGGTGGCGATTGACCATCACCAGCCAGTCCTGCTGTGTGCGTCCTGATAGTGGCGCTTTGACAAAGCGGGTCCTAGCGCATCTAATGAACCTTTTTTGTGTGTGTGTATGTAATGATAGCCATTGTTAATGTCGATCCAACTTATCTCCCCAGGAAAAAAAGCTCTTTCTTCAGCATAAAACCTGGTTCCATAACAATTCATCCTCCTCCTCCTTGACATGTGAAAGATTCTCATATACCAAGCTTAGCGCACGTCAATTCAATTAGAGAAACATTATCAGGGCTCTGCAAAAAAAACATGTAATTGAACGAAACGAAAATCAACGAATCAACGTACAACAGTGCACGGATTTCAACTCCGTACGTAAACCAAAAGTAGATATGATCGGGCAAATCAGTAAAATCGAAAATAAGCATTTGCGACGCCGAGGGAGAACGATCTGCCTTTCTTATCATGTCGTCCACTTGGATAACTAAGGAGAAACAAAGTAAAACCAGGTTCGCGTATTTACTTTGCCGTGCTTACAATTTCCTTTTTCTGTCATCTCGCGTACCCATCCCCCTAAAACCTGTTGGCATGCACTCGCATGGAAACGAAACAGGGGTTGAACCGATAGAAGGCGCTAGAATGACTTCCCTTGGTTCAAGTGGTTTCAACGGAGGAACAATGGATACACCGATGAAGAAACATGATGTGGACCATTCTATTCCATGGACTCAATGTCCATGCTGTTAAAATTGCTATGCAATCTCATAATCCTCCATTTCGACACAATAGGCGCCACTTCCATCTCTGTTCGCGATATCTTAGTTCCGCTGTACAATATATAGCCTCTTGATACCATCCCATATTAGAGAGCAATATCAAAACAAGAAATTGCTCCGCAGAAAAGAATGATCATTGGAAGCCGCATTCCTACTGATAGCCTGTAGGAAGTAGCATGAGGGTCTGACAATTGCATGTTGCTATTGCTTTAAATGGGGTTCATGGCTTTACCTGATTGGAGTAGTTGAGTAGAGTAGAGAGAGACATGTGTTCCTGGGTTGAGCTACAGTCTACAAATAACAAAAACGACAACAAAAGCATGCAACAATGCAGCCGACCCATGGTGTAATCAGAGCCTTGAAATCTCGGCTTTGTTGACAGTGTTTATGAGAAAACAGAAACAATTATGAGCTGTGGATATAGCATTTTGTATTGCATTGTTTACACATGCCGTGCATGGAACATGATGGGCACCAGTAGGAAGAATCGAAGATACGGTTAGCCGGCAGAAAGAAGACGCAGATGAAGGTGGGAAGAAGAAAAAGGAAATCCAGACAGCTGATGGACAGCTGTCTTACCTTTTTTTTCTATCCGTCTTTGCGGAGTGAGGTGAGCGAAAGGCGAGGTGAATCAGGCGTTTGGTTGAAGAAGGCGCTAGCAAAGCAGAGGAATGAAGAATTGAGGGTGGGAATATGCCAGGGTATCCGTTCAGTGAAAGAAGAAAAAAAATTCGTTAGCGTCAGAGTCAGAGACGAGCAACGGCCGTCCGGCAGTGTGAGTTACCGAGCACCGGAGAATCAACAAAAGATATCGATGTCATACGGCAGGTAAAGAATTAAGGTTTTCTTCCATTTGAATAGCCGGTTGATCGTAGTGCAAAATGAAATCCATTTTTGGCTGAGACTCTGAGAGGGAGACAGAGAGAAAAAAAATATTTTGAGAATAGAGAAAAGTCCAACAGACACCAGCCTGAAATGGCACTGGGCACATTACGTGTGAAGAAACAAAAGGGCCTTTTTTCAGCCTGAGATTGTTGCTTATTGGCATTAAAGCCCGCGAGATGTCCCTGCGGGCATACAATTGAGCCTCCTTCGTCTGATATTCAATTGGTCAACAATGACATACAAGGAGGGCAAAAACATGAGCCGTATTGAAATGTAAAGATACTTTTTTCTATTTTTTTTCTGCTCTCTGCTCTGACTGACTGACAAATTGGTCGTTAGTGTTTCTGATCAACCCCGGTGCACCCGTTTAACCATTTTCCCCCACCAGGGTATATAAGGCACACTTTCCCATCCCATCGTTGCAGATATTTTCTTCTTCATTACTCTCTGCATCTCCTCTCTCTCTTTTCTGTGCCTCTCTTTTGCACATTAATACTCTACCTTATCAATTAACCCTTGCATACCCTATTACACATTCGTCACAACTCCACTCCACATCACCTATACCCCTCTTCGCAATCAACCAAACAACAAACATAATCGACAATGTCCACAGAGAAAGACGCGCAACAACCACAACAGTTTTCCATGGTCCCTCTTGAGACCGGTCCCCAGACCGCCCGCAACTCTTCTTCTTCCTCCACAACACCCGTCCACCAAGTCGACACCACCACCGAAACCGAGATGGGTGAGATTACTCCAGCACAGTCCACTGAGGAGTCCTGGCCTCAGTTCTTTGTTCTCCCTCACTTGATGAAGAAGAACGCCTGGATCCTCTTGGTTGCCACCACCTTTGTCATGGTCGTCTACATCTGGCTCTACCTTGGCTCGCTTTGGTCGCCCATGTCCAGAGTCAAGAACGTCGAGATTGTTTTCTACAACGCCGACAAGGGATTCGACTACTCCCAGACCCCCGCCCCCCTCGCCCAGCTCTTCCAAACTATCACTCACAACAACTCCATGGGTACTACGATCCAGAACCAGATCATGGATCCTCAGGGCCCGCTCAACCATGTCTTCTCCTGGGTCGACAAGACCAGCGAGCTTGAATGGGATCGCGACTCGCTTATTGATCATGTTGAGAAGGCCAGGGCCTGGGGCTTGCTTTACATCCCTGCCAACTTTTCCAACAACTTCTTGAGCTTTGCTCCCTCGACCACCACTGGACCCGCCACTGCTGATACTTTGAAGACCCTTGATATGGAGTACGTCTTTGACCAGGGACGCAGCTACGCCACCCACTCGATCGTCGAGAAGTACATGTCCAAGTCGATGGAGACCTTGTCCAGGACCTTTGAGAGACAGCTCTTGACCTCGCCCGCCAACCAAACTCTTCTCCAGAACTTGCACCCCACTTTCTGGGTCCAGTCTATTCACTTGACCGAGACTATTATGAACCCCGTTTTGGTCTATGGTCAGAACTTTGCCACCTACGTTGTTGTAAGTATTTCGCAGCGTAACACGAGCATTTTTGTGCAACAGACACATGCACCCTGAACACATGCACCCTGAACACTTACTGACCAATCTATTCCTTTTTATTTGCTCCTAATAGTTCATCGTCCAGTACATCGGAAGTCTTCTCGCTGTCTACAGTATCTGCAAGTACCTCCCCAACACCATCGAGACCATCGGCGTCTTAACCTTCGGCAACGAGTCCAACGAGCCCATCCGCAAGCCCTCCCAGATCCCCAAGTTCCCCGCCATCCGCATCGTCCTCGGCCGCAACACCGTCGCCGTCATATTCTCCCTCATCCACACCATCTTCATCTGGATGGCCCCCCAGGTCCTCCACGGCCACCAAATGTCTGAGCACTTCAACGGCGGTATCGCATTCGCCTTTATCTGGTTCACCGGCCTCTCCTTCATGTCCATCCTTTTCTTGCTCTCGCACCTCTTGACCGTCGACGGATTCCAGGGTCCTGCCACCATGCTCATGATCTTGATGTTTACCTCCTCAGGCGGTATTTTGGACTGGGACATTATGCCTGGTTTCTTCCGCGTCGGAAAGATCTTCCCCTTCACTTATGGTGTTCGTGGCTTGAGGTCGATTTACTTTGGATCCTTGCGCGAGCTGATGTGGATCAACTGGTTGGTGATCTTTGCCTGGATTATCATCCCCGGTATCATTACTGTGATCATGGCCCGTTCCGAGATCCGTCTTCGTCGCGAGAACATGCGTCGCACCGCCAGCATCCAGCCCCAGGTCTAAACAAAGACTCATCCAAACACATACATTACACATTACCCATTAGCATTTTAACCCCTTGTAGATAATCCCATAATAATAACAACCATCTTGCATTCTTCAAAACATATACTCTGTCTTCTATCCCTTTTGCTCCTTGATGTTGATACGCCCACTGGGTCGGCTGCAGACCTGCACTGCCCTTTTTTTTTTTTTTTATCGAATCGCACCGATCGACCTTACTCAAACAATGGCGAACATTCTTTCCACCCAACCCAATTCTATGCAAGGGCCAAACAAGGACGAAGCACAGGGAGGAGAAGTCAGAGAGAAGCCTATGACCAGTGAACGTGATAGTGAGCACATACATTCAAGAAAAAATAGCGCTCCTGAAAGCTGCTATCTATCTCAATTCAATATCCTTGCTTGTAGAGTAGAAAAGGCAAAGGCAAGTAACCTTTAACCTACCACTTCGTCCACGTGCCTAACAAACTGCCTGTTGTCAAACCCGGAATGAAGGGCATCCATAAATGTGAACGAAAAAGTGAGAGAAAGAAGTAAGCTAATGAAAAAGATAACGAATTAAAAAACACAAAGTGGGACGACACATAGTCATAATCAACGCCATCCAGGAGAAGCAAAAAGGAGAGAGGGGTGCATTTCTTCCCGTCTCCAACAAACAAGGGTTATCGTTGGAACACTAAGGGAAAAAAAACAAGGGGAGGACAATTTTCCTGATCCCCCACCTCTCCCTCTCTGTCCCCTTGAGCTTTTTTACTCTTCTCGATGTTTGTTCTTTGAACGAACATACATAAGACGAACTGAAGGAAAATGTCTCCTTGAATGCTGTGAGATGAGATCGTGGATGAACCGGCAAGCATGATTTGCTGCCCTAGAAAAAGGTAAAACACATAGAAAGAAAGAAGGAAGGAAAGATAGGAAATGCACGTATGCTTTGCTATTTGTAGCGAAGTCCAAGCACGCACAAGGCAAATACTAAAATAAAGGGTCGCCGACATGGACAGAGAGAGCATAGGCGAAGAAAGAAAGGAAAAGAGAGCGGGAATGAGACAGCATAAAAGAGAGAGTTCCATGGTTGATGCAATCGTTCAAGAGGGAAGTACAGAGGGGAGACAGGCAGCCGAGGATCAGCGTGTCGTGTCTGTGTTTCTGTCAAGGACTGCCCTTGAAGGAGACGGTGAGAAAACTAGGAGGGGGGCAAGAGACAGCGACATGGACATATGTACGGAGGTAGTTGCGCCATCGCTCAAGAATTGCTATTTTCTCTCTCTTGGCCACCATTGCTACCATACATTATTGCTTTTGGCATTGTTTTGCCTTTCTCGTCTTCGCTTTGTCTCGCCCTCTCTTCTTCTCTTTACTTTCTTTTTCTTTTCCTGATTGTACAATACTTTTTTGTACACATATCTCCTCTCTCCTATCCTCCCTTCCAACTTCTTTTGCCACGAGCGATTATCCTTGCCACTAGCGATCGTCCTGCCTTGGTCATGGTGTTATTAGTCTTGTAAACAACGAAAACTCATTACGCGAACCCTCACCTTTTCCCCTTCCTGACCCAGCTCCATTATCTTCTTTTACCTATACACCTCTCTTTCTTCTCCTCCTCTCCTTGTCTTTCTCATTCTCACCTCACTCCCTTCGTCACTCCCCTTACTTGCCCTGACTATCACCTGTTATTTGCACTCATTCTCTTCCTTTTGTTGCCCTCATTTCGACACCGGTCATTGCATTCGACTCCAACTTGCATTCAACAACTTCCATCACACTTTTTTTTTTCGCTCTCGGTCAACACAAGGAACATGTCGTCGCAAAGGAAACCCCGGACAGAGCGGTACTCTGCACAAATCAGGTATGGTAGAAACAAAGACACGTTGTGCTGTAGTTGGGGAATGAAGTCACTGTCATACCCTGTTTGTGACCCGTATTTGGCATCTCTTCCGCACAGACCACCCTGATCAAAAACACTCATCAACTGCCCTGTTCCCTGCATCTCACCCTTTCGATCAACCACTGACATAACCCCCTCATCCTCAACAAACAAACAAACAAACAAACAAACAATACAAACAAACAGAGCATCGCAGTACGACCCGGATGTCGACGCCAACCACTACAACTACCAGTTCAACACCCACCACAACCAACAACCACAACTCCACCATCCACAACCACAACGCGCCATCAGTCCACGCGTTTCGATGGACATGTCAGCTGCAACTGTCAATTTCCTTGACCACTACCCCGTCTCTTCCTCCTCCTCCAACTCGACAGCTTCAACGTTTATCAATTTGACCAACCCCAGCAGCTCTAATAGCTCGAATCATGCCCTCGCGGATCCTGTCGTGGGGAACAATGCGCCGGATGGTTCTGTGGGTCTAGTGGGGGCAGTGTCACCGGGACAAACACCACCAGCATCACAATCAACTGTGTCCAATTCAATTGCTGTTACAAGTAGTGGTGACGAGACTCCTGCTGCCGCCACTCCTGCTGGGCTCACATCAACGCCCTCCTCCTCCTCCTCCTCTCGTACTCCTCCAACCTCGACCCCGACAACAGCACCCCTCGTTTCCTCCGCAACTTCCTCCTCGACCTCAAAATCCCCCTTCTCTATCTTTCCAACAATCCTCGGTCGCAAAAAATCCAACTCGACCTCTGCCGCCTCCCCCTCCTCGCGCCGACACACCAAAACCTCCCAACAAAGACCATCCCCACCACCCCACCCCCTCCCTCGATCATTCGCAGACGGTCGCCAATTCCATCACGCAAAGACCGCATCTGTCGCCTCGGTCCGTTCTCGACTTGTTGCCAGGACGTCTAGGAGTTCCTTGCAGCTCAACTTGCGGACCAACCAAAACAACCCCAACCCGACGTTGATCCCTACACCCAGTCAATCCCCGGGTGGGACTTGGGATGATCCCGACTTGGCGCCGAGTCCTTTTTATGCGAATATGGATCCGGCTTTCTTGAAAGAGCAGCAGCTTGCAGGAAGTGGCGCGAACATGATGGGCGATGGTGGTGGTGGGTTTAGTATGAACCGACAGGATGATGGGCGGTTGCAGTTGGAGCAGGCGAGGGCTTATTACAATTCAAGGAAGTGTATCACCTGGACTCGAAGCAAGTTCCTCCTTCTTCTTGCCAACATCATCGTAAGTTTATTTCGTTTGTTCATGTTTATTTGAAGCCTTGTTAGGGAGAAGTTACAGAAGCAATGGTGCTAACCTGCGTATTTATTCGCCTGACTTTCATAGTTGTTGGGGTATGCGGTGACATGCACAGTGATCATGACCATGTCGTGGCGTGGAGACCAATGGACAAAACCCTACCTGGATTCTGGAATCATGATGATAGCCAACCATAACGTCCTCCTCCGTAAGTCCACCACCTCCTTCTCCATGCCGTCAATCACCTCCAAAAAAACTTGCCAAAGCAACAGAACTAACATCTTCACTTCTGCCCTGTTAACATATTAGTGATGATGGTGACGGCTCCATTCGGCGTATTCGTCGCACTGCTTGGGTTCATTGGGATCTTTACACAGAGCCGTAAGATACTGTCATGGTACACGGTACTCCTCTGGCCCTTGTTTGCAATGGTGACCTCGATCGGATACATCTGCTTCCGACGCAGTCACGTCTCACTCTACATGAAACTCAAGTTCTCGTGGATCAATGAGTACACCCGCGACGACCGTCTTGTCATCCAAAACGCTGTAAGCCATCGCCCTTTTACTTTTTTTTTTTTTCATGTGTCTTCGTGTTTTATCAAACAAGAGAAGAATAGGGTGTATAAACTAATACGCCTTCACTACCTTTCTCTTTCTGAAAAAATAGTTGAACTGCTGTGGTTACAGATCATCGGGCGACTACCCATCCTACGACCTGCACTGCTTCCCCCGTGCACCCCTCCCATCCTGCGAGACCAAATTCCTGCAGTACCAACAAGATCTCCTCTCCAACACCTCCTCGGCCGCGTTTACTCTCGTACCCATCCAACTCCTCGTCATGCTTGTCGCCTTGCTCTGTTCTAATCATATCGATAGCCTTTACCGAACCGCTAATCCCATCATCCCCAAGTCGTACACTCAGTGATTTCCCTCCTATTTTGCTCTGTGCAGGATAGCCTCTTTTTTTTTTTTTTTTTTTTTTTCGTACACAACCATACATAATCCTCTCTCTCTCTCACTCCTCTCGCATAATACATCCATGGTCAGATCTCTCACACCAACAAAACGCGTACCTGATCAGAGTGGCAGAAGTTATTTACCATGTAATTATGTTTTTTTTTATATACCAAAGCACGAGAACCAAAAAAACCGCTGTAAAGAAATGTAACTTTAATATGATGAGAGGCTCCTGATGGTTCGCCAGTCAGTTTTACAGCCTTCATTCATTCATAACGATCTGTAGTGCAGGGCACAGCGCGAGCAGGTCGCGAGCCATTCGGCGCCCAAATAGATTAAAAAAAAAAAAGACGAATGTGTAAGGAAAGGGAAGAAAAGGGAAGAGGGAAGAAAGAATAGGAAAAGGTAAGAAAGAAAGGGAAAGGGGTTGATATCTGTTTGGCTCATTGGTTCCCAGGTTAACTTGATATCGAACAAAGCATAAAGAGGCCGTTCTACCCTTTTAGCCAGTAGGCGAGGACCACAACCAATCGAAGTATAGCCTTACTGCCAGGACCCCGCGGCCAACAGGGAAAAATGGCTATCTTTGTGAAGGCGAGATGCTAAACTCAGAGATGTCTTGATGGGCACACAAGAGTAGCCGGCATAATCGTTCCTAACACGCGATTCAAGTTCCAATGTAAACGTCATATATATCATGGATAACAAGGTGTCGATGGTATTTCTGGTATATGCGATAGTGAAGAAAAGTATCTAAAGGCGACGAACATCAAGTTCACCAGCTTGCTCAGCAAGTCGATAAAACAACGACTCCCTCCTCGTCAACAACGACTTTGGCTCCTCAAACTCCTGAACCCGTCCATTCTCCAACACCAAGACCTTATCAGAATCCATAATCGTCTTGATCCGGTGCGCAATCGTCAGAATCGTCCTGTCCTTGAATTCGGCCCGAATAGTCTTCTGGATCAACTCGTCCGTCTCAATATCGACCGCAGCAGTTGCCTCGTCCAAGACCAGGACTTTTGACTTGCGAAGCAAAGCTCGTGCAAGACAGACCAATGACCGCTGGCCCATCGAAAAGTTGTCACCGTTGGCTGACACCTCAAACGACAACCCACCCGGCAACGACGCGATATAATCCTTCAAATGTGCCCGCTCCAGCGCTTCCCACAAAGAACTGTCCTCAAGCTCAAAGAATGGATCCAGGTTTTCACGAACAGTTCCTGCGAAAAGAGTCGGGTCCTGTGGGATGATCGAAAGATGCTGTCGAAGTTGTCTCAATCCAAGGCTGGCAATATCGACTCCATCAATCTCAATCGACCCGCCTGCAGCGCATCCAAAGTTATCCAAACAGTCGCCCATCGGCAGCTCAGGTCTCGAGGGATCACTCGCCAGTGCCCAGAAGCTGTCCGCAGCCTCAATGATCCTGAAAAGTGCCAATGTCAACGACGACTTGCCCGCTCCGGTCCTTCCAACAATGCCGACCTTCTCCTGAGGCTCGACCGTAAACGTGACATCCTTCAGAGAAAGATCCAGTCCCTCTCGGTACCGCGCCGAGTACTTGTTGAACGTGATTTTACCATGCTCAGGCCAGTTCTCCGGAAGCTCGCTGTGAGCAATTTCCAAGGGCGCCTCTACGGGCTTCTTAGAGTACTCCTGGATCCGCTCGACACTGACAAACTGGTTTTGGACATCGCTTGCAGTGCGGACCAGAATAACGACCACGTTGGTCAGACTCAGCGCATAGGTCATCGCCAACCCGACCAGACTTGGATCCAACTGCTCCACGTTCAGCACTGCAAGCACCGCCGCCGAAAGAATGACTGTGGCTGAAATGGCCTGGATCCGGACCGTCAGCCAACGGTTGGTCAGCATAAACGTGTCGGTCTTGCGTGCAATAGCGTCCGTCCGGCTCTCATTCTCTACAATAAACTGACTCTGCAGGCCATCCAAGGATCGAATGGTCGACACACCGGCAAGGGATTCGCCAAAGTGCTGATAAAGCGGCGACTTTGCGACCGAAATGATTCGTTTGATCGCGCCAGACGTCTTGATGTAGTAATTCTGGATCACCAAGAAGACCAAGAGCAGAGGAGGAACTGTGTACAAAAAGATTGGCGTCGAGTAGCCAATCACGCAGATGATCCCGACAACCGATGACGTAAATCCTAGGAGTCCTGGAAGCTGCTCTGGGAGATTGCTGTCGATCGCCGCAACATCCGATGAGAACCTGTTGATAATTCGTCCCATACTAATATAAGTCATGAAATCGCACGCATAGTAATAATTAGTATCAGATAGCTGTAACATATCATGGCAGGCAGTTTCAACGAAGCAGGGCACATGATTAACTTACGGAGTGGTGTCAAAGGTGCTCATGGGGTAGCGCAAAACGCGCGCGAGCAGCCCATTGTATAGGATTCTGGCGCTTCGAATTCCACAAACAACGTTCGCCATGTAGTTCACCGTGACATCGACAACCAGGAACAAAAGTACCAAGGACGCATACCCAGCAAGATAGAAATAAGATGGCCGATCCTCCTCACCTTCCCGCTCATCCGCCGTGATCCAGTACCGCAGCCAAAAGTTGGTCGAGATCTGACACACTTGGGCAACACCATACAGGAACAAGCAAATAAACGCCCTGTGAAAGGAGCTAAAATATTAAATGGATAATAAGGTGAGTATTCTTGCTTGCATATCGTAATATTGCGCGGTTCAATTAGAAATAATTGCCAGACTTACACAGCTCGGGCATAGTCCCAGTACACGCGCCAGCCGACCTTGCCCTCTTCAACATTCTCCTTGCTTACAAGTCCACCAGTGCTAGTTTTGTCAATGGCCTTGCCAGCCGAAGTACTCGTCGTAGTCGACTCAGCCTTGCTATTCTCGCGTCCAACTGTTTTCGTGGTCTCTGGACCAACTTGTGTAGCGGTGTCGTCGTCCTTGGAATGGCTGCTGTCGTGCTGTCGTTTGACAGAAAAGTCGTAGATGAGCTGGTAGAAGGCATCTTGGGCCTTCATGAGCTGTTCATACTCTCCAGTTTCCGATATCGTACCGTCTTTCATGACAACAATTTGGTCGACCTCGCTCAAGTGATGAATGCCGTGTGTGATCAGAATCCGGGTCTTGTCCTTCAGCAGTCCGTTGGGTCCGATGAGGTTGTGCCACAGGTGCTGGTCAACATGGGCATCAACGGCGCTGAGAGGGTCGTCCAAGAGGTAGATGTCGGCATCCTGGTAGGCGGCACGGGCAAGGGAGACACGTTGTTTTTGACCACCGGACAAGTTGATGCCTCGCTCTCCGATCTCAGTCAGATCCTCCGCGGGAAGCATATCGATATCAGGCTTCAGTCCCGACGCGTAAATAATCCGATCGTACTTCTCCTGCTCAAAGGGTTTTCCAAGAAGAATATTCTCCCGCACAGTCGCATTGATAATCCAAGCCTGCTGAGGGACGTAAGCGATGTTTCCATATGTTCTGACGGTTCCTTCAAGCTTGTACATCTCGCCCAAGACGGCGCTCAATAGCGAAGACTTGCCCTGGCCGATTCGGCCTACAATCGCCGTCAAGTTACCCTCGAGAATCGACAGTTGAATGTTGGTCAAGGTTGGGCGCGATGCTGATCCTGAAGGTGACGAGGTTCGGTCGCCGAGCAATGGCTGCCGTTCAGCATCTGCAGGTGATAATGAAGTAGTAGGCGCAGCTGGTGCTGTAATGGAGTCCTTGTCCCATGCAAAAGATCCGTTATCAATTTCGACCGCCGGGAGCTGACTGCTGATCCCGTTTCTATCTGCATCCTTTTGTACGCCAGTCTGGCGACCGTGTCGCTCCACCACAGTCGGGTCAATCTCCTCCAGCAACAAAAACGAGGCAATCCTGCGGTTGGATGTCCTCAGTAGAATGACGTGAGAGATTGCGAGAGGGATAATGCCGAGGGGTCGACTCATCATGCTGAATAGTGCGATTCCGACAAAGACGATCTGAGGTGTCATCTCGGCTGGTGTGAAGTCGGGTCCTCCAAAGTTCGAGTATACTGCAAATGTGGCCAGGATCATCAAAAGGTTGACGGAAGAAAAGACCATGACTAGAAAAGCTCGCACCCGGGACAAAGCCCGCTGTGCGTCCAATTCCCGGTCCCGCAAAACGTCAATCTTCTTGCGAAACGCGTCCTCCCTAATTAATTATCGGTCATAAGAACATTGTGTGTGTCAGCTTCGACTCAATGCATGCATTCTTAGAACACAAAATAACGACAACATACCAAGAGTAGAGCTTGACAATTTTGATGTTGGCAAGGATCTCAGTCATGAGACGAAGACGGTTGTCCATAGCCCTGAGTTTGTTCTTCTGGTACGAGTGGAGAAACGATGCAAATAGAGCCTGGATGGGACTGACAATCGCAAACACAGCAAGTCCAGCCAAGAGTGACCATCCCAACAAACGGTACAGTAGCCAGATTCCAAGACCGATCTCGACTGGAAGTGTAAAGATCAAAGGAAGCAGATTTCCCGCCGCCATCCAGCTCTCAGTGTCAACCGCCATGTAGTTGCCTATGTGAAACAGTGACAAGGGTCAGTTTCACTACACAAGTCGCCGCCTCCTACAATGATAGTTATTTACATTAGATGAGACAAATCCACTTACTGATTTCGCCGAGGGTTGATTTGCTCCTGGCGGTTGGTGAGAGCCTTAAGGATTTGCGGTAAATCATGGCGATGAGTCCACTGCGCGCCTCGATAGCCATATCGCTGCACTCGTTTGATGACGAAGTCAACATGATTGCGCTCGCCATTGTCCCCACGAAGATCCCGACCGCAATCAAGAGTCCATTCGCCGTAGCCGGGGGCTTCTTCCCTCTTTTGATCGCATCGTCATAGTCCGTGAAAAACTTGAGTAGGTACGAGAACAGGAACGGTGCCACGAAGAGGAGGGCAAAGCTTAGCATCCGAACAACCATCATTTTGGTAATCCTCCACGTGTTGACGCTCAAGACAGTTAGAAGTAGCGATGGTTGGGCTGGCATCCGCTTTGAGCCCTTGGCCTTCCTCTTGCTGACCTGCTTGTAGTACCGCGCTGCCTTCTTGTCCCAAATACGCGAGATGCGCTCGTAGTTGACGCTAGCCTTCTTTCCCTCAGGCGTCTTCTCGTCCAGATCCTCGACCGTGATAGTTCTCTTGGCGCCCAGGCTCATCATGGGTTGCAAAAAATGGAAGGTGAGTCGGGAGTACCAATTAGCCTGGTCGTATGCCGTGAGGCCTTCCTGCGCCTTGCTCTCACGCTGCACTCGTGTCCGACCCCGAGGGAGTGCCTCAAAGAAGAAGGCGAGTCCAATGGCTCCTATGAAGACCAGGAGGTATCGAAAGGGGTCCATCTTGTACTCGAAGATAGGAGGTGGGTCCATCTGGCGAATTGGGCTCCAGTCATGTTCGCTGAAGAGGATGAAGAGCGCGAGTCCTGAGCCGAAGAGGGTGACGATGTAGTAGACGAAGAGGGTATCTGAGGATCGAATCTCGTATTTGTGCTCATTCCTGTTTAAAATCAACGCGTACCACTATCACCAGAGCAAAGTAGAATTGTTGTGTCTGTTAGGATTTTTGAACCTTCATTCGTCAATGTTAGTTGTAGAATCAAGGTCCTTCTGTCATTATTGTTTTCTTTTTGTATTTGTTGCTGTCTCGAATCTTGTCCTCCTGCGCCTCGCAATGGGTTGTCCCCTGTGGTGAATCTAGCCTTTTCGGTATCCCATGGTCCCTTTCAAGAAGTAATCTTTTTCTTGCTCTTTGACCAGTCATTTTCTGACTTTGTTGTGCATGGTCAGCGCAACTTCATGAGAACGATAAAACAAACAAAGCAACAACAAAAACAAAGACGTCAGAGCCCAAACACATCTGAGTTGTGTTGCATCATTGAACAACTGTGCCTTTTCTTTCCCTTCATGGAAAAATTTTACTCGTGGAAAAATAGATCCAAAGCAGCAAGAGCTTGCGTTTGTCCGCGCCTCCTTTCTTACAACGTCAAAGAAAGACTAAGCGCGAACGTTCCTCGACTTTTCAACTCCTTGTTACAAAGTACTCATATCATCAAAGATCGACAACACTTCTTCCTTTTTTTTTTGCTGTGACCGCAACCACATCCACATCCACAACACACGAACACAAATGGCAAAACGCAAAACAAAACAAAACAAAACAATATAACAAACCATACCAAGGCAATAAGCACCAAGGGTGTACTCATCAACAACCCATCCGCAGTGGCGATATAAGGCCCCGTGCCCAAGGAATACGACAGCGCCAGGATAGCACACCAGGCCACAATGAGGAACAGCTGGCTGGGCCAATAGATGAGCCCTGTTCGTCCGTATCGGTGTGGGGGTTTACCACGAGTCTTGGTCAGGTATCGGTTTCGACTCCGAAAAGCAAAGATTGCAAGGAGGGACGGGAGTCCGACGAGAACGTAGTGGCCGCCGTACTTTACGAGGAAGTCGACCCATGCCTGTAGTGGGTCACCTTTCATGGTATGTGGAAGGGAGAGGAGGGAAAGGGGTATATGGGTGGAGGTTTTTTTTGGTGACAGTTGGCGACAGAAAAATAAAGTACGACGAGAGACTGTTGTAGTTGTTGTTGCCTTTCGAGGGTCGAGGGGAAGAGAGGAGAGAGTGATGAGACCAAGGGAAAAGGGAGGATAGGGGTTGTCGCTGTCTTTTATAGAAAGGGGATTAGAGAGAGAAGGAAGATTGAATGCGACGACGAGCAATGACAGAAAGGAGGAGTGAATGCAAGGATGGAGCGGCGTGAATAAATGAGAAAAACAGAAAAGAAGTAAAAGTCGAATACAAAAATGCCTCAGAGGACATGGATACTGCTGCTCAACGATTTTCTCAGCAAAGGCCACACAACTGGGCTCAGAGAGGGAAAGGGTGCAGAAAACCATACCGACCTTTTTCCGCTTGTGTTATATACTGTACTACACACATGGACATAGACATGGACATGGTAGAAAAGAAGACCTTGTCATTGTTTATTCCAAACGACAAAACGGCAAAAAAAAATAGAAAGCGGGTATCAATTAGTTTTCGACGGCCTTGAGGTTGACGCCGGTATACTCGACACTCTTGGCCCACAACAACTCCTGGGCCTTCTCATCCGCAGCGACGGGGTTCACAGTCCTGGGGATCTGATCGAAAAAGTACTCGCCAGAGACCTTCTCCAGTCCAGGTGCCAATGCCAGGTAGATCGACGTCATAGCACCCACAAGAGGGCTACGGCAGACAACACGAGCAGGGATCATCAAGAGGTTCATCATAGGGTTGTGGCGGAACAGCTCTGTGCTGCAGGCTCCAGGGTGGGCAGCATTGACGGTGATGTTGGACTTGAACTCTCTCAGGCGACGGTCAAGAGCCTTGACAAAGAGTAGGTTGGCAAGCTTGGAGTACGAGTAGTGGCCCAAGCGGGAGTATCCCTTAGGACCCTGGAGCAGGTCATAGCGAATGTCGGTGGAGGAGTACATGGCACCAGAGGAAAGGACAATGATGCGACCCTGGGTGGCATTGTTGAGGAGGGGCAACAGGCCGAGAGTCAAGGTGTAATGACCCAAATGGTTCTATTATCAATGAGCGTGAGAGTATTGATACTATTAGAAATGTTCATCATTGTTGTTGTTGCGCCTCTTTCTCCTTCTTTGCATGATTGAAAACAAGGAGGCTGCAATGCATACGAAAAGGAAAGGAAGAAAGGGTGGTGGTAATGCATGCAAGAGTGATAGAACTTACCACGCCAAACTGCATTTCGTATCCTTCCTTGGTCAGCCCGAAGGGAATATCCATCATACCTGCGTCTATCAAACACGACAAAATAGTGTTAGCAAGAGGATAAGAAACAAAGAAGGGAAAAATCATGCAAACCAGCATTGACAGCCATAAAAACCATGAAAATAAATACATACTGTTGACGAGGATATCGAGAGAGGAATACCCAAGGGCCCCGAAGTCACGGGTGAAAGCCTTGACGCTCTCCTGCGAGGACAGGTCCAAGGGAAGGACGGTCATCTGGCCCGTAATGCCTGTCTGTTCTTCGATTTTGTCAATAGCCTCGCGACCCTTACTGACCGTTCTGCATCCTATTTAGAAACAAACGATAACCACAAAAGTGTGTGTGTGAGCGTAAGAGAATAATCGAGTGCATTGAAGAAAACGCGATTTGAGGAAAGGGGTGTATGAGAACAGAGGATTGATCTTCGATCACCATCGGTTTCCTTCCTGTCCTCTCTCCAAGACTCTTACCAATGATAGTGAAGTATCCAGCTTCGACCAAGGCCTTTGCGGTCTCGAATCCCAGGCCCGTGTTTCCTCCTGATTGAAAAAAGAGAAGCAATGAGAAAGAGTTAAAAATTGCATAAGCATGGCGCTTCTGTGCTGAATGGCTAAATTTTTGGCATAAACCCTCCGCGGAGAACTCCACAAGTCATCCTCTCTCTTGATTCGAAAGAGCCATGTCGGCGAACTATTACCTGTAACGATGGCAACGCGGGGACGACCAGGGTTGACACCCTTGTTCTGTTCAATCCAGATCTGACGACGCTCGAGGGCGCGGGCCGTCAAGTCGCGTTGTTTCAGCAGCTGCCACAAGTTCAACACACATTCCATCACACCTATTTCATAAACGCAACAAGTGTGGTAATAAAAAAGAGAGAGTCAGTCGGGGTGTTTTGTGCTCTTCATTCCCACGGAACGGTCAGGGTGCTGAGATACAAGAGAGTAAAGGAAGGAAAAGGAAAGAAAGAGAACGAAACGTACCGACGATGGTAGCGGTGAGGGCAAGAGGCATGGTCTGGGACCAGGCCGCGACCCTGAGCATGAGTCTGTCGTGCCATTGAGCACGAGGGGGGAGGACGACTGTTGTCATTTGAGTTGGTTGTCGTTATTAATCAAGAGGAGACAATGTGGAATGAGCAAAAAAGAGAGAGGGTGAAAATGAGGATGAAGAGATGGCGGAGGGTGGGGAGAGGGAGAAAGAGTGTGACGAAAAGAGAAGCAGCGTCCCTTCTTTTATCATTCATGAAAAAAAAATGGGCTCAGCATGGGCCGCCTTTTTCTGTCCTGCTTGGCTCGACTTGGTTCCCCCTCGTACCCATTGATTACATTACGTTGGCATTTGCGTAAAGCCCGTCTGATACCACTTGCACACTCCAACACCCTCTCTCGGCTGCTCCTTGGTTACTGCTACACGTGAAATCCTCGCCCCAAAGCGACCGATCATAAATGAGAGCAACCTTGAAGGGAAAAACATTGCATTAAGAAATATGGACAAACATCCGAGCACCTGGACAACCTCATGAATCTCGACAATAAAGCCTACGCGTCCCTCAACTCAAGTGTATTTCTCCACATGTTTATTCAAGAACAACATCGCTCTATCGCCCAGCGGCCCAAAGACCGACGAGGGACCATCCCAAGACACCAGGAATACCAACCACGCAATAACTCCAGAACAACATCTTCGCCATCTCACGTTCAAAGAACCCCTTGATCTGACACAGTTGGGTCAAATTGATCGCCGTCGGTGCACCAGCCAGCAGCACCAACACCATTTTGAACACCGGGTCCTGGGTCAGTGTTGGGGAGAAAGAGGCCGGGTAAAAGAGGATTGCGGGGAGACAGATGAGGGGTGCGAGGACGTTTCGTGCGAGGATCGCATATCCTACTGGAGACATTCTTTTGAATCGACAACGGGTGATGATGGTGTTATTGGTATCGTCGATGTTGGTTTCTGGCAAGGAAGATGTCTTCTTCCCCTGGCAGTCAGTCCCTTGTTGCATTGGTGGTCCTGAGTAAACAGGTGACGGCAACAAAGTGGAAGGAGATGGAGGAGACTGTTGTTGAGGGTGTGGCGTTGTTGCTGTGGATATGACCAGGGTCTCCGGTTGGCGCAGAGTAATCAACGAAGAAGCACGCGACAGGGGTAACCGCGGGATCAATCCATCGTCTGCCTCCTTCGCACAAGGACGATACTGATCTTGTTCTTGGTGAACTTCCTGCCTTGGCTTCTCACGAGTGGTCACGTCAGTTGGTGGAGAAGGCGGAACGGTCGAGGGACAAGACGAAGAGGATGACGACGAGGACGCCATATGGACGACTTGAGCACCAAGGCATAGAAGAATCAAAGGGATCGCTCCCGTTCCACAGCCCTCCAAAGGACTGACCACAAATGAGTAAAACTTAGACTCGTGGCTCATAAAGAACTGGTGTAAGGCTGGAACCAGTCCTACCACGAGAGCAACCAAGGTTGTCAACAATGGCGGTGTCAACACCTGGCTGATTTTGTCAAAGACTGCCTTCGACTTTTGAAGGAAGGTTGGAGGCTCGATAGAGGTGGGGGAAGGCGAAGGCGAGGATGATAGATTTTGGTTGTGACGCGTTTGAGGGTTGTTGTTGTTGTTGTTGTTGTTGTTGTTGTCGTTGTCCATGTAAATCCTAACCTCACCCCTTGCCTCAACATCAGCATCAAACCCCATTTCCTTTCCTTCCACCTCCTCCACGTCTGGACGATCCCTAGGAACCAACAACGAAAACCCATAGGACCATCGCACCAAATTACCAAAAATCGCATAAAACAAAATATAACTCATCCCCCTCGCCACAACCAACTCCTTCGCATCCCCTTCACCCCTCAGCAACCTCCCTCCCGCCCCACTCATCACCAACGACTGCACCAACGCCATCGGGAACGTGTTTGTGTTACTGAAAAACACACTCGCAATCACAAAGTTTTCTTCGTCCCGAGAGAAGCCGAGGAACCGGGATCCGAGTTTAGCGATTATCCAGGAGATGAAGGAGAAGAGGAGGTAGAAGATGGGGATTGGGTAGAAGGACTTGAATTGGTCCCAGGTGATGGTGGAGGCCATCTTTGTGAAGAGGAGGCAGGGTGTAAGGAAGTAGAGGTTCAGTTTGGACACCGCCTGGTGATATAAAAATTAAGGATGCGAAAAGAATGTAGTTCAGGAGTGAGAATCTCATCTGATAAGATAACGAGATCTGATAAAAAAAATTTTGATGGCAAGGTTTATGATTGCGTTCTTACCTTTTGGCCAGGGTCAGAGAGGTAGCCGGTCCGAGAGAGGATCGCACCGCACGCAACAACGACAAGGACCTGGCAGACAGCCTAGCATCCACATCCATCAAAAAGTAATCAATTCTTGGTGTCAGTTTTAACATATGGATATCATTCTCAAAAGCGTAGTGGGACGTGGAAAAAGAAACTCGCTGGTATTATGCTTACCTCGCCACCTGAAAGCAGCAGGACTGACCATTCAGTAGCCATTGTATGGACAAATAAATAGGGGATATGGGGATAGAGGAGGTGAAGGAGAGAGGAGAAAAAAGGGAAAGTAGGAAATCTGAGGCTAGTAGACTTTATGAAACCAAGAAGTTGACTTTATCAAGTGGAGAAAAGAATTGAGAGTGAAAAAAAAGTAAGTGGATGAGCACGTCCAGAAGAAGAAAGTGGGCACCGCTGTCTATTTATCTCATAGTGGTTAAAGGAATGCTGAATATACCTCGACATGTTTTTTTAAACCCCAGAGGACTTGACTTCCTTGGAGTTGTCTCCTTTCGTTATCGACGTACTGTACAATAACTCTTCATCAATGCTCACAGGCCCCTCATTTTGCCGTCCAGGGTGGCACTCCGCAAACAATTCATCCTTGTCGCTCGCTCTTAGACCCTTTCTCGAGTACTCACTCTCTCGTATACTCCGAAAACACACGCACAAAACCTAACGTCTAGCATCCCGACTATGGCGTGTTTAAAAGTCGCGCTGTAGGACGTCATCCCTCGCTGAAGAAAACGAATAGCCCCATTAAATATTAGCATAGCTGAAAAGGCAGGCACCAGGTACCACGTGAAATATATCCTGAGCGCATGGGAAAATATAAAGGAGTGGCCAATGATAAGGAAGAACATGGTCGAACTAGTTGGTCAATTGGTTGATGTTTATCAATTCTGTTGTTTGAGTGATGGATGCAAAAAAAGTGTACACTAAAAAGCAAAAAGGATGGACAAAGGAGAAAATTGTAGGAAACAGGTATTTTGGACCCGTGGTTAAGAAGGTAGACAAACTTTTCTCACTCACTGCCTTATCTTGCTCTGAGAAAAAACTGAGAATACTGCTGCCGCACCCATCTTCAAGGGTGAGAGTGGAAGGGGGATATAGGAGGATAAGAGGTTGTCGCGTATGTGTCTTTTCTCACGCACCATCTCCAAGGAGCTAGCACAAGAGGTGAACCTAACGAGTGGCGCCTTGTATGTCGTGATATTGCTTGGCTAAAAGCACGTTCTTTTGACAATTCTTCAAGCTCCAACTAGACCATTTCTCTACATAGCCGGGGACCTACCGGCCTATGACACGCCCGCTTATGGGTGCAAGAGACAGAACGATCCGCCGTTTTTACTCATATTCATGCAAAAAAACGTGGTTGTCCAAGGGTCGCGGTCTGAACGGGACAGAAAAGCAACCCAGTTGGACCTACTCAACCAACCCCGCTTGCTTTTACTTGAAGGATCGCGTCGCTAAGTACCAGTAAGGGTACATATTCAGCGGTAATAGGGCCAACCACCTCCCTTCGCCCAACCACCAACTCCCCTGTACCCGGATTTGACTAAGTCTGGGTTTGGAAATGAAATTAGAGCCGCTTACAACCCTCCTCTTTAGGTACGACACATGGTGCATGTGCACATGAAAGGCAACCGCAAGGAATGCTCTCTTATCTTTCACTCTATTTTCTGATGCCACTATACTTGTACCATTCTTTTCCTATCCACTCTGCCCACGCCATTTTCCACCTACCATTCTTGCTCATGCCAGAAAAAAACCACATAGACTCAGTCTATTGGCAGTAAGTTTTGCTCAATCGAGCCGTAGTTGTAGCTCACTCGCTGAGCTGTTGCCTGCTCCCAGTCTAAGTAGCGCACACTCAAACACATGTTTGGCGAAGGAGAGAGCTGAGTCAGATTCTCGTTACGCTTGATGTTAATTAGGCTAAGACTGGCCACAAAAATACACGGATACCACATACCTTCACCAATCTCAAGGGTCTTTTTTATATGGCAAGAAACTTCCATGTAATAGTAAATTTTATAAAAAATAAAATCAATCCACACTAGTCTACCGTGCGGCAGCCCAGAGACCGACGAGGGACCATCCCAAGACACAAGGGATACCAAACACGCAATAACTCCAGAACAACACCTGGGTCATCTCCGTCTCAAAGAACCCCTTGATCTGACACAGTTGGGTCATATTGATGGCCGTCGGTGACGCGGCGATGAGCATCAACGTGAGCGTAAATGTAGGGTCCATGGTCAAGATGGGCGACATGCTTGACGGATGGAACAGGATTGCGGGGAGACAAATCAAGGGTACAAGGAGCATCCGTGCAAAGAGGGTGAACGCGACGGGTGTGACTTTCTTGTACCGATGGCCCATAAGATAGAGTCCTGACTCCGCCAATCCATTGTCAGCCGATGGAATTGGTAGTGGTCCTTGAACTGTTGCTGCTGCTGTTGGTAGAGGGAGCTCGTCGTCACTGGCCTGATCGATACTGTATCGATACAGAGTTGTCGGAGAGGACGCGGGGGAGAGAGATGCCCTTGTCCTGTCCTGTGCTTGTGGTTGCGATTTCCTGCTGCCATGGTTTGAGATCTGTTGCCACCCAGGATCCTCGTGTTCGTCATCCTCTGAAGAGCTCGAGTCACTGGTAGAGTGTGCGTGTGGGAATACTGACGCGATATTGGCGCTGCGACGGCGTTGGAGAGCGGGTCGAGTAGGGTCAGGAGCGGGGTTAGCGTTTGCTGAGGCTAGATGAACGACTTGCGCGCCAAGGCAGAGCAGAATCATGGGAATGGCCGCTGCTCCACACCCCTCAAGCGGTCGGATGACATATGCATAGAACTTGGAGTCAGCGCCCATGATGAGCTGATGTAAAGCCGGAACCAATCCAATGACCAGGGCCAGCAATGCCGTAAACAAGGGCGGCGTCAGCACCTGCCGTATCCGCTCGATAGCCGTTGTCGCCTTTTGTCTCAGCATCTTTCGAGTCGATCCGTTGGCGCGTTTGCGGCGTCGCGTGAAGCGAGCAGAAAATCCGGTGGGGTTCTGGACAGGCGAGATGGGTTGGAGATTCGTTGAGCGGTGTTGTTTGACTTTTTTGGATGAGCGGAATAAAGATACAGTTGAATTTCGACGGGTCTGTGGGTCCTGATCGTCGGTATCGTTGTCGTCGTCACCCATGTATTCCGGGTAGTTGTGGTCATGATCGCCCTGAAGGGTTCGTGGAGACGAGGGTGCAGTGTCGATTGTGAGGTTTGCCGTTCCAGATCCTGAAGGTTCATCCACATTGATAAGGACATTAGGCAGCGATGGTGCCCTGTGAATTGTTGGTGGCGGTTCGATGACGGGGGCTGAAAAGGGTTCAGGATCCTTTGGTACGAGTAATGAGAATCCGTAGGACCAGCGGACCAGATTGCCAAAGATGGCATAGAAGAGGATGTAGGATATACCTCTTGCAGCCGCTTGTTCCTGAGTATCGAATTCGTCCCTGAGTAACTGGACTCCAGCTGCGCTAAGTGCTAATGATTGAACGAGCGCCATGGGGAGCGAGTTGGTGTTGCTGAAGAGGACAGAGGCAATGACAAACTTTTCCTCGTCCTTGTTGAAGCGCAGGAACCGGGATCCGAATTTGGCAACGCTCCAAGATATAAGACTGAAGAATATAAAAAAAACGGGGATGGGCCAGAATGCGATGAACCGGGTCCAGGTGATGGTCGAGGCGATTTTTGTAAAGAGTAGACATGGTGTCATGAAGTACAGGTTGACGTGTGAAATGGCCTAATCAAAGATAGATGATCAAAGGGGAATGGGTGTGAGATAGGGACCCTTTCATCATGACCATCAAATTGTGAAACGAAACCATGGATGATATAATATAAAATTGGTGGCAAAATATGTTTGTACCTTTTGAGCCGAATTCGATAGATAGCCTGCCCGGGATAGAATGATTCCGCAAAGAACAACAACCAAGACCTGACTGACAGCCTATCAAAAGGGAATAAGGAGTAGATCGTCAGGATCCGATTGGGAAGAGAGGGTTTCAGGGTTATCCCTTCTGCCAAGACTTCTTCAACAGCTTCGCAACGAGGGGCATAGAGTGAAAAAAGGGGAGATATGATGTGATGGAAGAGCAACTTGACAAGGTGAATGGAATGAGTGAGAGCGATGGGTTGCTGCAAAGGGACGTGCGTTGGTATTCGATCACTCAGGGTCAAGGTCAGCGTCAGAAGGATAGATATTGACAATAAAGGCCGATGGGAATCATTCGCAACGGCAGTACGGAGTCTTCTTTGTCTGTCGAGCGGTGAAGAATGTGAGGGAAGTAGAGAAGTGTGGGTGTGGTGTGGTGTACCTCACTTGCTGCAGTCAATAATGTTGACCAGTCCAGCGCTAATGCCATTGTGTGGTATATGTCGTGCGAGGGAGTGTTGGTATGTGTGTGTTGTGAAAGGGTGTAAAGTGGGGTCCGAGTTTGTGGGTGGGAAAGAAAATAAAAGTGTAGGGGAGGGGGGGGGGGTTGTTCGTCAAGTGGTTCGGAAGGGGAGAGAATCCAGATGGATCAGTATAGTAGGGGAGAGAGTGTTGAATGCAAGTGGAGGAATGAGTGGAGTTGATGCAGTGAGGAAGTAAATGCGAGAAGGAAGATGCAAAAGTAGAGTAAGAAGTAAGAGGGAAAAAGAAAAAGATAAGAGGAGAACGATGACGAAAGAATAAGAAGTCAAAAGGTGACGGAGAGAGAAAAGACGTTGACTAGCTTGGCGGGGATATGACTTCGTACAGATTCCTTTCTCATCCCTCAGTCAGAGAGACAAAGTGGTCGATGATGGTGCCTGGGTGGGGATCGACCTTCTATTGATCGTGGACCATTCTTCAGGTGAAAGAGAGGGGCACCATTATCATTATCGTCAAAGTCTCCCGACCACCATGAACTACCGTCCAAATGAACTCATATCCTTTGAAGGAACTGTGAGACAACAAGTACACTCAAAAAAAAGTCACTAAAGTCGACGAACTCTCCGCCTGAATGATTTTCCTTGGCACCAAAGAAGCAAGCACAGACGAAGCAATGAACGCACACAACCTTTTAATAATCATAGCCAAAAGTTGCGTACGACTACAACAACTCATTAATGAACACCTTGGCCTTGACAGCATTCGAGAATCCCTCATTAAACTTGTACCAGATACGGGTCTTCTTCTTTGATCGTTCCATCTCCAACGACGACAGGCCCGCTCCTCCACTTGCACTCTTGTCCTGAACAATCGCCCGACCAAAGAAATCCGTCGCCTCCCTCATTGTTATCGCTGCACCCGCAGCAATAGCAGTAGCCAGCGCAGTTTCCATACTAGCGGCATCCTGGCCCTGGCCGGCCTTTCCAAAGAACGCTCCCACCTTGGTCTCCTTCACCGCCTCTGCCCGGCGCACCAACTCCATCTCAATCTATAAAACAAATATGTGAGTAAAAAATTGAGCAATAGATCAGAACACACCATTACGATCACCACCTAAAGTATTTACACTAGCCAGCAGTAAGCTACAAATGGAATGCGAGGATCATCATCTCTTTACCTCTTGTGCAATCAACTGGCGAACAGCATATCGATTCGTGAGGACGTTCTTGAGTCCAATCGTCGAGAAGTCGCCTAGTTTCTCAATAGATCTAAAATGTACAAAAGGCAAACACGACACGCGAGATCAGTTAGAAGATCATCAAGGAGCATAGACACATCACTAATGCGTACAGCACTCTGAAGTGGGTCACTTACGGTTCCAAGCGGTAGAGAAATTGGCCATCCTCAGTCTTCTCCTGGACAAAGGTAAGCTGGAATTGGATCATGATATCGACCAAGCGCTTCAAAACCTCCCGCTCATCAGGCTTGATCAACTGCTTGTTCACAGGTCGCAGGAAGGGCGAAAGAATCCTCAAAAACGGAGATAAAAGCTCTGTTGCAAAGTTGCTCTTCCGGAAGTGTCGTTGGATCTTGGCTGGCAGGTTCAGAGCCATACCCTGCAGGATACTCTCATTCGCCTTGTGTGCGACAAAGGACTATATTTGTGCATAATGTCAAGAGTCATGACGCGGGGTAGAAAAAGAGATAACAGGTTGTGAGTGAGTGGCAATACATTTCATTCCTCAGCAAGCCAAGTGAAAAGTTCCAGCAAACCCATGTCCAATTTTTTTGATTACCTCATAGTCCTTGCGCGGGTATTCAATCTTTTGTCTCACACTTCCGGCAAAGAAGCGGTGGTAATTGGCAAGCGCATAGGCCATGTATCCGCCCACCTCGTACTCAAAGTTTGCTGTGACCTTGAAGTTGAGTTGGTCATAGAAAGCAAGCCATTCTGTGTTCTCTACCACCTTGTTCATCGCGACATCATGGAAGATCATCGTAGGGTAGTTCTCAAAGCAGCCTAGCAGTGTATACACGCCACCGAACGTCAGTTAGATAAGGCATGTCAAATAGCACCATACCACAAACAACCAAGCTGATCTTCATACCTTGCATCAGCTTGTCATAGTCGCCGTTGGTTTGGACGATGCTGACCATCCTGCTAACATAAGTATTATTGTCATCTATTGCCAAGAGGAGGTGAAATGAGTCAGTAAAATGGAATTACAAAAACTGAAACGTCAACGACTACCCGAGCACAAAGTATTACCTTTAACAAGACCCTCGCGACCATCTTCCATGACCTTGAGCGCACTCCTTGTTTTCCGTGCGTATGTAGCCTGGAAGATCTCCTCCCAAACAGAAAACAGCGACTTGTTTAGGTCTTTGCGTCCAATGGTCGACTTGGTCAGTGCCTCGACGGTCAGTCCGTCTCCACCGTCAGTTCCTGTCCTACGAGATGATGTCTGAGTGGCGGCCAGTTTGGCACTTGCCCTGCTTTTGTTCTTGATGAACTGCAGCGTATTAAGACAGGATCGCATATCTCCCTCTGTCATCTCATACAAGACACCGAATGCACGTGTATCACTCTGAACTTGCTCAATCTCACAAATCTGCTGAAGTCGGTTGACAAAAGTGCGGACAGAGGGTTTCCTGAACTGGTGTATTTGTGCAATCGTCCGTAGTGGTCGCAAAACAGGGGCGTATCTAAGTTATTACATGGAGCGTAATATGTCAGTGAGAACGAGTTCATTCACTTACACACGTGGCAAGATGCAGACGTATGGCGCACACCGGCACTTACTGGTCGTTGCAAATGCAGATGATGGGTCTCATCAAGGGCTTCTTGGTGAACTTTTTGTTTTTCCTGTTGCCTCCTGCAGCTTTTATGTTTTCTTCCTTAGACACCACTTCGACTGTTGCAATATCGACCAAGAGTTTGATAAAGCTCTGCTCGCCTCCACTTGAAGAAACGCCATCGATCTCGTCGATGATCAACATGTTGGGTTTGTCGCTGCCGAGAATTGACTGGATCTCCAATGCAGCCTCAATTTTGCCCTTGATAGAAGCTCCTATCCGGTCATCACTAATTAAAGCAAAATTGGTGGCGTTAAAAGACAAGTGCAAGTATATTACATTTGCCCACTGTATGTCCTGGTCTCAGTGCTAGGCTTATACCTTGCATTGACCTCGATAACGTTGTAGCCTGCTTGTCTGGCAATGACGTGTGCCATGGTAGTCTTTCCCAGTCCTGGTGGTCCTGTCAACAAAAGCACCTTCCTGTCTGGACGTCCAAGGGCATCAGGCTTGCGGAACTATATATTTACGCATGGTAATTGATGTAGGTCAGCTGCATTGCCCGTTTACGAGCTCCTGGTGTACAATGTAGATATGTCGTTATATGTACCTCCTTGAATTGTTGCTTCTTGTACTCGGGAGTAAACTTGTTGAACTTCCGGCCGAAAACACACTGGTCCCATTCCTTGATCCAGCTCAGGACCTCGCGGTTGACACGCTATAAAAAATATGGTGGCAGTGTGTTAGGGTCCTATTTTGACACTCATGCAATCTAACAGTGTCGAGAAACGCACAATACACGATGGCTATACCTCATCGCCCATGAGATCAGTGTAATTCTTGGGGCGATACTTGTCAACCCACAGCCGCTCATTCGAGCCACTTGTAGGATCTTCGTCAAGATCTAAGACGTCATCTTCTCCTTCCAGTAAACGCTGCACATCTTCCTGCTTTTGATTCCTGATCTCGAGCTCCAGTTCATCCATCATCCTGTGGATCGGCACCGAAAGCAGCGAGGCGCCCTTTTCATTTGCTAGCAACTTTTGCATGAAGGTATTTTATACAAGTGGAAAGTAATGTCATTAGCAAAAACGCGACCATTTTACGCCATTCAAAAGTAACTCTCTTTGCGGAGAAAAAGACTAACGCTCACCTTTGATTGATCTGTGCGCACTTTTTTGGCGAGATAGAATGTGGTTCCTGAACTGCTCTTGGCCTTGATGAACGATCCAGTTGCAGGCGGAAGTGTGTAATCGTACTTTTTCACTTCTGGCACATTGCTTCTCGTCGACAGTCCTGGCTTAGCAGAGGGCGCTGGCCGTTGCAACCTTGACCTCTTGCTCGCCTCAACAGCATTCTCAAGAGCAGAGTTGTTGATCAAAGCTGACTCCTCCAAGAATCGATCGTATTCCGCAAGGGTCTGGGAAGTGTCGTTTGTGTCCGTGAAGGTAGAGAGTGTTGCTGTTTCGGGGACCTTTCGCTTGTTAGTGTCAGAGGTCTGGAATTGCGTCATCATCATCTCCTGCTCATGGAACTGTGCATCAAGAATCTCCTGAATTCCTGCCTCCTCATCCCTGAGCATCTCGTCCTCCTTGATCATGTCGTCCAACATGGCATCTTGCTGTCTCGCCGACATCTCGTAGAGTTCCTCTTCGTGTAGACTATGTTCATGGCTCTTTGACGATCTTTGTCCCGCCGAAGTAGAGGGACGACCAAATGAACTGAGGCGTGGTGGGATGGCAGAGGTGATAGTCGTACTTGAGGACGCAGTATGTGATGACCGAGTCGTTTCCGTGACAGCCGGCGCGCCCGATTTGGTCCGATGTGTTTGAGAGATACTGAGCTTCTCCAGTCCCAGGTCGTCGCTGTTGGGGCCATCAAGTGATTCATCCGAAGCCTCTAGGAGTGGTATCCGCCGAGAAAAGAGGGGTTTCTTGTTCTGGTTCTCCTCAAACTCAAGTTCGCCATCGGCTCCGAACTGAGCAAAGAAATCATCGCCAAAAAGATCGCTGTCGTCCTGCGCAGATGTCGAAAGTTTACTCTGTCCGTGATTAGAAACACTGGACCCAAGGGGGACTGTATTGGCGTGTATCCGGTCGTCCTGGTTGTTATTGTTCGTGTCCAGACGGGCTGATCTGGAGGATGTGCTTGAAGCAGCTGCAAAGTCTTGACCAAAGTTCATCTCCAGCGATTGAGATCCCAACGGCGTACTCAACAAGTCATCCTCGTCGCGCGCAACAATGTCGTCCTCCATCTCGTCATCCGAATCCATAATGATCCTAGACTTCCTGGTTGGCTGACTTGTGGGGGCTGGAGTGAGGCTGGAAACAAGCGTTGCGCCGCTGAGCGGATATGTCGACAACTCCCCACTCCTTGAGCCCTGGCTCATGTATTCATTATCTATTCATTGGTAATTGAGATTTGGGTTAGACGCGCGTAGATCTTTATCTTTCTCCTTTGTAATGTCCTTCGTCTATCTTTCAGGTACTACCAAGGCCGTTGGTTTACCATTGTCGGCCATCTTGTTGTCGTTGCAGATGGTCAGGTTCTGTCGAATGAAGTTTGTACTTTTATGACCAGAGAGAAGTGCCCTGATGTGTTCCTTCTTGCTTCTACTCCTTTACTCCCTTGCGACGAGAGATGTTGTATCCTGCTACTTGGTGTCGGTGAATGCAGTTGCTGTTTGTATGAAAATGAACAAAAGAGACAGGTCGTTCTAAGGACGCGCCTGGACAACGTGTCGAAAAACATAAACATCACGTGAGTTAAATTAAAGGTCAAGACTGTCTTTTTTTTTCTTACTTGCTCGCGTGGAGGTTGTGCCCTTCTCCGCGGAGGAGGAAAGCGAGGACAGAAAGCAAAAAGTGATCGAAGAAAAGAGAGCAGTTGCCGCCGTGGAGAAATAGGCAGTGCAACAATCGTGAGCCGTACTGACTGCACTGTGTAGAAGAACGAGAAGAGGGGGACAGAAAGATGGAAATAAAAAGTAAAAGATGATGATGATGGGGAGAGAGAAACATTGCAGCGTGGTGTCTGAGGGAGTGTGAGCACGACAGGCAGGGCAGGATGAGACAGAAAAGTGATATGAAGAAAAGTCAATTGTTTGTTTCTACTCTATCTTGGACAGTAGAAGCCCTCTCTCTCCTCCCGATCTTTAGGGTTTCTTCAGAACCATTGTCCGTGCACACACATACAATCTACTCATACCCTCATAACTGTTGCTTCTACTTTTACCCTAAGAAACACACAAATACACAAACACTCATCACACACATTCTTACCGACCATTTGACTCTTGAACCTCTTCCTTCACTTCTCTACTCTACTTTTTCCATCTCTCTTTCTCACTCACATTCGCGCCCATACTTTTCTTTATCTCTGTTACTTTATCTTATTCATTGGCCTAAGCTTGTCCTACTTTCATATCTATTTACGCTTTATTTTTCCACGATCCTCTACTGTTTTTGTCGTTGGGTGTATCAAGCAATAGAATTCAATTCAATGAGATCCCCTTCCTTTCCCCCTTTCATTGACTGGGTGACAATAGAAGGGCCTCCTCCTTTCACTCTCTTTCGTTCATCAAGGCACCATGATTGAATGAGCATAGCCCTCCTTCCTCTCCTCCTTTAGTATAAAAACTCCCGCCATGCCCGCACCTCCCTCACCATCCAACGTCTTTTCTTTATTTTCATTTTTCTACCTTCGAAAAAAAATTCATTCATCTTGAAACTATTATCTCCAGCATCTAATGCCGGCGTACCCCACACCCTCATCTCCAATCATCAACCTGCAATCGCTATCCGTGATGTCCAAGACCGCTTACAACTACCGCCGCCGATCCGAGGATGCCGTCGTCGTTGAGGAAGTCCACGCATTACCCGATCTCGAAGACGACGTCCCTACCAACGAGAACGGCGAGAACGACAACCCAGACGATGACGAGGATGATATCGCCAACGAACCCATGGAGGACCAAAGTGTACCGAACCTCATTGTCGTTCAGAGCCCCTCCCCTGGATCTCCTGCCAGTATCTCATACGACATCCATCCCGCTGTATGAGACAGGCCCATTAAGACGATTTTCTGAAGATTCTCTGTACCCATCCTTCGTCTCTCGCTCCGAGGGGGTGTTTGTCACGCATGCACATTTCAGGTCCGACCCCGCCGTCTTTCTCTACCAAAAAAAAATTCAATTTTATAGCATTCCACATACCTTTCTCTACCTGTACAATATTAAAAAGCACTTTATTCTCATTCATATCTTCCAAGCGTTCATTTTTGCACTTTCCAACAAATGAGGGCTGTATGTGTCATTCTTCTTCTTGCCAAGTTACACTCGTTGGGAGACTTTTTTTTCCCGTTTCGCTCGAATAGTTCATACTTCTTGTGCTCTCATTGCATTTCACATTTCACGCAATAAATAAATGTTACACACACGCTTGCTCCACTTACCCTCTTTCTACCTTCTCCTCTGTGTTTCTGCCTTTTTTTTTTTTTTTTTTTTTTTTGGGGCTTTCTCGCCGTATTGGTACCAATCACATAACAAACATAAGGCTCTTTTCTTTTTTTCATTGCCTCGTCAATCTCAATTGAGTTTGACTAAACAAAAAAAGTGCGTGGCTATGTGCAAGGGATAAGGACTCAGGAGTGACGACGAAGAAGGCATTATCTCCTCAACTCAATTGCACACACATCAATTGCGAAAAAATGGGGTCGAGAGCGGGAGAGTGGGTGAGTGGGATGGAATTAACTTTTTTGAACACATGGACCAATTTACAACTAGAGTAACACGACCATGCTGTCTTGTCGATTGTTGCCAAATGGGCACTTCGGCAGAAAATACTACGCGATCACGAAGGGGGAGAACACAAAGGTGAACAACAAACAAAACAACAAAGGGGGGATCCCGGTTCAGGTTCTTGTGTTGCACTGCGTGGTTTCTGTTGTTTTCCTGTGTCAAGCAAAAATCAGCGAAAATGTAAACAAAAGCATCCCCCCCCCCTCCATCTCAACAACTTGTTGTCTGTTCCTGTTTGCTCTCTTTGTGTTCTTTTTTGCATCAAGTGCATCCCGCGCCCTTTTTTATTTCACGCGCCGCAAAATGTCAAATATCGAACACATGAAAGGTTAGTATCAAAGCTTGGCGAGCTACAAACATAAACAACCCGATCGATGCTATGAAGTAAAAATTACACGAAAATGAATGCAACGAAACGTGGCTCTTTCCTCCCCTGTCTCCTCCAATCTCTGCTTTTAACACACCTTAAAGTCAATTGACTTCTTTATTCCGTTTTGTCAGTTGGCTAGGCAACTATTCGATGGCATGTTCGTCCACATGCCCCGCATTGCAGCATTGCAGTGCTGTACGGAGCAATGACGATGCTAGTTAGGCGTTTTTTTTTTTTTTTTTTGACCTATGACGACAGAGATGTCAATGGCTTAATTTTTTGTCCTGCTCCGCCCCATCGCTGGGCTGATTGGAGCAAACGACAGATAGAATGTGCGGCCAAGTGATATGAAAATGGTAAATCTCGCAGAAAACAGGAGGGAAGAGCAGTAAGGGGGATGGAGAGTTCAGAGAGAACAAAAACGGCAAAAAAGGAGAGAGACAATGAGGAGAGGGTGGAAAAGGGTGCGCGGGAAGCAGGAAAAATGAGTTCGTCACTTGGCATGTACTCTCCGTTGGCTTGGTAACTTGACAAAAAAGGACAGCATGAGTGTATGTGAAAGTGTTCTTATCTTGCACCCCCTTTCCCTCTCAACTTTCTTTCCACGTTTTCGCCGATAGATAATAGGAAAGTAAGGAGTGGCGATGATAGGAGTCAACATTTGTCTGTCTGTATGCATGGGCATTTCTTTCTTCTTACTCACTGGATCTATTCACCTTGCTGTGCCTTGCGACATCTAATTGAATGCTGCGGCTAATTGGCTGCATGAGGACAATAAGGATCAAAATGAAATAGATATCGTCCACCCTCGAAATGCCTATTTGCTGCGACAATCGATGCATCGACGCAACTCTCAGAACTCGAATGGATACACGCGCCCAGCACGCGTTCTCTCTTTTCTCTGAGCAATTGGTCGATTGAAATTCTACTTGTTTTTTGTTTGTTTTCATTTAACCTTTTTTTTCCTCCGCGGATTCCACACAGAGAACAGACGAAGACGATCGGTGTGTCTATGATTGTCTGTTTGTTTGTTCTCTTCCATCATTTGGCTGGCGCCCCCTCCCTCCATCTATTGGCTGGCCAGAGCATCGCTCTGGGCCAGTCGAAGGACTTGAGGGCTGTGGATGTAGGAGCACAAGCGAAAGGAAAAAGGGGGTCATTCCCTCGTAGCTTTTTCGTTTTTCATTTCTTCACCATGTACGCTCATTCCTCCCATTGCCACTCTTTCTCGTCACGATGGGCTCATATTTCGCTTTTTGTTGCCATTTCTTTTCTGCCTTTTCCATCCCTTTTTTCCCACAGACAGGAAGACACAACCTAGAATGGCTCCTCGACAACATACCTTCTTTGTCAACATTTGTACACAACTTACTCACCCTCGGATCTCTCTTTCACATTTTCGTAGATGATCTCTTAACCCCTGAACCTTTCACGATAATACTTGGCTAGCATTGCTTTACTTTGCTTTGCGTCGCCGCTTTTTGACTTTGCTTTTTTTGTTTAGATTTTCTCGCTCGCTTCGCTTCAACCCTTGACCCTCGCTCTTTACATTCGTGTTCGCTACTCCATGATCCATTTTCTTTCCTCTTCCCCTCTTTCCCTCCTCGGCCCCTTTGTGTCTGTTGACATGGTGCTACCATCGTGGATTGACTTATCCTCCGAACAATCTAGTCTCCATTCTCTCTCTCATTCTCTCTCTCTCTCTCTCTCTCTCTCTCTCTCTCTCTCTCTTTTTTTTTTTTTTTTTTTTTGTTCTTGCTCTTACCCCCACGTTTGGATTCGTTTTCATTGCATTCATCTCATCTTTGGATGTACTCAATTCATACCCACAGCCTTCAGGATGGAGCTGTGCTGCCTCTATTGTCATGCTGTACCCTCAAAAGTATCGCGCACGGATAACATGCTAATACATCCCGTGAATAAACCCATCAGAGAGGGGGAGGAGGAGGCCATCGCAGCGACGTTCTAGAACCCCCACCTGTTTTTTTTTCTTTCTTTCTCAGTATCAGGTTACATTATCGCCCCCTTTTTACGATGCAATCGATTGAATATGGTGCCTCCCCCCCAAGGTTAAAATGTGATGAATTGACGATTTTGCTCTAGTTACAAGAAACAAAACGCGCTTCAATGATTGACGTAGACTGCCCCATCCCTTTTTGGCCCTATCTATCCCTTTTCTCTCACCCTTTCCTCCACACTTCTTCTTTCCACTACCACGACTGGGGAAGAAAGAGCGAGAAGATGAGTCGCTCCGTGATCCTCCCAGAGTTGAAAGAGATCTTTATCCTCGACCTTTTATTTTTGCTTGTACGAAAGAATGGCCAGCAAACATCGTCGATAGGCCTGTTACTCTCACATTCACCCGTTTTTGCAAAACAAACAACAAAAGAGCACGAATGATGAATGAGAAAGGGGGTTTATTCGTTACAAAGGATGTTGCAAGTCCCACATCTAAGTTGGAGCATTGCTTGAACTTTTTTTTTTGTTGTTGTGGCAATTGTTGTTACTGAGAAAAAAAAGATGTCTTGGTGACGATGAAAATGGAGTTTTGAAGGTCATGATCATGAGAAGGGGCAAAAAGGATGAACAAAAATACGAAAGAAACGGCTGAAAAAGAAACAACGAGGGAGATAAAAATAACAAAGGAAATAAAACGAAAGGTGCCGTGAGATTAGTTGGTGTTCAAGACATCAACATATCTTGACCGTGCTCCACGACGAGCAGCAGATCCAGCACCAGCGGGCTTGAGACCAGGAGGTCCACCCATCGCAGGCGAGCTACCGCCAGTCGAGGGGGGTCCACGGTTCAAAGAAGGAGGTCCTCCAGCTGCTGGGGACGAGATGCTAGCTGGGGTTACAGTGCGGGACATGGGTGGTGGAGGCAATGCCTCGGCCACGCTAGAGGTCTCTGAACCGCCCTTCTTGTTCACCCATCGCTGTTGTTCCTTGTCAAAGTAGAACGAGGATTCCTCACCCAAGTTTGCCTTCACTGGCTTAGGGGTGCCCTCGCGCTTCTCTCCACCGAAAAGGTTGATCTTGGGCCACCATCCCTTGGCTAATAGTTTCAAGTTGCAAACAAAGGCGGCGTGTTAGTCACTGCGAACATCATAACGAACAACATCAATGTAAGTATATGAGCCCAGTACAAGGTCACTTACAATCATCGCCTTCAGCACCGGCATTGGCTGCATTGTCATCTTGAGTCGCGGCGGCAGCTGCGGAGTTCTCTCCCTCGGGCGCGGCAGGCTTCTCCTTCTTCAAAGAGTTGTTGCCCATACCAAGATCATCATCATCGGCAAACGACGACTGGTTGTTGTTGTTGTTCACAGGGGCGGCAGGCTGACCAAACGAAGGAATGGTAGGGACAGCTCCGAAAGAGATAAACTGGCCCTCTTCATAGTTTTCCTCCAATGGCTCCTGAGCGGCTTCGGCAGCGACAGCGGGGGCGTCGGCAGCGGGCTGCTGCTCACCGGCATTGGGGTCGACATAGCTGCCGTCTCCATTGCCCCACCAGGTGTTGTTGCCGGAAGAGTAATCCTGCTGCTGGGTTCCGTCAGCAGAGTACTCGGCTCCGTTGGGGTGACCCTCGTAGACACCTGCGGCATCATACTCGCCGTGCTCCTGGTACTCGCTGGTGACTGGGAGAACACCGGGCTCGTTGGAGGGCTGCTGCTGCTGCTGGTCCTCGGTAGGGTACTCAGCCTGCTGGTAATCGCCTTGCTGCTGGTACTCGGCTTGGGTGTAGTCGTACTGGCCTTCCTGGTACTCGCCCTGCTGGGTGTAGTCATATTGGCCTTCCTGGTATTCGCCCTGCTGGGTGTAGTCATACTGGCCCTCCTGATGGTACTCGGTCTGGCTGTAGTCATACTGGCCTTCCTGGTACTGGCCCTCTTGATACTGGCCCTCCTGGTATTCACCCTGCTGGTGCTCGACTTCTTGGTAGTCTCCCTGAACAGCGACGGGAGTATCAGCGACGGGCTCAACAACAGCCTCAACAACAGCAGCGGCCTCAAGAATGGGCTGCTCCTGCTGCTCAGCAGTGGGTTCGTCAGCAAGGACCTCCTGCTGCTTCTCGGGGACAGCTGCATCGACATGGGCGTGGGTCTCGACAGGTTGGTGACCCTCGGTCTGCTCCTGGTAGCTGGCATCGTTGTACTCGGCACCTTCGTAGTTGCCATAGAGGGTCTGTTCGGCAGTCTGTTCGGCAGTCTGTTCGGCGGTCTGTTCGGCAGTCTGGTCGTACTGCTGCTCGCCATAGGCATTATAACCTTGGCCTTCCTGGTACTCCTGCTGGTATTCTCCGCCGGTCGTGTACTCGCCGGTCTGATAATCGCCAGCCTGGTACTCCTGACCCTCCTGGTACTCCTGGCCCTGTTGGTACTCCTGGCCCTGTTGGTGCTCCTGACCCTGTTGGTACTCCTGGCCCTGCTCGTACTCCTGACCTTGCTGGTACTCCTGGCCTTGCTGGTACGCCTGGCCTTCCTGGTACTCCTGGCCCTGCTCGTACTCCTGGCCTTGCTGGTACTCCTGGCCCTGCTCGTACTCCTGGCCTTGCTGGTACTCCTGGCCCTGTTGGTACGCCTGACCCTCCTGGTAGTCGCCGTTATACGTGACATCCTCGGTGTAAGCATACGCTGCACCCTCGGCATATTGACCATAGTTGTTGGCATCATACTCCTCAGTGGCAGCAGCGGCAGGTGTCTCCTCAACAATAGCAGTAGCAGTGGCTATAGCAGCGGCAGTGGCATCGTGCTCCTCAGATCCATGAACAGCCTGGGTCGAGTAGGCAGCTGAATCGACGGGAGCGTTGTCGGGCTGAATGGCCAAGCCGGCGACAGTGGCGCCAAGAGTGCCCTCAGCAGTCTCATACTGAGCATCATACTGGCCATTGTACTGGGTCTCATCGTACTGGCCCTCGTAACCGGCCTGGGTCTGGTAGTTCTCCTCGCCGTAGGGTTGCTGTTCCTGAACGGCATCGGCCTGTGCCTGGAACTCTCCCTGCTGCTGCTCGTAGCCCTGGTAGGCAGAGGTATCCTCGCCCTGGTAGGTCTCGGGGTAGGCTTGGGTCGAATCGTAGGCGTAGGTCTGGCCGTCGTATTCATATCCAGCGTAGTATCCTGCAGCCTGAGCATCGCCCTCTGCGTTATACTGAGCGGTTTGATCGTAGCCGGGGTAGGTTTGATCCTGAGTGGCGTCCACATCGACGGCAGGTACAGCCTGGGAAGCGATCTCAGTCTGCGCGGCAACGGCCTGGGTCTGGTTGAAGGTAGGAACCTCCAAGGAGGCGCGACCAGGGACGGAGGTGCGTCTGGTGGCGCGGGTTCCATTGCTCGATCTGGAGACGGCGCGAGGAGGAATGTTGCTCAAGTCGGGCAAGGCGGGGGCATGGGCAAAGGGTCCAGACTCAGAGGCGTTCGCCTTGGGCTCGTCGACGACAGGCTTGAGCTGGTCGTTGTCACCGGCGATGAATTTGGAAATCTTATTGTCCAGAGCATCAAAGATGCCTCCAATGGTGGGCTTAGTGACCTTCTTGGCAAACCAAGACTCACTAACGACAGAGAAACGAAAAAGTATCAGTTGCACGTTCCATACCACCAAATATGTCACATTTCACTAGTCATGTATTGAGCCTTACCTAGTGGAAACCAACTGAGAGCTTCCTGACAGACGCTCAGTAATGTCCTTCAGACGCTCGAGGAAGACAATGTTGTAGTAAGGAGATCCCTTTGTCTGAGATTTGACAATAGCCTCCATCGACTCCAAGTACCTACACAGAAACATGCAATGAAGGTCAGTTTAAAAGCATATTTTCCCTAGGGGTATGCCACATTCAAAAATAACAAAGCTCAATCCATACCTTCCAGCTTCAGAGAACATGCCCCACTCAACAAGGGTCCAGACATAAACAAGCTTGTAAGCCTGGAGGAAAGGCAATCCTCCGGTGGCACCTGCACTCCTGAGGGCGCAAGCAAACTCGTAAATCTCGGTCTTCTGGAACGCCTCGATGTTCTTGTAGAAGGGGAACGACGTGTGAGGGTTAGCGTCGGCACCGATCAAAACCAAGCGGTTGCCCTGAGCATCGGGTCCAGAGTGGACTGAGTTCTGGGGCGAAAGCAAGTAGCAGATGTGAGCAGCCTCAACCCATCCTTCCTTCAACAAGAGGTCTCCGAGCGAGCTGATGGCGGTCTGGTCTCCCGAAGTGCGGTTGGACAAGATCATCACCAAGGTGTCGCGCCACTGTCCGAGACTGGCGCTGGGGATCTTAGGCTCCTCAATGGGCTTCATCAAGGACAGCGAGGCTCCGGTGACAAACTGGTCGTCAGCGACCTGGGTCTCATCCTGGTGTCCATCAATGGGTGCACGCAAGGTCAAGGGGATCAACTCCGTGATGGCGCTCTGGGTTTGGCCAGAGAACAAGGCATAGAGGACACGCAAAGCCTCACGGCCGTTGGCCTGTAAGTCCCCACCTCCAGTAGCCAGTTCCTGGCTCACGAATCCGTTGACGGCCTCCTTCCAAAGCTCCTTGTTGACACAGCTGCTGATAACGAGGGCATGGGCCCAGAGGTTGACGCTCATGGCATAGCGAACAGCACCAGTGCGATCGCCACTGCGGAGAATATCCTGAAGAACATCAAGGGAGGTGGACGAACGGAGAGGGCTGACAGCCTCTTGGTTAGGCTGGGCAGGGTAGACGCTCAATGGGATCGAGAGCAAAACGCTGCGGACAGCCTCGTCGACCTTGGCACTATTGTGTTTGGAGACAATATGAGAATGGTTAAAAAAAACAGATCAGCGAAAACAGCAACTATACACGCGATCGTTGCATTTGACGACAACTTACCCTCCGACGAGAGCGCCGTCCTGCTCAAACATGACCTTAAACAACTTCCAGATCAAGACGCGGTGGGCGTCATGGGTGCTGTCCTGGGTATCATATTCGGACTCCTTAATCTTGCTCTCGATCAAAGTCAAAACGTCCTTGCGCTTGTTCTTCATCTGGGTAGCGCTGTCCATGAGAAGAGGTCCAGGGTAGGTGGCAATCGACTTGTCAACAGTCATGATGTCCTTGATGTGCTCCAACTGCAAATCGCCAGGGTATCTCTTGGTCACCATGTTGTTAGATCCTGAGTCGAAGCGCTGGACAGAGCGAGGGAAAGAAGTCATGATCTTGCCTATTATGTGGCAATGTGAATAAACAAGTTATGTTAATGCCAACCCAATGCATGCATAGCGAAAAATGACTACAAGGTATGCATTTGAGGCTATATCAGATTGCTTACCTCCAAATCCAAAGGCTATCAATGGGCAGCCATAGGCGCGGTCCAAGGGATCGTCAATGATCTCAACCTCAGGTTCAGGCTCGGGCTCAGGTTCGGGGGCAACCTCCTGCTGGGCATAGTCGATGTATTGACCAGTAACGGGATCGTAGTACTGCTGGCTCTGATCGTATTGATGGCTCGGGTCATACTGCTGGTTCTGATCGTAATAAGCAGCATCGCCATATCCCTGGTTGTAGGTGGGGTCGTATGTCTGGTCATATTCTTGCTCATAACCCTGCTGGCCCTCAGCATAGGCGTACTGCTGCTGGTCCTGAGGGTAATCCTGCTGCTGATAGCTTTGATCGTCCTGGGCGTAGCTGGTGTAGGCCACCTCAGGTTGCTGCTGCTGCTCTTGGGGTTGTTGGGCTTGCTCGGGCTGGTTTTGCTCCTGTGAGTAAGAGTTCATGCGATCCAAGCTTGGCATAGGAGGGGCAGTTGTGGCCTGGAACTCTGCATAATGACCCAACGAGGGGGTGGCTGATCGGCTTGCAGTCGAGATCGAGCGACCACACTCAGAGCAGAACTTTGCCTGTGGCTTATTCTCTCCCCCGCACTCTGCATAGGGGCAAGGCTCAAGCATGAGCTGCGAGGTCGACGCAAACTGGTTGCGAAGAGGACCCATGTAAGGCGTGCGAGACGACTGGTAGGCCTGAGACGTTTGTGCTGGCAACATCAAAGGGGTCTGGATCGCAGTCAGAAGAGGCGTCTGAGGAGGGATATATCCGCCATAAGGCGAGGCTGCGTGGCTGACTGAGGTTGCAGAGGGAGGTCCTGTCAAAGGGGCCTGACGGGGAGTTGAAATCGAAGCTCTCGGCAAAGGAGGAAGCTGGGAAGCCTGTACTTGGGGAGGTCCATGAGGACCAGGGACACTTGGGCTCTGGCGGGGAGGTCCTTGAGGGGGTCCTTGAGGAGGACCCTGAGCGGAAATGGATCCTTGTCTTGATTGCTGCTGCTGCTGTGGGGGCTGCTGTTGCTGTGGGGTCTGCTGAGGCTTTGCTGCTGGAGGAGGAGGCAACTGTGCTGATTGCAACGATGGCTGGCGTTGAGGGGGTGGTGCAAGAGTCGCCTGCTGGGCAGGAGGCACCTGAACAGGAGGGGTTTGCTTCTGGACAGGTGCGAGTGGCAAAGGTGGCAATCCAGCGTCAATAGCAGGTGCCGCCGAGAAAATGTTAGCAGCAGGTTGATGCTGCTGCTGCTGTTGCTGTGGCGGTGGCTGTTTCTGAGGTTGTTGCTGTTGTTGCTGTCTCTGAGGGGGTGCGTTGTTCACTGGGGGAGCAGACGCAGCAGGGAACTGAGGGGCTGCGGGTTGTGCGACGGGAGCCTCTACAGCGGGGATGGACCATCCTGAAACGTTTTGACCTGTGGTGTTTCCAAACAGATCAGAGGCAGATGCAAAGGGTGAACTTGTCTGCTCCCTGGGGATAGGAGCAGGAGCAGGAGCAGGCACTGGTGCAGGCACTGGTGCAGGCACTGGTGCAGGGACCTGAGCCCTCTCCTGAACTGGTGAGTGCCCCTGTTGCTTCTGGTGTGTTTGAGAGACCTGCTGTTGCTGCTGGTGTTGCTGGTGCTGCTGCTGCTGGGGATTCCGTTGAACCTGGTTGTTAACTGGAGGCTGCTGTTGCTGTTGTTGTTGAACTGGAGGTCTCTGAGGTGGAGGAGCCTGTTGCTGGGGCCGAACTGGTGGACCTGGTTGAGCAACTGAGGGCTGTCTCTGAGCCTTTTGTTGGACAGGCGAGTGCTGTTGAGGGAACCTTGGTGGGGCGTTCTGAGCCTGAGGTTGGGGTTGGATCTGGTGCTGTACTGGGACGTGTGCACCGAGGTTACCGCCCTGTGGCTGGAATCCCTGAGGAGGTCCCTGGTTCTGGGTCTGGTTCAGCGTAGGGTTCGAGCTAGGAGGACTAGCAAAAAGATCGGCAGCGACTCCAAAAGGCGACGAGCTCGCCTGGCGAGGGGGCTGCGGCCGCTGCAAAGCCTGCTGTTGCTGATGCTGGGGAGGCATCTGCTGGGGATGCTGCTGAGGGTGACGCTGAGGTTGAGGCTGAACAGGCTGCTGCTGCTGGTTATGGAAAGGGCCCGCGGGTGGGTGGTGCTGAGTGGGCTGGAAGGGAGGCCTATGCTGCTGCTGCTGCTGCTGCTGCATAGGACGTGGAGGAGGTCCGCTCCTGTTGCTGGTAGGAGGGGGACCTGGAGCGGCGCCGAAGAATGGGATGGGACCATCTTCAACGGGAGGCAGCTGCTGGGCCATGATATGAGGAGATGGAGATGACGGGAGTTTGTTCGGCGCAGGTCTCGCGATGGAGGGGTTGATTCAATGCTTCTTTTGTTGTTGCGGAAGAGATGAGAAGCTGAGGCGGTCGGGAGGGTCGGGAGAAGGAAGGGAAGGGGAGGAGGAAGAAGAAGAGGAAAAGGGTGAAGGGGAGAGTGAGTGAGAGGAGGTGAAGGAAGGATGGATGTAAAAAGAGAGAAGAAAAAGAAAAAAAAGATGATGATCGTGGCAGTTGCAGGCAAGAGCCACCTCAAGGAAACACGACTGCCTCATACACAGAGTTTGAACACATCCACATCCGCATCCAATTGATCCAATTATACACGGCGTGGATGTACCTCGCTGATCTACCAATGGGAATCGACACGTCACCTTCATTCAGCATATATATTTCACCGCCACTTCTGAGTTCATCAGGAACACTCACCTTCGATACCGCACCACTCGACATCCCTCACCACCCTGACATTCTATATACAGTCGCCTCAACGAGAGTCCTCCACTCTCGTGTCAGTCCGAGGCAGAGACACGGTTGCATACGAGTGTTTCTTTTCGCTGCTTCGACTTGCTACCCCCTCTCTCGCTCTCACTTGTGTGTGCCTGGATCGAAAATTATTCGGCAAAATGAAATAAATGTGGTTGCTGGAGCTGAATGCCTGTCGCACCAACCTTATTCTCATTGCAAACCCATACTCGTGCGAACAAATCTAACCTCTGAATGCTCATACATCTTTTTTTTTCGTTTCCTTCTTGACCAGCTCTTCGGTGAATCGATACCCGCATTACAACGCATACCTTGTTGGCTTCAAGGGTATAGACAGTCGGCTTTCAGGAGCCACCATAGGCCAGGAGGTTCAATAGGGGCAACCTCACAGGGGACAATCGCACAACAAAAACAAATTTACCCCCGTAACTAACATACCTCCTTTTCCCGTTTCTTCTCCCAACTCTTCTTTGCGGTTCACACGCGCCTATTGCCAGGATTTCAAAAACACGCGTTATAAACAACCGGCTCTGCTTGTCAACAGCACCGGACGGGACCAACCAGCCTACGACTCACCTTCTTCTCCAAGAGATGACTGATCGGCATTGTACAAGAACCTGAATCAGTGAACCAGCGAGAATGACCGACATTGACGAATGGAGTGACCTGGACGAGATCTTTGTTGCGACCATTCGAGGCCAAAGACATGCCTCTAGAGTCGCAGCTATGTCGAGTCATGAAAGCAGTAAGGGTTGATCAATGGGCTTTTCCTGTTCCAGATAAATGACAAGTAAACAGAATGATCTTTAGCCCACTGACCCTTGTTGTTTCATACTGTCACAGTCCAAGAAGCCATGGACATCGACATGGTGCTTACAAATGATACCCAAGGTAACAGAGACATGATTCATGCTACTCAATTACTGTCAACAACCGCCCAATTGATAGAAGAGACATGATGCTCACCAGACATCAAAATGGTTGCCATTGCTTAGATTTGCGTGAAGCAATTGGAACAGACTGCGCCTTAGCAAAGAAGAGGCAGGCAAACGAGGATCAGAGTCCCGATAATATCCTTGCTCACGAAAGAGCGAAAAAGAAGCAGCGGAGCTGGTCGCGCAAGCAAAACAAAAGGGCAAAGATGCACGCATGGAAGCAGACCGCAGGACTAGAAGCACCAGCCACCACGATACCACCCACCACCTAATCATTATTAAAAGTATGTTATACAATCTATTTATTTTGAGCAAGTGGTATTTAGGAAGGCCTCTCCTGTAGGAGGACAATGATGAAGCAAGCAATGAGGATCGCAAGAATTGTGACGGTAGCCAGGATGACACTTCCACGACTGGCAGGGAACTGGCCATACGATAGCACACTCTGGTTATGAAAGTACCTCGATGTGCCCAGCCAGAGAAACAACATTCCAAGCGCAATGAACGACCCGCCCAAAGGTCGTCCCATCTCCGAGACTCTGATCAATTGATTTGCATGGGCTGGGTCGCTGGTCTGGAGTCGAAACAGTTGAGTGACCGCAACACCCACAGTAATGAGTGATAGGGACGTCCGGAGCCAGGCGAGGTAGGTGCGCTCGTTGGCAAGATGGTCTCTGGCAATCGACCCCTTGTTCTCCAGTGTCAGTGAGGGTGAGTAGTCGGCGTAGACCTTTTGAAGGAAATTGGACACGCGTGTCGTCCACCGTGGGGTTTCGTCCTCGTCCTCGTCCGTTTGAAACCGACCTCCTGGACCTGAGATACGGCGGGTAAGAGAGGCCTTTGTTGCTCCTGTGGAGGATGCATTCGAGGTAGTGTTGTTGGATTGGGGCAGGACAGTAGCGTTGGAAGGGGATGCGGCGATGGGTTGTTTGAACTCGCTTCTTTTCCGAAGTATGCTGGTTGTGCCTGAGCTGGAATGGTCGACTGGTGTGGCGGGCTCTTTGTTCGTTGAGGTTTCCTGGAATGTGATGCTTCCAGGGGAGAGTGGGCTTGGTGTTGTTGTCATAGTGTTGGTCAGGACAGAAGGTGATTCTGGGTCAAAGGGGTGCAAATGAGTGTCGGGCATGGTTGTCGTTGTTGTCGTCGTTGCGGTGTGATGTGAGCAGGAAGGATAGAAAGAAAGGAGTGACGAACTGACCCTTTCCCAGCGCTTTTTTCTCCACACGCTTAGTGTCGAAACGGAAAGCAGTCCCAGCAACGTGTGGATGATGATGTATTTCAAGCGCTAAGTTGCGCAAGCCCTTTCTTTCATTCTTTCACTTTCAACACCTTCAACTTCCACACCAACAACACCAATATGTCTGCTGCTCAACCTACCAAGAAGACCATCCGCTGGTTGCCCCTCGAGTCAAACCCAGAGGTACTATTGCGCTCTCTCTTTGCTTTCACCAGTGCATTCATTCAAGAAACGAATGAAACTGACCACCCCTGACTCAACTTTTTCTCACAACTGCGGTAAACTACTTTTCATATAGGTCCTCGACAAGGTACCACTTTCATCCTGACATCCACGTTCAGCATCCATCAGCATTATGAACTCCAGGAACAAGCAGCTAACATGATCCGTCCCACATAGTATGTCCGCGACCTTGGAGTCCCAGCCCCCTGGAGATACGCTGATGTCATGGGTACAAAATTTATGATCTTTGGTGGCGCCAGTTTTTATCTTGACCCAGGATGTCTCTACCATCTGGATGGAGTAACATACTCACCGTCTCTTGCTCCTTTTTTATTCATAGGTCTCGATGAGGAATTGTTGGCGTTTGTTCCTCAGCCAGTGCATGCCGTTATCCTCTTGTTTCCCTGCACGCCACAATACGAGGAGTTCTGCAAGGAGGAGAGACAAAGGATCGACAAGGAGGGTCAGATCGTCAGTGACAATATTGTCTTCTACCCCCAGACCATCTCCAACGCCTGCGGCACCATGGGTGTCCTTCATTCCATCGTCAACAACTGGGCTCACGGAGGACATCTGAAGCTGAGTATGTCGCATTGGAAGTGAATAGCATCAATTACGCTACTTACACGACCTCTCATGGTTGGCTAACGAGAACACAATTTCGTCCGCGTTATTAGAGGAAGGCAGTGTCATCAAGAACTTTTTGGAGAAGACTGTCAGCTTGACGCCCGCTGAGCGTGCCACGGCCCTTGAGGAGGATACCACCTTGGCTAGAGTCCACGAGAACCATGCATCGACCGGCCAGACCGCGACACCCGACTTGGCCGACATTGTTGACTTGCATTTCGTGTGCCTTGTTGAACGCGATGGCCACCTCTACGAGCTCGATGGAAACAAGCCATACCCAATCAACCATGGTCCCAGCTCCAAGGACTCCTTCTTATTTGTACGTTCATACTTCACACATCGCGAATCAAGCAGTCAACTGAAAGTGTTTTGATGTTGTAACCGGAATATTGACATTCTACTCGCCTTCGCTCTTTTACTATCCTTGTAGGATGCCATCAAGGTTGCAAAGAAGTTTGTTGAGCGCGACCCCGAGAACCTCCACTTTAGCGTGATCGCCGCCACCACCGCTGAGGAAGACGACTACTAAATTTACTTTACAATCAACGCCTGGGCCTGCAAAAAATAAAATCAAAATCAATCGCCCATTTTTCAGTACAATCCAGTGAACACCAGCTCGCGTCGTTATAACTTCTAATCTCAACTTCCAACGACTTTTATAATAACAACTCCTCTATCGCCACTTCCAAATGACTCGCATCGCGTCCAGCCTAATTCTGCTGATCTCTGCAGCCTTCGCCGTCACCGCCCTGCAAGGCAAGTCCTTTATTCCCTCTAATTCTTCATAGATATAACACCAGCACCTTGGACCTGTGATGTTACAGTAGCTTTTTGAGTTTCGATCCGACCATGTTTAAGTTTTGGGAGGTAGCTGTACTTGATGACAGATCCACGTTTGCTTGAGCTCATACAGTCTTGATCGGGGAAAAATACTTGTGATTGGGCACCCAGGAAATCGGGGTTTTGACACAATTTTCTTGAAGAGTCCTCAGGGATTGACGGTTTCAAGAGTGGCAGGGCAGAGCTTTAACCATCACCTAGCATTGTCTCTTATCAGGAGACGTGCGGCTGTGACTTTTTTTTTGGACAGGCGTTGCATTGACTGCCTCGAGGTACTCGTCCAATTCATTTCACAAGTCTTAAACGTTTTCTTTGGGGGTGGACAAAGGGATGATGTCCTTGACAGAAATTGCTCTCAAAAACTTTGGCCATGGTGACAGGAGACTTGACTTGGTATAACTTGAACTAGGTGCTTTACTTGGGGAAATAACTTCTTTTGCTATCATACAGCGTGGTCAGGCGGTCGGAGACTTGATTGTAGGATGTTGTGTTTAATAAAGACTTGAGTTATCAACTGCTTAGCTATCTACGGTACAGACTATGATTTCATATGTATAGGTGCCAGGTTGGCTATTATTGCTAGAGCTTTCTAGGAGAAAACGTGCCTAGATTGGTTAGCAGAAGTCTTTCGAAGAATTTAGTGGCAATAGAAAGGGTTTGGAAATTAAGTGGCAATAGAAGGGAGCCTGGGAATTAAGTGTGTACCACCGTTTTGGACTCGACAATGCATATTCGCATTCTTATTGCTCTTCAAAAAGAGCAAATTGAATACCATCGACTGGCACAACATTGATCCAGAGCAATTTATCTATCAACAAGACAATGATCTCAAGCACGCTGCGCCAAGGCAGTCAAGTCCTACTTTGACTCCATTGGGTTGACAAAGGCGACGGAAAGACTACTCACATGGTCTCCCAACTCGCCAGACCTCAGTCCTATAGAGCATTTGTGGCAACACTTTAAAGAAGAGTCACGAACGTGGGTTCATTCCTGAAGGCATACTTTGACCTGTGGAAATGAGTGAGCGAGATCTGGGAAGAAGAGACGCCAATGGAGGTCTGTCACAATCTGATTCGGAGTATGCCTGAACGGGTACAAGGTGTCATCAAGGCAAAAGGAGGCAACACACGATTTTGGTACGTAAATAGAAATCATGGTTACAAAAACAAAACTGTACAAATGCACCATGGTGGGTCATTCAAAAAATAAATATCAGTACGAATGGCACAACATTTATCTCAATTGCACAAGTACATATAGCAATGACATACAAGTTCACTGAGATCTAGAAAGATCAGCATGTTATTGCCGTTCATGAGTTAAAGGTCATGGGAGACAGTGGTTCAAAATATTTGAAGAGTTTTGTGGCTCACTATATAGTAGATCTGAGCCATGACTTTAAGGATTTGAGTATTGAGGCGACATCAATTTACATGGTCTAAAGTAAACACACTCGAGTTCGTGTTGGGTGCGTCAGCCAGTGCCTGTCTCTGGGCACGTTGAAGCCCCACTCCAAAACGGACAGAGTCCAGTTGGTCTTGAGTGCCTCAGCCAGCGCCTGAGCTCCGTTGGATTTGATCGAATTGAAGCTCAAGTCCAAAGTGGACAGAGTCGAGTTGGTCTTGAGTGCCTTAGCTAGCGCCTGAGCTCCATTGGATCCGATCGAGTTGGTGCTCAATCTCAAATTGGTCAGAGTCGAGTTGGTCATGAGTGCTTCAGCCAGCGCCTGAGTTCCGTTGTCTCCGATCAAGTTGCTTTCCAAGTCCAAATTGTTCAGAGTCGAGTTGGTCAGAATGCTTGAAAGACTTTGTTCCGTGCAGATATCGAGGATTTGTTTTCAGTTATAAAACTCTGAAACTTCAGGCTCTTTATAAGGTGCTTGTTTCTCTCGACAGATTCCATACTGGGGCCATGTCTCGATATCACGACAGTCTTGTAGAGAGGTGGTGTAAACGAGTCCTTCCAATCCTGACTCACACACACACAGGACGCGAGGTCTTTGAGGCCAAGATTGCTGGCAATGATTGAGCGAATCTCATGTAGATCGAGGGGATGTGTCCAGGATATCTTATTCATAAGGCTGAAGAACGAGATCGTGGCGGGGATGACGAGTAGAGTGATGATGAGTCACAAGAAGATGCGATAACGAAGGAATGAGGAAAAGAAGGAGGTAAGGAAGAAAGAATGAAATGAAAAGGATAAGCAAGATGACAGTAAAAGCAACAGAGCAAGAGAGTGTGAATGAGGGAATGAGCAAGACAAGGTAGAAAGAGAGAGACAAGAGAACATGGGGAAAGTGGAGGAGGCTAGAAAAAGACCGCATGACACATAGTTCAAGCAATTCATACGATTTGGCATCTTCCATGAGGTCTCCCTTTCGAGAATGTCAGAAAGGGCAACATAACGTGGAAGTATGATGTATCATGGTTGCGCAAAGAAATTTTCAAGGGGGCCGAAGAAAATATCAAGGGTGCCATTATTGTTCCTCTTCTGTTACTGTTATTTTTCTTGCTCCGTTGTCTGCTGCAGTACTGACAGCGGCCAGGTCTCTCTGGCAGAGTATGAATATGATGGCATCCAACCGATAATGTGTTTTTTTTTTTGCCTTTGCTGAGTTGTTTCTCGCACGAGGCACTCATTCGCTTCTTTCCTTTGTTCTTCCAAAACTTATTGTGACTCAGAACATTCCCAAGACCGTGAAGAACTTTGTTGAGTTTGCCAAACGAGGGTCCTACGACTATATAATGTTCTTCCAAGTGGCCAATGTACTCTTGAAGAGGAAGTGGTAAAAATGAGGAAAATTTGCACCTCAACCTTATGGCCACCGAGAATATGGCGAATATTAGTCAAGGCTATCTTCCTAACCAGGAACGTCCAAATTAACTGCAGCCACTTGCTAGTAATGGTTCTAGGGAAAGGAACCACCGTCACCACCGTCGCCTTTTCTACTGCCTCCTGAAGTATCACCAGCGCAACGAGAGGGCGCTGCAAGAGGACAGCGACTACCACGAGTGCGGATTGAGAGCGGCGTGGAAAGGCATTCAAGACTTTGGCTAGTTAACCTCAGCATGTTCGCAAACATGCAATAGTGCTGGTAGAGCGCAGTGCATGCTATGATGAGTTGTTTCGGTGACGTAATAATAGCGTTCATTGTCGTCCTTTCTGCGCCTCCACTAGTCAAATATCCCTCACTCCTTGTATTATCCTTTGTCCTTCCATACTCGCTTGCTCCATTGCTATTACATTATCGCACCTTGTGACCACCTCATCACCGCCCTCATCACCGCCCTCATCTCATCATCATCCCCATTACGCCTGTCACGCCTGTCACGCCCTTCATCTTTCTGACAACGATGCTCCGGATACATCCCCTCGATCAACCCGAGATTCGCTCAATCATTGCCAGCAATCTTGGCCTCAAAGACCTCGCGTCCTGTGTGTGTGTGAGTCAGGATTGGAAGGACTCGTTTACACCACCTCTCTATAAGTCTGTCGTGATATCGAGACATGGCCCCAGCATGGAATCTGTCGAGAGAAACAAGCACCTTATAAAGAGCCTGAAGTTTCAGAGTTTTATAACTGCAACCCAATTCTCGACATCTGCACGGAACAAAGTACTTTCCAGCATCCTAACCAACTCGACTCTAACCACTTTGGACTTGAGAATCAAGTTGTTCAGATCCGACGGAACTCAGGCGCTGGCTGAGGCACTCAAGTCCAACTCAACTCTATCCACTTTGAAATTGAGCAGCAACTCGATCGGAGTAAACGGAGGTCAGGCGCTGGCTGAGGCACTCAGGACCAACTCAACTCTGACCACTTTGGACTTGAGAAGCAACTCGATCGGAGACAACGGAGCTCAGGCGCTGGCTGTGGCACTCAAGACCAACTCGACTCTGTCCGCTTTGAAATTGAGAAGCAACTCGATCGGAGACAACGGAGCTCAGACGCTGGCTGAGGCACTCATGACCAACTCGACTCTGACCACCTTGAAATTGAGAAGCAACTCGATCGGAGACAACGGAGCCGAGGCGCTGGCTATGGCACTCATGACCAACTCGACTCTGACCACTTTGGAAGTGAGCGGCAACTCGATCGGAGACAATGGAGCTCAGGCGCTGGCTGAGGCACTCATGACCAACTCGACGCTGATCACTTTGAACTTGTGGCGTAACTCGATCAGAGACAACGGAGCTCAGGCATTGGCTAAGGCACTCAAGACCAACTCGATTCTGACCACTTTGGACTTGAGCTTCAATATGATCGGATCCAATGGAGCTCAGACGCTGGCTGAGGCACTCAGGACCAACTCAACTCTGACCAATTTGGACTTGAGAAGCAACTCGATCGGAGACAACGGAGCCGAGGCGCTGGCTATGGCACTCAAGACCAACTCGACTCTGACCACTTTGGAGGTGAGCGGCAACTCGATCGGAGACAACGGAGCTCAGGCGCTGGCTGAGGCACTCAAGACCAACTCGACTCTGACCAATTTGGACTTGAGAAGCAACTCGATCGGAGACAACGGAGCTCAGGCGCTGGCTGAGGCACTCAAGACCAATGCGACTCTGACCACTTTGGAATTGAGAAGCAACTCGATCGGACACTAAGGAGCTCAGGCTGGTTGAGGCACTCATGACCAACCCGACTCTGACCACTTGGAATTGAACGACAACTTGATCAGAGACAGGCACTGGTTGACGCATTCAAAACCAACTGGACTGTGTTTATTTTAGGCCTTGTAAACTGATGTTACAGAAGGCAAGGCTCATATGCAGGATTATAGGGTAGCCGGTAGCGAATAAAGAGAAGATGAGTCTGTGTAGAAACACTTGTCAGTTCGGTTGCTCCGTCACTCTGCAATATGTGAAAAGAGACAAAGAGCAAACAAGTGATCCCTTGTGCACTACAAATACTCCGACTAACTAGACTACAGGTTTTCTTTCTTTTTTTTTTTTTTTTTGCTTTTCGAAGATGTTTTTTGTGGCTATTAGCCGTGTGTTTGAGTTGGTGTTCGTTTTGCTTTCTTCATTTCTATGGAAATTCAGTCGGAGATTTCCTCCGGGGACTGTGTGTGTTTGTGAAGGAAGAGGATGGTGTTTGCCGTGTTTATACCTATGAGGCAGCACGCCAGTTGTGGGGGGAGGATATAGTACTTGGGCTTAATGGGGAATGTGGGGGGTTACAAGGATAGTAAAGTATGGAGATCATCATCGGACCTTCTGGGCTTGTCTATGTATTCTCGCAATATGAACTGCCATGCTAGGTACTTGCCCTTGCATCCCAAGACATGGTGGTTTTTGTCCGCCATTCTTTCCCTGCATCCCAGAGCGTCACATTGAGCGTCCTGTTTCCACTGATTGGGCCCGAAGCGTGTCACATGGGATAATGTCACACTTGTTGTCACAGTATCATAATCTGTTGTGACCCTAGATCATTAGCGTCATCTAACCACTGTCTCATCTAACCACATTAACACCTAATTACATCCCCATCTAACCACATCACCACCTCACCACATCACCACCATCCTGGAGCCCATAGCCTAGCACACATAAATACCCTGGCTCCCCTGTACAATAAACACCATCCGTTTCTGCCTCCTGCTCTTGTCTATCACCCTTCTTCTGTTGCTATTACACTTGTATCGTCACCAGAAAGTGCGGGCTTTGTGGGGAATCTTGGTCTTCCAGAACTTGCGCCACTGGGACTTGGTGCCAGATTTAGGGTGCATCGAAAGGGGTCTGGGGAGGTTCGGGTTCGGGAGCCGGGGAAAGGTAATGTCGGATCTGTCTGGTGAAGGCAGTCCCTAAGTCACCTTTGTCTTGCCATTGTCGAGGAGGATGGGTGAGCGTATTCTCTGATCTAGGCGGTCTCCAACGGCATCAACATGCGTGTCTGTATCGCGTCCAGATATACTTGTGACATCTGCTGGGTATTGGTTCATGTAAGTTGTGTGATGAGGTCGTCTCTTACAGGCTTCGATTTGAGGGAGAGTCGGCGCTTGCATGCCACCTTGAACTTGTTATTTTCGTGTATCTCCAGCGCGAACAGGTCTCCAATCCGTGCGGTGAGGGTGGTGTTGTTGTCATTCGTCGAAGGGAACCAACATTCCAATGGGCTCTCCAGAAAAGTGGTCGAATTCGGTAGTCCTACTTGCATGGTAGGTGTCCTGAGCGGGGGAAGTGTGCTGGCCGCCTTGACTAGTTGCAGGAGGTGGGGGAAGTGTTTAAGTTGTTGGTGAAGTCGGTTCTCCTGGGGGTTCAGCATGAAGGATAGGCGGTGGGTGGACTTTGTCTTCCAGAGGATGAGATTCAGTACAATGTCCTTCCCCCAGGATACTGACATAGTTGTGGTGTTGCGAAGGTGCTTGATGAGGAAGGTCTATTGCTGCTTGGCCGGATCAATAAACCCAAGGCCGCCGTTGTGTCGAGGGGTGGTAATGACTTTCCATAATGCTGTGGGTTTGAAGAGGCAAACAAATCGTGTGATGGCCTGTTTGAATTTGGATAGGAAGGAAGTAGGGAATGGGGTCACCCACGCGAGGTTCCAAAGGAGGGAGAGGATAAGGGCATTGATGATGGTAGCGCGTCCTAGGACCGAAAGGGAACGAGATGAATGTATGTTGATTCCTGTATTATTATTTTGTTCTTGAATGTTGTTGCCTGCACTCCGCAAAAAAATATTGGAAAGCCAAGATAGGTAAGTGCTTCATTTGTTGTGCTGTCGTGTCATTGTAGGTGGAGAGAGGTGAGGTGTGCTTTGAGGATCGGGTCTGAGTAGGTAAACATTGGAAAGGCTACCGTTTTGTTAAAGTTGACTCGTGCGTTTGGGGCATTCTCGTATAGACGTAGAGCCCCCTCTAATGCCTCCCATTCCTGTACTGAAGCGACGAGCGTCATAAGGTCGTCAGCGTAGGCTGCCAGTTTGACTGGCTCTGGGCGCTGTGGTATGTTGATTCTTTGAATGAGGGGTATTAATTGGATATGGGCGAGAGGTGGTTCAAACGCTAGTTTGAAGAGGTGGGGTGATAGGGGTCGCTCTGGACTGTGAGATTGGGTCCGAGATATAGCCGTTGACGTTGAGAGATATTTGAGTGGAAAAAAAGAGGGTCGAAATACTCCTGATGACTTGTTGGGGGAAGCCAAATCTCCATCACCATTTCCAGGTACTCTGGGTGAACCCTATCGTAGGCCATTTTCTAGTCCAGTAGAACTCCGACATGCTTCAGCTTCCTGTTCCTGCAGTAGTCACGTAGATTGTTTAGGACCATGCCATTGTCGGCAATATGTCGACCAGCCGCAAATCCTGGCTGGTGCTGACCCGTTAGAGTGCGCATGTAAGGTTGGAGTCGGAGTGTGATCAGCTTTGTAAATATCTTGACGTCGCAGTTGATGAGTGACAGCGGACGCCAGTTGGACAGTTGTGAGGCTTCGCCTTTCTTGTAGAGCAAGATCATGACTGTGTGTTTCCAGGACTGGAGGGAGGTCGATTCCAGTAAAGCGTTGTTAAGGATGTTGACAAGGAAATGGCGGATCCAGGGGATTGTGAGGATGTGGCGACACAGCTCAAAAGGTAGTCCATCTTGTCCTGGTGCCCTTGAGGGGAGGAGGGGGGTCTTTGCTATGATTGCCTCAAGTTCGGACTCTGTTATCCTGTGTCGTCGTCTCTACGTCCGAAGAGGGAGGAGGGAAGTGGCCGGAAGGGAATCCATTAGTCGTTGAGTGGCGTTCCTGTCCGAGGAGTCCGAGGTGTACAACTCCTTATAGTGTTCGGCTGCCACTTGTAATCGTTCCTCTGCCGTTGTGGTCAAGAGTTTGTTGTAGGGTTGTGGAGTGCGGAGACGAGGCGCTTACTGCGGCGTTGGTTGCGACGAGTAGAGATTGATTGTTTGATGCAAAAACGTTTAATCTCGTCCTTGACTCTGTCCTAGTGTTGTTGTCGAGTCTCGGACGGTTGGGGTTCTTCCAGGGTCGGGGTGTGTGTGTCAAGTGCGGATAAGAACTAAGCGTTGTCCAGGATCTGTGTGTTCATCCGCCATAGTCCACGACCCGTCCTTGGTGCTATACTGGGAGTCAAGGTTAGCGTCAACATGTCGTGGTCAGAAGTGTGAGAAAAGAGAGAGAAAGAGTATAGAATATAGTCGATGGTGGTTCTACTTTTATTTCCAGAGTGAATAAAAGTGGGGGTGGGAGTGGTATTGGGAGGAGTGACGCAGTTGATGAGATGGGTGTTAATCCATTCTCGGAACGGAGAGTGGGTGCGACGGCAATGGTGTTGGTAGTTAAGGTCACCCAGGAGGGGAGGGAGAGGAAGAAGGGGAGGAAGAGGAAGAAAAGACGTGTGCCAAAATGACGCGACCGTCGAGATTGGTTTCTTTCCCGTCTACATGCATGTACCCCTTAATGCTCTTATATTCATTTAATCTTTCTGGCCACGAAGGAACATCTCTCACCTCTCGATCGTCTGCCGAAAGCAAATCGTCATGTCGTTCGTCCGAGTCCGTGGACATTCACGGCCAACAGCCATGGCAACCCAACTCTTGCGTCGAATGTACCCGCCAATAACTCGAACTGTCGTCACCGTCACAGTACCCTCAAGGAACACACTCATTCATGGCAACAACAACAACAGCAACTCACGCAGTCTACATCGAATAACCCCTCAACCACTCCGCCTTTGCATGCAGCCAGCACCTTTCTTAAAACCGCGACAGCCAACTTGTTGCGGGAGACGGGCAATATCAACAACCAAGAACAACGCTTCAAATACCTCCACCCTTCTCGCCACCGACACGCCCATCATTGAACGCGTACCTGCCTTTACACCGATAACTCCCGTCACCCCCAATACCTTCAAGCCATTCGCCTCTCCCGCCAAGCAAACCCGTGGCAAATGGACCCTAGAATCCAACAGCGTTCTTGTGGAACTCGCCGAGGCTGGAATGTCTTGGGCACGCATCTCACGGGTCACTGGAAGTGCAAGGACAACCTGCCTGCAGCACTACAAAAAGTACCTGGCACCTTTCAACGCCATGGCACCGCAGGGTTCAAGAACAGGAGCGGAAGCAGGAGCGGGATCGTTTTCAGACTTGACGTTGATCAAAAAGCGGATTCAGGAGAATAAGCCTTGGCACCAGATTGCGGCCGAGATGGGGCAGTCGTCGGAGGTGCTACGGATCCGGTTCAGTGTCTTGGAGCCTTGGTTGAGGCAAGGTATGGGGCATCGGTCCAGTGCGGTCCGTAGTGAGGCAATGACGGGCTTCGCCAAGAAGGTGGATGGGATCTTTGAGGCGATGGTCAAGGATGAACCGGGGTTGACCCTCGAGACTGTGCAAGGATGGTACGATCAGATTCTTCTTTATTCTCATCGAACTCGATACAGCGTGATACGAGAGCGTGAGCAGGAAGCCCTTTTGAGTACCCCAACGTGGACCCCGGAGATGGATGCAAAGTTACTGAGAATGGAGAGCGAGGGAAGGAGTTGGGCGGCGATTGAGGACGAACTTGGGAGGACGTATGAGCACTGTTTGAGACGGCTGCACTATGCTCAGAAGATGAAGCGGAGACTACATGGTCTGGATGGCGTTACTCCTCATTCTTCGATTTCTCAGCTGCATCGACACTACGATCTTTTGGCGCGACAGATCTGGACACCGGAAATCGACGAGGTAATCGTGAGGATGTGGGAGGGGGAAACCGAGTCGACGTGGGCAATGGTTGGGGCGGTGGTCGGTGTCGACTCTGGATTGTGTTGCAATCGATACCACACTGTCTTGCGTCCGCTCTTTGAGAGCGTTTGGTCGAAGAGTAAAACCAAACGGCTGCACCATTTGGTTGGCTTGGGCGAGTCATGGGACACGATTTCGTCTACTCTGGGCTTATCCAAGGCGGCGTGCAGGATGCGATGGAAGGAAACCCGTAACGACGCCTTCACCGGACCAGGAAAGGGCCTTGCTACTTCTCAGCGCGTAGCCAGGGAGGTCGAATCCTGCTTGTATAAGCGTGGACGAATCGAGCGATTTTATACCTGCCAGGACTGGGATGAACTCCTCGGCATGACTTCAAGGACAGTGTCTGTACAGGGCTGGAAGAGACTTCAGCTGGACTGGCTGAATCAACATTCTGCGTGGTCTGAGCGAGCGGAGAATGTCTTGATCCAACTAGTCCTTCGGAAAGGATTGAGCGCCTGGGATGAGGTTGCTGCAGCTATCAACACAGACGCGAGGATAAACTTGGGCAAGGCCATGGCGGCGAGAACTGTCACAGCGGTGGAATGCAGGATGCACTGGAAAAATCTGGATATGCCTGTCCAGAGGTCTTATGATTCCCGGCAATGGACAGCATCGACTCGCTGCTCATTCTGGTCAGCTTTCTCTTGGTGCAAGATGCAGCAGCAGGACAAAGAAGTGATGGGCGGTCGCCAAGGATACCAACAGTTCTGGAACAAGGTTGCTCGTGAGATGGGGATGCCTGGTGGTGGAGAACAGTGTCTTGCCTTTTTTGAGGACTCTATTCGAGGGTTGGTTGCGTTGGATGACAAGACGATCACGGACCATGCCAATCGACAAATAAAGACCTTGCGGGAGAAGACTGCCCAGCAAGGTCTCATTCTGCGACCCAAGCACTGGTCTTTGGTCTTTCAAGACATTGTTCGGCAAAACAAGAAGTCTCGACTGGACGATGTGGAGTGGAGGAAGGTTGCCGCACAAATGGGCGACTATCCATGGAGCACCCATGCATGTACACTGGATAGAGACACGAACACGTCCGCCTTTATCGACAGCATTGAATGGCACTGGAGACATATTCACAAGAATGCCGGCCGACCATGGAGTCACTCGGAGCTTAAGCTGCTGGAGCAAGGGATCCGAGAATGTGGATTCGTCTGGACGGAGATTTGGAGGAAGTACCTTCCCTGGCGGACCTGGTCGATGATGAGAACGCGGTGGTACCGCTTGTCTGATTGTGCGACGCGGATCACGGTTGATGAGTACATGACTCTCCTCCAGGCCGTCGACGAACAACAGCAGCCTTCTTCTGCGAGTATCGATTGGAGCAAGGTGGTGGCAAGGATGCCTGAAGGCTGGTCGATGAAACCTTGTCGACGTGCATATGAGAGCTCCTACCGTCACCTGCTTGAGCAGAAGCTGTTCACTCCCGAGGAGGATCAGTGGCTGCTACAGAACATGGAGCCGCAGAGGAACGGATCGCGAGACTGGAAGGCTGCTGTTGATCGGTTTCCGAAATCTGGCATCTCTGCCTGGCAATACCGTCTCCGGTGGTGTCAATTGGCCGACAGCCTTGTATCATAGTTCATCATCATCATCGTTTGTACAAAAATCAAAAATAAATAATTCAGAAACATGATAGGAATGCACCCAGATTTATTACGACGTGGTGAGAACAAAAAATCATGCCATTGTGAAGTAAATATGCATTTTGAATTTTGTAAGAGCGCTTTCCCTCATTTCCTCCCTTCAACCAACGTTTGGAGCCACAGCGATAGACACATGGTACGTGGTATAACTTGTCAAGCTGTATTCTCTCTCTAAATCATTAAGGCATGCCCATGGCATCTATTATTTCTATAAACACCCCTTCACTTCTTCTCCCCCTCAAGGTGATCGCCAATTTCACCAGCCTGCTCGGCAAGCTGATAAAACAATGACTCCCTCCTCTCCAACAACTCCCCTGGCGCTGCAAACTCCTTCATCCTGCCCTGATCCAACACCAGGATCTTATCCGAATCCATCACTGTCTTGATCCGGTGTGCAATCGTCAAAATTGTCCTATCCTTAAACTCTTTCCGGATCGTCTTCTGGATCAACTCGTCCGTCTCCATATCCACAGCCGCCGTGGCTTCATCCAGGATCAGAATCTTGGTCTTGCGGAGGAGGGCCCGGGCGAGACAGATGAGGGATCGTTGGCCGACGGAAAAGTTCTCTCCGCCTTGCGAGACTTCGTGGGAGAGTCCACCGGAGAGGGAGGAGATGTGGGGTTTGAGGTGAGCGCGTTCGAGGGCTGTCCAAAGGTCGGCGTCGTTTTGTTCGGAGAAGGGGTCGAGGTTCTCGCGGAGGGTGCCGGCGAAGAGGGTAGGGTCTTGGGGGATGATTGCGATGCGGTGGCGGAGATCGTGGAGGCCAATGGTTGAGATGTCGATCCCGTCGATCTCGATCGAGCCGCCGGATTCTTCTACCTCGACTGATGCCAGATCCTGCAAAGCAAGTTTTTCGGTATTGCCAGGAGGAGAGGCCTTGGTGAGGAGTGTAGCAGCAGCGACATCGCAGTCGGGGGTGTTGTAGCTAGCCTTGGCAAAGTGACTATTGGCAGCCTCGGCAAGTCGGAACAGAGCCAGAGTCAAAGAAGACTTTCCGGCACCAGTGCGGCCGACAATGCCGACCTTTTCTCCTCCTTCCATACGTACCGACAAGTTCTTGATCACCAACTCCATCCCTTCTCGGTACCTTGTCGAATAATTCTTGAACTCGATCGACCCTTCCTTCCACTGCCCACCCTCACCAGCACTCTCATCCAAAGCAGACCGGAAATCCCGGGCCACAGGAAGCTTCTCCACCTCCATCTCCTCAATCGTCAACGGCGCCTCAGGCTTTTTCTCGCAGTACTCCAAAATCCGATCGACGCTCACAAGCTGGTTCTGAAGGTTACTCAACGAAGTCACCAAGTACGTAATATGAAACGTCACCGTCAGCGAATAACTCAAGGCCAACCCAGCACCGCCCGTCCCCAACTCATCCATCTTCCAAACACACAACAACGCCGTCGCCAACACCACTACTCCTCCTAAAAACTCCAACCTCACACTCAACCAGCGGTTCGCCGTAATATACGCCCAATACGCATTCGCAGACCTATCCGATTTCCTTGCATTATCGTCCGAGAACCGGGCGTGGCAGCGCATAGCCCGGATGGTTGATACGCCGGCGAGGGTCTCTGAGAAATGTTGAAAGAGTGGAGATTTGGAGATCATGTGGATGCGCTTGAGGGCGCGGGAGGTCCGCATGTAGTAGATTTGGATCCAGAAGTAGAAGAAGAGGAGGAAGGGGATGAGGGCGATGAAGACGGGAAGGTTGAAGGAGATGACGATGATGGTTCCGAGGACGATGGAGAGGAAGTAGTAGACGTCGGTGACGTTGTTGGGGAGCTCCGAGTCCAAGTTGTCCATGTCAGTCGAGAACCTGTTCACTATTCTTCCGACACTGTGTTACAAGAAAAAAAAACAGGTGTAGATCGCGTTTAGTATGGGTTGCACAAGAAAAAAAAATCCTCTCCGTGGGATGATTCAAAAAAAACCTCCATTCTTTTCTTCACTTACGGAGTGGTGTCAAAGAAGGACATGGGGAGACGGAGAACCTTATCCGCAAGGCGGTCATGAAGTAACCTCGAAGATCGGATACCTGCAGCCACAAAAATGATGAGGTTGACACTAATGTCCGAGGCCATATAGCTCAGGACCAGGATCGCATATACACCAAGGAAGAGAGGGACGCCGTCGCGTTGACTGGCCTCGGAACGAGAAGACCAGTGCTGTAGCCAAATGTTGACACCGATTTGACTGCTCTGAGAGAGGATGTAGATGAAGAAGCTGAGGAACGAGTACAGGTACGATCTATTCACGCAATAAAAAGACAAAAGAATGGTGAGCAAATAAGAAAAGATAACAAGTGGCCGTGGGCAGTGTGAGTATGCGATTGACAGAATGAGGTGGGAAATGGGAGTGGACTTACGCAGATTTGAAGTAGGCTTTGAGGAGCGGCCAGCCGACTTTGCTTTGTGCATCCTCTTCCGCCAATACCAGTTGCGCATCATCCTCACCCATGTTGTTCGTCGTCGCCGCTGCTGTAGCCTTGACAGCAGCCTCAGGTACAGCTGCATCTACTCCTGCCTTCAACCCTTCCTCACCCTTCGATCCAGCAACCACCGCGCCAATCTCGCCAACCATCAACACCTTCTCTGTCTCCTCTATCTCTTGCTTCTTCTCCTGCACCGCGTAATCTGTAATCAACTGGTAAAAGTCCTTCCCAGCTGCCATCAAATCCTCATAAGTGCCCGTCTCGGCAACCTCTCCAGCCTTCATCACCAGAATCTGATCCGTCTCATTCAAATGGTGAATTCCATGGGTAATCAACACCCGTGTTTTGTCCTTCAACAACCCCCCAGGTCCAACAAGCCGATCCCACAGATGCTGGTCCACATGAGCATCAACAGCGCTCAACGGATCATCCAAGAGGTACACGTCCGCATCTTGATACGCCGCACGCGCAAGCGCAACTCTCTGTTTCTGTCCACCAGACAGGTTAATCCCGCGCTCTCCGATCTCGGTCGCGTCGCCTGCTGGGAGGATCCGGATATCGGGCAGCAAGCCTGCTGATTCGATAATGCGATCGTATTTCGATTGGTTGAAGGTGGAGCCGAAGAGAATGTTGTCCCGGAGGGAGCCGTTGAGGATCCAGGCTACTTGGGAGACGTAAGCGACGCTGCCCGAGACGATGACTTGACCGTGGCATTTGTACATCTCGCCGATGAGGGCGCTCATGAGGGAGGACTTTCCTTGGCCGACTCGACCGACGACTGCCGTGAGGGATCCTTGAGGGACTGTAAGGTTGATGTTGGTCAATATTGGGAGGGGCTCAGTGATGGTGTCTTGTGGAAGTGGTGGTGCTGCGTCCGAGGAAGAGATAGTTATGATGCTGTCGATTGTTGGGGCCTCTTGAAGTGTTGAGGTGGGCGATGACTTTTTCGAGGATGAAGACGACTCCATAGTAGTGGTGTCCTTTGTCTTCTTCTTCTTCTCCGCTTCCTTCTCACTCTTCTCCTTCTTCAACTGCTCATCCCGCACACTCGTCCACGCAAATACTCCATCCCGAATCTCCAACGCAACCTTCTCATCACTACCACCAGAGCCATCCTTATCCCGGTACTCAATCTGCTCCAAATCCAACTCTTCCTCCACCAACAACCCCTGAATTCTCTTAAATGCAACCCTCAACGCAATCACCGAACTAGTCATCCCCGAGATCCTCCCCAACGGCTGAGAAAGTCTCGCAAACAGCGTCACCGTGACAAAAATCATCTCTGCCGAGATGGTCCCCCTTGTTCCTCCAGGTCCACCAAAATACGAATAAATCACAAAGGTGAGGAGGGACATGACGAGGGGAAGGGAACTGAACATGATACACATGAATGCGGATGCGACACCGATATTGCGGAGGTATTTGATCTCTGTTGCGCGGAAGCGGGCAACTCTCTCCCGAAACGCGTTTTCCTATTTTCAACAAAACACAACAAGGAAACGAAGCCCATGTTAGAATTCCATCGGTAATATTAACGTTTTTCTCCTTTTCTTGTGACCCAGAACTGTTCTCCACAACCTTTGTTCCAAACAATGTCAAACAAAAAAAAGGGGGGGATACAACAAAGCCCAGAGGCCTAGACAAAACGTTACCCAAGAATACATCTTGACAGTCTTGATAGACGAAAGAACCTCCGTCAAGATCTGGATACGGCTGTCCATTGCCCCCAGTTTCCTGTCCTTGGCCTTGTTGACCACCTTGGCCATGAGCCCCTGCATAGGGAGGATCATAATGATCACGCCGACACTTGTCAACGAACTGGCTCCCAGTCGGTTGTAGAGCAAGTATATCGCAAGAACAATCTCGAATGTCGAGGAGACAATCATAGGGAATGCGGTTATACCAAAGCCAATCCTCTCAGTGTCGACCGACATATGGTTGCCTACGTTTATTGTGGATGGGGAGGGGGGGAAATATAAAGTATTGGGTTAATATAAGGCTTCGCCTTGCATCACAACATAAAGATGCAAAAGCGAAAAAGCAAAAAAAAAAAACTTACTGATCTCGCCAACGGTGGAGCGCTGTCGAGCACCTGGAGAGAGAACTAACGACTTTTGATAAATCAACCCAATCAACGACGTGCGAAGCTCAATCCCCAACACGTAACTCTGTTGAAAGAACTGCCCACTCGCCAGTGTTGCCAGGACCGTCGACAAGAACAACGCCACCGCAAGAATAATCCCGTACTTGATCGGAGGCCGTGCCTCTTCTTCTGCTGATGTCGATGTTGTAATATAATCCAACAAGACAGCCAACAGCAGCACCTGCGAATACTCGAGCACCGACTGTGCTAAAGAGATGAGGGTTACGGGGACCAGTCTTGAACCGACCGCACGTAGGGAAAGGAGCATCAGGTTGGGTGTCTTGCCCTTTGCCCGTCGCTTCTGCCTGTGCTCTTCCCACTTGTGTGACAGATGTGTGAAACTGTGTTGGGTCTTGAGGTGTTGTGGCATCTGGTCTGCAATATCCTCATCCAAGAGAGGACGTCGGAACCCTGTCGAGAACATGTCCTGCATGTAATAGAAGCACAGCCGGGAGCATAGGTTCGCTTTCTCGTATGGAGTCAGCCTCTCGTTCTTGCCATCCTTGTTGTCCTGCTGTGGGTACTGTCTCCTAGGCCAAGTCTCGACTATGAATGCAACGACAGAAGCTCCAAAAAAGACACAGAACGACACAAACTGTCCCCCTCCTGAAAGTCCCGTATCGTGTAGAGTCCGGATATAAATAAGCGACGCGATGATGTTGACAGCATAGAATGCGAACAGATATGTAGATGACCGGAACTTGTACCCGAGCTCCAAATAGTTCAACCCCAGCGCCAAGATCTAATGCACAAGGCAAGGAAAAAGCATAAGAAAAGATGGGTCATGGTGAGGTTAGGGGCCAATGCACGCCCAACAGCGAATTGTTTCCACAAAAGTAAACAACCCCTTTTCCTATTGTTCAACGTACCCAAGAAACAAGCAGTGTAACACCCCCAAAGATAGTAGCAGGTGACGAAGAACCCTGGTTCAATTGAACAAGTCTGGTAATAAGAGCAGCACACGCCACTGTCAGGCAGGTCATAGATGCGGCATAGAGGATTTGGTTATTGGCACGGCCTTCCTTGGAAGCGTAAAGTTTTTTCTTGGAGAGCAGGCAGTATCCGCGGATTGTGAAGGCGATAATCGCGATGAGGGATGGTAGACCGAATAATATGCTATAAAAGGGTATCAAAGGATCAACGCACGTGTTAACTCAGGATGAATGAATGAACCCTCGGGACAAAATGCAAGGATGCTGAGAGTTCACCAGGGCGGGATCAGAATAATGTTTTACGTGTTCTCGAAACAGGGTGTGAGGTCGACACGCTCCAGATTCGTAGGACCCTGCAAACGTTGAGAAGCAACAATAAGAAAGATAGTTGTTAGAAAGGGAGAGCGCTTTCTTCTTTGTGCAGTACTCTGTAATTGTGGAATTTAACGTTTAAAGAAAAAAATGAGTAGAGCAAGACGACAGTTTACCCATCCTTCCTGATCGCCGCAAAAAGAGGAACTCATGTAACCTCTATCTTTTTTTTTCTATAGCTTCTGTGTCGTTGACAAAGAGAGTGTACAAGACAGGGTATGAGAGAAATAAAAGGGGAGAAGATGGAGCGTGAGAGAGAAGGAAACGCGGGTGAGGATGACTTTTTATGCATTTTTTCAAGTTTTGCTCCATTAGGTTCGGTCTCCCTCCCTCCTTTCTGTTGTCTCCAGCTTGTTATTTTTTTTTTGCTCCAACCCACGAACGCCCAACCTTAACCTGCGAAAGAACACACGCTTGCTATTGGACACAAGCAAGGGATGGAGCACCTGCACAACGATAAATCATAATTCGACGTCTGCAACTGCAACAAATAAACATCACTCTGGCCCTGAAAGAACAAACGCAGTAAAAAAACCCCAGACAGATGTACCATCTTTCCCATAAACAGGCAGAGTCGCCCGTTCTTTTTTTGTCATTTATTCACGCTCAGTCCTTTGTGCTCTCATCAAGCAACGCCCCACCCCTCGTGAGAGAAGAGAAAATAGAAAGAAAAGTCCAACGCCCGCGCAATTGACGAAAATAACAACCATTTTTTACTTCTAAAATGATACTTAAAAAAAACTATAGTACACCGCGCCCTTGACATAAGAGCGAGATCGGCTCTTATGTTGAGTTTTCTATTCTATTCAATTCAATGAGAGTTTTTTTTTGTTACTTCTTTTTTCTTGATTTTTTAAAAGAAATTCCCAGACATCTACGCCGTGTAAGATAGAAAATTCAAAATGGCCACCTAGGCCGTGCAACATAGAAAAAACAGACCGAGTCTTGAATCTATATGCTCAGACATCATCCTCCGAAGCATTCACCCTCATCTTCCGCCTTCACACCATCCGCACCCTCTTCTACATCACTCTTTCGCGACGCTCCCTTCTAGACGTCGGATCATGGATGAGTTATGTGTCCCTGCTGCCCTTCCCATCGGTGGCAGCAAACGCTTGGAACCTCCAACCTCAACCAGCAATGCTTCTAAGATGACTCAATCTCGAAACTCGCACACCATAGACAAAAAACTTCTGTTTATCTCGACATATGAGGAACTCAAGAAGCTTATCCCGACCCTCACAGTCAGCACTTTCGCCAGTCATGTTGACTTTAAATATCCAAAGTCCATTGCCACCAGGATCATGAGAGAGAGAGAGAACATTGTCTCTTACAAAGACAATACTCCCGGACGGATGACCCTGTTCAGAATGTTCCCGCGCAAGCTGGAGACTGTCGAGAGAGCCGTATATAACGCTATCATGGATGATCGCGCGTTGGGTATGTACAAACTGCATTTTCACAGTATTCTCTATCCTATTGCAATAATTACCACTTGAGTTAACGCTATGATAAAGGTGTGCCCGTTAACGATAGCCGGACCAAGGAGCTGGCTTATTACTTCTATGTGCGTCTTCTTGAGCGGCAAAACGACAACACGCTACCATGCGTCAAAATATTCTTCTGACTATTCACATTTAAAACTTACCTAGCTGCCTATCGTCCTCTGGATCTGGATCTGGAAGTAGAAGCGCAACTGGACACATCGTACCACGGGACCGGATACATGACCACAGAGATTTTCCTGGGTTGGCTGGGGGATCTTGATGCGGATATGGGCAGGCAGGGGAGGAATATTGCCTTGCTTATTGACAACGCGCCTGGACATGGAAAGAAGGAGGAAACGGGGCTACTTTTGGACAACATTACCCTCGTTCGTCTCCCCAAGAACACAACCTCTGTATCACAGCCCTTGGATGCTGGTATTATCATGTCTTTCAAGGTCAAGTACAGTCGACTTATGATTCCCGTCATTTCTCACTATCGTCATCTCGACGATACCTCCAGAGCCAAGATTCCCAGGGGCCCGTTGTGGGCCTGCTTACCTCAGGCATGGAACCGCGTCTCTTTGTCTTGCATCCGCAACTGTTTTGCTAGAGTTCCAGTTCTTCCTACGGCCATGCAAGATTACCTCAAGATTGCTGCCATGGAAATAACCCCGGATGATGAGTTGGTCAACTTGAAACGTGAGCTGGCAGAGCTGTATCCTGACCGCTGTCCAACCATTAACCGCCAGACTGCCTATGGCATCCTCCTTTTCCTTAAGAGCATGTCACGGAGAGGCCCAACCGTTCACCTTGAAAAATACATCGACGAGATTGCCATTGACGAGAGGTACAAGTCCTTTTTCACTCCCCTACCTCCCATGGAAGAACTGGGTGATGTCTCCGATGACGGCCTCTCAGATGACGAGTATCTTCCACCTATCACTGCTCCTCAAGAGCCGATACCCCCCGAGCAGCGTGTCTGGACCGTCGGTCAGGCCAATATATCTCGGAACCCCCCTCTGATACACCTTCGTCACAAGAACCTGCTTCATCACAAGAGGCGCCGCCACAGCAAACCCCGGTTTTCCCACCAGTGGACACCTCACAATCCTCGTCGGGCAAGAAGAAGAAGGAGTCTTTGCCTAGGATCCCAGCGGATGACATGTTAACGGAACTCAGACACTATAGTACCACCCATAGAAAGCACCATAGCGATCTTCAAGTCAGGGAGATGAAATACCTGGCCAGCTTAGAGAAAAGAGTCATGGCTGATATAGAAGTAATGACTGACTATCTCAAGTTGCATGCAATTAATGATTAAACATGTTGAGCGTGATGTTCCCCAATTTATTTCTACGTTGCACGGCCTAGATGGCCATTTTGAATTTTCTATCTTACACGGCGTAGATGTCTGGGAATTTCTTTTAAAAAATCAAGAAAAAAGAAGTAACAAAAAAAAACTCTCATTGAATTGAATAGAATAGAAAACTCAACATAAGAGCCGATCTCGCTCTTATGTCAAGGGCGCGGTGTACAATGTGCGAAATATGAAAGAAAGAAAATACTGAAGTAGCGCGTGTGTAAGAGTGTGTATGCTAAAAATGATATGAAAAGTAACAGATGGCGTGCTTTTCAGCAGCCTAGAGATGATGAGGCGTATCGATTTCACCAGCCTGCTCAGCAAGTTGATAAAACAACGACTCCTTCCTAGACAACAGTGTCCTAGGCGACTCGAATTCCTGAACGCGTCCCTTCTCCAACACCAGGATCTTGTCCGAATCCATGACAGTCTTGATACGATGCGCAATTGTCAGAATCGTCCTGTCCTTGAACTCCTTGCGGATCGTCTTCTGGATCAGGTCGTCCGTCTCGACATCCACAGCAGCCGTGGCTTCGTCAAGGACTAGGACCTTGGTCTTGCGGAGGAGCGCGCGGGCGAGACAGATCAACGACCGCTGGCCCACCGAAAAGTTGTCTCCATTTTGGGCGACCTCAAAGGATAGGCCGCCAGTGAGGGCGGAGATATGCGACTTGAGATGGGCGCGTTCGAGAGCCTCCCACAGATCCCTGTCCGTATGCTCCCCAAAGGGATCCAAGTTGTCGCGGACAGTACCAGCAAACAGAGTAGGATCCTGAGGGATAATCGACAAGTGCTGACGGAGGTCCTTCAATCCAAGCGTTGAGATGTCAACACCATCAATCTCAATAGATCCACCACTACCCTCTCCGTCAGTTGAAAATGTCTGCTGGACAGTGTCCATAAACCGGCGCTCGGCTGCGCTAAAGTTGGGATCACTGGCCTTGGCCCAGTAGCTGTCGGCTGCCTCAATGATACGGAACAGCGCCAGAGTCAACGAAGACTTGCCAGCACCGGTACGGCCGACAATACCAACCTTCTCTGTAGGTGCGACAGTGAACGAGATATCTTTGACGACCAAGTCCAACCCCTCACGGTAACGGGCACAGTAGTTCTTGAAGACGATTTGACCCTGCGAAGGCCAGTTCTCGGGCAAGACGACTCCAGTCTCGACGGGGGCCTCAGTAGGTTTCTGGGTATACTCATCCACACGCTCGACAGACACCAAGATGTTCTGGACCTCACTAACAGTACGGACCATATAGTTGATGTACTGCACCATGGCTAATGAATAACTCAGCGCCAGACCAACCAAAGAAGGATCCAGGGATCCAGCATTCCAGACAGCCAAAGCGGCCGCGATAAAGACAGTACAGGCACCAAGTGTCTCGAGACGGATCTGCAGCCACCGGTTGTTGAGACAGTAAGCGTTGAATCGGTTTCCGATCAAATCGCCACGGCGTTCGTTCTCTTCAACAAACTGATCCTGCAACCCCTTCATCACCCGGATAGTCGAAACACCGGTCAAGGTTTCGCTGAAATGCTGGTAGAGCGGCGACTTTGAAACAGAGTAGAGACGCTTGAGAGAACCAGAACTCTTGATAAAGTAGCCCTGGACCCAGGCGTAGGTCAACACCAAGGGAGGGATCGCAAGTAGGAAGACGGGGGTCGAGTAGGCGATGACAAAGAGCGTTCCTAAGATGATGGATCCAAACCTAAACAGATCGTTCCATTCCTCGGGCATCTGTGCGTCGATCGAGTAAATGTCAGACGAGAACCTGTTGACAATACGACCCATTCTATTTACAAAAGAAATATAAGACGTGTTAGTTGCCATGCGAGCGTATAACAGCAACCATGTCGTTCAAACACGTAAGGGCAACTTACGGAGTGACATCGAAGAAGGCCATGGGGAGGCGAAGGACACGATCCAAGAGGTTCTCGTGAAGGACCTTGGAAGCCTGGATACCACAGACGGCTTCAGTGACATAGTTTTCAGTGATGTCCAGGACCATGTAGAGAAGGACGAGCATGCCATATCCTTGGAGATAGTAAGAGATAGGGCGACCTACTTGTCCTGAACGGTCGCGCTCTTCAGTGTCGCTGACCCAAAAACGAAGCCAAAAGTTGGTACTGATATGACAAGCCTGGGACAACACGAACAAGCAAACACAGAATATGGCATTGCGAAGAGATCTAATATGGGATGGAAAGATATACACAACACAAAGATCAGTTCATAGCTTCGCTCAAGAATTGAATAGTTACGATGTACGAACAAGCGATAATGCATGACTTACGCAGCCTTGCCATAGATGATGGCAACTTTCCAGCCAACCTTGCCTTCCTCCATCCGCTCATCGGCAATAAGCTCACCGGCATCATCCTTGGGGTCCTCAAGAGGAGCTGGCTTCTTGGAAGGAGCCATCGCCTTGTCAGCATGAATGTTCTCCTCACTGGACTTGCCGTCGCCCTCAGTGTCACTGTCGCTACCAGACTTGCGAATGCTGCTACTAGCAGATGCATTGGCAGTCGACTCGCCTCCATTGTCCTCTGCAAGCTGTTCCTGTTGAGTCTCTAGCTTGTTGTTGTGTTTCTTCTTTTTCTTAGCGACAGAAAAGTCCTTGATCAACTGGTAAAACGCCCCGCGAGCGTTCATCAAATGCTGGTACTCGCCTGTCTCTGAGATGACTCCGTCCTTCAAGACCACAATCTGATCGACGTTCTCCAAGTGATGAATACCATGGGTGACCAAGAGGCGGGTCTTGTCCTTGAGCAATCCCTCTGGTCCAAGCAAGTTCTGCCACAGGTGTTGATCGACGTGGGCATCAACGGCACTGAGAGGATCGTCCAATATGTAGATGTCGGCATCCTGGTAGGCAGCGCGGGCCAAAGAGACACGTTGCTTTTGACCTCCTGACAAGTTGATACCGCGCTCTCCAATTTCAGTTTGGTCACCAGCGGACAGCATCTCAAAATCAGGCTTCAATCCAGAAGCATAAATAACGCGTTCGTACAAGACTTGGTCGAATGCCTTTCCGAAAATAATGTTATCTCGGACCTAATTATTGCAAACGGAAAACGTTAGCGACATGCAAAGGAGCTGCAAATCCACAGAGTACTCAATGAGGTTCATGATTTGTGCACTCACAGTAGCGTTGATGATCCATGCTTGCTGGGGAACATAAGCGAGGTCGCCATAGACAGTGACAGATCCATGCAACTTGTACATTTCACCCATGATAGCGCTCATCAGTGACGACTTGCCCTGACCAATACGTCCAACAAAGGCGGTCAAATTACCATCAGGAACGCGAAGGCTGATGTTGGTGAGAGTCGCCTTGACAGCAATTGCCGATTGAGGTTGGGTCCTGGCAGCCGAAAGAAGGGGCTGTCTCTCTCCCAGTGACGAGGTATCCTGGTCGACGACTGAGGTTGCGGTGGCGGGTTCCTGTTTCTCCCAAGAAAAAGTGCCCTGCTCAATGTTGACAGCCAAGACGGGCTCCTCATCCTGTCCAGACGTCAGCGACCTTGGCTGGCGGCTATAACGATTAACGACTGACGTATCGATCTCCTCCTACATGATATAAAGATGGCCATTGTTAGTCCTCTGATATGAATATGGATATCCATTATGTTGAATAACAATAGAATTAAGAAGACTTACCATCAGCAGAAAGTTCGTGATACGTTTCATAGCGACATCAACAGCGATGGTTTTGGAGATCATATGGGCGACCAAGCCAAGCGGGCGGTTCATGATACCAAAGAGGGTGATACTGACAAAGATGATTTCCGAGCTCAGCTTTCCAGGGGTCATGTTGGGGCCACCAATGTAGGCATAGACTGAGAAAGTGACCAGGGCCATGAGCAGAGTGATTGAAGAAAAGATGATTGCCAACAAGGAGCTGACAGTCGCCAGGCCTTTGAGGGCCTTCAACTCTTTGGTGCGGAGGACGTTGATCTTTTGGCGAAAGGGCACCTCCCTGAAGGTAATAAAACGAGGGACAGGAAAGAAGAATAGATAGGGGAGCCGTGGAGTTGATTAGCATATTATGATTCGCCTCTCGGGAAAGATTTTATTTCCTCACATCAACACTAAGCCCAACAAAAGAACAAAAGGAAGAATAAATGACCACTTACCAGTTGTACAGCTTGACGATCTTGATGTTGGTTAGGATCTCGGTCATGAGGCGGAGACGGCTGTCCATCCACTTGAGCTTCTCGTCCTGGAATCCGTTCATGACACCAGCCATCTTGACCTGGATGGGGACCAGGATAAAAAAGACAGCCAGTCCAGCAAACAGCGACCATCCGAGCAGTTGATAGAGAAGGTAGATCGCAACAACCAATTCGAATCTGTGAATAGAAAGGGGTAAAAGGAAAGAGGTGAGAAGGAAAGGAGAGGGAGGAGGGGGGGGGGGGATGAGACAGACAGAGAGAGAGAGAGGTCAATAAGGAGTGACGAGATAACAACAGACCTGCAACAAACGGACCATTCATGTCTGGTGCATACAGATCCATGGAAGTCTACTGCCTGCAAAAATAAACCACACATCCGAAATAGCTATTGAAAAGCGCTTACGGGACAGTAACAAGCAACGGCAAGTAGATCGAGGCATCGACCCAACGCTCAGCATCGACGGCCATATGGTTAGTAATCTCACCCAGGGTGCACGATTGCTTAGCCTGAGGGGAGAGGCGGAGGGATTTGCGATAAATCATTGCAATCGTCGCTGCACGAGCTTGGAGACCCAAATCCGTGTTGCCCTGGAAGGCAACACAGAGCAAAAAGGTACTAGCCAGGTTGGAAATGAACATGGCTCCTGCAATTATGAACCCAATCTTCATCGGCGGGGGGTGGGATCCGTCACGGACCGCTGCAGAGTAGTCGCCGATGAACTGGAGCAATTGACCGAACAGCATGGGAGGGACATAAAGCAGAGCAAAACCGGCAACACGGTAGCTGAGCATCACAGCGATATCGCCCTTGTAGGCATCCAGGACTGTCCAAATGAAAGAGGGCTCCTTACCCTTGGCCTGATCTCGCTCCTTGCTCCTCTCCCAGTAGGCGACCACCTGCTGGTAGTTGACGTTCGTGTTTAGGTTGGCAGGAGTGGTATTGACCAGATCATCTCCAGTGAGGGGACGCCTTGCTCCGGTACTGACGATCCGTTGGTAGTAATGATATGTGAGGCGGGAACAGAGATTGGCTTGCTGGTAATCGCTCAAATTTTCCTTTTCCCGGGCGAGCCGTTGGACCTTGGTCGCCGTGCGAGGAAAGGACTCGACGAGGAGAGCACACATGATGGCCATGGCAAAGTAGGAGATGTGATCAAAGGTCGATGTGGGCCATGGGTCGGACTCTGAGAGGATGTAGAGGGCAACCAATGAGGCCGATACTGCTGTGGTGAGAAACGAAAAGAGGTAGTCGGACGAACGAGTCTCGAAGCGATGCGCAGCAGCATTCAAGGGAAGCGCCGTCAGCTAAGAGGGAGAATTTTCGATGGTAACATTGGGTCAGCATGTGGTATTCTCCTTTTTCGGTGTTCTTTTTTAACAGGGGAGAAAGGAGGCAGAGCCAGGGGAACGAGAGGAAATGCAAGCTAATTCCACATGCATGGAGATAGACAGCAAAGAAAACTACTTACGCATGCAGCGAGAGTCAACAATACGCCTGCCAACATGCCATCGGAATCCGAGTGGTGCCATTCCAAAGTAGCAGCAAGGGAGATCATGACAAGCGCCGCAAGGACGATGAACGATTGAGTGGGCCAGTAGATCAGGTTGGTTCTACCATAACCATGGGCTTTGCAGTTGCTGTTTAACCAGCGAAGGCGTCCGATGTTTGCGATGATGGCGAAGATAGAAGGAACCCCCAGGAGGGTGAGGTATCCTCCGTGGCTCATGAGATAGTTGATCCAGATCGTTATAGGATCGCGGGGGGTGGTGTTGTTATCGAGAGCCATAGAACTGATTGGATGGTGGGTAATGGAATGCGATTGGATGTGGTTCCATATAGATGGCCCCGATAGTGCGGATATCGACATGTTGTATGAATGAGTAAGTGAGAGTGTCGATGGGGTCGATCGATGGTTGATGACTGCAAGAGGTTAATACTTGAAATAGGAGTAGAGAGGAGGACGAAGAGGAGAGAGGGCGGAAGAAAGGAGAGAGAGAGAAGAGAAGGGTGGAAGGAAGAAGAAAAGAAAGAACAGAAAGAAAAAAAAAAGTATTTATCGACAACACTCCAAGGGAGCTAAGGCGTCGTGCAAACAACAACAATGAAGAAAAAAGAAAAAAGTCCGGGCTTTTTAGGTTTGTCTCTTACGGACAACAAAAAAAAAGGTTGTCTTCAAGGGAAAGGACTTCATCATTGTCTGCTCCGCACTAGCAAGACTTGCACAAACAATACATCGAACTACTCAGCCTTTTAAATGACTAGCTGCTGCGGGCTGATGACACACACATTCACACAGGAGGAAAATAGATGTCCACAACTCATGAGTGAGTGTGAGAAAACTGAAAGATAAGAAAGGGGGTAGGTACACTTCAAAGATAAATTCCGCAGGAGGACAAACGTCAACAGTTGTGCAACGCCACTTCTTTTTGTTCCTTCCAGTTGTTGATGAGAATGACAGGTCCCACGCCCAATAATAACTTGTCGTTGTCCTACTCATCGCTGCTCTTTTCCCTCGACTTGACAATCCCCAATTGATGTGACAACCACATGAACATGTGCACTCGCACCATAAGAAAGACCCTTCCTCCCAATTTTTCGACTCTGACTTGGATTGTTTCTCACCTCTCCTCCCCTTGCTCACCCACTCCAAATCATATGGACCAGGTGGATCCCCAGCCAGGAACCATCACTAATAAGTCTCTCTATCTCATTGACTGGGGCATCAGAAATAATATTTGATCCAATATAAAGAAAACGGTCGTCGTAAAAAGGAAAAAAAACTCGGGCAATAACCACCTTCATTTACTCCACTTTGCAGTTCGAATGGATAGTTTTGGTGAAGGGCAATTGCAGCAAGCAAAGCCGTGGAGAGAAGCAATAGGAGTAGAAAGGATCACAGAAAAGAGAGAGAGGCAATTGGCGGATGGATTGGAACTAAAATCGTGCCACCGACCTACAGATAAAAATCGGCCACGGTCTTGAGTTCCTCTCCGGGTGGGGTGAGTCGATCAAGAATCTGTTTTTCAGTTATCCCAAAGGGCAGAATACGGAGATGGACGACGTTCGATGGATAATGGATCATTGGCCGACTTTGAAGACGATCAGTACTGGTTGCTTGCTCAATGCGGACGAAGACATTGATAAGCAGAGGTTTGAAAGACCCTGACCAGCAATTTGATGGCGGAACGAAGGTAATCTGAGACGTTTTGACTTTAAAGCGACATCAATCAACCGTTTAACACGTTTGTTTTTTTACCACCACACACACAATGGGCACGCCGCCTTTTTCTCCCTGGTCCTTGCTCCCTCACAGTTTCTCTCTCTCTCTCTCTCTCTCTCTTCTCTCTTCAACACCAAATAAAAAAAACGACACCTCATTCACCTCATTCACTCAGACCCTCACACCCTCACACACGCTGACATTAACAAAAGAAAGAGAAGCGCGATGCCTGCACGCCCTCATGCGCTCGACCTGCCCGAGATCCTCCCCCTCATCACTCAACAGCTCACCCCAAAAGACCTCTACGCCTGCATCCGCGTCTCCCACGCCTTCCACCACGCATTCACTCCACACCTCTGGTCAACCATCCTCATCAAATCCCCTCAAAAACCAAAACACCTATTCCTTATCCCTCCTAAACAAGCCCTCACGCGTCACCAACACCTTATCCGAGGCCTCCACCTCATCAATACCTTCCCACCGCACTACCTCACAGCCTTTCGCGGTACCTTGCAGGAGTTACACATCTGTACGATGAAGTATAGACGGTTTGATCCGAGGGATCATGAAGAGAATTTGAGAAGGCTTATGGGGGTGATACTGGCGAATGCGGGGTCGTTGAGGGATTTGTCCGTGAGGGTTGCGGTGCCCAAGGAGCGACAGTGGGTGGTGAATAAGGAAGTGTGGGAGGCTGTGAGGAGGTGTCGGAGGATTAGGACGCTGGAGGTGAGATATTTGGATGTGTCGTTGCGCGAGTTGGAGGCGTTTTGGGAGATCTGTGGAGGTGATGCGGAGGCTCTTAAACGCGCATTAACAGCGGCAGGAATTGTTCCTGCCCGTCATCCCAAAACCGAGAGAAAGCCTCCTCCTTCTCTTCCTCCTCCTCCTCCTCCTCCTTCGCTTCCTTTGACATCAACGACGACGACAATGTGTTGCGCCCGTCATCCCAAAATTGGGAGACGGTCTCCTCCTCCGCCTCCTTTGATTAAGACGACAAGGTCTACCCCTTCTCGGTCGGTCGAGCTGGATATGTGCACCTTTGACGAATGGCCTGATGAAGTGTACGCGGACGACTCCTTGACTCTCCCAGCAATCACGACACTGAAATTAACGTCCGTTTTTAAACCAGGCGACCGAGATCCGACGAGGATTTCAGTCTTTGGGCAGGCCAGGATGATCCGAAAATGCGTGAATCTTCGGTGTTTCCAATGGAATGGTGGCGATTCGCGGTCAGACGCTGCTCGGTCAGAGCGATTGAACCTTCAGAACGGAAACGTTGTTGCCTGGTTCTTTGGAGGACTCCTTGGAGACACACCCGGCTTACGAGGAACATATGGATGGAAGACTGCTGAAGATGAGAACGACGAGACGGAGGAAGACGAGGGTCGGTCAGGAGAGAGATGGCCGCTACCACATCTCGAGTCGATTCAAACCACGTGGAAGGATGTCCCGGACTTGGTAATCGCGCGGCTATTGAAGCGCCTGCATCGATTGACGAGTCTTCAGTTATCCAGTCCAAACTTTGGCCCTCTGGCGTTTCGGGAGTTGGTCCAGGAGCGGGTTCCTTTCCGCGCCATGCCCATCGATCATCTGCCCCGGGATCCTTGTTTTCCTTTCTCAACACCTCCGAGATTAGTATCGCCACCGCCAAGGCGACTGTCTGCGTCTATCAGGGTTTTGGATATCTCGTCCTACTCAAGTCTCACCAGCGACAATGTCTTTGAGCTATTGGAGTCATGCCCCGTATTAGAGGACTTTTCTGCAGCAATGGTCAACATGACGGGGATCCTCAAACGGACCAAAGACTGGGCCTGTCACAAGATGAAGCACCTTTCCCTCGTGATCGTCTTCAACCACAACCCCGCGTCCTCCCCAACAACAACAATAACAACAACAAGGGAAGCACAGAAAGCAGTATACGCCCAACTAGCACGTCTCCGAAACCTCAAAACCTTCGAACGCAACTACGTCATCTCCCCACCAGGCACCCTCGATCTCCAACTCAACCTAGCCCATGGCCTCGACCTCCTCTCGACCTGGGGTGAGTCTATAGAATACATCAAGTGCGTCTATAACTTCCAGCAAAAGATGACTCTAGAGGATATCCAGTGGATGTTGGATCATTGGCCGAGGTTGAAGAATATGCTTTGTAGTAAATTCCATCCGGATGCGGAGGTTGATAGACAGATCCGGGAGTTGTTGAAAAGTAGAGGTGTTGCTCTGTGTAGTCCTCAGGTATTATCATGAATGGCAGTAAAGATGTTTTGTGTTTCTTTTTTTTCAATTCAATCATGTTTGCGTAGGTTCCTTGTTTTTGTTTAGTTTAGCGTCTACCTTGCGCGCTACCAAAATCAACTGCAGTCATCTTATTTCACCTCATTTCGCGCGCCAATTGGCTTCAATCTATGGCGAGAGGAAGTGGACGAGGAGGAAGTGGACGAGAAAGGTTTCGTTACCCCTCGTCCAAAAGCACTAGTTTGGCGATGGTAGAGCGAGCGGATCCTGTGGTACTGCTCATCGGGCAACTGAGCATTGAACCGATTGTGTTGCCTCTCCAAGAACTCAAACACTCTAACCACCGCTACTCCAGGGACCGAGTCATGATCGTTAGCTAAGTATCGTGAAAACAGTGCAAACATAGTGTATGTTAGACATATGTTCGATGTACTCACTGCATGGTGTTGGAGAGTTCATGCTGAGGAGTACGTGGTGAAAGTGTGTTTGTTAAAGGGCTTACTCTTGGCTTCTTCTGCATTTCCGAGTGATCCAGCACAGCCCCACTGCGAGAACGTCCTGGTGTTCTATAACCGAAATAATCCAGAAAAAATAAAAAGGGAATGATAAATATGCTGGATGTCTGTAGGAGGCTCAGCACGTTTTACGTCCGCCAATCAGCCATTGTGTCCCAATACGTTACGTTGAACAACCATTCGCCGTCCCTTTTGCGATAATGACTCGACCCTGTAATCCCGTCCAACAACACTACCGCCTTGACACGTCTGATGAACTCCTTGCCTATGTTACAAAACGAGGAGGGAGGGAAATCTTAGTAAAAAGGTCAAGCGTGTGAAAAAAAAACCCCCCATCCTCGATAATCAACGCAAAAGTGACATAAGGGCAGCATCGAAGAATAGAAAACTTACGATAGGTGTCATAAAGATCCAGTGTAGCCGCGGTTCCTGCACTGAAAGCCACAAACATGACGCACTTTGCCGAAGATTTCCTATAGGAACACAGGTATCAAGAGAAAAAAAAAATAATGAAATAATTAGCATTGTCAATATCTATCTGTCAACTTACTGCCATGTCCATCTTTTGGCAATAATTCCCAATAAACAAACAAAAGAAAACACCTCTTACCGAATCAACTCCTCCCAAACGCGTCGGACATGATCCGCCCTCCCCTGCGGACCACCCCTGCTTTTACCCCCACCGCTCAGCCACATTGACATCGGACCCGGCGCAGCCGCAGCCGCAGGAGCCAGCTCTGCTCGATTCGGGTCACACAAAATAACCGCCCACCCCAGATGTTGCGCCCTATCGATATAGGGAATCTGAGATGCATGATCGAATTGACCCCTGTGTCCATTGGTGAACAGCTTCCGTGCCCATTGTCCAGGTGCGACTTTCCCAAGTCCTTGCACGATGATGAGGACTTTTGGGTTTACAAGTACATCCTTGCTGTAAGAGTTTAGAAAGGGAGGGAAGAAGAATGAAGAGGTTAACAGTGGTGAAAGGAGATGCGAGTTGTTTGCACGCTGGTATCGATGGTTGATCAGTGGAGATCACTGCTGATGATACTTTTTCAATGCTCGTAATGATAATAACAATGTCAAAATATAAAAACACCCACGGGGGGAAAAGCAACTCACGTTGCAAAGACTCGAGGACAGTCGGGTGGGATACGACCCCTAGTTCTCGAAAAGTCCTCGTTAGGATCCCAGGGGATGGCGATCTTCTGGAATCCAAAACCCTGCATGAGCCGGTCATGCAGCATCACCTGGAGCTTATCTGTGTCAGTGAGAAAAAAAAATATCCATCATCGTGTCGAGTATCTCGTATTAAATTTGATATTCTAGTTACCAATGCTTGACACGATTGGTCAAATGAACACGAACAATAACGGATGCAAGGAAAACGAAGGAGAAAAGATTACCATGGACGAACTCGTAGTAGTCTGACTGGGTCCCGAAATCAAACATGTTGCCTATTGCCTCAACCAAAGAAACCCTATATGTCAACATACCACATCTCTACAAGTGATTTGCTCCGATGCTTTACATTGTTAAAAGGCAGCGTCAAAGAATAAAAATGAGAATGAAAAAGGAGAACTCACCGTGTTTGTCGACAAAGTCGTTGTTGGAGTTGAAGTGCCAACCCATGTTCTGGAACCACTCCTCGTACTCCTGCTCGTGGTTTGCCATCCTCGTGTTTTCCTTTGCTGTTGCTATTTGTTCGACCTTGTGGTGTGATCGCGTGTTTTCGTTGTGAGGATGCGCGTGTATGTCGTGTGAGAAGGATAAGTTTCGTGTGTCCTGTAGTCCTGGCTGGTTGCCGTGGTGGAGAGTTACGCGGAGAAGAAGGGTGTGAGCGAAAGGTGTGAGGAACAAAAGAATACTCCCCAGTCACTCAAATAAAAAAGCAGTCCCACTGACGGAATTCCCGTGGCGTTTTTTTCTTGTGCAACCAGAGAAAGAGGGAGAGTGATCAATCCTATCGCATACACAGACGTAATAATAAAAAACGCGGGCATGTCTAGGGCAGCCTACTCAAATAAACAAACGGAATCATAACCGTCTCTTCGCTCACTTCCCGTTCCTCTTCGTGTGCTTATTCAAACTCTCAATTGAAAAGATAAAGAATAGTATATATATACACAGAGTCGTAGCTCTTTTTTATTTGGTGTTTGTGCGTGCTGTTGTAACATCGTCGTCCCTATCGTTTTCAATCGTCCCCCTGCTCTTAGTCACTCCCTAATGGAGCCAAAAGAAGCACCTGGTATAAAGCGATTTGTTTAGGTTGAAAAAAGTACTTCCGGACCCTTTCCCCCCTTCTCCGAAAGAAGAATGAAGAGAGGGGTTGGAGAGGAGTTGCTTGATTCTTCCATGGGATGCGCACGTCCCCGTAACGCATCTATGCCCATCAATAAAAAAAAAAGGAAATAGTACAAAGTAATAATATAGTAGAAAGTGTTGTTGGATGTGTCTCTCGGTGAAAATGAAGAAAGGAAAAAAGATGACAATGAACGAGAGGCTCGGCAATCTCGGACCCTCCCTTCCTTTAGAAGGCAGCAATGACGGCAACACAGCCAATGAGACCAAGGGCAGCCAAGGCACGGAAGATGGTAAAGGGACGCTTGTTGACGCCAAAGAGGCCGAAATTGTCAATGATGCAGGAAAAGATCAACTTGGCAGAGATAAGAATAGCGGTGGTAGTTCCGGCACCGAGGGTGGGGATGGAGAGGATGGTGATGGTGACATAGACGGCGCCGAGGACACCGCCTGTCCAGGCCCAGATGGGAGCTTTAGCGAGCATAATGGCCAGATTTGCTGGTGGGCGGCCGCGGACCTCGATGAGGAAGTAGATGAGGGATGTCACGGCACCTGTTGATGGAGAGAGGATAATTGGGAGAATAAAGAATTCATTAGGCTTTGACGAATGAGATGTTCCTCTTCTTCGTAACACTTCCAAAATTACTTGCATCCAATCAGATCGCAGCAACTGATCTTTGCTTTTGCTGTACTTACCGATGCAGAAGACCAAGGTCGAGGAGAGGCCCTTGCCAGAGAACTTGCCCATCTGGGCATTGATCGATCCCTGGGCTGCAGCAGCACATCCACCGACAGCGCACAGGAATGCGCAAAAGAACACATTGTCGAGAATTGACATCTTCGAGGGCTTGATCGACCGGATCGACGCCTGGCGAGACACGACCTTGACGCTTGAGAGGTCAGTGGCCTGAGATGCATTATCGTGGATCATCTTTGCTGTTATTGCTGTTTGTTGTTGGGTGGGGGGGAATGAGTAGAATGAAGAGTTGAGTCAAACAAAAAGTGAGTGTCGATGAGGCTGAGGAGTGAAGGATAGAAGGAATGAGAAGTGTAGGTTGTGAAAGGGATCAAGGGTTCAGAGTGGAATTGATAGAAGGGACAAAGGGGGTATGAAACTCAGATCGAATAAACGAGAGTGAGTCGAGTTGGTATGAAAGGGTAGAGTAGATATATGTACAACGGAAAAGGCGGAGATGTGGAGATGTGGAGAAGATAATGAAAGGGCGATCGGCGAGGGAGCGCGAGCGATGATGCGAGAGTGAGGAGAAGATGAGAGGTGAAGAATGAAGAGAGAAGAGAGAAGGGAAGTGTTGTCGAGTGGAGAAGAAAGAAAAAAAAAATCAGGGCATGGAGGGTGGCCGGAGTTGAGTATTTATATGTCGAAACCAGTCGACCAGTAACCTGGAAGGTCTTCTTGCGGTTCAATACAGTCAAGGGATGAACGAGTAAAGAATAACGTAAACTTACCAAAGGCTCATTTCAAGTCGTAGAAAATGAATGGCAAAAAGCAGCAGAGAGAAGGGCGAAGGTAAGCAAAAGAAGGAAGGGTCTCTCTGGAGAAAAAAAAAAAACAAGGTGACTGAAACGCTGTTTCTAGCCAAAAGAGCGGGTAAGCATCCCTGGCTACTTGCCCTTCTTTGTTCATCGTCCACGGCTATTCTTCCGCCCTTCCTTGGGTTTGGTCGCCTCAATGTTTTTCACTGAACCTCAATTCCTGTTACTGACTATCAACAGAATTAAAGCTAGGTTCCCTTGCTTTGTTGATACAGACCACTTCGCTCCAACCTGGTTGACTGTTCGTCAGGTCAAACAAACAAAGGTATCCAAGGGAACTGCCTATGGATACGTCTGTTGTTGTGTGCCTGTGTGTCACAAAGGGCTCATTGACAAAAGGGCCGATTGACTACAACTTTGTTCAAATGATCTATGTTGGTGTTGTTGTTTACTCAACATACGACACTCAACATGAATCAACCAACTGCAACCAAACAAACAAAACTTCTTTTTTTTTTTGCGTTGACATTGAAAACACGGGCAGCCATGAACATACTTTTCGTCCCTACAATTTGTTTATGAGATGGAGAGGGAGGGAAAGGAAGAGAGGTAAGTTTGAGTGCGTTCACCACCACAACCTGACCACCTTTTCCTCTCATTTTTCTTACTTGCTCAAGCGTTAAATGGATCCCTTCCCCTTTGGGGACGGTATGGACAGGAAGAATTCTCCAACGTTCTTTACGAATAAGCCCTTTTTTCATTCACCGCATCCCTTTTGTTGGAACTAATAGGGAAGGGGCCCATGTGACAAATATGACCCCTCTCCTTTCCACTTGGCTGTGTTCAGCCTGCCCTTACCTCTTGAAGGAATGCTTCGATATATGTGATCTGCATACGATTTGCATTGCTCAAGTGCTCTGATCAGACCATTCTTGTTCGTCCCACTCACTTCCATCACCCTTTTCTTGTGCTTCTTCTTCCACCCTTTCAGTCGACTATGGTAAAAGATGACAGAATGAATGAATGTCTATAAATAATGAATGAATAATAGAAACAGTTCATCGTCATGTAACTGAGACGGATTGGCACATTAAAAGGTAAGAGAGGAGGGATCGGTCGGGTTCTACAAACGCGGGGAATATCCACTTTTTTTTTGTATTCTTTTCTTTTTCTTTGTTCCGAGAGGTTCCCGGTTCTACGCGTGCACACGAGAAGGAAGTTAAAAATCAAACCCTTTTTTACCTTGCCTGATTTGTTCATGAACTTTTTCCACAACCGGTCGACGTACTGGCAGGCCGGGTTGATTGTTCAGCCTTTTTTTTTTGCTGGTGTTGCCGCTACTTTTCTAAGCGACGCAATCTCGACCATGCAACAGTGCTCTCGTCTGCCTCTCCCCCGCTTTTCACAACTTCCCCAATAAGGGATACTCTCCCTCCTTCTACTTCATGCAGCACTCTTTCATCCGTTTTCTTCGGCTTCTCACAGCCCCCAAGGGGTATGATTTAATCGATCTCATTTTATTACTTTAACCTAGAGTAACAGCTGGCGCATGCATGAAAGATATCTATTTTTTATCTCCTCCTATAGCCCAGTTTTTTGCAAGGGTCACCAATATCGTCATGACTTGGAGATACAAAAGAGCATGTCTTCATGATTTTCCCTATTTAGGGCGGGAACCAGGTCTTCGCAAAGAGCTCCGCTCTTACCTCGTGGCAACTCCGTGGTAGTTTAGTTTCGAACCTATGACGCAACAAGTGGGAACCAGCCAGGTCTAAGGCAGAGAAGAGATCGGAGGGTCCGATCAATCGTAGAATTGCATATCTGACATTAAAATGGTATGAGGAGATTGTGACAAAGAGTTCTTCCTTGATCACTGTCTTGCACTCTACAACCTTTCTCCACTTATCTCCTACTCGCCTTCAAAGCCTAGATGGGGTACATAAAAGATCGCGTTTCTTGACCTTTCGATACACAACATAGGCCAATGCTTCTGCTGCGATAGCACCACCAGGGAAAGACTTTTTTTTTGCTCCTGATCAAAGAATCTCGATCCAAAGGAATTGACGAATAAGGCACGATACAACTAGAACTTCGGCTTGTGCCTTCTTGACTGTCCGTAGAAAAAAAAGAGAAAAAAAAACTAGAACCACACTAGAATCCTCCTCCCTCCAACGACCACCCTTTTTTCTTCCTTCACTGTTCACCTCCTGCATGCCCCTGTTTACCTGCTACATCCTTGTTGGTACTTTCCCCACTTTTCCGATTCCGACACAAGTCATCACGCATCCGTATATTAAAAGTCGAGCCAACGAAATGAGGCCCATTTTGACTAGATTAACGAGAAGGTGCAGGGTCAAAGTAATGTCCAGGGTCAACCTATCAGTGATTGAGCCAGGCGATGTAAGGCATGAAGAGAGTGAGCCAAGCCTACTCAGTTCCAGCCCACGGATCCGAGATACAAAAAAAAATGTCACCAAAAACGCGGGGAGAACTCTTTGATAGTCATTTCTATTGGACACTCCTGCTATACCTTACTTCAATCCCTTTCCTTTCCTTCCTCTTGGCATACAAAAAAAAAACGCGAGGCATTCAACTCCGCCGCAACCAGGGTAGGATATCTCATTTGGTTGGGCATGGTTGTGTGGGGATTAGGATTCTGTCTGGCCTGGACTCTTTTAGTAGCACGTTGCTCATCGGCACACAAACCATAGGCTGATGTGAGGAGGTAGAGAGGCTTCCATTGTTCGCTTCTTTTTTTGTACTCCTATGCGGTGAGTGTTTTACTGGCCTAAGGATAGAACGATGTCGCAGTGAGGGGCAAAGAGAAAGAGGGGGAGGCGTCTTTGGACAATGGGGTACATTTTCACCTTATTTGTCCTTTTGCGGGGTCGAGGGTATTCATATATCCAGAGCGGAGGTTTTATCTGGTGAAAACAACAACGACGTTGTCGTTTTCAAGGAGAGGGTAGATGGTTCTCATCAAGGAGCCACGGACGCGAGCCATCTACGACCTAGCGGCTCTTTATTATTTTGCAGAATCTACGAAAAACCAACAAACACACAGACTGCAGCAAACGAACACGCAAAACAAAACAAGCGTCCCTCCCATAGTTATCTTGTCGAATAGGAAGAGATTCGGGAGATGAGGAAGGGGAAGAAGGCAGTAGTACTTACATTCAGGTACCAAATCCAAACACAACGAGCCAGTCAGCATCAAAAACCCAACAATACGCACAAACACCTATCTACCTTCAGGGACATAAACAAACCGACATTAAACAGCTTTCGCTCGGCGCTAGGGTAATATCTCACATTAATAATTCGCCGCATTCCTCGTTCCTTTGACCGAAGGGAGACGATATCGCTCTCTTCAGGAACAACAAAACCGCACGCTCAAAACAAAATGAGATCTCGAGGCGAGAGAGAGTGAAAGAAAACAAAACCATTAAGATACTTAAGGAATGCTCGCCGCATCTCTCATCTGATATCTAATACCTTTTGGTCCCTGAACTTCCGAAGTTGCAAAACAACAACAACAACAACAAAAGAACGCCTGGTCGGTCAATGCGAAAAAGTCGTTCTGCGCTCTGTTTCCCTATTTCTTTCATTTTAATTTTGCCTTAATTTTTTCTAGTGTCCTTTTTCACGATTTCGTCTTTACTTCATAACGGCAAAAGCACACAAACAAAACAACCGACAACCCTACCCGCCACCAATCTCATACCTTTCCGCACCCTTCACTCTTCCCCCGCGTTTTTCTTGTGAGCTATACCCCGCGTAGATAGTACTAGAGCTCCCTCTCTCTGTGTGACAAAAAAAAAAGACGATCCAAACAAACAAACAAACAAACAAATATAGAAAAAAAAACCATCCTCTGCACTTCATCTTTCCCTTGCCTTCATGTCAACAACAATAACGACAATGAACAACAACGAATTATCCCGCCTTTATTCACACCATCGACCACGCGGGGAATAGCCATCCAAAAAGAAAAAAAAGAGCCAATGGTTCAATTCTAGCAAATGCTTTTTGTTGTTAAAATTGGGCCGACGAAAAAAAAAAATCCACTGTATCTGCTTTCCTAAATCGGGTGAACACTCCGGGGAAACCCTTATTGGGTCCTCTGGTGCCCCCCCTCCCCTCCCCTCTCTTCATGTTTCTTCTCTTACCCTACCCCTTCCTCTTCTTTCCCTTCCCTTCCTCTTCTTTCCCTTTCCTTCCCTTCTCTTCTCTTCATTCCTCATCACCAATCGGACAAAACGACATTTGCGATGAACGGCTGCTCAATTTTCCGCCTTGCTCATCGTAACCTAAAAAGATACCACCTCTGCAGGTAGGCCGGGACGGGGCTTACATGCATGACATGTCTAGAAAGTCGCTTTCGCCAACGCTAGATAACGAGACGAGTGGTCTGCTCAATGCTAGGCAAGGAACCACGCGCCAACAGTAAAATTTAAATGAAAGCCCATGATAGACATAGTAATGATGAATGATTTCTTTTTTTTATAATCGTGCGGCTGTAAAAATACTATGCTACTTCGTTCGTTTCTCTCCATCTCACTCTCTCTCTCTTCTCTTCCGTGTCCTGGGTCTAATACAGAAAAAACAAATAACTTAGATAGGCAACTCGAACGAGACGTTGATCTTGGCCTCACGAGCCATGTTGACCATCTTGCTCAACTTGACAGACTTGCTGGCAGCATCATCCAAATCGTCCGAGGTGATAATACGGAGTCCAGACTCAGCAATCAACTTCTTGGCCTCATCGACCTCGGTACCCTGGAGACGGACGACGAGGGGGATCTGAAGCTGGAGGGTCGAGGCGGCGGCGATGATACCCTGGGCAATAACGCGGCACGACATGATACCTCCGAAAATGTTGGTGAAGATAGTGGTCACACGGGGGTCGGACGAGATGATCTTGAAAGCCTCAGTGACCTGGTCAGCGCTGGCTCCACCACCGACATCCAAGAAGTTGGCGGGCTCACCACCGTGCAACTTGATGATATCCATGGTCGACATGGCCAAACCAGCTCCGTTGACGAGGCATCCGATCGATCCGTCCAATCCAATGTAGTTCAAGTTGTACTTGGCAGCAGCAACCTCACGGGGATCCTCCTGGGTGACATCACGGAGAGCGTGGACCTCGTGCTGACGGAACTCGGCGTTATCGTCAAAGTTGATCTTGGCATCCATGCAGATAACTATATAGAATAAAAGAGAAATTCACATCGTGTCAGCCATTAATATTGCACCTGCATTTGAAAATTCATGCCAGCACATAGATGTAAAAAGGAGCCATTCGTACCCTCGTGGTCGGCAGACTCGGCCATGGGGTTGATCTCAACCATGGTGGCATCCTTCTGCATGAAGAGGTCGTACAAGTTGATCATGGTGTCGGTGGCCTGGTCAACGCACTTGGGGGTGAATCCCATGCGCTCGGCAAGGTCGCGGACAGCAGCACGGTCGACACCCTTGTTGATGTCAATGGGCAACTGGAGGATGGCCTCGGGGTTCTCAGCAGCGACGGACTCAATGTCAACTCCTCCCTGGGAAGAGGCAACCATGACGGGGCCCTGGGACTTGCGGTCCATCAAGACAGCAAAGTAGTACTCGCGACGGACGTACTTGCGCTCGCAAATGTAGACGGCGTTGCAGATCTTGCCAGCAGCACCGGTCTGCTTGGTAACGAGCTTGTGTCCGAGCATCTGGTCAGCGAACATCTTGGCCTCAGTGGGGCTATTTTATAGAAGAAAAGGCATAGTCGTTAGATTTGCGCGCTCAGTTGATAATTCCTGTGTCCATGCAGTTGAATATCGCGATCTACACCAAAGACAAGAGGGTAACTTACGAGAAGATGGTGCGGACACCTCCCTTCAAGCCGGAGTCGAAGGTACCCTTACCACGACCACCGGCCAAAACCTGAGCCTTGATGACCATGTCCTCAGTTCCTATAAGTGATTAACAAATGAAGGTGGTATTATGCGTTAGGACTGAGATGTTCATTGGTGATGAAGTTGAAATAGGGAGGCGTTGTGCATCCTTTGCGCTTGCCCGGTTGAACTGAACAAAAGGAGTCGGGTATATCACATCATCCATTTTTGCGGAGCTCATTTTTTTGACCGTGGGTAAGGTTGGGGCTTTGTATTCTCTCTCCCTCTCTCTCCTGGCAGCCCTATTCCAATTGAAGTCCGTTGTTGGGTGTTTGCTGTCATTTTTTGTTAGACGTTCCTGCAGGCGTCGTCGAAGTTCTCCAAATGGCTCAGTTGAAGCAAAGGGTAGCCGAGCAGAAAGCAAAGCGGTGTTTGTTGTCCATCCTCTTCCTTCCAAGTCCATGCGCACGTGCAACAATGTGTGTGTATGTTTGGCACAGACCGGAACGTATGATCCGATCCACACACAATACACGCACACATAACACTCATCCCATCCGCACAAACACTCACAAATAACCCAACAAGCACAAACAACCGAAAACATGGGTGGGCACACAGACAGGCAAGGTAGAAAACGCCATCGACTATCCCGCATGCAAAACACTGAGCAATTGAAGGCATCAAAGTGTGAAAAGAAGAACGTACCGAGGGTCTCGGCGATCTTGAAGGCCTCAGCGCCAGACTTGGCGACACCACCGCGAGGGGTCTTGATGCCCTGCTTCTGGAGAAGATCCATGGACATGTACTCGTGGATGGACAAGAAACGCTTCTGCTGAGCAGCAGGGTTCATGCGGGGCTGATAGAGAAAACAACGATAAACATAAAAAATGGTCAGTTATGTCGAATGAGAATAAAGAGGAGGCGATGAGATGATGACAGCAGGGTTTGTTGTTGCTTTGTTGTGATGATGCTGTTGACCGCCTTTGAAAAAATGGAATAATTGGTGTTCAAACTGTGCATTGACACAACACACAGACACGCAACGCAACAGCACACAGGAACAACACGGAATGCACACGCACACACGCTTGTAACAAGGTTGGGAGAAAGATGGAGTGACGCCTGAACATATAAAGACAATCGCGGGGATCAAGGGAAATGACTTTTTAGGTGTCTTTGTGCTGAGAGCAACTACATCTCGTTCTCTCTCGCTGGTGGATCGGAACTGATTGTCCCTTTGAGTGACGATCCACTGTTCGTTTCGTCCCGGTCTCATTCCGATACTCGCTACTTCTTGTCGTGTTGGTTGTAATCCTTGCTGCATAAACAACAAATAAAAAAGCGACCCGGTCGCTGTTGTTTTGCTGGTCCGATGGATGGGTTTGGTCGGGTAAGTCGGGGTAAAAATAATACCCTGAAGCGGCAATAAGGCAGCCGGGTGGCGTGTTTTTCGCTGTTGTTGCCGTCGCTCATCCAGGGAAAAATAATAAAAGGTAATACCAGTCGATCTGTGTGTGAGAGTGTCGATGACGATCCGTACTCACGGAGTGTCCATGAAGTTGAAAGTTGATTCCGTATAGCTTCCTGGCTGGTTCCTGTTGTCCCCTCTTGTTTTCCCCCAAATATTCTCAGGCACCCCCAGAAAAATCAATAATAAATAGAGCGCGCGTTATTTTTTTCCCAGTTCTCTTTGTGCAAGGGATGGGCCCGGGAGTGGAGATAACAGATGAAAATAGCGGGCTTCGCTGTGCGTCACGTTGACTAGTGTGTCCTGAAAGTGTATGGGGTATTCCTTACCATGGCCTTGGCGAGGGCCGAGGCAGAGCGGATGGAGCGGAACATGATGTGAAGAAAAGTGAAGAGTGGGGAGAGGGGAGAGAGATGGATCGAATGCGTTCTTCCAAAACGTCGTGAAAGTAAATAGTAGGGCAGAGGGCAGAACGGTCGTCCACTGAGCCACGTACAGAGCCATCCAATGAGCGGAGCCTGGTGGTCGTGGATATTCCGTACGTGTTTGCTGAGGTCACGCTTCGTCATTCAATTAGAGAAATACCGATGTTCAATTACGAAAAAGATAAACAAAGCCGACGTCCCTCACTCTCACTTCGGAATCTCTTTTTCGCCCTGCGATTGCTCTCTTTGCATTCAATCAACTCTCTCTCTTTTCTCCCCTCTTTCACCCCTTTCAACACTCAAATCTAAATCAACATGGCTGGCGGTATGTTCAAACAACTGCGACAACCACAAGAGGACACAAGGAACACAACCAACAACTACAGCTCGACAGCAGACGACGACGACAAAATACGCCTTGTCAGCTCGCTTTATTTTCACTCCCGGAGCATACACTTCCGGATGATAGCGAGAATGTCCGAAGGGCCTCATCAGTACCTGACTCAACAACACCAACGACCACACACCTACCCATACCCTCCTCCTCGTCAAAAATACTCTCCCATGCCTATCTCAAACACCTCCTAATAGCTCTTTCTCTTCTTACCTCCCATAGGAAAATGGATGGGCTGGTGGGGACACTTGGGCGCTCCCAAGCAGCGCGGAATCGCCGTTTACACCTTGTCGCCCTATGAGCAGCGCGCCTTTGCCGGTGCCCTTCACCAGGCTGTCTTCAACACCTTCCGTCGCGTCAGCGCCAATGCCTTCTACATTGCCGTCCCCTTCGGTGCCGCCTACGGACTCTTCAACTGGGGCAGGGAGAACCACCGTACGTCTCCTGTTCTCGGTTTCTTTTGTGTTTTTGTGTTATTTTCGACGGAACTGTTAAAATCATCAGCACGGGAAGTCACGGACCAGGATTTGGATATCGACACTTTTAAGACAACGGCAATATCGTGTCAAGAATAACGCGACACTGGATCCCAGGAATCATATATGACCAATATCGGAAACCACTGAACGAAGAAAAGCAAAGGTAGCTAACGCCATGTCTGTATTTTTTATCTCTTGTGATAATTAGAGTGGAGACTCAGCAAGGCTGGCCACGCCGCCCACGCTGATGACCATTAAATGGTGCAATAACGCAGCAGAAGAACACAGCATAGAACGAGAATAATTATTGTGAACAAATATACAATCCCCCAATCTTTTCTTCATAAGAACCACCGTCATTCTGTTTTCAATTGCCTGTCTGGTCAATGCTGATAGTAAAAGAATTCTATTACGTGTGCGTCTATGTGAACGCGTGAAAGAAAAGAAAAGAGAAAAAGATGTCCAAGGCGACTACATAGTGCCAACAATGGCCCCGCTCTCAACACTCTCACTCGTGTACTCGATCGATTTGGCCTCCCGGAACCCACATTCGCGCATCAAATACATACACCGCGCCATATCCAACAGCTTCTTGCACCTCTTGCCCAACACCCGTCTCTCGTTCCGAGTCATCACTTCTTCCGTAGCAGCGTCTTTGCCGGGTCGAGCGACCAGACTACTCTCTTCCTCCTTGCCCAAGGTTGCCCATCCGGTCAGTTTGATGATCCACGGGATCCAGGCCTCCAGTTGTTCTGACGATAATACTTCCGATGTGGTTGTGGTCTCATCGAGCTGCGCCGTACTGTTAGCATCGTGTTCCTCGCTCTCGACCCGTTTCCGCTTCTTGACCGCGACGGAGGATGACGATGAGGCTGATGAATTCAACAGCTCGAGCAAATAAGGCTTGGCGACCACCAACAACGGCTCACAGATACCATGACAACAAGTCGCAAAACAAATCGAGTACAAATCCTGCCTCTCCTCTCCATCCTCCTCCTCCTCCTTCTCCCGCTGCCGCTGCTCCCTCATCCACGACAACGCAAGATCTGTCGCTGGCCCACAGAAATGTTTCGAAATACACAAATAATGCGTCGGGACCCGTCTCGTCTCCTCCTTGGGCTTTATCAACCCCCCACCACCTTCGGTCCAATCTGGCCATGCAACGCCCGGTTCGACCTCATGGATCAATTGCAGGTTTTCGAGAGTCAGTTCTCGGACGTCTTTTGTGATTCGGAGTACACGCGGTTTGACAGGTCGCGGTTGGGTTCGGATCATGTAGTCGACTTGGTTGCGTGAGCGGAATTTTTGGCGGTCCAGGAGGACAAAGTTGAACGGTTCTGGTGTCGTCGTTGTCGATGTGGTGGTAGATGATTGTTGTTGTTCTCCTGAAGCAGAATCCGAGGTAGTGGTCGATGACGCGGCGGGTGAAGTGGCGACGATGGTCTCCAGAACCAGCTGAAGATGACGCGACAGACCACCCGTTCCAGCTCCAAACTCCACAAACACCGGCCTCTTTCTCCTTCCATTGATCTTCTGATCCCTGGTATCATCTCCGTCTTGCTCCAGAACAGGTTTCAAAAGACCCAACGTCGACATGGACTGGATCAGCTGTGACTCCTGTGCCAAATGTCGTTTCTTCTTTGCGCCCGCCTCCGAGAATAGACCCTCATACGACTCGTGACAAGGAAACTCCTTCTCCACAACACCGTCAATCCCTCCCAACTCCTCCTCGCCTTCATCATCTTCCAGTCCTGATCGCTTTCTCCGTCCAGAGGATCGCCCCATCTTCCAATCCTCCGGCCCATCAGCCTGATCCAACACCCTCCTCACCCACTCCGACGGCTCATTTGAGAAAACCCTCTCAATAGCATCCAAAAATGCCCCCGGAATATCTTTGGGATCCACAGGCTGTTCCTTCGCTAACCGTTTCACCTCCTCCGGATCCTGGTACGTCCCTTCTTGCTTCTGTCGATCAATCTCGTCCTGTTTGAGATGGGCGGCTTGGGCTTCCTTTTGGTGGTGTCCGCAGAGGACTTTGTGGGCGTCTAGCTCGGGTTGGAGGAGCTCTGTACGGAAGGTGAGGTATTTGCTGACATTTGCTTGGTGCTCTTCCTCGTTGACAGGAGAGGTTGGTGAGGAGGGGGGAAGAAGGAAGCACTGCTGTTGGAGGTGGTCGAGTTTTTTGAGGAGGAGAGGTGAGAGTTTTGCGGGGAGTTTGCAGTGTCGGTACCGTTGCTGTTTGCTGCCCCAGATGGAATGCTGACAGATGACAGGGTGTTGCTTCTGCATGTCTTGTCCTCCAGGTGTGGACGACATGGCTGGCTAGTTCGTTCGTTGGGCAAAGGCGAGTGTCTTGAGAGAGAGGGAAAAAAGAAAAAGGAAATAATCAACAGCGTGTGCACAACACAGTCACGGGCACCTTGTTTCCAGTGTTCCAGGGGGACCGCAACACATAAAAAGTGTTCCTTTTTCGTCTCTGTTTCTTTTCCTTTACTTTCACACTCAACAAACAACCAAAGTAAAGAAAAAGAATGGCACTGGCCGGCGCACTCGCGATGGATCGCGTCCTCAGAATAAACGCTCCCCGCCTACATTCTTGTCTGCGCTCTGGAACTCATTCCTCTTCTCGCCTTTCAAGGGCCAGTAACAACGACATACAGTTCACTCGAACCTTCACCAATCCTTCAAGAGCCCAACAGTGCAACGTTCAAAAGATATTGCCACCAAACTACCGTGGTCTGATACCAGCGTCTCCCACCCTTCGGGCAGTAGCATCGCGACCCACAGTAGGACGCTTCACCAACCACGGCAGTTCCTCGAGAACCGCCCCCCTCCTCCGGTGTTACTCGTCAGCTGCCGCATCATTATCTTCCGAACCACGACACTCTCAACCCCATCCAGCACCAGCACCCCCAGTCCTAGACGCCTCCTCCTTCGCCAACACAATCATCTCCCAAGCACCCCTCCAACTCTCGACAGAACAACAATTCCTCATGCAACAGGTCCTTCACAACAAGAAATCCGTCTTCTTTACCGGTTCTGCGGGTACCGGAAAATCTGTCCTCCTCCGACAACTCATCGAAAACCTCAAGGAACATTACAAGCCGGGTCAGGTTGCTGTTACGGCTTCAACGGGTATTGCGGCGTGTAATATTGGTGGATGTACGTTGCATGCGTTTGCGGGGATTGGGTTGGGTAATGGGACGGTGGACCAGTTGATGGTCAAGCTGGGTGAGAATAAGCGTGCAAAGCAGCGGTGGAAGAAGACTAAAGTCCTTGTTATTGATGAGAGTAAGTCCTTTTGAGATTCTATTTTTTATTTTTTATTTTTGTGTCTGACTTGGGGTCGCATATTCGTCTTGACCAATGGTGCGATAGGAAAGAAGCAACAACGACTGACATTCTCTCCACTCTTTCTCGCTTTTTTTTTTTTTTTGTATCGTGATAGTCTCGATGATCGATGGCGACTTGTTTGACAAGCTGGACGAGATTGCGCGCCGTATCAAGCGAAGCACCAAACCGTTCGGCGGCATCCAGGTACATGGCCAACAAAATTAATTACACGGCACATTTCAACTCTTTTTTGTACTTTTTCAAAAATCATGAACCTTAACACCGCTCTCTTCCCATCACACACCTGTAGTTGATCATCACGGGAGACTTTTACCAGTTACCACCAGTCGCAGGAGCAAGCGCCGTGCAACAAAAACAACTCCCCACTGCAGCCACCCCCCATGGCTCCTCCATCACCACCTTCACAGCCACCCAGCCCGTCTCCAGAACACGCGCCAGTAAATCCGGCTCCCAATCTACAACCACGATCATCAAAGCTGGATCCTCGCAACATTCCCAGGCGACCGCTGAAGCCACGGAGTGGGGGGATTTGCCGCCCTTTGAGCACGACCATGATGGAAGTAATAGTCCGTTTATTCCTGAGGGTGCCGTGGTCACTTCAGGGGCAGGTGCTGATGTGGTTCAGGTGCCCACATTGTGTTTTGATTCCAAGGCTTGGAAAGAGGCGATCCCGTTTACCCTACAGTTGACGGAAGTGTTTCGGCAGCGGGATCCGGCGTTTGTCAAAATGTTGACGGAGATGCGACATGGAAAGTTGTCAGAGGAGACATGTGAGGTTTTCAGGAAGCTTGCCCGCGAACCGGAATATCCGACTGACGAGGATGGGATAGTCGCGACAGAGTTGTTTGCGTTGAAATCCCAGGTCGAACATGCCAACCGCCGTCGATTGGCACAACTTCCTGGACCCATGTACACCTATCAACCCCAGGATTCTGGCCCCATGGAAAAATTCATGGACCGGTTCTGTAACGCCCCGACCAAACTTCAGATCAAACAAAACGCTCAAGTCATGCTCATCAAGAACCTAACGCCGACTTTGGTTAACGGGTCCATGGGGATGGTGGTGGGATTCCAGAAAGAGATGACTTTCTGTGAAGAGTCAGGGACTTGGATGGAGAGTCATTTTCCGGTCGTCCGATTTGCGGGCGAGGAGGATGATTTGGTAATTAAGCCGCAGGAGTGGAGGATGGAGTTGCCGGATGGGGAGGTGATTGGGTCTAGAATCCAGGTGCCACTTATCCTCGCATGGGCTATAAGTACGTTTCTCTCTCTCTCTCTCTCTCTCTCTCTCTCTGCGATTTATCTCTGTATTTGCTTTGATACATTACTTCCGCGCGCTCCCTTTTTTTTTATCCTTTGCATATCTAACCCGTTCACCCAAATCCCGAAATAGGTATCCACAAGTCCCAAGGACAGACGATGGAACGACTAAAAGTCGACATGGGCAAGATCTTTGAAGCCGGCCAGGCATACGTCGCCCTCTCCCGTGCGACATCCCTCGATGGATTACAGGTCCTGAACTTTGATAAACGCGCCGTCCAGTCTGACGAACGCGTCGAAGCCTTTTACCATGGATTGAAAACTGTTCAGGAACTCATACAGGAGACGGCAGAGTCAGCTGGTTCGCAGAAAGGCAAGAAGGGATCGACTAGAGTGCCTAGGACGAAGACTGCTGCTTCTTCTGCTGCTAGTGCTGCTGCTAGTTCTGCTGCAAAGAGGAAGTCTACGAGGAAGGTTGCTGCTCCTGCTCTTGCTGCAGTCGCGTCTTCGGACTAGGTTCGCGGTACACAAACACACACACACACACACACACACACACACACTTTATTTTTTTACATTATTCATTTGTATTTTTATCTCATCCATTTTTTTCTTTTCTTTCTCCGCATCCAATGTACCATTCATAAAACCTCATTCACATAATCACTGCTTTGATTCGCTGGGAGGATGTATGGTTAAAAAATGAGTGAAGAGGGTGGGGTGGGGGGGAGTGGAGTGGGGGGAAGTGGAGTGGGGGGGTTTATTTGCTTAGAAACTTTTTTTTTTTCTACTTACTCTATGACTGTAAGAAACTTTTGAAAAGACAAAAACAATGAAAACAAAGTGACAAAATAGGGTGGTGGTGGTGGTGGTGGTGGTGTGGCAGAAAGGATGCAACGAAGCATCCAGATCTTCAAAAATAATAGTTAGGTAACAAATAATTAGAGGCCGAGTTCCCGTTTACTGTACTCGTACACCACATACGAGATACTGACAGCTGGCACAACCTACAATGGAAAGAACGCGAAAGGGGAGGGGGGGGGAACGGGAGTCAGTACACACGCAAACATGAAATGAGATATAAAAAAAAATCATAATTCCCAATAGTGTAGACATCAGTGGCCTCAGAGATTCGAGAATAAGTACCTTGGTGAGGGTAGGGACCATGCCCTTGTAGAATCCACGGATACCATCACGCTCATACGTTTTCCGGAAGACATCCAGTGTCGAAGTATATGTCTGCGGGTGCTGCGGCGTGCCTTGGGCCTGTAACCGCGTCCTGACAAGACTCAACGGGTACACACTCGTGGCACCAACACTTCCACTGATCGTTCCGCAAGCCAATAACACAAACACGCTGGGCCGATCCAACGCCTTCTCCTCGCTTCCTTCGTCACCTTCTTGCAAGCCTACCTTCCACCGCATGTATCCAAACTTGAGCGTCTCAAACACAGACAGGTCGATGGCTGCGTAGGGGAAGATTCCGACAAGGGAGGGGCCCAGTCCTCGATAGAATCCTCGTAATCCGGCCTGTTGCCACATCTCACGCGCTACAGATCGTATACACGTCGTTTGTTTTGCTGCTGTTGCTCCTAGTCCTGTTGCTGAGGTTGTTGATGCCAATGATGATGATGATGATGCCGTTGATGGTGGTGATGGTAATGAGGCTTGTGATGGGGCTGCCTTTTGAGCCTTGACCTTGACTGTTGAAGACATGATCCTCGTCTTAATAGTCTCCAGGGGGTAGATCGAGAACTGCGACACCAAACCAGCGATACCTCCAGCCAAAAACCGTCCAGAAGTCGCGATCTCGGGCACATGCACAGGCGAAGAATGAGTGGTGTTGGGCGAAGGTGGGTGATAGTGCTGGACAGTCATCGAGGGCATGTGGTGGACAATAAATGACTTGCTGGTCTCGTACGTATAGAACTTGATGGCCGACTCGGGCGCAATCTTGATAATGTTGAGTCCATTGCCACGGAAGAAGGTCTTGACGCCTCCTTGCTGGTACAGTTCAACGATCGCGTTCCACAGCAATCGCTGCTTCACGGGGGCTACCGCGCTTGGTGTCGAGAGTTTGGGTATATGCTTGAGACCCGCCTGAGCCACTTGTCCCGTTAATGCCGGCATCGAGTTTGTGATAAGATACACCTTCAGCCGATCCAATGGCGCCGTCACTGTCATTTTCATGGAAGCAAATTGGTGTTAAGTCGTTGTAAGAAGAAAAGTGGACATGAACTGCATGCATGAGTAATATCCAGTTGCTAACCTGTTCTGGAGACAGCTCCGGCAATGGCACCGGCCAAAAGATACCTGGCGACATAGTCGTTCTCCGAGGGGGGCATGACGACATCGCCATCGACGCCGACCTGGGCAACGACTTCTTGGACGTAGTGGAAGATTTCCTTCAGAGTCGGCTCGCGTGGAAGCAACTACATAAGGAAAATGATTTGGTGTCAGATTTTGAGCCTGTACCTGAAAAAAGTAGCCACCTGCATGACTGATGCAAGTACTCCACCACAAATGAAATTGTAATCAAAATCAATGTCTCTGACCCCACTGTCCCTGTGCCCCTGTTCCCTTGCGCCTGCTCACAGTCCCTTACCCCTGCCACTCTCCTCTTTGCTTTCTTTTTTTGGGACCTCCTGCCAACAATAGAACAAATTCTGCTTGCAACAATTCATCCATGCCGTTACCGATCGAATTCCCCCTGTTTTCGCTCTTTTTTTTTGACCGTTTGTCCATGAGTGTTCCATCCGTGCGCTCTAACTGTTCTTCCCCCTTTTGCAATTGTTCAATCGATTGGGCTTTGACCTCTGTCCCCCCTTTTCTTTGGCAAGTCGATCGGTTCGGCGTCGGTCGGATTCAGAACTGCATGCTATCCCACTTGTTGACTCATGTCTTTCTGTCCCCCTTCATTGCCCATTTCTTCTGTTCTTCCTGAATCCTCGATTCTGTCGGTCCAATCTCCATTTTCTTGTCTCTTGTGATCTTTGCTCTTCCTGCATGAAAACGTGTGACCATTATTGACAACGAGCGGCGAGAAGTAAAAGAGAGCAAGAGAGAACGACGAGAAGGGAAAAACAACAAAAATATCAAGAAAGAGAAACAGGGCTTTGACTTACGACCAAGAAATCGCGCCATTCTTCGTAATCGATCACTCCATCTCCGTCCCTGTCCATGGCCTTGATGAACTGCTCCAGATCCGCATCGGACAGGTCGATTCCTGCCTTGGTCAACGATGCCTGTATCTCGTGCGCTTGGAGTTCTAGATAGTTTTGAATACACGTCCGTGGGAAGTAAGAGATGGTAGTTGAAAAAAACGTCAAAGGGAGAACGGGAAAAAAAATAGTACGTTTTTTTGGGGACGTAGTTAGTAAAACTTGGCCATGTTAGAGTAGTAGTGACATCACATTGAATGCCCTCTTTTTACAGGCTGTTATCCTGTCTAGTCCACCCTGCATGCAGTTGACAATATAACGCAGAGAGTCCATGGTGGTAGTGGGTGTGGGTCTGAAGTAGACAAAGTGTTGGCACATACCGTTGTCGTTGTTGTGATCAATCTCTCGGAAGAGGTTCCATAACCTCTCCTCCTTCTCCTCCACAAAGACCTGGAAATCGTCGTAGCGAAGTCGTCCATTGTGGGCGGTGCGATCCGATCCAGACGTCCTGTCGTTATCGTCACCGTCATCACCGCCACCGTTCTGATCGTAGCCATGCTCCGACGGCGCTCCATGAAAACTCCTCTGATCCGACAAGCCATCGTCGTTATGTGTATTATCGTCCTGATTCCTGTTGCGGTGAGCTCCACTATGACCGTTGGAGTTGGTCCGATTCCGGTGCAGGGCCTTGGCGTGACAGAGCTGCAACAGCTCGTCAGCATACCGCTGCTGGACGTTTCTGTCAGGGGTCACGTCAGCAAAGAAAGTGACCAAAGAGTCGGCATCGACGAATCCTGATTGTTGCTCGTCCAACTGGTTGAATTGTTTCCGGATCCGAATCTGTCGTTCCTTGCGGGTCTCGTAATGAGGAGGGTTTCCAACGCGATCCCTCGTCGACGACTGATCCTCCTCCTCTTCAACCAATTCCGAGGAGGTGTGAACATTGTCTTGTGAGTCCTTGTCCGTACTGTCGGCTTGTTGTTTTGTAGTTGCTGTAGTAGAAGTGGCATCGTTTTCGTCTTCGTTGTTGTCTGCAGGGAGGAAGGAGGGATCCGAGTCGTGCTCGATATTGGCCGCCATCCCCGATCTTTTTTTTGTCTTTGTAGACGATATTGACGACGAGGAGGAAGAAGAAGACGAGGAGTGTTGTTGGTGCTTGGTGTGTTCGCTGCTGGAGCTATTCGTATCGCTATGAGTAGTGGTGTCCTTGCTTTTGTCCTTGTTCTTTTTGGTCATGGGGAGGTCCATGAGTTTGATGGAAGACCTTTCCTTTGTGGCCTCGACGTGGGTGGGGCCAGGGTCAGTCTCGGCGACTGCTGTTGTGGACATTGTGTAGGTATGTTTAGGTCGTTAGGTTGGAGAGGGGAGAGTGGGGAGTATGCGTATGCTGGATGTAGAGAGGAGAGAAGAAAAGAGGAAGAGAAAGGAGAGAAGAGGTGTTGGGAATGAGAAGGAGTGAAAGAAGGAAGAAGGAAGATCCTCAGAAAAGAAAAAAGAAGAGAAAAAAGAAGCAGAGAAAAACAAGGGCTTGCTCACTCTCACTTTCTCTCACACTTTTCACACTCTTTCCCTACTCCGAAAAAAGAAGCCATCCATCCACGACAAAAAGAAAAGAAAAGAAATTTTTTAACGTGGACTCCGAACGGGAGGAGGACGAGTCAGGGGGAAGGTAAAGAAGAGGACGGACTCTCGCAACCCATCGCTTGTTGCTTCTCTCTGTTGATGCTTGATGGCTGCTGTTGTCCTTCATCGTCGATGCACGTCAATATTGGTGTCAGTGGTCAATGGGTCAAGAAAAAACCGATGAAGCAGGTTTTTTGAAACAAAAAGAAGCGATGAGTACAAACAAAGGGTACAAACGACTAGTCTTTGACCCCAGATATTTTTCTAATTTGCCACATGCTGCTCTTCCTGCTGCCCCTCGTCATCATCGATCGTGGAATTATGGCCACCGCCTTCGACCCCAGACCGGAAGCGGGCAATTTGCACTGCGTGAGAAACGGAGGAAAAGAGGTGGTTCTGTGCCGATAAAAAAACGAGGGTCCATGCTATCCACTCCACCGATCAATTGAACACTTGCCAACAGCAACATTCCTTTCTCTGCCTCTTCTCGTTTCGGTTGTTGTTGTTGTCCACTGTAAGTGTTCTTTGCTTGTTCTCCCACGGAGCAAACGGATCATCCCCCCCTTTCGGAGCAGGCTCTTTTATTTCTATTTTTTGAGTCTGTGAACAGCCGAAGGGACATCTGTTTGATTGCCACTTTTCCGTGCCTGCGCCGGAAAGGTCCATAACCCATCCCATCCATACGTCTCTCTCTCTCTCTCTGCGAGTGAGCAAGCAGCACGTTCAAAGCCCACTTCATTGCCCACCATCCAATATCGCTATCATTCACAAGGACAATGTAGAGACTATGAGGTATGACTCCATGCTCCTCACGTGGACTCGCACTTTACGACCCCTCCCTCCCTCCCACGACCCCCATTCGATAGGTCATGATGGCTTCACTTGTCCGCCTTGCCACTCCCACTCCACTCAACATCTCTTTTTCATCCCACGCGCACTCACTCTATGTTCCCTCTTCCCCGAGAAAGCTGTCGCCTCAATTGTCGTAGAAAGCGTTCATCGACAGAAAAAAAAAACAGGCGTTTAGTTAACAAAGGTATGCCTTGAGTGCGTCTTCCTATCAAACACATGGGCCTGGCTTGTCTCACTATCTATCGCCACCAAAACTACGCCTTAGGACCGTTCGTCTTGGACAACACCCCACTCGGTGTCAACGGCATTGTCATCATCCTCCCCCCACTACCACTAGACAAGTCCGGGTCCGAAATCGAAACGCGATCATGTCCCAAATCATGTCCCAAATGCGGATGGTAATGGTTCGCAGAATGTGGGTGTGTCAGACTGAGTGTCTGGAGTGAACACAGAACTGGGTGCTCTGTCGGGTCTAGATGGATGTCTCCCAGGGATGACTTTCTGGAAAGTGGGCTGCTATTACTCCCGGTGCTGGTGTCGCGGCGGTGAGAGCGATGGTGGAGGAGGGTGTCCTCTTGGTGGTGATGCTGTTGTTGTTGTGGTTTCTGTTTGCTGAAAGATCCCGTTCGACTCAGTATCGAAGGTGCAGGTGGCTGAGGATGCTGCTGTTGTCCATGTCCATGAGTGCTATGGTGAATGTGGTGGGTATGATAATGGTTTGGCCCAACGTGCTGCTGTTGGTGCAATTGTCTCGACGACGACGACGAGGATGAAGCTCCTGATCCCGGTGCCGATCCATGACCATGCACAATTCCAAAATATCCTGCAGCACCATGGTTCGAGATTCCATTTTCTGAACACAAGTCCAAAGGAGTAATAGGCGCAGAAGGACCCAGATGTGGACGGAGCATGGGCGACATGGCTCCCGGCGACGGACTGACCAACGACAATGGCGTCACCTCTCCCGACCTCTGCTGCAACTTGGCGGCTTGACTGGTGCTACTGGAGCAGAGTCCAGAGGGTGAGCAAGGTGTATGAGTATGTTGGACAGGATGGTATAGACATCCGAACGCGTCATAGAGTGCTGACTTGATGAGTCTCGACTCGTGTGTTGCAGACGCGTTGGACGGACATAATGATAGTGTTGGTGTTGTGCCTGAAGAAGGAAGAGGAGCCTCGTGAGGAAAAGGAGAGGAAGATGACGACGCCGGGTGATGTTGGTGGTTGGTAATAGATGACCCATGTGGCGCATTCAGGGGCTGCTGTTGGTATTGGTTGTGTTGAAGGAGAGAGAGGTGGAGCTGAGGAGGATGCTCACGATCATGACCATGACCGTGTGACGAGCTCTCATGATCTAAAATGTTGTGGACGTGGTGGCTGTGGTGGTGGTGGAGAGGGTCGGCAAGAGGCGTGGAGACGGTAGATGCAGACGCCGACGCCGACGGAGTCGTTGAGAAGTACCCTCCAGCGCCCTCGACAGTCAAAGAACTTGACGAAGAGGCACCAAAAGTGACCTGCTCAGTATTTTTGCTACTATTGCCGTAGGGATTCGTGGTAGTGGCAGTGGTGAGAGTGAGGTGACTCCTGTGGCCCTTGCCAGTGGTCGAGTTCTGTTGCTGTTGCTGTTGCTGTTGTGGAGTCGGAGACGAAGAAGACGGGGCAATTGCTTTTGAGGCGCTGTCGTTGCTGCTGCTGTCTGTGCGGCCGGACGGAGGAGCATCAGAGGAATGTGGGAGGAGGACAGTCGTCCGTAGCTGCTGTTGCTGTGAGAGGTTGATATCGGCTGTTGGCTTGGGCGTAGTAGTCTCTTTGGGCTCCTTGGACAAGTGGGGCATCCTGCGGTGGGTTGCTACGTTCGGGAAGAGCATTACAGACGCCATTTTTGTTCTTGTCTTGTTGTGCAGGTGTGGGTGAGAGGGAGTGAGAGAGTATCGGAAGTGTGGAGAAGAAAAAGAGAAGAGGCAATTGAAGAAAAGGAAAGTGGGAAAGGGAGGTTGGAGATGAAGGGTGGGAACTTGTCAAGGAGGGCAGACAGACAGGCAGACAGGCAAAAGCCTGAGGCAATTTGATGTAAAATCCCGCAAAGGCAGACGAAGTATGTGTGCTTGCACTAGCGAGAATAAAGCGTCGTCACCTGACGAACAAGCCATTTCGCCCAATAACGGACATGCGTCCATGCGTATAGCACACGGAGGAAAGGAGAAAAGAGCAAGAAGGAACGATGGACCAGGTCAGGTCAGGCAATTGACCTTTGATGCTTTGCTAGCACTTGCTACTACTATGGTATAAGCAAGTGAGGCGACTGTGATCCTTCGCCGGAGCAGGCATTGGAATCCACCCCTCCTCCTTATTCCCCAATAGCATAGTGTCGTCACTCGTTGTCTCATCATTCTGCATATCATATCACATTTGCCATTTGTCTCTCTTTTCCCTTCACCCGCCTCCTTTTCGCTTTCCTTCTTTTCCCCTTTTGTTCCACCTCCCTTCCGATCTTCTCATTCTTCTTTTCTTTTCCTTCTTTTTTTCACAGGAGCACAGTTCAACAAACTATTCCCACCGCCCATCCGCCCCAAGTCAAGTCTCGTCAAGCAGGACCCAGGATCGGAACTCACACGCAAGGACAAAGGCCTCGACTCTCACAAAAATACAGGAGCGATCCACAATCCAACCTCACTACCTTCACTCATACACCACCACCACCACCGCCACCGAAACAAAAAAAGGACAACAACAATGCCGGTAGCACACGAGTTCAAGGCGTTCGCGAGCAGTTCGAACATCCTCCTCGTCACAAAAGTCCTCACCATCTCGTCGATCGGTATCTTTGCAGGCACATCCCTCAACTACAACCTCATCGTCATGCCCTCCCTCCGCAAGTTTGCCTCTGCCTCCTCCCTCGCCGTCTGGGCCGAGATGTCCCTCCTCGCCAAACGTATGCTTCCTCTTTTTTTTTTTTTTTTTTTTTTTTTCTTAGGTATAGGTTTTTTTCATGAGAAAAACAATAACGACAACGCCCTCTTTTTCACTGACATCACTTTTTTTTTATCACTCTTCTTTTTGACGATAATACGTCTAATAGCGCTGCAGATAACAACAACGGTGCTGAGTGCCTTGGGCGGACTAATCCTCTTCTCCAAGACATCAAACCCTTACTACCTCTACTCCGCCATCCTCATGACCTCCCTCATCCCTTACTCACGCATCCTCCTTCTCCCCATCAACAACAAGTTGCTCGAGATCCGGAAACATGGTGGGAGCGATCGACCGGTTGAGGAGATGTTGATCCGGTGGGACGCACTGCATTTTGGGAGGACGGTGATTAGTTATGGGGCGTTGGTTTTGATGCTTTATGGGGCGTTGAGGGGACCTTCAGGGCGTGTTGGGGGTGTTTTGTTGAAGTAGAAAGGATGGGGGAGGAGGAGGGAATATCAACAGAAACATGGAGATGATTTGCAGGATTGAGAGAGAGGGCAGGTCTAGATTTGGACGAAAATCAGTTGGCATTCAAAAACCAAAAGAACCCCAAAAATACATAAATACAAACATCGCACATAAGTATCGGTATCGTTTCATATTGTACATTCTGTGTTTATTTTGTTGTCTATGGTAAACTCGCTTGGATATCACTGCATCATCTCTGCACTCCACAAGTTGAATCTACTGGGAGCGGGTGGCGAATTCCTCGACCTTGTCGGTAATCTTGGAAAAGACAGGGAACAGCGACGAGGTAGGGAACTGCTTCACCAGATCGGTATCCATCGCCGTCAAAGTAGGGTCGATGGGCACCCTACCCAAAAAGTTCAATGCAAATTCCTCTGACATGGCCTCTCCTCCTCCCGCAGAGAACAGGTTATTGCATTCCTTTTTGATGTTGTATAATCCGGTTTGAAGAAGATTGGTTGATCCAGTAGGAAAAACAGAGAAAAAGAAAGTAGATTTGTCAAATGTTAGTTTCGTGTTCTATCAACTGATACTTCACACTTTGCACGACAATGAGAAAACAACAAATGAAGAACTTACAGCGCAGTGGGGGCAGATGAAGCCACTCATGTTCTCGATAAGGCCGAGGATGGGCACGCCGACCTGATGACAGAAGCTGACCTGTTTCCGGACATCGGCCAGAGCCACTGCCTGAGGGGTCGTCACCAACACCACTCCGTCTGGGTTGTATGCCTTCAAATGCTCCACAATCGAGATATTCTCGTCCGATGTGCCTAATTAATTACGAAAACCAAGGATGGATCGGTTAGTCGCTTTAGCAATGGTCCTGATCCATGCGCAAGGAGCTGGGATGTATGTGTCTACCCTGTATGACTTTTCGTACCTGGTGGTGTGTCGATGATCAAGTAGTCCAGCTCGCCCCAGCAAGTATCCGTCAAAAACTGGCGGATCATAGCTATTGTTGGTCCAATTGACAAAAGTGAGCTGTTAGTCATATGGCTATCGACCAAGAAATGCTTCCACATGTTACTAAGAAAGAACCTTCGAAAACATACCAGTCTTCTTAGGCCCACGCCAGACAACAGAGTCATCTTTGTTCTCGAGCATGAATCCAATCGACATGCAGCACAGCTGCTTCTTTTCATCCGCAAACACCGGCACCCATCTAATCGATATTCATATGAGTCAAGAATACAAATTAGTCAACCATGGCGCAGATAAATACAGCAGCAACGAAGATTTTTCCGAATAACGATTAATAGAAGCGTACCCAGCGGAGGATTGATGGACACCTTTGCCATCAAGACCAAGCATGCGGGGGATAGAGGGTCCACAGAGATCAATATCGAGGACTCCGACGGTTTTCCCCCTTGCTATGAGCGAGAGGGCCAACTGTGTGGTGACTGAGGATTTGCCGACGCCGCCCTTTCCGGACATGACGAGGATGATGTGTTTGACTCCGTCGAGTTGTGGGGGTTGCTGGACTGACATTGTTGCTTGGTTGTGTTGTTGATGAGTGTGGCCTGAATGAAAGTGAACAGGAATGCGAAGGGAAGTGAAGAGAGAAATAGAGAGAGAGAGCGAATCGCAGCTCATTTGAAATCACACTTTTCTTTTGTCCTCGCTGACAACCTTTTTTTTTTTGTGACTCGTAAACCTTCTTTTTCATATCACAAGTCCTGTAGATCGAACTCAGGGTGGAGCCCTTGTCCCGCTATCTCGCACGCTTTCTTCCGATCCTCTTCATGTACGTCCATCGCGTATCTTTCCTACTAAATATGCTTTGAACACCTATAGCCTACTAGACAGAGAGAGTCCCGGCTCCTAGGCTGTCCTAGATGATGAAGTTACGGCGCCTTTTTTGTTTAGATCCCAGATCCTACAGAGATGACGATGAACTCTTGCATGAAAGGTACCGTTCCGGTGGCGGACCTGACGGGCCGATATGGTGACAGAAATACTTTGTATCTGGTCAAGAGTCTCCAGACTGGCATTGGTCAAGAGTAGGACTGTGAAAAGAATTACCTTTTCAAGGAACTGTAGTCCTAGGGTGTCGTTCAATGTGGAGTTTGAATGATAGAGGCTGTTGTTACCCTGCCTTTGTTCAATTGTTTGTTTCGTTCACGCAGTTCATCAACTCCGTTTCCTTGAACAAAGAGAGGATCGACAGTCGTCGTTCACATTCATAAAGAGGGTAGAAGACAAACAAGGATAAGCAATGTATCCGAGACGAGGCACTACGAACATCCTCTCAAAATTGACTAATGTATACAACCAGGCCTCTTGAACGTAATTTACACCAGCAGAGCTCGTCCCAAAAATGGTTATTTTCACTCCTTCGTCTAATGTCCGAACTCTTCTTCCTCTTAAGCAACTCCATCCCTCCTTTTTCCACCTAAATACTGTCGCATCTCCCACATTTTGTTTCTTTTTTTTTTTTCCTTCCTTCTCACACCTCGCTCTTCACATATCACATCATCACACTCCACCCTTTACATCTCCTTCCCTCACACATATAACAACCAAGATATGTCGCTGCCACACTACTTCAGCTCGGTGTTCACCGGCGAAAACTTTCTCCTGTTCACCAAATCAATCACCATCGCTTCCATGGGCATCGCCACAGGCGCTGGACTATCCTACAACGCCATGATTATGCCCGCCCTCGCCAAATTCGCCCCCTCCTCCTCCTCCCTTGCCGTCTGGTGCGAGACCGCTTTTCCCGCCATGTGTAAGAAACCTTCTTTTGTTTTTGTTGTCTGGGGGTCTAAATGAAAGAAAGGTTATCTGATTGAAGAAACAAGAAACAGAGAGCGAAAGACAAAGTAGACAAGTATTGCATTTGGTTGTTGTTTGCTTATTTATCTCATCATATGTGTTCACAAACGCCTCCCCTGACAATTCCCATCTAATCATTCTCGTCCCTCCCTTGTTACTCTGCCAACCCTTTCACACTCGAACAGCGATCCAAGTCTCCGCGATCGCAGTAAGCGTCCTAGGCGGGTCCTACATCTATTATAAGACCAAGAACCGCTTCTTCCTCTATTCTTCCCTCATCATGGCCTCCATCCTCCCCTACACCGCCGCCTTCTTTCTTCCCATCAACGGACCCCTCTTTGAAATGAACAAGACTGGACGTGATGATGGAACGATTGGAAAGAAGATGGCCCAGTGGAATAGGAACCAATATGGACGCGTAGGCTTGAATGCTTTGGCGTTGTTTGTTTCGCTTTTTGGCATCTTGCATGTTAAAGCTGCTTAGAAGTGAAGGACTGAGAAAAAGTTAAAAACTGGGGGGGTAGGCCTTCAGTCTCCAAAACCCTGTTTTTGTTCAATAAACAAGTAAACATTACATACAAACATGAAACGCGTCTTTCGTGGCATGCGATGGGGGGTGTAATGGGTAGTAAAAAAAAATATGCAAAATGGTATTATACAATGCCGTCTAGATTAAGGCTAACATGATTCCTCCCCCTTCACACGCACCTCTCCTTCAAACTCTACCCTTCTGGACATGAGACCGACGGACAGTCTCCGCCTCAGTTTGGGGATACAGCGCCGTCCGACCCCACCAAGCCTGTTGCCTCAAGGCGGCAACCCGGGTCATCGTCGACTTTGCACTCCCCACAAACACCTCGGAATGCGCCAAAATCACGGCATCTATCATTGCAGGTCCAAAGAACCCCCACCGCTCAATCGTGCCATACCCTGAATGGTCCAACCGGTGCCAGCCTAGGTCCTTGATCTTTGCGAAATCTTCCTCGGATTCTGAATCGGTTGTGACGATGACGGGGAGGGTTTGGTAGGGGGAGACGCGACCGGAGGTGAAGGCGGATTGGCGGGCGCGGGAGACGGCTTCTTCGTAGAGGTCGAAGGGGATGATGCAGACAGCTCGGTTGACGGAGGAGCATTTCTTCCAGATGTCGCCGCGGCGCAGGTGGATGGCGATGTACGGGTTATGGTTGGTGTGAAGTGTGACGGAAGGGGTTTCAGTGAGTTCTTGGGGTGTGGAAGGGGTATATTCTTCTTTGACCGCGTCGAGCTCTTGTTGTTCTTCACCTTCGGCGGAAGAGAAAGAGACATCGACACTGGTGGCTTGCTGGATAATACCATCGAGTGCATTATGGATAACATCTGCATTGGTCTCCTCATGAACCAACACCTTCGCATACTCAATCACTTCGGGCAAGAAATGAAAAAACCTCCCAGCCTCCAACCAGAACCGATCATCATGAAACGGGTCCTTGATATTAAACATATCCGCCATAAACAACACCGCCACCTGCCCGCCATTCTGCTCTGGTCTAGGATCCTCATAATCCCTATATCTCGCCAACAAATCCTCCATCACCACCAAATCGTCCTCATGGACATTATCCCTCGCGATCTTGGTCCGGTTATATTGGGGAGTCTCGGGCTTCTTGGGTGGAGGACGGACAAAGTTGGGGCGCATGAGGAAATGCCACATAAAATATTTCGCAGAGATGTTGATATCGAGATCGGGCGCTCCGTAGCCATAGACAATTTGGCAAGTAATGTTCTGCGCCAACTCGGACCACTCCTGGGCACGGGGACCCTTACCGTACCGGGAGGCGTGGTCGACACCGAGTTGGTACTGCAGCGGGTCGAGTGGTCGGATGTCAGACCATTCGAGGACGGGGACGCCTGTGAGTTCTGTGAACCGGGGGAGGTCAAAGAACTGTGACCAGGGCTGGTGAGTGTTCTCTCGATCATGCGTGTTGGAGACAATGGGTGGGATAATCAACGTCCTGTTCAATCGACGGGCCGCGAATGCTGCGCCCTGGAGGGCAATGAACTGGTTGGTGATCCCCGCAAAGGGCATGTAGGAAAGGTATTTGGTATTAGGGTCGAGGAGTGAGAATGCTGGTTCGACGGGTCCAGGGTTGAGGGTGAGGGATGGTTGTGAAGGAACGCGGATGATGTTTTCAAAATCGAAATCGATATCTTCGAGGTCGTCCGTTGAGGAAGAGGAAGAGGAGAGGCGGAATTCGAAGGAGGTGTGGAGTATCCGGAAGGAGAGGAAGATGATGGCGAAGAGGAGGACGAGGGTGCGGTTGCGGAACCCGCGGCGGTAGCACCACCCTCCTTGGGGTTGTGAGTTTTGGAGGTGGTGATGTGGGTAGTGGCTGAAGGAGTGTTTGTGTTGAGGAAGCATGTCCTTCTGCATCTTTGGTGATAGTGTATGTCGTCGTTGAGTGAATAGGTGTATGCAAGGAGAGAATAGTGGAGGGAGAGCTGGGGTATAAAGAAGGAGACACGCGACGTGGATGAGAAAAAATAAGGTTTTAAGATGTGCAGAGTAGAAAGAGAGCGAGAGGATGTGAAAAGCTGCAAAAAAAATGGTGGGCGAGGAGGGCGGATGGTCCTGGATACTTATACCAAGAGGACAACCCAATTCGAACAACAAAACGGGTGTGTTGTTGTCCCCAGCCCTGGCCCATCCATCCACCTGTTTCTGTACACAAGAAAAGGGGCAAACAATTCCTATGGGATTTGTGCATTATATTTTTAGGTGTGGCAGTGGCATTGGAAGAATTTTTTTTTCTAGGGCAGTGAAATCAGAAGGGACAAAAAATGCCCTGCTGGACAATCGATGTACAGAGGGATGCGCATGTTGTGGTCGTGCTATTCAGCACCCACAGGCAAGCGGGAAAGAAGAAAAACAAAGATGCAAACAAAACGTACAGGACGGAACAGAAAGACAAAAGCGGAACAAAAAAAACGCGGATCATTGTGGTCTTCATTTGTTACATCGATCATTGCCCATCCAAATGCACCGCGCCATTGTCGTTTAATCATCCTGTTTGTCTTTTGTGAAGATATGATGCGTGTCTGGGTGTTTTAATTGCAAAGGTGGGCGTGGTAGGTGGGATGCAAAGAAGGAGTGTAGGTGCGTGGATGTCAAAGAACGAACCAGTCCCGGAGCAACCGGCCAAGACGAAAAAAGATTTCGGTGCCTTCTACCAGGTAGCTCAATTACTTCTTATGTCAAGTGATGACCGAGAATTCACAGCAGAAAGGAAAAATCAGGGGCGCAGTGTCGGGCTGGGACAAGAGAGCTCTTGGCTCGAAGAAGGGAACCGAGAGCGTATGTGTAGAAACAATCAACTATAGCAACAGGCGACGGCAAAGAGCAAGCGAATGACGAACATCAACAACAAGCATGTCACGATAGCAACAGAGAAAAAAAAACTCGCGGCGAGGAAGAATTGCTGGACAAAGCAAGTAAGGTCAGTATATAGCGAGAGAAGGATTGAAGATGAAAATTCATGCACAGCCACACATTCTTAACTCTTTTCCCTTTGTCAGTCAGGCTGTCTTTCTACTACGAACTTTGTCTCTCCGTATTTTTCCCCTAGGGAACGAAAAGAAAGAGACAGCCAGATCAAGCAGATTTCAAAAATACCCCCTTCTACCATGTCTTTTTGTCCACCCCGTCCATCCCCTTTTTCCTGTTTTTTTCCAGTTCTCCGCAGGGTACTTCGCCGCTCAAACAGAGATGCACCTCTTCAAAGGGACGGGGCGCAATTGCCCAGTCAGCCAAAAAGTCAGCCAGCTAAAACCCTTCCTTCTATACATTTTCTTTTTTTACCTTTTGTTTTTCCTTCCCTTCCATTCGTCATTCTACGAACTAACAGCTTGTCAGAAATAAAAACAGGTGCAATGTGGCAAAAGGCAAATCCTGAACAAGAGCAATCCACGCAACTGCGTGATTGTATGTATGAATGGTTGTGATACGCAGTAGGTTTTTTTATCTCTCATCCCTTCTCACCTTCAACCGATAGTCGACTTTGCAGACACCTGTAAAGGGAAGGGAGAGGAGGTGTAAGAGGAGGGCGATGCTGTCCTCCTTCCTCTTTCCTTCCTTCATCCCTATCTCTTTTTATTTTTGTCCTCTCCTGCGGCGAATCGTCAGTTTATCCCATTGTCCTTTTATCGCCCTTTCACCTCCTCAGCCCTTCCCTCTGATCTCCTCCTTCGAATTTCTCATGCAATGGCCTCTTTTCAAGTTTACGATGGTCCTTGGCAGCGTGTTCTCTACGACTTCGTGACTTTAATGCAGGAGTAAGACTTACTACAAGTCTAGAACCAAAATAAAGGGCGGGCAATTAGCAAGACTGTACTGTACTAGATTGTGGAGATGGTGTGTACAAGCACAGCCCCACACTATCTTTCTCTATTTGTCATGTCAGCATGGCCCATCGCGCAACAAAAACAGATATTTTTGTGAAGAAGAGGAGAGAGCGAGAACCAGAAGGGCAACCCCCCTATGCGTGAATGAACCCCCTGCAGTTTTTGTTGTTTGGAGGCAGTGCGTTTTTTTGACTTTCAGCCTTTCAGGAACGATCAACGATTGGAACGATCAATGATTGAAGTGCTTAAGGGCGTCGTCAGTGTGTGGCCGGGAACAACGTGATTTCAAGTCGTGGCTGAGAATGCAAATCCCGTTGCGACTGGAAAATGGATTCGTTGGGACGGAATGTCGCGCTTTGCGCTGGCTCACACAAAGTCGTTGATAGACCATGTCTGGCTTGTCACCCTCTCCTCCTTTCTACTATTTACTCATTTGTATTTTGCGCTTATTTGGTGAAGGACTTGGCCTGGACTCCTCCATCCAGCTCCTCTTTTCTTCGACGCGCCGTGTTGGTCACTAGACCCATGACTCCACTGCGCAGAGGGAAATAGAAAACCACACGCACGTGTGCTTGCACAATGGGGACATGGCTCTCTTCCCATCCTACAGCCAAGTAGCCCTCGGAGGCAACGATCTATGTAGCAAGGGGTGCGAGCGGGATTGAGATAGGAGGATGATCAATTCTGTTGCCGAAAACTGCGGAGGGTACAGAGATGGAGGAGAGTGAGACGGCGGGGCTCTCAATTCAAAAGTCGAATTCCCCTCTCTATTTGGTAAGAGCGGGAGAAAGTCGAATTCCCCTTCTCATTTTGAAAGTCGAATTCCCTTTTTTTTTCAAAGTCCGTTGAGCTCACTTTGTCTTTCAATCCTACCATCAACTGTGGAAACTCGCAGCAGATAACTCTTTCTGCCAAGATCACCAGCTCGAAAGAGTTGAGACCATTTCGAAAGATCCTTTCATTTGTCCGAACAGGAGCAAAGGACAAAGCAGATGCCGAAGTGAGCAAATATTTACAGGGGAAAAAAAAATGCCGAGGTGATGGGATGTCAAGAATCAAGATTTTTGCTTTTTGACCATTGCAGGGTCCTGAGCATAACACATTGTCAGCTATTTTCGTGTATTACGAACTGCAAATAAGGTTGCATGTATAACGGGGTGTTTCTAATAGAATATCGCTTCTTGCTTGGAAGGTGAGAGAGAGGTATATGCAATTGTCATGCAAAGGTGGTCACAAACGCAACGAACAAGAAAGGAGGGTGAGAAAAAAAAAAGGCAAGAAGGGTGTGCCGGAAATATGCAACCTTATTGATTTGCCTGAAAATGTGGGTGTGCATGATTGGATGGCATCGAGTGCAGGGAAAAATGGTGGCGCGTCTGTCCAAACGATCGAACGCGACCACTCTGAGCAGGTATAAAAGCAGTACTCGTCCCTCCTTTCCCTACTTCGCTCACACTCTTTCACTCTCCTTACCTTTCTCTACTCCATACCCTCCTCTCTCACACCCCTCCCCTTAGCCCATGCCAACAGCCCTCACGATAGACCAGAGTGATCCTACAAAGGTCTGGATCGAGTACCTGATGCACCATGGCGGATACTCTACCCTCCTCGGCCTCCCTGCTGTCATCGCTACTCTCACTTTCGTCTCTCGCATCCTATGGCTCAAGAAGAAACGCACCCCTCACAGCTATGGTCGCACTGCGTGGATCTACTGGCCTACTCAGCTCTTGATAGCTCTTGGATCTACCCTTGCCCTCTACATCGCAGCTTCTCCTTCTGCATCTAACGGTCTCCCTCTCGGTGCCCTCCTCATGTTTGTCGCATGGGTATATGAACTATATTTAATGTCATGACAACGTTGTTTGTGCGCGTGATAAAATGAAACATCAATTCTGACACCTGCTTCCTTTCTTTCTTTCTAATTTTAGGCGACGGCGCTGAAAGTGAATCAAATGGAGCACCGCTACGAGATTCGATCGTCAGATTACCTGTTCGTCTACTACCTCGTCACCATCGTCGCTTCCTCGCTCTCACTCTTCATCCTTCACCAGAACCTCGATATCCCTCCTGCCAACGACATCTCTTTCCAGAACCTTGTCGCTTTTACTATCGTCATCGCCTCCGCCTTTGTTATCGAAGCCCTCCCCCGTCACAACACCAAGGTCCAGATCGCCAGTCGCCAACAGGAACATCTCACCCCTTACCAACAGGCCAACCTCTGGTCCAGATGGACCTTCCACTATGCCCAAGAGACCATCTCCATCGGAGCTGAGCGTGCTCTTCGCCCTGAGGATATTGATGGCATTGTCCCTACTGAGCTCATGACCCACGCAAACTTTGAACGCGTCAATGCTGCGTGGGAGAAGGAGGTCGCTGCTGCCAGCTGCAAAGGCAAACGTCCCTCAATGTTCAAGGCTGTCTTAAGTTCTTTCAAGGACCGCATCGTTTTTTTGATGTTGGGTCGTCTGCTCGGAACCTTCTTGTACTTTATGCCGCCAGCCATCTTTGGCAAGCTGCTTGGCTTCTTTGCCGATTACCATAACGCCATCCGCGAGGGCACAGAGCCACCATCGATCCAGTATGGTCTCTTGATCGCTCTGGGTATCCTTGTCGCCAACATCGCCGCCACGATCTTAATTGCCGGATCGAGTCAAGGTCTGTTCGAGATGGGCTACCAGCTCCGCGCGGCCACTGTTGCGATGATCTACCGCAAGAGTCTCAAGCTTTCCCCTCAGGCCCGTCAAAAGAGCACTGTCGGCGAGATTACCAACCATATGGCAGTCGATGCCGAGAAGTGGTCCATGGCGGCCAACGTTTTGCTGTTCTTGTTCGTCCTCCCTACTGAGCTGATTGTGGGCAGCTTCTTGTTGTACAGGATCTTGGGATGGTCGTTGTTTGCGGGCTTTGCTATGTTTTTTATTATTACGCCGATCCAGGGCAAGTTTGCGGGATTTATGAGTGTTTATGAGGAGGATAAGATGAAGCAGATGGATGCTCGTGTAAGGGTGATGTCTGAGGTCCTGTCCAATATCAAGATTGTCAAGCTCTATGGCTGGTACGTCTCCTATTCCTCTTGCGACGCGGCATGTTGATAAAAATAATTTTATCTGCCGTCACTCCCAAGGTCTAATCATTCCTCTTCACCTTCCAATAGGGAAGACGCGTTCCGCAAGAAGATCGATAGCCAACGTGCACTCGAAATCAAGGCAGAAAAGTCCCTCGCCACTGTCCGTTCCTGTTTCGCAATCTTCTTCTCCTCTATCACTTTACTCATGGCCCTGGCAACCTTCTCTGTCTACTCGACTATCGGCGGACCTAACTTTACTCCTGGACGTATGACGCCCGAAGTCATCTTTGTCAGCATGGGTCTCTTTGGAATGTTGAACAAACCCCTCGGCCTCGCCTCCATGGCCATCTCCATGACCATTGCTGTCAATATCGGAATCAAGCGTATCGAGTCTTTCTTGGTCCAGGAGGAGATTGACACCACTATCGTTCAGCGGTTTAGTCGGCAGCAGGATCGTAAGGGCAGGAAGGCTATGGCGATTGAGATTGAGGATGGTACTTTTGCATGGGAGAAGGAGCAGCCTTTCGGCACTGGTTCTGATGTTGTCGATGCTGATACCCCTGGGCTCTCTGTTGCGGAGGCTGAGCGCCAACCTCTGCTCTCTGGATCTACTACCACCACTACCCACACCCCCTGCCGGCCAGTCCTTTTCAACATCAACCTCGACATCGCCGCCGGATCTCTCACAGCCATTGTCGGCCGCATCGGTCAGGGAAAGTCATCCTTATTGAACGCAATCATGGGCGAGATGTACAAGAAGCAAGGAACAGTCAAAGTGTACGGCGATGTCGCCTACGTGCCCCAACAAGCATGGATCTGTAATGCAACCGTTAGGAATAACATTCTCTTTGGTAAACCCTTTGACCAGGACCTCTACGATCGGATCGTGACCGCCAGTGGACTTCGCCCCGACCTCGAGATGCTTCCCGCCGGTGACCAGACTGAGATTGGAGAACGCGGTATCAACCTCTCTGGTGGCCAAAAGCAACGCGTGTCTCTTGCTCGTGCGGCCTACCAGGATGCGGATGTGTACTTGCTGGACGATCCTCTGAGTGCGGTCGATGCTCATGTCGACCAGCATCTGTGGCTGCACTTGCTTGGACCCCAGGGGCTGTTGAAGGACAAGACGCGTGTGCTGCTGACCCATGGGATTCATCATTTGGAGAATGTCGATCAGATTGTGGTGTTGAAGGATGGGGCTGTTTCTGAGATGGGTGGGTACCAGCAGTTGATGGATTCTCGCGGCGCGTTCTATCAGCTCATCAAGGACTTTTCTGTGACCAAGAAGAGTAAGAAGACAACCAAGCACCACCAACGCAATTCTACGGCCGTTGAAGCGGTGGCGGAAGAGGATGATGTTGACAGCGAGAGAAACACCATTGTTGAGGAGGAGGAGGATGACAAGAAGGGCGGTGATGGCGAAAAGTCTGGTGAACTGGTTGCGGATGAGACCATGGAGGATGGCAGAGTTGGCTGGGACATTGCTGCTGCTTATGTTCGTGCGGTGTAAGTTCTTATTCTTCCTTTGTTGATATATGACTCTCAGTATTCATATTTTCTTCGACGACTAAATAAGCTTCTGCCTTTTTTCTTCATTCGATACAAATAGCACGTACAGGAACGCGCTGTTGTGTGTAACCCTATTCACAACATCAATGTGCTCCCACATCCTCACAAACTTCTGGCTCCGCCACTGGATCAGCGACTCTGAACAAGAAGAACATGGTGGCCCAGCAGCCAAGAAGGCATCCTACTACCTCGCCGTCTACGGCTTCATGATCCTCATCTACGTCATCCTCGACGTCTTTGTCAACTATGTCAGTCAAGTCGTCTGTGGTATCAAAGCCGCCCGAACCCTCCACGATGCTCTCTTAACTCGCATCCTTCGTCTGCCCATGAGCTTCTTTGACACCACCCCCCAAGGCCGCATCGTCAACCGGTTCTCGTCGGACGTGGGAGCGATTGACTCGCAATTGCCCGAGAACTATAATGATATGATCGGGTTTATCTTTCATATTACCGGGACGCTGTTGATTATTGGGTATGCGACGCCGATGTTCTTAGTTGCCGTGCCCCCGTTAGCGTTCATGTTCTTCCTAGTCCAGGATTATTATATCCGGTCAGCTAATAGTCTGCGTCGGCTTATTTCTATATCAAAGTCGCCGTTGTATCAGCATTTCAGTGAGACAATTTCTGGAGTGACGACTATCCGGGTTATGAGGGGGCTGGTGCAGCAGTTTGTGGCGCAGAATGAAACCCATGCCGACTTGGCGACCATCCGACAGTATGTCTTCCTCACCATCAACCGCTGGCTCCAGGTCCGGGTCGAGATCTTGGGTGGAGTCGTCAACTTCTCAGCCGCGGCGCTTGCGGTCTTGTATGTCGACAAGCTGGATCCGAGTTTGGTCGGTTTGGCATTGAGTTATGCGTTGGGTATTGTGGGTTACATCAACTACTTTGTTCGGACTATTTGCGAGACCCAGAACCTATTGATCTCTGTCGAGCGTGTGCTGGAGTATTCTCAGAAACCGACCGAGGCCCCCGTCAAGACTGGCGTGATGCTTCCCGAGAACTGGCCTCAAAAGGGTCATGTTGTCTTCAAGAACTACTCGACAAGGTACAGGGAGGGGTTAGATCTGGTCATCAAGGATGTGTCGTTTTCGGTGGCGCCCGCAGAGAAGGTTGGGATTGTTGGTCGTACTGGCGCTGGAAAGTCGTCGTTGACACTGGCGCTGTTCCGGATCATTGAGGCTGCCGATAGCTTCTGGGCGCGTGCTAGTGATCCCTCCTCTGGTCTGTCGTCTACGAAGAAACTCCAAGGCAACGGATCGACCTCTCAATCTTTTGAGCCCTCGGTTGTTGGAGGTCTCTTCTCTTCCGGACAACGCAGCGGTGGATCGATCGAGATTGACGGTATCGACATCTCAACCCTCGGACTCACCGACCTCCGCCGCCATCTGGCCATCATCCCGCAAGACCCAACCCTTTTCGCAGGCACCATCCGCGACAACCTCGACCCCTTCTCCGAACTCTCCGATACCGACCTCTGGACAGCCCTCGAACGTGCCCATCTCAAGTCACATATCTCTACCCTTGCTGGCGGTCTCTCCTTTGAGGTTGCCCAGAACGGCGAGAACTTCTCCGTCGGCCAAAGATCCCTCATCTGTCTCGCCCGGGCCCTCCTCCGCAAGACCAAAGTCCTGGTCCTCGACGAAGCCACAGCGGCCGTAGATGTAGAAACGGACAATCTGATTCAGAGGACGATCAGGGAAGAGTTCAAGGATAGGACAGTGTTGACGATTGCTCACAGGATCAAGACTGTAATGGATTCGGATAAGATCTTGGTGTTGGAACAGGGGAGGGTGAAGGAGTTTGAGGAACCCGGGGAGTTGTTGAGGAAGGAGGAGGGGTTGTTTAGAGGACTTGCTGAGCAGGCTGGCGAGTTTTGATGTTGAAGTTGAGTTGTTGGTTGGTCGGCTGTTGGCGTGGATAGAGTATGAAATACCTTTTTTTTTTGAGTAAAGAATATTACCGTACTATGAAAGGAAAGTCGACAGAGCAACAATGATTGTCGGAGGCTTTGATTAAAGCAGTTGAGAGCGCCGACAAAAAATGAAAAGAGAGGAAAATGCGCCTCCAAGCACCACTTATGAACAACATAATAATAACTCGTACCTTTTTACATTCTCGCTGTGCGATGATTATGATCCACCCTTTGATACCTGGTATTCCATTATTGATGTCCCCTCCTCCTGAATGAGTGTTGCTCCTAATCAATTAGTGTCTAGCCCGGTATATCCTTCTTATGTGCGCGATCAAAGAATGAACTTTTTTTCTTCTCCTGTTTCCACATACCCTTTCACACTTATTCTCTCTCACTCACTCACACACATACACACATACCCCCAAACATGACCATGTTGGTTGGGCTGTGTTTAACTTTGTGAGCAAGAGGCTCTCAATCGTTAAGAAACAATCCAAACACTAAACACGTATTTATTTATTTTCTATTTGGAAAGATGTAGGGCGTGCTCTTCGTTCAAACAGCCCTTCCTGTTGTCGTCTTGTTCTCCACATCGATCCAATTCAGTACGGGTGTTGTTTTACATACTGACATCGACAACCACCTTGCTCGAAAAGGCGCGATGCCTTAACCCCCCCCCCCCCCCCCCTCCCTCTAGGTAGCGCCAGTGCAAGAGGTAAAGAGAGACATCGTCTGGTGAACAAGAATCGAAACCTTACTTTTTGAGGTGCAGAGAAAAATAAGAGTTTCGACAGGTGGGCGAGAGCAATGCTAATAAATTTTCTATGAGAGGGTTTTTTTTCTTTTTCGATCTCAGTTTCTCATGCATCCGATCAGGCATGGGAACAAATGATACTTTTCATTTTCTCTCGTGAAAGATACTATGGACAAGGAGGCGTTTTTGATTTCTGAGGGATTTGAGAGCACCGAAGAAAGAAGGTGAAGATGGCATGCCATCCGAGATCATTTTCTCGTGTGCGATTGACAACGAAGAAAAAAAAGTACTTAAATACTGAGGTTCGTCCATTATTTTTTTTGTCACCATTCCGCACACCACCAAACACAAGCACTCCTTCCTCCCTTCACCACAAAAACACAAAACACATCCAAAATGCGTTGCTCCACCATCCTCGCCGCCGCTACCATGGTTATCCTCTCCGTCGTCTCTGCTCAGACCGTGCCCGACCCCTCCCTCGTCGCCGCTTGCAACACCTGCCTCAACAACGCCGGAATCGCCGCCGCCCCAGCCTGCAATGGCCTCCAGAACACCAACCTTTTTGCCCCCTCCGCGACGCTTAGCGACAAGCAAAAGACCTGCTTGTGTGGCCTGGTCGCCAACAAGACCTGGACCAACGCGTGCGCAGGAGCCGACAAGTGTCCCGCAGAATTGTTCCAGCAGTTTAAAAAGGCGTATGATAGCCTTGCAGCCGCCCCTGGTACCTGCGATAACGTGTCTGCCTCTACTAATGGTGGAAGTCGGTTCTGCGGCGCCTCGTCGGTCAAGGTTGCTGCTGCTGGCGCAGCTGCTGTGGCTATTGCTGGTGCCCTTCTGTAGATCTTTTTTTATATGCCATGAACTCATTGTACAATAGTACAAGCCCATCCTTCAAAACGTTCATATATTTTTTTTTGGGCCTCAATCGCCAATGCATTGTCTTTTCGTCAATGTCATCGGAGGTCATGTGGCATAGATTTCCCCATTGCGTCCTACTTGCCCACGGAGGCGCGAACCTGAGAAGTTTTTGCTGGAGGGCGGTGGGGAAGTGGGCATTGAAATGTTACTTTTTGAGTTTCGACAGGTGGGCGAGAACAATGCTAACAGTTTTTCTGTGAGGGGTGTGAGGGGGTAATATTTTTCGATCTCAGTTACTCGTGAATTTGAACAGGCATGGGGAATTCATGATACTTTCATTTTCTCTCGTGAAAGATACAAGGGACAAGGTGGCGTTTTTTTTTTTTTTTTTTTTTTTTTTTTTTTTGGTTTCTGAGGGATTTGAGAGCGCCAAAGAAAGATGGTCCACCTAAGTTCATTTTCTCGTGAGCGATGACAATCAAATCAAAAAATACTTAAATACTGAGGATCGTCCATTATTGTTTTGTACCATTCCGCACACAACCACTCACCACAAAAACACAAAACACATATCCAAAATGCGTTGCTTCACCATCCTCGCTGCCGCCACCATGGTCCTCTTCTCCGTCGTCTCTGCTCAGACCGTACTCCTCGCCGCCTGCACCACTTGCATCGAGAACGCCGCATTCGCAGCCGCCCCCGCCTGCAAGGGCCTCGTGGACTCTGACCTTATTGCTCCCTCCGGGACGCTTAGCGACAAGCAAAAGGCCTGTTTGTGTGGTCTAGTCGCCAACAAGACTTGGATCGAAGGGTGCATTGGAGACGACAAGTGTCCCGCAGGAGCGGTCAAGCTATTTAGAGAGTTGTATGAAGCCTCTGCAGCCGTCCCTGGTACCTGCGATAACGTGTCTGCCTCTGCTTCTGCTAATGATGGAAGTCGGTTCTGTGGTGCCTCGTCGGCCAAGATTGCTGCTGCTGGCGCGGCTGCTGTGGCTATTGCTGGTGCCCTTCTGTAGATCTTCTTTTTTATATGCCATGAACTCATTGTACAATAGTAAAAATCCATTCTCCAAAATGTTTTTTTTTTTTTTTTTTTTTTTGGGTCCCAGCCACTAATGCATTGTCTTTCGTCATTGTCATCGGAGGTCATTTGGCATAGGTTTCCCTATTGCGTCCTACTTGCCCACGGAGGCGCGAACCTGAGAAGTGTTTGTTGGAGGGAGGTGGGGATGACCGGGTAAGAAAAAAAGGTAACGAAGTATCAAGAGGGAAAAGGTAAAGTCTTGTTTGTTACTTTGGACGGAAGAAGAAAATAGAGTTTCGACATGAGAGCATTTTGATTTTGTTTTTCGGTTTCCGTCCTTGTCCCTGAAGGAAGGGTAAACGGCACAGGCTGCATTTAATTGGTGTCATGGGCGATTCTTTGTTGGTGCCAGCGAAAGTTGAGAAAGAGAGAGAGAGACCAAAAAATCGCCCAGCTATGCCTTCCCGCACGACACGACAAATCAACTCAAGAATGTGGCTTCTCTAGCTGCAGCGCTAATATTTTCGCCTATAAGCCTTGTCTGCTGACTTGTTGCAGATCTCTTGCTGAGCCATCAGGGACATAATAATCTATGAACTTCATGAAGGACCGAGAGGTATCGCCTTTTTATTTGGCTTGGAACCTCACGAAATCTTCGTAAAGGTCGGCTCTGTCGTTGGAAGGCGCACAACAGGCACGCATGGCCAAGCCACCATCCGTTATTTACAGCCCTTCGCAATTCTAGTATGAAAGACCCTTCGTTCATTGCTTCCTTCCTCTTATATCTTCTCTTCCACAAAATCGCCCATCCAACGATACACTCCCTCGCGTCTCCTTGGTTCGCCTCGGCATCCTCAAGACCGCTCGCAAGCTCACCCTACTTTTGTTTTTCTTTACCCAAACATGTTGAGATGTAATGCCTTGGCAAAGCTCCGTACCATGCCATAATTCTCCTCTTTCATTGAACAGCAGCCTATCGAAAAAATGACAACCACGTCAGGTCGTCTTTGACGAAGGTGAATAAAATGTGGAGGGGCACTGCTTCAGTGCAGGCGGCGGTGTGAGCGACCTTATCAACGGCGGCCTATTCGGCCTCAGAGTCTCCTTTTAGACCTCTTCTGCTGCCTCCAGGAGTTGAGCCTACGTTTGCAAGGAATAAAAAAAAGTGCGTAAGTAGATGCATGTCAACAGTGTATGCAGAGTAACAAGTTTCGCTGGTTAAAGGTGAGGACATACTCTTATCCATTCCAATGTGGCAAGCGCTCTTCCGCTTATGAACTGGCTGAGTTCCGCAGCATAGGTGGGCAGTTTCAAGTCTTCACAGAGAGTTGCGCAAAGATACACTCCGTCGTGTTTCACCATATGCACGACTCGTCCGGTGTACCCTATTTGTTGGCAATGAAAGTGGATGAGTCGAGCCCATCCTTAGCGTGCGGCAGCAGCTTAATCTAGCCATTTGTAATAATAATCGTTTGGCTGACATACCTTTAATGTCCAGAAAGACAAGCTCCTTGCGCCAGGGGTGCCGCGATAGAATGGAGTGATTGTGGCGTATCGATTTTCTTAGCTGTATAGCGACATCATCCTTGCTTGCTCTTGGTCCTTTGTGCTCATAGTCCACCAACTCGACATGCAGCAGCTTGTGTTCCTCGTCAACGGAGGCGACAAGAAGAAAGTCTACTTTCCTTGGCATCAGTGGCGGGAATTCTCCTCCATGCTCCTGCTTATGCTGCTCTCATTCCTCGCGAGTGGAAGATAAGCCGGACTCGCCTCTGTGGGATATGTATGGAGAGACGGGTCGTTTCGGTTACAATCCAGTACGAAGAAAATGTACACGATGGTTACTGTAAGGCAGCATAGGCGACACTTACGTTAGGACAAAGATAATAGTTCCATCAAACATCAGATCAAACACCTGGTGCCAGGTCCTAACAGTCATTGATTCTGTCTCCTTTGGGCGAGCAACCACTTGATGTTCTGACAGCTTTGCCCTATGAATGGCAAATGGTATTGGGAGAGATAAAATGAATAAGTGTCTGAATCACTGCGTAGCATTGCACATCCTTGATCTTACAGAGCAGTGTGTATCCGTCCTTACAAATAGCGCACGATCTCAAACACACGTCTCTCTCGATAGTCTGTCGGCTTCCCCACCAGTGCATTAGATGCTAGCTCTCCAAGCCTGACAGTTGCTAACAGCTGAACTCGCTGTGCGTCAAGGTAGCCATTTGAGTCTCTTGCCGCGTCTGTAGTCGTTTTCAGAGTGCTCCTCAGCGCTTCGTCGGCATCCACAAACTGCTCGTCGACCACCAAAGGAGCAAGCTCGGAGATCACCGCAAGCCCGAAAACACGGTGTGCATCCTCCATTTCCAGGTGTGCTACCATCGACGCCGCGACACTAATATAAAGGAAAAATAGTTGTTAATATGCGATTAAACTTATTTCTTGTGCATGCGGTGCAGCTTCTTGAATTTAGGCAGACGCTCTGCAACAAATCGGAAGAGAATTGACTGGAGGCCAGTGAGTTTGGCTGGTCGGCTGGGCACGATGAGCTTCCAATTGTGATGCTACAGGCAAAAAGAGAGGGCGATGAATATCAGCACTACAATCTTAATAGCACCAACCAAGTACACCAAGTAATAAGAACAGTCTAACAATCGTACATACCTGGTCGAATAATGCCCGGAAGAGATGGAAGAATGGATAATCACTGTGTGTAGTATTATCTTGCTCAAGGTCATCAAGGTCATCATGCGCTATAGGGTCAGCGATTGCATAATTCGCACCTCACCTTGGCGCTTTTGCCAGGCGTCGCAACTGGACTTGCAATTGTTATTGTCCTCTACTACTGTGGTCGCTCTTGATCCAGCAAGTGTCCTTGAATAATGTTGCACATATTGTGCCCCGCCAGCTCGTCTCGGTGCATGAAGCTCTTGCAATGTGGACAATACAGTCATCGCATGTTGACTTGACCGACGAAGGCTTGACAAACCGGGAATTTCTTGGATGTATAAAATTCATTTACACCTACGACAATGTATCCCAGAGATCTTGCCTAAGAAAATTATAAAATACAGAAGAGAAAGAGAACGGAGAGTATGGTGTCAGTTGCTGGTTTTTGATTTCAAACCACCAATTTTTTGACAAAGACCGGCACTGTTCACTTACTAGTCGGACAAAATATGAACAAAAGGCGGTGTGGAGCGAAGAAAGGCCATAGTGCGACTTGAAATCTCCAAGGCCGATCCCGATAATGACAAAGTTGTCGTCCTGTCTCTTGGCGCCGATAGACCCTCCAAGCATTCGCAACAATCGACCGGCAGCCAGACTAAATTCTTGCTCCTTGGCCAGTTGCGCATTCCAGGTATTTTCTTGATCGCCGGTTTGTTGTAGAAATCGTAAAAAACAGTCTCAATCTCCTGTCTCGCGTTGACATACTTCTCAACACTGCCGTCCGGGCCTCGATGTGGGGGGAGATGGCTCTTTATGTCACTGATTGATTGACCTCCCTCCGTAGTCTCCATTCGTTGCCGTTCCAGCTATTTACTGTGTTTGGGAGTTGGTTGATATATGTGCTGAAGCTCGCACTTCAGTGCCGGGTTCCGCCAAAACAGTTCCACAAGCTCGAGTTCCGTCAAAGTAATGAACCTGTCCTTCATTGACGACATCGGCAGCAAGCATCGGGGTCGTCCGCAAACTCTGTTCAAACCAAGGACGTTTTGGATCGCCGACATGGAGAGATCGATCGTTCCCGTTGTTGCCTCCACTTGGAGGAGCTCCTTCTTCAAGACCTCGATCTGTTTTGTTGAAAGAGACACGAGACAGGGTTTAGGAAAGCCATCCCTAAAACGTCCATAATATTACAAAATCTTTTATATCCGCAACAATAGTTGTAGTTGTCATTACCTTTTTGCAGAGTACCAAAGAACCATTCTTGTAATGGTTTTTAAGCTCCACGTAAAGCTGATTAGCAACAAGCTGGGCTATTGTTGATGCTGGATACGCCGGCTTGGTTGGTGGACCCGAGACACCGTACAGGTTGATCCTGTTGAAAAACTCGCGGGCGAGCTCCACATTCGCCGTGGGGTTTCTCACATTCGCCGTTGCACCAGGTTGTGTCGAGTTCATGATAGCGTTCAAGAGCATCTTTAGGAAAGGTTCTTGTTCATTGTACTTCCTCTGCGAACCTTGGTCATGTTCCTGATCCTGTCTCTGACCGACGCTCTGTTGCTGGTTTGTCCAGTCGTTGAAAGCGGTAATTTTCTCGACGGTGAAATTAGGACAGAGTTTCCTGAGAATCAGTTTGTCCATGTCGTCGACCTCCCGGGCAGACAGGCTCTCGAGGTACATGCCAATGCCGCACTGCAAGGTCCTCGCTGCCTCCGAGGCTTGTTTGACGACGTGCTGGAAGCAACTCCTGATGCCTGTATAAGGATAGATCGACGCTCGGCGGAATGGGTAATGTTCCTTGATATAGCACGCTTGGCGTTCGCCTGGACTGTGCCAAGATTGAGAGTCCATATAGGGTGATCAAAGTCCATGGCTGAGATATGGTCCTGTTTCTTGATCAAGCTTGTTACTGACCGGTGGTTATAGGGTTTCTGCGATTTTTTAGAGGTAGCGCTAGTGGCCGGGGATTTCTCACGCTGTCCCAGGGTTTGAGCTTGTACTTATTGAATCCCTCAGTTGGTTCGTGTTCCAGCTTCATCGTCCGCGTCTTGATGGCATATCTGGAACGGTGTTTGTACCGCCGACCGGACTTGTGGGTGGAGGAGGCTTCTCGGGAGGCCTGTCCGCGATACGAAATCGGTTGGGTATATCCACGTTACCCTCAGACGCACTTGCGACAAAAGCGCTACTAGAACAAGTATAGAAAAGACATGTACCATTAACAAACAGATTCTTCATAACATTATGAACTTCAATCATAACAAATCCTCACCAATCAGATTAACAAACGTCTGTTGACGTCTGTCGTGAGTAACGTCACGGATCCGGGCCAACCTCTGAAAAAGCTCCTGGAGTCGTGCATCGGCGTCAAGTCCATGGGGTGCAGCAGGGGGATCCGGGATTGTAAGTTCTCGGCGGCAGAAAACCTTCAACGCCGGATCAAAACGGTCTAGATCAGGTTTCTTGATCACCACAACTTCATGCGCCAGGTACCGACGGACCATCGTTTGGGGATCTTAAAAATAAATAAAAAAGAGAGAGATAGTAAGTTTACTATCTCGAGGGCTTGTGACAACAAGAAAATATAATGAAAACGAGATCGGGGTCATTACCACCTTCAGTTATGGTCTTGATAGTTCCGTAGTTGGTCCTGACCCCCATTTGGTTCAGGTTCGTGGTGTAGTCGTTCTTCGACACACAGTAGAGAACCGTCAGCTGCACGCGGCTCAACTGTAGGTGGTGTTTGGCCACAGCTCCCATCTCATACTTCAGAAACCGCCTTCGTGACAGAGGCCAGATCGTCTCCACGTTCTCGTAAGCTGTTATGTCGCTATCCTGCGACACGACGATATCGCCAGGCTTGAAATCATGAGCAATGGTGATATCTGCTTCGGACGCAATTTCTGGCAAGCTCCAGCCTTGTCCGCGTAGATATGTGACCAACACCATCCGAGAGTCTTGACCAAGGTAGAATGCGCCACGGAGCTTATTCATTAATTTCTTGAAAGTCGGCTTGCATGGACTGTGGCCTCCTTCCAGCGATTTTTCCATATTCCGGATACAATCCTCCGCTCCTGCCAGCGCGGTGTTGCGCTTGTCCTGCCTCAAGGCGTTTATGTGTTGCTTCTAGACAGGAGAAATTCCATCGAGGTAGAGTACCGAGGTTTTCTTGCGCAACTCACAGGAGATAAAGTGCAGCTCGATCGCTTGAGGAAAGGTGGATAGGTCGTTTAGGTAGTGGTAGCGGATTTGGGGGTAGGATGAGGCCAGTAAGTCGACGCGGAACTTGGAGCCTGGTGTTGGAGGAGAGCTGGAGAGTCCTTGTTTGAGTTGGGCCTTGTAACCCTTCTCCGCGCAGAGGGGCCAAAGCCCGGGTACTCCCATGTTAGCGAGGAAGAGGCGAGTAGTGCCTCCTTTTTGTGTATGTGTGTGTCGTGTTTTGGGAAAGAGAAAAGGATGTGGGAAGGAGAAAAGGGTGTGGGAAGGAGAAAAGGGTGTGGGAAGGAGAAAAGGATCTGGGAAGGTTAAAATATTGTCGAGACTGAAAATATGTCACGCGTGTGATGGAGGGTGATCTTATCACCAAATTCTTTGAGCCTATTCGGTGTAAGCGCGAAGAACTTCCAGAGGAATCGACACCCTGTTTTGAGGTTACATGTGCTGAGGAGGGGACTTGCCCCATGAGTCGTATTCTGTCAACACAAAATGAGTATATCTCATGTCTCTACTCTTGCACTTGCGGCGATTACACGCGGTACAAGGAGCCTTGTAAACACATGTATCTTGTGACAAGGATCTACAATGATATAGAGATCAGCTATGAGGGTGAGCCATCCCTCTCAAAGGAATCGACTGCAGACGAGAATCAACTTAACGTCTCGTTGGAGACGATTCTTTCGCCTCAGCTCCTTCTTTTACGGCAGAGAGAAAGGGCTGAAAAAAGAGAGGCTGATTTATGGCCATCATCAAGAAGATTTACGAAGTACTTTCGGCTACAAAGAAAAGAAAGTGCTCGTTTCAGTACCTTCAAGAAACAATGGTGTTGCTACACAGCACCTATCTTCAAGTCAAAGGCCTTAATGAGGGTGGTGCAGGGCGAAAGTGCCAGCGAATAAAAATATAGTGTCAAATGAGTTCCTTGAGCCGATTTTGAATGGATAATATGTGTCAATTGACAGTGTAATGTAATCCATATTAGGAAAGATTTCACGCGTAGTTTCAGTCAATAAGAGAATTATGGCGTCCCATTGTCCTCTACCCTTGCCACTTGGGTACGTGTGCCACTACCAGAAGTCAAGGACGTGGGCGTGATTCGTTTGTGTCTCAAATTTTTGTCTTTGTCTGAGATCGAAGACAGATCTTGTTGTGCCACGTTGCATCCCTCTCTCTCTCTCTCACCCACAATATATAAAGCGTCCCCTCTCCCTTTTCATTCCCACACCTTCCAGCTTTACATCCCGCTCTATCGTTATTTTACATATCATCACAGTCTTCGCTTCCAATGGCTCACATCCCTCACCCTCCAACAACTCTCCTGCACACCCCCACAACCACCACACGTCCTCCTTGTCTCAAAATGAAGAAATCCTCCTCCCTGTCCACAAACCTCTTCCTCTCCCACCATACCCACAATCAGCGTGGAGGGCCATCTTTACGATCCATCCTAGTCCTCACAGCACTCATCCTCTACGGTCTCCAGTCTTTTCTCTCGCACTTTAATGCTACCGTGCCAAGGCGCTCTTCTTACCCGGCTTCAACGTCGAGTGGTGGTAGTGATGGTGGTGATGGTGAGAGAGTTGGCAGTCGGACGTCGTTTGAGATACCGTTCCCGACGGCAGAGTCTACACATCAGTGCAGTGGAAAGAGTAGTCGGCGGAAACAGCAACAAACCTACAGTCCTCAAGAACAAAGAGGACAACAGACCTGGTATAACGACCCAGCCCAGCACCTTCAAGAGACATCCGATGACCGGACAGAGTTTGAAAAGAAATACTTTAGCGAACCTTCTTCCTCATACTTCCCCACCTCCAACGACGACGATGACGACTACGACTACGACTCTTATTCCTCCAACTACAACAACTACGATACCCAGCAAGCAGACACATCCGACGCAAACCACGAATACGGAGCAGGAACAAGACAGGTCCTGCCGGGATCAGAGTGCAAGGGATACTATTGCGCAGAGACAGATACCTGTGTCGACCGACCCATCAATTGTCCATGCCCACATGTCCTTGACACAAAATGTTTCCGCTCAGACTGGTTCGTTTGCTTCCGGGGACCACACAAATGCTGAAGAAAACACAACCCCTTGTACTAAAATAAATACACTTGTAAAATAGAACATATTGCTGCAAGTTTTGTTTTGTTGGATGATGATGTTGGATTGTAATATGTACAAGGGTGCGGTTTATTATTGTCGCAAATAAAAAGGTTGAGATATGTTACATGGCGAAGAGGGGAATAAAAATGTTCAAATCATACAAAAAATGCTTGTCCTCCTACACATCCTCCTAGTCGTCGTCCTCCATCTCGACATCCATTATACCATCCTTCTCATCCTCATCACTCTCACTCCTCCGATACTTCTCCTTCTCCTCCTCAGACGACGTCATCTTGGCCATCGCTGCAGCAATGGCCTCCACAGCGTTCGCAATCGCATTCCCACCTCCCTTGGGCAAGGGTTCCCCTGCTGCAGCGGCTGCAGCGGCAGCAGCAGCATTCTTCTTGGCCAAAGATCTCCTCGCCGCACGACTGGATCCCTTGTTCGACTTTTGTCTGGCATCTGGGGGCTTGTAGCTGTATCCGTATCCCTGGCCCTGTCCAATTCCGGCATCGGCACCAGATCCGCCAACACCAACTCCGTCGGCATCCTTACTATTACCGTCCTGCAAGCCATCCTGTTCGTCGGCTTGAGCAGCGTTGGCCATCTCCATCTCGTTGCTCTTCAACAGATCCTCACAGATCTTCTCAACGCCTCCCATAGCCTCAACAACCCCCTTTCCAAACTCGGTCAACCTGTACACCCACTGGCGACCACGCTTGACACCAAAGCTCTCGAACCGTGGCCGGGGCTGTCCCTTCTCGTGTGCAAGAGCATCCGAAAGCTGCGCCCTCCAGATCTGCAGGTTCTTGTGTCCAGTCCTGGGGATGCGGTTGAGATGCTTGCTGAACAACTTTTCGACCATCGTCGCCACATCGTTCAGGGTTCCCTCCAGATCGGGCAACCAGGCCAAGGACAGGAACCCCATCTGGGCATAGGTCGGGAGTTTGGTCGTTGTTGCTGGGTCTTGTTTGCACCGACGTGAGACGCTGTGACCTTTGCCCTTCACAAATCCAGGATCTGTCAGGATCTGGCGGCGGGAGCGGACAGAGTGGACTGATCGGTTGAGCGTCTGAGCAATCTCCTTGATCGGCAGCCGCTTGGCAAACAGTTTCAGCAGCAGAGTCTCGTCCTTGTGGGTCCAGGGACGCTTCGAGGTCTGAGCAACTGCTCCATCTGTGGTTGAGCCATCAGCACTCTGGGCGTCGCTTGAAATCGACAGGTTGGACATCGAGGTGGGAGAGATGGGCGAATCCAGACCATCACCAGCAGTGGATCCAAAGGGAGATGTCACAAGGCTGGACGGAGAGCAACTTCCAGAGGCACCATCATCATCATCACCAACACGTCGCTTCTTGGAAGGGCTAGGGAGTTGGTTCGATCCTGAGGTGGGGACTTCGAGATTCGATCCCGACCTTGATGCGATGGTGAGGTGCTTGGGTCGGCGCGACTTGACGCCCTTGCCACCAGAACCAGACGCCGAAGGTTTCCTTGTGACCCTCTTTGCAGGAGGAGCAAGGTTCTGGTTGTTCTGTTCCAGAGGCGCCGACAACGATGATGACGAGACTCCTGAGGACTGCGAGTGACTGAGACCCAAAAAGTTGTTCTGCGAGGGATCGAAATGATGCGGTTCCGAGGACATGCTGCTGTTGAGGTACGACTCATAGCTCGACGACATGAAATCGAGAGGCTCAATCATGAAACGAGGTAAGGGACGAAGATGCTGTCCGTTGAATACATACTCCTCCGGGTCGACTCGGGGTGCAGTTCCTGTGGTGGCGGCCAAGACCTGCTCACGCTGAAAGGCAGCCTGGACCTCCAGTTCCTCCATGAGAGTACGGAAAACATCCGGGGGTGCGAATTCCTGCTGCTGATGTTGTTGAGGCTGCTGAAGGTGAGAGTGGCTGGCTTCAAGATTCGATGAAGTAGCTGAAAGCATCTGAGAAGCACTGGCAGAAGATGCTCCTCCCGAGACCCCAGAATGTTCGCTCATAGTTCCATCGACCTGCATGGTTCCGTAGCCAGCATTAAAGAAATCCAGAGGCTCCATCACAAAGCGCGGAAGACGAGCGTGGTGCTGATCGTTGCCGTTGAAGGCATAATCAGTGTTGGTGAGAGCCGCACCGGCGGCCTCCTGTCTTGCTGTAGATGCCAAGAACTGGTCACGCTGAAGGGCGGCCTGGGTCTCGAGCTCCTCCATCAGCATGCGGAACAAATCCTGTGTTGGCGGCGACAGTTGGTCATGGGTTGTCGTAAACGAGGGTGGTGTACCTGTCCCGTTGTTGTGCTGATTCAGGATATGAGAGTCATCGTCGGAAAGGGGTCGCTTCCTGGAATTAGTAGAGTCCATCGATCCAGAACGGCCGTGAGAGGACGAATGGGTATCGTAGGTAACCTGCAAAGAAGACGTTGCCGCTCCCTGGTTCTGATCATGGCTTGAGGATCCGTACTGTGCAGAGAACGAGGAGAGGTCCGACGAGTTGGTGTCTGCCATCGAATGGATATCTGTGCTGCCCAGACAAGACTCGTAGTCTCCCGAAAGAAAGTCAAGAGGCTCCATCATGAACCGAGGCAGTGCCCTTGAGTGCTGGTGCTGACCGCCGAGCGAATAGTCAACCTCGACACCAGAGTCCGGCCTGGTTGACGTAGAAGTAGACGACGATGCCATGACCTGATCTCGCTGGTGGGCAGCCTCGGTCTGGAGTTCCTCCATGAGGGTGCGGAACAAATCCTGGGTGGGCGGTGGGACAAGGTCGTAGGGCGGGAAGTGATCTGAGGAGTGCTCATAGATATTTTGCCCATGGGTATCATTAATGTTGTTGTTGTTATTGTTGTTGTTGTTGTTGTTGTTGTTGTTGTTGTTGTCAAGCTGGTTCTGCTGGGTGCCTGCATTATGGCTGATATGGTCAAGGCTGTGGGAGGTGATGTGGAGATTGCCTCCGATTGGCTGTGTGTGATTACTGCAGATTTGGGTCGATTGAGACTGTACTGATCCCTGGGTCGTGGCTGTGGTGGTGATCGTGCTGGTGCTGGGGCCACGATCGGATTCCGGCAAAACCATCGACGATCGGCTATCGTCCCCGTACCGTTCGTCATCGTGCTTGGCATGGATAAAGTCATGAAAGTTGAGGTCATCCTCGGCAACAGCCGTTGCAGCACCATCGCTCCTTATTGAGGGAGCTGACGGTCCTTGCTGTGATGACTGTACCGAGGTGTTGCTGCTGTTGGGTTGTTGTTGTGGAGCGGTGTGGCTGTGTTGGTTGTATTGTTGGTGGCGTAATGAATGCTGCTGCTGCTGTTGTTGTTGCTGTTGGAGATGCATGATTTTTTGTCCGTTGTGTTCGGTGGAAGGGGAGGGGAGAAGGTGGGGGCGAAAGGTGGGCGAGTCCTGTAATGAAAAGTCCTTTGTGGTAAGAAATAGCGAAGGATGGGACTTTGCGTGACCCATCATGGTCTCCGTACAAGTGCGAGGGGAGAGAGAGAGGGTTAAGAGAGAGGATCGATTGGAAAGGGTATTCTGTCCTGAGGCGATCGTCTGTCTGACTGAGTAAGCAATTAGATCCGCAGCCAGGTTTGTGGAGAGGAAGTGTCAAACGTGAGTTATGCTTCGCCTAGTGTCAATTGGAGGAGGAATGTTCTTTATCATGTCAGCAAGGGTTCTTCTGTGAAAGGTATCAACGTGTAGCGAGATAGCTGTTGGTGGCATCTTACAAAGGACGATGCTTGAGAATATAACAAGAGGGCAGGTCGTCAGAGAAGAAGTGTTCGGAGACTTTTTCTTTTTCGTTTATTTGACCAAAGGTATGAATGTAATGTGGAGATGGCAAAAGTGCGGAATGCAAACTTGTGGTAGGAGATCAAGTTGTCGAGGATGAGGAAGTGTTTATGAATGTACAAAAGAAAGAGAGGACGAATGCAAGAAAGAGAATAAAGAAGAATGTACAGAGAGAGGGAAAGAGGGAGAGAGGGAGAGAGGGAGAGAGAGATAGAGAGCTTGTGTGTGTATGGTGAAGAGAACAGAAAACAAAGAGTGACAGAAAAGACGAAGAAGGAGAATAAAAAAAAGAGAGACGAAAAATATCACAGAAAGAGCCGCCTACTTAAATAGATTGGACCTGAGCACTGCCCCGGAGTCGATGAGATGGGAGCAAATTATTTCAGTCAGTCTGTCTTCAATGCCCATTTTCCAGCCAAGGAAGGGAAGGCAAGGGAAGGCAAGGGAAGGCAAGGGGGAGAAAGGAAGGCAGATGGACCGGTCTGACTGACCGACAGACAGCACACACATCCAGACATAAAATATTATTTCTCCCATTTTACACGGGAATCACACGCAAAACGACACAACTCGCTCCAGCCAATGATCGATCAAAGATGCGCTTTCGCCCATTTTTTGTCTTTCTTTTCTTCCGGACCATGCACCCCCACCCCATCCGCATTCTCAATGCCAATATGCCAATATGCCAATACTCATCGACGCCCTTCTTGTCTCTTATTGATATTTCAAGGAGCCCACAATAACTGAATCCTGACCACTCTCACCGTTTATTCACGCGACTTACTCACTCACTCACTCACACACCCTTACCCCCTCCTCCCTTCTCCTTCAATCAAGCCCACTCCCCAACATCCCAACATCCATCAGCTGCTTCTTTACTCCTCCGCCTCCACTTCTAGAATCCTTTCAACCGTGAAGATTTCAGATTCTCGCTAATGCAATTTATTTTTCTACTTGCTACAGCCAAGAAAAACACACTATTACTGACCTCGCCTCCACAAAAGCCCTTGCCCAATAGCACACAGCCCACCTTTTTGACCCGACCTGACTGGTGTGATTAAGCAAAATTCGTCTACTCCATTCCAATAGTCTGCGAGATTTCTATGTTCCTTGGTGGCGGAACTCTTCTAGGATGTTTGTTCGACAATGCAATAAGCCTGGTGGTAGGAAGAAGTGGGGTTGGTGCGAAGAAGTGATTGTTGCCAAGAGGTGTCGACAAATGCATAATGACGAGAGGTGTAATAATTGCCCATTGACTTCATTCGCCTCCCCTGAAAGCAAGACAAAGACTTTGACACGCCATTTTCTCAACAAACGATAGTTTTTTCTAGCGAAAAGGAGTGTTGCAGAAGGCCTTTCTTTCATTCACCCCTGTCTGTGGACCAAGATTTTGCCACGAAGTGCATCCATAGAAGTCACGTGCAGTATAGCGTCCTTGCATGCAAGCCCCCACCCTTGCGCTCTTTTTCCCTTCTCTCTGTTCTTTTCTTATCTCCAACGCCTCGACCTCCCCGCTCAACACTCTCCTTCTCACAACCGCATTCATCAACATAATGTCTTCCAGCAAGTCACTCCTACCTGCTGGAATGAGCCCCGCAGGATTCCTCTACCCTGCTGCCCTCTGTGCCTTCATGGTCCGACATGGCCTCACTAAAAAGTCACTCGCACCATCAGGTGCCATGGCTGCAACCTTTGTCGGTATTGGCACCTTCACAAACTCGCCTTATGTCTTTGGCTCTGTCCTCTTGACCTTTTACCTCTCCTCGAGCAGATTGACCAAGGTAATAAAGTCTTTGTTTGTTGCCTCGGCTCCCGTGTTGTATGTCGCGTAAATCGACGCATAAGAGCGAGACTAGAAAGGAGCAAGGAGATAGGGAGGGTGTGAGAAAAAAAAAAGGACCCTTGAATGATGGTATCATAGAACGCAAACATGTCAGTTGCTCAATGCTACGTTCTTTTCTCTAACACAACTCTTCCTATCTGTTTTCCTACTGTAGTTCAGGTCGCAGATCAAGAAAACGCTCGAAGTAAAGTTTCACGCACCTTCTTTTACTCTCAGAAAAATGGGCTGATTACAGAAAAGGGAAAAGTAACGTCAACAGCTGACATGCCCATGTTCGTTAAGGCTCATCTTATTTCTGTTTCTTTTTTGTTATCTGCTCTTGAATAGGAGGATCATCAGGAAGGAGGTGGACGCACAGCTATCCAAGTGTTCTCGAACGGCGCTACCGGCGCCGTTTTGGCTGTTCTCTTTCAATACATCTTCTGGACCACGGAATCTCGACCCGCGACCTTGTTTGTGAACGACTGGAGAGCTAGCACTTTGCTCTTTGCGTACATTGGACACTATGCCTGCTGCAACGGCGACACTGTATGTTCCTTACCCCTTAATAGTCGCTCAAGAGAGAGCAAAGGATAACTTTTCAAGGAAACTGACCAATTCTTTCATCATGAAAAAATTGATAGTGGGCAAGTGAACTCGGGATCTTGAACAAGTCATGGCCAACACTGATTACAACCTTCAAGAAGGTACCCCCAGGAACTAACGGAGGTGTATCTCCCTTGGGCCTAGGCGCTTCGCTTGGAGGTGGACTTTTGATTGGTATCACAGCTGCTATCAGCATTATTGTGCAGTTGGCAGTGGAGGCGCCCATCTCTTGGAGCTCAAACAAAGGATTGACTGGGCTGGATACTTTTACTGGCTCATTGGACCCCAAGTTCCTTGGTGCCTTGGTTCTCGCTGGAGCAGGCGCTGGACTCTTTGGATCTCTGGTACGTCATTATTTATTGATCACCGATCAATCATCAGTTATATATTTGAGACCTAATTATCTGATTTGTCGCAAGCCGACCAAAATTCTTATTTGTCTCACTATAAATCTGATTACATCAACCAACAATAACTATAGCTCGACTCGGTATTGGGAGCAACAATCCAAAAGTCCAACTACTCGACAAAGAAGAAGGTCATCACCTACAAGGCCCCAGAAAAGGACGACGAGGTCAAGGCCATTTCGGGACTTGATATTCTGGATAACCATCAGGTCAACTTTTTCTCGTCCCTCATCATTGCTGTCGCTACTGGATACCTTTCGTTGAAGTCCCTGTTTTAAGAGTGATTTTCGTTCGAATAAAACAGTGTATAGAACATGGAGACTGTGATTGTTTGGGAAACTTCTATTAGTTGTGTATGTATGTGGTATTCAAGGGGAATTATTGAGCAGAAACCAGCCTGCTGCTATCTACGGGGATATGGAAGTCGCAACAAATAAACAGGACCCAGAGTCTTGCTTTCTATTATATCTGCCTTGTTTTAGAACTTTGGGTTGCAGTTGGCGGGCGAGGCGGTGGTAGGATCCAGTTGGTTCAAGATCCAACGAAGCGTCGTCTTGGAGGCAACCATGAGAGCGTGCTCCACATAGGCAGACTCGCAGAGGTCCTGGAGAACAACGTTCACGACTCCAGGACCGCTCTGGAAGCCTGATTTGTAAGGGCTGACAATCTCGTCGTATCTATTGAAACAACGCAAAATGAGTGGGAGGCAGGGGGAAACAGGAAACGTACGTGTAAATAATCTGGGACCACATAGAACAGCAACCCAGTGCAAAAAGTAAAAAGTACAAGGGAGGGGTGACGTACTTGGTGACGATATTGGCTTGGAAGACATCAGGCAAAGTCTCGCCATGGGCGTTCAATTCCTGAATAAACTTGGATGTGCTCATGATATCCTGCAAGGCCGGTGCAGCCTTTGTCACGATATCGACATTTAATGTCAAAAACTTGACCATCTCCTTCAACTTCTCGAGAAGAGGAGCAAGGCCCTGCCAGGTGGTACCATGGTTAATGGCGGAGAGACCGATCATGCTGTGTATCTTGCCCTTTCCGCCTTGGTATTGGACCCAATACCGGGGTAGGACACCGCCTTGGCTGTGGCCGACGAAATCTGCCTGCTTTGCTCCTACCATGGGGGAGAGAGGGAGGTGGGGGAAGAAGAAGTGCGAGATTAGACAAAAAATGGTGTTTTGTTTTTGTTTCTGCAGCACAAACAAACGCATTGGTCAGCTCTTTTGTGTTTGTTTACTATGACTTACCAGTGGCTCCCAACACCTTCTCCGCAAAATCACCCACCTCCTTCGCATTATCAACCGCTGGCGCAATAGCGCCGACCATCGGAAGCAACGTCTTCCAGTACCGCCCATATGTCAACGAGTAAACACAGTACCCCTGTTCCGCGATCGCAGGTCCAAAAATCGCCCAGGATTCCTTGGTGAACAAGGTGGCATGAACCAAGATGACGGGGCGGCGACCTTCGAGGGGTTTGCAGTTCCAGTCGTTGTATCCTTTGCCTGAGGGGGTGGAGGGGGTCGAGGCGGGGGTGGGGGCGGCATCGGATCCGGGGGTGGCGAGCACTGCGGCGGAAATCGCTGAGAGGATAAGGGCTGTTAAGGAGAGCTTCATGGTGAATTGGTTTGATTTGAGTGAGAGGAGGATGGATGTGGGGAACAAAATCAAAAAAGAAATGTCCTGGCACATCTCTTTGTATTTGTATTAAAAAAATAGAAGTGGACGTAGCAGGTGGAATGTGGCCACCATTTTCCAGGTCCGACTGTCACATTCACATTTGAGAATTGGGACTATGAGCACAGACAGGCAGAGGAAGGAGTGGAAAAAAAAGCAAAAAGGATAACCTTGTCGCTCACAGGTGCTCACAAACATAGTGTACCTTCTTTCTTCCTTCAGAACCATGTACTTTTCACGTTGGTCGTCTTTGTAGTGGTGGGGGGGGTGTTCTTGGGAGACCTTTTCCGAAGAAGGCTATGCCCTTGTTACAGACAGAACAAGAGTCCTTAGGAAGGCGGGAACGTTCGGTGATCAGTTCATACAACACAAAAACAACTCTTAAGGAGAAAGGGCATCTCTTCACTTCCGAGGAAGCTTACGGTGAAAAGGATAATACATTCCTTAGCAATTCTTGTGAAAGGGCGTATGGGTACACAAGACGACAGGTAGCATTGAAGACGTATAGAACAAATATATTAAGCGCGACATGTGAAGTTTTAGCCCATAGCATTTTTTATGCATGTAGCGTCTGTTAAATCTGTGTCCGCCCACACCTTTTTTCATCCTTCATTGGGACACAAATTAGAGAGAGAACGCGCTTAATGGAACGTACATGCAGAGTAGTACCCTCGATGGCGACATGAGTTTTGTCTCATCTTAGAACAGGTTATGGATGCAAGCAAACTCTTCGATCGCCTCCTTTCCTCCTCTGCTAGACGCCAACAAAAACTCAGTGACCACCAAAAAAAAAAAAAAAAAAAAAAAAAAAACGTTCTGTAGATCGTCATTCTCCTTTCCTGTCCCTCTTGGTGGTGTCTTTTTTTCGATCTACCTTTGTTCTTATTTTTCCCTGGTGGTTATCTGAGGTGGCGTGGGTTGGTTGACACGAGAGATTTTCTCCTTTCAATTTGCATTTTCGGGTTGATGAAGATAAAGGAGGATTGTCCTAACCACGTCGTTGGACCGTTTGGAGTGACAAGTCAGTCCACGATACTGTAGAACAAGGCTTGCCCGCAACACATACTCGCCCCCAAAATCACGAAACGCATTAGCTTGTTTTGTGTGAAGGAATCGAAGTACAATACGGGCATGGCAACGGCGTATCTGGAGTCGCAATCGGCAGGAGGGGCGGTACAGGGGTCTAACATGTTGAGGACCCATCGAACAGCTGCTTTTGACTTTGGCATGAGGGTGTGTTCAGGGAGCGCATATTTGCAATGATCTTGAAGGCCCAGGTCCACAATTCTAGGTCCACTGTGGAATGACGATATGTAAGGTGTCACAACCTCGTCGGGCGTACAGTAGATGATGGAGTGGGAAGTTGAAAGGCTAAAGGTGAAAGAGGCAGACTTTTAAACATAGAGAATGCTTATTTCTGTCGGAAGCATCATTGAACCCAAAAGGTGGGCGCAACATGCCCTAAAAGGTCGGGCAGTTGTCGTTGCTTGAAGATTGGAGATGCGCACATCCGTATCTGACCTGAAGATCTGATCTCTCCTGAAATGCACAAAGAAATGGCTTTCTGCCCGATATGGTGATGCATCACGCAGACAAGGCTTTGTGGGTGGAGAGGCGGGTGGAGAGGCGGGTGGAGAGAGGAAGTAGTCATGGTACATAGAGCAGCATCAAATTGGCGGAAAGTTGTCGTTATTCTTAATCATTATGGCCATGTCAGGAAGGGGATATCTGCATCGAACGCGTCAACACGGTCTTATTTTTTCTGTGGCTGTGGTCAGCCTTACTCGTCTCATCGTAGATAAGGTGCAGACCAATAGACTGTGTAGAAGGATCATCGTCACCAAGAACGCGTAGTTTGTCGTATGCAAGGAGGACTCCGACAAGCTCCTTCCAAAGGCTCATATGATTTAATTGACCAGCCATTCAGATCCCCTTAAGCTGCACGATCCAATACTTCCTTTGAGCCAGACAGTTAGTTCCACACTGTCTTCCTGTTGCTAAGCTCTCCCTTTCCATTGCTTCTTTCTCCTCTCTTTCTTCTCATTCATCATCGTTCTATTTCCATCCTTCTCTCCACTCTTTGCCTTACCTCCGCCCATTCGCCGACATGGATGACCTGCTGGGCCTCTCCTGGGAGCAAAAGGGCTCTGCCAACAACAATAACAACCGTCAAGGTGCTAACGGTGCTGGCATGGCCTCTGGAAAAGTCAAGCCCGTGCCCCCTCCTCCGACCTCCAAGCCAGCACACCTGCAGATGGGCCTCTCCAAGGTCGGACTCGTCCCCACACCGGCCTCATCTAACTCTCTCCCTGCACCACAGCCTTACCGTAATAACACTACCGGCATCTCCTCCTCGCCCGCATCATCGCAAAAGAAGAACGCCGACGACGTCTTTGGCTCGCTCATGTCCTCCTTTGGTCAGAACACTTCTTCAGGAGCCGCCAAGAGTCTTAACGCCATGTCGCTGGACGAGAGACGTCGGCACGACCAGCAGCAACAATCTAACTCCTGGGGATCACAGAGCAGTTCTCCCACACCTGCTTCCTCTGCCTCACCGTTTGGCTCTTCCAGCTTCAATTCTTCTTCCTCTCCTGGCTTTTCGCAGCCTTCTCGATCAGCGTTCAGCCCAGCTATGAACACTTCATCATCAACCATACCAAGAGGATATGATCCAGGAAACATTGCAGGACTCCAACGACCAATTGCCACATCGTCTCCCCAGCCTGTACCAGGATTTGCGTCACCAATCCCAAAGTTCCCGCAGTCTCAACCACTGTCATCACAGCAGCAGCAACAGTTCAATCTCTCTCGCAATCAGAGCCCGGCAGGAGGATACCTTGCATCTCCAGGAGTTCTCGGCCGATCACTCTCGCCTGCGATGACACCGTTGCAGCCAGAACGATCAAACAACTCGTCTCCATCAACAATGGCCTCAACACCTACGTCGAAGGATCCCTTTGGTGCTCTCCTTGGTGATCAGGTCTCGCGGAATAGCCCCTCCATGAAGAACCAGTCTTTGAACTCCATGTAGGCTCAATTTTTTTTGGCTATCTGTTAATGCGTGTTCTTAATTGCTCACCCGAGATGGAGACCACCTGCAATTTGATACAGAGTTCTATTATTGACACACCCACCCTCTCTGTCTGTCTGTCGCCTCATTTAACCCCTGCCCGTCTCTCCAGCCGGAATAATACCCCTCCTCTTGGACAGCCATCCGCTACCAAGGTGGCTGATCCATGGGATCTAGACTTTTTGGCCAGTGCCACTGTCGCCAAACCTGCCCAGGTATTGACGATGTTGTTATTTCGGCGAATTTTTCGACTTTTGATAGTCGCACAGAATGACACACTGCCCATGTCTAACACCGTCATCAAACTTTCAATAGACACCTGTCTCCAGCAACGACGTCTTCGACTTGGGATCCTTTGAATCAGCACCTCCAGAAAACTCATCTCGTCAGCGTGACTCTGTGGATGCCCTCAACTCTTTTATCGGGAAGCAACCATCACCAGCAGGATCGCCATCTCAACGAACCAGTCCTCCAACGTCAAGGACACCAGCAGCCAAACCTCCTCGATCTGCGACAACAACGTCAAAGCCAGCGAGCAGGGAGGATGCCGACATTGCGCAGATCGTCAGTATGGGCTTCTCGGCTGAACGCGCTAGGCTGGCCCTCGCAATGACTGAGAACGGACGAGATATCGAGGCCGCCATCGAATACTTGGTTCAAAACGACGAGGCAGAGGACCAGATGCCCTCCAGAAGACGTAACCAGGGCGCAAGGGAACGAGGGCAGGAAGAGAGACGACCTTACCGTGACGACAGCGATCCCGCACTGGAGGACCGGCGGAGAAGGAACCAAGGCAGAGGACAAACGCAACAACAGCAGGAACTGTCGAGAGCACAACAGCTGCAACAGCAAAAGGACAAGCTTGTGGGGACGGCATCTGTCTTTGGAATGTCTGTACTGTCCAAGGCCAACGAATTCTACAAGCAGGGCCGTGACAAGGTTCAGTCGGTGATGGAGGATATGACGACAGAAGAACCAAAATCGACCGCCGCCCGCCGCCACCAGTGGGTCGAGGATGAGTTCAAGTCCAGCCGTAGCCAATACAAGGATTCAGATTCGGAGGAGGACGAGGTGTACCGAGGTCGACGGGAACAGCAGCGTCAACAGGAGCAGCGCCAACAGCAGCAGCAGCAGCAGCAGTCTTCACGACCACGTCAGGAAAAGGAGGCTTTCGAGGATACATACGTTTCGTCGTCTCGACGAGGAGGTGCTACCGCATCAAGGAACCAGCAGCCTTTGTTCTCCATGGACGACTCGCCCAACAAGCAAAAGTCAAACATGTCAACACCTAAATTCTCGTCTAGCTCAAAGTCTTCGACACCTTCCAACGCTTCTCGGGCAGCCAAGGCTCCTTCGCCACTCCCACCCAAGCCCGCTCGCCCACCCCGTACTCTAGTCCAGGCGAGTAGTCAGCAACTAGCAGAGTCGAACCATCACAAGGAGAAAGGAAACGAGGTCTTCAAGCTGGGTCAGTTTGGTCAAGCAGCGGAATTTTACGCACGGGCTGGCCAGTCCCTTCCATCGGGTCACATCCTTCTGATCGTGACCCAGAACAACCGTGCAGCTGCTTTGTTGAAGATTGGCGAGTATCGCGAGACAGTGTCTGTATGCGACAAAACTGTCTTGCAAGTGCAGGGACCTGATGGACAAGGTGTGCAGGATATATTGCCTGAGAGCGCTGGCGTCAACCTCAAGGATCAGATGGGCAAGGCTTTGATGCGCCGTGCAACTGCGTACGAGAACCTCGAAAAGTACAAAGAGGCCAGGGATGACTGGGCCAAATTGAAGGAGATGGATCCAGGACACCGAAACGCTACTGAAGGACAACGTCGTTGTGAAAAGGCAATTGCTATGGTCAATGGTGGTGGAGCCAATGGTTTCGCTCAACCAATCGCCAGGAAACCCGCTGTCTCGGCTGCTCGTCAGGGTGGCATGTCGGTGTCATCGCCCATGCAGGATATGTTTTCTTCTCAACAACGGACCAATAACGACGCCAAGGTGAAGGCCGAGTTGGCGCGATCGGAAGGAGTGGGCAAGTTGCGACAGAACGCAGCCCAGCAGGAGAGAGACGAGGACGAGAAGCTGAGACTGACAGATCAGGTGGAGATGAAGATGACAATGTGGAAAGCGGGTAAGGAGGACAATATCCGTGCGCTGATTTCATCTCTTGGATCGGTGCTATGGGAAGGAGTAGGCTGGAAGCCCGTTGGTCTGCACGAGCTGGTTACCCCCTCGCAGGTCAAGATCAAGTATATGCGCGCTATCGGCAAGATGCACCCCGATAAGGTACGCCTCTCTCTCTTTCTGGCTTCATTCTATTTATGAACTCGTTGATGCATTCTTTTTTTTTTTCATGACTAACATCACCTTTCTCCTGTGAATGATAGTTGAGTGGGTCGACGACGATAGAGCAGAGGATGATGGCCAATACCATTTTCAGCACTCTCAACTCTGCCTGGGACGCGTTCAAGGTGCAGAACAACATGTAACACCTCTAGAATTAAAAGAAGATTTATTTGATGTAAATGCTGCGACTGTAGCTGGTAAACAAGTGTTCTTGTTTAAGCCACCGATAGCTTGATTTTTTTTTTTTTGTGGCCACTACTTTTGAACTGAGTTTCTTCGGTAGTTGGTTGTTGTACTTTGCTGGTCTTTGCATTGCTGTCACCTCCTTTTCATTCATTCCACTTCCCCCTTCCCCCTTCCCCCCCTTCACACACATCACACAATGTCGGACACGCCAGCACCCGTCGTGGCCGAGACCGCCGCCACTACAACAGCAACAACCACAGAGGATAACACCAGCAAGTCGACACTCTTCGTCCGCGGTCTCCCTTACGAGGCCACTAGCGCACAGCTCGAGGCCTTCTTCTCCGAAGTCGGACCTGTCCGTTCCTGCTTCGTGGTCCTTGACCGCAGTGCCGAGCAGATTGCGGCAGAGTCTCCCTCTTCCGAAAACAACAAGGCCGGTATTGCAGCTGCTGCTGCCTCTGCTGCCAAGACTACCCCCAAGAACAAGGGATTCGGATTCGTGCAGTTTGTCCTTCCTGAGGATGCTGATAAGGCTATTGATGAGTTGCGCGGAACAAAGTTCTTGAAGCAGCGACCTCTCATCATGGAGAAGGCTGTCAAGAAGTCTCGTACGTTTTCGCTTATTTATTTTTATTTTTATTTTTATTTTTTTAATTTTTATTTTTTTTGGTTGTGTGAGTTGATGCGCATCGTGTTCCTGTTGTGTTAACATTTTGCTCTCTTTTAATTGTTCTCTGAACATGTAGATGATGGCGAGGACAAGCCCAAGAAGGAGTTCAAGCCCAAGGGCAAGGCTGACAAGCCCAAGAACGACAAGGTCAAGCAGGCAAAGAAGGAAGAAACAGAAGAACCCAAGGAGAAGAAGTACGGACCATCATCCATATTTGACACAGGAGATCGAACGGCACTTCGCGAGAAGAACTCATCGCTAACATTGTATTTTCTTTCTATTATAGCTACTCTTTCCAAACAGTCGTGTTAAAGGGATTGGGCAAGGATATCACCAAGAAGCACATCTACAAGAAGGTCCGCAAGGCTGGCGATGTCAAGGAAGTCATCTACCCAGTCATCACAAAGGCCCCCGAAGCTGCTGAGGGAGAGCAGAAGGGCGAGGATCAGGTCGAGGAAGGAACTGGTGAGTCGCGGGTACTATTCATTGCAGGATTATTCAAGGAAGATATCATGCAGCTTGAGCGACATAATCTAACCGACTGGCTTTGCATATTCAATTGAGTAGCACATATTATTTACTCCACTGCCGCATTGGCCGCACAGGCCGTTCAGGCCTTGGATGGACATATTTTCAAGGCATGCGCCCTTCACGCTGCCCTGTTGGCTTCACCTTCCGTCTACAAGCGTTGCCGATTGATTGTCCGCAACTTGCCCTGGAAGTACAGAGAGACTGAGCTCCGTGACCTCTTCGTCAAGTACGGCACTGTTCATGAGGTCAACTTGCCTCGCAAGTTCGATGGAGGTCCCCTCCGTGGATTCGGATTTGTTCAGATGGAGAACTTGGAGGCGACCGAAAAGGCTGTTGCTGCCTTGAACGGCACTGAGCACCACGGCCGTACCATTGCTGTCGATTGGGCATTGGCCAAGGATCGTTTCGAGGAGGCTGAGGCCAAGACACAGGATGAGGCACCAGCAGGAGAAGAAGATCAGGATGTTGAGATGGAGGATGCTTCTGCAGAGAACGAGGACGATGAGGAGGAGGAGGAGGAGGAGGAGGAAGGTGAGGAGGGATCTGACAATGAGGATGAGGAGCTCGACTTGGACCATCTTCAGGGCAGCGACGACGAGGAAGCTGAGGATTCTGACGAGGAGATGGATGCCGAGGAGGAGGATTCTGCTGCTTTGGCCGCGCTTGACCTCGAGGAGGAGAAGGAGAAGGAGCAAAGTAAGTATACGTTTTCCGGGAACCATGCAAACGTTCACTCGCAAGTTATTGGAAAATTATCTCTAACATCTATATTTTTTACAACTTTTAGCCAAGATGGTTCTCCCTGATCCCAGTGAAGGCACCACTCTTTTCATCCGCAACTTGGATTTCGAGGCAACAAAGGACGATCTTTTCGAGCTCTTCCGTCACTGGGGAAAGCTGCGCTACTGCCGTGTGACAATGGACCACGACACTGGACGGTCCCGCGGAACAGGATTTGTTTGCTATTTCAACAAGGGCGCTGCCGACAACGTTATGGTTGAGGCTAATAAGGTCGCTGCGATTGTTAACCCCATCCAGGCCGAGAACGACAAGAAGAAGAAGAACAACCATGTCAAGCACGCTATCTTGCAGCCCGACTTGCCCGAGGAGCTCGCACTCAAGTTTACGCTCAACGGACGTGTCCTCAACGTCGTCCGTGCTGTCGACAAGAAGTCTGCTGTGACGCTGTTGGAGGCTGGTCAGCAGAAGCGTGAGCGTGAGGACCGTAGGAACTTGTACTTGATGCGTGAGGGTGTTATCTTCCCTGACTCGCCCGCCGCCAAGTCAATCTTGCCCGGAGAGTTGTCCAAGCGCCAGGCTTCGTTCTCTGCTCGTCGTGCTCTTCTTTCCCGCAACCCTTCGCTCTATATCTCCAAGACCCGTCTTTCGATCCGTAACTTGCCTATCAAGATGGACGAGAAGGATCTCCGCAAGTTGGGAGTGCAGGCTATCGCAAAGTTCAAGAACGAGGTTAAGGACGGCAAGCGTGGACACTTGTCGACGGACGAGATGGCAGAGGGATGGGACAAGCGCGTGTTTGTCAAGCAGGCCAAGATTGTTCGGTCCAAGGACCGTGTCGACGGAGATACCAAGCAGTTGCGGTCGAAGGGATACGGTTTCTTGGAGTACTCGACTCATGCGCATGCTTTGGCTGGTCTCCGTTGGTTGAACAACAACCCTTCGCTGTTTGGTGATAAGAAGTGTCTGATTGTCGAGTTCTCGGTCGAGAACGTGATGGTTAACAAGCAGAGAGACGAGCGTGAGACGAGGCGGATGGGTAAGGGCGAGAGAGATGGAAAGCGTAAGCGTGAGGGAGAGGATGACGGTGAGGGCGAGCATTATAACCACCATCAGGGTGACGAGGATCAGGAGAGGAAACGACCAAGGAAATCGATCCACGAGGGCGGTGGACGGGATCGTGGCGAGTCTCGTGGTGGATTCCGTGGAGGTCGTGGCGGCGGAGACCGTGGTGGATTCCGTGGTGGTCGTGGCGGCGGCGGCGGAGACCGCGGCGGATTCCGTGGTGGACGTGGCGGCGGTGACCGTGGTGGCTCAAGAGGTGGCTTCCGTGGTGGTCGTGGTGGATCTAGCGATCGTGGCGGTTCCAGTGGTGGATTCCGTGGAGGTCGCGGTGGATCCAGCGATCGTGGCGGATCCAGAGGAGGATTCCGTGGCGGTGGCCGCGGAGGCGGTGGTGGAGACCGTGGCGGCCGTGGTGGATTCCGCGGTCGTGGTCGCGGTCGCGATTAATTCTCACGGTACCCATTTTTCATAATAACCATTTTTCATTAGAATCACCCGCATGCATTAAATATCATTTTTCATCCACACTTCTTTTTTCTTTATGCATGTTAGTGATTTATTGTGTGGTTTTGAGGATGGAAGGAGGGAGGAGAAGGGGACTACCTCCTAGACTTGAAGGCAGCCAGCTTCTTCTTCCTCTGGGTATCGATCTTGTTGTTCTTCTTGTTGGCAGGCTTTGAAGGTGCCGCTTCATCATCGTCGTCTTCAAATCCTTTACTCCAACCATCTCCAAGCTTCCAGGCCGTCGCCTTCTTCGCACCAACGGCACTTGTTGTCTTTTTTGTTGTTGTGATGGTAGTCGTCACTTTCTTCTTGGTGATCTTTGTCGCTGCTGCTGATGATGATGTTGTTGTTGCTGAGGTGGCGGTCTTCTTTTCCCCCAGGAGTTTCGAGACCTGTTTGGCGAGTTCCGAGTTCTTCTTTGCAGGCAAGGCCTTTGTAATTTTGGTGGTCGTGGCAGCGGCGCCGGCGGCTGTCTTTGCCTTCTTGTTGGGTTGTTGAGGCGCTGCTGCTGCTGCTGCTTTTGAGGAGGCCGGGGTAACGGCGTCAGATTTACGTTTCTTGGTCTCCAGCTGTGCATGAATATCCTTGAGCTCCTGTGGTAAATCGTCCATACTATCATCGCCCGAGTCCTCCCCTCCATCCTCCTGGTCCTGGCCTTGCTCATCTTCATCGTCCTCGTTGATATCACTGCCTTCCTCCTCAGTAGCCCAGTTTTCAGAGTCCTCGTCCTCAGAGTCAGCAGCGGCTTCGGCGGCTTCTTCAGAATCGTCTTCTTCCTCAGCGGCGGTGCTCATCTTTGAAGAGTCCATCAAAGCGGAGCCAAAGAGGGATTTCATGAAACTTGCGACCTCGTTCTTCAATCCTGGCTATTTGTATAGAGAAAAACAACGAGTGGTAAATAAATATGCGCATAGTATCGACGGTCTTTTTCTTCCCCAATGTCCTAACAAATGTAAGGAGAAATTAAGTTTTTCTTACCTCCTCCTCGGCAGGATCAGATTTGACAGGCTTCTTCTTCTCCTTCTTAACAACCGCCACCTTGACAGTCTTGACCTTCTTGACCTCACTATCGTCGTCGCTATCGCCACCTTCGAGCTCAGATCCGGAATCGATATCCTGGAAGAGCTCCATGTCCTTTGCGGACCCGCCCATGGCCAGGATCTCGCGCATAAGAAGGTCGTCTTTTCCGAGGGGTGCGTCACTTCCTACTACTGCCTTGCCTGCTTTCTTCTTTTCGGATGGCTAGAGGGGGGAGGGGGTTATGACACGTGCGGAAGGGGCAACGGTAACGTTAATATTTCATTGTATGTTATGGGTGGAAAGAGGCGGCCGAGAAAGGAATAGGGAATAAACAGGAGAGTGAAAAGTGTGGGGTAGGGTTGGTAGGACTACCTTTAGGAACTTTGAGGACTTTGCTGCCTTGTGCATTGTGAGTGTATGTGTGTGTGTGTGTGTGTGGGGTGAATGAGAGTGTGAATGGAGTAAAAAAAAAAAAAAAAAAGTGCCTTGTGGGATTGTTGTGATCCAAGCCACACAAATGCATTTTTGAAGACTACATTTTGTCCAAAGAGGAAGACACAACGCTCACGAAGGGCGTAGTCAAAGTCTCGACACGTCTTGCAGACCTGACGCGCTTTGGATGATGACCCCAAGGAAAATCAGTGATATTAAGGCAGCCGCTGATCATAGATAACAGGAAGGATAGAGCCATCACTTGTCTTGTAGGGCTGTCCAAGGTTGGGATAATTTGGATCAGTTGATGAAACTATAAGAATTGGTGGCGTATGAAAAAACAAGGATTTTCTGTGGACTGGGGGAGAAGGGGATGTGTAGAACCTTCCACGACTAAACGACACGACAACTTGACGCACACCACCCCGTCCTATCACTATATCACTCAATGTGCCCCAGCCACTACCTACCCATCTCGTAACAAACCACCGCCACTCTGCTTAGAAAGCATCCCTCGCGTCGTAGTTCAGTCAAGCGAAAAGGGAGGTGACCCTGTCCCGTTCTTCACTCTCACTCCACCTTGAACCTTCTACGCTTCCTAGCTCTCCAGCCGCTTCATATTACATTTTTGTTTGAGTTTGATTCCCTTCCAGGGTCACCCCTTCTACTCCTGTCGCCTCTTCTCCTCTTCTCTCGCCTCCTTGAACAAGAGTGCCAGACCAAGAGCAAAAAAAAAAAAAAAAAAAAAAAAAAACTCAAAGGAGGGGAATTCTATGCTGCCCTAAAGATGGTCTGCCTCTTCTCTCTCCCCCATTAGCCTCCACAATGTCCCACACCAAATGCTGTGCACCCTTGTTTCCAGGAGGAACTAAAAAGAAGACTAAGGCTGTATGTCTGTGTCGGCCGCCAGTATGGTGCATCCGTCCAATTTGACCACGCTTTTTTGTCTTTTATCCAAATTGTCTCCTAAAGTTGGATGGATGGACGTTAAATAAGATAATGGTGCGGGAAAATGTTTTTTTCCCGGTCTCTCAACTTTGACCCCACTACATACATTGTGTCATCTTCAGGGCCCAAAAGACGAAGAAAGAACAGGGCGGAAGCGAAGGATTGCAAGGAGAGGAGAAACAGAGGAGATCGTTCGGTGGGAATGCGCACCTGGCCTTGCCGTGCTTTAACAAATGCATGGAGATTTGCCGGTCAAATGTATGATATATGCTATATGCGTCATTCGCATGCCGTGTTTATTATTGTGTATCTAAAATTATACAAAAAATTAAACGAGAGAGGGGGAGATTGTGGTGAGGTTTGTACAGAGTGAGAAGATAAGCTCTAGGTGTTAAAAAAACAAGGGGGAAAACGATTCCCATTAGGTGGCCGAGAAATGAAAGGAGACAGAACAAACAAAGCAAAGCAAAAAAGAAAGAGGGAGGGTAAACAAAATGACAATCAAGTATCCTGTCGGTCAGATAAAGAGAGTTGAGACTAGGACGAAAACGAACCCTGTGGCAGCTCCCAACATCGTCAATGACGATCCACCGATCATCGCCCTTCCAGTAGCACCACTTCCACCCGTGCCTTCGTACAAAATGGCAGGCGCGCCCACACTCAACTGGAAATTCCTGAAGTACACCTGCGTATCAACGGGGGTCGCATAGGTCGGATCCGAGCCTCCAAAGAAGGACGAGAACAATAGACCCTGAAAGCCGACCATTCCCGAACTCCTGTAAGGGATATTGTTCATCTGCACCACTAAGTTGCCGTTCTGATAGACTTCTAGAGTGCCATTGCTGTTCCCTGCGGGCTCGTTGAGTTCCATGACCATGTCAAGTCGTGTCCAGACGCCCGGTTGAAAGAAGATCTGTCCACGGCCGATGGATTTCCCGTATTGGTCGTTGCACAGGACTTGGGAGTCTTTGCAGAATGCCGATTTTGGGTCTGCTGGGACATATGCATACACTATATCATTTTCCAATGCTTTCGTTAGCACGTAAAAATAATGGACAGCCCAGCTAGACACAATATTCGCAACAAGATAATAAAAAATAAAAATAGAAAAGGCATGAATGATCTGCTTACCTTCGCCTACACCGTTCTGACGCCACATCATCCGCATGGTCAAACAATTGGCTCCGGTCGACTGGACGCCTCCGGAACAGCCATCATAAGGGGTGCCTCCATAGATGCCCGGCAATTTACCTGCCAACACCCAATCGAATCCCACAGGGAAGGCTACATCATAGCTAATAAGCATCTTGGAGAAGGGTGTCGTGTCCCCAAACGGCTTCGCATAGAATTGCGCTCCGCCCATCACAGGTCCGATTGACGGTGCGTATGAACCCTTGGGGTAGGTTAGCTGCAGTACCGTCGTTGAGTTCGTTGTTGCGGCCGGGAAGGGGTCGCTGACGAACGAGATATCTTGTCCTCCGATTTGAATGGTATGGTAGGTGGTCGCCCAGTTCTGGACAAGATACTTTTCGCCATTGTTGGTGGGATTGACAGTTGAGGTCTGGATGAGGTTGTTGGGCATGGGAGCGACCCAGTTCTGGAGGAAGCCGCCCTGAGCGTAGATTTGGTCCCTTGTTAGAGGTGTTGCTGCTGCTGCTGCTGCTGTTGCTGTTCCTGTTCCTGTTCCTGTAGACGTGAGTAGTAGGATGGACATTGCCACTGCTATTACTTTTGTTGAGCTGTGTTGTTTTGATGGTGTCATTATGTTGTAAGGGAGAGGAGGGAGAAAGAGAGAGAGGATCAGGTAAGATACTCTCGTGGGCGACGGAGAAGAAGAAGAGTGAAGAAGAATAAGAGTAGAAGAAGGAAGAAAGAAGAGAAGAAGAAGAAATAAGACAGATGACGGAAAATAAAAATACTTCAGTGAAATGCAGCCAGCACGGATCAATCTCTCACAGGCAAATTAGATTTTGCAAAGAGCGAAAAAGAGGGGCACACATCGCGAACAGACAGAACATGGTCCAACAGGTTAGCAATTGGAATAAAGAAACCTGTGGCTCCTTTTCCCCCTTTTCAGCTCTTGCTTGTCTGGGCCAACATAAAATGCGAAGAAAATGAGCATCAAGCCAATACGATATTTCGACAGCGTGTTCTCCATTTTGACATTGCCAACGACATCCTTCTTTTTGTGCCATATGACGAAGTTCGCCTACTTCGACCTGACGATCATTTGGATTAGAGTGTCCGTTATCTGGATTGTATTAATATCTGTCACCACCACTGAGGAACTCTCGAAGCACAAAGTCCCAATTACCTTTTCATCACCTCAAAACTTTAAACCATCCATTCATCATTGTGACGCGCTTCTTTTCTTATACTCGACCATCAGCAAAGAGATCTTTTGATTCAACACCAACCTTCTCTTTTTTTTCATTCATCACACACACACACACTCTCTCTCTCTCGCTCTCTCTCTCACAACAAATATTCACTCGCAAAACCATGGGACAGAGCTTCAACCTGCAGGGCATCCTGCAATCCTTCCGCGTCCTCACTTCCCCACGCCTCATGGTCCCCAACATTGTCGTCCGTGGTAACCATTCAACCAGAGCGCGCGAACATTCTCCATGCAAGGAGACAACAACGACTTACTCACCTGGTTCCACGTCTTGGTGACATACCTTAGATATCCGCGATATCAACTTTGAACAGCTTCACAAGGCTGGGATCATAGCAATTGCATTCGATAAAGATAACTGTCTCACAAAACCTTACGGCCTCGAACTCCACCCTCCCTTCAAGGTACACACCCTCAGGATACAACCTCCGTGGAATCACCAACTGTTCAATCACCTATACAAACATTAATTTACAATAAAACTAATAGGACGCGTGGAGGAGATGCAGAGACGTGTACAAGGACCAAGTCGTGATTGTCTCCAACTCTGCAGGGACCCCCGATGACAAGGATGGTCAACAAGCCCAAGCCATCGAACACACCCTCCAAGTCAACGTCCTCCGGCATCAAAAAAAGAAACCCTCAGGTGGCGAGGAGCTATTAAAGCATTTCAGCGGGATCAAGGCGGGGAGGATTGCTTTTGTGGGTGATAGGGCGTTGACGGATGTGGTCTTTGGAAACAACTATGGGATGTTGACCATCCTCACGCGCGATGTCGTCACCGAAGAGGGCGATAACCCTATGGCTCTCCGGGTGAGTTTCTTTTGCTTTGTTTGCGTAGGGAGTGAAGTAGGAATGCATGGTGAGTTTTGCAAGAAAATGCAATTGACCCTTTTGGATTGCTTGGATATGAAATATAGATCCGGAGGATGGAACATAGGGTGCTGGCGTTCTTGGACAGGATGAACATCAAGGCGAAGCCACACCCGATCCCGATCGACCTCCACGCTGTTGTATTGCAGTCGCCACCGGCGCCCGAGTCGAAAGAAGAAGCCAAGGCCGATCTTGCGGCTGAGGAGACGAGGAAGAAGAAGAATGAAGAGGCTTCAGAACGGGAAGCCAACTTAGAGCGATCTAAACGGGACTCTGTACGCGGTGAAAAATAAAACTTTATGAGTTATGGATCGAACTTTTTCTTTTTTTTTCGTAATCGGCCTAGTTATTTGTTGCTTATTGCAAGGGCTGATGTCATTTCTGTAACGGCTAAAGTGGACGAGAAAGTGTCGATGGTTTTGTTTGCTCATCATTAGACCGCGACGGGAGAGCCTCGAAGGGGGCTCTCATGTGTGTTGGATGGACTCTCTTTTTCCCATTTAGGGTCTGCAGACCCTTCGCGCATCAATCCATCACCTGACAGACGCACGAATCCTTGTCTCATTAAAACGTTTTCTCTTTTCCCACATGCCTTTCTTTCTTTTTGTCGCACTACACTTTTCCTCCCTTTCCCACAACATACAAACAACCAACACAAGCCAACATGACAACGCACCCCTCCTCCCACACAAACACCACCACCTCCTCCTCTGTCGCCACAACCGGAGCCCCTCCCGCCCACGCCACCTCTGCCACAACAACAGTAGCAGGAACCAACCAAGCAACCTCGCAGGCCAACATTGACGGTGGAGCAGGAGGATTCTCGACACAGGTCGAACCCCAGATCTTGAGCCACGAGGAAGGAGCAGGATGGGAGCGGACTGTGACCCAAGTTCCTGGAGAGGACCCCGTTCATAGCATCAAGTTGGCTGGACATATCAAGGGGATCCCTGGCCGGCGATAGAGCATGAGCGACGAGAAACGAGACGGAGGAGGATGAGTGCAGGAAGCAGGACAAACGAGAAGAAGAGACCTCAGCAGAGAAGGAGAGGAGAAGCGGCTAGACGAGGAGTTACAAGGAGAACAACATACAGCATACAGCACCATCCCCTTTGTGTCAGTTAGCTCAAAATCACCAAACGAATAGAGTGTCAAATTTCCATCCATTCATTGTACAGCGCCCTCCCAAAAAGAATTGCCGGAAAATTTCTTGAGCACTTTTTTTTCATCATTGAAGGGGAAAAAATGGTGCTCAAAATTTTTTCCGGCAATTCTTTTTGGGAGGGCGCTGTACATGTACATCACAACAAGCAAAGAAAATAAACAGCGGCCCCTGCAGGTCAAGGATATGCAATATGTAATTTTTTGAGACATGAAACGCTATTGTACAATGCATATGAGACTATACTTAGTAGACCATGAGGATCTCGCCGTTGAGATCGTCACGCTCCCACTCGGTCTCCAACCGCCTCTTCATAATGGCTCTTCTTCTCTGCTTTTCCTCTGCACGATCCTTCCACGAAGGAAAGAATGACTCGTGGCCATACCAACCCTTCTGTCGCAACCCTGCAATCCGACTCATCGTCGATACCGAACTTCCCACCAACACGTCTGCATGCGCCAGAATCGCAGCGTCCACCATCGCGGGGCCAAACGTTCCCCAGATGTCGGCCGTGCCGTATTTCTCATGGTCCAGACGGTGCCAGCCGAGTTCCTTAATCTTTGCGAAATCGTCTTCGGATGTCGAGTCGGTTGTGACGACGACGGGGAGGTGGGAGACAAGTCCCAGAGAGTTGGCGGCGTATTCTCGGGCGCGTTCCACGGCGTTTGCGTATAGTTCCATCGGGAGGACACAGTTCTCGAAGGGCTCTTTGGCACCGCGGCATTTGGTCCAGATGTCGCCGCGACGGAGGTGGACGGCGATGTGAGGGATCCGTGTGGTGGGTGCTTGGATGTCTGTGACCAGGGTTCCATTTTCTGAGACTGGGTTCTGGTGCTCGCTTTCGGTGAGTTCGACTTCTTCGGGATCGTTATTGGGCAGGACCTCGATGTCGCGGTCGCCCTTGATCTCCTCGTTCATCCGCAGGGTCGCATACTCTATCACCTTGGGCTCGAAATGCATGCTCTTGCCGAACTCCTTCCAATAAACACCTCCACGCTGGACGGACTTGATCTTGAATGTGTGGCTCAAGAAGAGCACATCGGCCTTGCCCGCCGCGACGTCTTCAGGCGAACGACCGTCAAAGTCGCTATACCGGTCCAGGAGGTCTTCGACGATAACCAGGTCGTCGGGTTCCTTGTTGTCGTAAACAAGTCTCTGGCGGTCGTAGACGGGTCCATCGGGGCGTGGGGCAACAGGAGGGACAAAGACGGGGCGGATCAGGAAATGAAACATGAAGTTTTGTGCCGAAAAATTGATATCGACCTCCGGACGACCAAACCCATACACAATCTGACAGGTCATATTCTCCGCAACAGCCGCCCAGGGTTCTATCTCGGAATGGTATGGCCCCCAAAGATGCGTCGACTCCAAAGCCTGATCCAATCCAACCTGACGTTGCGCCTCGGTGAGAGGCCGGACCTCCGACCATTCAACGACTTGCAGCCCCGTGAGTTGGGTCAGTTTAGGGAGGTTCATGTACTGGGACCATCGCTGGTGTGTGTTTTTATGGTCGTGCGAGTTGGAGATGATGGGTGGGAGAATAAGGGTCCGGTTCAGTTTGTGGGCGATATAGGCCGCATTTTGGAGGGCGATGAATTGGTTGGTGAGGCCGCCAAAGGTGAGGAAGGAGAAATATTTGGTGTTTGGGTCGAGGTTGGAGACTGCAGGCTTTAGCTCCGGCGTTAATGGTTCCGTCGAGGGCGGTGCATCGTCGTTGTTGTCATTGTAGTCGTCGTTTGTGTTTGTGTCTGTGTCAGGGTTGAGTGGTTGTTGTTGTTGGTGAGGGATCGTGATCTGGTCCTGGTGTAAGCCAACGTTATTGTAACTGTCGGAGGAGTCAAGTTGGAAGCCGGCAAGATCCATGCTGGCGAGAAGGGTCCAGGCAGAGACGAGGATGATGGCGACCAAAATGAACAGAGTCCTGTTCTTGGGACCCTGACACTGGCCCTCACTTGCGAATCCTTTCATGCTATTGTTCTGTCGTGGCTTGTGTCGAGGTTTTTATATGTTTTTTTGTTGACGTGTGAAGAAAGAGATGGGAAGTGAAAGCGTGGAAGTGATGTGAATTGTAAGGGAAAGGGTTCAGCTGCGATCTGTCTCCTTGGATATTGCAGAGGTGGACAGTGTTGAAAAGTGACGAGGGAGAGGAGAAGAAAGAGAGTGGTGCAGTTGGAATGAAGGTGAAGGAAGGCCAGGAGAGAAGAAAGCGGCAATTTAAAAAAGCATGGGGGGGCCGAATGGCATTGTTCTCAACCGCTATTAATAAAGGACACACTGACTGTCTCAACGGCTACAAGACACAGATAAGCAGAAGGGTACGACGCTAGCCAAACAGCGACTACTGAAGGGTCCTCCTTTGTTCCCTGAGAACAAGGATGGGAACGTCATCCGCCTGTTCTGTTCTGCAGAGATTGCATGGACCATCGCTCACATGAACACAAGTGTCTTTATTCAAAAACAACACTAAAATAGCACCCGCTCCATTTTTTCCACTTTGGGCCAGTGCCAGCACAAAAATTCCTTTTTGCAGAATAATGCAAAAAGGAGTGTAGTGGTGCAGCGTCGTGCGTCATTCAATTTGTTCCTTTCAATCCAGTACAAGAGGGTTTTTAATAAAAATAACCGGCAGCTTGCTGCTGAGTGCTGTTTGCTGCGTTTACAACTGGCCATCCCGGTCACTGATAGAGTCTGTAGAGCCGATGGACTCACTCACAGGAAAAGATTTGAAAGATCGAGCTGGCGCTTCCTCTTATGCCTCCCCGATGGGCTACTTAGATTCCCTCTCGCTACTTCTCTTCTCTGACTGGGCGTAAGAATAAAAAACCAATAACAAGCCCCCTTTCATTTTCATTTTTTATTCCGCAACCAGTCTAAACAGGGTATCCTATTGGTTCAATTGCCCCCAAGCTCTTTGACTGATCGGGCTCGTGGTGGTAATTATTACGTTGAGATCCGTCTCATCGCCTTAAAGACGAGCGCCTTCTTGCAGCCTCCGCTTCTTGTCGAGGGTAGTCTGCAACTGTGTGAGATCCATGTACCACATGCGGCCCGTCTCGTACTTGAGTTTTCGAAAGTTGGATTTCATGACCCCTCCCACAACGTGGAGATGCAAGTGGTCCACCGTGTTGAATGGCGGCACGTGGAACCCAAGCCTAGACACATTCACGAAAGAAATAGACAGTCAGAATACGAAAACTAACGCGGGGATTAAGGTTCCTGGGTTTGTTTTTATCCTCCTACATTGCAGCCGTTGACGATCTAGATCTGGTGCTCTTCTGCTCTTCCTGACTTTCTTTTTCCTTTAGTCTTTTATGTCCATTTCTTTCCTTCCTGCATTCCAGTCACAGCCACAGCCACATCGACGATCTCGATGCACTTCTCTTCCGTTCTTTTTCATACTCCCGCCTATCGGCTTGTTCCTGCACAAACCGCTCTTTCCTGTCTCGTCTCGTCTCGTCTCAATTGTCGTCTTTCAACAGCGTTCCTATCACAATACAAAACATAAAATCATACCTTGACTGTTCGGGATCGTGTCCGCGTTCTTTGAGGAGATCAATACCCTTTTGATGCATCTTCTCGAGCAGAGGGATGTGGTCGGTCGTCATGGTCTTGACACTCTTGACGTGATCGATAGGCACGATCAGGATATGTGTCTCTGCTGCCGGGTTGATATCATTGAATGCTGCAATCTCATCGTCCTGTTCATGGCATAGGTGAAGCCGAAGTAAGGGGGGCAGAGTGAGTGCAAGGAAGCGATGATCGGAAAGTCAGACAAACAGGTATTCCCCTCCCCTGTTTTTGAAACATGCCCGATCACTCAGGAACCGAGTCACAAAAATTATCGGTCGCTGGGTCTATTCTCCATGGCCGATTGTTGAGGTGCTTTGCTGTCTACTTGCTCCGCTCTGAGGAGACAAAAGGCGTGAATTACCTTGTAAATGAGCGTGGTTGGGGTGCTGCCATCGGCAATCGCACAAAAGATGCAGGGTCGGCACAGGATTCTGTCGATGATAGTCATTCTCTTCTACGGCTGCTGTTTTGTTGCTCGTGGTTGTAGCGGTATGTCTGTGAAGGTAGGTTGTGTGCTGAGCTGGAAAAAAGGGAGGTCTGAAAGTTGTCGCTTGGTTTATCAAGTGTGTGCTGTTGAAACGATGGTAAGAGGAAGAGTTGAGACCGTCAAGAGTAAGGCCGAGTTGATGTGCAATCGTGGATAAAAATAGGCGTAGTAAGGGCGAATACTCTGGAAGTGAAGCGATGAGCGGATGCATTCGTCGGCCCGGGTGTGAAGAAGGAAGAAAGGAAGAGACGCTGTGAAACGGAATAAGCCACACAGGCACGAGCTGAATTGCTCTCGTCAAGAACGCCAAGGAGCCAAGACGTTCACACTTCTTCCATTACTTCATTATTACTTTTCACTCTTTCATTCTTTACTTTCCCATCTCATCTCTTCTCTTCACACTACAACGACAACAACAAACTACACTCTCAGGACACGCCTCCAACACCACCATCACCAAGCACTCTTATCAACACAACTTCCTAGGATGCCACGACTGGGCGGTGCACTCTATCCATTCATCGGGATCATCTACCTCTTCCAACATTTCCGGAAACTGGCTCCCCAGTTCCTCAAATCTCTCGTCTACTCCTTCTGCATCACCCTCCTGGTCCTCCTCCCCCTCTCAGCCTTAACCTTCAAGTTCCAACGCCGGATGATCCATGCATTCCTCCGTTTCCTCTTTGCATCCCTCGCCTTCGTCTTCCCTTCCTTACAGTCCATGAAATTCCTCGGATTCAGTCTAACCACTTGGTCAGCCATGATCTTGACCATGGGCGAGACTACTCTCTTGGTCACACTCGTCATGGGCGAGGTCTTCAAGCGGGAGAAATCAAAGGGGCTCTTCAAAGCTGTCATGTCCTACAACAACGTCCTCCTCGGACCTCTCGCAACCGTCGAACATCACGAACACAAGGGAAAGAACAGCGACGACAGCGATGACACCATTCAAGTCTCTTCGATTGCTGGAAAGCCTGTTGTCAAGAAGCGCCATCGTGATGTCGTCAAGGATGTCTCATTCCAATTCGGACAACGGATCGTCCTCTGGCTGGCCACCCTGCCATTGAACTTTATCCCGGTTGCAGGGTCGGTGACCTTCTGTTATATCAACGGAAAGGCGATGGTGCCCGATATCCATCGTCGCTACTTTGACATGAAGCGGATGACAGAAGACGAACGTAAGGACTGGATCAGGAAGCGACAGGCGGATTACATAGCGTTTGGATTTGTCTCCCAGGCACTGGAGCTGGTTCCCTTTCTTGGCATCCTCTTTGGATTCACCAACACTATTGGGTAGGTCCCATATCCTATCTACTCTTGACTCACTTAGTTCATTGTGGTAGAATGATGATGAAACTCACCAGCCCTCTTCTCATCTTTCTGTTTTCTATCTTCATAGAGCTGCATTGTGGGCAGTGGATCTGGAGAGACCACAGGACGCACTTCGAAACAGGAAGCTGCTCGATGACGCATACAAGCCCCAATAAGCACATCCTTCACTCTTTACACAGTATACCCTTGGAAAATAAACACATCATCATTGCATTCGTAATAGTTTTTTTTTGAATTAAAGAGGAGAATAATTTTAGGTCCTAAGACCTTGCAAAAATTGCCGCAAGACAAGGCAAGCTCATCTTGAAGACGGGGTAATGGATGAAAGTTTTCAAACAGCAATAAATTGACCTCAGCGGAAGCTTCACTGGTAAATTCATGCACCTGCACAAGGATAGGGAAACCACTAGGCTCTGGCATGCCCTTCTTATTTATAATGTAGCAGACAAATTGGACTGCTAACTTCATGGAGGAATATGCTAATATGTTAATTTAGGAGTCGAAATGATCTCATGGGGGGTAAAGTGGCTTTGAGTTGGCGGTTGGATATTTCTAATTTTTCAATTGATGTGGAAAAGACAGTCCTGTTTGCTGGTTGCCTCTGTTTTTAGAGCCATGCCCCCTCTAGCGCACTGTACATACACAAACATATGCAGCGGGTAATGATCGATTGCAGCATGGACTCTTCAGGAACGATCGGATACATCGCTGTGCCCTTGTCTGTAGAGCAAAAGGCAATTTGAGACATCTCACTCAGCAAACGAGAGACCCTTTGCTCCTACCACTCCACTCTGCTCCACACACACAACACAATGGCCATGTTTTTCTGTGAGTGCATGGCGCATCTTGCGTGTGTACTTCACACAAAGGGCTTGACTGTATTTCTTTGTGATCGCTGCTAGTTTGAACGGTGAGCCCTTTCCGAGCCGATGGAGTACGTTGTGTATGAGTGGACTTGCGAGACCCGAATTTGAATTTGATTTCTCTCCCTTCCTTTCTCTCTTCTTTTCTTTTCTGACTTCCTCCACACTTTCCAGTCCTCCCTTTCCTCGCTTCCCTCTTACACCACCCCCTCATCCTTTTTCAACTTTGCTGTTGAACAACGAACCATCCACAGATACCGACCGAGATAACAACACCAACCGAGATACCCCACAGTCATCCATCCATCATGACGTTCGCTCTCACCCAGAAACAGAACGCCGTGAAGTACTGGTGTGTGTTATCAATCTTTTCTCCTCCCAGCCGAGCGGACGAGGAGCAATTTTTTGCAATTGAGACAAAAGTGCATGACATGATTCTGGTACTGATACGCTGTGCTGTTTATTGTTGTGTATGTCAATAGGACTCCCATTGCTTACTCTCGCCTGTTCATCTACCTCAGTACGGACTACAAGACCTCTCTCATCTTTTTATGTGTTTTTTTTTTATTCCTGAATGTTTCTGAAGGAAGGAAAATAACATGTTTCTCTCTGCTTCCCGTTGTATCTAACTCAATTGCCCCCCCTCTATCTGCTCACCCACTTCACTTCAAACAATGAACCAACCAACTACAACTAAAAAACAGCGGCTAACATCCTGCGCACAACAATCCGCAAGATCGCTGGCAGGACACCCAAGGGTCAAGCCCTGCACGAGGGGTTCATGATCCAACTCCTCCGGATCGTTATGGGCGGCTCCATCCTCAATGTGGCCCAGTCAAGGGGCTTGATGAACCTTTGCAACAGCGTCGTTCATCTCAAGACAGGAACTTTCTTGCAATCGTCCAAGGACAAGTGGGCGACCCCTGTTAAAGGGCAGGGCTGGAAGGGGTTCTGGATCCCATTTAAGAACCAGGTCAATAAGGACCAGTTGAAGAAGGATCTTTCCAAGAAGCATTCTGTTGCGGATATTGGAAGTGAGTGCGATATTGTCATGTTCGCCATCCATGGTAAGTTAAAGTCAATTGAGCTGGGGGGGAGGGGTGACAATGAGCAGGAGCAACATCAAAGACGAGGGTGCCTTTGGGTTCTTGATGTATACTTTATTGGTTTTTCTCCTGGTTTTTTTCTTGTTTAACCTGAACAGAATAATCTTTCTAATGTGCTAGGTGGCGGAATGGTGAAGGGCGACGCGCTCATGTTCCTCAGCAGCTACAGAGCCTGGATGAAGGTCCTCCAGCAGAAGCACAACCTCAAGATCGGAGTCCTCTCCGTCGAGTACAGTACGTCCCTTTCTCTCTACTTTCTTTCACTCTCTAAATGGTGTTTGCTGTGTTTGTTTATTACTTTAGGAAGAATTTCTTTCACGCCTGCACCACAAAACGCATGTTTATTTACGATTGTATTCCTCTACTTGTACACTTTGCAAATTTAGCCTTGTCGCCTGAAGGACCTTTCCCTACCGCATTGAACGAGTGCGTGGCCGCCTACAAGTACTTGATCGAACATCAGGGTGTTGACCCTCGTCGTGTTGTCATGTGTAAGTTTCCTGTCTACTTGCTTGGGAGCAAGTATTATCTTGGAGCACTGTCCCCCCCCCCTCTCTTTACTTCATCCACCTTCACACAAAACCTTGCATTAACCACTTAATTTTCTCCTTGACATACATCTGATATATCTCCACAAACAGGTGGTGACTCGGCAGGAGGTAACCTGTGCTTAACCACAGCCCTCAAGATCCGCGACGCCTACCCTGGCGTCGGCCTCCCCGCCGGTCAGGTCCTCTTCTCCCCCTGGGTAATGTGCCCCAAACCCCTCAAGGACAACCCAGATGACTATATTACCAACGAGGGCGGCGCCCTCTATGTCGAGGCCTACACCCATAACCAAGCCAAGGTCCACACCAGTCCTTACGCGTCCCCTATCCAAGCAGCTACCCTTGCGGGCATGCCTCGGATGCAGATCTTTATTGGAGGTGTTGAGACGTTGAGGCCTTCGATTGAACGGTTTATTACCAAGGCTACTGCCGAGGGAGTCAAGATTGAGAGTCATTTGAAGGAGGGGAAGGCTCATGATTATCCTTTGATTGAGGAGATTTCTGGAAGCAAGGTTGTGAGAGAGTCACAAGAATTGGTTGCCAAGTTTGTCGCGAGGATTCGTGATGATTATATTGGTGTCGTCGAGGTTTGAACGTCTTGACGCCTCTCTCTTGAGATGATGGATGAAGGAAGGAAGAAGGAAGAGAGAGGAGGGGATGGAAGAGGGAGGATGGAAGTGGACGAAGAGGGGTAGGGTGGAGGGAAGAAAGAAAGGAATAGAGGAGGACGGATTGTCTAGTTCTTTCAAGTTTATTCATAAATATACCATAAGGCAGTTAGATACGATGATATGCGTGGTTTGTCATGTCAATTGCTCTTGATGGACGAGACGAGAGACGCAACGAGACTATTGTCTATCCCACAAAATGCATTCGTGGCAAGTGGAGAAGTGGTCAGCACAACAACAACAAAACAAAAAAAAAAAAAAAAGAGAGTTTTGGGCGTTGTTGTTGTTGTGGAAGGAAAGGAACAAGAACAGTTGAAATGTACCGAGAGCACCCGACAGGACTAAGGCGAAAGAGGAGAGAGGAGAAAAGAAAAAAAAAATGTGAGCATGTGAGAAGAACAAGGGGAAGGAAGGAAAGAAGGAACAGACAGCACCGTGCCTTGGAAGGAGAGGCATGGGTGTTTTGGAGAAAGAAGGTATGAACACAAGCAAGCCTTTAACTCTTGCACGAAGCACAAATAAATAAACAAACAAAATATGATAGAATAGAATGATGGCAGGACGCCATTGGGGGAGGACGAGGACGGTTGAGTTACCAGACGAGGTACAAGAAAATACAAAGTGCCACAGATGGGAGCTGGCTGGTATGGACGATGAGAGCCGTTTTTTCGAAAGGAAGTTAAGACGGAAGAAAGGAAGGCGCGAAGTGGGATGAAGGTTTGAGAGAGGAAGAAAGAAAAGGTGAAGGAAGAGGAAGAACGGTGTTGAGGGAGGGGTGCGATGGCTGTTAGAGAAGGGATGGTGGAGTGTCGATGGTGTGTGTGTGTGTGTGAAAAGAGGGAGGAGCAAATTAGAGCTTTCTTGGTCGAGTGTCGGGACCAAAGGTCGAGTGAGGATGACCCATCTTTCCTCAATTGATATACCCAAGGGTGTGTGCACGCTCTATGTGGTTTAATATTGTCTCTCCCCTTCAAGCTCATCATCTCTTCTTCTTTTTCACTCCTCTTCATCCTTCTTTTCGCCCACCCACCCTCCTCCTTCATCCTCTCCCTACCTCCTCCCCTCTCCCCTCATCCCCTTCTTCATACTTGTCGGTGTCAGGAACAGGTAAGGGATCCATCCCTCACTCCTCATCAGGCAGTTGACTCATCTCTTACTCTGGAATCGAATCAACAACAAAAGACTGAGAGCTTGCCAGGGGTCAAGAGAGAAAAGAAGTCCAGTTCTTCAAAGGCTCAGTGGTGAGAGCGAGGTGTGAGGGACCACCATGAGCTCGCCCCTTGTCGTATTTTAGCACTTTTTTGAACAAGTCCTGGTGATGGTGCCTGGTTCCTGGCTGAAGTTTCTCACTCTTGTCATTTACACCCTCACTTTTGACTTTTGACTGGCTGTGTCTCACACGACAATACAACGGAAGAACACTGGTTCAGCATAAAACAGCAACGACAATGACTGTGATCACTGGAGAGAACGACGATGGCGAGGGCGACGACGACAAACACCGCTGGTCACTTCCAAAGGCAACAAGGAAGAACCGCTATCGCAGTAGCCACAGTGGTAGTGCTGTTTTCAACCCAAGAACACAAAACTAACATCTTTGTCCCGTCTTCAACCGTTGAACCAATTAGCATCCATATTCAGGAAGAAACCATTCGCCCAACCAACCCACCTCTTTGACACTATTGACACTATAATATAATGGCGGCTGACATTCCTGAAGAGGCTACCATTGCAGCAGCGCCTGAGGCGACTATTACTACTACTACCACCGACACTCCCGCCGCCCCTGCCAGAAAGAACACCACCGACGATCTATCGGCCATTGTTGCTATTGGAAACGATATTCTCGTCAACGGTAACGGCCACCCCTCCAGTGGGCCCGCTACGCCCTCAGTCGGCGCTGAAGAAAAAACCTTTTCATTCAGCAACGGCGGCGACGACAATGAAGACGATTTCCACGATGCGATCGAGAACCTCCCTGCGACCCGCAAGCTCCACCAACGTCTCTCAACCTACTCGCCCCAGGTCCGTGAGACCCAGGAGTGGGAACAGATCATGCAGGACTGGGAGCGTGTCATGGCCGAGAAGCGGATCCAGGACGCTAAGCTCAACCTGGTCGAGCAGGAGAACAAAAGGATGAAGTCCCAGTTGGTCGAGGCTGAGGCTGCCAAGGCCGATTTGGAGAAAGAGAGCCAGGAACGCATTCAGCAGCTGGAGAAGACGAACAAGGACTTGTCGCTTCAGGCCAAGGACCCTGCCAAGGAGAAGAAGGCTCTGATGAACCAGTTGGAGGAATCTGACGCCGAGAAGGAGCTGTTCAAGCTGATGTTGGAGGAGACTGAGGGCGAGAAGAAGCGTGTTGAGCAGAGACTTGCCCAGATCGAGAAGGAGAAGGATCATTGGTCGCAGAAGACTGAGCGCGTCAAGAACCTCAAGAACCGTCTGAGACTCAAGTCTGCCCAGTTTTCATTGCTCTCGACTTCGACTTCGACTTTGCTCACCCAGGACTTGGAGGGCGTCCGCCCCGACAAGGAGCGCAAGCGCTTGATGGACCAAGTTACCACTTTGGAGTCTGACCGCTCTCGTCTTGCCGCCATGGTCAAGAACACCATGAACTCGACCGACAGCACTTCGGATGCCTCCTCCAAGGACGTCTCTACCTTGTCCAACTCGGAGCTCGTCAGCGAGAACCAGAGACTGGATAACGAGCTCCAGATGGCTCGCGTCGAGAACTCGCTCTTGCAGCGCCGCATTGAGGCCTTTGAGGTCACCCTTCACGATGTCCGTGTTGCGCTGACCAACTCTGAGGCCCATGCCGAGAGCCTCGAGGTCAAGAAGTATGACTTGCAGGACAAGCTTGCCGCTGCCGAGGGATCCCTTGACCGGTCCAGGATCGAGTCCATGAAGTACCAGGCTCTTCACAAGGAGATGCTCGAGAAGAACGACAAGCTCGATCGCGAGATGCAGGTCATCAAAGCTCGTTTCGAGGCCAAGGACCGGGTCCTCATGACCACCCAGAAGCAACTCGCCGCGGCCAAGGTCGATGGAGGGCTCCTGAAGACGATCCGTCGCGAGCTCGAGTCGGTTCTCTTTGACTACAACACTGTTGTCCAGCATTTCATGGACATCCAGGTCCAGGCCATGGGCGCCAAGGCGCTCGCCAACGCCCTCAAGCGCCAGAACAACGAGCTCCAGGTCGAGCTGACACACTTCCGCACCATGTTGCTCGGCATCAAGTCATTCAACAACAACGACCCCATCAAGTCGCCCACCGTCACGACGCTTCGATCCGAGTTCCGTGTGCTGTTGGAGAAGATTCAGGAGGAGCAGAACAACCAGGTCGACAGGGAGCGGGCAGACAAGTTCAAGGCTCAGGACTGGAACCGAAAGCTGAGGATGGAGAAGGATTTCATGAAGCTCGAGCTCCAGAACCAGATCGAGAAATGGAGACGTGTCTCGGTCTACTGGGAGGACAAGTGGCGCAGGGCCGCCAACGACCTCCACGAGGCTGTCACCACCGGTGTCAACTCGGACTATCTTTTTGAAGCTGCCGCACAGGGCTCCCTCGTTGCAGGAAACAACGCCCACAACATTTCGCCTCGTGCCAGTGTCCTCCCACCATCCAAGCGTTCATCCTTGGCCATTTCCACCACACCTGCCAACATTAGTGCCGGTCAGGACGCACCCTTGACCCCCTCAGCCATGAAGCAAAATATCCTCGACAACAAGATGCGCTCAGGCTCAGCCTCCAACCTGAACTCTGCCGCCTCAGTGGCATCCCCTGCCTCAGCAACCGCCTCTAGTTCCATCACAGACTCACTCACAGACTTGGTCAAGCCCTTCCTGGGTCGCTCCCTCTCCCAGAACGGCAGCTCCGGCCGTGGACCCAGCAACCCGAGCTCTCGTCTTGCAGCAGCCGCCAGTCTCCGGACACCCATCGCCGCAGGATTACCCTCCAACGCCACAGGAACGGGCGCCATGGGCAGCACTGCAGTCTCGAAGGCATCGCTGCGGTCCAAGAACATGGCTTCATCTGCTATTGGCTCTGCGCGCAACCAGGCGTTGCATGCAGGGGTCCCCGGTGCAGTGGTGACGGCAGCTAGTCAGGAAGCCCAGTCGCGGGCCAACTCTAGTATCTCTTCGGTCTCAAAATCTGTCGACAGCGCGCTGAGCGAGTCGGATCGTCTCAAAGCAGATGTCCGTCGTATGTTGAACCGCTAAGAAAAAAGAAAGGAGCGGTTTTGAATGAAGGGTGTACTACATTGGCGGGTTTTTTTGTGAAATAAATATTTATTTTTGCTTGAAATGTACCTCAAAGTGTACTGTAAACAAATGTATCTGTGCTTCCAACAAAAAAAAATGCTCCGCTAGAATGCTACAATGGTAGAAAGCCAACGAAAGGATGTTGGACAGCACCCCCCTGCAACGCGTTAGACAGCCAAGGCAATGATGGACCACGATGTTTCAAAGAAAAAGAAGTAGCTCACATTGGCGACTAGGCGCACTCTGCAGGGTACACGAGCTGCTCCAGTCATCAATGGACACAAGATGCAGGATCCTTCCTACATCGACACCGGAGGCTGTATGGAACGCAGAATTATTTGAAGAAGAGGCAGAGGCATGTCGCCAGAGGGAGCTGCAGAGGAAGGCAACTAAGGGTGTTGGGCGAAGGGTCATTCAGAGGGGGATGAGAGAAAGGAAGAAGAATGAAGAGCACCCTCCCTCCTTTTCTCTCCACCTGCAGACACGCTCTTACATAAAATCATCCATGCCATGCCATGCACAACAAACAAAACTATGTTTAACACGAGACACTATTGAAAGGAGAAAGAGATCGACCCATGCCCATGCGCCGTGTAACTGGGGTTGGACTGGGGCTACTGGGTTGTGCTAGATTTTTTTCATGGGTCTCCACACCATCGATCCTTTTCTTCTTATTCCTTCTCCTTTAACCTTTCTAACCTTCTTCCCCCCGCCTTCTGGATGGGAGTCACTCCCTCTCTCCACCACCACCCCTTCTACCTCTTCCCTAAATCCCCTCTCTGTGATCATGCCCACCAATGGCACTCCTCTCCCCTCTAATCCCCCTCTCACTCCCACCAAACCAACATCAATCTCCTCACCAATAACAACAACAACAACACTCCACGCCAGTCGATTAACATCCCCCTCCATAAAAGACCACGTCTTCGACATCCCAGAACTCCTCATTCCAATCCTCTCCTCCCTCATCCTCCCTTCCTCATCCCACAACCTCCTCCCATGCCTAACCGTCTCCCGCCACTTCCACTCCCTCGCAATCCCAATCCTCTACAACTCAATCTCCATCCTCACCCCCTGGCAGTTCCATGCCTTTCTTAGCGCACCTGCACAGAGAGCGTTGAGGAGGAATGCGTGTTATGTCCGGTCGTTTGAGACACGGTACTATAGCCTATTGAGGTGTTTTCTGAGGGAGGAGGTTGAGTGTAGGAATTTGGAGCGGTTGGCGTTCTCGAGGGGGTGTCGGGCGGACCCGGCGGTTCCATCGGGGTTCCCCGTCCCTGATCCTGACGACTTTGACCACGAGGTTGCGACTGTCACAAGAACGCAAGAAAGATGTAGCAGCAATTGGATGACGGAATCGAGGGCCAGGAACGTATTGGGCCTGGTGGACGAGGAGCTGTTGATGGGGGTCATGGCCAAGTCACCCCGGCTGTCTGTCTTTGTCATGGCCGGGTTCCCCTTTGACCACGACCAATTGATTCGGAGGATCGCCGATCGGATATCGTCTGGTGGAGAAGGTGGTGTTTCAGAGTTTAAGAAACTTGAGTTGGTCAATCCGCATTATGGACGGGCAAGGGTACGATCGATTGAGTACTTGTTGAGCCGTTGTCCGCCGAGCTTGGAGGAGCTGCTGCTCTCGATTTCATTTGGGAGTCGGGCTGAACTGGATTCTGAGGGTGATTTTCAGGACGTTCAGTTAACGCAACAAGAACAAGGACATGAGCAGGAACAGGATGAACAAGATGAACAAGAACAGATGGAGGGGACATGGAAGTTAAAGAAGCTATCGATTGGAGGTGATCTGGGTGGACCGGGAGGATTGATCTGGCTCCCTCTCCTTCGCCGCTGCAGTCAACTCCAGAATCTGAGCGCCCACCTCTTCACTGATGACTCTCTGGAAAAACTCTCGTCAGTCCTTCGTTCGTCATGTCCGGATCTGAACGAGTTGACGCTAAATTGCATGACGGGCGGATCTCAGGCCGACGAACAGATTGCGATGTTGATTCGGTCCTCCAGAGCTTGGAAAAACCTGTCGCTCTCGTTCTTTCACGGATTTGGACCTCTCTCAACAGCAGCACTGATCCACCAACACTCGACTACTCTGGAGACGTTGGTCCTCACGGAATGCGATGGATTCTGTAGCGAGGATATCCAGACTGTCCTGAGCTCCTGTGTGAATCTGCGGACCTTCCAGGCAATGACGTCGAGCGGGACCGAGTTCTCGAGCACGGTGTATCTGGATGCGAGCGAGATGGTCGATTCTCCGTGGGTGTGTCTGGGCCTCGAGAAATTGAAACTAGTCATCACAGGGATTGCACGACCCGATCTGAAAAAGGACCAGTACGGGAGACGGCTGACAGGGCCCTTACACGACGGGACCATTCAGGGATACGAGATGCAACAAATTGTGTACAGTCAACTCGGCAATCTGACACGACTCCAGGAACTGTGGTTGGGTCATGACACACCCGACCTGGACGACGAGGAAAACTATCATCCGACAGAGGTGGATGGCCAATGGCGGTATATCGACCCAGATGAACAGTTTGAGTGTCTAGAGTTCTCGTTGCGGAGCGGGCTAAATCTGTTGGGAGGGTTGACGGAATTGAGGGTGTTGAATATGGACAGGATGAATATCCGGGTGGGGCTGTCGGAGGTGCAGTGGATGGCGTCGAGATGGCCGAGGTTGGAGAAGATTGTTGGATTGGTGGTACAGGGCGATGCTGTGCCCAAGTATGTCCAGTGGTTGTATGATCATCGACCTGACATTGAGCTTCCACCTGTGATGGGTAATTTCACCACCGCCTTCTCGTCGCGCTTGGTGTAGCGTCTTCAAATAAAGCGCGCGCCCCCTACTTTTTTCTTTTTTGTTTGATCAACATTTAACTGATATAATTGACGCGTTGACACCCTCGCGTCAGATCTTTGTCCTAATCCACGGTGATGGCAACCGCGCGGTCCCATGATTTTTCATGTCGTGTAGGACAGAAAGACCCATGATGCCCATTTTTTTTTCTTTCCCTCTTTTTAACTGCGCTCCTGTTCGTACATTGTCTCCACTCGCCATCCTTCTCCATTCTGTCTTCGCAAACCTAGAAACCACAAAAAAATCCAAGCCTCCAAACAAAACCCATCGATAAATGTGTGGACGTCTACCTCTCCTTGCTGCTATTTGAACGAACAATACAATACACGGTTCGTCCATATGGTAAAGACGTTCACAATCAGACTCGATATCGTCCTTTACACAATTATAAATGGTATTGAAAATGTGTTCTGCACCTTTGCTACAAAGATAAACCCCAACAGGGGTAGGCTGTATACCTTTCCTCCTATTTTCATTTCCTCATAGAACAATCCACACTACTCTCTATTCACCCCCCCCCCCCCCCCCCCTCCCTGCGTTATGGGCATTCCCCTCTTGTGGCCACATATCAAGAATGAGGGATATGAGGCTGCCATGCTTTGGCCGTTCCCTTCAACCCCTCTCCAGCCAAGCGCCTTTTATCGCTTTGACATTCTTTCATTTTTTTTTTTCAACCATCCGACGAATATACACATCCACACATGACCAGCACACTTGCCACATCAAATTCGAACAGCATCTTATTTCATATCGAGTTCCCAAAACCTCGTTCCTATATATTGACGGACCGTCCCCAGACGAGAAGCATGCGACCCTCAAGACCCGAGAGGCGAAACGTGCTCTTGCTTTGCAAAGAGCCCAGGGATGCATCGGTGACATGGAGGCGCGAGTTGGAAACCAGCGAAAAGTACAGAAACGCGACTTCAACAAACTTTTCAAGAACATCAGAGCCGCATTCTACTGGTCTCAGGAGTCCCGCAGTTCTTTAGCACACCACTTGACCAACAGTGGATGGAACGTCGTTGTGTGTCCTTCGGAGGCCGATATTGCGATTGCCGCTGCTTGCCAACCAAAGGATATTATCGTTTCGGGAGACAGTGACATGCTGATCTACGACACTGTCAAGTCTGTATGGAGGCCATTGTCACGAGGACGGTTCCTTGTCTACGAGTTCGCCGCGGTCTTGGACCACCTTGGTATCTCCAGAGCCAAACTCACCACCCTCGACATCGTGTCTAAAAACGATTACCCACTTTGAAGCAGCCATAAACGTGTTTGTTCACAGGACGTTTGTGGGTCCTGAGCCCACTGCATCCCCGCATACACCCAGCCAGGGAATCACTACTCAGGACAGTGCCCAACAATGCGGGACCCTCAAGGACATCTTTGAAAGGCTGGAAGCTCTTCGCCTGCAACTACGCGAGAACAAGAAAAGGTAAAAAATGAACATTGTTTTGTGATAGTTAAATTATGAAAATATACTTTCTGTCAATCTCATACTATTTTTTGTGACGAACTTGTAGCACCATTTATGCTGGCCAAGCAGAGGAGTCTAGGGATGTTTTCAGCCGTTACGATACTGTCGATCACCCTCCGGAACGTCACCCTCGTTCTCATGGTTCTGGAAGACCTTACAAGTACCGTCAACGATATGCCATAAAAACCCGCCCTCAGCTAAAGAAGCATGACCCTCCAGAGACCACAAAACAACACCAGTTGAAGCCGTGGAAGTCGCCACCAAAGTCCCATTGGATCCATCGATCAGCACCACACCGCCCAAGGTCACTCTCAAAAAACCACCGCGAGAAGGGAAGACAATGAACAAAAAGGAACTAGTCAATGAAATGGAATGGGATCATCCTATACGGACACTTGACATCGGTACCATTAACGCCAACGCCACTCGAGCTCTGAATGGGGGGATCGACGTGGCACACTTCCAGGCAAACGCACACGCTTATCTCTCAGCAATCAAAGCGTCGCTTCGAGACGTTGCCCGGATTTCGTCACGCGTGAAGCGAACCGCTCAACGCGCAATTGGCCAATACATTGAACGACTTTCTGTGCATAATATCGATGAAAACGACAACAACGCCACCACCAATACCACCAACGCCAACCAACGCCACCGATGCCACCAACGCCAACACCACCAATGCCAAGATTCTTAGTGAAGTCGACAGGAGACTTCTCAACATTCTTTGCCCTGCCTTCTCCAACAAGGATTTGGTCGAACCCAGCAAGGAGGGAACAGACCAAGAGCCCGACAAGCCCGAAAGTCTCGAGGAACTCAGCGACAGTATCGGCAAGAAAAACGTTGATTTTCGCGCCTTTAATTCTCCATGCCCAAAAGCACCAGACATGGGAGGCATAAACTCGAACGTGGCGATAGACAGATTGGTGGTGAATCAGTGAAATGGGAAAGCGTGTTTTGACGAATCGCTACAAGACAAAAAAAAATAAGAGGTATCATACGACTCAACAGAGTCTCACCTGTTGATAGCGAATCCCGACCAGTTTAAAAGAAAAGACTGTAGAAGTAAACGGCCCGAAAAAAAACATATCTCGCCTTTAACCATTCAATTGCCCATGTCACCACAACGGGGACTATCAAACATGCAAAGAGAAAAACAGAGTCGTAAACTGGGCGGATAATATTTTTATTAACAAAAAGTAATGTAAAAGGTAACCACAAACAAGCAAGAGAGAGGTACAAAGAACAATTAAAAAGAAAACAACTAGCACAAGAAGTTGACAAACCGCCTCCACCAGCTCAGCTTACCCTCCGCCTCCTCCTCATCATCATACTCCACAAAGCTCCGTCCCGTATCCAGATCCACATCGACCAACTTCAGAATCTTGGTCTTGCACCAGAACTTGTTCCCGAAATACAAGATCGCAATAAAGGGGAGGGTCACATAGGCTGACAAGAACATCTTGATACTGAATGGCGCAAAGGCTGTGTACCCCTGGCCAAGGAGGATGACCAAACAGATCACGATCGTGTAGATAGGGCCGAAGGGGTAGAGCTTCGAGACGAATGGCAGGTCGTCGAGGGATCGGCCTTGGGCCTTGTAGGCCATTCGGAAGCGGATGTGGGAGAAGGCAATACCCAACCAAGCGACGAATCCGGTGGTGGATGCCAGGGCCAGCAACCAATCGTAGGCTTGACCTTGACCGATCTGAGGGAGTGACACGATAAAGGCCAGACATCCGACGAGGGCTGTGGCCATGACACAATAGACGGGGACACCGTACCGGTTGACGTATCCAAAGAACTTTGGCGCGTTGCCCTCCTGTGACAAGGTGTGGAGTGCACGAGAGGAGGCGTAGAGTCCAGAGTTACCAGCGGACAGGACGGCGACTAAGATGACAGCGTTCATAATATCTCCTCCGATTGAAATTCCCGCGCGCAAAAAGACTCTCGTAAAAGGCGACGACTCGATCGATCCATCCTGGTTGGCCAGCAGCGGGTCGTCATAGGGAATCGTCATTCCAATGATCAAGATCGTCAAGACATAAAACATCAAAATCCGCCAGAACACCTGTCGGATCGCCCTGGGAACATTCTTCCTCGGGTTCTTGGTCTCGCCCGCCGCAATACCAACCAACTCGGCTCCCTGGAACGAAAATCCGGCGTTCAAAAAGATCGAAAACAGCGCTACAAATCCACCATGGAAAGGATCGATGTCGAAAATCTCGCGTCCAGGCTTGGGCTCTCCAGGGATATGTGTTCCAATGGCACCTCCGATGTAGAGAAACCCGACAATGACGAAGACAAAAACGGCAAGGACCTTGATCAAACTGAGCCAGTACTCGGTCTCGCCGTATGCCTTGACAGAGGTGAGGTTGAGCGATGTGAGAACGATGATAAAGACGAGTGCCCAGACCCAGCCTGGGCATTGTGTTGCGGGTACCCAGTATGAGATGATTAGAGATGAAGCCACCAACTCTGTCGCCAGCGTCACCGACCACGAGAACCAGTACACCCATCCTATTTTCATACCATGTTTGCAAAAAACAAGATGCGATTAGTTTTGCAGTGCTCAGTTAACATCGAGGAACATATTGGGTGCAGCCGTGTTGGATATCGTTTTGGTTCGGCGCATAAAATACCTGCCCTTCTTCCCATTCATCATGATGAATCATAACCAGCCTCTCTCCTCTTGAACTACTTCCAGCTCCCACAATCTCCAATACCTTTCAACCGATAGCCCATTTTTCCGTTTTTCCCTCTTCTTTTTCTTTCAGCGATACTGTTCAAAAGACTCCGCACATACCCCGCACATAGGCAAACTGCATTAGGAGCAGGAAAAGGTCACAAAACAACAAGAAAAAATATTCTGTAGATCCGATAACGGAGTTGACACGCCTGCCTGCTATCTGGACGCAGTGTGTGTGAGAGGGGACGGGTTGAGAGAGAAGAAGGAGAGAAGGGATAACCACCAACAATGTAACAAAAAGTGTAAAAGATGATGAGAAGGGCCTTCGAAGACTTACCGAGCATGAATCCAAGGGCAGGATCAAAGAACCGGGTCCCATAAGCATTAATCGATCCAGTGATAGGCAGATAAGTTGTCATCTCTCCCAAGGAGCTCATAAAACAATAGACCATCGATCCGATCAAGGAGTAGGCCACCTGGGAAAAGCCTGGTCCTGCGGTTGCGATCGACGATCCTGACGCCAAGAACAGTCCTGTACCAATCGTTCCTCCTGCATCATCCGGGACGTTATAGTAGCAAGAGAGGGAGGGAGGGAGGGAGAGGGGAAAGAAAGTATGAGGTGTTTCCGGTTGGTTGTGTTGGTTTGTTGCAAGGGAGAGGAAGTCGGATCCAAGGGTTGGAGGTGGTAGCGATAGTGGTCGATGCAAAGATCGTGAGAAAGTAAACAACGTCAAGTAAAGAAGGGAAAAAGAGTTCTCCGTTAGTTTCGATCAGACAGAGAAGGAAAAAAAAACTTTCGGGCAACCTCCACCACATGGTGTGACAAGAGAGCACAGACGTATCTCTCCCTTATTCCCTCGCAAAGCAAACAAAAGCACCTCTACCAAATGTAGACAACTCAAAAACACACAGTGACCAGAAAAAAGACAACCAAAAGAACCACTCACCGAGAGAGATCATGGTCAAGTGTCGAGCTTCAAGGTTCCTTTGCAAGCCCTTGCCGACCTGGCCATCAGTTTCGTTGCTCAGATCCGAATCGTCATGGAGGTACTTGCTCCCCCCTCCTAGTGGCTCCTGTCGGCTGTATGTTGTAGAGTCATCGCTACCGTCGGCACTGAGGTTGCGGAGGTTGCTGCCCTTGCGGATAGAGGATGCGGGCGAGGAGTGGAACGAGTCCATCTGGATCACGTCTCGACTCTGTCGTCGTGATGTTGACATCTTTATGTGTGTTGTTGTTGTTGGGTGTGTTTGGCCCTTGTGTGAGAGAGCGGGTGTATCGCGAATAAGTTCCTTGGTCGGTTGAAGTAAGAGATGTGTCGATAATAAAAAGTATGTGTGTGTGTGGTAAAGGTGGGAGGGTATACGTTTATGTGTTAAGGAGTGAGAGGAAAAGAGGAATGACCTGCAGGTGTCGGCGACTTTTCTTTTATTTATCGACCAGCACCGCGGCAATTTTTTTCTGGTTTGTTTATCCCTCGCAGCAGATCAATGATACATGATCCAGGTGAGGATGCCCACACACAGTGAAGAAGAAAAATGTTTCAGTCTCCCAAATGGTGAACCGGTCTGGCCTCCTTCTCCCTTCGCTTTCACTTCCCGACAGAGCGGTCATCTCACCCACCACTCGACACTTTCTTTATCATCCGGCATCTTCTCTTCTGCTCGTAAACACACGCTGCATGCCGCTCGGTAATTCAATTCCTAGTAGATAATCTTTCCCCCCCTCCTCCTCTATACTCGTACGACAATAGTCCCCGTTTCCCAAAAACTTTTACTTCTCTCCAGTGCACCCTCTAATCTCCCCCTACCTACGAATAACGATGCAAGATGGCCTCATAACAAAAGAACATGATCGCAGCATTCGGGACAACCCGCAACATATGTGCCGTCAACCCCCCATACAACGCACCCGCACCTTCCTCCTTCAAAATCAACCCAAACGTCTGTCTCAGCCCCGTGTATCTCACATCCTCCCCCCTCCCAGGCGTCTGGCGCATTCGCGTCCTCAACACCTCATGCGGATATGTGATCGCACTGGCGATAAATTTGGCTATCCCGGCAGCTCCCAAGTAATCCACCCATTCCTCCATCCCCTTCCCTCCAACCAATGTCCTCTGACTCTTCTGATGACTCGTCGAAGCACTAGTTCTCAACTCCAAAGACACTTGGTCGGCCCGCCGCCGCTCTGAAAAGCGAGTCTTGAGATTCTCATAGATAACCCATTGGATGGTTCCCTCTGCCACACCGAGGTACGACGCACTCAGGCCCTTGTACAGCCCGCGAAGCCCCTCTGTCCGAAGAATCTCGACCACGCAGTGGAAGCTGTTCCTGTATATCCGCTTGTTACCCTCACTCTGTAATTGCATCCTCGTCTTAACCATCCAAATCGGATTCGTCATCGTAGCCGTCATCACTCCTATGGTTTCAATTTTGCGCAAAGCCGTGAGTCAGTTCAGAAACCCATTATAGTGCCTTAGTCCCCCCCATCAAAAATACGTTACCTGCATTGGCGGCGGCGGCAAGGTGGACAATTGCATTCTCGTTGCCATGATTCAACTCTGCAAAGAATTTTTTTCCATTCCCATACGCTGCAAAGTTGATTGCCCTAATAAAATATTCGTAGGTAAAAACAACAACAAAAAAAAAAACATAAGATGAACTGCTTTGACATCTCATGCCATTGCTATCTGACCGTAAAATTTTCTTTGTGGTATTAATGTGCGAATGCATTACCTTGCTGGAATGACACCGACCAAATTAGGTCCCAACCCCTTGTATAGCGCCCTCGGACCCTCATTCGTGTAGATATGCCTATCAACCAAACACAAACGTGAACAACAGGTCCTTCGAGAAAGAGGGGAATGTGGACGAAACATCCACCACCACCTAAGGCATATCACAGCAGAACGGAAAGAAATCTCATACTCACCCAAAGAGCCGAAAGGTATCTCGAACATGAACAATCACAGACGTTACCCCAAAACGTGCAGATGCCACCACTGCACGAGCACCACCTGCATTAGCGACAGCAGCTGTAGTTGGGCTCACACAGGACCTTGTATGTGTCCCTGTGCCTAGACCGAGAGCATCCTTGTAGAGCGACGACTGGAGCCGCGTCTTGACAACGTCCAAGGGCGAAGTCACTAACGCACCCACCATCCCTCCTGCTCTAAAAACCAAATGGAATAGGGGTCATGCATTAGAAAAATGAGTAGTCGAATAGGAAAATTCATGAGTGTCAATCGGCGTTTATTTATTCTTTCCGTTGCTATGAATCTGGTGCCGAGAATATCCTGTGTCGTCATTTAATAACTTACCCTCCGGCCATAAAGTGCACCCACGAGAACCCTGTCGACCGCTCCTGCTTTTTTTCTCGGGTTCCTCTTTCCTCGCTCTGAGAAGGCGTATAAGGCACCCCTGCCGAGGCGAAGGTTCGTGGGTGTGAAGTAGGTCCAGTCGTGTTCATGGAGGAGGAAGAGGAGGAGGAGGTCATTGCTGCGCTTAGTGATGAGGAGGTCGAGAAAGCTGTTGAAGGTAATGCATTCATCTCTCTGTGAACTCGAGGTTGATGTGAAAGAAGGTGAATGGCAATTGAAGAGGACAACCGTTTCTTTGGTCCGTGAACTTTCTCCTTTTATATCGAAGTTGCCCGCAAGCGCAGTTTTTGACACAGTCACGCAAATTGTAAACGACATTTTTTTATTGTTTTTAGTTTGCGCTTTTGGTGGCAAATGGGTCATGCAATGGATGAAGGATAAGTGAAGGGGCTTGCAGGGTATTAGGACAAAGGAAAAGCCTCATTACTTTATCGCACAAGAACGAGAAAGAGTGAGGAAGGTGGGGAGGGGGTCATGATATGGAAACAAGAAGGCAATGGTACAGGAGGATAGAGATACAAGAAAAAATATGAACAAAAAAAGGAAGTCGGACTTATTCCTTTCTTCTTTACATAGGATGAGGCACCATTGGCACACCTGATTCAGGGCCGGCCGGCGACATATGAGTCACTGGAGCATTGGACACTGGCATTTCCATCCCGCTCATCATCCCCGGTGCTGGCGCAACACCGCCGTTGGCTCCTGCTGGCATCATCGTGTACAATTGGCTTCCGTTCACACCCGAGGGTGCCATGGTCTCCACCCCGCCTTGAACTTGAGGATGGGCCATTCCCATATGCATAGCAGCCGGTGGCATAGGTGGCATGACTGCCATAGGTGCTGGTGGTGACGAGACTCCCTGAAGACCGACAGCATTCATTGCCATAGCCATATCCATCTGCATCGGCATCGCCATCGACATGGGGATCGTTAACGGGACATTGGCGTTGACTCCAGGAGGAGCAGGCGGGCCCGTCAAGGTCGACGAAGGGACCGCTGACTGAAACCCAGGTGATCCTGTAGGTGTCGTCTGATGGCTATTGTTTGTCGAAGGCATCGACACCACATGAACTCCTTGAACTCCTTGAGCATGCTGATGGTGAAAAGCTGGGTTGGTGCCCATCGAAGGCTGACCATCGAGCGATCCGAGCGAGGCGTTGTTCATAACCATCGAGAGTGATGGTACCGAAGACGTCGACGAGTGGCTCGATAGCGAGGGCTTGATGATCGTCATTGAAGGGTTAAAGCCAGGATTGAATCCCTGCCCTGGTCCCATGCCTCCCGGGCTAGGCGAATTGGTTCCAGACGAAACAGAGGCAGCCGACAATAGTCCAGTAGCGACAGATGGGTCGGTTGTTAAGGCCAGGTTGAATCCTGCAGTCTGACTGAGCTGGCGCTGGTGCCCATGATGTTTTGCTGCTCTCCCTGACCCAGAAGTAAAGTCGGGGTGGTAAGGATGGTTGAAATGCGAGTACTGTTGCTGTTGCTGGGGAGGTGCTGTTGCTGGAGTTGTCACAGTCACAGAGCTACTACCGGTCTCTCCTGATGAGGATGACTGTGCAGTCGCGTTCGACCCAGGTCCACGCAAGGCTCTGTGGTGTCCACCACGCTTGGTTTCATGCGCCAACTCGTGCTTCTTGAGCGACCGGGCGTGATAATAGGCCTTGGGGCAGCCTTCCACAGGACAGACATATGGTCGGATGTTGGAGTGCGTCTTGGTGTGAGTCGTCAACGAGTCCGGTCTCGAGAACTTTTTGTCACATCCTAGTAACAAAAAAACCAATCGCAAATCAATAAGTGTTCGTGTAAAACTTTGGTTTTGACCAAAAGACGAGTTCGAAAGCAACAAAAAGGACATACCTGGGACAAGACATCTGAAAGGCCGCTCGCCAGTGTGGGTGCGCAAGTGGTTGTACATCTTGTGCCTCTTTGTGAAGGGCTTTTGTTTCCGGTGACATCCCTGCCAGTCGCAGCTGTAGCACGCCTTGCCACTGCCAATATGCTGCTCCGTAACATGCTCGTTCAACTGGTCCATGGTCTCAAAGGGCGTATCGCAATCCCTCCAAAGACAAACCAACTGCAGTGGGGGTTCGGCAACGTCGGCGGTAGTTTCTGATATGACATTTTGCTGCTTGGCGACACGCGTAGCGGCCTTATCTCCATCAGCGTCGTCCTCGTTATCGTCATCCTCCATGTCTTCCTCGTCTTCCTCTTCATCGCCTTCATCTTCATCTTCGTCGTCGTCGTTTTGGTTTGGAGCAGCCACAGGGGCGTTGGCGGGCGACGTGACATTCTTGGGTGCAAGCTGTGGCGAGGCACTTTTCCGATCTGCCGTTGTGATCTTGGGAGCTTCCAATGCGTTAGGTGCTGGGGTTCCTGCCAACGATACTATGGACGGTGTGGGCGAAAACGTCAAGATCTGAGGCTGTTGCTGCTGTTGCTGCAGATACTGCTGTTGAGGAGACGCGACTGTTTGCGAGACAGCTGTAAGAAATGAGTGAGTGTAAGTAATCTGGCTGGTTCCACACTTGGACTGTATAAGATATTCAGGAAACATGTGTCATTCTTACCTGGCATCTCATCAGACGGTCCGGTCTCAGATTTGGCATTACTCAACCTCCGTGTAGGCAGCGAGCCCTCCATCTGTCGTTCGTATTCCATGACTTTCTCAATGAGCTCCTGCTTCGACATCTCGGCCAGCTCAGTCCTTGTCGATGGACCCTCCGTTACATCCATGCTCTCAGTCTTGGACTCTCCTCCTGGCAAGGCGGGCTTGGGATCATCCAGATTCTGCAGCTGGAAGTTCGAGGAGACTTCCATAATTGTATCCATCAACGAGTTCGGGATCGGGGCCATGGAGGGAGACTGGCTAGAGAGCGGATTAGGTGAGTATATGTGACCAGAGTCATTGGGAGACACCAGTGCTGACAATGGGGGCATTGCACGGGCTTGGATATCGGCAACGTTGATTTTGAGTCCTGCTGCTGCAGCTGCTCTCGGGGAACGCGTCTGGTGGGGCTCAACCTCCACTCTCCGAGTGGTCTCAAACAACACTTGCTCCTTGGCTGCCATTTTTTGCTGCTGCTGCTGAAAGAACTCCTGCTTTTGAAACATGATCCGCAGCTCCGGAGAGTGGTGGCCAGATGATGGGTGACGGCGGTGACGTTTCGATGGGTCGGCGAGAGAGGCAATGACTCCTTCAGGTGGCGTGAAGGCCGGCGTGGTGGTGGCGCTTATTGGATACATCGACGGCACCATAGGTGTGAAGCCGGTCATTGCCTCGGCAGATGAAAGTGGAATCGGGTAGCCCATTTCGCTTGGAGTGCTGGGTCCTGCTGAATGGATCGAAGGGTGGCTCACATGTCCTGGTTCGATCTTGATCTGCATTGGAAGTACTGGCTGCTGAGGCGCATGCTGAAGTTGCTGCTGTTGCTGCTGCTGAGACACTCCGCCCATTAGGTGAGGGTTGGCGACGGGTGTGCTCATTGCTCCAAGATCCTGCATGCTGCTGACTGGGTGGACTGGAGTCATCGTAGGAACCATCATGTTGGCAATACTGCTGTCGACTGGCGTAAGGACGCCCTGCTGAACAGACGCCATGACTGCTGCTGCCATCATATCCTGCTGCTGTTGCTGAAGCTGAAGCTGCTCCTGTATATGCTGCTGTTGCTGTTGCTGTTGGCGTTGCTGCATCTGGGCAGTCAACAACTGAAGATCAACTGGAGGCGCAACGTGCCCGTCGAACGAAAGCTGGTGGCGATGCATTCCACGAGACGGGATCACTGGCTGCTGGGATGGAATAACGGGCGTCTCCTGCCTGGACTGGGCGTTAATCGGTCCCTGTGTCATGATCCCACTCTGAGCTGAAGGCGCCTCAGAGTGAGGCGTACTGCTGACCAGCGCCTGCTGAGCATGTTGTTGTTGCTGTTGAATATGCTGTTGGTGTTGTTGCTGCTGGAGTTGCTGAATCTGGATCTGTTGCTGCTGCTGCTGATGTTGTTGTTGCTGCTGTTGTTGTTGCTGCTGTTGTTGTTGTTGCTGCTGTTGTTGTTGCTGCTGTTGTTGTTGCTGCTGCTGCTGTTGTTGGTGAAGCTGCTGCTGATCCGTAGGCAGGAACTGCGTCTGAGGTCCAACAGCTTGTGAAAATGCCATGGGGCTCATCTGCGCCATTACCTGCGCATCCAGCGACACAAGCGGGGAGCTCACGAGGACAGTCTGGTTCTGTTGTGACGGACTAGCAGGGAGTGATGCCGACGCCGACGCCAACGCCTGTTGCTGCTGGTGTTGCTGTTGATGGAGTTGATGTTGCTGTTGCTGTTGTTGCTGTTGAAGCTGTATTTGCTGCTGTGCATGCGTTGTTTGAAGATCTTGGGGTGAGATACCTTCTGAAGGCTGCATGACCAGTTGAGAAGTGTCGAGCATTTGCTGCATATGAAGCTGTTGCTGTTGTTGATGTTGCTGATGTTGCTGTTGCATCTGTTGTTGGGCATGGATCATCTGCTGCTGCTGTTGCTGCTGTTGCAATACTTGCTGCATCTCTGCTGCCTGTTGTTGCTGGTGTTGATGCTGATGCTGATGCTGATGCTGATGCTGATGCTGCTGCTGCTGCTGCTGCTGTTGTTGTTGCTGAAGTTGCTGGTGCTGATGCTGCTGCTGCTGTTGCTGCTGCTGCTGCTGATGCTGCTGCTGCTGTTGCTGCTGTGCATTGGATACCGGTACAAAGACTTGTCCTGCTGATGTAGGTGATCCTGAAAGTACTACTCCCTCCATTGCATAAGAGCTGCCAAGACCTTGTCCATCTGATGTGTAGAGATTACTTGAGTGCTGAAGGACGGCAGGATTCCCCATAGTGGATTGCTGGCATAATGAGGACGGCTGGAGTGACTGTTGCTGCTGCTGTGGATCGATGGTATTATTTAGGATGGGTGCGCTTGCTTGTGGTGCTTCCAAGTTCTGCGGGGTCACTGTGGAGGCAGTTGCTAGTCCGGGTGATGAGGAGTTGGACATGGTGCCCATGGTCGTCATGGCTGCGTGTACAATGTTGATATGGTTGTTGCTATTGTCGTCGTGGCGGACCGTTTGCTCGGTCGGAGCGGAGGAAAAGCCTGCGAGGTGCTGCTGAGTGGGGTCGCTCATCCAAAAACTAGCGTGGTTTTTTGTGTCGGTGCTTTTGTGGTCTTGAATGGGCAAGGAACGGTCAGAGGGCTATATATGGGAAGGAGGAAGGATCGAAGGTTAGGAACAATAGTGCTTAATGAAGAATGGGTAGGAAGTGGCTGATTGGTCCCTCCTCTGGATGAATGTGAATGTGGATAAGGACACTTCAACGGAGTGGGTGAATTGGGCAAGCACTCCGGAATAAAGTATCGTTCTCAGTCTTTTTTCTTTTCGGCGGGAATTACGACGATAACGAACAGACAGCAACAAAAAGATAAAAAGATGGGCTCTGGATGGGACACAGCGTCGATCCAGGAGAAAATGTGCGACAGGTAGGGAGGTTTGAGCGGCGGGAAAGAGGGAACAAAGACAACATGAGGGAAAGACGGGCACAGGCCAAGGCACAGCTAAAGGGCAGCGTGGGTATGGCTTGGTGATCCTGTAAGGCGGCTCCCTGGGGTTGTTCCATATGATTTTCCGGTGAGATGCGGGTGTAGGTCTTGACTCATGGCACGAAGAGGGCCCGGAGGTGGGGAAGAAGTTAAGGATAACTCTACCTGACTAGTTCGTTGGCGCAACAGGTTTCTGCAGTATCCGGTCTGCGGTGTGCGTGTCTGTTGACAAGGCACGAGTGTGGGTGAGGGCGAGACACCGCGAGCGAGAGAGAAGGAAGAAGAAAAATGGTGGGAAAGGAAAGAGGTGGAATTGGTTAATAAGATGTTCATTCATTCATTCATTCACGTTGCAATGTTCGAGGAATGAGACGACAGAGACAAGCGAGTGGAAGAATGCCGCGAAGAGGAACAACAATAGGCGGTCAAAAAGGTCTGTCGGGCCATATGCCAGCCTTGTATTTTCCTTTCTTTTTCCTTTTGTTCCCTTTGAATAAACAGACAGACATCATGTCTCCTTGCTTCTCTCTATCCTGCCTGTTTGCGTATCTGTCTGTTCTGTCTGCTCTGCCTTCCTTCCTCGTTTTCCGTCAATGGCAATCCCGAGTCTGAGTCAAGCCCAAAACATATCCATCGCCTTCCACGATAGCCCTGCCCCCCCTCATTTCCGATAATTATTGCTTTGTTGCTTGTTGTGTTGCAAGAAAATAAAACGCATTCTTGACCGTCGCATATCCCACTGTCCTGCTGGATTGATACTGATTATCTCGTCCATGATGGTCTCCAGAAGACCAAAAGGGCGTGTTCATCTATACTGTCGATATCGCGCTGTTGTTGGTCCAGTTCTTTTTCTTCATCTTCGGGTTGCCGAAGCGGAGTCGTGACCACAACAACAATAGAAGAAAACGGAACGAGTGGCGGTTTCAATTTTTTGTTGACTGGGCGAAAGGACAAGTTGGCGGGTGGTTGACAGGTTGACTGACTCAAAGTAAGCCCAATTAACAACAAACAACAAACAAAAAAAGAGGGTTCATTTTGGTGGTGTGTTATCATTGAGTGTTGTCGAAATGCGCAACTGTCATTGTTGTCCCTCTCGCCGCAGATAGGTCGTTCTTCCTTGCCGCCGTCATTGTCATGAGCAAGTGTTTGGAGAGGGGAGGAGGATGTGGGTGCATCGGCGGTAAAAAACAAAATAAAAGTTTGTCATTTTCATTTTACCGATTGAGAGGGGAACGTTGACGAGGAAGAGGTAGGAGTGTCGAACGTGAGAGATGGAAGGTGGTGGTTGCTGTTGTCCTGTTTGAATGGGAATATGAGGAGTGAAGGGGAGAGAGAATGGAAAAGGACAACGGACGAGTGAGTGATTGAGTTGAGTTGGGAAGGGAAGGGAAGGGAAGGGGAGGGAAGGTAAGGGGGAAAGGGGGAGAACGAAGGAAGAGAGTGAAAAGAGTCAAAAACAGCCAAGGCAGCAAAGGGAGGGAAAAAGCAAAAAGAGAAAATCACAAAATCACAACAAAGAGACTTTTTGATTGACTTCCCCCCCAGTATTCAATCAAAAATCAAGCGCAGACCTGTCAGACAAGTCCTTCCCGTAAATGCACGCTCGGTACTTTTTTTTTTTCATTGACATCGATCCCATTATCCTCATCACGTCCCTTCCCCTCCCTCCCTCCCTCCCCTCTCTTCTTTCTTCTCTTTCAACGCCAACTTCGGTCCTTTCATTCTCCACTTGATGAACGGCTAGCCTAGTGGAATCTACATGTACTCCAATAATTCGATCCATCATGTAGACCCTGAAACTACTTTACTCAGATATGACTATCTCTGTTTGTTTGTTTATTTGTTTGTTGTTTGTTTGCTCGAAGAGAGTTGGGGAGAGAACAAATCAACAATAAAGCAATTGTTTCCCCTTGGATGTGGTTATGACCTTACATGCAATGCACACACAAGAAACACAACGGGAAAGAAAATCATATTGTTTGCTTACCTATTTATCTTCCTCTTCTCTCCATCTATCTTTCTCGTCCTTGCACCCTTCACTCCTCGTGGTTCAAACCTCCGAACAACAATAATAAAACATGTTTTCGCCTATTATTGGTCCACCTCCAAAGGCAAAAGGAAGGTTTACGACTGCTATGTATTGAGCATCATGATAAAAGCTTAGGCGCGTCTTTTTCTCTTTTATTTTATGGACTTTTGATGATGTTATATCCATCGTATGTAAATTCAGCTCTCGCGTCGCTCCTGCCGTACTCTCTTCTCCTTTTCTTGTTCCGCTCATTCATTCTCTGAACCGCGCAACTCTGACTTCAGAGGAATATTGATCTCTGGATTTAGTCGATGAGTCTCTTCTTGCGGAAGAAACGCTTCAAGTAAAAGATTTGCCACACGCCCAAGATGACCAAGATCACCATCGTCAAGGTCGAGAACCACTGAACGCGAGCGTTTGTTGATTCTAATCACAATCAATTACACAAAAATATTTAGCATTGCGCTCGAACACACGTCCTAATAATAACATTAACAAACAATCAAAACAAACCCTATAAGGAAAGGACGTACCGTTGGTGTTGCGCATCTTCTCCTCGCGAGCCTGGAGATGCTCCATGTTGTCGACAATGTCCTTGACCATATCCTCGAGCTTGCGGAGCTCAAGCTCCATAGGCTTCAACTTCTCAGCCTCGGCCAACTTTGCGTAGTCGATCGTCTCCGATCCAATGTCAAAGTCGATATCGACCGTGCGCGTGTAGCGGGGGTCGGGCTTGTATCCTGTCATTTGTTAATCCCATTGCAAATCGAAGGGAGTAGGTATAAGAAGCAAGGATGAAAAGAATGATTAGTATGCATATCCTGAGAGTATCAAAGGAGGAAAAGGAATCGCTTTAAGGAAAGTGTGTATTACCTTCAGTGAGGACGTTGGTGAAGCAGGCGACAACATCACCAGCATACTGGCTCTTGAAGCTGGCACGCTGGAGCTCTTCCGTCAATCCATCCTTCTTCCAAATCTGGTTCAAGTGTTCGCTATCATCCGTGATCTAATCATTCACCCAATTCCCGTCGAGTAAAATTGATACAGAGCTGTGAACGTTAGGAAGAGAAAAGCAAGGGTGGCCAAGTGATCAATCATGGAAGCACAGCAAGCATCCCTATTGTTCGATCGGTCCTTGAATCAACCGTTTGCTTCCTTTGTTTACCTCGACTCCAACCTTCTGGTGAGGTCCAGAGTTAACGCGGACCTTGACAACAAAGTCCACATCGCTATCAATGTAGTGCGAAATACAGACTGGGAGAGCATCTGCGGCCGTTTGACCCGCAATATCAAACTTGACTGCCTGAGTAGTCTGGAACAGGGTGATCAACGCGATCAACGCGACACATGCTGACGAGTAAAGTCGTGCCATCCTTCTTATTTCTTGGTGGATGAGGGGTTGATGAGAGGTTTGGTTGGCAAGGTTGGTTAGTGCTTCTGCTGCCTGGTCGTCCTGGTATAGTAGTTCCTGATCCCGCGACGATGAGTTGTAGTAGGTTGATGAAAGTGATGAAAGTTCGAACAAATAAAAACGATGATGGCCCACAAAAGCCCAGAAACGATGCCGTGCCTGTGACGTTGCCCAGCGTTATTGGCTGGTGTGACCTACCCCTCAAGAACTTTTCCTTTTCCTTTAAGTGCAAGATGGGTAACGCCACTCCCTCTATTTACACATAACATGTGCCACCCACTTTCCTACGCAACTATCCTGTATCTCTGGAGTACTTTTCAAGTGACTAGATGACTAAGCTCTGGGCTGTTTTCAGGCCCCGGTACCAGCCCACTACTATCACAAGAATAAGGCGGACTGGGCTGTTCCCGTGGATATGTTCCTGAGCCTCCATTAGTTCTTACGAAATAGTTGGACCAGTCAGCTTTTTACTCAAGCAATAACATGAAGATAAAATCATTGTTTAATTCCTTATATGCACCCGCGACGCCTCGTTCAATTGGGCTCGTCGAGGCCACCTTCCTCAGTATTCACGCTATCTCTCCCCATTGCAGTATTATCCAAGCATCGACAAGCAACCGTGAACGAAACCGGACACTCACGTTGCCCTCTCCTTCCTCTCTTTCCTTCACTCCCTAAACATGGAGCACGGGCCTGGCTGGCTGACCGCCAGAAATCCGAAACAAAAAAAAAGAAAAATCGACTAAGAGTCCTTGTCGTCGGTCGGGGGATTTGCAAAACCGCCTATCCTCAAGGAACACCCTGTTTTTAAAGGTAATCGGTCTTTGTTTGTTGCGTTTTTCGAGCAGCTGGTTTATTCCCCCCGTTCAAATGTCTCTCAGTAGTGCACATGAAAAACAGAAAACGATAACAAAAGAACGCCTGATGACAATTTATAATCAGCCGCCAGGCTGTTGCTGCTGCGGCTTTGGAGCTTGGGACTTGGGGGTATGTATGCTCTACAAGTACTCTAGCCCCACCAAAAAGTCGGCGCCCCAGGGCATCCCCCACCCCTTGACTCCGACCTTCTTCCAGCACGGCCGAGGGATACCCAGATCCGTCAAGAACAACTCCCCCGTTGTCGATCGGGACCTGCAACCTGCCTTGGGGGCCCCCAAGCACAGCGTCCACTTTGGCCGCACACAAAATTTGGTCTTGTCGCCTTGTCCTGTGGTTCCGTTGACGCCACTGGGCATGTCTAGACTCAGCACGGGCGCCTTGTTGTCGTTGGCCCAGTCCATCAAATCACAGACTGTCTCGCGTTCGTAGGAATCGACAATGTCCCGCACGGTGTACTGGTATCCCAGCATCCCGTCCATAATCAGATCCACTGGCGACGAAGCCTGAGGCAACTCTGCAATCGTGTGAATCATTTCGCCTCCAGTCGCCAAAAGTCCTCTCGACTGGAACGCCACCATCTACCCATTTTGCACAAAAATAAACAAATCAGCTTCAGCACTTTGATCAGTCTGCCCTTGCGCTCAAGAAACATTGAAAAGTTAAACTTACAGAGTTGAGTTGACCCTCGTGGTTGGAGCCGGCAACAAATGCAAGGACGACACATCCGTGGTTAGACAAGTGCCTGGCAGCACAGAGTGCATATGCACCAGTCCTATTGTTTCCTGCCAAAATAACAACAATCGGCGCAGCATTGTGGTTGTTGGGCTGAATACGCCTAGATCCACCCAGAGCCTGGAGACACATCATCGCAGCTCCACGACCACCATTCTCAATCATCTGCTCGTCCGTCAACCCCATGTCAGCTGCACAGATCCTCTCAACCTCCTGCATCTGAGCAGCCGTCACAGTCGGGCAAGACACACCAGCAAGAGTCTGAATCTTGACCGAGCGCTTCTTGCCCTCACCACCTCCTCCGTTGCTGCTTGCACCGTCACCATTTGCCTTCGAGGACGAAGGCGAACCTAGGGCAGAAGCTCCGTTCGCCCTGATCTTGAGCCCTCCGGGACCTGCTGGGGCACCCTTCAACGCGACTGTTGCGGCCGATTCATCGACACTACTGCTGTTCCACGAATCGTCGTCTTCGCTATCATCGACCTCGTCCTCCTCGCTTAATCCCGATCCGTGGACATTAGACTTGCTGGTGGTGCGCTTGTATTGGGACCGCTTGGGGGCTGGATCGAGGACGTTTTCGGTAGGCAAGAGCTTTTTCAGCATGGGGCTTTCATCAATCGCTCTAGCCCTGTTTGGGTTTCGGTTGAGGTTGACCAGCAAGGACTCGGGCGCAGTATCATCAGCCTCCTACATCAGTGAGGTCAAACAATGAGAGACCGTTAGTACTCTGATATGATCAGATGTATCACTACCATTCCTCTCTTCTGAAATTAAATTCGTTTTGATCACAACATGTGAAACCATCAGTTGAAGAAAGACTAACTCGGATCTCGGCAAATACTCTCGCCTTGTCAAAGAGACCCAGGTTACCCTGGAAATCAAAATCCTGGTCCTTGAATTCCTCCGTATCCGCCTGCGCCCACTCATGAACTGGCTCTTTGTACCGACGCGATGTTCTCTTGCCTATAGTTCGATATCAATTCATAATTAGTTTAGGGTACAAACTTCTTAAATTGCCAAAGTCATTTTGATCAATACAAAGCGCAATACGTACCAGATATCGACTGATGGCCTGTCCTGGGCGAGCCATAGTCAGACATGTTGTTATTACTGTGATAATTGTTGTTGCCGTTACTGCTGGTGTGGTGGTGACTATGGTTGGATCGGCGGGTTCTTCTGGGTCCATGGTTCACCGACTCTGCGGCACTAGACTCGGCCATGTTGTCGTTATGATGCTGTTGTGCCTTGCTTAATCTCATTGAGTTTGTTTTCTAGGAGGAAAATAAACGTAAATAAGGCTCTTTTTAGCACGTGGTACTTCAATCGATATTCGCTTCCATCAACCAACTGGCTTGTTACTTCTCTTACCTCGACCAATGCCTCAGAATCGTGGATGTGTTTTGGCGTAGAGCTTGGCTTGAACTATACACGAGATCAAAAACGCAAACATCCTTTGCTTAGTTGCCGTAAAATAGGGTGATCTCATTTTCTCCACTTTGTAACACATTCACATCAAACAAAGGAAGAAGAAAAATGGTGTGTTGACCACTCGAACCATCTTACAGATATGATAGCCGGATCATGATAAGGCACACTGGGGGTTGCGGGAGTGTTTGGCTGAGGATGAGCAGGCAATTGTCTGGGAGAAGGGGCCGCCAAGGGTGCGTGAATATGCTGCTCATGCTGAAGGTGAGCAACGTGCGGGTTGTGCTGCTGAGGATGTTGCTTTGGATGATGGCTCGGGGCGGTGGTCGCTGTCGAAGTTGAGGTGGCAGACATGGCGGGTGAGGCGGCCGCATTATGGGGCGCGTGGACGGCAGACTGAGTAGGAAGGACCTGAAGATCTTTGATCTCGCCTCCTGCGACGCTAAACGAGGGCAAGACCCTTGCGGTTTTCTCCTCTGCGTACTGGATCACGACTAATGATACAAGTATGATATTTTTGAGTTAAGAGATCAGTTACGGAAAGAGCGTCATTGTCATCCAACAATGCAGAGTGAAGATGGAAACAAAGACTTACCATCTTGCAGAATAAGACGTTGGGTGTTGGGGTCAACATTTGCGACATGGCCTTTCAAGGAAGTGCCGCTGGTTAAGAGGACCTTGACAGTTAGGCCGATAAAAGCGGATGCCATCGTATTATTATTATTATTATTATTTTTCACTCAATGGAGTTAGTTGATCTTTTGAGTCTATTGTTGTTCGAGGAAAGCGATGAGGTTGGGTGCGAGTGTGCGAGGTGCAAGTGTGCAAAGAGAGGGCGAGAAAGAGAAGAGAGAATAGTCGATGAAGGATGGAGAGGCGTGTATTCTGTTCTGTCAGTTCGTGTTTGTTGAATGCATTTCAGTCAACCAGACAAACGGAAAACGCTTACAGCTTCCTTGCCCCACTTCTGACTCTGACTCTCAATTCAATTAAAACAAGCCACTCACATTCAGCCTTTTTTTTTCCTCTCTTCAACTGATCAGCAAGGCGTCACCTTAACTCTCACCTTCTCAGTGGACCCAACTACCACCAACAGGAAATCAACATAACCGCAATGGGAGGAAACAAACGCAAAGGAGGAGCAGGAGCACAGGATAACGGCGGAAAGAAGGCCAAGGTCGATGTTCACAAGATTGGCAAGTACCTCCCAGGCGGATTCCCCATCGACCCCAAAATGAAGGGTGTCATGGTCACCTGTGCCCGAGGCAGAGAGACCCAGGCCGGCAAGGAGGCCTGCGACTTGTTGTCCGAGGTAATTAAGCGACACCTTGGACCTTGGGTTATATGCTTGGCTGTCAGATATTATCGGGATTGCCAAGCCATTCATTCTGACAGGAACATTATGAGCTGAGCTGACACAGTCTTTCTGGGTACCATCGTCCAACTTTGCCTTGTACATTACTAGTACGCACAAAAGCTGTATGGAGACAAGTTCAACGACGAACCAGAGCAGGATGAGGATGAGTCTATTGAGGACGCTATCGCTCGTGAGGTTGCTCAGGCCAAAAAGACAAAAGGCGGCAAGAAGTTCCTGCCATTGTCCACAGGAACCGACTGCGGTATGTTCTGTGCAGTTTTTATCTAATGATTGACTATCACACAGACTGTAATTGTTTGGATTTGTTTTCGTCGATTACGTTCACAGGAATGCTGAGTTGAAGGACTAACGAGTGGGGACATTTGACATACGTAGTTATTTTTATTCGCGCCATGGACATTGAACCATCCAAGCTGTGCCATTACGTCCTCTCGGATCTTCAAAAGTCAGGAAGCAAGCGCACGAGGTACAAGAAAGAAATGATGTCTCCAGGAGACGACAGCGTGCACTGGAGGTCATTGGCCAATATGCCTATTCGCCTGAACAAGTTCGCGGAGCGCTAACATGATGATATGTTTGGACAAAATAGATACTGCATGAGATTCATTCCTGTTGATGAGACAAGTTACGCCAACATGGAGGACATTGAAACCATGTCCGAGCGTGTTTTCAAGCCTTACTTCCAAGCCGAAGATCAAAACCCCACGACTGTAAGATCATGTTTGATGGCGATAAGATTCGGTCGTGCATATTTTTTATTCTCACACGACCGAAAGAACAGGACCTTAACAATTTTTTTTCTTTCGTTGATTCACATTCATAATAGTTCAAGATCATTCCTAAGATCCGACACAACGACAAGGTCGAGCGCGACACACTCTTGAAGAAGCTGGCTGGTATGGCTGGTCAAGGCCAGAACCACACGGTCTCGATGGATGATCCCGAATACATCATCCTTGCCGAGGTCATCAAGGTACTGTTGTCAATGCTTTTATACAATAATTGACGCCGGGTTACTTTGTATTATGTTGCGGTATGGTATGCTAACTCGTATCCATACTTATATATTACCATCATATAGAGCATTTGTTTCATGGGAGTAGTCAGAGATTACGAAAAGTTGAAAAAGTACAACATCCAGAGCATCTTTGAGGCAGCACAAAAGAGCGAGGAGGTACCAAAGGGAGGTGATGTGAAGAAGGATGATGACGAAAAGAAAGAGGAGACAACGACGTCAGAAGCAGCCCCAGAAGAGGAGACCGCATCTGCCACTTGAAAAGTACATATAGCATCTGAATATCAAATAAACCCATACACCTTTGCATGTAATTTCCAACCAGTTCATTGTAGCGCAACGTTACACTAAACTTTTGGAAAAAAAAAAAAAAAAAAAAAAAAAACCATAACGTACAGTACACCCTTGAGACGTGGGATCGGACCATCTTTTTTCGCCTCCGCCTGCTCGCTCGTCCTCTCGCGATGGGACCTCCGTCTCGGTCAGCAATGACATCAGGGCCTGAGAACGTGGGCCAGTTATCAGCACATGACAATCTTACCCTGAAAAAAATGGCCACTTGGCTATCGCGGACGATACAACCAACGATCTCGTTTTTTTTTCTTCCTTCCATTGTATGCTTTGCCAACCAACCGCGGAGATGAATCGATTACCTGCGTTACGATTGAATGCTTTGATGTCTAACAACATTACCATCTCTTGAGGTCTCAGTGGGAGGACACGACCTCTAAGCAGCAATGACGCAAGATGCGTTACTACGACCACCTTCCCTTCGATCACAGTATGAGAATGAGTGAAAGAGTATCACCATCGACGATGCCAAACTGGCAAATCTAGAAGACTGACTCGGTGTTTTTTTTTCTTTCGTGTGAGACAATGAAACTAGTTTGAAAACCAAGAAGACGACCAAGACACAACCACCAGCAAGCTACAGTCGCTGTCATATTTCATTACTAGTAGCTCGCTGCGGGGATTGAACCACTCCGATTGAGAGTATGGACGTGCAAGAAGAGAAGAGAGGGTCTTTCCTTTGATTCCAAAATGTTTCGGTCTTCTTCTGGGGCTTCTCTCTACTCCAGTCAAATCTCACCTCCGCACTACCACAGTCAACGATTACCGTGATAAAACAAGACCCTTCTTGGGAAACAAAGCTTCCTTCCAGGTTCCATTCCAAACATCCACCATGAAAACCTTCTCTCGAACAACATCAACATTGTTCCTGGATCCCAAGTTTATTTTTGCCTTGTCCTACCACCAAAGGCCCCAGTGGAACGTGTTCTCAGGAACCAGCATCTTTGATCTTCTTAAATAACCCAGCCTCCATCGTCGCTTTCCCCCATTTTTTCAACCATCAACACATCTCTCTCTCTCTCTCGACTTCAAAAAAAAAGCAGTTGTCATACACACTCTTTTTTTTCTAATTTTTTTTTTCTCACAGATCACATCCTCTCCTTTCACTCTCCCACTTTCCCTTGTCGCACGTACACACAAGGATATGGGTAAAAAAGTCGTTGATCTCGAACCCGAGACTCCTTTCCACACCTTCACGGTCGAACAGACCGCACAACACTACAGCACCAGCATCACCGAGGGTCTCTCCTCCTCCGAGGCTGCAGCCCGTCTCAAGAAGTATGGTGCTAACGAGCTCCAGGGCGAAGGCGGAGTCAAATGGTACAAGGTTCTCTGGCGCCAGGTCGCCAACGCCCTCGTCCTCATTCTCTTGATCGCCACCGTAAGTTATCTCTTTTGTCACTCCAACAACAACCAGGTTCTGTAACAGATCAGTGATGGATATGTGTATTTGTCTTGTTGGCGTCTGACCGACCATTTTGTTTAATTTCAAAAATAGGCATTGGCGTTTGCAACAGGAGATTACGCTGAGGGAGGAGTAATTCTCTTCATTATTGTCATGAACGCAGCCATCGGATTCTGGCAAGAGTTCAACGCTGAGCAAACCATGGAGGCCCTCCGCAACATGTCCTCCCCCACTTCTCAGGTCATCCGCGACGAGACTCGCACCACCATCCCTAACAACCAGGCTGTCCCCGGAGACATCATGATCTTCGAGGACGGCGATGTCATCGGTGCCGACTGCCGCCTCTTTGAGGTCTTCAATCTCGAGACCGATGAGGCTCTTCTTACTGGAGAGTCCCTCCCCGTCCAGAAGAACTTGGAGCACATCGAGAGCGCCGACGAGGCCCTCGGTGACCGTCTCAACATGGTCTTTGCATCGACCACCGTCGTCAAGGGTCGCGCTAAGGGTATCGTCACTAACACTGGAATGAAGACTCAGATCGGAAAGATTGCTACGACTCTTATGTCCGTCGACTCTGACGAGCAGACCCCTCTCCAGAAGCGTCTCAACAAGATGGCCTACTTTGTCTTCCTTGCTGCCCTTATCCTCGTCCTCATCGTCTTTGCTGTCCACAAGTTCAAGTACAGCAAGGAAGTTGCCATATATGCCATCTCTGTCTCGATCGCCATCATCCCTGAGGGTCTCGTTGCTGTTGTTACTCTGACCATGGCCTTTGGTGTTTCCCGCATGGCCGAGGTCAAGGCCATTGTCCGTCGTCTGTCCTCCCTCGAGAGTTTAGGTGCCGTCACCAACATTTGCTCAGACAAGACCGGTACCTTGACTCAGTCCAAGATGGTTGCTGTCCGCATGTGGTTCCCCAGCGATGGTTTCTACCGCATCACCGGTACCGGTTTCGTCCCCGAGGGTGATATCTTCCACCAGGGCGAGTCGACCGATGGCAAGTACTATGAGCAGGATGAGCAGATTCCCGCTGGCACTGGCTCTAACCACTACCTCCGCATGATCCAGACCGCCTCTCTCTGCAACATGTCCGAGCTCCGTCGCACCCAGCACCCCGAGACCCACGGCGAGTGGACTGCCATTGGTGACCCCACCGAAATTGCCCTCCAGGTCCTCGCCTACAAGGCTGGCCTTGCCAAGCCCGACTTGGTTGCAAAGGGCTTTAACTTGATCGCTGAATTCCCCTTTGATTCTTCAGTCAAGCGCATGTCCGTCCTCTACAAGACCCCCGAGACCTCTATGGGCCCCAGCGAGCACTTGATCTTTATGAAGGGAGCCACTGAGCGTGTCATTGGCTGCTGCAGCTACTGGCGCGACGGCGACAACGAGCGGCCTATCGCCTCTGAGAAGGGTGGCGATGGCCGCGTCGAGTTTGAGGCTATGATCACCGAGAAAATGAACACTCTTGCCTCGAAGGGTCTCCGTGTCTTGACCCTCGCCTACCGCAAGTTTGAGGCAGCCCCCGATGTTGACCTTGTCCATGGTTTGGTCCGTGAGGAGGTTGAGACCAACATGGTCTTCTTGGGTCTTGTCGGTATCTATGACCCCCCTCGTGCCGAGTCCCGCCCTGCCGTCCTCAGCTGTTACCAGGCCGGTGTTCGTGTCCATATGTTGACCGGCGATCACCCCTCGACTGCTGCTGCCATTGCCAAGGAAGTCGCCATTATCCCCGAGGAGCTCGATGCTGCCAACAGCCCCCTGGTCATGACCGCTGGTCAGTTCGACGCCATGACCGATGAAGAGATCGACAACCTTGCCGAGTTGCCCCGCGTCGTTGCCCGTTGCTCACCCGACACCAAGGTCAAGATGATTGCTGCCCTCCATCGTCGCGATCTCTTTGCCGCCATGACCGGTGACGGTGTTAACGACTCCCCCTCGCTCAAGGCCGCCAACGTCGGTATTGCCATGGGTCAGTCTGGATCCGATGTCGCCAAGCAGGCCGCCGATATTGTCCTGACCGATGACAACTTTGCCACCATCGTCCAGGCCGTCGCAGAGGGTCGTCGCATGTTTGCCAACATCCAAAAGTTTGTCCAGCATCTCATGTCTGCCAACGTTGCCGAGATTGTCGTCTTGGTCATTGGTCTTGCGTTCAAGGACGACGATGGCAATGCCGTCTTCCCCATGAGCGCCGTCGAAATTCTCTTCCTGAACATGATCACTTCCTCCCCACCGGCCATGGGCCTCGGCCTCGAACCCCCAAGCGAGTCCAACATGCGTGAGCCCCCACGTTCTGCCAAGCAGGGTCTCTTCTCGTTCGAGGTCATCATGGACACCTTCATCTACGGTCTCGCCATGGGTATCCTCTCCTTCGTCAACTTTGTCATCGTCGTCGTCGCCATGAACAACAACAACTTTGGATCCGAGTGCAACGCCCACTACTCGCATGCTTGCGAAGGTGTCTTCAAGGCGCGTGCCACCGCCTACGCTACCTTGACCTTCTTGATCCTCGCCCACGCCATCAACTGCCGTTCCCTCCGCGAGAGCGGCTGGACCTACACCAACTTGTCGACTTTGAAGCACAACAGGATGCTCTGGCTCTCGATCATTGTCGGCTCCCTTCTTGTCTTCCCCGTCATCTACATCCCCGGTGTCAACCACAATGTCTTCAAGCACTCGAGCTTGTCTTACGAGTGGGGCTTTGTCGCCTGCGCCCTTGTTCTCTTCATCGCCTTTGCCGAGATCTACAAGCTGATCAAGCGTAAGGTCATGAAGCCCTTGTCCCTCCAGGAGAGTGCCGAGGTCAAGTTGGATCGCTCAGCCACCGGCGTTGACTCCTTCATGGCCAAGTAAACTGCCTCTGTTGCATTCACTCACAAAAAAAAGTACTTAGCATAGACCCACTCCATTTTTTTATTCACACTTGCATTCACTCCTTTTTGCATCGACACAGCGAACTACGCTTTTTCTACTCCACCTTCTTTCTTTACTTTGAATAAAAAGTTGTATCATATCCTTCACAATGAAAAAAATAATTTAACTGGTCCAATTGCCTATGGTGGAATTGCGAGGATCGACCCTATCTTGCATGTACCATTAACTTCAAAGAAAGGAATGCACAGATTGAAGATAGCATGCCTAAATGCCTTCCCCCTCCTTCCCTTGTCCGCGAGCAAAAAGAAAAGAGGATGATCTTTAATCGATCAAGAGAATTCATAATTGAATGCGGACTATCGAGGCAATGCTAAAAAAAAGCTAAACATGCACCTGTGCGCTGTTCGTTCGGAGTGAAGAAGGGGTACAACCATCTACCACCCCCCTTTTTTTCTGTTATCTCAATTCTCAGCCCCAACCCACGGAGCACGGATGGATTGAAGAGTACCAGCTGTATTCATCTCTCCCCAAACTTCAACAAGGACATTACCTCCCTTTAGTACTTACCTTTGTTTGCCCTGAAGCGTCTATGCGAAATAACAACATTGTTTTGCCTGGTCTGGCTGTCAACCGAGTTCAATAGGTTTAAGAACGTGATGAGTCGTTGGGGGAGATGACTGACTGGCATGAGGGAAAAAACCTCTTCAAGATGCCCCTCTTACTCTTACTCTGACTCTGTCCGCCTACCGTACCATTCAAAACTCCCGCGTACCCCCCTCCCCTCGTCGTTCGTCTGCTTACACCATTATATACTAGCGGGGGGTCTGATACAATTACTTTCCTTGTACAAAACCTACCATCTTCAACAACCTCCGCTGTGTGGAGAAGTCAGGCAGTAATACACTTTAAGCAATATGTCTCCCAAAAAAGTCAACCCTCTCCCTCCCCCTCTTCTTGTCGCTTGCACATGCTCGTGCCTCTCTCCCCAACGAATGGCTAAAACGATCTTCAGATTCCATTCTTGGTACTGTTGCACAATGGGCTAAAGTGTTCATGGTGCACACAAAAAAAATAAAATGAAGGGTGCGCTCACTCATTCAACACAGGACGCCAATTGGTGGGAAACCATGTGCCGCCCCGTTCAACCATCGAGGTCCCAGAATTTGTACAGTAGGAGCTCTCATTCTTTTTTTTTCTCCATTAACCATAATCTAGCGGCTTTTTTTCTTGACCGTTGTTGGGTCGTCATGAATCCCTTCGCTTAACTATCAGCTCGGTCTATTTTCAGGTCGCAAGAAATCTATTCATCTCACACCTCATTGCTCGATCGCCTCACCCCCTGTACCTTACTCTAAAATCAAACAATGGCCAGCCGGTTGATTCTTCGGCTCGTTTCCCGAGAAAACAACAAAACGTGCCGGCTGTGTGTAACGGATCAAAAAAACCATCGATGTTTACTTTTTCAACTCCCTCCCAGTCCCTGCGTGTGAGTGTGAGAGGAGTTGGGCGTTGCATCGGATGTTGTTTTTTTGCTTTTTTTCCGTCGCACATACACACAAACAAAAGGAAGGAAAACAAAACAATCCCTTACTCGTTCTTTGGTTTTGATCGTATGTAAACAAGAGGGAGACAAGCTTAACTGATGACAAGGTGGGGAATCACTTGTGTACCGGTACAAGCAAAGCAAAGCAAAGCGAAACATCGCATGTTGATATTCCTTTGAATCATTTCGGGAGTATGTTCATTGTTGATTGATTGCGGCCGAGCATGGTGGACGCTTTGCAGCGAGTTAAGCGCGCTACTCGTTGATGCAGTTTGCTTGAAAACTAATGCCACTCAAAGAATGATTCGGAAAGACCGAAGCACCCTGAAAATGGACGAGCAGTTGACCCGTGGTGAGACAGTATGTGGAGAAGTTAAGCAGCTTTTAATCAAGCATAAGATGCGAGCGAATTCAAGGAATCGTTGGAGGGTCAGGCTGCCAGGCAATGATCTAAATTATCAAGATTCCATGTTGGTTGAGTGCATCCAAAAAGCTACATGACAAGCATGACAGACAGACAAGGCTTGTGAAAAGTTCCCCCGCTCAAGAAATGGGCGTATTGTGTGATGGGAAGAGGATGATTCAATTGCTTATTAAATGAGCATTGAATGGATGAAAAGAATAGTAAGGTTCATTTGGGGAAGAAAACCTTTTTATGATGACACAAACCACTCGTTGTGCTTGGCCTTTTCTACTGTAGCTGGGTGACTGGATGACTGGGTGACTGGATGACTAGGTGGGTGGGAAAGGAAGAGAGGGCGGCTCGATTGAAATTCCCTTGCCATCCCATACTATTCTCCTCTCCTCTCTTCGATTTTACTTCGTGGGCGTGGAGGAACACAAATGGGATATGCATCACACAAAAGCAAAGAAAAATGAGAGCAACGAAAGAAAGAAGGAGTGGAGAGTTGCAGGGTTTTCTGTGCACACAAAAGTGGAAGACAGTGGGAATGGGATGGGGGTACATCTTTGTTTACAGCACAGTACATGGCCATGTTTATGTTAAAGCGATGGCACTTGGGAAAATTCTCCTTGGCTGACATGTGTGAAGAAAGAAGAGATGAAAAATAATCATACCAACAAACAGCTACGGTCATTGCAATATGGGCAACAAACAAACCAACGCTCGAAAAGTCAGAAGAATGGACTCGCTCCATTGGAATCGAGGGAAAAACACACAAACAAAGGGACAACGGGTCGCAACGAATGATAACTGTAACGAGAAAAACATACATAAATGACATCCTCTTTCCCCTTTTCCTTCTCTTTCTTCTTTCTCCAGTCTTCATCCTCATTGTCTTCGTCTTCCTTTCACTCGCGTTCGTTTTCTTTTATCATTGTACAAACTTGTTTCCCTCCACTTGCTACTGCTACTTCTCCACTCAACTTGTATCACTCTCCCACACCCTTGTTTTAATTCCGCTTTCAAACTCCTGCCTCTCTCCTCACACACAGAACACAGCAATAACACTTGCTTTCCTCTCCACATCTCCACATTTTTCTTATTTATCCTTCACACATCACGCACACTTTCTCTCTTTCCCTCTCTCCCCTCTCTCTCTCCCCTCTCACTTTCACGCACACCACAGCATATACAATGGGTGTCTTTGGAGAGAAGCACACATCCTTGACCCGCGAGCAGAAGCGCCAATTGATCCATCAGGCCGACACACACAAGCTACGACCGACCGAAGTCTGTGACTGGGTCCAGGCAACATGGGGCCTCCGGATCGCCCGAGTCACCGTCTACTCCATTCTCCACAAGCAGCGCGCCTCCTTGATGGCTGGCCACAAGGACCTCTACCAGACCGTTCAAAACAGCCTTACCGGATTGACCGGATCATCTTCGACAACAACAGATGCATCAGGACAAAATTCGGCAAACACACACGCTTCGGCCGAGGACTGCCTTGACAGGAACAAGGAGACTGGTCGTGTCAACAAATACCGGGCCAGCCCAAACAAAAACAAGAACAAGAACAAGGATGCAACAACAACTGCTAACGGCTGCGAGAACAACAGTGCAACAGCAACGACAACAAAGGCTGCCACCAGGAAAGCCTCCGAGAGCAGCCAGGCCAAGAAAGCAACCGCCACCTCCTCGAGCAATAACAACATTAACACAACGACCCACAACAACAATACCAGCGGCAGCAGCAGTAATGGCAAGCGTGATCGAAGCAGCAGTGTTGCAAGCGATCGATCGTGCTCATCTACTTCCGCCGCTCAGGATGCGCTTGGCGAAGGTATGTCCCTCTTCACCAATTGCTTTGTTTGTGGATGTATTGGAGGTATCGAGAGTGGAGGAGGAGGAGGAAAGGGGGGGGGGGTGTCAGGTGATGACGACAATGCTCATCAAAGCACAAAAAAAAGAGTTGGCTGTGAGCTCAAAAGAAAAAGAAAAGGACACAAACAAAGAATGATGCGATGCGATGCGATGCGAGCAAAGAAGAAGAAGGATTTGAATGGGTATAGTGCACCCGTTCTTTTCTCCACTGTGGAGAGAGATGAGTTGTTTGTTTGTTTGTGTGCAAGCCAAAAACTCCCCTCGGGATTGGATTCAACCTTCATGCCGCGATCATATGAAAGGTTCGACGAGTCCTTTCCTTTTCCGGATCTCTTTATTTGTTCCCGCCATCTTACGCCCAAGCGAGCAGCAAAGTTGGGTTGGGGGGTAGCATTTCTGTGCTCTCTTGGTCCCTGATTCGGCTCGCTTCGGTTCACTGCCGTCAACCAGATATCATTCCAATTCAATCTTATATTAATCCTTATCCCCTTCATTACTCTATTAGCTGGAACGAGATGGGAGGGTCAGCTCAAGCGCGTGCGAGAGCCAGCCTCGGTTGAGCTCGACCGAGCCATGGTCGAGTTTCTCAAGAGTCCTGCTAGTGTTGACGGTCAAGGTCGTCGTCTCAATGATGCAGAACTTCAGTCCCATGCCCTGCGGTTAGCCCAGTCCATCCCTAGTGCCAGTCGTATGCGCTGCTCCTTTGGCTGGCTTCGTCACTTCAAGAGGCGCCTTGGTGTCCAGTGGGCTGCTGATCGTCTTGGTCGTTATCGTTGGATCGTCGAGATGGACCGTCAATCGGGTTCTGCTTCTTCTTCGACTGCCTCTACTCCAGCACTTCCTTTCAAGGATACAACCACCAAGGTCAAGCAGGAACACAACGACGACGACTTTGCGGATGATGTCGATGAAGAATACCATTCGACCAACGAGTTTGGTGAGACCCACTCGCCCAAGAAGCGCTCTCGGCGGTCTGTCTCTGGATCTACAGCATCTCTCTACAATGACAGCAGCATCCTCAGCATCCAGTCCACCGTCCCTCAATTGCAGCATCAGCACTCGCCTCAGTCGATCCTGGACTCTTACCCCAACCTCTTTGGCACACTCCCCCCTCTCCATATACCCTGCACTGCAACCACCATGGGCACCATCTCTCCCCTCGCCACTACCCTCGACCCCAAGCTGACCGCCAACGGTCTCTCGGCTTGTGCTACTTCGGCCTCAGCATTCGGAATGAGCGTCGACGGCAAGATGCGCAAGGTGCCCACCAAGGAGGAAGCGTACGAGATGCTTCAGAGACTGTTGATGTATTATGAGCAGGACCACTCTTACATTGGCGAGCAGCAGACCCTGCTCCTCCCCCGATGGATCCACCAACAGCGCCAGATCATGCACCAGATCCAAGTGAACGACCCCAAGATGATGTGGCTCCGCCAGAACAACATTCAACAACAGCAGCCACAACAGCAACACCAGGCGACGACAACCCAGTCATTCTTGTTCCCTTACCAATCCCTGGCCGCGATCCAGCCCCTGTCGACGGAGCCCCACCACCCTTACCACCGGTACCACTCTTCCTTCTCTCCCTCAACCTGCTCGACTGCCTCCCCTCCTGCCTTGTCACCCATGTCACCTCTCTCACCCGAGAGCCCTACCTTGAGCAGTCCCTTCAGTTTGGGACCTACTTTTGGTGGTTTGCAGCATCACAATGTCGACCCCTTTGTGTCTTCTGCTGCAAAGGCCGATCTTGCCTTCTCGACTACTATGGCCAGTCTTCAGCAGCAGATGCTTGGTAGCCATCCCGCTTTTTCCTCTTGAATCAGCTATATATATACAATATTACGTTCCCTCCACTCTCTTTCTTGTACATTATTACCCTTGTAGAAATAAATAACCAAACAGAATCAACAAAAAAGCGTCTTTGAACTTCGTTGCGAATGTTGGTGTCGTCAGGAAGAGAACGACATTGAACAGAAGAGAGATAAGTGGGAGTTTTTTGTCTTTGTCCTTGGAAAGGGATGAGGAAGTGAGATTCAGCTAAGGTGAGATGCAATTTGAGAACAAGTCCTTGTTTGTCCGAGCAAGGAGCGAAATGTTTTGATTTTTGGTGGCGCTCTTTTCTCGTGCCCACCAAGCAAGAGAAAAAAATATCTCCAACCGCGCCTTCCTCTCTTTCTCTTTCTTCGCAAACCACCGCACCTTCCATGCTACATTGATGAAATCAGCTGGCACATAAGAGTTCCCTCAATTTTTGATTCGCAAGGATGTGTTAGCAATTCTACAAATACTCAAGCACTTTGAAAGAATCTCCGAGGGCAAAAACAACAGGATCGACCCTGTCCCTTCGCATCCTGATTTCTTTTTTTTCTTCTTCATAATCCACCGCGCCTTCAGCTCCATCTTTTTGCCGCAGACGTTAGTGAACCAGTCGATACATAAAGGGTTTCTTGATAATTGATTGCAAGGATGTGTTAGCAACAAACTCTTTAAGAACTTTTGAATTTAACTAATTGAGGGTATACAACAGGTTCGGTCCTGTCCCTCCGCATCCCATTTTCATTTTTTTTTTTTTTTTTTTTTTTTTTCACAATCCACCGCGCCTTCAGCTCCATCTTTTTGCCGCAGACGTTAGTAAACCAGTCGATACATAAAGGGTTTCTTGATAATTGATTGCAAGGATGTGTTAGCAACAAACTCTTTAAAAACTTTTGAATTTAACTAATTGAGGGTATACAACAGGTTCGGTCCTGTCCCTCCGCATCCCATTTTCATTTTTTTTTTTTTTTTTTTCGTACACAATTTTATTTCTCTAAGCATAGACAAGTTATTTGGAAGTAAAAGGGGACTAGACAAAACTCTTCAGTGCACCATCCACCAGTCGCAGTCCGGTCCAGAACCTGGCTCTGCGCAACAATTGTCGCTGCTCTTCACAGCTTAAACGGAAGAAAATAAAACTAGATACGAATAAAGGGGATTCTTCCCATCCTCTCCATCATTAACAACCTCCTCCTTCCTAACAAACTCTCTAACAACCGCTCGTCAGCAGCGCGTGGCTCCTTGGTCGCTCCAGGGCACCTTCCTTCATCATGTGTGGCTAGCGAAGCGCCACACGGACAGAAACTATCGTGCGTGATGTAACCGTATCCTTGACTCCAGTCACCTCGGGGGCCTGTGTACTTGGATGTCTTGTCCTTGGCAGAGATGCCCTGGCTTTGTTCCCACGCGATCGTCGCGGAGCACCGAGGTTTCCAGATCAGCTCCGAGGCCTGCGCCTCCAGGTAGCCAACAAACTTGTGAAGGACTGTCTTAGCGATGGACATTGGGGTCCGGAAGACCGCAGACCATTCAGTCAACATGCTTATGGGAGTAATGCCTCGGAGGAGGTCCGACACGTTCCACATCGGGCTTTCGTTTTTTTTTTTCTTCACAATCCACCGCGCCTTCAGTTCCATCTTTTTTACCGCAGACGTTAGTGAACCAGTCGATACATAAAGGTTTTCTTGACAATTGATCACAAGGATGTGTTAGCAAAAAGCAAACTCTTTCTTCGGAACTTTGAAAAGGATCAACTTCATAGCAATGAGGGTACATCAGGTTCGGGCCTGCCCCTTCGCATCCCATTTTCTTTTTTTCTAGCTTTTTTATTCTTGCCTGCTTCGCCTCTTTTGCACTTCTGTTCCTCACCCATTCATTCGTACCAACAGCTCTTTGATTCTCTGGTTTTAGCTTCCCTTCCTGCTCCAACACCTGAAACTTCTTTCACCTTGCGCATTTCATCTCTGCCGAATTCCATTCCTCTGAGATTGATGGTCCCCGAATTCTCGCACCGGCCAAATGATAACGGTCGTCATCAATTGATCAGTGATGTGAGACTAATAAGCGTGTACTCAGTAACTTATTTCTTTTTCGTAGGATGGGAGAAATAACCGAGAGAGAAATAAAGAGAGTGAATGGAAGAAAGAAGGTCGAGTCTTCCTCATGTTGGTGTATGTTGATTTAACAAGGAAGTATGAGCGGCAACGAACATGGAATTCAATGCATCGATTATTTCTTCTTCCCAGCTTCGACCCTTGGTCGCCACATGCAAAACCTCGAGTCTTTTTTTTTCATACACGCATGCAGGTCATCGCTTCTACTTCCTTCTACATTTTTCATGCCTTTTCTACCTCATCTCCTTCTCACACACTTTCACGTACCATTCACAAAACAATGACTTCAGTCATATCAATCAGCAGTGCATCAATATACTCCTCCCGCGACTCCACCAAAACCTACACCCCACGCCAAGAAGGACCCAGGAAAACTCGAATGCAAAATTCCCCATCAGCCCCAATGTCAGTATCAGCACGCTCATATCCCACCTCCACTCACACCTCCTTTGCTGCTGTGTGACATCACTATACAGCTGCCGCCGGATCTTGAGACACAGATATCACAAGAAATGCTTAGTGGACTTTATGTCTGCCGTAGTAAGAGTACCAGACAAGGCTTCAGGAACAGCAACGACCAGGTAAATATAAATCCTAAACGAAGACAGAGAGATGCGATAATGGTGCCTTTTGCTTGAAGAGAGAAAACTATTTACTTCTGCGCTGCTGCCATTTTTTTTTATGTTGTTGACGGAGGCCCCGGAGGCCAGTACTCTTACTAAGGACGGGGATGTCTGAAGTCAATGATATCCATGCTGTTTCTGAGCTTTTCCGGCCGACTCACCGCCGTCGGCGTCATCGTTTTCAAGTGGGGATGGGGTGGGGATTCTATTAATTTTGACTATGGGGGTAATGAGGGCGAGAATCACCAGGGCAAAAGTGACGAGAATGAGGAGGACTTGATGCTCTATAACAGCAATAACATCAGTAGCATCAACAGTAACAACAGCAAAGACAACAACAACATTCCAGCTCCACCTCCACCTCCAATGTATAGAATCCTCCAAACGACAATACAGGAACTGGGAACAGGAATGTGCGGACATCCCAATGACCTACTACGCGTTCAAATGAGAATTCTCGTGCGTTGTAATGCGCCCAGGACAGAAAAAAGAACCCCATTGTCCCAAAAAGAGGATCCTTAATCACAGGAGCAAGGGAACCGATGTTGTGAAACATGAGTCAATTCGACTGAAAACGGTTAAAGGACATCGCTGACAGTGAAGGAGACAAGACCCTGCCGCACCACTATCCCGGCGCGCCCACTTGTGCAAAAGAAAGAAAGAAAGAACGCGGAGATCAAAAGCGAACCCTAGAACGTAAAGGCAAAAGATAATGAAAGTGCCGGGACTCGAACCCGGTTCTCAGGCTTGGAAGGCCGGAATGATACCCATATACTACACTTTCTTTGTTATTGTTGGAACCAAGGTTACAGGATTTTATTTTAATACCACCCATCACATTCGCTAATTCTCAGACGCCACCAAAAAAATGGCCAGTGTTTTTTTTTTTTTTTTTTTTTTTGGAGCGGTTTTAGAAGTTTACCATCCTCGGCTAAAGCCGAGCTCATGGGCTTATTAGCCGCAGTCTTGTCAGCACCACCGGAACAGGACATTGTGGTCAAGCTGGACAATCAGTACGTGGTGGAACAGTATAGTCGCCTGGTGAAGAATCGTCGGGACACCTTACCGAGGAAGCGATTCAGGAGTACATATGCAGGTATCTGGGCGGTGCTTTGTCAGGTTGTGGAATCTCGGCCAGGCGGGGTTGAGGTGGTGTGGATCAAAGGTCACAGCAACATCCACGGAAACGAACTTGCGGATCAGGCGGCGAAGGTGGCAGCACAGAGTGGTTCAGTGCCCTGGATGGTGGATCTCACTCAACAGACGGATATCACGACCTTTGCACATTGTTACGGCGGGATTGTTGAAATCGATCTACGTCAGCTCCTCAAACAACAATCGACAATCCGTCACCATCAGGCCTGGACGTCACAGAGGCGGGTCAAGAGGGCGATCCCTGACATCGATGACGTGGAATGGAACTCGACCTTGGCTTATGTCCATGACAGGCACGCAGTCTTCACCTTTTACAGCAACAGCAAGGACTCTCACCAACGCACACATCATATCAAAAAGCTGCATGGAATGCTGCCCACTCTGAACTCCATGCAGGCTCGCAAGCCCAACCTGTACCCAACATGCGTGTGCCGACGATGCGAGCTCGAGAAGGAGGATAACGATCACGTCTGGAAATGCCCTTCGGCAGCTGAGACCACCACTGAGATCTGGAAGGAGGCCATGGGCAAGATTAACGAGTGGGGTGTGCAGGCGACAAACAGCTACAACGCAGCCAGGAAGCGAGAATACAAACGCGCGGTGGACAGAGGTCGTCAGGTACCGAGGCCAGTACCCATACACTGGTGGCCCCCTTCGGATGCGGATCATGTGCGAGGATTTTCCTCCATCGGTGGAGCTCGAGCCGTGCACAGCGGTAGTCCAGCTCTCGATCGAGACGAGAAACCGATGTGGAATGTGTCGGATCTCCTCCGCGGCATCACCCCCTTGAGCATGTTGACTGAATGGTCCGCGGTTTTCCGGACCCCAATGTCCATCGCCAAGACAGTCCTTCACAAGTTTGTTGGCTACCTGGAGGCGCAGGCCTCGGAGCTGATCTGGAAACCTCGGTGCTCCGCGACAATCGCATGGGAACAAAGCCAGGGCATCTCTGCCAAGGATAAGACATACAAATATACAGGCCCCCGAGGTGATTGGAGTCAAGGATACGGTTACATCACGCACGATGGTTTCTGTCCGTGTGGCGCTTCGCTAGCCACACATTGTGAAGGAAGGTGCCCTGGGGCGACCAAGGACCCACGCGCTGCTGACGAGCGGTTGTCGGAGAGTTTGTTAGGAAGGAGGAGGTTGTCAATGATGGAGAGGATGGGAAGAATCCCCTTCATTCGTATCTAGTTTTATTTTCTTCCGTTTAAGCTGTGAAGAGCAGCGACAATTGTTGCGCAGAGCCAGGTTCTGGACCGGACTGCGACTGGCGGATGGTGCACTGAAGAGTTTGGTCTGTAGTCCCCTTTTACTTCCAAATAACTTCTCTATGCTGTTTGTTAGAGAAATAAAATTGTGTACGAAAAAAAAAAAAAAGGTTTTAGAAGTTTACGCAGAGCCAGGTTCTGGACCGGACTGCGACTGGTGGATGGTGCACTGAAGAGTTTGGTCTGTAGTTCCCTTTTACTTCCAAATAACTTCTCTATGCTGTTTGTTAGAGAAATAAAATTGTGTACGAAAAAAAATGGAGCGGTTCTAGACTGCAGCAGCAAAAGGAAAAGGAAGCACTCAGTCAACAACACCGCTTGGTCGTTGCTCGCCTAAAAGAGACCCTATCCCGCCCCAAGGAGACGAAACCACAACGCAAAACAGCCTTCGACACAAATGCTAGCTTTCCTTTGCAAGAACGCCATCAAGTCAAACCACCGCCTGTATCAGGACCCCCCACTACACAGATCGGCCCACTTTGCCTGTCTCCAGCAGAGGCGGCGTCCATGCGCGTGGTTCAGGACACACACGTTGACAACTCCACCCCTCGCATTCTGTACTCTGACGGATCTCTTCTGAACTCAGGAACACCGGAAGTATCACAGGCCTTTGGAGTGGTGGATCTCACTCAGGACAACCCTCTGACGGTACAAGGACGAGCGGACGGTCACGCATCCTCGGCTAAGGCCGAGCTCATGGGCTTATTAGCCACAGTCTTGTCAGCACCACCGGAACAGGACATTGTGGTCAAGCTGGACAATCAGTCAGTGGTGGAACAGTATAGTCGCCTGGTGAAGAATCGTCGGGACACCTTACCGAGGAAGCGATTCAGGAGCACATATGCAGGTATCTGGGCGGTGCTTTGGCAGGTTGTGGAATCTCGGCCAGGCAGGGTCGAAGTGATGTGGGTCAAAGGACACAGCAACATCCATGGAAACGAGCTTGCGGATCAGGCGGCGAAGGTGGCAGCACAGAGTGGTTCGGTGCCCGTGATGGTGGATCTCACTCAACAGACGGATATCACGACCTTTGCACATTGTTACGGCGGGATTGTTGAAATCGATCTACGTCAGCTCCTCAAACAACAATCGACAATCCGTCACCATCAAGCCTGGACATCACAGAGACGGGTCAAGAGGGCGATCCCTGACATCGAGGACGTGGAATGGAACTCGACCTTGGCATATGTCCACGACAGACATGCAGTCTTCACTTTTTACAGCAACAGCAAGGACACCCATCAACGAACACATCATATCAAAAAGCTGCATGGAATGCTGCCCACTCTGAACTCCATGCAGGCTCGCAAGCCCAACCTGTACCCAACATGCGTGTGCCGACGATGCGAGCTCGAGAAGGAGGATAACGATCACGTCTGGAAATGCCCTTCGGCAGCTGAGACCACCACTGAGATCTGGAAGGAGGCCATGGGCAAGATTAATGAGTGGGGTGTGCAGGCGACAAACAGCTACAACGCAGCCAGGAAGCGAGAATACAAACGCGCGGTGGACAGAGGTCGTCAGGTACCGAGGCCAGTACCCATACACTGGTGGCCCCCTTCGGATGCGGATCATGTGCGAGGATTTTCCTCCATCGGTGGAGCTCGAGCCGTGCACAGCGGTAGTCCAGCTCCCGATCGAGACGAGAAACCGATGTGGAATGTGTCGGATCTCCTCCGCGGCATCACCCCCTTGAGCATGTTGACTGAATGGTCCGCGGTCTTCCGGACCCCAATGTCCATCGCTAAGACAGTCCTTCACAAGTTTGTTGGCTACCTGGAGGCGCAGGCCTCGGAGCTGATCTGGAAACGTCGGCGCTCCGCGACGATCGCGTGGGAGCAGACCCAGGGTATCTCTGCCAAGAACAAGACATCCAAATACACAGGCCCCCGAGGTGACTGGAGTCAAGGATACGGTTACATCACGCACGATGGTTTCTGTCCGTGTGGCGCTTCGCTAGCCACACATGATGAAGGAAGGTGCCCTGGAGCGACCAAGGAGCCACGCGCTGCTGACGAGCGGTTGTTAGAGAGTTTGTTAGGAAGGAGGAGGTTGTTAATGATGGAGAGGATGGGAAGAATCCCCTTCATTCGTATCTAGTTTTATTTTCTTCCGTTTAAGCTGTGAAGAGCAGCGACAATTGTTGCGCAGAGCCAGGTTCTGGACCGGACTGCGACTGGTGGATGGTGCACTGAAGAGTTTGGTCTGTAGTTCCCTTTTACTTCCAAATAACTTCTCTATGCTGTTTGTTAGAGAAACAAAATTGTGTACGAAAAAAAGGTTTCTAGTGGTGTAAAAATGTTCCATGAAAACAGAAAATATGTCGACAATGTGAACGAGCGGAGTTGATTCCAGACGATTGTGGACTCTAGTTCCCCGAGACAAACTGTGGCACTGGGGGCACCTTGAAAAAATCCCTTGAAAAAATCCCTTGAAAAAATCCCTTCTTTTGTATCGCTGAAAAATGTAATTTTGATAACATACATACATAAGTGACAGACAGGTCCCCTTGTAGTTCTTACAAATGCTTGGTTATTTGAGACTCTGAGTACGTCGTAAGTGTGAAGGGAAGAGACATGAACAATGAGGGGGAGAATAAACACAGCTTTCAGCTCACCCTGCGACAAAAGATCCAAAACATCTCCTGAGTTCAGCTGGCGTCTCTGCCCCATCACAAAAATCTCGTTCCAGATGCACCCTGCCCGCCCACAGAAAAGCCGAACAAAAATAATAAGATGTCCCCCTGCATTAACGCGACTGACACGCTGAAAAAATAGTCAATTGCTCACTCTGCCTCTGGAGACAGTGACTCCATCGGGTACCAGGTCCTAATTCTGTCTCCCTCCTACCCAGTGGACCTACTCGTCTCACCGCCTCAGCCCACTCTACTTCCTGGGGCCATTAACACAGAATCAAGTGCCCTCCTAGCCTAACCTTCCGCAGTATCACCGAGCCACCTTTTAGAGAGAGAGAGAGAGAGAGAGAGAGAGGTTAGGTCGCAGTGTGACAAACAAGAAAAAAAACGTTGTTTGTTTTTAATCCAAAAGAGAACCATGGAGGGTAGCAAGAAAATAACGTTCGGTTTAATGACTAGTCAATTTCAACTCGGACATCATCGCGCCCAACATGGCGCAACCAAGACTTGACAAGGGCTCGCTTCTTCTTGCCATCGATATACAGCCTCAACACCTTCAAGTTGGGCCAAATGGTGCCCATCCACTTGATGACATCCTCCGAGATGACTCTTTCGGTGCCATGGACATCAAAGTGGGTCAATTGGTGCAACGCAGCCAGCTGCTCAAGGCCCGATTCAAAGTTGATCGGAAAATGGTTCGGCAAGATATGGATCCGACGGAGGTTGGGCAGATGGCTGAGGTTGGTGTAGATTGCTTGACATTGGCGAGTGTTAACATGTAGCGTCGCGAATCCGATTGAAATCACTTCCAATCTGCGACACGCCCAGGAAGTCGCTGTTATAGCTACTTGTGGTCTTACACGACCCCATTCCGGTATGTCTTCCTGTGCATCCTGCTCCAGCTCTTGTTGTTGTTGTTGATGTTGTTGTTGTTGTTGTTCCTGTTGTTGGGTGACATAAAAGAGCCAAGGGTCAAGAGAGACACCGGAGGCGTCGAGGTAGCGCAGGTTATGGGCGCGTGTCATCAACTCAATGAGCTTCCTGCCGTCGACACCCGGTTTCCGAGTAAAGGCTACACTCAGCTCCTCCAACTGCCCAATCCGATCCTTGAGGGCTTTGAAGGTTTCTGGTCCAAGATCACATCGAGGTACATGGAACGACCTCAGTCCTGAAAAAGTCTCCAGTAACCGTGCCAGCAGCGCATCCTCAAAATCAGAACCATACCCTGGGTCGATGTGGATCCGTGTCACGCGCGGACAAAATCCTGCAAAGCGATCGATCGTCGAGACGGTCCAGTCCCAGCGCGCCCTGGAAGGTCCCATGATCTTCAATTCCTCCAGCTGCGGACATCGTTGCATAAGACAAAAAAAGTCCTGCTCTGCCCACTGTAGCCCGTCTAGATGGAGTCGTCGGAGCGACATTCGCTTTGTGGGGTGTTGTTGCCCCTGTCCTAGAGGTCCCTGGTCCTCGGTCAAAAGCGGACTCTGTGGCGACCAGACAACGCGTAAAGATTCCAGTAGCGGATAAGTGTCCAGGACTTGGTGAATGTAGCGCCTGTCGCGTGTGTTGGAGAGTAATCCGATATCCAGATGTTTCAGTCCCGAAAACTTGCCCAGACAGCTGTTCAGGATATGGACTGCGGTACTGGAGCTGTTGGCCGGAAAACCGCAATCGAGCGTCAAGTACTGTAATAGCGAAAGGTCGTTCCGAGCCAGAATTGCGATCAAAGTGAGTCGATGCAGGTATCCATTGAAAGCCGCTCCTCTCGTTTCTCTCCCGCCTTCTTCCTCGTTGTCATCGTCGTCGTCGTCGTGCTGTTCTCCAACACCTGTAGAAGTGTCATCGATGGTGAGATCCCGGATCCGATAGAGGTTCGTTTCCAATTGCTCCAGAATCTTAGGGAATGGTTGGGCGAGACGGAGCTGGATAGAGAACCAGAGGACCGGGAGGAGGGACTCGTAAAAGTGGCGAGAGACAACAAGGCTGTCGAGGAGACTGTGTCGGTCGAGGTAACAGCCTATACGCTCTAGAATCTCGGGTAGGGCCAGCGCGCGTGTTGTAGCACTGTTTGGGTCCAAGGAGTTGAATGGTGTTTCAGCATTGGCGTCGGGGTCTGGGTCGCCACGATCGCGGTCGGGAGTGCGGGAAGGGAGCTGGGAGGCTAATGAGCACGAGACTAGGTGCAGTGCTCGGGAGAACATTACCAACTGGTAGGAAAAGGAAAGAGAGAGAAAGAGATGGCCAACCGATGGGGGCACGTTGTTGATGGGAGAAGGGGTGTTTTTGTTGCCTTATTTTATTTGATGACGCGAGAGGTTTGAGAATGAAACGAGGCAGGGGATGGGGAAGAAGGAAAGAAGGAAGGAAGGAGGAAAAGGAAAGGTTATGAATGGTGATGAGCAAATGGTCGTGTAGAAAGAAATGAGTGTGTGCTTGTGCTAGAGAGAGGAATGGCCGAAGAAAAGAAAGGAAGTGAGGAGTTAAATCCGCGCCCTGTGTCGTGGTGGCGCAACACAACTAAAAGTCTAATAAAAGGGAGTGAACGCGTTGGAAAGGTTGTTGTTGTTTGTTGTGATTGGGTTTGTGCCATGGTCACGGAGATAGAAGGAGGGAGATAGAAGGAGGGAGATAGAAGGAAGGAGACAGAAGGAAAGGACCAAAAATAGCCGTAGTTGAGAAGCTATTTTTGAGGATGAGGGATGGGGGCAAAGGAGAACAGGGGTTGCACGGGCAGCAAAGAACATAACCCTAGGGCCTGGACAATGGGGCAAAGCACCCACCCTCTTGACATAGTAATAATAGAACGAAGGATGATCACCATCATCCTTCGCAGCGGATAGAGTAAAGACGCCGTGTCTTATTCTTATGTTCATGTTCTAGGACATCGTCTCTTCTTCTAACAAAGATAGGAGGACGCGTTTGTATTTCGCGGCTGCAATCATAGGCCAATACATGTGACGAACAATTCACTGGCAGAAAGGACCCTGGAAAAGACTAAGACGAGACAGGTCCCATGGCGTATGAGTTGTATAGGTACATAGACAGAATATGTAGAGTGCCTGTTGGGATGACAAAAGCTCGGTAATAGAGAGCGAGAAAAAACAAGAAAAAGCCGATCGGACATGCAAGGCAGCAGCTGGCACTAAATGTTTGTGGGAAATGAAAAACAAATTGCAATAGCGTCAAACAAATGTAAGACGGTGGACAGGGGGACAAGCTGGAAAAGGGAAGACGACATGTAAAATGACAAAAGAAAGGGAGGGGTCCATCGCTTTCAGATGTAGAAGGAAAACGGCCGTTAGTCTTTGTGTTGCAAAATATGGTCCACGAGGCCAAGAGGTCTTATGTGATGGCACATCTACTTCAGCAACATAGGATAAGGCTGCTGGCTTTTTTGTATTTGTTAGCTGTGGACTAAGTGCAATTTGCGCTCATTACGCTTATGCATGTGCACCCTGCCTGAGTCAGTTTCGGGAAAAATGGCCCTAGAGGGTGGGAGATTAGAAGGCAAATGATGCGATTGGAAGGTCAGTAAGGCAGGAAAGACACCCTGTCCATCTCGCTAGATGGGCTACAAAAGGCGTGGCTTCTCTTCCCCTTGATTTTCTTTATGTCCGATAATTAGCACTTGGATCGGTACAAGCCAATGAAGGGTCATAAAGGCTATTTGTTATAGTAGGAAAACGGGGTACTGAACTGTCTGCAAGGCAGGGAACCCTGTCCATCTTGAAGCGAGGCGGTGCCTCCTCCTTCCTTTTGTTTTCCATTCTTTTGTCCATCTATTATCACTTTGAGTAAGAATAGCCAATGGTGAAGAATCATAAGAGGGATTTTATTGTTCCCTCTTGTCTAGTTCATCCGTTCATCGATTTTACTATGACCATCGTAGGTAGGCAGCTTGATGTCCTGCGGAGCGTCATGAGCTGCCTGCCATGCGTGCTGTTGCTATCATATCCAGGCACCATGTTCGGCGCCAGATCGCCCTCTTCTTTATTGGTCAGGGGTCTTCATTTCAAACACAAATTGACCAAAACCCTAATTTCAGGGCAGACCGTGTTGATCAGTGACGAATGGGATGGAGCCCAACAGACCTTCCACGCCCTTGCCGGATTGGTCATTTCTTCTTCATTATTGAACACAATAAATTGAAGAAAATGGTTCAGCGGACTAACCGATCCAAAAGCCTCCTGTTCATCTTCTTGCACGCCAGGTTCAGATTAATTACTGAATCAAATGAGATAATATATTCAGATCAGGGGTCAAAAGGGAAAAAGGTAAAACGTCCATTTGATTGAACTCAGCAGACGTTACAAGGTAATTAAGGTTGATTGCGCAAGTTCAAACCTTGCTTGTCAAAGAGATAGCTTGTAGTGAGTGTACATTCAAACTTGATGCGAGCTGGGGTCATACTTTTCCTTGCCATTTTTTTTTGTTTTCTCTTTCCTGCCTATTCAACAAGGCACCACTCTCTCCCTCTGTCTTCTCCCCGCTTTAGCCTTTTTCTCTAACAAGTGGTGCCTGAAAAAGGGACAAAGGGACGACAAAGGGAGAAAGAACGAATTCATACAAAAGGAACGAGACCCCCACCCAGGAACCACCTTTTTTTGTTCTCTATTCCTCATTAGTCTCATCCCACAGCAAAAAAACCACCAGCAACAAACAGCCTGCCTGCTGCTCTCATTCATCCCTCACCTTCATCATCCTCCACGCATCCACTTCCACACTCACACTCGTACCCCAATCATCTTCCTCCTTGTATCATACATATTAGAGCCCCACCCACCTCCTTTTCCTTCCCAGTCCACTTCAACGGTCTCCTTTTATATACCTTAGTCATTTCTCCTTGATTTCTAAAAACATACATACACACCGAGAATGAAATTCGATACGCTCCTCCTTCAGGTCGCCCTGATTCTCACAATCTACGCGCCCTCTGCATCCCTCGCAAAACCAACACCAGCACCAGCAGGAGGCGTCACCATCTCTGCTGGTTCCGATAAGATCTACAGCTGGACCCTCCCCGATATGCCGTCGACCCTCCAAATGCTCTCACAACCCCTTGCGCTCTCCAAGCCCCTTGTCTCCGGCAAGGATGAGTTTGATATCGTCCTCGAGTCCTCCCTAAAGAAGGGTGGCAACAAGAAGAAGCAAAAGAGAAGCGGTCCTAGCCGTCTCGATTTCTCTGTCGAAGCTGAAGCTGCTGCTGCTGCTGGCGACGTCTCTATCCTTGCTGCCGCCTCGACCGGCTCTGCATCCCCCTTTGCAAGCGGTGAGCGTGTCCTCCGTTCCCTCTACCCTGTCGGTTCCTATTCTCACTCCGGCGACAAGCATGCCTCCTTTGTCTCGACTCCCCTCCCTCCCGCAGCCTTCACTGGCCCCAAGAGCCGCTACATTCGCCTCGAGTACCAGATGATGTTCCAGCCCGGTTTCAACTGGGTCAAGGGCGGCAAGCTTCCCGGTATCCTGATGGGCAGCGAGTTGGGTTGTAACGCCGGTTGCTCTGGCGGCGGGACCGCCGAGAACTGCTTCTCTACTCGTATGATGTGGCGCGCCAACGGCATGGGCGAGCTCTACCTCTACGCCGCAAAGTCTGTTTATTTCCCGAACGAAGGTCCCGGCAAGTGCAAGCGCAGCCTCGACAAGAGCTCGCCCGAGGCTATCTTTGAGCTCCAGAAGCGCTGGATGGAAGATTCCCACATCCCTGAGATCCCCCACGAACTCGCAGCCAATGGCGGCGGCTGCCTGGACGGCATGGGTGTCACGATCTCCCCCGGCGCCAGGAACGAGTGCAACTCCGCCTTCGGCATCTCGGTCGGTCGCGGTGGCAAGTTCCAGTTCAAGTCGGGCCAATGGCACAATATTACCCAGGTTGTGCGTGTCAACTCTAAGGGCAAAGCCGTCCGCGATGGATACATGGCTGTCTATCTTGATGGTACGCCTGTCGTTCAGGCCAACAAGCTGGTCTTGCTCAAGAACGGATACGACCCTGCCAAAGGCGGTGACAGCCGGTTGGTCAAGTTTATGTTTTCGTCCTTCTTTGGTGGCGGCTCCAAGGACTATGCCACTCCCACCAAGCAGTGGATCGCCTGGAAGGACTTCAAGATGGCCACCAACTCCAATAATGCCTGGGAGCATTAAGTTTGACTTTCTGTTGACCAGAGATCGACTTCCTTCCCTCTATTGTACACCTTATCCTTCCTCTTCCTTTATGTAAATTATCCCTCCCCTGGCTACTGTATATAGCATATCATCTCGCATCTCACACCACACTCCGTAGACATAAAATCAATGCAGATAAAACTGTATATCCATAACTTCCTGTGAGCTAGTGTGACAATGGTGTATCGGTTGTGCGCTGCATAGAACTTGATTGGAGAACCATACAAAAAAATGCTTGCTTTTCTTTGTGATGCATCCTACACAAAAGAGAACAGAGAAATAAAAAGCTCTCCATCGAACTCTCTTTTTTCCTCTCTTCCCCCACTCTTTCCCTCTCTTTTTTTCTTTGTTGTCATAACAGTGCACAAACCATATTGACGTGTGCTCTCAACAAAGAACCTTCTTCGTGATCAAAAACAACCCTATTCCCACTATCTGCTCTCAACTCGATCTGTGATAGTGGGCTTCTTGTCTACTCCCCTAGTCCCACTCACACCCCTCATTTACATTTTGCTCAAAAATCAAAAATCAAAAATCAAATGCTCAGGAACGCGCCGGTCGATCGGCACTCGGAAATGGATAGATGAAGTGACATTGGTTTGTCTCGTCCATAGAGAAAAAGCACGATAGCCTCCGTTCTGTATCATAGGTGTCTTTCAGAGCAAAACGTTACCATCGACTGCTCTCACCTCTCCATTTTCATTTTTTATCTTTGCGCGAGTGCGTGAATCGTAACGGACAGGGAGAGAGGGAGGGTGAGTCAGAGTGAGGAGCCGAGGGAGAAGAAATTAATGGTTCATGATTGATTGCTTAGGAATAAAGTGGGGACAAAGAGGCGGAGATGTTACAGAAAGAAACTCTCTCTCTCTCTCTCTCTCAAACATATACACGGACAAACACTCCAACAAGTTCACAAAGAACATGTACTTCTTTTTACTAATATTGTTTCTACTTTTCGGATACGTATTAAAGTATGATTCTGTGAAGAAAACAAAAACAAGGCGGGCAACCGATGTGCTGTTTTCGTAGGACGTCCGATGATAGCCGATAATACCATGTCGCAATTGGATTTTCCATGAACCATTCTTTGTGCTCCTCTCCTTTGTAACCAAAGGTGTCGTTGGATATGGTAATGTGCCGTCCTCAATACCCGATTACTGTGGATGCAACCGTTGATTCGATCGCTCCTGGGATCTTGGAAGTCCCTTGGCTTTTACATCCAACTGAGAATGAGGCGAGACAAAGAAAGAAAAGGAGACATCGAGTTAGTACAATCGTGCCGAGCACCGCTTTTTTTTGCATCATTGCTTTCCTTGAGCATTCGAGTGAAGATGCACTAACCAATAACCAACTGGTTTTTTCTTGATCGGAGCTCTTTTCAAATGACACGCCTTTTTGGAGGATGTGGCGCATGGTTGTTCGCCCCATAGCGATTCCTTTGTTATGATCTGTCAACGGTTTTTCATTTCGAACTTGACCATCCTGGATCTTCGATAACGCCATGTAGTAAACGAGCTTTGGGAATGTCAAAGAAATTTCGCTGGCGATTCTGGGGTTGTAACATACATGTCCCGAAGGGGTACTCAGCAATCGCAATGGCGTACTTGTGCGATCCGGGTCTATATTGCCCACAAAGATACTGAGACCATCGACCGCCTCGCGTTTTTATTTTTCAATGCTCTTGTCGTGGTTGGGGATACGCCTTGAGATTGGAAATGTTGAAGGAGGGTCCTGGAAAATGGTCGCGCATTCGGCGCTTTCGACGGGACACGGAGACGACATCCTTTATTTGGACAGCACAAGGTGCTGGATACACTGAGAGATTACAATCCATAGGGCCTTCTTGCTTGATTGGGTTAATGTTCCTTGCGGTCTTGAATAAATGATGATGGGGCGTGTTCGATCGACCTGTTACTTTGACTCAGACGCAATATATCCTATTACGCCTTTCAGAAATGACATCTTTTGGTGGAACAACGAGACCAACCAGATACCGAGTTATGATACTTTTTTGGAACTGTGCCGATTCAGGAACATTGTAAAAAAATTAACACCGGCGTGATGGATTAGTGTCGACGGTGTGGTCCTTCTTGCGAATTGTAACCGATGCTCTTCATCGCCCTCGAAATAAAGTTGTTTGTCGAGCTCGCTCGCCCACCCTGGCTGTTGTTGAGTATTGTTGGTCCAGAGAGGGTGATTATGATCAGGTGCGGGCCTTTCGCTAGCGCCTTTTTTTACTGTATTTTTGTCAACAATTCAGATAATTGTACGTACTCGTATAACCGTTTCATTTTTTCATTTCTCTTGGACCAGGGGATGAGTCTTTCGAGCCTCATTCCATCTTTCGGCGACACGTTCAACTCAGCGATATGTTCATCGAGATCCCCAACCATCTTTTTTTCCATTGGATGGCTACGGCGGTGGCAATTTGTAAACAGGACATTGTGAACTTGGATACAAATCGTCAATGGTTGTCGGCCTTCTTGCGTTGTTTATATTCGAATTCGATGCTTTACAGTGTCCTATCCTGGGATATCCTTGGTTAAAAAGGGCTACCATCCATGCTCTCAGAAACAGCACCCCTCCCCTCCACAACCAACAAGAAACCCAGGTGGATCGATTCAGGTGTATGTCTTTGCTGTATCCTCTGCTCCCCCCCCCCCCCTCTCTGTCGATCTCCATGTCGAATGTCTTGAACAACATCCACCAACGCTTTGTTTGATGTCGAAAAATTGTCGGATTCGACGGAGATGAAGGCCAGAGGTGTTTGATGAATGGTGAAAAAAAGTAAATATATATATATATATATCCTTACACAAACAAAGGGTCCTCTGTCGACTACCAATAGTATCGATCTCCGCCTGCATTGGATTTTTTGTTGGGCCGCAGAGGGGCGATGGGCGATGTGTTTTAGTTCCTGGGATCAAAGACAGGGTAAGTTTTTGTTGCAATCATGCGCCAATCTGGAATACACCGGATGGGTCGCATTTCTTGTCTTGGTTTTGTCTTCGGTCTCGAATCGGCGAATAGGACTTCTGACGTGCCTATGGGATTCTTGGAGCTTTAGGGTGTCGACATGTAATGGACTCGGATCTCCAGTCTTTTTCGTCTTTTTTCGTCTGTAGCTTGAGCACTCAGACTGGCACACTTTGTCATTTTCTTTGAGTTTTTACTACGATCATGTATTGCATGAAAAGAATTGGACACGTCTTTTGTGTCGAAAGTGCTATGAATTCGCGGCGTTGAAAAGAGCTGAGCAATGTGTCATATTGTCTTCTATCTCGCAGTGGCGATGAATGGTCATTTTAAAAGCGGGTGCAGCTCTGATTTCGCACTGCGGTCCATATTCAATTAGAGAGGTGGGCGATGTACACCGATTTGAGTGTTTATTGCCATTATTATTTTGTTGTCAAGAAACAAAAACGGACTAAGAGGAGGACGGGGGGAAGACAAGAGACGAATCTATATCGAAACGAAATGGGAATAAAAGAAGAGAAGGGATGCGGCGACAAAAGGAAAAACTGAAAGAGTCTAATGGATAGAGGTGGTGTGATATGGTGATGAACTGAGGAAGGCGCATGGGTTGATTGATGTTGATCCTTCTTATTGTGTGCGTGTGTGCGTGTGTGTGTTTTCCCCATCATCACCACTTCGTCGTGCTGTAGTAAAAATGACAGTAGAATAGGAAGGAGAGAGAATAGAGCAACCATAAGAAGATCAACAAAACGACGCGTTCATGTAGTTTGCATTTGATCTACCATACCTGACCTTGAATGAACAGCGCGTTTACAAATCGGTCGTTCGCCAGAGAAGTGAAAATGTAGAGTTTGAAGGCTTTTTTTTATGTGCCTTTTGCCCTTATCCTAATGGTGTAACTGTTGTCACATGTCTCTCGCTAAGGCAATGATCCTCTAGGAACAGAAGTATTGTTAACAAAGAGACAGAGAGGAGGAGGTGAAAGAAAGAAGGAGAGATGGTGAGAACATTGAATTAGCCAAGCCCACACGTACTTTCTCATTTTCTTTCTGTGCTTTTCGAATCAACGAGGGCCTAGTAGCACTAGTTGACCCATGGTCACCAAGACAAATGGAGCACAAGCCCTTATTGATAGACCTCTTAAGTGACATCACATCCTTGACTTTGATCGATAGTAAGCCGTAAGCCTGTCGCCGCTACTCATCGAAGTGCAGACAAAAAAAAATCGTAAAAGTTGAGAAAAGAGTGGAGAGTGAAAACTATGTTTTCGTTCTTGATTTTTTTGAGCCGCAACAGAGAGGTGAAAAAAGAGGGGGTTGAACATCAAGAAAAAATGAAAGAGAACAAAGAACGGAGAGCGACATTCAGGTCAAGAAACACACACACAAAGACACATACGACGCATTGTGGTGTATAACTTAAAAGGTAGACGAACGAAAGAAACGACGATGATGCCCTTTTTCTCCATCAAAACGCTACCGTCCTCTTCTCTCCGAAACAAACGTTGTCATGAAATGAAATTCCGTTTTCTTCAGCTGTTCAAACCACCCTACGTACGCCTCTAAAATGGTCATTTTCATACACAGTGTTATTTCTCTAACAAAAAACACAAAGGAGGCATTTAAAAGTAAAAGGGACAATAGATACACTCTTTTCATCGTGCCATCCACCAGTTACAGTCTTGTCCGGAACAGGGCTCTGCACAGCACTTGTCGCTGCTCTTCATAGCTTAAATGTAAGACAAAATACACCTAAATACGAATAAAGGGGGTTCTTCCCATTCTCATGTGTGGCCAGCGAAGCGCCACACGAGAAGAAACTATCACGGGCGATGTAACCGTATTCTTGACTCCAATCACCTCGGGGCCTGTGTACTTGGATGGCTTGTCCTTGGCAGAGATGCCCTGGCTTTGTTCCCATGCGATTGTCGCGGAGCACCGAGGTTTCCAGATCAGCTCCGAGGCCTGCGCCTCCAGGTAGCCAACAAACTTGTGAAAGACTGTCTTGGCAATGGACATTGGGGTCCGGAAGACCGCGGACCATTCAGTCAACATGCTCAAGGGGGTGATGCCGCGGAGGAGATCCGACACGTTCCATATCGGTTTCTCGTCTCGATCGAGAGGATTGTCGTCGCGATCGGCCCAAAAAAAAAAAAAAAAAACCCCTAAAAAGAATACATGCATATCACGTGATATATCTATTGGTGGCGTTTCTGTATTATCTGTATAACAATGTAAAATTTTGAGGCGTTTTCATCCGGGTCTGTATAGTGTAGTGGTTATCACATGTCTCTCACTAAGACAAGGTCCCAGGTTCGAAACCTGGTGCAGACACAAGCACATCCATTAGGATGTTTTTTACTCTTCAGTTGAAAGGATCCTTACATTTTTTACGCCAATTATCACCTCGTTTGAAACAGGTCCTCGCCTTCCTTCGTTGACACCGTACTCTGGGTTTCGTCGAAAAGGTGAGATTATTTTTTGGTTTCCATAAACCAATGCCTTCTTCGTCTCTTTATTTCTCGTGTCCATGCGAAGAGTAATCCGTCACTCCAAGATGACTTTGTATGTTAGTCCTCTTAGCCATCCTCGGCTCTGCCTTCCAATCTAAAGTTAGGGTTTTCAAGGTTCACAACTTTGGTGCAAGCAGTAGCTGTAGGAGCTCATTCAGGGCTATTTTTATTATGGCTTTTCCCCGCGTCCTGGGGGTCTTTTTTTTTTTTTTTTTTTTTTTTTTGGTTGAAATGGTGCAACATGTATGGATTTTGAAAAGGCTTGATCTGTAGAAGCTAAATGGTTTCGCCACCAATTTCTTTTTCATCGTTGATCAGAACTGTATCATTGATCAGTCAGCCAAGGATAGCCACTCTGGGATTCGTGGTTTGATCAGTAATGATAAAACAAAAGGCTGGCGAAGCAGGAAGGAGGCGGGCGTCTGATTTGTATGCATGGGTATTTTCACTCGCTCTGTACATTACATGTCTTCAGTCAAACGTCTCTTACATTATTCTTGTCCTTGCTCTTTTTCCTGCCTAACAGAAACGAAAGTAACTGTTTATGTTGTCTGTGTACGTGGATGCTTTTGTGTGCATGTCCTTCTTACTCGTTTGCTGCCAGAGCCTCCTCCCTTTCGCTCCATTTCCTTGCTTCTCCATTTTGGATATCACAAAAATAAAATCGCAGAAACAAAGGTGCGTTTATTGTTTGTTCATCGTCATTGCTCGACCTGATCAACAGAAACAAGGTATGTCGACCCCTTGTTCACCGTAAATCTCAAAATGTCTCCATCTTTCACAAACGGCACCGGCTTCTTCGACCCCTTCATCACCACCGTAATAGCCTCCACCCCCTTACCATCAGCCATTAAAGTCGCCACTCTCAGATTCACAAGTCCCTTCCTGAGCGCCGCATACACCTCCACACTTTCCACCCGTCGATCTTTCCACTCCACGCCAACGACATGCCCATCCCTCGTCCGGTACCCATTAACTCTCCCTTGCTTCGCCCATCGCTCAGGGAGGCCCTCAAAACAGGTCAAGACATTCACGTCTCCCGAACGGGGTGACTGGACGATCATCTCGATCACGGCGGCGCCAAACCCAACATGGCCCGAGAGGTCAGAAAGGGAGAGAGGGACTAAGTTTGGAGAGACGAGGTTCTGGCGCTTGAATGTGTAGAGTGCTTGGTAGGCTTGGTGACCGTCGTTGACGCGGGCCCACGTCACGGCTCGCCAGGTTCTTGACCACCCTTGTTCATATCCGTTGCCGTCATCAGATAAGGATCCTGCACCACGGCTCCTGAGAGATACTTTTGCAGCCTCCACCAGCTCCTGCATCGTTGGCTCCTCCTCTCCATCTGCCTGCATCCCCGGACCTTGCTGCTGCTCCTGCTGGTAGATCTGATCACCAGGATAGACAGCATAAAGCGGCCCCAAATGCGCAATCCTCTCCCCAGGTTCATCTAGATCCAAATGCCACTCCTGCAACTGGCCCCACGACCCCACTTTCAACCCACTCGAAAGATTCGCCAATTTCCCCGTCAACTCCTGCACAAACGCCTTATCCTTCTCATTCACCACCGATATTGCCGCCTCCAAAGTCCTGTTCCAAAGTTGAAACACCAACTGCTGATCCAGCGCCGACCCCTCCGTAAAGGGTCCATGTCCCGGTGACTGCGAGGGGGACGACAAAAGCGACCCATTCCCACGATCCTTGACAAGAGTATCCATCCAGAACAACGACGCCCCCTTCATCAGCTTGTACGCCCGATCCTTCAGAAACTTGTCGTCCTGCGAATAAACATACCGATCCCAGAGATGTTGACACAGCCATGCCGCCGCCGCTGGGAAATAGAACGTATTCTTCGCAGATGTATCCGACAGAGGTCCAGTATGTGCCCAGATGTTGGAGAAGGGGTGAGTGGTCCATCCACGGGCCTTGTAGAAAAGCGAAGCAGTGTCCTGGCCGCGTGGTTGAAGGAGCTGTTCCATGTAATCGATCAGAGGGGTGACGGTCTCGCCCAGGTCGGTCGTCTCGGCCATCCAGTACTGCATCTGCAACTCGACATTCATCCCAAATTTCGACCTTAACACATGAAAATCATAGTTGTTAGGTTGCTGTTGATCACAACGTCTCTCTCCCCTTTTTTTCTTTCTTCAAAATGAAATCGGTACTTACGAGATAGAGGCATGGATGTTGTCATTCGAGGCCCAAATTCCGTTTCCTGTCACAGGCAACGAGCCTGGTCTGGACGAGGCAATCAACAGGTACCGACTGTACTGTACTAACAACGTCTCCAAATACGTCTCCTCATCCGCTGGCAAAGTTCCCCTCGCACTCCTGGCCACCAACTGGTCCGTCGTTAGAGTGTTCCTGACAGTTCCTTGGTCCTGGCTAGCGTCCCCAAACTCCACTCTGAACCTGGAAAATAACTCTCCATAATCACTCAAATGCTTGGCCACCAAATCGCCATACCACCCTATAACAGCCTTATCCAGCACACCTACCAACCGCTCATGCGGATCCAGATTGGTAAACTCTGGAAACGCACTCGCAGTCCATCCGGTTCCAAAAGTATAATAAAGCGTAACAGCGTCGAATCCCAAGAGAACAATCTGTTGTGGACTGGTTGCAAGCGAGATCCCTGTGGCGCCCTCTGTTGTGACGGCCACCTGGGCTTCGATGGTGAGGTTATTGGAGTCCAGATGTGATTTGAAACCGAGTCGGTTGTGGATGTTTGTGTACTCTGCGGTTGTGGTGCTGTGCGGAGTTGAGAGCGAGACCCTGATGTTGATTGACCTGGGTGTTGGGGATTGGATTCGAAGGATGCAGACTGCATCCGGATAACTGCAAAACTGCTCCCTATTGAGTCATTTACCGCACAGAAGTGAACAAGGGTGAATATGGGCATGATCACAAGGAAGGAAGGAAGAAAAATGCGAAAGGAAAACAAAAAATAAAAGCATGTGCATACTAACAATGCCAAGCAAGTCGATCATGAATGATTACCTTGAGTAAAGGGTCTTGCCAACAGAATACTGCACCCTTGCAATCCCCCTCTCTAGATCCACTTCCCTTCGATACCCCCACACAGACTCCCTCAAATCCACCTCCTCCACCACAATCTCCCCAACAACCCCAACCTGCCTTCCAAACCCCTCCTCATCCCCCATAACATCCTTCAAAAACGGTACACTCGGCTTCAATATCCGTTTCTCGGCCAGTGCCTGCTGTACCCTCGCCAAGGCTTCCTGTTTCGGACCCGCCTGGTCCTTGGGCACATTCCCACCCCAATACGAAGAATACTCGTGAGGTCCACCAGTCCAACATGATTCTTCGCTGAGGATGAGGCGTTCATAGTTGACGGCACCTCCAAAGACGGTCTGTGTACGCCCATTGCCGATCAGGATGCCTTGTTGTTCTAGGGAGGACGTATCAGCGGGTCGACGGTACCACAGGCGGAGTGTCGAATTGGTTGGCGGGTCTGCGGCTCCCAGGAAACGGGGTTCTTTCGGTACCGTTGAAGAAGGAGAAGGTGGTGCCCCTGTACCGTGCAGGGGCCATTGTGAATTGGGGTCGTTTTGTGCTGGAGTGGGTACATTTGGCGGAATTGATGGAGGTAAGAAGGGGACTTCAAATGGTTGTTGTTGTTGTTGTTCATAAGGAACTTGTAGCGGTAATTGTTGTTGTTGAGAGTGGGCAAGGACTTGGTGCATGCAGACCAAGAGCGCCACCATCCATGTTGATTGTGGTGTGTGCATTGTGTCGTTATTTATGACCAAGCAATGTCGTAAGAAGCAGTAAAGAGGAGGAAGAAAGAAAGAAAAAGTGTATGGTGTCAGAGAAGGAAGGAAAGGAGGTTGTTGTATGAAATATTAATTGCCAGGAGACAGGCTCAAGAATAAAGAACGAAAGAGGATGGGGCGAAAGGGGTTGGCAAGCCCAATTGGAAATGGACTCTTGTCAGCTGATAGATAGCTCACCACGTAACATATCGAAGAAAGCCATTTTTTATTCAAGGCAGGAAAGAGAAAAAACTACAGAGAAAAGAGAAGGAGCATTGTACAAGATAGAGAGAGTGGGGAGGCATTGATTGTTGGTCGCAAGGGTGCTGTGATGGGGAATAGATTTCATAGAAATGGAGATGAAGGGGGACAAAACAAAGGGCGATAAATGGCTTCTGGTGCTGAAAGACAGAGAAGTAAATAACGAGAACGTGAGAGTGTGTGAGTGCGTGGATGTGTGTAAGAGAAATGAAGCGCAGGAATGATGTGATGAGTGGTTCAGGACTTGGTGAGCCAGGGGTGGTTGATGACCTCGGCCATGGTGATGCGTCGAGAGGGTGTCACGGCAAGCATCCTCTTCAGCAGATCCTTGAGGTCCTCATCAAGGTTCTTCTGGAGAACAGAAAAAGGAAACGTCTTGACAGATCGACGTCGACGCTTGTAGGCAGCCGACAGCTTGGAGTCCCGCTCCATCAACTCGCTCGGCAAGTCTCCGTGGACCAGGGTATACAGCATCAGACCCATCGCAAACACGTCCGCCTCATATCCATAATACCGCGTCCAGTCGTCGTGCTCAACCTGGATATCGCTCCGCTTCATTTTCTCCCGCAGAGCATTGTTGGCGTCCATCTCTGGTGGTGCCAGGATAGTCGTGCCATAAAACGTGAACGAAGGCAGACTGCCCTCCTTGATGCGCTTCGAGTGTCCAAAGTCGCAGATCCGGGCTCGGTAGGTGTTGGTGTTGTGGTCGACGGTAATCAGTGCATTCTCGTCCTTGATATCTCCGTGGACAATGCGATTCTGATGGAGCGCGTAGAGGGCCAGCGACAGCTGCATAAATATCGACCGGATGACACTCTCCTGGATGCCAGACCCAAAGTGGCCGCTTTTTATCGCGGCGCCCTGGGGAGACTTGTGCATCTCGATAAAGTCAAACAGAGAGGATCCGCCCATCTCGGTGACCAAGAACTTGCAGTCAGGCGACTCAAAGTATTCAACAAAACCCAAGATGTTTTCATGCGTCAACGCATTCAAAATGTCGAGTTCGCGTCGGAACTTGCTCTCGGTGTACTTGTTGTCCGATGGAATGACCTTGATCGCCACCTATTGAGAATGATTGTATCATGCAACAGTTTTGAATAAGTAGCTGTAATTTGCATCGGATGTTTTTTCTGAAGAATTGAGCGGCAATGAAAACAAAAAGTCCACAAGTAATTTAGTAGACATACCTCTCTGCCGTCAAAGACGCGCTTGGCAGACAGCACAAAGCCAGAGCTGCCGCTTCCCAACAAACGCCCAACAATGTAGTCGTCACGGAGCTGGCTGCAAAGCTCAAAAGCACTCTTCAAGGTGGCGCGGTTCTTGTCGTCGCGCTTGGGAAAGATGGTGTTGAGAACATGTCGCAATTGATGGTCAAGCTTGGCTCTTCCAGAGCTGCTTGAAGCGTAGTTGCTAGACTCTTCGTCCACGTCCGTCTCGTCGTCTTGGCTCAAGATCGATTCGGTCGAGGTCAAGTCATCGTCGCTATCATCCGAAATCACGATCGGCTCTGGCTTGAACTCGGGTTTCGCCACAGGCTGCTCCTTGGGCAACGACCGGAGCTTCAGTCGAATCTTGAGGCGCTTCTGATTGGGAGATGGTGCAGCGCCGCTCAACTCGGACACGGCAGATGATTCAGCTGTGGTGAGATCGCTTGTGGCCTTGCGCTTTTTTGTGAATGCGGCCAAGGTTGGGATCCTAATCACCACCTTTGTGTTGATGTTGGGCATGGTTGCTGAGGTGTTGGTGGAGATTGTGGATGCCTTTGAGGTGGCATGGGTATCAAAGTGGAGATGGGAGGTAGTGGAAGTAGTTGAGGAAGAGGACGACGGAAAAGAAGGCGAGGAGAATGTTTCTGGTGCTGCGCTCGTTGGGGTGAGGAGATTGATATCTAATGGCCGGATGGTGTTCGTCAGAGCATTCGTAGTACGCGACTGAGCTGGGTATTTTTGACCAAAGGCAGCGTGAGTTGCATCGGCATGACCCTGGCGGGTTCGGGGGAAACGCTCTGAGGGTTGTTGGAAGAGCAGCTGTTGAAGCTGGGGTTGATATGGGTGTTGTCTGGTGTTGGGTCGTGTCTTGCCCTTGCCCTGGAGCGATTGCAGCTTTAGCGAGTGAAGGTACTTGTTGGTATTGTTGTTGTGCATGAGGTTGGGGATCGAGTTGCTGTCGCTTGAGCTTGACTCGGTGTGTTTTCGGTAAAAGTCTGTAGGGAAGACAAGGACGTTGCGGCGTTGTTCGTGGCGTGTCAGCATGGCGGTCATTTTTGATGTTGTCTTCTTGTTGCTGTTTTGGGGATGGGTGGTTGTCGTGGAAAGAGAAGTGGGAAAATGCGCTTGAGTAGGAGGGTAGGTAAGAAGGAAGCGACGATTTAAGAAGTTGAGGGTGAGTGGTTATGTGATATGAATTAGGCTAGAGGGTGGACAAAAAGAACGACAAAGAGATGAAAGGAAAGATGTCAGTCAGCAGGTAATCACAAAGAGGATTGAACATATTGGTAATTGAAATGAAAGACGCGATTAATGGGTAGATATGCGAGTGGAGGTAAGGGTGGTTGTAGCGTTACTTCACATCGTATATTGCTCAAGAACGTTTTTGTTGTTGCTGTGTATGTGGTGGTGGCAGAGAAGAGGGACAAGAGGGATGGATCTGGTTTCTATCAAGTCAAAGACCAATCACATTCAAGTATTCACTCAGGTAGCCCACTCAACTCAACTCAACTAAGCATGGCATAAGAGCGCGTAATGTACCACGCCACAAATAAAGTACTGTCGACATGCAGACAGCCCTTTCGTTGTTGTTGGTATTGTGCATGCTGCCTCTTCTTCCTCTTTGCTCCCAAGACGGGTACATAATACCTCTAATTGCAACTGCCGCAGTGAAACGATGACAGGCTGGCATGCATGTCCCTTCTCTTCTTGTCTCTTTGGGTATCTGGTATGTTGCAATGGGCGCATTGGTTCATGCCTGTTTTTTCCTTTCTCCCCTTGTCCCTTGTATGCAGTAGGCAATCAGTCGTGGTGCTGCTGTGATGCCCTGGCATATACACATACTTTGGATGTAGAGATGCTGATCATGATAATGATTTTGATGAGTGATGATGGATGAATACCAAAAAGGGGACATAGCGAGAAAGGAGAGATGATAATAAACCTTTTTTTTTGTGAGGTATGTTACGATCACACACACACAACATGGACAGTGAAGCAACAAACAAGCAGTAAGCAAAAAGCACGCGCCCAAGTCTAGCCCACTGCCTACACCACCACCGCAATCAAGAGGAGCCCATCGTCGCTTGGGGTCACACGCAACAACCCTCTGCAATCACCTCCACTCGCTCACTCATTGAATAAGAAAGTGTTTGCTCCACATAAATCCCCACACAGACCACACCCTTTTTCTCGTTCTTTCTTTTCTTTCTCTCTTCCTCTCTCTCTCTCTGTGTGTACCATTCATCATCCCAAAAAATGAGCCAGGGAAATGAAGAGAGCGCTGGAATCGCTCATCAACAAGAGCGCTTTCCCTTTGTTTTTCTTTTGTCGCTATAAAACACACGAATGACCAGCAACAGGGAGGGATAATAATGAAATGTAAGATCAAGTAGGGACTCCAAGGGGAACGAGAGAGGATGCAAAGGAAGGAGGTAGTTCTGTGGGATGAATGAATGGTTGAAAAAGAGTTGAGAGCACGATTTGTATGCGATATGATTGCTTATTAGTCCATATATCCACAGGGCAAGAGGAGAAAGAACGAACGACTGATTGAATTTGACTGAGTGTCCCATCATCCTCCATTCACACACACTCACTGTCTGTACCTGTTCTTGCACACGGGTTACACCCCACAAACTCACTCTGTGTACCGTTTCTTTCTGTTAGCCGTATCGCTGTTCAAATCGTTTGTAATCCAAGCGTACGCTTGATCTCGTCTAGCCCAGCTCCTTCTTTTTCGTTTTCCTTTTTACTGTCAATAGAAACAGGAGGCGATAATAAAAAAGCGCCTACATCTGCTTCACCTTGCCTTTTGGCTTGTTACCCCCGCCTTATCCGTTCTGTTGGTGTCGTTGCCACAGTTTTGTCAGCCAGGTGATACAAGTTGAAATACAATAAAGGATGAAGGAATGAGCACTTACTCTTTGAACGGAAGTGGTCTTTGTGTTCTTGGTTGCGCAGGAGGAAAAAACAGTTTCGGTATGTCTGAGAAAATAGAAGGCGATGGCGGCGAGTTATTTGTATGGGGTTTGGTTGGGGGCAGTAGGGTGGATAGGTGGTTGGAGTCGATTTTTTTTTGAATGATTTTTTCTTTTTTAAGCGGCCTCCCCTCAAAAGGAAGAGAGGATCAGTTCTGTGTTGCCAGTGTCGAAAAGAAGAGTAGGGTGGAGTGTAAGGATTGGTAAAAGAAGACTGATAAATAAGAGGGACAGATAAAAGGTGAAGGAAGTCAAAAGGCAGGTGTAGCTGTGAATAACAAGAAGGAAGAAGGGGATTCTTAAAGTGGCGGAGGTATGGTTGTTGCAGAGGGATGGGACTCGGAGAGGGTGAGGAGAGCAGGGTTCATGTCTGGGAGGGGGAGAAGGACGAAGTAACGGATGCACAAAGGGTGGTACGGCAAAAGGGAATTCAGGCGAGGTGAGTAGGGATGCAAGCGTGGATGAGGAAGGAGGAAAGGAGGGCGAAGAAGAGTAAGGGTGAAGGAGTAGATGGCTGGGCGAAAAGTTCAGAAGTGTGAGATGAACACTCTCAGACTCAGTGACCAGAAGGGGGACTGCCTTTCTTTTTCTTGCTCAGCGGGCCAGCAGGAGGGATTCAGGAAGAGAAAGCTACGGCACGTTGCACGGAGCAAGGGGGTTCCTTGATAAAGGAGAACGAACAAAAGGCATGTTGAATGACTGAATGGATACTACATACTCATACGACACATAGCACATACAAAAAGAAGTAGCTGGCATCACTTGGAGAAGGAGTTGATGTGTCATTCCCACTGCCGCAACCCTCCATGTCAAAGGTGAAACGGACATCTCGTGTGTCCATGTCTCTGACATACTTTGTTCAAAAATAGGCTCGGAATGGATCGATCCCTGCTGCAACCATCCCCTTTTTATTATTTAGGGTCAACGACAATAAACGGTTATCTCCTACTTCTCTTCAACATATTCTGACTACATTACTCATCACTCTGACTCGTTCCTTTCTTTCTTCATCACCCTCGACATCCCTTTACTCACTTAGTTTCTTTAGGTGGCATTCAAAGTTAGAAAACAGTCACCAAGGAGAAATGACTGAGCCACATACGAAAATGAGCTGCGGGGGATTTTTTTGTTCAGGTGTTCAATTGTTCAATTGGCGGCTTAAAAGTCAATTGACAAACTCTCTTATCATCCTACAAGAACAGAGAGTCGTTTAGGCTCGTGGAGAAGGGGCAAATCAGAAGACGAGAATCCATTGGCATGGGTAGGCATAGGGACGGATATGTGGAACGAGAGAAAGTTGTAGTAGTAAGTAGCCATCGCCAGCATCCAAAAATAAAAGAAAAAAGGGAACAGTGGAACAGTAAGTCGATCAGCACCAAATCGTCGACGGACGCTGATCCAATCATCTTTGTCTGGTTCTGTACTGTTCAAATCCAGGCACACAGGTAAAAGATCCGCACGTGACATATTCTCGAAGACAGTTGAATGGTGTGCTTCTCCTCCTCACAGAGGATCCTATTGTGCCACCCTCTCGTCTTTACTCTTATCTCTCTCTTCACTCCTTCACTTTTTCTTCTTTTTCTTTTCTTCCTCCCCTACTCTCCCACACTCCCCCATCTCTCTTCCTTTTCTTCACTCCCTCCTTTCTCTCTCTCTCCTTCACTCCATCAACCATCGTTTCACTCACTTTTTGATTGTTGGCCACTCTCCCTCCCTTTTTCATCAACTCACGTTTTATACCCCCTTTCATTATTTTGCCAACGACCCAGTCCGAGAACACCCTCCTTCTTCTCTTCCCTCAACACCAGTAACAACAACAATCAACAAACAACAACTAACAACGACAATAACAATACGCCATGTCCGGTTCAGGAGCACCAATCTACGCTGCCAAGAGCACCATTCGCTCGCTGTACGTCTCTTCAACTCCTCACCAACTGTATTACATACCAATTATCACAAGCAGCAATCCTAATCCACACTCCCTTTATCACAATTTATCAACCCGCATGTATATTATGTATCGACGACGACTACTAGTAAAAACTTCTCCAAGGGCTACACAGATATTCAAGGAAAGGTCCGCACAGCCACCTCCAACGACCCATGGGGTCCCAGTGGCTCGCAGATGAACGAACTCGCCCACGCCACTTTCAACCAGTAAGCACACCGGTCTCATGTCGAGGGCAAGTCAGTTGAAAGGACATCAGGAAGGAAGGCTTGTTCTCTTACCATCAACCATTCCTTTCATGCTCTTAGGCAGGCCTTCTTGGAGATCATGGAGATCCTCGACAAACGCATGAACGACAAGGGCAAGAACTGGCGCCATGTCTTCAAGGTACGCCCCGCCATTCTAATATATTCCTAGATGACCAAGAACTCACGCTGTGTGCATGTGTTTAGTACAAAGTTGAGCTTCTTGTTTCCCCCCTCTTCTCTCGTTGGTCCTGACCTCTGTTGCTCTTGAGAGACATAACAAAACAACACCTCCGCGAGAGCATCAACAAAAAAAAACAGTGCAGCTGTCAAGAGCTCAAAAAAAAACCATAAGCAAAAGAGTTTTCCCGTGTCGATGTACTTCATTCACTGACCTGTTTTCTGTTCTTTCATCATGGTGATGATTGTATATATCATAGGCATTGACTGTTCTGGATTATCTGCTGCATGTTGGTACGTTCTATGACGTTGTTTCAGTGGAGAAGAGAGAGATGGTCTAAGGGTGGTTTTTGCGTCCCCTTACTCCACGGGTTTGTGCGACAAACAAGCATTAGAGACATTAACTAACTAATGGGGAAACCGTTTTCTATTTTTATGTGTTGTGGGATTCGACATTTGGGCTGCTGCTCCTTCCTTTGTTCTGCACGCGATAATTTATATATTTCGGATTAATTAATTATCATCCATACAGGATCGGAGAACGTTGTCAAATACGCGCGCGATAATCTCTACATCGTCAAGACCCTCAAAGAGTTCCAGTTCATCGACGAAGATGGCAAGGATCAAGGATCCAACGGTAATCATCAAGTTATATCCTGTCTGCTGCAATGAGAATGACTGGAGTAGGACGATCCTTGTCCGTTGGTCCTAACGCTTTTCAAATGGGTATATTTTTCACGGGACTAGTTCGTCAAAAGGCCAAGGATATCACGGCATTGCTCACGGATGAGGCGCGACTTAAGGAGGAGAGAAGAACCAGATCAGCCATGCACGACCGTATGAGTGGACGTGCTCCTGGTGAGGGTCATCACAACTATAACGCTACTACTCCTACCTATGAGCGCCCAGGTGCCGGCGATGATGATCGTGAACTTCAGAGAGCTTTGGACGAGAGCAGACGCATGGCCCGTGAATCCCAAGGCGACAACAGGTACTGCATGGGCATCTGTTATATTTTCTCGTCGTGTAATTACACATGGGCGGGATGTTAACTGTTTTTTTTTTTTTTTTTTTTTCAATTTTCAATTGGATTGATAGTGATGATGATGATCTGAAGAAGGCTCTGGCGCTCAGCAAGAAGGAGGAACAAGACAGAACCAAGAAGGTCGAGCAGTACAACGAGTTTTCCATGACCGAGGACTGGGAGGCTGATGCCAAGTATGTATCCTTGATCGCAGAATGTCTGACCAATTGCATTTATTGTGTTTCTTTTGTCCGTATGTGAACCGTGTATTAATTGCATTTTTTATCACAGTGCCAAGAAGCAGCAGGAGAACAACAACAGTAACAACAACACAGACTTTTTCGGCAACGATTTTGGCGGCCAGGGTCAGATGGGTTTTGATAACAACAACAACAACAACAATGGCTTCAACAACAACAACTTTAACGACAACTTCATTCAGTCGCAGCCTACCGGATTAAACAACCCCTACCTTCAGTTCCAGCAGCAGCAGCAGCTTCAGGAGCAGATGCAGCAGCAGATGTTGATGCAACAACAGTTCCAGCAGCAGCAGCTTTTGCAGCAGCAGCAGCAAGCTTTCATGAACCAGATGAACAATCCTTACCAGCAGCAGCTCATGCCTCAGATGACTGGTGCGCCCTCTATTGGATCCAACAACCCCTTCAGCGCCAACAACATCCAGAAGGCCGCTGCCAACCAGCCTTTCCCTGATTCGTTCAAGTCTGGTATCAACGGCAACAACAACGGCTTTGGAGGAAACAACAACGGATTCGGTAACAGCAACAATGGGTTCGGCAGCAACAATGGATTCGGAAGCAACAGCAACAACAATAACAACAGCAACTCCTTGGGCGATCTTGCGTTCCTCCAGAATGTGATGAACCCAGCAGCATCCGCTGCTCCTACTCCTGCTGCTCCCGCAGTGCCTGCTGTAAGTCAACATAGGACTTCGTAATTTCAAGCTGCGCTGGAAACGCTCTTTCAACAGCAACCGTTTGAACTTCTCAATTGACAAATCGATCTGCCCTCTTCTGTCATATAGGTCCCCGTCGCGAAGGGTCCTAATGCTCATGACGAAAAATATGCTCATTTGGCCTTCGCTCTTTCTAACCGCGAGGATGGCATGGATACCTTTGGCAACACTGGACAGCTCCGTCTCCCAAGGTACAATACCAATGGAACGGAATAGAGCTATATTACCGAGTCAATGGTGATCCACTGGCATGTTCTGACCTTACTCTTTATTGTGCAAAACTCATAGTCATCACACGGCGAGTGCCCCAGTCGCGTTGGGCGGTCAGATTACAGGTGCTTCAAACCCTTTCCAGCGCTCCAACATTGGTGGCATGACCAGCAACCAGAACAACAACAACCCCTTCCAGGGTGCAAACGGATTTGTTGCATCGAACCCAACAGGCTTTGGTGGCGTCAACGGAAACTCCAATGGTGCCTACAGCAACAACACCCTGTTCTAAACAGCCCCCAGTGCACAGCAATACCCCTTTCAATCTTTTTTTGTCAGTCATGATTGTGATTGACAAGTGCTGCGTCTTCTTCAGATACAGCAAATCAAAATACTTAGTAACGAAACTTTCATTGTAACGAAAAACAACAACACAAACCCCACACTCCAAAAGAAGGTTACCGACAGGTCAGCTTTCAGTTTATGAAAACCATTCTCATTTTCCTTTTTCTTTCTCTTAACGATCACCAACGAACAAACAAACAACAGCCCACATGCCTTGAGCTTTAGATTCTCCTCTTTTCTTTTTTCTTTTGTGAAATCATATAAAACCAGCAGAAAAATACGTTTGAACCTCAGCCAAAGAGGCGCCCATGGTCAATACCATATTTAATTCAATTCATAAGTGATCGTGGGTAGCCAATCAGATCGTGCCATTATTTATATCAGAATCAGACTTTCTCAACCGTCATCATCTTTTGTCCTTTTTTTCTTCATTCAAAGACACTTTGTTCCTTTCTTTCCTTTCTCTCTACGCCCTTTCCCACACGTCCTAGCGAGAGCTTTTTTTTTATTCCCTTAAAAAAAGCGACACAAAACTTACAACACCCAAGGATACTACAGCTCACCCGACATAATCTCGCCTCATCTCGCGTCACACCAACGATCGCTCACTTAAAAACACATACACCATGGTCTTCTTGAAGAAAAGCTTTGCCCTGGGCGCCATCGTCGCCCTTTTCGCCACCGTTGGGGTTGCTCAGGCTGCCAGCGATGACGATTCAGTGATGGAGCCCCTTCGTACTCACTCTATCTACATGCCCTATATCGGTAAGTAGGGCTTGTCTTAATCGTTGTGATTCGATGATGTTTTTAGCTAGAATGAACAGGAACAGGAACGGGAACACCAAGTTTGATTCAAGGGAAACAGAGACCAACTCGGGAAAGGAATCGGGGACAAGATGACATCAAGGAGGGGGAGGAGGGGAGGGACAGGTGAGGAAGGGGGTCAGGAGTGATGAGATGTAGACTGAAGTTCGACATCGAGGCAGAGTCTCCAACGGTTCAGCATCAGGATCACAACTTGCGAGGAATGCGACGGAGAGACTTCCGACGTTAGTTTTTGCACGACACTCTCCTCATCCGTATTGTTATTCAGAATCCAGGAGTCAACCCACACTGGTTAATACTTTTATTCCTCCGTTGATGCTACCAAGTATGCAGAGACACTGACCGTTATCACTATTTGTTTCTCTCTGCTTTATGATTGATAGACAATGATCTTCAGAACCGTTGGTTCGATTTCGGAGGCGATACCATTGTCAACACCAACAGACACATCCGTTTGACCCAGGATGTCCCCTCCCAAGGTGGATGGCTCTGGAGCAGACTGGTAAGAAAACCTTCAGTTTGTTTTCGCTGGCTTTTTTTGTTACACTCCCGACCCGGCCATTTAGGCGCTTGGGCAATTGCGCCCATACACACTCATCTTCCCGTGTGGGAGCGTGCATGTGCGGGAACATTGTACGGTTAACTCACACACATCTCTTCTCAATTGTCAATCTATATTCATGCGAATAGCCATTGGTGGCTCCCAACTTCCAGGTTGACATCCAGTTCGAGGTGGACGGCAAGGGCGATGGCATTGTTGGAGACGGTTTCGCCGTCTGGTTCACCAAGGAGCGTGCCGAGACAGGACCTGTCTTTGGAAACCGGGATCGCTTCGAGGGTTTGGGTATCTTCTTCGATACCTACGCCAACGGTCGTCACTCCGTAAGCCCCTTTTCTTCATTTCTTCTCGTTTTTGTTGTTGCCTGCGGCAGACGATGGTCAATGTACTGAATCTAACCTGAATGTTTCATAATTGCTTATTTGTAGCACTCGTTCCCATACGTGATGGCGATGATGGGCGATGGCCGGACGAGCTATGACAACGACAACGATGGCCTGGCCAACAGATTGGGAGGATGCGAGTCTGACTTTAGAAGAAAGTTGGTCCCCACCCGCGCCCGTATCACCTACAACTCTGGCTCCAAGCAGCTTCACGTACGTCTTGATCACTTTTTGAGAACCGTTATCAAATTCGATCTGTTGTCATACTTGGTCACTTGCTAATCAATCGCATCACTAACCGCTGTTATATCTCGTTCATGTGAAAAAATTGGAATAACCAGCTGGAGTTGCAGACGAACGCATGGGACGAGTGGACTACTTGCTTCACATTGCACGATATCGTCTTGCCCTCGCCCTACTACCTCGGCTTCACATCACACACCGGCGAGGTCCACGACAACCACGACATCATCAGCGTCACCACTAACATCATCCCCAAGTCCGAGGACTATGTCATCCACGTAAGTTTCTTTGTTCTTTTTGTTTGTCGTTCGATGACAGCATTGTAGTTTTTTGACCATCACCCATCACCCATCACCCACCACTCACACATTTTTTTTCTTCTTCTTTTCTTTGTGTGATCTGATAGAGGGTTAACAACACACCTCCCCCCAAGTCGGCGTCTGGACTCGGTACGGTTGTCAAGTACGTTGCCGGCAGCGGCGTCTTTGTTGCCATTGTTGTTTTCGCCTACAAGGCTGCCACCAAGAACAACAACATGAAGCGCTTCTAAAAAAAAATGCGACTACATAAGCTATTGAAAGATAACGCATTGTCAACACACATACACAAGCACAATTGAGTTTCGCACTGCAGGAGTTGGGCAGGATGTAAGATGAAGGTGTAGGAGAACAGTAGAGTTTGCATGTGCAAATTGAATCCACAGCATCCACGAGCATGGAAGTAGAAAGGAGTAGTAAACATTAAATTTCATTATTCACTTTTTTGTTCTTCGAGATTGATATTTCGTTATTTTATTTATTTATTTATGAATGTGTGCATCTGTGGAAAGGGGAAATGGGAAGAGCGAGGCGAAATGAGGACGAGGATGGATGAAGAGGGATCTATATACATATGCAAAATGGAAATGTGAAGGATGAAAAAAAGAGGAAAATCATTCATCAACTGCGAACATCAAAGAGAAGTGGCTAAATATGTCAATAAGAGACATAATTTAAAAGTCGGCGTCAAGGGTAAAGTTGTTGACGGCCTTGTCAGCACCAGCGCCCGACATGACACCAGCCTTCTGGTAATCCGAAACGCGCTTCTCGAAAAAGTTGGTCTTGCCCTGCAACGAAATCAAGTCCATGAAATCGAACGGGTTCTCAACATTGTAATGCTTGGGGTTACCCAAGGCCACCAACAGACGATCAGCCACAAACTCGATGTACTGCTGCATGAGCTTGGCGTTCATTCCAATCAACATCACGGGCAGGGCATCCGTCAAGAACTCCTGCTCGATTCTCACAGCCTCAGTAATGATGGCGTTGACACGCTTCTTGTCGGGACGGGTGTTCTGGAGGAGGGAGAAGAGGAGGCAGGCGAAATCGGTGTGAAGGCCCTCGTCGCGGGAGATCAGTTCGTTGGAGAAGGTGAGGCCGGGCATGAGACCGCGTTTCTTGAGCCAAAAGATGGAGGCGAAGGAACCAGAGAAGAAGATTCCTTCGACGGCTGCGAAGGCGACGAGGCGTTCGGCAAAGGTTGAGTTATCGTCGGAGATCCAGCGCAGTGCCCAGGCTGCCTTCTTGCGGATGCATGGGACTATTTGTTTTGTTTGGAGGAGCGAAGGAAGAGGGAGGTTAATAAAGGGGGTAGTTGTTATGTGTGTATATGGGATGAATGAGTGTGTATGAGATGAATTGTGTGTGGTGAGAGGGAGTACAGAGGGACGCGTCGAGTGCACATAATAAACAAACAAACTAACAAACCAAACGCGTCCAAAAAATTAATCAACAAACAAAGCCCATGAAAACTTACTGGTGTCAATAGCATCAAAGAGATGGTCACGCTGTGCAGGCTCTTTGACATAGGTGTCAATCAACAACGAGTACATCTCTGAATGAACATTCTCAATCATGATTTGGAAACCATAAAAGCATCTCGCTTCAGGAATCTGCACCTCATTCGAAAACCGCTCCAACAAGTTCTCATTCACAATCCCATCACTTGCCGCAAAGAAGGCCAAGATGTGTGAGATGAAGTACCGCTCGTCGGCATTGAGTCGGTTCTCCCAGTCATGCATGTCCTTAGAGAGGTCGACTTCTTCGGCGGTCCAGAAGGAGGCTTCGGCCTTTTTGTACATCTGCCAGACTTCGTGGAACTTGATGGGGAAGAGGACGAAGCGACGGGGGTTGGGTTTGAGGAGGGGCTCCATTTGTTCGGCGAGCTTAAGGTTGTCGAGTTTGGCAGCCAGACTGGCTTCGATCTGGGCGTCGGCGGTGAGGGTCTTGGAGACTTGGGTCGCGGCGGCAGGGTTGGAGGGAATGGTAGTGGCCATCTTGGATGTTGGAGTAGGTAGTGGAAGTTTGTGTGGATGTGTGGGTATGAAAAGAGAGAGTTTGGGCGAAAGGTTGTTGAGGATAAATAGAGATAAATGAAAAACACGGGCGCCTTTTATACTGGAGAGCGCGTTAATCTTAACAGCATCAGCAGCCGTCACAATTTTGGATTGCGACGCGAAAATGTGGGCGACTCAGTTAAGGTAAGTTGTGTTGGAGGTCAATTAAGGTATCCCTTCCGTCAATTGACTGGAGGGATTCCAATTCGACGCCTGACGTGTTAGACTCGCTGACAAAAGGGAGTGGGCGCACAGTCAAGGGGCTTCCTTGAAGAGTCCAAGCCATCGAGCGAGACAGCCACCTCACAAGCCATCGAGTATGAATAAAGAGTTGGCATGTTCTGACAATTACTTCACTTTCATTTATTCTCTTTGGATAATGTGATCATTCTCTCGCTGCTCTTCATACTTGATTGTGTCTGATACACCCACGGTCCATCATTTCGTACCTTTGGCACTTCAACGGCTGCTTTTGGCTGTGGCTGTGTCCCTTCTCTGTGTAGGACGACAGATAAAAAAAAAGAAAGAAAGCCACGATGATGATGGTGATCATGATGTTGGACAGCGATCATCGTTGTCTATCTATAAAATAGTAGTTGCTATGACCACCCATACACCATGTGTTTTAGTCTGTTTGTAGCATGGTATGGCATATGGATAGAAGTTCTATTTTTGTCCCATCCCTCTCCTCCCTCCCTTTCCTTTACCAGTCCGTCCGTTCCTTCAAACCTGCGTCATTGGCCACCTTCTCCAACCCTATTTCTTCTTCAGCTCGCTTATCACACGCACACACACCCTCGACAAACCCTCGCATACTGCTCACACACCTTCTTTTCCCTTCTCTTTTCTCTCCCACCACAACCTTTTTGTTTTCTTTTTTTCTTTCTTATTCTTTTCTCATCACCTTCACCCTCCCCCCTCCCCCTCTCCCCCATTCTCATTAAAGCACACAAGTATTCAACCATGGCGCTCATGCCAACTTCCATCACCCTCTTCCTCGTCCAGATCGGCACCTTCTTCGCCAACATAATCGTCGCCATCTGCGTCGGCCTGTACGTATCCTCCTACCCAAAGTCCCCCGACGCTCAACCGCTCTCACCCGTCGCTCTCGGCACCCTGGCCTTTGCCTGCCTCTCCTCCCTCATGACGCTCCTCCTCATTCTCCGCCAAAAGTCCGGAAAGACTATGCGTGCCATCTTTGAATCCACCTGGATCTTCTTGGCCATTGCCCTCTGGATCCTTGCTGCTGTCGGAGGAATCATCCGGCCACCCAACGGAATGTCTAACGTATCTTGCAAGGTCTTGCCCGACGGGAAGGATACCTCGGACGCCAACTATATCCGAGCGTGTCAGGCTATGTTTGCCTCAACGGCGTTCTGTATTGTCTCAGCTCTGTTCTTTATTGCGACCGCCATCATGCTCTCGGTCTTTTCGGTCAAGTCAACCTGGAGGAACAGGAAGAACCGCAAGAACCAGGTCGGCGGACATTATAAACTGACGACTACCCTGTCTCAGTACCGCCGGGCCGAGAAGGAGGATGAAGAAGCCAAGCGACTCAAAGGAGCAGGAGAACACGAGGAAGCACCAGCAGCAGGAACAGAGTCAATCTCGACAGCGAACGACAGTGCAGCAACGACAACTATCGACTTGAGCGATGGGCAATTTTCCGACAGGGTCTACAGGGACCCTTACACCTCTGCCATGCCCACTGCTCTCCCTACAGCCGTGTCTTCGCCCGCACCCTATTATTCACCCTATGGTGCAGGTGCAGGTACGACCAGCAACAACAGCCCAGCCCGCCCAAGCGGCAACACCAATGCTCACCTGGCCTTCTTGAAGGGAGAGCAGTTCAAAGTTCACAACCAACCGCGTGAAGAGAACGAGCGTGAGCAATTGGAACAGCAACAACAACAGCAACACCAATACCAACAACAACAGCAGCAGCAACAGCAGCAGTCGTGGAGTCAACAACAGCCAACCTTTGGAGGTTACTAAATTACCATCTTGCAGCACCCCTTCATCCCTTTGCTGCTGATGCAGTAAGTGTCGTCCATCTTGGTCGGCATTGTTACTACTTTCTATCATACCAAATCTATCCATCTTTCCATCTCCTCCACTCACACAATATCCCCCATACTCTGTCAATAGTCTTGTATTTTAGCCATCGCAGTGCATTGAACAAATGAATATCTTTCTTTCAGTCCACTTTCTATTTTTATTTTCTTGTTTTCTTGTTTTTGTTTTCTACGCGAGAATTGAGCTTTGTGTGCGAGATGCATGCAAAGCGGAAAATGGACAAGAGTTACAATTTGTACCTCTTCACAAGGGCATTGGTTTCCTGGTCTCCAACTGCTTCCCTGCTACTTTAGTCTTCTTTTCTCCGCCTCCTTGTTCTCTACACGAAAGAACAGATACTATCGCGATGCCTATCTTCCCGTCCAGTTCCTAGTCTACACTACAAAAAAAGGTGTCAAAGACGGATATACCTCGAAAGAACCGACGATTGTGAGGAACAAATGGAGACGCGTCGTTTCCTTTTTCTTCGTCGTTCGTTTCGTATCTGCTTGTTACGCTTTTCACCCCTCAAGCTATTTTTGCCTCTACCTACCCCTCTCTTTTTTTCGTTTCCCTATCCAATACGCATAATTCCGTTCCCTACAACACCGACTGCTCGAACCAATAATGGAGGCTATTTTCGCAAAGCAACAGAAAGCAACGATACACGTTGTACTTGTTGGATTTCCTTAAAGTGTAAAGGCGATCACTCTCCAGGAAGGAAGGAGATAAGGAGACGACAAGGGTGAAAAAGAGGAGGAAAGTGAAATCCATGAAGACCCCGACCTGCCGGAATGAGTGATATAGACTCTCGATCGAATTCAAACAACATTTGGCATTGGATTGACCATCCATCCATGCCTCCTTTTCTACCCTTTCTCTCTTCTCCCTGGACAATTTTCTCGACACTTAAATCTCGATTTCACATCTCCATCGTTTTTCAATCCCGGTTCCATATCCCCTCTTCTTTTTTTCTGCTCCTCCTCTTCTCTTTTGTGCTTGCAAATGGGGGTTATTTTCCAAACCCCTTTTCAACTTTCTTGCTTGCCATACACCGCTCATGTCAACCCTTTTCAACTCCTTTACCGACTTTCTCCTTTTTCTGTTCCTTGCGAAAGGGACAAACAACTAAACATGCCTACAGTACATCGCGAATAAGCGATAGCGCAGAATTAAAAAAAAAGTGCAACTCTTGAAGGGAGAGTGAAAAAAATTGAAAAAACTCTCACCCCTCCATTTTGAATGCTGTAGAGAATAAAGCGAGTGGGGGGACATGTTTACTTTTTCATTTTACTCTGTCCCTATTTTGTAATACTTCTGTCTTTTCTTTGGAGCGCACCTCCTTTTTTTTCTTGAAGAGGTGGTAGCTTGTTCACAACGATTCTCTATTTTTCTGTTTTTTCTTCTCTTTGCTTTTCCTCTTCTCCTCATTTTCTCCGTTCGCTAAAGAAAACCGATAACAGCCAACAACTACTCACCGGGATCTCAGCGACACGCGAATCTAGAAGAGAATAACCGGATCTTTTTCGAAAAAGCGCAACGGAGGAGGCCAAACTTACATTTGGCAGCGTTTGAAAAGGAAAAAGAGGAGCGATGAAGGTGTTCACACGGCGATCGACGACGACAGCCGTTGCAGTAGGTATCGTGAGTTTTTGTAGGATGTCTTTGTGTCATCTCATCAACAACGGCAACAATTGGGTTCGTCCATGCTGATTCCAGCGTGGGTCAAGGCATCAACCATATCGACAACGTTCAGGATCAGGACTCGTTCTTGATCGGCAAGGACGGCCTTTCCGATGGATCCGCAGTAGGAGAAGAGGAAGGAGTAGGAGCAGGGAATGTCGAGATCAATTCGGGACTGGCAGGGTCTATCGTCCTACAACCTACGGCAGCAGCAGCAGCAGCAGCACCTGAGCAAAGCGTCGAGGACGACGATGATCTAGAGGGAGAAGTAGTGGAAGTCAATGGAGAGGCGGCGACAGAGAAATATACTGCCGAGAGAAAGAAGGGGATATTGACGACGAGACCGGATACTCCCCATATTGGTCGGAACCCAAAATCCAAGCACCACCACCACCGCGGTCAATTGGGTGGACAACATGGCAAGAAGAAGGGTGTTGTTCATCGACATCGCATTCCCGGCGGACGCGGTGACAAGAAGCACCGATATGTAGGGAACAAGGACCGTAAGCATGGACATATGCGCCACGAGAAGCATAGGCACCAAGGCGGCGGACAAGGGCAAGATAGCAAGAAACCACCTCGCGTCAGAACTCTAAGTACGAATTTGATATCTCAACAATGTCTGATTAAGTTTCTCACCTTATTTGTTTCACATTTGTTTTTCATTTGTTTCACGCGTCCTTGCAGCGCACAAACACTCACGCTCGGTTTTTTTTTTCCTTCAACTTTTTTTCTCAACACACAATGACTTTCACGATGAGCAGTGACAAAACGGCTGAATTTCGTCTGCGACGGCATAGTCATCGACAAGATCAAATGTCACCGTCGACGAACATCCTCACCACCCCACGTCCATCATGAGGAATCCCTCCTCCGCAACTTCGACAACAACGATGGAGACGACGATGGCTTAGGCGGACGACCGAACGCGCTCAACACACACAAACGCGCTAAACAGAAATATGTCTTTATGAGCTCCCCTTGTTCTAATTATCTCCCTCCTTCCTGCCCGAATGAGAATCAAGATGCCCTGGTTCGGCCCCTGGCCAGTATTGACGAGAGCCTGGAGTATGAAGTCGTTGACCATGACGAGGAAGTTGATGGGGAGGGCGATAGCGAGGAGGAGGAAGAGGATGATGGTGGAGATGATGAAGATGAAGACGATTATGAGGATGTGGACGAGAGCGCGGTCGATGGTCGATTGGAGGCGAGCGACAATGACGGTTTTCATCATCGCCACCCCAAACACCAACACCACAAGCAAATACCCGGCAACCTGCAGCCACCAAAACAACTCTACCACTCAACTGCGGATACGAGAACAACTCAGTCTACACTTGTTCCGCCATCATGGCTCTGCCCGTGAAGAAGTCAGCCTGCGAGAGTGACAGGATCTGCCTTGAGACACCAACAGGCCCAACCTGCACGCCTCCGGCCTGTATCTGCGAGGATGATGCGACACATTGTGGATCCACCTTTGACGCCGCCTGTGCACTGAAGAGCGACACGCTTTACAAGTGCACGAATGGCGGTCTTTCGAGTGTTGCCAAGGATTGCGCTCTGACTGGAATTTGTTCCGCCAACATCGTCTTGGATTCGGGAGGCAAGATTGGACCAAGAACTTTGGATATCTGTGTTGACAGGTGTGCATGCAAGGAGGATCGAACTCCAATAAATTACCGAGGCAGCTCTTATTAATTCCACGATGGACAACATGGCTCGATTTTTTGTATCAACAATGTTTTCTCCCTCGTTTTCCCTGCATGGAAATAGGTATGCGCTTCTACTTTCGATGCGCCTTGCAACTACGACAGCAAAGCCCTCCTTATCTGCGGCGATCTCGGAGACGTACCCATAATCCAAGAGAACTGCATTGCTTCCTGCGAGGTCAAGATCGGACCGGATGCCTGTGCATTCGACGAGTGTAGATACGAGAAGCAAACCATCTACACCTGCAAGGCCAACCAGTCGCTGCCCCAGAAGTAGGCCACCTGTACCAGTACCGAGACTTGTCTGGAAGCGCCTATAGGAGCCTACTGCCTTCCGACGGAGTGTGTCTGCAAGGGTGATCATGCACATTGTGGATCGACTTTCTCGCCCAACTGCAAGCTCTTGGCGAACACGTTGTACAGCTGCAAGACGGGTCTTGCTCTAACGGTGGGCGAGGACTGTGCTAGGAACCTGCTCGGCTAATGTTGTGGATCCGCCTGAGGCGTTCGAGGCTGTGGTGGATAACTTTTGCATTGACAAGTACAAATGCACAGTCGCCGGCACAACAGTAAGTCTTGTTTCCGCTATTTGATGTCAAATAGTGTTCATGGGTGAAGCGCGCGCTCTAATGCAGTTCATTTTCTTTGTTCGTTAGGTATGTGCATCGACCTTTGACGCATCCTGTAACTACAAGACCAAGAATCTCATGGCGTGCAATAACATCAACGATACACCCACTCTCAAGAAGAGCTGCACAGCATCGTGTACAGCCCAGGTTGGACCAGACGTTTGCGCACTTGATCCATGTGCCTGTACCAAGGCAGGCGACACCTGTGGATCCGCCTTCCCTGATACTTGCAACTACGAGAAGAATTCTCAGTACACTTGTTCTGGCAACAAAGGCCTTGCCCGTCAAGAAGATGGCTTGTCCAGCTACTAATACCTGTCTCGTTACTGCAACAGGATCGGTCTGCACCCCACCTGATTGTATCTGTATGGAGGATGCTGACAGGTGTGGTTCGACTTTTGCAACGTCCTGTTTGTTGAAGTCAAACAGCCTGTACAAGTGTGTCAAGGGCGCGCTTCCGACGCCCATCAAGGATTGTGGAACGGGCACTTGTTCTGCGAGTGTTGTTGAGGGGGCCTCTGTGGACTTTAGTGCGATGGCGAATGACATCTGTATTGACCAGTGTGCCTGTAAAGAGGCCGGCGTTGGGGTAAGTCATTTGGGCTCGACATGCATTCTTTGTCTTTAACCCGAGGTCATTGCAAGCATTGGTACTAATTCATTGCTCCACTTATTGTGCGAAAATAGGTCTACGGTTCAGTATTCAACTCGATCTACGCATACAACAGCAAGGCATTGATGAACTGTGCCAAAGTGGGAGATGTTCCAACAGTCAAGGAAACCTGCACTCTATCCTGCACAGTCCAAGCAGGACAAGATGTTTGTGCCTGCACAACCACCGGCGATACCTGCGGCACGGCATTCCCTGCAAACTGCAACCTCAAGACCACGACAATCTACAACTGTGCAGCCGTCGAGGCCATCCCTGTTAAGAAATTCAACTGTCTCGGCAACGCTATCTGTTTCGTCCAGCCGATCGGTCCAAAGTGCACGCTTCCAGAGTGTATCAGCAAAGATGATAACAAGCACTGTGGGTCGGCGTTCTTTGGTGCCTGTAATATGGTTAGTAATACACTTTACAACTGTGCTATGGGCGCCTTGCCAACGGTCGTAAAGGATTGCTCGCCTGGTGTTTGTTCGGGTAACATTGTCTCGGATGTGACAGCTGAGACCGCCGATACGAATGGCACTGTTGTTGCGGCTCACAAGCCCAAGGATTTCACGGCGATGGCAGGTGATGAGTTCTGTATTGACGAGTGTGCATTCAAGGAAAGCGAGGCTCTAGTAAGTGCGCTCAAAGGGCATCTTTCGACATTTTTTACGGCCATTATTCTTTGAACTGAGCAAAAGGGTAAGGTTGGATGACTGACACACTTGCAACTGTGGTGATATAATAGGTTTGTGGTTCATCATTCGATGCCATTTGCAATTACAACGCCTCTGCCTTGATGAGTTGCGAAAACACCGGTGACATGCCCGTGTTGATGAACGTCTGCACCACGGAATGTACAAGGAAAGACATCACCAGCGAGTGCAACCTTGACCCGTGTGCATGCATAGTTGCCGGCGACACCTGCGGCGGTTTGCTCCCCGCAAACTGCGGTTACGACCCCACCATTGTTTACTCCTGTGCAGGTCCGGGTGCCGCTCCCGTGAATAAGCTTGAATGCAAGAGCGGCTCTACTTGTACTACATCCGCTGCTGGACCGACATGCAGGTCCTTGGATTGCATCTGCAAGGATAACGGGCACCATTGTGGGTCGCAGTTCCCGAGCTCATGTGAATACTCCGAGAACACGCTTTATAGGTGTACCATGGGCCTTGTGCCGGCGGACGAGAAGGACTGTGAGATGGAAAGTGTTCGGCGAATATAAAAAACCCTGGCAAGGCTGAGTTCATGGCAACTGGAGACGTTTTCTGCGTTGATAAGTGCGCTTGCCAAGAAGCCAACGTACCGGTAAGTTCTTTTTGGTGCTGCTACCTTGTTTTGGAGGATGTAAGGCGAAGTCGAATGGCCGATATTGATCATTGTAAATAACAGTGTAATACCTTCCATTACTTTCTCAAGGTCTGTGCGTTCTCGTTCCCTGCAGACTGAAAGTACGATAACAAGACACTAATGTCCTGCGGCAACCAAGGCGACGTCCCCGTCGTCTCAGAGACATGCACGAGCTACTGCGACGTGATCTCAAGTGCGCCAGACGTTTGCACGTTCGACCCTTGTGCATGCCGACGAGTAGGCGATACTTGTGGGAAGTCCTTCCCCGCCAACTGTGGCTACCTTCCTGACTCGCTCTACACCTGCGCCACCAATCGCACCCTCCCCGCCAAGAAATCGGCCTGTCAATCGTTCGAGACCTGTCATACAGTCCCTGGAGGAGTTGATGTCTGTTTGGCCAACAAGGTCTGCGATTGTGTCGGTACAGGAACAGTGTGCACCGACCGATCCGGCTGATTGTGCCAAGCCCGCCAACTCTGCGGTGACCTGCCCTGTAGGAACCGTCATCGTCTGTCCGAATGGCTGTGCAAAAGGCAACTGTCAAGCTGCAGGCTGTAAATGTACGGATACCAGTGTCAGATGCGGCGTCTCGTTTGCTCCGTCGTGTAGTCTTGTCCCGAATGCGTTGTATACCTGTGTGAACGGCCAAGCACCCGTGTTGAAGGCAGATTGTGGAGGTCAAGCCTGTGTCGAGCCGGGGTGACTTTATCCAGTTCATTCAAGACAACATCGGCTCTTTCCCCGTTGTGGGCCCCTTGATTATCACCCTACTCCTGGCAGGCCTCAAGTCGCTCGTGATCGATCTCCAGACCGGCCTCGCCACCAGCATCGGCGGAACTGTTGCGTTCCTCTACGGCATCCTCCAAATGCTCAACATCGTCTCCCCCGCCAACCAAACAAACCCGATCCGCGACTACCTCCTCCGCCTTCTCGGTCTCCTCGACATACCCACCGAGTGCGGTGGCGGTGGGAGTAACTGTACAGGCCTCATCCAGATTGTTCGCATGCTTGCCAACGCGCTGCTGGTTTAAATCGCGGCGATCCCGGTGGCCGAATACTTGATAGCGTTGACATTGAGCCCGCTGATTGATGGACTGTTCACGGCGCTCACGGCGGGTGCCAGTGTTGCGATCTATGCGAGCTACACGGCGTTAAATGCGGCATTGACGACGCTGGATTATGTGCCGTATATCGGAACGATTATGGCTCCATTCCGGTACATGTTGGAGGCGGTCAAACAGATTGCGGATTGTCTGTCGACGGGTACTGCTACTACTACTACTGGTGCTATTGCGGTGGGCAAGTTGGAGTTGGAAAGGGATGGAGAGGGGAAGGTGGGGTTGTTGGGAGATGATGGACAGGATCAGCAGCCGTTGGTGATTGAGCAGCTTGAGAGGATGCTTGTGGAGGTTTGAAGGGTGTTAGTTCAACTAAACGATGAAGAGTAACCCATAACTATTTAAGCAATATCTGTAAATACAAACGTAGAGATATCAATTGAATGCAAATGGGAGTAGCATTTTTCATGGGTTTAGAGTCATACACCATTGCCTGAAGAATAGGAAGGTGGCTACCAGAGCTGGGCTCAGTAAGAAGGAAAGTGAAAAAAAAAAGGTCAGGGCTTAAAGATCTATGAGGCTAGGGCTAATTGATGACTTGGTGGCAACTGAAGAAATAAACAGGGGACAAATTGCCGTAATCTTTCTGGCATTTGTGAGCGATGGTCTGTTTGTTTGTTTGTTTGTTTGTGGTGTCGCTTCTTTTCTATTGCATCATGATTAGCATCTTGTATTTGCATCTTTTTGTTTGCTCATGGTTTTCATATCCCATTTCATTAGATTTTTCGAGGGGCAGTGGTGCAACTTCTGTTCTGCAGGGGCTGTGAACGTGAGTGTCTATAGATCAGAGTTCTTCTGACTTTTACCACTGCCACACCATGTCAACGGTTGCAGTGCCTCTCTTCTTGAACGCCTGTTTCTTCATTGATAACAAGAGGTAGAGTGAGAGGGAGAGAGAGCGACCCATACCGAGGATGTACTCTTCACCGCCGCCGCTATCATACTTGGGCGCAATGCCTGCCTTCCTTCCTATCAAACTTGTCACGCGAAAAAATATTCCCTTCAAAAATTCAAAATGAACATTGCCGCAATGCAAATGCAAGGGTGAAAGCAGATCAATGTGTCAATGGTCGATGGTTATGGCCACATTCTCGCGATGTGTAGCTTGCACCTCCCTCACGTTCTCTTTGCGTTCGTCTCTCGTGTGTTTAGACGTTGCGTTGAGCAAGTCGGCAGAGACGTATGAATGATCCCACTCTCTCCTTCCTCTTGTCTTCCTTCCTTCTCCACCGCCCCCTTGTTAATCCTGGGACACTTTCCCCTTTTTCATCTGCGATATATCACCCCTCTCCTCTCCTTTCTGAAATAAAAACCACCATCTCCATTTTTTATCGTAGCACACTCTCTCGATTCGTCCTGGCCCTGGCATACATGCTTGTTATTCTCAGGGTCCCTTCGTTTTTCGATCCTCGTTCATGCACCCAGTCCACATTTTGTTTGCATCCTTTGTGGTATGCCGACCGACCGGTAGTCCACAAAAAAAAATAGTCGAGTTGGTGCGTCGGGTCTTCAATTTTTTGTTTGTTGTAGGCAGTGTCTGTCCTTTTCCTGCCTCGTTGCTGTTGTGTATGATGCCATGGGACAGGTGGCACACAGACCTTATTTTTTTTCGGAGGCGGAGGATTGAAAGAGAGAGCATGTTTTTTTTGGGCCTCCGTCGTCATCTGTTCCTCTCGCCGGTCTTGGCAAAAAACACTGAGAGTTGTTCTACGTGGAAGAAGGGGCAGGGGGAGAGTGGACAGAACGAAGAGAAGTGGAGGAGGGAGGAATAACGTTTTACAGGCCTTCGAAATGGAAAAGAAAGGGATGACATGACATGACCAGAGGGTTTGATGTCAGTCGGGCTGTACGCCCGCAAGGGCAGAAAAGAAGAACAAGCAGGGATATTTTTACCCCTTCAGCCTTTGTTTGTTTAGTTCGTTGAATTGGTTGGTTGTATGCGATATGGTATGATATGCCTTTCTCTTATTTAGAGTGACGACAGGCAATGGATGTTCAATTTACCTAAAGGATGAAGCATCGAAGGGGATGAAGGTGAGTGAGGCGAGGGCAAATAAGAGTGATGAGAGTGGTGGTGATGGAGGCAGAGGAGTGATATCAGACATTTAGTGTGCCTGCCTAATGACTGATGATTCCTTCGTTCTTGTGTCAGCTTTCCTCCCTTTGCTTTTTTACTTCTTTCTTTCCTTCTCTTTTTGCTCTCTTCTTCTTCCCTTTTTCCATTACCTTTTCTTCACTTTCAACAAAACACACTTTCATTACACTTTCATTACACTTCTCCTTACTTTTCCTCCCTTTCCTCCTCATCCTTTACCTTCTTCTCCTCCAACTCAAATCACCGCTCTCAAACACACTCCAATAACCCAGCAGAGTCAGCTTCCAACACATTTACAAAGCCATGGCATTCCTTGACATCAACCTCGTCCTGGCGCAGCCCTTCTTCCTCTGCTCCCTCGTTCTCTTCCTGGTAAGAGCACACCTTTCAACAACACTCCAACACTCTTCTTTCCACTCTCCCTTCTCTTCACTCTTCGCTTTTCTCTCTTTTATTACCTCGCACTTCGTACAACAGCCAACAACGAGGAAGAGAGACAGACAGCATGGCGCATCACATGTTATCCAACCCAGTCACCAAACGGCAACTTGTGAGACAACAGGGACACAGGATGGGCTGACCCGCCTGTCACCTACACCGCGCTACTCTGTCTTCTCTTTTCTCATCTGTATCCATTGAGAAGGCAGAGCAACATTGCAAACAATAACCCAACGGTGGCAAAAATGACAAACCAGAAAAAAAAAAGTATTTGTTTGGATCGACCAGACCTCCGCTTGGACTAAAAAGCGTAAGAGGGGCGACGGAACGGGAAAAAAGAAAAAATACAAATGAGACCTCCGCCCCACTCAGTCCCCAGTATAACCCTGCTTGCAAGCGGTCAGTCAGTCGGTCAGACAAACGGGCTGGAGTAAGAAGAGGCAAGGAGGTGAACAAGGGCCAAGGGACACACATACATGAACAGACAAACAGGCGGGAGGGTGCATACATGCATATCTAACAAAAACCTGGAGGAAATTGAGTGAGGTGTGAGGCGCCGGACCACTCATGTCGTTTAGGGGTACAATGACTCTAGTCAGGACCAGTATCACCACACCGCACGGGATAGGCCAACCGAATGGAAGCACAAGACATGCTCCCTATTTTGCAGAAGATGGCTGAACCCTTCTTCTCCTGTCCCATTTATGCCAGGGCATAAAAATAACTCTCTCCCTCTTTCCCGCGCCCCTTTCTATAATCAACCCCGGAGAACAGAAAAGTTTGGATTTTTGAACCCCAACCTACCTACCATTTTTTTACAACAAGAAACAACATTGGAGTGGCGACGACTGCTGCAATTGAAGAACAGCAAGACAGCAACCCCAGGGATCAATGGCGAACAGACCATTGAACAGTGAGTCTGAAAGTTGTGTGTGAACGGTTCAGCCATGGTGATGGATGATTCTGCGGTGGTAATAAAGTAGAAAGAGGGAGCCATACCGGATTACTATGGGGTCGTCATTTTCTGCCAACAAAACAATGAACGAACGAACAAAGGTCGTTCATCCTTACTACTATTACCGGACAATCCCTCCTCTCCCTTCTTTACTTCAGGAAGACGAGTGTATCGTTATGATTAGTTCATTCCTCTCTCTTTGCTTACTCTCTTGACCCCCCCCCCCCCCCCCCCCCCCACTAATGTGCTAGTCCAACAGAATGACATGTTACTACTACTCCAAACAACAACAAACATAAGCAGGCACAAGGAAATGTGGACAACATACTGACTGACCAATCTTTTATTCTTTGTCTACTCTGTGTTCAAATGAACAATAGATCGGATGGATCATCACGTTCATTGCTGCGTGCACAATTGGCTCATGGATTCACTTGGTCTGGGTCGATATCTTTTATAACCTCTTTATCATTCTCGGAGCCTCATTGGCAGTTGCCACACAATCTGTTCACAACTATCGTCTGGTCCTGTTGACCTTCATCGGAGGATCCCTTACCCTTATCTTCATCAGCATCGATTCCACCATCAACGTCTCTCATTCTTCAAAGCTCAGTGCCGCCGCCGCTGGTCTCCTGATTCAGTCCTTTGTTCTCGTAAGCTATATTTATGTGTCATGGGGTATATATACCTTTCAAACGTCGTACAAATAAGCGAATCGAGACTGACAACTTTTTACTTGATGTATCTAGATCTTTTGGGTGATTTACTTTGGAGCAGAGGAGGACTCGTTGGCACTGCGCACGATTAACGGATTCACGATCCCAAGGGCTCACGGTGCTGCGGGTACGGGTGCTTCGGCTCCTAATGGCGTAACCAATGCGACTCAGCCCCAAGACAATAACAACTTGAGCTCGGTTGTGGTGGCAGCATCGTCGGACTATGCATACAAGGCCCGCGCATTGTACTCTTACGAGGCCAACCCCGAGGATGCCAACGAGCTGGGATTCGTCAAGGGCGAGGTTCTGGACATTGTTGACAACAAGGGCAAGTGGTGGCAGGCTCGCAAGCAGGACGGCACCGTTGGTATCGCACCCAGCAACTACCTCCAGCTTATTTAAGTCTGTCGAGGGTGTTTTTTACCGCTCGCTTTTGATCGATTTGATCGGCTGAAGAAAAGGCGGCAAACCAAACCGATCGACTCTTCATCCATGTACCCATTGGACTACCTTTTACTCCCGCCATCACACCGCGCTTACTCAACAGGGAAGAAATGTCTGTCTCCTTTCTTGTGGCATGTAGCGTTGGACACCACATCATTTCATGTAACAGCACCATTTATCACATAATAATAATCACAGCGCCATTTTCATCGAAAACAACACTATTATATATTTTCTCGGGCATTATGTGTATGCAATATTCATTCGCTTGTATTTGATGCAGCAAGCCCGCGGCGGAATGGAGTTGCGCATATTTTCTTTTGTTTCGTTGACTTTTGACTTTGTTTCACAACACTTGTGGAAGTTGAAAGTGGGGGTTGAAAGAGGAGGAAAAGTAAGAGGAAAAGTAAGAGGGGAATAGTAAAGAGTCAGAGACAAAGGGATGGGAAGGCAGGGACTAGTGGAGGACCTAAGATGAGCTAAAGGGTCAGTCCCTAAACTGGACATTGGTCTGTGCGTGAAGCGCTTTTTTTTTTTTTTTTCCCTCTGTCATTTATTTTTCCTTTGGATGCGCATAAGAGAGACGACATTTGAGCGCATGGTTTCGTGATAATAATCTCGATCGATATTAATGGAGTATGGACTTTCTTTTTTACTCTTGCCATCCTTGTTTTTTCTTGCCGTTTTTTGTTGTTTATTGTTGTTGTTGTTGTGGTTGAAGTTCATCCATCTCTACTCTCATCTACTTTTTCTTTTCATTCTTTGACGCCAGCCTTTCGCCAGTTTTGGACTGATGGGACTAAAGCCAAGAAATAACGAGGGGGTGTGTTGTCTCAATAGAGAGGGAATATGGGAGAGTGAATATAAATGTCCGTGGTTACTCTTCCTCTAGTTTGTCGCATGCAAATCCCCGCCCCTCCCCCTCCCATCCCGCGTTTTTCTCCCTCTTCTTTTCATTTTGTCTGACTTTGAAGCACAAGAAGAGTAGAATACCCGCCATGGGTTTGATGGTGATCATGAGCGACCAGAATCCGCACGTGCGTTAGTAATGTGGTTGATTTTGTTGATGGACAGGGCCATGTTGAAAAAGAGGTTGAGTACCAACTAACATATGAGCCGTGGGCTATGGTTGGTTAGGGTGGTTGGGGAAGTTAATTCGTGGGAGAGAAAAGGAGGAGATAACCACCGATTCATTCCGAATGGTTGGTGATGTGCTTCGTGGTGGTTACAATGGAGTGACGAAGTGAATGCAGAGATCTGAGAGAAAGGACGAAGAGGAGGAGGGAGAAAGGACGAAGAGGATATGGATATGGATATGGATATGGATATGGATATGGATGGTGGTGGTGGTTGGAGAAAAAAAAGGCAAAAGTAGTCAATAGTGGTTATCGTTTTTCTTTCTTGGCGCAGTATGTACACTGGTTGGTCAATGCGGGGCACAGTTGGTTCGTTCGTTCGTTCGTTCGTTCTATTTTTTTTTTTTTTTTTTTCCTTTTTGTGTTGAAGGAAGATGTGTACTGTTGTATCCGTGGCGATGGTTACGTTCGCATGCCCTTGTTGGGAATACAGGAGCAAACCCCTTCCGCGAGTGAGTGCCGAAATGGCGACAGTTGATGGCGGACTTGGCATTGGCACTCTCAGCCTAGGCGGTGCACGAACAACAATTACCAACTTTAATTTGATCGCACGCAGTCACCAAAAGGATTTTTATCACTTTTCTTGACTGAGCTTTTTCTTCTCCTTTTTCTTGTCTTCTCCTCCTTCTTCACTGCTCCTCCTTTCCTCTCCCCCTCTCCCCCCCCTTTCCTCTCAGCAATAGAACATCAACACTTACTCTTCCACTCTCACACACCCAATTCTTCCCTTCTTCCTTTGCCCTCCTTCCTCCTTCCCTCTTCTTCCTTCCTTTCTCAAACCATCCCAGCACAGACACACAGAGGGAACATGGCTTCTCAACTAGACTCCTCGCCTTACCTCAACCACTCCGCCCCTTCTCCTGCACCCTCCTCTTCACCTTCACCCACTTCTCCATCCTCGTCTTCCTCTCGTCGCCACCATTCCCACACCCACACCCATAGCCATCATAGCCACAACCAACAAAGCACACCCGATACCAACACTCCAACAACCTCAACTAAACGCCACCACAGCTCACACCGCTCAAGTCGACCTAGGAGTTCGTCCGTCAACAACGAACGGTCCCGTCGCCACATTAGCAAACACCTCAACAACAATAACAACAACGGGAACTCATCCCACCCAACCTACCATGCACACCACCCCCGTCCAGGCGGCTTCCTCTCCACAAGCTCTACCTCTGCAAAGACAACCCCCATGCATGATGACACCGACGCCGGTCGTTTAATCCCTGTTAACCCCCCAGCAGCGGCGATCGATTACCTTGGCAACGGATGGAACAATGAGGATGACATTGCTGCCTCGTGGAAGTTCATGACCAAACAGAAGAATGACCTGATCAATGGCCTTCGATTGGAGAATGCGTCCTGGCGCAACTGGGCTAAACAGCGCCATAACCTCAAAACTATCAGTCCAAAGTCCTTGAACTGGTAAGACCAGAAAGCTTTTCTCTTGCAACTGTTTTTTTTTTTTTTTTGTGTTGTAGGCTCTTTTTTTTTTTTTTTTTTTGAGTGTGTTAATTGAGAGTGTAGATGGACAAGTCTCCTCCTTCGTTCATCCTTACCGCCAGCGCCCCTCGTTCTTCCCCTCTTTTTTTTGTTGTTTGTTGTTGTCGTTATTGTTTGTGTCTGGTTGGCTGGCTTTGTTATTTATGGGGTAAACCGGATGGACGGACAAACGGAGAACAAAAGCATTTTGCTACGAAAGGGTAAAAATGACAGAAAATTGCGCCAAGTCAGCCAGTAAAGGAGCGAGACTTAGGGGGTTGTGCGTGTCTTACATAAGACAAGCTTGTCTGTTTGAGTGTGTGTACGTGTGAGGCGGAAGGGCAGGGGATAGTGTGTGTGTGGGGGGGATGGGTGAGGATAACGAAGCGCATTCATTTTTTCACACAGCAAACAATCCGTCAAGAAGAGAAAAAACGACTCACTTTTATTACTTTTTATGCAAGGATGCCCCTTGATCGCGAAATCAATAACGAAAAATACGTTCTTACTTGGCTTGGCCCTTGCTTAATCCACACTACGTCGTTTCCTATTCCCTCTCCTATTCCCTTCTTCCCGTTCATGCACACATGCGATACATGGGACAATTGATGGAAATATATATATGTATCACGATTAGCCTAGAGAATGATAAATGTGGGGGATACTGTTGATATAGTTCCTCCATGGTGGTTGGCCTAGTCCTTCCCTCTCAAAGAGAACCCATTATTATTTTCATCTAATCTCTCTTGGCTCAAGTCTTTCGGGTAGCAAAAGGAGTGGAAGAAGAAGAAAGACGCAGCCCTATTTTTACGCCATTGGATACTGGCGTTCGATCTCGTTTTTTTTTCTCGTCCTTCCGACTAACTGATTGTTTTGTTTATTTGTTTATCTTTTTTATCTCGCTTGGTTGTTGATGCGGTTGTGTGTTCAATTGAAACACCATCCTTCTTTTCATGCACTAGGCTCAAAGACAGTGACACCACATGGCTCTATGGTCCTCTCTACAAGGCCGCAATCGACGAGTTTGACAGGTCCCGATTTGGCGCACAGACGGTCGCTGTCGTAGGAGGGTCTGTTTCGACGCCCAGCACACCGACTGACGAGATCCTTGCCCCCATCCTACCGACCGACCTGGCCTCCGTCATCTCTACTTCAACACCGACTACTACATCATCAGCACCAACAACACCTCCAGCATCGATAACATCTGGAGTTGGATCACCAAGATCTATATTCTACAGGTCAGGCGCACCATTGAAACCTGTTCTCAAACACAAAACCGCCTCAGAGCTGTTCAAGGCCGACACGCTCTTCCATGTCCAATCTGACTTGAGACTGCACCGCAAGATCGAACCCTTCAACAAGGCTCGAGAGAGTGCAGTCTTTAAGCAACACCGGCAACCCAAGCTTCGATTCAACGATTCTGTCGAACAATGCGTCTCGATCGATACTGATGTCATCTCTGAGGAGGACGAGGAGAGTCTTGCCAACGACAGCGACAACAGGAACGATGTCGATATTGGCAGGAGTAACGGCAATGGGAGCGGGAAGGATGATGAGGATGCACGAGCTGGACTGGTCGGACGCCACGAGGACGAGGATAGTGGATTGTTGATGCGGATCTCTATCCGGAAACCCCCACGCAGCATTGTCCGCATCGACTCGACAACTCTCAAGGCGGCCAGTCTGCACGGCATGCAAGACGATGACCTCGAGGACCCTGAGGATCCTACTACGACGGATGATGAGGATGAGGAAGGACTGTTTGACGAACCAATCTATTTGGGCAACCCTTACACTGGATCAGGAACAGCCTATGTTGGGTCGCGTCAGGATGCTCCTCATGAGGCCGCCTTGGACGACGTCTCCTATACCCGGCCGTCGCCTCCTTCTCCGTCTGCTGGATCGACTGCCTCTGCAGATTCTTCGGCTTCTTCTGCAGTTTTCTACTCGGCATCATCGACGCCTGTCAGCAACAGCAGCGACATGGAAGGACAGCTACTTCAGCCAGAGCCAGAGCCACAGCAGCAACAGCAATCAGTATCATCAACACAACCAACACCAACTCAACAGCAGCAACAGCCATCACAACAGCAGCAGACTGGAACTTATGTCGTGACGCACACTTCCTCGCCTCGCACGATCTCCACATCGCTCCTGGAACCACAGCTCCCCGTCACAACGACAACCACAGCGGCACCTGCACCGAGCGCGGCCAGGACAGCATTGGCATCAGCACTCGAGGCAGAGAAGGCTCTGGCTGTCAATGGAGGGATGCAGCAGCGGGCCACGGATCTTGTCGCCAACGTCAAAGGACTCGTCAACTGGGCTTCGTCTTTGGTCTTCAACAGCAGCACCTTTTAAGGCAACCCGATAAACACGAAACCTTGTACTTTTTTTCCTCCTGCACACTCTGCACACACCGTTCCGTCCGCCCGATTGAATTTCCAGCGACTCACTCATGCGGTTTTCGACATACTCACCGTCAACAAAATAAAGATCTCGAGAGAAGGGAATGGACGGAGTGAGAGGAGGGGCAGAATGAGATTGCGAGATATATTGTGTGTGAGCAATTACCTGCTGATGTAAACCTTGGCGTGTCTACATTCTTCTTCTTTCGTTCGTCTTCAACCTTGTCAGTCAATATGTTTCGTCTCACTCGTCTTTGCATTCATTTTTCCCTTGTCGCTTTGTACTATCATGTTTTCCTTACCATCATTACCTACCAAAAAAAAAAAAAAAGAAAAAAAGTACCCCATATTTTTTACCATTGCACTCACTTGTTTTTCTATCGATATCCCCTCTTACATAACAAATATAATAAAGGCCAAACAACATGTACGCTTCCTTTCATGAAAATTCTTCATCGTTTCTGTGATTTTATTTTCCCATGTTTTTTTTCTCCTCCCCAAAAAAAAAAAAAAAAAACACGCCTCAAACAAAATTATGTCTTTTTTTTTTTTTTGGTCGATTAATATCCAACCCCCTCAAAAAAAAAACGATATCTTAGTTGGACTGAACGACGCCCAACTTGTCGAGGGCACGGACACCTTGCTCCTCCCACTCCTGCTTTGTGACCCAGAAGCTGTCCTTGTTCTTCATAATATCTGCCAACACCGCGCCTCCCAAGAACACCATGTGCTTACGACGAGGAGGATCCTCAATGCGGATCTTGAAGTTCTATTTTGTCCAAGGAAACCAAAAGAGGGAAAGAAACAGGGGCAGAATGATAAGTAAGAGTGTGTTCGCCCAGAATCCATTGAACAACATTTGAACCACACAAAACGCATTTTCGTCAATCAAATAACGATAACAAAAAAAGAAGAAAAAAAAAAAAAAAAAAAAAAAAAAAAAACATACGCGGAAACGCTGGACGTCGCCCTTGAGGACATCAGTGAGGTAAAGCTGCTTGACCTCCTTCTCGAGACGACTGGGCAGACCGGGGTACATGGTCGATCCTCCCGACAAAACAATGTGCTTGTACAGATCCGAACGAGTATCCAAAGGTGCCGACTGAATCGTCTGGAACAGTAATTCTATTGGAATACGTTCCAAAAAAAGCAAATGGTCAGTCTCCATTGTTGATGCTTTTGTAAAGTCCTGATTACGCCCCGTCATTTTCCGGCTTTCTTATGTATCCAATGCATTAATACGAACCTGCGACACCGGGTGACTCGACGTCGATCAAATGTGGCTGGAACATGCACTCGGGAGCCTCGAATCTCTCAGAGCCGACCTTAATAACACGACCATCAGGGAGCTATTGTTGTACAAACGAGCAGGCGTTAATATGGTCGGTTGTGTAAGGTCAAGCGACATTCCTGTTTAGCAGAGGAAAAGTACAACGAATCACTGCCGTGGCAGGATGAACGAATTGCTTACAGTGTAAGACTCGACAAGAACGGTCGTCTCCTGAGCCAACCTGAGATCCTGGTCCAAGTCGTAACTATCATCAAAAACAAATTGCACAAAAACGATACGCAACAGCCCATTAGCATAAAAAAAAAATATCCATCGTGTCGCTTTGGTGCACCACCAACACCTCCAATGGACAAACATCGCCCCCAATGTACCTGGTGTAGCAGAGCTTCTCCTTGATCTGACGGACGGTCTCAAAGTCAGCAGTGCGGTTGAAGGCGTAACCGCGGTGGAGGAGCAGCTTGATGAGGTACTGGGTCACATCACGACCAGCAACATCCAGACGCTTGGTGATATGGGGCAGGGCGTATCCCTCAACAACGGGCACAATATGGGTCACACCATCACCCGAGTCAACAACCACACCCGTCAACAATCCTGTTGTAGAAAGATAGTGCAAGCAGAGACGATGATTAGGTCAAAGAAAAATAGCACGTTAACATGGACACCTGAATAAAGAAAAAAAAAGAGAGAAGACGAACCTTGGGCGTAAAGGGTGAGGACGGCTTGAATGGCGACATAGACGCCCTGGAAGCCATAATCCTCAAACATGCACTCAACCATCTTCTCCCTGTTAGCCTTGGGGTTCATGGGGGGTTCGGTCAACATGATCTTGGAGTCGCGGGGGTCGATCTTGAGCTTCTCGTTGAAGGTGTAGTCCCAGAGGTGACGCATGTCGGTCCAGTTCTTGACGATGCCGTTCTCCATCGGGTACGACATCTGGAGGATCGACCGCAGCTCCGCGGCCTCGTCGCCCACCATGATATCCTTCACGGCCACATTGCCGATCGACTCTTCTGCACGCAGGATTGGGCGACCCACGACCGAGGGGAAGACGTGCTCAGGGAAGTTCGAACCGGCGTAACCGACCTTGACGAACTATTTAGGCCATGCAACAGTTGAGAGGATATGAAGGTGAGTGTGAGAAAGGAAGCATGTCAATTGGAGAGTGTGCTGGTATGTTCAATTGCTCATACAAATGAACGGTGAATCGCATGGGGGTTGATAGCCATAATGAAGCCTTTTGCTTCCGTTCAGGCACAATAAAATTGTCAAACGCGACTCTCCTTCCACTCTCGCTCACACTTCCTCATCTCAATGCAATTGCATGATGCATTCCTCACAGCATCACCCTCTTTCACAGCCTACGCAGTTATCGTCCTTTGTGTCTTAGAAACCATCAAAACCCAGTGCTGCCCCTTCCTCAGTGGCCGTCCAAGTCAACTCTACAGGGCTGAAAGGCCAAACTGATGCTTACTCCCTAGAGTTGTGTCGTGTTCGTCCCTTGGCAGTTCAGCATCGTGTTTTTCCTGTGTGCTTTCCATGTTTTTGACTGCTATGAAGGAAGTCATCCAGTTCTGCATGTCCACTTGTTTCTTATTCCCCAGTGCCGCCCCCCTTCATCTCCCACTCTCGTCCTCACTTCTCAATTCATTCATCCCTTCCCCCGCCGCAACTGAAAGAAGAAACGAGAAGAGATGATTTACCCCTGTTCCGTTATCGACAACAATAGTTTTTGAGGCGTCCATGGTTGTAGGTGATTGCTATTTCGGGGGGGTTACTGGTATCCTTGTGTTGGTTATTGGCGGTAGTGGTGGTGGGGTGTCCTGACTGTAACTCCTGCTTGTGTTGAAGAAAAAAAAAGCGTGTGAAAGGGGAGGAGAGAAAGTTATGGAGGGAGGGTAATGATGGAGATGGAGAAAAAAAAGAATGCAAAACGGAAGTCGACAGGGAATATAATAACGCGCACAATTAGGGCGATTTCAAAATACGTCACAAGCAATGGCGAGCCATCTCATCCCGCTGTGTATGTGCTCTCATTCACCCACACAAATGAACTACAAAAATAACAACGAGGCCTTCCACTCTGTGCTGGGCAAGCAATTGAACTGTCTGAATGGCCCATACAAGCTGGATCAACCATGCATTCAAAGAGATTTTTTTAAAGGTATTTAGTGTATGACTTTATCGAGAGAGAGGAGTGAAAAGTAATATTTATCGTGAACAAAATGAGTGGTGAGGTTGGTTAGAGAGAAGTGTAAGTGTGGGGAGAGAGAGACGACGAAATACAAAAAGTAAAAGGAAAAGTAACTTAGAAGTTCTTGGTGAACTCGGTGGTGATATCCTTAAGCTGAGCAAAGGACTCGGTGCTCAAATCACCAGACTTGCGGATCTCCTCGAGGAGCTCCTTGTGGTTGGAGATCAAGTGGGGGATGAAGGCACGCTCGTACTCGCCGACACGGTTGACGGGGATCTTGTCGAGGAATCCGTTGACACCGGCGAAAACGATGGCAACCTGGTGCTCAAGGGGGAGAGGCTTGTACTGGGGCTGCTTGAGCAACTCGGTAAGACGGGCACCACGGTTCAGCAAGAACTGGGTCGAGGCATCCAAATCGGAACCGAACTGGGCGAAGGCAGCGACCTCACGGTACTGGGCGAGGTACAACTTCATGGAACCAGCAATCTTCTTCATCGACTTGGTCTGGGCGTGGGATCCGACACGGGAGACGGAAAGACCGACGTTAATGGCGGGACGGATACCCTTGAAGAACAACTCAGCCTCCAAGAAGATCTGACCATCGGTAATGGAAATGACGTTGGTGGGAATGTAGGCAGAGACATCTCCTCCCTGGGTCTCAATAATGGGGAGAGCGGTCATGGAACCACCACCGAGCTTGCGGTTCATCTTGGCGGAACGCTCCAAAAGACGGGAGTGAAGGTAGAAGACATCACCGGGGTAAGCCTCACGACCTGGGGGACGACGAAGCAAAAGAGACATCTGACGGTAGGCGACGGCCTGCTTGGACAAATCGTCGAAGACGATCAAAGCGTGCTTGCCGTTGTCACGGAAGTACTCTCCGACAGCGCATCCAGAGAAGGGAGCGAGGTACTGAAGAGGGGCGGCCTCGGAGGCGGTGGCAGCGACGACGACGGAGTACTTCATGGCATCGTTCTCCTCGAGGGTCTGGACGAACTGAGCGACGGTGGAACGCTTCTGACCAACGGCGACGTAGACACAGTACAACTTCTTGGACTCCTCAGTGCCATCGTTCCACTTCTTCTGGTTAAGAATGGTGTCGAGGGCGACGGAGGTCTTTCCGGTCTGACGATCACCAATAATCAACTCACGCTGACCACGACCGACGGGGACCATGGAGTCAATGCACTTGATACCAGTCAACATGGGCTCACGGACGGACTCACGGGGGAGAATACCGGGGGCCTTGACCTGGGCACGGCGACGCTCAGAGGCGGCGATGGGGCCCTTTCCATCGATGGGGTTACCGAGGGCATCGATGACACGGCCCAAAAGAGCCTCACCGACGGGGAGATCGACAATGTTACCGGTACGCTTGACGGTATCACCCTCGCGAATGAGACGATCGTTACCGAAGACGACAATACCGACGTTGTCGGCCTCCAAGTTCATGGCCATACCCTATTCATATCAATCGAAGCAATATATGTCAGTCCCTGGTTTGAACTATTTCTGCTTCGCCATTTGCGTTTGGTTCTTCAATTGCCGTTGTAAGGGATTGGTCTGCTGTCGTTCAGTTCTAGAAAGAGTTGGCCAGAATGACCCGCTCGATCTTGTCCAAAGCGCAGCAGCTGTAAGACTCCGCAAATGAGTGTCGACCCTCTAGCGCTTGCTTCCCGGTTCCCATCGCGAAGGGAAAGCAAAGATTCCTGAAGCCTCTCCTTATGTTCTGAAAGAGTGCGAGTGCTTTACCTTGACACCGCTGGAGAACTCAACCATCTCCTCGGCCTGGCAGTTCTTCAAACCGTAGACACGGGCAATACCATCTCCAATGGACAAGACACGGCCGGTCTCCTGGATATCGACGGAGGAGTTGAGGCCGCTAATGCGGTCCTCGAGGATGGAGGTGACCTCAGAGGTGGCTATTGAAAGTAAACAATTGGATACCATACACAGTCAGCTTTCATGTATCAGATGCGTCTGAAGTTGCCACAATGGCTTTGGAAACCTGTTAATTGCAGAAGAGGAGTTGCTGTCTATCGCCCTCGCTGCCTCATTGTTTTCTGCTTGTGGTGTGCCTGTGATTTCTTACCAGGCTTGGCGGTAGCGTAGTTGCGGATGGCCGAGAAAGCACCGACGTTGGCGCGAGCCTACAGATAAACCGAAAGGATACAAAAGAGCGATAAACCGTTAGAATTGCACGGTTCCATTGAGGGCAATAGGAGGGAATGGTGTTATCGTGGGAAGTGCGTGTGGGGAGGGGATAGGATTTTAGCACAGAAACAACCAGCTCCTAATATTATTATTCAGATCCGACCAGTTCCGATCCCCTGGCTCCATGATCAGGAAGCGACGATCGTTCTCCTCTTATTCTTTTTCAGATTGGATCCTTTTCAGGATGCAACCCGGTTGTTGCTGTCCAACTCGACAGACGAACACTTGGTGTTCCCTGTCTCCAAAGAAGGATCAGTCCCCATCTGTATGTGCGTCCAGATCAGGCTGGGAAATAAAACGCGGGGAGAGGGTTTCTCCAGTGGATCCAACAGAGACAATGAGACCAACATCGATCATCAGTCCTTCCCGATGATAGATTTAACTCTCAGTTGATCCCGCAGATTTGGTATTGTCGAGTGTCCCATTCTATCGTGAACTTGTACCCGACTAGGGTTGCTGAAGTTATCAAGGTCCTCGTATTCCAGGTCCCCAAAAGGCGACGCGCTGAGAGTTCAAGAAATTCTCAGGGTACAGGATGAGGGTGATATACGATCAATTGATGCGTCTATAGCTGCTCCTGTTGTTGTTATCGTTGTTGTTGTTTGCGCTGGTGTTCCTGAAGTGCTTGTTTGTTGGTGGACGAGCGAGTTGTTTGTTGTCGAAGTTGAATATTGTGTGCCTGATGAGTCTCCTTAGCTTGGAGCTGAATAATACGGAAGGAAAGGGAGGAGGAGCGAGTAGAAAAAAAAAGAGTGCGCGTGAGAGTGTGAGAGTGTGAGTGGGTGATGAAGAACGTACCACGGGGGAGCTACGGGCCAAGGCGATGGCGGCGGGGCGAGCAGCGCGGGTAAGGGAGCGAAGCATGGTGTGATGTATGTGAGGGGAGAGGGGGGAGGAGGATGGAACTGAGTAGAAAAGAAATCAGAAAAGAGGAACTCGTCGTTCTTCAGTTGTACTCTGTCAGAGGCTGCGTTCGTTCGTTCGAAAAAATTACGGGCCGGGGCGGGGCAAACAGTGTGTGAGCAGGGGAAACAGACAGCACAAGCGATAAACAAATAACTGATCAACGTCACAATTAAGGATTGATGCATTAACATTCGCGATCAGATATATTTCGATAACGTCAAAAAAATTCAACTGAGCGCGTGCTAGATCATTACTAGTGCTAGAGCGCGCTTTTAACGTGTCTGGATGTATCATATGTACCCGAACATGCTTGTACTTTTCAACCATCAACCATCAGTTTCGATTCTTATGTTTAAGCTTGATTTGATCAATACCCAATAGTCATGAAGGCGTGCTGGACATCACTCGTACCTGAACATGCTTTGTATGTTTTCAACCATCAATTTTGATATTTTATTTTTTAGTTTTGGTGATCTGCAGTCATGAGCGCCCGTTAGTCGCGTAGAATAAAGAATTAGATAATGAACTGTGCGTGTAAAGAAGATGGATATCGAGAGCGGGGATAACGAAAGAAAGGAGGGAGGGAGGAAGGAGAAAAGACTACTTTACAGAGCTCCAATGTCGGCAATGACCTTGGCGTTGACAAGCAACTTGGCGCAAACATCAATAAAGGCCTTGATATGAGCATCAACAGTAGCGCGGACGTGAACAATCGCCGAGACAGTAACCCTGGCCAATCCCAAAGCGTTCAAATCCAACTTCTTGATGAAAAGATCCAAACGAAGCTTTGCATGGGCCGCCAAATCAGCCTTGACCTTGACAGTCAGCTTCTTGACATCGACATTGATCAACGCGGCAACTTGTACAACAATCGAACGGGCATTCTTCTTGAGGCAGGCCTTGTCGGCCTTGGGGCAGACCTTGCCGACGACCGTGCGGACATGGGCATCAATATTGGCAAGCACGACGGCCTTGAGATCGAGGTCGATACGGGCCTTGATGTCGGCGTCGACGTCGGCCTTGGCACTGACCTCAAGATCCTTGACTTTCACATCGATATTAATAATTTTCAGGAGACTGGCCTTGGCGTTCAGCTTGACGATGACGTCGGCGCAGGCGGAGACTTTGAGGTCGACACAGGCATCGGCGAGGATCTTAGTTTCGGCTTGAATAAAGATCTTGGCGACGGTGGCAATCAGGTCGGGGGCGGTGGTCGTGCTGCTGCCGCCGCGCTTGAGGAGGTCGATGGCGCGCTCGTGGTGGGGGTGCGCGGGGAGAGCCTGGGTCGTGGCGGTGAAGAGGGTGAAGGCCATGATGGCAGGAACGAAAGTGCTGATTCTCATTTTTGGAGTTGGGGGTAGTTGGAGTCGGTTTGGGAGTAGTAGTCGGTTTTTTTGACGCGAGTAGGTAGGGTAAGGAGGAGGGTGTTTGCTGTAATAGCTGGAAAGTGAGTTGGTTGAGGAGTGAAGAAAAAAAAACTGGCACCAGCACCCTTTCCTTTTATACAAAAAAACCGCCCTAAAGCAGCGCACAATTGCTTTTGAATACCTAACATGCACAGAAGAAGTATGAAGAAAGACAAGGGTCCCCGAACCGGTATATTGAATGGTGGCCCCCTCCCTTCGTCTCCCTGTGAGCAAATTGTCAACCAGGCTTCTCCTTTGTGTGCGTCCAGTATTTTGTGAGTGCTTGTTTGTTTTGTCTTTGTTATTCTTTGCCTTTCAGCTCACTTTACCCTGTCTCCTGACAACCCTTTCACGAGATTACCGGTATTAATAGCGAGCCGCCCAATCTTGTCCACAATGCAGGTATGTAAAGTAAGGATGAGTACAGGTATGTGAGAATACTTTGTGTGTAGGTGTGAGTGCAGCGAGGGAGGGAGGACGGAGATCAGGTACAAAGGGGCATCTACCTCTGTCGGTCACGTTTGAAGTTTTTTTACATGCCGGCCTGTTTTTTTTCAACGAGTTAACCCAGCTCATAGAACACATTCCAGGTTTCATACTGCATGTGCAAAGAGTAAGACCGCTACAATGACTACAATGAAAATACTACACTGGCCGCTTTAAGCTGTGTAGGCGGGCTCAATGTACTCCCTCTTGCGGGTCTTTTACCAGATTCAAAACGCTAACCCCTCATCTTGCATCCCCTCTCTCGTTGTTGTCCACTATCCAGCACAAGATGAAAAGTACAGGCGTGCAGCAAAAGAAGTTCAGTTGTGTGCGAGTTGGGGGGGTCAGTGCAAATTGCAGAATCAAATGTACTCCTGCTCTGGTTACAAAGATACCTCGAGAAAGAAAAATAAAGGAGAGTCCCTCTACCGTGTTGAGAGCACCTGTAATCTAATAATTTTTTTCTTTGCCTGGCCCCCCAACCCCGTCTTCCCTCATCCCTCTCCCCACTCGCACACTTCATACATCCAACTCCTTCTCAGTAAACACCTTTTGGATATACTCCTTGTGGGCTACAGGTTTAAAAATAGTTGAGCCATATGCACATTTATTTTCCGTTTGTGTTTCTGTGAGTGTGTGCCCTGGTCAATGCGGGGATGTCAAAAAATCAACAGCGCAGCGGTTGTGCGGTCGGTAGAAAAGCCCTATCAAAAGCACTTATCCCTTAAGCTATAGCACCAGAAGCAACTTAGCTGCTTTGAAGTGGAGGACCCAGCTCGAGCTCTTTTTATTCTCTCCCCTTTTACAGGCTCTCGCCTTGTTCGCTCCTTGGAAGAGCTTCCAGCCCTAGAACTCTCTGACTCGTTCCTCCCCCCCCCCCTCCTCTTTTTTCTCATTCCCTCTCATATCCCCCTCACCCGCATACCACTCCCATTCTCCAAACTAGCCCACTGTCATCTCCTTCATTTACGCCCAACTTTCACCCACCCGTGTTCCATGCCACACACGCTCATTGAACTAAAATGACTCTCCCATATCCTATCACGGCGTCTGACTTTTCGCGAATCCTAAATGCCTTACTTTTTGACCGGTACAATCTCCCACTTTTGGACGGCGACCTCCTAAGTAAACACTCGTCGATCATCATCCCAACCGTCCAACACGTTGTCCCCGATCCCGGAGGCAACCAGAATAGTAATTAAAAAAAAACACGCGCAACCATTCACCTCCTTGCTTTTGCTCTTCGTCCTCCTGCATTCTACACGTTGTTAGCATTGTTCTCGCTAGTTCGTAGAAAAAATGCGAGTAGAAAAAAAAAACATCCTAAGAGAGGGGATAGAGGATATCTTGCGAAAGGGGCACAGGAAAGGGAATATACAAAATGAGAAAAAGGATAGGAAAGCCCCGGTACATCCATCCGTCGAAGCCTATGAGGGCTAAGGAGAGGTTAGGGTAACCCTTTTTTTCAAGGGGAAGGCACAGGGAGACAAACTGCTCAAAAGGGTGTCAGAAAACCCCCTCCTTCCCTACCACTCGCTCTTCCATACTTTCAATGCAAGGATAGTAAAAACGAAGATAGGATGGGATGGAGATGCAAGTAACTTTCTTCCATTTTCCCTTTCTTTCGCGAACGACTCGCCCTCTCTCCTAACTCCCTTTCATTCGTTGTAATGAAGGGGGAAAGGGGTGAAGGGACAACTAGAAGGGCTATTTCGGGATCGGCCAGCATGCCTCGATCCGTAGACTTTTTGCGCATTTTCAAGTCCGAGGAGAGAAGAGAGCATGCAGAAAAACTAGTCGCGCAAGCAAGCATGCATCCATGCATCCAGGAAAAATACACAAGAAAAGGTATGAAGACAAAGATCGATCGTTTTTATTGTACACAGTTGTTTTTGTTGGGGTGAGATGTTTCTTTCGATCTGGCGGATGAGTGAGAATGTAGTTGCGACAGGACGGAGAAAAGATGGACATTAACACTTTCAGGGCAAAAGGGCCGCGCTCTCTTGTTCGCTATGCATGCATGCACACCATGCCAGCATGCATTGGTCTTCTTTTTTACGAGCTAACGAGGTTGATGCATCCATGGGAGGACCGACCCCAGTGCAAAACATTCTGCAGTGTGGTAACTGATTGGCTCTGCCAAGAGAAAGGTCTCTCATGCACCGGAAAGTCCGATTCCTGAATGTAGTCATAGTCTGACTCGCTGCTTTCGCTTTCCTCCATCTCTTCTTCCTCCTCCTCCTCTTCCACAACTGGCGTTGGAGGCACTGGGGTAGGAGCAACAACAGCGGGGGCTGGGGCAGCAGCGGGGGCACGTTGACGGTGAACAATGTCCGCGTATGAAAACTTCTTGGGCGCCGCGGGAACTGGAGCAGGAGCAGGTACCGCAACAGGTACAGGTGGGGGTGACGACGCCTTCTTGGGTTCAGCGTTCTTCTTTGGCGTCTTGGATGCCTTGGAATCCTTTGAAGAGTTGGGTCTCTTTTCATTCTTGCCATTTTTTCTGACCTCGATCTCGCGTTTGGTCAATGGAGCTGGTACGGGAGCCTCATTCTTGGCTAATTTGTGTCAAAGTGATAGGTTAGTTGTCAGGTCTACAATGGTGGAACAATCCGAGCATGATAGCTACGACAGAGCGTAACTCCTTACCGATCAACGCCAGCATGCGGATCATGATAGACCCAGTAATGTACGCGTCGTAGCCTGCCTCGTGCGACAAGTCCCGGGAGAGATAGCGCTGGTGTCTATAGTGAGGAGCTGTAAAGTAAAGGAAATACATGTCCTGTTAGATGTATTACGCTTTCGCAATATCGTATTAGACGCAATCTAACCAATCAAGAACGAGACCTATTGAACTTACTGATTCTAGGGCAGCCCATAAAGTTGATTGTCCCGACCATATTCTCCAGACCTCCCAAGCTGGAATCGAATGCAAGACCCTAATAAAGATCAACATTGTAAAATAGTGTCCAGGTGAATGGCCGGCATTTTAGATATACATCTCGCAGAGTAAAAGGCCAATTGGCATCTAAAAAATGTCTGCAGCTGTTTATCGCCTACCTTGAGTGCGTTCGCGGTGTAGGATACGTACTTTGTATCCATAACTCTAAAATAATAATAAAAAGAGAACAGGCAAATCGCTTGGTGTCAATAGGCCATATACATGCAATGTACCCTTCATACCGTATAAAGTGATGATTCGGTTACGTTGGGAATGTCTTGTGGATCATCTTCTTATATCCATCGACAGTTGGTGGAAGAGGGCCGACAAATTGCGCGAGAATGTAAGCGAGATCCACGACAATGTTGTGGCCTACGATGGGCTTCTTGCAGGCGGATAAGATATCAATCACTTCGCGGAATCCTCTAGAGCTCTCGATGTCGCGCTACGATAGTTCAACCAGTACAAGTGCGATAGCGAGTATTTAGTCCAACGTTCCTGTTATTGGCTGCAGTTATACTCTGTTCTCCACACACTTGTCAGAGACACCACGAACCAGCAAATCTGATTGACGCTGCTGCTGTTGTATTTCCAGCTCCTTCTCCGTGATCTTGGTGATATGGATATGTCCAGCTTGTCCTCGGGCATTGAGCTCTGTGGGCCAGCTAAGGTTATGAAAATGTAGAAGTGTACTCGGTCAACTATGCCGTATCTTGGCGAGAAGTATTCATTCGTTGCAGTTGATTCGATTTCATCATATTTCCATGCTCTTACTATCGTCGGACCTCTTGATAGACAAGGCGACGTTGGTAGGCATTGTTGGTCTGAATGTTGATAAAGTTCAGGGCTTGCTTGCTGTTCTTCCACTCTCCAATGCGCTTACTGCAATCCCAAAAAAAGAGTCCTTTGGTTAGACCCTGTGGTATTACGTGAGATTCCCGAGCGACATCACTGAGGAGCAATAGTCAAGGGAGCTCTTACATGACATCCTGGAGCCACATGGTGTTGAGAGCATCCACGGCAATGTTGTCCATCTCATTATTCACCGCCTTGGTACGTTCCCGCTTATAGATCTCCTCCTCATCCTTTGTCATGTAGTGAACGCCTAAGGGAAGTGAAGAAAATAATGTTAATTAATTCATTCGCACAAACAAAGAACAAAAGTATATACCCGTGAGTGAAAAGAAAGGCTAATGGAAGTACCTTGATAGACCCACTTGTTAAAGTCGAATCGGTTCTTGGCCAGGAAATCCAGACTAGAAGCCTCGGTCAAGAAGCATCTTCCCTGAGGCGAGTATCCCGTCAGAGTGGTTGGAAAAACAAAGACGTTGAACGGCTTCGCCAAGTAGCTTCCATTTGACGGATCAAACTTGAAGGTCGAGATTCCAATCTGAATGGTGAGAAACTTGCTGGCACTCTTGCGCAGGTCCTCGTAGCCTTCTTCCAGGGTCGTGTTCTGAGTTCTGCGGTTGGGTTCCGTGTGAAGTCCTAAGTAAGAGTGATACGAGTTGATGGTCCAGAGGGAGGTTCACGACGATGAGCTCCCACGCGCTATTGTCCTTTTTGTTTTGCTCGCATGAGCTAAAAGATGTATGTTGGATCCTTCTCCTGCTTCTTGTACCTGAGAATTCTGCGTCGATGGCGATGAACTCGCACTCTTCGATGGCCTCCTTGATGTATGGCAGCTCCCGCTGGAAGTTCTCGCGGACGATCTCCATGTCAAAAGGGAGTGGTTGCGTAGTAGTGAGGTGGTGTTGGGAACAGAACAAAGGCCACGCTCTTGATTTTGGTGGCGGTCATCATTTCCCCCTTTGGATGCAAGCCACATACTTCAACCCTTGACCGAAATAACCGCGTTTTTATTTGGTGCCCTGAATCACAACCTTTTCCTTCACTTTTAACCACCACTTGATGTGAAGCAATGGATCCCACAGGCATGGACGAAGGATTCGAGTCTGACACTCTCATCGGAGTTGGACACTCAACTCCCACCAGGAACAGCAACATCAACTTCAACAACAACATCAACGAGAACATCACCCCTGCCGATCCCACCAGCAACTATGCCCCCTTCGGACCCACTTGGTCTGCTCCTTCCACCCCCTCGGTCCCCAGTAACGTATCTCTCCCCGCCGACTCGATCTTCAAAAACATGTCTTCCCCAGCCAGGAGCACTATCGGACCAAGGAACTCGCTGAAATATAGCTTACGGATGGACGAGGGAGACGAGGACACCCTTCTTATCGAGAAGAGTAGGATTCTTGAACACCTCCGGCACGCAACCGCCGAGGTCGATGAACTGGAGAGTCGACTCCAGGCTGTGAGGCGGCAGCGAGCACGTGCAGTTGTTGATGCTCTAGAGAGTCATCAAAAGGCACAGGAATCAGAGGCCAAGGAGATGAGGTACCTGTCATTGCAGAGTGGTAGGGATATTGTAAATGATAATTATTCACAATGGAATTGATCCCTAACGTTCATTTTATCTGTGCAATAGGAACGTTCTCGGTAGCATCCATCAACTAACAATTTCAGAGGCTGAACGGGAAGTGGGAAGCACGTCGCAGGAGATCAAGACCATGTCCGATGTGCCTGTAAAGACTCTCCTCAACACGCTGACGACACAGGGACAATCGGGCATCAATCTAGCCATGGTAATGATCCACCCCCTGGTTGTTTACAACATTGGGTCGTATTCGCGTTTACATTATAGCAGAAAATGTGATTCTAATATAACCCTTGCCATCACTTTCAGGTTCAGAGACTCCAGAGTTTTACCGACTTTGTATTCACGTCGATCGAGAGCCATGTTATTTCGACATCAGAGTCTGAGAGCGGGAATCGACGATACAGGATCGCGGGATCGTGTTATCGCTTGGAGTTTGAGGTCAAGTTCATTGTCCACGAACCAGCCCTTAACCTTACAGGCCTGAAAATCACGTTACCACACAGCGTCCGACAAGAACTGGGCCAGTTTGTATCCAGGTAAGACAAGGCATACAGCTCTCCATCAATATGTGAACTTATGAGGATAGGGCGATACTAGCACTAACTTGACGCGTATTTTTTTGGAACCATGTTGTTAGTGCTGAGAAACACGCCATGCTACTGCCCTTCTTCAGGGTACTCTTGAATTATGCCCAGATGGACTACGATCGCAGGACGCTGATGAACAACCTTGCCCAACGATTTCCTCGTCTCCTCAAAGCCAATCACGCCTTCTTCAAGCTGTCAAAATCCAAGGTGCGATCACCGTCGTTGGGCTTTGACAAGACCGATGCCTCTTCAAGGTGGGCCCTTCCTGGAGGTCCTGGAGTACAGACACTCACATTCAGTGGCACAAGGTACAATCATAACTATTGCGCATGCTTTGAATCATTCGTGTCTGCTCAAGAGTTGTTGCGAATTGATACTGACATGGGGGATATGTGCGTTGTGTTTTATAGCAAAATGAGCCCAGAGCTTGTCCTGCAGTGGAGCATTGAAACGACAGAGCAAGGCAAAATTATACCCCATGTGCGACTTTTGCCGAGGATGCACAAGAAATGTAAGAAATCGAATGCAGTCTGGATAACATTTCACAGGACGTAATCGTGATGACACTAATTTTTTTTTCTTGATACAATTGTTTCATAGGGCGACAAGCAGATGAGAAGGGGACGTTGGATACGATCCCGACACAATTTGCGCGATTGATACAGCTCAAAGGGACTGAGGGAGCGATTGCGATCCTACTCCAGTGTGTGTTTGGAAGGAAGGCAACCGAGGGAGGCGGTGGCGGGACCAGGCCATGAGCCGATTGACTCCTTTGAAAGGGTGCCACCAATTTGTGTGAGCCATATTTTTTCTACCCAATTGCCTTCGCTTTTGACACCTCTCGTGACTGACTTTCTTGGGTCATGTTCACTTTTTTTTTTTTTCCCTTTGCCCAACCTTGCTCAAGGCTGGGCGGAAGAGTCAGTCAGTCCACTTTTTTTTACCTTTTCCTCCGCACACCATCCCCTTTGTCTCTTTCGTCTTATTCCTCTTCTTTCTCTGTCCCTTGACCCTTTTCTTTTCTTCTCCTTGTAACCCTTTTTTTTATCTCCTCTCTTTTCTCCTTCTGCTTCCCCTCAACCTTACCGCCGCCTTTCTTCACCCCCCGACTCTTCCGTTTCGTCTTCGTGTCCTCCCCTACTCAGTACCAAAAAAAAAGGCAAAAACTCGTTCATTCACGACTCTCCATCGGCATTCACTTTTTCTGGGCTTGTCCCTTTCGCTCTCAAGGACCATCACTTCATTCAAAGTTTGGCAGTACAAACCTTCACAGCCCTTCTTTGACTCTCTCTCACTCTCTTTTCACTTTGAGCGCCCACTCTCTTCTACCTCACAACCTCTTTTCACTCTTTCCTCTTCCAAAGACATGAGGTGGGAACACGACTCTGACTCAGAGGACACAACCATGGCTGCCCCAACGGCCGAATCAGAGGTCAGCACACCAGCAGCTGCCTTGAAGGAGAGTCTGTTGGCTCGGGGACACGATGACTCTCTGGTTGATAGAAACCAAGACCCGTTCGCCGACCATACGGAGGAGATCCAAGACGAGGTCTCACACATGGTGGTTAAGACGAATCTAGATGGTGCCCAGTCGACGACAACAACGACAGCGTCCCACGATGGCACACCTGCCTGTTCGACGTCGACCTCTTTGACCTCGTTGGCTTCTATTCCCTCTCCGGCTTCTATGACCTCATCGTCCATGGAACCTGCCGGTCCAAACAGATCCAAGGCGCCTTCATCGTCATCGACTCCCATTGAGCCTACTGATTCTCGCCCAAGTATCGATCGCACTCAAGACAGCGGGAACACTTACAACCGATCGGGGCACTGGTCCTTCTCTACCTCGTCGGCCTACTCGTATTCGGCACCGACACTCTCCATGTCGAGCCTCATCCACTCCAAGGAGTCCGTCTACGCTGCGGTGCCCGTCTCGTCCGAGCTGTACATCATCCCCAAGTCAAGCCGTGGATTCCATTGGAACGGAGACCTTTTCTTGAAGCCTCACCAGCGTCGCAGTCTGGGAGTAGATCACATGTTTAGCTCATCTTCGGCACACCACCACACCAACCATAGCATCAACGACAGCAGCAGCGTCTATGGAGGGGCGGGACCATCGAGTGGTCAGCATCAGAGTCAACATATCCACAACCAGGACTCTTCTGTGATGGTGCATGAGATTCGTTTGGACGAGCACGAGATAGATGGGATCTTGCCCTCATGGCCTTGAGTGGACTGTGACCAAGACGAACGTCAACTTGCATTCACCCACAAATGCACACGCACGTACACAAACATACAGATTGCACAGACAGACGCTTCCTAATTCTCTTGTTGCTAATCTCCTTTGTTGTTTTTTCTGCACTATGCGTCGATTCTCTTGTATCCCTTCTCTTCCTCCTTCCTCCTCATTCTCCTTTGCAGTTTCACCCTTGGGGAGGCAAGACGACTAATTGAGTTTTGTGTCACTGCCTTTGCCCCTCTGAAAATAAATGAATGAAAGTCACAAACGAAGTCGCGAGGTGTGGTTTTCTGTTGTTTGGAATTTTTCAAAGCGCGTCTCTTTTCCACTGTTCAAGTTTGCATTCACACCCACGCTCAACAACAACAACAACAACAACTACTTACACAGGACCAATGGAGGACTATTACGACATTGACGCCATCCTCGCAGAGGATCAGGTACTTTCCTCGGACAACGCATTGCTTTTCACAAAACAGCTCGGTTAGGCATGACTCCATAAAGATGTTGGCAGTCATCTGACACTGTTACTTTCTTATTTTTTTTGTACGGTGCATGAGTAGAACGTCAAGTGTGCTTTCCAGAGTAACATCCCTGGTCTTGCATGGTTGGAAGGAGGTCATGATGATGCGGTTAGTCTTTGCTATCGAGGATTTGGATATCAACTGCATTGCGAAACAGGAGCAATGGATCAGACTGGAAGACTGCAGGCAACTAACAGCTCTATGCACTTTTTTTCTCTTGCGTCTTATGTGCGTTGATACTATTGACGATAACAACTCAAAAATGACCGACGCAGCTCAAGGCAGGATCGAGGCTCGATATACCATTCTGGCTCGCACGAGAGCTCGTCGAACAGTAAGCCTCTCCCCGCTCCATCTCCTCCTCTCAATTTCCCTCTCTCAACAGGATCACAGTTCTAGAATGATAAAAGCGCCACCAAATTTCTCACACATTTTCTTGTGGTTCCCTTAGTGACGAAGAGACAGTGGGCATAGACATCGAAACACCAGAGTACTTTGGACCCAAGGTCAGGAATGCCCTCCGGGCGGATGCGAATACTGTCGACTTGACGAAACAGTGTCCCAACTTCTTCCGCTTCGGGACCGTTTATCTTCAGCTGTAAGTCTCTATATTCCTACTAGTTAGGCGTTTTTTTGGTGTGCGTGCGGCGTGTGTAGAAGGTTCGTTGATATCTGTGAACTAATGCACTCTTTCCTTGTTGATCTATCTGTTAAGGGTTGACGATGTGGCACTATCTGGAGTGATGGAGGAGGTAACATACATCGCTGTCAAGAAGATATTCTCTAGGACGACAGGATCTGACCATGGCCTGTTCATATTGCAGGAGTAATTAATAACCATGTCAACCCTATCGCCCATTACCTTCTGATCTATAGGCTTTCAAGGCGAGACTACAGATGACGATGGATCACACACAGTCGGGAGGAAACAGTAACACAACCGACTACCTGAACCGCCTTGACGAGACTGAGCGAGCATGTACGATCAATTGGCAATTGTTCCCAATCTTGCCCCCTGCCCTCGACATTTTTTGTCACACTTGCGCTCAGCGTCCACTCACTACTAACGATTCTTTTTTTTTCTTCTTTGTTTTTGATAGTGTACAGGGCAGGAATGGAGAGTAGCGCGTCGATTCATCAATGGAACCAGCATTCCTTTGGCAGGATACGATCTGCAAGCGAGATGCTCCTCAAGAGAAAAGCTACGTAGGCAACTCTTTCATGCCCTCAGCCCAGCTTCTTCGGGATACTTCGTTTCCGTTTTTGCGGCCTCCTCCATGAGTACCAACTCACATTATTCACCCTCCCACTGTACCATAGTTATCTCCTCCTCTCGTCAATAAAACCCAGCGTATTGCAATCATTTGTATTCTTTTGTGCTTATGTTTTGTCTTTGAGCATTAGTTTTTGTACTCTTTTCGACTCGATCTCGGCTCTTCCGGCTTACAATTTTAAACTCAAAACTCTCTCCATCATCACAAGTTCACAACAGCCCTACATTTTCTCTTCCTTTATTTTTATTTTTTTGTATACAAATATATTTCTCTGACAAATAATATAAAGGAGGCATTTGGAAGTAAAAGGGCTACAGACCCAAACTCTTCAGTGCGCCATCCACCAGTTACCAGTCCGGTGCGGAACCTGACTTTGCACAACATTTGTCGTTGCTCTTTACAGCTTTAACGGAAGACAAAATAAAACAGGACGCGAATAAATACGATTCTTCCTATCCTCTCCATCATTGATAACCTCCTCCTTCCCATCAAACTCTCCAACAACCAGCGCGTGGGTCCCTGATCGCTCCAGAGCAGGTCCTATCCTCGTGTGTGTATGGCTAGCGAATCGCCACTTTTTTTTTTTTTTTTGTACACAATTTTATTTCTCTGACAAACAGCATAGAGAAGTTATTTGGAAGTAAAAGGGAACTACAGACCAAACTCTTCAGTGCACCATCCACCAGTCGCAGTTCGGTCCAGAACCTGGCTCTGCGCAACAATTGTCGCTGCTCTTCACAGCTTAAACGGAAGAAAATAAAACTAGATACGAATGAAGGGGATTCTTCCCATCCTCTCCATCATTGACAACCTCCTCCTTCCTAACAAACTCTCCAACAACCGCTCGTCAGCAGCGCGTGGGTCCTTGGTCGCCCCAGGGCACCTTCCTTCACAATGTGTGGCTAGCGAAGCGCCACACGGACAGAAACCATCGTGCGTGATGTAACCGTATCCTTGACTCCAGTCACCTCGGGGGCCTGTGTATAGCGAATCGCCACACGGGCCCCATTTTTTTTTTTTTTTCGTACACAATTTTATTTCTCTGACAAACAGCATAGAGAAGTTATTTGGAAGTAAAAGGGAACTACAGACCAAACTCTTCAGTGCACCATCCACCAGTCGCAGTCCGGTCCAGAACCTGGCTCTGCGCAACAATTGTCGCTGCTCTTCACAGCTTAAACGGAAGAAAATAAAACTAGATACGAATGAAGGGGATTCTTCCCATCCTCTCCATCATTGACAACCTCCTCCTTCCTAACAAACTCTCCAACAAACGCTCGTCAGCAGCGCGTGGGTCCTTGGTCGCCCCAGGGCACCTTCCTTCACAATGTGTGGCTAGCGAAGCGCCACACGGACAGAAACCATCATGCGTGATGTAACCGTATCCTTGACTCCAGTCACCTCGGGGGCCTGTGTACTTGGATGTCTTGTCCTTGGCAGAGATGCCCTGGGTCTGCTCCCACGCGATCGTCGCGGAGCACCGAGGTTTCCAGATCAGCTCCGAGGCCTGCGCCTCCAGGTAGCCAACAAACTTGTGAAGGACTGTCTTGGCGATGGACATTGGGGTCCGGAAGACCGCGGACCATTCAGTCAACATGCTCAAGGGGGTGATGCCGCGGAGGAGATCCGACACATTCCACATCGGTTTCTCGTCTCGATCGAGAGCTGGACTACCGCTGTGCACGGCTCGAGCTCCACCGATGGAGGAAAATCCTCGTACATGATCTGCATCCGAAGGGGGCCACCAGTGTATGGGTACTGGCCTCGGTACCTGACGACCTCTGTCCACCGCGCGTTTGTATTCCCGCTTCCTGGCTGCGTTGTAGCTGTTTGTCGCCTGCACACCCCACTCATTAATCTTGCCCATGGCCTCCTTCCAGATCTCAGTGGTGGTCTCAGCTGCCGAAGGGCATTTCCAGACGTGATCGTTATCCTCCTTCTCGAGCTCGCATCGTCGGCACACGCATGTTGGGTACAGGTTGGGCTTGCGAGCCTGCATGGAGTTCAGAGTGGGCAGCATTCCATGCAGCTTTTTGATGTGATGTGTTCGTTGATGGGTGTCCTTGCTGTTGCTGTAAAAGGTGAAGACTGCGTGCCTGTCGTGGACATAAGCCAAGGTCGAGTTCCATTCCACGTCCTCGATGTCAGGGATCGCCCTCTTGACCCGCCTCTGTGACGTCCAGGCCTGATGGTGACGGATTGTCGATTGTTGTTTGAGGAGCTGACGCACACGGGCCCCAGACACGGGGCCGATCTGGGGCCTTTTTTTTCGGCAGTTCAATTTTAGAACTCAGTGAGATGTCATACCGAGAATGCAAAAATGCAGGGTTGTAAAATTTTCGCAAATCAGATTCAGCCAATCAGATTGGCCGATACCGGTCTGGTTTGGGGTTGTAGCTCAGTTGGTAGAGCGCACGCTTCGCATGCGTGAGGCCTGGAGTTCGACTCTCCACTGCTCCAAATATCTTTTGCCCCATCCCTCCTTGGTAGTTTAGAAACGTGGGAGTTGAAGAGGACTTATCAGCGTTATCTTTTTTTGACAGGAGGCATCGCTTGATCATTGTGAGAGTGACAAGGGTCGTCTAGGTTGATCAGATTCTCTCATTTTGTTACACGCGTCTAGTCAGATAGATTAACCGCTTCAATGCGTCTAGTTTTTGTATGCATTTTGATGGTCCCGCCTCCAACCAACCATCAGCTCAAGATCGTCCAAAGGATATTATCTAGAAAAGACACAAAATGGATATAGGGTAGGGCCGAAAGAATAGAAACTTGAGAAAGACCACTGAATGGTCTTCATTTCTTTTATTAGGTGTCCAAGATTGGAAGTCACCAGTGCTTCCCCTTCCATCTCGGGAAACTGATCCGTCGTTCCATCGGATCGTCCATGAAGAGAGGTAGTAAAGGAAAAGTGAAGGGATTTTCGCGTTCTGTGGATCTTGCCATACGAAGGAAGGTGCGAGAGAGACGGAGAGAGATAGGAGAGATAAGAAGAAAAAAACAAGGATACGCATGGCTGCGCTTCGGCATAGAACAACTTTCCGTTGATGCATTGACACAAATTAAGGCTATCCTTTCCTTCCTCCCTTTTCGATCTAAATAAACAGTGTAGTGGCCAAGACTCAAAAGCGAATGGTATTTCCTCGCTATTTGAAAATTAAAGATATAAATCGAAAGTAAGGATGGAAATGGCAATGGAGGGTGGGTTGGCAGTCGGCACTTCGATATTTTCGAAACGTCAAAAATTTCCATTTGTGGGAGACGAGATTGACGTCCCTTTGCATGCTCTCTGTGCCTGCCATGAAAGCGTCAATGCAAGAAAAATAGGGTGTGTACACTAAACAAGGATCGAAGAAAAAGGCGCAGTTGTTTGTTTTTTTATACACTTTCACGGCAATATTCTTATGCCGAATACGCGGATGCGGATCAATTGAACGAAGGGAAACACAGCGAGGATTGAGATCCTAACAAGAGAAAAAAAAAAGACACACAGAACAACCGTGCCAAGACGACCCTCCTCCTGTCGCCATTCACAATGACAAATCGACCTGCGCATCACGCTCTGACTGAAAAATGAAGACAAAAGAAAGGCGTCAAAACCATAATTCAAATAGGCTTGTGTCCCCTATGCGAGAAATAGAAGAAAGACGAAACCTTGCTTGCTGCAGAAGAAGGCAGGTTGCTATGGATCGATCATTCGGTTAAACTGACCCCGAAGGAAGGTATAGTTTCTGCGCCTCGTGCCGTAAATTGCCAAGAGCTGGAAGGTTGGTAGGCTGGTAGAACAGGTCGAGGGGCGATCAGTAGCCCATAGAAAGCAAATGGAATGTACTGAAAGAGAAAGTGCCAGAGAGGGAGAGTGTGCGCAAGGTAGTGATGCAGAAAGCATGGGGGGGAGGGGCGGAGGAGAAAGAGTGACTGGAATCAAGGTTGAGTAGAAAACGAAGGAGCGCAAAGGAGAGGATGTTTCAAACACATGTCGGCGATTTCCCCTGCTCTCGCTTTCGATCGTGGTGTGGCATCATTGCAGCCAGGACAAAGCAGGCCAAAGAGAAGGGATGCAAGCTTGCAACAAGAAAGAAAGTGGACCATGCACTCCCTTTTTCACTTTGCTAACGTGCGGTTTGCTCATTCTTCTCATTCGTCCCACCCCTATAGTGCCGTTTGGCAGTCCCTTCCCTCTCTTTCCCTCGCTCCTTCACCCAAGGCTGTGACCCTGAAATTTCTTTTGATCTCGGTGACAGTACGGTGTAGACTGATTTTTCTTGTTTTCAGGAACAAGGGGAGAAGGCTGTATTACACACGAACACTTCTTTCGACTTCATTTTACACACCGTCAATTTCACCCATTTTTCCCTCGCGTCCTTTTGTCGCGATTATCCTCCTCAGTCATATCCTTCGTGTAATAGGGGTTCTTCTTGTGCGAGTGTGCGTTTGCTTTTTTTCCTTTGGCTTTTGCTTCTTGGGGTTTAGACGAACGAACGACCTGACCATTATCCGCAGTCGTAAGCTACCATCGTCGATATTATTTTTTCTCCGACCCTTTCATGCCGTCAGTACTAAAACTCCTCCTCTTTTACTCTCCACCTTCCACTGTGGAGTAGGATGCTCAAAAGCAAAAGAGGTTTGACAGGCGGAGTAGAGGTTACAACAACACCCGATCGAAACCACAGAGGTGAGCTTCCATCTCTCATTCACCGGCCCTACTCTCTTCCTGTGGTGTTACGCAACACCTCTCCCCCTCTAATCGAGATAGGGTTGCCAAGGTGTCAATTGGGATTAAGGTTGTGTATTATTTTCAATTCAATGGTTTTTTTTGAAGTATGCACCGGCGGAATTAAATGCCGAAGTGGAAAAAAAAAATTCGAACACTTGATTTTTGCCTCTTTTGGAGCCAGGAGGATGTTAAGGGAAGCAAGGACAAGTAAAGAAGCAAAAGAACAGAAGGTTGAGTTTGAGAATAGGGAGTAATGGAGGAAAGGGTTGGAAGAGAGTGTGTCAGTGGTAGCACCTGTGCAATGGCAATAGGTTATGCCGAACTGGATGTGAACGGTACTTCCTTGCTTCTTGTCCCATCCAAATTGTGCAACAATACATACCAACCCGCTTCGCAATCCAACACAACACGCCGTACTCGTCTTCCTTCTCTTGGCGATTTCGCTACATTTGGTCATTTAGTGTGCTCACAAACAATGGTCGATAGGGTGTCGCGAGTGGGGTGGAGTGATGTGGTCAGACGCCTGTGTGTTTCTGTGTTTCCAAAACTGACAAATCCAATTGTTGTCGTTGCTTGTTGTCATGAAGGTATTTGCTTTTTTTTTTTCTTTTTTCTTTTTTTTTCTGTATTTTTGTCATGCTCGCTGGTCAATGCCCGCTCACGTCTACTTTTCTTTGATATCCAAATGAATGATGATTGTGCTACTCAGAATCAAACGAAAGTGAGAGAGATGAATGATTTTTCTCCTTTTTGGAGTAGGTAGCAGCCAGAAGCAGAGGAGTGGAGGTGTGGAAGCAACTCTAGCCGAGGTTATTGCGATTAAGAGTGAAATCTCCCGGGTGAGCACTGAGAAAAAGGGAGGGAGTGGAGTATGAAAGCATGTGGAATATATCTCAATGGAGCGGATGAATCTGCTTTTCTTTGCTCACTTGGTCAACAAAGAAAAGATTATAAAAGCACCTTTGGCGCCCTCCTTCCTCCCACCTCTTTCTTCTTCAAACTCATCTTCACTCTTCTCTTCCTCTTCACCTCCTTCTTTTGTTCTTTGACTCCAGGTCTTTTGCCTCTTAGTCACAGCAATTGGTGTTTCCCTCCTTGTTACCTTATTCACCCACAACACACACCTCCACATCTCCACAAACACCAAACGCCCTCTCCTTCCAACACTCCCACAATCCCATACAGCCGCAAACCAACACATAACACACAACAATAATGGCCACCCCTGGCGAGAAACAGGAGATGGAGGAGGTCCTTGATGTACCTGCCTCTTCTTCCACCACCCTCCCTGTCACTGGCAAACAGGAATATTCCGAGGCTGACCGCAAGGTCGCTATTCCTATCAAGGACGAGGATCAGTCCTCCGTCGCTCCCTCCGACGTCGCTTCGTCGGCTGCCCCCGACGTTGTCGTCTACCACAAGCCCCCTACCAAGCAGTTCGTCCTCATCATGATCGCGTATGTCTTCATTATCCTTGTTTCCCCCTCTCGCCCAGGTTCCTTTTTGGCGCCACATGGCGATTTGTCAAACGAGAGTTCACCCGTATCATCTCCTTGTGTCCCCTGGCCCACTCACTCTAATTCAATTTTGTGGTTGTCCTTTGTTTATTTTTTCTTCTCATACTAACGTTTTGCTCAATGTTCTTCATGCACCAATATTAGATTATCACTTTGTGTTTTCCTCGCCTCGCTCGACCAGATCATCGTCGCCACATCACTCCCAAAGATCTCGGAAGAGTTCCAGTCCCTGGGCGACATCTCATGGCTCGGAACTGCTTACATGATGACTGCCACGGCCTTCCAGCCCCTCTACGGAAAGGTCTCGGATATCTTTGGTCGCAAGGGTACTATTCTGTTCGCTAATGTCATCTTTATGGTCGGATCTGCTGTCGCTGGATGGGCAAAATCTATGACAGTCTTGATCGTTGGAAGGTAAGCAAAGGCTCTCCTCTTTGTGCTAGATGTGTGACTATTATTTTTTTGAAGAAAGAAAATGTTGACCAACTAACAAACCTTTTATCTTTTACCTAAATGCTTTAGAGGTGTTGCAGGCGTTGGAGCAGGTGGATTGATGGCGATGGTGTTTATTATTCTGTCGGACATGCTGGATATGCGTGAGCGCGGCAAATACCTCGGATTCATTGGAGCCATCTTCTCATTCTCGTCCGTCGTCGGTCCACTCTTGGGAGGCGCATTCGCAGACCACGCAACTTGGAGGTGGTCATTCTGGATCAACTTGCCTTTCGGTGCCATCTCGGTCATCTTCATCTCCCTCAACCTCAACCTCCCCACCCCCAAGGGCTCATTCAAGGACAAGATCAAGCGTATTGATTTCATCGGATCAGCTCTCTTGCTCGCCGCCGTCGTCCTCATCCTCTTGCCTCTCTCCTGGGGTGGTCAAAAGTACGCTTGGAACGACGGTATCGTCATTGGCTTGCTCTGCGCTGGTTTCGCTGTTGCTGCGATCTTTGTCTTTGTCGAGTGGAAGTTTGCCAAGGAGCCCATTCTCCCCATCCACCTCTTTAAGGTCCGCAACCTCTGGTCGACCTACGGCTCGCTCTTTTTCAGTGGCATGTCCTTCTTTGGAATCCTCTTCTACTTGCCCATTTACTTCCAGGTCGTTAAGCGCGAGTCTGCTACTATCGGAGGACTGGAGACTGTCCCTTTTGTCATTGGAATCGTCATAACCTCGATCTCGTCTGGAATCTGGGTCCTGAAGAAGGGCACCTTCCATCTCTTCCCTGCCATCGGCAACCTATTCTTCATTGCCGGCTCTGCTCTTTGTATCCTCTTCAAGGTCGATACCCCCCGTGTGGTGACCATCTTTGTCCTCCTCGTTTGCGGTCTCGGCATGGGCTTCACCATGCAGGCCTCTACCTTGGCCGTCCAGGCTGCTGTCAAGCCCAAGTACATGGCCACCGTCACGACCTCGGTCCAGTTTGTCCGTAGTTTGGGTCAGGTCTTTGGAGTTGCCATTGTTGGAACCGTCTTCAACAACAAGCTGACCGAGACCTTGTCGGGCAACTTCCCCAACGACCACAGAGTCGACATTGTCACCCAGAGAACCGAGTTCGGTCTCACTCTCTTCAATCCTGCCGAGCAGCGGGTTATCTTTGAGAGCTTTGTCGATGCGCTTCGCTATGTCTTCTACTGCAGTGTTGCCTTCTGTACCTTGGCTTTCATCATGAGTACCTTTATCCAGCACAAGGTCCTCAAGACCAACGCCAACCAAGGCAAGCCTGAGCTCACTCCCGAGATGGTATAAAGACAACCCGTTGTTAGTTACACCTTTCATCGCCCTCCAAGACATTATTTACCATTTTACATAGCATCTCATCCCATCTCCACCTACCATCTAGCATATCTCCCTTAATACACATGTATAGAAACAAAATATCTTACAATAATTAAAAGAATATCTTGTATTACTACACCCTGTTTCCCTTTGTCTTTTCGTCAAACCCAACAAAAATAACAACATGGTGTATGATGATGGTTCTTTAATTGAGCATTGAACACAAGATCACACCCGTGCCTTTGATATCTCGCTCCTAGTACCTCTTAACTACATCTTTTTCCACACACAAACATGAACCGTCCGACAGAAGCAAAGGAAACAATCGTAACGAATGTGACTTCGATTGGTCCAATCTAAGCGTACCTGTGCCTGTGATTCGTGTGGGAAAAAGGATGAATGACTGTGGCAAGTAAGGGTACGTTTGGCCAAGGTCAACGGTGTAATAAAAACGAGACAGGTGCTTGGCCCAGTCCATTGAATAGTCACGAGACACCCCTTCGCCCAAAAAGGTGTGCTTTCGATGTCAGTTTGAGCCATTGTCCCGTCCTCCCTATTATCAGCACCCATCCGCATTATTCATTTTAGCCCCCCTCATTTTTCCATTAGCCCTTGTGTTTGTCCGCCTGACTCTTTTTGGTTGTTGTTGCTTTGCCATTCTTAAGGATAAAGGCACCACTTTGCAAACGTCTTCTTCTCTTCTTTTCTTTTCTCTTCAACAATCAACTTCCTTTCCTTTACACCTCCTTCCTTCTCTTTACACTCCCTTTCTTTCTTCTATCTCATATCATTTTTTTTTTCATAAAATACCACTCCGCTCTTCTTTGTACCACAAGAAATATCTCTCCGCGAGACCACACTAAACACACAATACACATCAACCCAACAGTCTTAAACAACGCAAGAATGCTGCTGAAGCTCTCTACCGTGGCCGCCGTCGTCCTCATGGCCGTGACCTCAAGCACCCAAGCCTTCCCCACTACCTCGCCCTCCTTCCTGCACTCGTCTGACCGCTTCCTCGCCCCCATCGTCTCCTCGATCGAGGCAAACACCATCCCCGACTCGTACTTTGTCGTCTTCAAGGATGGCGTCCGCGTCCACGAGCACTCGGCCTGGGTCCGAGAACTCCATCACCAGGACGTGGCCGCCAACGGTGCTATGTGGGACGGTGACGAGTTTGAAGGGGATGATGACTTTATGAGCGGTGTGCGTCATGTCTATGATATGGGATCCTTCCAGGGTCTTGCGGGCCGGTTCCGTCCCGAGGTTTTGAACGAGATCCGTAGGAACCCCAATGTAAGCGTCATTCTTTTTTGCAGTTCCAATTGATTTCAACGAGGAGGGAGAAAAGAAGAGGTGACGTGAAGGGAGTGGAGTTCATTGTGCTTGCGTGTTTTGTAGTTATTGTCTCGTCATGGGCTGCATGACTGTTCCTTTTCCCCCACTCTCTGTCATGAAGGGAAAGATTTGCTTGGTATTTCTTGTTTCGTCTGCACTGTCTGTGTACGTTTGCATTTTTTCGCAAGGAGGGATGAGTGGGCATGGGCTAATAGGAAGACGTAATGACTGCGCGAAAAAGACAAATTCTAAAAAACAGCTGAGCACAAAAGGGAAAAAAGGGAGGACAGGTAAAAGGTGTAACGATGCCTCACCATTACCAATTGCAAAGGAAGAATGAACAAGACCCTCTCTTTTTCTTCTGTTCGCCCTATTCTACCTTTTTTCTTGATCTCCCACAATTGGTTGTTTGTCTTCTCCATGGGCATGTTCTTTCCCCATTCCCAGTTTCCAGCCCCCTTTTTTTTCTTGGCCTATTGGAAGAGGTTATTTTGTAGGACCATTGACGGCCAGAATGCATACCATTCTCGGTTGCAATGATTGTTCAACCCCTTCGTGCAAATGGCCCAACGATGAACGGACTTCGCCTTTCCCTTTTGTCTGTTCCCATTCCCTCTCTCCTTTTTCATTCTCTTTCGAAGGACGCCTTCGCTGGTCATTTGGATTCGTCTGTGTGTCCGAACTTTTGAACGACCACCCCCATGACTCCCTACTTTCTTCCTTTCCTTTTCCTGTAACAAAAGGGGTTCTTGGTTGGGGATACCCACAACTTCCCGTACTTCCCTCATCTCTCTGTTTTTGTTCGTGTACATACCGCAGCTGCACCTGGTGACGCTCTAATACCAAACCTTAATGGTCACCTGAGTTAACTCAATTTCTTTCATTTCCTCCATTTTCAATGTAATAATAGGTCGCATACATTGAGCGGGACCAGATGGTTTACACAACAAAGATCGCAACCCAGAAGAACGCCCCCTGGGGACTTGCCCGCATCTCTCACCGCAAGAACGCCTTCAAGAACCGCGGCAAGTACGTCCACGACACCAACGGCGGCAAGGGTGTCACCGTCTTTGTCATCGACACCGGCATTTCGGTCAACCATAGCGAGTTTGAGGGCCGTGCCTCCTGGGGTGCGACCATCCCCTATGGCGACAGTGATACTGATGGAAATGGACATGGTACCCATTGTGCGGGTACCATCGGTAGTGCCGCTTATGGTGTCTCGAAGAAGGCTGAGGTGGTCGCCGTCAAGGTCTTGAGGTCGAATGGATCTGGCACCATGTCGGATGTTGTTGCCGGTGTGGATTTCGCGATCCAGGAACATTTGTCCCTCCGCGCCAAGAAGGGTGGTGCCTACAAGGGCTCCGTAGCCAACATGTCCCTCGGAGGCGGCAAATCCCGTCCCCTCGATGCCGCCGTCTCCAACGCCGTCGACCAAGGACTCCACTTCGCCGTCGCCGCCGGAAACGATAACCGCGACGCCTGCAACTACTCCCCAGCCGGTGTCGAAGCCGCCGTTACCGTCGGCGCCTCCTCCAATGACGACTCCCGAGCCTACTTCTCCAACCACGGTCCCTGTGTCGATATCTTTGGACCTGGAAAGGATATCGAATCGACTTGGATTGGATCCAACACGGCAAGGAGGACCATTTCTGGAACCTCGATGGCCTCCCCCCACGTTGCGGGTCTGATTGCCTATTATTTGTCGTTAGCGCCCGAGAGTGATTCGGGATTCCATTCGGGAACTTATACGCCCAAGGAGATGAAGGCATTGTTGAAGGAGACTGCCACCAGGGATGCGCTGACGGATGTTAACTACCGAACCCCTAATCTGTTGATCTATAACAACGTCGACAAGCAGAACTACTTTGCCTGGTAAATGCCTGGGTAGCCAGCAATGACAGCCGTAGGAGCAGGACACGTGGAGGGAGGTGCCGGTGTCAACCAAATAACTAGATCAGCGACAGCTCTGGTTTACTTGTTTTATTTTTTGTGATATACTTGTAGTAGATACGCCCATAAGGGAACCAGTAATACCCTCTCTCTTGTTTTCTTTCTTTTCAAAACGCCTTTTGTAATAATAAACTTTTCCTTTTACTTGTATGACTCTTGTGTGCTTTGTGACAGGTCGGTCACTTTTGCAACAAAAAAAAAGGATGGTGGAGAAGCAATGCTGATGCATGCCTTCTCTTTCTGGTATTGTGCCAAACACAAAAAAGTGCCACCAATTTTTTTAAAGTCATGGTTTAATACAAATGAAAATATTATTATTGGAGTTCATTGATCTTGAACAAAAAAAAAAAACGTAATCGATTACTTGCTATTTACCATCTCCCCCACTACCTTCTACACCACCCTTCGCTCTCAACTTCCCCTACCCTTCCTCCTTCCTTTCAGAGACCCGAATGAAAAGGAAAGGCCAAAAAAAAAAAACACTATTATTTTTTGTGGTGGACATGATCAGTGGGTTGACGACTCTTGCGCTTCTTGATCAGGGCCTGATCTTACCCCAGCGCGACAGAATCATTGTTCTGACCGTGGCCATGTCCCTCATCACCCTAGCCCTCGCCTTCGCCCTCTTGACGAGAATCAGCGGCAAAGTGAGACCGGTTGTCTTGATGATAGGACAAGATAGCACCATCCTGAACTTGAGTAGATCCGTCATCCTCACAGATCCGCATCGTTGCAAACGCACCGCCATCCGGAAGTGCCGTCGCTGGAGCATCACTTGCTGCTTGCATCTGGAAAGATGGCGGAGATGACAAAGACCTAGAGGAGGCGGAGGAGGATGAAGACTCGGAGGAGCTTCGACTTCTGGACGATGTAAATGCATGGATCGCACCAGATATTCCTGTGGTCCTGCTTCCACCCTGCTCGGTTCCCGTCCCTTGTTCAGGGACAACAGTAACACCGTCTTCGGTATTGCTCCACTGTCGCATCGTGGCATCTGCAGAATCTTCAGATGCGGTGGCGCCAGCGGCTGTGGTCGAGATGCGAGTTGTGCGCTTGGTACGTATCTCTACGTTCCTCCCTCCCTCAGAACTACCAACACCAACACCACCACTACTGCCCCCATAAAGGCGGTTCCCGTGCTCATTGCTCATTCCAGGGGCTACGGAGATCGAATCCTGGCCTGGCGGACTTAGAGATGCACGAACTCGACTTGCAACATTGTCTTCAGAAACAGAGCGAGATCTTGAAGACGATGATAGTAGCGAAAGCAACAAACACGACGAACGAGCTGCAGATGACGACAATGCCATCAGGCTAAATTCCAGGTTCGAACTAGAGCAGATCGCTCCGCTCGACCCAGACTTCAACCCAGATCCAGACCGTGTGGCGGTAGTACCACCTTCCATTGTCGACGACGCCTTTCCCTTGGCGGCTTTCGCCTTCCCTTTCCTCTTCCCCTTTCCCTTCGCCTTCGACGACCCCTCCCCATCCGTCGACCCCATTAACATAGTCTTAGACTTTCGCTTTCGGTTCTGGTACGAAGGCAGCTGCTCCTGTCGAACCCTCTCCAACTCAGCCTCGTACTCAAACTGGCGCCTCACTTCCGGCGACTCGTTACGCCATGCCAGAGAAATCGCCCGCGAGATGGCCACTCCGGAGGCCCCCATGCTCTTAAAGAGTTTTCGGTATTTCCAGCAGAGGCATCGCCGATAGAGCATCCAAGAGTTTAGGGGCCGGGGTGGCTGTTGATGGAATGATGAAGAGAAGGAGGAAGAAGAGGAAGAAGAAGGAAAGGAAAAAGACGAGGAGGACGAGGACGAGGATGAGGACGAAGAGGAGGAGGACGAGGAGGACGAGTGAGTTAGGTCGATAACCTGTTGCGGAAGTACAGCAACTTCTCGACTGTATTGCTGTTGTCGATTGCTTTGACTTCTTATAGGCAATGACGAAGACTCCTGCTGTTGCAACGGCGGTGTTGTGGACCTATATATCGTTGCACCATCAAGCTCCATTCCATCTACCGCCTGGTAATGACCACTGTTGATGGTTTCAAGGGTGTTCAGACTAAAATCGATCATCGATCCTGGCTGTAATGCTGGCAAAGTCGTCGACACCAATGGAGGAGGAGGAGTAGAGAGCGCAAAGCATCCTCCACCTGGGACAGTGGAGGTTGGCAATCTCTTAGGCCCGGGCCATCTCAACAATGATGTTATAGGCGATGATGATGATGATGATGACGACGATGACTTCTGGCGCTTCCTTGACGACGATGAGGCCAAGGACGGAAAAGATGCCATCTTTTTGGGCCGAGCTTTAGCACCCACTTTTGTGAATGAGTAAAATACCCCCAAAGGGTCCAGCTGTGGGGGCGGGATAAAGGTTGCCATTTCTGTTCCAGGTGGAACAGAAAATAAAGATGATGACAACGTTTCGGCGGATGGAGAGGAGGAGATGAGAGGGGACGGGCGCTGGCTGGGGCCAGGACCGGACGCAGGCGACAGTGGGGAGTCGACCCAAAACAATGATATGGATGGTGAAAAGGTGCTTGAGACGACTGCTGTTTTGCCGGAAGAGAGGGGGGATGAGGTGATCCGAGGTTTCTTTTTTCCACCACTACCACTGCCATCTCTTCCTTCAGCCTGCTGGTATGGTGACAATAACGAGCCGAATGCTGTAGCCATGGTATCAGATGCCGAGCAGCGTTGCCTGATTGCACCTTCTGTCGATGTGGCCTTTTGACCAGAAGTAAATTCTCCATTTGAATAGTGGTTATGTCGATCGCGCCGGAGACCGGGCACGGACGACACAAACATCTGACTAGTGTCTGCTGCATTTGAAGAAGGTAAGGACGACAGCGATGACACATCAGCCAAGGATGGCATGATAATGGATGCCAAACGAGAGTTGAATATCATTGAGTTATATCTTTCTAGTAGTTGTGAAAAAGAATAAATAGAGTGCGTGCATGTTAGTGTTAGGGCAGAGTGCAAGTCAATAATGTTGGTTGTTGTAAATTGAGTCAAGGTAATTTAAACTTGCCCATGGTTCTCTGTTCGCTACTACTAGGCGATGCGTTCGAAACAGCGGCAACAGAAGATGGTGGGGCTTTAAAGGACACATGTCCTTCTGTTGTTGTCATGGTCTCGGCTCCAAACGGCAATCCGTGGATCAATGACGTCGAATTAGGTGGTGTCTGCTGCAACGTACATTGAATGAACAATGGCGGTGGCGTCGGAGAAACAAATGATGACTGCGGCTGCTGCAGATGAGACATCTCGGAGGGTACGTTGGTCTGTGGGCTGACCGCAAGGTGGTGCAGCGGCATGGGCAAGTATGGCGTAAAAGTACTGATAACAGAGTTTGTCACTGTACTGTTGCTGATGACATTATTATCATCAATGGACAGTGATGCGAAATGGTTCGACATGGGCTAAGAAGGAAATTTGCAAAATGCAATAATGAGAAGATTAAAAAAATTAGAAAGAGAAATGGAAATGCAATAGCTTAGTCGCTTGCAGGTAGGCTAGAGAAGCTTATGGCATACTTGCCCCTGCCGTAAGATTGATCCCACAGGTATGCGTTGCCCGTCTGTTTCTCTTATATTCCTCTCTTTTTTTCTCTTCACAGAATATTGAGGTAAACAACAAACAGCAATGCAAAAAAAAAATACCTTTGCCCCTGCAGCTGTCTCAGGCGTATGCGTTTGCATGATGAGGTTTTCATTGCTCGCATATTGCTGCTGCTGCTGCTCCAAGGCTTGACGTTGTTCCTCCGAATGATGCACCATATCCCGAACAAGAACAAAGTTTGAACCATGTACGGGTGCATCATGCGTGCACAAAGCAGCACCATTGTTGATATTGTCATTGTTGTCGCTGTTGTTATTATTGTTGCACATGGGAGTGTTGGTGTCCGCGGGCGGCCGTAACATAGCAGCGTTGTTGGGGATATCGTTCATGGTATAGATACTCGCTCCTCCTTCAAAAGACCCAAGGTCGGTGTTTGTGGGAACCATACGTGTGTTGGAAAGACGAGTAGTATGGGCCAGCTGCTGCCCAAAGAGGCTGGCGGTTCCACCAAGTTGGAGTTGTTGAACGATGGTGCATTGAAGGTCAAGTTGGCGCTGCGTATGATCCATTTGAAGTTGCTGCTGTTGTATGTATTGCTGTTGTACATGCTGTTGTTGTTGCGGCATATGCCATGCGAGGCTTGGATACTGAATGAGGGGCTCGTGGAGGGGCATGCCATAGTCTGTGGATACTGCTGCGGTGGTAGTGATGGTGGTGGCAGGGGGCATATGAAATGAGCTGAAGGATGGTGGGGCTCTGGGGAAGGAAGGTTGATACGACCGAGGATGAGGGGTTGGAAACATGAATGACTGCACACCTGAGGCATATTCAGGAAGCGATGGGTTTGTGGAACCGAGATCATAGGACGAGTATGGTCGAGCATCGAAAAGTATACTGTTGTGGGCACTACTTTGGGGCGGCTGTTGTGTGCCGTCATTGGGAGTGCGGACCATGCGCATACCATCGTCAAGCCGAACAAGCTGGGATAGCTCATTGTTGTCGTCCATACGTGTGTTCTCGGAAGTGTCAAAAGTATCGACCAGAGAGAGTGCGTTCTGTTGCTCCATGTGCTAGCAACAGAGATGCTGTTGCAAATTGTGGTGGTTGTGGTGGTAATGTTGATTGCAGTTCCAGTTACTGCTGTTGTAGTGTTCGATAGCGGGATTAGCGGGGGTGGTGCTCAGGCGTTTGGTGGGAACAGGAAGTTGTCGTGCATATGCTTGACTATTAGACAAGAAAGGGAACGAAAGAGGATCTTCAGTGGCAAGTTGGAGGATGTGAAGAAAGGTAGGGAGTGGAAGAGAGAATGAGAAAAGAAAAGAATGAGGGGAAATAAGGAAAAATATATGAAAGAAGCGAGAGGCTGACGAGAGAAGGCCAAAGCAAAGCCAAGTGAACAAAGAAATCATCCTGGGCATTAAGCATGGCGCACCATTTTCAATAAAAGACGACAAAAACAAAATGACAGCAGAAAACAACAACCGCCAGAACAACAAGCAAAACAAAGCTCCCATCTCTTTTCTCGTTCTCTCTCTCTCTTTAGAGAGCAATTGTATCCAGACATTGCAGGGTAAGAAAAGAGAAGAGAGAAAAAAAAAGATGGATACCAAAAACAACACCTACAAGAAAAGTTTGTCCCCAATGCACTATCCATTCCCATGACCTCAAAAGAGCCGAATCTGCTCTCGAGCACAAAGCAATTAGAAAGAAAAAAAAGGCAAAGGTAAACAACCGGTGGGAAACAATGAGATAGGAGGAGGAAAAGAGGAAGGAAGTTCAATTGCTAAATGAAAAAAGGGTAAAGACAAGGAGGCAAAAAGGAGGTATCATGTGAATTGTGGAAAGACGAGTAATCTGATTGTTTGTGCCCATGGAGTGTTTCCACCTCAAATAAAAACTATCTCATCGTCTTTTTTTTTTTTTTTTTTTTTTTCGGTGGACGTTTGGGATTGCTTTGCTAACCTCTACATTACTGTCCGTCCGTCCGTTAGACCCCAAAAAATAACAACATATAACAAGGGGGGATGGATTGAGAGATGCATAGGGGAGTGACGACAAAGCTGGCAATGGTTTGGCTTTGAGGGTGATCGAGGATATTTGACTATACTGTCAACAAAGGGCCTTTGTCGATGGGAGGATGAGGGGGTGAATCATGTAAACGCCACGAAAATATGAGATCTGGTCGGAAGAAAAGGGGAATACTAAAGAGCGGAAGGGAGATGTATATGGAGAAGAAAAGGGCGATATTGTTGTTGTTGCTGTGTTCGTAATAACTTAATCGCTTACAAGAAAGTTCCCGATCGGCGGCGAGGCGTTTAAACGAGCTATGTCTAAGCGGGACTCCCAGAAATACAAAGGCGCTCAGAAAAATACTGGGCTGAAGTACAATTTGTTGAGATATACTTGGACGACAGAATGGTTTGTGAATGGGTAATGTTGCTCCAAAAAGGGACAGAAGGTGAAAGTATGTAGAGAAGTATAATGGATTGTAGAGAAAGAGAGACGAATGACAGGGGCGATGTGGATAAAGCCTCCGGTGGAAGTGGTAATGTTGAATATGTAAAAGGCTATAATGGCAGTGGTGGTGGTAGTGTGTGTGTGTGTGTGAGTGTGTTTGCACACAGAGAGAGAGAGAGGAAAGAAAGAGAAAAGAGAAAAGAGGAAGGAAGGAAAGAGAGAAACTGAATTTAGAGGAAATGGGAGAGAGAGAAAATGTTGCCGACTGTCTGCATTGAATACCGAAAAGAAAGAGGAGTGAGGATATGGACACCCCTCAGTGAATACCACCAATTCATCGGACAATACATCTGGGGGGGAGGGATGCCATCAGAAGGAAGGAAAAGTAAGTTAAGGACAGAACGAGCCATGGCCAAGGGTGAACAGACGCGGAGAGGCAATAGTCTCTCCAACAACGTATTCAGTCGGTCGTTCCCATCCATATTATTTCATCCACACTCAAGAGAATGAAGGAAATGGAAGCAAATAAATCCGCTCATCCACGTCCCCATTTTGTCCGCCTTTCGCACACATCAGCATACTCATCGCATCACATCACCTATTGAGCAGGACACCCAATCTCTTGGCGATACCCTCATTCATGCTCGGTCAAGAGCATTCAGCAGACTATTAAAGCAAAAAACAACAACAACAAAGGGCCGATAGAAAGAAAAATAACAGATAACAACAACAACATCATCAACGACGACGATATTAGCATCAACAAACATTGGCACAAACCTACACACAGACACAAACTCAGAAAGAATGGCGAGAATGTGAACGAGTGAGTAAAGTTACCCATCCCAAAAATCACAACAAGCATACACACAAACAAAGTGGCCGTTCAGTCAAAAAGTGGGCAACTCAAATAGATTGACATTGAATAAAGGCAGAAGCATTCATCCCAGGGTAACCAATTGGTTCATTCCAAGAGTCGAGAGAAGAGATAGAGGAAGATGGAACGAGGGAACGAGAATATTGACAAGATATTTGTTCCATTTCTTTCCACTTCTCCCTTCTCTCTCTCCTTCTAGTCCGTTCTCCCCCCTCTTATTATCCCTTGTTGCCTCCTTTTTTCCCCCCTCCTTACAACAACATCCTTCTCACCCTTTACCTTTTTTTCCATCGCCTTCGCCATGGGTGTGTCACCCCTAGCACGGTCTACCGAAAAAGAAAAAAGAAAAAAGAAAAAAAAATCAATCAGCGATGAGTGATAAACCTTCCTCGCCTCTGTCGTTTGTTCTCTTCCACTCTTTCCATATCCTCCACAAAGTCCCATGACGCCACTTGTCCCTGGTCTCGCCCCTGAGACAGACAGACCGACACCCGTGGCCCAAGCTGAATAGTTCACCCATTCAATACTTCTCCTTTCGTGCTTGATGCAACGGGCATTCGACGCAAAAAAAAAACGAGGATGTGTTTTCCCTTTATTCCTTATCGCTCTTCTTCCGGAAAGAAAGGCCACCTTCTTCGTATCGCAGCATCAACTGCAAACAGAAATGCAACAGTTGACGGGTCTAGAACAATGCCTTCTTTTTCGCCACTCAAAATAAAAAAAAAAGCCATCTGTTAATTCATTCTTCCTACGATTTAATTTTCGGTATTTCAACAAGAAACAGCTGCATTAGCATAGCTTCAGTGTCTGGTGCTCAATAATGACAAAAGATAAGCTCCGCAAAGGGTAACGAAATGAACGAGCTTCGAATTACTCCTCGTTAAAATTCTCCTCCTTGGCCTATTCACGGCCTCGCGAACAAGTAAGAGTGCCCTTTTTTTTGGTGCGTTTGCTGCTGTATCTGTTTAACAAGAGAGCACGATCCGTCTATTGATGAATAGGATTTCAAACCCAATAAAAAAAAGCGTACGCTTTGTGGCCACAAACAAAAAAAAACTGTTGGGGGACAGACAACAAGGTAAGCGGAGGGAGGGAAGGACGAGAAAAGGGGAGGTGTGGAGGTGTGGAGGTGTGGGTGACCCTGCCACAAAAATATGTGGAGGGCATGCACCAACTTGCTAAAAAAACAAAAACAAGGAGGGTGCGGTGCTTGATGTCATGTTCTTCCTTTCGTTCACTCCTCTCCTCTTCTTTGCGTGAGCGGTAATGCATGAGAGTGGAGGAAGGGGATACTGATCTGTTTTTCTCTTTGCCTTGTGCCCAGACCCCTTCCACAAAGGCGGGACAAGAGCAGGGGCCTGCTTTCCCTTTTTTAATAACCACACCTGCCATGAGCAGGGTTGGTTTCGTTTTAGCGCAAAACGCGACATCATTTTTTTTCCGACATTGTTTCCTGCCCTTAGTTTCCGTATCGTGGACTTGATGTTGAAGGTTTAGTTAAAGAGTAGTGAGAAGAACTGTTTTCCTTTCAGGAGGAGGTTTGCGGTGCTTTTGACGAAAAAGACGAAACAACAGCAACCGCAGTCCACATTCTAACAAAAGGACGAGAAGAACAGAGAGGAGAGAAGTAGAGTAAGAGAAGGAAAGGGCTTGAAAAAGCGAGCATATTATTTTCACTCTATCCGTCGCTGTCCTGCCCATCTCCATCCTAATGTGAGCTGGTTTACATGGGCTGCATGTGTGCCTACTCCACTCTTCTTGCCCTGACAGAGCATTTAGAGTTTTTTTGTCAGTTTGACAAAGCCACACCGTCAGGAGTCAACATTCGTCGATCCCCTGTGCAAAACTTAGTCGATCGATCGCCACCGCACCTCTTTTGGGCAGGGAAAAATGGATTAACACGCTGCAATAGGAGATGTAGAACAAGAAAAAAAAGGTACCAAGGTAATTGTGCCTGCATCTTCACCCTTCATGGATTCACATTCATCTCTTTCTTTCTTTTGCCACATACATGCAATGCATGTACGTATGCTTCAATCCCTTTCTTGTTTGTTAGCCTCGGAGTAGCAGACATCATTTTTTTGACAGAATCATCGGGCTCTCTTTTTTTTTTTTTTTTTGGCATTTATCAATCAGAAAGAGAGAGGGCGAAGGTGTCACTGTGTTTAAAATTTCGTCGGTGGAATGGCACACAACAAGCACCCTCTGCCTTCGCACCATTGCTCCTTCCACATGCATTCGTGTCGTTTGCGACCTTTTTTCTGATGGAGATTGTATCTCTGTCGTTCATGATTCTTGGCACGCTAAAGAAAATAAAGTAAACCAAGAACCAATGTTCTAGACTGTATGAAAGGAGAAGGATGCTAGTCCCAAAAGGGATTTTCTCATCCCTCGACAGCCATTTTCGATTCGTTTACCGTGCTATCGGAGGAAGACTGACGACAGAAGCAGGTGTCGGCGAGAGTGAGTTTTGTCGTTCTTTCCGTCTCTGTTTGTTTGTTTTTCTCTCCCAGTTCGCTTGCGTCAATGTTGGGCTAACTTTGCTATCGGTCCTTGGGGTGCGTCGGTAATGGTTGTGGCGAAGAATGAATGACAAACGGAGGCAAACAAGCACCCGGGTCGATGAGTCGAAGTGATCAGTGCGCCCTGCATGTGTCTTTTCCCCCTGTGTCCTTTTCTTTGTTAATCTAAGAATATGGAGGTAAAAAAGGGGTTCTCACCGACAAGAAAGGAGAGAGAGAGAGTGTTCAGACAAGTTTTCTAACATTGGGAGGTGGGGTTAAGAAGAGCCGAGGAGGAGGAAGGACATGTGTGTTTGTCTAATCATCGAGTTTTTTTTATCCCTATTCCCTACTTAATGCTATAAGAGTTTTGTTCTGGACGTACAACTTTCAGTCCGCTAGTCAGATTTGACGACCGCTCTCTTTCTCTTCCCTCGTTACTCTCCCTCATTTTCTCTTCGCCCCCTTTTTGTATCACGACAACAAAAACGACAGGTGGGCATGCAGGCAATGGTCAAAGAGAGACAGAGAGCGAAAGAAAATGAAAATGCAGCCAAGAGATGGAGGAGAGAAGGCATGTCGAGCAATAAACAAACAAAGACATTCCCATTTCGAAAAGAGTATGTTCGTAATTGAATTCACCATTATTCATCGTTTTTTTTTTTTTTTTTTTTTTTTTTTTTTCACTTGACATTCACCTACAATTTCGTCTCGCCCACTGACCTAAAGGGTTTAACTTGTTTGCTTCGCCGACGCAGCATGTTTATTTAACCATATTCTCTCTTCATCATCTCTCCACGTCCTCTCTCACCTTCTTCGCCTTTTTTATTTTGGTCATTGTTCACGTTCTCAGTCTTCACTTTCTTTCCTTCTCTCTTTCCTTTCCTCTCTTCCATTTAATGATTGTACTGCTGCATGCGAGAAAAGCACACTAAGGACAAAAACTGCATGATCCCTTTTCATAAACAAGCAAAGAAAACGATCCGCATACTACAGGACCAAGGCATGTATACAGAGCGAGAGAGGGGGCAAAGCGACAGGGCCATCGCTAAGAATTGCCTTCGCCTAGGCCCTTTCCTTTCCTCTTTTAATAGAAACCGCAACAATTTCTTGTTTCGAGGCGCGACAAGCTTGGAAACTTGTCTCAAGGAATGAAGATTGAAATCAAAACATCCCTTTTGATCCCTTTGTGCCATCTTCCGTTTACTATTCATTCTTTTATTTCTCTCTTACTTTCCTTATCTCCACTCACGCTTCCTCAGCCCTCTTTCCCCAGCTGCTGTGTCGATTGAGAGAAATGCATGAACAAGAATAATAATAAACAATAACATAAAAGTGGACCGGGCACTCGAAGCATCAGCGGCATTGATGTGGAGAGAGAGAGTGAGAAAAAGATGAAAAACAAGGTCATTTTCGAAAAGAGATTTGCAAGTATGCAGCCGAAACTTATTTTTTATTGTTTGCCTCCCTCTCTTTCTTCTTTGTCACCACCCACCAATTGTTTCGCGCTTATCCTCTTTAGTTTAGCCGCATATTTTCTGTTGCCGAGAGCAGGAACAGAACATACCAAAGCACAAAGGCACAAGGGCTACAAGGCAGGGCAAAGGCCAGCAAGGGTGGGAGGGCTTTCAATTGTCAATCGTAACTCGGAGATCTGGACCCAACCTTCTACGCACACGGACAACAAGCACTGCACTAGTCTTGTTTACCCACCTCTGACAGACATGTGCACGATTGCAAGGGTGCAAACAAATAAGCATGGCAGACAAAGGGCGGCTGATTGGTATATGCAAATGAGAGCGATGGCGAGAGAAGAGGGAGAGACTGCGGGAAGGAAGGCAGGCATATACATAGAAAACGCAGGATTTGAGCCTCTGTTTGTCTGTTTGTTGGTTTGTCGGTTGCTCGATTAGTCGGATGCGCACTCACACCCATCCTTTGTCAATGCACGCCACAAAACTAGGTAAAAACCTTGTTTTTTTGGTTTCTTATTGATAGGAAAAAAAAAAAACATGATCTTTTGCATTATGATCTTTGCCATCTTCTTTTGGTTTCTTTGGTTCTGTCGCCCGCTTTTTTCTCTTTGCACCTCGTACCACTATTTCTACTTTTCTTTTTCTTTTTCTCACACAGCAATCCAAACAGCTTTGGGGAGAAGTGGGGCTGAGGAACACTCTGTTCTGTGCACCAAACTTTCGATGACAATGCAAAATTCGCCATTTTTTGTTTTGTGCGAGAAGCATAGTCGTTCACGCGTCAGGGTCATAGCAAACGCGTTCGACAAACACGATCTAGGGAAAACAAGCAAACAGAAACCAATAGGACGAGAACCTTACCTCGCGCCAAAAGATAACTGTTGTGGCAAAAAATAACTTCAATAGTGGTGGCGCGTGCGCAAAAAAACCAAAAAAAACTTAGAGAGCATAACAAACCACCAACGCGAACAACATCAACATCAACATCAACATCAACACCAAGCAGATCTCTGGCCATGATCAACGCAGCAAGACCAACACTGAAAGCATAGCAACAACTGAATAGTAACTCCAGGATAATAGCAACAGCATAGCAACAACATCTTCGAGAGACACTGCAATAAACGGTAATAGGTGGTTTATTTTTTTCACAAAAACGATCGCGGGAGCACTTTAGGCCTTGACAGCGTACTTGCGGAGAGGGAAGTGGGTGTCCTTCTTTGTCTGCTTGACGGTCTTGACGGAGGCCTCGTGCTTGGTGAGACGGCGACGGATGGCGCGGGTCTTCTTGACGCGGAGGTCCAAGGGCAAGAAGTTCTTCTTCTGGTAGAAGAGACGGAGCTGGGCGCGCTGGGTCTGGGTGATCACGGTCATGACGCGAGCAATCGACTTGCGGACAGCAGAGCTAAGAGGCAAAAAAGATTAAACGGCAGGTGTTAGAGAATTGTACAAGGAGCGTGATGGTTCCAGAATGGGTTTGCTTGGTAGCATCCATATCGCGCCGCTGTCTGGTGATGGCAGCGTACGTTACTACGCCTTGTCGAAGCACCATGGTTTGGAAGGCGGTCCTGACCAGTTCGCTCATCCATTGTTACTCCCACTACAGACCAAGGGCGAGTAAAGTCATACCCGAAACACGTTGCAAAGTCGTTTCTAATCCGAGTGTCCGTTCCCATCACTGATCACCTCTTGTGTGATAACAATATCCATGTACACGTCCAGAGCAACTTCGCCTTTGATCGGTCCCAAATTGGTGGCGGCGTCTGATCTGATAAAAGCTTTCTGCTGTAGCTCCTGCAGGGCACTCAGTCACAGTCACTGCACCCCACAGTCTCATTCCTGCTCCTGTCCCTGTTCCTGCAGCACTACATCTCCACTTGCGGTCCTCAGAACCCTGACGGAAAGGATAGACAAAGCTAAGGAGCCAAAGACTTACATCTTGGTCAACTTTCCAGCGGAGCCACCGGCAACCTTCTGGACCTTAAGGCTGGCAAGCTCCTGCTTGAGCTCCTCGAGCTGCTTGGTGAGCTCGGCCTTGTTCTTGGTACGCAACTCGTAAGCCTTAACAGCAGCCTACAAATATCATAATATTGACAAGTTGTCGGGTGGAAGATAGGACGGGGGTAGGTTGGGTCAGGATGCTTGTTCTGTTGGTTCGTTGGTGGTGTTGTAAGAGGTGTGGGTGGGTTTTCCAGTGAGAAAAAAAAAGTCGATAGTCTCCCCTCTCCCTGCTCTTGTAACGAAACAAACAATCTCCACACTTCAAGCAGTTCTTTGTGGGAAGAGCGCCCTGGAGGTAGGTAGATGTCTGTTTCGCCATGACTTTTGGGTCATAAAACAAGTTCTGGCTCTCCTCTTCTTTCCATTGCTGTTGAGTGTTGGGTGTCTTGTGCTCCGTAGACTGATGATCTGTGCACATCTAGTTGATACCGCCTCCCCTTCTCTGCCTATGCAGGAAACAAGTCTTCCACTACCGCCACCTCGTCTTCTTCCTGCTTGTGTGCTGTTGGATGAAAGGTTCCTCCCACCAGCAGTCGATTTGATGTTGAATTCCTCCTGTCATTCCACTTCATGGCCTCCGTCACAGAGAGTCGACCTCAATATCGATGATGGTTGAGCCGCGGATACCACAAAACGTCGATAGCACTCCTGCAATGATGTCGGGTCCCGGATAGACCGAATATGGTGTTCCTTCCTGAAGATCCTGGGACCGATGGGTAACCATAGCGCCTCCCGCCGATGGATACGGTGGTCCACCCTCTCAAGCCCTCCCACCGCAGTAGGTCCCTGTAAAGCTGCCTAGATCACATGACGCATATCATTTCTTTGCTGTAGAGACCATTTGATAAAAATTGGAGAAAAGGGAGCTTTGACTCCTCACGGGCTGGAACTGCCGAAATACCATGCTTTCCTACGCAGTCACATATTTCTTGGTCACTTCAGGCTCATGAAAAAAACAAAACAAACAACCAACGAAAAATATTAGAAGGGATCGGCCAAATGGATTGCCGGGATAGCAACCTTTGCAAACCATTGACCATGCATTCATTAGACAAAATGTAGTGCGGATCGTTCAATAACAATTACAAGAAGTTCAAGTTGGAGACAATGATATTGTTTGTTTGGTGGATCGCAGATCGCGATTTCGTTTTTTAATATTGGCACAATGCTACGAGAAAAATGGAAAAGCTGTACAAGCGTGCAAATGATGCGTCGATCAAAAAACAAAACCGAGCGAAAACAAGAAAAAAAAATGAGAAAGAGATGGTACAAATACTTTACAAGGTTAAATGGTTGGTGAAGGGAATATTGACAATAAACGAAAAGTAACAAAAGAGAAAGAGTTTCTCGCTTAGAAACCGTGGAGCTTGATCATCTTCTTGTCAATGCCACCCTCCTCGACAAGGAGGGTCAAGACCTTGGTGCGCTGATCGCCCTGGAGCTGAATGACCGATCCGAGCTCGGGATCGTCAACAAGCGTTCCATTGCAGGCAAAATCCTTCTTGAAAATCTTGAGCATGCGCTTCTGGTCGAATGTCGCGGGGAGTCCCTGAATGGTCGTCAAGGTCTTGCGTCCGTTACGCTGCTGAATGCGGATATCTGTTTTTGAAGAGAACGTCGAATATGATGATTAGTCAATTGTCTTTTTCTTTCAATGTTTGGCGGAAGGTAGGGGAAGAGCGACAAGATGTCAAGAGGGTGGAAAGTAAAAAATCAGTGTAACTATGACATAAGGCGTATACAAAGTATACTACCGACAGAACAGGAAACAGACCAAAACGGTCTGTCAAAGCCCTGCTACGGTTAAAGAAGTTATCATCACTTTTTTCGAACCTCCTGACTTGTATTGCAGTGGGTTTAATGGGTGTTGGTTGAATGTGATATGCGTGAGTCTTGAATGGAAAGGAAGGCACTTACGGATATAAGTCTGTTGATCGCTGGTGTCACCGGAGTCGCCAAGATCGGCAAAAGGATCTGTTGATTGAAAAAGGAAGAAGCTGATCAGTCAAACTAGATCTCACGGTAAAAAAACTTTTTTTCAATCCTTCCTGAGACGAATTACGATGAATCGAGGGATATTACCATAAGATTGCAAGTTTTGAATTCCGGACATCGACTGTGTAGAAAGGTGTTGTTCCTTGGGTGAAGTGAAGAGTGAAAAAGAGGGGGTATTCGTACGGGGGTTCGTGAAAGGGGTCGAAAGTGTGAGAGTGTGAAGAGAAAAGAAGTGGGAAGATAAACACACCTGTTGGGTATTTATTAAATTTCGAAAAGTCAGGTGACGTCACACTTGATACTGGCGATCAGCACGCACGTGATGAAATCGTGCTGTTGGTTTTTCATGGCCCCTTTGGAGGGCACTGCACCAACTCCACTTCTTCACCAAAACACCAACCCACCATGAACATTAACTCCAAGGTTGTCTTTGGTAAAGCGACTACGGATACAGCAAGCAACAATACTCGACGGCGAAAGAATGCGAGGACAATGGAAGAAATAAATGAACAGGAGATCAGCTGTATTAATCGGATTTCTCATTTTCTTTTTGTTTCTGCTTGTTCAACTCGATTAGTGGGCAATATCCCATACGAACAGACCGAGGAGCAGTTGACGGAAATCTTTAGCGAGGTCGGACCTGTCGTCTCCTTCAGGTATGAATGCGCTCAAAAATGAAAACGATATCTGAAATGACACACTTTAACGCCGCAGTCAGGCGACATACCTCCTCCCATTGGGAGTCATACCCGCAGTTTTTCTTTATGTGAAACTAAACAGTGCGTCATCTTGCACTTCAACAACAATCTAGACTGGTGTTTGATCGCGATACAGGAAAGCCGCGAGGTTATGGGTTCTGCGAGTTCCACGACGAAAGAACCGCAGCATCGGCCGTCAGGAACTTGAACGGAAGAGATATCGGGAACAGATCATTAAAGGTCGATTTCGCTGATACCGATCCAGCAAAGGAGGAGGGCGCCTTCATGAGACCCCTGGGACCTGGCACAGCTGGACCTCCACCCCCAGGACCACCACCCGGCATGCCACCACACATCCAACAACAACAGCAGCAGGGAGCGCCACAACAACCGCAAGGACAGAGATTCATCCCTCCCCCAGCTGGAGGACCGCCCCCAAGGATGGATCCCAGATTGGGAGGAAACCCTAATGCGCCACCCCCAATGCCACCTCAACCACTCAACCGTCCTCCACCTCCTCAGCCACCCATGGCAGGAGGACCACCCGCACCCCCTACAGCACCCAAGGCACCCGGGATCAGCTCTGCAGACGCCATCTCGGCCGTCTTGGCCACCATGACTCCTCAGAATGTGTTTGATCTGATCTCGTCCATGAAGGTCTTGGGAGCAAGTGAGCCAGAACGCGCCAAGGCTGTATTGAACGATAACCCACAGCTCTCCTACGCCCTCTTCCAGGCCCTTTTGATGATGAATCTCGTCGAGCCTAGCTCATTACAGGTAAACCTACAGCGTTACTTACTCTTCCATATTTTTTTGGTAGGCACATTTCTAAACTCAATTAACTGACGCCACGGCTTCTTTATTAATATTTACAGAGGATGTTTGGACCTGCTGCGGCTGCTGCACCCAACATGCCAACACCACCTCAACAGCACATGCCACCCGTACCACCTTCACATCCCGGCATGGTGCCCCCTCCTCAACCACCACACCTCCAACAACAACAGCAACAGCAACAGCCTCCTCAGTTTGCACCACAAGGATATCCCGGCATGCCACAGCCTCCACAGCTTCCTCAACCCCAGCCCCCACAACCTGCAGCCCCCACTTCTCTCGGTACGTTTATGTTGCTTGTCCTCTCATTACAAGATGATTTGAACGTCAGGCCAAAGAAATTACCAGTTACTAACCATCTACCTCTCTTTGCGTCTCATTTTTCATTACAAAAGAGCAACAAAAGGCATTGATCGATCAAGTGTTGGCACTGACACCAGCGGATATCGCGTCCTTGCCCGAGGATCAGCGCGCCAACATCATCCAGTTCAGGGAGCAACTCATGCGTGGGGGTGCCGTTTAGAATCAGTAACAGTAAACAGTACATGCTTCCTTACTCAAGTAGACACTACAGCTCTCTAAATAAAACAGAAAAACAGCACACAAAACGTCTCTTTCGATTATTACAGGCACGGTGGCCAGTTTATTTGTTGTTTATTTCGACAGGCTCACTCCTAGCAATGAGCCTCAAATAGCACCGTCTCGCTCCTTTTTGGTTTTAACGTCATACACAGCTCCAGTCCCCTACGATTTACTCGGCAACGCCAAAGACACGAAGGCTGCGATCCAATCCACCGGCAACGAGGTAGTCGCCCAAGGGTCCAAACTTCAAACTTGTGATCTCGGCAGTGTTATCCGTCAGGTTGGCGAGCTCTTGCCACGTCTTGACCTTGAAGATGCTGTTTACCAGAAATGACAAATGAACACATATGAATTAGTAAACAAAACGTACAACGTGAGAAAACAATAGCAGTTATTATAACAAGATGAAGAGCTTACCGAATATCAGTGCCTCCGACACCGAGGTATGTTCCAGACTGGTCCCAGGCCAAGGCATTGATGACGCCCTGGTCAGCAACCTTGAGCTTCTGGATGACCTCCAATGTCCTCAAGTTCCAGATGCTAACCTCGTTGTTCTCGCCAGCAGCGGCCATCAAATATCCGTTCTCGCTGAAGGTCATGGTCTTGACAGCTCCGGTGTGACCCTCGAACGAGGCAACAGCATCCTTTGTACGGACATCCCAGATCTTGACTGCAGAGTCAGTCGTACCAGTACCAAACAACAGACCATCGGGGTGGAAGGCCGCCGACGAGTATCCGTTCGAGACCTGATCCGAGCGAGCCGTCATCACGGTCGATCCAGTCTCCAAGTCGTGGAAGGCCCAGGTCGAGTCCATAGAAGCAGTAGCAACATAGTCCTTAGTAGGGTGCACACACAATCCAGTGACCTCTGCTGAGTGACCCGACAGAGTATGAGCAGCAGAGTAGCCGTAGGCCTTGTCTCCAACTGTCCAGATCTTGACCGTCTGATCGGCTGATGCCGTGAGGGCCATATCCTGTCCAGCCTCCTCCGAGCGTCCTGTCCAAGAAACATGTGTAATCTTCTTGGAATGTCCCTTCAAGGTGGCGACAACCTTCTCCTCTGACTGACTAAAGACCAGGGCGTTCTTGTCGTTGCCCCCTGTCAACACCAATCCATTCTTGGCATCCAGATCCAAGGCAGCGATGCCCGGTGAGCGAGCAGCGTGCAATCCTGGGAAGACCTTGCGTTGGGTGTAGGTCTGAACAGCCTCTGCAGTCGTGTTGGGCTTGCGCTTCCTGGTCTTGGACAGCACTGCTGTGGTCGCCTCCAGCTTCTCGCGAATCTCTGCCGACAATCCTGTTGATGTAGCATCGTCCATCGTCACATCTGCAGCGCTCTCTGTCGAGGCGGCTTTGGTTCCAATATGCGCCTCAACGTTGGCGAGGGCCCTATAGTACATGTAACGCAATTGAAAAAACGATTAGCACTTCAGGGTCCATGCCAGCGGAGAAAAAGTGCCGAGTTTCTAACTTCAAATAAATAACCAATTCGAAAAAAAACGTACTCGCGGGCGGCATCACGCTCCTTCATGAGACGGGCAATGACTCTACAGGCAGCATCGTGCTGGTAGAGGGCATGGCTCAACTCCTGACGGACCTGCTGATACTGTTGCTTCATTGTGAAGGTTTCCAACATGATCGAGTCCCACTCGTTTTGGAGGACAGAGAGGATCGAAGGGATCGAGGTCATGGTTGGAGGGCGAGGCTTGACAGTGCCGGGGGCTAAGTAGATAATTGAACCATTTTATGCTTTACGTTAGTTCAAGGAAGCAACAATAGTCATGTTTCAATGGACACCCTTTTTCTCCTCCCTGAAAGGCATTGAAAACGCTAGAACAAGGAGATAAGGACTTACTGGACTTGATATCCAGGAGATCGTCGACAGAGAGATCCTCGCCAGAGACGGGATCCTTTCCATTGTCCTCGATATATTTAACGATCAGGCGGCGTTCATAGACCTGGCCACTCTTCTTGGATACCACGGGGTGCTCGGGAGCCTCACCAGAAACTATGGATTGTTTTTTCAAGTGATGAATGGTTAGGAATTAGCTTGGGTTGTAGTTGATTAGATCAACGCGATACGCATCAGCCTTCTTGTTTGATTATGCTGTTTGTTCTCGTTCCAGAATTGTCGCGCCTCTCCTTCCTTGCATGCCGTGAAAAGGGCTGATGTTTGATTGGTATCCTTGGAAGTCGACTTACTTGCGCAAAACATGTTCCTGACGATGGGGTGGTGTGAGGGTGATTGGTTGTTGGTGAGATGTAGAGTTGTTCACAGCTTTCGCAATCAAACGACCTCTCTTCTTCTCACTCCCTTACGGTGGCTTATCCCTTTGGTGAAAGAAGAAGATTTGCCGCACGTGACACATTCTAAGACATAAAGTGAGGTGGTCATTTTTCGCGTAGGTGCCCTGTCGCGTAACTGTGTTGTGGACGCTGAATGGACTAGTCGGGCGATCATATCGAAACCAATGGCAACAATCTAATAGTCCAACAAAGGCATGCAATACCCAATTTCTCTTTCAAAACAAGAACCATGGGAAGAACGTGTGTCCACAATCAAAAGAGACAAGAATTGCACCAATTTGTATAACTCCGTCAATGCGCATCAAGCTCTCAGCAAGACGTTTGATCCCATTCTTCCTTCATTGCCATTTTCCGCGCCCATGCTTCAATCACCGAAAGGAAGGGAATTCTTGGATTGCCCGCCTGACAGCATGGTGTTCAATTGCTCGCCTTCTTTCACTTGTCAGCATTGGTAATTTGGGTGAAAGAGGAAACATGGGTATGCAAGCGAGCACACCTCCTAGGCTAAATCCCTTACTCTGTCTATTTATCCGCATTCTTAGTTTGTCTCCCTAAATTGATGAACAAATGTATATATCTCCCTCTCTCATGGTGTTTAACTTGTTCTTCTTCTCAGTGCCAGTCGGAAATCCTGTTCCTTGTCTTCATTTAGTAACCCAAGACGCCATCTGCCAGCCTTTTGCCTTTCTCTGCGTGTTTGGACCAATTCAACACACACTTCCTTCTCTATTATTAAATATTTGCGTTGTCTATCAGCCTGCCTTTTTCTTTTTGCTTATTTGTTGGTAGGTGCTTGAATCCATCCATCTTATCTCTCCCATACCTTTTTCCGCAAGACACTGTTGTGTTTTGTTAGTTACACCATGTCACCCCATGCAGTAGATAATGCTCATGCAAATGCATGGCGATCCCTCCGTCCGTCTCTTCCCCCCCGGACTTTCAATGCACCGATTTTGTTGCATCCACACCACTTTTCCCACCTTTTCTTTTCTTTAAAACATCCTTTTCTTTTCTTTAAAACATCCTCTCCTTTTCTTCACTTTATCCTTCATTCCTTCCTTCCTTCTCAAGTGAGGACATACCCTTGCTTCCCCCTCTCTCTCTCACTTCCGGTAGCCATTTCATACCCTTCCTCTTATTCTAGCCATGAAGCAAGCCATGTTCTTGATCGCAGGACTCCTTGTCCTCCTCTCCCTCTCCTCCAGTATGTCCTCCCTCTCTTCAGTAAACAGAACTCTCAATCGACTATAACAGATCAAACAACCCTCCACTCTACTCACCTTCATGTCCCTGCTTGTCCTCCACTTTCATCAATTCACTCAATTAGCTGCGACAGCACCTCCCAGATCGCCACCACCTCCAACACCTCCCTGCCAATCCGCCTGCATGTCGGACTACTACAAGTGCATCAACTCCCAATCTACATGCGATCAGCAACGAGACACCTGCCTCCGCGGCTGCTCTTAAAACAAGAGAGAGAAAGTGAAAAACAAAACCAACATAATAGCACCTTAGCATATGGGATTAATAATAACAGGCCAACAGGATGGCCGTAAAACGTTTGGTTTTTTTATTTACGAAATGAGTGTGAATGTGGAGTGTGTGTGGGTGTGAGAATTGTACAATGAATGAATGAAATGATATAGTAAAATGAAAGGAAACTACTCACTCATAGAAAGTAATCTATGAGAAGAGACGCTTGGAGTAGCTGTGGAGAGAGTGGACACCACCCTCGGCCTGGGCGGCAGCAGTACGGCGCTCGAAGCGGACGGTGCCCTCACGCATACCCTGCTTCATGGCATCGATAGAGTCAACACCGATATCCTGGAGAGAGTGCTGGAGACCAGTGTAGAGGTAAGGGACAAACTTCTTGATCGAGCCCTTGTCGACAACCGATCCAGAGACACCCTGGGCGACCTTGACAGAGTCCGACTCGGAGTAGTAACGCTTGGTCGATCCGTTTCCACCATCGCCGGCCTTCTCCATGGCATCGAGGGATCCCATACCACGGTACTTCTTGAGGCGCTGGCCGTCCAAGTAGAAGTACTCACCGGGAGACTCGGTAGTACCGGCGAGGAGACCGCCCATCATGACAGCAGAGGCACCCAAAGCCAAGGCCTTGGTGATGTGACCAATGTTTCCAATACCGCCATCGGCGATGACGGGAACACCGTACTTAGCAGCAAACTGGGAAACCTTGTAAACGGCAGTTCCCTGAGGACGACCGCAGGCCATAACCTCCTGGGTGATGCAGATCGAGCCAGAGCCCATACCGACACGGATGCCGTCAGCACCAGCGGCGATCAAGCGAGCAGCCTGCTCCCAGACGACGACGTTTCCGGCAATGACATCGATATCGGGGTAGGTGGCCTTGATCCACTGGACCAACTCGATCTGGAAGGAAGAGTTGCCCTGGGAAGAGTCCAGAACAACGACGTCCAATCCAGCGGCGACAAGGAGACCAAGACGTTCGCGGTCGTCAGGGCGGGTACCAATAGCAGCACCGCAGAGCAACTGCTTGGACTTGGCGGCCTTGCTGGCAAGGGGGTAGTTCTGGTTCTTGAGGAGATCCGAGCGGGCGAGGAGGGAGCAGAGCTCACCGTTGGCGTTGACGACGGGGAGCTTGCCCTTCTTGGACTCGCAGAGGATCTTGTTGGCCTCCTCCAAAGTGACGCCCTCATGGGCAATGACCAAGTCGGTGGTCATGCAGGACTTCAAGGGGGTCGAGTGGTCGTTGACGAACTGGATGTCGCGGGCAGTGACAATACCAACCAACTTGGATCCGAGCTTTCCGTTCTCTGTTGTTTTAAAAGACAAAGGCAGGTTGGGTTAGTGTCAGGCGGAGTTGGTGGAGAAAGAAAGAGTGCTGAACGACCAATTGTAGTTATGAAAAAAAGAGAAGCAACGAACCGGTGATGGGGATGCCGCAGAAGCCGAACTTGGACTTGATGGCGAGGACATCGGCGACGGTGTGGTTCTCGTTGAGGCAGATGGGGTCAGTGATGAAGCCGTTCTCGAACTTCTTGACCTTGCGAACCATGTCGGCCTGCTGCTCGGGGGTGCAGTTGTTGTGGATGATACCGATTCCTCCGAGCAACTGTTTTGTATGGAAGGGAAAAGAAAGAGAGAAGGTTAGTTTAACTCAGACGATAAGCAACCAACAATAAGGTTTGGATTGGGACACATCTCTACCATTCATTCTCTCCCACCACCCTCTTGCAAGAGTCACCTTGCCCGAAAAAGAAATTTGCGGGGAAAGAAGACATTATACGCTCTCGCTTTGTTGTACACACTCTTCACACAGCATATGTATGTGCATGCACTTACACACACGCCACACACACACCGCATACACTTGAAACATAAACAAACAAAAGCAGGAAAAAAATGGCATAGTAACACCACACGACGTAAACTTACAGCCATAGCGATAGCCATCTCGGTCTCGGTAACAGTGTCCATGGGCGACGAGAGGAAAGGGGTCTTGAGGGTGATGCGCTTGGTGATCTTGGACTCGAGCTGGACGGAATGGGCCTGGAAGTCGATGAACCCGGGGAGGATCAAAAAGTCATTGTAGGTCAGACCACCCTGGGTGATTGAGTCCATCAACTCCTCGGCAGAGAGACCGTCGCGGCGGTTCTTGGAGCCGGCGGCTTCGAGGTCCTTGAGGGCCAGGGAGGCATCGGGGTACTGGGCTTGGGCAGTCATTCTTGGATTGGATGTATGTAGGGCCTTGAGACAGTGGTCTGGCAGGGGTTTTGTACAGAAGGGTGGGGGGTGGGGTGGAAGTGAGGAAGGAGAGGAAGGAAGGAAGGATACGTACGGGAAGGTGGTGATGAGAAAGAGGAGGAGGAAACACCAAAACCAAAAGAGAAAAGAAACCAAAACCAAAAACCAAAAGAAAAAACCCCAGAAAAGACAGAAAGAAAATGAAGCAGCCTTTTATACAGTTTCTGCGCAACGATGTGACTGCACTCATGAGTGACCCAAGCCTACTTTTTTTTTCTTTTTTTTTTCTTGTTTTGCTTCTAAGCCACACTTCCGCTGACAGATCCAATGCGATTGGTTGGCTGAGTTGAGATAACGAGTGAACAAGGGCGACTCAGGGCACAAAAATAACACTTACAGACACACGATCCGATAAAGAGAGGAAGAGAGGGGGAAAAGGAACGCGACCTTGCGCAAATGTCCGTTGTTCTCGGTTTACTTGTTTGTACTGTACATGGTGTTCATATTCTAAAGCTCAAACGCCTTCAGGCTGGAAGAAGAATTGCTACTGCGCTACTTGGAAAAAAAATGCGCGAAATATCGAATGGCCAAGGTGTGATCGAGGCCAAGAGTTGGTCAACTGGATGCTACTCGTTTATCCAATGAGCTCGACCTGAATGTCCTGATAGGAGACATCCTGCTTCGGGTGCACCACACCCATAGTCGAGAGTGCTACAATAAAACAAGACGGAAAGAAAAAATTGCTTAGTCACCCATTCATTCATAGCCAGTCTCCAATCAGCAACAGCAAACGAAGCAGAACACTGCTTACCGAGAATGTGGTAGAACGCGGCAGCGGCAACGTCCTTTCGGCGATGAGGGGCGATAACATCCTCAAACGAGAACGAGGTGGCGTTCAAATGCTTGAGCAGCGACCGTGTGTAAGCTAAAAAGTTGGCTGTTGCCTTTTCTATGGCAAGTCTCTCCTGAGTTGCTCCAGTCCCTCCACCAATACCACTGCCATCACCACCAACAACGTCCTCTTCAATCTCACCACCTACATCTTCAAAGGGCGAATGATGTCGTCCTCGATCTTGCGAGGGTGTTCGGGACCGTCCTAGAATGGACTGGTGTCGTCGTCGGCGAATCGAAGGCTCGTCTTCCTCTCCCTCCAAGCCTACCCCCAAAGCTATCGCTCCTCGAACAGTCCCCGACTCTGCTGACGATCGACTGTCCACCGACCTTGTTCGACGACGACGTCGTGAAAAGAGGACGCAACCTGCACCTTGATCAAACGCAGCGTCGAAATCTTGCCAGGGATGGTCAGAGTCACTCGATCTCTCGCTGCGACCACCAACACTTCTGCCAAGAGCTTCCTCTTCCCAGGGTAAGGGACGACCTCTGCTGTTGATACTGACACTGTCCAGCCCATCAAATCCACCTGTGCTCACTCCTGCAGGCGTATCAGCACTGGGTGGGTTGGTCAGGCGACGGCCCCTCTCTGGATCTGGTACTTCATCCATGAACAAAGGGTCTTCATCCCCTGAAAGCCACGATTGTTCACGGGTGCCTCGAGCAGTGCCAGCTTGACCATTCCTGGGCTGCTCGATGGACAAGACATCCCCCCTGTGCCTCACGCGGGCGTGGTCAAGTGCATGAGTCGCTGCAATGCTCCAAAAGTTACCCAGGTCTGTGCCAAATCCAGCGATACCGAGCGGTTGGATAAGAAGCTTGTCGATGTGTGCCTTGACCGATGCAACAGTCTCTTTTGCATCACGGTCTCGGATGATCCCTGCTTGGTCACTGATATAGTTATCCCTGAACGCCTTCAACTCTTCTTCCGACAGAATCGTTTCCTCGTCCGACTTCAGTCCTGCAGGCTTTCGTTGTCTGCTGCCACTTCTCTGCTTTTTGACCTGACCAGCACCAGCAACGGCACCGTCCATTTCCTCACCAAACGGAACATCCGGATAGCGATCATCCAGCAGAAGATCGTCAAAGATATCATTGCTCTCGGGCACAATACGTTCGCTCAGGGCAGATTCTTCTCTCAGGTGCTTGCCAAGTGCTCGTGCCGTTGCTGGGGTATCTGGGAATCCAGGAAAGATAGATCCATCATCCCCGATAACGAAACCTTGCTCTGGCATGTCAGCCCTGAGATTCCCCTCTGCATCAATGTACAACCTATTTTGTACAAAAAATCAAAAATGTCAGTGTTAGGCGCGATCACAGTCAATCCATGCACTATTTTTTTCGACAGCATGTTGTCCATTCTTACCCGTCATCTTCTCCAATAAGCATGTCGTCTGTCAAGCCTTGATTCATGGCTTCAAACTCTATTCCAGGTGCCGCCCCTGCCATGCCTGGTAGTTCGTCCAAGGTGATTTTGCGTCGTCTCTCGTCTGAGACTGGCAACAGGAACGCTAATCGTTTGTGCACAAACAAAATGGGGTTTATGTCAGCCTCGCTGTTGCGGAGAAGAAAAAAAATCAAACATTCGAAGAGAGCAAGACGACAACAAGAGCTACTCACAAGGAGGAGGGGACATGTCATCCGAAGACGTGTCGCTGACATCCAACAAGGACTGAGTCGCCCAGCCAAACTCGACCGCAACATCCTTGCTACGGCTAGTGCGCTATGGATCGACGATATCATAACAGTGGAGACATGGTTAGCAAGATGAGGAGGAGAAAAGACAACTCGCACTATCATTATACTTGCAGTCAAAAAGGCCTAACTTACTGCGACCTCGATCTCATAGTTCTGTACGATGTCGACTGGTCGGAAGAGATCCTGCTCAATCGTCAAGTCATATCCAAAGGTGATCGCATTGATCCTGTTGACAAACATGCGAACAAAGTAACGAGCGTGGGCTTAGTACGTTGCCCACCACCTCCTTGATGAGTTAGAATCCAGATATTAGCATCAGGCTGACAAACAAACAAAGGTATATACTTTGCGCCAGGGTTCACCATATCCAAGTTCTCAGACTGCACTGCAGCAAGGTCCCGCTTCAGTCTCATCCATGTGTTGCTGACATCCGCTATCAGAGAGAAAAAGGGACAAACAGTAAGGGTTGGTGGAATGTAAGAGACAATTAAAAAATGTGATGGCAAAATTTCTATAGACGGAAGAGGTCTTACAATAATAAAAGTTGTACTGCTGACTGTAAACGCGAGTGACACCGACCATCAGGTTTGAAGAGAATCGCAGGGCGAAGGGCTCCACGGGTTGGGAGATGTCCTTGCTATAATAACAGACAGGAGAGAAGGCAAAACGTAGACTCTTTGTTAGCCATATACTCTTTTTGAGGGTCGAAAAAAGTAGAGCAAGGAAAAAGGAAGTGGGTACCAAGACTTGACGATATTGACGCCGTTGACTTCTTTCTTTGACATCTTGTTTATTCCCGACCGAGGTCCAAGAGTAGCAGCGAGCCTGGGTAAAAGTGAAAGGAATGAAAGTAAGTATTTTTGTTCGCGAGCACATGCACTAAGGTTCGTGCAATGAAAATTGTTCGTTGCCAACAGAAGAGAGTGTTGATACCAGATCAAGCCAAGCTGACTATCCTTCCTAGCGAGGATCTCCTTGCTGTAGAACATGGCTCCTTGTGTAGCTGAAAGAGGTTGGTTGTCAAGTGTGTATGTGCGTTGTGTACGTGGTAGTGGTGGTTGTGACGAAAAAGAAGTACGAGGAAGACAAGAGAAGAAGACCGACCACGCCTTGAGGCAAGATAACCGGTCAAGTGACCACCACCACCATCATCATCATCACCATCGGTGAGACTACTGTAAATGATGGAGATGATCAATCACTTTGCCTAAAAAGGAGAGCTAGCGGCATTTTTTAACTGATGGTTCGCTGCTTTGCCCTGTTGTAGAGTCGCGTGAATAAAAAATGATACTCGCGTTGAGGCGCAAGAAACGCATTTGATTTAGAGGGGGGAATTGTGGGACGTAGATCGCAGAGTTGAAGAAGGGGATGGTCCGAGTGTCATAACGACAATATAGAAAAAGAGGAATGATGTTCGAAAATGAGAAGACGGTGTAAGTGGGAGTTGAAGAGTCAAGTGCAGCTGGGCTATATTATAAATGCTTGCAACGGGTGGGCAAGCTATGATCCCATGCGCCTGCTCCCTCTCTAGTTCATCTCTCTTGATGGTGGCCAAATGACAAAATGATAGACAAGGGGAAAAGAGAGAGAAAGAGAGAGAGACGAAAGAAGGGAGTTGCCAAAAGTAGACAAGCAATAAAAGAAAATCACAACGGTAAAAAAGAGAAAAGGCTGTGGTCAAGAAAAGACAGCTTTGAATAAAAAGTGCGGTGGCAGGTAGATCACGCGAGGGAGAACAGGAGCTTTACGCTTTTGATTTTAAAGGTTTATTTGCAGTAAGACATCAGTAAGTAGGATGAACAATACAAAGGGGAGTGCCACTCCTCCTCATTGAGTCGCTCGTCCGTCGTAAAGAAGAAAAAAGCCGAGATGTCAAAGAAATAACTGAGAAATGGAAGATGAGGATGAGGCCTATGGTAAGACACTGCCTATTTCTTGGTGAGAAAGGTCCTGAATTCCGGGGTACCAATAGTTGGATTCGTTCAAGAAGAGATCCCCCAGTGGTCGCTAGCTTCTTGCCAGTGGAGGCTTGTTTGAGGACACTGCGCAATCCGAACGAAATCGTTGCTTCCAACTCGAGCCACGTCTTGATATCAACACCCATCGTCTTCAGATCGGTCAGGTTGTCCGGAATGGTTACATCCTTCACATACACCAAGATATAAAGGTTCCCGCATCTGAACATGATGTAAATGGACATAACCTGCGCGATGACCTGCCAGCCAGGTACAACTGCATCAGTGATGCCAAAATCATCCTGCAGACGGTCCAGCGCGTTCTTCAACATCTCACCAACACGTACAAGGTCTTTGGCATTCTTTTTCTTGCAACCTTTCTGTGCAATCGAGGTTACTTCTGCAATGCCCACATTACAAATTGTTTTGTTGGCGTCATCCTTGATGTCCAATCCTAGGTCCGGTTCTTTTCTGCTGTTGGTTGCCTTTCCAGCGAGATTCGTCGTGTCGATACTACGTATAAATTAAAAAGAATGGGTTAACGCAAACGACGCGGAAGATTAACAGATTGTGTGCCCGTTTAGAACTAAAAAGCAAGCCATCAGTATCATTTCCTTACAAGTCCAAAAACAAGTTCTTGTCTGGTGCGCCTACGAACACTCTGCAAACCGGTAAGATAAAGGACGAAATCGCTGTAGACTCGGAATAGACTCTGGTTGTGTCCGAGACAGGAAAATCCTGTAGAGCACTGACAAAATATGTCCACAGTCGCCGATGTTTGGAATCTGTTGCACAAGGCAACAAGAACCCAAGGCACTTAGCCCTATCGAAATCGTGATCCTCAAAGTGCTGAAAACGGAGAAGATTCAAGTTAGCGACAGCAAGGCGTTTAGGCACTCGAATCCTTGAAGAAATACTTACATCGAGCCACGACCGGACCTCATTACGCACTACAGTCACGTCAACACTCTTCCATTTTCGTAAAGCTTTTTCACGAATTATGAGAAACGACCCCCCGAAAAAGTCCAGCTGGTGGGCTGTCGCTGCCTTCGAAATCAGGATAATACCCGATCGGGCGTTACACGTTCAAGGGAAAGAAAATATATACCTGTTAGCAGATACATCCATCGATATGGGCAGCTCAGAATTATGCTGTAGGATACACATACAGTGCTTGGTCTGTGTCTGTCACGTAGACTTTTTTCGCCTTTACGTCTTGAAACAGCTGTCCAAAGCTACCTCCAACGTCCAGTCCGTCAAGAATCGCTGAAAAGCAATAGGAGGTCTCTGTGTCTGGAATCATAAAATCGTCTTCATCGACATCATCCACGAATGGATTCTCCTCTCTGTGTGTGGACTGGATAATGTTTGGGCTGTCCATTGAGGTTGTCGAGATTCGTGGCGTGGGTGAGGGGGCTACTGCAGTTCAATAAAATTGCAAAGAACTGTCAACTTGAGTGAAAGATAAAACAAGTTTGCTCCATGATGCTGAGCAAGCCTTACTCACCTCGTCGCCTTGGGGTCTTTTGCGGATTTTCGACAAAGGTCGTGACAAGACTCCGCTTCTTTCCGTTTTCGGTCTGAGATACTATTGAAAGCGTCAAAGGTCCAGTGTCTTAGTTAGGTTGTCATAGTCATTTGTCCATTGATACTCAACAGTATTCTTCTCTCCAGTACGATAAATAGAATCGTTGTCAAGCTGTCATAATCATTTAATCTATTGATACCCACCAACGCTCTTCTTTCCAGTACGATGAATAGAGTCTTTGGCAAAGACTCTGATCCCTTGACGAGAGTTGACGCGATTGTCATTTGAGAGGATTGAGATTGCCGGTCCAGCCAAAATTGTACTCCATCGTTGACCTTCCAGTGTGCGAAGTTTTGCATTAGCTCCTGTTTGGTGTCCTTATCCAGGTTGCTATCCTGGATCGCTTGCGTGTATCTCTGGTGTCCATGTTGCTTGACGTAGATATCAAATGCTTCAAAGTATGCACGTGGCGATCTGTCGCTGACAGACTGAATCCAGGAGGACCCAGATTCAGTAGACATTGTGGCGCACGAAGAGTTCGACCTCTTAGACAACAGCGCTAAACCCCTACAATAACATGCAGGCGCGAGAGTCATTCATTAATCAACCTACTTCATTGGCCAGAAGGAAGCATTTACACATGTATGAAACTGGTAGACTTCACGTGACAACAAGCACAGAGGGCTAAAGGATCGTTTCATCTTCGGTCACCCAAATCAAACGATGACATGGGCCTAAGGAAGAAATCTCTCCAATGGCCAGAAAAGGTTTTCGCAGCTGCTTTCCGATAGAACATCGAATGGACAGGTAGCGTTGAACACGAGGCGAAATCTACAAGACATGTCAACGAGCCAAAGGGCAAAAGGATTGTTTTCATCTTTGGTTGTCCAAATCAAACGATGACAAGGGTCAAGGAAGAAAACTCAACAATTGCCAGAAATGGTTTGCACAGCTGCTTTTTCTGACAAAGCACCATACAAGCAGGAGTGTTGATCATGTCTCTCGCCGCATCCGAGCAATAAAGCGTCAAATGGGAAACAATTTAGAGGGAGCTGACAGGGAATTTAGGTGGAATTGATATTAACGTTTTTGATGGAGACGAAACGGTGAACAGCGAGCGTGGGCCTGGTGATAACGGCGAGTAATGACGATAGACGTGAGGATTGGTTATGAAAAGAGGGAAGCGATGGCGTGGGAGTGGCCAGAAGACGAAGGTCGTGGGGCAACGGCAATGGGGTGTGGAAGCGATGGCGGGAGAGTGTGGGAGCGGCCGATGGTGAAGATACAACGGCGATGATGATACAAAGGGGACGGAGAAGATACAACGACAAGGGTGGCAATACAAAGGTGAGAGTTAGAATACAAAGGTGAGAGTTAGGATACAAAGGCGAGGGTGATGATTCAAAGGCGCGTAAAGAGCCACGGTAAGGACGGACGCGAGGAAACAGGACAATGGGCGCGAGAATTACGTCACCGAAGTTAGTAAATCGCCTATACAAACACCTATGCTAATGCTACCTTGACTATGCACCCTCACACCCTGCCTTTCGCTTGACGCCTCTCTTCCTACCATATCTCCTAGGGCGGGGGTTGGATGCCTTGTTCTGTTTCCGTGGAAACTGTCCATTGGCGTCCATGGACTGGAGTAGTCTGGTCGCAAACATCTTGGCATTCGAGGCAAGCGAGACCAAGGCACCGGTCATCGTTTTCTTTTTCTTTTTCTTTTTCTTTTTGGAGACAATACTTCATGAGATAAGAGGAAGTGTACACTCTAGTACATGAAAACCGTGGTCGCAGGACTAGAAAGCCGTGGTCGCAGGACTAGATTACACGCAGTAGCCAAGCATTTATAGCGACGTTGCATTTTGGTCCTTCGATGTCGGGTCTTTCAATCTTTGCTTCTGCAGGAATACGGGCCGCGTGGTCGACGCTTTGTTCAATTGCTAACCACAAGAAAATTTTATTCAAAGAAGGATGCCTGCAACGTAAATTTAGAGAGCATTAGTTTTTCATCACCCACACCTTGGCACGTTCCTATAACCATTTTCTCTGTTCATGCGCTGTGCGTACAGTATCTTCTTTTCTTTGCTGCCAACGCCATTGCACATTCTCATGCCCCTTTTCTTAATTATGCATCACGCATACTTTTTTTGTTCTTCGTTAACAACGCCATAGCATGTTCCTCTGGCCCCCCTTTTTTTTATGCGCCGTGCGTGTGTCATTTTCTCTCATCACCCACGCCTGGCGCGTTCCCATGCCCCATTTCTCTGTTCATGCCCCGTTCTTATTTCAAGCGCTGTACATGTCCTCACTTCTATCGTTGGCCTGTTTCCACGCCCTTTTTCACTGTTCATGCGTTGTGTGGCACGTTTTTCTTTTGTTACGTACACCTATGCGCGTTCGCCTCCACACCCTTTGGCTGAAAGTGGTGCATAATGGTATTGGATCGGTCGAGGCTCAGCATCGGCAAGACCACCGTCGCCGCCATTTCGATGAAGGCAGGATTAAAATCGCCAAAGCGAAGTACCTCCAATTTCCTCTTATAGAGAGTTTGAGGACAGGCCAGCCCGTGATAGTTGGCTCCAAGCAACCTCTACACCAACGCCACCACCATTTACATTCAAGGCAAGATGGTCACCTCTGGTGGCAAACGTAGTCTTCGACGCACCCGTCTCCTAGATTTGAAAATGCACATCCTTCCCTTATTCTTCTTTCTCTCTCTCGCTATCAGATGTTAGCATATCTTCTTTTTTGTTCTCATTATTTCTCTCTATTTCTCCCCACAAAACAACTTTTCGTCATCTAGCTCATAAAGTTTCATGTGTACAATCCAAAAGTTGCTTTTATCATGGATCCCAATTGAAATACGCGTGTCTTCTCTAGAACAAAAAATTGGGGAAGAGCGAGTGAAAGAAGTGGGATAGTGAAAAAGTTGAAAACGAAGAAGAGAACAGGGCGAAAAGAAGGCTTGGAAGATGGATTAGAAAAACGAGATGAGTAAGGGGATGACTCGAACAAATGAAGAAAAGCAAATGAGAGCTTGTCAGCGGATTAAAAAAGGGTGAAAGTTCATGAACAAAAAAAATTGTGGACCTTCAAAAGTGTAGAGATAGAGAACATTCTCATGAGCTGGCGTGCTTATGGAGAACAAGGGAAGTGAAAAAGAAGGGTAGACGTGGTGTGAAGTGTAGAGGATGGGCGAATTGAACACATGGATGCTTCGCTCTGAAGGGTCCTTTTTCACGCAATGGCACGGATTCAATTAAGGAAGGGTGCATAGCAAACAGCCATAGAAGAGAAAAAAATGTGGATGGAAGAGCGTGCTTACTTGTTTGGGAATGCCTTGGTAGAAATTATGGTAGTTACAAGGCTGTTAAACACATTGGTATGCGCTTCTTTCTTCTAGATATAATGGAGAGAGAGGGAAAAGGAAGTAAGAAAGGTGTTGTTGTTTACATCCGGGATCGACTGCGGGGTACAAGCTGACTGGCTTTCTCTGATTGTTTTTTTCTGGTTGCACATGCAATAAAAGTGAATTGAGTCAATTGGTGTGCCCTTACAGTCGTTTACCAAGGGTAAGAGAGGTTATCAGCTCAGCTTTTGTTTTGTTTTATTGTGCGCTGAGAGCTTTTTGCGCATAATATTCTTTCTCTCTTCCCACATGGGGCTCTAGTTCCTTGTGGAGCAATTAAAGAAGAGAAGTGCGAAGAGAAGAGAAAAGAAGGTGCGATAATAATTGACTGAAAGAATAGTGCACGTGTACATTTTCACGCGTTAGATGACTTTCAGTTCTGGACATGGTGTTCTTCTACTCTATCTTCCTTCTTGTTGTTTTCTTCGCCTCGCTTTTTTTCTTAAGAGCTTTCAACGACTTTGGCCAGAAACCCGAAGAACAACGAGAACGAACATGAGCGTAGAAAATTTTCTTTGCTTTTCAGTTGAAGCAAAAATGAACATGAGCAGAGAGAGATGACATGATGTGTTTTTGTATGAGAGAATGCCCACTTCGGTTCATTCGATTTATTGACCAGCAAATGGAAAGTGTGAACAAAGGTAGGTAGTGTTATCGTACAAAAGAAAAAGTTTTGGGAAGCGTGTATAGAACGAGTAAAGAGAAGGAGGCGTAAGGAAGAGGGTGGGGGGAGGAGAATAAAAGAGAAAGGCTGCAACAGTCAGAATCGACACTCGACACCAGCTATGCGTACTTCTACAAGCTAATGAACTCTCTTCCTCACCACATCCAACTCCCGACAAACGAGAAAAAGGAGAAATGATAGAATGACATCTACTTGATCTCGATATCGGCGCAGGAAGTGTACCACTCGTCCTGGTTCAACATCCAGCGCCACTGGAGGAGGTAGATACCCTTGGCACGGACGGGGACCTTGAAGCATCCACCGCAGGGACGATGATCCTCGTCGGAGCTAGGGTTACAGTTCTTGTAGTTGAGATTGGCAATGGTGTTCTTCAACAACTCCTGCTGAGAGATATCCTTGGCGTTGCGGGACTTGGACAAGTGGATCTGGACCTTGTGGTTGGGATGGAACACCTGGGCATGGTTCTTGGCGGGCCAGCGGACACAGAGGGTGTCACCGACGGAGGTGACGGTCATGCGACCGTACTCGCCGCCGTAGGCCTTCGAGGGAGGGTTGGCACGGGTCTCGTCCGAACCGCGCGTTGCACCGGCCTTGCGGTCAGAGCAGGGCAAGGCAGTGCTAGGGTTCTGGCGGTCCTGCTGGTAGTGGCGATTGGGGTAGGCAGAGTCGAGAGAACCGAACACCTTGCCGAGAGGGAAGCGACGGGCGTAACCGGTGCACTTGCCTCCCTTGTCGGACCAGTCCTGGTTGCCGGCCTTGTTGAACTTCCAGTCAATGCAGTCAGCCCACGAGTGAGCTTCAGCCTGGGGAGTGTAGGAGGAGAAGACGGCCAAGGTGGCGACGACGAGGATGGTGAAGGAGGACTTGAGAACCATGATGATATATGTAAGGTTGGACTGATAGGGGAGGGTAGATATAGCGGTAGGGGTGTGGGATGACAGGGATGGGAATGAACGAAGATAAAAAAGATGATGGGGAAGACCCTAGTTTTTATACTCACCTCCCCATCATCGAACGAAAAGAAGGGAGTAAGCGAAGTATGGCCAGGGCGCCCTGGGGAACATGAGACGCGACAAGAACAAGAAAAGAAATTGACTAACCCATTCCGACTTTGAATTGTTGTTGGTATTGGTTGTTGGTGGTTGAGGGAACATTTCTACAAGATACAAAGCAGAAAATACGCGGACTGAGTTAAAACAAACATAGTGGTGAGCACTACATTGGCAGGGCCGAAGGAAAGGGCGAGTGTGAGAGAGAAACAAAAAGTAGCGAACGAATTGGCACTCCTTGCCGATGGTAGCTGAAGCTGTGAGTTATTGTTCAGTGTCAGTAGTGCAAGAGGACGGATGTGGATGTAGATTTGGACGAGCAATTGAGAACACTGGCTAAAAAAGCGATCGGTCATTAGTTTTCCGTCTGTGCTACGTTAATAAAAGACAACAAGCGTCGTTTTACTCTTCTCATTGTACCTTTTTTTCTCTCGTTTTATTGGCACCATGAAATTGCCTGGATGCAGTCATGCACTACCCGTACAACCACGCACACAGATACACACCCTCTAATGGTAATAATGAACGAGTGGAGTTGGAAATGGGCCAGGGTCCCACAAAATAATAATTTGAGAGAGACTGAAGTGCTCTCTTCCTCCACCCACTTCTTGGTATCTCCACCCACTTCTTGGCACCTTCACCTTCGTTGTTGCTCCTCTTCATTCTCTACGGTACCATTCATTGTAGCTATAGGAAGGTAAAGTGGTATTTCTTTTGTAAAATTGAGATGAGTATGTGTATGTTGAGAGCGTTTGTTGGCAAAAAAAGAAAGCACATGGAATCGGGCTATCCCTCCGCCCTCCCCCTCCTTGTCGTGTTCTGGACCTTGTATCTAGACGTCTATGTCACAAAAGCAGACAGAAAGCACAATTCATTACTTCAAGACACATGAATCCCAACGAACAAAAAGGAGGGTTCGCGTTTTTTTTTCTTCTTGTCGGTGACAAAATCACCCTTCTATGGCGAATAATGGCTCCGAGAACAACTCACACACACACAATCGACTCGTTATTGTTTCCCCAGGGAAAAAGAAAGAGGCGCAGATAGGAACATTGAAGAGAGGCAAAGAGATGAAAGAAAGAGTGAGAAAAAACCCCTGATTTTCCCATATCGGACGCAAACAATCAATTGATGGTACCTGAATGTTTCTTTCTCGGTAACAAACCACCACACCATATCACATTATGGTAACAATCCTATCTTTCTTTTCTCTCTCTCTCTCTCTCTCTCTCTCTCTATTTCTGGTATAGGAAGCGATAAAAAAACGAGACAGGGAGGGAGACTGGACAACGAGGGCAAGGGCGCGTGAAATGAGAAAAACGAGCGAGAAAGCAAACAACTAGGGTCCCCATCCCCACCGCAACCTAGGGAGGCAAAATGTCGCGTTTAGCGCTCGTCGGTGAAAAGAACAGCCAGGAGATCAATTAAACTCCCTGGGAAATGAGATGCAACCATGAATGAATGCTCGCTTATTGTTCTCTCTTTCTGCATGCTTTTTTACGTCCAGACCCTTCATCTCTCTTATTCTTTCAACCCCAATCCAATCGTGTCTTCCAGCGAGAACCGCGAAGAAACGAAAAGTATGGCGACGGGTTTTGCTGCCATATTATACCACGGGGAAGTACCAACGCGCATAAAAAAGAAAAAGAACAACAAAAAAAAACAGTCCGAGATGATAAGGATTACCCACCTAGGGCCATCCTAGGCAAAGGGACAGGAAGAGAGGATACAAAGCTAAAGGGTGCAAGAGAAAAATACGCCAACACAAATTGATTTTCATTACTTAATATCGGTTGAGAGAAGAGCCTTTTTTTTAGTAACAAACGAATGATTGGATGCTCTTTCTTGTTCTTTTGTTGTTTATTTGTGGTGATCGATAGGGGGAAGGAAGAGAAGGCAAGCCCAACGGTTTTGCTTTCTCGTTCCACACTCTTCTATTCGTTTACCCACGCAAAAAGAAAAGAAGACTCTCTGTTTTTCTCCACCTCCACCTTCCTCTTTTATGAGCACACTTTTTTCTTTGTGCAAAGAGAAAGAGGGGAAGCCTACCAGGGGAGCAGAAGAGGACCGACAGACATGAAAACCCTAATTGTTGACAAACGTTTTCTTTTTTTTTTTTTTTTTTTTTTTGGTTGGAGGGAAAGGCGTCCTCAGCTAAGGTAAGGTGGCTAAAAAGGAATTGGCGAGAGGGATGAGGAGAGAAAGGCATGAGTGAAGAATGGAGAGATGGCTATCATCAGCAAACGGCTATGGCAATTGCTACGGCCGAAAAAAAATGGTGTTCTGTCAACTCCTCCCTCTCTCTGTCGAGTTCCCTTCATCTCGTTCTTGTTTCTTTATTATGTCGAGCATTTCATTAAACGCAAACCACGCGTTTATCTCTCCTTTCCCCTTCCTCTTTATCCCTACCTCACGACCAGTTCCTCTTCAGTTCTGCCCTTGTCCAATTATCTAATTGTCCAAGGATCGTATCCTATTCCAATGGCTGGCCCAATGGACACCATTCGTCCACCCGCAGGCTGTTTTTTTTGTCGCACAAATTTCAACCTGGCGTCTTTGATAGCACCATCCGTACCTGAAAAGAGAAATGTAAAAGTGCGAGGAAAAAAGGGTGGTGGGAATGGGAATGAGTTAAAGAAAGGCAATGTTAGCCAAGAACATGCTTCTGTGGTTGCTCATTATTAAATAAAAGATATATATATATATATTTATATTTGCCAGTGTGGGCACTCGACGGATGTTCATGTGTTGCGGTGCGGATTTATTGACGAAGAAGCGCATCATATGGTGGCTCTTCCACCTTAGTGGAGACGTTACAACCAGAGTGGGCTGCGTTGAGCATATTTTCCCCTCTGTAGCGCGCAAGAAAAGATCCCTCTCTTTCTTCCCATTGATCATTCGACCACCTACACCTATACTTTTCATTAGTTTATATTAACTGGCTTGTGGCAGCCAAGCGTTCAAAGCGACGTTGCTTTTTGATCCTTCGATGATGGCTTTTTCAGACTTTGCTTTACTAGAATTCTAGGTGGCGGTGTCGATGCTCTGTTCGGTTGCTCGCCTGTAGGAAATTTTATTTCGTTTAAGGAGTTTGAATATCTGGAAGCCTGCATGCGCTGTGAGTCCGCGCTATACAGGCTCCTACACCTGAGAAAGGTTTTGAACTCGGGGGTACGCGTCGTTTCGACCCTAGCACGCACAGAACCAAGAGGACCGACAGTGCCACTGACTCGTCCTTGCCAGACACTAATGCTTCCAAAACTGGACTCAGTCCTTGCTCGACTGTGGCTTTCAGATCATTCCAGATCTTGATCTGGCCTCTTGGTTCTTCTAGCTAGTTCGAGAGTCTCGATTAGTCAGTAAAGAATGAGAGCTTCAAAGAATGAGCTGGGAGGTTGGTGGCGTTTCAAGATCATAATCATGTGACTATATCAGAGTCGAGAACGTCGTCAAGATGGCGTCCCAGGCTGCTTGAAGAGGCAGGGGGGCTTTCCGCAAGTAGCGCTGGATATGTGCGAACGGCTGCGTTTCTCCTCCGGTAGAACAAAATTTAGGCACTCGAGGTCTTGATTGACTCTGGAGGATGAAGTGCTTGGCGCCACCAAACCTACAGCGACAAGAAAGTACAATGGAATCCAGTTAACAACGTGTTACAAGTTATGGCGTGCCACCAGAAAAATACTCCAAATGCAATGAATGGTCCTCCTGGCCAAATGGTACCAAGGCCACCGACAAGTGGAATACAACGACAGAAATGATTGCGAAGAGCATTGATGGGATGTTGAGAAGGTATGGGTTGGGGTGTAGCATGGTTGGGACAAGGCACAGCAAAAAGGAACAATATCAATAATCGCCAAAATAAAGAACAAACCTGTCAGTCAACCTTGTTGAGGACGCCGCTGCAGCAATCGCAAATCGTCTTTCACCTGTAGGAACAGAAGGAACATATTAATAACAAGGAACAAGGGACAGTGATGAAATAGCTTACATCCGTCAGCATCTTCAATTACCATATGCTGTTTCCGTTTCCTGGACCGCTATATCCTGTACCTCAAGTGCAAGTCTCTACACTGTCCGTTCCGAGTTGAGTCTCAGAGAATACTTGGTCCCGGAGGAGCCCCATGGCGCTCAATAAAGCACATGTCATGTAGAGCCCTAAGAAGATCACCTCTGTCGCAGCCACATCCTGGTCGGCAAACTAGAAGTCTAAAAGGACTCGTTAAGTCTGCTAGAGCTAAAGAAGTAAACCGCTAAAGACAGGATGTTTCTTCATGGGTATGAAAGGATTGCCAAACGCACCTGTGAGAGGACGAGATGGAGAGAGACAGAGAGATAAAGGGGTGGGGACGAGATGATCAAGAATGGACAACAAGGTAATGGAAGTGCTGCTTGGTGCCTTTTTCTTTCCATTTGCCATGATATCAAATTAAACGCAGTCCCATCATGCTGCTTGTCAGTTGTCAGCCAGTTCTGATGCTGGATCGTGCTTCATGAGCCCATCCAATTTTTTTCATTTCCTTCGCTCGCTATTGTCACCACTTCTCATTACTGTTCTCTCTCTCTCTTTCTCTCTCTCTCTCTCTTCCCTCTCCTTTCTCGCCACACCCACTCATACGTTCTGTTTACGGTAATTGTTGTTGAGCGGTTCCATCGAGTACTCGTCATGGCCAAGCTCTGTTCTTCCTCGCCGCTCAAAAGCAAATGGGCACCCTTTGCATTTGTAGACGCATAAAAGCAACAAACAAAAGTGAAGGTACGAAGTTGTTTTCTTGCCTGCACTGGCAAGTGTTTCTGCTCCCCCATATGTGAGCTCCTGCCACTCACTTTCTTCCTGTCGCCACCATGACTGCACAGGCTAGGTTGCATCATCTCTCTCAATTCGCCTCAAATGAACCCCCTTTTCACTGCTGCTCACGATTTATTCTTCACTTTGTTTGTGTCATAACAACAATATTAGAGAGGAAACTACCAAGGTAAACGTGCGCCATGTGGAAATATAAGGGTGTGTAACACAGTGAACCATGGTGCTAAGCAAGAGAGATTGATGAGTAGCAGCAAAAGACGCCCAGTATCGAAAAATTGGTCTTGACAGAGGGTCAGTCTCTTGACATCTCTATCCATCCCTTCTTTGTTTGTTTGTACAACTACACTTCGGCCATCCGCATGACTGGAAAAAGATTGTGCTATGGTGTGTGAGAGTATCCGGCTCGTCCGCAGACCGTTATTCGTCTAACCCTTTGCCTGATCTTTTTTTTCTTTAGCTTGCTCCCGAGAGTTATCACGAAAAGGCCAAGGGCTTTGTCTTTTGCCGCTCTAGACATACATATTGAAAAGAGCGAGAGGCGCTCACATACCAGGCTTGGGATAAAACCATAGGAGTGATAAGAACTTCGTCTTTTAGGTTCTCTTACGTGGAGGGAGGGACAACACTCCATGCATGGAAATCTCACTCTTTTGACTTCTACCCATGGCACACATATGTATGTGTCTATCATCTCTTTTGTCCCTCTCAGTTGGACTTGTCCTAGTCTGGATCCAATACTACACATCATGCCTCTCTTGTCTCACATTCGCTTTCTCTGCTAAAAATGAGTGAGCATTGCTGAGATGGTACTGGATGCATTGAGTATTTATTATTTTATTTTCGTATCCAGGAGGCGAGTTTCGCATGTATGCAAGGATAAGAAAAAAAGGTGATCCGGCACTCTCTCTGTATCTCTCTCTCTCACCCTCCGCCATTCATCCAGGAGACAGAGAGAGAAGGGAGAGGACATTGTATATTATTTTGCGTAAGGGAGCACAGAGGGAGATCGACTTTGTGCAGAAGACAAAGGAGAATAACAAGTCGCCCAATCTTTTGTCAAGAGTGTATGTGTGGACGCAAGGAGGAGGAACACATAGCCAGTGAAAATAAAAGCTCGCTCTGTCCTCTTTCTCTCTTTGCATCGCTTGTTGTTTATAAAGGAGACTCCCGCTCTTCTATTCTCTTCTCGTTCTCCCTTTCTCGCTCCCGCTAACCTTGTTTGTCCGTCAAGTACCAACAACCAATAACTGCATCGCCAACCTTGTGTTCATCTCAGTTTACACCGACAAACCGACCTTCTCTCTCTTCTTCCCATTACCTTATTTCTCTCTTCGTCCACGACTTTTCCAAAGTGACGAACAGCAACGACAACAACAAAGCAACGACAAGAAACAACAAACAATGACTTCAGAATTGACGACGACAGTCAAAAAGGGGTGTGGTTCTCAGGAAGACCCTGCCCCTTCTACAGGCGCATGTCTGCCTTCCTCCAATCGACCTCGCGCAGCAACTACTACGACCAGTGGCCGCTTCAGTGTACTACAGCCACATCCAGCCATTATCACCGCCCCAAGCACTCCAACCCTTTCCCCTGCACTACCCACCATGACCTCCATCACACCTCCTCCCGCCAGTCCTACCTCCACTGACAGTAGTGGCGCAACCCCTTTTCTTACTCCAACAACCTCTTCCCCCACAACCTCTACCACCACTTCTAAATCCTCAAAGTCGTCAACAACATCATCGCCCTCAGGGCGTAGGAGCCGGGGTTCTGTGAGCGAAAGTGAGCGGCACCATCAACAACAACAACAACAACAACAACAGGAGCAACCAAAAAAGCAGCGGAGACCTCGACTGGACCTTCTCTCGCGCAGCACCGACATTCTTTTCCTCATTTTCCAACACCTCAAGGAAGGTCGTGATCAGACAAAGACCCCATCCTCCCAAAGCGCCTACGAGTTCACGACCATCCATCGACCACACTCCACCGCAACTTGCACGACTGTCAAAGCCATCACCGAGAGCCGGATCCACGATCTCGTCCAGGACGCATTCTCCAAGATATGTCGTGTCAACCGGGCATTTGCGAAAGTCGGAATGCCCTTCTTGTGGGAACGGCCCAAGATCCGGACCTGTCGACAGCTGGACCGGTTTGCGTATACACTTCAGCATCATGGATGGCAGTACTTTGATTATATTCAGGAAGTGGTTGTGCGCCAGGGGTCGATTCCGGATGCGAATAATGAGAGTCTTTGGTGGGGCCATGCGAGATGTCGGGCGATTCTGTTCAAGATTGCGACAGAGTGTACTCAATTGCGGTATCTGGACTGTAACTGGGCTGGGTCACCGTTTGACCAGACCCTGGTCCGGTCCTTGACTGAGACGTCGTTTATTGCGCTGAAGGTCTTGAGATTGGAGCCGGTCAAGATGCCGTCCAAGGAGCAGACGCTCAGTGAGGACGACTTTAACCGACTCGTTACCTGCTGCCCTAACCTGGAGTCCCTGGACCTGGATGAGGCTTACAAGGTCAGCAACCGGTCTGTGATCCATCTACTCATGACCTGTCAGAACCTCGCCCATTTCTCATTCCCTTCAACCTGTATCCCTGGATGGGTGGATGCCATCGACATGGGCTTTGGCGAGAACCTGCGTTCGATCAAAATCTACACCCCGCGCCGTACCACCGACAGTCCTACCAATAGCAATGGCGGACAGGACTTCCACCTCGACGACTTCTCCCTTCGCCCATATGCTCTCCAAAAACTGGAATCAATCCATCTTGACATTGGCGGAGGCGACTTTGTGAACGCCCTCTTCAGCAAGCCAAAACTCCCTGCCCTCCGGTCCCTCCGCATCCTCCACCCTTCCAACAAACTCCTCGAGATCCTGTCTGTACGCCTAGCCCCACAACTGACCATTTTCGAAACCAAGCTGAACGACCAGACAGACCAAGAGGTCTATAAGATCTTCTCCCGCAAGATGACCTCCCTCCAGTCCTTGGATTGCAGCCCAGGTCCCGTCATGGGTCTCATCGGCCGCAACATCACCACCCTCTCCGCCAACAGCTCCCTCCGCCTCCTCGACAGCATTGCAGAACTCTGTCCAAACCTCGAGGATCTCACCCTCTGGGGCGGGAGTATTTCTCGAGATCCCACCCGCCAACAGCGCTACCCTCGCTGCGACCCCCAGAGCGGAATGATCTATGTGATTGAGATGTGTCCGATCAAGCGATTACGATTGGTGAACGCCTACCTGGGGTTCGGACCACAGTTCTGGCAGGCCTGTGGCGAGTTTGGGACACACCTTGAGATCTTGGATATTGAGCTGTTTGACTGTAAGGGGATGAACTCTTGGGGGATGTTTGAGGGACTCCGACATTGTAAGAAGCTGCAATGGCTGCGGCTTACTGAACTTCTTGGTGTTCAAAAGCAGGTTTGTCTTCTCTTTGTTTTTGATTTTGTTTCTTTTTTGTGAGTTTGTGTGAATGTTCTATTTGTGGAAAAAGGACCATGTGTTTGAGCACTGGCCACTTTCGGTGGGCATGCAGCTAATCTGGCTTATGATATTGCTTCTTCCTTCTCCGCCATCCCTTTTTTTTTTTTTTTTTTGGTTTCCGCCACTTTTTCATCTCTCCTTTCTCTTCATCTCTCCTCCCTCACACATGTTCAGATATTAACCAATATCCCTCCACTTCCTTTTCCTTGCCTTCCAACACAAACAATACGATAACAGGTCATGATGTCATGCCTAAAAGACTTGACGCGCCTTTGCGCCTTACACCTCAGCATCCCAGACATGGAAACCGGCTGCTTCTCAATGTCTATGGACGAAATCGGTCTCTTCCTCTCCTCCTTCTGCGAGCTTTCAGAAGTCAACCTTATCGTCCCCAAACCCTGTCCCAACTCTGCGACGACTACTCCTAGGAGCTCTATGGATTTATCGAGTCAACGACAGTTCTGTTATGGGTTACCCTATGCCCGTGCGGATCCTACGATGGTATTCAAGAATGCGCTAGATCAAAATATTTATGGGAGGGTTGAGTGGTCTGTTCCTGGGCTTGGCTATTATTGATTGTGTGAAGTGAAGTGATGTGCTTTTATGTAGCACGATGCTTTTTTTGTTTGTTTGGAGTGGGGCAAGGATGGGAAGGAACCAGGGAAGGAGAGAGAGAGGAATAGGACCCGCTTCTTCCCTTTGTCATCCTTTCTTTGTAACGACTTTTTTTTTTCGTATTGTTTGCAATCAAGTCAATTACGTTAGTTCTTATGTGCAGTTGAGTTTGCTTTTCTTCTTGTTCATGACATTACCATCTTCCGAGTTTCGGCACAGTAATAAAAATAGGGAAAGTATTCATTGTCTACTCTGCCTATATAGTTCCTATCATCTCTTTCTATCTGTGTAATACCTTCAAAAAAAAGAAGCTAGCAATTTTCACACGATCGATCATGCACCTCCTTTATTATTTTTTTCTTCATCTACGTCCTGTCATTAAGAGATATCCAGGATGGATTGATATCAAAAAAAAAAAGAGAGCGATGATGGAAGGAACAAAGGGACATAGACCCAGGTGCTGGGTTTAGTTGAAATCAAAAAAAGAGGGTTTGCTCATCCTTCGAAAGGCAAAGTAAGGAAAGGAGAGAGGGATTTAGTGGGAGGGGGGATCAACAAAAGAAGATCAAGGCGATAGGTTCATTTCTTTTCGTTCATCTTGGGTGGAATCCAGATGCTGGGGTTTCTTGTCATGGCCCATCTTTGTTGAGGTTATGAGAGATGAAAAGGTAGAACAGAGAAGGCAAGGACAACAGACAATGATGGGCGCATGTGAGTAAAAGTGAGATCGGGCTGCACACTGATGGGTGGCCAAGGCAAGGGTAGGTAGATAGACGATGATACCATGCACTCTATCTCCGATCCCGACCTGAGACACATATGCCACGCTATATCATCTGTGTCAGCGATGGCTTTATCAGCTTCGATTTCTGATCGACCAGTGTGCCTTTTTTAACTTTTCGTCTAAACACGTTTGTTCTTACTTTGGTTCTTGTTAAGTTCTTTCTATGCAACCTCCTTTAACTCTTTTCTCCTTTCCGTCGTCTTTCTTTTCATTATCCCATTCTCTTGAACGATCGGATTGGTTATATGTACATTCTGCATCTCCCTGAATGCCATACATCCCAAACACACGTTTACACAAGCAAGGTAAAAATTAGCACGGATGCTGCAAAAAAAACGAAAGTAATCGGAGGATAATGAATTCCTAGTCATTATCACACCGCTCGTACCTTCTTTGTTCTACTTTTTCTCAGTCCCGCATATCCCAATGCTCTCTGTGTCCCTGTGCCTGTTTCGTTTGTTCGTCTGATATTGGCAGTGTCTCTACCTTCCTTTCTTTCTTTTCCACATTCAAACTCGGATCTTGCCGACCTCATACAGAACACACACATTCTCCTAATAGACGACCATCATGAACCGCGCATACACAACAGGCACACGTCCCCCCTCCGCATACCACCCACCCCTCCCTCTCAACACATCCGCCCCTCGCACCAAATTCAACAACCATCATCATGCACCTTCAATCGCCTCTCCCCTCACACCATCCTCCACTACATCCACAACCGCACCATCAATAACACTCCCAGGAAGAGCACCATGGTCCAGATCCAGGGCTGCAACCACCAACAACACACATAATGCCTCTACAGCATTGCCGGCATCGTACAAGGATGAATTCTCGTGCTACACTCCTACTTCTCCAGTACCCACTTTCCCTCCTCCCAGTGTCGACGATCATGACAGCAACAGCAAGAGTAATAATCACGTATCAGCAATCAAAGTCCATACTTCCAATCGCTCACAGACACAAACCTCTGCTGCTCCTGCGAGCCTCTATTCACCTTTATCCACCTCTACTTCAGTACCATTATTGCCATTGGCATTCACGACCACCGACAACAACGTCCAAACGAACACGACATCAGTCATCGACACCACTCTTATCAAGAAGGTTGACTTTCATACCGGCCAAGATCGTCCTTTAGAAAATGCAAAAGAAGGGGTGGCGTCGCATCGGTATGCGTCTGCGTCCATCCTCCCTTCACTTCAGTACAGGAGCCAATCTACATATTCTCAGCACCAGGAACTACCATCGCCATTACCATCCCCGCTCGACTCGAACAATGATTCTCCAGATATGCCACCGCCACCAACAGTGAGAACACGGACCACATCCCTCCATCACAACCTCCAATTCCCTCTTCAGGGCCAGGGCCTGGCCTCTGCATCCCCGCCCACAGATTTCCCTCTCCCTTCTGCACCAGTAACCGCCACATCAGAAGGAGTAACGGGGGCAATGAACATGTTGGACGGGAAGGTAATGCCCTGGCTTCAGGAGGCCATGCAGACAGTAACCATGCTAGAATCCCGCCTCCAAGAACTAGAAGAAGACTGCAAGGTACAACACACACATATACACACTTCCAAAAACCTACATTGCCATCCCGAATTCCAGTATGAAGCAAACCGCGTCCCAAAAAAAAAAAAAAAATGCAACTAAATTTCCAAACGTGTCTGTGTTTGAATGCTAGGCGATACCGTTATATGAGCAGGACAGGTTGGAGATGACCCAGGAGATCCAGGACTTGGACGCGATTGTCCAGCAGGATCAGGGGTGGATGGATCATGCGGAGATAGTGGTCCAGTGGACTACTTCTGTCCTCGAGAACGCCCTCATCTCCTCTTCCTCTGCAAGTCATACCAACAACCACAACAGCAACGGCAGTCCTCGACAGAGCACACGGACTAGGACACGCACTGAAGAGGTGATGCCTGGGCTGGGACGTAATACCCGCTCTGAGGGGACGTTACCCTCCTTGATCGCTGAGAAGTCCTCAACCTTGGGTAATTTATCTTCATCGTCTGAATCAAGGATGGAGACAGGCGCGAAAAAACAGTTATCGGAATCGTCGGATGCCGATCCCTCCCAACCGGACCTCCCAACCAGCTCCGCCTGTAGTACAAATGTCAACAATACTGATACTTCACGACTGTCGTCGGCCTCTTTGTCTACCGTACCGTCATCATCGCTCTCTCCCAACAATAATGACTCTTCATCGTCCTCTGATACGGTGGCAGTGAAGGAGTCACAGGAAGCGGTTTACAGGAATGCGATCATGGCGGCGTTACAATATCTCAAGACCATCGAAATTGCTCCCTCCCTGTCATCCACCTCTTCCTCTTCTTGCAAGACCAGCACCGAGAATGGCAGTGGCAGAAAGTTGGCCTCTCGTGGACATGGAAGTAGACAGGAGCAGGAAAAAGGAGCCCGGGATGCTGTCAAACAAGGAAAGAGGAGGACGAGGACAAGGACGAGAGGTGCACCAGATAGGGCGTTGAAAGAGTGGTTGGAGAACTCAAGTATGATGAGTCTGGTCAGCAATATCATCACTGAGGAGTTGTTGCACGAGGACGAGGATGAGGAAGGTGAGAGGGTGGAGGATTTCTCGGTCAGTCGTGTCCTGGCGACCGTCGAGGATATGGACAGCAACAGGGACAGGAACACTGGTACCGAACTGGATGTGCAGGCGAACACCCCAGAGTTGCGGTCTCCATCCACTTCATCATCTTCACAGATGCGTCGTTGTCGCCAACTCCTCGCCGGGTCCTTAGGCCCCCTTCAAAAGTCCATTGATACTACTTTTGCCGCCCACACCATCACACAGCCCAATCTACTCCCAATCTCAACAAACACCTCGACAGAAACCCTGTTCCACGCCCTAAACTCAACCGCCGCAACAATCTCAGGCTCCTCCCAATCCCTCAACTCGATCCTCTCCCCCACCTTCATCGACGAACGCGTCTTTTTAAAACAACACATCCTCCATCTCGACAAGTTACGGGTCCAAGAACTAAACCGGCATCAGAAGATTGAGGAGGGGCATCAGCAATTGGTGAGGGATCTGAGGAGGTTTTCGAAAGAGTTGTTGGGGAGTGTGAATGAGTTGACGTGTGCGCAGGCGGCGCTGGATGAGGCGAGTGAATTGGCGTTGTTGGCGTTGAGGTGTCTTGAGAAGGGTGTTCCAAGTGGCGGTGGTGCCGGTTCGATGATGGTGGTGGTGGTAGATATGGCGGGTTCTCAACAGAAACAGCAACCAGATAATGTCAGTGACGAAAATTATATGGCTACAACGACAACCATCCGACAGAAAAGGCTGGTCGCGGCATCGAGGAAGGAACTGGAATCAAGCGGTGAGCTGGTAGGAGAATGCATCACACGGATCCGACAGCTGGCTGCAGATTGTGTTGGCATCACCGAGCTCGCCGGAAAAGGCCACCACTACCAACAATCACCTGGCACAGGAGGCATCAACGCGTCCTTTATTCACCCTGCGCTCAACTTGGTTCGTAATGCTGCCATGGATGGAGGAGAGGTTGGTGAAGGTGAGTTGCAGAGGAAAGAGTTTGCGGCGACGGTGTTACCACTAGAGTCGAAGGCGACTCCGATTGCTGTCGAGAAGTTTGTGGATGGGATTACGTTCCAGGAGTTTGAGGACCACCTTACCTCCATCCGATCCTCTTCTTCCAACAACAACAACAACAGTGCACCATCCGAATCAAACATCTTCAAGCGCACCTTTCCTTCCTCCTCCTCCTCCTCCTCCTCGGCTCGACTCACCGCCAACAACACAAATGTGGGCAGACGCAATCACCCTTCTACAACCAATACAGGCCAGTCGGAATATATGAGGAAAGTCCTCGCCGAGGATATCTACCCCTGTCTTTTAATCAATCATAACGGACGATCCCCGACAACGGCTGCTACGGTGGCAAAAAGGCAGAGTTCTGGATGGATGAGCGCCTTCCTGTCCTCTTCCTCGACACTATCCTCGGCGTCATCACCTCCTCTCCGACATGGGATCAACAACAACACAAACAGCAATGTACAAGGGCTATGGGTACAACGACTCCTGAAAGCCATGGAAGCCAACGCCTGTGAGATCGAAGCCTGGAAACATTCACCACCACCACCACCGCCAGTTACCGCAACAGGCAACACGACTACGAATGCAGGATCGATGCTGGTGGTGAACAGGACGACAACAGCAGCAGCCCCCAAGACCGCATGCTGCCTCTGCGGATCTATCCGGTCCTGCGAATTCCGCCTCCGCCTCCTCGACTCTTCCTTTTCATCCTCCTCCACCTCCTCCTCTTCATCCTCCTCGGCCCCCAACTCATCAACCATCCCTTCCTCAACTCAACCACCTCAACAACAGCAATACCATGCACTGGACAGGTTCTGTCGCGAACGGATAGTTGCCGTATGCGACTTCTTCATGTTCTTGGCACACCTCCGACAGGGGCTGTTGAACCAGCCGACGAGTTTGGAATTGTTTAGACGTGCGCTGGGGTTGAGGCAGCGGATGGCGTATGCGAGGATTGGGTCTATGGATTTGGTTGGAGGAGGGGGAAGGACTGTGGGCGGCGGTGGTGGTGGTGGTGGTGAGGCGTCGTTGTATGTTACTCGTGAGTAGGTTATAATTTTAAAAAAAAGATGCGTAGACTTGCGTATGAGAGACATTAGAATTGAGGGTCAAGTTCATGAAGCATACACACATACACACACGAGAAACGTGTCTCAACCACTCATGGAAACAACATCTCTTTTATGAAATGCAACTCGGTGGAAATTAAAAAAAAAAGTCGGTCGTTGAATGACTTATTATTATTATTTTTTTGGTTCGCGAACTTGGTGGTCAATGCCTGTCGGTTTCACCCTCAACCGCTGTCTTGGATACTTGTATGTAAAATGGATGTATCAATTGAACAAACAACACAGCACACAGCAGCACATACGCCTACAAAACTGCCCTTCCTTTCATCAAGCATCCAGAAGAAGAAGAAAGTTAGTATTGCGGGGCTATCCTTTTCTTTCTCATTTCTTTCCAGTTGCCTGTGGGTCAAAGTGACAGGGAACTGATCGTGGGAGAACATCGTTTTTACTGATCATGAAAAGAACGGCACCTTGAAAATTGGTGGCGAAAAGACCACTCTTTGCTGATGAACTACCTCTACTTCTTGACCTCTTCTTCCTCCACCTCATCACCATCATCAAAAGAACGCTGGAGGTGTCCATCCTCAGGCAAGAACTCTCTAACATACTGAATCCGCGAAACAAGCGTCGCCAACTGATTCTGGGACCGGACAAGGCTATCGCTCGAATCTTTCAAGTACCGGGCCGTCGAGTCAAGATGTGCGCTCGTCTGGTCCAGTGCCTCGTCCGTGGTCGAGAACGGAATTGCTGTCAAGATCGTCGATAGGGCCTCATGGGCTCTATCCAGTGTCTCTGGTAGTGACATTTGCTGGAGATGTTGGCGCTGGTCGGGTGATCCTTTAAAGGTACTTGTCATGTTGTGTTACTGAGGGTGTAAGGGGAGTGGCCACGTGTTGGGTACCGAAGCAGTCTGTGGAATGGATGAATGACAATGAAGCAAGAGGTTGAACAAAATGATAGGAGATTAGAAAAAGAAAGAAGGATGTGTGTGATTGGGTGTGAGATTGGAGAAGCATGGCAATGAATCAACAATTTCCTTGAAGTGGAGGAGAGAATAGAAATGGCAAAACAATGGAGTCGAAGCAAGGCCCAGAAAAGCGGGGGTCCTTCCTCCCTTGTGCGGTAGGTATGAAAGTAAAGCAAAAGAAAAAAAGGTACTCCTGATCACATAACAATAACCTTTGCTCTCCCACCCGATCGACAGGGCAATTCAGCGATTCCGGACTGAGACACATTCGCAAAAAAAGAAGGTGAATGGAAGAGTGGATGGAAGAGTGGATGAGCGAATAATGAGGGTGAAGGAGAGATCGACATAAACCACTCTTATACACCCACATGTCTCGGCTATCTATCTATCGACTGCATGTCCATTCGACAATCGAGAGTCCAGGTAGGGAGAGTCAAAGGAGTGAGCAAAAAGTAAGGGGGGAGGGGGAGGGGGTGATCGGAAATAGTGGAGCGGATAGTTAGAAAGAAAGGGAAGAAGGGAAGAAGGGAGGAAGAGAAAAGAGAAAAGAAAAGATAGAAACAAGAGAAAAACGGCAAGGCGCGGAAAAGAGAGAGTGATCGAAGACCTGAAGTTAAAAATACTCACTGATCTAACCAAAGTGGAAATAACAAAGTACCAAAGTACCAAAAGGCAAGAGAATAAAAACGGTACTTGGCGCAAAAAGAGGTTATAGTGCAAACGTGCACGAAACAAGAGCTGCCGTTGTTTGAAGATGACATGTGGGTGTTGTAGCGTATGTAATCGTATTTGTGGGATTGAATGAGCGGTGTGTCGGGGATTTTATTTTCTTGCAAACCATGGAAAAGGTAGGAAGGAAAAAGAGCATGACCCAGGATTAAACAGAAAAGAGGGGACATGAATGAACCCGCAGAGCGACTAGATAGTCAGGAGGCACCCGAACATTCAAAAAGAAAAGGGGGAGGAGTAAAGGAGAGATGAAAAAGATGAAGGCAGGTGAGAGGGTAAGCAGGGCCTAAACGTTATTGTTACCGAGAAATCAGTCCAAACAAACAATGACCTCAATTGGAGTAAACAAAAGAATGGCAACATCGAGGGGAGGTCATTGCAGGCTTAGTGCTTGGGATGCATGAGTGAGTGAGTGAGTGAGTGAGTGAGTGAGTAAGGGAGTGTGAGTGAGCAATTATTGATGTGGCCTTCCATTGGAAGAGACAGAGACGCGGTGATGGGCTTTAGTGTGTTGTAAGTAAGTAAGTAAGTAAGTAAGTGGTGTTGAGAGATAGGGATTACAAAGGAGCGACAAGGGAAAGGAGCGAATGACAGCGCGAGATTTTGAAAAAAGAAGCAAAGAACGTTCGACAGAGGAAGCTTCGAATCGACCAATTCCAATTTGCAGGGGAGGTGGGGGGGGGGGGGGGGGGGCAAAAGTGGGAATTGCGATTGAGCAAAGGAGCACCTTGCAACTTGCAAGGGTTGCAAAAGAGGTGATGACTCCACCCATTCTCAGACAGGGCGTCGAACATGGTTGTGAAAGGGAGGAGGGAGAAGACACATGTGTCCAGCCCCAGCAATAGACGTCTTTCTTGACTTCATTATCCATCCGGGTGCGCTTAATAAATACACGGTGCTTCTCTTCTTCCCTCCCATTCGTCTCTCTTTCTTTCCCTTGTCCTCTCCTCTCCTATCCTTTTCTCTTCCTCCCTCTCCTCTCCACACGTCCATCTGTCCATTATTACGATCTCCCCTACACCCTGCCACCTCCTTCACTCCGCACAGCACTCCTTCTTCTACTTCTTCCTCTTCAACCCTCTGTCTCTCACTCTCTTTCTTCACCCACACACCCTCCTCCTTCCTCCCCCTTCCTCAGTCCACGTCGCCCTGTCTGACGCCCTTTCCCTTTTCTTACACTCCCCTTTCCTTTCACCCTCTCAAACCCCCTTTCCCTTTTCACATTCAACTCAACCCTCCACCTTCCAACGAATCTTCCATTCCTTCCATCCAACAACCAACCAACTCAACAAACGCAACAAACTCTACAACAAACACAACAACAAACAAGGTTCCCTCGTCGCACTAAAGAAAAAATATTCAACAAAGGCGTGCCACTCTCTCTCCTCTACTTTCGTCACTCCGCCTTCACTCGTCTTTACTTTTTTTTCTACCTTTCTTCACTCACAACAACGACCTCTCTATACCACTCTCTCACACTCCCCACCGATTCACTCTCACGATGCGTGTTGTTACCGTCCCCGCTCTCGAAGGTAAAACCCACCCTTCATTCACCTCTTATTTTCCGTTGGGCTCATTCGCCTAGGACGAGTTGTTCATTTCTCGACTCTTCAGCCCACTGTTTTTACCTTTGTGTGTACTTGTGTTGTCAGGAACCAATTCGGCGGCAACTCGGACGTCGACAAGGAATCAGGACGAGACAGAAATGGGGATGGGAATGATGTTTGTAACGGTTGAATAGAAATGAAATGGAAATGACGAGTGGTGTAAAGAAGGAGAAAGAGAGTAAAACAAAGAGTGTTTATTTTGGTGGCCAAGGAGATAGAGTAAGAAAAGGAGCAGGAACAGCAGCAAAACAAACGACAACCGATATTTTTGGATCTTCAACTACCTCAGTTCGACACCTGTCCGTGGCTCTATTTCTCAGGAGAAAACAAACGCGATCGCTTCTTCGTGTGTCCCCGCCGACCCTTCTCCTCCTCCTCTTTCTTATCTACTACAAACATCCTTACTAACTAACCCGCATGCCCCCCTTCGAATAGATAACTACTCGTATATCATCCTCGATGAAAAGTCATCAGAGGCCGCTGTGATCGACCCCGTCGAGCCACAAAAGCTGATGCATATCCTCCAGCACCTCGGCGCCAAACTCACCTCCGTCCTCTGCACACACCACCACTGGGACCACGCCGGCGGAAATGTCGAACTCATTGCCAAGAAGCCCGGTCTCGCCGTCTACGGTGCCGATGCCCGTATTCCCGAGATCAACTATGTCGTCAAGGACAGGGAAGAGTTCAAGATCGGAAGTATTACCATCCAGGCCCTCTGGACCCACTGCCACACCAAGGGATCCATCAGCTACTATGCCCGCGATGGCAACGACCGGGCCGTCTTTACTGGCGACACCCTCTTCCTCAGTACGTCTCATGGATCTATTGCGCATCGTTATCAAATTTGTAATGCAAGGAAGGGTTCAACTGAAAAGACCATACTCATCTAACAATCTCCTCTAATAGGCGGCTGCGGAAGGTTCTTTGAGGGAACGGCGGCAGACATGTATAACAGCTTGCTCCACATCCTGGCCACTCTCCCCGTCGAGACCAAGGTCTACTGTGGCCACGAATACACTCGCGCCAACCTCGAGTTTGCCCTCCATGTCGAACCCGACAATGCGCACGTCGTCCAAAAGCTGAGGTGGTGCATAGACAATAATGTCACCATCACCGTCCCCGGCACCATTGGTGAGGAGTTGCTCTGCAATCCCTTCCTCCGCGTCAAGTAAGTCTTCTCTTTTCTTATCTATTGTCAAGCTTTGCCGGACAGAATTTGGTTGGCCTCTTCCCCCTCCATAATGTAATGCCGAAGGGAAGACGACTACAGTAACTAATCAATGTACCTTTCTTTGAACCTAATCTTTTTTTGCTAAACAGTGAGCCAGCACTACAGGCATTTACGAACAAGAGCGACCCTATCGATGTGATGCATGTCCTTCGAGAACTCAAAAATACCTTTTAAAATACCACCATCCACTCGCGCATAATAAATACACTAAAAAAACACATGGGCTTATCAAGTTGCCTCTTCATGCGGGGTGATGAATGGCCATTTTGGTCTCTATGCACGGTGTGGGTCTGTATTGTTTAGTGATGAGGGATCAAAGCAGCATGTTTGCAGATAGGTGGATAACGGCATTTTTATATTCTATGGTACAATGTGTGCAAATGCAAAAATGATAATGGAGTGGAATGGAGGATGTGAAGTGGTCTCTATGTTCCATTAAAGGAAACAATGACATTACGGACAAAAAAAAAAGAAGACAAAGAAGACAATTACTCCTCGTCGTCGGAGACATCCTCGCCGGCGCGCTTCCTCTTCCTAATGTTGGCCGTTTCAGATTCCTTGGCCATATCAGCCTCCTTGGCGGTCTTCTTGACAAACACAAAAGTCTTTGGACTCTTGTTCGCAATCTCGACATTATCACCCTGACTGACACCCTCCTTGAACCCGATCGTCCGACGATGCTCATATCCAGGGTACTGTACTGGCTTGAAGGGGAAAGAAGTCTTGTTACCCAACAATCCAGTGCCCGCCGCAAGACGCTTGATGTTCCAGAGGTCGTAGGGCAATCCTGTCTTGACTGTCACATGGATCTCGCCAGGTTTCTTGTCGCCCAGGTCTGTGTCTGCGAGGAAGGGGGTTGCGGATTCGAAGAAGGAGCGCATCAGCTTTTGATTGCTCACTACGTTGCGGTCCTGATCCTTGATACCGGCACCTATTTTATTAACAGATGGTGATTTTTTGGTATGGTTAGTTTCAATAGATCAATGGATCGTCGTGAAAGTAAGGTATGCATGGCAGTTACACATCAGCCAGCGTGACAGCCAATTGAACAGAGATCATTTGAAAGTGATCAATTGAAAGTGATCAATTGAGAGAAGATCAAGAGAAAGAAGATCAATTGAAAGAAGCAAAAGTACTTACCAGCATGGGGAAAGTTGAAGACGATCTTGGAGAAGCGCTTGCCCTTGAAGCTCTTGATCTTGCTCAGCTTTGTTGCGTCGACCTCAAACAAGACCGTGGCTCCAGCATCCTCAAGCTCCTTGACATTCTCCTGTGCATCGGGGTACTTTTCCATCATAGTCGTAAATGTATCCAGAGTCGTCGCCGTGATGATATCGCCACGGTTAAGAATCTCCAGCGCCAATGACTTTGCAAACGAAAAGTTGGCCTCTCCGATCAGGAGGATGGTGTCGTGGTTGTAATAGGGAGGTGGGGGCAGCTTGGACATGGCCTTCTTTTGGGCCTTCAGGGCTGCAGAGGAGGTGTTCCCGCTGGCTGCTTGCTGGGAGGCGGTCTTCTTGGGAGCAGCTGCGAGGGCGGCTTCCTTCATGTCGCGGATCTCGGTGGCACGTTGACGCTTTTGGTGGCCGTCCTGAAGCTTTGTCAGGGCCATCTTCAGCTTTGTTTTCTTGTACTTGGGCGCCATCCTTGGTGGTTAGTTGTTGGTGGATGAGGTTGATGGATGTGTTTGAGCTAAGTGTGGATTCAACAAACAAACAAACAACTTTTTTTTTTTTCTTTTTTCCCTTTGCCTCGCAAAAGTGACTGCGTTTCACAAATGTGTTAGCCTGCATTGCACGTGATTCGTGATAATTAGGTGGAGAAGGGCGAACGCTCTGCGGAGGGTCCTCTCGTGGTCTTGTTCGTGCGAAAGGGACAGACCGACAAACCTTCTTCTTTCTTGCGTTCTTCCTTCACTCTTGCTCCCTTGCTCTCCGTTCCACAACACAGACACATTATATTCTCATCAGCTCAACTCAACCCTCTACTCCTACCCTACACTCTCTACACTCACTAGACACATACATACAAAACACATTCACTCTCCTATACAACACTCTCTGCTGTCGCGCAACAAAAACAACACATGGAACTACAACCAGAGGATCCCCTGACATGGGACCCGCCCCAGGTCACCCGCTGGCTAAAATCTGCATTTAACTTTCCCGATGACATCCTCAAGCTCTTCATTGGTAAACGAACACTGGCATTCACACACGCTCCTTCTTCTCTTTTCAATTTCTTACCCCGCCTTACGCCTATTGTTTGACGCAAACTATGCACAGCACTGCGTTTACTGTTTTCGGATTATCTTACAGTTGCAAAGACTTCTTCTCGTGATATTTGTTGTAGAGCATGATGTCGATGGACAAATCTTACTCTCTGACTTGGACCACGAAGCCCTCAAGAACGAGTTCAATATCGCGTCGTTTGGAAAACGTTGCATGATCCTCAAGCACATTCAGACCCTCCGAGGTATGTGAAGCACTCTCAAAGGACAACGTGGCGGGGAAAAGAGTAGCACAGAGCTAAAATTGTGAACTGTGGCACCTTCTTTTCTCTCGTACTTTCTTCCATGGATCACACAGCCCCTGTCTGTGTTCTGTGTTCGAGTTGTGTGTTTTGATATGGCACGCCGCTTGCTTCGAAAGTGGCTAACCTCTTTGTTTGACACGATTTTTTGTCGCCAAACGGTGTGGTATTTCGAAACTATCATGGAAAGAACGCCTCAGTCTAATAAAGAATTGTTTTCTCAAACTTTCAGGGCAAGCGAACCAGACAGTAGACTCGCCTTCAGGAGCACTGGAACATGATCTGGAATCTCTACGACTGTCCGAGTTAGTCGCCACTGCACCTGCACCTGAATATACCACCACTACTGCTCGCCCAGTTACCACACCCCTCGCCGAAATCGGCAATACCCGACTATCAGAAAGGAGATTTCGTGATGGTGCGCCAGAGTTCAAGAAGATTCGCATGCTAGCTAAACCACTACGACTTTTGTTCGACAACGAGCTTAATGTTCACCAGCGATCGCCGTCATCTCGAAAGAAACGGAACACATCGAACAGAAAATCTATTCGGCACTCTGACGAGGAAAGTCTCTCGATTGGTTCCTCTGATGATTTCGATGAGGATGATAGTGACCATGACAATGAAAGCGACGTGGACAGCAACAGCAACAGCAGTGGCTACGACGACGCCGCGAATCAAGATTCCGACTGTCAAAAACATCAGTCGCAGGATGAGGAAGACGAACCATCGGCCACAAGGTTGCTCGAGAGAAAAGAATATGAGCCATTAGCCGCGAGGATTCTCACACAGAAAGAAAACGAGTCTTTGGCACAAAGGCTGCAGCAACAGAAGAATCTGGACCAAGGCAAGAACAGCCCATCTCTCGCTCCTCCGAATCCCATCAAGCCGTTGCCCCAGTCTGGAGGGTCAAGGTCAGGTCCCGGGCCAAAGGGGGGAAGCGAATCAAAGTCGGGGTCAGGATCAAAGATTGCGTCCGGAACATCAACGACCAAAGTATATATCACAAACGGACATGTGTCAATTGTAATTATTTACAAGCATAATTACTAATATCCTCACAACATCTCGAATACGGCTGTAGATCAGGATCACGCCAACACTTGTCAAGCCTGGAGTTGCATCATCGCCACCAAGCACAACCCATCATCCCTTGACCCTTCTTTCCTCAAAACCACATACAGGATCGCCCTCGGAGACAACAATCAAACAATCAAAGGCAACTAGCAAGAAGGCCCGCAGGATCGAGTCAAAGCTTGCCAAGATTGGTATGACGCTACAAGACATCTTTTTCAACAAGGATGGATCGGCATTTGACAGCGATGATGATGACAACTGGACGGTGGTCAGGCCACGCGCCGCTCGAAAGAAGGAGCTGTGGACGTATCAGAAGGCTGTGCAGATCAACATGCGGCGGATCTTGAGGATACCTCCTATCTTTGAGGCTCCCGGACACGTGGTTTATTCTCCAATGCGCAAACCAACGCACAAGGATGTCCCTGTTCGAGTCATCTCAACCGCACTATCTCGGAAAAACACCACTGGTATATCACTGGAGCTGTATTTGAATTGGTCAAAGTCATCTATCATCGCTTAAGCATCAAGGTTTGACACTTCTTTCCTAATATAACGATGCTCTGCTTATATCCTGTAGTGAGATCTTCGACATGGGATGCGATCTTCGGGGACATGCACAAGGACGTATACAAGGACGTGCACAAGGACCCGACTCCGCAGAGGCTCACGATCAACATTGGCGACCATGACCTCACTTCGATCAACTTTGCTGCTTTGACCAAAGGACCCAACCATACCCCGCCATCTGTGAATTGGGCAACCGGCAAGGATGACGACATTGTATACCCGCTCTATGGAGATTCCGACGCTTCCGAATACACAACCGACGAGGAGCTGTACAAAGAGGTGGCCAAGGAAGAGAAAGAGCTTCAAGAAAAACTGTCGGGACGCGTCAAGGTGCCGGCGTCCAATGTCAAGCTTTCCACCGGCGTTGTCAAGGAGATTGCTCGGATCTACATCTCGGACCGGAAGGAGGCATGGGCACGACTGGAGCGCCCTAAATTGGGCCGAGCTGCTAGGAAACTTGGCAAGACCCTCGGGAACAAGAAGGACAGGCAGTTGTACATCGAGCATCTGAAGGCAACCATCGAGGCACTTTCTCAAAGGCGGCTTGCTTCTCTCTTGGAGGCGATGGAGAAGACCTCTTATCGGACTGCAACCGAGGTGCGAAAGGCGTGCAAGGCTCTCGACGAAACAGTCGACTCGATGTGCCATGAGCAGTGGAAGCACGACATCCTTTGCGGGACGGAGCCGATTCCAGACGATGTGCAAAACTCTGACTCTGAAACCAAGCCATCGCCTATCAGTCCAAAGGTTTGGCAGGAGCCCAAACGAGACCATCCTTCCGCGAAGAGTTCCGGCGAGACGGCCAGTGCAATCGATACAGACGAGGAAACAGAAGAACGAAGGCAGCGGGAGCTGGACGCGGCTTTCATCGACGACTCCAACTATGACGAGGGCAGCCATGCCGACATTGACAAAGATGGATCGGAAAAAGACGCGGGTGGCGACGTCAACATGGTTGAGACACCACAACGTCCGAGCGAAATGCCCTCCACTACCTCACAGCACCTTACTCTGTCCAAACCAGCGACACCAACCTTCCGCAGTGTCTCCGCAACGCCCAACGCGCGGTCTCTCCCAACACCGCCATTTACCGCCACCTCACCTCAGGATCCTCCACCACTCTCCGATTTGGATATCGCCGGAGACGATGCTCAACATCCTTCCGACAATGATAATGACGATGGCAACGTCCAAGACGATTACACCTACCGTAAGGCACTTCTGGCGAGACGCAAGGAATCTAAGAGGGCCAAGAAAAGGAGATTGGCTAAAAATAAGGCTCAGGAGGCGAACCGGGCCGCATTGCCTATATACATCGACTTGGATGACGATTACCTGAAGCGACCAGATCGATCAATCTCGCCGTCAGAAAAAGCAGCCAAGTTCAAATCAACCCATAACAGACAGCCACCCAACGCGCCTCAACCCTCAGTGAAGCGGGAATCACGTCCGAATGAGGATCAGGATGGGAAAGCGCAGAAGAACCCCAATCCTACAGGAAGTGCTTCGCCTCTGGAAACCGATAGGATTCCCAAGAGCCTGGTCGCGGTCTCATACCGATACGACGACGAAGATGCTAGCGTTGTGGTTGTCCCTCAGCCAGCGACAAGTGTCAAACCCATGAAGCGACCCAAATGGCGGGAGGAACTCAAGAGTAGCGGTATGACTGACAACAAACTCCTCGCCAAACTTCGTGAAACCAGTAAGAATGCGCGCCTCGGGTAAGTAACACTCATCTAACACAACATTAACAAATATGCCAGTTTCTTGGCGCTTGCGGTCCAATATTAACACTTTAATTTCTAAATGACATAGGATAAACGTTGTTATGGAGGAGCCATATATCTCTGCGTGGCAGGAGTATATCGAGTGGGTCGAGCTCGACGGCGGAGACAGCATCGAATTGAAAGAGTTTCTGGCATGGAAGGACGAAGGCAACACCACACAGATCTACCGAGAGAAAGCGCGGGAAGTCGCTCAGGCCCAAGCAGTAACCGACAGAGCAGCGGCACTAAATTCAAAGAAGGAAAAGCAGACGCAGGACGAACAGGACGAACAGGAGGCTCGAGACAATAAGGCCAAGGAAATGAATGGGGAAAAGAGAGCCACTGACATAGAGGAACGGTCGTCAACGTCGGAGGGCTCGTCGCGGCGGCTAAAGGGAGGAAAAGGAAAGTCTACGACAAAAAGACCATCCTTTACCTCCCATCCCGAGACCATTACCATCGAATCTAGCGACGATACCGACTCCATTCAGAAACGCCTGCCTGTGGCATCTCGCAGATCAACAACAAAACCAAGAACGGAGTCCTCATCATCAACATCATCGTCTCCCGGTCCGGAACGGCCTACCCGCAAGGAACTTCAGGACTTAACTGAGAGCGATACTGCATCCGAGAGTGCGACGGACAAGGAGGACCTGGACGCTGAAGCTCGAAGGCTGGAAAAGAACCTCAAGAAGCGACCCCGCGCTGCCAGGAACCATTTTGGAGACGGATCACCCGAGGTCTCGAGTGGTGATGACCGCATATTTCAGTCGCAACCCAGGCCCACACCCAAACGGCGCAAGGCAGTCATCGAAGATGAAGCACAGGACGTTCGTATACTTCGCTTGAATGCAGCCAAGAACGAGGAAGAGTACCAGAAGCGTATTAAGGACCAGGAACAACGCGCCAAGATCCGCGGTGCGCCCAACCCACTTCTAGGTGACGAGGTTCTTATCAACCCTGGACACAAGAAGACGGAGCGAGCAGTGATCATCCCATCTTTCCTGACAGTGAATCTGAAGCCCCATCAGATTGATGGGCTACGGTTCATTTGGAAGAACATTATCATGTTTGATGGTGGATGCATTCTGGCTCACAGTATGGGTCTGGGGAAGACTTTCCAGGTGGTGGCGTTTATCTATGTTCTATTGACAGAGATCCACTCAGGAAACAAGGACATCCCAGCAAAGCTGCAGGTAATTAATTTCATGTCCGCTTTGTGTGCTTTGCAGTATTCGCTATTTGCTCTGTTCAAATGATGTTGAATTGTTCAAAATCTTAATATCTCTCCTCGTTTTATCTTTTGATGACTCCACTCTAGCCTGGTCGGGTACTACTGCTCATGCCCCCTATCGTGTTACAGAACTGGGCCGACGAGTTCGAAAAGTGGATCCCGCCGCAGCGCCGGAAAGATGTGCTCTTATACAAGTTTGGTGAGCTGATGGCGAATGTTCTTTCTGTGATATTATGACTTGCGCGTTTGCTTCTACTTCTATGGGCTCTCTCTCATCTAACGTGCATTATTTGCCCCGCTCTTTTACTTTTAGCACCTAATAATACGAGTACAAAGGAGAGGATCAGGTTGCTAGAGAAGTGGCATGCGGATGGCGGTGTCTTTCTGATGGGCTATACCATGTTCCGAGAACTCTCGGTAACCACCAAGAGCAACGCTGCGAGAAATGAAGACACCAGCAATCGATTCAAGCACCTTCTGCTCACCCCTGGACCTTCTTTGGTCTTTGCTGATGAGGGACACGCCATCAAGAACAAAAACGTATGGCGCCATTCTTTTCAATTCCTAATGCGATTGGTTTCCACAACTTTGCTTTTTAAAATCTCGGCTAACCCCCATTTCCAATCCACTTGAACACTTGCTCGATAGGCGAAACTCTCTATGGCTGCAAAGGAGATCAAGAGTACCGCACGAGTTATCTTGACGGGCTACCCACTCCAGAATCGCCTGGAGGAGTACTGGTGCATGGTGGACTTTGTCCGCCCAAAGTTCCTTGACGACATTGGAACCTTCCGCTCACACTACATCCGCCCCATCAGCAACGGACTCCATTCTGACAGTTCCGAGCTGGAGAAGAAGGTAAACTGCCTGCAAATTCCACTTTGGTGGTGTTGTTGTTTTATCTTTGAACGTTGCATTTCTGTGAAACATTCCTAATTCAGCCTCGCATATTATCCATGCCTATCTCATCGATAGATCTCATCCAAGAAGCTGAAGGTGTTGACTGAGCTCATCAAGAACTTTGTCATGAGGAAGGATCAGTCCATTCTGCGTGCCTCGCTGCCCAAAAAGTACGAGTTTGTGATATCTTGCAAGCTGAGTACGTTACAGTACTACCTGTACACGCAGATCTTACCGACGTTCCCTACCAATGGCACCGCGAATGTGTTGGGTAATGGACAGCTTCTGCTGACCATCTGCAATCATCCTGCCGCCTTCAAGGCTTCCACAAGGGATATTTCTGCCAAGAGTGCGAGCACCTCTGTCAAGGCTTCCCCGGCAGAAAGCGATTCTCCATCGACCACCCTCAGTACTTTGAATGGCACTATCACAATCCTGGACGACAGTGACGAAGAACCAGGAGAGAAGGAGAAGGAGATGGCGGAAGCACTCAGGTGTGGTAACAAGTCAACGATTTGCGACTTTTGCAAACCCCAGATCTCTCGCTGTCGTATCTAACTCGGCCTGATTCTTTGCTTTTACCTGATAGTCAAAACAAGGCGCTCGCTCGAGGGAGCTGGTTAGCCGAAATCAACCAGAAGAGTACGTTCTAAGCTCTTTGCCACTTGTTAATGGTAGTAGATGCCCAAGGAGACGTTTAGAAAGTTAACGATGGAAATACTTTTTTTTTTTGGCATTGCGCGAACTAGATATCACGGATATTTCTCATGGATTCAAGGTCAAGATTGCGATTGACATCATCCGGGAGAGTCGCGCCATCAACGAGAAGGTGCTTGTGTTCTCCCGCAGCATTCCAACACTTGGTATGTCCAAACGAGCGATACTCCACTTCAACCCTTCCATGTCTGTGCCTGTTCTTCTGGTTTTTTTTTTCTTAAGAACTGACATGACAGATTATTTATCGATAATAGATTTCCTTGCGTACACTACCGAGCAAGCTGGATTCAAATCTATGATGTTGGATGGATCCACGCCCATTCAGGTATTGCGACCTTTGCTTGCTATGATGACATTTTTTTGCCTTGTAAAAGCAGGGACTCTTTTTAATGATCCTTAACACTTTTTTACCGTTAACCTTTTTTTTAGGATCGGCAAGGGATGATCAACGACTTTAACAGGAACGACTACGATCTCTTCTTGATTTCCTCTGGAGTAAGTACAGGACCCTCTAACACGCACAATGGGACAAGCGATGATGATATCAATGATAGTACCGTTTCCAGCTTCAAACAATAACCACAAGGGCTGTTTTTCCCAATTTTTGTAGGCTGGCTCTCAAGGAGTGAACTTGGTCTCGGCCAGCCGCGTTATTATCTTTGATGTGGGCTGGAATCCAAGTCATGACGAACAGGCAATCGCCCGTGCTTTCCGCTATGGCCAGACCCGCAAGGTGTTTGTTTACCGACTGCACACGTTCGGAACCTGGGAGGACAAGCTGTACAAGACCAACCTGCACAAGCTGGGACTGTCCAACCGAGTTGTAGACAAGAAAAACATCTTCCAGGCCCACAGCAAGACCGAGATGAACATGTACTTTGAGCCTCCTCCCATTCCTGCCAGCAACCCCCAATGGGTGACTGAGGAGAACGTTGGTGCACTCTTTGACAAGGTGGACTCTGACGATCCGGTACTGAGATCGGTTATGCAGAGGTAAGAACATATTTGTGTAACAATTTGGCTAATTGATTTCCTCCTCCAAGTAATGGTCAGTGCCTTTTGACTGACACGTATGCCATTTTTCTTTTTCTCTTGTTGTGAACAGTAATAAGGAGCAAATCACGCATATTGTTCCTCAGAGTGAACTCGTGCGGGAGGTGGACTCTGACTTGACCGAAGCCGACATGATTGATATCAATAGTATGATTGAGGAGGAAGAGAGGCGCATCAAGTGGGCCGAGGAAAATCCTGGAGTACCGTGCCCACCCCTGCCACCAATGCAAGCAGCTGTAATGGGCTTGCTCACGACACCTGTTGTCACTGGCCCACAAATCCGACCACCTATGCCACATTCAGCCATACTTCCACCAGGATCGACTTCTGTCCCAGGGCCTACTATGGGCGCCTTTCCCACCGCTCAGTTGAAAGGTAGTTACCAGCATCAACAACCTAACATCCATCGCTCACACCAGACAGTTCCTCGTGGATATCAGTCGAATTTGATGAGCATGATGCCCCAGGTCGCTTCGAGCTCTGCAACACCAGCGCAGGGCAGCTCACAAAGGACTACCATCACTATGCCGATCTCCTCTCTACCAGTGGGACGTGCGCCTGCTTCTACTTCACCAGCGGGACTGAGCGCTCAAACGGCTATTGACTTGAGCAGTGCCGCGGAATTCCCCGTCTACCACAGCAACAATAACCTCGCCGACGCAGGACGACCTGGACTCGGCATTCAGATGCCCTTTACGAGTAACAGACCGTACGGACATGGCGTGTCTGGAGGCACCAACCTGTGGAGCAACGGGAATGCAGGTCTACCCCAGGGCCACAACGCAGGAGGAGGATCTGTGAGGCACGGCTTTGGTGCTGGTGGTATTACTGGTACCATTGCTACTACTACTATTCCTCCTACTGCTACTACTGCTTCCGCTGTTACTCCACAACCTCCTTTAGTCGGACGGACGACGACGGCCTCTCCTGCGTTACCTACCCCCTCGCGTCAGGAACCGGCGCCGGTGCCAGTGACTGCACCTGGGCCTGAGTTAGGGTCGTTCCAGAGTGTGATCCAACAACATCAAAACGGTCAGCTGGAGCCTCTCAATTAGAGACCTTTAGCACCAACGGGGCATGCCCCTTGGACGTTTTCTTCCTTGCCGCTACCCACATTTGCCCTCTTTCTATATTCCTTCTAGTCTTTTCTTTTCCCTTGCGTGTGTACCAATACAATTATGTCTAGATGATGTACTCATATTCTACCAAACATATGTGCTGAGGAGGATTGAGGGATAGAATGTAGAGAGGATGGGATACAGACGTGGTATATATGCCATCATCTGCAAACAAAAAAAAATGTCTGTACTATTTTTAAAAGAACCGATAGACAATGGGCAAATAGCCCTTCAATCGTCAGAGAGGAAACTCCTGCATCAATGTTTTGTTGTTGTGGTAGGTTTTTGGTGGTGTCAAACACGGAGATTTCTTTTCTTTTAGCTCGGACCTTTTTCTATGATTCTTTGTCTGTTTGGACCTGAGTGAGAAGAAGAAGAAGAAGGAGCTACTCCCAGGTCTCCTGCCCCTATTCTGTGTCGCGATTTCTTTCCCGCACTGGCAAGAATGAGGACACATGGATCGGTCCCTTATCGAAGGAGTATGGTTTGTTCTGTTGATTAGGAAGAGGAGACTTAGAAGGGGAAAAGAAGGTGCACAGTTGATCGTCTGCGTGCAGGAAGCTTCATAAAGCTCATTGTGATGTTTACCTGTGGCCATAGCGGACAAGCAACGGAACGAGAGTGCATGAATCCATAGTGGGGGTTGCCAGGGCGGATCCTCCTAATCTCAACCCGACGGTACATTTGATTTACCCTAAAGCTCTTTGGGGGACCATTGGTGAGCATCCAGACTCCTAATGGTTTCCCAGGCGTAAAACAAAACAAACAGACGTGCTCCTTGTAATGACTGACACTACTTATTTATCCTAGACCAGAAGGGAGTCGGTCCTCTTCTCCTAGCCCCCTCTCTTTGGCCCCTTTCTTTCTCTTTTCCTCTTCCTCTCCCATGTTCTCTCTCTCTCTCTCTCTCTCTCTCTCTCTCTCATTCATTTCCTCTGTGTCCTCCAAGGTCTCGCACAATCCCTGTATCACACTGAGCCCTTGTGTCTCCGTATCTCTCTCGTTCTTTTCGCGCCTCCGTGCTCATTTTTTTTTCATCGGCTGGTTTTATTGCCTTGACACAAGAACACTGCCATGGTTTATGAAAGGGGGGAGGGGGGTGCAAGGAGGACGTAGAAGAGGGGGGACATCTGCTGTTTGTCTTGCTACTCTCATTGCGACAATACTAGTTCTTTTTTTTTGGGCAAGTAGTTGAATGAGAAACGGAGTCCTCTAGCCCGAGCTCCTCTCTTTTTTTTTTTTTTGCGCCTCCATTGCTCCTAGTTGTTGTCACACCTCCTCCATACTCCCCTCCTCTGTCTCTCTTCGTTGACTACCTCAGTCTTACACCCCTTGTCCTCAGGAACATCTCCCTCGTCCCCAGTTCGAATTCGCCATTATCCGTCAAAATAAAAGGGAGTTGGGTTCATTTAATTGGCGAAAGGGAAAAAAAAGAAAATATGCAACACGCATCCATTGGACCACCACTTTATTTCTTTTACTCCCCTTTGGTCGTCGCTTTCTTTCGACAGTTGGATTATGAACACCAATAACTTGCAACAAGAAGGTACATGGATGTCAATTACATTTTGTGGGATAATTTGGATCACATGGAAGAAAGAAGGGTGTGTGCGAGAGTGAAAGAGAGAGAGGCAAAGGTTGTAGGTAGCCTTTGGTTTGTAGTTGCATTGTAGGAGGACATGGTTCCCCTCCTGGGACACTACTGTTTGGATGTACTGTACTGGTTCCTTGGTACTTTCATCTCTCGTCGATTGCATTATCCCATCCCTTTCCTTTGTTGTCTGCCCCCTATTGTCCTGTCCGATTGCACACTGACCATCCGAGGCAGCAGCACCCGGATCAACATCCACTAGCCTCACGATCGTTTCTTTTTTTTCGTCACCGCTTCTTTCTCTTTCTCTTTCCTCTCTTTCCTCTCTTTCCTCCCTTTCCTCTCTTCTCCATTTCCCTTCCTTCTCTCCGTCTTTTTTCTTTTCCTCGACTCGACTCCTCTTTCCTCCCTTCTTCTCTTCCTTTCGTCCCCTCCTCTCCTCTTTTCATTCGACTCGACTCGAACTCCCTCTGACTCCTTTTTTTTCATCCTCTCTACTCAACGGTTACCGATTCAGTTCATCGATCGTTTCTCTTCTTCTCTCCTCTCCCTTCTCCCTCTCCCACTCCCTTTTCTCTCTCGACTCGGCCCTGCAGTACTCCTCCTCCCTTTTCTTCCTTCTCTCTCCTCCTTCTTAACGTATCGACAACCAGCTCCTTCTGCGACAATGTGCTATCCGGCGTAGAACAATCAACACAACGCTTTTCTCTGCACATTTAGAGAGAGATTCCATTAACAAATTGCGATTTATTGCACGTTCGTGAGGATCTCTTGGCAGGTACCTTTTACCTGATCAGACATACTAAGGTACGGTACCCCGCCTGCAAGTAGAGAGAAAGAGAGAAAAGAACAATGGACGATTGCGTGCATAGAAACCCCTAGTGGGTTACAAAAAGGATATGAACCATTTGTACATCCGTGCATTCGTCTCTTGTTGTGTTTGTTTATTATCTTATCCCAGCGAGACAATTAACCTTAAGGCCATGGTGTCGCCTCTTCCTTTATTTCTGTCCTTCTTTGGTGCACACAGCGATCGAGTACACCATATCGACGTGACGGATAAAAACGACAAAGCACAGCACAATACAATACAATACAATACAATACAACCATCCAACGGTCCTCTCTCCTCCCCTTTTCCCCTCTTCCTCTTTTTCTTCCTTTTCGCGACATCCATCTTATCCACCATGACCTCCAGTCGCGGTCGATACAGCCTCACTGCCCCCACCCGATCCCATTCCTCTCCTTCCACCACAACTATCTCTCACCCAACATCCTCCTCACAACAGCAACAACGACCGAGTCGAAGAGATCCGATTACCATCACCAAAGGCGCCGGCTCCTCTTCCATCTCTTCCGCCATTTCCAATTCTTCTTCTTCGTCTGCCTCTTCGTCTTCATCATATCAATACCAAAACCACCATGAAATCCCCAGCGCCTTCCGTCGATCCATGTCACCCATCGGTGAAGCTGCCTTTGCCATGAGGAACTTTCTTCGACGCAAACGGGGAAACACCTCCGACGGCAATAATCACATTAGTGTTGATATAGAGGTAGCGACCCAACAGCACCAACAGCAGCAGCACCATCACCACCAGCACCACCAGCGTCCTTCGTTGACGATGCAGTCATTTGTCCTTGTTGGCGGTGCGGATACTACCACTATCTCAAAAACAGCGGCGTCTCCAACAGTGATCTACGATATCGACACGGGCTGTTTCTCGGACCCCGAGTCTATTCCCGTCTCCAGCTCCGGCTCCAGGTGTCAGTCCCCCGTCCCCAACATCAAGACCTCCAACCTTTCTTCCTCTTCTCCATCGTCAGCCAGCTCCACCTTCTCACAGGCCATGAAGTCCCGTTTCGGACGAGAACGTAACCCTACCAGTCCAATCACCCCTACCCCTACCCCTACTAGCACTCCCACTACCCTCGGTCGCTCAACCTCGTTCCGTCGCAGTCGATCTCGTAACCCTTCTGCCCCTGGTCCCGAAACAACATTGTCCAATGACTCAGCAACAGGAGGAGGAGGAGGAGGGACAGGGCTATTGGCGGCGACGGCGGCATCGATGCGCAAGAAGCTGAACAGGAGGTCTATCTCGGCTGACAATCTGCCCTTCTCATCCTCCTTACCGTCGCCTTCTTCGCTTCATCGTCCTCCAAAAACTAAAAGGCGAGCGCAGGCTCAGAAATTGGCTAATGCACAAGGAGGAGCGGGAGAAGTGGGAGCATGGGGGGGTATTTCAATTGGAATGAAGGATAGTCGAGGGGCAGGCGGGGGAGGACAAGGAGGAGGGACCGTTGCGTTTCAGGATGCGCGAAGTGGTGGTGGTACTCCTCGGCAACAACAAGGAGCGAATAACACCAACACCGAGAGTGATGGAAGGCGTAACACCAAGAACAACAGGAATGCTGCAGCAGAGACCCTCATTCGCAGTATTAACATCAACAGCAGTCGCGACGGTGACGATGATGACGTGGATCCTATGGATGGTGGCGATAGTACTTCGAAGAGCGACGATTTGTCGTCGTCCGTTGATGCTGCAGACATGTTCACTCCAGTCGACAGGTTGGAAGATGAAGATAAATACACTACCACCAGCTCTCGTGCGGCAGAAACGAAGCGTCTTCAGAAGCAACATAAGATCAAGCTGCTACAGCAGAACTCAATCGAGTTCCTCTCGATCGAACATGCGCGGAGCCGACCTCACGAAGTACTCTCGCACTCGAACCCACCGGCCCGGTCCCTGTCCAAGATCCTACGCCGGAGAAGCGATTCAACTCTAGTCTCGTCCGGTATTGGTAGCAGCGCGGTTGCCAGTCGTAGTTGTGTGGCGTTGAATACTACCCTGGCGTTGGAGGATCTTGAGAGGGAGATCGATGCCCTCAAGGCCAAGGAGGCACTGCTCCAGGGTAACGTTGCTTCATTCTCTGCCGTCGATCACAAGGCCAAGTCGACGGATGATTGTCGCCAAAGAGGGCTAAAGTCACCCTCTCGTCGAGAGGCCAAGATCTTGTTGGTCTCCAGCAGCGCGCTTCCCACCCAGTTCTATGACTCAGCCAAGACCCGCAGTGTCCTCCGCACCTACCTGACCAGTTCGGGGCTCGAGTTTGACGAGATGATCGAGTATGGGTTCCCATCCGAGGCCTTCATGAACGACGATGACGACGATTCCAACACGCGTTCCGAGGACCCTTCGTCCTCTCAACAGAAGGCAGCGGCGGAGCTGGTCCCAAGTTGTCGGTTCCTGACGCTGAGAATCACATTGACACCCTGGCATGCTCGAGCAGACGAGTCGACACTCTATGGGCCCGCGACGACCATGGGACGTCAGTTGCAATTCAAGGCGATGGTCAACCGGTTCTTTTCGAGGACGGGTAACACTACGACCACTGTTATGATGGGCACCCCTCTGTCATCCCCGTCGTCTTTGACCCTTGTTGGAGGAACTGGAGCGACTACTGCACCCAGGATAAACCCCAGAACTTTGTCTACCAGCGTCTCCATGTCGGCGCTGGATACTGCTACGGGTAGTGCTAGGGATTCTTCGACCTCTCGTCCACCGAGTCGTGCAGCCGAGAGCCGCAACACCAGTCGTGCCAACAGTCGTGCCAACAGTCGTGCTAGCAGCCCCAGACGAGACAGGTCCAGCCCTCCTTCCTCCCACCGCGGCAGCCCTGCCGCCACCACCGACCATCCTTGTGGATCTGTTAGCACTCCTCTGTCGCCGCCGCACACCCTATCACCCAACTATGTATCCTCTCGTGTGCCAACAATAACAAAGGAAGGAGATCATTCGCCCAGAGTCGGTCGTCGTCTCTTCTCGCCCACTCCGTCATCACACTCGATGATCCCACTACCAGTTGGTACTAGTAGCACGTCTCAACCTCCCAGGAAGGGCTCTCTGTCTGCCCTGTCACTCCCTCTCGGTTCACAGCAGCAGCAACAGCAACAACCCTCTTCATTGACCTCGTCGTCAGGGCATGCTCCTATGGTCCCTCCTCGTCGCAAAGGCTCCACACCCGCCTTGTTTTTCACCCCTCCTCCTCCTTCCTCGTCAACCCCCAGTCCCAGAAGTGCTTCCTCCTCCACAGATCGAAAAGTCTATCCATCCCCCTCAACACGAGCAGCACAGACCTACGGGTTCTCCGCACCCCCTCGACGGCCCTCAGACCAGTCCGATACCATCAGCACTAGCCTCGCCTCTGCTCGCGGGTTGAACAATAGCGGAAGTGGTGCCAGATATTTGCGTGAGAAGGCGTCGTTCGATACTGAGCAGCAGAACAGGAGGCAGCATCCTCGGTACCCGCATTCTATCCATATCAAGCAGCAGCAGCGGACTGGTCCGTTGTCTCCTTCCACTCCTTCTCCTTCATCCAACAGTGGCAGTGGTAAAAGTCGACAGGGCAGCCATAGTCATTTTCCTACCCTTGACCACCACCAGCAACAGCAACAGCAGCAGCAGCAACAGCAACACCCTATCTCGTTGCCGTTTTCGGAACAGGATTCGGAGGAACAGATCTATGAATGCTACCATGTTGCAGGACTCGACAACATCTACAGGAATACCACCTCTCGAGCTCAGCCAACCGCGGAGAAGAGGATTCATCCGTTTCAGGATGTTCCTCACCACTCGTCTCAACAACATCAGCACCAGCATTCGGCGCGGCATGAGATAAAACTGCTCCATATCTCGGCACGACGTGATGGAAAGGGCGGTGATGAGGGTCGAGGAGGCCAGTTGTCGTCGTCTTCGGCGATGCCAGGTGGTGCAGCTGAGCAGACACCCCTATCTGCGGCCCCTCCACGGATCCAAGCCAAGAACCAGCGTCGACGCGGTGGCAGCTCCTGCGATGGCTCTTCAACTACCACCACCACCACCACCAGTCGCAACGGGCCAACAGGAGCCGCTGACCGTGACCGTGTTCGTCAACAGAACTATACCAATGTTGCTATGAAGAGGGAGGAGGGAGAGATGGATGAATGTGAAGTCCACGTCGGGGATCGCAGCTTCGATGGCGCACCGCTTGTAGATGGATCGGAGGATTTGGATGAGGAGGAGGAGGCTAAGGTTGCGGCGGCGAGGATTGGAGGATACTGGCGTCCGATTGAGTGTCACCAGACGTCGACCATGAAGACCTTTGCTTTTCCTTAAAACGAGAAGGGAGCGAGGGAGGGGGAGGGGGAGGGGAGAGGAGGTTTACGTTTTTTTTTTAATGAGTATGAGGCTGGGTGTGGTTATGATTGATCATGATAATGTGTATTATGATTTTGAGAGTTGGCGATGATGCCCCCTTTGGAGTTTTTTTTATTGTTTATAACTTTTTTTTTTTTTTCCTTTTTATCTTCGTGTTTAACACATAAAGAATGATATTACATCCTTCTCTTTTCATGACCAGTACACATACCCCAAATGTCGCGATAAAGGAAAGATCTTACAACATTGACGAGAGGGGTAGATGAATTGAAAACAAGTTGTCACTTGCGACGTTTTTTATATATTAATTGATGTATGCTGTTTTGTTGTTGTTGTGTGTGTGTTTGTATGTGTTATATACTTATATACTTATCGCGCTATTTGAGCGCGTAGGAGTAGGTATACCAGCCAACGGGGGCGACCGACGATGGTGACGACGACGACGATGGACGTAGAAAGAAAAAAAAGAAAAGAGGAAAGAAAGACTTAGCGAGTCTTGATCGAATCCGCACGTCCGACGCCATCCTCCAAAGCCCTCATGGCCTCCAACCTCCTCATGCGGGTCTGGAACCCACTCCTCCACTGGGCAAGATGGCTCCTCGCATAGGCGACCATACAGAACCAGAAATACAACTGGACCAGTCCCAACGCCACAAACGCCGCTATCCACAACCAAGGGTTAACGACCAACCAGCCCGGGTGGTCCGGGTCTGGTTTCAGGATCGATTCGATGCTTAGGATGGGCGCATGGGAGATGAAGGAGGGGTCGGACGTGGTAGCAGGGGTAGAGGGCAGTTGGAGTCGGGTCCAGGAGCCGGTTTGGGAGTTGTTAAGGGCTAGCCAGGAGAGCATGCAGACGGTGGTGATGAGGACGGAGCAGAGGAGGTAGAGGGCGTGAACGAGTTTGAAGATCCGGAGGGGGATTCGGGAGGGGATGGATTTGCCCGAGTGGTAGTTTCTGCTGGCAAGAATTCCGACTGTGATGAGGCCTAGGGCTGAGATGCTGGTTGCGACAAAGTATGTGATTGTGAAGGCATAGATTGGGCTCATTCCGACTATTAATTAGACGTTGGATGTAATAGAAGGAGGAGGGGATGTTGTTAGTTGGAGTGGATGTGGACGCAAAAGGAGGTAGGTAAAGGTTCAAGAGACGTATTGTTACCCTCGTGGAATTGACTGGCTTGGAAGAGGATGGCACCGAGGGCACCGTTGTAGAGGAGCGAGAACTTGAAGGCGAGGAAGGTGATCAGCCCAGCTGGGAGGCATCCACTAAATAATTATCAAGGGGTAGAGAGTTGGTTAGAGGACGTTGGGACACGAGATGTGCTCACAATAACACATGCATGCAGGGTTCAACAAGACTAAATAAGAGCACTTACCAGGGCCGATCGATCCATCGTCCTTTACCCTTCTTCAGGATACTTCCACCATCCGACGACCCATCATCACCATACGGGTACCCCTGCGAGTTGTTTCCATGGTAAGTCACAATCTCCAACCTCGCAGGTGGTGGAGCACCACCAGGACCGTACTTCTCCGACATAGACCGCTTCTTCTTGAACACCTTCTCAAGCTTCTCGCGCTCCTCGTTTGTCATTTCCTTTTGGGGTGGAGGAGTCATAGCCGCCTGTTGGGGTTCGACAAGAGTTGTGCTCGAGCTGTTCTTGTGGTTGTACTTGTGGTGCACGGGGATTACTTGCGACGACCGCTTCAACATCTGCTCTTGACGTGAGAGACGGGTCTGGGAGGGGTGCTGCAACGAGACAGGTCGGGTGGGTTCGTTATGAACAGCAGACGAATCAACACGAACCTCGACCTTGGCGGCCTTTGAAGAGTCGCTGCCGTCGAGGTCGTCATAGTACTCTGAGGCACCGGTGCGATAGTTAATGGGGACACCGTAGTCATAACTGCTATACCGATCATGTCCATGTCCTAACCCCTGTTTCTGCCCCAGCCCATTGCCACCAGTATTGTTCTTCGCGGCGGGCCCGTCAGGGTGATACGAAACAGGCCTTCTACGCTGTTGCTGGGAGAACTCATCCTCCTCACCAGAGATATACCCCTTCTGCTGCCTCTGCTGCTGCAACCCCAAAACTGAAAGGTTATTATTAACATTCAACAGCACACCCTCAACCTCATCAACAACCATAGTCTCATGACCAGAATCGTACAACGCAGACCGAGAATCGGGCCGCTTGGGGATGGAAGGAGGGACAGGGGTTGTAGACCGTGAGGGGGCTAGGAGTGAGGCTCCGTGCACGGCTTCGTGGTCGCGTTTTCGGAAATCGCTTGGGTTCAACATTTCGTCATCTTGGTTGTAGGGGTGGTGTTCTGTGTATGCCATTTGAGGTGGTTGGGTTGGTTGGGTTGGTTGATTGTGTTGTTGTTGTTGTTGTTGGTAAGGGTGAGGAGGTAATTGCTGCTGTTGCTGTTGTTGTTGCTGCTGAAGATAAATCTGATGCTGTTGCTGGTGCTGAAGAATCTGATGAGGTTGAAGATGCTGCTGCTGTTGAAAGTAAAGTTGCTGCTGTTGCTGGTGCTGTTGGTCAGGGATATGAAGAGGAGCTGGGGCAATTTGTTTAAGACGAGCAGAAGAAGTCGAGGTCGAAGGGGGAGTAGAAGAAGGAGCAAATGTAATAGGAGAAGAAGAAGAGGGATGGGGAGGAGTGGGAGGAGGAAGAGGAGGAAAGGTGGTAGTTCGAGTCAAATCCTCAAGATACTGACGATCTTCAAACTCCTTTAGGGTCTCGGAAGAACGAAGGATGGGCTGGATGTGGCTCGTATCCATACTGCGGGCTGGTTGGGCAGGGTATATGTAAGAAAAGGGGGGGGGGGATAGAAAGAGGAATGGGGCTGTAGAAGGGGTTGGGGATGACTACGGAAGGCTATGGCTATGGCAATGGCTATTGTAATGGCTGACTCGGCTGGCTATTGCTACAAAAGAGGGTGGATGGAGCTAGAAAAGTATAGAGGCACAGCCGGAAGGAGAAAATGTATAAGAGAAGAGACTGTTTGCTAAGGGGGGATGACTAGAAGAGGAGAGGGGGGTGGAGGGGAGGAGAGGAGAGGAGGGGTTGTAAGTGCAAAAAAGCGGGATGAAGAGAGAAGAGAGAAGAGAAGAGAGAAAACAGAGAAGAGGGAAGAGGGAAGAGAGGGCGGGTACTGGGCGCAATGGTGCTGGTATTTATGTCGGCGATGCACCGACGAGGGTTACCCTTCATCCGTAAGAACAACGCGTGGGTGAGTGTCTCTCTCTGCATTGCTTTGGAGAGAAAGAAGAGGGCGCGTAAGAAATGTTGCAGATAAAAAATGGGCTGAAGTAAGGAGTCTGGACTGGGCTACTTGGAGAAGGAGGAGGGGAAAAGAGTAGGAAACACAAGGGTCGACGGAAGGAAGGGGTAGCAGAGAGGAGGGGCAAAGGTACATCCGTTGATAAACTTCTCCCGCGATGGCGAGTCGTTAACAAAGAAAGAGGAAGGTTTCTTTGCACTTGTGTGTGTGCAACAGCAGAGACTACTTCGCATCGCGACTGATTTTATTTTCGGCGCCATGGTTTCGCTTACCCTCTTTTTTTTTCCTTTCTAACAGGTGGAACGTGTGTCCTTTGTGTACTGTGCAGTCGATGTGTATGCACACTCGTCGTTGTTTGCCACCCTGCAGCATAAAAATAGAAAAAGAACATGCTACTGTGTGTATTTGTTTGCCATCCCTCAAATAAGAAAAAGGATCGAGAGGAAAGGAGCTCAGGGTGATGCAAAAATAACTTTTTTTTTCAGACCCAGTCATGGTGGGTGCGTCCATCCCCTTTGTCCCAATTGTTCCTGGACGCCCTTCTCCCACTCTCTGTCTTTTCACACACTGCCACACTGCCACTGCCACTGCCACAACTACAACAACATACAAACAACACAATCAAACACAAACAAACACTTCGAACAAACGAACTGGGAAGAAACACCATAGAAAGACACGTCTTATACTTCTACTCGAGTACCTTCATGGCGCCAACATAAAAGAAAATAGCTCCGCTGTTTACAAAAAAAACGGAAGAGAAAGACAGACGAGTCGCCCTCTTCATCTTTCTTTTTTCGCTTTTTTTTTTCTTTTTCATTGTTGATGTGTGTGTTTAGTTTTCTGAACTGCTCAAGTTTACTTTCAAGTTCCAACCCGCTTGTACAACCGTTGCGCCCTATCTTTTTTTTTTCCTTGTGTCTTTTCCTCTTGCCATACAACTGTCGCGACCACCTCTTTTTCCTCTCTCTCTCCCTCCCTCCTCCTCTTTTAGCCATGATGCAGGCAGCAAGACACCCACTCGTCAAACTCATCCAGGTACAAACCGGTTTACAACCCCATTTGCTGTTTACTCCACCAACACGGGACTTGCACACGAATGCTTGAAGGGGTTAAGGGATATGCACCATTTCACATACATTTTTGTTCTCTTGAAGAGTAGACAGGACGAGTGGACTGTCGTGCTATGCATGGATTGATCGTGCCTTGTCATTTTTCGTTCGCTTCTCGTATGCTCCCTGTTTTCGTTGGTCTTATTTTATTTGTCGCTCCCTCTGTCAACAAGTACTGGAAACGTGGAGGGAGGGAAAAGACGAACAAAGAAGAGACAAAAAATCAAGGCCGCGGGTGCCGCTTTTCCCCCACGTCAAGAGAGAGATCAATTGACCGTTGGTCGAATGACAGAAAAATCAGACATGAGAGTTGTGTTGAATGGGCGCAGCAATCGTCAACAGTCAGGATCGAACATTTTTTTTTATTTTGATGTGAGGGTTTGCAAATGGTAAGGAAACAAAAAAAAACATAGATACAATGGGAGGAAAGATGACACAGAGAGAGGGCGGTAAGATGGACACGAAGGTTTGGGTGTAGTCTGGTTCTCTATAGGAACACCTCTGCTGCACGGTAAACAGGCGCTGTGAATGACCGAAAAAATCTCTGAGGCCTCATAAACAGCAGAAGTCCATGGTGTCTAGGTCATGAAAGATGGAGTGTAAAAGTAGAGATGAGAAGGCTTAAGATCGCGGGACTGAAAGAAATGGTGGTATGATTGGAGGTTTGGTTGGAGGTTTGGTCTTGAGGGAAGTAGTGCTTGTGTGTTGGCTGGCTTTTGGTTTTTTTCTTCTTTCGAAAGGGACGTCAGCCCCGCTGCTTTCATATGAAGGACTCCCTGTTGAATGCGTTGATCATCGCGTTTTTTCTTGACAAAAGGGACATCCATTTTGACCTCAGTCTCCTCTTGATCGGCAGGAGACTTGGCAGGCTAGCATGGACGATATACTTCCTGGCTTCCTTGTGCATTATCTCAGAGACCTTGTTGGCGACGGGAAAACCGAAAAGAAACGTATGTGGGAGCTCGTTGTTGTCATCACTTGTGCCTTCATCATCATTGTCGTTGTCGCTGTTTCAGTGGAGCAAGAGTGTTCGGTCATCGCACATCCTCCACTTTTGAAGGTGGGTTGTTGCTGGTGGTGCTGGGTGAGAATCTGATCCAACAGTAGTTGGGCCTCCAGCAATTGAACGTAGTGTGGTGACGACGTTGGTGGGGATCGTTGTGGTGATGTTGCTGTTGCTGAGGTAGACTGGTCGAGAGAAGATTTGTACCGATGAGGGGGGACCTGGGAAGAGGAACTGGCAGACATGCACTGTGGCGTCTTGTGTGGCAGATGATCGGTATCGTCATTAGCGGCGTCGCTGTATCCAGAGTCGTCGGGTGAAGGCAGCGACCATGTTTCATGTACATTCTTGAGTCTCTTGGAGGTGTGGACACACAATTCGGGCAATGTGCCCTCCCTGGGTGTTGCTCCTGATTGCAATGGCTTTTGTGCTGCTGTTACTGCTGTTGTTGTAAATGTAGCTAGCAAAGCTGGTGTTGCTGTGCTATGTGTTGTATCGTGTCGTTGATTGTTGGTGTATTGGAATGAACAGCAGCGGCGGGCTTGTTGGCTGTTGAAAGTGCTGTCGAGCGGTGCAATAAAGCTGATGCGAATAAAAAAAGACGACAGTGTCTCCGTGTCTGTAGATACTGGGCTGGGTTCAGAGCTTTGGCTGAGTATGGCGAAGGTTGGTGGCGCAAACAAAAAGAGCAAAAGATATACTCCCTGGCGGGGAATTGAACCCCGGTCTTCCGCGTGACAGGCGGAGATACTCACCACTATACTACCAAGGAAGGTACTTTGTTGTTTACGTTGATTTAATAACATTTTTATTCCAAATATGACAAATAACACGTGACTTGCATGGCACCCTTCTTACCCCCACCCCCCCCCCCCCCCCCCAAAAAAAAAAAAAGGGCTTCCTGGGGCTTGTGTACTCGACAATCCGTCACCATCAGGCCTGGACGTCACAGAGGCGGGTCAAGAGGGCGATCCCTGACATCGAGGACGTGGAATGGAACTCGACCTTGGCTTATGTCCACGACAGGCACGCAGTCTTCACCTTTTACAGCAACAGCAAGGACTCCCATCAAAGAACACATCACATCAAAAAGCTGCATGGAATGCTGCCCACTCTGAACTCCATGCAGGCTCGCAAGCCCAACCTGTACCCAACATGCGTGTGCCGACGATGCGAGCTCGAGAAGGAGGATAACGATCACGTCTGGAAATGCCCTTCGGCAGCTGAGACCACCACTGAGATCTGGAAGGAGGCCATGGGCAAGATTAATGAGTGGGGTGTGCAGGCCACAAACAGCTACAACGCAGCCAGGAAGCGGGAATACAAACGCGCGGTGGACAGAGGTCGTCAGGTACCGAGGCCAGTACCCATACACTGGTGGCCCCCTTCGGATGCAGATCATGTACGAGGATTTTCCTCCATCGGTGGAGCTCGAGCCGTGCACAGCGGTAGTCCAGCTCTCGATCGAGACGAGAAACCGATATGGAATGTGTCGGATCTCCTCCGCGGCATCACCCCCTTGAGCATGTTGACTGAATGGTCCGCGGTCTTCCGGACCCCAATGTCCATCGCCAAGACAGTCCTTCACAAGTTTGTTGGCTACCTGGAGGCGCAGGCCTCGGAGCTGATCTGGAAACCTCGGTGCTCCGCGACGATCGCGTGGGAGCAGACCCAGGGCATCTCTGCCAAGGACAAGACATCCAAGTACACAGGCCCCCGAGGTGACTGGAGTCAAGGATACGGTTACATCACGCATGATGGTTTCTGTCCGTGTGGCGCTTCGCTAGCCACACATTGTGAAGGAAGGTGCCCTGGGGCGACCAAGGACCCACGCGCTGCTGACGAGCGTTTGTTGGAGAGTTTGTTAGGAAGGAGGAGGTTGTCAATGATGGAGAGGATGGGAAGAATCCCCTTCATTCGTATCTAGTTTTATTTTCTTCCGTTTAAGCTGTGAAGAGCAGCGACAATTGTTGCGCAGAGCCAGGTTCTGGACCGGACTGCGACTGGTGGATGGTGCACTGAAGAGTTTGGTCTGTAGTTCCCTTTTACTTCCAAATAACTTCTCTATGCTGTTTGTCAGAGAAATAAAATTGTGTACGAAAAAAAAAAAAAAAGGGGCTTGTGTACGAAAAGGCTTCCTGGGGCTGATATCTCAACTGCAAGGTTGCCACTTTCAAAGCTGATACCAAAAACTACGATCTAATGATGCGCGGTGGACAGAGGTCGTCAGGTACCGAGGCCAGTACCCATACACTGGTGGCCCCCTTCGGATGCGGATCATGTACGAGGATTTTCCTCCATCGGTGGAGCTCGAGCCGTGCACAGCGGTAGTCCAGCTCCCGATCGAGACGAGAAACCGATGTGGAACGTGTCGGATCTCCTCCGCGGCATCACCCCCTTGAGCATGTTGACTGAATGGTCCGCGGTCTTCCGGACCCCAATGTCCATCGCCAAGACAGTCCTTCACAAGTTTGTTGGCTACCTGGAGGCGCAGGCCTCGGAGCTGATCTGGAAACCTCGGTGCTCCGCGACGATCGCGTGGGAGCAGACCCAGGGCATCTCTGCCAAGGACAAGACATCCAAGTACACAGGCCCCCGAGGTGACTGGAGTCAAGGATACGGTTACATCACGCACGATGGTTTCTGTCCGTGTGGCGCTTCGCTAGCCACACATTGTGAAGGAAGGTGCCCTGGGGCGACCAAGGACCCACGCGCTGCTGACGAGCGGTTGTTGGAGAGTTTGTTAGGAAGGAGGAGGTTGTCAATGATGGAGAGGATGGGAAGAATCCCCTTCATTCGTATCTAGTTTTATTTTCTTCCGTTTAAGCTGTGAAGAGCAGCGACAATTGTTGCGCAGAGCCAGGTTCTGGACCGGACTGCGACTGGCGGATGGTGCACTGAAGAGTTTGGTCTGTAGTCCCCTTTTACTTCCAAATAACTTCTCTATGCTGTTTGTTAGAGAAATAAAATTGTGTACAAAAAAAAAAAAAAAAACCATCTAATGATTGTGTAATTTATACAATGTCGGTATTTGAAAATGAATGTGCAGTTGGAGACAAAGTAGGGTGTCAAGATTGGCCGAGATTATATTTTCTAAAATGTAACAATAACACGTAGTGCTCTTAGCCCTCCGTCCTCAAAGTTCAAACACCCTCAGGAACAGGACACCTCCACAACCCATGCACCGAGAACCCCGTTCCAATCAACATCACATCCCCCCCTTCTTTTACTCCACCAATACTATTCCTTCTCCTGTACAATGCTGCAGTCGTCGCCGTCGAGATCCCACCAACACCCCTCCCACTATCCTCCAACACCGTCTTGACAAGGTATCGATCCTTTGGCCAATCTCCGACTCTCGACAATGAAAACCATGACGCCGACGACCTCTGGAATGGATGTTGTTGACCGCAGTTCCTGGTCACTTGCACCACCTTTGAGGCACTCTGTATGGGTGCTCCCTCGGGCTCGTTAAATCCTGCGGCGAGTTCAAGGACCTTTGAGTGCCCTGCGACTAGGAGTGAGTTCGTCAGCGTATCGTAGAAGACGTTGTCGTTGACGAAACCCAGTTTGACGGACTCTACGAATATCAGGCGGTTCTTGTCCTCAACTGTTTTCTTCATTTCTGGAGATGAAGTGTCAGCATAGCCGGGATGGAAGATATCCAAGGCGCCACCGTGAAAAGCCGAGACGTAGACGAGGGTTCGATTCGGGTTGGCGGTGATACCGTTGGAGGACGCGATGCCGTTGTACGCGATAAATGTTGCCTCGGGAGAGACAAAGACCACATCGCTCCATGGACGGCGGCCAATTCCTAAATGTAATTGTCAATGTTTAGGGTGAGAAAAAAAATGGATCAGAATGAATTCCCACGCACGTTCTTTTGGAGAACAGACCACGTCTCCCATTGTTCAAAAACATACCTTCAACATGGCGCATGAATCCCTCTTTGTAATAATGATCATTCGTGATATAGAACGACATCTTCCCCATTGCCACAAGATCGTTCGGTGTCCTGATCAAGTCGTTAGCAATCGTCTCTATATATCGAACTACACCCAGCGATCCGCTACCATCGTCCTTTTCGTCCTGCTTGCGGGTGTACTCGAACACTTCAACAACACTTCCAGTCCGACGGTGGTTAATCACGAACAGTGTCAGCGCCAAACTCTTCGTCTCAGAAGTAAGGGTGGTGGGGTCCTCGTAAAAGTCCATCCCGTGAAAGACTCGGTCCACATCGGCAGGGAACCCTACTAGGTCCATCGATCGTGCAACCTCATTCTACACTCGTAAAAAGAACAAAGGAAAGCATGAGAAATAAATTGATAGAGTGAACAAACAAACAAGCCAGGCAAGGACAAAAAAATGTTTTTGATACGGTACAGTTACCTCGATATCATAGACAACAAGAACATCCTTCAACCACCCATCTAACCTCGGATCTTCCCTATTCAACCTCACAGCGGGAGGGTACCAAACCTTCCTTGACTCGACATCCTTCGCACACGACGCAAACGCTAGCCCACTCCTCTGGTGCACATGCACATCCTCACACCCCTCCAACCATAGTGTCTCTTCCCTGCCCCCTTCTTTCCCTTTATTGTTGAAAGAAAAGGCGACAGGGGTACAACCGTGGGAGTTGAGACTGGTGATCTCGCCTTGGAGGAGACCCAAGTCGTGCACAAGGTCGTGGGCAAAGTGGACGATTCCTGTGAGGTAGGATGCTCCATAGGCCACTGCGATGCCGAATAGGATTGAGTTTACAGTTGAGCTCGTTGTTGAAGATGTTTTTCTTTTTGACCTTGGCGGACGTATCCTATTGACAGTGGATGTCATCCGGCTTTGATTTTGTGGGTGGAAAGGGTTCTTAGTGTTTGAAGAGCGGTGGATATGATGGCGAAGAGGGCGTGGGAGCGTGTGAGAAAAATGGATGTGAAGTGGTGAAGAAAGAAATAGAAGAAAAAAATGGAGAGAGATCAAGCGAGAGGTATTCTTCGTTCGTCTGGATTCACTTGCACTGTCGTGACTAACAACACATCTAACCCCTTTTTTTCGTTAACTTTCGCACTACGTGGATTCTTTACTATCATCTCATGCGTTTATTGTGAATGGTTGGTAGCAAAGACAGAAAAAAGATAAAAAAAGAAAAAAAAGAAAAGAGGCAAGCGCAACGCAATATCGTACAAGTGGGAGTGCGGGGACTGTGTGATAAAGTACAATCACTGAAGAAAAAAAGCAGTAAAAGAAAAAAAGGAAAGCTAAAGTACAAGGTTTGGTCGTGAAGGAAAAAAAGGCGTGAAAAGATGGAGGTGCTTGTGTTTACGCGAAGCGAGGCGGCTTCGCGCTGGTATGCTGTGGAACAACGGTGTCGCGTTTTGCGAAAAAGAGCTAAACAGACAGCTGTGATCGCACTTAAAGTGAGTGAGAGAGAGGGTGAGTGGGTTGTCATAAGATGTCGTAAAGATGGTGTAGGGTCATTACATGGGCTCCTGCTTAACAGCATGCCCATTGCCGGCAGGAACGGCAAGTCCCAGGCCGGCCACAACCTCGGCGCTCTCGCCACGCTTCTTGCGGCGGCGGACAGCATTGCCCTGGTTGTGTGTGAGGGATCCCATGCTGCGCTTCATGGGTCCATGGCCATTGGTGGCGCCAGTTCCGAGCGAGAAGAGATCCTCCTCGTCAAACGAGCTGTCGTCATCCATGGCTCCAAGAGGGCTGTGCGAGCCTTCAGACTCGGACGCAGAGTCTTCGTCGCCAGACATGACGCTCGTTTGGCGGTATGCATGGCGGTTGTAGTGGTTGGATTTGGGAGATCCAAGGCGAGGGGAAGACTTGAGACTCCTCGTGGGGGATCCCTTAGGGGTGGCATAGCCATGGGAGTGGTGGTTGTTGGTGCTGGCAGGGTGAGGCAGGGACTGGCGAAGAGAGTACTGCTCAAGACCAGAGCCAGGGAATCCTCCAGGCATGGTACCGCCACCGGGGGCGCCAGGAAAGCCGGTAGGGGCCCAGCTGGGCAGACCATCGCTGTTCTGGGGGGTCATACCAACATAGCGGAGCTTGTCCATCCAGTTTTCGGCCTTATCGACAGAGTCTTTGAAGATGGATGAAACCGAGCGGAGCATGTCCGAGGACTCGTTGGCAAGGACGAGGACGCGGGCAGCGCGCTCAGAGGTGTCATGGAGAGCGGCAATGTCATCAGCAGAGCGGTCAACGGGTCCCAAGGAGGGAGATCCGACAGGGGTAGAGGGGACCGACTCGTTGTTCAAGGTAGCCCAGCGGACGGGCATGGAGAGAATAAATTGACGGACGCTGATCTTGGCGGGGTCAGGAAGGGCGGCACCAGCATACCGGGAGACGATGCTGATGACTTTGCGAAGGGTCTCAACGACCTCTTTCTTGATCGATGCCAAGGTGGAGGCTGCCGTTGAGGGAACGATCTCAGTGTTTTGAGAAGATCCAGCAAGGGAGGCGAGGAAGGCGCGGAGCAAGCCAATCTGGTGGTCAATGTGCTGGACGGCGTACTGGAGCCATTGAAGGCAGTACTTCAAACTCTTCATGCTCTCCTCGCTAAAGATGGCGACACCGGCGGCGGATGCCGAACCAACGGACGCCACGACTCCCTTCCAGCCAGAGAGCTGCTGCTGAGAACCAGCGGCACCCTGCGGTCCGACTTGCTGTTGCTGCTGCTGCTGCTGTTGTTGCTGCTGGTATGGGTAGGATTGTGAGGTGGCGAAGTGGAATGAGGATGTCGACGAGTTGTGTGACCGCTGAGCATCGGATCTGTGCTTCATCGTTGCTATTGTGTTATGTCAATGGTTTGTGGGGGTTAGTTGATGTCAATAGTAAGAATCCAATATGTATAGTGAAGAGGAAGAGTTGACTAACCATCTTCGTGGCGGGTGCTGCGGGAGCGGAGGACATCAAAGCTAGGACGGGAGCTGGCAACAGAGGAGGTGCTGTCGATGCTATCGCCGCGTGACCGGTGGGCAAAGTAGTTGTTGGTGCTGTAGCCCGAGTCTGGGCGGTGGAGATCATTGGAGGATCTGGCCGAGTCGGTGGGCGAAGGAAAGGGCTGGGCATCGGATGTTTTTGGGTAGACCTTTTCAAACTAGAAGGAGGATGAATCCATATCGTTGCACATGCAGGCATGCAGGTAAGCAGGTGAAGAAAAGAGATGAAGAGGGAGGGAAGAAAAGATGTACAATGGCATGTGGGTAAGTAAAAAGAAAGAAGTCGGTCAGGGGAGCCAATAGGAGAATAGATCGTCCAAAACAAACAAAAATAAAAAAAGAAATGAACGTAATAATGTGCATATCTCAGATATGAATGCAGATGTCGCGTATGAATTGCGTGTCAATGGTGTACCTTATCGAGCTGGCGGCACGCGAAATCGTCAAGTTGTCCAAGCTTCGGCTCGAGTTTCTCAAAGACCGGCTTTGACAGGGACTTGACACTCGACTCTACCATCTCCGCACCATACTATGTCGCAATTGCAATTGGTAGTAGAACAAAGGATCAATATAAAGGTCTGGCATACCATTTGAAGACGCAACATCGGCATTGGCACATGTCCAGCAGCGATAATTACCTTCATGACTTTGCTGTTTTGCTTGGTGTTCTCATATGCCTTGAGGGCAGAACTCATAGCAGAGTTAACGAGGGGGAGGCTGGTCATGCGGGACATGAAGGGACCAGCAGGGGCCGATTGTGAAGTCGCATCGGCACGGGAGGCATTGGCCATATCACCAAGGGCCTCTGCAGCCAGCTGCTCAGCAGAATCTGGCTGGTTGCTGTTATCCGTCATAGCATGGTGATGATTATGTTGGTGATAGTTGCTGTCTTCCATATCGGATGCTTCGCTGTAGCCATTGTTGTTGTTATAAAAGGCTTGTTGGCGATGACGGCGGTAGGATTGGTAGTGAGAATCAGACTCGTCACCCGAGTTGAGGTCAAGGGGATCCTGGTCGAGATCGTGTTTGGAGTGGATGTCGTTGTCCGAGTCCTGTTGGCACAACTGCGATATGGACATTGGCTGAGCCTTGGAGTGATCCTTGGCTGTCGGCATCATTTAAAATGTGAAGCGTGATGCTTTGATGGTTCTGTTGTTGATGTTGTAGTGGCGGTGTGGAAAGAGGGGAGGAGGGGAGGAGGGGAGAAGGAGAGAAAGGAAAGAGGAAAGTGTTGATGTTAATGCCCTGTTTTTACACTCCTATGGGTTTCTTTGATTGTTTATGATGTGTGCCGAGAAATAGCGACAAGAGTGTAAACAAGAGCATATGCCAAATAAATTCCTCCGTGTTGTTGGGACAAGAGAGAGTGCGAAGAGAGGGGAAGAGAGGGAAAAGGGCGAAATGCAGATGCGGACTGACCGCCGTTTTTAATTATCACGCTCGAAGGGATAACATGCTATTCTTCTGTGTGTTCGACCAGAGAGATAAATAGTCAATGAAGAGAGAGCATGGGGATGTGTTGTGTGTTGTGTGTGTGTGTATGTCGGTTGTTGCTGAGTGTTTGTTAGAAAGCAGACGGGTGGAGGTGCAAGTAAACGTGCGTGTTGGAAGGGAATGGATGTAAGGATAGTAGTAGAGGTGGTCCTTACCTATAGTGGAGTGAAGAGGAGGAGGAGGAGTGGTGGTGGTGGTTGTTGCTGCTGTGTGTGTGTGTAGAACAATGGGTGATTGTGAGGGCAGAGAGAGTGAGGGTGTGTATGTGTCTGAGTGAGAGAGAAGGAGGGAGTAGAGGTGAGTGTTGGAGGGAAAGACAGAGAGATCTGATCGAGTGAAGGAAGGGAGGAAAGAAGAGAGGGAATGCGAATGGAGAAGAAGAAAAGGGAATGGGAGTGAGAGTGATGGCAGTTGAACAATAGAGAGAAGAGAAAGAGAAGAAAAGAGGAGAGAAGAGAAGAGAAGAGAGGGAAAAAAAGAGGTCAACCGAGAGACACCACAAGAAGAAAAAAAATCCTTTGGGGGTGGTGCAAGAAGGACATGGGTGATAGATATGATGGGGGTTTGAGGGCATGGATTGGAAGGATCATGCTCTGATTTGATACTATTCCTAACACCTTTTACACGGGGATAGCACAGTAATAGCGTGCTAGTTGCATGTCGATCATACTTTCACATGGCAGCCACACACATACTATTCTCTCATTCTATTCAATTCAGCCTTTTCAGCTTCAGCTCTCAGTTCAACTTATCTCTCTCTGTCTGTCTTTTATTTCATATCTTTGAAAAAGGGGGAACGAGGGAGCAAGAGGAGGCGACATGTGGATCGCACACAACTCCGCACAAGCACGCACACACAAAGAAGCAAGGGGTTCAGTAAGCAATCGCTCGGATGGATGTGATCCTCCCTCGCCAAATGCCCTACACGTGCCTGGATACCCGATATCATCATCGTATCAGTCCTTTCGAATTGATATCACAAATCAAAAATATATTTTGCCTATTCAATCACTCTTTTGTGCACTCAATCAGTTTCACTCCTCTGATCATCGGTATCTCTAAACACGCTCATGCCCCCCTTGTCCTGTCCAGGTCGGACACCCCTATTGTTTCTCATCAGCATCATTCCCTTCTTCCGATTCCACCCTTTCCTTCTCTCCTTTGTTCTACGCTTTCCTTTTCTTTCCTTCTTTCTTTTCGTCAACCATCCCACAGCAGAACAAAAGAGAGGGAATGGCGCAATGATCGAACAAGAGATACAACAACAAAAATGCTAACACAATAGTGTTGTGGAGGAGTTTCGATAACCTTCAGCCGAAGAAAAAAAAAACTACCTTCTCTTCTTCCGCTTTTTCTATCTCTATTTCTTGTTTTCATCCAACCATAGATGGTACCTGACCTGGCCTGACCTTTTTTCTCAAACCCAGCATCGGTAACCTCTAAGAGGCTTACTCACACTTCTCTCGAGGCACTGACCAGATAGATCACTTATTTGGCTTAACCCCCTCTTCTCCTTTAGCCTCATCCCCCGAAGGTGAGGAGAGGATATTTCAGGCAATAGGGATTCACACCGATCTCCGAACAGGAACATCGCTTTTTTTCTCTTGCTGACTCCCAAACAGGTCATCTCTCTCCCCGATTAGCTACTTGGGTTCATGCCTGTACTTGCTTGCTTTGTTTGGTAGAGGAGCGTGTGTGCCTGAAGTTTCTGTCTGCCAATTGAACAAAGTTTTCTGGGTCTCGCCAAACTACCTCCGGCGAGTTCGACCCAAGAGACTTGCAGAAAACGCATTGGCCCGGCTGAATTCTTGTTAACACTTCATCGTGTTTCGTGTCTTTCCTTCTCCACCACACCTTCTCCACCACACCTTCTGTTGTTGTTTTTTTGAGTTTTGCTGTTAATGTGTGTTGATGCTTGTTTATGGCGTCGGTGGTATTAAGCAAAAGCAAAAGAAATAGAAATCACCCCTCTCTTTTTATTTTGAATTTAGATCGGACAGTAGCCATTAGATTGAAAGAGATCGGTGGTGTGTGCCCAATGCCCTGTCTCGACAATTAATTGACACCATGACAAGGGTTGTCAACAAACGCAGCATATCCAGGCACAGTTTCCTATTCGTCGATTGTTTTACGCGAATTAAGTAGAGCATGGCGAATTGTCGAAGCTGGGACACTCGCACGCTGGCACGCTGGCGCAAGGTAGGCAAAAAGGCAATCCCATGGATAACTGCTGTTGTTTACAGTCATATATAGTCAGCAAAGGCACCATATTTTTTCCGCGAATGAGTATTGATTGCTAACCGGAAATAAACACCAGCACATGTACTCAACATTCACAATAGACAGACGACCAACAATACACCTAGACGGACATGATAGAGCAAAAGGAAGCAAGCAAGCAAGGGTGTGGATGATCCCTATTCCGCTTATTACGAAAGTGTCAATGGTTTGCATGTTCACGCTCACGCTCATTCACACATAGACTCACGCGCCCTTGGCTTGGCCTCTATGTGAACCCATTATCCATTTGAAAGTCCAAAACAACCTGTTCCTCCTCTTCCTCCACATGCCATTTCGCTCCACGATCACAGAACGGTTGGTTCCTTCGAGTCAGAGTGTCACAAAGCTGACAAACAGACATGCAACTCACTCCCACACACACTCAACTAAACACTAACAATAAAAAACCTGTATTATCATATCCTTTAATGTGCTGGCGAATGCAGACCCCGACCGAGCATATTTTTTACTGTAGAGCTCCACATTGGCAGCAATAAACTACTGTACACAATAAAACACACGGAACATGGCACACGGCATACAAAGACGGCGCCTTACACGCGCCGTTTTGAAGCGGAATGCTCTCATCTCTCGTACAGAGTTTGTTAGAAATCTAACCTGTGGCTTACATTTTCCATTCTTCATTCTCCCCACAACATACTTGTCTCCCCAGGTGCCGTTTTCTCCAACCTTCAATTTAGGGCGAAAGGAAGCGCAAATGAACACAAAAAGAGCAGTAGGGCAAGTAGAGAAGAGATGGGTCAAAGGATGAATGAGAAAGGGTGGGGCAGAAAAGAGCCGCGTTGCTCCTCTGTTGGCATGACCGTCTCAAACTGTAACCTTGACAACAAGACTAGGAAATAGGAACACGGGCGAGCGAGCATAGTGAGGACCACCTCATTTTTTTTCGTCAGTTCCGAAAACTATGCCAAAATATCTCCACCTACGCGTGCGGCTCGGCTTACTTGGTGTTTTGTGTTGGTCCTCTAAGATGCAAGAGCATGATGGGAAGAACTCAAGAAGAACCTATGGGGTTGAGTGTTGAGCTGCTGCTAGTCTGTGCCTCCTCCTCCTCATGCGCAATCCTTTATTTTAGTTTTATTGTTTTACCATTAGGCTCGTGTCTGTGTTTTGTTTGTTTGTTGTTTGTTTGTTGTTTGTTTGTTTGTTTTGTGCTTCCTGTACTTTCTGGCTTTGCTCCACATCCGCAAATCCATGCAGTCAGTCGACCTTTTCGGGTATCCTATCCCTTTTCCCACTCCTCCTTCACCCACACGACTTTACTTCGCGAGATTGTTACTGAACCTCCGTCTCCTTCACTCTCGGTCTTCATTCATCCCCAAACAAACCGCGGGCCATAACTAACAACACCCGGCTAGGAAACCCTTTTGTAATGATCAGCCAACCTTCTCTCATCCATCTGCCCCACTTCTTTCCTCCTCTTCACCGCTTCTTTCTCCAAAACTTCCATCTACAGCACATGCACATTATGTACAATTGCGCGTACTCGACTTCTCGTACCGCCCTTTTTTCCCCCCTGACGCTTCGGTAGGCAAAGCCGAGCGAGTCATAGAAAAAGTCCGCTCCGCATAGTCCACCAGCAACATAGCAACAAAGCATCCGTACACACCACCCCGGTTCGCACGACATAGCAAAACTCCGAGGCGAACTCAACCTATATATTTGCTAACGACGGATCCTCCTGTTCATCTCTTCAACGATGATGAAGATTGTCCACCGCTTGTGATTATGCGCGCTTTTCTACTTTACAGCACAAGAATATTAGTATGCTTTTTTTTTTCTTGGTTTCCTTCCATACCTCAGATTCGTCCACTTTTGCATGCCTACTACCCCTAGTGCTCAGTAAAGGACTGTGTTAAGAAGATAATAATATAACCCACAATGTGAAAGTCTAATCCCCCTCCTAGTCCGCTCACCACCCACACGAGTCAACGAAGAGACCGCCCCTTCTCCTTCTTACTTCGTTTGACCAATCCAACCATCTTTTCCGCAAACCTGTGCGTGAATGTGGGTTTTTGTTTACATGCAATTATTATTTTTTTCCTTCATTTTATTAGTTTATTGTTTCCCTTCTTGCTTTTAGTTCACATGCGGTTCATCCATCCCATCTATCCCATCCCAAAACGTGCAAAGAGATATCTGATTGGTTCCTTGAACTCTAAACAGCGTTTGACCAACATATCCCGACTGTCCCTAGTCCCTTGCTGCCTTGTTGGACATGTGTTTGTTGATCCCCTTGTTCCTTTGCTCTTTGTTCTCTGGGCAATGTCGTGTTGACCATGCATAGAAGAAAAGGAAAGGGAGGGCAAATCTATTGACGGACTTGGAAAGTTCGAGTGATTGGATACAGGGTGAACAATAAAACCAAAGGCGAACGTCGAACGACGATAACATGAAAAAAAAAAGTAGATAAAGGATGATGTCATATTGCTAATGGATGGTATGTTTCGTAGATTGAGGGCTACTTCATTTATGTTTCCATGGCACAGAGAATTCTTTTTTTATTTGAAAAAGAAAAAAAGGGAAGAGAGAAGGAATATTGTACAAATGGGGGTTTCTGCCAGACGAAAAACAAAAATAAGAAAAAAAAGTGACTCAGTGAAAGCCTTCAAAAAAAAATATGTTGCCTGCCTAATCCAATAAAGGGACGGACATATATCAAATGGGTTGCTGGAGGCGTAGAACTAAAGAAATAAGAAAAAGAGAACATAATGCTACAAAGAACCGAAAGCTGCGATGAAAAAGAGAACCGAGTCCTCCCGATATATGTGCTTGTCACATCCTTGAGTGGTCCCTGTTATCCGTTGGTGGCGTTGGTTGTTAAAGAGGTGCTTGAAAGGGATGGAGTAATCAGCTCCTGCCCTGAAATGTGCGGGTTTACTTCCTGCCAAAGGTCAGAGGGGATCCAATGTCCTTGCCACGAAGCTTGACCCCTAGTACGCGCTCGAGCTTTCCAAGAATCTGCTGGTTTGGCACGGCCCTTCCAGCCTCATAATCGTTAATCTATCATCCACCGAACAAACACAAATAAGAACGTTAGAACCATTGTACAGGCAAAAAAAAATAACGCTAAATCATCATTCTCCCATCCACAACCACTAGTAAATACTTACGACAGTCTGCTTCTCGTTGACTTTGACACCAAGATCCTTCTGGTTCAACTTCAACTCAATACGAGCCTTGGCAATAGCCTTGCCGACATCCATAGAAACAGCCTTGGGCGCAACGATCTCGTCCGATTCTGCCAACTTTGCAATCCTGCGGAAATCTTCGCCGACATGTCCAGCATTCGAGACGACCTTACGTTCGGTCGCTACGACGGCGCCAGCACGACGGGCGGCATTGATGTCGGATGCTGTGCGGGTCACCTTGGCGAAATCGGGCTTCTTGCGGAGGACAATCTCGTCATCCCAGCCAATATTTCCAGACATTTTTCGGTTGTTTTGTTGTTGTTGTGGGGTTTGTTGGTTGTGAGGTGAGGGAATTATTTTCTCAGAGTGTTGAAAGAGTCGAGAAAACAGAGAGGCTTTTGGGTGAGAGTGGATGTTGTTTGTTGTTGAGTTGTTGTAGTTGAGTATTGAAAGAAACAAAAAAGAAAAGGGAAGCAGCTCTTTTTATAAGCATCCATTCAGTTGATGACACATCAGACGTGCGGAGATCCAAACAACCATTTATTATGGAAATTTATCCCTCAAAATGACGAAGGGGTGTGTACTGCGGTCAGACGTTGCTAAGATTCTCCATTGGATCCAAAGGACGTCTTCCTCACTGAGCTTGCTCTTTCTAGGTAGCACGGAGAGATAAAACATCCTTTTTGTCGAGTAACCAGAGTGCAATCAATAATGGGCTGGGGCAGTAGCAACAGCCAGTCCCATTTGTCAATTGGCCGCAGTTGCATTCTGGCATCTTCTAGACCATGCAGGTTGCACCTGAAAGTGTGAGTCAAGGTCTAGACATTTTTATTTTAATGGGAAAGTACTGTACAGCAGAGAAAGAAAAAAAAGTATACTACAAAGAATGAATGGGCCGTGGGTCAGGCATAGGTTCCTAGTGTCGATGGAACATGTTGTTGCGCTAATTGTTGCAGCTGCCAAGTGTGGTTGTTTGTAACTGTGACAAATGTCGAGAGTAGCGACATCCTGTGCTCGTTCAATCTGAAAAATCCTCAATAGGATCGTCGTCGACCACCGATGGGTCGACCCGCTGTTGCTGTCCAGTCAGCTTGGCCTTGTCAAATCCTGCACCAAACTCGGATCCAGGTCTCGCTCCAGAGCCTTGGCTGCCTCCAGTCTCGTAAGTGACTCCACTCGAAGACGTTGTACCTTCAGCGCCAGCGTCTAATTCTTCAACGAAACCCTCATCGCCTTCACCAAACTCCTTTTTGACAATCCCGGCTTTTGTTCCATAGGCGCCCGCACCATGACGAACAAAGGCCTTGGAGCCGCCTCGCAGCAGTTGTTGAAAGACCAGTCTATACGGATCCATGAGCAAACACTTGTGCAACATCGGCACCAACTCTTGACGAATTACAGCCTTTGGTATGAACCCTAAGGTATATTTGAAAAGGGAGGCGTTATGTGTCAAGTGAATGTTCCTGGGTATCAAATAGGTATCAACAACAGAACACTTCGAGCGTCTCACTCTGTCCAAAAGTCAGGTTACTTACCTGGCCCTGTGACAGATCCAGTTGCGAGTCCAAAGGCTTCTCTACCCGCAAGATCATATGCAACTTCTGAAAACATCTCGTCGTTGGCCCGAGCGGTCCTATTGACAGCAAAGAGTTCCGGCCAAAAGTGCTTTTTGGGTCCGCCAAACGCATTGGCCGATGCTGGTCCTGCTGAAGTGGGAGCAAGCAACATACCTCGGACAGCGACGGATGTCATGTACGGCTGCATTTGCACCGTTTGTGTGTATCCAGCGTTTCCAAAAGACGGGTGGGATTGTAGCCGGTCTGCAACACAGAGGTACTCCATGGCAGTTGCGCACTCATCAATTGTATTCATATGCTTTGTGTAGTTCTGGTGCAGCATGAGTGTATACAAATCCGGTTCCACTGGTAGTTTCTCAATCAAGTCCTAAAGTCGCGATGATGTGACCTCAAACATGTCAGACGCCATTCAAATTAAACATATAGATAGATGAAGTTGTAACGATGCAACGAGTGCATACCTTCTCGGGGTTGAATGACAATGGAGGACGCCTTTTGTGCCAAGCGTTGGAAGGCACTTTTACAATGTCGCAGTCAAACTCCTCCAGTGATCCGCCCCAGTCACCTATGAAGGCCATTGTAAGCGAGTGAAGTCATCCAGTAAGTTTCATGCCACTTGGGTTCATGTAGCTTGTAGACTCATGATAAACACAGCTGCACATACGCTTGTTGAACATGACCTTGGCGACAGCGTGAAAGATCCCAAGTGACGAATCCTGTCCTTGCAAAGACCTGAAGAGTAGCATCAAAGATCATTCCTACGTTAGTAATCGCACCATATCTTCTCCATATCAACATTGAACACTAAACCAAAGCAAACCGTTTGTTACCTCTCTTCAAGGGTGCTCAGACCTTCCCTGTCTTCCTCCACTTGTCTAGCTGCCTTCCGGAATTGTTGACGACGCTTGCTGGGCAAATAGCACATAAACTGGAGGGCATTGATGACCGCTCGAATGTCGCCGTCGTGTATTTCGATCAATTGATCGATCTCAGCCGAGTCGGGTGCGAAGGCTGACCTGCCCCTGAATTCTTGTCCTATCAAGCTCTTCAAAGCCTTTTTCACAAACGTCGGTGCAATTGGATTGAACCTAGTGGCGCAATATAACGAAAACAAACGCGATAAGTAATCGAAATTTGCAGCGAGGTCTGTAATTCATCAACGTTCCGACCAAAGAGACATGCCTTATGTTTCTTACTTGATTTGCCGGATCCTGGCATTATCGTTCTTCCCTCCGGAATCGAGTTTGCCCAAAACTGAAGGAGGAAGTAATGTCCGCATGGTCAGTGCTGGATCGCTGGATTCTCTAGTGCTTGAAAACTGGAGCTCGGTGCTCAGCTTGGAAAAGACGTCGCTCACAATAATGACCAAAACAGACGAGGAGCTGGCCCTCGAGTTAGCAAAATTGTGGATGGTATCCTGAAAGATCTTTCGTGAGGACGAGGCAGACACTGGTGGAAGGTCCTCGATGAGAATGATATTTTTTGTTCCCGATCCGGTTCGAGGTGCCTCCATCCTTCCTGTCGCTGATGACGATGGTGCTGGTGAGCTAGAGTTGAGACCCCCAGAGGTGTTCTGAGTTTGCGTTTGCCGAGGTTTGCCATTGGATAGCTGCAATGGACTGAAACGGTGTGCCCTCGAAAAGAACTCCTGAAACGATCGCATGACAGGGGCGTATTCTACAGTGACATATTCGAAGGGTTAACGTTAGTAATTTGCTCCGCAGCGTGAAAGTTCCACATACAAATAACAGGATACCGCTAAAGCCGGTACCTTCATCAATACTGGCTGGTCGCCAAGCCTCCTTTTCCTGTCCCGGCATTACCGGTCGCTGGATGATGTTGTTTGCGTTGATAGAGTTGATCCACTCGACAATGTGGAGGTCCATCTCCTGGGCGAGATTACGCAACACTGCTGTCTTTCCTGATCCTGCAGGTCCGGTCAACACGAGTATAGCGCCTCCCGAGGGATCCCGCCGAGCATCGTGCGGATTCTATGATCGAGAGAGGCGACAAACGTTAGGCAGTGTCCGGCATAATCATGAACCTAGGCCAAACGGCGGTTACCAAAATGCGGTACGTACTGTGTATATCCTAAGCCATTCGCGGACGTCGTTGATCTTGTTCTTGTGAATTACGACCTCCTGAATGCTCCTTGGTGCATACTTTTCAGCCCACTGGTCCTCCACTGAGTCCGAACCTATGGAATGGATATTGATGCTCGTATGGTCAAGGACTGGAAGTGGTTTTGACATATAGCTGAGAATGACAAACATACACGTCCTGTTCCATTTCTTCTTGTTACCTCCTGTGAGTGGGCTGGAAATCGGCGTGTTTGGCGAGTATCGTACCGAGGGTGAAGATTGCGATGATGAGGGACTCATTCCTAGAGGAGAGAACTTAAGCTCGCTCGCCTTTCGTTTTGATCCTGTTGTTGATGTTGATGTGCCAGTTGTAGATCCTGCCGGTGAGCCGGTGTTTTTGGACGGTTTAGCCTTCTTAGAAGCCGCTGTAGCAGCAGCACCTCGCTTATTGCTATTGTTGCCTCCGTTTGTTGCTGCTTTCTTTGCTCTTCCTCCGCGTGTTTTGGTGAATGTTTCCTCTTCACTTTCAGCCGCTCCATCCAAGGTGTCACTCTCGATATCACTGGTGGGGTCAGATATGTCTGACAAAAAATCGTCCTCCGTATATGCATCCGAGTCTTTGTATAGCGAGGCTGTTGTGGCCGCTGACCGGGTCTTTGCCTCTCGCGTTGGTGCTCTCCTCGCCACTGGCGCCGCTGTCGACTTTTGCTAAAAGGTGTGAAGGAAGAAGGAGCGATGGAAAGGTGGTTATGGTTATGCTCTCCTGTTGGTGAACATGAAATGGCAATTCTGTTGCGCTGAGGGGTTATTTACTGTCGTTCGCTTTGGCGGCATTGACAAAGCGGAATGTGTCCTCCTTAGGTGTTGTTGCAGTGTCTGTGTGGGCGAATGAGCAGGCGAGCGAGTCCTGTTTGATGAGTGTGTAAAAGAGACGAGCTGTGACAGAGAAAGAAGAGCGATCAATCGACGCGTTTTTTCAAACCTTTTTTTTTGTTCGCCTCCCTCTGTCCAAAAGCCACTCGTTCCTTTTACATTTTCAGGGCGGCGGCTCACTTTGCTCCTTCTTTCGCTCGCCCGCTCCTCTCTCTCTCTCTCTTTCACACACACACACACATTCTGAACAACAGGAAACAATACTCGCAATGGAGACAGTCATCAGGAAGGTGCTCGCCGCATCACACCTGCCAGACAATGACAAGAAACGAGCCATCAACACCCTCCTCGCCAGAAATGTCTCAACCCTATCAAAACCCGACACCTCCCTCCTCCTCGACCTTGGCCTCGAGCTGAAGACCGCCTCGGTACGTATACCTTTCAATTTACTGTTGTTGCTGGACACACTTGGTCATTTGATACCCATCTCAATTGACTCACTAAGGCTGTATGATACATAGAATAGGACTCTCCTGGACGATTGGACTGGAGACCGGATCCTTGAGGCTGTCAGTAACACCCACCGCGATCTCTTCTGGGCTGTCCTTCACACGGACTGGTTCCACAACAAAATCTCGTGCACAATCACCGTACGTTTATGCATTTATTTCAATGCCAGACAACAGTAAGCAGTAGGGAGGAGATATGTGGTGTTGGAACAAAGCCCCCCATTGACACATTGTATCTTTCATTTGTTGTCATAGAACATGGACTTTGTCAGGAATATAATGTTTATGGTTCAGGTTGCTCGTCGGAAAGAAGGTAATCAGGGTCTCCTCCATTGCTTACGTATCTCCCAAACACGCAAGCATATGGAGGGCAAATTCGAACCCGGCTGACAATCAATTGATCTAACAATGTTCCATAGCAACCGCACTGACCGAGGATGACAAACTGGAACTGGAGCAGGACATGACAGCTCTGCGCATATTTGCAGAAAAGAAGTGTATCAGCGCACAATCACCTTTGGACTATACACTTCAGGTGAGCATTCAGTCCCTCAGTGGCCCTCCATCTGCCTGTAAACAGGAAGGATTGTGGTAGGGTGTTATTGTCTCTGACTAACATGACTGTCACCAACTCTCTCTGCCCATGTGCTATGCAGGGCATCTTTATCGTCATGTTTGTCAATCTCCCAGCAAGCCGGCCTTTAGTAGTGAGCGACTACATCCAGGTAAAAATTGACTCTACGCAGCAGTCTAGTAATTATTTACGCACCTACAATAAAGCACTTGAAGACTCACTACAATCTTGTGTCGACATTAGTTCTTGGTGGATCATATTGCAAGCTCCCCAGTCACCTCAGGACCAAGTCAGGAAGCAAGCCTACAGTCAACAAAGAACGCAACCCTGCTCCTGCGGCAATGCTGGGACGACAGGTACACAAGCTGCATGTGCGTCATCCTTTGTTTTCTGCTAGAGGTTTCAAGTTCCTCCCTGACACTGTTTGTACTATGTACAACCCTAGGCCTGACAACGTCGTGCTGACGTTACCTCACTTGCTCTTTTACCTTTCGGACACACAAATGGCATGCCCTCTCGCCATTGGGCGCCTTGTTGGAGCCGTGCCAGCCAATTTTACGTCATGTAAGTCTGATAACACCTTGACAGTTCACTAAAGACAAGTTGCTTCTCATGTAGTTGATGCTCTCGCTGAACAAAGGCTCATTTTTATTTTTTGCCAGTGTAGACGTTGAGCCGTTCATCCAAGGCATGGATCGTTCTGCACTGTGGAGGCTCCAACTTCCAATCCAACGCCTGATCGACTGGCTTGTAACCACAGATATGCCAGGAACAGGTAATCGTGAGCTCGGACGCCAAACTTCTTTCTAATCGGCGTCATTGCGAACTAACAACATGTTCAGTAACTGACCTTCGATTTGCTGAATACTCTTACGTGACATACCAAAGGCGTCTGGATCGTCTCTCTCATGGAGAGTCTCGCGTCACAAGGAGAGTTCATGATCCTTCGCGAACTAGCGGACAAGAATGCGTACAAAGGTTAGTCGCGGAGCAAACATTGATGGCGCTTCATCGTTTTCTTTGTCCCCCAATATAGCACCTTGTTACTCATATCTTCGACTATACTCTTTTCATTAAAACTGTAGTCGCAAGGCAGCTTGCATTCAGGGAGCGGAGAAATGACGCCCTACCAGTGTTGAGACTCATTCTCCTCGGATACCACCACTCGGATGTCCTTTTCAAACACATTTCTCAAGGGTTGATCCCTCTCGTCGTCCCATGCCGAAAAACGCCAGTAAGTTTCTTACTTGCTCCTTGTGTTTGTCGATCGGACTCACAGAGAGGCACAGTTTATCATGTTGCCTGACATATTCGTCTTATTTGACCTGATAGGAGGATCGCGAGTTCGCCGCGGAGGTGTGCAGTCTGGCGCAGACACTTGTCATCCACTTTGGAGACGTTGACGATATCGGGACCAAAGTTCAGAAAGCACGGATGGCACTGGATCTGGTATGTAAAACATACTTGCGTTGAGCAATGTTTCGACGCGCACGTGTAAGAGTCTAACGCCAGACACGACTCACGTTTTAGCCCATAGTTCCGAGAGCGGAGGCGTTGCGCACCATGCAAGAAAATTCATGGAAAAAGGGACTTCATATTCAGAGTAAGCCGCCTTTTGGGGTTGTTCTTACGCCACCAATTTTAATATGACACTCTGACTGACAGAACATCTGCTTTCTTAACTAGACACTTCGGCGGGACTGAGGCGAAAGGCTGCTCTGGTTCAGCCCTTGGGGAAAGTGGGGTTAGTCAATTTGGGAAACTCCTGCTTCATGAACAGCGCTCTCAGAGCCTTGTTTTGCTCCGGCGATTTTTCAAGAGCTGTCCTGAACGACACTACCAAGTAAGCCTGCCAGGCTTTAAGAATACGTGAACTGTGTATGGGTTGAGTGCGAACTAGAAACTCTGCTAACCGTCGTTTATGCTTCTTAATGTAGAGTCCCACAAACAAAGGCTCTGACGACCCGCCTGAGGGAGGCATTTACAGGGATGTCTACTTCTCGGCTCTCGATCTACACACCTCTGACACTTTTCAAGGCACTACCAAATTGGCTCAATGATGGACACCAGCAGGATGCTGCCGAGTTCACAAAGTGAGTTTCTTACGAGGATGTTTCATAACTTTTCGATGCCACTTTACAGCTCGTCGCAACTAATCAGCTTACACCGGCCTTCCTCCTTCTCGTCACAGAATCTTGTTCAGCTTAATGGAGGATGAGGACCCATTGTCGAAGCAGGCACTTTCTTCGTTTCATGGCACAGTTGTGAATCAGATCAAGTGCCGTGTATGCGGGACAGTCTCGTCAAACAAAGAAGGGTTCTATGACCTCGCTGTTCCTCTGCCTGCTACTGGTAAGGCATATTCTCTTTATTATTCACCGGGTAGGCATCAAGTTCTTAGTTGAAATTGCCACTAACGAGCATCCTCCTCACCAATGCGCTCGATAGACTCATCTCTGGATCTTCAGTCTGTGGTCGACGTGTTTCCTTCGGTCGAGGAACTCAACGAGCAAAACAATAATATGTACCACTGCGACAAGTGCCATGCACTGCGAGCCGCCACAAGAGTATGTTCTGTCATTAGTGCTGATCTTGACAAAAAACGCCACCAAATTATTGTAAAACCAACCTCGATACACCTTTTAATTCTTTTTGCGCATAGTACACAATGCTGGCCTCGCTTCCTACCAATCTCATCGTCACGCTGAATCGCTTCCGGTTCGACGTCCAAAGATCCCGGCGTATCAAAATCAATACCCCGGTAAGCTAACGAACCGCCTCCGTAGAATGCAAACGAAATACGTCCTACTTTTATTTAAGTCTGTATCTTTGACCCCGACCTAACTAAAATATCGTTGTCTTTCTTCTAGATCCGGCTGGCAGAGTCGATCCAAATCAAGGTCCAGGATGGACATGACCTTCAAGAGTACGAGCTCTACTCCGTCGTCATCCACACAGGAGAATCAGCTAACCATGGACACTACTACACTTACGCCAAGGACAGCGGTCCCACCATAACCACCAGCACTGAAGGTGCATCATCTTCAGAGGCGGCGGCAAAGTCAACTTGGTTGCTGTACAATGACACCAGTGTTACACTGTCCAGTTTTGAAGCGATGCAACAGGCCTTGGCTAACAGTCGGACAGAGACCCCGTACATGCTGTTCTTTAGAAAGACGGAGCTACAAAGTAGTCGGTCACACGCGCCTCTCGCCAGGACCATCTCCAACCTATAATAGATCCCATCCCAGTATCATCCTCCCACCCTCCTTTTCGTAAAAAGGGCCGTACTCTGAAAAATACTTTTGATCGATTGAGTTATCATTAATTGGTGATCGATCAGCTACCTAAGCTATGCGTCCCTGTCAAAGATCTGCAGATCCAAATCTCCTTCCCTCGACATGCCTTTCTTGACCTGACTGTCCAGTACACGGTTGAGTTCCCACATCATCGCCGTCGCAGCTGCTGCAACATTCATCGACTCGACCGCAGGGTTCATAGGAATCGACACTCGAACCGCCCGAGCCAACAACCGGTTCTTGGCCGCCCGATCCTCGTCCTTCTCTCTTCGCTTCTCGTCACTGCCTTCGCCCACACCATCTCGTCCATCCACACCATGATGCTCAGAACTCATTATCAGCGCAATCTTCTCAGGCGCCTTGCTCCTTGACAGTGAACTCGGCCAATTCCACCACACAAGTCTGTGAGAGTCAATAGCCACCGATGTTGTTGATGAAGACCTTCCTCCTCTTCCTTCCTCCTGCGAAATCCAACCAGGAACCATATCAGCGACCAGTGGTACTATTTCTCTGCTCTTCAAGAACACATCCAACTCTGTCCACCGCCCTCCAACCTTCATCGGGAAATCCAGACAGAGTGCCCTAGAAGCTCGGACCACCTTGTCGTTGAACGGATCCACAGTCCCCGGCGTCTGCCATCCCGCACTCCACGAGAACGCCATTGCCGACCTAATCATCAATCCCATGTTCCCTGGATCTGAGACTTGGTCAAACACCAGCAATTTCTCGATTACCGAGCTGCCACTTTTCCCATCCTTACTGGTACTGGCAGTAGGTACATGAGCAACAGTAGAGAATAAAGTGCTGCGATCGGGGATCGCCACTTCGGCCCACACCTCGTGCTCTGCTGTTGGTGAATCTGTGCCCAGAATCCGCGTCGTCAATTTTCGCGATACGGCAACATACTGATCCGCCTTGAACGCCTTCCCTCTTACTCCTGATCCTTGCTCCTTCAACGAACCACGACTCAATTGCTCCCTATCCTCATCCTTCTCTTCCCGCAGAACAGCCGTAACAACATCCAACGCCGGCGACCGAATCGGACCCTTTTCCATGTCGTACGTGACTCCAATAGTCCGTAAGCAATGATGTCCCTTTGACCCGAGTTCCTGTAACGTCTTGATCCCTTGAACAACGACATGTCCTTCCTCCTCACGCGCCGCCTTGGACCTCCTCAGCCTCTCCAACCGTTGCACGACTTTGTTCTGCGGACTTGTGATCACTTGGAACCGTGAAGGGAGTAGAATCCGTACAAGTGGTTTGCTCATTGTGCATCAAGGAGGAACAACAACGAAGGGAAAGAATGTGAGCGAGACAGTGAAGAGAACAGTGGAATGAGAAATCAAGTGTTGGCGAGCCAAAAAAAAAAGACGAATGAAGGAAGGAAGGAGTGAAGAATAAAAACATGCAAGAGATCTCTCCTTCCTTTCACAGGAACAAAAAAAAGAGAGGAAGAACAAGCAAAAAGAAAGCTCCCTGGCGGGGAATTGAACCCCGGTCTTCCGCGTGACAGGCGGAGATACTCACCACTATACTACCAAGGAAATGCTCATATCTGCTGATATTCGAAAACATTCATGTTCCTAGAGACGCCACCAATCTTGATAACGCCACCAAAACAGTTTGACCTTAAAAAAAAAAAAAAAAAAAAAAAAAAAGGGGCTCCCGATCGCATTAGCCGCAGTCCTGTCAGCACCACCGGAACAGGACATTGTGGTCAAGCTGGACAATCAGTCAGTGGTGGATCAGTATAGTCGCCTGGTGAAGAATCGTCGGGACACCTTACCGAGGAAGCGATTCAGGAGTACATATGCGGGTATCTGGGCGGTGCTTTGTCAGGTTGTGGAATCTCGGCCAGGCGGGGTTGAGGTGGTGTGGATCAAAGGTCACAGCAACATCCACGGAAACGAACTTGCGGATCAGGCGGCGAAGGTGGCAGCACAGAGTGGTTCAGTGCCCTGGATGGTGGATCTCACTCAACAGACGGATATCACGACCTTTGCACATTGTTACGGCGGGATTGTTGAAATCGATCTACGTCAGCTCCTCAAACAACAATCGACAATCCGTCACCATCAGGCCTGGACGTCACAGAGGCGGGTCAAGAGGGCGATCCCTGACATCGATGACGTGGAATGGAACTCGACCTTGGCATATGTCCACGACAGGCACGCAGTCTTCACCTTTTACAGCAACAGCAAGGACTCTCACCAACGCACACATCATATCAAAAAGCTGCATGGAATGCTGCCCACTCTGAACTCCATGCAGGCTCGCAAGCCCAACCTGTACCCAACATGCGTGTGTCGACGATGCGAGCTCGAGAAGGAGGATAACGATCACGTCTGGAAATGCCCTTCGGCAGCTGAGACCACCACTGAGATCTGGAAGGAGGCCATGGGCAAGATTAATGAGTGGGGTGTGCAGGCGACAAACAGCTACAACGCAGCCAGGAAGCGAGAATACAAACGCGCGGTGGACAGAGGTCGTCAGGTACCGAGGCCAGTACCCATACACTGGTGGCCCCCTTCGGATGCGGATCATGTGCGAGGATTTTCCTCCATCGGTGGAGCTCGAGCCGTGCACAGCGGTAGTCAAGCTCCCGATCGAGACGAGAAACCGATGTGGAATGTGTCGGATCTCCTCCGCGGCATCACCCCCTTGAGCATGTTGACTGAATGGTCCGCGGTCTTCCGGACCCCAATGTCCATCGCCAAGACAGTCCTTCACAAGTTTGTTGGCTACCTGGAGGCGCAGGCCTCGGAGCTGATCTGGAAACCTCGGTGCTCCGAGACGATCGCGTGGGAACAAAGCCAGGGCATCTCTGCCAAGGACAAGACATCCAAGTACACAGGCCCCCGAGGTGACTGGAGTCAAGGATACGGTTACATCACGCACGATGGTTTCTGTCCGTGTGGCGCTTCGCTAGCCACACATTGTGAAGGAAGGTGCCCTGGGGCGACCAAGGACCCACGCGCTGCTGACGAGCGTTTGTTGGAGAGTTTGTTAGGAAGGAGGAGGTTGTCAATGATGGAGAGGATGGGAAGAATCCCCTTCATTCGTATCTAGTTTTATTTTCTTCCGTTTAAGCTGTGAAGAGCAGCGACAATTGTTGCGCAGAGCCAGGTTCTGGACCGGACTGCGACTGGTGGATGGTGCACTGAAGAGTTTGGTCTGTAGTTCCCTTTTACTTCCAAATAACTTCTCTATGCTGTTTGTTAGAGAAATAAAATTGTGTACGAAAAAAAAAAAAAAAAAAAGGCTCCCGATCGCGACGAACCTTTCCCAATTCCCATTTTTCGTCTCCAAGAACAGTCACGCCTTCCTCCATCCACACGTCGGGGCTATCCATCCATCCAACCATTAAACCGACAAGGCCCTTGAGCAGGACCACCGTTGGCGTCAGTGTTGCCAAGGCGCCTACCACCCCGGGTCAGCGACATGCAAGGAGAGCTTGGAAGTTTCAAGGCGGGTGTTATGAGGTCGGCAGGTCGGTCCCTGGAGCGAGATGAGAGAGAGATGGTCCCCCATCGCCGCACGGAATGTCAGTCGAATGGAGTTGGTCGTCTGCCTTTCCATCCTCTTTGCGAGAGGTCCTTGGTCCCACCCACAAGGAGATACGCTACGGATTTGACGGATTCAAGACCCGGCCCCCCTGTCCAGGTCGGTGCGAGGGTTGACTTCCCTTGCGAAGCACGGAAGTGCATGGATGGATCTTTGCTCATGAGGTGCCATGTTGGAACTACTTGGTGATATGAGTATTCGCGCAGTCTCTATGAGTTCTGCCTTAAGCGTCTTAGAGCACCGCTGTCAGTCCCTCACAGTATAAAAAGAACCCCAGGCCTGGATGGCTAACGTTCCAACCTTTCTGCCTTGAAGGTGTGTGGGAAACGAGGAGCGAAACTTTTGTTTTTTTCCCACACAAGTGCGCAAGCACAATGGCAACCCCCCCTCTTTTCGCGCTAGTCTCCCCTGTCCAGGAGGCGCGTGACAACCATTTTTATTTTTTTGGGTTGTTGCGTTGCACACATGTGCATGGATGGAGGTGACGTCGAACACTTGAAAAACGGCACTGGGAAGAAAGTACTTTTGCTATCTCCTGGTTGTTCAGATGAAGGTGTTTTAGTTGAGAGTAATAACTGGATAGATCGCTTTTGTATTTTCTTCCGTTTTTGTCGTGAAGAGCGACAACGATTGTTGCGCAGAGCCAGCGTTATTAGAACCGGACTGTGACTAGGGGATGGTGTACTGGGAAGGGGTCCTCACAAATAGCCCTTTTATTTTTGGATTACCTACATGAATTGTTCTTTAGAGAAATAAAATCGTGGACAAAAAAAAAAAAAAAAAAAAAATCGCGACGAACCGGCGACTCGGGACACCTTACCGAGGAAGCGATTCAGGAGTACATATGCGGGTATCTGGGCGGTGCTTTGGCAGGTTGTGGAATCTCGGCCAGGCGGGGTTGAGGTGGTGTGGATCAAAGGTCACAGCAACATCCACGGAAACGAACTTGCGGATCAGGCGGCGAAGGTGGCAGCACAGAGTGGTTCAGTGCCCTGGATGGTGGATCTCACTCAACAGACGGATATCACGACCTTTGCACATTGTTACGGCGGGATTGTTGAAATCGATCTACGTCAGCTCCTCAAACAACAATCGACAATCCGTCACCATCAGGCCTGGACGTCACAGAGGCGGGTCAAGAGGGCGATTCCTGACATCGATGACGTGGAATGGAACTCGACCTTGGCTTATGTCCACGACAGGCACGCAGTCTTCACCTTTTACAGCAACAGCAAGGACTCTCACCAACGCACACATCATATCAAAAAGCTGCATGGAATGCTGCCCACTCTGAACTCCATGCAGGCTCGCAAGCCCAACCTGTACCCAACATGCGTGTGCCAACGATGCGAGCTCGAGAAGGAGGATAACGATCACGTCTGGAAATGCCCTTCGGCAGCTGAGACCACCACTGAGATCTGGAAGGAGGCCATGGGCAAGATTAACGAGTGGGGTGTGCAGGCGACAAACAGCTACAACGCAGCCAGGAAGCGGGAATACAAACGCGCGGTGGACAGCGGTCGTCAGGTACCGAGGCCAGACCCATACACTGGTGGCCCCCTTCGGATGCGGATCATGTGCGAGGATTTTCCTCCATCGGTGGAGCTCGAGCCGTGCACAGCGGTAGTCCAGCTCCCGATCGAGACGAGAAACCGATGTGGAATGTGTCGGATCTCCTCCGCGGCATCACCCCCTTGAGCATGTTGACTGAATGGTCCGCGGTCTTCCGGACCCCAATGTCCATCGCCAAGACAGTCCTTCACAAATTTGTTGGCTACCTGGAGGCGCAGGCCTCGGAGCTGATCTGGAAACCTCGGTGCTCCGCGACGATCGCGTGGGAACAAAGCCAGGGCATCTCTGCCAAGGACAAGACATCCAAGTACACAGGCCCCCGAGGTGACTGGAGTCAAGGATACGGTTACATCACGCACGATGGTTTCTGTCCGTGTGGCGCTTCGCTAGCCACACATTGTGAAGGAAGGTGCCCTAGAGCGACCAAGGACCCACGCGCTGCTGACGAGCGGTTGTTGGAGAGTTTGTTAGGAAGGAGGAGGTTGTCAATGATGGAGAGGATGGGAAGAATCCCCTCCATTCGTATCTAGTTTTATTTTCTTCCGTTTAAGCTGTGAAGAGCAGCGACAATTGTTGCGCAGAGCCAGGTTCTGGACCGGACTGCGACTGGCGGATGGTGCACTGAAGAGTTTGGTCTGTAGTCCCCTTTTACTTCCAAATAACTTCTCTATGCTGTTTGTTAGAGAAATAAAATTGTGTACAAAAAAAAAACAAAAAAAAAAAAAAAAGACGAACCGGCGACCAAGGACCCACGCGCTGCTGACGAGCGGTTGTTGGAGAGTTTGTTAGGAAGGAGGAGGTTGTCAATGATGGAGAGGATGAGAAGAATCCCCTTCATTCGTATCTAGTTTTATTTTCTTCCGTTTAAGCTGTGAAGAGCAGCGACAATTGTTGCGCAGAGCCAGGTTCTGGACCGGACTGCGACTGGTGGATGGTGCACTGAAGAGTTTAGTCTGTAGTCCCCTTTTACTTCCAAATAACTTCTCTATGCTGTTTGTTAGAGAAATAAAATTGTGTACGAAAAAAAAAAAAAAAGATCGCGACGAACTCTATGTCCATCGCCAAGACAGTCCTTCACAAGTTTGTTGGCTACCTGGAGGCGCAGGCCTCGGAGCTGATCTGGAAACCTCGGTGCTCCGCGACGATCGCGTGGGAGCAGACCCAGGGTATCTCTGCCAAGAACAAGACATCCAAGTACACAGGCCTCCGAGGTGACTGGAGTCAAGGATCCGGTTACATCACCCGCGATGATCTCTGCCCGTGTGGCGCTTCGCTAGCCACACATTGTGAAGGAAAGTGCCCTGGAGCGACCAAGGACCCGTAACGCGTTATTCTCTCTACCTTAATCGACGAAAGGCTGCGACTGCCGCATCGATCTAAGCGAGATACTTGGACTATGTTGGCATGAGGGCATACTGGACTCTTAGGAATTTTTGGTACGCAAAAGAAACATATGCAAAAAGAAATATATTTGTAGATTTTTTATTATTTCATCTTTTCGCCTTAAAACGTCAAATGCAAACGACGTTCAAGAATGTTATTAGGAGTGGCGGACTCGTGACGAACAAAAGGTCGCAGCTTCTGCATCTCCTGTCGTTGTCTGGTCGTCTTTGTGTCGCTCTTGCTCAACGTCGCTGAGTCGTCAATGTGTAAACCCCTCATGACGGCCAGTTGAGGTAAGCGGGTAGCAAACCACTCCAACTCCGCTGTTTCAATACGATGGTCCAACCCTTCAAAGCCAAACACCTTCAGGTTCCTGAGTGTTACCAGCTGGTCAAGACCCGAAGCCAAGGAGAGCTCTAAACAGTCCATGATCGGGTTACTGTCAATCAAGTGTATCCGACCGTTCACCTCCATGGTTGGTTCATACCCGCTATCACCATAAATATGATACTCTATACCCTTGACGTCGCCGCCAAGGTCCAAAGTCTGAAGGCAAACCAGACGAGACAAGCGCTCGTAGACTTGATGATGTTGCTCCTGGGATCTCTTGTACTTTTCCTCCGCAACACCTCGACTCGGTAATTGTGTTGTATCCTGTTTCGACGACATCGACATGTCCTGATACTCTTCAAAAGTCAGGCGTTCCAAGCCGATAATCTGGCAGCGAAAGGTCTCTAGCATCGCCTCGCAAGCCCAAGGATGTTCTGCGAGATAGGTGGCGTCGATTTGGTGCTGGATGGCGTCGATGGTTGTCAGGTTTGGACAAAATTCCAGAAGGATGCTCACTACATTCAGCTCAGTCTTGACAGTATGATCCTCGTTGATCCACTCGTTGTCTCCACTTTGACGGAATACTCGAAACTGCTTGCAGTGGCTCGCCAGCGCCCTACCCATCTCTGGAGTCAGCACCTCAGTCGCCAGCTGGGTCAAGAGGGGCAGTCGAGGGATCAAGTGTGTCGCCATGGCTTTGTGAATCGATTTATACTCGGCCGTAAGTCCTCCAACTTGAACCAGATGCAATCCTGAAAGCGCAAAAGGGCGTGATCTATCCTCGTAGTTGTCGTCCATGTCGACAAAGAGTGATTGTCCTTTGTCGCCCAGGTTGATCCGTCCCAGGAAGAGTTGGTCGAGATTGACAAGTCGTTTCAGAAACATGAGGACGTATGATGACTCGACGGATCCCCTGATTGCAAGTGTTGTCAAATGGGTAAAGTCCTTTTCAAGTCGCAAGGCTGATCCACAGTTGCTCTCCATGTGATAAAATAGGTTTCTGTTGCCGCCAGTGTGCGTAGTTGATGTGTGCTCCAGAATTGTCTGAAGGTCGAGCTCCATGAACCGGTTGTCGAGAGTTTTCAGTCTAGGGAGTGTTGCCAATGTATAGTAGACGAGTTCCAGAGAGATGAAGGGCGCCAGGGGCTTGAGACTTCGACCCAAGGAGAGATGTTCAAGCGTAGGGTTGCGGAGGACCAAAATCCAGAATCGTTGGACGATACCCCAGTTAAGCCAAAGAGGATCCTCATCCAAGAGGTGAGGAGGATTCGTCGACCACAATCTCGCCTCCTCGTCTTCGTTATCGATGAGCCTCCAAAATCCTGGCCAGTCCGCTGTAGGTCCCGTATAGTTTTCGACCCATGTCACGTCCGCCATATCTTGCTTTCGCCTCCCTGCACCCTCCTCTCTGTTCCTCGCCGGACCTTCCCTCATTGCGAAAGGGTGAACCGTCAGGGCTTGAAGTTGAGTACAGTGTCCAGTTATTCCAGCGACAAGTATGACAATTGGCCAAGAGACTCGAAGAACCCTGACGTGTCGACCATGCTTCTTGAAGACGTTGTAAAGCCAGAGGACAGTCTCAGCTCTCCTGCTGGGCCACACATCGAGTGCAGTCTGCTTCAACACCTTTGCTTCCACGATGGTATTGGTGGACTCCCTAATGTCGTTGCCACTGCTGCTGCTGCTGCCATTGACGTCCTGTTCGGCCATAACGATACGCAGGAGCCTTGGTGCCGTATGAGAGACACGCATATTGAGAATACATGCCCACGAGTATAGACGGTCGTCAATGGTGTGCCAAAGGCGCGGTATGAGGACAGAGTTCCAGTGTTGGGAGACTTGGACACAGGAGAGAAGGTCTCGTGGAGTGAGATGAGAACCGATGCGCTCGAGTAGTTCGACGATGAGCAGGGCTCGATTAGGCTGTGGAGTGGCGGGTAGTGATGTTGATGCTAATGTTATTGTCATGGAGAAGTGAAGAAGCGAGACTGGTCATCCAAAGGGAATTTGGCTCCATGAGTCGAGATGTGGTTGTTGCTGTGGAGGTTGCTGAAAGGAAGAGAAGAATGGAAAGGTGGATGGGGAAAAGGAAGGGAAGGGAAAAAAAAGAACAAAGGTTGAGCCGCAGCAGAACGCGACGCCACTTTTTATCTTTCTTTTGTGATCAGTTCCTGAAACCTATGGCCATGCACATATTTGCACCCTATCAATTGCCTCTTTCTCTTTCTCTTTCTCTTTCTCTTTCTCTCCCTCTCTGTCTTCATTAATCCTTTCTGCCCTTTATTATTTTCTCTGTTGCTTTGTTCAGACTAATGGTACCTGGGTAGGGGGATCCACCTTCTTATTCTTTTTTCTTGTAGGGATACGGGCGAAAGACAATGTTCATGAACGAATCGAGCGCTGGGCGACCTTGAGTTCTAGGTGACCAAGTCGAGCGCCAGACACGTTTGTGTTGTGGACGATCTGAAAAAAAAAAGAAACGATTGAAGGGGGATGAAGCAGGCAAAGGAGAAAACAAAAGGAGTGGAGGATGAGACCAAAGACTAGCTTCATTGAACAACAATGTAATCCATCACTTTTCATCTCCTCTTGTTCATTGTTACAGCGCTACATGACGAGAGAGACCTAGTCCATGGTCGTATCTTGGTTGTAAATGACATTGATACAAAGCGAGAAAAATTAAGTGAACTCGCATAGGGAGAGCGATACCTTGGCGCGATTAATTTTTTTTTTTTCGTACACAATTTTTTTCTCTAACAAACAGCATAGGGTCCTTGGTCGCTCCAGGGCACCTTCCTTCATTATGTGTGGCTAGCGAAGCGCCACACGGACAGAAACCATCGTGCGTGATGTAACCGTATCCTTGACTCCAGTCACCTCGGGGGCCTGTGTACTTGGATGTCTTGTTCTTGGCAGAGATACCCTGGGTCTGCTCCCACGCGATCGTCGCGGAGCACCGAGGTTTCCAGATCAGCTCCGAGGCCTGCGCCTCCAGGTAGCCAAAAAACTTGTGAAGGACTGTCTTGGCGATGGACATTGGGGTCCGGAAGACCGCGGACCATTCAGTCAACATGCTCAAGGGGGTGATGCCGCGGAGGAGATCCGGCACGTTCCACATCGGTTTCTCGTCTCGATCGGAAGCTGGACTACCGCTGTGCACGGCTCGAGCTCCACCGATGGAGGAAAACCCTCGTACGTGATCTGCATCCGAAGGGGGCCACCAGTGTATGGGTCTGGCCTCGGTACCTGACGACCGCTGTCCACCGCGCGTTTGTATTCCCGCTTCCTGGCTGCGTTGTAGCTGTTTGTCGCCTGCACACCCCACTCGTTAATCTTGCCCATGGCCTCCTTCCAGATCTCAGTGGTGGTCTCGGCTGCCAAGGAGCATTTCCAGACATGATCGTTATCCTCCTTCTCGGGCTCGCATCGTCGGCATACGCATGTTGGGTACAGGTTGGGCTTGCGAGCCTGCATGGAGTTCAGAGTGGGCAGTATTCCATGCAACTTTTTGATGTGATGTGTTCGTTGATGGGAGTCCTTGCTGTTGCTGTAAAAAGTGAAGACTGCGTGCCTGTCATGGACATACGCCAAGGTCGAGTTCCATTCCACGTCCTCGATGTCAGGGATCGCCCTCTTGACCCATCTCTGTGATGTCCAGGCTTGATGGTGACGGATTATCGATTGTTGTTTGAGGATCTGACGTAAATCGATTTCAACAAGCCCGCCGTAACAATGTGCAAAGGTCGTGATATCCGTCTGTTGAGTGAGATCCACCATCACGGGCACCGAACCACTCTGTGCTGCCACCTTCGCCGCCTGATCCGCAAGCTCGGTTCCATGGACGTTGCTTTGTCCTTTGACCCACACCACGTCGACCCAGCCTGGCCGAGATTCCACAACCTGACAAAGCACCGCCCAGATACCCGCATATGTACTCCTGAATCGCTTCCTCGGTAAGGTGTCCCGACGATTCTTCACTAGACGACTGTACTGTTCCACCACTGACTGATTGTCCAGTTTGACCACAATGTCCTGCCCCGGAGGTGCTGACAAGACTGCGGCTAAAAAAACCATAAGCTCGGCCTTGGCCGAGGACGCGTGACCATCCGTTCGTCCTTGTACCGTCAGAGGGTTGTCCTGAGTGAGATCCACCACTCCAAAGGCCTGTGATACTTCCGGTGTTCCTGAGTTCAGAAGAGATCCGTCAGAGTACAGAACACGAGGGGTGGAGTTGTCAACGTGTGTGTCCTGAACCACGCGCATGGACGCCGCCTCTGCTGGAGACAGGCAAAGGGGGCCGATCTGTGTGGTCGGGGGTCCTGATACGGGCGGTGGTGAAAAATAATGATATGATAGGTGGAAGAAGATAATATGACATTGGATGCCAGAATGTGTCTTGGTCTGCCTCGTATGCTAGGAAAAGGTTTGACAGAAGTTGGTGGCGAAAAAAGAAGAGAAAACAAAAAGAAAGCTCCCTGGCGGGGAATTGAACCCCGGTCTTCCGCGTGACAGGCGGAGATACTCACCACTATACTACCAAGGAAGGTACTTTGTTGTGTAAGTCGATTTAAAAACATTTTTATTCAGAACCTTACAAATTTCACGTGACTTTGGGATAAGTTTTACCCAAAAAAAAAGAAAAAAAATGAAAAAAAAAAAAAAAAAAAAAAAAAAAAAAGAGGTGCGATTCTTTTAGTGGGTTCTGGAGATACCTGGGGCTGCTCCCCGAAGGCTGCGAGCTTACCACTTTGTATACTCATAGTAGGGTTTACGTTTTAGCGATTGTTGATTTTTCACACCATGTTAATAAGCGCAATGCAGCTGTAGCATGATTGAAAGTCTGGCGTTAAGAATACCAGTTTGATCTCGGAAAAGTAACAACAATAACGTGTGATAGTCATTCGCTCTTGGCAACACCCTCAAAACAGCATGCCTCCACGACCCACGCGCCGAGAACCCAGTCTTATTCAGCATCACACCTCCCCTCCACCCTTCACCCAGCTCCATTTCCTAATACATATTTTTGTCTTAGTTTCGCACTTTCACCGACGCAATGATGGGAACATCATTACAAGAGGATGACTGAAAAGGAAGCATGCACTGGCACAACCACACTATATTTTCCGAAATCTACAAGGTCTTGGTTGGTGCCTATAGGACTGATTGAAGCTCTGACAGAATTTCATCTGCCTTGTCCCAGTACACGATCCTTGCATAAATGGCCTCCCGGACTCCAGGCGCATCAGTCTTGTTAAGGTACTTTTCCAGCGAACGACCCTTCCTCACAAAGTAGATATCCTGCAAAGACTTCATTCGGAGTGCGGGACAGTAATCATTCCGACCATCACCCACATACAACATCCTGGGCGCCGGTACTAGCTTCCCAGACAACTCAACAGTAATTCCTGCCTGGTTATCATTACCCAGTTGTAACAACAACTTGTCGACCTCTTGTCCTTTACAGATGTTCAGACTGCAGACTCCAGTAGGGCATCCGTGAGGTGTTCCGTCAGCTGGAATAAGTCGTTGGATGTGAAGGCGGTCCTGCGCATCCCAGAATGCAGGATTGGTGATAATGGCGCTGAATAAGTTCCTGATCCCATAGTGCTAACAAGGTTTCATTGTTTGTTGAACACAAACAGTTGTCGTTAGTGTGGGAACGGACAAACACAATAGCAGCGGCTGAGTAAACCCAAAGAGATACAACGAAGAAGAAAAAAAACGAGAGTTATTCGTACCTCAAGGATGCCCTCGATGTAGACTTGGTTGGCGTCGGAGACGATGGCAAGCACCCAGCCCTTGGAGTAAAGCAATCGGCACGCCTGGATCATATTGTTGTCCAAGGGAATTTTTGTCAACGACTCCCGAATCTTGTCGCCAGTCCCGCCTTGCCCGTGATACTCCTTGAGGCACTCATTTCTATTGCATCATGACAACAACATCGCGTGGCATGGTTAGCTACAGGCGAGAAACGACGACTCAACGAAGCGGATAGGGTAACAAGAGATACTGCCTGTTGGTGATTATGTTACTGGAGGTCAGTCCATTGCATGGGGCTGGTGTCGAGCTTGTGACGAAGGACTGGGGACAGGTACTCGATCACGAAGCGGTCGGAATCTGTGTCGATGAGTGACCTGTGTGAAGAAAAAGAGGAATGGACAAGGGGAGAAAGGGATGAAGTGTTCAGTTGTGGTTGCTGTGTTTCTTTTCATGAGCGAGCTTGTCCGTGGAATAAAGTCCTGGGTGAGGGTGTGTACCAGTCAAAGTCGAAACATGCGAGTCCTGATGGTGCCATTCGGTCAGTGAAAGGAGCGAGGAAGAAGGGAGGAAAGAAGGATGAGGAGCATAACCGAATGCAGTCGACCAAGAAAAAGAAAAGGGACGGTTGGCTGGCGCAACACGTGTGTCTGTGTGCCGTGCCTTTAATCGGTCTTGATTGTCGCGTCCGCCCTTGTCGCGTCTGGCTCTCTCACACTTTGTCAGTCTCTCAGAGACGCGTCCACCCTGCCCCATCCGCCACTCCCCTATTTGATTGCAATGATCGTTCTAGTGTCGACCAACAGGACACACGTCGGCAAGAGAAAAATATGAAAAAAGGAATGGAAGGGGCACCTTCCAACTTGTGCCAACTAAGAGTCCTTTCAATTATCTCCTCTCCGTCCCTTGTCACGTCGCAGTCGATCCACTGGTCGGGGACATTCTCAGTCCCCCATTTCCCCACTGCTTTCCTTTCGTTTTCTCTGTTCACGATTGATGCCTTTCTTTTTTTTATCATCTTCACTTTCCTTCTTTTGAAAGTGCAATCCTCATCTTTTAATCACTCATAGACGAGCTATTTCGACCATGGTATCGACTGCACTTCTTATCCTCGCTCCAGTCCTCATTGGGGTTATCATCTTTGGCACAACTATACTTCTCTCCTCCAGCAAAAAACCCAACGTCAACGACACCGACCTTGGCAACATCACCACCACTGCTCAGCTCATCGCAACTGTCCTCATACCAGACAAGGTCGCAACAACCGTTTCACTTGTCTTCACCACCTCTCCTGTAATTGTCACCTTACCACCAATAGTTCATCCAGTGACTACCACGGATACTGATCCGCCTGCTACGACAACCAAAGATCTAACGCAGAAACCAGTCAAAGAAGGCGCCCCTCCATCTCCATCGCCCTCCAAAGCAAAGTCAGAGACCACCACCACCGAGAAGGCAGCAGTTGTCACCACTCTGTCCTTAAAGCCTACTCCAAGCACAACTACCACGATCGAGAGCCCGACTCCAACCAAGTCTGGCATCACCGTCTTTCCTGGCATCACTATACCGAACCCACTCGATCTGTTCAAGCCTGCAGAGCCTGTAGAGCCGCCAGAGTCGACCACTACCACTACTACTGCCGCTGTCGTTTCTCCGACTACCACAACTACCGCAAAGGAAGTTCCCACGACGACAACGACTATGGCAAAGGAGCTCCCAACGGCGACAAATGCAACAACAATCACGACAACGGCAGCAAACCCAACTCCAACCAGATCAGAAATCACTATATTCCCTGGCATTACTATCCCAAACCCAGTCGACCTCTTCAAGCCTGCAGATCCACCGAAGCCAATCAATACTACTGCTGAAATTGATGCGATTACAACAACTGTCGCAAAAGAGATCACCAAGCCTACCACCACTACAACAACAACGACGGCAACAAGGGCGACCACTTCTACTACCACGACAACAACAAGACTAACCCTCACCAAATCAGGAATCACCATCTTCCCTGGAATCAACCTTCCTAACCCGTTCGACCTGTTCAAGCCCGCAGAGCCTCCAAAGTCAACCAACACGGCCGTTGCAGCCGCTGCTACAACTACAACAACTGTCGCCAAGGACGTCCCGGGGCCAACACCAACAGTGACCACCACAACGGCAGTAGCCGCAGCTATAGCAGCAAGTCCATCACCTACCAAAAGGCCAGGATTCACTCTCTTCCTAGGAACCACCCTTCCGGACCCATTAGACTTGTTCCCTCATGGCCATCCCGGCGGCGAAACGGGGTCTCTATCACATCGACTTCATCCTACCAAGGTCGATGATATTACCAAGGGGAAGGAACATGTGGAAATTGAAGACTATGACGATATTGAGGACGTGCGGGATGGACAGAGCCAGGACAAGGCAGATGCCGACGAGGAGTGGGAGGACGAGGACGTACAGCACAAAGGACCGATCAAAACGGGCAGCCCGCAGAAAGGTATAATATGGTTACTGCTAAAATTGGCGTTCTTTTCATTATACACGGACGTTAGGCTAACCATTGCCTTTCACTTATGGCTCTATGGCTGCACCAGTCTTGAGGCAGAGGTCGCTGAAGAGAGTTCGAGGACAACACCACCATCGACGAAGCACACAAAGGGCACGACTCGTCCGGCGCCAAACACTGTCGCTCCATGATGTGATTCAAATAGCGCGCAATATCACCGTTTCTCCACCAGTCAAGACCCTGCATCTCATCTCAGAAAGTTCTACTACAACCACAACCGCGGCAACAAATCCGACCATACCACCTCACTCAGTTGTCAACAGAGATCGCAAGGATACTGTCATCAAGGATACAGACTCCAACAAGGAGGAGAAGCTATCAACTCCTCTACAGTCACCACCAGTCTCCAACTCAGAATCCGTTCCACCTGCTTCATCTCAAGACGCACAGGAACCAGACAAAGTCGTTCGAGGAATATCTCAATCTGATCGTCAACAAACTCATCCAGAGCGACGAAATGGAACCTTATCAAGATCTCCTCTTTGAAAGCATAGCCGTCTCCAAGCTCGAGATCCCGGAAAACAACGATGACGACTCAACCCTCGACTTTGACACCGACGACCAAGTCGACACCCTCTACTCCTTCCGCACATCACATCCCCCCTCTTCTGACAACAACCCGGTCTTCCAAGGTCCCCGAGCAGTCTCCCGTGTCTCAATCTTCACATCAATCCTCAACACATTTCTCCCACCCTTCATCCTCCGCTTTCGAGCCGACCTACGTAACTTCCTCTTTTGGATCTGCTCACCCAACTCCTCTGTCCATATTGATGGCAAAGACGCCAGCGGCGACGGCACATGGGCCAGAAAAGTCACCCAGGACGATATCGACAAGTTGATCCACCCCGATGGGTCCATCGACCTCAAGTCGATCTGGGATCCGAGTGTCGGACCCCTTGCTCTGGAATGCATCAAGAGTCATGCCCAGGTGTTTTGGAATGAGGTGTCCAGGCTAGTGGGGACTCGGTTCACACAGATCAAGGAAGTTTTTATTGATCAGCTTAGAGGACTCAGCGGTTGGCCACAGTTCTCCAGCTCTTCTGTTCCTGCCGAAAATGCCATGATCGATTTGCCAGACCAGCAGCGGGAGGAAAAGGAGCAACAACAACAAGAGGAGCAAGTAACAAAGGCAAAAGAACAGGATACGGACACTATTGCAGATCTGGATATCGCAGGCGAATATACCCAAATGGAAGAACCAGAGTTTTCCTCCTTTTCTGCTCCCGCCATCACAGTCGCTCAAGAAAAGACGAGCTCATCCCCGATCCACCCAAACCAGCATCGAAAACAAGGAAAGCCCTCGCCCGCCTCTGACCAAGCCCTAAACCTGAGGGCAAACCAAAGAATAGAGGCGACTTCTGACAAGGCTGATGGGTTTGTGAAATGGTTTGTTGACACTGTGGTGAACGAGTTGCAAGACGGTTACTTCGCAGACGCCAAGGCTCCTGCTGTCTCCAGAGTCGAAACTCAGCCAAGTGGTAGTGAGGATGATGGTTCACGCGAGGCGGGTGAACGGATCTGTGCCTGGATGAAGGAACGAGTTGAAAACGTCCTTCAGTAGCTCCCTTCAACAACATAAAAACACTTAAAAGATAACATTAGACTTCCCTTATCAAACAACAACGCGAACTCAAACATGGGGTAGAGAGACGCCAAGGTTGAGTATCACGGTTGGCAAATCATCCAAACACATGTAGCTACTATCCTCTGATCAAGAACAATGGTCATCCTGGTAAGACAAGATAGAACGACAAAGAACCAACCCCACGTTGTTTCTCTAGGACCCTGCCTTGATCCCCTATCTTCCCGTAAGTCGCTCCGGATCATCATCGGGGATGGGATGAACAAGGGAGCCGAGTCTTATGCACGCGTAAAATAGAACAGGCAAAACAGACAAAAGAAAAAGACTCATATCGCGCCGCAGCTCCAGCTGACACCTTTGGCTCGCACCAACCTGCGGATCCCATTGCGCACGCATATGACTCTTATGAGCTTGACCTCGATTTTCTACCTCCCCCTTTATCGATTGAATCGTTCCTAAGGGAATTCATGAAGTGGTTTCTTTAGAAACCCCAACAAAGGGAAAAGTGGGAGGAATACGCAGGGGTAATAAAGGGCCAAAGAACAAGTCAGGAAAGGCTATAGGGACTGGAAAAAGAGGAAGAACGGTCATCCCGAGGAGGAAAGGCGCGATCGCATCCTGTCCCTGTACCTGTTCTAGTACCTATTTCGCTTGCCTTCCTTTTTCATTGCTCTATTGGACATGATCAGCAGGTACAGGTATGGTACACAATAACAGGAAGAAAAGGTTCAAGAAAAAAAAAAAAAGTGGAGCGGAAAATAGACACTGTGGTTCGATCCAATCAAAGCACACGCCTAGGATAGTCCTCCTGGTAAGCGGTGAATAAAGGTAAAAATGGAAGCCAATGCCTCCCCCATTTGTACCGCATCAATTGCACATCCTTTATTCCCTGCTGTTTTAATTACAGCACCCGTTCTTCGTCCATCATATGGTCCCGATCCTCCTGGCAACCATGCCAGCCGCAAGCCAAAAGGGTCAGGTCAGAACGACGATAAAGAAAAGCGCAATCAAGCGAAGCGGGGTAGCAAAGAAGGTTGAGCCATAGAGAAGTCTTCACCATTCACCATAACCAAATCGTACAATTGGAGGGCCAACCAAAGCGGAAGCTATTCTAGAAATCATAGTCCACAATACATACAAGTCAAGCCGTGAGAAAAAAAAGTGGATGACAACCTACTTTTCGTGCCTGAGCCTCGTTCCCTTTTCTCCCATTTACTCCTGAAAGATGTGTGAGTAAGGGCTGTGAAGAGGACAAACCATAACCACCTTTTCCCATCCCCCAAGTAACTCCACATTCCTGCTCTTTTTGTTGATTTTTTAGCCCTTTTGTTGAATTGTTGGTGCTCGGACAATTAAGGAGTTTTCTCAATTCCTTTCTTGTTGTCGTGCTCATTCTTCCTTGTTATGGCTTAATTGTTTGTCGGCGAGGAAGTGGGGAAAAATAACTTTAAGGCCTAGGCGGGATAGAGAGAGAGGAGAAGAGGTCTGGACACGACGACCCTTCCGCTGAATAAAAAAAAGACGATCAGCACAAATTGGACGGACACTTGGCAGACTAACAGGCAAAGTAGATCCACCATAGTTTTGCATGCATGCCAAGGTTGTCTTTGAATACAATAGTTATTGTTCTCGGTTATTTATTATTATTTTTTTGGTCTATGGTAAAAGCAAGCGAAAAAAGAAAGGAAATGGCGAAAAAGCAAGAAAAGAAAGCTTGGTATTGTACAATTTTGGATGCTCGGTTTATTTTTTTGGTGGTTGTTTTCAAAAAGGAGATTAATAGGAATACAGGTGTTACAACAAAAAAAAAAGGATGTGGTTTAGGGAGCTCATACTTCAGATTCTACCAGAAGTTGCTCTTCTTGGTGGTCATCGAGTACTGGGGAGCAGCCATAGTGGTCAATGACTTGCGGCGCAAATCCAAATCGTAACCGGCTCCTGTTGCTGCTGCTGCTGGCTGGCCCAAAGAGAACGAGGCAGGCGAGATGCGGCCGTAGGCAGAGGTTGTATTGTAGACATAGTTGCTCATGGGCGAGGTGGGTGGCGAAGGGTAGGCCGACAAGGGGCCAGTCGAGCTGAGACCAGCAAGGGTGGGCGAAGAAAGAGGTGAGTACGAAGGCGATGAGGTTGAGGTTCGCTGATGGCGTCCAGGGAAGGAGTCCATCATCATCTGCCCAGGGTATCCGGCAGGGGCTCCAGTGGCAGTGGACTGGGAAGCGAGGGCATCGGCCTTCTTGCAGCGATCAGAGCAGTAAAGGCTCGACTATTGAGTTGATAGTGAACAAAGAGAGGAAGAGCGTTAGGATGATTTGTTGCTAAATGGTCTCACTGTTGGTTCATCAGTTATTAGCAATCAACAAGGGCCTTACCTCCCAGGCGAGGGGGATGTGCTGTTCGCAGACGGGGCACCAGTTAAGATCCATTTGGTAGATTGTTGGTGGGTAGTAGGTGGTGTTTTTTGGGGTGAGGGTTGGTTGTGTTGTAGCTTGGTCAAGCAGACAGAGTTAAAAAAATAATATATAAAAAGCTATTTAGCTGGTAGTCGGTGAGGAGAGTGAAGCGGTGCTCGTTGAAGTGAGGCTGAGGAGAGTTGAAGAGTTGTTGAGGCGGAGAGAAGACATAAGAAGGACGCTTAGAAGGTCAAGTCGAGTTGGTTTGGTTTGGTTGGCTGGTGAGCGTTGGTAGAGGTGGTAGTAGTAGTGTGGAGAAGGTGAAGGTTGAGATGGTGAGGATTGTTTGGTAACAAGTAAAGAACAAGACAAAAAGAGGGTGGGCGTGTCTGTATTTATATGAGCAGCAGCCAGGCTGACACCATATGAAGGTGTGATGAGGTGGTGAGTGTGCGATTCGATACATCTGATTCGATATTACGACACTTGTATCGATAGGCAAGAGGGAGTATTCTGAAAATATTACTTTTCAATTCAATCGAATATCGCACACCACTCCAGATAGATAATCGACTCATTCTTTGACAATTTCCTATCTGTCTGGCGGGGATCCCGACCATTGTTCTCATCCTGACACCTGCTGCTGCTGTGTGTCTGTCTCCACTCCGCTGATTCGTGGTTCCTCTAAAACGCACAAAAAAGAGTCATCCTTACCCACGAACTCACTCTCTGTACATGACCATTCAGTCATTATTCATTCACACACACTCAATCACCTTGCTCGCACAAACCATCCCCTCATTCTCCTTCTGGTTTGTCAGTCCCAACCCACACATGTCCCTTCTCACCGACTGCACCCTCGCACCTCAATTGACCCAAAGACGTAACAAAGCAACAACATTCGCCCATCCCGTCCTTATTTCGCCACCGCATTATTACAATTGTCAATGCGCTCGTCCCTTCTCCATGTTTGCTTTCTTGCTTTCTCTCTCTGTATCTCTTCCTCCTAACTATCTTGTCCCGAATAAAACCCTTCTTTGGGTCAAGTTTTGTAGATTGCCGTTTTGCATGACAGTCAGGAGGATTCTGTCTCTCTCTATATATCTCTTTTTCTCTGTTCATGTCGATGCGATCGTCGCTTTCTCTACGACTTCGTTGTCTTTGTGATAGCCAAACACACCCTTCTTTCTCGTCCTCTATCTCTCACCTTCACTTCTGTCCCTATCCAATCTCAAGCACAAAGCATCTGATACTATTTGTCACAACAGCTGTCTCTGGCCCTGTTTCGTCCTCAATCGAGAAAAAGGGAAAAAAGATACGCCTTTTTCGATTACCCCAGCCGGCCGCCGACTTGCCAAAAACATGCTATTCAGCCCAGCCAGTGCGAAACGAAAACAAAAAGAGAGAATGCGCGGTACGTAGTCATCCACATCCACACACCATTTGCGTATTCCTTTGCGTTCTTTGTTTCTTTTTCTTTCCTTTGTGTGACAAATGCCTTTGATATAATGTCGTCATTTTTTGGAATTTCCTTTTCCTTTTCCTGGTCACCGCCCCGCCCTCTCGCTCTCCCGCTCATTTCCCATTGCTGGATAAATAATTGAACCCCTCATCCCTTTTCTGTTCTGTTCCGAGAACAAAACACCGCAGCACACCATCATCGCCCATTGTCGTTCCTGATTCCTCTTTTGGTGCTGAATAAGGCATAACGCCGGTCGCCGTCGCGGTCTTGTCGGTCTTTGCGACACCTCAGAGAAAATGCCTAAAGGAAACAATTCATTACTGATTTCACACATGGTCGTCATCGTTGATATTCTTTTTGTTCCCTTTAGTCTGGCCCCTACCTATCCCACAGCAATTGAAGTGGAGGCTACCCGACATATGAACCTAAAATGGTGTGCCTGACAACGAGAGAGAGAGAGAGAGAGAGAGAGAGAGAGAGTGGCAAAGAGGGACGAAATCCAAAGGCCCAACTATGGCGACATCACCACTATGAAGTCGACCAAGAACGACATCATCCTTTACCATTGTGCTGTAATCTTTTTTCTTGTGCTTCTTTGCTCAGTCCAGATGGTGCCGAGACGAGTGCGATTGACAGATCCGCAAATTGCACGAATCAGGGAGAGATAAATTGACAGACGGGCCGACAAAGATGAGTATCCTGGCAAGATGAACATCTGTCCAGGCACACATACGAACACATATACGAACGCACACACGAGTGACTCTTTCTTTACTTTCGGCTCCAGCTTAACGCTGTGCAACCATTCATCGCCTCTCTAGTCTGTGCACGACAACCTCGACGCCTTAGCTTCGATGTCGCCATCACGAGCAACCGACAACTTCAATTCAAAGTAAAATGAACAATTGCTCATACATAGCCTCTTACTTTCGCTGCCTTCATATGCGCTCAGAGCAGACGCCCATACTCGTTCGTTCATCTGCCTTATTGCTTTGTACTCACATCCCCGGTTGAGCAATTGGGACTGAACAACGAAACCTACTCACATTCTGAGTTCTCTGTTAACCCATTACCTCTTCATCGGTGCTCCTTATCCGGTTCTTGAGTCTGTACAACCACCGGGTCCCGTAACCGTAACTAACATTCATGCTCCTTATGAGAAACTAATAAAAAACGATACAACCCAGCTCATGCAATTGACACACTCTCTTTCCTATTTTTCATATATTCCTGGCTCCACATGTCAATCATAAACAAATCCTCCAGCACCTTCTTTCCAATCGGTCCCGTCACCGTTCGCCGCTTTCTTTTTTTTTGCTTTCTTCTCGTGTCATTTTTGCAAAACAACCAGTTTTTGCGTTCCTGCCTTGCACAACCAGAATTGGTCTCTTGGCGGCCTAGTGTCAAACACAAACACAAGCACTTACTATCTCGCTAACTATTCCCTATCCTGGTTCCCGTATCTTTTCCCACTTTTTCCTATCCTTAGACCCCTAAACGTGCTGTAAATACTTCTCGTCCTATCTATTTTTACACAAGCACGCACACACATGTCCCTATCATGTTCACCCACAATTGTCGCACCCATCATAGCACACGGCATCCACTCATCCAACTACACAAGCAACACAAAGACACGACATCTCATCTGCCTTATTCATTCGGTCCTTCAAAAAAAAGAAAAGTAAATATCCGATTCATTGCTGGTTTCCATATGCCAGACAGACAGGGGAGGATGGAGCAATCCATATTAAAGAAGACGAGCAATTGGTCGATCTATATAGACGTCGTGGAGCGGGAACAGAGCCAGCGAAAGAGCAAGAGAGAGAGAGATCCTCCTTCCTTACCCCACTACTGCCAATAATAACAGCGATGGACAGCTGCATATCTTAAAGTCCACGGACTCAAATGGAAGAAAAGAATAGGACACTGGCAGGGTGGACGACCTCGTTGTTATGCGGGCTGTTCTTATTCGTTTGGAAACCAGATGCGGGTTTGATTATCCCCCGTCCCCTGGGGATGAACCGGAAGAGTCCGCCAAAGGGCATTCCCGCTCTGCCAACGTGGACCACCAACGTGGGCTCGTTTCGTTTGGTGCACTTGAGGGGCTTGAAGGAGTCCGATATGAATAAGAAAACTGATAGGGAGAGTTGTACGTGATGTCTATCTTGACTGCGATGTTTTTTATTTCGTTTGTTATGACCATCAAAGGGTCGATTCGCAGGTGGATCTCTAAGAGGTCTTCCTTCCTATGCATTTAATGTAATTGATACTGGTAGTTGTGGGTTTGGGTTGAATGGGATTGTAATATAAATATACAAGCGCGCCTTCTTCTACGTCATCTTCATTCAACAGCAGGGCACTCGCATGCTTCTTCTTCTTCTTCTTCTTCGGAGTGCATGGTCTTTATGCCTGGGGAATGACAACCATATCGTCACGGTCGACACCGACACCGATCCACTCAATTGGGACCCCGCAGATCTCCTCAATGCGGTGGATATACTTCTGGGCGTTGACGGGGAGATCATCGAAGGTACGGCACTTGGAGATGTCGGTCTTCCAGCCGGGCATGGTCTCGTAGACGACCTCGACGTTCTCCAGCAGCGACAGGTTGGCAGGGAAGCCCTCGAGGACCTTGCCGTCGACCTTGTAGGCCACTCCGATCTTGATCTCGTCCAGCTGGTCCAAAATGTCCAACTTGGTAATGTTGAGCGACGTGTATCCGTTGATAATGGTCGAGTAGTTGACGACGACCATATCCAACCATCCGCAGCGACGCTTGCGACCAGTCGTCACTCCGACCTCGAAACCGACGCGCTGGAGGTACTCGCCAATCTCGTTCAGCTGCTCAGTGGGGAAGGGGCCACCACCAACACGGGTGGTGTAGGCCTTGACGACACCAACAACCTTCTGGATGGTCTGGGGTGGGATACCGAGACCTGTGCAGACACCTCCGATGGCAGTGTTGGACGAGGTCACATAGGGATAGGTGCCCCAGTCGAGATCAAGCATCAATGCGTTGGCTCCCTCGACGAGGACCTTCTTCTTGTCCTTGATCGCCTTGTGCATGAAGTAGACACTGTCAATGACATATGGCTTGAGCTTCTCAGCCAACACCTGTTTGTATAGGTACAATGTTAAAGGAAGATTCATGCGTTAGTCAACTCTGGCACAGGATCGGTTAACTGAATAAGGGCTATGCTCCTTGAGTATCTTTTCAATAAGATGGGATAACAGGTAGTCCATGAGAATGCAATCCTTGATAACAACGAACAGGGAGGGACGTACCTTATATCTGGCGAGCTCGGCCTCGACGTCGTATTCAAAGGCACCGTAGCGCTTGTGCTTGTTCTCGACGAGAGTGCGGAACTTTTCTGAAAACTCCTCAAAGTTGTACAGGTGGTGGACACGGAGACCGGAACGGGAGGCCTTGGAAGAGTAGGTTGGGCCAATTCCCTTGCGGGTGGTTCCAATGCTAATATTCATGACAATTGAACAGAAAGAAAGATGGGCGTGTGAATATGAGTGTGTGAAATTGAGTGGGCTGTGAGTCATGGAATTTACAGTTGTGCCTGAAATAAACTCTCCCTCTCCCAGGTCTGTGTGGTGCCGCATGTTAATGCTGGTCCAGTTTCGCCTTTGTCTTTTTTTCCCTTCTTTCTCATGGTCTTGTTGTCCCAGCAACAACAAATCAACGGGTCAAATTTAGCGCACAGATGAAAGAAGACAATTACCTTCCACGACCCAACTCCAGCTCCTTGAGGCCATCGATGATCTGGTGGATATCAAAGACAAGGTGAGCTCTGTCAGAGACAAAGAGACGTCCGGTGCAGTCCAAACCTGGAAGGATCGAAGAAGAAACGAAAGAAGGACGAAGAGTCAAGATGAAGGGGAGAAAGGTTAGAAAAACAATGCGAATCGAAGAAGGGATCAAGCGGACCAAAGCGGAGATGAGCGGCTGCACAATCATAAAAATAGTGGGGATCCATACATATATGACTGAAGTGAATAAGAAAAAATAACAACAAACGAAGGAAATGCGGTTGTTCAAGTCAATTGAACAAAACGCAGTTCTTGTTGGGGGAATGGAAGGGGAAGGAGAAAAAAGAAGCAAACTTACCCTTCTTCTCGAGGCTAGTGAGCTCCTCGAAGAACGAAGGAACATGAACAACGACACCGGCACCAACAACAGAGGTGCAGTTCTCGTTCACAAGACCTATTCACACATACATATATAGATGTTTTAAGCAAAAAAAAAGAGTCAGCGGTTTTCCTTGTTGTGGTTGTTGTCGATCTTCATCCGACACCGAAGATGAATCCTTTGTGTTTGTTGCAATGTTGTCCATATCTTGAAGAGTCTCTCGATCCTCGTTGTTATCGTGATCCTTACCGGAAGGGAGCATGTGGAAGTCATACTTGGTCTTGCCGACAACGATGGTGTGTCCAGCATTGTTGCCACCCTATTTATTGCATAGCAAGTTCGGTTGAAAGAAAGACGGTTGTTAGAATGCATGGTAGATCAAAGTGTCCTCTTTAACATTTTTCTTTCTCTTTCTTTTTTGCTCGCTCCTTCAGACCGCTTGTTGATAGTGGTTGTGCCATTGCATCAACAAAAACAGAAAGACAAGACAAATCAAGTACTGTCATCCAAAATGAACAAGGAGTTACCTGGCAGCGGGCGCAGACATCGGCTTCCTGGGAGAGGATGTCGGAGAGCTTTCCCTTTCCTTCGTCGCCCCACTGAGCACCGAGAACGACGGTGACGCCCTTGGAGGACATACCGGCCGACTTTTGGGAGGTCATTGTTGGTGTTTTGTTGTTGTTGTTGTGAAGGGCGGAAGGGAGGGAGGGGTGCAATGAGGTAAGATCAACAGTGGGGAGGTGTTGTTGAAATGAACGGGAGTTGTTGCAAGAAAGCAAATGGGCCTACTGCTCTGCTGCCTTTTATTCTCTTTTCTGGCTTTGCCTTCGCACACTGTACTGTACCCTGTCCATCGTAGCAGTCATCGGTCGGACTCTTTAAATTTTTTTTTTCTTCTCTGACTCGAAGCACTTTTTGTTGTTCTCATCGGCCAATCGTGACGTTCCTTCGACTGAGAAGAAGAGGTCTTATCCGTTACGGGGGTAAAGGGATAGACGTCTGTCATGGCCGGAAAATCACTCACTCGCTCGCTCGCAAGTAGCAGTTATCTGGAAGTGAAAAGATGTCCATTCTAGGGTAATAGCCCGAAAGGGGGCCGTCTCCGCTGCACTCTAAGCGATCAATCAAGACGAAGGGTGTCCAGGCTGGTTTTCAATTCCTATCCAACAAGGAGGTACAAGCTTGTATCCGATCTGGCATGCAGCATATCCAATGCATAGATAATTCCTTGTGTGCTTCTTTGGCCGTTGCAGTGAGTACCTGTGTTGTGTGTGTGAAGCCGAAGCTGGACGCCTGATCCATGCCGTGGAACGGCAATTGGAGGTGTCAGGTGATTCGCGCCTCTAAAATGCAAAGTGTGGAAACGAAAAAAAAGTTCCTTTCCTTCCTTTCTCCCCTCCAAACCTAAAAAGACTTCTGGACATTCTGCGACACGAACGACAAAACGACTCATTTGGAGTTTCAACAACAACAACAGCAACAACAGCAACTCGCGCACACTGAGAAACCAATCTCTCTCTTTTTTCATCAACCAAACAACCAACCAACAATTAAAAAACAACGGGACAGAAAAAGCATACAAGCACAATGTCAAGACCAACGATGAGGGACGACATTGTGGTCGACAGGTCACCTCTGGTCGACCGATACTTGCCACGCCAACCAACAACAGCAACAACACCCGCCTCGCCTGGACAACAGCCTGCTCCTGCCGCCGCGGAAGGCCAAGGAGAAAACAAGCTGAACCGGAAGCAACAGCTTATTCAACAAAATATCGAGTTGCGAAAGAAGTTTGAAACCATGGTGCTCCAGTGGCAGGAGGTCCTCCTTGACCCTGTGACCGAGGAGACATTGGGTGAGGCGGTGAGTATTTTTTTTTTTTCCTTTTCTACGTCGTTACGCACACGGGAGACAACTGTATCAATGAGCCATCCTTGGCATACATGACATACAGGACAGAAGTTATATCAGTGCCATTATTACCTGCGCTTTACCTTCAATAGTCGAACCGCATCAAACAGTCTCACTACAAGGAGATCATCGAGGAGAGGAACATCGTCAAGCTTTGTGGATACCCGCTGTGCGCCAAGCCACCAAGGGTATGTCTTGTAGTTCGCCATCTTATGGACTCTGTCTGTGTTCATATCAAGGACCAATTTGTCAAAGAAAAAAAGAGGTACTCACAACGGATTATTTTATTTCTAATCCTCTTTATGACAAAATAGGATATCAAGGGCAAGTTCAGGATCTCTTTACAGGAGCGAAAAGTCTTTGATATCTCAGTGCTCAAGCAATACTGTTCATCGACTTGCCTGACAGCTTCGCGGTGGCTGGAAGGCCAATTAACTGAGGACCCCCTATACCTGCGGGACAATGATCCAGAACACCTGAGGATCACTCAAGTTTCCATCGTTCCCCTAGACATGGAACTCGCGTAAGTCTCACGCATGTCATCAGTTGTCGCTGTTCCTTTGTTGCTAAATTCTTTCTTCAATTGATAATTATAGATAGCTAACACTATCGTTTCTCTGTGAAATTGTAGTGAATACCAGGCATTACGTGCGGCAAACAGGGAGCAAGAGCAGGAGATCAAAACATCTCCAGCATTCAGCTTACCAACACACAGCCTCGCAAGCGCCACAGGACAAACCCCAGAAGGACCAGCGTCGCCAACATCAACAACCGCGACAAACATGCCTTCGTCCAATTCTCTCGGAAACTCATATGTCCAATCGATTCTCGCCTCTGTACCAGCAACTCCGTCTTTCATCAAGATCGTGGAGAGGGACACCGTGAGCGAGATTCCTCACGAACCATTGGATATGAGTGACATGGATCAGCAGATGCAAGAATCATTTGGCATCGGTGGAGGAGATGAGGTTGAAGGATACAGCGTGCCTGTTCCTAAACAAAAGAGGCCCTCTGGAGGGTTATCCACTCGTCAACAGAGGGATACCAAAGTGATTGAGCAGCAGATGGCCAGTGTCACCATTTCAGAGGACCAGCCAATGTCGCGGACGGGAAGCTCGATGTCAATGGATACCCAGCCATAGGCCATGTCATTTTGTTCGTCTCAATCTCTTAAAATGAATTGGCGTCCACACTGAAAGAAAAAATAAAAGTGAAGAAAAAACAATACCAAACTAGCCTATTGATTTCCACTCAGGAACAGCACTGAAGTGTGCATGTGCTAATTGCCTCTAATGAGTAATGCTCACTTTCTCTCCGAGCGCCTTTCCTTCCATAAATGAATCGACTCTCATGTTCCTTTCCCATTTTTCAAAGAGGTGATGAGCGAGCAAGGCTACAACAGCAGTGGGACCTGCCTTCTCGGTAACAGCTTTACTGAAGAAGTCATGAAACTGAAGCCAACCCAAGCACAGATGAAAGAATACATTGCATTGGTGCCCGTCAAGCCGCTACCCTCCCCGCGATCCTCAACATCTCCAAGGCCCCCAAGATCCCCAAGAAGCACCGCCGAAACCTGGGGAGCGAATCAGGCTATTTGACGCCTCCCAAGGGCGCGCTCCTCAGAACTGCGCCTGTACTGATTGCAGTCCATTACTCGACTGACTGGAGACGGACACTTGTAAAGATGAACCATGCTAGGTTAATGGCTCAATCACGGACACTGAAGGTCAAATGCCGGTTCCATGGCGGGAAGCCTATTGTTTCGTGTGGCAGGTCGTTCAGGGGGCTGGATTTTTTGCTGGCATGTGCGATTGGCATCTACATAGGCGCACCTACCGTCCTGATTCCTTTTGTTGATTTTAAAGTCTGGCTCCAGCTCTACTTTGAAGCCGTCAAGTCCTTTAATGGTAAGTTGTAAGATATTCTCTGGCGCTTGTTTGCACCACGTTGGTCAACGCACAAACTGTCGAGTCCTCACCTCTTGTCTTTTTACGTACGATCTAGCGATGGTGGGGCAGTCCTTTGGAAGCGGTCAAGAAACATTCTCGCCAGCCTCGATGCTACCCCCCTACCCGTACCCATCCCCGCTCGCTTTGCCACTTCACTCTTCATTTCCTACCAACCTCCCATCCATCCACAACTTCCTAGTCACCTCCGACAGTAGACCCAACCTCGACACCATCAAAATCCTCGAAACCCAGTTCTGTCCCCTCTCCTCCGTGGCTCCTTCCTCCATCCCGTCGTCGTCGTATGTATCCTCGCTTGCCAGATCGGGCAATGACCTCGAAAGAACGCGACTGAACGGGGTGTTTAGCCATTTGGTTAATCCACTCATAACCACACGGTCGTCTATAGAGATTGAGCCGGTGCGTTTGCATATCTCTCTCCATGCTCTGAGACGCGGTATTGTCGAGATTACGACTGAACATGACGACCTCACCGGTATCTGGATCGAAGACAGTGGCATCGTAAGTTTTTTTGTTCACCTATTTTTACTAACATCGCTCATTCCCAATAGTTTTCAGCAACGCATCTCACAAGACCTCTAACGTCCTTGCCTTCATCGATTTAGCCGGTGTGTGGAACGACGGTAGCGATTGTGAACCCAGAGGCGTCAGAGATATGTCTCTCCCACGAGATTGGCGAGATCTGGGTCTCCTCTGAAGCTAACGTCCAGTCCTACATCGGCCGCACCTCCACCTCTTCGTCTACATCAATCGCAAAAGGGTCTGACGCGATGATCGAAATCACCAAGAACAAATTCCACGCCAGAATCGCCCCAAGTCCAGTCGCTGACAGCGGTAGTGGCGTCAGTGGAGTTCAGCAACAACAGCACCAGGACCGGCAGCAGAAGCAACTTGGGTCCAAGACATATGTCCGTACAGGAGAGATTGGGTTTTTGTGGAACTTTGCAACTCCAGAGTTCAATGGTGGACAGTCTACCAGCTTGTTGTTTGTGTTGGGGTCCATTGGAGAAACCTTTGAGGTGCAGGGTTTGCTCCATTTCCCTGTCGATGTGCAGAAGACCATCGAGGGTGCTCACTCTAACTTTGCCCCTGGCGGAAGGTATGACCATCTCTATCCAGATCGAGTTGTCAGTTGTTCTTCTTTTCTCTCCCAAAAAGTGACTCTAACTAATGCCCTTTCTTACAACCTACCGATGTAGTATTATGTTCTAGGCAGAGGAAGCGGTCGTCTGTGTCGTCACTGTCCACCAGGCGGACCCTGCAAGCACATTGATTAGCCAGGTCCTCTGTGTGATGCATGAGGTTGTCGATCGTCACGGATTTATGCCAGACGTGGTGGCGTTTGTCGGAGAGGGTGCGGTGGCCAAGACACCGTTCGGTGAGAAGCAGCGCGGCAAGATGCTGTCACTCTTCATGAGTGCCAAAATGTATGTGTATGGAAGTGTTGTGAGTAGTGAACGTGGATTAATGAGGAAGGGGAGACACTAACGAGGCGAGGCGGATATGCTCGCATTATTATTTCGTGAGATAGGCCGTTGCTGTACATCCATTATTCGCATGGATCGCTTGCTGTGCCCGATGTACTACCAATCCAGGACCGCCAGCAACAGCAGCAAGCACAACAGCTATAGCATCGTTACTCAACAGGCGACTTGTCGCTCTCTTTGAACGGCGCGTGGTCTTTCACGCCTGTACCCGCAGAGACAGCATCGGTATCAGCGATGACGGGTTTCTCGTCTGCTTTTGGACATTCATCAACATATTCTTCATCAGAATCGTCACAGAGTTCCAGTACGACCACGACACCGTCATTGTCATCGTCGTCTTCTATCTCGCGTAGTGGCGGCGAGGATATTATTAAACGGTTGGATGATGATCGTCCATTGTCAGGATCTCCCTTGAAAAACCGTCGTTGGTCTATGAAGCTATCACCACTGCGGTATGTCCGGACTGCTCAGGCGCTTGTTGGATCGATGTTTCACAACGGCGTCAGGTCTTCTCCTCTCTCCGATTAGTACGGTTGTGCAGCAGCAGCAGTGCAGCCTGGTGTCTGAATGCCACAAAAGACACAATAAACAGGACGCGTGGTATGTCATAGCGAGTGTCTGTGTGTGTGTGTGTGTGTGTGTGTGTGTGTGTGTGTGTGTGCGTGTCCCTGAACCTCCATGGAGTAGGTGCGCGTTTTGCTGTTATCATCGATAACATCTGCGAACCCCTTGTTTTTTTTTGTCTGTCACAACCTTTGCTGGAAATCGAATGGAGTCAATGCACGCATGCTGCAGCTTATTATCTTTTCTCCTATTCTTCTCTTCCTTTTCTTCCTTTTCTTCCTTTTCTTTCTTTTCTTCCTTTTCTTTCTTTCTTCCTTACCTTTTCATCCCATTCCCTTTTCTCCCACCACCCAGCCTCTCTTTCATAATCATGTAAGCTATCGTCACTGTCCTATTTGGCAAGGACATGTACTCTCTCTCTCTTGTATTTCATCTTGTTCTCCATCCTGTGTATGTATTCTTGGTATGGCTGTCGATGCACTATTTTTGTATTATTCCCTTGTTCCTTCTTCCCTTTTCTCCCCTGTCTTGCATTGCACTTGTTTGTACTGGCCCCGTTATTTTCAAATACAAACAAGCCAGACTGACAGTGCGTACCCGCGAAAGAGATGGAGGAAGGAAGAAGAGTGTGAATGTGTGGTGTCTGAAAGAGAGAAAGTGATGGGGTGTGAATCAGAAACGTTTCTACATACTTTGTTATTTTTCTTCAATGAAGAACTGAAGTTTGCTATCTATTCAGAACTACTGACAAAAACAAGAACGTGTGGGTGTGAGAGAGGAGGAAAGTACGTGAGTATGATATGAGGAGTTGCTTTGCAAGCGGAGAAACCTGCAAATGATGATGACAACAACTCAGGAGGAGGTGTGAGGACGATAGTCGTTGTGGTGGTGGTGGGGAATGCGATGAGGCTGACGTGGAAGTAAACCACAGCCTTACGGGTCTTTTGAACTTCCAGCATCTTCATTAAGGCTATGGGCTCGATTAGAGAGAGCTGGAGAGATACAAACCATCAGTCTCCGCGCGGCGCGCACACGCCTTGTCTCCCCCCTTTCTGTGCTCGAGTGTTCGATTGCCGGATTGCGCACTCTTCGTTTTCGTGTCTACTCTTTTCAACATGATCGTGTATTTGTGACACGAGGGGACCAGTGATGTTCTTTTTTATGCGCCTGGAAGCTTGTCCCATCCCGTTATGTATAGTTTCTCCCGTTTTGTCATAGTTTCTCCCGTTTTGTAATAGTTTCTCCCGTTTTGTATAGTCTTCCGTTTTGCCTCCTCTTTTTTTCGCGTTCGTGCTGTATATCTTTCTTCCCCCGGCTGTGTGATATTTTGCTATCTTACTTGTTCCCCCCCCAAAAAAAAGAGGGGGGGTTTGTAGCTTGCATTGTGGGTTGTGGGTGTCTCATCGTCGTCGTCTTTGTCTCTATACCATGATTTAATCGGTGCAAAGAGCGAGGTGGGATGAGGTACGATCAAACACCCCCACCCATCGAATGGATCGAAAGTTACTGCGGCTGCTTTAGTTGTGTCCAGTACTAGTGCTGTCCTCTGCTCACTTGAACGTCTCTTCTGGATCCCTATGGACTTGGTCTTGGCCCTTTTCTTTGCCATATCTACTTTCACTCCCTACCTTCCAGTTCTCTTATACCTTTATATTCCTATGTCCTCATTCTTGCTCATGACCAAGGCGACATTGCTATTGGCATCGCCCATGGTAGCTGTTGTCGATATCATCGTCGTGCCGCGCGTCGCACATTATCACCTCGTGTCGATAAAAGAGACCTAACTTTGTTTTGTCATCTTTCAACACATAGGTCTTTTGAATACAAGGTGTACGTTGGCAATTTGTCATGGAACACCACCGACGATACCCTCCGCAATGAATTCAGCCAGGCCGGCCAAGTCACCGACAGCATCGTTATGAGAGACCGCGACACTGGTACGTGTGCCTCTTACTACCGTTACCGGACAAAAGTGTATCACCTCATCCTCACGTAATGATCAACACCTTGACATGTTCTTTCGTCGCGTTTCTGTTTCCATTTCAATAGGCCGCTCCCGTGGCTTCGGTTTCGTCACCTTTAATGACAAGGGCGAGGCCGATGCTGCCATCGCGCGGTTCCACGATCAGGAGCTCGACGGTCGACAGATCAAGGTCAACCTTGCCAACGTTCGCGCTGGTGGTGGTGGCGGTGGCGGTGGCGGTGGCGGTACGTTCTTTTTTGAAAATATTTCTCTCATCGCTTCGACGCTGATGATCGATAGATCGGGTGATATCTGAACAGCGGAACCGAAACAATTGAACACAGCAAGATTCAATTGAAGAACTGTTACTAATATTCTTATCGTTCTCTCTTTCCTTTTTGATGACCATATCTCATAGGTTACCCGAGTGGTTACGGTAGTGGTGGTGGTGGTGGTTACGGTGGTGGTGGTGGTGGTGGTCATATTAGCGGTGGTTATGTTAGTGGTGGTGGTGGTTATGGTAGCGGTGGTTACTAAGTATCTCTTGTAGTCGTCTCGGACTTTGTGCTGTTGACCAGCCCACATTCATTTCACCATGTGTTGCCCAATCAGCATAATGGTTTCTTCGGCCTTGGATATTTTCTCGGTTTCCTCCTTCATTTCCGCTCTCTTTCAACCACTTCTTTTTTTTTCCCTTGCCAACAACAAAAAATGTCAGTTCTAACAGCTTCATTCGTTTGAAGTTTCGTGTGATTCTCTCTCTTTGTGCCTAAAAAAACCAACCCATTCAAACAAAAAAAAAAGGAAGATTCTTCCTCTCATGTATTTGTACCTTTTCTCTTCGTTTTCTCTCACTTCGTTTTTGTGTTTCCGTTTTATCCATCAATAATTGTGCTCCTAAAGTCCAACTCCTTGTAGATAATAATTGTGTCCTCCCTGTTACTTTGAACGAAAACAAAAATAAAACTCAACATCCTCAAGTGAAAGAAAGACAAGCAAGCATCCCTCCTGTCTAGTTGTTGTGTCCTACACGATACTTTCAATATTTGAATGATAGGTGTTCTTGTCTGTGTTTCAAGACCCCTCTTCCAATGATGGCAATCTGTATTCCTGTATTTGTGCTGGGACTTGAGACTTGCTGCTCGTACTTGCTCTTGTTCGCCTTGAGTTTCGTTTCGTTTCTCACTCTTCCGAGTTGCCAGACTAACGAATGAACAACCAGTCAACCCACTACCACAGCTTGACTAAGGGGACCAGCACTTGAATGGGGAAAGAGAAACCAACGACAAGCACGCCATCCCCATGCACATGCGTCAATTGCACAACCGGATAGGTACATGCATTCAGATCTTTCATTGTTTCTTTATCAGAGTGCTGTTTATTTCTTCTTCCTGACCAAAAGGCGTCCCCATACCCTTCATCAACCTTCCTCCATCATCACGCCTCCAAAACCTCAACTGCACCGCGTTGAACCAACAGCTTGCGGTTCATCAAGTCAAGCCCCTCAACTCCATCCAATTTCATATCCGCCGCACACAAGATCCCTAAATCAGTGCCCCACAGGTACTGAACCTCAACCCCTTCCTCCTTACTCACATTTTTACCACCAACTCCCGGCGACACGCCCCACACGCGAACAGACCCATCCTTGCAAGCCGTCGCAAACTCCATCGGCACAACCGGGTTCCAGATGACATCCAGAATACATCCAAAGAACCCACGGACCACAGACACACACGACCAGGTGTTCTCTTCCTCCGATTGGCGATGCCAGAGTCGAACGGTCTTGTCAATGCTGCCAGAGGCGATCCAGGTACCGCAAGGCGAGTAGGCAAGCGCGCTGATCTCCTGGGGACTCTCCAACAGCTGGACCAAAACACCGGGCTCCTCCTCTGTTTCTCCTTCCGCCACCGACTGAGCAACATCCCAGAGGTGGATCGACCCCGCGGCAGTACCCATCGCCAGTAGGCGCCCGCTTGGAGAGTGCTTCAATACAAGATGGTGGTTGAAACGATTACCAGAGCTTCTTCTTGGACACAACAACAAGCGCCTTCGAGACAGGATCAAACAGCGACACGATGCCGCCGCCGAATGATGTGGTCGTCGTCAATAGTGAAAATACCCCCCCCCCCCCCCATCAAGGGCATACGTCAGCGCAACACTACTGCCGCGTTGATTCTGTGATGACGGCGCCTAAAGACCCGACGACATGGACTCGTTCGAACTGACATCCCTCAAGCGAACCTTCTTGTCCGTACCCACCGACGCGATTTGGCGCTCGTTCGGAGCAGATTCAACCTTAAAGATAGCGCCTTTGTGGCCATTCAATGTAGCGACGAGCGTTCCTGACGACACATCCCACAGCTTGACGAATCCACCATTGGCCGAGGAAGCGAGCCACTGGCTACTGGACGAGAAGACAATGCTTGTGAGATGGTGGGTGTGGCCATACAGGTTGGTGTTCGGCACTCCGCTAGCGATATCCCAGAGCAACGCGTTGCCATAGTCGTGACCCGTAGCAACCCATCGTCCATTGGGCGAGTACCCTAGACAAATCACAGCCCCAACGGGAGATGTCCAAACGGCGGCCGGCTCCCCAGTCTCGGCGTTCCAGAACCGAATCGTCTCATCATCACCCCCAGAGACGAGAGTCCGCCCATCGGCCGAGAATCGAACGCTCCTGACGATACTGGTATGTCCCTCCAAAACCAAAAGACACTCTCCTGTCTGCGCATCCCACAACCGAATCGTCTTGTCGGCGCTGCATGAAACAACCTTCTTGCCACATGGAGAAAACGACGTGTCGAACAAACTGTCGGTGTGCCCTTCCAAGACCAACACCGCCTCCAAACTACCGTTGCTCTCCCACACCCGGGCCGTCATGTCCTTGCCCGCAGAAACTATGCGCTGACTATCCGCCGAAAATGTAACGTCGTTGCTCCCTTTTACATGTCCTCTGAGCTCGCGGACCTTTGACCAAGTTGTTGTTTCGTAAACGTCAATGACACCGCCCCACACAGAGACAGCAAGCAACTTTCCGTCAGGTGAATACTCACAGGCAGACGGAAAATGCTCTGCTATGAGGTAAGGTAACTCCCCAAACTTCACACCATGCATCTGTGCACCGCTCATATCTACTTGTCTCACCCAGCTCCGCGCGAAGTTGACGCCCGTCAAGTTGGCGCCCTGGAACTGAGCATAGTCGAACTGCCCGTCGGAGAGGTCGGCGCCTGGGACTTTGATACCTCGAAGATCGGCGCCGTGGAAGTCCACACCAGCCCTAACGAGAATCGTGATCACGTTCGCTGCTGCAACCTGATTCGACTCCGCCTCAACATTCGACTTGGATGATTGTTCGGGACAACACATTTTTTTTAGTAGTTTAGTCTAGTTTCTTTAAGGGTAGTTTAATTTAATTTTGACTATAAAAACGAAGGAGCTTTCAAGCTCCTGCTTCTTTTTACATTTTATTTGATCTATCAACATTGTGTCTCAACTCGATTGCGCAAGATATCAACCAAACCTCGACAGGTACCGCCCAGATGGTCCTACCCTAGCTTTGTGCCTAAAGTCCTCCCGACAATCCATCCGTCACGATAATGGGCCAACCCTAATCCATCGACTTCTTGACGTTATTGTACCACCCCTGATCTCATAGAGATCCACTTTTCGCCCTGCCCACGTTTCCGCCAGTCTCCGATACGCCCACAGCGTTGGACCTCGCCGATCTATCGTTTAACGGCGAATCGAGGTACACAGTCAACCCTTTCAATGTATTGAGCAGCAGCACCAACACCACCCACACCAACACCACGGGGTCTACTTTACTGTCAGCACTCCACCCCCTCCAGGACTTCATATATGAGGTGTCCTTGGTCCCTTCCCAGTTCGTCCTCACGGATTCAGTCCTAGCTCGCGGTCCGTCTGGCTAATCGAGATCCTCACTTTCTTTGGCCTTCGGCCACTTTTCTACCCTCAGATCAATAATAGAACACTTTAGACAGCTCCTCTTTCCGTCCTTTTTGTCCCTTCAGGATAGCTATCATACCTTGCTCCAACCAGTAAGTGATTCTGAACATCCTTCAGCTCTCCCTCACTGCGTTGCTGTCCTTGTTTTATTATAGCCCCACACTAATAAATAGAGACCATAATGTTAGATCCCTCACCGCACTGGGCGCGGCAGCTGATGTCAATCTTCACCTTCCACTGTCCGGGCTGGTAGAACTGGTTGGTGGTGTGAATGTTGATCTTGAGTTGACTCTCGTCATAACCGTCGCAAATGAGAATGAACTTCCTATGTAGCTTCATCTCACGGATCTGGTCCTCACTGAAGTTGTGGTACTGCAGCTGCTTCTCGATCAGCTCCTGAGTCGGGTTGTCGACGGTAGGAAGGTCAATGTAAAGAGGAATGGGCCTGTACTTCTTATAGTTCTTCCACAGTGTGTGCTCCAGTTTGAGAGTGAAAGTCGACTTCCCAGCACCAGAATCCCCCAACAACAACAGAACTTGGCGATTGCTGGCCAGGAACTCCAAGGCTTTCTCCATGAGCGGAAATTGGGTGTCGTCGCCCGCTTTCAAACTCGGCTTTGCCTGCGGAGGAATATAAATGCCCTTACTGCGCTCCTTAAGCCGTTGCATCCTCAACAAGTGCAGATCATACTCGACATCAGGAATATCCAGAACTCGGGCGAGAAGAGGTGACGATGTAGGTGGAGGGAGACGACTCCTCATCGGGTAGCGAATACCAGTCTTGTTGCCATTGAAAACCTCACCATCAAGGTTGCTGAGCTGTCCCATGGTTCTGAACAGGTAGATTCTGAGGCTCTCATCTCGATTCCATTCAGGATCACGAGTGTGAAGTCCAAGGAGAAGACAAAGGGCGTGCTCTTGAGTGGCGTGATCCCAAGCGGCATCGCTCGTCATCTCTAACAGCATCTGGGATATGCCCCACTGGAACAATGGATCACGACGACAAGGCGCCTCACAGATGAAACGGTTAAAGTCCTTCATTTGACCGGCTTGAGCAAGGGCGTGGGCGGCACGGATGGCGCCATACCAGGGTTGCTTCTTTCCGGTTCCATACTTCTCCTTGAGAGCTCCCAGAGCACATTGGCCACTCTCCATCACCGAGCAAGCACCACCATAAACGGTATTGACAGTGTTAAAGGTGCTCTCTAGGGAGGCGCTCTGGAGACTGGACAGGCCCTCGAGAATTGCGCCCAGGTCCAGGTTGGTGAGGGCAGTGATGTCGATGAGGCCTTTGGCAACTCCTGTAGAGTGTCGAAGGATTGCTTGTAGAGGAGTCTCATTGTCGGGGACATACTGCAGAGCCTGGAAGGCATAGCAGGTCTGGTACATCATGTACGGGTCCGAGCTTCCCTTCAAGGTTGACAAGACCCCCGAAAGCGGCTCATGCTCGACAACCTGGTCCAAGCCCTTGACCCCATGCTCCGCCATCACATCCAAGACGCGGGAGACGGCCAGAACAAGTTGGTAGGAGTACTCTGACGACTGACCATGAGTTCCCTGCAGACGAACCCTGAGGATGCTGAGGATCTTGATAAGGTCGTCAGCTTCTAGGTACCCAGGGGAGTTGGACTGCACCAACTGGACAAGACCTTGGAGTAGGGTGACGTCCAGGAGAAGAGCATCATCAAACGCTGCAATTATAGACGAGAGCAACTTGCGGTACGGCTCCTTCTCCAGAATAGGACCTAGGGAGACAACCTCAGCAATCTCGACGGAGCTCCTGCTGGCAACGTTCGGGACAAACTCCTCGATCATCCTGGTAGCAATCCAGCGCAGTCGATCCTGCTCCGTAGAGTCCCCTTCGAGCCACTTCCGCTCAGCCCAGACCAGGCTGGGTGAAGAAGACATACGCTGTAAAAGCAAGGAGCACCAGTAGACCAACTGTTCAGACTTCTCGATGCGCTCCAGGTTTTGAGGCAACTCGGTCCTGATGGTAGGTTTAGGGAAGTCGGGATAATTCCAAAGGAAGAATTCAAGGTGAAGATCGGGCGGGTTGTTGTTCAGAGTAGGGTTTGCGACGGCGGTGGCGGAGACTGCATCGTCGATATCGACAGTGGGTTGAGGTGAAGTTGGGAGAACGTCTTGAGTCATGATATATGGGCTTTTCTATTAAGAAGTGTAGGTCTCGAAGACGATGGTTAGTTCAAAGACGCTCCCTCTCCAGTGCTACGTACGGGCAAAGGGACGGTGGTTATGGATAAAAAGTATTCCGCCGCTCTACCAAAGGAAGGAGAAGGAGTGCTCGACTGTTCAACTGGTGCTAAACTGGCGAATGTGTCACGAAAGCGAGGAGGCAAGAAAAGGTGTGTTGTTGAGACGAGCAAGGAAAATGAAAGGGAGGTGGTGGAGCAGTACAGTTGTGGTGATGAGAAAAAAAGAGGAAAGTGGCGAGTAAAGGAATGAATGAGTGAAGTGATGACGAGAAGTGTAAAAAGGGAAGAAAAGGAAACATGAAACGACAGTGTGTCGCCAACGTTGAGCGTCTATCTGGACTGTGGCATGGCTATGATAAGAAGGGTGCCAGTCAATGGTTGCTGGTCGATTGTCAATGCTCTCAATCTCTTTCCTTCTTGTACGCTGTAATTGTTTCTTAGCCCATGCACCTCGCTGCCCTTGGTGTGCACAACGGATATAGGAGTTCAGTCAAGGCGAAGAAGAGAGGATAAAGAACTCCACAACATGTTGATGATCGAGGATTCTGTTCATGTTGCTTACCCCCTCTCTTTGTAACAATATCACTCAAAACCAAGATACAATCATGGACTGGGTCCCTCTTTCTCGCCTGTAACGCTGTACCAGAGTCAAGAAGGTATATGTGTGTGTGTGAGAGAGAGAACGGACCAAGGACCAAAGGCAATGGAAGGAGAACTGTGGTATTAAAAATAAGAAGGCAGCTCATGGTTATCGGGACAGTTCAAAGATGACGGCGCCCCTCTCCCCGTGCCCATCCCCCAGTCCACTCCTTATCCTCTATCAACCTCCCATCCATCCACAACTTCCTAGTCACCTCCGACAGCAAACCCAACCTCGACACCATCAGAACACTCGAGACCCAGTTCTGTCCCCTCTCCTCCATGGCTCCTTCCTCCATCTCGTCGCATTTGTATTTTGTGAGATAGACCGTTGCTGTATATCCATTATTCACATGGATCGCTTGCTGTGTCCAATGTGCTACCAATTCAGGACCATCAGCAACAGCAGCCAGCACAACAGCAGCAGCATCGTCACTCGACAGGCGACTTGTTGTTCTCATTGAACGGCACGCGGACCTTCACACCTGTGCCCACAGAGTCACCATCGGTATCAGCGATGGGGAGTTCTTCGTCTGCTTTGGACATTCTTCAACATATTCTACATCGGAATCATCACTGAGGTCTAGTATGACTGCGACACCGTCATCGTCAGCGTCGTCGTCGATCTTGCGTAGTGGCGGCGAGGATATTATTGAGCGGTTGGATGACGATTGTCCATTGCCAAGATCTCCCTTGAAAAACCGTCGTTGGTCTATGAAGCCATCAACGCTGCGGTCTGACCGGGCTGTTCAGTCGTTCGTTGGATCGATCTTTCACAATGGCGTTAGGTCTTCTCCTCTCTTCGATTAGTACGGTTGTGCAGCAGCAGCAGTGCAGCCTGGTGTCTGAATGCCACAAAAGATACAATAAACAAGACGTCTGCTATCTCATAGCGAGTGACTGTGTGTGTGTATATGCGCGCGTTTTACTGATATTATGCAGCAACCGCGGTGAACAATCTACCAGGTGCGCGAACCCCTTGCTGAGGAAAACGGATTTCAGCCTGTCTCTGCTCGCAAGTCAGTGCACACATATTATCTTTTCTCCTTCTCTTCCTTATCCTCTCATCCCTCCCCCTTATCTCCCACCACCCACCCTCTCTTTTATAAACATGTAAGCTACTGTTATTGTCCTCTTTGGCAGGGACATGTCCTATCTCTCTCTTTTATCATCTATCTTGTTCTCCTTCATGTCTTTGTATTTTTTGTATGGTTATCGGTGTTCCGCCCGCCCCTTTGGCCCCCTTATTTTCAAACATAAACAAATCAAACTGACAGTGCGTAAGCTGCAAAAGAGATGGAGGACAGAAGATGAGTGTGAACGTGTGGTGTCTGGACGAGAGAAAGTGATGAGCGAATGAGAAAGAGTTTCTACGCAAACAAAAACAACAACAACTGCCATTTATTTATCTTTAATAAAGAACCAAAGTTTCGCTATGCGTTCAGAACAACGATTCGCTTTATTTCAGATACTTTTCCTGTCATTGACAAAAGAAGAAGGGGTGCGTGTGAGAGAGGAGGAAGGTACGTGAGCATGATATGAGGAGTTAGTTTGCAAGCGGAAAAACCTGCAAATGACGATGGCAACAACTCAGGAGGAGGTGTGAGGACGATGGTCGTGGTAGTGGCTGTGGCTGTGGTAGTGGTGGAGGATGCGGTGATGCAGACGTGGCAGCAAACCACTCATTTGAACCTCCAGCATCTTTGTTAGGGCCATGCACTCGATTGCCATGAGCCGGAGAGAGACAAGCCATCGGTCTCCGCGCGGCGCACACGCCTGGTCCCCCTTTCTGTGTTCGAACGCTCGATCGTCGGATTGCGCACTCTTCGTTTTCGTTCGACAGTATTCATTTCTCACACGCAACACGGTCGTGTATTTGCGAATTGGGTCTCTGGCCTCTAACTCACAGGCACAGATGAAAAGAGAGGAGGACAAAAAAGGGCCAGTGATATTTTTTTTCCGTATTTTTCATGCTACATCTCTTACTATTTTGCTTGTTCCTCAAAAAAAAAGGAAAACCAAAGGGGGTTTGGTAGCTTGCATCGTGGGTTGTGGGTGTCGTTTTTGTGTGGTTTAATTGATGACGAACACATCGAATGGATCGATAGATACTGTGGCTGCTTTAGTCGAAGTGTTTTTGTGTCCAGTACTACTGTACTCTGCTCACTTGAACATCTCTTCTGGATCCCTATGGACATGGTCTTGCATGGTCTTGGCCCTTTTCTTTGCCATATCTATCTTCACTCTCTACCTTCCAGTTCTTTTATACTTTTATGTTTCTATACCCTCATTCCTGCTCATGATCAACACGACATTACCATTGGCATCGCCCATGGTGGCTGCTGTTGATATCATCGTCGCGCATCGCGCTAACTTTTTTTTTGTTGGTTATCTTTCAACACGTAGGTCTAAGTTGTTCATTGGAGGTTTGTCGTGGAACACCACCGACGAATCCCTCCGCCAAGGATTCGAACAGTTCGGCCAAGTCAACGATGCTATCGTCGTCAAAGATCGCGAGACCGGTACGTGTACCTCTTACTACCGCCATTGGTTCAAAAGTGTATCGCTTCATCTTCGCGTAATGATCAACATCTTGACACGTTCTTTCGTCGCTCTTCTTTTTCCATTTCAATAGGCCGCTCCCGTGGCTTCGGTTTCGTCACCTTCGCTGAGGACAGCGCTGCCGATGCTGCCATCGAGAATCTCAACAATCAGGAGTTCGACGGTCGCCAGATCAAGGTCGACCGTGCTTCCGAGCGCAGCCCCAACAACGGCGGTGGTTTCCGTGGTGGCCGTGGTGGCTACAACAGCGCCCCCCGCTACAACCAGCAGCAGCAGCAGCAGGATGGCTATGGCGGTACGTTCTTTTCTGAATGTCTTTCTCTCGTCGCTTCGACGCTGATGATCGATACATCCGAGCGATGTCTGAACAGCGGCACCGAAGCAATTGAACAACTGTCTCTAATATTCTTATCGTTTTCTCTTTTCTTTTTGATGGCCATTTCTCACAGGTTACCAGCCTCAGCAAGGTCGCTCCGAGGGCGACTGGGGCCGCCAATAAATATGTCTTGTATCGTCACGGACCTTGTGCTGTTGACCAGCCCACATTTCACCGTGTGATCCCCTTTCAGCATAATGGTTTCTTCGACCTTGGATATTTTCTCGGTTTCCTCCTCCATTTCCGCTCTCTTTTAACAATTTCTTTTTTTCCCATTGCCAGCAACAAAAAATGTCAGTTCTAACAGCTTCATTCGTTTGAAGTTTCGTGTGATTCTCTCTCTTTGTACCTAAAAAAACCAACCCATTCAAACAAACAAAAAAAAGGCAGATTCTTCCTCTCATATATTTGTACCTTTTCTCTTCGTTTTCTCTCACTTCTTTTTTGTCTTTTCGTTTTATCCATCAAAATTGTGCTTCAAAAGTCCAACTCCTTGTAAATAATAATTGTGTCCTCCCTGTTACTTCGAACGAAAACAAAAATAAAAAGCCAACATTCTCTAGTGAAAGAAAAACAAGCAAGCACCCCTCCTGTCTAGTTGTTGTGCCCTACACGATGCTCTTTCAGGTTTTGCATAATCGGTATTCTTTTCTGTGTTAAGACCCCTCTTCCAATGATGGCAGTCTGCATTCCTGTACTAGTGCTGGGGCTTGGTTCTTACTTGCTCGTACTTGCTCTTGTTCGCCTTGAGTTTCGTTTCGTTTCTCACATTGTTACTATTTTCTCTTCCGAGATGCCGGACTAACGAATGAACAACCAGCCAACCCACTAATACAGCTTGACTAAAAGCCAGCACTTGAATGGGGAAAGAGAAACCAACGACAAGCACGCCATCCCCATGCACATGCGTCAATTGCACAACCGGATAGGTACATGCATTCAGATCTTTCATTGTTTCTTTATCAGAGTGCTGTTTATTTCTTCTTCCTGACCAAAAGGCGTCCCCATACCCTTCATCAACCTTCCTCCATCATCACGCCTCCAAAGCCTCAACAGCACCGCGTTGTACCAACAGCGTACGGTTCGTCAAATCCAGCCCCACAACTCCTTTTAATTTCATATCCGCCGCACACAAGATCCCAACATCAGTGCCCCACAGGAGCCGAACATCAACCCCTTCCCCCTTACTCATATCTTTACCACCAACTCCCGGCGACACGCCCCAAACGCGAACAGACCCATCCTTGCAAGCCGTCGCAAACTCCATCGGCACAACCGGGTTCCAGACGACATCCAGAATACATCCAAAGAACCCACGGACCACAGACACACACGACCAGGTGTTCTCTTCCTCCGATTGGCGATGCCAGAGTCGAACGGTCTCATCAATGCTGCCAGAGGCGATCCAGGTACCGCAAGGCGAGTAGGCAAGCGCGCTGATCTCCTGGGGACTCTCCAACAGCTGGACCAAAACACCGGGCTCCTCCTTCTCTGTTTCCCTTTCCGCCGCCGACTGAGCAACATCCCAGAGGTAGATCAACCCCGCGGCAGTACCCATAGCCAGTTGGCGCCCGCTCGGAGAGTACTTCAATACAAGATGACGGTTAAAACGACTACCAGCCTGTAGCTTCTTCTTGGACGTAACAACAAGCGCCTTCGAGACAGGATCAAACAGTGACACAGTGCCAGAAGAGAACCCAACCGCAAGTTGGTGCCCAGTGGGTGAAAAGGCTACAGCCTCTATCGTAGCCGAATCGCTTTCCTCCAGCTGCACAAGAACATGTCCCCCTTGCCCCGGCGCCGAACCATCGGCTTGCAGATCCCACAACCGTGCTGCCTTATCCGAACAGGCAGAAAGGAGCCAACGACCACACGACGAGTAGGTCAAAGTCGTCACAGGCCGAAGATGGCCCTTCAAGCGCGCGGCAGGTGCAGTGTCAGGACCGGGTCGCACACTCATCAATCGGATAGCACGTTCGTCAACGCTGGCGGCGATCTGGCGGCGATCCGGAGAAAAGGCTGCACACCAAAGGAAGAATATGTCCTCAATATCGTCGGCGTAGATATCGGACACGTACAATCCTCCTCCTACTCCTCCACCTCCAGCTGCCAGTGCCTCGCGATCCCACCGCCGAATGATATGGTCGTCGTCAACAGTGAAAATAGCACCCCCATCAAGGGCATACGCCAGCGCAACACTACTGCCGCGTTGATCCTGTTGTGCCGCCTCAAGACCCGACGACATCGACACGTTCGAATTGATATCCCTCAAGCGAACTTTCTTGTCTGTACCCACCGACGCGATTTGGCGCTCGTTCGGAGCAAAGGCAACCATTAAGACAGAGCCTTTGTGGCCGTTCAAGTTAGCGATGAGCGTTCCTGACGACACATCCCACAGCCTGACGAATCCATCAACGGCCGAGGAAGCGAGCCACTGGCTACTGGAGGAGAAGACAATGCTTGTGAGATGGTGGGTGTGGCCATACAGGTTGGTGTTCGGCACTCCGCTAGCGATATCCCAGAGCAACGCGTTGCCATAGTCGTGACCCGTAGCAACCCATCGTCCATTGGGCGAGTACCCTAGACAAATCACAGCCCCAACGGGAGATGTCCAAACGGCGGCCGGCTCCCCAGTCTCGGCGTTCCAGAACCGAATCGTCTCATCATCACCCCCAGAGACGAGAGTCCGCCCATCGGCCGAGAATCGAACGCTCCTGACGATACTGGTATGTCCCTCCAAAACCAAAAGACACTCTCCTGTCTGCGCATCCCACAACCGAATCGTCTTATCGGAGCTGCAAGAAACGACCTTCTTGCCACATGGAGAAAACGACGCGTCGAGCAAAATCTTGGTGTGCCCTTCCAAGACCAACACCGCCTCCACACCGCAGTTACTCTCCCACACCCGGACTGTCTTGTCCTCGCCCGCAGAAACGATGCGCTGACTATCCGCCGAAAATGTAGCGCCGATGATCCCACCCATATGTCCTCTGAGCTCGCGGACCTTTGACCAAGTTGTTGTTTCGTACACGTCAATGACCCCACTCCACACAGAGACGGCAAGCAACTTTCCGTCAGGCGAATAACCACAGCCAGAAGTAACACCCTCAGCTACGAGGTAGGGTAGCTCTCCAAAACTCACGCCATGCATCTGTGCACCGCTCATATCCACTTGCCTCATCCAGCTCCGCGCGAGGTTGACGCCCGTCAAGTTGGCGCCCTGGAACTGAGCATAGTCGAACTGCCCGTCGGAGAGATCGGCGCCTGGGACCTTGATATTTCGAAGATCGGCGTCGCGGAAGTTCACACCAGCCCTAACGAGAATCGTGATTGCGTTCGCTGCTGCAACCTGATTCGACTCCACCTCAACATCCGACTTGGACTCCTCAATCACATCATGGAGTTGTTGTTGGAATGACGGATCCTGTAACACTCGCTCCGCCAAAAACTGCACGATTGAAGGCTCCTGGATAACACTTCTTCGAGCCAAGCTGGTCCTGAAGTCATAAACCTGTTCTCGCACCTCCATACCCTCCTCATCAGCGTCGTAGTCCATAGGATCGAAAATAGTCCTTGAATAAAAATACTCCAGAAGTGATCGATGGAGGAACTGAAAGTGAGAGCCGGACCGCTTGACCGTGCTAGACTCTCGAAGCAACTTGGCCTGGCCACTTGGACTGAAGAACTCAGTCTTCCATGTGTCCTTGTCGCGGAGATGGGTATACTCGACGATCGGGTTTCCTGCATGGTCCATGAAAATCGCTCTGGAAAGGCCCTTCTGGTAGTGGATGCCGTGGTAAGAAAAGTTGTCATCGAGGAGCAGATCAAACTCTTTTCGCTCCTGGGCGCTCAATGGACTGCTTTCCAGTCTCATCTTGTTGACCTTGAGCCATCGCTTGACGAAACTGTCGTAGAGCTGCACGCGCGTAATGCGGATAGACGAAAGATCCTTGTTCGCCTCGACGACAGAAGGAAGGGCGTCCAAAGCCAAGGTCAAAAGAAAAGGGTTGGAGACGAGATCTATGAGATGAGGGATGTTGATCAGCGTTTCCATGTACTCCTGGGCTGTCCAAGGCGACCGGTCCTGAAGAAGATCGTGTAAAGGCAGCTCCTTGACATACGCCTCGACATACTGCTGGATCTGGGTTCTCGTGAACGCTGCGACCACCGCCTCCTGGAAGAGATCTGTCGCAGTGGTTTCAGAACGACCGACTGGTAGCGGCTGAAAGCGGTAGCGGTAGGCCTGTCCGAGGTACTGGGTGCGACAACTAATGACAATCTTGACCTTCCACTGTCCGGGCTGGTTGAACTGGTTGGTGGTGTGAATGTTGATCTTGAGTTGACTCTCGTCATAACCGTCGCAGATGAGAATGAACTTCCTATGTAACTTCATCTCCCGGATCTGGTCCTCACTGAAGTTGTGGTACTGCAGCTGCTTCTCGATCAGCTCCTGAGCCGGGTTGTCGACGGTAGGAAGGTCAATGTAAAGAGGAATGGGCCTGTACTTCTTATAGTTCGTCCACAGTGTGTGCTCCAGCTCGAGGGTGAAAGTCGACTTTCCAGCACCAGAATCCCCCAACAACAACAGAACTTGGCGATTGCTGGCCAGGAACTCCAAGGCTTTCTCCATGAGCGGAAACTGGGTGTCGTCGCCCGCTTTCAAACTCGGCTTCGCCTGCGGAGGAATATAAATGCCCTTACTGCGCTCCCTAAGCCGTTGCATCCTCAACAAGTGCAGATCATACTCGACATCAGGAATATCCAGAACTCGGGCGAGAAGAGGTGACGATGTAGGTGGAGGGAGACGACTCCTCATCGGGTAGCGAATACCAGTCTTGTTGCCATTGAAAACCTCACCATCAAGGTTGCTGAGCTGTCCCATGGTTCTGAACAGGTAGATTCTGAGGCTCTCATCTCGATTCCATTCAGGATCACGAGTGTGAAGTCCAAGGAGAAGACAAAGGGCGTGCTCTTGAGTGGCGTGATCCCAGGCGGCATCGCTCGTCATCTCTAACAGCATCTGGGATATGCCCCACTGGAACAATGGATCACGACGACAAGGCGCCTCACAGATGAAACGGTTAAAGTCCTTCATTTGACCGGCTTGAGCAAGGGCGTGGGCGGCACGGATGGCGCCATACCAGGGTTGCTTCTTTCCGGTTCCATACTTCTCCTTGAGAGCTCCCAGAGCACATTGGCCACTCTCCATCACCGAGCAAGCACCACCATAAACGGTATTGACAGTGTTAAAGGTGCTCTCTAGGGAGGCGCTCTGGAGACTGGACAGGCCCTCGAGAATTGCGCCCAGGTCCAGGTTGGTGAGGGCAGTGATGTCGATGAGGCCTTTGGCAACTCCTGTAGAGTGTCGAAGGATTGCTTGTAGAGGAGTCTCATTGTCGGGGACATACTGCAGAGCCTGGAAGGCATAGCAGGTCTGGTACATCATGTACGGGTCCGAGCTTCCCTTCAAGGTTGACAAGACCCCCGAAAGCGGCTCATGCTCGACAACCTGGTCCAAGCCCTTGACCCCATGCTCCGCCATCACATCCAAGACGCGGGAGACGGCCAGAACAAGTTGGTAGGAGTACTCTGACGACTGACCATGAGTTCCCTGCAGACGAACCCTGAGGATGCTGAGGATCTTGATAAGGTCGTCAGCTTCTAGGTACCCAGGGGAGTTGGACTGCACCAACTGGACAAGACCTTGGAGTAGGGTGACGTCCAGGAGAAGAGCATCATCAAACGCTGCAATTATAGACGAGAGCAACTTGCGGTACGGCTCCTTCTCCAGAATAGGACCTAGGGAGACAACCTCAGCAATCTCGACGGAGCTCCTGCTGGCAACGTTCGGGACAAACTCCTCGATCATCCTGGTAGCAATCCAGCGCAGTCGATCCTGCTCCGTAGAGTCCCCTTCGAGCCACTTCCGCTCAGCCCAGACCAGGCTGGGTGAAGAAGACATACGCTGTAAAAGCAAGGAGCACCAGTAGACCAACTGTTCAGACTTCTCGATGCGCTCCAGGTTTTGAGGCAACTCGGTCCTGATGGTAGGTTTAGGGAAGTCGGGATAATTCCAAAGGAAGAATTCAAGGTGAAGATCGGGCGGGTTGTTGTTCAGAGTAGGGTTTGCGACGGCGGTGGCGGAGACTGCATCGTCGATATCGACAGTGGGTTGAGGTGAAGTTGGGAGAACGTCTTGAGTCATGATATATGGGCTTTTCTATTAAGAAGTGTAGGTCTCGAAGACGATGGTTAGTTCAAAGACGCTCCCTCTCCAGTGCTACGTACGGGCAAAGGGACGGTGGTTATGGATAAAAAGTATTCCGCCGCTCTACCAAAGGAAGGAGAAGGAGTGCTCGACTGTTCAACTGGTGCTAAACTGGCGAATGTGTCACGAAAGCGAGGAGGCAAGAAAAGGTGTGTTGTTGAGACGAGCAAGGAAAATGAAAGGGAGGTGGTGGAGCAGTACAGTTGTGGTGATGAGAAAAAAAGAGGAAAGTGGCGAGTAAAGGAATGAATGAGTGAAGTGATGACGAGAAGTGTAAAAAGGGAAGAAAAGGAAACATGAAACGACAGTGTGTCGCCAACGTTGAGCGTCTATCTGGACTGTGGCATGGCTATGATAAGAAGGGTGCCAGTCAATGGTTGCTGGTCGATTGTCAATGCTCTCAATCTCTTTCCTTCTTGTACGCTGTAATTGTTTCTTAGCCCATGCACCTCGCTTCCCTTGGTGTACACAAAGGATATAAAAGTTCAATTCATGGAAAATAGTGAACTCGATGATCGAGGATTCTTTTCATGCTAACCCCCTGCCCTTTTTTCTTTTTTTTTTGTCTTGGCTTTGTAACAATATCTCTCAAAACCAAGATACAACCATGGATTGGCTCTCTCTTTCTTCGTGATGTAACGCGGTACATGAGTCAAGAGAGAGAGAGAGAGAGAAAGAGAGAGGGAGAGAGAGAGAAAGAAAGGGAGAACGGACCAGGGACTAAAGGCAATGGAAGGAGAAGGGTGATATTAAAATAAGAAGGAAGTTCATGGTTATTGGGAAAGTTCAAAGATGATGGCGCCCTTCTTTTTAACTTTTAAAAAGATTGACGCTTCCACAGAAGTTAATTACCTGTCGTCGACGAAGGAAAAAAATATAAACAATGCAACCAAGAGGGCGCCTTTAACTCCCTGTTATTAATACCTTGTCAGGTATTACGATATCCCAAGCTGCCTCGAATACATCCAGAAGGGCAATGGCCGGTGCAAGATAGCATAGAAAGTGCACGCCAAAAACCGTCGTCGGTCTATGAAGCCACCATCACTGCGGTTTGTCCGGACTGTTCAGTTGTCGATCTTTTACAACGGCTCCAAGCGGTCGTGCAGCAACAGCAGGTATTATTATCTGCAGTAACAGCGGTGACAAATCTACCAAGTGTGCAAACCCCTTGCTGAGGAAAATGGATTTGCATCTTTTTTCTGTCTCTCTTTGCTCAAATCGAGTCAGTGCACACACATATTATCTTCTCCTTTTCTTCTCTTGCCTTCTCTTCCTTTCCTTCCTTATACTTATCCTCATTCCTTCCCTTATCTCCCACCCAACCTCTCTTTCATAATCATGTAAGCTATCGTCATTGTCCTCTTTGGCAGAGGCATGTACTTTCTCTCTTTTGTCATCTATCTTGTTCTCATTCATGTCTTTGTATTCTTTGTATGGTTACCGGTGCACTTTTTCATTACTATTATTATTGCCTTGTCCCCCCACCTTGCCCTTGTTTGTACAGCCCCCCTTATTTTCAAACATAAACAAACCAAACTGACAGTGCATAGCTGCGAAAGAGATGAAGGAAGGAAGAAGATGAGTGTGAATGTGTGGTGTCTGAAGGAGAGAAAGTGATGAGCGAATGAGAAAGAGTTTCTACGCAAACAACAACAACAGCCTTTTATTTTTCTTTAATAAAGAACCGAAGTTTTGCTATCCATCCAGAACAACGATTCGCTTTATTTCCAATACTTTTCCCTGTTATTGTCAAAAAGGAAGACTGGTGGGATAGTACGAGAGCGTGAAATGAGGAGGTGCTTTGCAAGCGGAAAAACATGCAGAGGACGACGACAACAACTCAGGAGGACGGTGGTGGTGGTGGTGGTGGTGGAGGATGCGATGATGCTGACGTGGCAGCAAACCTCGGCTTTTTCGCCTCCAGCGCCTTCGTTAAGGCCATGCATTCGATTGCCATGGGCTGGAGAGAGACAGACCATCGGTCTCCGCGCGGCGCGCACACGCTTGGCTGCCCTTTTCTGTGTTCGAATGCTCGATCACCGGATTGCGCACTCTTCGTTTTCGTTCGAGTGTCTACTCTTTCCCACACGCAACATGGCCGTGTATTCGCGACACGAAAGAAGAAAAGGGAGGGGGGGAACAAAAGAGGGGGCAGTGCTGCCTTTGTTTTTTCATTTTTTTTGCTCACAGAGGCTTGCCTGCTTACTTTTCGCATACAATGCTGAACATCCTTCTACCTGATTGTGTGATTTTTTACCTCAAAAAAAGGAGGGTTTGGTAGTTTGGGTTGTGTGTCTCATCGTGTCGTCTTTGTCTGTATACCATAGTTTGATTGGTGCAAAGAGCGTAAGGGATGAGGAGCGATCAAATCACCTCCCATCGAATGGATCGAAAGTTACTGCGGCTGCTTTAGTTGTGTCCAGTACAAGTACTGCAAAACATACTATACTCTGCTCACTTGAATAGATCCATATGGACTCAGTCTGGGCCCCATATCTACTTTCGCCCTATACCTTCCAGTTCTTTTTTGTTTCTATGCACTCATTCCTGCTCATGATTAAGACGACATTGCTATTGGCATCGCCCATGGTAGCTGTCGTCGATATCATCGTCGCGTCGCACGTCGCATCATCGCCACATCACCTCATCGATAAAAGAGACCTAACCTTTTTTTGTCATCTAACACGTAGGTCTACTGGTAGCAAGTTGTTCATTGGCGGTTTGTCGTGGAACACCACCGACGAATCCCTCCGCCAAGGATTCGAACAGTTCGGCCAAGTCAACGACGCTATCGTCGTCAAAGATCGCGAGACCGGTACGTGTACCTCTTACTACCGCCATTGGTTCAAAAGTGTATCGCTTCATCTTCGCGTAATGATCAACATCTTGACACGTTCTTTCGTCGCTCTTCTTTTTCCATTTCAATAGGCCGCTCCCGTGGCTTCGGTTTCGTCACCTTCGCTGAGGACAGCGCTGCCGATGCTGCCATCGAGAACCTCAACGATCGGGAGTTCGAAGGTCGCCAGATCAAGGTCGACCGTGCTTCCGAGCGCGGCTCCAACAACGGCGGTGGTTTCCGTGGTGGTCGTGGTGGCTACAACAGCGCCCCCCGCTACAACAACCAGCAGCAGCAGGGTGGCTATGGCGGTGGCGGTACGTTCTTTTCTGAATGTCTTTCTCTCGTCGCTTCGACACTGGTCGATACATCGGGCGATATCTGAACAGCGGCACCGAATCGGTTGAAATGCTATCTCTAATATTCTTATCTTTCTCTCTTTTCTTTTTGATGGCCATCTCTCATAGGTTACCAGAGTGGTGCTCAGTCTGGTCGCTCCGATGGCGACTGGGGCCGCAACTAAATGTCTCTTGCAGTCGTCTCGGACATTGTGCTGTAGATGGTCCACATTTCACCGTGTGATCTACTTTCAGCATAATGGTTTCTTCGACCTTGGATATTTTCTCGGTTTCCTCCTTCATTTCCGCTCTCTTTCAACCATTTCTTTTTTTTTTTCCATTGGCAACAACAAAAAATGTCAGTTCTAACAACTTCATTCGTTTGAAGTTTCGCGTGATTCTCTCTTTTTGTACCCAAAAAATAACCAACTCATTCAAACAAAAAAAAAAAAGGCAGATTCTTCCTCTCATGTATTTGTACCTTTTCTCTTTTTCTCTCACTTTTTCTTTTTGTCTTTTCGTTTTATCCATCAAAATTGTGCTTCAAAAGTCCAACTCCTTGTAAATAATAATTGTGTCCTCCCTGTTACTTCGAACGAAAACAAAAATAAAAAGCCAACATTCTCTAGTGAAAGAAAAACAAGCAAGCACCCCTCCTGTCTAGTTGTTGTGCCCTACACGATGCTCTTTCAGGTTTTGCATAATCGGTATTCTTTTCTGTGTTAAGACCCCTCTTCCAATGATGGCAGTCTGCATTCCTGTACTAGTGCTGGGGCTTGGTTCTTACTTGCTCGTACTTGCTCTTGTTCGCCTTGAGTTTCGTTTCGTTTCTCACATTGTTACTATTTTCTCTTCCGAGATGCCGGACTAACGAATGAACAACCAGCCAACCCATTAACATAGCTTGACTAAGAGAGCCAGCGCCTGAATGAAGAAAGGGAAACCAACGACAAGCCCTGGCCTGTTGCAAAAAAAATGGCAATATGTTGTTCATTTTCAACAAAATCTTTAGTGCTTCATTGTGAGCAATTGATGAGTTGTTTAGCAAAGCACGCATTCATAGCTGGGCGTTGGTTAAGCAGTCTAACAAGGCCAATAGGCACAATTACAACGACTCAACAATTAGCAATTGTTCTCGCCTTGAAAAAGTGTATTGAAAATACTGTACAAAGAATGAGGTTTATTGACTTTTTGGGAGAAATCGCATGGATGAGGTTAGATTAGGGAAGGAACATTAGGTCCTGCCTCAGGGAACGGGTTAAAAATCTGACAAGTAGGTGGATTAGCGAAAGCGAAGGGGCAGTTGAGAGTATAGAAAGGGGGAGATGGAGGAAGGGGTAGATGCTGAACAACAAAGGAATAAAACACAGCAACGAGAGCAAAGGAGTGAAAACAAAACAGGGGGTTTCCTAGGCGGCTATGGCGCCGAACATGCAGCAGAAGCAGATACAGGGGCAGAACTCGCCGACTTCCTTGAAGCAACTGCAACATTCGCCCTTGCTGGATTCTTCCTCTTGCTGCTGCCGGCGTCGGCGCATGGCCTCCTTCTGCTGCTGCTGTTCCCGATTCCGATTCGTGTAGTACTGACTCGACTCGTACATGGCCAACTCCGGATCGCTTGCCGCCGTGCGCTGAGGGATGTTTGATGAAGGGGAGTAACTGGGTGGGGGAGGTGCCATCTGGGGCCGCTCCACATATGCTGGGAGAGGAGACCCTGGGGACGAGGGCGGGTATTGACTGTGGAAGGAGGGCGAGGTGGGCGAGTGCATTGGTTGGGCAAGTGGGTATGCTTGATGCAGGTCCGCTTGACTCCGTGGCGAAGGTGATGGTGGATACATCATCTGTGAGCGTGCCTGTGGTTGCTGTTGTTGTTGCTGCTGTTGTTGTTGACGGCTGCGGCTGCCGTGGTGAGTAGTGTTGTGTCGTTGTTGTTGTGGCCGTTGAGTATGATGGCCGCTATGGTATGTGTTGTTCCTCCTGGCTCCAACACGTCCTCCTCCTCCGTTTCCGTCTCCGTAGCCGTCGTTCTGGGTATCTCCGTATTGTTGTTGCTGTTGAGAACGATTGTTCCCATAGCCACTGTTACCGCTATGAACACTGGACCCTCCTCCTCCACTTGGAAGCTGAATTGGGGCTGATTTCATAGTCCTCCCGCCATTTTGACCACCATTATGGCCAGATCCGTTAATAGGATAGCCTTGCTGGTGGTTGAAAGATTGTGGCGGGTGCCTGGGAGTCCGGGGGGTTGTAGGAGTAGTTGGTGTCTGTGGTGCCTGGAAATCAGTGATGATGGGGGTCGTATCAGACTCGTACTGTCTGTTGTCGAGCGGGTTCAGCGATATGCGTTTGTCGGACCGGCCGAACATTGTTAGACGACCAGAGTAAAGTAAAAAGAAAAAGTGGAGGGAGAAAAGAGAAGTGTAGAAAACGGAAGACGAAAGAGGAGAGAGAGAGAGAGAGAGAGAGAGAGAGAGAGAGAGAGAGAGAGAGAGAGAGAGAGAGAGAGAGAGAGAGAGAGAGAGAGAGAGAGAGAGAGAGGGAGTGGAGAGGGAGTGTCTGAGAAGACGCAGGAGGTGGTTGTCAATTGGTTTCTGGGTATTGGTTGTATAATGAACTTGCAAGTAATAATAAAAAGGGCGGGATAATGTGTTGAAAGGCTGGTCGGGGTATGTTGTGTCTGTTGTTCCTGAGACTAGTTAAAGGGCGGAGGAAGAGGGAAGGAGGTGGGATTGACGTTGGTTGACAAAGGGAAAGTGATGGAGTGAATGAGAGGAGGAGGGAGGGGAGGGGGAAGGAATGAGTGAGAACGAGAGAAGGGATGACTCGGGAGTAGGGTGGAAGTGGGGGGAGACGTAGAGATCGTGAAGAAGAGGAATTAATGAATGAAAAAAGGGAAGAAGAGGAGAGAGGAAGATGATGACGAGGAGATAGGAGGGGAATCACGGACACACACGCACGATTCCAGGGTAATCAAATATTTAATATTATGTTCCTTTGTTTGATGGGACAGGACGGTAAAAATAGCCTCCTTGGATCAATAACTAGTAGATTTTTATCATTCATTCATTTATTCATTCAGGCACCATCTGGGAGACGATACTCCAACGAAAAAAAAAGCTGCAAGCCTCTCATGCCTCTCATGCATTGCTACAGGCACAATTGATCAAAACAGTCACTTAGCGACATAAACGAAAAGCCGTTTCAAGTCGCAGACAGTGTAAGAAACCCGGGGCCCAAAAGTCGGTCGCTGCCCAAAAAAGAACAATATGGGTAAACTCCAAGGCGTTTGGCCACTCTCCCTTCTAGTACAACACTTACTATGGCTCCAACTTCACTCCATCTTCGCACTTGCACTAGTGCAGTCGGTAGCTTACACATACGGCTGCTCTCTGTGGAGACAGAGTCGGCTCCCACACAACAGATACCCAAAAGTGACAAAAACAAAGTGAAAATAAGCAACAGTGCTCTCAAAGGAGTAGGCCCAACCCTACTTCTCCTGGGCGTTGTGCCCCTTGTCTTTTTTCCATCAAGTGCGGTTCTTTCGGTTTGTGTGGCCCTAATAAACAGTTGACCCTCGTGCCTTTGCATGCACAAAGGTCAACGCTCCGATCACAACAGATCGAGTTGCCATCCTCTCTCCTCAAAAATAAGCGAGCGAGCACAGGCACATGAAATAAGAAAGAAATGTCGAGTTTATTAGGAAAGGCGATGCAAAATGATACTAAACTATTGCGGGGTTATCCACATAAGGTCGGTTTATAAAAGTCACGTGACACATATGGGTTTATCCCCGTCGGCATAGGCACGGTTTTAAACCGATAGGCAGCCTTGCATAATTTTTTTTTTCTGGCGGAATCATCCACATGGAACGCATGCATGTCACTCCATTCTTCCCTCTTTCTCCACTCCACATCGCCACATTAGCCTCATTCAGACAAGCCCACACCCCAATCTTCCCTCTTTCTCACTTCACATCGCCACATTAGCCTGATTCAAACAAGCCCACACCCCAATACACATTACACACACCCCCCCCCCCCCCCAATACCCGACTAATTAATGACACGGGTAAGCTAAAAAGGTCTTTGCACAATTGGGGCGATATGTCCTGTACCTGATTGGCATCCACCATACCACCATACTTACTATTTCGTTCTATTGTTTTATTGTTTCGCGTTAAACAAGTCGTGCAGCTTTTCTGTTAAAGGCAAAGCCATAGCACGAAACAAACGGCAGCAGACGAGCATGCAAGGCAGCCAGCCGGCAAGAGCAAAATCTAAGCTGGAAACCTACCGCGAACGCAATAGGGTTGAACAGCAAAATCACCTCTGTAATAAGCAGAAGGAGCTAGCAAGCTCCCAGCTTGTGGCCGAAGCTCGCAAGTCCTTGCAAGCCCAGTCGACGCGGGACCAGTATGATCGGTACCAGGAGAAGTTCATGGTATGGCAAATTGTAAAATGTACCCCCATTTTTGCACAAGCATAGATAAACTATGGCCCCCGACTCGACGCACTAACTAACTCAATCACTCCATCCATTGGTATAGGAATGGTGCGACGTTTCTGGATATAAGGATGATTACAACGTCACGAAAGGCAAAGTAACCCGTTACTTTGCTTGCCTGACCTGCGAGACGGAAGATCCTCAAAACGGTATGAATATGAAGAATGGAACTAATGTGAGCGGTCATACGATACGACGACGACGACGAAACGCTATGGTGGTGTTTGAAATTATAAGAACTAACGAAAATATAAATGCTATAGGTATTATACGGATCAAACCGTTGCCAAGAGACAGGAAGGGCAACAACAGCAAGGACAAGTCCGGCGAACGGCGGGCAAATATGGATGACCCGTGTTCTGATGATGATGTCGATGGAGGCGATGTGGAGGACAAAAGCGATGACGACTGCGAGGGGGACGCCAGTCGAGACGTTGACATCCACAACAGCAACAACGATAACAGTGAAGAGCGGTGGTACTCGACGGCAACCATTCTCTTGCACCTCGCTGCCATTGGCGACCTCTATAAGCATCAGTGTGAAGACAGGAACAATTTAGCGATGGATTATGGCACAGTTCCGGCCCCGAAGACGTACCTTCAACCTCTGATCGACGTTTACCGCGTGAGGATGTCCGCCAGGAAGAGGTCGACAGATACCGACTTTGGCTCTATCGACTTCACCCAGAACCCAACTTCGATTGTTCGGCAGCTAATGAAGCGATTCTGGATGCGCAATGTGGAGGGCGCAGCCAGCTTGAGAAAGCGCCGCTTGAAAGGGTTACGCGACCGTGCGGATGTAAGTCTTTGCTTTTTTATGATGTTCCGCAGCGAGGTCACACGCCAGATCCGACTCCCGGATCTTTTCGCCCACGACGTCGAGCCCAACCGCAACAAAAATACGAACGATGCCAGCTGCAGAGAAGGCCAATTCGTGCTTGGAGTTGTGCTGATGATGAGGCAAGGCAAGACGAACAAGGACGGCAAGATTCAGTATGGAGTTGCAGTTCGGAACAAAGAAGTAGATGTGTGTCCAGTTGGCGCGCTAGCCTTTTATTTGCTTGAGCTTTGGTCGGTAAGTGGCGTGCATGTGGTAAATGTCGGCGGCCGACGCGTCGTGTCACTCATATTTCAACACTCATTTAATAATGCGTTCTTCCCCCCACCTCTTCCTTTTTTTTGCTGTACTAAGAGCAAAAACAAAAGGGCGCCTGATCTCACCAACCCTAAATGGACCGACTACCATCTGTTAGCTGGAAACAAACCAATGGATGCACCGATGACTTACAACTCCCAGTTCCAGGCGCAGGTGGAGGCTCTTCATGAGAGCGGGATATTGGACAAGGGCACAGTGACTCACCTTGGGCGCAAGCACGGCTCCAGATTCGCGCATATGTGTGGATCTACGGTAGAGGCTATCGCTAAGCACGGGAACTGGGCATCGAACCGTCTCTCAACTCACTATCTCGAGGGTGTAGAGCCTTCAGTGGCCCTTCGATTGGCTGGATTTGACCGCGACCGTCTAGAGCGCTTTTGGTTGGCTCGGAACACTGTGATCCCCAGCATTGAGCTCCAAAGGCAGTTGTTCCCTTTCATCGAGGATGCTTGCTCCGACACGTTCTGGAGGCTCACGATTGACAACATTATGCGTGACTGCGACGTTTTCCACGGACGCGAGGAGTTGCGTGAGAAGCTGCGACGGGGCGAGTGCAAGGAAGTCAAGCAGGTGTACACGGACAAGGATATGCAGACCGTTCTGTCGAATGAGGTCATTTCAAGAAAGCGCCATCTTAGCCTTCTCGCCCACCTGCGAAAGGTTATCCTTCAGGATGCAGCTGTCATCCTGTCCGGGGGTGGTGCTGCCGCCGCGCACCCTGTTTTCGATCACCCTGTCTTCAAAACACCTGCGTTTCAAGATTTCCAGCAAACCCTACTCGAGAGCATGAGAAATCCCTCTCCTCTCACGGATTCCCTCGCATCTGCCACACCCATCATCCAACTGGAGTTTGACAGGGTCGGCGCGAGGCTCGGTGTCCAAGATGCTGCAATCCGGAGCCTGCAGCAAAGCCAGCAAGCCGGACTTCAGAGTTTGCACGCCGGTATGAATGTTCTAGCAGCTACTTTACAAGCTCAGAATGATAGGACAGCATCCGAGCTGAAGGACTTGAAGCGGTGCATTGGCAACAATGACAAACTGGCAGGCAACAAGCGACAATGTTTGAACAAGGATGCCGTTCGATCTCAGTTGATGCAAGCTCTCAAGTCAACGGTGGAAGCCGTGGTGGCGATTAGCGAGGACGATGAGGTGAAGGTCAGTGACGACGTCAACGGCAGTGTAGCAAGCCAGAGTACCACTATGGCTACCGCCATCGCTCTTCTTCAGCTTCCAGAGCCGGACGCTGGCCAGCAAGAATCAAGACCTCTGACTTCTTCCACTGCAGTTCTTTCAAGGGATGCGCACCGCCGCGCAGCTCTGGCCGCTTTCAACCCCAGCGACAATGTCGAGGACAGAATGCGACAAGTAGCCGCCTTAGTCGCCGACGAGAAGAGGGCGAGAGGAGAGACCCAACACCATATGCCCCTAATGCCCGAGTGCAAGCTGATCCCACGACCGAATACGCTCGACCAACTGTGGCAAGAGTGGGTTTACCACGGCGTCGATGGGTCCCCCTCCATCGCAGAGCTTAATAGGTGGTTCGGTTCAGCGTGGCGAGGCAAAGATGCACAGCTCTACAAGTGGAAGAAGGACATTGTACATTCGGTTCTGCGCTCTATCCCAGCTGGCTTGCAGGTTGACAAGTCCGCCGTAAACAATGCACTTGCCTTCGTAAGAGGGCAAATCGATACTGTTGGTTCAATTGATAAATACTACAAGGCTCTTCCCAAAGCACCCTCGAGAAAGTACCCAAAGAGAAGAGAATAAACACCATCCTTGGTCTATCACAGTGTTACATGTCAGCTCGCTCTACATATGGTTAGGAGCAGGGTGAGGGCAATGCTGAGGGAAGGAGGAGAGAAGAGGATAGTAGAGAGGGGAGTAGAGAGAGTGATGATAGAAGGACCTAGGGATAGAGGGAGGGAAGAGCAGAGAGGAATAGAGGGCAGAGAGTGTGATGTAAGCAGGAGGGCAACGCAGTTCTCAATGTGTTCAGGCACAGGCACGAGAGGAGAGGGCACATGAAACAATCTATTCACACATATGTGACTGGTTTATAACTGTCTATCGTGCTCGGAATAAAAAAATCTATAAACCATTATAAGCCGCTAATCTGTGTATAATGCGCCTTTCATAAATTTTTATTGTGCTCTTGACGAGGAGCTGTCGTCACTTCACCAAGTGTCAAAAATTAAAGTGTCACAATGCACCAGTGAAGTGTCACTTTGCACCAGGTGAAGTTTTTTTTTTTAGTGTGTGTTGTTTTCTACTTTTTTTTTATTATCCCTTAATGTCTTCCTCACCATCTCCCTCAACTTCCTCTCGTCGGTCAGCCAGCCCAACGGCGAGAGCGACTACCACCTCGACCTCTTCATCACATGGCTCTTCTTCATCAGTTACAGTTGTGACCGTGACCTCTTCATCTCCATCCGCCGCGACAGCCTCTTCCTCCACAGTGAATGTTGAGTCCATCTCTTCATCTTCCGGATCCAGGTCCACCGTTCGCACCTCAACAACTTCGCAGGATGATACAGCTGATAACGAGGGTCCCTCTTCCTCAGGTACAGATACAGTTGATGATGGGGCTCCCTCCTCTTCAACAGCCCCTGCACCAGCAGCCTCACGACCATTACGAACGGCGCCACTTGTACCCCAACCCGCCTATCGGTTTATATTACACTTTCGAAAAGGTGTGCGAGGCAACTACAAGCGCAAGTCTGTCAATAGCATTCCTTCCACTGCCGAGTGGGCTTTCGAGAGTGCACACTCTTTCGGCGTCCTACTCGGTCTTATCAGAGCATATTCTGTCGTACACGCACCATTAGTCTGGCCTCAAGACGATCTTCCCGATATCATCCCATCACCAAGTAAAGGCGCAAGACTGCAAGCCGCTGTGACCCTAAACGAGGACAACTTTCTGCAGATAATCGACAACTCATGGAGAGCATGGACAAGGTCAGGAAAGCACAGTGGGGCTCTTCAATTGATTATCTACATGACCGAGCCTGTCGCCCTTGGTGCCTCTTCTTCCTCCAGCAACAATATACTCCACCGATCAACTGCCGGAAGAATTGCGGAGGTCAGCCGACGTCTTAACGAACAAGAGGATGCGGATGAGCTCGGAGATATGGAGCGAGCCTACCATGTGCACTATCTGTCCAAACGAGCGATGCCTCCGCCGGGAAATAGTTTCGTCCTTCCAAACAACAACACGTCTCGACAAGCCCATGACTTGGATAATGCTGCGCGTCGGGTGCGTGAGAAGAGAAGAGCGGAGGAAGTCGAGGGTTTGGAGGACGACGAGTTCGTCCCAGTTCGAGTCAAGGTGGATCTGGAGATCACGGTTAAAATGTCTAGACAGGACTTGGCAAAGGCACTTGGTTTGCCTTCTGGGTTCAACCTTTCTTCCTTCAACTTTTTTGGTCAAAATCATGCAGGAAACCAACCCCCCGATGCCCCTGAAGAAGACATCCCTGATAGAGACCATATGACTGATGATGATGACAATGAATAAGCATTTTATTTTTTTTCTTTTTGTATGAACATTTCATCTCGAAGTACTCCTTTCTGCTCGTACCCACAATGAGAAAAAAGGTTGACAGCAGTGGTCTCCCCTTTAGTGCAGGCTAACAAGGCAACATCAAGCACCTTCTCTGGCTGCTGGGGGAAAACTAAATTGGCATATCGTTCCAACCATCTCTTCAATTGTGAGAAACCGACCTCGATGGGGTTGAGCTGTGGTGAGTAAGGCGGAAGATAGAATAGTAAAGCGCCTCGAGTAGCAATAGCCTCTTCCAATTGACTGTACATATGGATTCTGGCATTATCCATAATAACAATCGAATTGGGCAAAGGGTAAGGGTTAAGAAGAGGGAGGATGTTTTGAACAAAAGCTTGGTGAAAGGAGGTACGAGTAAAAGTGCCAGAAGTGGTCGACCAGCCTTGAAAGCCGGTCTTGTCCATCGCAGCTAATAGAGAGACTCGCTTGCCACGGGAAAATGGAAGGGTGACAATGGCTGGCTCTCCTTTTTTGGACCAGGCATATCGACGAAGAGCCGCTCTGCCATCCTTGCTTGACTCATCAATGAAAACCAGCTGCTCGGGATAGTTATAGAAGACTTGAAGGCGTTGTTGGTAATCAACCAACTCTTGTGGAGCAGCTTCACGAGCTCTCTTCTGGAGTACCTTTCTAGTAAGACCCAAATCATGGCGGAGCGCTCGACAGATGGTAGGGAGAGAGGTGTTCGTCAAGGTTGGAAACGACGCTCGAAGGTGGTCTCGCAGTTCCTCCATCAAAAAGCAAGGGTGTTCCTTCACATAGTCGCGGACAAATTCGTTCACAATGGGTGGCCAACGAGAACGGATATTGCGAACTTGGACTTTCATTACGACCCCGTCTTCATTGAAGAGCTCTACCAAAAACACAAGTGAGTTAGCAAAGGTATCAAAGGTGTCAAGTGTGATTTAGTAGCCGAGACGAATACATACTTGTCCAAACCGAAATAGTTGGTGGTGACACTCCCATGAGATAGGCAACGTATTCTTTCTCATATCCTTGGAAGCAATAAAGATTGATAGCAGCCCAGCGTAGGTCTTCGGAATACATTGAAGGGACGGAGGAGGGAGGAGGAGGAGGGGAGGGATGAGGGAGGAAGTGAAAGAGAGAAAAAGAAGTTTTTCACTGGACCTTTCCTCGGCCCTCATGATTAGAATAACACGTCAATACTACACTTAACGAAGCACTACTGGTTTTTACACTTTCACAAGTATAAAAACCAGTAAGATCTTCAGCAAAGAGGTGCCATTGTTTGGTGAAGTGCTGGTTTGTAGCGTAAGTGAGTTGGAGCAATATTGTTTTTTACTCATTTTTACAAATGACACTTCACACCAAGTGTCGACATTTCATTTTGAAGTGTCATTACCCTTAATTTGTTAAACAATTGAAGTGTCATCCGTCACACCCCATTCAATAATTTTCGATGAAAGGCGCAATAATATATGCACAAAACAATGCAAAAGAGAAGAAAAAGAAAACTAGCTTGTGAACGTGTGGGTGTGTGGTATCAAAAATAAGGTATGGGTGGCCGTTGTGAGCCCTCTCTCTTTCTTTGCAAGTCGATTCTCGGCAGCATGAACACAAGAAGTGGCAGGATTACTTCAACTCCTCCTTGTCACCTCTCGCAGCCGAAGGTACAGAAGCAAACTGCTTCTCTTCTTCCATTTCAACGACTTCTTCCTTCATCCCCTTCTCACTTTTGCCTGACGCAGCCACCGCTGTTTCGTCAAAACTCTTAGGCTCGGGGGTTGAAGGAGCAGCCTTGGCGTTCAGGCGCACATGGCGGATCAAGAACGTCAACACAAACATCATCACTGCCATAGGAATCGTGGCCTTGAACACGGTTTTCATGCTGTCCAAGTAAACCTCCTCAACCATCCCCCGGTAAGTCTCAGGGATATCCACAATCTTTTGAGCAGAGCTCTTGGCCAAGTTGGCCCACTCCACTGGCACCCCCGAGCTCTCCAGCCCATTGTTGAGGTTGTTCTGGAACAAGGCTCCGTTGATGGCCACACCAAAACCCGATCCGGTCATACGGAAAAAGTTGTGCAATGCCGAAACGGTGGCAAGATCCTTGCGATCAACCGAGGCCTGGATAGCAACAATCAGGGTGGGGAACAACTGGCCCACTCCCAAACCGCAGATAAACAGGACCACAACGTGAATAACCTTGGACGACGTCTCGGCAAGGACCAGGCAAAGGCAGATACCAACGACTGCAATGCCGGTGCCAGTGAAGATGTAGGGTCGGTATTTGCCGTACTTTGAGACAAGGAGACCGGCAATGTTGGACGAGATGAACACACCAGCCTCCAATGGAATCATGGTCAAACCAGCATTCGTTGCCGTCTCGTGCTCAATGATCTAAAAACGTCAAGTGGAGAATCAAGAGAGGTTAGTTACTTGCATAGATGAACACAAACAGGCAGAACAGTTGCATAGGGTCCTCGATGATTGCTCGCGCTTATGTACCTGGAAGTAGATGGGCAGGTAGAACATAAGAGACCAGAAGGTCATGCCCATAAAGACGTTAATGCTCAGGAGGGTGACGACGTTATGGTTCTTCCAGAGGTAAGGGGGTACAATGGGATGCTCGGCGTGCTTGGCCTCGACCCACAAGAACATCAAGATCGAAGGGATTGCCAACACGTAGAGTGTAATAATCAACGGCCTATTGGAGGTTCAAGGAGGCAATAAATTAGTGGTGTAATTTGCCTTTGCTTACATACAGCAGCTAACAGCCATTGGCGATGACAAAGAATATAAGACATGGATAACTTACGAGTTCCAGGCATAAAGGTTACCGCCAAGGTTGGTGGGCAAGAGCAAAAAGACGGCAGAGATGGCCATGAAGAAGGTGCCAGCCCAATCAATCGCCTTGACCTTACTCCAAATGTCTCCTTTGGGTCTTGGTAGCTTCAGCATCACTGTCATCGTGGGGACCGTGACAACAGCCAGTGCAATCTGAATAAAGAAGCACCATCTCCAGCTGACCTTGTCGACAAAGGCACCTCCCATGACGGGTCCAACCAGGGCAGAGATGGCAAACACGGCAGAGATAAAGCCCTGATATTTGCCTCGGTCGCGGATCGACACCAAGTCTGCAATGATAATGTTGGACAGCGAGAAAATTCCTCCTGCTCCAATACCTATCGATGAAGGCAAAAGGATAACCATCAGTCAAATGTCATCGATAAAGAGAAAGTTATCTCTATTGAAGACTATAGAGTACAAACGATGAAGCTTACCAGTGAGTGCGCGTGCGCCCAAGAACATGTTCATAGACTGTGAAACACCCGAGAGGATCGAGCCTATGCAGAAGATGCTGATAGCAAAGAACACCGTAGGCTTGCGTCCAAACACATTACTCATCTTTCCGTAAAGACCTATTCATCATGTATAAAGCAAAAGGGCGATATTTAGAGTGAAGACATTGGGCATGATGATCTACTCCATAGTAAAGTAGAAGAAAGAGAGATGTTGGATGGTTTACCTTGGAAGGCGTTGAAGGTAATGACATAGCAGGTAAAGACCAGCTCGACCTTATTAGATGCCGAGAACTGGGTTCCGATTTTGGGCAATGCCGTCGACACGATGCTGTTATCCAAGGCAGCCATGAACATTGTCATCGCAACTCTATTGACGTAAGAATAAAGGAAGTACGGTTAGTAAATGGGTAAATATGAGTAGAGAGATGAAGGCAGTTTATGATGAAGGACTGACAATCCAACTAAATTGCCCGAGGGAGTGAAAGAAAAAAAAAGGGCGCAAAGGGAAGGAGGGGAGGGTGTGCGTGCAGCGTGCAGGTGCTGGTAGACAGGAGTAAGGCACTGACAAGACAAGATTGATAGTCAACTGGCCATGTGGGGACGTGGAGATGGGGAGAGGTTCGTGCTCTTTTGTTGTTATGTTTGTTGTTTTGTTGTTGTAAAAATTGGGCAGGAGGGCAGACGACAACGTTGCGACAGTACAACTTACCCCAAGAATGCGGGAGCAAGCTGGCGCAGGGGCAGGGTCTCGACCACCTGGGCAAGGATCTCATCAGACGTCTTCTCGACCTCAGCTGTGGGCAATCCGCTCTCGGGATCGACAGGGGTAGTGGTATCTTTCTGCTTGGCGGGATCGTCCGCCTTTTCTGGAGGGGCTATGACGGTGATGGTAGTTGTGGAGGATTGGGAGGGGTTGTTGTGGGTGTGTGTCAGGGCATGGCTTGTTGGTGCTGCTGCTGCGCTTGAGGCGATCTCCCCTGTGGACGGGGATGTGTTTGTGTTGCTCATTCTTGTCGTTGGGGTATTTTGCTGTGCAGCTTGGTGGTGTGAGGAATGGAGTGGAGGGGAAGGAAATAGAGTGGAGAAGGGGGGGACGATCAGCTGCTTGCGAGCAGGACAGATGTTCAACAAACAGGGACTGAGGAAGGGTAAGGAGAGAGTGGAGGGAACAAGAGAGAAGAAAGAAAGAGAAGAAGAGAAGGAGGGATGGATGCGCTCTTATTAGTTTTTTTTTTTTTTTTTTTTTTTCAGGTACAAAAGAACAGCTCCGGGGCGGAAATGCGTTTTTCCTTCTCAGCTTCAAACTCACTCTCAGCGAGACAGGCAAGGCGCACCCATGCTAAATCCCATTAGAAGTGTACCTCTGTCCATGTTCAATGAATGGAGAATAGAAAAGAAGACCACGTTAGAAGCAAACAAGGTTGCTTCGTTTATCCCTGGGTTCGAGTGCCGCCAACTGTGTGTGATTGCGGGCATGGCACACACACATACCTCCCTGTCTGTCTTTCTCCTTTTGTGTGCATCAGGACCATATTAGGTGTCATTATTGATACACACCACCACAACCACACTGGAAAGAAAAAAAAGGAAACGATGACAAACAAAAGCACCAATAAGACCCCTTACTCCATTCAATTCCCCTCTTACCATCTGTTTGCAACCCCTGCGTTTCCATGAAAGTGTGCAGTATTAACTCCATCCATTTACCCGAAAAGATACATTGTGCAGAAAGGAAATGAATAGGAGACGTTCACTCAAGAAAGGGGGAATGTCCATTCTACACAAGTCTGAAGACCGGACAAGGCGCGAGTTGGAAGGATTGACATGAAGATCGCCTTACCTCACTTCCTTTCTCACCTCTTCAAATCCTAGTAATGATGACATTTGTTTCTAGCGTGGGATCCGATCTCTTCTGATCCAGTAGACTGGGCTTCCTCCAGGCGCCTAGTTTCAGACGCCTCTAATACTTCAGTTGCCCTTCATGCCATGCATTGTTTGACTGAGTTGAACAAAGAAAAAAGACTGCGAGTGAACAAACATAAGAGCGCCACTAACCACGCAGCCTTCTCTCTTCGAGTTCAAGATCGTGTGGCCTGAATGGTTTGTATTGTTGCCCGCACTTTTTTGTTTCTTCACTCACGCTACTCTCCATCCCCTCTTTTTTTTCTTTTGCTTTTGTTGTTTTGTGGGAAGCGAGCGTGGGACTTCACTTCATCCAAAAAGCCCAAAGGTAGCAGACAATCAACAAACTCATTGCGCATTCGGATCTTCTTCGGGGAGAGCAAAACAAATTAACATATAGTATGAAAGTGTAAAGGTGTCGAAGGAACAAAAAAACGAATGACACACTGGCACGCTGACAGATAGACAATCATTAGAGAGGGGGATGAATGCCTGTACTCAGGGCTGATGTAACACGGGCAACGGCGCCGAAGAATTACTCCAGAAAGTACATATTATTCAGACGGAGTTTTCTTTATCGCTTCTTTCTTACCTGCCTTTCATTCGTCCTCGCATCGTCGATACGTAAATCCACCTGTTGTGCGCCATGAAATTCATTCATATTGGACTCACAATGACTCTTACAAACTTGTCCGTTCTTGTTATTTTCCTCCGTTTTTAACTTCTTACTCCAACCACCACGGACTCGCACACACTAGACGATTTGGTGGCATAGACATGAAAAAAAAAAAAAAAAAAAAAATGATCGAGGAAATCATGCTTTGCACATATGCTTCTTTATCACTCAAAGGTACAAAGGGGATCTCAACGCACCCTATTTTAGTTTTTTCTGACTTTCTAGCGACCCAGTGGACAATGAATAGGTACACTCTCGATGTTCTAGCGACAAGAATGTCCACTTTTGGTCATGACTCCATTGCGGGGGGTGAGTAAAAAATCCTCAACAGATGGCAGGAGCAAAAGGACAAAAAGTGGGGACAGTATGTTTGACAGCATCTCAGTTGTGATATCCGGAATAGCTTGTGGAGCGTGTCTAAGAAAATGAGGTTGTCCCGACTGGTCAATTGTTTGCTCACCTATTTCAGGCACCTCCTGCAGATTGATCACTGATCAACGCTAAATAGTCTCTGCTTTATCACTGATGCAGACACATCGCACTTTCACACATATTATATACACGCATGCTCATAAGCACCACACACTCATACATATTGCATGCAAACGCAACCACACACGCTCAGACACTGAACAGAAAATCATTGTAATGTTGTGAAGTCGAAAGAAATGTAATGAAATATCTAATGATACTATCAAAGTGAACATATGGGGGTACACAGGCAACATAAAAGGGAAAAGGAACGATGATGTGGTTAGGTTAGGTTGAATTGTTCATAAAAGAGTGAACATACGAAATAAAGAACAAGATGTGCGGTAACGTACATCCGTTTACTTCTTGGCAACAGCGGCCTTGACCTTCTTGGTGCCGCGGAGCTTCTTGCTGCGGTTCTTGCGCTCCTTGCGCTGCTTGCGGGAGGCCTTCTTGATCTCCATGAGGCCGTGCTATTGTTTGAAAAGTTGAACGCACACAAGGAGAGAGCAGTCGTTAGTTATTTGACACGAACGCAAAGTGTGTTCAAGTTGGAACAAATTGTGTTCCTGTCAGGTACAAAGAGGCTGTGGGTGTCGCTTTGGTTAAAGTGATATTTTCCTCAGACAAAAAAGTCATCCATGCAGTCGGTTTTTGTTGCGACTCGGGTTTGTGTAAAGAAATCGATCGCGCCGTCACTGCTCGAGTGATAATAGGGCCCGCTCAAAAAGTCGACTCTTGCTTTGAATGTTGTCAAAAGTCCTGGTTTTTGAATAATGAAAGTGCTCCTCCTTCCTTCTTATGCCACACGTCCCGTATTGACGTTGTAATGTCCTGTCTCCATTCTCTCCACTTGATATGTCGGCGTGTCGGTTCCTGTTTGACAAAGAGGGCTGGTTCAGTTGGGTCGCTCGGTCAAAGGACGGAGAAAAGAATACGTACGCGAACAAGGCGGTACTTGGGCTCGAACTTCTTGGCAGACTCCAAGTTGTCGTAGATCAAAGCAAAGCCAGTCGACTTTCCGCCACCGAAAGCAGTGCGGAAACCGAAGACAAAGACAACCTCCTTGTCGACCTTGTACATCTTGGCGAGCTTCTCGCGGAGCTCATCCTTGGAGATGTTGGCGCGGGCAGGGTGGATGATATCCACAACCTAATAGTAATTGTAGTCATAAGAGGAAGGAAAAAAGAGGAGGTTGTCGTTGGTTGCTGTTGCCTGATTCTCTAGACAAAAATCGGTAGACCTGCTCAAAGGTGCAAGCAAAAAAGGGCATAGGTCTCCTCCACTTCGCTCGTTTCCCTTTGGTCCCTTTGTGCATCGCCGGCGCCCTCTGGTTGTTGGTGTGAGTGTCCTTACCATTTGCTTTCTGGCCAAAAGGCGGTTGGTCAAGAACTTGCGGGTTCTGATGGTAGCAGTGGAATCAGCCTAAGTGAAAGGGTTCGTTGAGACAGGGCGGAATCGACACGATCAGTCTTTGCTGTTCTCCATGGTTTCATAGCGACCACATCTGGGTCTGTTGCTGTGTGGCTGTGTGGGTGTAATCGTCATCCCTTCCTGCTTCCTGTGATCCTTTATCCTTTGGTTGCTCACTGTCTCCTTTTGAGAGGATGAATTGTGTTTGCTGCTATTTTGATGATTCGTTCATCCTGAGAAGAGCTGATGGGAGTGTTTGGTTGCTCCTGGTGCAGTACGCCCGTTTGTTATTTCTTTGCGCTGTTGCGATTGGGTTCATTCTGCTGCAAGATGATGATGTCGGTATACATATGTAAGTATGTATACAGGTTGTCGGTGGTGGAAGCTGCGGGTGCAGTCGGTCGTCTCATAGATACGGGTACTGCAATGATTGATGGGTTTGGTTGTCGGATGGTTTGTTCGATTGATGGATTGTTGCATGGTTGGCGATGGATATACGGCATGGCGTGTGTATGTGTCGCGAGTTGCGCATATGTCGATTTTTACACGGCGTAGATGACCCGTTGCTCCTTCCTCCTCCTGTGCTGGTCATGCGTGACTGCTTATCAGTACCATGATTTTTGATCAAAAGAGGAAGATTTGCGTTTGCAGCGGCAAACAAGTCTGAAAAGCACATCTCTGCCACCTGTGGCTTGTCGTCCAATCGTAGGAGCGGAACACTGTACTGTTCTACTGTCCTCTAATGCCGAGGACACCAAGGTTGACATTCAATTCAGTCGTTCAGTCCATACCTGTGCACAGCTCAATAATACTCACTACGCGTACAAACAAGCTACACATACAGTGCACATACACTGCACGAACACTGCACAAACACTACACACAGATGTCGTACATATGGTCGAAGAAGGAACGCTGATATCTCTGGAATGCTTAGATATGCTTGTCAATATATTGACAAGGAGGCACACTCGCAGAGATATCACGAAGGATCTTGAGTGACCACAAGACGGAAAGTAGGTATTGGCACAAGGCTCCCAAAAAAGAAGCATTCACACAAACTGACACAATATAACATCCAGGCACGAAAAACCACAGTAAAAAGGATAATTGGACGTGAGATAGAGTAGAGAGGAGAAAAAAGAAAGCAAGTTCTTAATTATCCTTCTTTCTCGGCGTTTTTATTACTTAAGCACGACGAGCACGGGCAGCGAGCTGGCGAGCGTTGAGCTTGGGCTTCTTGGCCTCAACCTCACGCTTGACGGCCTCGTTCTCCTCAGCGAGAATGATTTCGATGTGGCAAGGGGACGACATGTAGGGGTTGATGCGACCGTGAGCACGGTAGGTGCGGCGACGCTGGCGGGGAGCCTGGTTGACCTGAATGTGCTTGATGACAAGAGCCTCCTGCTCCAAGCCCTTGACCTATATTTCCATTCAATCATAAAAAGACATTGATTGTTAATTATCATAAACATCTCGGCCGATCAGCCATTGGCATGTACTTGTTGTGATTCGCCTCTTTTTCTTCACTTATCATCTTGTGTTCGTCTTTTTTTGTGGCCCTCTTCAGTAGACACCGCCCACTCTTCATTCAACTCAAACGAAAAGTCAACAACCCCACGCGCCGGTGTTAAATTGCGTCCCACGTTATCTTCACAAAGATTCCCAAGGTCAATTGGCGACCGTTGTTGTTGTCCCGGTGTAGACATATTCTTTAGATAACACGTCTGCCTCCTTTCCGAATGCGACAAAAAGACCATCCTCAGTGATTGGCAATGAGGGGTGTTTACCTCGGCGTTGGACTCGGCGTTCTTGAGCAAATCCAAGACGAACTCGCAGGACTTGGCGGGCCAGCGAGCCATGGTCATACCGAAAGGCTTGGCCTGGGCAGTGCGACCGATACCGCCGTGGAAGCGACGGAAAGGGATGGCCTGCTTGTGCTCCTTGACGTCCTCGAGGTAAGTGAGGGCCTTCTTCAACTTCATGCCGGAGATGGCAGCAGCGACCTCACGGGTGTTCTTGAAGTGAACACGGAGGTAGGAGCCACGAGACAAGGCAGCTATAGGAAGGAAATGGTCGAGGGTAGAGCCGTATTAGGATTCCGCGTTCTTTTAGAATACAGCTTCTTTCTCTTGTTGCGTTGCTTGCTTCCTGCTGTTGATCTTGTCTAGCATCCTGTTCCTGGCTGTTTTGACTTACTCTTCGAGCTGTTGGCAGGGGTGGCAGCGTATCTCACCATTTTGTCCTATAGGCAACAAAAAGCAAACAGCAAGACATGGTTAGCGGCAGTTCTCCCTCTGTCTCTTTGGACATAGTGCCTTCTTGCTCTTGATTGTCGTCTCCTGTCTGTCCACGTCTGTCTCCTCTGGAGCTAACAGTATGCAGCTTGGACTGTTGAGCTGTCTCTTGAAGGACAAAATCAATCCCAGTGGCGGTGATGCAGCGTTTCCCCTAGCATTTCGTCTTTGGGCTGATTCAGTTCATCCTTCTCCCTGGATCCTGATTTGACCGTGATCCTTCCTGGTTGAGCGATGATTCATAAGATTGATGTCTGAGATTTCCTGTGTCCTGCTGGCAATAGATTCGTTCTTTTTTTTTGTAAAGAACAGCTGGCTTTCCTGCTCTTGATTGTGGCACTCTTTGTTTTTTTTTTTTTTTTTTTTGTCAAAGAGACGACGAGATGTTTGTGTTGGTTCATTTTTGAACAAGGGACGGCAGTGGAGCCATTTTGATGAATTTGGCAGAGTTGGGTTTGGCGGTAATATTGGCGACGGGGATGGTGATGGATGAATGGGTGTTGATGGGTGCGTTGCGGGTGTAGCTAGTTGGATGTGATACTGGGCCCTTGGATGCGTGATCGATGTGTCGGTGTGAGCATGTATGTGCCCTATCCAAGGGCAATATCCTCCTGAAGGCTGTGACTGTCTCTGCAAGTCTCTACCTTTGGATTAGAGATAGAGGAAAGAAGGACGAAGTAACCCACCAGCCAGAGTCATAAAAATCAAATTCCAGACTCAAACGGACATGAAAAAGCCACGCCTGCCATTCAAAGACTTACTCCTACATATCTAAAACTGCCTTCCAATACTCTCGCTCACTCACACCCACACCCACACCCACACCCGCGAACGCACCACAACAGGAGCACTCAAACACTCAGCTTCTCATATCAACTGCACTGAACAACCACAAATATACAGCAAACGGAACAATGACTGAGCAAGAAGACATCGCTGCCGCACTGGAAAAGACACAAAACGCCCTCCATGACGTCGAACTTATGATCAACTCGGTACTTGACACCAACCTTCCCACCCCCAACTCGACGCGCTCATCAATAGTAACAACAAGGAACCGGCTCTCATGGAGAAGAAACTGAAGTTTGAAGCTGACAGGATCGCTTGTTTATACGATTGTCATCACCTAGTTGAACGATGTCCGTCTCTCTGTTCATCACGTCTTCCACATCCTTCAAGGACGGTCACGTACGTAGCCTGGCGCCTCCACCTTTCTTTTTCTTTTTGTTCCCAGCGTATCAAAAGGCAACCAGAATATTAACGTTCACATTGTTCACTTGGCTCAATCGATACTCAGTAGCACCACTATCAGGAGCAGCATTTCGGGAAAACGCAAAGTTTACATATACCGCATTGGAGTCCTTAGCAAAGCTGGCGGTCAACTCTGAAGGTGTGGGCAACTACCGTGGTGTTGTGCACTGAATTGACACCTGTTAGCTTTGGAGAAATATTCTTAAATAGTATTCAAACTAACCCTACCTGTCTTGTCGGATCTTAGGGCTTTTGAATGATACACAGTCGATGGAGCTTCCAAAGTTGCAAGGACCTTCACCAATGTATGTCGTCAGTTTGTTATCTTTGAAGAAATCGTATGCCCCTGATAGAGACCTCTTGATACTTTGGGAAACTTTGCAACTGACGGTCCACTGTTTCTGCTGTTAGATCGCTGGAAACAAAGCAGAAGGAAGCTCAGCAGGAAGACAAGGACAATGCGGTGTAAGGACATATTTTTTCTTTCTCGGTGGATTGTGAACAAATGTGCAGGACTCTTGCAGATTCTCATTGCTCTTCTTCATGCCATGATATTTTATATCATTCTAGTCCAGCAAAGTCATTGCCTGGGGTTGTTGTAGCCACCTTTGAAAGCGAAAAGGGTCCAGAATATGCAAAGTAAGTGCTCTGTAAAAAATCAGAAAGTTAGGGATGGCGCCCATTTCACTCATTCAAAGTAAGATAAATAACACAAACTAATATATATCTGCCTAGTCTTTCGGTAGATGATACGTTGCGGTGGTTTGAGCGGAAAGTAAGAAAGTCGGGAACAAAAGTCCGCGCCAGTCGATTGGAGACACATCAGTCATTTCCGTTCTCTACCCTCAAGGTACAGCTCAAGGCAGTTTTACAGGAACTTTATCAGTATATTTGCGAAGTGAAATGAGTTAACTAAGTTCTTCTAATTCGCACTGACCTAGGTCAATGTGTCAGGAGTCATGAATGCGTTCATCGTCCTGGAAGCAAACAGGAAGGGTCGCTGTCTGTCGATATCGCGACTGGTTGTGTTTGGAGCCGGAGAGGAGGTACTGCTTCGACTATTTGTCCTTATTGCATCGGAGAATCTGTTTATTACTTTTTTTTCTGCCGAGTGCCCTTGTGCTGATACTTACAGTTTGCACCTTTTTTTTTTTGTTCACTGCACCAGAATTCAGTTTGGGAAGACTCGAGTCATCTGGTGTTCAAGAAAATCTCGCAGATTGCAGTGGGCGCAGTGGATTATTTCATGGACAGGGCGCCACGCTCCCTCCTCGGACTTGTCCTTGTAAGTAGTGCCTCGACCCGACACCCGACACAACTAACCCCGACACGTTACGAACCCGAGCAAAGCGATGATTGCACAATTGTCATTGAGAATGTGCCTTTTCTTATTTAATGTTCTGTTTATGAATTGATTCATATACGATAGGAGTGGATATCGATGTATTCGACATTGTTTACGGCGCCATGTTCGGGATGTGGGAAGCACCTTTATTTTGACTCGCAGCAGTTCAAGCATCTGCCCCCGACGCTGTACACGTATGATGAGCAGGGCATGGCCCTTCCCTTCCACCCCGCCTGCCAGAAGAAATAAAAAAAAAATGTCGACATTTCGCCCAAACCCCAAGGGGAACCAATCAGTTTACAATTATGAGCCTGCCGCACGGGGACGGACCGGGCAGCCAAGACAATCCAGGTCAAGACAAGTCAAGGCAAGTTAAGGCACATCCAGTCAACCAGACAGGGCAAGCGACTCAACAAGACAGGGCCTTGTTTAGACATTCCCGTCTCCCCCTTTTTTTTCCCTCTCTTTTTATTTTTTCTTCTCTCATCGTCATCATCCTGTTTACTCAAACACACCAAAAAAACACACACACACATACTACCGCTACAACCATCACTTTTCACAACAGAACACTACTGCAATGCCAGCAAATAATCTGATCAGACCAAACGCAGAGCGCACAAGAGAAACAACTCGGCAGTCAACCTGTACCTGTCCCTCGCCACTTGGAGGGCTCCTCCATTCCGATGACATTGAGACGATGGAGCTCAACGCACACTCGCCAACCTGCGCACTTCACTCGAGTTCGATGGCAATCCGGAAACAGCAGGCCAAGCAGCGACAGTTCGAGCTTCTTCAACGCCACCAACAGAAGCAGCAGCGTCGGAAACTAGACCCCTATGAGGCCGTCAGGGTTCATCCCTCAAAGACCTTTCACCTCTACACAGGATCTCGATTTCAGGGGAAACAGCGATCAGGGAGCCATAGCTATGATGTCGTTGTCGATATCAAGGTACCAGTTACATCCGGCTTTTGCTTAAGTACTAGATTGAGAGTATGCCATTGCATTCTTGAAAGGACCCTCTCCGGCGTGGTTATCGTTGTCGCTGTTGTTGCAAACGTTACTGATTATTGTTGTATTGCCATTTGGCATTCGATCCTAAAAGAAGGTTGTGGATATGATCTTTCTCTGTTTATTACCTAACATGATCCCATTGTTTTCGCTTTTGTTCTGTTCTGTTCTATTGGGAGAATAATATTAGCATGTCGATCTGAACGACTCCTTCCTGTGCGGGTACCTCCATATCAAGGGATTGACCGAGGAATACCCCGAGTTGACGACGTACTTTGAGGCAGAGATCATTGGGCCCAAGCATTCGTTCTTCACCCGCAAATGGGATGCCGACGAACTAGTCGATGAAGAGCATTGGGTAAACACGGCGCATTCATGCACACATGCACACGCGCTCACACACCTCTGCCACTGTGCAGTTTTGTATGTTTATTTGTATGGCATGGAAAACTTACCTCCTTTTTCCGTATTCTTTACTTAGACGCTGTTCAGACCGTTTGAGTGCCTGTCGAGTTCAGTCTTTTGTGGACGGGACAAGCATGTGGACAAGGGCGAGGGTCGGGCGTCAAAGTGCACCTACCGTCACCACTATGACTCACAGACGTACGATCATAGGAGCGAGGATGTTGTGTTTATGCGGTGGAAGGAGCACTTTCTAGTACCTGACCACCAAGTGCAAGGAATTACGGGAGCCAGCTTTGCGGGATTCTACTACATATGTTATAGCAAAGTGACGGGTCATATCATCGGCTTTTATTACCACCATTCCAGCGAGAAGTAAGTGTCGCGGTGTGCTTTCTTTTTCTAATTATGCACATGCTACATTCAACACCCAGTCACTTACCTACCTATGGCATTATCTCTTTTTTCCATCCGTGATCAGATTCCAGCAGCTCCTCCTGGCGCCAATTCAGGAACGGTCGTTTGGGTCAGTCGAGTACCGATAATTAGAAGACAGATGTCATAAATAATACTTAATTAAGGGCCCCTCATGCGGCGACATCCTAAATCCAAAATGTATGCCATATGGCCCCTTCCCTTCTTCCCTCTCTCTCTCATACGCACACACACACCACCACTTCCTCCACCATCGCATCGAGTCCACAACTGCATATTACATACAATAAGCACACTCATACTCATTCTCGTTCACATCCACTACAAAGCCACGTTCTTGTTCCCACCCCTTCTCGCCAAATGGCACACCATCGTACGTCCTCCTCTTTGCATGCTAAAGCTCTCTTTCTCTGATGCAATCCAACTGACAAATGTATTTTATTCCTTGCCCGTCTACTTCTGCATAGATGCATCACCTTACCATGATGTAGAGAACGTTCGCATGATTGCCTCGCCTCTCTTCAAGGTGCCTTCGCCTGTAAGTGGCCGCTACCCTTTGTTACCTTTTGAACTTTCAAGAATAGAGCAAACAAGAGCACCGTTATATTGCAATTGGATGTTTCTTGGCGCTTTCTTGTTCACCACCAGGTCAACTCATTGTCATCAATACCATCTTAGATTTCACCGCCGTACGATATGCACCCATTGCCCGAAGATGTCATTCAGCGAGTATGTTTTGAATAGCGCGCTACAGTGCGCAACCCTTTTCACCTCCACCCCAAGGTTCTCTCGCCCTCTTTTTTTTTTTTTAGTTTACCAACAGTTTTTCCACATTGTCTTTGAAAATTTAGCGATATCACGACTTCTCCTTGGAGCACAGGATTGTTCAGGAGTACCAACGCATCATGGCGGAGGAAGCCGCGGCAATTGAAGCAAGGGAGAGTGCCTACAAGCTGTATGCCGAGGAACGACAGGCCCGCTTGAAACAGGAGCGCATCACCATGGCGCGAAAGATTGCCCCTGGCTTTCTAGACAATGACGACCGTCGCATCCTAACTCCGACCATGGCAACAGCGCAGGTGAAGGAGCAAACCACTTCCAGCGCCCAGGCAATCACATCCAAGTTCGCCGGCAATCGATTTGACTACAGTGAATTCGAAACCAGAGATTCTGCTGACGAAGGACCGAGCAATCGCGGCAAGGATGACGGATCCACAGACAACGGTCAACCATCGCCTCAGGGAGAGAGTCAGCGCGAAGAGATCGTCTCTCCAACCCAAGATGGAGCAGAAAGTGAGAGTAACGACGGATCGGAGGAAGAGGTTATCGTTCAGGCTGTTCCCCTGTCTGAATTGACAGGAATGCTGCGCGATAGTTGTCTTGAAGAGGAGTCCTCCTCGTCTGCGCCCAGAACCTGGCATGAGCGCGATCCTGTCTCAGAGGTAATTATATCTACATTCAAAACGGTAATCCTGACTAATGCTGCAAGAGGAGGCAGCGCCGTTACTAACCTGGGTCAAATCGGGGGGTTTCTACGCCCTGAACAATAGAAATCGACAATGCCTTCGTTCAATACGACCAGACTGGACTATAGAGAGTTTGAGCAAGGGCTTGGACCACCAGATCCCTGGGATACGCCTGTGGATGACCTCACGGCACTCAAGGATGTGATCTCTCAGCAGATGGGCCACAACAATTCGACCATGCAGCAGGATAGCTCCATTTCGTCGTCTCGTAACCAGCAATCTCAACATATGCAGTCGCAGCAATCGCAACACTCTCTTTCGCAGTCAGCATACCCATACCAGCATCAGCACCAGCAGTACCACCAACCTACCGACCATTCCGTCCTTGGCCAGTACCCTTACTCTGGAGCCAACCCTCCCCCAAGAGCTGCATACAACTCTTCACCTGGCCCTGTCGCATCCTTTGTGCCTCCAACAAAACTCACAGGCATTGCACAACAACAGGCGGCCCTTCAGCACCACCAGCAGCAACACCGCCATTCCACTGGCGGGATTGGCGCTCACCCGACCACGGGCCTGACCCCTAGTCAACAACACGTTCGCTTTGGAAACGCCTCACCTTCTCCGCCACCTTTACCACCACCACCACGGGCCATGACGACATCCCCGTCTGTGCATTCTTCGACGACAGCAGTGATGTCGGGTGGCCCCACGGCAGGAGCAAATAGGCCCCGGCTGCCAGCCCGTCCCATTCGACCAAATGACCCGGGCTCGACAGATTCTCCCACGTCGGCCGGACTGGACCACGTCGCTGTCATGGATCGTTCAATGACTCCTCCGAGGCCTCCTCTGCCTCCACCACCTCATCCCCCAACACAAGGAACATCAGTATCGTCGGCCATTGGATCAGGAGGAATTGGAGGCAGCACAGGTGGTGGCGTTGGCGGAGCCGCACCACCGGCACTCAAGCCACGCCCTCCAAAGGATCACGAGATGCTTCATGGGATACTTGGGTCTAACAAGAAGACGATGGCGACGGGTATGCATGGAGGTTTCAATGAGGCGGAAGGCCGGACTGGACAGGATTTGGATGATTCGCAGCAACAGCAGCAAGTTGCGCCGGCTCCTCCTCAGGCCGAGTCGCTGATCAGCCAACTTGCGAGCATGGGCTTTACACGGGAGCAGAGCCGGAGTGCGCTTGAGAAGTACGACTATGACCTTGAGAAGGCGACTAACCATCTTCTTGACTGGGACGAGTAGACGCAGTTTGTTGTATCCATTTCAATCCTTTGGTTCCTTCCTTCCCTCTTTCCTTCCTTCTCTCTTTCTTTCTTGTCTTTACTTGTCACTTCGTGTCGTGTCGTGCCGTGTCTTGTGAATAAAATACATTAAAAGACGCGTACCGCACATGCCTACCGTACCCACTCCAATTTTTTCTTTCTTCCTTTTCCTCTTCCTCTTCCTCGTTGATTTTGTGCAAGCCACCGAACGAGTGGCCTCTCCCCTTTTCTCTCTCATTAATCTTTGTCGTTTTCCTTTCTCCTCCCTGTCCCACTCTGTCCGCCCTCCCATCCACCCATCCCCTCCTTCGCTGCTGTTTCTTTATTTCCAAGCTCAACCTACTTCCACCTCTTCTTCTTCTTCTTCTCCTCATCCTTTTGGGCTTGACCACCCGCTCAGCCAAGGCCTCATCGTCGCGTCTTTTTTTTCTTTTCTTCCCCATATTATTTCTCTTTTGGAGGACAACAACAACAACAACACCGAGAGATCCTCCTCCTCCCTGAAAACCCCCAGGAGACAGCAAGAACTTGCCGCAACAGGAGTCATCACTCATCCCTAGCGCGACCTCTCTTTCCATCCCTCAACGCTCGTGAATCCACCTCGTTGACAACTCAAGCATACACACGCGCCTTTCGTCTGCGTGAATTGACGACTCTTCTCGGGTGGACCCATCTTCCATCCCATCACCAGACTATTCAAGACAGGGGACACCCTCACCCCGCCCCTCGAGCTCATACCGATCGTCTGTCGTCGTGCGTTTGATGGACTACGAGCCACTCTCAGGACTCCCCTAGATCAAGTCTTTTAAATCGCCGTTCCGATGAACCCCCAATTGACAGGCGCCATGCAGCAGCAACGACCACCACAGCAACTTCAAGGGATGACTCCCTTGCAGCAACAGCAACACGCTCAGCTACAGCAGCAGCAGTTTCAACAGCAACAACAGCAGCAGCTTTTGCTCCAGCAGATGCAACAGAAGCAGTTTCAACAACAACAACAGCAACAACAGCTTCAGTTGCAGCAACGAGCCGGCTTGAAGAACCAACCGCCACAGCAACAACAACAGCATCAATTCCAACTTCAGCAGCTTCAATTGCAGCAGCAACAACTTCTTCAACAACAACAACAGCAACAGCAGCAACAGCAGCAGCAGCAGCAGCAGCACCAACAGCAACAGCACCAACAGCAACAGCAATTGCAGCAGCAACAGCAGCAGCAACAACAACAACAACAGCAACAACAACAGCAACAACAACAACAACAACAACAACAACAACAGCATCAGCAACAACAACAGCAGATGCACCAACAAATGGTGGGACATCCACAGGGGGTCATGCCAGTTGGACCTTCGCCGGTTCCAATGCATGGACAGCCTATTCCCGGGCAACATCCCATGCAAAACAACTTGATTCTTCAACAGCAGCAACAGCAACAGCAACGGATGTTTGCTCAGATGCAGCAACAGCAGAACCAGCACCTTCACCTAGGTGGTACCGCGAAACCTATCACTGCAGGATTTCCCGGGATGCCTCCAGGAATGCAGCCAGGAATGCAGCCAGGAATGCAGGCGGGGATGCCATCTGGATTGCCACCGGGGATGCAACCAGGGATGCCATCGGGGATGCAACCAGGGATGCCACCGGGAATACAACCAGGGATGTCAGGAGGAATGATCCGTCCTCCAACTATCCTTAATGGTACTCCTGCGGCGCCACCGCCAGTAGCTGTCAAGCATTTCGAGGTTGATATCAATGAGCAAGTTGTCCAGACGGTAAGCGATATGACTGACCAGATCAGCCGTTGGATTGTTCTGACGATGATCCATCGCATTGCAGACATGACTGAACTAACGACAAACTTTACTTTATTTTGGTATAGCTTCTTGAGTTGAACAAGGAGTTGATCTCGGTCTGCATCGACTACCAGGCAAACCAACTGACCGCCGATCCTGACTTCATGAAGTATGTTCTACACTCAATCGCGGATCATCGTAAACCCAACACAAGGATGTGCCACCATTGATTGCTAATCGACAAATGTTTGCCCTTTAAACAGGTACCAGATTCGTCTCCAAACAACACTCTCATATTTGGCCACATGGTCAGAAATCAGCAAAAGCATACCGGTAAGACACCTCTTCTCATCTCGTCATTATATTGCTCTCTGACGCATGTCCGAGTCGTCCTCTTAACCTTTAGGCATTGAACACCTTGTACCAATTGTAGGTTTCAAAGGAACCACCACCAAAACCCGATCTCTCGCCTCTCCCGCCGGCACGTTTCCCATCCGCTGTTCGAGCGATGACTGCCCTTCCCAAGGTCGCAGTCGCCTACGCAGCTGCTGAGAAAGAACGGAAAGCCAAACAACAACCCAAAACAGCAAAAGCGGACGCCTTGCGGAGGAAATCTAAGGATGGCAGCGTACCACCAGTGAGTCAAACCGGAAGATCTGGCTCAGTTGACGGCACACCTGTATTGGCTAGCGCTGCTGGTCCTGTTGCTTCAGCCGCTGTGGTCCCAATTGGACAGGGAGTCGTCGCAGCGACGACTGCCTCAACTGCATCACACGTTACCCCAATTATCGGTAGCCAGTCCATTGCCCCACCACAGCCACGCTTCCCGCCCAATGTCGCACTCCAGCAGCAGCAATGGATGCATCAACAGCGGCTACAGCAACAGCAAATGCAGCAAGTACAGCATTCCCAGCAGCCACCGCCCCAGTTTGTTTCAGGAATGCACCAGGGAGCACCTTTCTCGAGCATGACACCGCCTTCCATGGCACCTTCTATACCCTCTTCTGTCGCCTCAGCCATGTCACCTGCACAAGTTCAGTCATCCCCAACTGTCTCCACCGCTTCTCAGTTCCAGGGTCCTGCCTCAGTGGCCCCCGAAGGCGAGTTACCTGCAGTTGTTCAGGTTGGTCTTGGTACCGATTCTCTCTATTCGCAAACGTCAACACCATCAACCGCAGTGACTCCCATCACTACTTCAACACCAAACGGAGCACCAGGCCCCGCGGGAACCCCACAGTCTGGAACTGTATTGCTGCATTCTTCTCCAGCTCTCGTCGGCGGCGGTATTGGTCACCTCAAGCAGGTCAGGAGTGCCGCCAACAGTCCAGCGCTTGCTCAGGCACAGGTTCAGATGCCGTCATCCCCTCGAGGAGGAATTCCTGGATCACCCGCAGGGCAACCACAGGGAATTCATCACCCTGTCCAGAATCTGAAGCAACAGAACAATGGGAGCAGAAACAACTCGCCGCTAGTTCAGCATCAAATGTTACCTCAGAGAACGCCGGGATCGGCAGCTTCTTCGCCTAATGTGACGCACGCCACCATCCCGCCAGTGTCGCAGGATTCCAACAACCAACGGATAGCATCGCCAGCACCTGGCTCAGCTCCGTCTGTGTCAGCCAGCATTCCTTCTCCTTTCAACCCTTCATCACAGTCTCAAACGGCGAGCCCTGTCATCGCCCAGCAACAGCAACAGCAACAGCAACAACAGCAACAACGGCCAATGACGACGCCAATGCCCATGGCCGGTATGGGCGTTCATCCAGGAGCACCCATGGGACAGCCAATGCCGCACGGAATGCCTATGAGTATGCCGATGGGTATGAGTATGAGCCAGCCCATGAATATGAGCGTAGGCATGATGGGAGGATCAATGCCCATGTCAATGCCCATGCAGATGCAGATGCCCTTAACTGGAAAGCATATGCTGGGTGGGCATGGGGTTCAGATGCAATTGGGACAACACCAGCAGCACCAGATGACACAACTCCAGCTTCATATGATGCAGCAACATCACCACCATCACCAAATCCAACAGCAGCAGCAGCAGCAACAGCAGCAACAACAGCAGCAACAACAGCAACAACAACAGCAGCAGCAGCAACGTCAACATAGTCGACAGAACAGCCCGATGATGAGTCCTGGCCGAGCAAGCCCTGCAATGTTCAGTCCACCACCCTCGTCGATGATGAACCAAGGCCAAGTGCCTAGTCGATCAGGATCCATGGACTTGACCGCTAATCCCAACAACAACAACAGCAGTGTCAATAGCGGCAGCGCTATGGGTGGCAACGCCAGTCAGCAAAACTCGCCTGCGATCGGAAGTCGTGTAGGAGTATCGTCACTACCTGGCTCAAGATCGGGATCAGTGGACTTTGCCCAGCATCAGCACCCATTGCAGCATCAACAGCTCCAACACCAATTGCAGCAACAGCAACAGCAGCAGCTTCACTCGAACTCACCTTCACAACAGGGTACACCCCTGTCCTCTACCTCGTCACTGCCTCCACCTACGCCCCAACAACCCGCCAATACTCCCGGTGGTCCTGGAATGTCTTTCGACAGCAGTCCAAACAGTTTCCAGAGTACACCGCAAATGGGGGCACTAGGCCATCACCAACAGCAACAACAGCTTCAGCAGAGCCCGTTTCAGCACAGTGGATCCAACAGTACCACGCCTGGCAGTGTTCAGGGAACACCTAATTTTGGAAATGGATATCAAGGAGGCCATGCAGTCGGAGACAATGATGGGCCAGGAAGTGCCAAGGGCATGGCTCTGTCGATGAGCAGTGGTCAGAACTCGCCTATGACCGATGGTGGTTCGCAGCAGCCACCTCAACAATCACAACAATCACATCAACAACAGCAGCAAGAGGAGGAAGATGTGGGGACAGACATGCTGAACCTTGGCATGGGTCTGGACATGGACATGGACATGGGGATGGGGATGACGGATGATCCATTTGGCGACGGTGACTCTGGAGGATACGGTGGTAATAATGACGACGGTAACAGTAATGGTGGTAGCGGAGGAGGTGGCCAAGACTCCCGTCAGCACCAGGACCAGGACCAGGACATAGACCACCATCATCACCACTCGGGGCAACATGGTGGCGGAGGAAATGAAGGATTGGGGGCAATGGAGATGGAGGTCAACGAGGACGAAGACGATGTCATGAGTGGTTTCCTGAACCTGTAATATTACACAAAACACGCACACTTTTTTGAAAAAGAAATAATGGTTGTTTAATAAGGCTTTTGTGTGTCGCTTGTGAAAAGTATGTACAACGAGGGCGCCAGTGGGACGTGCACTTTAGTGCTGACCATCGTGAAGGGCCTTGATGGCATTGGCAGCAGCGGCAAGACCAAAAACGGTCCAGGAGAACCAATGGGCCATGTCACTGACGGCCCGCTTTGAAACACCCTCGCCAAGGGATCTGTCGAGAATACCCAGCTGCTCCAAGAGGTTGTTGAAGAACCCACATTGAAGCAATTGGGATGTGATCAGACCTGCGAACAAGGTGTGGAGACCTACACGGGAGAAGCCAGCCAAGTCGAGAACGGTGAGGAGGATCATGGTGATGGGGAACAGGGAGGTGTACTTTGTTAGGATGGCCCCGAATGAGTTGGTGTGGCCGTGTTTGCCGCGGTGACCGTTCTTGTGGCTGTGGACAGCGCGGTGATCATCATCGTCTATCATTGCCCATTCAAACGAAAAGGTAAATTAGCTTCCGCTGACTGGCTCGAACTTACTGAAAAAGTAGCACAAAGGTCGCCGTGGTTATAGAACTTACGATGTTTGAGCTTGCCATGCTTGTCATGGTGTTCATGATGCTCTTGGTGCTCGTGGTGATGCTCATGGTGTTCGTGCGACGACTCGGAGCTGTGGCTGTCGCGGCGACCGTTGGCTCCACGATGAGTCAAGTGCAGATCGCCATGGGACGCCTTCCAGGCCTTGAAAGCATTCCGACGCAACCAGATTTTGCGAGCCAAATACAATAGATACAATGCCGTCAATGCTCCATACAACGAGTTGGCATCGTGATGCCCACTAGCATCATGGTGGCCAAAGAGGTTCGTCTTGGCATCGCCCAATAGCTGGTTATAAGAGTCCTGGGCCTTGATCAACGGCGCAAAGGGAGTGTTGGTGGCAGATCCCCAGATCGAGCTAGCGGAAGCTGTGGCACGGTCATACTTGGACGATGCCTTGTCCTTGATTGAGTTCGCCGATTTTTTGGCACCGTGAACGGCTGACGAGACAGACTTGGATGCGTGGTGCGAGATGGACGATCCAGACTTGCGAGCTGCCTCGGCGGCATGCTCCAGCTTAGCCTTGACTTGGGCGGTATCCCTGTTGAACGATTCGATGGCGTTGTCGTAGGCATGCTTGGGAGCGGCCTTGATCTTGGTCTCGGCCTCCTTCAAGGCGTTGCTGAATCCCAAAGAAGCATCCTGGAGGGCCTTGTGTAGCCTAGACTTGTCGATTTCGTCCTTAGTGAGGCGGACGGCGTCCTTGATGTTATTACGAGCGTGCTGGATCGACTTAAAAAGGCCGTTAGACAACGAGCTGTAGATGTCGTTACGAGTCTTTTTGACGCTCTTGAGCGAGTTCTTGAAGACGCGCTCGTACTGGTCCTTAGCATCACCGGCATTGTCGATGACGGCATTCCACTGTGACGTCAACCAGGAGTCGGTCTGCTCCTCGAAGTATTTGGCCTCGTTCAGCTTGACCTTGACCTTTTCGACGACTGAATCAAGCTCCTCCACGGCGCCCTTTTCGTTGCGAGCCACACGGTCCAACAACGCCTGATAGCCATCCTTGACAGACTTCAAACTTGCCTCGAATGACGTGGCCGAGGGCGAGTTCTTGGCCTTGAGTCCGGCCTGAGCCAACAGACTAGTCAGGGTTCCATGGACCTTGTCAAGCGACAACTCCTTCTTTGGCAACGACTTGAGGATGCTGTGTCCATGATCGTCCTGGTTCGAATGATCCCAGATCTCACGACAATCCCAGCCAGAGTCAGCTGCAGGGTTCTGTCGCGAGAACCAATACTGTGAACTAGGAGAACAGGCATACTTGGGAGGGTTAAAAGCCAAGGAATCCACCGCTGCCTTGAACCGGTCCCACTTCTTGTGCGTCAACTCTTCCACTGCATCCTTGGCCTCCTCGCCAACCTCCTTTTCTGTGCATTCGGCTTGCTGGAACCAACGGGAGCGGGCCTTCTCAATCGCATCCTCGTGGACTTTTTCGGCAGCTGCTAGAGCCTCACGGTACTTTTCCTCAGCGGCCTCGTATGCCTCGCGAGCCTCCTTCTTGTACCCAAACATGGCCCACTTGGCCTCCTTGGCGGCTTCATCCCTGGCCTCCTTAGCTTTGATTACCATCTCCTTGGCGGTCTCTTCGGCATCCTTAGTCAGGGATTTCCAATAGTCGTGCGCACGGCGCATCACACTGTTGGACCCAAAGAGGGAAGGGGTCGCGGCATGGTAGTGATGTTGATGTTGACCGTTAGGGTGTCCGCGATGGTGGTGTTGGTGTTCAGCATCGTCCTCCTCGTCAGAACCATGGGAAGCAGGAAACCAATAGTCGCGAAGGGTCTTCTTGATGCCCTCGACAACTCCTTGGCCTTCGGGAACGACCTCCTCGTGTTCAGAGACGATAGTTGTTGTGCGAGCAATGATTGTGGTCATTGCGTCGTTCTTTAGCGTGTGGGTGCTGATAGTTTCCTGACCCATGTCGTTTTGTTGTTGTTTGGGATTTTGTGTGGATAGTTGTTCTGGGTTGAAGAGGGGCAAGAAAGCAGGGTGAGCGGAGAAAAAAAAAGATAACAAAGGACGAAAGAAAGAAAAGGGAAAGAAAGGATGATCGCTTGTGGGAGGAAGTGTCGAACTGGGCGAAATGCGCGGGATATGCAGAGCAGTGGAGGAGTGAGACCTTTTTTTTGCATTCAGAAACAAGAAAAAAAAACGGTGTCGGATGGTGTGGATGGGGTGAAAATAGACAACCATGCATCACGTGGTATGACCTTTAACACCACCACTCTTTTCAACGTAAAGGGTCCCTGATGCTAAGAGCGAGCCCTCACAGTGTCGCCCACTTCACTTTGCCAAATGTTGTCGCGCGAGACTAATAGGAGTATTTTTGGATGTTGTGCCTGAATGACTTTTGTTTGAGAGCGTCTATGACCGTCTCTCCTGTAAGATGCTTCGTATTCTTCTTCCAAGCCATCCTGCTGGAGGAAGTGTCACCTTATTCCCAATCCATTGTCATAAGCACAGACATCCAACCCATCACTCCCCAGCCAAGGTTCTTGATTGGTACAGTACAAGCGGAGCAACGCAATAATGACGACAACTTATTCCAAATCCAAGGCTTGACTCAATCTTAAGGTCGTCGTCACCTTGACGACACCGAGTTTCCCCAGCCAGTAAATCACTATAAAACTGACCGAATGTGCCTGTTCTAACCGTTCTTGTCCTAATCAATACCTTCCTCAAACTTCCTCCTCCTCTCATCCACAACACTGCCTCAAACACCACTAGTTTTAGCCTTCACAGCCATGGCCAACGACAAACAGCACGAGAACGTTACAATGTTCCAGTTCTTCGAGTGGTACTCGCCCACCGATCATATGCATTGGATCCGTCTCAAGGAACAAGCCAGCCTCCTCAGCTCCCTCGGTCTCTCTGCCATCTGGGTGCCTCCACCCACCAAAGGTACCTCACCCAACGATGTCGGCTACGGCGTGTACGATCTCTGGGACATGGGCGAGTTTGACCAGAAGGGCACCGTCCCTACCAAGTACGGTACCAAGGACCAGCTCAAGGAGGCCATTGACGAGTGCCACAAGCACGGTATCAAGATCTACTTTGACGCCGTCCTCAACCACAAGGCTTCCGGCGACGAGACTGAGGTTTTTAAAGCCGTTGCTGTTGCTGAGGACGATCGCACCCAGGAGATCGAGGACCCTAGCATGATTACCTCCTACACAAAGTTCAACTTTCCTGGTCGCAAGGGCAAATACTCCGACTTTCAGTGGAACCACCACCACTTCTCTGGAACCGATTGGGATGCCAAGGCAGAGCGCTCTGTAAGTTTTCAAAAGCCTTGCTCTGACATGATTCATTTTATACTTCTTTGCTTGTTTTTATTTGCCATTGTATCCTCATCACCAGATATTCATCTATCCCGTCATCTACTATCCATAGGCGGTGTTCAAGATCAAGGGCGAGAACAAGAGCTTTGCCGAGGACGTGGACGGTGAAAATGGCAACTTTGACTATCTCATGTGTAATAACATTGACTACTCTCATCCTGATGTCGTCGCCGAGACCGAGCGCTGGGCCCAATGGTGTATCGACGAGTTCAATATTGACGGCTTCCGCATCGACGCTATGAAGCACATCTCTGCCGGCTTCATCGCACATCTGCTTTCTCACATTCGCGGTCAGCTTAACAAGCCCGATTTCTTTTGTGTGGGGGAGTACTGGAAGCAGGACTTGGATGATGTTGATATCCATTTGGACAACAATGGACACATTCATCTGTTTGATGTACCCCTCCATTTCAACTTTAAGCGTGCTGGTGAGGAAGGCCCTTCGTTTGATATGAGGACCATTTTTGACGGCACGCTCGTCCAGTCTTCTCCCGAGGCCGCTGTCACCTTCATCGACAACCATGATACTCAACCCTACCAATCCCTCGAGAGCTTTGTCCCCTCCTGGTTCAAACCCCTGGCCGCAGCCGTAAGTTCTCGCTGTTTGCACGAACAAATCTCATTTCTTACATTGTAGGACTGACTTCATCGCAGACCCAACTAATCAGCCTCTGTCCTTTTTTGACCATTTTAGTTGATCTGCCTGCGATTCGATGGATACCCGTGCTTGTTCTATGGCGACTTTTACGGTATCGAGCCCAAATCCCCCTCCGAGCCCGAGACAGGCGTCCCTGGCCGCAAGGAGATGTTTTCCCGAATGCTCCTCGCTCGCAAGCAATTCGCCTACGGCACCCAGGACGATTACTTTGACCACGCCAATTGCATCGCCTGGGTCCGCCACGGCGACGAGCACCACCCTGGCGGTCTCGCCGTCGTCATGTCCAACTCTAACACCAAGGGCTATAAACGCCTCAACGTTGGGCAGCACCGCGCCGGAGAGGTTTGGGTGGACATGATGGGGTATTGGAAGGACCCCGTTACGATCAAGGAAGATGGATCGGGCAAGTTTTATTGTCATTCCGGAAGTGTCTCACTCTGGGTGCCCAAGGAAGAAGGCAAGAGCTGGATTACTTACGAGGAGTCGTCGCCAGAAGAGGCTGAGCGCCATGGAAACGAGGAGCAGCATGCGAGAGACCATGCTCATGATGATGACAGCGAGGACGACAAGGAAGAAGAGAAGGAGTTTGAGGCTGAGCATCCTGACCTGCCAAAGCCTTTGGACACCTGGGACCATTTGTTGGAGGATGACAAACAGGCTCAGCACTAATAATCTTCAAGACCTTGTAGTATACCATTAATGATAAAATACCCAAAAATGATAAAATACCCAATAAAGTGTTGTGTCGGACAGGGGATCGTTTTTATTTCGGAAAAGCATAGAGGTACCTGCAGAGAGATACATCCTCACTAAACACAAGAAGAAACAGAAGAAGCCCAGGAACACTTTCCCTCAATTCGGAGGAAGGAAGGAAAAGAGTGCTTAAGACAACTTCTGCAAGGCATCGACCAAGGTCAACATGTCAGTCTTGATGCTCTGGGCATAGCGGATGACCTTCTCCTTCGAGTCCAGGATCTCAATACTCTCGGTGTAGGCGTTGTAGCGGACGGAGAAGGGGCGGTCGCAAGAGTTGGCGAACTCACGGACACGCATCTGGGCATCCTTGAACGACTCGGCAACAAAGTAAACGGGCTGGTACTCGGTAATGGGATACTTTTGCTGGGCAACCTTGGCAGGCTCAAAGGCACGGATCTCAGGCTTGTCGCTCAGGCAGTATTCCAGTTCTCCGAAGGACGACAAAAGACCAGCACCATAGGCACGGATCTGGTCGCCCTGACGACAGATTCCAAACTCGACCGTGAACCAGTAAATCGTGGCCAGACGCTCAATATCCTCGTCGCTCGCACCCAAGGAAGCCAAACCAATCTCCTGGGAGAAATCCGCAAAGTCAGGGTTGGCAAACAGGGGGACGTGTCCCAACAATTCGTGGCAGACATCGGGCTCGGGAGTGTACAGGGGGCTAGAGTGATGGCGGATATACTGGGTCGAATGGAAAACACGGAAGGCAAGGCCGTTGAGGAAATCACGGCTGGTCAACAGACCCATGACGGGGCGCAGAGTGAAACCGGTGCAGTCCTTCAAGAACTTGGAGACAACCTCCAGCTGGGGAATGGCGTGGGTGCCATAACCACAGTTCTGGATCAAGAGAGGGAAGACGTGCTGGTGCTCACGGCAGGCATGGGTAGGGAACATGCCAGTAAGCTTGTCAAAGACAGCAGCCCAGGTTTCGATCTCGACCTGGGTGTAATCGATGTTGGGAATGGGCTGGCCGCTAATACAGAATGAAAAAGGGAAGAGTCTTAGTTTCATTTGTTCCCTTGCAGCAGCAGAAGAAACTCTGTGAATGCGCCGTGTGAGGGGTAAGGTTAAAGACTTGAGAAGATACGTACGTCTTGTAGGTCTTGGCAATCATGGTGATCTCAGCACGGCGGGCACGGTAGGAGGCATCCTTGGCACCGGGGTGGTCAGAATCGAGCTCCTCACCCATCTCGAGGACTTTGTCAGCAAAGGTGTCGAGGTCGACCATCTTGCGGGGGAACCAAGGGGTCGACTCGGGCAACTCGCCTATTTCCATGGATGATTGTAATCATGTTGGTTAGGAGATACGAATGAGGGAGTACAAGTGCGCAGAGAAGAGGTATAGCCGTGGGAGTGAGAGAGGGAAAAGTGCCGTCATGGTTAAAAGGAAAGGAGAGGGAGGACACAGATAATCAAAACAAATACACAAACACACCAACAGATAATGAGGCGCGAGAATAATCCTTTTTAGTTTAGATAATTTTTTTTGGGTGGGTGGGAAAAAATAAAAGAATGAAAGGGAAAAAAAAAACGTGGGGTAGCGCAAGTGCAAGATGGAAAGCATACGGCGGCGAAAGGGCAAACAGAAAACAACAATGAGCGAATAAACAAACGGTATGCGCATTCAGAATCGAGTAACTGTACTGCACACGGACTGAACACTGAACGGACAAATGACAAGAAAGGATGGGAGGGACCAATAACATCAAACCAATCCAACTAAATCGACTGGCTAACTTACCAGCACCGGCCGCACCAACAATGTGGACCTGCTTGGCAAAGGGCTCAAGAGACTTTGCGACCTGGCGGACCTGGTCAGCATCGACGGCGTTGAAGTCGACGAAAAAGTCGTAATCCCACTCGGAAGTCTTGCTTGGGCGCCTGTTTGTTTTGTTTCGGAAGGATGCAAGCAGCCAGAGTGTTAGTCAAGTCAAGCACAATACAATGGCACTGTACACAAGACAAGACAAGACAAGACAAGGTGAAGTGGATAGCAACAGAAAGAAAAAAGAAAAGGGAGAGAGAGAAGGAGACGTACGACTCGATGCGGGTGAGGGAAATGTGCATGGCCTTGATGGCGGCGAGGCAGTCGTCGAGGGCACCGACCTTGTCGGTGATGGAGAAGTGGACGGTGGTCTTGACGGGGGCCACGGGAGTGTCGGAGCACTTGTGGAGGTGGGTGGGGGCAGCAGCAGACATGGTCGATTGGCTGTTTTGGTTGTTTGTTTAGTTGTTTGGTGGTGAGTGTGTGAACCTTGGGAAGGATGTGAAGAGAGAAAGGTGGGGATGAAAAAAAGGGGAAAAAAAAAAGAAAAGAAATCAAAACAAGTGACAATTGCCCTTTTATCCCTTCTGTGTTGTATTCTCCCACGGGGCTCGACTCCCGGTGGCTATCATTTGATTGGTCGAATTTGCTTTGTCCCTTCCTTCCTTGAACATGCACCTGTCCTGTTGCAACCTCCTGCCTGCCCTACAACAGTCGTTGTATATCAGACAACACAGTCGGAGACATCGAAAAAAAAAAATGTCCGAAGGCGGACAATAACAAAAACAAAGGACAGAAGGGTATGATTCACAGGATTCGCAGGATTCACAGCCTCACTCTTGCTTCACTTCATTGAACGCTAGTCTTCTAGTGCCGGCGGCGCTTGTAGGAGTCACCATCATCCCGGTCTCGGTCTCGGTAGTCTCGACTACTGCTGCCACGGTCCCCTCTATCACGATCACGATCACGATCACGATCACCACCACGACTACGGCTCTGACCATGGTTATCGTCGCGGTCGCGGTCATAGTACTCCCGACGACCTCCACTTTCACCGCCTTCACGCTGGCTTCTACCACCGCCCAGCTCTGTTTGATTGGCGCTGTCCCTCCTTTGCCCATCGCCAGAGCCAAATCGATCTCCGCCACCCCGTCCTCCGCCACCCCGTCCTCGACCGCCACGCTGACCTTGCATACTCGACGCAATCTTATAGTCATCGCCTCGGAAACCTCCCATACGATGTCGCTGTTGCAAGTGTCTCGTTGCCGGATCCGACCAGCCAGAGGGCTTCGATGTATCCTGGTCCTTCAACGTCGTGTACTTTGTTTGTCCTGCTCTTCCAAAGTTGCGGACCTGCATGATCTTGGGCAGTGCCTTGATGTCCTTAACTGCATCTGGTGTTGCCTCATTTGTCGACCGCTTCAGAATCGCTTCATTAGAATCCTATTGACGTAAAACAAAACAATACGAGGATTAAGGCAGTTAGAATTTTGTTACCTCTTCCAATCAGCGAGTGATCCAGCCTCCCCGGTGGCACCATTGTAAATCAGAGAACAACTTACCATAAAGAAGGCGCCTTTATGGTGGTACTTTTCGACAGATCCTGCGGCCTTTTGGGCTTGCTCTTCCTTGGCCTTCTTGGCCAGGTATGCCATGTCCTCCTTAACACGCTCCTCCTCTGTCAGCTCGCGACGTCTCTCAATCTCTAGCTTTTCATTCTCGCGTCTATTAATTCACAGCAAGATATAAGGTAAGCAATTAATAAGCAAAACAAATCTTCTTACCGGCCTCCCATGCGATACAACATTAATGTAGCGAAAAAGAACAACTTACGCTTCGAGCTCCTCACGATCACGCTTGATACGCTTCAGCTCACGCAGCTTCCAGAGTTCAAACTCGGCTTCCTCATCCAGTCCATCGGTATCATCGACCTCGGCCAGGTTGTCGACATCAGGCACCTCCTCGACGTTGGCCTGCCGCGCCACGTACTCCTTCAGCATCTGGTGAGACTCCTTCTTTCGTTCCGCAATCTCTTCCAGACGAGCCTTTTCTGCCAACTCCTCTGCCACCTCTGACCGTGTGGATTCGTCAATTGTGATTCTCTGGGACCTAAAAAGAACGAATAACATTGAATGAAAGCAGGCACGAATTAGGGAAGAAATACCCAGTGGACCCATTGAATTTTGGTAAACTGGATACGAGCCAACAGATCGACGACGATAAACAGCCCAGTCTACTTACTTGGGAACAAAGACCGGCTTCATCAATTTCCGTCGGGGTGTGTCCTCGTCCGACGACTCTTCTTCTGACCCAGACGTGTACTCTGATGATCCTTCACTGTCCTATTGTTTGTGCCAAATCAACATCATCAATACACAGCGTTAGTTTACATTTTGAGATGCACGAACACGAAAGACTTTGCCAGACAAACACCTCATTACCTCTGCATGTCCTCTGCGTCGTGAATCTTCGACTTCTTCCTCTTCCTCTTCTTCTTCGCCCTGACCCCAGAGTTCCTCTTCTTCCTCCTCCTTCAGAGCCTTGGCCCTGACAGCTTTCCTTCTCCTCACTGCCGCCTCCTCCTCGTCATCTCCACTATTCTCTGACTTTTCATGCTCTTCCTCGTTTTCGTCGCTGTCATCCTTCGTCCGCCTTGATCTAGTATCACCACGACTCCTCTGATCTGACAATTGCATGGCTTGCAATCTGGCAAGACGTCTGTCACCTCCAGCAGCAGCAGCGCTCATTTCTGGCTGGCCACCTCTCTGCGCCCGTTCTTGCTGGCGCTCCCGAGTCATCTGTTCGACATTCAGGACCTGGTAGGCACCCTTCCGCTCCTCCTGCCCAACGCCGATCGACATGTGAATCCCGCCGGTTGCATTTGTTGCTGTTCGTCGTGCTGATGGAGATTCGTCCTGGTCGCCTTCCTCTTCGTCTGAGGATTGTAATGCGGGATCAACATAGCCTTCAGGGGCTTTTCCTGCCCTGTAGCGTTGGACTTTAACGGGTTGTAGTGCGCCTTTTTTTGATGCTGAGGATCCACCCGAGTTGAGCGAAGGAAGTCCAGCCCGTTTTGACGACATTGCTTCTGTCTCTTTGGCTGATTGGTGTGAGTTGATGTAGGTTGGTTGGCGTAAGTTGATGTTGGTTGAGTTGATGTCTTTGGTCAAAAGTGCACACAAACCACACAACGCTGTTTTCCAAGCAAAAGCAAACGATCGTGACTGCGGTTTTGATTGATTAGCTTTATGGAGACGATAAGTAGAATACGAAGGCGCTGTCTATTCAAAGGAGAAGCTGTGTCCCCGACCACCGTGGCTGTGGCCATGGCCATGGCCATGCCCTCCGAATCCACCGCCACCACCGCCGAAGGGACTTCCACCTGCGCCAAAAGGTGATCCGCCGCCTCCAAAGGGGCTGCCGCCACCCATACCTCCTCCCATGCCGCCACCCTGTTGGTTGGCAAACATCTGATAGAACATGGAATTCACATCAACGCCACCAAAGTCATCCATACCACCGCCCATGCCACCGCCTCCCTCGATATCCATGCCAGAGTCATACCGGTGCTTCTTTGTCGGGTCGCTCAACACTGCATAGGCCTCTCCAACATCCTTGAACTTGGCCTCGGCTGCGGGATCGCCGTCGTTCTTGTCTGGGTGGTAGATCAACGCTTGTTTCCGGTATGCTTTCTTGATCTCGCTCTCGCCGGCATCCTTGCCCACACCCAACACCTTGTAGTAGTCCTTCCTCAACGACTTTTTCAGCTCAAGCTCGGCATTCTGCAGCTCGCGGCGGATATCTCGGTTGGTCTTGTCGAATTCCAGTGCAGACTTGAGGTCCCGTACGGCATCCTCGTATTGCTCTAGCTTGAGTTGGCACTCGGCACGCTTGCGCAGGACCTTGACGAATGAGGGGTCGAGCTTCAAACTGGCATCGCAGTCCTCGACTGCCTCCTGATGCCGTCCCAACTTTGCCAGGACGGTCGCACGGTTCGAGTACAGCTTGCTGTTGGTGCTCTCGTTCTCGGGGTCGAGGGCCAAGGCTGCTGTGTAGAGATCATAGGCTTCCTGCAACTTGCCGGCCTTGAAAGCATCGTTTCCGGCGGTCTTTTGAGCCTCCAGGTTCTTGGCCTTCTTCATAAGAACTCTGGCCTTGGAGCAATCGGGGTCGCAACGGAGGGCTTCTGCGCAGTGAGTGGCGGCCTTGATATTCTCGCCTTGGCTGTAGAGGACCTGGGCGCGGAGGTAGATGGCATCTGAGTTTTGGGAGTCCAGGCGCAGGAGATCCATGGCGACAGAGCTTGCTCCGTTAAAGTCCTTCTTGCCGATGAGACATTCGCCCTTCCAGATCATCCACTTGCGAGGCGCCAGATCGACCATACCGAAGAGGCGATCCACAGCGTTGGCTCCGAGGCCGAACTGTTTGTTGGCCATGTACATCTGCAGCTGGTCAATCTGTGCCTGAACGTAATCCACCTGTGCCTTTTCCTTGGCTGCCTGGGCGTTGTTGGGCTCCATCTCTAACACCTTTGTATACAATCTGATCGACTCGCTCACGTTTCCCATCTGCAACTGGCACTTTGCACCACGAAGGTATCCCTATTGTTATTTTTTCAGACCAAAGGTGCGTATTTTGTTAGATTCTTCGTTCTTTGTTGCGTTTCGAGTTGAGATGATTGTTTCTTTGTTTCGTTTTTATTCCTTGCAAGTTAATCTTATAATGCTTGATGTTTTTTGATGTCCCATTGTTGTTTTTGTTTTCATTTTACAAGTTTTCTTTTGTTGTTGATGTTTCTTTGGTTTTTCTTCAAGTGGTCGGCTTGACGTTGGTATTTCGACTTGTCGAGTAGCAGGTAATTTTTTTTTTGGCTTTTGTATTGGCTTTTTTGTCTTCTTCTTTCTTTTCATGTACTCCGCTTCCACTTCTTCTTCCTCCTCTTTTTCTTTTTCATTTCGTCAGCTACTTCTTCCTCCTCTTTTTGTTTTCATTTCCTGTGATTTCTCCTCTTGTAATTCGCTTCATTTCTTCCTCTTGTAATTCGCTTCGCTCTTTCCTTGCCAAACTATCCATACACCAATCATTAAGAGGCTGCAGGCAGAAATACTAAAAAGGGAACAACGATATAGGGGTAACAAAGCAAAGATATAAAAGAGTATCAGTCGTTGTTACCTTGACGAATGCAGGGTCCAAACGGATAGCGGTCTGGCAATCCTTTGAGGCGTCGCTGTATTTCTTGATCATCATGAGGGCGGCGGAACGGTTTCCGTAGTAGGTGGCGTTGGTGGGCTCGAGCCTGATAGACTGGCTGTAGAGATCGACGGCCGCTGCGTAGTTGCCTGCTTTGTATTCCTGGTTCGCCTGTGCCTTGATCTGCTCAGCAGTCCTATCGATACAATATAGATAAACAACAAGGATGGTTGGTTAGTTGGTCATCCGATTAAATGAAAAAGAGGACGCTTGCCGACTTGGCGAAGGCAGAAATACACAAATGGCAAGGGAAGAGAAGAGAGAGATAGAGAAAGAAAAAGAAGTATATATACTTACAAGGGGGCTTCCATGTGGTCGATGTCCATGGCTTCTGCGGGCATGATGATTATGATATGGTGGTTAAAATAAGAATGATAATGGACAGAGTATCGTTACAAGGGAAGGCAAGGAAGGTATGGTCTAGATGTGAAGGAGGTGGTTGATGAGAAGGAGGAGTGAGAGATGATCTTTATTTTTCTTCGTACGAGGGCGAAAGGCTGATGAGAGTCGGAAAGAGGAGGAGTAGAAGAGAGAACGAGATAGAGAGAGAAGTAGAAGGAAGAAGGGAGAGGAGGGGGTGCCGGAGGTGGGGCTGGAGAAGAAGGAAGAAGAGAGGAGGAGGGGAGAGGCGACAGAAGGAAAAAGAAGGAAAAGGACAGGAAAGACGGTCCCTTCGCCTCAGGCACATAGGTGAGGTGTGTCACTCACTCTGTTGTACTCAGCCAGCCTGTTTTTTTTTCTTTTCTTTTCTTTTCTCTGTGCGGAAAATGAACACGGGTGACTTGCTTGTCCAAGGAAGCTCACAGAAGAATGCGTTGGAAAGAAAAGAGACATCACGTGCGCATTTGTTCTTTTTAAGGAGTAGCTGATGTGTTTATGTACAAATTGTCTTTGAATTTATTTGCCATTGCGAGACGGTGTCGTAGGGTTTACCTAAGGAAATGAGAGCAAAAGAGAAGAAAGCAAGCGCACCACTCCCCATCCTCGCTGCTTAGTGCTTGGTGTTATTGCCGCTGCTGCTACTCTCCATCCCGACTGCCTTCTTGGCAGAGTCAACTGTGCTCTTGACAAAGTCGCTCACCTTCTGCGCACCGTCCTTCGCCCGCACAACGTAATCTTCTTCCTTCAAGTACTTTTGTCCGGCCTTTTTGGCCTGGTCCACATACTCCCCTCCATACTCTGATACCTTTGATCCCATCGACTTGGCCTCCTCTCCAACCTTCTTGGCCTGGTCCGGCAACTTGGATCCCATCGCCTTGGTCTTGTCACCAACCTCCCTGGCCTGTTGACTAGCCTTCTGGTTCTTGTCACCGTACTCCTCCTTAGCCTGTTGGCCAGCCTGCTTGGCCTTGTCAACATACTCCCCACCTTGGTCCGAAGCCTGAGAACCCATCGACTTTGCCTTGTCCATATACCCCTGTGCCGTCTCGGTAGCCTTGGCCTTGATGTGGTCGACAAAGTCCTCTTCACCCTGCTTCAGGTGCTTGACCGTGTCGTCCTGCATGTGCGAGACATCTCGAGAATGGGGCTCTCGATCCGCCTTGACGCTCGCTTCGCTCTCCGAGGCGTTTTCGTGCTTCCAGCCTGGGGCGTGCTTCATCAGCTCCTCCTTTTCATCTTTCTGTGCTGCATTGCTTTTTTTTTTGGACAATGTAATGAGAATAAGAGGTAGAAAGAAATCAGGATATGAAGATATAGATTCGTCGGTGTTGGTGTTTGTATTTTCATGGCGTGAGAGATAGTAACGAACAACAGGTAAGAGGGCAACGATCACACGCTTGATCTTTTGTCGTTGCGAATATACGTTGTCAAACAAGACATAAAAGTAGAACAGCAAACAAAAGCGATCTGTACCTAGCAAGTGAGCGAGCAAGAAGAGGAACCCTAGCGAATCCGGGGGTGCCGTTAAAGAGAGCAGAGTTGACAGATCTGCGGGCAGTAAGACGAAGGAGCGACATTTTTTTTGTTATGTGTTATGTTGTGTCGTATGTGTATGTTGTTGCTGTGAGAGAGTGAGTAAAGAAACGGGGTAGTTGTGTTGTTGTCCTTAGAAAAAGTGAAGAAGAAAAAGTCGAAGGATGTCCGGCTTTATGAATGAGGCAAAGGGTATTACAGAGCACTGACATCATGACGACGCCAAGGTGATGTCGTGTATGGTCTAGCTCAATTGATCAATCATCCACAGCATCTGCTACTATAAAGGGGTAGGGGCGCCAGGTCGATGACCCAGCGCGGATGGTGTATCAAACAATCATGATGATGTCAAGTTGTCGCTAGAGGGTGTGCTGATTACCCAGGGAACCATCATAATGCTCTTTGGTCAGTCGACGTTCTCATTCGCTGTCGATCAATAAGACAAAATGGTATGGCTGTCGTACAATGGCATAGATGGTACACAAGCCGCGTCTCCCAGTTCTCCAGTGCTAGAAAACAAAGGGAGTAAAAAGTGACACACAAAAGAAGCAAAAAGGGAGTCGGAATGAGGACGAGGTGTGTTTTGTTTGTGTGTGTGTATGCAGATACGACATTCATAGACAGCGAGACACATGAACTCTGTTTATACCTTGTGCCCTTGCGCGAGATGTCGCCATCGGACACAACAATGGACTCCATCCCATCAAGTTGCTCACTCAATTGAACAACGTATTCTATTCTCATCTCCTGCTTCAATATTCCAATTGTTTACATGTGTGTGTGTCCTTCCCATCGAATAGGAAATGGGAAGGAACAAAAAGGGAGAGATGAGCCAACGATGCGGGTCGATGGCACCATCGGTCCGTCCGAAAATCAAGCACGCTCGTTGGCTGATGGCCCAAGGGGTTCTATTTAGAGTTTGCCCTTCTGTCCTTTTTTGTTTGTCCTTCCACACGACAGTGATCTCTTTGGTCTATTATTCTTTGCTTGTTTTTATTATTATTCGCAATATTGAACGGTGTTTGTGCAAATGAAAAAAAGTCGGACATGGCAATGGTACAAGTATGTTACAAGGAAGAGAGAGTGTGAATATGCAAAGAGAAGGAAAAGAGAGAGAGAGACAAGGGAAACATCGTCGATCTAGTTGGTTCGGTGGCGAGGATTGGGCTTGGACCGCTTCTCCGGACGATGTACGTCTTGCTGTTGCAGCTCGCCATCCACATCATCCTCATCCTCCTCAATATCGCCAATCTCATCATCATCATCCTCGTCCTCACTGCCGCTAGCCAGGTCGTGGACAGAGACCTTGGAGCCGCCGGACGAGGAGTCGCGTCTTTTTTCCCGTCCAACCTCTCGAAGGCGTCTCAACACCTTCTCGGCCACCAGACGTCCCCGCAGCTTCTCGATCGTGTTCTTCAGCGAGGAATTCTCAGTCCGCGTCTCTTGCAGCTGGCGGGTTAGCACGTTGTTCTGGTCTTGAAGAACAGTGATCTGCTGGCGCATCTCGCCAGACTGGTAATGCTTCTTGGCCCTGTACTTTGCCGAGGCAGCCTTGTTGCGCTCGCGCCTGTCGTGCGTCGAGAGAGGGGCCCCATTATCGCCATTGTCTGCTCCGGATGCGTTGGTGGCACCATAGGAGGTGGAGGACGAGGAGGATGGAGGAGGCGAGGGAGACATGGGCGACTCCGTTCTGAAGGTGTGTCTCTCGGGCAGGGAGTAATGCAGGGGGGCGTCGTTGGGGCTCTGTGGCGAGAGCGGGGGCCGTCCGACGGTCAGAGGGGGAAGAGTTGGAGGAGAGTATGGGTGAGGACGATAGGCGGCGGAGGTAGAGTAGAGTCGCTTCTGGTCGTGGTGAACAGTGGGGTAGGGCAGGATGGGTTTCTGGTTGGGCTCGATCGAGGAAGCTCTGTGAGGTGGTGGTGGTTGAGGGTGGGAAGAGTAAGGAGGCGAGGGGGCATGGTATGCTGGAGCAGGATATGCCTGTTGCTGTTGATGTGAGTGGAGGTGGGCAGTTTGGATGTAGAGAGGATGGGATTGTTCAGAGGATGAGGTTGGGAGGGAGTCGTGGGGGTGGTAAGGGTGTTGTTGTTGTTGTTGCTGTTGTTGCTGGTGGTGGTGGTGGTGGTTGATCCTCGCATGTGGAGGATAGGCAGGGTTGGCAGTCAATGACATTGCTGTGTGTGGCAATAAAAGCTGAAGAAGAGTGTGGAGGGGAAAGATAGAAAAGACAAGGAGAAGTAAGTATGGTTGAGGAGGAGATGAAAGAGAAGAGAAGAGAAAGGGAGAAGAGAAAGAGAAGAAAATGGTGAGACGAACAAAAACAAACGCAGATTTTAAATCATCAGTTGTCACTGCGGGGGGTTTTTTTTTACTGAATGCCATTCTCGCGTCATTTCACGATCAAATGGACATTCGCCTCATCAAGGCGATCGAACACACTTGCACACACACATATGAAAGGACCAACTGAGTATCATATACTCAAGCAGGAGTGGAGTGGGCTCCCTTTCCTTCCCTTCCCCTCCCCTTTCTCCCGCACCTCCCCTCACTCAGAGTTGCAATCGCACTATCGACAGGGAGGCTCGCATCATCGGCCCATAGCCATATGTTATTGTACACTGAAATTACTATTATTTCGGTTATCGCTGTTGCCATACAGGTGGGTGGATGACGCGAGAATGGTGAGAATAGGTGCAAATCACTCGACTCTTTCACACCCACAAACACACACAGACACACACATACACACAATAATGCGCCTATCTCCTCTCCTCTTTTTGCCTGCTGTCCATTCATCTCTTTATTTTGTTTTAAAAAGAAAAGGAACGTGTTTATCCGCCTCCCCTCTATCCCTTCGATATGTTTTTTCATGCGGCATAGTTCAAATTACGTGCAATGGCACCATCCTTGCCCTCGAATTGTCAATGCTCCATTGTCTCGCTCACAGAAGAGACGAGAGAAGGACGTGGAGGAGGGGAAACGAGTCATGTGCATACCGCCACCAGTCAAGACAACCAGTGCTAAAGCCAATCGGACCAACTTCGACTTATCGCTCGCTAGGCGACTGGACCGTGGTAGTCAAGGCTGGCACGTCATTCCTATCTGTCTGCCTGAGCTTGTTTTAAATCAACCTTTGCTCCGCAAAGAACGATGCTTCTCTTTCGGTAAGTGGCCGACTGTTCATGTTAGCTGCGCTGTCAATTACTTCACCAAAACTACCGCTTTCCAGCAACGCTTGAATTTTATTTATTTATTTTTTCGCGTTGGCACCCAGCGGGTCCTTGGCGTTTCAGCGTATAGCAGAGAGAGAGAAAGAGGCAATGGTACTACCTAACCAGCCCAACGTGTTGTCTATTTTTTCTGCAGCCTCAGCATGGTACCAATTCGAGCGTCTCTTTTACAATGGTTGCGGACTTTAGGGGTAAATGTTAACGAATAGGGTCCATTGTCGTTAATATGTTTCTATTTTGAGCAAAGGACAGCATAAAAGGTTCGGTTCATTCGCTCACTCAAACAAATGCGTATTTGCCATGGTCAAGGAATAGACCAGACAGATAGAGAGAGAGAGAGAGTTTTGGCGGGACAGGCTCCGGGAAGGTGGGAAGGTAGGAGAGTGGTGGAGGGTATTTATCCTAGGAGCGAAAGAGGAGCGAAGGGGCTCTAGACTTGGTGTGGGTTGCTGTCAATTCCTTAAGGCACACAGGCGGGCACACGTTGCTTGGGCTTTGGTCTTTCATAAGTCTCATTGCTGCTGTTGACATCTCTCTTCCCTCCCAGCCACGGCAAAAGTATTTTTAGTATTATGGTGGCTATGATACCAACAACACAACCTAGCCAACTGTGTGCCCTCCACTTTGCTCCTTTCACCACTCCCTCCTTGCCCGTTCATCATCATCGCCCCCTTTTTACTTCTTTTACTTTCTTATCCCTCTACATCTCCCCAAAATCCTTCTATCCACCCCCGTTTATCGCAACTAGATCTCATCTCTGATGTCATACAGTAACAACACAAAGCCAGAATGGAGAGACAACGACTATGACGACAGCTACAGCAGACATCAGCCTCCAGGGTCAAGTCCTCAGTCCTCTCCCTTCAACGATGACCGCCATCAGGACAGCTACAGCTCCTCGACCATAGGGTCTTATCATCACCAGGACAAGTCCAGCAGCGACTACCGCTCGCCGTCACAGCGCCACCAAGGCTCGGTGTCGCAGGGCCATGACGACAATAATGACCAGTACCCCGTCGGTCGACCCTTGAGCTACTTCCCAACACACCACGAACCTCTCAGTCAGCAAGAGTACGATGATGAACAGCAGCGAACAGGCAATTACCATCAAATGGCGCCCCTGCAGAACGCCCCGTCGCCCCTGAGCAGTCGACAAGATTGGACCTATCAAGGAGGAGGGTCTCCTCCTTCTGATATTCCACTGGTCGGTATCGACATTGTCTCATCCAATCTGGAGGCGGCTCGCCAAGGCACCCAATATTCTGATACAAGGACGGCAGAGAACATGAGTCCCCACCACGGAGATACCAATTCTGTATATAACGCCGCCGGAGGAGTTGGCAAATCTCAGAACCAACAGTACGAACAGCGCAACAACACCAACTATGGACAAGGTCAGGATCATACTCTGCCAGCCTTACCCCCTAATCCCAACAGCAACGAGGGACAAGTTGAAGGCCAATATCCCGGAGGTGAACCCATTCCCAAGGTCCTCTTGGACCCTAAAGTACAGCGCCAACTCAATAACAAAAAGGTCTGGAGGCCGTGGTTCGTCTGGATCATTTCCGCAGTTCAGATCGGTGTGCTCATCTATGAAATCGTCAAGGGCTATCAAAGGACAAATCGTATCATCGAGACCCAACCTTTCAACCCTATGATCGGCCCCGGAACAGGAGTAAGTTATCGAATTTTGCATGTTTGTTCGTGCATCGGTTGACATTGAGCGGGTTACTTGTGCAGACACTTACACTTTCTTGTTCATAAACGTTTTAGACCATTATTGCCGTCGGAGCACGGTTTGTGCCATGTATGAGGAGCACGTACCTGGATAACCAGCAAATTCAATGTCCAGATAACACCACATCCATCTGCACCATCTCCGACATCTGTGCATTCACCCCCATCTCTTCGACTGGAAAGGCGCCCGATCAATGGTTCCGCTTTATCACGCCAGTGTTCTTGCATGGCGGTGTTCTTCATTTACTCTTCAACCTCTTGTTCCAGATGAGGACGGGCGCCGATCTGGAGAGAGACATGGGCTGGTGGCGTTTTGCCATTATCTACATGACTTCGGGAATCGCTGGCTTTATTTTCGGTGGCAATTTCGCACCTATCTTGTCTCGTAAGTACCCCACCCATTGTCGATGATATTGTTCAATAGGACTTGTTCTGGATGCAAAACGGCGCACTAACGTCTGTCCGATCAACCATTTACTCGCGGTCAATAGCCTCAATGGGGGCGTCAGGAGCACTGTTTGGACTCATTGGATGCCTCGTTCTTGACCTCATTCAGAACTGGAAGCTGGTTGTGCGACCATGCTGGGAGCTAAGCAAGGTAACGAATCGCCAAAATAACAGAATCATTTAGCGCAAAAGTTTCAAACGGTCGACTCACCTCTTGTTTGCTGTCTCTGCTGCCGTATATAGCTATCGTTGATGATTATTGTGTCGTTCGCGTTTGGTCTGCTTCCGTTCCTGGATAACTTTGCGCATATCGGAGGCTTTATTGCAGGAATTCTGACCGGACTAGTTTTTATGCCTGTGGTGTACTTTTCGAAACGCGATAAGTATATCAAGCTGGGACTGAGGGTCATTGCCTTGCCCCTGATTATCATGCTGATCGCGTTGGGCCTGACAAACTTTTACAAGGGTGTCAACAACTGCAGCTGGTGCAAGTACTTGAGGTAATTAACAGGATAATGAACTGAGAGGCAAACAACTATTTCACAGTCGTTGTGTTGGCTAGCACACTTTTGAAGGACTTGCGTACTCATTTTTATTTTTTCTTCTCTTCTGCTGCCATAGCTGTTTACCAATCAATGGATGGTGCGATGCCTTCGACACCCCAACAGGCGCGCCTTCGACCTGAACGACAGGACGCTAAGGCCCATTTTCAATAAACAACTGAAATGACCTTTTCAGCACCTTTGTATCGTTTCTTTCCATTATTGCACAAGCCACCTATTGCATTTCAACGCCCTCGCCGTGTGCCATCTCGATGTGTCGACGACGGTTAAATCGCCATCGATCTACTTTTCACAAGGTTGAATCCACCATCCGCTTTACATTCTGGAGCAACCATCCTCGCCCTCGGCCAACAGTTACAGTTCTACTTTACAACGACAGAGGGAGAGCTTTTGCGCAACATACACGCACACGAAAGACTGAGTCCGCATCCAATTCGAAATGCTGCCATTCGAGTCTGCTATCCCACCATGGGTGGCTGGATGCTCGTGTATCTTTTTCGCGACACTCTTTGTTGGATCCCTCTACCTGTTTCCTGTAAAGAAGCAGGCCCCAACTGGGAATCATGCACCAGATCGCTCTCAGCAGCGGCTGGATAGAGATCACCCACTGGTAATTAAGCAGCGCATCAAGGGCATCGTTCTCACCTCCGTGTTGATCACCCTTTATCTCTGGGTAGTCTTTTCTATCTCTGGCGCCATCCCCTTTGACCAGGCAAGTTAGTCATTAGTTATGCAAACTTTCCGTACCCACCCATCGCAGAGCTTGCCATATCCTAACACCGGTATCAAAATGGCATCACTTGGATAGCCAACATCAAGACGTGTGCACGCCTTCCTTCAGCTACTTGGTTTGACTGTCCCAGCTTATGGTCTTGCCCAATGGCTGCACCATATTTTCACACCTCTGGCTTTGGTTGTGATCCTGTTCTTGGGTCCTCTGGTCATGATGCTGATCGACAGCGAGCTGCCCTTTCAATCAAGGTTTTACTGGAGGAATCAGCTACAGAACTTGCGCGAGTGGATCGGCATTCGCAACTACATTGTGGTATGGGACACTGGTACCAATGCATTCATGCGCCGGCTGACCTGTTCATTTTGACATTCGACCAGATAATGGTGTCGCTAAATAATTCGTCATGCTCCTTTTGTTCGCTTTTGGTATTAGGGTCCTATTGCGGAAGAGTACATTTTCAGAGCCTGCATGGTTTCTATTACAGCCACGTCGGGTGCTTCGCCTAAAGCCATGATCTTTGGACTCCCTCTTGTCTTTGGCATTGGTGAGCACACATCTTTTGTCTAAATGACCCATCGTCTATCTCGTGATCGACCTATTTCTAAATGACACCATCTTCTTTATCTTGCGCGGGGAGCGTAGCTCACTTGCACCACGGATATGAATCTTTTGTTAAGAAAGGACGGACACGCCAAGCGGCGATCCAATCGGTCATTATTGCCCTTGTCCAGCTGACCTACACCAGTCTCTTTGGTTGGTTTGCGACGTTTCTGTTTCTCAGGACGTCATCCCTTTTGGCACCGTGTCTATGCCACTCCTTTTGCAATCTGATGGGCTTCCCCGATGTCTCCAACATCCAGTACTATGGCCGCTGGAAGATGTGGATATATGTCGCGTTTGCGTTGGGTATTGTCCTTTTTGCAGGCATGCTGGCGCCTTTGACAAGTCCTTCCTTGTATGGAAGCACCCATGCTTCTGTTTATTGGATGAAATAGTGAACCCAAAAAAATACGCAAGTAAAATACGTGGAAACTGGGTTATTATTTGCTCGCGAAACGGCCTTGTTCTGTTATTGCACCTAGGGACTTTACCTCTGTGTCTCACGTATAACTTCTACATCAGCCAATACATCACCTCAACTTACCGCACGCCATAGACACCCCATAGGCAGGTCAAGCATGCTCTGAAATCCACAATTCTCTCTCCTTTAGCATCAGTAAATTCCTACCATCAGCGCTATCAGCCTTCGAAGCAGAGTAACGAGCCATCGAACTTGTACGGCTGACATCAATACGGCTCCATGGATGTCGCACAGTCAACAGCATGACCAGAGGGACGTGCCTCCCCTTCCAAGGAAGAACAGCCTTGATTACCTCGATTGTTGAGTATCATTGTCATCAAGATGGAAAAACAACCAGCCAGGTCTTGCAACATGATAGGTGAGTTGCTGTTCCTAACCGAGTTGGAACGGCTGCTCCAAGATAAATAGCGCGGGATGTTAAGGTGGCAGGTGAGGTCAATCATACCTGATTTGGATGACTGCCAAGGCTGTAAGATGGACGTTAATAAAGATTTTGTGGGAGAGTTGAGGAAAGGTGCAGGTCGGGACTGGGTATAGGCAAGGTAGGCGCAGGTGGGGGTACTGGGCGTGCTGGTGTCTGGACAGGAGTCGAAGGGTGCCTCTGTTGATTGCATTTCTGTTGACAACGCAAGGGGAGGGGGTAAATACTTGCTGGAGACAGGCAACGGATTGCACGCAGCAGAATCATGGGGGTCCTTCGTGTCCGAAACGCTATCGTTGACTGCCAAACCGTACTCCTACCACATATCGACTTTGCCGAAACGTTCTGCTGAAACGTTCTGCTCTTGTTGCATCTCAGTGTCTGTCCACTCACTCCTCATTCTCTATTAAGGGTAGTAGCCATCACTCCATATTATATTCTCATAGGGCTCAATAAAGAACAGCCTCTTTCTCACCATTTTCCTCTCCCCAGTTGATCATATCACAGCTCTCTTGAGGAGATCTGGATGGCCTCAAACGTTCAGCATGCAATTTGCGGTTGGGTTGTTTTCCATCCTGATAAATACAACTGGAAGTTAATGTGCCACATGCATTCCATGCTTTTAAAACGTTCATGCCATATATCTTAGCCAGGAATGGTCGCCTAGAGAAAAAAAGTTGAGTGATGGTTGCGGTGAATCTTCTTACCATCTGTCCATTTTACCATTCTCTATAGTTTTACCACTGTCATCTATAGCTTGGATACTTTCGAATACAATTTGTACTATGGCATTCCTGTTCATTGACCCTTCTTTCCAGAAATCGGATAAGATTATGGTATGTGGTTCGCGGCTACCAAACTTGACCTTGTGCTATATCTCCATGGCAGTATATTGATCCTGTAATAACTCTAGGTGATGAATTAGTACGTCTTTATCAGGATTATCAGAGGCGGTAAAATATTCTCCTCGGAGTCCCTCTTCAATAGCTGATATTTTGTATTTCTTCTATTTCGTTATTAGGATATTCCACCCATCCACTATCCTTTGCAAGTGGTATGTCTTGCAGCGATGTGATGTCACGCAGCAATGGGGCAAGTGCGAACGTATGCCCATCTTCTTCATCCCCAGAAGCATCTTTGTCAGAAGATAGGCGACCATTTATGCGCAAGATATATGGCGTGAAGGTTTTTAATCTTGGAATATAGCTTGTGCACTGGCTTGCAGTTGTATTTTGCGAATTATAAAATCACTCAAACATATATTACATGCTAAGCTTTGGGGAGATGGTCCATGGTGTGATCTACCCTTGACACTATTTTATCTTGAATGTTTACAAACAGATATGTATACTTCATTATAACCTTGACAACTAGACATAAGGTATTGAACACTTGTGTTTTATATCACTTGCCTCCATGGTGTGTAACACTGCGGTAACCATATCTCGATAGCAGTTCTTTCATAAATAGTTCCACCTTGATTTGATTTGATTTGATTTCACCCTGAACTCTGCCTGTTGAGGACTTGACAGATATTAAAAATCTACAAGATATGTAAAAAAACATGTTACCTTAAAGAAATCCCCATAATAACCTCCTTGGCGCTCTTGGAATGCTTTTCCTTTCAAGGGATTTCGTCACCCACTGAAGAAACAGCTTGCTTCTTTTTGGAATGCCTTTTCTTTCGAGGGATATCATCATCATCATCCCCTTCATTGTTTGCCTTATTGGTAATGGCGTTGACGTCGCGCTTGGGTCTCCACCTGGGGATCTTCGATGATTCTTGCTTCGCTCTTTTTTGGCCTTATCATGGGTGCCTCACCCTCACTGCTTTCTTGCTCAGAGTCATTCACCGTCTTCTGTGATATTGTGGGTTTCCTCTTGCCGTTTTCCACCGTTAATCTTTATGTCGTTTGCAGTGTGTTTCACCAATTTTGGCTATACTACCACAACTGGCCCCCTTGATGGTGACGCCCTGACACTTGCACTTGGGATTATGGACATACCAATGCATGCCTTCATCCACTTCTTCCATGCAACTAAGCTTGGATTTCATACATTCAGCACCACAAAGGTAGTGTTTCTCCACTGCATCATCCTCATCAAGCGACTGGAAAATCTTTTTTGCATCTTTTACGTTGACGTCTACTTATTTCTTGAAGGAAAACAACTCCACTACTTTGACCATCGAGCATATCACCAAGGCAATCGAGCTGTTTACTCCAAGAAAAGAGTAGACTTTAACAAAAAAGATGCAAAGAAGATTTTCAAATCGCTTGATGAGGATGACGAAGTGGAGAGATACTACTTTCGTGGGGCCATCTGCACCAAGTCGAAGCACAGTTGCATGAAAGAAGTAGATGAAGGCATGCGCTGTTATGTTCATGATCACAAGCGCAAGTATCAGGGTGTCACCATCAAGGGGGCCAGTTGTGGTAGTGTAACCAAAGCGGCCTCTCCATGTGCAAAGGATATAAAAGGCATATAAAAAATATCCAAGCCCAAGAAATGCAATGTAGACTTCCATAGCTGATATATCTCTTCACAGTCGGCAACATCTAGTAGGATAAAATAACAACAGACAGCACAGAATTTTGTAAAATGTAATGTCTCCCTTGTATTTCACCCCAAAGATATAGGTGAGAGTACAAGTGCCTTAGATTATCACATACAAGAACTACTCTGCTGAATCTTGCAGTGAGGGGTACAGTTTAATATTAGATGGACACATTCAAGAATTGGTACGCGAAAAATAAGAAGACTTTGTTTGGAGAGTGTGGTTGTGTTTAGTACAGTGCTCCAAAAAAGTGATTCATCTTTTTGCGATTTCGACTTTTTTTTTGAAATGCTCATTCATCAATGTTCCGACCAGCCCCCAGATTCCTGTCATTCATTCTCTCGATTTGTAGCCTCATTCATTACAACTTGTTTCTTTTTGCATGGACCGACATCGGATCATCGTCGGAATCGAAATGCCTGAATCGAATGAATCAGTTAATTGGATTAATGCATCCCGATTTTCTTTTTCAACTTGTGCGGTCTTTTTAGTTTCTACCTGCCTTTAAACTTTAATGAGTTACGTACTGAATCATAGGACTATCTTTCACAGCTTGGAGTTCTTACTCATAGTCTTTTCTATATGACCTATATGCCTGATTTTACATGGACTCAGCACGTGTTTAGCTGTGTTTTTTTAACCACAAGCTCAGTGCGCTTTCTACCGGCAAACTGAAAGCCGGCCCATTTGTAGCGCATGCTGTGTAATCCAAATGTCGTTCATGTAAGAGACTAGTTATTCTCTATGGAGCGCAATATCGTGACAATGTGTGAAATCATGCTAGCTCCATGTAACAATACTTACATTAGTGATATTTCATGTTAGCGTTATGATAATCCCGCACCTTTTCTATGATGATGATCCACTCCATGTCTTATACATGGGCCAGCTTTCAGTTTGCCGGTAGAAAGCGCACTGAGCTTGTGGTTAAAAAAACACAGCTATACACGTGCTAAGTCCATGTAAAATCAGGCATATAGGTCATATAGAAAAGACTATGAGTAAGAACTCCAAGCTGTGAAAGATAGTCCTATGATTCAGTACGTAACTCATTAAAGTTTAAAGGCAGGTAGAAACTAAAAAGACCGCACAAGTTGAAAAAGAAAATCGGGATGCATTAATCCAATTAACTGATTCATTCGATTCAGGCATTTCGATTCCGACGATGATCCGATGTCGGTCCATGCAAAAAGAAACAAGTTGTAATGAATGAGGCTACAAATCGAGAGAATGAATGACAGGAATCTGAGGGCTGGTCGGAACATTGATGAATGAGCATTTCAAAAAAAAAGTCGAAATCGCAAAAAGATGAATCACTTTTTTGGAGCACTGTAAAATTTTACATGGAAATCATTTGCCACTACATGCGATCCATTTAATTGATTAAGCGGATTTAGGCTTCAATTACGGCAATGATCCAGTGTTGGTCCATGCAATCAAGAGAATGAATGACAGGAATCTGGGGGCCGGTTGGAACATTGGTGAATGAGCATTTCAAAAAAACGTCGAAATCGCGTTTCGGTTGATCAATTGATTGGAGCACTGTAGGTGGCGCGTAACAATGTTGTACATATCCAGAGTGACACTTTGAAACAATGACTCCCTTAGTCCTCTACTTATATATATAGCTGTGTCATAGAAACAAAGATCATCATCATTGCTCCAACTCTTGTCCCTGTCCCCTGATTCCCTCGTCTCTGCCTACAGCTATTGCACAGGCATTAGACAGAAAAGGAAATAAATGTGTCTTGGCAAAGTCGAAGTCATGTCAAGAGTCGACAGAACAGACTAGAAGGACTTAACGCAGCTGGTATCAGCGCTGCCCAGATAATTAGTAGGGCAAGGTGCCGCAGACCAATTCTTAAGCAGCAGTCGCTGCAGAGCAAAATCAGATGCGGCGTGGTTGCGGCTGCCAGCAAAAAGAAAAATGAAAAAAAACAACCTTAAGCGAAATAAATGTAGCTCCGATCCACACGCCGTCTTTTTTTTTTTTTGTACTGGCCAACTCTATTTAATTTGAGATCGATCCATTTCTGGCGACAAGAGAAGGTCCTTCCTGTGCTTGTGTAATAGCAACAGAGGAAAGGCAAGGGGACAGGGGGAAGGACAAGGAAGGGATAAGAGGAGAGGGAAGAGGATCAAGAGGAAAGGTGTAAGACCGATGATGTTTATTGTACGTAGGAACCGGGGTGTTTATATGGATTGTGTACAAGGTGTTGGTGGTGTGGTCTGCTGGAAGTGTATTTAGTAGGACGGGTAAATAGATGGGTGAGGTGTTTAGAGGGTCTAATTGGATGGTGCATGGGTAGATGGAAATTGCAAGAGCGGCGTGATAACGGAACCTAATCTTAATTATTCGGCAGTCTTTTCCTGCAGTTTGTCCTTGTTCACAAAAAAACGCTTAAAAGCACTTACCTTTGTCCCTGTTCACCTCAACTCCTTTTCCAGCTCTTCCTCGTTTGGCTTAACACCTGTAATTGACATCACCTTTCGACATCTTCCTACTGCTTCGTCCTCTTTTCTCTCCTTCCTTCATTTTAATTCTTATCTCTTATCCTCCACTCTCACTGAACAGTGCATTCCTTACCGTCATGGCCGCATACTTTTTACTCCTCAATGTGACGGGTATCATCGGTCTAATCAGCACAATCCTAAGCGGCCTCTTCGCCCTTGCCACAGGCCTCGTCTACAACTCCTTCGATAGATCCAATTTGCACTTTCGAATGGCAGGTGCAGGGGGTTTCTTCGATCGCCTCAAGGTATTCTGTCAGGAATGGTCAAAAGCGGGAGGTTGTGGCCGCAACTGTTGCCTCACGCTCATCATGCTGTTGCTCTCCCTGGCCAGCACAGCAATCCCGTTTATTGTCACATCGGGTATCAAGGCAAGCACGGGTCCCCAATATCTCCCAGAGGACACCTGGAGCACCAACTTCACCTATAACCCGTCGGACACCACTCCCGCATTCACGTTGCCAGCTCGAGGGAACTCTACCGTGGTACTCACAAATCTATACAACTCAATCAATGATATTCAATATTGGTTGGGCTCTCCTGATGGAGTGGATTTCAAGGTCTTGTCTACGGCGACAAATACAACGATTTGCGGAGTCAATACCAACTACCTCGGCCCTGTGCCATGCGATCACCCAACACCCGGAACCATCTCGCTCACTCGCCAACTCTACACCTTCTCAAAGAATGACACCCCAAGCTGTGAACCGACCTCTGATGGCTGCGAATTGATGTCGATGAGAACGGCCTTGGCGAGCTGGGCGGACTATACTACCATCTTCGATACTCCATGGACAGTCATGTACAATGACCATCAAGGCAATAGCATTTCGATCGCAAACGTCTCGGGAGCCCCTGGCACGGCAAACTCTTATCAGAACCTATATCTCGCCGAAAGACCTACGACTTTACTTGTCGGTTATCCAGAGAGCAACGGCGTGTCACTCATGGCCACCTTCACCACAGCAAGTTTTCAGACCGCACTCGTTGACGATTTCACGCTCTGCATGGATTCCTACCAAATCATCGGTTCAGGCAATCCATTGTGTCAGTCTATCTTTATGGCGTTAAATGCCTCGGCTCACACCCCGCCACTGATCGGGAATACTGCCAGTAACAGGTGAGTTATAATCACGTGCGCATAAGGGACGAATAAACAGATCCCTCTTTGTTTCGTTATTCCATTTTCCCCATAACCTCGTTACTGATCACAACCCCGGTTATTGTTTTCCAACAGGGTCACGCTGGTGTATAATGCGCCCTCGGCCCTTTCTCACAACTCGTCCCATATTACTTGCGTTCTATACGAAGTTAATTTACCACGACCGGAACAAGAAAACCGAGCCGTGCACAGGGTCTCTTGCCGCGAGCTCCGTGTCGCGGTCATGACAAACACTGGAGCATTTCCCAGTCCAAGGTATCCCCACTACGCCATGGCGACGATTTATAATGCCATGGCGCCAAACCAGGTTGATTACAATCTGATGTTACAGTTCAAGGACAGTAGCTCCAACAGCCCGTTCAGTCCCGAGTCCTTTGATGATGTTGCGGATCAGGTCGTCGACTTGTTGAACAACATAACCGAACGACTTTATCCGTTTGCGGCCAACTACTCGGCCGTTGTACAGCGGATTAACATTTACCCCGGGATCTCCTTCGAGCATTGGTCGTTTGTGTTTATGGGCGTTGTGGTGGGGATCGCCGCGGTGATTTATGCGCTGGATAAAAAGATGAACGATGAGTTCTCCAGGATGGATGTCGTGAAATTGATCGAAAAGACGACCAAGACGCCTTCTAGTGAGAAATTTATGTATCCACGATGGAAGTTGGTTCAGGAGGGAGGATTGTATCGTGTGTTGCTGAGGGAACAGGAGGTTGGTGTCGTAAAGACCAGCGAGCTCGAAAAGCTGAAGGACGAGGACTACGATTAAAGGGAAGAATAAAATAAATGATAACCATACGGTGACTGTAGCAGAAGTGTCAATTAACGCTGTCAACTATGCTTTCATAACATGCATTACCACCACTCACCATGTCTTCATTGACGACATTCCTAACACTAATCGTGCAACAGATTAAGTTCCTCTATCACATTGTGACAGGCGTGACGAGTTGTAACCGGTCAGAGGGAGTGTATGTTTGAGAGTTGAAGGAGAACAATTGGAAGGTGGGAAGCAGATAATGGTTTATTGTTAGCCGAAGGACAAATAACGTGCTTGACAAAAGTGATTCATCTTTTTGTGAATTCTGCTTTTTTTTGGTGATGCTGATTCATCAATGTTCTCACCGGCCCCCAGATTCCTGTCATTCATTCTCTGGATTCGTAGCCTCATTCATCACTGCTTGCCTTTTTTTGCATGAACCGACATCGGCTCATCGCAGGAATTGAAGTGCCCCATCTCAATGAATCACTTTCGTTGAAAACATGAATGGCGAATGATCTCCATGCAAAATTTTACACGGGTATAGCACGGAACGACCTCTTTTTTTTAATCCCACGCACTCAATGCACTCTCTACTCTCAAACCGAAAGCAGTTCTATACAAAGGACACCAAGTGTGGTCCTAAAGTCTTTGACGCGCGATACCAGTCATTCTCAATAGAGTGAAATATCATGACGATGAGTGAAATCATGCTAGATCCATGTAACAAAACATACTTCAAAGATATCTTCCATGAGCGATAAAAAAGTCCCGTGCATTTCCTATTTTCAGGATCACACTTGATGTCCTTTGTATGGAACTGCTTTCGGTTTGCGAGTAGAGAGTGCATTGAGTGCGTGGGATTAAAAAAAAGAGGTCGTTCCGTGCTATACCCGTGTAAAATTTTGCATGGAGATCATTCGCCATTCATGTTTTCAACGAAAGTGATTCATTGAGATGGGGCACTTCAATTCCTGCGATGAGCCGATGTCGGTTCATGCAAAAAAAGGCAAGCAGTGATGAATGAGGCTACGAATCCAGAGAATGAATGACAGGAATCTGGGGGCCGGTGAGAACATTGATGAATCAGCATCACCAAAAAAAAGCAGATTTCACAAAAAGATGAATTACTTTTGTTAAGCACTTAGACAGAAACGGGTATGCTATTCAAGCACGAGGGAGGACAAGTTGGAGTGGGGGCAGGAATACAAATCATGACGATAATGGAATAAAAATAATAATAAAGATAAAGTCTAACAGAATAATGTTCATAAAACCAAAGGTCCAAGACAGCAAGTGCAGCCAGCGTAAAATCCAACTTGGCGCCATGGGATTTTCGCACTTTTTTTTTTGGGCACAGTGCAGCCAGCCAATAAATGCAACTGGCCCCTAAGGAATTATCGGCCACCATATGTGTGAGAGGGTCGGTATCAAGTTATCAACTGCGGACAGAATAAAAAAGCACTAAGTCTTTCGATGATCAGCGGTGTGTAAAAAAGAAGAGAGTGCGTGCGCGGGCCGTGTAAAGGAAAAAAAAAGGTTGGGTTTTTGTCCTACGTGATTAATCTAATGCCCTTAAGCTAGTCTATGGTGCTACAAAAAGATATGATGGCTAGGCAGTGGCGACAATGCTTTAAGTTAGCAGTCATATTCTTGAGTAGATAGTATTAGTAGTACGCCGAGCCCTCTCGTCTGCCCTTTATCCTTTTCACATCACTTCTTGGACAAGAGCAGTATTGACAAGAGTTTTGCTGGCGCGCAGCAGGTAAATTTAACAATTCCCTCTTTAATAATATAAATACAAGGTCCTTTTACACATTACTTCTTGAACGAGAGCAGTATTGACAAGAGTTTCGCTGGCGCGCTGCAGCGTATCATTTTGTGTGATTCTTTAGGACGCTATTATCACTATTTCCAACTATCAACCCACCCCCTCAACCTACAACCCCTCCCACCCCATACCAATTAAGGACTTAACAGCGGTCCTACAACTCTGGCCTTCGACCCTCTCCCCTGAGTAACAATATTTTGGTGATCTACGCAGGGGCCAGCAATTGGTACAACAGCAAGAACAAGATGGCAAATCCGACCTTTTACCTTAGGAGGCCTTTCAAGTCCAAATTGTAATATAGTATATGTTACATCTCTGCAGACCTTGACCATATCTACAGCGACCATTAGAGGAGAGTGTATGTATAATATCCACCATGTAAAACAACCACTGTAACATTCCTTGCATAACTATCCTGCTAAACACCAACCTATTCTCCAAACAACAAAGTCTTCTTATTTTTCGCACACCAATCTCTTGAATGTGTCCATCTACTATTAAACTGTAACCCTCACTGCAAGATTAAGGGTAGTACTTCTTGTATGTGATCATCTAAAGCACCTGTACCTTCAGCTGTATTTTGTCGTGAAATACAGGGGAGAGATTACATTTTAAAAAAACATGTGCTATCTATTGCTATTTTATTTCATGTTCTATTGCCGACTTTAAAGAGATACATCAGCTATGGAAGTCAACACTGTATTCCTTGGGCATTGGATATTTTGTACATGCCTTATTATATCCTTTGCACATGGAGAGGCCGCTTACAAACCTCGAGACATGGACGAACGCTCAAGACATGGATGTGGAGAGCTGGCTTGCAGATGTATACCAGGTTGCCGATATCACCCAACTTCCGTACCGGCGAGTAGTGAAGCTCAAGACGACTGGTATGGCAAAAGGATGGGTGGAGAGATGGGCGTTGAAATTCGCCACCGACGGCAGTAAGGAAAAGTTCTCCACTGACTTTCGAGCGGAGATAGCCAGACCAAAGACGGCCGCCAGTACATATGCTGAGATAATGAGCATTAAGCAGAAGACCGGAGAGTTGACAGGCCGGTACATTGCAAGGATGAAGGCCAATATAAAGCTGCTACTGTTGGCGTCCAAACCTGATGCTACCCTGTATACGCTGACCAATGACGCCGAGGCGACTTTCAGTATTGCGTTCTGTCGAGGGTTGATGCCTGGGCACCCCTTCAAGGTTAAGAACCGAGATCCCGAGCCGACCCTAGCAGGGACCTACGCCGCACTTGCCAAGTATTGCCGCCACAACCAATATAAGGAGAAGACTTACAAGGACAAGATCCGCAAGGAAGCTGAGAGGCTCGCACCCAGGCCTACCACTGGATCGATCGAGATTGCCGGTACCAAGATCCCTGCTGCAGAGTTTCAAGCCTTCAGAAAGGACTTCGAGCCCAAAACGCTGACAGCAGGAGTTGATGAAATGGTCAAGATGTTTAAGTTCTGGAGTTTGGCATCGTTGGAAGACCAGACCCCAGCCGGGCGAGTCGCTCGAACTATCGCTCGGCTTCCAGTAGCCATTGCTCGCAAGGTATTCGGCCACACTAGGTTCGCCCAGCACATCCGAGGTGGTGCCATTGAGACGCCAGCCAGCCGCCAAGCCGTGCAACCCAGCGCTACTCCTGCTTCCACCGGGCCAAGATTATGCCATAAGTGCCAGGCAGAAGGCCATTACGCCAACGAATGCCCTGCTGTTGAGTGTTATCACTGCCATGAAAGAGGACATGTCGCTCGAGTTTGCCCCAACAAGTCCACCGCCCCAGCGACAGGCCCCAACAGTATCCCCCTAACCCAACAAAACTCGATGAGAGTACAGAGCATCGAAATCGACCACGCCTTGGCCGCGCAGAGGACGACACGTAGTATGGGTGGGGTCGACCAAAAGCGGCGTCAAGAACGATTGAACCTTCTAGTAGAATCTAAGGCCAAGAAAGATGCGAGCCCGGCAAAATCAAAAGTCGTTGATAGAGCCATGGATTGGGAGGAAGAACCTGTTTCTGGAACCTTAAACGACGCCGCAGGAATTGGGCACATTCAGAGCAGCAACGGAGGACGGCGTGGACCTGTCGGAGTAGTCACGATAGAGCCAGTGACAGAGGAGGCGATTGGCGAGGATGGCGTGAGAAAGAGAAGGCCCAGGCAGAAAGTTGAACCGGATCCAGTCTTTGTATCCAGTATTGAGAACCTCACCTTCGACGTTGCCACTATCTCGAAGCATGGAGGCCAAATGCCGTCACAGCTCAAGGCAGCAGTCAGTCGCGTGTATGCCAACATCCGGGAGAGACGAAAGAAGGCGAGAGCCAAGAGCAACCCCGCGCAGGCTGCGCAACCATTCATAACTGTGGCCAATCGGGGTATTGCAGTCTCGAGAAAGGCGCCAGAAGATGTAGCCGCTGTCAGAGTCAACGACCGTAGTTACCCGAATGCTATCATCGACCCAGGCAATGATAGGACGATAATGGGGCTTCATGTAGCACAAGACCTCGGACTTAAACTCAAGCTAGCCAACCGCGGTATTCTGCTGGCAGATGGCCGATCTGACAACCTTGCAGGATCAACTGGACCCATTATAACAGGATTGTAGACTGGCTCCTGCTTTCGATTACCTTGTTCCTTACTTCCTTGTTAATATCTTATATATTTGTCTTACACACTACCCCTGCTTATTAAAGCGCTCCAATTAATTGATCAACCAAAACGCGATTTCGACCTTTTTTTTGAAATGCTCATTCATCAATGTCCCGACCGGCCCTCAGATTCCTGTGATTCATTCTCTTGATTCGTAACTTCATTCATCGCCACTTGCCTTTTTTTGCATGGACCGACATCGGATCATCGCTAGAATTGAAATGCCCGATGTTGGTTGATCAGTTAATTGATCAATTGCATTATTATTTTCTTTTCAAAGTTCGGAGGTCTTTTTATTTTCAATCTACCTTTAGACTTCAATGACGTACTTCTACAATCCTATACGACCTTCTATCAAAGTTTGTAGTTCCTACCCAAAGTCTTTTGTGTATGACCTATATGCATGACGTTACATGGGTTTAGCACGTGTTTAGCTATTTTTTTAATACCACAAGCTCAATACACTTTCTACAGATAAATTGAAAGCAGTTACATACAAAGGACATTAGGTGGAATCTTAAAATCT